TAGTTACGTAATTCGCGGGTACGCCCTTAGCGCTCCCCTTTAAGGCTAAAATAACTAGTCCCTATTCTCCTACTCTACACCCTATATTATATGTCCGTAACAATTACGTAGCCTCCTTTTATTGCTTATTAAGACGGAAATTTAAGCTTAGATACTATAATTAAGCTACGCTCTCTTAGGAATACCTTATACCTTTAGGATACTATCGATACTCGTATAAGAGTAAGTAGAAACTAAAGTTAAGAGTCGAGCTATCTAGAGCCTTTTTCTAGTATAAATATAAGACTTTAGTCTTACTAAAATACTAATCGGAATTATACTTTAGTAATATAAGCTTTATTAAGAGTATATTAAAGTAGTAATATAGGGTTAATAGCTTCTCTAGAGGTATAATATTAGATGTAGGGTAGCCTTAAAAGTAGAACGGCACTTACTATCAAACTATCGTATATATAAGACCACGTTCAAATAATAGTATCTATACTACTAGTCTTTCCGGTTACTCTTTCCGCTTACTCAGATTATGAGCGAACCGGCATACAACGACTGGCGCCACGAATAGGTAAGTGCCTCTCAATCCAAGGCCCCAAGCACCAACCAGCGAAAGCGAGAAGACAACCATGCAAAATTCCATGTGCTATCGGATGTTTCATCTCTCTACAGACCGTGGGAAATGCCCGTACCAAAAAAAAAGGGCTTTAAGGTAGGTGTGTAAAAAAAATGATTTGGGGAGGTGATGAGCTATGCCGTTCCGTTGGTCTTGGCATTCATCAGGATGCATATGGTACAAAAAGTGTCTACCCTACCACACAAGCAGCAAGGCGTCGGCAAAGTGTGTTCGCCGTCGGTAGATTTGCACCATGTCCTGCGGGAAACCCACTGTGCCCCAGCAAGCCCGACCTCAGTACGTGCCCTCTGGTCTGCATGCGTGATTTTATCTCCAAGAAGGGACGACCGGTGCATAAGAACACTCATGGCATTGGCGGCGCTCCAGGGTGCTTCTCTACTTCCACAACTTACTCAAACTCATCTCCTTATCATCATGCCTCTGCAACACCTTCGCAGTCGCCAACTCAAAATCCTCCTGCGTAACATGCACCCTCCTCTCTCTAAGCGCATACATCCCCGCCTCCGTACAAACCCCCTTCAACTCCGCCCCGGAACACCCTGTCATCCTCTCCGCAATCTTCACCAAATTAATCCCCCGTGTCAAATTCATACTCCGGGAATGAATCCTTAGAATATCCGCTCGAGCCTCGGTAGTAGGAGGCGGGAACTCAATCTTCCTATCGATTCGTCCAGGTCGTAGCAAAGCCGGGTCCAGAATATCGAGGCGGTTGGTCGCCATGATGACCTTGATATTCTTCGTGGGTTCGAAGCCGTCGAGTTGGTTCAGGAGTTCGAGCATGGTGCGCTGGACTTCCGAATCGCCTCCGCTGCTGCCTTCGACGCGCGAGGAGCCGATGGAGTCGATTTCGTCCATGAAGATTATGGAAGGGGCGTGTTCGCGGGCCATGACGAAGAGTTCGCGGACCATCCGACTACCCTCCCCGATATACTTCTGCACCAACTCACTCCCGGAGACGCGGATGAATTTGCAGTCGGTGTGGTGGGCTACTGCGCGAGCTAGGAGCGTTTTTCCTGTGCCGGGGGGGCCGTAGAGTAGGACGCCTTTCGGTTGTGCTATCCCCAGCGATTCGAAGAGTTCGGGGTGTTTGAGCCCTAGCTCGATGACTTCTTTGATCTGCTTGATCTGTTCGTCTAGACCGCCGATCATGTCGTAGGTGCTGTCGGGAACCTTTTCCACCATCATGAGGGAGACGAGGGGGTCGACAGAGGAGGGGAGGAGGGAGGAGAGTTTGTAGCTGTCGGATAGGAGGGTGACGCGTTTGCCGGCGGTTAGTTTGGCGACGTCGATGCTTTCGGCTATGTCGACGACTGTGGGAAGCAGTGTAAGTGGGTGGGGAAAATGGTGTAGGAGAGGTGTTCAGACTTACCATATTTGCCTTCCGGGTGGACTTTGACCAGGACCTTTTTGGTACCCATCACCTTGACCACCTCACCCACATAGCTCCCAGGTTGCTGCAGTAGGCCCAGCTCCTCTCGCAGTAGTCGCACTCGGCTGTTGTATTCGTTTCGCTGTGCTTCGAGACGTCGCAATACCGCCTGCCCTTGTAGGATTTCCATCTTCATCGACTCGATCTTGTTGTTGAAGAAGGTGTCGAGCGCCATGGTGACGGTGGATGGCTTGCCGCCGGGTTGTGGGCTGGTGACTGAATGTTCCTGGGTATATGTCAAGGCTGATGACAGGAGATGTTCTCGTCTTCGATGGCAGATGGCAATTATTAGGGCAGTGATGCGGTGTTGTCGGATTTGTTTGATGAAGGCAGCACTCGATGGCGTTTCCACGACTGGCTGCTCCAGGCACGTCGAAGCTCGGGAGTCTGCCGCAGTGAGGATCTACCCGCTGAGCCGCATAATACCAAGATCAAGCTCCAGACACTCCCCGAGGCGGAAAGTTGAAATCTTGGTCCATGCTTCACGAACAACGATACAATACAGACATGAAGCCGTCCGCTGTCACGATTGATTGTGCTGATTGTGGGTAGGCAACCACAGACAATACTGTACGAGTCTGATTATTATTACGAAGCTTGCCTGCCCGCCGTGAGCCAAAGGTGCAGCTGTTCAATCGCCTGTCAAAGTAGCGTTTCATCCTTTCCCCATCGGGTATGGTCATTCTGTCGCTTGACGCAGCGTCGTGGTCGAAGCTTTACGCAAGCACTTGTATCACTAGTAGTATCTCTGCGACACTTCATCAGCTGTGACCCGTCCGCTACAACGGCTAATCATTGCCTCATTACCTCTTGAGCTGCTTCTCAAGCATCGATAGTGTCGATAGATCCGCCTTCGCCGGCAGCAACACATCTCCACCCAAACACATGATCTAGCTCCAGCACGTGCAGCACCAACAGCTGCGACATCCAAACTCAGTTCCACGTCCATCGGCGACACGCCAAGACGGGGGACTCAATGGTGCCCGAGCCAAGGATACCGCCTGTCATGGCCGAAGAAGAAGAAGATGAGTCGCAAGCAGAGCAACGTAGCAATGCGACTGGGACTGCCACACAGGACCACGCCGCACCAGACATGCCCGAGACTAGACGGACAAGCACCAGCTCGATGGGCAGGGAGACGCCTAGTATGCAGGCCAGTCAAGCGAGTGGCTTCAGCGAGAGTGTGAGGCGGCAGAGGCCACGGCCGCTGGACTATGGTAGGTCTGCAGGTGTATATTATAGAAGGGAGGACTGGGCTGATGTACCACAGGCTCAACCTCAGGCTCGAATCGTCTACAACAGACCGTATCACCACAACCCACGACGCCGAAACGACCGGGTGCCAAGCGTCAACCTTCTCATGCAGCACCACATCGCGGCGACATGTTCTCGGTGGACGACGATCCGAATGAGCTGGAGAACGATCTGCAGCGACACCGGACACGAACCAAGCGAGACGAGCAGCGGGAGAGGCAGGAAAGGCAACAGCAGTCGATGCGGAGACAGCAGAGCACGCTACGGCGAAGACCTACCGCTCCACAACCGGCTCCTCAGCTGACTACAGTGGACAGCGAAGACCGGGAGGAGGATGTGAGAGTATCAGGCAATGATGCTGCACATTCCCAAGCAGACGGCAATGGCGACCCCAGCTCCGAAGAAACTCTTCAAGGCGAGGAGGAAGAGGAAGAGCCACCTACTCCAGAAGATGACGAAGACGAGAACGAAGACGATGACGACGCCGATCTCAGCGACGCCGAAAGCTTCACATTGAAAGACAGACAAGAAGCAATCAACGAGACCCATCCATTCGGTATCAGGATCTGGAAACCTGCGCTGTACAAAAAGTCGCGTTCCGTTCAAAGAAACGCTGAAGGCGACATTCACTCAGCGCCAGGTGGCAATGTCAGTAGATGGCTAGGCCTGTTCAACTTCCTCTGGACCATAGTTTTCGGCTGGTGGCTCTCACTACTAGCTGGCGTGGGTGGCGTGATAAACCTCGCCTTATACCTCTGCCTCGGCTTCGAAAGCTGTCACGACTACGGCCGCGTGCTTATAAATCTAGCCCACTACCTCTTCTACCCGTTCGGTAAATTCGTCAAGCTCGAGTACGATGAAGCCTATCTCGACGAGGACGAAGGCGAAGGCCGCAGTATCAGCGAGTACGAGCGCTGGCAGACCGGCGACCTGGAAGAAGGCCGTCTCTTCTTCGGCCCCACAAGCACCCGCTCCATCATCGGCCAATCGCGCGAAGAAGTCGAAGACCTCGATCCCCCCGCCGACGAAACCGACGCTCTACTAGGCCGCCCCGCGCGCCAAAGCTCAGTCACCGAACGCGCGCAAGCAAAGACCAAAAAACGCCTCTTCGGCCGCGGGGAATGGAATCTCGGCCGCGTCATCTTCTTCCTCTCCTTCTACTTCCTCCTAACCCCCTTCTTATTCCTCGTCTCCGGCATCTGTTGGTTCCTGGTCTTCACCATCCCGATGGGGAAAGTGACACTGCTCATCTTCTACCATTTACGCCGGCATCCGTTGGCGTTGAGTTTCCATACCGATAGCCATTATGGACGGGGTCCGAATATGCCGCGCGGTGACTCTGGGTCCTCGATCTTGCTTTGTACGTATAGGGCTGTGGGGCTGAAGTATTGGAAGTATACGATTGATGGGACGAATATCTTCCTTATCAACTTGCTTGGGTTGGTTTTCTTCGCCATCTTCGATTACTTCCTTCTTTACGAGGCGCTGGGCATTAGGACGTGGCTTACTTCGCCTGGACTGGTGTTTGTGCTGGCGCTGGCGAGTATTATTCCTCTGGCTTACTTTATCGGGCAAGCCGTTGCTTCGATCTCGGCGCAGAGTAGTATGGGTGTTGGCGCTACTATCAATGCTTTCTTCTCGACTGTCGTGGAGGTGTTTTTGTACTGCGTTGCGCTGAAGCAGGGGAAAGCGAAGCTCGTGGAGGGCAGCATTATTGGGTCGATCTTCGCTGGTATCTTGTTTCTGCCTGGACTGTCGATGTGCTTCGGCGCGTTGAAGAGGAAGACGCAGCGGTTTAATGTCCGATCGGCTGGTGTCACGAGCACGATGTTGCTGTTTGCCGTCATTGGTGCTTTTGGACCCACGCTGTTCTACCAGATCTATGGCTCGCATGAGTTGAACTGCCATCAGTGCTTGAAGACCTCACCCGGGGAAGACCCAGAGGACCGCGACTGTCGACGATGCTTCTTTGCGCAGGTCCCCGCCATACACGATCGGTTCTTCATCGAGGCTGTCAGGCCATATATCTACTTCGCTGCTGTCTGTCTCTTCTTTTCATACGTGGTTGGACTTCTGTTCACGCTTCGCACGCACGCGGCGGTCATCTGGAACAACGAGCCGGATGAGAAGAAAGATGCTAAGATGGATGAGGCGATGAAGAAGTATGAGGAGCGGCATGGCGTGACGGCAGGCGCGATGGCGAGTCTTTCCGCTCAAATGCCGGATGGCATGAATAGGCCTGGTATGGCTCGTGGAGAGACTACCGGTACGATGGGAAGCGTGGTGACGGTCACGAGGGAGAACATCCGTGACAGTCAGATGTATAAGCGGATCCTCAATCAGAGTCTGCGACAAGCTGCTCTGGCGCCAGGTCAGAGTCAGAGCCAGAGTCTCAAGAAGAAGCCTGATGGCGATTCTGCGGATCTAGACGCTTCACCCATTGGCAAGGACCAACAACAGCAGCAGACGCCGCACATGGTCCCACCGAAGAGTTCCGGCGGCGACGCAGAGAGCGTCAAGAGTATTCGAATCCACGGTCTGAGCTCGGAAGACAATCGCGCGCTCGTGCAGCAGATGGCTGAGGTCGCAGCCACAGCCGCCACGGTCGCAGCGCGGGATGCGACGAGAGCGCCGAGGAAAGCAATGATCATGTCCTCCACTGGCATCGGACCCCCAAAGGGCCACGGCCACCACCACCACCATAATTCCACCGAAAGCACCCCCGCACTTCCAGCCGAAGACGGCACGGCCCGTCTCCCCCCTGTCCCCGAAACCACGCCCGACAAACCCGCCGAAGCAGCCGGAGGCCACGACGCCCCCAACTGGTCCCGCACAAAATCCGCCATCATCCTCCTCACCGCCACCCTAGCCTACGCCATCATCGCGGAAATCCTCGTAGACACCGTCGACGCCGTGCTATCCAACATCACCATCGACGAGAAATTCCTCGGCATCACGCTCTTCGCCCTCGTGCCCAACACGACCGAATTCCTGAACGCTATTTCCTTCGCCATGAACGGGAATGTAGCTTTATCCATGGAAATCGGTTCCAGTTACGCATTACAAGTCATGTTGTTGCAGATCCCGTGTCTGGTCCTTTTCAGCGCGGTTTATGCGAGGTTCTTCTCTCCGTTTCCCGAGGGGGCGGAGGAGGCGTGGGTCGGGGATCATACTTTCTCGATGATTTTCCCGCAGTGGGATATGGTTACTGTGATTTTGGGAGTGTTTTTGATGGGGTGGGTGGTCGGGGAGGGGAAGAGTAATTATTTCAAGGGGTCGACGTTGATTCTGACGTATTTGGTTGTTGCCGTTGGATTTTGGTTTAGTGGGTTTGTTGATACGGTGAGTTCTTTCCCCTTTTTCCTCTTCTCCTTGGACGGTTTTGACCGCGAAGGTTCGGTGGTTGGTTGAGTTGGGTGTGGAGCTGATTTGTTTTGCTTTGCTTTGTAGGATACTGTGGGACCGGATCGATTCGAGCTCGCTGGGTTGGGGTTGTATTCGGAGACGTTCAAGACGGTTGGGAGGGGGAGTAGTGGGAGGGCTTATTGAGATGAGATGCAAGCTTTTTGGGGCATTATTCGCCTCGTGAGTTGTGAGAGAGTGTGCTGGAAATACCCTCTTATGGTGTGATACTGCATCTGAGAACTTTTTGTGCGGTGTTCTTGGAGCGTTGAAGCATGGCGTCTCTGGTTCTATGGGACTGTTTTGGGCAAGGTCACGGAGACTTTGAGTAATCAAGCTGAACGGGATCGTATGCAGTAGCAGATGAGAGCTGCACTCCTTCTATTCCGCAGCGGCATTAGGGAAAAGGTGACTATCCAAGAACGTTCGTAATGCTAGGTCTCACTACCAACCCCCTTTGTGATGGTTATCCTTCCGAGGCGACATCATCCAGCAACCTCAGCGTAATCGTGCCGTCTTCTGCGCGGAGGTATTTCGCTTTCTTCCAACAACCACTGGCGGACTTCGCACAGACCGAGCCAACACCGTGAACGTCTGCTGCATCTCGCACCTCCCTCCTCTCCGCCTCACCAGTACTCTCCACCCGGGAACCCCGAACCCCCTCCTCCTCCTCCTCCTTCTCCTCCTCCTCCTCAGCATTCATCCACCCTCTAGCTTGTGCGCGAAATTCATCAGGCGGCGACGCATCCTCGATCCTCTCCAAGGTACCCGCAGCCCCCACGGGTCCAGCCCAGCGGTTCTATCGCTGTTTATTTTGATGGTGTGGGTACGGGAGGGGTATTTCTACGCTCGTCGCGCTGAAGCTACCAGTGCTTCCGCAGCAGAAATCGTTCGAGCTTTCTTCTGTCCATGTCGAGGCGGGCGTGAGACCGATCGTCGGACCGGGACCGGGACTAGCGCTTGTTAGGTTGTTGGCAGAATCGGCAACACTGCGGCCGCGACCACGTCCTATCTCATGACTCAAGCCAGACCCTCCTACTAGGCCGGTAGAGCGTCGAGCCGGCCGTTTCTGGTATTTTTGTTTCGCAAGCAGGAAGGAATCGCGATGGCTGCTGAAGTTTTCTTGTTCCGGGGCTGAGAGGTTGGAGAGGGGGTGCGGGAGGTAGGGGGAATCTGGGCGGGTGGGCAGGTGGAGACGGAGGTTGAAGTCGTGTGTTGTTCTTGTGGTGGTGGTGGTGGTGGTGGGCATGGAGTATGATCTCTGTCGGTCGGGGAAGAAGGCTGAGGTGGAGAGGGCGAGGGGATCTGGGTCTTGATCTTGTTCGTGGGTCTCGGCTGGATCGTCATCATCCCCTTCGTCCTCATCACCGTCGTCCTCGTCGTTGTCTTCGACGTCCTGTTCATCGACTCCCGCATTAACAAGACCAGCAAAGTCTTTCTCAATGGCGGGTGAATGCGGCACGGAATGTCCAGCAGAAGAAGGACCACTGCGCAAAGTATTCGGCGGCCCTGGTGGATCGTCCTCTCGTTCTCCAACCGCCTCTTCTTCCTCTCCTTCCTTCTGCTGCTCAGCAACCCAACTCCACGCCGCCAACCTCGTCTTCGCAGGCAAAGCACCAAAGACACCGGAAGTATTGCGGGAAGGCGGATTGGACATCTGCTGGACAATGTCTTCAAGGTCTCGCGGGTTGAGATAGCTGGGAGTTTCGACATAGTCGAAAATCTCGGGCAGAGCGGCATCGGCATCGTCTGTGCCTGGGTTTTCCTCCCATGCGAGGGAGAAGGTGCCGTTTTCGGATTTGACGGTCTGTTCTGTTCTGATGGGTTCCGGGCGGGAGGTCGCGATGGCGAAGGGTATTTGTGTGTCTTGTCCTAGGATGCCGTACGGGCCGAGACCGATGGCGTGAATGCTGTGAGCAGTCGTTACCGCTGTGCCAGCTGGTGGTGATTTGGTGGGGCGCAGGAGGTCGGACCATGATGTGTGGCGTTGAGGGTGGGAACGAGGATTGTAGTGTCGACCTATGCTTTGGCTTGCTGTGGAAGTGTGAGAAGGTAGTTCGGGATCCGACGATCGACGGCTTTGTAGTTGGTGGTGGCGACTTGCAGTCGTTCGCTGATCGTCGAAGGCAGTGGGATATGCGATCGCCGGCAGAACGAGGTCGAAGTCCTTCTCTTCTACATCGTCGTTGCGATCGCTATATCCTGCCGGTTCAACGACATGTGCTGTAAGCTCATCTTCCAAGTCCTGGTCGAGTGGTCTGGAGCCTCCGGTAGCGACAAACCGTTCCAGATCCTCGATGAGTTGGTTCGGCGTGCGTGGCTGGCTTGCAGTGCGATACGGCTCATCTTCGTCACTCTCCTCCTTAGATGAAGCGGTATCACCAGTAGCTTCATACCGTTCTCCCTGGTCCTGGTCATTAGGAAGCGTAGTATCGACATCATCGTTCTCTTGATCGTCGTGATTCAGATCCGATAGATCAAACACAAAGCCGTCCTTCCGCTCGTTCGCAGCACGATAGAATCGCTGATAGTGCTCCGCAACCCTACGATCCAACTCATTAGCCTCCTCAAGATCAGCCTGTCGATCATTCCATTCGCTTTCCTTCGCTTCAGCCTCCCGCAGCTGATTTTCCGCATCATCGATCTCATCCTCCAGCGTATCATGTGAACCCCATAATCCAGCCTCCAGTTCCCCGGGCTCGACATCCATTCCAAACTATGGTGGAGGCGCTGCTAGAAGTTGTAGCTGAAGTCCAGGTGTCGCATGTGTCCGTCTCAGGCCTATATCGTCGGTAGTAAAGACGCTGTCGTCGAAGTGGGCACGTTTTCTCCCACTGGTGCCAGGTGGACTGGAGGGTGCTGATTGCACGAGAGCACTTTTGAGTGGTTTGGCTGGTGCAGAGGAAGATCTTGTATGTGTTGTCGTGTCCGAGTTTCGGGTGGATAGGTAAGTATAGCGATTGTGATCTGCTGAAGGTGTACTGGCTGTAGACATTGTGAGAGTAGGTAAGGGGGTGTTATGGATATGTTTTGGAGGCGCGTACGCCGCACGAAGGAATAGATGGAGCGTGGTGGATTGAAGGTGATGCTGCGGTAGAGATGAAGGAGGAGAAGGAGAAGGAGAAGTAGTCGCCAAGGAAAGCGTGGTCGCCCTCGATATACAGGATCACAGTAGGAAGGTGGTCCTGGTATGCTGTGAGCCGAAGCCCAAGGCTGATTGAGGCAAGCACGATTGGCCCTCGGTCATCGTCCTGCTTGAAGGGACAACCGAGATCAATGCTTCCTCTTCGACAACGCTGCATCATTGCATGTCCGTGGCGAGTTCTACAAGCACAATCCTTTAATGCAGGTTCCTCTGAAAACCAAGTCATACTCATTTCGTGACCCCATGAACTCCTCGCTAATATCATGGTATCGTCTCGCAGTCACTCCCTGCGTCTTTTGCTCTCATCGCACCCGTCGTCTCCACCACCTCGCCTAAAATCTTCACAACAAATCTCCGTCCACCCCTCCCAGCTATCTCAGCACTACCTGTTCGCAACCTTGATGATGTCCCTCTCAGCCGGGTTGTATCGTAACAGCTTCTCGATCAGGTCGACGTGCGTCAGGACCATACGACGGCAACAGTAGCGGTTCAAGCCTAGTGTGTCCATTGCGTCGCTGTGTACAACTCGTGGTTAGTTTGGGCTTTCTTGTCGCACAGCTCACTCGTTGCTGTTATCACTGGTGGAAGAGAACTCACCCATCTGACATGACCTCGCCGTCGTCCTGTGGTGTACTGATGAGTTGGACATATCGCTCATAGAGGTCGGCAATGACCTGGACAATGTTAGCTTGTGAGAGGGTGGATCGTGCGATGCTGCGGGAAGACTGACTTTGCCGCAGGAGAAGCAACGGATCGGGATGATCATCTTGGAGGTCTTTAGATCTTGTCTTCAAGGGCAACGAGCGAGTGTTGGTGACAGCGAATAATGCTTGATTGGTCGCGAACAGAGTTGGTGATTGAAAAGTGCCGCGGGTGAAAGCGGCCGCAGAATCCGCCTCGGCTCGAAAAAAGTCGCTGCATCTCGAAACAATTCACGATCTGATCGTATCGACACTTCAAACCCACTCTTTGATCTCCGACATGTCGCGAACGAATGATACTACAGGGGAGGCTGCTAGCAACAAAAAGCGAAAGGCAGACATCACAGACTCGCCCACAGTGACAGCACCAAGCTCGAAGAAAGCTCGCCGCGAGCCTGCATCGCCTGTTGTGAATGCCAGTGGCGTTTCAGTACTTGGCAAGACAACCAGACGGACATCAGTGACGCTGCCGATAACAGCAGTAGCGCAGGAGACTGGTCAAGACCTTGGCAAGGCAGACAAGAAGGCAGAAAAGAAGAAGAGACGGAAGGCCCAGCAGTCCGAGCAGAAGCCTGGCGACGATGCCTCGAACGACTCTCTTGACGGCCCTGCGGATGACTCTCGGGCACTAGCTGTACGACCAGACAACGACAACGACGACGACGACGACGACGACCATGAAGCCAAAGAACAGAAACGACAGCGTCGCACAGAGAAGAAAGCTCGTCGTGCTCTGCAAAAAGCAGATAATGCCGAAGCTCTAGGCACTGCAGACCTTGACAAGCAGCTACAGACATTGGATACGGATGCTCTTGCCTCCCGTGTGGATGCTGAGGTGCAAGTATTAGGACTCCCAGTAAGGAATTGGAGACTTTCGTCTGCGACGGGAGGGAGATATATTTCACAAGATCCTGTGTTTGCACGAGACTCGGTTACTGGAGCAGATTTCTTGATCTTGGCGACTTCGCGAGAAGTGCAGATTCTTGATCTAGAGACGTCGTTGGTCGTAAGGAGATGTGGTATTCGTGATGGACTCAAGATAAAGAACTTTGTGTTGGTGGGGACCAATATTATCCGGATTGTATGTGTAGAGGGAGAGACCTTTGAATGGGACTGGACCTCTGACTCGGCGAGCCTCAAGTCGGTCGCAATCGCGGGAAAAGGACAGACGAAAGCGATCGCTTGTTCAAGCGACGGCGAACTATGGTACCTCCAACATGCCGGCAAAAGCGACTTGATTGGCAACGCAAAGCCACAGCACATGACTGAGCGACGACTCGCCTCTCTTCTCGTGCTTGGTCAAGACAGCGCGGAGTTCATCGTGGCGCACGGAGCTACGACGGTGGTCGTTGGAATGTGCAAGGATGTCTCGAAGGAGAAGCGCGAATACATCTGGCTTGAATTACCCTTCCAGTCAACCATAACCTGCCTCGATGCACGGCTCTCTTACGATGACACGCTAGCAACAACACCGAAAGCTTCTGCTAGCAAACGTCGACCAGCACCACATCTCAGTCTAGCCATCGGTCAACCCGAAGGACAAATCCACCTCTACACCGACATGTCATCCCTCTTCGCTCTCAAATCCTCCTCTACCCCCATATCCTCCCCTGATTCACTCCCGGCTCCGCGCGTACTACACTGGCATCGCACTTCACCCTCCACCATCAAGTTCTCGCCCGATGGCAACTACCTCGTCTCCGGCGGCGCCGAGACGGTCTTAGTACTCTGGCAATTGGCGACTGGCAAGCAACAGTTCTTGCCACATCTGGGTGCTGAGGTGCAACAGCTCGGGATCAGCAAGGCGGGGGATAGGTATGCAGTCTTGTTGGGCGACAATAGTGTCATCGTTCTCAGCTCGGGTGAGCTGAAGGCCGTGGCGCAGATTGGAGGATTGCAAGTTACTGGTGCTATGTCTCCTGAATGGTCTAGGAAGGACAAGGTGGTGGAGGCGAGCGTAGAGAGGAAGTCTGTGGCAGCTATCATGCACCCTCTACACTCAACGCAGGTCTTGCTCTCGGTCCCTTCGACACAACCGAAAGCAGCGACAGAAGCCGCGCTCGCGAGACCATGGATCCAGACTTTCGACTTCCGCTCTGATCGGCATATCGGCCGCCAGGCCCTAGCGAGGACGAGTATCACGGACTTCAACCGCGGTCCCGAGGGCGAAGGGATCGTGGACCCGGATCTGGAGCTCTTGGCTGTTTGTACCTCGGATGTAGCCAACCAGGGCAAGGAGGCGTGGTTGGCTAGTGTCGATTCGTGGATGCCGAGCGAGAGGGATGTGGAGAGGTATGCTACTGAGATTGACGGAGCGAGGGAGGAGACGGGATCGGTTCATGCGCAGCGCTTGGCGAGGAGAGAGGTGTCGCTTAAGTTCTGGAGGTGGGATGAGAAGGTGCAGGTTGGTGGGGCGTGGGGGTTGAATACTAAGGTTTCTGGACCCCATGTACGGACTTCTGGGGATGCTGGTGAGGCTCTGCTGGGAGACGGGAAGGTGCTGGCTTTGCTCTCCACACCCTCTGCTTCACGAGGCGCGGGTTTCGTGACGGTCGGCGGGGACGGCGTGGTCAAATTCTGGAGGACGAAATCGAGGAAAGAGGGGGGTGTGAAATGGGTTTGCGGTCGAAGTGTCCGGCTACCAGGGATTGGCGCACAAAAGGATCGCATGGACTCGCCGTTGGCAGATGAAGAGGGTACCACTGATATCGTGGTGCATGACGAGGTCAAGAGGCCTGCCGGGACGCCGCTTCGGGCTCCGAAGGCTAATATGGCTTACTCGCAGGACTCTTCACTTCTTGTGGTCGCTTGGCATGCTCCCTCCAGACACCAGGGTATACTTCTTCACTTCATCGATGCCCAGACGGCAGCAATTCGAAGCACGAAGCCTGCCGTTCATCTTCTCGGCAGCATAGCAACTGTAGCTGATGATGGAGGAGAACATGAAATCGAGCACCTCGGTCTCCTGGATCGCCACCTCATTCTTGTCTCCGATTCTACAGCCGTAGTCTGGGATTTAGTAAGCGATGAGCTCGTACGACGTTACAGAATACCGGTGCGATCCGCCAGCAGCAAGGGCAAGGTCGCTGAGACTACAGCCACACTCCTTGAAGTTAATGCTACGGACGGCACTTTCGCGGTAGCTGTCGGCGGCGAGGTCTCTGTCTATGCGATCAACGAGAAGAAAGCGGTCTACCAAGGCGGCGGAAACTGGGATGCTGCTATTGTTACGCTGTTGCCTGGTACCGGGGGAAGGGGGTTTGTGGTTGTGTACGAGGATGCGACGACGAGGGATCTGATGGCGCCGCAGAGTTCGAGGACTACAATCAGTCTTGCCACCGGCAACGAGATTACGGTCGTTGACGAGGAGGCCGATGATGCGAATGCCATGGCTATCGACGACATCTCTTCTACGACCACCCTTGCTTTACCCACCACAGACACGCAATCTCTGGATCTCACCTCGACACTCCTCGCTCGCAAAACCGAGGACGAAGATACTGCCATGGCTAGTCTCGAACACGATCGTCCGGTCGTGCGGCCGGAACAGTTGGCTGCTATTTTCGACACGGAACATAGTCATGCTATGATGCCTGTGAAGGAGATGTTTGAGCGGGTGCTGGGGTTGTTTGTTGGGGGGCGGGTGGCTGTGGTGGGTGAGGTGGGGGCATAGAATAGAGAATTGTAGGGATGATGTGTTGCTACATTTCTGTACAGAAATCATTGCTTTGTGCATAATGCGTGGATCTCTATGATAACGACGCCCACTGTACGTTTGACAGAAATCTTTACTTCGTCTCTTCTATGCCGAGATCCTCGTCAGGATACTGGCAATTTTCCGCCGAGCAGTCCGCTAGCAGTCCGCTGCCTACCAGTCTAAGGTGTATCTTCCATCTTGCCATCAGTCTTGAAGAGCACCGCGCCTTTGCAGACTGAGACAGCATCCATTCCAAGAGGAGGCGGTATGATGGCCTACTTCTTTCCTTCCATGATAGCGCGGAAAGTCATATAGTAGCAGGAACAATGCCGGCAGATCTTCTCAAGTCTTGGCCTGCTCTCGAGCCCACGTCCAGCGATCTTTATCATCGGCGGTGTGGCAGAGTGCAGTGGCTGCTTCTCTCATCTCGATCATGGCTCTACTCGGCCGCCCAGGTCTTCATGATGTCTCATATGCAGTCATCAAAAGCGTGGTAGCCATCCTCATCGCTTCCTCGTCACCTTCGTAAACCCATCATCATCGACCTCCGGCTCCTTCTTCTCCTTCTTCTGCACAACCGCCGGAACCAGATTCGGCACCGCCTCCTCTCCAGCCGTCATATCCACATCCCCATCTCCATCCCCAAACCCATTCCATTCCTCGTCATCATCACCCACCTCCTCCTGCGGCCCATTATCCACCACCTCCACCGTCGTCTTCATGTGCCCCCGATTCCTAAACCGCCTCTCCAACTCCTTGAACGCCGCCAGCCTATCGCTCGTCCCCTCGATCTCACCCGCTAGACATCGCTTCAAGGCCCAGATATCACGTGCAGTAGCTACTTCGCTTTCATCTTCGACGTTGCAATCGAATTCGTCTTGCATGATCTGTAATAGAAACGCCTCGAGATCTTCCTGGTCCGTGTCCGGTCGTGAGGCGAGTAATTCGCTTACAGCACCCGCAAACCAATCTTTCTTGTCTGAGCTAGAGGGTCCTCCCCAGTTGTTTTGGACGGCGACGTGGAGGGCTGGCCAGAGGGAGAGGGCGTACCAGATTCCATTGTCGAAGGATTGTTGGAATTTTTCTGGTGAGGATGGGAGGGCGACTCCGCCGGTCGGGAGGGGGCAAGGGCCTGGTTGCGATTGTGCGAACATGGTCGGACTGTATCTACTGCAGCAGAACGTGTCCAAGTGAGTTATGTGGTAGGGCTAGCAGGCAGCCCAAATAAACGTTGACAATGATCTCACTTTGCGGCTTATCTTATCTATGATAGATCCCGTCTTTGATTGGTTCGCTCGTGGCCGGCGCTAGCTTTGGGGCATAAATATCAGCTGAATGATCAAGCAGTCATGAATGGAATCGATGGCCATTCTTTGGCTATTATGGATTACGGACATCCACCTCAGTAGCTCGTGTTTGCGACTAAGGGGGCAAGAGCAAAGACTGCAGACGTTCGATTTTTTCTCACAGTAGACGACATCTTGACTGGCAGACCAGCAGACATCCGAAAGGCATACTAGGACTGTGCCAGATCATCTGTCAAGGGTACGCGTTTGACACTGTCCTTCGACCGCACACTTGGCGAAAAGATACCACGAACGTATTTGAGATAGGCAAGAATGTAATGCAGTGGCCTCGTCATCCTGCTGGACACGACAATGCCCCGTCTCAACATCGCTCTCCTGTCAGGCTTTCAACGGAGATTATCGTGGCGTTCGAATTCGAAAGCATCCCACGTGCCGGATATCCAGATGGCTATACTTTGACGATCCTCCTCGCCATCTGGAGATATGCTGCCGCAGCCGCATATGTGTATGTCGAAACGCGCGACGGCAAGTATAGATCGTTGTATCAACAAAGGCGTCAGAGTTTTGCTCCTTCAGAGATCGACTTCCCGTTGACACCTTTGGACGCGCATTGACGAGGTTGAGAATAGATCGTCAGGAGTTTTGAGGAGGTGAGATGATCACCGCTTGTGTTCAGGAGGCAGAATTGTCACATATTGGGGGCGGATGGTGGCTGATTGAAAGACTGCCAGGCCGTTCTCACACGGGAAGTCCTGGCAAGGGTGCCATCGTTGACGCAGTGGCGAGTCATTACAGTCGTCCTTGGAAAAGTCACGAAAGTGCGGCGGGCCAGCAGAAGTGAAGGAACAGAGAAGAGAGATTGTGATAATGTATGCCAGTAGTCCAATTATATGTATAAAAACGAGGGCGTGATCATCATGACAAGAAAAATTTGGTATCTATCCCATGTTCCTAATCCCAACCCAACTTCAACACTAGTATGCAAGCGCAATCGCAAGTCCCAAGCAGTCCGCATCTAAAACAACCCAAGAGCAAACGGTAGCAGAGCGTGACATCCAACCTGATTAGCCAAAGGAACAATAGCCGCGAAATCACTGATACTCCATTCCCTCGGTGCAGCAACGGCAAGGTAGATCATGCCACCCATCATGGGGATAATAACAGCGTACATCCACTTGAAATCGCGAACGATTCTGTCGAGACCGATTCTGAAACCCGAGGACTCCAATTCCTTGGCTGTACTAGTCCATTCCATGTTGATGCTGAAAGCGTGGCAAGCGAGAGCTTTGAGCATGTGGAAGGAGATGCCGCCGAAAAAGAGCAAGAACATTGGGGTCCACTTGATCGTTTCCCAGAGACAAAGGAAAAAAGTTTTCTGGCCGAGTCTGTGTCGCAACATGGCGTAGGCTGTAGGTGAGAGGATGTTGAAGACAACAGCCATGCCGACGAAGATCTTCCAGGAGGTAATGTAGAACTGATCCACGTTGTCCGCGAACCAACCGACAATGAGGTAGTTGGCCAGTGTCAGCGGAATGGCAGAGGCGATGGCGTAGTAGGTGAAGATATAGGCGATGATAGTGATCTTGCTCGTAGGCTTGATGTTACTCCTCAAGAAGCGCCAGAAAAGCGGTGTTATAGGTCCACGCATGGGCCAGTAACGGAGCGGATGGAACACAAGCTCGTTGCAACCATAGGCGTATTTCTCCCATCGAGCAAGCTCGTCGTAGACAGTGAGTGAGACACCTTCCTTGAAGCCGCCGTTGTGATACGTAGCCAAGCGAACAACGAATCCTTGCATCTGGAGGCGGAGAGAGACGTCGAAATCCTCAGAGACGTGGGCATCGGACCAGTATTTCGTCATGCCGTCTTCTTCCCAGGAAACGGATTGGATGGCTTTCCAGCGGATGAAGGTGTTGTGGCCGACGAAAGGAGCGCAATCGCCACTGCCCACGGCGAATTGGATGGACGTGTAGATCAGGTTGGTGAAGTAGGTGATTCCGTTCTCGAAGACGTTATTGACGACTTGCAGAATGCCGGAGGCGTGTTGCAGGAGGGCCACTTCGGGAGATTCGTGCCTGCGGATATACTATTAGCGATGCCAGAGTCATGATGGTTCGGCGGTCAACTTACATTTCCAGAGCGCCATACAAAAGGCAGTCTTCAGGCATGCGAGTGTCGGAATCGATGATGAGGATGACTTCGCCCATGCGGACGTTACCAGCAGCCCATGTCTTGCCACCATCGGCTTCGATCTGAGATTCACGAGCCTCATCGTACAGGACCTCTTCTTCTTCGATACTGAGGTCTGCTTGAGTGCAGCCACGCTTCTCACACTCGGCAGCAATTCTGACGAGCCAGTCATCTTCGACACGGCCGGTGAAGTCAAGACAGTAGTTCATGTTGGAAGCCTTCTTGAACTTGCCCTTTCTTAGGAAGAACCTCTCGCCTTCTTCCGTGCAGTGAGGAGGTCGACTGCACCATCCAATGTTGTTCAGCTCGTAGTACGCCTGTCGGGCCTCAGCGAGCTCGGGCTTGACGAGTTGCATACCATCATCGTTGACGTAGATGGAAGCAGTACCGCCGCGCTCCTCGTAGTATCGCACGGCAGCCATGCAGGATTCGATGGTGGGCATGATGACACCTTTGAGACCTTCTTTGTAGACAGGCATTTCGATCGTGACGTGTGGGAGCTCGTAGTCCTTGTAGCGACCAGGCTTGGGGGCTTTGGCGGAGTAGTACATGCTGTTCTCCTGAACAGCAGACAATGGGCCGAAGAGCTGGAAGAGTGAACCAGTAATGACAATCATGAAGAAGAGCGAGAAGCAGGAGAACATCGGGACCGTGGCCAGGAGAGCGAAGCGAAGATAGCTGCCGTCCAGTCTGACTTCGGTAAGGAGCTTGGCTATACAAGCCATTTCGACAATGACGACGAGTACCATGGCAAACCCGATACACAGCGCGTGCACGAGCAGGAAGGGACGCTTAGGTGCCTCCTTTCCATCTCGTTCTGGGTCGTATGCCTTGTCGCCCTCCTCTTCCCGAGCAATGGCGGACTTGATAACGTCGTATTTCTCGTTGTATGCCGGATCGCTGTATGAGCTTGGTGTGAAGCCAGCCATCGGCGTGCCATGCATTGTGTCCGGCGGTGCATGCATCGAGGTTCGTGCGCCGAAGGGGCTTGAGTTGCGTGGGGAAGCACTGGCTTGCGGTGCTGGCTGACCCCATACGAGACCGACGAGCCATGTCTCGATGTCGGTACCTTGGGCAAGGATGGACTCGACTGTGCTGCCCCAGACGAGCACGAACTGTTCTCGTTTGCAGAGACAGATGAAGCCGTCTCTTGGTACGCTGACTCGACCAGATGCCAAGCTCTCCACGGATTCAACGATGGGTAACGTGATGCCAGATCGAGGGTCACCATATTGGGTCTGGTCAGGGGTGACTTGTCGTAGCAGAGTATGAGTGACTTCGGAGGACATGGTGAAGGCAATGGGTACGTCCAGGCGTAGTACGGCCTCCACTACCTGCTCATTGAGCTGGTTTGGGTAGGCAGCATAGCCGCCATCGTCTCGTTGAAGGACAACGCCTCGGTCGACGCCCAGACTTTGGATCTGGTTGCCCATGTCGTCTTCCATAGGCTCAAGCCATTGGTGGTTGTTGACCTGCTTGTATAGGTCTGACTTCCAATTAGTCGACTGTAATGACATGTAGAATTTGACAGGCACTCACACTTGGCCATGACCCCATGACGGCCATTTCGAATGTCCGCCGAGTTCACACTGGAAGCAGAGCTTCTGTTTGTGAACACAGGTCTCGGGTATTGCACACCAGGAGCGAAGTTCTGCTCGAAGGGAGAACCTCCACCTCCATATCCGGAGTTGCCAGCCATAGCGGGGAGCAGGCACTTCGATATGGTGTGAAGCTGTGAGAAGTGAAGTTGAAGAAAAAGCTGTGCGATTCACATCGATCACCCACGCGAGAGGATCGTCGAGATATCAGCCCAGCACGAGAGCTCGCCAACGCTCCCAGACGCCGCTGATCAAGCGGCTGGACGCATGGACAGCGAAGTCAAACGAGGCCATTCCCACCGTACTCCAAAACAACCTGGATAGCATGCTCGGGTGGGACTGTTCTGGAGCCATGGCACGCATGGACTTCCTGATACCGAGACGGTGTGCCAAATTTGTTAGCTGCTGAGTCTTGTGGCGCCGGTTGGCCACCAGGGTCGCCTTCATCCTGGTAGCGATAGGGTACCTAAACGCTTGATGAGCAGGTGCGGCGGCTTGCCAGATGGAGGTGCTCAGTACGAAACAGGCTACTAACGTAGATGAACAGACCACATGTGGCGGTCTGGGCAAGCTGGTCGTTGCCGCTTCGGGTGTCGTTAGGAAGTCTCCCAAATTACGAGCATAAGCTATACAGCAGGATCAGAACCTTAAAGCATGGACTTCAGCCGGGAGGTGTGCACATGGCGCGGAACTCTCCGGGCTTGCTTTCGTACAGTGATGGTAAACACTGTGACTGGAGGGGTGTCACGACGGAGTATAGCAGTGTCTCTCATGAGCGAGACTTTCCAGCAAGCGAACCATAACAATGAGCAGTACCAGAACGAGGTTGTCGCGTGGCATGCACTTGACACTGTCGTCTCTAGCTTGACGGGCCTAGTTGCCGCATCAGCGCATGGCATGCCGAAGATACGACATCGCGGCTTGCTGACGGGACATGTGCTGGACGGCTCGCTTCATCACGATGGCCCGAATAGAGTTGCCATTAATATCGCCTGCGTGAAGTTGAGGTGCTATCGCTGCACGACCTATGCAGCAATCATCGATTGGCACCAGGGGCAATCACGAAAAAGTTCGAGTCCCGATCTAAGGTGCTGCAGGCGCGGTACTTTTCGTGCTGGGTTCTCCAGCTTTGTGCACGGCACGAAAGGAGAGAGTTCTCAGAAAGGGAGAGAGGAGCGGCTTTGTGGCCTTTGCGTTAGGGTTCAGCCACAACTCTAATACTACCTTCCTCTTGCTCTCTCTAGCTGGGCGTCCCGTGGATCGACTGCGAAACTCAGTGTGTTTATCGACCAACGAGGTCGACCGTGTGCCTGGCACTATCCACTGGTTGCAGATAACCTGCATGACGGCCATTACGTTATCTGAGCTTCACGCTAGCGGTCGTGTGCCATTTTTGGGCGTCTGCGGCGACAATAGATCGTTTCGGCGTGATCTCGATACTCATCCAGGATGCTGAGAGTAGCAAGGAGAGATCGGCTTGGCTATCGCTTAATCCGGTGGGCGATATGGCAAAGTCAGTTGAGGGAGCCGCCGCGATTGCACGTGCAGACAGCCGGGATAGAAGAGGCTCCCTCGTTGGTAAGCTCAAAACCACCTCTAGTCTGAACAGTTGGGTCCTCCACAACGACTCGTCACCCTCGTCTGGGCATACATAGCTCCCTGCTACAGCTGCCAGATCTACGCCTTTGACATTTGTCATATCTTGAGTCCTACTCTTTTCACACGGACGTTAACCCAGACAATTATATCCACAATGGGTCTCTTCGGCAAGAAGAAGAAGGTCGCTGCGAAGACCGCCCCTGCAACTGGAGATGGCACAGAGATGGAGACTGGCACTTCAACACCAGTAGGCTTCCAAGCAAATCCTTTCGCAACTCCTCAATTCAGCAGAGCTACGACACAAGAAAAGGGCGAGTTCACCGGATATTTTCCGCCAGTTCAGACTCGAGCCTATGCCGCAAGGAGACGAAAGTTCCAAAGCAGTCGACTGCAGCCTGGAGAGTACGACGAGAAGCCTTGGATGCTCGGTAAAGAAGATCCTAACTTCAAGCGAAAACGAGCTGAGCGAATCATCTTCTGGAGTTGCATCGCAGCTGGTGTTGTGATTGGTGCAGCAATCTGTGCTCTTAGCTACATCAATGTCTCCACAGGCACTGTGAGTAAAATCGCAGCCTTAGTTCTTCTTCTCATGCTGATTCGTGACAGTTCTGCCCGTTCCTTGAGGACGACTTTCACACCATCGATGAGAACACCTGGAGCTACGAAATTCAGCGAGGTGGCTTTGGCACAGGCTCTTTTGAATGGACTACCAACGACCCCAAGAATGCGTACACTGACGCCGAAGGTCTTCACATCGTTCCAACTCTGACTACCGAGACGACGGACATCTCACCTGCTCAGATTCTCGATGGCTACGTTCTGAACCTCACCACGGCTCACACATGTACCTCCGACGACTATACGATGTGCTCAGTGCGAAGCAATGTGACCGCTGGCACAATCGTGAACCCAGTGCGAAGCGCGCGACTGATCACAAAGGGAAAGAAGAGTCTCAAGTACGGTCGCGTGGAGGTCATGGCCAAGATGCCACAAGGTGACTGGCTGTGGCCTGCAATCTGGATGATGCCAGAGTCCAGTGTCTACGGAAGCTGGCCACAGTCTGGAGAAATCGACATTGCCGAGACCAAAGGCAACAGCCCTGTCAACTATACAAACGGTCGCGATGCCATGTATTCGACGCTTCACTGGGGCCCGTCATCAGCTACTGATGCGTTCTGGAGGACGTCTGGAAAGCACGTCCTGAAAAGAGTGAGTCTAGAGAGGACATCTACAAATCCATGACACAATGCTAACTGTTTCTAGTCTGACTATTCCTCGGCTTTTCATCTTTATGGCCTGGAATGGACTAGCAAATATCTTTTCATGTACATCGACAGCAGATTGCTTCAAGTATTCTTCCTGAAGTTCGACAATGGACCCAAGAGCATGTGGAACCGTGGAAAGTGAGTGAATCCATACACTTCACATTCCACTTGCAATAATACTGACATTCATACCAGGTTTGGCGAGACGATTGTCAACAAGTCTGCGTTGGCAGATCCGTGGTCGCAGACTGGCCAGGACAATACACCCTTCGACCAGAACTTCTACCTCATCCTCAACGTTGCTGTTGGTGGTACGAACGGTTACTTCGAAGATGGCAAGGGCAACAAGCCATGGGGCGATGCTTCGCTCAATGCACCCAAGGAGTTCTGGAGTGCCAGCCCTATCTGGCTACCCACGTGGGGCAAGGGCGATGCTCGCGGAATGACGGTCAAGAGCGTGAAGATGTACAAGGAGGGTGCATGTTAATTCCTGGGTGCATATTATTGGCATGGCATGATCGGCGTTATGTTTTGGGGCGGACGGGTTCTAGATACATCGCGATACCACAGGCCGGGGCGTTACGATACATGCGCAAGATACATCTGTTCAAACTACAACTTACATGTCGAACTCGAGCCAAACATAGACAATGGTACATTCGAACGACTTTCGTGCTGATGGATGCACATCGATTAATTAATGTAGGGGCGATGCTCTCTGTGGACACGCCGCCCAGGCTTCTCACGGCCGCCCACCCTCGCTACGGCACAATAGACGGTCCTGCCCCACCATGGTCACTGCCCGTGCCGGTGGGAGAGGGTGCAGCTGCATGGTGGAGGATATTTTTGGAGAGATCGAGAATCCCGTGTCTATATATCTAATAGATTGCTCGTAATGAATGATCTGCCACTATCAACTTTTCTGCAGCCACTGCAGGGTTGCAGCTCCTCGTGGCAACGGTGTGCTCCCCTTGCGTGCATCTCCCGGACTCGTCTTTCGGCGCCTGCATCTGCTATCGAAAACTCGCATGCCACTACGACTTTGCCTCGCTGGGTCTGGGTATGTGTCGTAAGGCGATCATTGTGGTGGTGGCAAGCATGCATCTGCATGCTGCTCGTGTGACACTTCTCATCTTGCCGCTTGTGGCGCAGGCTCAGCTGAAATGTCCACAACTCGGTACCGTCCCGAACTCAAACCGCGCTCGTGGCAACCTCGCGACCTGTCTCAGCGAACAGACCTGCATGCGGCAGACCCTGGTTCCTCTTTTGACCCGAGTCTGCCCAGCAAGGATAAGGAGCTCGGGCAAAACCAGAAACCCACTCTGGAACGGACCCCGCAAGAGGCTAGTGCAACGTGGCATTCGCCTGCAGAGAAGCTTGTTCGGCGCCATGTCATCTCCTTGACTCAAACCTTCCCGATATTATTCGACCTCACGTCGCGCGTATGCTGCATGCCGTATATTGACATTCTTTTCTTAGCATACCATTAGGCGAGACGCTCGGCATGCCAACGTTCCTTGCTCTCCAGTTGTCGATCCGAAAGGTTCCAGGCCGCATCGAGTCAACGGCGCCTTTCTCAACACACTGGGACTCGTCCAGAACTCGTATCTTGGCTTTACCACTCAAGTGAAGCTGAGCCTGTCACATGAGGCTTGTGATGGTAGCGACAGTAGACCCTTCTGGGCTGACAACGCTACCGCACGTTGCAGTCTGGAGCTCACTTCCACCTCTATACGCGGCCCTACGCCTGTAGCGGTCCAACCGTCAGCCGTCTAGTCCGCGAGCTCACCATGCGGACAGACTCTGTTATGCCGTCTCACTGGTGGAAGCTCTGATACCCGGGGCCATGCCGAACCCTGAGTAGTAGTCAGGCCATGTCTTGCTGTCGAGATGTCTTGAAGATCGCATCGTCCTTGACCACACTGCATAACGTTTGCGATCTCACTTTTGTATTACCGCGATTCTTTCTTCTCGCACTCGTTTTCTTTCCATTCATCAATACCGCAAACAACATGACGAGACCTTTGGTCTTTTGGACTACATTCTTACTCTCGCTACTCCACACTACTTCAACTAATGCATATTTGATCAAACGCGATGTATCTCCTGCTTCAAATCTCACCTTACCGGCGAATTGGACATATGTGGGATGCTGGAATGACACACAAGGCGATCGCACACTTTCAGGCGCGTTTACCGCCGATTCGAAGAACATGAATGCGACTGCCTGCATCACATACTGCAGCAGCAAGAATTTTGTGTACGCTGGAACAGAGTATGGGGACGAGTGCTTTTGCGGCAATTTATTGGGTGCGGCGTCAACCCTGCAGTCAGATTCCACCTGCAGCATGGGATGCGCATACAATAGCTCCGAAGCTTGTGGAGCTGGAAACGAGCTTACAATATACTACGCAAATAAGCCGGCTCCTCAAGGTCCAATCACGAACCCTGGTCCGCCTGGATGGACATCAATGGGTTGCTGGACTGATGGCGGCGCGAGAACCCTTGGTCATGGGGTAAGCGTCGGGGGTGGCCAGAGCAATATGAGTGTCTTGGCCTGTACAGCAGCTTGCGATGCAGCGGGCTACTCTATAGCGGGTGTGGAATACGCTTCTGAGTGGTATGTGAAGGATGCAAGGATTTATATGAAAGTGCTGACATACTGCAGCTATTGTGATAATTATGTCTCAAGCTCGGCCACCAATGCCTCTATCACCGATTGCAACATGCCATGCAACGGCAATGGAAGCGAGTTCTGTGGCGCAGCTAACCGACTAGATCTGTACACTGCTGGCAATACGAATGCGACGCCGAAACCTGTGACCGTCACGCCGCCTCCTCCAGGCGGTTGGTTCTCGATAGGCTGTTACAGTGACTCTTCAAGCGCTCGCTCGCTATCCGTTCCGACTTACATTCAAGTGCCGATGACAATTGAGGCCTGCACGAACGCTTGTTCAACTGCTGGCTATACAATTGCCGGATTGGAATACGCTGGGCAGTGTTTCTGTGACAACTCATTGCAGAACTCTGCTGCACTGGTTACCGACGGACGGTGTAACATGGAGTGTAACGGCAACAGTAACGAGATTTGCGGCGGACCTAATGGACTGAGCGTGTATCAATTGACTGGTTGGTACAGCCAAGGTTGCTGGAACGACACCGTTGGAGATCGGACTCTCAATCATCAGCAGTATGGTCTCCCGTCCATGACTGTCGAGGTTTGCACAGCGGCATGCAAAAAGGCTGGCTACACACTGGCTGGTATGGAGTATGCCGGAGAGTGCTACTGTGACAGTGCTCCCATGAACTATGGCGGCCCAGCCATCGATGGTAATGTTGGTTGTAACATGGCTTGTGCAGGCAACGCCAACGAGATGTGCGGTGGACCTGGTAGACTGAACGTCTATCAATTCAACTCCACTGGACTACCCGTGGTTACGACGACCTCTTCCGCGCCTGGTACGACCCCTACTGGTGGCAATGGTGGATCTACCGCCCTGCCAACACCGTCCTCCTCCGTTAATGCCTCCGCAATTGCTCCTTTCAAGTATCAAGGCTGCTATACTGAGGGCAATGGAGGACGGGCCTTTGCAAATCAGCAGCCGGATAATAGTACAATGACCGTCGAGTCCTGTATTTCGCTGTGCAGCAGCCAGGGGTACACAGTGGCGGGCATGGAGTACGCAGATCAGTGTTTCTGCGACAACTTCATCCGCTACAATGCCTCTCGTGTGACCGACTCGCAGTGTAACATGGGATGTGCTGGTAACTCTGGAGAGATGTGCGGAGCTGGCAGTATCCTGAGCGTCTACTCCGTTGGCAACTTGACTGACTACACTGATGCAACGATTCTCAAGACCAACCTTCCGGGCAGCTGGCAATATGCCGGCTGCTTGACCGATGCTGATGGTACACGCTCACTGGCTTACCAGATCGTCTCACAGTTCAACAACACGAACGAGGCCTGCTTGGCTCAATGCCAAAAGTTCGGCTACAATGCTGCCGGAACTGAATATGGACAGCAGTGCTTCTGTGGCGACATTCAGAATGTCATCAATGCCGGTGCCACCATCCGACCAGACTCCGAGTGCAACATGGTCTGCTCAAATGACACTGGAAAGAACGGTGGGCATTACTGTGGTGGACCATCTCGCCTCTCCTACTACACCTGGGACGAGTCCAATCCACTGTACAGCTGGAATTTCGCTTCTGGCAATGATGCTGGTGCCTACGAATTCCTGATTGGCGGTGTCACGATCCCACTCGTCACCTCTCCAGCTCGCAACGGCAAGGTGACATATATGGAGAAGTTCGGCACATCGCCAGCTAACAACGGCACTGGCGCTTATGAATTGGATCTGAGCATGATCAACAACTTCACCGCAGCGTGGCGACCTATGCACGTCAAGTCCGACGTTTTCTGCTCCGCCTCACTTACACTGCCTGACAAAGTCGGTCGCCAGATCAATATTGGTGGTTGGGCGAATGATGCAACGTACGGTGTCCGACTCTACTGGCCTGACGGTAAGCCTGGTGTCTGGGGAGTCAACGACTGGGAAGAGAATGTTGCCGAGGTCTCTCTCATCGATGGCCGCTGGTATCCCACCGCCATGACTATGGCCAATGGATCAATCCTGGTCATGGGTGGGGAGAAGGGCTCGAATGGTGCGGCAGTGCCTACTCTTGAGGTTCTGCCCAGCCCATCTGGAGCGACACAATACTGCGACTACCTCGACCGCACCGACCCATACAATCTATATCCTTTCCTTGCTGTACTTCCTTCTGGTGGGATACTGATCGCCTACTACAACGAGGCACGAATCCTAGACCCAGTCTCTCTCAACACCAAATCAGTCTTGCCTAACATCCCAGGCGCTGTCAACGACTTCGATGGAGGGCGCACATATCCATTCGAAGGCACTGCCATGATTTTGCCACAACACGCACCGTACAGCGACTACATGCGAGTGATCATCTGTGGTGGGTCCGTCCCAGGACCAGAAATCGCACTTGATAATTGCGTTTCCATTGCACCTGACCAGCCGAATGCCAACTGGACGATCGAGCGCATGCCCAGCAAGCGTGTTATCACTTGCATGACAGCTCTTCCAGACGGCACGTACCTCATCCTCAATGGCGCCCAACAGGGTCGTGCGGGCTTTGGTCTTGCCACGCAGCCAAACTACAACGCCGTGCTGTACGACCCGAGCAAGCCCGTAAACTTCCGCATGACAGTCATGGCCAACACGACTGTCGCTCGCCTCTACCACTCCGAAGCTGTACTCCTCGACGATGGTCGTGTTCTCGTGTCTGGCTCAGATCCAGAAGACGTGCGGTCTTTCGCACCACAGGAATACAGAAACGAGGCTTTCATCCCACCATATCTGATGGCCGGCGCACCTCGTCCATCCTTCAACCTATCGAACCTCGACTGGTCGTATGGCCAACAGGTCAGCTTCAGCATAACTCCATCCGGTGCATCGTCAACGAGCAACTACCGCGTCAGTCTCATCGGCGCGGTATCGAGTACGCACGGCAACAGCATGGGACAGCGGACGATCTTCCCTGCCACCACCTGCAGTGGGTCGACATGTACCGTCACCGCGCCACCAAACGCGAACGTGGCACCACCGTCATGGCACCAGATGTTCTTGCTCGATGGCAATAATATCCCGTCGCATGCAACGTGGATCAGGATAGGAGGTGATCCTGGTGCTTTGGGCAACTGGCCGCAGTTTGACGACTTCACTGTCCCTGGTATGGGTGCTGTGGAGCCGATATTGTAGGCTTTGCGTGCACTTCTGCATGTGGTGTGCATGTAGGGAGGGTTTACTTGGATCAAGGATTCATCGCACGATACCCATGGCTTTCTTTCCTTTGCTTGGTTTCTTGACTTGCCTTTTAGCGATGTGTTTTCCCTTCTTGGTAGATAGAAGTGTAATGTGTTCTTCTGCATAAGAGGTGATCAAGCCAGTTCTTTATGCACCTCGTTTCAACGTCTGCTCTAGATATCGGCGGAGAAAGTGTGTCCATGTTGATTGAAGTGGTATTGTACAGCGATGCGTTCAATTTTCTCGTCGTCTGCCATCCTGTCAATGCCACGAGTATGCTCCTTTGGCATGTGCCTCCATGCGATTCATTCCTCCCGATATTGTACAGACGCCTCCTGCATGCAGCCCGCTCACGCCGAATGCTATCTTACACTACCCTGCCCTCTCACACATCATCTAGAGTCTGCGACATTCATCAGTATCTGCTCGTGTGCTATACACTCTCAATGATCTTCCTTACGGAGGAAGCAGAATCTCGCTCCAACTGCTGTGAAGGAATGCTACGCCGGCCTGCCAACATCATCAGTACTCCATACTTGTACAAATGACTGTTCCTTCTTAGCTATCTCACCGCGAAGAATCCAATGGAGGTGACTACACTCCTGTTCTCCGGGCTTGTGAGCTCGTTGTAGACCTGGAGAGCATAACCTCCTCTTTGCTGTGGTCGGCCAACACCTGTACCGCCGATTGCGCGCTTGGGAGGCATGATTGTCGCTGAGATGTTTTCGAGTAATGGGTTGACTGATGTGTGCGGATGGGTGTGAGATATGACACAATATTTCGAAAGACGTGATGACGGACCAGAGATGAGCTTCTAGATGTGCTTGCGAGACTCCCGGATCGCCGCCTCCGGTACGAGATGTACGCACTATGGAAAGGGAGCGCCTTTACTTCCTCGCACTTGTTGCCAACGACTACTTTACGATCATGTTACATACCAGAGTACGTTGATGAACATCTCCCGACACCATCTCGTTAAGCTTACTGCTTGGTGCAATGCTGGCAACGATTGAGTACGTCGTCTGGGTCATGGCCCGGCTAGATTTCGGCCCTCGCGATGAGGTGATATAGTATCTTGAGTGTCAAATTGCGCTGAAACATGCGTAATGATTCATTGTCGCCCGCTTGGCTTAGTGGTGTAAGTGAGATGTAGTGGAATGAATGTATTCAACGTGTCTGACATCTGATAGACAGCGTGTCACTCGTAAAGAAATCATCCGGATCGGGGCTGGATGACAGATATGACAAGATCCACGGTTCGATTCCGTGAGTGGGCATCATTGTTTTGCGGCTTTCATTTTTGTCAATTGCACTCCAAATGATAGAGATATGGTCGACTGAAGTCCTCGAGAACATAATGGTGATATCGACTTCCTTTTTGTTCAATCACTTTTTGGAGCCCACTTTGCGCACACGCACTCTTGCACTTTGCCTCACACCCTTCCACGAGCGTTCACGACTAGACACCGGTCCCCTTATGATGCGTCTAAACGGCCGGGCAGCAAAGGGAACGAAATGTAACATCGACCGGAGCAAAGTTTTCGCGCCACACGGCTGAGTCGTGGAAACAAAGGCTAAGAAGCAGATATCAGCATTGCCTAAGATCAATCATAGTGCTACATTCCGATGATACTTGCTGCCATTCGTCAGCTAAGCGTGCCAGCTGCACCTCACGACCTACGACCCGCATGACCTTGGGCTGTTTTGGGGGCAGGCTACCAGCCTGTCCGGCGTTATACTGCGTCCCCAGCCCTACATCCCTTTCGTCTTTCTGTCCAGGAGCGATGTTGCTCATGCGTTCGGACACTGGCTCTGCCGCAAAGCTATTGTTTCGACAATTGGACACTAACTCACCATAGCCTACATCGTAGCTACACGCTCCGGGGCGGCTATTTTCGTCAGCAGGTCATATCGGCGTGTTTAATATCATTTGTCCCTCTTCTCACTACTCGAGGTGTACGATCAGGTTCTCGGCTGAAGTAACGAGCATGGCCTCCAGCCATGACGACGACGACCGCCTACAAGCCGGTGGTGAAGCATCGATGAGTGGTGGATCCACGATACTCATGGGAAGCATCGACCTGAGGGCGCTTTGGGAGAGCATGACACGAACTGGCAGGAAACACGAACGCTCGCCGACACGGGGAGCGACACGGGGAGCAGAATGGGCAGCGACAACACTACCAGTGCGATATTTGGCCTCGAAGCAGTCCCCCGTGCTCCGCCCAGTCCAAAAGCTGTACGCTTTCGACTCAGCGAAAGCCGACCACTTACTCAAGCAGAAGCCTGGTCGCTATACCACTTCGAGAAGCACGCACATGGCTGCCGTGCTTGTAACAACCCATTGGACGGCCAACGCGAGGGCCGACGATTGTGCGAAGCTGGCTGTTCATTAGCTCAAGATGTCGCTAGCTACGTGTACCGATTGGATGGTGTAACCTACAGTCGTATGCGGAACAACCATGTGTTGGTGCAGCTCGAGATGCCTGCTGGTTATACGCATGTTCCTCAACTTCTACAGTCCACGGACCATGCGCCACGAGCACATCGCATGACTATACCCATAACAACAGAGATGGAAATTCGGTCCTTGGCGTCTGAGCACTCTGAGCCAGAGGCTGCCGGAGGAGTCTATGGCTTAGCACACCACACCAGGACTTATCCGACCACATTGGACTACACAAGCAATAATACCACGTTGTTAAGGCCACCCCCCCACGAGCAGACTGGGAGTATGCCGTAGAACGAGTCCCTATTTGATGCACCTGCCAGTGACGGACCCTCAGCTGTTGTGGTCGACGGTGAAGAAGCTAAATCAGAAAAAGATTATCTGGAAGGAATTGAGGGCAGGACACCCGATAACCTCCAGCACGCAGCAAGGCTCGAAGCTTCTAAGACAAGCCACTGCCAACAGCAGATTCCATCATACTTACCTTATGTACTACAGTACTGTCAAGAACAGTGAGAGGCATCGTCAGACTCCAGACCGGATCGCTATTGCGCGATCAATGGCAACGACGTAGCTAGCCGATGTCGTGATCGCAAGGGACGCTCGTTGGATCTTTCGTGAGCCCGTGGCTTTGCATCTTGGAACATGCTTTTTGGCCCCGCGGCGAGATCTGACGATCGAGGGCATCCAGTGACAATTTCATGGCAGTCCGAAGCGCCGAGCAACAGGCAGTGGCTCCCGGTCCATAAGGTACTGTTGAAGGAAGTTGATGAAGAAGTGAGGTGAAGTGGAGAAAGCCGGACACGTAATTGCCGATCCCTCAAAAGTAATAGCGCGTATACTATTGTGAGTGCATGTATCCTGTGGTACATCAAAACAACCCGCAACAGGTATACCATACACAAGTTCTAATCCTTCGCATCGCAGCCCCAATGCCCACCGACCCACTCCTCAATAACACTCGTCATCGTCTGTCCCCTCAGCGCCGACTTCGTCTGCCCCTTCTCATACTTCTGCCCCAGATACCGCAACGCAAGCAGAACCCAATCCTGTATGAACTCGTTATACACCAGATCAAGCTTGTCCGGCTCCTCGCCCTGAGTTTCTAGCACAGTGGTTGCCGAGAATCCGATGTTCGAGGCGATGCAGTTTGGTACGTCGTAGAATTGTATAGCTTGATGGATGGTATCATCGCCGTCTGAGCCGGCATCGTCGACGGTCGTGTAGCCAGGTAGTGATGGCTTGTCTGCGAGGGGAATTTGCTGGTCGCTGCTAGCAATATGCACCTGATTTCTACTCAAAGTCTGCGCATTAACAGGCGCAAGTGGCGGCAGCAGATCTTTCAGCCGATGCTCCTCGCCACCATACATAGCCGCCAGATCCTCGAGCAAGATTTGTCCCTGATTGTTCAAGAGCTGTAGTAGTTGCGTAGCAGCGCCGTACGGGACATCCTTGATCATGCGGAAGCCGCTTGTGAACGGGGACACTAGGAAAGTGCTATCGGTCGTAAAGGGTCCTTTGAAGATATCGAAGCGCATGGCACCGCTGTTGGTGATCACGATGCTCGGCCTGTCTAATGAGTGATTGAAGGTGTCCGGGATGACTTGCGTGTCCAGCAGTGTGAGCAAGCTGTCCTCTGCCGGGTACGGCGCACGATTGAGCCAGTAATCTCTCGGTGCGCAGCCAAAGGTGTGATCAAGTTTCAGCTGTTTCCTCGCCGAGCGAATAGCCTGCGAAACATTCTTCCCGAGATCCGTCCCGAAAGTCGTCTTGTTCGTGCCCGAGTGGTGTTGCAGCGAGTACAGATTATTGTCAATGTACATCCTCCTGAACTCCGGAGACGCCATCGCACCAACACCCCTCTTGCCTGTGCTCAATCCATCGATCGACAGGAACCCAAGCGTCTCCATGTATCGTCCACTCTCAATGCCAAAAGCCTTCTTGTCATACTTTCGATAATCTCGGATATGCGTATGACCTCCGAACAAGGCGATGGGTGTATCCCATGCCACGCCACGAATAGCTTTGTAGACGAGATCGTATTCTTCGCTGTCTCGGACAGGAACGTGGCCGGCTACGAGGAAGAGATCGATGTCTTTTGTGCGGATGGCATCTTGGAACCACGGTTCTTTTACCGTCTCCTGAACTGGCTGAACGACCGTGTTGTTTGCGTTGCCGTGGAAGTTGAATAGGAACCCGAAAGCCAAAACACGGATCTGCTGGTTCTTGGTCGTGAACCTGCGGTATCGAGGCGCAAGTGGTTGCAATTTGCCGGAAGAAGGATTGTATACATCGAGGTTCGAAGCAATGTAGCTATCCTTGAAATCCGGCACTACCTCATCAAATTCCCGTCGACTAGTATTGGCGATATAAAGCTCATGGTTACCTGGCGTTATGACATCGATGTGTTGATGCTTGAGGATATCGAACGTGTATTTGCCCTTTGGTGAAGAAGCATCATATAGGCCATTCCCTTCCACGCGATCGCCTGTATCTACTAAAAGGAGGTCGGATCCTTCATCGTCTGCTCGTTTGCGGAGGTGGTGGGCGAAGGAGATATAATCTCCCCAGTCTCCAGAGTATTGGGCTTCTTGAAGGTGGCCAGCGTGCCAGCCGTGGGTGTCTGTTGTGTGGAGGACTGGAACAAGACTTAGAAGAGTTGTACATTATTTGGTCTGGGCATCACATACAATTCACTTGTTTACTCCAGGGTAGCTCACGAAGTGGAGCACTAATGGGCTGGGGAGCTGATGGCTGTTCCGACGAGGCGAGACGCAGAAAGAACAGTAGGAGTGGTATACGTGCGAACGACATGGTTGCATCTAGCCCGTCTACCAAGATGGAGACGGAAGCAAGAGAGGTGTAGAGAGTAGGGTCGAGCGGCTGGTCATGCATCTGGTGCCTGGCGCTTGCATGTGCCGACGTCAGAAAGCTGGGGAAAGCAAAGCAAGCTTGGACCAGCTTGCGATTGACGAACTTCTTCCTTGAGCCTGTCGCATGATCAGATCAAGCATATCAGCATATCACTATCTTCACCCTCTAACACCACCACCATGTCCTCACCTGCGCGAAGCCGTTCGCGCTCCGCTCCACCCCCCGACAACGACGTAGAAATGGACACCGCCGCCCTCCCCACCAACGGCGACCGCTCACCCTCCCGCACACCCAGCAACCACAGCCGCACACCACGCAGTCGAAGTCGCGGACGCAGCTACACCCGCTCCCACAGCAGAAGCAACAACAACAACAGCCGCTCCCGCTCACCCTCCCACCCCCGAAGCGCCAAGATAGTCATCGAGAAGCTCACCAAAAACGTCAATTCAGCCCACCTCCGCGAAATCTTCAGCACCTACGGACCCATATCCGAATTGGAGATGCCACTGAACCCGCAGTTCATGATGAACAAAGGCATCGCGTATATTCTATATCAGAATGCGAGTTTTGCGGAGAATGCCATCGCGCATATGCATGAGGCGCAGTTGGATGGGGCGGTGATTAATGTTAGTATTGTGCTTCCACGCCGACGCTTCTCCAGGAGTCCGCCTATGAAACGACCACCGCCTGATCGGTTTGGGGAGCCGCATCGTTTGAGGCAGCAGGGTGGACCACCGGGGCGAGGAGGTCCGATGAGCGGGAGAGGTGATCGAGCTTTTGGGGGTGGTGGAAGGGGCCCACTGCCTCGAGCTTCTCCGGGGTATGGTGGTGGAGGGAGACGGTCGTCGCCGCCGAGGTATGGAGGGGGACGAGGTGGTGGCGGAGGAGGAGGAGGGGGAGGAGGGTACAGGGATCGATATGACGAGAGGGATGGCTATCATGGCCGCAGTCCGCCGCCGAGGAGGAGAAGGAGTCCGAGTTATGATAGTAGAAGTAGGAGTCCGAGTCGGGGTAGTCGATCGCCGCCGCCTAGAAGGAGAGGTTATACGTCGCCGCCGAGACGGGGTGGACGTGGTGGAGGAGGTGGGGGTGGGAGAAGGAGGAGTCCGAGTTATGATAGTCATAGTAGTCGGAGTAGAAGTCGGAGCAGGGAGCGTGGTGGGAGGAGGCGGTGAGAGCATAGTTGAACGTGGCATGATTAACCAAGAAAGAATTGTGCATTACGAAGGATTTCGCAGATCGCCAAGACACGCGTCGTTACAGCTGTGGATGGTTGACACTGCTGTCACCTGTGAAGAAGAGTGCGAAGGGTCAGCACATAGTAAAACATCAGCTACAACGTAGCCTGCAGCTAAACACGATTCTGCCGGAACTGTCAAAAGATCCAGCCACACGACAATGCTGTGGTGAGAAGGATGAGGATTGTCAGTGTCAAGCCTGACTGCATCCAACCGTCCAGTGCAGCAACAGAGGTTTCAAGCGATGCACCTGTACATAATGCAGTGTTCTCAGGCACGAATCATCAATTCTGCCGTAATCATTCGTCTCATAACGTCCCATATGCACAGAACTCAGAAGCCTTCTATCCAGCCTCATATGCAGCAGCGCAACCCCATCCATGAAGATTCGCTGTCTGACCTCGCTTTCTCGCACCTCGTTCACATGCTTCAGAATTTACGGTTCTTGCCTTCACGCCATCCTCTTGTCTAATACCCCACTTTGATCAGGTAGTCGGCCAGCTGCTCCACGGTATTCGCTGCGACGCCCGGTTGGACTGTTTCGGGGTAGTGTGTGACGAGGAGGGCTTGGGTGGTTTTGACGATTACGACGCCTTCTCGGCCCTGCCATTCCAGATTGTCAGTCTCGTTGCCAGCTTCATGATAAAAGTGATGATCGCATGTCAAGCAACTCTCTCCCACGAGCAAAAGCACCACATATCCTGCTCACGATTCTCTTTCTCTTCTTCTCTTCTCTCCTGCTATCCCAGCCATCCACTGCACGTGCCCATGCCCACCATCCTTCGACATCCCAAACTCCCCAGCTCGCCAAGACAGGAAACGAAATGCACGAACTCACCTTCTTCCCATAAATACTCCTATCATCCGCCTTCAACACCACGAACCGCTCCCCCGCAATATGCAACCCGGAGCTCTGCACACTCTTGACCCCATCCTTTCCTGGGTCCTTGTAGGCCGCGACCACTTCTTCCATTTCTTTGGGAGAGACCTTGAAGTTGGCCGAGGTGGCCCAGACGCTGTTGCCTTCGGTGTTGAAGATGGCGGCGCGGTCGACGTTGTTGGTGCCTACTAGGCTGTGTAAGGTGTCAGTGAATGGGGGGGTGGTGGGAAGGCGGAGTAGTGATAGGGGGAGGGTTGGAGATACCTAGTGTCTATGTAGGCTGTCTCATTTATCAGCAATCTGGTCGTCCTTTCGATTGGTATAGATATATGTTGAGCTGAGCTTACCTTGCCAAGACATGATAGCGGTATTGTGGTTGATGTGAGTGAGAGTTTGAAGAGGAGGATCGCGGGGAGTTCTGGTGCTTGGTTATGTGCCTATTTGTAGTTATTGACAAACAAGACGGCGGGATAAAAAAAGGTTGATTGTTTGTCGCCAGAACGAGATGTTGCTTTCCAGGGCTTCGGGATGGACCAATTGCGGGGCGCTGGAAACTTTGGCCCCGCCGACGACGTTCACATCTGATGAGGCCGTTCGCTTCAGGCATCATATACTTCATTCGTCGTCAACATGATGATCAATATATCGTCGTTCATACTCAGAGGTCGCGAAGGGTATGACGCGTGCCACAAATCGAAGTGATTGTAGTAATGTAGGACCCTCAACACCATTACGGAATGCATGTATATACGTGTGGATCAGACGATCAACCTCCGTTCGTTGGGTATCTGAGAGTTCCAAGGCATACTATTCTTGGTGGATGACCTTGCACAATCTCCAGGACAGAATCAATTCACGATACGCATCTTGAGTCTGATGGCCAACCCGCTCTGCTCATCCAGCCGAGGAGCTGTGGACAGCACCCAGGTCCCAGCACATTACAGGAAGAGAGGATAATGGCTTCGAAGTCAGAGCGAGCCCCATGACGACTTCCTCGATGACGATGCCTGGGATCTTCGGCTGGAGGTCACGATTTCGAATGGACGAGTCGCTTTAGCGACGATTCGCACGACTCTACGCTTGTGGTTTCCGTAGTTGGCCACCGACCTCGACTTCTGCAGACTGTCGACGAAGCTCTCAGAACAGCGTCTAGTCACTGATATCTGCCATTCAACGGAACCATTGGTACCGCTGACTCGAGGACGATCGACAGAGTAGCAGAGGATATCTTACGCTTCTGGAGATGTGCAGATACCGTCTCTAGCGGTCTCAACCTCTTCACGACCGGAGCGGGAATTCTAGGCCCAGAGACGTCCGCCGTTATCAAAGGTGATGTGCTTATTCTCCTGGAGAACAGCAAGCTGCCAATATGCTCATGAGGCGTGACAAGGACCAGTATAGTCGCGGTGCTCCGCATATGTGCAGAATAGTGGGTGCGATGAGCTGATGAGGTTGGGGAGACGTGCTGGGATGAGCAGGAAGTGTTCACACTCGTGTGAGGTGCTACCAGGCTTGCAAAGCATACCGAGAGTCCGCAGTCCTTATGGTACATCGAAAATGGCTCAGCTGCACGGCGAAGTGGACTTTCGAGCATGAGTATAGTGTGTCCTGGTGGATATTCATAAAGTCATGGCGCCAGATCTTCCGGTCGGCATGTAACCCTAGGTCCAATCGTTGTATAGAGAAGTCTTTGATTCGTCCTGCTTCCTACGAGGCACTATTTTTCCCGGTAGTCAAGTCCGAGATTTCATGGCCAGCGTCCAACACATTAGCATGTGGTCCAGACTCGTGCACGAAGAGAGTGGTTCGATGGCAACTATTCTGGACCAAGGTGACCATGACCGCAACGATGAAGTTGTTGGCTACACTCTTAAGCACAACGATTATCTCTACGCTCACTGCCTAGAATACAGCCAAGCCATAATACCACGCACATTGTCGGCTGATCTTGAAGCAGATTATTGGAATTAGAAGTGGCCAGGTATGTGTTTTGTCGAGGATCCATTGGCGTCTCGAGGTGGCAGCCCTGTTCGTCATTCGAGCTCTTTGCCTCGGCTTTTCTTCGGAAACAGTTGTAATATATATAACCAAATTACAATCGTCTACCCCCATGAAGCAGTCAGTCTTCCATGGAAGCTCTTATAGCTCAGTTGGTAGAGCGCGGCACTAGTATCCATCACTGGGCCATGCCGAGGTCTACGGTTCAACTCCGTATGAGAGCAAAAAGATCCCATGGCTTTCAATCCTATTTTTGTCAATTGTTCAGACTGGAGGGTTCTTTTTGTCGATTTGTTCGGAGACTAGAGCGTCGATGAGCTTATTCCAGTACATCAGTCTTCTACTTAGCACCGATGCCAACCCGAACCATTCCCCATTCATTCGCAGATTACCCTGCCTCATGGAGTCCACCACACTTGTTTCATTAATTCATCCTTTGTACACGAGCCGGAGTCGAACGTAAGACGCTCCTTACAATAAGACCCTCCTACATCCGTCAAGGCGTTTGGCTTCCGTCTCTAAGCCCTCTTCTCTGGATCTCTCAAGTCAGTGTTCAATGTCAGAGAGAAGACCGAAGCAAGGACGATGTTAACAATATGATGGTGGTTGCGAGTTGGGAATCGATCCAATCCAGTCTCCTCTCCTATTTGGGTGGTATTGTCTTGAGATCGCGGGTCAATATCCAGAGGCATATTGGAGAGGTCTGATGAGGGCTTTGTCTTCTAGAAGATGGTAACACCGAAGTACAACAGCGCGTTCACGGAACAGTGGCAGCCTGCATCAATGTGAACAGCAATTTCACCACGCGAAGTCAAGCAGAACTTGACCAGCTCGATAATCTATTGGCAAGAAGGAAGCAATGCTTTGTCGAAGCAGATTGATCAAATACTATCGAGTGAACCGTCACCAGGAGTAATGATCAGCGCCGTTGCGCGCCACCAGATACTCCGTTGCTCTGATGATCTTATAATGCATGATGCTATAAGAGGAGAGGGTATAGTAGCTCGGGCATGAACTGACCTGATCAAGAACTCCCAGCTGATCTCAGACGGGACTAGAACACATTCGTCGTGAAGTCAAAGACTAGCAATGATTCTCATGGTTGCATTGCTGGAACTGAGACTATACTGTGATGCTATTGGTCTGCTAGCCGTTCTGTCGACCTGAAAGCACTGTGGTGAAATCCATGCGTCATAACATCATCCGCCGTCTAGGTCTCCCGTGTCAAATGTCGGATCATAACCCCATGGTTCGCCGTTGCCTAGTGCATAACCCAGCCCTGCTCTCATTCTCACCCACCCACACGCCTACAAACACCGCGCCCTACCAACTCTCCCACTTCTGCCCCCCCATAGCAATAACCCGATTAAACAACTCATCCCTCAAAACCATCGCCGTAAGCACAAACGTATCCCCCATTCTATCCACAATCTCGACCCCATCCGCCACCTCCCTGTCCAAAGCCCACCCAACCACAAGCTTAGCCTTCCACCCCAGTCCACCAACCTTCTTCACCTCCTTCACATCCGCCACCGCAATCGACCACACCGGGTGCAACTCCGCATCGCCCCTATCCTCCGTCCCCTCCGTAGCAATATTCTTGTCGAGGGAGAAGGAGATGCAGGGGATGGTGGCGCGGGTACTGATGTAGGCGTGACCCCGCTTGCCATTGTAGCGGCATTTGAAATCTACGGGGCCGGAGAGGTTGTTGGCGCGGGAGGAAGGGATGACGCCGAGACGTTGTTTGGCGTGCGTGCTGCCGGCTACTTTTGCCTTTAGATGGTCGGCGCCGAGGGCGGTTTCCACAGCACCCTTTACGCCCGATTTGAAGACGTTTAGAATTTTGGAGCCCTTTTTGCCGTGGTGTTTGGCTTTGGCTGCGTCGATGTCGGACCCGGTGGTTTCGTGCTTGGTGTTTGGGTCGTGGGCCATGGCTTCTGTTATCTCCTCGTCTGTGGCGTTGAGTGGCCAGTCGCTGCCCACGGCACGCAAATGATCATCCGTAACATCGACCGGCTCATCTGGTGGCGGCTCAGTCGATTGCGGTGGAGGAGGCAATGGCGCTTTCTTCGCCTCACCAATGCGAAGTAATGTAACCGTAAGCTGAGCATTGGTCGGCACGCCCTTGAGGATGCTATTGCGAAGCTCAAGTAATTTCTGCCAATCAGGATAGTTCCTGTTGAGCCAGTCCAGCCCTCGCATAATAACCGGATCGCCAAAGAAGCCGAATCCAATGCCAAACGTAATACCCTTCACAACCATGTAATTCGTGATGAAGATGGATGCTCCAAGTAGCGGTACCAGAATCGCAGCCAATCTCAACCGATACGCATCGTGTGGGAACGGCGGAGTAGGCGACAAAGCATTCCCGAACCTCTCCCACGTATCAGCGACATCAGCAAGAGCATGCATAGTCGGCCGCATCTTGTTCCAGATCGCCGTCTCCATGGGCACTTTTGTCTTGTCGTGCGTGACTGCCGCAGAATCGCCACCGGCAGACACTCGCGCGTTGCTCGCACTAACAGCCATCGATGTCGGATCCGGAACGCGATCATTGGGCGTGTCGTCGTCTGCTCCTGTGGGCTCGCCTTGTGGATGTTTGCCACTCGCGCTAGCCAGAGCGACATGAGCGATGCTGTTGACGAAGTTACTAGCTTCGGCTTCGACGGCTTCACCCTTGAATTTCTCTGGTGCACCTGTAGCTGAGTCTGTCGAGCCTAGTACGCCTGCCTTTGGTTTCTGTAGACCACCTGTCTTGGCTGAGACGAGTGCGATTGGTGCGGGTGGGAAGAGGATGTGTCTGCTTGGTGGGTAGACGATTAGAACGACCATGACTAGCAGCAACAGCGGCATTATCAAGTCGAGTAGCCAGGCCAAAGAGTATGCTGCAAGGAATGCTGCGGTGCGTCTCGTTTCTCTCCAGGACCGCAAACGCATCATATGCTTGACGGCTGCAAGGACGCTGATGCCGACAGTCATGTACAGTCGTTCCAGGTTCGCTCGGAGCTTGTCCGGAGAGAATTCTTCTTCCTCGGCGATGTTGAGGTCGAGGTTTCCTGGTGGTGGCGAGGCGGATGCCTTGACATGGTACATTTGCTACAGACGTCAGCACACTATCGATCTAGCCCAATAATGAGGGCCACACCTTGTTGAAACGCCGAATCAGGATCCATAACTCTTCGTTCGGCAGCTTGCCAACAAGCGGATTTGCTATCGCATCAGTCGGAGCATTCCAGCCCAGATCGCGAACTTCTGCATCATGGTTCTGGGCCACAGCACCTTCGTGATCATCAGACATGGCGAGAGCATGGCTCATTGTAGGCTTTTGGCCGATCGCGTGACTGGTTTGCTTGCTCTCTGGGTCAGTAGCTGCTGGCACATCGACTGGCAAGGGGAGCAAGTCCTTCAAGACGACGCCCGTTGGCGCCATGGTGGGATCGTCTTGAGGGTCACGTTCCTGTGTTTGTGGTCTTGTGCACAGAGTAAATGGGTGTTATGTGAGAAAGATAGAGTTTTGGAAAGGGATGCAAGAGCACGAATCTACCGTGGTAGAAGCGTTCCTGTTTGCTTGAGCATATGCAAATGATACGTCAGTGGCGGAGCTTGGAACGGCTTGACATGTCACTGGCAGGTGTGCCTTCCTCTCTGGTACAAGTTCACGCAACAATAGTGCTTCTGACTAGAAGCGCATCCTGATCATAGTCATGGCAAGAAGTAGAGATAGAGGCTACTGTACAGGTCTAGCGAGGTTCAAGCATTATTATTATTATTAGGTTGCTACTGCGACGATGCGAAGCAGATCGACGGTCTCCAGATTTTCCGTGCAGCGGGAGTGGCCGCGGGTAGACGTTTGAAGCTCGGCGGCATATATCACTTTCACTTCTGCATCCACCAGACATGGCGTGAACACGTCTGCAAAGTCGCCCTCAGCGGCGCAAAAATAACCACCCATCATGTCGATGACAGCGTCCCAACGCGCGCTTGACTACCTCGAGCAACTGCCTGGCACGACCTTCACAAAACTGTACCAGCAGCCCTCAACTGCCTTGGCCATCTTCAGACGCATGCTGCCACACTTGGCCAAGACGCTGGTGATGGCGATGCTGTATATGCCGGAGCCCTTTGCAACTACCAGTCTGGATACGTGGGTGAAGGGTGATGCTGAGAGTGCGCAGGCCAAGGATCGAGCGTTGTCGATTCTGCAGCGGCTGAGGATCTTGTTCGACGCACCGGACGCGAAAGGCAGGTCCGGCATTCGATTGTCGGAGCAGTTTGCAAAGTCGCTCAGGGCTGCTTTGACCGGCGGTGGAGGCGAGCATAGGAGCTTTGGCGTGCCGTGCAGCACGGCTGATGCTACGACTGTGACAGTGGAGGTCCTGGACACTTTCGCCAGGCGGCAGTGGGAGGCGATCCTGTACTATGTCGTGGGAAGTGCAAATACTGGTCTCGGCGGAGCGGCGAACATCAGTCAAGGCACCAAGACATTACTTCAGAAAGGCAACTACGTGCGAGGCACTGCTCGAGCAACGAGCATTACACAGCTCGGCTTCACCTTCCTACTACAAGAAGTTAACGCGCAAATATGGGATCTACTAATCGTATACCTGAACTACTCAACCGAGTTACGAATGGACCCAGTAGACGTCCTCTCCTTCCTCTTCACCCTCGGCTCCCTCGAACTAGGCATAAGCTACAGCACCTCAAACCTCACCCCAACCCAACTCCAAATGCTCGAAGACCTCTCCGACTTCGGCGTCGTCTACCAACCCCCCGAAGACAAAACCCGCTACTATCCAACCCGACTCGCCACGACCCTCACAAGCGACGCACCCGCCCTTCCCAACAGCAACCTCTCCTCCACAACCACCACAAGCACCACCACAGACACCACCACCTCTACCGCCTCAAACATCCCCTCCCAAAACGAAAAGGGCTACATCCTCCTCGAAACAAACTACCGCCTCTACGCCTACACCACCTCCCCCCTGCACCTCAGCCTCCTCTCCCTCTTCTGCGCCCTCAAAACCCGCTACCCGAACCTCACAACGGCCAAAATAACCAAAAAATCCATCCTCCGCGCCCTCGCCCTATCCATAACCTCGGACCAAATAATCACCTACCTAACAACCCACGCCCACCCCCTCATGCGCCTCTCCACCCCTACCCTGCCACCAACCGTCGTCGATCAGATCCGGTTATGGCAGTTAGAAGGGGAAAGGATGAAGAGTTGGAATGGCTTTTTGATCAAAGACATCGGGTCGCAGGAAGAGTACGAGAAGGCGGTACGGTATGCGGAGGCGTTGGGCGTGTTGAGGAAGGAGTTTCCAAAACGGGGGTGGTTTTTTGTGAGTAGGATGGATCAGATGACGGGGTATTTTCGGGGGGTTGCGGTCAAGAGGAAGGAGGCGATTGCTAAGAGGGAAGCGGAGATGAGTGTTAAGAAGGAGGTTTTGTGAGGTCGAGTTGGTTTGTCATGCATAGCGTGGGCGGTTCTGTGGCTTGGATGTAAAGCTTGAGGAAGCCGATAGATGGATGAAGATGGTTTCGGCTTGATGGCGATTTGCGTGAGTATAGCTTCTACATCGAGAATGACATGCTTACCATGACGACTGTCGTCGATTAAATCCATCCTCTTCCAATTCTCTCTTTCATATGTTCTGCTTTTCCATGATTACACATTATCGCTGACCTCCAGCAAACCTCACCCACTACACCACTCTCGCAGGTACCACTCCCGCCACTTTTGCTCATCTCTCACACCTACCCAACAAGCAAACTCCGCCTTCTCTTACCAAACAACTTATCCATAAATTTCGCCTTCCTCAATTCGCTCGATCCACCAGCAACCTCACCACTCTCTCTGTCACGTTTGCCGTCACCATCCGCCTCTCGGCTCCCAGGCCACCGTAACATCCTCTCCGGCATCTTCAACTGCAACGGCCGCCCTAACTCCGCATTCCCACTCAAAGCCGCATACTGCAATTGAAACACGCCAAAACTCTCCCTCGCCTCAGTCGTCACGCACTGGGCGTACAGGTGCTCGAGAGCACGACGCATGCGTTTCGTGGTAGCGGCGGGGGTGTGCATTTTATCTGAGTTGGCGCGGGGGCTATTCAGGTGGGCATGGGCGGAGATTTCTTCATTGCTGTAGCGATCTTTGAGGGCGGAGAAGCGGCCGCACCAGTAGGCTGCTGGCTCGGCTGTGGTCACTTGCTTTGAGGGTGGTAAGTGAGGATCTAGGGAGAGTGAGGAGGTGGATGCGACGTACCTGCAAGCTGATATGCGCTGGAGACGTGGCTCCTGGACTATTCTCGAGGTGTTCCGTCGGTACGCCAGCCTCGGCGATCTGGCGCAGCTGGCTGGCGTTGCTCATCGTCCTTGCACGGCCGCGTGGCAGAGTCTCTCCTGCCAAAGGCGGTATGGTTTGGACAGGCGGCAAAATCGGCTTTAGCTCAGAAAGCAACCGACGCTCCTGGATCTCTCCATGGCGCGACGTTCGACGATTCGTGATATTGGTCAAGACCGGCTGCGAGTTCCATCTTTGCACTGCCATCGGCTTGCCCGGTGTGGCTGGCCTGTCTCGAGAGCGACGGTAAGCTGGACTACTAAACGACGGCTTGTAGGCATGCGAGAACTGCTGGAGAGTCGGTGGAGACGAGGACAAATCGAAGGGAGCTATCATGTCAGCAAGGTAAGCGATTGACGAGTTCCGAGAATGCTCACTGCTGCTAAGCAGAGGCGTGCTGTTATCACTCGACTCCGACCAGCCGTGCCTTGCAGGATGTCCACGAGAAGGATGTCCCGATCTAAACATTTGCCTGTGGTCCATGGTGGCTGTATATGGCAATGGCTTGATCGGACTACTGGAGATATTTTCCTTGAAAGCTGTGGTCCGGCCATAATTACTGTATGGCTGGAGATTCACGGGCAGCAACGGCTCGGTGTCAGACCTCTTGACTCGATTGCGGATGGTGGGCTGCATCGCTTCTGCAGCTGCAAGCTTCGACATGCTATGCTTTCTGTTTGACACCGCTGGCGAAGGAAGCCGAGTAGAAGGCAAGAACATGGAGGGGAGGCGCGTGTGAGATTTGGAAGGTGCCATGGTCGTGTTGCGGCGAGATTTGGAGGGTAGTGGCAAGTTGCTGAATGTTCTGCTTCTTGGCATACCTCCTATCGGGTCGTCGGGAAGACAGATGTAGCTGCTTCGTTTTGATGCCAGAGTTGCAGGCACTGGTGGGATTGGTAGGGTGGACTCATTGAGCTCATCGTGTGTGCTCAGATGTTGCGATGAGGATGAAGCGGGCAGATATGTTGGCTGTGGCGGGTTCACCGTCGTGCTGCTGAGAGAGAGATTGCTGGTAGAGGAGCCGGCGGTGCTGGTGTCGGTTTTATTGTTGGAGCGGCGGCGAGAAAAGGGGTTTAGTGCTTGGAACGAGGCGATGGAGGAAAGGCGACGCATCGAGCTGCGGCGTGAATCTGCCGGAGCATTCTCGCTACTTTGGCAAGACGGCATGATGAATGGTGAGGTGGGAAGAGAGAAGGAAGACATCGCAGCGGGTATTTGTTGAGGTGCCACCGATCTGCGACTGCCTCGTGAAGATAGGGAAGGCACGCCAAGTGGGGGAGGTGTGTGTGTTTGTTCGTGCTTTCACGTGGGAAGTGCAATCACAACCACTGCAGGAACATCGGAATTGGAAGAGAAAAGCCTTCTGTGCACGGTAACGATTGTCGTCGAATGTCTCATATCATCTTCGCTCAAGATCTACGAAGACTGGAAGCTGATGTTGGGGGGCGCAGCTTCGATGCAGCGATTCCGGCTGCTCTGCCACAAGCCGAAGACGAGCCCTTCTTTCATCCTTGATATGTCGAGATTGTGAGCATACTGGAAAGGATGAGGTGATGTATAGTTACTAGCAAACATTAGCAAGTGAATCACTCTCCGTGCAATGAGCAGCATACCCATCACCACGGCAGCCATCCACCCCCCGGACCCAGCGCGCCCACCAACGGCACACGCCCTCGCAGCTGCTGCACAGCAAAAGACGAACTCTGAAGCTCAGACCTACACGCTTGCAGCTCCCTTCCTTGCGCTCGTAAAGCTGTCGCCCCGAAATGCTGAGTCCACTTATGCATGCACATGGACAGAAGATTGATGTTGAGTAGGCAGGTGAGGCCCCATCGGATTAGTAACCAGCGTTGGAAGACGAAGGCGATGCAGATGCGGCCTTCTGGTATCTCGTATGGGGGTTCGATGCGGGCGAGGCGCATGAGGTGGAGGATGCTGAAGAAGAGGATGCCGATGGCGAGGAGGAGGAGGAGGAGGGATGTGCCTTCTAGTATGATGGCGAGAAGCATGATGTCGAACTGTTGCAACAGTGTTGGATATGCTGTGATTGGTGATGGTGCTGTGGTACAGATATTTGTTCCTTTGAGGGGATTTGTGCAAGCGTGTAGTCCGGCACGATGAATGAGGAAGGAACGACCTGCGCTAGCAAGAAAGAAAAGCACCGCATCAGACGTGAATCGCTTGACAAACACGATGGTGAAAGATGCTTATAAGCAAGAGAAGTTGACCGTATGATCATTCCGACCTGCGCTCTCGATCGCGATCACAGCCTTGCCGCCACCATGACTTCCTCCAAGACCAGCTCTGACAGCAATTTCGATGCGAGTAGCAAGATCAAGCATACATTCGACAACGCCATACCGTCAGCTTCACAGAGACTGCCCACCGAAATTCTCGAGATCATCTTTCTCCACTGCGACTTCAGAACCATCTTTTTAATCCAGAGCGTGAGCGCTAGTTGGCGTAACGCCATTACAGGATCGTCCAAAATCCAGGAGAAGCTCTTTCTGTTCCCAATTCTCCAGGGCAGGAACCAGAGATTCCTACGGTGGATGACCGTCACACCTCCGCCTGAATCAACCGACCCCAATTTGATGACTGCGAACTGCCCGGTTGTCACACACAAATCGTCGGACACCACACCGCAGCAGTTGATCGTCCAAATCAACCCTCTAGCGACCGACGGCGCGATGCTGAAACTCGATGCCAAAGTCAAGTTCATGATGGACTTCGAGATGGACCCTAAGTCTTTTCCTCCTCGACCCAGGTGGGAGTTGGCGCAATATGCTCATAACGCAACCACCCGTTAGCAAGCTGAAGATCGAATGTCGCGTCCACAAGCTTCCGGGTAAAGCAATGACGACCTACAAAGCCACTCTTCGCAACGACAATGGCGTGAAGCTTGGGGAGGTCATGGATAGGATCCATTTCCATCTCAAGCCTTGGCAGTCTCAGACGCAGTACAGAATGCCCGCTCACATGCACCTTCACGATGACCATGAGGCGCTGAAAAAGCGTCTGTATAACAGTTTCGTCGGGAGTCTCGGCTTCCAGCTCGCGGTGCGCACGAATAAGGGGCATGTCAGTTCGAGGTCATGCTGGATCGATGAGGGACACGATAACCGCGAGAGCGAGCGACTAACGGAGGAGATGAGAGAGGAGTTGTTCTAGCGAGCAGGATGGACTTGGTGAGTTTGATAGAACTCTGGTGCAGGCGAAAGAGGTAGCAAATGTACTCGGCGCAAGTGCATTCCGAGTCGTTAGCGTCAGCATGAGACCGTATTGAGTACACGCTCGTCTGAGGATCCTGTCTTACTTCGCCGACCATATCAGAGCACGCAGCGTCGATCAACGTGCCAGCCTCATGCCTGATGTGCTGTAAGTCTGTGGGATAGCCTGCCATATGACATGTTCGTGGTGGCTTGCTGCCGTGCAATACCTTGCTGCTTCGTGATATGTCGACGACGTTACGTGCGTTTGCTCAAAAGAGGTATAAATATATCCAAAATGTAACACAGCTATAGACGCCTACGAACGAAAGCACTCAAAGGAAGCAGAGGGGAAGCCCAATGAAGCTCACTTATATACGTGGCCGTTAGTGCAAAAGGAAATCGTGATAGGGCATGGTGAAAGCAGAACGCGGCAGATCGCATCAGTACATGGCCGTTTCAAAACAGAAGACGGTTCATGGTCCGCAGCCTCCGGCATGTGAGCTATGCCCGACAGCAGGTCGTGACCCGACTACACCATCAGTGGCCTATACCGCCAGCAAGTTGACGTGTAGGTATACCAGCATGAGCGTTACGGAGGTGCGACAGCATCTTCTCCTCTCTGCAGAACGACCGTCCGCAACGGCGACAGATAGAGCGAATTTTGAGATGCACAGTGTCCATGTGACGCTTCATCTCGTAAGGTCGGCCTCTCCCAGATATGTAAGTGCAGGATGAACCAGGCCAGGCGCACTTGAGAACGCGACCGGGCTGCTGGCCGGACGGGATTGACTCCTTGTCGGGGCAGGAGATGGCGGGCACCTGTGTGTCCATAGTCGGCTTCAGAAAGTTGGGTGAGACGGGAGGGATGACATGAGCCGCTCGGTCAATTGCTGGGTAAGGACGCATGAGAATAGCAGGATTGAGAGTCGCGAGTTGCTCATTGACGACGAAATCGCTGTGTAGATTCGGTTGTCCTTGATCGGCCACAATATGCGGATGGGTCTTTTGGACTGGCCAGTGGACAGTAGCTTCCGCCTCGCTCGCTAAGACTGCGCTCTGCATTTCTCCCAGTGCATCGGCCGGCGTATGGTACGTCCAACCATTAGAGAAAGAGAGTTCGGTGCTGCCCAGGTTGTCGACGAGATTGTGACACATGTCCTCAGACCAAGGACTTGACGGGCCATGGATAGCTTGTCCCGGGGTACTGCCTGTCGTTATCCAATCGGGATCGTACGTGGGCGGCCAGGAAAGGATATCGTCCCATCGATCTGCATGCTCTATGGCTGGGTCACGTGCGGTGTGAGCGACCCGTGAGATTGGTATGCCTGAGGCTTCAGCAGAGCCGCATTTATTACTAAGTGTGCCAGCAGGCCCAGCAGGCCCAGCACTCCCCCAACTGCTGTTCCCGATTAGTAAAAAAAAATGGAGCATGACTCACCTCCATCCAGCTGTCGTAAGTGGGCTTGCCATCTCACTAAAGTCGTCCGTACCGGCAACCATGAAATGGCTTTCAGAAGACGCTTTTACGGCACTCAGCAGAGGCTCGTCATGCGATGCGTCCCGGCAGTCCATCGTCAGGCGCTGACAAGTGCGTCGAGCGATCTCTGGTGGAATTGTTGGGCGTCTACTACTCCGAAACCAGTCCAAGAATCTCAACGGTGTCGTGAACCCCAGTAGAGTCTCGATAAACGGTACGAAATGTCTGACGTCTTGTACGTGTTGTAGAGCGTCGTACATACCTTCGAGATGGTTGTTGATGTACCCCAAGTCGAGGAGAAAATTTCACTCGAACGAGGGCGACAGCTCGCCACGACTTTTGGCTCCTCCTCCCTCGCGCATCATATCCATACCGGGCTTGACGGTTCCCCTCAAGGCCCTCCATGCACTCTACTCTCGCTTAGGTGGTCGATTTCCCTCTGATTATGGGATGTACTCATTCTCACACGATTCCCGTTCCTTTGCCCAATTCGCCATCGAGTATGATCTGCATGACTTATGTCCGTTTTGTTCCCTCCAGTGGCCCCCATGCCCCTGAGGCGTTGTTGTGCTGATGCCGCGTCGAAAGTCTGCACTGGAAAGTCGCGAGCAGACGGTCTTCAAATGTACAGGATGCATGAAAAGCTACAAACGCAAGGATGGCCTGGTTCGTCACGAAAAATACGATCACGGGACTACTGAGGGACTATCACCGGAAATCCACAGACCAAATTGCTCGATATGCGGTCAACTTGTCAAACGAGAGGACGTTTTGCTGAAGCATCTAAGCGCATGTTCGAAGAGGAGCTGTCTGGAAAAGGATGTAATGCATGTAATCCCTGGAATCTCGCAATCCACCAGTCAAAGCATAATCAAGTTCGAAGTGCTGGCAGTATTAGCTGAAAGTACTATCGGCGGTGACCGTCATGCCTTACCCTTGGTTGCGAAGCAGTATGGGCTGGCGAGAACAGAAAGACCCACTCACACGATCGAGCACCTTGAGCTGCTGAAGTTGCTTTTCAAAGGATGCGAGAGTTTTCGTCTTGATAGCCAGGGCCAGAAAGATGCTATTGAGAAGCTCTCGCAGCATCAGCATTGTCTGACGCGAACTCACGCGTTGTGTGTGAAAGAGCTCGGTATGTCGCTGCTTGCGCTTTTCTGTCACGGCGGATCTCCTTGGGCTTGTCAAGCGCTCATCCGGGCGGGAGTGGAGATTGACGAGGTCCTGCAAATTTACGATCACCATGAACGAACATGGATATATGGCTCGGCACTCGACGTCGCCATCATGCGCAACGACGTGGCGCTTATTCGCACTTTATTGAAAGCGAATCCTCGGAATGGTAGACCAGAGATCGAATGTCGTATTCCGCTGGAACAAATCCTCAGATGTCGTCCTGGGCTGCGATGTAGCACACTCGAGCTCATCAATGTCTTCGCCGAGCACGGCGCTGATGTGAGTATCAACATCAACGCTGGTGGTCACTTGCTCCTCATGGCGGTCAGACAGAACGAGGTCTCTCTTACGCAGACGTTGCTGGAACATGGTGCAAAGACGCAGATTTTGAATGCCGCGAATCAAACGCCTTTGGAGATAGCAATGTTTGGTAACGATGCGATTGACTCGCGGTCAGTAGACGTCCTGAGGCTACTGTTACGGTACTGTTCGAATCTGGATACAACGTTGCACGACGGTAGTACACTTCTGCATCGCGCGGTAGAAGCTCGATGTCCAGAGCGCGTTCGACTTCTACTGGAGGCCAAGGCAGGACGCCACACTCACGACCAGCATGGTCGCACACCACTCCACGCAGTCATCAATGACAAGACAAGGCTCGACCAAACAGAACATGATATGATCGAACTCCTGCTAGAAAATCGTACTAACGCCACTGCTCAATTCGATGTTAGCAACGTCATTTTTCATATTGGTGTAGAGATCCAAACAGAGGCACTCTCGATGTTCGTCCAGCACAGTGTAGCTACACCCAGCGCGAGCCAGCCACGCGCAACCCGATTCCAGGAAGCTGTATGGAATAGATATTTCCAGTACTGCGATGGCGACACTGCCAACATTCTCATGACAGCATACAAAGAGGCGAAAGGTTCTGATGGCGAGATTAATACACCACTGCATGGCTTTGCTCGAGCCGTGCGTATCAATGAAAGGCTTGCTGACACCCTCCGTTCACATGGAGCGGATTTGCAAGCACTGAATTGTACTTGGGGAAACTCTTTGGCATTGGCGCTGCGACTAGGCAAATTAGATGCAGCACAGGCTTCAACATGATGCGATTTCTGTGCCCAAGCCGTGAGCTGTCTAGCGAGGCCACTGTTCAAATCTCTTCGTATCAGACGCTCTGGTCGGCAACAGCTGCGATCGTTGCGAAAACATCAGCGTGCTGGAGGACAGCACAGCCGCCTTCCAACTTCACCCTTTCTACCTTCTACTCTGCCTCTACCTCTACCTCAAGCGGATTCCTGCCTCAAATGAGATACCATTCTTTCCGCCAAAGTTTGGGCTGAGCACAATCGCTACTTTTTTACTTTCACAAGTCAGGGCGTCGACATTAATTCCGTGCAGCCATCCATGATACTGCCGGTATCGTCGCTGCAGGTCAAAGTCCTTGTCTCTCTTGATCAAGATACCACTCACATCCCTAGCGGACGCCACAGTGGTGGGCGCACGATTGGCATATGCGGGCTCCTCGTGATTTGCTGACCGGTCGTCTCGTCGGAGTAGCGACGGCGACTTCTTCCAAAGCAAGATAGAAGCAATCTCACCCCAGCGGTATTTATCTGCCAGTACATTTGACATCAAGGTGACAAAATCGATAGAGGTGATTGGCAGTAGCTGTAGGAGCAACTAGCTGTTGTCTTCGAAGAAATGAATCAGACCCCGAACTCACGGCGTGGTTCTTGCTCACCTACGGCGTCGCGGCATCAAACCTTCCGGCACTTTCGTAGTAACTTGTGCTAGAGCATATGAAATCTCGTGTACTGTATGATTCTATCCATCTTATCATGCCATATCCCTGGCAGCTATCCGGCCGTTCCTGATTACCAGCCATATCTATACCTCACACCTTCGTCTTACTCCTCCACCTCCCCCTCCACCTCTCACCCCTGTTCCCAGCCTCCTCCACCCCAGCCCTAACAGCCTTCCTCCTCTCCGCCCTCCTTCTCTCAATAAGCTCCTGACTCACATGCCCAAACCCCCCTCTCCTCCGAAAGCACACCTCCATCAAACCGTTCACATCCAGCATCCCCCTCGGAATCGTCTGCACGACCTGGAAAATCTCCATCGGATCACTGACGGCTAGGATTTGTCGCTCGCCTGCTTTGAAGATCGCGAGGGCGATGCGGAAGAGTGTTCGGCTGCCTTCGAGGAAGAGGCAGTCCCAGACTCGGAGGACGGATTCGATGGGCAGGGTGCCGACGAAGAGGGACATGAACCAGGCTGTTGTGGCGAGGCTGACTGTTGGTAAGCGTAAGGCTTGCGCAGATGGATCGGTAGAGCCGAGCATGCCGCCTTTGTCGTCCAGCTTGGCCCAGATGCCTGGCAAGGAGTCTTTGACGCAGGACATGAGGACCGCGATGTCGATGTTCGCCCCTTCTAGCGCCACGCCATGCGTACCGGGTAAGTGGATCGAAGTAATGATCTCGAGCAAGATGAAAGACTTCTCTTCGTCCTGATCGAGGAAAAGCAGGAGCAGACCAGCGATGAAATTGAGCGATTGACAATAGCCGATACCAGGATTGTGTACCGCGAAAGCCTGAAGCACGCGACGCAATGACCTGACCATGGACACCTCCGGCTCGGCAGGCGTGTTGTTCCGCCTACCAACCCCAGCACCAGCTTGCAGGTCCGCCATGGACGCCACATCCGGCTTGAACCGGATATTGTCCGGAAACGTCCTATTGAGATCTCTCTCAATATGCTCGCGATCATTATCACTCAGTTGACCATCCTCGACCTGCTGCAGCAAGTTCGCATAAAGCCCTGGTTCTTTCACCAGCCTGCCAGGCCCACCAGCATACCAGAACCAAGCTGCTCCACGCATTTCCGGCGGTATGCCTTTCCGGACATATCTCTTGATCTTGTCACTTTTCGGTGGGAAGCGAAGTGGTCGGTCAACGGTGAGTCCATATGATTGCATCAGGATCTGCCATTTCTTGGTTCGGCGCTCGATGTGCTTGCTGTATACAGCGTCCCAGGCATCGTACTGGTCGACTGTGATGTAGGGAGATGCCTTCTTAAAGCCATAGCGGTCTCGCGGAACTACTGAATGTAGAGCCGGCCCTGTGGTCGGCTGTGCGGATGGCTCCGGAGGCAATGCTGTGCCATCGATGATGCTGGCCGAAGAAGGCCGACTCTCCGGCTGTGGTACCTTTAGGCCTGGATTCGTCCACTGGTTGAGTAGACTCGCACTTTGACTGCGGCGGTGAGAGAGGTTCGGTCGTTTCGTGTTCTCCACTTTCGATGGTTGCGATACAGGCCTATCGATCTGTAGCGACCTCTTCCCGTGGAGATCCATGCTGCGCTTAGTGGGTAGCCTGTCCACCTGCAGTGATTGTTTCCTCGTCGTATCCATACTCTCCTTTGCACTCTCGAATCCATCTACATACATCCCGATCGCATCATCCACTGTCATACTCCCTCTGCCCTCCTCCGTCGCAGGCCATTCCGGGTATACATGGACAAAGTCACTCGTAGAACTATCTGCATCTCGCAAACTGCTAAGATCCGTATTAATGCTGCTGCTGTTCATGTAGCTCGAGTGACTGGTCAATGCCGAGCGAAAGGACTGCCTAGGCTCTCCGTCGGGTAAGCTGGGCGGTGTAGGTATGGAGTCCGGGGTCGCTCTGCCATTCGTTCTTATGCTCTTGCCGCTCGAGATCCGCTGCCTAATGCCCTTCAGTCCCTCTCCCAGCGATCTCGAGCTCCTCAAGCTTTTGGTCGATCTCTGTCCAGGCGACATTGGTGGTGGCAGAAGTGGTGAAGAAGGTGGTCGCGCCAGCTCTCTCGACGGTCCGCTGCTACTCGTGTCGCTGTCTCGTGAAGGCAGGTGATGAAGGTCTTGACCTTGTCGTAGCACCAAGCTACCCAATGGCAGCTTCGAAGGTCTTCTCACATCTCGTCCAGCAAAGGCATGCTCGGAGCTTGCTGACACAGCATCAATATGAGGTAGTGGTTGCACTGGCGCAGGATTGAAGCCACGGACTTGGTGGTGCGAGTGTGCAAAGATCGGTGTCGGTGCATGTCTTTGCTGTAGTCGCTGAGCTGAAGCTTTACGAAGTGGTAGATGGGGTTCGGGTAGGGGTCCGGCTGGTCGTTGATACTGCTGTGGGGTGTTCATGTTGCCTGTTTCGTGCTCAGCGAACGGGCAGAAGCTGATGCTCCTTCGTCTCGATCACTTCTCGACCTTTCATGGACAGGCGTGCAGTGTTATGAAGTATATCACCCACACTGGTGATGTTCAGATGTTTCTTCCTGCTCCTCATATTGCTAGCAGTGGAAGCTAGTCATCCCAATTACGGCCTCAACCAGACAATTCAAAGCTCTCGAGAGTCCTGAAGCCCGGGATGATGGGATCACGCCGGCACATATCACAACAAGGCCTCATCTCCTGACAGGTAACGCTCACTCATATACCATGGAACACCCTGCAGATAATATCCACACCAGGCGCGTGAGTAGTAGTGCAGCTGCAATTAAGCCAACGGCGCGTCGAGTCAGCACTGAACAGCAAGAGCAAGTTTGGGCGATCGTTTGACGGGAATTTGGCGCCGGCTCCGCATGCGAGAGACAAACCCCTGCAGAGCGCAGCCACGCATGACGATCGTTTGATGAGGACGCCACAAGCACGTGGTCAGATACAGTACAATATATGGCAGTGAAACATGTGTAATACGATGCAAGAAATTAAAGACTACCAACACGGCAATGAGTGAACAGAAGATTTGATATGCATTCGGTCTCTTTTACACTCATCACGCCGAACGCTATGCAGCAAGCTCACATCAGTAAGCGCTGGCCCTGAACGCCTATAAGCAGATTCCATTTGCCCGTAGTCTATTGTAGACACCCAGTATGTTCAACTCATACTCCTCCACTGCAGTAGTGCATTCTCACTTCGCATACTTGTTCACCCAATCCTTCGCGACCTTCTCAAACTCCTTGCGGTTGTTCTTGTACTGATCCGCAATACCCTGCTCCACCGCATCATCAGGCTGTGGCGCAGCCAACACCGTGCGAACCAGTTTCAACACGTCCGAGATCTTGTTCGGCGGCTTCCACTCGTCTGGTCGCAGCATACCCAGACACATCGAGCCGTTCTCATCATTTGTGACATTTGGGTGGTAGACTTTGGTCTTGAAGTTGAGGACTGGAGGCTTGAATGGGTACTCCTTGGGAATCTTGATGAGGATTTTGAAGTTGCCGCCAGCGTAGATTGAGTCGGAGGGAGCCGTCATGGTGACGTTCCATAGGAGGATGTCATCGTCGTTCTCGAGGGAGATTTTGCAGCCTGGTGGTGGTGTGCTTTGGTTCTCTGCCAACTCCTGTGAAGAATGTCAGCATGGCTCGTCTCTTGCATCAAAACCTCAAAATACCTTCATCAGCCTCTTGTTTCCTGCCATCTTGTGTGATCCTGTTGGTAGTAACTCTTGGTGTTCGAGTTGATGGTAGGGAAAGCTTGCAAAGAGAGTTCAAGGAAATTTGAAGGACTTAACAACACGCAGTAGTGTTCGAGTGAACTTCCTGCAGGGTGTGAATGAATGTGTGAGTTTCTGCAGGCAGTGACAGATCGAACGCTCTACTTTGCCGAGTTTGCTGGTGATGATAGAGTGAGAGTAGAGTAATAATAATAAGGCATCTCTGCCCCACAATTCATGCACCGCCTCACTTCCAATCGTCAAGGCTGCAGGGATCTGGCGTGAGTATAAAGACTCCAGCTTCCACCCGTTCCTCTTCCCTTTCCTCCTTACCGCTGTGACAATATCGCTTTTGGTGCCACACACTTCTCACGAGTGTGTCGACTCCGAGCGAAAGGCTTCTGCCTTCCATGCGCGCCGATCATTCACCTCACCTCACCAACTAAAACCACTCATTTCCTCCGACAACCCGACCAAACCCGCACCATCGCTCGTTTGGGAAAGCACGCGCTTCGCTACCTACTCACCATGTTCAAACGGTCCTTCACTGCGTCGAAGGACAAGGCGGGCAAGGCGAGGAAGATCTCGAAGCGTTCGTTTCGTGATGACACGACCAAGCAGAGGTTGCGCGACGCGCTCAAGGACGCGACTCCCGACAGTTCGCCTTCTCTAGGCGGCTGTTCACCCAAGCTCAACAGCGCTATCATCACGATAGCCGTGGGCAAGGACCAGCGTCTCTTCGCCGCGCACGAGGATGTGCTGTCGCGCTCGCCTTGGTTCGCCGAGGCCTGCCGAGAGCAGTTCTTCGCCTCTCCTGGCCAGCGTCGCATCACACTCCCCGATGAGGAGCCAGAGGTCTTCTCCGCCGTCCTTGAGTACATGTACAAAGGCGATTACTACCCGCGTCTCCTGCACGACAGGAAGCGCAACACGTATGCGCTAGAGGACGGTCAAGGCGACCTGACAATGCAATCCATCTCCCCTCAACTCGACTCTGGAAAGAAAGCCGGCAGTCTCAACGAACTCGCTGTCGTCTACCACCATGGCGTGGGTGACTATGTCCTTCGCGATACAGTCATCTACTGCACTGCCCTGCGCTTCGGCCTGACAGACCTGCAACGCCTCACTCTTCGTAAGCAAGGCCTGCAGTCTGGCATCGACGTGGCGACAATCTTGCGCAGTGCACGCTTTGCTTACGCGAACACGCCGCCAAGCGACTCGCGACTCCGCGCACATTACCTTGCTCTCATCATCCGCAGCCGCAAGACCTTCAAACGCAGTGGCACGATGCAAATGGAGATGGAGAAAGGAGGACAGTTTTTCTTCGATCTTTTCGTGGCGATGGCCAATCATATTGACGATGTGGTTGAGGTTGGGCAAGTCTCGCTTTCTCATTCGTGATACTTTGACTCTTCTCCTGTCTCATATATCTCTTGTCTTTACTCTTGGCTATCGAACGCCAATACTGACTCTCCGTCGTGCTAACAGCAACGGCCGCTCACCCGCACTGGACAGGTGATTGACCACTCGTACACAAGAACAGATCGATGCAGCTCGGAGCCCACGAATAATAGATTGGAACATTAACTCACCTCAACACAGATTGCCAGCTTGACAGTCACCGCGCGACACACACGGACCAGAATGCAAGATTGATTTTGCTCCGAGCTAGCATAGCTCTCACCTCTCACCGGCGCATGGGCTTATCGCTTCTCGATCATTTACTATCTACACAGACTGGATTGCGTTGACGCGTTGTGCCTTTTCGAGCACGAACATGGCATTTGCTTGTTGATTGAAGGGTGCAGATGATATTATCACTCATTCGACACGGGCGAAGAGAACAAGAATGGAAGGATTGGTTTCTTTTGTTCGGATCCTGACATTATCAAGCATGTGTAACACTTTCTGGCCTCCATTCACTTGGCGGCTGAAAGGGGGCACATGTGTCATCAGCCCAAGCGACTGCCTTCGCGGTTCTTTCCTTTTTGGCTTTTGTAACTTTCTACCACAGACTGACCACTACCGCCATTACGGCGAAGGGCCTCACCGTTCTCGACGCACGACTTTCAACTGGTTTGGGAGAAGCGCTGGAGGACGGTTGAGTATGTCAATTTTTGGCACGACGCTTTTTGTAGGAGATTTGTGGATCACTGCGGATGATGTGTATGTAGGCTAGGTAATGGAGACATGAGACTCGTCGGCCACCACTACCCTTTATTTTAAGTGTTGTCGTCTGCTGTGTCCATGGCTACTCTATGAGCTATAACCCTAGCATACCCATAGGACGTGTGGCGAAGGAGGTCGTGTGGCACAAGACCTTACCTGCAACGTATCGGACACGATCCTTACGTCTTTGCGGTGTCTTTTGCAGACTGTGCTGCACGATCCTCGCAATAAACCGTCGAGACCAATACGCCGTTCATACTCGAGCGTGCCTAGGCATCGTGCCAGTCCTTATAGCAGCGAACGCCGGCACAAGATCCTCACGATACACTGATGTTAGGGTGAAAAGCTCAAGATACCATATCATACCCAACCTCGACCTTGCCCTCTACACAGCTCCAGAACTCCTCAATAATCGCCTTCTGCCCTTCGCCACCTCGCACAGCCATATACCGCCTCTGATCAATCCTCGGCTCCCAATCACCCTCATGGCATCCAACCATCCTACCTCCCGCTTCCTCAAGAACAACCCAAGCAGCACAGACATCCCACGCCCAACATCCGCTCTCCCAGTACACATCTAACGTCCCAGCAGCCACAGAGCAAATATTCAGCTCTGCCGACCCTAGCGACCTGATACCATGCACCATCGCCCCACCATCTTCCTTCTTCGCACATAGTTTCCGAAACGTCTCGACTTTGACTTTATAGTCATTACCTTCCCTCTCGCTGCCCCACTCAACAGCTACGAGACAGGTACTCAGATCCTTCATCGGCTCCGCCTCACGTAGAGGCAGTCGTACTTGGTCATGTGCATGGTCTGTGATCCAGGACCCTTTGCCCTTAATTCCAGTATACAGGGTCTTGGTGAACGGGTTGAAGATCACACCTACCACGGATTTCTGCTCGATGGCCAGACCCAGTGAGACGCAGAGGTATGGGTAGCCATGGAAGAAATTGGTCGTGCCGTCTATGGGGTCTACGATGAAAGTTGGCTTGTCGCTCAGCTTGTCGCCTTCTTTGTAGGTTTCTTCACCCATGAATCTGGATAATATGTCAGCCTTCATCATATATATCTGTGGAATCTCTCGCGCAGCACAGACTCGAAACCAGGATACTTGTCCTTCAAAGTCGTGCTCACCATCTTCTCGACCGCCTGATCCGTCTCCGTGACGAGGTCGGCCGAGTTCTTTTTTTCACCTGTGCCTGCTCGTACGGGTTTTGCTTGGAGGATCATGTTGCCTGCTTTGGCTGCTATGCCGATTAGGAAGTCGTGGACTTCCTGTAGATCCACTGCCATCTTTACGATATCTTGATGTGAGTAACTACAAGCAGAAGAACAGAACTTCGCAGACGGATATCAAGTTATAGTATCGTTGAAATTGTAAAGTCGATCAACGAAGCTGCAGTCGAAGACCAATGAGCTCACAACGTGATCAGCGTACCTGCATGAGAGCTGCATTGCAGTCCGCTAAGAACTTCACAAGCCGCCTCGTCAAAGTGAGATATGAGGAAAAGAAGACTGTGAGACCAAGAGTGCTTTCGCTAAATCTACTACCAACTACTCCAAATGCGCCTCCTAAAATGCTTCGATATTGTAAAAATAAAGGTGGGGGTATACAGGAACAGAAATTGCTGTAGTTCATTTTCGAACGAATTCAAATGCATCATAACACTCGTTTCCTCTTCCTCTCATCGGGGCCCTCATCCTCGCCTTCACGCTCGGCAGTATCAGCCGGATTCAGCAGCGAGTGAACGTTACTCGCCATGCTACTCCTCCGACTGGGACCACCAGGCGTCTCTAGATTCCTAAAAGGATATTTTGGGCCAGGAAGCTGCCATCCTGCATCGTTGGGGTTGGCATAGTTACCAAAACTGCTTCCGAAGGATGGCACACCGGAGTCGTGAGCTGCGGGAGGTGGCGGCGAATGCTGTCGTGACGAGATGTGTGATGCTCGGGGTAGTTCGTACTGCGCGAGTGCGTCTCGCAGTTGTTGGTCCCCAGGGTTGGCGGTCGCTCGCGGAGATGAGGGCCATGCCGAAGATGACTGACCCGAAGCATAAGGTGAGCTGCCGTGATTATAAGATGATGGTGGCTGTCCCCCTTGCCAGCCATGGATACGGATATCCGCTGACGTATGTCGGCGGGCTAGATTTGCAGGGGGTGATTGCATATTCGACAGCGGATGCGGTTGCTGGTGCTGCGGCTGCGGTGGTGGCGGAGGTGGTGGGTAAGCTGGACGCGAGGAGGTTGGTGAGTATGCTCCGTGACCAGTACCGATTGAGCCATATCGTCGTGGCGATGTCTGGAGGTGTGATGGCATCCCAGATCTAAATGAGCTAGGTCGACCCATGGCTTGTAAAGACGGGCGTCGTGACTCGTCAAAGGGTCTTTGTCGAGGAGAAGCAGGCATGACAGGCTCCACAGGGACAGCAGTATTGGGGAAGTAGGACTGCTTGTTGCCAAAGCTGCTATCGTGGACTTCATCCACATTCCGAAGCTGTTCCATCTGTCGTGATATGTCTTGGCGCATAGCGTAGATCCCGCGGTGGACAGGGTTGTCAGGGTCAGGCACCAGAGCCAAGAGCTGAGTCGAGAGGTCCTGATTCCACTGATAGCATCTCGTCATGTTCTCGAGGAGTGTCTGGCATTTGGCTGTCACAGAGGCATATGCCTCCTCGGTTCTGACCAGGCGGGTAAATAGCTCCTGCTGCGTCCAATCCATAAGGTTGAGACGAGTCTCAAGTGGATCTGCCATCTGCTCAACAGGTGGTCCGACTAGTGTTGGTACTGGCATCTTCGGAGCTGGAGCGGGGAAGGAGTCGCGATGGATGAGTGCGTGTCGTGAAGCTCTACGCTTGATCTCGCGCAGGCCAACGAGGTCACCTCGCTTGAAATTGCCAGCTCCATGCTTGAACTCCCAAAGTGGTGCGTCCGGCGATCCAGTGTGAAAGACATCGCTCACTGTGGCAGTGTAAGCCTTGGCTCGACTATGGCTTGGCGTGCTAGCTCAGACGATATACCTTTGTGAAAGCCATACATATTCAGCTGACGCACGAAAGAGGAAATGTTGGTATGCTTGAAGTATTGCCTGACTCGCATTAGTATTGTAGTCCGGTGACACGCTATGGCGCACATATCCACGTGGAATAAGCTTCGATCGACATACGCTAAAACTTTTGAGAAGTCGGACGATGGCGACATGACGAAGCTCTCGTTCGTGTTGGACCAGGATATGAGATGCTGTATAGTCTGGTCCTCGAGCATTCTGTAGCAGTGTTAGCAAGGCTTCGTCTGGCCCAGCCGTGTAGAGACGCACTTGTACAACTTGTGTATGAAGGCTGTCTGAACCACCTTGGGTTGTTGAGCGGCTGCTGCTGCCCCCACTGATTGTACTGCTACGCCGTTGCTCGTTGTCTGTCGGACAGGTAGATGCTGCTGTTGCTCGTTTGGTGTTGATGGGTATGCTTCGGGTGTCTTATCGCCGCTGGTGCTGTCGCTAGACGGGGGTGCCATTGATGCAGTAGGCGCAGACTGTTGCTGCTGTTGTCGAGGACTGACGTCCATTGCGTCGAATGAAGGGATCGTGTGGGTCGTGTGTGCCGCGGCCGAGGGTAGTATGGGTATGCTCTTGATTTGCTGGCTGTGGAAGCTGTGCGACTCGCCTTGGAACGGGCTGCGAGTCAGGCCTACAGCTGCCATTGGAGATAGTGTGGTGTGGGAAGATGCGATATTGCTCTTGTACTCGTGTCGAAGCTCTCCGGCAGAGCTGCCGTATCGAGTACAGTCGTCTGCGGGCTAGCTCCTTCTCTGCCCGGTATATGCGTGCAGCAGCGGCGTGCTCCCAACAATGCTCGTCCTTCCCCGCTGTGGTAACTAGTATGTGCCGCAACCAAATGCCTACTGGTCCTCCTTCATCCCATTGCAGCCGACAAGCTAAGTCGAGACGGGTCGAGTCTGAGCCGAAGGAAAAAGCTGCGACAAATGTGAGTGCAGGTATTGGAAGATCACGAGCCTCAAGGTGTGTCTCTTACTTTCACACGACCGTGGGTTGTACTGTAGGGTCTCCTTGACAAAGCTAATCTTCCAACTTCCCCACAAGTCTGCTACATCGAGTAAAGCGCCGGAGCGCCGTCGGTTCGGGCCAAACCGTTGCACAAAACTTTAGTCTCGAATGGTGAATGCAGTCGCCCTCTCGGTAGTCGAAGCAAGAACGACGGCGTTCGAGGCGTGTTGAGAAGTCTGTGCTGGCTCGACGAGTAATGTTACGATCGCAGCATAAAAGTTGAAGACAGTGTGAGTGCCACGCGACGAGCGAGCAGGCAGTTCCCTATCCTTCATATGCAAGTAGTAACCCTAGCCCTTACCACCGCAGTAGCTCGAACTCACCAAATCCCACCCGCAACATCGCGCAAGCAGACGACGCCACAGAATCCTTTACCATCAAAACCCGCAGGTGCAACCGTTGGCCGTTTCCACCAGAATCGTTATTGTTATTGCAGGATGACAACACCTGATCCATTGCGGGTTTGAAACCGTCTTTGTGATCCACTGGCACCTGCTACACCCATCACCATTTCCATGGACTCGGGAATCTGCTGTGCGACCGCCACACGCTGCGAACACCGGGTCTAGGTCCGCGCACGACAAGGCAAGTAGCCAAAAGATGTGTCTGCTTTTCTTTCTATCAAGTCTGAGTAATTGTCCTCGCTGTTGAACACCTGTAAATCGTGGCTAGGTGCCTGGACATTTGTCCCAGACTGGGTGTTGCAGACGACCTTTGATCGTCTTCAAGGGTTGAGTCAAGTCTCCGGCACTGGCTACGGCACTTCCCATAACATGGCCCTCCATACCAATACTATAGCTGGACGGCCTGCGGAAATAGAAGAGGGCACCGCCATCATTGCCCTCTACACATCCATCCCGGACCAGGCCAAGCGTTTGGCGGCACTGAAACAACTGGTGCTGCACTTAGGCATCAATGAGCATCTTGCTCTAATAGGCTTCATCTCCGAGCGCCATGATATCGCCCATCAACTGCCGACCGAACTGTTCCAAGGCATCTTCGATTATTTACCTTTGTTCAGTGCCTGGAGACTGCAGCTCGTGTCTCGGCGGTGGCGCACAGTGCTGAGTTCTGCGGACTTCTTGCTTGCTAGGCTTGGACAGGAAGGTCGACTGCCTCGTTTGCTGCCAGGTCTGGGCGAGCAGACAGCAGACATGACCTTACGTCGAGCAGTTCGCAACATGCAGGCTCAGCGTCTCGGTCGGCCATTCTACTCCACCAGCTTCTCCGTGCCGCTGAATGCTTCAGTCCGATGGGCTCACGAGCACATGGTACCGTGGATCGCATTAGATAACCATACTATTGCTTATATCGTCAAGCAAGGTGGGCGACATAGCGAAGTGATTACACGCAACCTCCTCACAGGATCGCAGCGAGCGTACTGCGGTATAGCACGAGAGAACATCTTGACACTTGCCATGACTGGCGAGATTCTTGCCTTCATCACATCTGACGGAGCGCTCTATGTGGCTTCATCTCGAGCTGCTGAGTCACAGTTAGAACGTTCACGTCTCCCTTCAGCTCATATATACAACATAGCGGCCAACGAGAAGACGGTGACAGTCCTCATGCCTGGGAATGAACCTCATCATAGCATGCTTGCGGTGTACTCTGCTGTCACGCGGTCACTGCACGAATACCAGTTCCAAAATTACAGCATCACCACAGACAAAGTATTCAGGAGGTTAGTGCCCCGCGTGCTCCTCCTGTCTGCAGCACACTACCACATCGATGTTTTCAGCAGCGATTGCATACTCACCAACTCTGTCGACCGTCCTCAACGAGACTATCAAACAACAATCTCTCATCAGCGATTCAGTCTCGAGTCTGATCCGGCTGGACGATGTCTCGATGCAGTCCAGTCATCGTTGGTCGAGATCACTTGCCGTAGAGACTGCACAATCAGCCGCTTATTATATACTGGAAACGGAAGTGAGTATCGCGTCCATCTGAACCTCCGTAAGGTAATTTCGGGACCACCGCAACCGTGGACTGATGAGCACGCGCATCACGAATATTTGATCATGTTTGATAGCAATAGGGGTGAGCTACTCATGGAACATCACCGGCTACCGTCACCACTAGAAATACCGGGATGGCTTCTTTGTTGGAAAGATGTGATGTACAGCAGCTACGCTGATGACCATGGTCGCGGTGAGGGTATTTGTGTCTCGACAACATCTCATCGATCTCGTGAGCTCAAGGCGCCTCGCTCCGCGTCAGTGCCACAATCCTCTCGAGATGTCATGCACACAGCCATCGGACCCCCGAATCGATCACAATACCAAAGCCGTATCGACTGGGCGAGTCCTTTCAGATGCTCCCGTACAATGCTAGGCCTGACCAACGGGACCTTCCTAGTCACAGTATCTGCGCGAGAACGGGATATCGTTGGAGATCATCTTATCGTCATCCTCGGCTTTGATGAGGATGCGCCACTGGCGCACAACCACGCCACGAAGTTTTGGAACAATGGAATTCGCGCACCCAGCATTTATGCGGACAGGTTTATGCCACATCACTGGCACTTTCGGCCCAAGGACTGCGAAGCCCTGCCGTGCGGCATAGGAGTGGAGACATTACGTCGGCCTCTGCTGCCTTATGAGATGGGCGAGGAGGAGGAGGAGGAGGAGGAGGAGGAGGAGGCAGCGAGTGATCATTTGGTGGAGAACAATGAGTCAGAAAGTGACTAGTCACTTCGACACTTTCGTGCGACCCAGAACTAAGTATAGATAACGCGCATCTGAGAGCCAGATCTGATATCATGGCTCAACACCGCATGCACCACGTCGGCTATCAAGGACATCTGGTACCGGCTAGTCGCAGTCGGGAATATGACACCACCCCTGATACTGAAGGCATGAGTATTTCAAAACACGCAAGATGGAATTACCTTGCGGATAATAACGAGTGGCTTCGGGTACAGCGGGGATATACGGAGAGCCGTACGGTAGGACAGGTCAAGAAAGATGGATCGGCTGGAAATGATGGCATGGAGGGTGGCATGGGAGGATGGCATGGAAAATAGCATTGAAAATGGCATAGAGGATGGCATGGAAAATAGCATTGAAAATGGCATAGAGGATGGCATGGAGGATGGCATGGAGCGCCCTATAAAGTCTGTTATGAAGGATGTTATGAGGATGGTGTGGAGGGTGATCCCAATCAAATGGAGCCACACTGGAGTCTCTACCGCCAGATGGAGTGGACGTCGGTCACCAGCCATGTCGATTTAGCGGATTCAACGGTGCTTCAGTTTCTTAACATCAACAGCATCGTATTTGTCCGCCGACTGAGTAAGACTAGCGGCACTAGCGATTGCCGCAAGCTTCGAGTTGCCAGCTTTCGAAGAAAATGTCGAGCAGGTGAATCGCTTAATCAAGACCAGATCCGCATATATATAGCTATCCTTAAGTACGACCTTAGCCGTATGTCTGGACTACGACTCGGAGCGATACATATTACGAATACCCACCATCATGTTCTCCCTGCTCTTATCAATTTCGACGCTGGCCTTGAGATAGCATTGAACGTCCAGGGACAGGTCGCCTTCCCAACCCGATATGCTGCCGGCACTGCCAGAACGCAAACTGTAACCGCCTTACTGAGTGTCTGCAGCGGCATTCGATCCTGCCTAGGCTTCCGGCATTCGCGTTTGCGCTCGACACTATCACGAACTGGCAGCGACTGCGCGAATATGCCCGCTTTCTACCACCTTTTATTTTGATCTTGATCTGGAACGGGAATACCATCCTAGATTCCCTCCACATCTTACCTCCGAAGACAAGCACATATACTTTATTAAGAGTACTACCTTCCGAGCCGATAGAGAACAGTCACCCCTCGCAGCAGCCCTCACAGGTAAAATAAACAGGATGTCTGGCTAGAGAGCACCTCAGCCCCGGCCGGGTCCTCGTAATGGGCCACGTGTGTATTAAAGCACGGATAAGGTCTGTACGCACATGGTTTGGGAGGACGTGGTGTAGGGGAAGTAGCTTCATCTCTCGTGCTACATTCCTCCAATGCCGCCTCGCGCAAGAACAAGTTAGATGCTCCCTATCCATGATGCGAACAAGTACTTCGTGCCAACGGTCATGATACACTGATGTAGGAAAACGTGGAGTTGAGTTGAGCTACATATAACCGAGAGACTGACAGTCTAGATGCGAGCTCTACGTGTTGCAGAAGATCTCCTTCCGGATCTACTCGGCCCATCATACCCACCATAACCATCGCTACTACTGCGTCCGCCCACAAGGAGATGAGACGGTTGAGCCGCCACCTCCAGGCCTATGGCCGAGGCCGCGAAGATTGCCCATATTGCCGCGATCGTCAAGATGGGCTCCATGGGCTGCTGTGAGCGTAGGTCGTGCGATCACGGCTTGCGATAACTTTCCAGGCTTGATGTTCTTGGGCTTGAGATTGAGAAGGCGAAGCTTGGATCGCTTATTGGTGAGTGGTTCTCGTGGTGGCTGTCGACTATGCTCGGGCTACTGGACTTCGTTGGAGAGGTGCTCGAAGATAGTCGACGTAGAGGATGTGGTTCTGGGAAGCTGCTAGTCGGCTCGATTTGGTACGCTGATGTTGTGTAGAATTGAGCTAGGAACTGGGCTGCTTCGCTGTTGTTACGCCTCTGCATAGCAGGATATATGTAACTGCTTGGCCTTCGTAGAGAAATTTCGTGGAGATATAATAGTGTCGTCTAAAGAGTCAGACAGTTTCTTTCAAATGGCGCAACATATATCCGATCATCGCCAGCACATCGTATTCGCTCATACGGAGACAGGTGTGATGTGATCGACGGACGATATATCGCTCACCCCGAGCCAACCCAACCTCCTTTACATAAATACCGCTCAGGAGTCGAAGCTTGGTGGCCACTATACTGATCTATGAGTGAGGCATTTTCGTTTTACAACCAACACCGATTTGGTAAAGACCGAGCGATTTCTGGTTTTCGATGGCGGTGAGGCTGCCAGTGTGCATAGTCTTCTGGTCAGCATGGTGTCTAGGGTCTAGGTACCTCCTGCTTCGGACCTCGACCATTGCCGCGGATGAGAGCGATGACAAGGACTGGTGCAAAGTCTGAATGTCGTCGTCGGCGTTGGCGTGCTCACATGCTCATACGCCACGAATGCCCCGAGGGGTCACGGCTGCGGGGTGGGGCCTAGGATAAGTTTTTGCAGCTCGACTATAGTACCAGTATAGTGAGGATTTGGGATGCTCCATGAGCCATACATCCTGCCGGGAGAGATGCATTATAGCAAGACGAGGACGCATTGGGGAAGCACGTTGCCATCATGAACGATTGCGTGAGTCAAGTGGACTACAATCACGATCGCCAGTGGTAATAGTCAAAGCTCCCATTGGCCAGCGGGTGAAGCAGGCATCGCAGATCGGTAGCGTCGTCATTCGCAGGACCATTCAGGAACAAGCCTGACTTTGCTCTTTAAGAACTTGTACGGCCACCTGACTCTGTTCGTACGTATCAGACGCACTACTACTCGGTGCTGGATACTACCCCTCCACGACTACTACTGCTATTATTATTGCCATTGCTATTGCGATTTGCTTTTTGTTCTTTGACTTCACCATAACGAATCACGCCCCCAGACCAAAGGTGAGCAGGAGGAAAATGTCACTTTGTACCGCCCTTATCAGAAGCATCTGCAGGGACAGGCTGCACGTTCGAGGCCAGCGACAAGCTCGTGGTCCAATGGTGTAATAGCGACAGTAGCGGTCAATGCAATGCAGACCTACATTACGGCCATCGCACCATACATTGTGCCACCCTTCCACCCTTTGTCTCCCTGTCAGCTTATTGCAGTCATGTACTACCCGGCCCTTCACATCTAGCAAAATCACCTACCCGACTTCAAACGATAAAGAGACTGGCAAAACTCTGACGCCATACTAACCAAGACAGCAGACCTGATCATCTTCGTTGATTGATCGTTCGCCAGCACATTCTCACCATGTCGATGCCACCTGTACCTCCCCGACCCCAGCGGACGTCGGTCAAGCAAGGGATGCCCCAAATACCACCGCGCCCCGTCCGCAAGCTCGACCCGTCTCCTCAGCGAGATGACTCCACCCGCTCGCCTTTCAACATCATGCCAAACGCCAATGGCAGCGCCTTTGCACCTCCGAGTGCGCCTGAGCCGTCAGACGAGGCGCCACGCCGACCTCCGAGCGTATCTCTGCCGGCACACGTTGGGGACGAGGGCATTGAATACAGCAGCTACGATCAGCTGCCAGCAGAAGCTCGTGGTGCGGCGGCCACTGCACCAGAACAGACCAAAAACGTGGCAGCGGATGTTCCGTTGCACCAGCCCAAGGCTTCCGTGCCTCAGTCAACTGCCACCAGCCGTATCTCTGCGGTCACCAGCACCGATTCAACGACTGCTGCCGCAGCTGGTATCGGCAAGTCCCAGCCGGACGACGACGTACATAAGGATCCGCTGAGTCGCGTGACCAGCAGGACCCATGATGACCGTCCTCGTCGTGCTCCTTCGACAGAGCCGCATTCGCTGAGGACGCAGCCGAGCTTTACCCGCTCGACTTCGAGTCTGCAGAATGGCCGCCCGCCAAGTATGCACAGCATGGACCACCATGAAGACATTCCCAGGATTGGGCAGCAGATTCCACTGTATCCTAATGCTGGTGATGTGCAAGCTCCTTCCCCGGCGCCCACGCAGTCTCAGTTCAGCCAAGGTATTGGTTTCTTCAATGATGGCGGCCAGCGTAACCATCACCGCAAGAGGAGCTCAAGACAAGAGTTCGGTCCAGAAGGCAGCTATGGTCTCCACCACGGCAGTCAAGAGTATCAGGATCAGTTCGAAAAGGCGTGGGTCGCGAAACATCCCAATGAAGCTGCCAAGGAAGGATATAATCCGTACATGCTTCGCCCGGAGACCGCGTTGAGCAGCGATCAGCTCAATCGCATAGTCTCGAACGAGGCAGACATTGGCATGGGTAAGCAAGACGGTTGACAACTAGTAGACCAAGCTAACACGTTGCAGGTACATCGCCAACCGCCATCGGTACACCTACTCAAAACTTCGCTGCCGAGGCTACCACGGCGTTCATCTCTCGCAACAACTCCGCCGCACCGTCGCCCATGCCCATGCAAGAACTGCCGCTCCGCAAAGTGCCATCACGTGACCAACATCTGCCTTCTCTGGAATCGTCCCTTCGCAAGCAGAGCTTCCCTTTCAACGAGACTTCGCATTTGCATGGAAATAACGAAAACGAGGTGTACCACCTTGATCCACGAGATCGCATCACGAATAAGGTTACCGGAGGTGGTCCGGTGGACAATGCAATCGATCTAGGTCCTCAAGGTGGCAATACCGAGGCACGTGGCGGATGGTTTGTCGAGACTGGAGAAGGCATCCCAATCCTTGCTTCGGACGAGCTTCAGAAGAGACCAAGTAGCGCCTTCCTGCAACCGGCCGTGGACCCTGAGGATGTGTCTTATTCTGATGACCACTACGACAGCGACGATTACGGCCGTAGGAGGAGTCTTAGTCGTCCCACCAGTAGACCCGGCAGTGTGCACGGTAGCTATCAAGGCGGCCCTCTGCATCGCTTCGTTTCGCATGAGGACCACCATGGTTCTGGTATGGGTACACCACTTGAGGAAATCGAGGAGTATGAGCCACTCTTCCCAGAGGACGAAAAGGATGACGGTCGGCCGAGACTCTTCAAGAAGAAGCGGCCAGATTTGTCTAGACATCACTTCCCTAGTCAAGATGTCTGGGAGGACACACCGAACTCGCTGCAGTACCAGGCGACCGTGCAGACACCGGAGCCGCCGCAAGCGGCACGGGCACCGCCACCAGCTGAGGGCATTGATCCAGGAAAGGTGTTCGAGACGCCCGAACAAGAAGAGGCGAGGAAGACGCAGAATCCCGCCGACATGACTAGCGATAGCAAGACCTTTGCTAAACCACACTTTAAAGCCGGTGTAATGGATGATCTGCACGCTGGACGACCTGGTGTGCAGCGATTTCCAAGCTCCGATATCTGGGAAGATACGCCTGATAGCATGCGCCTCGAGACGACCGTGAGCTCACCGCAGATGGATGAAGTCAGGAGTCCTCCCGAGGATCGACCCACAACTACTGCTATACCACACCAGCAGGATGATGCGGAAGCAAGGAGTACGACTGGCTACACACAGGTCCACCGTCCTAGTATACCTTCTCGTCCTCAGCGCAGGAGTGGGTTGGCACAAGAAATGAAGCCGGATGAGGATACACGTCAAAGGGAAGTGCCCGATCTTGGCACGAACGAGGAGCAGGTCATTGATCGATCAAGACCTACTATCACAGACAGGCCTAAGCCTACTGTACCTGCTCGCCCTGCAAGACATGGTGACCATGCCGATGGTGCACCTCTAGCCAAGTCACTCTCGGGCGCAAGCGACGAGGCAGTCACGTCGCCACCAGAGAAGAAGGCCAAGCCTGCCGTACCTGCAAGACCAGCTGGTAGCAAGATCGCAGCAATGCAGGCTGGATTCATGAACGACCTCAACGCTCGTCTCAAGCTCGGCCCACAGGGTCCACCAAAATCCCAGGAACCCGACGCTGAGGTCAATGATGTACCCAAGGAGCCTTTGGTGGATGCACGAAAGAGCCGTGCTAAAGGCCCAGCAAGGCGTAAGCCAGCGAGTGCTACAGAGTCTTTTGGATTCTCTTTCTGCTCACCCATGACGCTCTGGCAGATCGATGAGACTGATGAGCTGAAAGTTGCGCCTAGTGAGGCTGCTGCATCGGCAGCATCTCATGCGCAGCCATCGGCCGAGACGAACGCGCAGCTCGAAAGAGTCTTGTCCGAGAACGAGGAGAAAAATACGCAGGAGCCACCTATGCATATCAAATCAGACAGCATGTCTGAAGACCGCTCAGCCGCTGCTCATACACATGAAGCTATTGGGGCAGAAGGCGATAAGCCACTTTCCGGTGTCTCGTCGGCTGTAATTGACGAGCACAGCCAAGTTCAACCTGGCCTGGAGAAGTCGCTGGCTCATGCCGAGGCCGCGCCGGCGAATGCAGAGGAAGTACAGAAGCATGATGAGAAGACCATGGCATCTTCAGCTATGCAGACTGGACAGAAGAACATGGAAATTACGTCGCCTGAGGCAGAGAAGCAGAGACTTACGGCTTATGTTGGTGGCGAGGCGCAGCAGGAGGGTGATGTTGTCCTGGAGGAGTAGCTTGTTAGTCGCACAGGAATGAATCAGATTGTATACAGAACTGCATGGAAATGGCATCAAGGCGCCGGGAAGGGGGCGTACGCGAGGAAAGTTTGTTTCGGGCATTGCGTCGAGACTCAATTGTTCTATGTCGCCGCCGCGCTAAGCGCACAAGGGTACCATTCTCTAGATACAGTGTAGTGAGCACTATCACAAGGGCCTTTACAGGGTGCTGCAAGACTGACTGCCAGCATCGTGCCTGCCTTGTTCGACGAAGCGCGACGAATGGGGAAAGAGCTAGATAAGCGGCGGCTCTAGCCGAAGCGATTCATGTTAAGAGACACAAGCTTCGAACAACGGCCTGCGTCATTCTCAATACACTGATTCTAACTCTCTTGTTCACCATCGCAGGCTAGCGCAGTGCGTGTCTGGCTTACTGCCGCTCTACACAATCAGCTTGTGCCTGTCTGTCTCTGCTGGGGCACGGTCACGCAAACGGCAGACGCCACACGTTGTCGACGCGGCCATCGCTTGCTCCTACTTCTCAGTCGCCGTGAACACAACACGAAACGCGTAGGCGCTGGATAGACGTACACACAATCGGACTTGGATTGTTCAATGAACGCTTCAAATTGCTCCATCCCTGATCAGGAACGTCATGTCGAACAAACAGGCCCGGGTGCCCTTCTGCAAATTCCTGCTGGAGGGCAAGTGCAAGAGAGGGAAGGATTGCAAATATCGGCATCATGGACCAGGTATGCTCGAATGCCTGGAATCACGCTCCCATTCGCGACCACTGACCGTTTGCTTCACAGAACGGCCAACCGCGACAGCATACGGATGCGAGCTTTGGGGCCCCGCCGAAGCAGCTTGGCCATCCATCAATCCCCATGGTCCACCTGGCACATTCACAACAATGATCGATGACTCCTTCCAAGCGACCTTCTCAGCAGGACTTTTGACCACGAACGTACAACCCCTGAGTGCTTTGAAGCCCAAGCTACGCGTAGATCTCGTGACGTCAATGCTCGAGGTCACTTTTTTCATGCCTTCCCGAAATATCTGGACACACTATGGCAAGAAGGAGGATGCGGAAGTTGTGGCAAAGACCCTGGACAAGACGGTCTTGCGTGGTCTCACATTCGCTTGCAGTGTCAAGGAGTCGACAAAGGGTCGTTTGTGGACCGTGCAGATGACAAACATGACAGACGACTTTGATGAGGCGTTCATCCGCGGCCTTTTGCCGCATACCGTGTCGAATCCTAAAGCTGTCGTCTTCGGTCCGCTGACTTACGGCGCTCTCGTGTCGCCATTCAATGTATTGGAAAAGAAGATTGGCGAGTTTACTATGCGCCATATCCTCGGCAACGACATCAAAGCCAGCAAAAGCCGTCTGAGAAGTGTCATTACACTAGAGTTCGAAGGCTTCCCGAACCTGGCGTCGCTTGCAGCCAGCCTCAATGGTCAAAACGTTTCTGGGCTCGGTGACTGCAAAATCTGGGCGTCCGAACGACTGCGGGTCGTTCTGAGCATCGATCGTGAGAGCTACTTCTACCGTTCGAAGCAGCTCAAGCGAGTCTCTACCAACGTCTGGCGAGATCTCAAGGTGTCGGTACATATCGACGACAAGGATGTTGGAGAGAATCCTCTCTACGGGTCAGGGAAGACGGTCGACGTTACGCTATGCGGCACAAGCCGTACAAACATTGGGCTGGCAAAGGCAGCCATCAACGAGGTCTGTGCCAAAGCTGTGGACTTTCATCTCGACTACACTCGACCAGTCGGAGGTGTCCAGACGCATCGGCTGCGGCTTACTAAGACGAAAGCATACAGAGATGCCGTAAAGACTGGTGGAGGGTTTGAGAGAGCTCAGCGCGCCGTGGGATCTGATCTAGTCAGTCTTGACGAGGAGTCGGACCCGCCAGCCATTATCGTCAAGGGTGATGCGACGGTGGTCTCGATTGTGAAGAAAGCACTCAGTGTCAACGCTTCAGCCACAGATGGTGCCCTGACTTGCCCGATATGTCTTGATCTAATCAAGAAGGCGGTGGTCATGTACGGCTGCGGTCATGTGTGCTGCAAGGATTGCTTCGCTAAGTACTGCGCGACGGCCACAATTGCTCAAGTTCCGCTTCGCTGCTTCAATACAGGCTGCGAAGTCTTGATGCCAGTACAACTGGTTCGCGACAATCTGGACAAGGAAGCGCTGTACAAAGTCCTCAGCTTAGCGGCGGTGAATCAGATGCAGACTCGCCCAAAGCAGTATCAGCAATGCGCCGGCCCAAGCTGCAAAGCTTTCTTCGACATCGAAGCCGGGGGTGAGAGCCTCTGCCCGTCCTGCTTCACGATCACTTGCGTGGGGTGCAAGGTCGAAATGCACTTCGGCGAGAGCTGTTCGGACTACAAGGGGCGCGCGAATGGTCACCTTGGTGCACTACAGAAATGGATGGACGAGAACAAGTGCAAGCGCTGTACGAAGTGCGATGCTGCCGTGCAGAAGGTCGACGGCTGCAACAACATGCGCTGCAGTGGGTGTAGGTCAGACTTTTGCTGGAAGTGCATGAAGATCTTTGACGGCCATAAAGATGTCTATGGTCATCTTGTGAGCGAGCACGGCGGCTATTTCGATCCTGGCGAAGGGTGGGTCGTGGATGACTATGTGATCGTTCTGCATGAGGAAGAAAGTTAATCCAGCAGGGATGCTGCCTCGCACTGCCCACGCGCGGATCAGGCGTAGATACCCGGGGGTCGCAAACAAGATGACACGTTGCTGGCGATGTTTGATAGCAGTTCGGTTGGATCGCAACAGGATCAAGGTTCTTGGCATTTCGAGCAGTTATGGACTGTATTGCTGGATATAGATCGTATCTAAGTCGAGCGTGCTAGGCTGCGAGATGCTTCCTGGATTAGAGCAATGGTCGTGGAGCTGTAGTCGTGGGTAGTGAAGATACTGTCAGTGTAGAACGCTGTATCATACAAGGCCGCAATCACTTCAATCACACAAGCCCACTTTTGTCAATGTGTTCAAAGTGATGCGAATGCCAATAGACTCAATTACAATTGCTTGAGCGGCTCATGCACTGCAACAGCGCTCCATCATCCCGAGCTCATCGTAGCTCAAACAGGGTTTCTAACCGGCCTTTAGCTTGATGCTCGTCGACAGCCTCCCCGTGCATAACACCATGCACGTACGCGGAGCCCACAAGCTGACATTGACCGCTTTGTAAGGGGCGCAAGATTATAGGCAAGATTGCACCTCTTAGTATGACGACGACATCACCTGCCCTCGACTCAGCAGGTCCCAGTCCCAGGCTTCCACTCTGCGTCGCGAAGACCCTGCGACTCAACACTGCGTCCCAATAGCAGTCCTGGCAGCTGAAATATGTTGTCGGGTCTATCGATTCCTCGTATCCGTGGCCGCCCTTTGCGCATGCTTGAATCGAGGTCACTACAACGTCGATAAGTCTCACCATAGCCCGATGTGATGCTCTTGACATACTCGCGCCCTGTCGATTAGAGGCACACGGCAGGACATATGCTAGAGTTGGGACAGCACTGGCCATCTCGTTGTCAGGCCTCGACTGGACATGTGTATAGACCACTTCTCGTAACCACTCATTATCCTGTATCTCCATTCCTAGGGTTGACGTAGTGAAATACTGCAAGGACGTGTCTGCACAGTAATCGTGTCAAGCATAATACCCATCACGCTAAGGACCGCAGGTACAGAAGAAGTCATCTGTACGCTTAGCGCCCGGCTTAATCCTCCAGCGGCGTCAAACAATCTCGGGAGGCTGTGCTTGTCCTGCAGCAAATCATACTCTCTGTCTGGCCGAAATGCCCAGGATGCTATTTCCTCGTCGTCGGCAAGATCATCGGAGCGGTGCGAGACAAAGTGTAATGGCCAGATGGTTGTGCCCTCTTTCAAGGCGTAAAAGGTAGCAGACTGCAGTATCGATGCAAGTGACTTTGTATAGTCAGGCTTGAGGGCGGTAGGAATGGGCCCTGCCAGTAGACCTAATGTAGCATATATGCTGTCCCGAGGCTCGCTCTTCTGGTAGCGACTGCCCGTCAAAGATATCAGCCTAGTTAGGGTGGATATGTTGCTGGGCGATTGGTCTCTTGTCCTGATTGTTGTGAGCAGCTGTTGAGCACTCTATACGCCAGCAGCTTCGTCCATACTGATCTCTGCTTTCTCACGCACTAGGGGACGAAACCATACCAGAGCGACAAGAACCTCGAATAAGGAGGTGCAGTACGACCCGACGTAGACCATGTTTCGGGGAGCTAGAGCGGCCTCCTGGACGACCCAGAGACGTCTGGATATATGAGTTAAGGGCAGCTTGCATCGATACTATCACGTACCTAAACCAAGGAATGGCTGCAGCCTTTCGTATGGCCACCCAGTCAATCTCAAACGCTATATCAGTCTGCGGTTTGTGTAAGAGCATGTCGTCAAGGTTGCGGAAATGGTCAGTATCTTCTTCAGCATCACCATACAATGCATCCAGCATGCGGACCATGCGTTCGGACATATCGTCTTCGTCATAGTCTCCCAGATGCACCAGGTTGCCACTGGACTGAGAGTATATCCTTCCCATCAAGGCGACTTGCTCGTTACGCTCCAGAACAACATCTTGGTTGATACATACTGCGTCAATCCACAAGACTCGCGGATGATCCTGCAGCCGCATACGCAGATAGAGCCAGCTCGGAGTTCACTGGCACATGTACAGGTGCGCCGTCCAGCAGTATACGGCGTGAGCGGACGGAGCTGCCCCAGACATAAGATATCGTCTCGTATGGCTGCCATGCTGCCGACGAGATTGTAACATGTCTAATGTGAGCTTGTATGGGTTCTTGGCCTGTGCCTGGGAGTATTTCTAGTACCCTGATCTCCTCCAGATCATTGTTGAGGGCTCGATAATGGTAGCCCCCCACGTCTTCCTGCTCATCTGTAACCTCCAGATCGTTTCCGAGCATGCTCTACAGCGGTATCAGAGGCGTAATGGTCGCTCAGATTGTGAGGTGGGAAGTCTTAGTAGAGCTAGTCGAGTTGGCTACGGAACAACGTACCCGTGCACAGACCACCATATGTCGAGCACTATCATCCTCATGAACATGAACATCGCCGATCACATGAATACGGGAGTGACACTTCATCGTCGTCCGGGTTGCTAATATGTCCAGGAGAGAGCTGTTCCACCTACGGAAACAGCTATGTGCGTTCCAACGTCAACTTCTGACCAGACCATACACATCTGAAGCACAACCTCCAACATCGATATCTCTAGCACCCGACCCAGTCCGCTTCCTTCAAGCTGCCGATCAGGCCGCATTACGGCTGGCCAGACAACGTCTAGAGAGCGTAGTGGACCATGCGAAGCATACTACAGAACAAGTCTCCGCCTTCCCGACCGCGCTACAAATCCCCATCACTACTCGCAAGCCAGGCGTCAACCATGCCTCAGAGGACCCATACGAGACGACCCTCACGCCCTATCAAATGGGCTCTCTCCGCGCCCGCCAACAAGAACAACCAGCCGCCCTTGACAACCTCTTAAAGCAAGCCGACCACATCGACAAACACCTCCAAGACCTACAACTCCTACCATATACCACCTCGTCCGCCGAACCAACCAACCCAGCCTTTACGAAGTGGCAACAGGGAATCATCAAGATGAGCACAGAGGAGAGGAATCTGGCATTGAAAGAGTTGAGCTATGAAGAACAAGCCAAGCGGTCGAGGCTGATGGGCGATAGTAAGAGGCTAGTTGAGATTGTCAAGGAGGTCGAGGCAGCGAGTCGCAAGTATGGTGGACCCGTAGGTGTAGATGCGCCCACTAAAGCAGAGAATCCTTTCGCCGCCGGTACAGCTCACGCTGGAAGTGGGAATCGACAGAGCACATCAGCCAAGGCAGGCACAGCAGACCCGGCAGAGCGAAAGGGTAGTAGTACAGGTGAGCTGAAGCAGAATTTGGCCAAGAAGTTCCCAGGCAGTACGACTGGGAGCGAGCAGAAGGTTGAGACGACGACGGCTACTCCACCGCCAAGGAGAAGTACGGCGCAGACATTGCTAGATTTACAAAGAAGTCTCGCTGAAAGTTTGAAAGGGGGGAAGTGAAGCATCGAAGATAGAATTTGTAGTACCAATCTTGCGCGCACCGCGCGTGGTTTATTCGCGGCTATTAGCTAGCTACGCGACCACGATACACATCTTGTGTAGACCCCTTAAGCGCCCATGGCGTGTATACCAACACCACCAAAAATTCAATAGACCGTCAGAGGTAGAGACGGTCTTCTCCCTCCGTAGCTCGAGAGAAACACATCCTCCACCCTCACAATACTGATTCATTGCACTCCAGCACCACCGACGGCACTCTGAATATCCGATGAAGGGTAAAAGTAAGCCCCAAGTGCGATAATAATATACGCAGCAATGAGCAAACTGCCCTCCAGGTAATTACTTCTTCCATCCAGAATCAAGAAGTTAACCACGAAAGCCGTGACGAACAGACTGATCGTCTCGAAAAGATTAAAGTAGAGACTCATATCCGTATGTAGGATCCAGCCGAGAAGGACAACGATGGGAGTGACGAAGAGCGCGATCTGAATACTTGAGCCGATGGCGACACCGATAGCCAGATCCATCTTGTTCTTCGCGGCGACGGTGACGGCAGTAACGTGCTCGGCTGCATTACCGACGATGGGAAGGATGATGAGACCGATGAATGCTTCACTGATGGGCGAGGAGGCAACCATGTTCGGGATGGCGTCGACCATGAACTCGGCGCAGACAGCGACCAAGGCAGTAGAGCAGAGGAGCAGGACGACTGCGGCGGTACGAGACATGTTTTCCTCTCCCTCCTCATCCTCACCTTTGCTGGCTTCCGATAGTCCAGTCGTGCGGCTCTTCTCGACTTGCGCCTGGAAAGGTGGGACAGGATCAGAGCGGCTGGGTGCGAGAGGGCCGGGTTTCGGTGAATTGGTACGTTGCTTGTTGAAGTCCGGCAAGGAGCTGGCGCGGCGGAGGCCGAAGGCTTCGGAGCGGGCGCGTGACAGTTGAGGCATAGCTGGACGTGGTTTGGGCGCATCCGGCTGTGGTGCAGGACTACTAAAGACGGTGTTTGAGAGGTACTTGGGCAGTGCAGGACGTCCGACATGCGAGGAGATATTGCGCATGTTAAGCGCAAGTCGGCCCGGCGTCACTGTATCCTGAGCTTCGTTCTGTTCGCGTACGAATTCGACGTCATCAGCGAAGCCGACTTTTGGCTCGGCGTTGGTGTGCTCCTTGACCTTTGCTCCTGGCGCGATCTCATCGTCCTGCTTCATGGCCTCTTTCTCCTCGTCGTGGTGATGACGGCGCTTGTGGTGATGCTTCCTGTGATGCTTGCGCTTCGACTTCCTACGCTCAGGAGATTTCGATCCTTCAGCTTGAGCATTCTCGTTGTTTTGCACAAAGTCACGAATGCGAGGCATGATGCCCTGGCGTTTACCTTCATCATCTGCGTCGGCCTCGTCACCACTAGCTATAGCACCAAGAGCGGATTCACGTCGCGATGTAGGTGCGTGCTGGACTTGATGCTCCCAATAGCTACCTTGACGTTCCATCGTTGATGGAGAGCTGATCGCAGAAGGTACTGCCGAAGATGCCGTTGTGCTACTGACACTTGCGTTCGACTTGCGACGGCGGCGGTTCTTGAACATCTTCTTCCTCAATCGCTTGCCGTGGGTCATGATCGAGCCAGATGTGTCAGAGTCCGTGCTGTCAGACGAGCTCGTGTCCGAGGAAGAAGAGGACGAGTTCATGATGTCGTGAAGTACACCAGGGTGAGACTCCTCATCAATGATGGCTTGTGGGGTACTCTCATACATATATGCATGTGTCTTGAGCTGGAACAACAAGTATAGGACGTAAACCAAAAGCAGAATGACACTCGTGCCACGGCTGACTTGCAGGACTGCCTTGTCCGCAGCAGCAGCGCTTGCCTCGTTGAAAGAGGCGTGGAAAGCCGTTGGCAGTAACAGACTCATGACACTCAGACTGAGCAGACAGGCGCTCATCTGGGTGACGGTGCTGTTGTATATCTGCTCACGGTAGCGCAATCCGCCAAAAAGGAATGCCATGCCGAGGATGAGCAGTAGATTGGCCAAGATCGAGCCGAGCAAGGAGGCGCGCACAATGCTAATCTCGCCTTTTACCAGGGCGATGATAAAGATGATCAGCTCCACAGCATTGCCGAAAGATACATTTAGCAAGGCGCCAAGAGTGTCTCCCATACGTGCAGCCACTGACTCGGTCGCGTAGGCGAGCAAGCCAGCTAAAGGCACGATAGCAACAGCGTTCATGGCGAAAATGATGGAGTCATTCAAGCCCACAGCTTCAGCGATGATGCCAATGGGTACGAAAAGGAGCAAGACGTTGATCCAGCTTCGAGAAATGGCGCGCTTGGTATGTTTGCCAAAACGCTTGGAACCGGCCCAGGCACGGGATGGAAGGGATCCTTTCACGGGCTTCTCGCCCTCGGTAGGCGTTATGGCGGTATCTCCATCGCGCGCAGCTTCGGTATTCTGCTCGAGTAGTGGTGGCTGTGCGGACTCCGATGCGACACCTGCAGGGCTCTGGACCTTGGACACCTCAGGCACACCTCCACCACTTCCTCCTCCAGCAAGAACTCCATGTCCATGGCTGTCGCCGCTGTGGGCAAAGGCTGCGGATCCCGACGGTGACCCGGGCCCGACATCGTTGTCGTTCAATCCGCCAGCTTTCTCGTTGCTACCGTCTGGTTGATAAAGAGGCAGGATGGCGCCTCCGTTGATAGTATCTGCGTTGCCGGAAACTGTTCGTCCAACGTGTAATCTCGCTTGACTTTTGTATCGGTCTGGTCGAAATAAGTCAGAAGGTTTTCCCATCGGCGTATGGAGTAGTGCCTTGTGAAGAGGCTTGTGTGTGTAAAGGGAAGTAGGGAGACTGGGAAACGCGAGGGTTGTTATCTGATTGAGTGCAAGGGGATTGCGGGTCTTGTACGTGACGCCTGCACATGCAAGCTAAGCCTTGCTTACTACTCAAAGAAGTGGCGGTGGAGATGTGGCGTGCTTAGCAGGTCTCGGAGCTTCATGATGATTGTCCGAGGACAGAAATGATTGTTACTTACGCATGTCAAGCGTTGCTTTGTCGCTAGTCGCAAACACCTGGTCGTGTGTGGGAGTCTTTCGAACAAACCAAACGAAGTTCTCTCTTGGGGATTCGAGGCGTTTGTCACATTCGCACTTTCTTGGAAACAAGCCAAGACGACGAAGTACGCGATCCGGCTTGGCCTACGTGTCAAAACCTAGACCTCGAACAAGCAATCCATGCGCCACATCTGCTTCCAAGCACACGACTAGCTGCAAAGAATCCCGCAAACTGGGAACGGTAGAGCAAAGCTTCGCGGCACCGGGTTCTGTCTGCCATAACCTATCGACCTTAAGCCTCTCATACGCAATGCTCGTCAGAAAGCGTTATGGTCAAGCTACTCAGCATTATGAGTCTAGAATCTCACTGCCTGAGAATGTATACGCCTAGTCAGTAAGTGAAATATGGGCATCTTGCTCCAGTCCCCCAACATATGGCTCACGGTAGACAGCGACCACAATGATGGGTCCGTCGAAGGGCGCTAGCTGTTGGCGTGCTACACTGCTCTAATAAGGGTTCCTTGAATATCAAACAAGTCGTGCATATTGCAGTACCATAATATGTGATTCACAGGAACCATACTCTGCTTGTCCCCACAAGTCGTGTCCTGTCCTGGCCCCCCAAACGCCACCAACACCATACAATCGTTAACCTCAATCATAAGCGTAGCACGAAAGCCTTCTAATTCCTCAAAGCCCTCAACCGCTCTCCAAGTTTGTCCTCCCTCTCCTCCTCGGGCGCAGCTTTGAGGTCCTTCGCTGGTGTCGCGCCAGCCATCTCCTGTGAAAGCTCCACACCGGCCTCGTCAGCAACCTGGCTCATGAGCTTGTCAACGTCGTCCTGAGGTGTCGCGACAGCCGTCGATTGTGAAGTCGCATTCTCATAGTATCCAGTAGCCACATCCAAATCTTCGAATTGTGTTTGGAAGCGGTCCATTACTGCCGAGATCTAGTACCACCAAGTTAGCACCTGTACCATCCTGCAGGCTGAATATATGGATACGTACCTTCTCCAGATCCATACTCTTCATAGCGCTGTCCATACCCCTAACAACATTCGCCATACTGCCCGTCACCTGTCGCATCGTAACAGCAGTCTGTACCCTCGAGCTCACAGCATCTATTCTCGAGCCCAGACGTAGAAGATTGAGCTTCTCATTCTGCTTCCGTATCGCATTTTGAGCATAGATCTTGGCGATGTCTGAGTGGCCTTGTTGGATAGCCTGTGTAAATTATGGTCAGTCACCCAGTCTCATACCCATCTCATTCATGCCTCCCATACCTTTTTCAATTTCGCCTTCTCGGTCTGCTCGTCCTTGCCGGCTTTTGCTGCTTGTCGATTCAATTGCTTCGCTGTGAACTTGAGGTTGAACAACGCCTTTTCCAGCCCGGACATGATGTCTGCTCTTCACCCTCTTGCGAAAACGGAAGTCCAGTTCTCCGCTGGCTAGATGTGGTATGTCGAGTTTGAAAGCGCCACGCTGTCGCGGATCCGGTGGCAGCTGCTTGGACGAGGCCAGCTATCCCGGGAGCACAGTCCGTGGACGCAGGAATAGTGGCAAACTCCGGATGAGGCGAGGTGGATGGCTTTCTCGTAGGAATCTGGGTGATGAAGGGAATGTTGTTACCTGTGTGCACGATTACATCTCTCGAATCGCGGAGCAGCGTGGGGCAGTGTTCACGTTCACGTGCTTAGTGCGTCACTGTTGGTCCGTGCAGCGTTCGCGAGTGAACATCGGAACGATTGAGATGGGGATCTGCATTGGTGGCATATGATGGTTTACATAAATCTAAATATTCCTACCACCAGTAACACTAATCGTCTGCCCAGTGATGTAGCTGAACAGTGGCGAGACCATGGCCAAGACCGCCGCAGCAGCCTCAGTGGCCGTTCCAGGCCTTCCAAGCGGAATGTCCTTGTACGCCGCAGCTTCATCGCCCTTCTTCGCCGCCCGCTGCGCTTGCGGTATGCCAAGAGCGACCTTCTCACCATCTGGCGTAAGCACGAATGCACCCTCTTCCTTGGCGGCTGTCAGACGAGTCATTATGTGACCAAATGCAACCGTGTTGGCCCGGACCCCGAACTGAGGACCCCATTCTTTGGCGATGGTCTTGGTGAGACCGGTCACGCCGGCTTTGGCGAGAGCGTAGTTGGCCTGGCCTGCGTTGCCGTGGAGGCCGGAGGTGGAGGAGACGTTCACGATGGAGCGAGGTTCGCCGTCTTTGACGCGGAAGTAGGGTGCTGCGGCTCGGACGAGCTTGAAGGGTGCGGTGTTGTGGAGGGCGATGATGGTGTCCCATTGTTTGTCTGTGGTCTGCACCAGCGTCAGTACGAAGGCCTTGAGAGACTGCAAAGTGACTCCTTACCTTGTGAATGACGCCGTCCCATGTATAGCCGGCATTGTTGACGATGATGTGGATCTTGCCATTACCAAACTCTGCTGTCTTCTTTACAAGATCGGCGATGTATTTATCGTCAAGCATATCGCCAGGTATCGACGTAGCTTGTCCGCCAGCTTTGTTGATCTCGTCCGCTACACTCTGCGATTTCTCTAAATTACATAGTCAGCAAGATGAATAGCAATCCATTGACTGTGAGCACTAACTGGCATCGATATCTGACACCACGACCTTGGCACCCTCCTTTGCGAATAGCCTGGCCGTCTCGGCACCAATCCCCTGTCCGGATCCTGTTATGATCGCAACGGACCCATTGAGCATACCCTTTGGGTAGTTCAGATGAGCGGCAATCTGCTCGACACGTTGGCTAGCCATGCTGAACGATGCGAGGGTGGTGAATGATGAGAGAAATGATACACTATCGTCAAGAATATTCTACAGTGGAGGATATAAGCCTGCCGGTGCTTCGGTGATTCAGGTGTCCCTTCCGCTGTGGTCTTCAGCATTCACTGAACATTGTGCCTCGGCTTTGCTGTCAAGGTGGAGAACAACCTGAATCGAGTTACTAAGCTTCCGAGCTCACGTGCAGGCTAACCCGATGCGGCGTTCGCGCTCGATGATGACAACGCGCCGGACGATTCTCGAAGACCTTCTTTGCCTCTTTATGGTGAGTTGGCCTTTGTTATCGACGCCCATGGCTACCGCACATACTGACGATCAGCCGACTAGGCACCCTTTTGCGATGGACACCACTTCTGCGAGCAACCTCAACATGACAACTCCCAAGCCTACCTTGAAATGGTCGAAGCAGTTCTCGGTAACGACGAGCGATCGTGTTGCACTTCCTGGGGACAAGATCTTGCTTCCGCCTTCAGCGTTGGAGGATTTGTTGGAGGCGACTTCGGCCGTGGCAGCTCATGCAAAGCAGCGAGATCTGCCAGCATACGACCCATACAACTCGTCGACTTGGTCGGCACATAGGCGAGCGGAAGCAGAGTTCCAGGATCAATGGCAGCAGTTGCTCTACCCTCTGACATTTCGGCTCGTCAATGGCGAGAACGAGCGAGTGGTGTATGCTGGTATTCGGGAGTTCTCGGCCGAGGAGGGCCAAGTTGTGCTCAGCCCGTTCTTGTGGGAGAGCTTAGGACTGAAAGCCCACGAGGCTAACCGCGAGGATGCCATGGAAGTAGATGGAAAGAGTCTGTCATCAACCATCACCATCCATGCCAAGATTCTGCCCAAGGGCACATTTGCGAAGCTCAGGCCAATGGAAGCTGGCTACGATCCGGAGGACTGGAAAGCATTACTCGAGCAGTATTTGCGACAGAACTACACCACCCTTACGAATGGCGAGGTGTTGATCGTACCTGGTCCAAGAGGTGCAGGAGGCAAGAAGGAGGAGTTCCGCTTTTTGGTTGATGGCTTCAAGCCTGACGTGGATGGCATTTGCATTGTGGACACAGACCTCGAAGTCGATATCGAGGCCTTGAACGAGGAGCAAGCACGTGAGACACTCAAGAGGGTCGCAGCAAAGTTGACACGACTGCCTGGATCCGAGCAGGGAACTTCGCCTGGTGGTGAGCTGGACCTATTCAAGGAGCAGACAGGGCAAGTGCTACCGGGAGAATATGTCGACTACCAGCTACCTTCTTGGATTAAGTCGCAGGCTCTCGACTTGGAACTTCACGTGGACGACGAGGATGTCGATCTCGATCTGCTAGTCAGTCCATTCTCGGCAACTCAGCGCGTAAAGCCACGACTCGATGAACATGTCTTTGCTGATCTGGAGGGCCGTCCGCGGAAGCGTATTCGTATAGAGCCGACGAATGCAGAGCTGGAAAAGGCGGAGGCACTGTTCATCTCGGTACATGCTTGCGATATCACCGAACACCCGACGAATGACACATCTGCTGGTAGCAATGCACGCCCGAGACACTATACCCTACGAGCACGACATACTGATGACAAGAGCGACTCGAGCCAGCTGAAGCTCAACGATGATGACGTTGCACCAAATGAAGGAGACGTGCGGTGCAAGAACTGCCTACAATGGGTCCCAGGCCGTGCACTAATGCTACACGAAAACTTCTGTCTTCGCAACAACATCGCCTGCCCTAAAGGATGTGGTCAAGTCTTCCAAAAACGCTCTCCGGCTTACGAAGCCCACTGGCATTGCCTCCACGACGTGGCCTACGGCAGCACCCCAGCCACGAAAGTCAAACACGACTCTATCTTTCACCCAGACAATGTCCTTCGCTGCCAGGACTGTAATACTAAAGAGACCTTTCCCAACATAATCGGCCTCTCTCACCATCGCACAACAACATGTCCATCGAAGCTAATCCTCTGCCGTTTCTGTCACCTCGAAGTTCCACAAGAAGGCGACCCAGACCAACCATCAGCAGAAGTCATGCTCTCTGGCCTTACCGCCCATGAACTAGCCGACGGCGCAAGAACGACCGAATGCCACCTCTGCTCTCGCATTGTCCGACTGAGGGATATGGAAGTCCACCTCCGGACCCACGACCTCGATCGCCTGAACAGACTTGCTCCGCAACCATGCCGCAACATCCTTTGCGGCCGCACACGGGACAGATGTGGGAAGAACGGTGATACGCGAGCAGGAACCAAACAAGGCCAGGGTAGTGGGAACGACATCGGGCTGTGTAGTACTTGTTTCGGACCCCTGTATGTCAGTATGTACGATCCCGAAGGCAAGGCTCTGCGACGGAGAATTGAAAGGCGATATCTGCAACAATTGGCTGTGACAAATGGCTGTGGGAAGGCGCACTGTAAGAACGAATACTGCAAAGCCGGACGCAAGAATATGGGCATCGCAGGCACGATCATCATGAAAGACGGTATGACGATGGTGAAACCTTTCATCGAGGGTCTTGAGAAGCCGCTAGGGGAAGAGAATACGCCATTGCATTTCTGCGTGGATCAGAGGAGTCAGACTTCGAGGCAGATGGCTGAGATGCTTGCTGCTGAAGATGGTGGGTTCACAGGAAAGACATATGAGTTTGAGTGGTGTGTTGGTGCTCTTGAGGCGGAGGAGGGTGATTTGGAGAGGGCGAGGACGTGGTTGAAGAATTGGGCACCCACGAAGCTTGAGCAGGTTAGACGGTAGATTGTAGAGTCTATAGATTTGATCATGAATGTCATGAGTTATGTTTCATAATCATGTTGGGTTTCACCAAGATATCGCACTGCTATAATGCATTCAAGTAGCCTTCGTGCTTCCCCTCGTGACGAGGGAGACGCCGCTCTCCTCCTTCGCCTTTCCGTACTTCTTCAGCCTGATCGCATTGACTGAGATGAAACCGGTAGTGTCTTGTGGCGCGAAATCCCCAATCTCGTCCATACTCGACTCGCTCTCGTCGTACAGCTTCTCCGTCTCTGACCATCTGCCTAGCACGGTGAACATGCCCTTGTAGACCCTGCACCTCACGCTACCGTTCACATTCTTTTGCGAGGCCGTGATGGACGACTCCAGGAACTCTCGCTCAGGGCTGAAGTACAAGCCGTTATACAGAAGCTTGGCGTAGTTGAAAGTGAGGAACTGATCACGAAGTGCGCGAACTTCACGATCCATGACCAAGCCTTCGAGATCGATGTGAGCGGAACGAAGCATAGTCAGGCCAGGGGTCTCGTAGCAGCCTCGGGACTTCAGGCCAATGAAGCGGTTCTCTACAATATCGATACGTCCTACACCATGTCGGCGGGCAATGGCGTTGGCGGTGAGAAACAGATCGACGGCATCTGTTTTCGCGCCGTCTTTGCTTTCAAGCTTGACAGGCAGACCTTGCTTGAAATGCAGTGTGAAATCTTCAGGCTCATTAGGAGCTTTGAGAGGGTCGACCGTCAGTTTCCACATGTCCTCTGGCGGAGTCGTGTTGGGGTCTTCGAGGATGCCGGCTTCATAGCTGCAGTGCGCCAGGTTCTCGTCCATGCTCCAGGGCTTGCTCTTAGTGCTCGTCACTGGGATACCCTTGGAGGAGGCGTAGTCGAGGAGATCGTTGCGGCCCTTGAATTTGTTGTAGAAGACTGGGTCGCGCCATGGCGCGATGACTTGGATCGAGGGCTGAAGAGCGTAGAAGGCGAGCTCGAAGCGGACTTGATCGTTGCCTTTACCTGTGCAGCCATGCGAGACCGCGAAGCAGCCTTCCTTTTGTGCTACAGCGATCTGGGCGCGAGCGATGACCGGACGGGCGAGGGAGGTGCCAAGGAGGTAGACGTTCTCGTATATGGCGTTGGAGGCAATCGCCGGGTAGCAGAGGTCTTCGATGAATTCCCGGCGCAGGTCTTCGATGTAGCATTGGCTGGCTCCGATCTTGAGTGCCTTTTCCTTTGCTGCTTTGAAGTCCTCCTCTTGGCCTACGTCGGCCATGAAGGCGATCACCTCATAGCCTTCATCCTGTCGCCGTGCTGTCAGTATACGAAGCAGTGAGTTCTGAGCGCGAGACCTACGAGCAGATAGCGGAGGATACAGCTGGTGTCGAGACCGCCTGAGTAAGCCAAGCATACTTTGCCTTTGCCCATGTTGGAGGTATTCTGGTGGAGAGGCGTGAAGAGTAGAGGGACGATTGTTAGGAGATTGGAAGAGTGAAGGGGAGTGCCAATGGCTGGAAAACAATGCGCTGGGATGCGTCACACAACTTTTTGCTCTAAGCTTGAGCTATCGATAAGATAAGATTACGTCGATGTGGCTAGCGTAGATGCTAGCGCGGAAAATATGCTCCCTGTCTGCGTGAACTCAAAACCTTCTCGTGCTCTCCCTTGCCGTGGCAAACTCTAGAGTACACTGGCTATTTTTCCTAGCTTTAGCTGACTGATGGAATACTCGTTGATGCTTACCACAGCTCTTCCACAACTCATGAGCTGCTCCGAGGCCGTCCGGATTGGCGGTGTGCCACTGGACTCAGGTGGTAGGTAACGACAAGCAGACTGCCACGAAAGGAACGATGTAGCAATCAGAGCGACACGCAAGAAATTGTCTGGCCTGACGAGCTCAAATCACTAAAGATATGCCAATTGACAAGCGTGGCTTTGATATGCTTACCTCTAGCTAAATGCTCGGGTTTATGATGGTCGCCCGACCGAATGGCTTCACCACGCCACCTTACAGTAGAGCAGATCCGTTCTGTTCGAGGAGCATACGAGTGGCTCAAGGCAATACGATCTCCCACATCCCTCTATGGACCATGGAGTTTAAGTCATGGTCGCTGGCCATTCTGGTGCGTGGAGGGCAAGCCGCTGCAGAGGATACAGTATACCGTAGGACTGTAGTCGAGTGCTCCGAAAAATATGTATTCCAGGGACATCCCAATCAGCCATAACCTCAAGTCTGATACCGGTGGCTGGCCTGGTCTCGACAGACATCGCTGGAGCGAGGACAACTAGTCTTGAGGACAGCATCTCAAAGACTCTGGTAAGCATCCTTTCTCAGTTTAATGTCCTCATGAGTCGGAGTCCTATATGTACAAGCCTTGCAAGTCTTCTACTCTTTCTGTATCACTTTACTGTCTCCTTCATCAGCTTTTACAGAACCAATTCGACCATGGCCATCTGTCTCGAAACCTGGAGTGAATCTGCCATGAAGCAGATCCTTCTACCTGGTGAACAGCATACCCACCCAAAGAGGCAGCGCAACACGATACCGATCTGTGTCGACGGCTTGATCTCTGACTTCGACGACGGGTTCAAACAAAGCAATATACGGGAAGCCTCTCATGACGACATCGGCTACTCCCTACGCTCCTGTGTTCCTTGTCTCATGATTTCCTGGCCCTATCGTTTCGATGCTCTTGCCGCTGGGATCAGTGAGCGCGACTTCTGGTTGCAAGGCGACGCGGCACTGATGATCATCCTCGAGCCTAGCAGAGAATACTGGTATTATCACGTAGGGAACCGGACACAGATGATAGTACCGCTGCCTAAGATACGCCAGCTGAATTCAAGGCTCGCCAAGCTACGGCGAAAGATTGCCGACCGTTCCCCTGACTTTGCGGCACAGGCGACATTGCGTACGAAGTACATGGCGCTTATCGGGGCCAAGGGCTTTACCACCGCGTGGCTAAACGACCTACCAACTCAGGGGGTTGCTCGGGGCTGTGAGCTCATTTATGGCTCCCATCTGAAGTTTGCTGGCAATGTCCAGATTGTCAGCGATAATCTCACGGACCTACAGGCTCTGTTGGCCTCACTTGCCAATAAGCATACGATCAAAAAGATGGAGAGCTGCATGAAAGAATACACTGTCATGACTTTCAACCTTTCCATGACTGCCATGATACCAGAAGGGATGGAGTGTGCCGTACGCGCCTGCACAGGTGAAGAGGCGAAAATGGTGCAAATGAAGCACTGTAAGCACGTCACCTGTGTTGACTGCTTCAGAGGCTGGTGTACCACCGATCGCCAAAGCAAGTTCCCTCTGACCTGCTTCGAGACTGGCTGCAACAGCCACATCCCCCTACCGAACCTCATTGAGAATCTCGAAGTCGGTGAGCTTCTCGACCTCGCGAAAGAGGCACTTCAGATGCAGACGAGATAGGACTCTGGGGTCATGGAGTGGTGGTCACATTGCACAGCGCCCGACTGCTCACGACCATACCGCCATGTCGAATCTGTAGAAGGTGAAGGCCACAGATACCTCTGCACAGGCTGCCTCACAACCACATGCACAGAATGTGGTGGACCTTACCACTTCGGCGAGACGTGTGCTGCTAATCGCACCCACGTCTCCACGGATGCGGATATGGCTGATTACATGAAGGTTTCGGGCGCACGGGCGTGCACTGTGTGTCAGACTGTGCTGCATAAGATCGATGGCTGCAACCATGTGGAGTGTCCCGGATGCAAGATACATACCTGTTGGGTCTGCATGAAGAATTTCAAGACGGCGTCGGAGTGCTATTTGCATATGTATGAGCAGCATGGCAGCTATGTGGATGGATGATCTCGTTGATGTGAGTCACATGGACAATTGGGCTCGAGATATGGAGATGACGAGGTGGTGTGATTTCGCAGGAGCCGTTCTCGTAGGCAATAAGTGAGCTATAGCGAGAGGCTGGCCTCTCACCGACCATGGTAAAGAAAGACAGTGCCACAATGTGAGGGGATTGTAGCAGGTTGTAGCTCTCCGTAGTAGTCTTCGCAATCCGTTTATATAAGTCTCCAACAGTACGTATCGTGATTGTCTTAGACAAACATATGCGCAGACTGGCGTTGAGTGTTTTGGTTCCCATTACGCCGCCATCATCCTGTTGAACGAGACTGCACCAACATGTAGACTGGTCTGTAGGGATCGGAAGTCTTTCACGTCAGTGTTCTCGCAACCGCCCCTTGCCTCGTTACAGGCGCACGAAGCTACCTCATGTGGCGTTCGGCTTCCAATGCTTTGACGTGCCTTCCTAAGTAGGAAGTCTTGAAGAACATTGTGCGGTGAATGTTCTCATGCTCACACGGAAAGATTCCGCTATATCTTGGCGAAGTGCGTTTTCGCCCTTCGGTGGGATGTTCTGCACGTGATACCACTTTTGGCACTTTTCATCCACGAATCTCCGTGACTCACTCTGGACCAGACATAAAGGCCGCCATCACTCGCCCAGGATCGAGACGATACAACACACAATCATGTCTCGATTCTTCCACGGCGACAGCTCAAGCGAGAGTTCCTCTGATGAGGAGGAATTGTACAGCGGCGATGAGGCCGAGCCCAAGCCAGAGGCCGAATCTTCTTCTGAAGACTCCGAGGAAGACGATGATGACGACGACGATTCCGACTCCAGCGACGAAGATGGAGCCAAAGGGACAGGTGCCAGCCGCTTCTTGCGCGACGAATCGGACGACTCCGAAGAGGAGGATGAAGACAAAGTCACAGTGGTCAAATCAGCAAAGGACAAGAGGTTTGATGAGCTCGAGGGCATCATTCGATTGATTGAGAATGCCGAGAAGATTAGCGATTGGGGTGCCATCAACGACCACTACGATAAAATGAACAGGCAACTACCCACCCTAACCCGTGATCTGGATGGCAAGGCGCCGAAGATGTACATCAAGACTATTGCGGAGCTGGACACGCAGGTCAACGAGGCAGTGGAGAAGCAGAAGGTCACGCCTAAGAAGATGAATCCGATCGCGGCCAAGGGTTTGACGGCACTGAGGCAGAAGCTCAAGAAGAATAACAGGGAGTATACGGCGGATCTGGAGCTGTACCGAAAGGATGCCGATGAGTTCATGAAGGAGGATGTAGTGGAAGAGGTCGCGCCTGCGCCCAAGAAGCCAAAATCCAAGCTTCTGCAGGGTGATCAGACTCTAGACGCCAATGACGATGGTTTCACGATGGTTGGCGCGGGTGGCAAAGCCATGGTCTACACTCCCGAGAGCATTTTGAAGCATCTACGCACCATTGTGGAATCCAGAGGACGCAAGAACACCGATCGACTCGAGCAGATCAAGATTATGGAGAGATTATTGGACGTGGCAGTCTCCGACTACCAGCGTATTCGCGTGCTCATCACGTTGATAGCCACCCGCTTCGATCTGACTTCCGGTACTGGTTCACAGATGTCTCAAGAGCAATGGAAGCTCGCACAAGAGGGCATCGCACAGCTTCTCGGCATCCTCGAGTCAAATGCCGGCATCATCGTTATTGAAGGTGCAGAGGAGTGGGAGGATGACGATAAGCAGCCTACAGTCGGACAGGGCGAGGTGTTTAAGGTCCCTGGCTCCGTTGTATCCTTCGTTGAGCGCCTTGATGATGAGCTCACCCGTGTGCTGCAAAGCATCGACCCTCACACCGCTGAATACGTCGAGCGATTACAGGACGAGGGCTCGCTATACATCAACATCGTCCGCGCACAGCTTTATGCTGAGCACCTCAAGGCAGACGAGAAGCTCAACGCATCTCAGGAGAACATCAACCGTGTTGTCATGCGCCGCCTGGAGCACCTCTACTTTAAGCCATCGACCGTCAATCAGACACTGGAAGAGAACACCTGGAAGGCTGTGCCCGAGAAGCTCGATTCCAAGGTTTCGCCGCGCTCGGTCGGCGATGTCCAGGATCTCGTCCAAGTCCTTGCGGTGTATTTGTTCAACAAGTCTGAGGGTATCCTCCGTGGCCGCGCCATGCTGTGCCAGATCTACTTCCTCTCTCTCCACGATCAATACTACAAGGCTCGCGATATGATGCTCATGTCACATCTGCAAGACACAATCGCCAGCTTCGACGTCAACACTCAAATTCTTTTCAACCGCACACTCACGCAAGTAGGCCTATGCGCTTTCCGCGCCGGCCTTGTCTACGAATGCCAGACCACTCTACAAGATATCTGCGGCTCACAGCGCCAAAAGGAGCTGCTCGCGCAAGGTCTACAAATCCAACGTTACTCTCAGATCACACCCGAGCAAGAGCGTCTGGAGAGGCAACGACAACTTCCCTTCCACATGCACATCAACCTCGAACTCCTCGAATGTGTCTACCTCACCTGCTCCATGCTCCTCGAGATCCCTACACTTGCACAAGCTGGCTCCTCCCCCGACCTCAAGAAGCGCGTTATCTCGAAATCCTACCGCAGGATGCTCGAGTACCATGAGCGCCAGATCTTTACCGGCCCACCAGAGAACACCCGCGATCACGTCATGCAGGCGTCGAAAGCTCTGGCTGCAGGCGAGTGGAAGAAGGCGGCTGACTTCATCACGTCGATCAAGATCTGGGATCTGCTACCGAAGAGCGAGGAGATGAAGCAGATGCTTGAGCAGCAGATTCAGGAAGAGGGTCTCCGGACGTACCTCTTCACCTACGCGCCTTTCTATGATACCCTTTCTGTTACGAACTTGGCGGGTATGTTCGATCTCAAGGAGCAGAAGGTGACGGCCCTTGTGAGCAAGATGATCCACCACGAAGAGCTTGCTGCAGCACTCGACCAAGTCAATGGCGCTATCATATTCAGGAAGGGCGTTGAGCTCTCTCGATTGCAGAGTCTCGCTCTCACCATGGCGGACAAGGCACAGAATCTTATTGAGTCGAATGAGAGGGTGCTGGAGCAGAGGACACAGGGCACATCGAACGCCTTCGAGAGGCAACCCCAACGAGGGCGTGGCGGCGGACGTGGAGGTCGTGGAGGAAGAGGCGGTGCTGGACAGTTCCGTGGTCGTGGCGGTGGGAGCGGGTTCACAGGTGGTGCGTTGGGAAATGCGATCAGAGCGCAGTAGGCTCATCTCCAATTACTTGTGCTGTATGGCGTTACTGGCAAGAAGATTTGGGATGGGTTTCCAGAGTTGTGATTGCTTTTACGTGCTGCTAGTGGCTAGGCTACGTGATCGCCGGACATTGATGTGGTCCTGATCGTTATGTAGCTGTCCTAGACAAAGCACGTCTCCAAACAGATCTTCATGTCAATCCCACAATCCTTCTTGATACTCATACAAGATCTCTCGTGCCTCTTCGCACGGTCTTAGCATGTGTTAGCATTGCAGTTTGGTAGACCGAAAGGTAGGATGGCAAGCGCCATTTCTTCATGCATCGAACCACACAATGACTTGTTGTTCAGTTGATTAAGTCACAGAGACTCGTCATACTTCCCCATCTTCACCCTGTACCATCTCCCCTCGTCCAGATCACAATTCAATTGGCATGAGCCTAGTCGCTTGGTGGATCTTAGGCAAGGTATGGTTCTTGGGCATCTGCGCCTGCGAGGTCGCAAGGCACGGCTTCATCACTCTCACTTGGGACGTCTGCATCTTCGACTTGGGGGTACTTGTCCATCTCGCAACGCCTACGCGTCTCCTCTTGTATATGCTTGCGGTGATCGCGTGCAAGACGCCACTCGAAATAATCTGCGTTTCTTCGGGTTGTATGGACTTGATGTGGAACACAATCACTACGCTATGTGAGCTTCTCATAAACAAAATATGGAGATAGATGGAACCTGTTATGTTCAGTACCCTTCATCGCCACCACCGCCGTACTCGTCCCCGCCTTCTTCGTGGTCGTCTTCGCCGTCGTCGAAGTATTGCTCGGCATTGTAGTCGTTAGCATCATCGTCATCGTCTTCGTCGAAGTCATCATCGTGTGGCGCTTCAACATCTCCATCACCAGCTTCCTCAGCATTCACTTCGTCCTCTGCCGGGTCATCATCAGCAGCATCGCCACCATCGCCATCTTCGTCGAATCTAGCTAATTTGTCGAGGGTCGTGCGCTGATTGAGCACAATCTTCTTCCTCGCGCCCTGGCCATCGTCATCCCCGGCATCGGGGTTGTAACCGATGTGCTCCCATAGTTCTTTCGGGAACAGGTGAGGTGCTGCCCACTTCCTCTTCTTTGGGTCGGGAAGACGGAAGGGTTTGCGTTCGTATTTCTTGGCATAGGTCTGTTGGTCCTCGAAAGCATTGAAGGTCGCAGCTGTCTTCTTGCCACATAATGCTTTGAGTGATCCTGGTGGGCCAGTGTAGTTCGGGCCAGCGTGCTTGAGAGCGATCAGCTCACGGTGGATCTTGACCAGTTCCTTTTCTCCGGCTGTTGGTGGTGGTGCGATAGGGACGCCGCCGGGATAGGGCTGAGATTGTGATTAGTCATATTTCGAGGTTTTTCTGTCGCAATGCGCCTCACTGGGAAAAGTGCAAGAGCAGGATCCTCTTCTGTCTGACCATCCTCGCCGTATTTGTAAACGTCTTCGAGATCTGGGTCGACGTCAAAGGGGAGTTTGTGGCCGCCCATCATACCGGCGCCGCCACGGCCACCAAAGCCGCCGCGTCCACCGCGAGACATGATCAAGTGTTCGTCTTGTAAGGAACCCTTCAACGTAGAGGAAAGCGAAAGTGGTCGTATATCCTCTCTGCAAGGTTTCGCATAGTCGTGGCTACAAGATGCTGTATCCTGTTTTCTGTGTTCGCAGTGATGTTGAATGGAGAAAGTCCAAAGCGCAAACGCCAATTTTTGTACGTGGGTGGGTGGCACGAATTTATGCAGATTTTGTGCGAACTGTCCTAGCCACATTTGAATATGCAGAGCAGGAACACAGTCACAGCAGATAGATTGGAAGTGAACGGTGTGTAGCAATTTCAGGAATCAATTGCTAGTCTATGTGGAAAACGTCGTGTAATGAATGTCGTGAAGGCATACCCATATATCCTACAGAAGCAATGCGATGCTACCTATGTGCATGTAAGGATGTACAAAGCAATGTATAAGCCGGAACCACGTTGCTCCTTCTTGGCGACCTTTCGTGGCCAGCACGGTCTGTCGCCATAGATGTGAACGACTCTGAGGATCTAGCGAGAAGCGAGATCGCGAGGGTGGGCGCGATCATTCTCGGCAGCACCCATGTCGCCTGATGACTTGAACTTGTGAGCCAGCAGGTAGGCAATCCAGTCGAGGATCTGCTTGAGAGTCAATCCATCGCTGGGCTGGGTAGGCTGCACAACGGTAGCCGAGCCGTTAGTGTACGACGATGGGATGGCGGTGGGAACAGCTCCGGTGGGTCTTATACTGTTAGCAGCTATCCCACTCCCAAGATCATGCCACAACTTACTGGGCGGAGACCGGTAGGACAGAAGTGAGGTTGTTTATGAGAGAAGAAATGATCGGGTTGACTGATGCCGATGGTACAATGGAGGTCAAGTCGGCACTCCCAATGCTAGACGTGAGATTGGCCAGAGCAGAGGAGAAGACTGGAGCCAGCGTGACCGATGGAGCAGTCGATGCTGGGACTGTGACAGTCACGGTCGAATAAAGGCGCGTGTCAGAGCTGGTGCTCAAGGACCCAGTGACAGGTGCAACGAGTGTGCCGTTGCTCGAGGAAGGGCTTGGAAGGGAGCCCGAAGAGCCGATTAATGTTGGCAAGGAGCTGGCAGTCGCTGGCCCAGCAACGGACGATGAGATGCTGGTGGTCTTGTTGGCCTCTTCGATTGGGCAAATAGTTGTCTCGATTGCTAGTGTGCTAGTGACGATACGGGTGGACTCGGCAGGGCAGTTGCCGACGCCAGGTGCGCAGCTAGTGATAGTCATCTTGCTCGTGGTGAAGATTGTGCTGGTCGTCAAAGACGCTGATGTTGTGGTAAGACTCGCTGTTGCTGGGTTAACAATTGTGGCGTTACTGGCGGATATCGGGCTGACGACTGCTGTAGACGAGCTGGATGCGTTGCTGGATGACATGATGGGGCTAGACGGCAGGTAGCTGAAGCTGGAAGAGATGCTAGATACGCTCGCAGATGCAGATGCACTTGGAGTCACAGCGCCGGCAAGCGAAGAGCTGGTGCTGGACGTTGTGTTCGCCGGCACTAGGGTCGTACTGATAGGCACAACTGTCGACAATACACGAGTACTGCTTGCTGGGCAGCTCGTAACTTCTGGCGGGCAGCTCGTGATTGTCCATGATGTGGTCGCGTATACAGTGCTGATAGCGTAGCCTGGAGCTGAGAGAGTGGTTGGGCTTATACGGGTACTTTTCGTGCGGGTGCTTGCAGTGCTCGAATTCGAGGCCGCTGCGGACACGGGAACTGTCGACAACGAGAGCGAAGCAGAGGCAGAAGGAGACGACGAGCGGGTGACAGGCATGACGATACTGCTGTTGGCGGAGGCCGAGCTCGAGCCGTAGCCAACAGGGATCCCAGGCGCTGAAGCAGACCTGGAGGAGATGACGGAAGTCGTGGCTGGCGAGACCACAGTGCTTTTGCTGGGAAGGCTCGTCGCAGCTGAACTCGCAGCCGTCTCGGTCACCGTGATAATGTAGACTGAGGGTGTGGACACACTCGTGCTAGATGGACCAATTGCAATGGTGCTGTTGGCGCTTTGGGTGATTGTGACAACGAAGGTGGATGAAGAGACGGGTCCGCTCGAGGTGCCGACAGGCGAGACCTCAGTGCCATCTACTGGATGGACAATCGTGGTGGTGTACACCGAAGGAAGCACTGGTGCGCTAGATCCGCTGATTGGTGAGACAGCAGTGCTGTTAAGCTTGAACGATTCAGTCACGGTGAGGGTAAAGATAGAAGGCGAGCTTGAAGCACGAGTCGTGACAGCGCCCGCTGTAGAAGAGCTCAAGGTGGGAAGACCGGACAGCGAGAAGGGCGTGCCGGAAGCAGAACCGGTCGCAGCGTCCGAGATTGTCGAATTGACATAGCCAGAGGTACCAGAGTAAGCAGGCGGGCCACCGGGCGCGGTCATGGTCACTGTGATGTAGGACGGCCCGCCGCCTGGAGCACTTGTGCCGGCTGCTCCAACGGAGGTGCCATTGAGAGGCAGAGTGATGGTAGAGGTCTCGGTCTCGGTGGAGGTAATCGTCTGGGTGACGACTGTAACATTGGATGGCAATGGGGCTTTGGAGACCTGGGACGAATCAGCATATAAATTCAAGGCGAGCTCAGGAAAAACGAACCGTGACGACAACACTGGACGTTACCTGCACCGTACTGGTTACGGTGGGAACGTTGTTCTCATAAGTCGGACCAATAGAGAGCGTGCTCGTGGAGGTCTCGAGTATGGTCTTCGTGATGATCAACTGGCAGATCTCAGAAGTCTGAGCGCTGGCAGTGGCGAGCATGCCAGCTGCCGCCATGGAAAGAGTGGTGAACTTCATGTTGATCTTGGTAAAGACAGTGTCCAGCACCTGTAATGACTGTATGAACGAATGTAAGAGGTGAGGCTCGCAGAGCTGAAAGAACGAAGGTGAGGAAATGTGCTACTCTTGGAGGATGCTGGAGATGGGACCACAACGCAGGTCTTCTCGCTACCTATATACTTGCCATATTGCCATCTCCTACAGTCATCCTCGGCATGAGGTGGTACATAGGCCATTAACCTGGTGGATATTTTGTCTCGAGTATTGCCAGACCATCCGAGAGGAGAGACGTAGACATGGTATGGCGCGACAAGTCTCCGCGGTGCAGACTCATCACATCATGAAGTCTGCGAATCACGGCCGTGTCCAAGCGAAATAGATGGAGGAGTCAGCCGCTTCGCCGTCATGTATGTCGGAGTATGCAGTCCTTCTTCATTTGGCCGGTGTGGAAGAGGACGATGTTGTCACAGAACGCGTTTCGGAGTCGAGACCCTAGCGCCGACCGACGGCGAATTGAAACCACCGCCAAGAACCGCTCTGTTATTGACTTCTGTTTACGATGCAGCAGAATTATTAGATCGAGCTTTGCACAATTCCGAGACTGGGAAAGACTCTGGCTAAAGCGATGATGGCACCTATCCGCGATCATTCTCACTTGGTCAACTCACTGGCAACTTCGACCCACCTCGAAACGTCAGCATCACAGCTCGATAGCGTTCCGAGGCATTTGGAAGACTCCATCCGATATGAGACGTCAAGGCTAAGCCAGGCTGCTGGTATCTTACTCAGTCTGCCGCAAGAAATCATAGCACAGTCGATCATCGTCATGCAACGTTTCTGGGTGGGTCCTGAGGGTGGCAGCATGCTTGAGTATGATCCACAGGTGTGTATTGCAGTTTCATAGGCTATTCGTGGATATGGAAGACGCGACACTGACAAGGGCAGGATGTGGCATCAGCTGCAATGTATCTTTGCGCCAAGCCTTCCGGCTTTAGTCTGAGCCCACGCTCCATCTTGACCACGTTCGAGTGCCTTCGAAGTCTGAATTGCAAGTATGACGAAAGCCTGATCGAGAAAGGACCGTTCGAAACAGAGTGGCGACTGTCAGATGGCGAGTACGAGACTCGACGAGAGCAACTGTACAAGGTCGAGGCGCAGATCTTGCGAACCTTGGGCTTCCAAACTCATGTCGCTCTGCCATATACGTTGAGCATGAACTACCTGCAGACTCTTGAAGCGTTTCATGACGATAAAGGACCGGTGTTGGCAAGACGGGTCTTCGCACATCTGAACAGCGCTTTACTCAGCCCACAATTGCTGTACCTTACGCATCAACCTTGTGCTCTCGCTACTGCTTCTATATATCTGGCCGCCCGAGAAGTTGGTGCTCTTCTGCCCGAAGCAGAGTGGTGGGAAGTTTTCGATGTGGAGAGAGAAGAACTTGGCTTTTTGGTCGTGGCACTACGAAGTATGGAAGCCTTCGCGGTTCAGGAGAAGCGGCAATGGGAGTCTCGCGTAGTGCCCCTGACGATCCATGATGTCCGTGGAGAGATCGAACGTGAGCGGATGCTCGAGGCGGACGAGTGATTGCACATGTCTATGTCGTCGAATACATTTGGTGCTGCAGCTACGAATGTATTGTTCGTGAACATTGCAGCAGCAGCAGAGGCATAGGACAAAGGACATCGATCAAGGATACTGTGAAAACGACACCGATCTATCCCTTTGTTTTAAGAGGTTCCAATATAAGCTTACAACTCGATCTCCGACCATCGGAGCCCGACTATCACAAAAGCTGTGGTGGTGCAGGCACCGGACGAATGGTCTGAAATGACAACGCCGAAGATGAACGCAAGGATGTCGTTCTCGGAAAGAAGTGCACTTGCTCAAACCAACCACGGCTTACCAGGCGACCTCCCAAACAGACCGTGCCGGAGTCTGACAGTGGTGCCATGCATCATCAATGATCTGCCTGACAAGGAGTCAAACCCATCACCGCTCCGTAAGCGAGGGGAGACTATTGCAGACATGCGATCGTTGTCAGAGAATCAAGCAGATGCCCATCGCGGGAAACATCTTCGCCTAAGCTACGTCGAGCCCAGTGAGGATGTGGTCAAGGATTACAAGAGGAAGTCTTTGCCCCTACTACCGTCGAGGCCCTCATCCTACGTGTTGCAAGGCAGCGACCGGTTGAGAGAATCCGCTGAGCCATGGACAGTCGAACGCTAGTGTCATGCCAAGTATCTCCTTCTAAGCCGACACAGGAATTGTTCCAGGCGTTCTGCACGAATACAACCCCAGCGCTTGACGACCTTCCATTTGAGGCCATTGCGCAACCTGAAGGACTTGGTGATGCTAAGCCACTCAATCGAGGTATCTTCGCAATGTTTAGGAGAAGCCACGACTAGACATGATGTTTGAACGAGGAGAAACGCATGGCGCGGCCGCACTTGACCGGAAGCTCGTCTAGACAATGCCGAAGACGCTGAACTTTACAATAGCATAGAATCTGATTACTTACCCATCCCGTTCAATCACAACTTCGCGTCCGTCTTGCTGTGTCTGTACTCGTAATGCCAATCGGTTCTTGCCAGATCCGCTCGCACCTGATAATTCGCCTCTGCATCCTCGACGATCTTCATATCGAGGTCGACGACTGCCATGCCTTCTGCCGAGCTTCCGAGTCGTGTAAGAGCCCCTGCATATGGTACACAGACTTGTGATAGTCCTGCGTAGCCTTTACCGGGTGGTCCACCCGCATTGGCGAAGATGACGGCTGTGACGAGTGTTAGTATGCATATATGTGGGCGCAAATACGACGGAGCCTACCACAAGTATTCTCAAAGCACCGCGCCGTAAGCATAGAATCCAGGAAAAGTCCTTCCGAACTAGGGTTGATTGCCAGCCCAGCAGGCGAGCAGTCCGATAAGGTCCAGAAAGTAGGAATGATGATGATTTTCGCACCTTGAGCGATCATCTCACGGAAAGCTTCTGGGAAGGCGAGGTCCCAGCAAATCAGCATACCAACCTTGCCTAATGGCGTATCGAACACTGGATGGGCATCTTCGGAAGACGAAGTCAAGTGGAGTCGCTCAATAGGGCCCCATAAATTCTTCTTGACATATCGACCAATGATCTCGCCGTTGTTGTCGATGAAGTAAGCCACGTTCAGTAACGTCTCGTCCTTTGTGCCTGGGTTGATGAGTTCCAGAATAGTGCCTGGAACGATGCAGATATTGCACTCTTTTGCCAGAGCACAGTACCTGTCAACATACTCCTCCCATTTTCCACAAGCTTCCTTGAACTTAGGATCTTGCGGTACCCAGTTCAAGAGATGGTATTCTGGCAGAACGGCCAGCTCGGCTTTCTGTTGTGCTGCGTTGCGGATGAAAGCTGCTGCTTTTTGGTAGTTACCTTCGAGTTGCATCGGCTGTTGAGAGCTTCAGCTGATGTTGGCTCTGTGCAGTGCGGATATCATGCTACCTTCGGATGCATCTGGACCACTGCCACTTTGTACACGGGTGCCTTGTCATTAGGCTTTGGTCGATCGTGGACGGGAGGCTCGTTGCTTTGGTCTGCCATGATTGTATATAGAGATCCAAACAGTTAGATATCGTCAATGAAGCGCACCGAAGTCAATTGTAAAGACGAAGAAGGAGCAGAACGAAGTGAATAGTCATCAGGTGGCTGCTTGGGCATCGCTTACGGCTGGCCATATGTATGAGCGGACTTGCCAAGATTTTCCCCACTACGACAACGCTAGCACAGACTGAACAATTTGGTGAAGCGCATGCGACAAGTATTGATGTGGAAGTTGTGAGGGATCGTCCAGTACATATACACATCATGTCCGTGAGACAAGCGCCCACATACCAGCAGGGCGTGCCCCAGCGGCAAGCTGACGATAATTCGGATGTAGAGGAGGAGGCGTTGGCCAACGACTACCGCGAGCAGGTGGGATATGAGGATGGGCAGGACTACGACCAAGGATCGATGGGAGGAGGACCACAGGATCTGCAGGCACAACTACAGGCGGCAGCGACACCACTAGAGTACCAGGCGACGCTCGAGACCAAGATTCAGAGCTACGACAGCTACTGCAATCTCTTCCACTTTATTCTGAACAGCGAGGGACCTGTGGACATCGAGGTGCCTTCGGTATGTTATATCGCATGTAGAGATGGGATACTGAGGCTAACATGACGTGTCAGCACTTCTGGGCGTGGGACATGATAGACGAGTTCATCTACCAATTCAACTCCTTCTGCTCTTACCGCCAGCGACTTGCTTTCCAGCAATCCAGCACACAGGTCAACGAGGAGGAGATTACAATTCTTCGCGAGAATCCAAACACATGGGGCTGCTACTCAGTTCTGAATGTACTCTATTCTCTCATCCAACGCTCGCAGATCAGCGAACAGCTCGCAGCAAGAAAGCGAGGCGAGGACTCGGCTGGATACACTGGTGAATATGGCGGGAGACCACTCTACCAAATGCTCGGCTACTTCTCCATCATCGGCCTACTACGCGTCCACTGCTTGCTGGGCGACTTCAGTCTGGCGCTCAAGACTCTCGACGACATCGAACTTAACAAGAAGGCAATGTTCGCTCGGGTCATGGCTGCCAACTTCACCACTTACTACTACGTCGGCTTCAGCTACATGATGATGCACCGCTATGCCGATGCTCTTCGTGCGTTCAACCACATCCTCATTTATGTGAGTCGGACGAAGAACTTCCAGAAGGGAGCCCAGTACGACAGCATCACGAAGAAGAACGATCAGATGTATGCGCTCGTGGCAATCTGTGTGGCGTTCTACCCACAGCGTTTGGACGATACCATCCACACCGCATTGAGAGAGAAGTACGGCGAGCAGCTCACCCGCATGCAACGTGGTGGTCCCGAGGCACTTCCCATCTTCGAGGAGCTCTTCCGCGCTGCATGTCCGAAGTTCATCTCGCCTACACCACCCGACTTCGATCAACCCCATCTCAACGTCGATCCCGTCGAGCACCAACTCAGCATCTTCATGGAGGAGGTCAAGACAAACATGTTCTCGCCTACCGTACGCAGCTACCTCAAGCTCTACACTACCATGGACCTGACGAAGCTGGCTGGTTTCCTCGAGGTCGACGCCGATACTCTGCGCAACTGGCTACTGGTTAACAAGCAGCGGTCGAGGCAGGTGAGGCAGAGTCAGGGTGGGCTGTTGGAGGGTGATGTTGTTAATTCGAGCGATCTCGATTATGCTATGCAAGGCGATATCATTCATGTGTCGGAAGCGAAGGTGGGCCGGAGACTGGTGGACTGGTATTTGAGGAATCTGGCGAGAACATACTAGGGAGATGAAAGTGGTCATGTGGTATAGGCGTCGTGGCATAGCATGGCGTTTGGAAGGAAGAAATCTTCGTCAGCAGTTAATGGGCTGAGGTATGCAAGGGCCGATGAATAGGCCTCGTAAGCCTGGCGTGTAGTAGAAACCTACCATAACAGTCTCCAATAACTCTCAGCGGACCGCGTTCCACGGTTCGTCAATGTTGTCGTACGACAAATTAGACAACGTTTTCCTATGATCATATACCAAGTTACGCCGGTTCTTGTCGATTCGTTGAGTGCCCAGACAACCTATCGGCAATAGTCATTAATTTAAGGCTTGCATCCATCTACCTACGCGAGTAGAAAGCCACGCTCATACGACTGAACTCCTGTACGTATTATAATCGCATTTTATGGATTCGGACTCGAACTTTGGTGGATCCTCGGCCATTAAAATCAATCAATATATTTAGCTGATGCATTGAAATCGACATTATTGGGCGCTTGGTCTAGGGGTATGATTGTAAGTCGCGCTAACGCTGTAATGCTTGGTCTCGCTTCAGGTGCTAATCGTTCGTAGATCGCTTTGCATACTTCTCTGTATGAATGTGATCGGTCGGGGTTTCGAATACCCCAGTGTCCATTGAATTGTCCTCGTCGAGGCGATCATTTTGATGTCCTCTTCATGTATTTTGGTCCAGTAGTGGTCAAGATATCGTCGATTTAAGTTTTGATGTGTCGACGTCGGGTCCGTGTCGGATTCGGACAGAAGAGCCACAATGTCTTTTTGAGCTTCCCAGTTTCATAGCAAGCTTCATCGATCTAAATCCCCTGTGGTAGCTCAAAAGACCATTTAACATTCTTACCATCCGTTCGGGTTGACGAGACAGTAGTTTGCCGAGAATGTGACATCCTATCTAGAACGACTATCTCAAGCGACGGGATCATCGTCGAGAGATCAGGGATAACTCTCTACGTCGACTAACGACCCATGCCGGACTCGAGATATCGTACGAGGAAAGTGATATAGAGATGAAGGGACCCAGTTCTCGGTTTTGGTGTGGCTTCAGAGACGTGTGATCTCATGGCCAATGATGTCGGTCATGTCCAGACACCCTGATCAAGGTCAACCCAGTGTGCTCGACCGTTATGCTTTGACTCGCACATAGTAATTGGAGACGTCCACAAATGTGATCTCGAGAATTGAGCAAAATTCTATGGACGCTGGAAATTCGAATCCCGGACAAACTAGCTTGAGAGAAAATGGACTTTTTTCATGAGGGACATACTCTCAACATTCCAGCTTGACTAACCGTTATCTCATGAGATAGAAAGACTTCGCCGAGGGCAAGCTATCTCGTCGACAACATGAGCCTCATAACAGTGCTTGTACTCCAGAACAGCAAGCAATTCGAGATTCAAGACATGAGAAGAAATGGTGCGGACCAGCTAATGTCCGATGGAATAACAGATGCATTTCGTGGCCACATCAGAGCAGAAGCTCTGATGTGGCCTCCTTGCTTGTGGACATGAGCCGAATCTGGAGACACGTGCTGGCTTCGTCCAGACAATCAGCATGGTTAGCATCTCGTGCATGTTGAGACCCTATCTCAATCCCCTCTCGACAGCCGACACCATCCATATGGCCACATGTCTCCAATCAGTATGGCAAAGCTTTCGGTATGTGTCCACCATCACAAGAAGCGAATTTCCACCAACCAGGATGCCACCATGTAGCCACTCGTCGAACGAACAGACTCATGTCAGGGACCGGTATGGGCGGGAACAAGCCATGAATGCCACCTTTGTAGGTCTGATCTTGGTTCAAGGAGATAACAGGGAGATTTTCGACCATGGAATATGCGGCCACAGCTTTATTGCCAGCATCCGCCGTCAGCTTCGCGAGACCGAGCTCGCCATATTGGGAGGGAATCATCTGCCCACGCGGGCGCGCGTTGGCGGAGTGCATGTCAACGAGGCTCTCAGACACTTAATGTTGTAGCGAAGGAAAGGAGTAGCGTACAACGCCATCGTCTCGCAGTCCCATTATGGATTCGCAATCATTGCTACACTGGGACGGACAGCTTCGACGGTCCAAGCGCTGCATATTACGGATTTGTCTTAGCTGAGTGAGGTGGCCAATATGTGCCGAGCGTCGAGTGGCTCAACAATGCAAAGCGATTGCGAGGTCCCCCGGGTCAACATTAATTCGCAGAACTTCCCTTTGTTAGACTGGAGTGGAGCATCGTGGAATTTAGAGCACGACAGCAAGCGGGAAGGCTTTGTGCTGCACCGTTCGAAAGACGTCATAATAGCAGGGCACGTGTACGAAGGTATGTCGTTGGCGTTGCATTGCCAAAGAGATACTAGGACAGCGCGATAATGAGGTGTGATCGTAAGAGTGAAGCTTTGTGAGTTTGTATCCTGAGGTCATGTTCTACCAGAGATCCCTCGCGAACTGCCAGACACGCTGCATAGTCGAAGGTCGAGGTCCTGTCCACGCCGTCTTCTCAGCCACAAGATGATACGCCTGTAGCGAATTGGTCTTAAATGCATGCGCACCACCCCAAAGATACAGCCGGAAAAGTCGATATGTCTCTTCACCCCACCGGGCTGTGATGTCCCCCTGGGCCGCTTCGAGTCGCTGTGCCCATTGACGCATAGTCCACTCGTAATCACGAGTCTCTCTGACCAACTCCACAATCTCGAAACCGTGATACAGCAGTTCTGTAATCACATCCTGCGCGGTCATGAAGGTGTGCGTACCAGTCCAGATATATCTGCGGGTGAAAGCACTAACAGCAAACTTCTGTACTGCTGCGGAACCATCCAGATACATACGACCCCCTGGCTTTAGTACATCCCACATTGCTTTGGCGAACCTTCGATAGTCCGGAAGGTGCTCGATTACACCAAGTATGACTACATGGTCGTACTGCTCCACTGGCTTGTGCAGGAGAAAGTCCTCGAGGTAAACTTCTCCCGGGAGTGCTTGGTCTTCAAGGAGCCTCTCAATATACTTCGCACCATCAGGAGCAATGGTGAGGGTGGAGACGTGTACACCCCTGGCACCACAGTACTGTGTAACACCACCCCAGCCTCCTCCAGCATCCAGTAGCTTCATTCCTTCCTTCAGACCAAGAGCTTTCCACATCGTTTCTAGCTTATGCTCGGACGCTTCCTCGATACTTTCTGTAGGCGAATGGAAGATGCCGTGCGAGTAGAAGCGGTAGCGCTTGTCGATGAAAGTGTGGTAGAAGTCGTCACCACGATGGTAGTGCTCGCCAATGGCTTTCGAGTTCATCTGCGTTGCCGGTTTGATGGAGTCCCATATGAACTGCAGTCTCTGTATGAGCGGCACCTTCTCATACAGATGCGAGCGCAGGCTGAAAATCACACTCAGATCGCCTTCGACATCAATCACGTTGGCAACGAACGCATTGCCGACTCCCATCTCAGTCATGGGCGTCTGCAAAGCACGTTGTGTGCGGAACACGACCTTGTATACTGGCTTTCCATTATCTTTTCCCACAAGCACGACCGCCCCACTGGGCAGTTGCACCTCTCCAGGTAACGCCAATTGACCGAGCAGTGCTGCGAGGCCAGTTTGTGGCAATTCGTAGCGCGTTCCATTCATCGTCTTGGAGTTTTGCAGTTGGACAGCCGCAGCCATGATCACGCCCCGCAAACGATAATATTCCCGCAATACTGAAGGTGAGTCAAGCTAAAGAGGACCTGACTTGCTCATGCTATCCGTATGATGCTCTGCTCTTCAAGCTGAAAAAGAGGCTGGCTGGCGGATAGCTGCAGCTCCCGATGCGTGCATGCTTGGTCGGTGGGACCAGTGATCTTCTCGGCTTGCCGATCCGGAATAAATCGATATTGCTGCATAAGTACAAGCGACACGACCAATAGCAACGAAGTACCTCGATTGTCGGTGTTTACGTTGCATGAAGGCGTATGGGAGCTTGCTGACATTGCACATGCACGCCTCCCAGAACGAGTGAGCCTTTATACTGCCATTCAACACATCATGATTTCTCTTCAGTCGTCTCGTTCTTCACCTTCGCATCCTTCTTCGCTGGCCTGTCGCCGAATATAGTCGTGCCCACCCTGACCTCATCACTTCCCTGTGTGACGGCAGCTTCAAAGTCCGAGCTCATGCCCATACTGAGCTCCAGCTCTTTTGCCTCAATCCCCAATTCAGCAGCCACTTTATCCCTTGTATCTCGTAAGGCCACAAAGTCCTCGTTCACGCTGTCGGCATTGGTGGCCTGCTGGCTTCTTGCGATCGCACCAATCGTCATGAGCCCAGCAAGCTGAATATGCGGACACTTCTCGCGAACATGTCTGCATAACTCCACCGTCTCGTCAGGCTCGACACCACTCTTCTCCGCCTCGCCAGATGTATTGACTTGAACCAGAATCCTCAGCTTACTGCTCAGCTCCTGCTTCTCCGCCAGAGCTGCTCTGCCTTTCTCCAATGCATCGGCCTTCTTCGCGCTGTCCACGCTGCTCACACAGTACAGATTCGCCACCTGCTCCGCTAGAGGTTTGCACTTGTTCGTCTGCAAAGCTCCTATCATGTGCCATTGTATGGACTTGGGTAGTAGTCCGGCCTTCTCGGTAAGCTCCTGAGCATAGTTTTCGCCAAAGTCGAGTTGCTTGTGAGGATCATGATGGAGGGCCAGTATATCGTTCGCGGGCTTGAGTTTGGAGACGGCAATCAGACGAACCTATATTACTGGTTAAAGGTCATGCTTCGAACATTGGATACTGTGATTTTACCTTGCGACCGCCGGCTACCTTGTCTACGCGTTGACAGACAGTGCTTAGGTTCTCAGCCAACTGCTTCGCTCTTTGTGCATCGACGCGCATTTCGCTGTGCTCAACTGCATCTGCCATGGTGTATTGATTTGATTCACATTGGCTTCACCAAGGTCGCATTCAGCACATTTCGTAGCGAATTAGGGGGGTATGTACTAGAGCGTGTCTTCAGGCGATATGATTAGCCAACCACGTTACACAGAGCACAAAATCTTCATCCAATAGCGACTACGCTCACAATCCCTCACAACAAAGCGCTTCCTGAGCGTTTCACAAGTGTGTTACATGTCAGGGTTCAACGTCAGCTCAAATATACGGGTCAAGTAGTCCACACAACAGTCTTCTCTCCTCGGTCGTGCTCACATGCTTGATTTGCTCAAAGATCTATCTCGATCATCGTCCCCAAGATGAACACATTCTTCACCCTCCTGCCGACCATGCAGCTGGTCTGCTCGAGTGCCGCGTCAAGTCAGAACTATCGCTATCGACTGGCTGCTATCAATGAAACGCTTCACCCAGTCTCACTCGACCAGGTTAACGGCACGGTCACGAACGCCTCATCACTAGTAGATGACAGTCTAGGCAATGCCATCTTCACTGGCCCGTCGTCGGCCACATATGACTTCGGAAGGAACATAACGGGCAATATTACGCTCACAGTCGGTGATGTCGATGCAGATCAGTATATAGGTGTCCACTTCACTGCGATCAATGCCTCAGCCAGCGATGGATGCGCCGAGATCACATCCATCGGCACCAACGAAACGTTCTGGTTCTTTGCCACCGGACCTGGCAACTTTACTGTCCCACGTCAGCACGAGCGAGGCAGTTTTCAGCATTTGAGCTTGCTGCATAACACCACGGGTGGTATTCAGGTGCAGCAGATTACTGTGCAGTGACCCTTTTCAGGCTCCAGGACCGAGAAGACATCCTCATACCCTGTTGTGAGCGGTTGAGTGGATTGTGTGTATCGAAAAGTGCATAGAGCAAGTAAACACGACAAGGCTCCCGTAAATCAGGACTACACACGGCATCAGACCAGATTGTTCTGCGGCATCTCACCCTCAACTCTCGGCCGTAAAGACAGGCCGACTTAGCGAATTCAAACCCGTACCACGTGTGATCATCAAGGCACATGTAGCAGCCACTACAGCTGCCACAGATATTAGGCTCACAAATTGCATCCTTACTACATCTTCACTCAACCACAAGCCAGTACTTGGCGTACTCTGGTCCAACGAGGGCAGCTTCTTCCTTCTTCTCGGAGAAGCCAGAACAATGTGCTAACGGGGTGTTGCTATCAAGATATGGATGGGCCGTTCAGTCTCGGATGGCAAGTAGACAGAGCCGCTGCATTATCGTGCTGCGGTCTCGCACAGTCCTGGTCCTCTGTAAGGTACCTTGTGAGCGAGACGGGCGCAAGAGTCGAGTGCAGTGATGTTCCTGGGTGCTGGAGGAAGACCGGCCGCCTCACTTTTGAAAGCAAAAGTTCCGCAAGACGGGACGGTTCGTAAACTTCCTTGCGACCACATCAAGATCAAGGGTGGCGTTCGAGACACACACAAGCTCTATACTGTCAATCCTCGTAGTGCCGACATCTCGCAACGATATCTAGCCTCTGTATAGGGTAGAATCTCGACAGGGCTGGTCAGATAGTCATATTAAGGTTGGCTTGCTTTGTAGCGTTTGCCGCTTACCATCTCATATGAAGTTTAATGCAAGCCGTCTCCTTCGCAGACCGCATTGATGACCATTTTAACACCTCGTTCGCGCCCAGCTCGAATGGGTAAGATGAGCAAAGTACAATTCAGTCCCGTGAGTAAAGTGAGCTTGTAGGCAGCAGCCACATGGGCGTAAACACGTTCACTTGAACTTCATAATCACGCAATCCTCATTTCCCGCACGCATTTCAACTCCATCCCGAGTACATGGCGCCACTGATCTGATCGCCACCAAGACACTGAATATTGGTGGCAAGAAAGGGATACAAGATGTCACGAAATGAACGCGGCGTCTACTTCTTTCCCGATGGCAAGAAGCAATTTGTGCCGCTCGAAAACAGCCCGGTAGTCTTCACGGAGCTGGTCCACAAACTCGGAGTCTCATCAAAGCTCGAATTCTACGACATCTACAGCATCGATGAGCCAGATCTGCTCGCCCTCGTCCCAAGACCAGTCCACGCCATCATCTTCATAGCACCCGCTGACGTCTACCGCCGCCTTCGTGCTCAGGACACAGCAGCCGGACTCGGCACCAAGAAGCTCACTTACGATGGCGCAGGCGACCAGGAGCCAGCGATCTGGTTCAAGCAGACGATCGGCCACGCATGCGGTCTCATCGCGCTCCTTCACAGCGTTTGTAACGGCTCCGCGAAGCAGTTTATCGCGCAAGATTCCATCCTCGATGAGATCCTGAAGGAGGCGACACCACTCAAACCACTACCTCGTGCCGATGTGCTCTACAATTCTGACGCTCTTGAGGAGGCACATATGTCTGTTGCGTTCAAGGGTGACTCGAAGGCTCCTCTCGCAGCTGAGCCAAATGGCTATCACTTCATCAGCTTTGTCAAAGGTAAGGATGGGCATCTCTATGAGCTAGAGGGTGGTTGGAATGGTCCGATTGACCGCGCTGTGCTGAATGAGGCCGACGACGTGCTCAGTGAAAAGGCACTGGATGCTGGGATCCGGAAGTACGTGAAAGCTGCCGAGGGCAATATGGAATTCAGCATGATTGCCCTCGCCACCAATCCCGAGAGTGCGGTGTGATGGAGGCCATGAGATTCGATGACGAATTTATGACGAAGCTCAAATCCTAACAACCAAGAATCATTATGTTGCTCGTTATAGGGGTGTCTTATACTATGCTCCTCACTTCACAGACCCTCCCGCTTGAACGCACCACCGCATTGGAAAGTAATGTACTGTTTGTCGAATGGCGCAGGTGCTCACTAGGAATCAAGGGCTAGCCCGACTAGCCCCCATCCCACAGTCTTGACAACACAACTTCTTCTATCCCCGTTAGCCAAAACTTTCATGCTTGCTATGGCTGCAGACGCGACCTCAGTCATCATAAGATTATGCTGCCACAAATCAACGTGCACCACATCTTTGTACTCCATGCTGACTCAAGCCGAGCTCTCAGTATCGAGGAACTTGAGACTGACACCAAGGTTGGACGTCATATCAGCAGTCTCGTCATCCTCACTCGAACCATCCATTGGGGGTCTGTTCTCCTCGTCACTGCTGCGCTCATTGTCGTCCAAGTTCAGCAGGTCAAAGCGATTCATGATAGGTGCTTTCTTCTTCTGTACGGGCTCGCGTGGTGCTGCGCGGGCTTTGTGCAAAGACAACGGTAATGGCACATCACACTCGTCGCGGTAAAACTCGATCTTGCAGCCTTTATAAGTGGTACGGCTCATCATACAAGTTCTTGCGAAAAGTGCGTTGTGCACCGAGTTCGTAGAGACGTAAGCGTCGCCATTGCGGAAGTTGACGTCGACGATCACCAGGTTGTGGATGTGCTCCATGTCCAGCCTGATTGTCGTCTTGTCTAGGCCAATGGAAACTGCATTGCGGATTAGGATGTTGCGCGTGGCACCATTGCCAAGCTTGTTCGCGATGTGCCCGTTCAGTCGATATTGACGGTCAGCCCAGCGAACCTCAACCTACATCCTCGTCAGTGATCATGATAAGGCAACAGTGCTCGGTCACACTTACACGCTTGTTGTGAATATAGACGTCGTTCCGCTTGGCCCAAGCAAGAAAATCGCTTGCGCCGTTCGAGTAAGTGACAGTACCACTTCTGTTGGGCCCAAGATTGACGCTCAGTAGCTTACCACCTTTGACCACCGACAGTAACTCCTTGTAGGTGGTACGCTCCGAAAGACCCGCGAAGTAAAGTGTTCGTCGTTCTTGAGTGGGTTGGACGGTGTCATAGTCGTTTTGTAGCTGAGTGGCTTCGTCCGGAAGACTAGCGTTGTCATCGAAAGCAGCATCATCAGGTACCGAAGAAGGAGGAGCACCAAAATCAATCTGTCGAGAGAATGCAGGAACTTTCAAGTTGCCTTGTTGGTGGTACTGAGGTCCGTTGCCGTTGCCGTATGGTCCAGTCCCTGGTGCAAGGTTGAACCCTGGGGTTGAATCATGAGCCTGTCTCCAGGAGACATCATGGTAATGACCAGGGATACCTTGCTGCTGTCCGCCGGCATAAGCGTGGTCGTAGTCGTCCGCCCAAGAGTCTGCTGGTACGCCGGAGTCCTTGCGATGTTCGCCATTGGCTGAGTTGGAGATGAGCAGCTGAAGTGTTTCTGGAGTGATGCCGCCTTGAAACAAAGCACTTTTCAGTGCTTCGAACTCGCGCGACGTGCGTAGCTACGGCCTGGAGTCAGTTATTGTTCTGCTTTGCAGCACGGACTGGCGATGGACCATACAAGGCTGTCGTATTCGTCTTTGGAGATTGAGACGTTCACAGGGTCAGAACAGCCATAAATCTGTGCATTGGTGTGCTGGACGGGGGTCAGCCGCTGCAGACGGAAGGGCTAGATTGTCTGCATATTACAAAATCGGCCCTGCAAATGCATGATTAGCACGAGCATGTCTACCATGAAAGCTAGATGGATTAACCTGCGCAGCAAGGCATCGAAATAAGCTCTGTCGACGGTGACCTTCTCAGCAGAAGCCATGGTGGTCAGATCAGAGCACAGAACAGTATACACACATCTGTGAAGATGTCAAGAAAAGTAGAAAGCGTTCGACGTGGTTGTGCAGAAGGTGCAGCACAGCCCTGCATGGGCCCGATAAGCCGATTAGAGGCGGCCAAAACTAGCCCCCAGATCTCCAGCCAACCTTATTTCTATGAGTTTCTTTTGGTTTCAGCTTCAGCCTCATCTTGACGACCTGTCACAAGAATTATTGATGGACGGCAATGGAGCATCAAATAATGCCTTGCAAGCGGTGAAGTCACCATCACCAATACCATCGAAGCAAGATATCCTCAAGCAGCTAGCCAATCCCGATGGAAGTAATGGCGGCAGCGTCTTTGCGCACCTGCAGAGTAATCCCTTCTTCACAGCGGGCTTTGGACTTGCCGCATTAGGCGCTGCACTTCGATATGGGTCCCGAGGAGTGCAGCAAACAGCGGCATTGATACGCCGACGTATGCTTGTTGACCTCGAAATCACGCGACATGACAAGTCTTACGAATGGGTGCTCAACTGGATGACTGCCCAATACCAGAATCAGGTTGGACCACAACAGACCAGACGGCAACTTGGCACGATGGACTTCTTGATACGGAAATTCATGCCTGGACTTCATCATCTGCAGATTGAGACCTCGACTCATAAGAGTGCCAACGGCGCCGAACAGACCGCGTTTTCACTGGTTCCCGGACGTGGCAAACATATTCTTCGCTACAGGAACTCCTTCATCGCTGTCAGTCGCGAGCGCGAAGGCAAAAGCTTCGATGCCATGGGCAAGCCCTTTGAGACGGTTACCTTGACCACGCTTTACCACTACCGGTATGTGTTCGAGGGCATCGTCAGCGAGGCTTATCAGATGTCGCTACAGAATGTGGAAGGCAAGACAGTCGTCTACACGAGCCAGAACATGAGCTGGCAGTCTTCCGGTCAGCCCAAACGTAGAAGACCCTTTGATTCAGTTGTGCTTGAGAAGGGACTCTCCGAACGAATTCTTGGTGATGTCCGAGAATTCTTGGATGCCAGAACATGGTACCTTGACAGAGGCATACCATATCGGCGTGGCTATCTACTCTATGGACCTCCTGGGACAGGCAAGACATCTTTTGTGCAAGCTTTGGCTGGGAAGCTGGACTTCAATATCGCGATGCTGTCGCTCAGTCAACGTGGATTGACAGATGACCTACTCAACCACCTTCTCCTAAATGTGCCTCCAAGGACAATTGTGCTTCTAGAGGATGCCGATGCAGCGTTCAGTAATCGCCGCCAGCGAGACACAGATGGCTATACCGGCGCCAATGTCACGTACTCTGGCCTCCTTAATGCACTAGACGGCGTCGCAAGTGCCGAAGAACGCATCATCTTCATGACGACAAACCATATCGATCGACTGGACGATGCGCTAATACGACCTGGTCGAGTCGACATGACCGTCCAGCTAGGCAACGCGACAGAGTGGCAGATGGCGCAGCTATGGGACCGCTTCTACGCCGAGCACGACGAGAACGGCGAAGGCAAGCGACGCTTCTTGCGTAAGGCCATCGACACAGGACTCGTGAACATCGTCAGTACTGCTGCACTGCAAGGCTTGTTCTTGTATAATAAAGACGACGTGGAAGGTGCGATAGCCATGCTTGAGCAGCTGGACCCATCGAAAGGTGGTCAGCAAAAAGTGGCAGATTGAAGCCTACCTATGTACCATGTATGTATATTATGTATGAGTAGGGTTGTAACATCATCGCACCCACTCCCTGATCGGTCCCGCCTACCTGTCGCCAATCCCTCCGCCACGAATTAATTGTATCGTGCTATATGGCCAGCCCTGGCCCTCCCGAAGGTCTGCTCCACGGTCCTTCCCGATGCTTGATCCAAGACTTCAACCACACTCTGGGCGAAGCGCTCCCGCACTGGGTCGTCCACAAACTCGACCCCATGCTCGCGATTGAGGTTAGCCAAGGACCGATAAGCAGAATTCAAGACCCTGTCCAGCGCTTTTCTGTACTCCAAAATGAGCTTTGTGGCGAAGCGACGATCACCCGCCTGCACGAACAGTGGGAGCCAGCCATCCATCTCAAGTTTATTGGTCTGACTCATCTGGAGCGGGCCACCGAACAATGCAGCCATGAGCGGGGTGGTCATAGATGTCTCCCGCATGAAGAGGCTGTTGCCGTCGTTATTTTGGTTGAGTGAACTGTAAGTGAATAAGGTGCCATAGGAATTCTTTTTGTCTTCCTTACGCTTATTGTCGTCGTTCAATGACGATGGGTGTATCAGGACACCCTGTTCGCTGGTAGTACGATGGGCCGCTCCCTTCACGCTCGTCTTGGCGCCCAGGTTGGGATACAGGCCTGCTGCCAGTAGAGCCTTGATCAGCACCGGGTTCTGGGAGTTGCGGTTCATAGCCGCTGGACCGTACTGATCTGCCTGCTGTCGGCCGTCCATGGTGCGTGGAATGAGGCCGGTGTCTTCAAGCACTTCTACTATCTGCTTTGCTGTCTGGTCAACCGTTTTGAAAGCCCCGAAGTGCACGAACTTTTCTCGGGCACGATCGAAGGCTGCGCTCACACCAACTTGATCTCTGAGTACGCGTATCTCCCGGAAAGCGTTGAGCGAGGCTAGATGGTCGCTGTATCCACCTTTCCCATAATCACGACGTATGTCCCGGCTCGTAGACCGGGCGTCATGACTGATAGGCGTGATGAACAGAGATCGCTCTTCTGCAGCTGCACCGAGGACGAGCATAGGGTCTAGACATCTGAATATCACTCCAAGTACAATCATCTTGCCCAGCGTAGGGTGAACAGGCAATTTTGATAGTAGTCGACCAAGATCTGTGAGCTGCTCGTCCTCCGTGAAAGCCTCCACAGATGTCAAGTTGTCTCGTGCCGCCACAATAGCGTGACGTGGTGGAGGTTCGATTGCTTGCATCAAGAACGTCTCGACTGGTTCATTGAAGCTTTGCGCCTTGATGGATAGCAGAGTTTCTTGTAGGTCCGTCCGAAGCAACTCTGGCAGGCCGATAGCTCGCAACGACTCGTGCCGTTCTTTGGAGTACAGTGCGTAATAAAAGCCATCCTGCACACGTCCAGCTCGGCCTGCACGCTGTTTAGCGTTGGACTTGCTCTCCCAAACACACTGCAGCTTCGTGATACGCCTGGTCTGGTCGTACCTTGTCTCGCGGAGCTTGCCAGTGTCGACGACATACTTGACGTCAGTCACAGTAACAGAAGTCTCGGCGATGTTGGTTGATAAAATGATCTTTCGGCATCCGGAAGGCACCGACTCGAAAATCTGACTCTGCTGCTCTTTCGGAATGGTCGAATGGAGCAAGCAGATCTTGAATCTGGTGGGATCTGTGAAGTCCCGGCTGAAGATATTGTGCTCTTGAAGATGTCTTTGCGTCTTCAGGATTTCGTCTATTCCTGGGAAGAAGGCCAAGATAGCGCCATCCTTTGTAGTCCTGCATATATGCGCAATAGTGGCTGCTGCCAAAGCCGTGGGAACCATGGAATCTTCCTTCTCTGAGGATGCTTCGCCCTCAGCATCCTGACCGGTCAGAGTCTGCCGTTTTCGTTTCCAGTCTATCACGCTGTCATTACTCGGATCCTGGTCTCCGGCATGAGCGCCATTACGGCCTGTGTGTGCGACGCTAAACGCAGCCTCAGAACGAAGGTACTCTTTGCTGAGACGATCGAGACCGAGTACACTATCGAGTGAACCCTTATGATGTTGGACAAGCTCATGCGTGATGTCGCCAAGATATTTCTCTTTTACTGGAAACGTGCGTCCAGGGACACTCAAAGACGGGCAAGGAACTCGGACATTGTCCTCACCCTCGGTGGAGAAGTAATTGGCAAAGAGTTCCGTGTCCAGAGTGGCCGACATGAGCACCACTCTTGGCACAGTCTTGCCCGCTGATTTGCGAGCAGCAAGTGCCTTCTTCATGATGATCATCAAGAAGTCGATATTTGTGTCGCGTTCGTGAACTTCGTCGATGATAAGATATGATGCAGCATCCAGTACACCATCAGGATCATGCTTAAGCTGCTCGAGTAGGATGCCAGTAGTGCAGTAGTTGATGCTGCCGCCTTGTTGTGGTAGCTTAGCATCAAATCGTACCTGGTACCCGACTTGTTCTCGCAGTGGTTGATTGCGCTCATCCGCGACACGCTGTGCAACAGATGTTGCCGCTATACGTCTGGGTTGAGTACATATAATGTTACACAATCCACCTCTACCTTCAGCTATATCATGTTCGAGTAGGATTTGTGGGACCTGTGTCGTCTTTCCCGATCCAGTAGCGCCTACTACAATCCCAAACGGGTTGCCGCTGACCATCTCGATGACTTGTGCTTTGTACTGATTCATTGGAAGCGCAGCTTTCTTCGCGTGCAAGTCGTGCAGCGATTCGTCAGCGTCAAAGGCCTGCTGCTGCGCTCGCAAAGTGGAGTGTAATTGGTTGATCTGCGTTTCGCTGAGTTGTCTTCGGCGTCTTCGTTGCTTCGCCAGGTCGCCGCCTACATGCTCTGCCGTCAATCCCTCGCGATTGTCCGGCAGACCAGCCTGTCTTGCTTCCACAAGAGCGCTGCGCATGACATACAATGCCTCGCTGTCGACACTGAGGTCAATGCTGCGTAACGGCTTCAGGATCTTGCCTTTATCCTGTATCAATCGGGTTGCAAAATCCTGCATGAGTTTCGGTTCCTTCTTGCCCAGCTCCACCGCCGCCACAAGATATGCAACAGACTCAGCAGGCTTCTTGTTGTCCAGGACAACGGGCTCACCCACAGGGTCACCATCAACGCTGATAGTAACACTGTGACGGGTCGCAGCACCCGCTCTCACAGTTTCGTGGACTGTTTCAAGGCGTATATCGCGGCGAACCTCACGCAAGTACTCAAAAAAGTAGCTCGCAGTATCAGTATTCAAAATACCAAAGCCCATGTCACTCTCCCTGATGTCGTTGTTTGCTCGCTTGAAGTCCTCCGCTTTAGTTTTGAAGTCGATCGATGCAGCGGTCTCGGCCAGAAGTATGCTCTTTGCCGCCGCTGATGCCTCGATTTTCAAGTCTGGCAGTGCGACCGTGACCTTGTACAGCGTCGCTGGCGTAACCTTTTGTCTCCGCCAGCTCACTTTTCTTGACTTGGACTCTGAAGTCGACACTGTAAAAATCGGAACCTGTCCCAAGCTAGCGGCATAGTTATATATTTCAGTCTTGGAATCTTTCTCCTCTGCAAGCGTCTGCTTGTCCAGAGACGTTGCTTTCAATTCCTCACCTTCAAGATCCGTGGTTCCGCTTAGTATTTCTTGGCTCGGAAAAATGTCGTCTAGGACCCCGTTCTCATGCAGTCTTGCAGTCATCCGAAGCCATGCTGCTTGCTTTGCTGCTTGCTTGGTCATGCCTTCACCCCATGCACTCTCTTCGCATACACCAGATAGATCAAGTTTGAGTGTGCACCTGCGTCCGCTGCCATCGGGCTTGTTTGCAAGTGCAGAAAAGTCGGTGTTGATCTGCATTGCGACTTTTGCCTTACCACATATCCCGCTGATCGTTTCCTGAATGAATCGTGGCTCGAAAAGCTTCGTCGGCGCTTGAGGGTACCGCTGTTGGGTAGGCAGAGTCTCAGACCTCCTGATGAAGCCGATGTCCTCTAGCGGTGCGGTCGTTGCTTCAGGCTTTGTCTTGTGCCGTAATAGCTTCGCTAGTGATCCGTTGGCATGCATCTTGGCAGTTACGGCTTTCCATGCCCGAGACTTCGCTGCTTGTTTCGATTGACCTTCCGCTGTATGCGTGCCAGTGTATACATTGGGGATCGATAGTTCCATCTTGAAGACATGCTGTACTTGTCGTCTATCCTTGGCAACGCTGAAAGATTCTTGAAGCTTTATAGGTATCTTCGTAGCCTTGCAGTACAAATCAAAGCCTCCGGGGGTTAGGATGGATCTTACTCGACCAGCGGGGACGTCCGGGTAATCTTGAGCTTGAGGCATCGGGTGTGTCTCGATAGGATATTTTGAAGCATCGCCGGATCCGGGAAAGCTGAAGCGAGGATCGGATCCAAGCTTTTCCAAGAGTGGGATGGCTTCTTCGTCAGACATTCTCCTCAGTTCTCGGATACTGCGCTGCAGCCATTGCCTATGATCTTGGTCGAAGCCCTGGATAGAAGCCAGACCCCAGAGCCTGTTACATATGGTAGGTCGAGTTTTGCTGGTTTCAACGGCTTCCAGCAGCTCTGAATTAGCATGCGAGCGTGATGTTTCAACTCCATTAGTGCTGCTGGCTGGATTGATAGTCTCATCGGCGCTACTTTCCACGATAGTAGCGTATTGCCGTCTACCGAAGCAGGAGGGACGACCTTGTTGCGGCTTCCATCTCACAGCCGGCTCCGAGCGTGGTGCTGTGGCAAGGACTCTCGTGAACAATTCTGCGCGCACCAAAGGTGGCAAACGTAGCCAAGTAGACAGGCCTGCCATCACAAAGACAGTGCCTTAGACTGAGTGCAATTTCATTCCCAAATTCATTGCCGGTCCACAGATGTCGATGATGCTGGTCTATCATCTCGTCTGATCCCCTAGAAGGAATACTAGACATCTTCGCGGTATAGCCGTCGATCCGAACCGTGCCGCTGCAGGTACAGGCAGGGCATGACTCGCCTCCGATCCTCCACCTCGACCTCGACGGATCATCTGCTACTGTAGTAAAGGGTCGACCGAGGATTGAGACTCCACTCACAAGAGATGATGACTAGATGGATGATTCATCGGGACAAAGTACTGAAGCATGAGCATTCACCTACAGCGCAGAGACCCTTCTCACGTGAACCGCTACGTCATCTAGACACCATAGAGGGGAAGAGAGAGTTTGCGAAGTGCTTAGCGTCTGGGTCGTGTGCTCCCACTCGTCCTCTGTTAATTCTGCTACAATACCGCACACACCTTTAAAAACAAAGACCTCACGCACAGCATCAGCTCCATAGATCAAACCAACCAACGTACACAATGCCTCGCGACGGATCAGGAGCTGGCGACAACGCTGTTGAAGCTGGCGAGACATCGATCCACGGTGCTGGTGATGCACCAGAGGACGTGAGTCGTCCGTATTCTGGTCAGCAGACCACTCGCTCTGACATGTAGCAGGGTGCATCCGCTTCCGGCGTCGACCGCTCGAACAAGGCTGCGCCTCCGCCAGAAGAGGAGAAGGGTGACGCCTTGGAGGGCATGAACGCATCAGGCGGAGGTAGCTCAGGCATTGATGGTGGCAGCGGCAAGGGCCCTGCCGTACCCCAGGCAGACAAGGAGGCTTCGAAGCAGTAGTGGGGACTACAGCGTCCGCGGCAGCATGCTGAGTTGTCTTTGGGAGACAGCAGGATGTCGCCAACTCCATGACAGTTATACGAGAAGCTGTATCCAGCAATACTAGCCGAGATTCTAGGGACTCCTCCAATCAAAAGGTTGCCGACCTATGGAGATACTCATCACAAACCACAGTAGGCCGTCTAGTCATACAAACCTTCACATCGTCGAAGATTAGCTTACAACCAATCTCCACTAAGCTCGACCAATTTGCCCTGCTTGTGCAATTCTTCGATGCTCTCGATTGACCATTTCTCAGGCACGTACCCGGTAGGTATATTGGTGTTCTTGAAGCCACTGCCTTCTGTCCCCAAGCTTGCGGCAGCCTCCTTGTAATTCTCGTTCGCATAAATCTCTGGATCAGACATCCAGATCCACTTCGGCACCTTGGCATTGACTTTGGTAGGATCGGTAACTACAGCTTTCATGTCTGACTTCTGGAAGCGCTCGGCATTGTAGAAGCCAAGGAACTGGGCGCAAGAGACACGGTCACCGCGAAGGAGTGCGTGCGTCTTGACTGCTGTCGGTATGTCGTCCATGCCGGCATGTTGTAGACAGGCCGCGATAGTAATGGCATCCTCAATTGCTTGTGTGGCGCCATTGCCGGAGGCCGGTAGGAACGAGTGGGCTGCATCTCCGATCTGTAGGACTCGACATCCTTCAGAATAGGTACATGGATTGGGATTGCGCCATAAAAGAGGCCACTCAACTATGCTATCTTCTGGCATGGTGCGGATGAGAGCTTTCATCGGCTCGCCGAAGCCTGGCACCCGCTCTATGGCGTTGAGTACGTACTCGCTTGTAACGGTATGATGCCAGGATTCCTTTGCATTGGTGTCTTCGTCCAGAGGCATGTTCAGGTTCAAGCCCCAGCACATTCGACCGTTCTTGCCTTGCTTGTCAACGTACGATAGCAGCATGGTGTGAATTTCTGGGCCGAGCCAGCCTTGCATCAGTGGATGTTTGCCGTCCTTGAGACCGAAGTACTCCTTCACCAGAGGATCAGCCATGGCAGTGTCTAGTGGCCAGGCAGCTCGAAATATGATCTTGCCAGACGGCGTGCCCTGATCCTGACCACCGAGTACGACATCACGAGAATGTGAGTGGAGACCATCAGCGGCAATGACCAGGTCGGCCTCTATACGCTCGCCGCGATCATCAACGACTCCTCCTACACCTCTGGTGGTGTCCTCATAGTACTCAAGGATGCGCTTCCCATAGGCGATCTCAATACCGAAGCGCTGGACCTGATAATGAAGCACTGCATGGAACAATGGCCGGATCTGCGAGACCATTGGCAGCTTATGTGGGTCGATCGTGCCACTGATACCCATCATCTTGCTGAATGGCCAGGCCTCGCCTATTGGTTCCCCGGTCCACTTGCGATACTGCATATGCGCATCATGCAGGGAGATGTCGTCGTATTCCTGCTTCAAAGTTGGATAGTGATCGACGAATCGTCTAGCGCTTAGGCCGACAGTGAACATATCTCCACCTGCGCTGGCCGAAAGACTCCGCTCGAAGATGCGGACATGGTGGCCTTTGCGGTGACACTCAAGGGCGGCTACGAGACCGCCGACTCCAGCACCGACGATGAGGACATTTATACCAGATGGTGGTGCACATTCAACGTCGTTGTGGGTGGCGTTGGTTCCAGTGTCTGTTGCCACGCTCTGGGTGAAGCTTTGGGTATTGTTCATCTTGGACGTGCAGAGGGACTGGTAGGAACTGTTTGGTAGTAAAGGGTAGAACTGTACACAATGGATGTGGTGCTGTATGATGGGAACGTATAACTCAGGGAGGCTGCAGTCCTGAAATATATGTCCTCACCCATCCGCCCCAGACATCGGTCAGCGCATCTTGACGTGTCCGACATGCTCACTTAGGCTGACTCATTGCTGTACGAAGCTGACTGGACCGACTAGATCCACGCGAATGTTACGGATGTCGATTGCAGAGTGTGTAGTGAAGGAAGACGTTGGTGATGGCTCGGCGTCTCTGGAGGATGCGATCCGGCACCGAGATGCATGACTCTAGTCTGTATTAGGCAAAGGCCACAATCGGCACGACTCGCTCTCTGTCTTTCCCTTTCGGCGACGATGATCTAATCTTCGACTTCAGTCCTATCCGGGTGGCTATCCTGGGCTTGTGAGCATCTCTTCGCTTTCGTCGGACATTCGAAGCATTCCCCAGGCCCTAGAAGCTGTGCTGTGCGGCTTTGGGTGCTTCTGCAGCTCTGTTAATCGGTACCGAGGATGGACGCCGAGCAATCCGATACCGACTCCCAAGCAAAGAGTCGCTATGAGGCAGGACCACCAACAAATTCTGTACCAAGTCAGCAGCCAACTGTGCAAACACCTCAGCGTCGTGACAACCACACGCCATCTTGCCTGACATGTCAGAGGAGGAAAGTGAAATGTAATCGAGTTTACCCTTGCGTAAGTTCGATGGTCTGAACCGATCATCTAGACGTTCATGGATTCACACTAACACTCTTGTCAGGCAGCATGTCTCAAGACTGGCCTGCAATGCGAATTCAAGGCCGATGACAATGCACAGAGTCGCAAAAAACGGAAAAGGACTCCTGATGGCGATGGAAGCTCATATCCATCATCTCCCCATCGTACGACTGAGCATGATAGGCAGGATCCCAGCAGCGCCCAGCTGCACATTAATCGTACGATTATGCCAGCATACGCCGAATCACATCAAACCTATTACCCAAAGCCACAACCTCCGAATAACATCAGTCGCCCTGGAGGTGTGTCAGGTCACAGCATCTACGAGAGTGCCGTCTCGCTTGGGACAGAACTAGCGAGCCACGGCGACCAGAGCATGTCCTATGACCCAAAGCCGTCAAAGTCGAACAAATCCCACTTTTTGTTCAACCCAGCCCAGCAAGAAACGTTCAGCTCAAAGCAGCATGCCAGATCTCAGCCACCAGCTCACCACGTGGTACAGCTATGGCAGACATATCTTACGAACGTCGATCCTATACTCAAAGTCCTCCATGCCCCAACGCTACAGCAGACAGTTTTGGGACAGATCGGCAAGCCGAGTCTACCAGCAGGATTACAAGCTATGACTTCAGCCATCTATTTCATCAGCACTGTGAGCTTACAGAATAACGAATGTCAAGCATCACTGCAGGTATCGAAAGCAGAATTGCTAACGACGTATCGGTCTGCAACAGAAGACGCACTCTCGGCCGCCGCCTTTGTGACTACGACAGACGTTCAGGTACTCCAAGCTTTGGTGCTGTACCTTACAGCTTTGGAGAGTCTGGGGGAGACGGCGACAGTGTGGTCCATGAGCGGGCTAGCTTTCCGTCAAGCTGATACGCTGAGTCTGGTCTCAGAAAACAACGCTACCAAGCTTTCACCATTCGAAACCGAGATGCGGCGCCGGCTGTGGTGGGCTCTTGTTTTGCTAGATCACCGCACTGCCGAATCGATGGGCAAGACTAGTGATGTTCTCAAGCACAGACAGAGTGTGAAGCTGCCAACGAATCTGACTGACACCCAGCTATTCTCGTCGATGCTCCGGCTTCCTGAAAGCAGACCGACGGCCACTGAAATGTCCTATGTACTGCTGCAAGCCACGATCGCGTCTCATCTGGATCACATCGGAAACGAGCGATCAACCCTTGGATCGCCTTCGCAGGGCAGGGCCACCCCACTGCGAGATCTAGAATACAGCCTCGAAGAAGAGATCCTACGATTCTGCGACACTACAGTCCCGTTGCAAGCCTACACGATCAACGCGGCGTACGCAGCACTCGCTAAGTTGCGGCTTGATCAAGTAAAGAACAATCTCCAGGATGAAGAATTCTCGGCTAGCGCCTTTGCGCACAGCTTAAAGGTGGTGGAACTCTACCTTGATCTGACGAACGAGCCTCAACTTCAACGCTGGAAATGGCAGTGGGGCTCCCGTTTGCCATGGTCTGCGTTCCGAGAATTAGTCTACCATTTCCGTATCCACCCGGAGTCTGACAGTAGGCCAGCGGAGGTTTGCACAGCTGAGAGACATATCTGCGAGATGGTGGAGAAAGTCCTCCCAACATTCCATCTCGAGCCTCGCAAAGCCATGGCACTAGAGCTCATGCGAGGAATGCTAGCAGTGGCGCATGAACAATCCCAATCCGTAGCGGCGAGCACCACGGATCCTGCTCTCCTGACCGGCGAACAGGCGAAGACTGCTTCGCTGGCTGTTACGGAGTCGCCGGGATCAGATCCCGCTGCGAGAACGGCGAGGAAATTGATGACGCAGACGGCACATCCTCATGGCTCGAGGCCTTTTGCTGCATTGCTCCCTGGTATGGACGTCTCCGCACGGGCGGCAGGGCAGCAGGAAGCCAATGGTACCGACCAATTCCAAGAATCGGCCACGAGGACTCGAGGCGCGAAAGATGCACAGGCTCATGCTCATAAGGTGGATTGGATAGAGTTCGACAGGCTGGCTGGTGAGTTGTGTAAATGAGCTGTCCTGAACATGGACGATAAATATATACACACAACGCTGCAACAACACCAGATCTCAAGCAAGCATTAAACCATCCTCCAACACATCACAACTTCGACTCCGCTCCACTCTCAATCGTCCCCGCGCCAGTGAAATTGACCGCCTCCGTTCTCTTAACAGTCCCACTGCGCGTCAGATCCTTCCGCCTCCTGCCTCTGCTCAACCACTCTCCATCATCCTCCTCCCGAATATAATATGCCCAATCGCAAGTCTCATCGAGTTCAGTCTGCGAGTACCCGTTGCCCAGATACGAGAACCTATTACCCGCATAATCGACATTAAAATCCTCCATCCTAATATCGGCTAGGGCTTCGATGTAGTGGAGTGTACTACCCGGCCACAAAGCAGTGATCGGAGCGTCAATCTGACCGGATTTGTACCATGATCTGCGAAGACAGTAACAGTCAGCACAATATCCCAGCGCGAGGTATGATACGTAAGATACGCACCGACAAGGATCACTCCAAACCGTCCTCCGCATAAACTCATCCTTATGCCTTATAAAATCCTCCACCGCCTCCTTCTTCGGCGAAAAGCTCTTGATATTATGCGTCTGCCAATGATCAATCAACTTGCACATATAATCCGCCTGCAACTCAATCGCCGACAACACCGGCCCATTCCCAATGGGACAATTCGGGCCCAAGAAAATAAGGTAGTTGGGAAACTCAGCGGCCGCGACACCGAGGTAGGATTTCGGTTCCTTGGCCCATTCGTCTTGGAGGTTCTTGCCGTTGCCGGCGATGAGAGGGAAGCGGGGTTTGAAGGTGGTGTCGAAGCCGGTGGCGCAGATGAGGATGTCAAGGGGGTATTCTTTGCCGTCGTCGCAGAGGCAGCCGCGTTCGGTGACTTTGGTGATTTCGCCGTAGACGACTGTGACGTTGGGTTTTGTTAGGGATTCGAGGTAGTTGACTCCTGGGGTGAGGCGACGGCAGCCGACGCTCCAGTCCGGGATGAGTTTGGAGATGAGGTGGTCGTCGTTGATTTTCTGCTTCATTTGCTCCGTCATGTATTCTTGTGTTGCGGTATTGACGGTGGAGTTCTTGAGGAAGAGGCCGAATTGGCCGTTCAGACCAGTCTCGATGGATTTGCGGTATTCGAGTAGTGTCCCGGCTTTCGTCTCAAAGTCCCGGCGTTCTTGAGGGGAGAAGACGTGTTGTTCTAGGCCTTGCACGGGCGAGACCCAAGTCGGTTCACGGATGAAGGTTGTGACGTGGGAGACTTTGGGTTGGATATTGGGGAGGACTTGGATGCCAGAGGAGCCGTTGCCGATGAGCCCTACATGTTTGCCTGACAGGTCGACGCTGTCGTCCCAGTTGGCGGTGTGGAGGAGCTTGCCTTTGTAGTCGAAGAGGCCCGGGATGGCGGGCCATCGCCAGTTGTTGAGAATACCAGAAGCGTTGATCAGGATGTCGCAGGAGTTTTGCACTTCTTGGCCAGATTTGAGGTCTTTGATCGTTACATGCCATCGACTGTCTCCGTCATCCCAGACGGAGTTGACGACTTGATGGCTCGTTTTGACGTATTTGTGTAGCTTGTACTTGTGGGCGAAGCTGTTAAAGTAGTTGAAGATCTCGCCGGAGCTGGCGTACACGGCTGACCAGTCTAGTTTGGGCTCGAAAGACCAGGTGTAGTTGTGGCTAGGTACGTCGCAAGCACATCCGGGGTATTTATTCTCCCACCAAGTACCGGAGACTTCAGAGTTCTTTTCGTAGACGGTGAGGTCGAAGTTTTCGAAATGTCGTTGAATCTTGTAAGCGAAGAGGAGGCCAGACGCGCCTGCACCAACGCAGATGATCTTGACATGTCGCTCTTGGTGGATCGGACCACCTAGTCTTCCGTTTGCCTCGTCGTCTGCGCGATTCTTTCGTTTGCCTAGAGTAGGTGTGTTCATTGCCTCCCGGATTGGAAAGTCTGCCATGGTTGCTAGGGTGAAATGTGGGTATCAAGAAAGTCACAAGAACAGCGATAAGTAGAGTAGGGCAGGCAGGGCGAAGAATTTGAGATGGGAACAGAAAGAGAATCCAGGAAGAATATAATCATAGCATACTTGCCAACAGTATCCACCTTGGCTCTCGGAAAGCAAGACGCGGTCCGGTGTAATGGAGTGTGCATAACGCACTAATGTAAATGGCTAGTACTGTAGCCGTGAGTAAGAGGGGCGCGTGGTGTGCATGAAGTCTGAGTCGCGAGAATGGTGGATCGACGGCGGGTGCGCGGCCATAGTTGCAAGTCAAGTGATAAGATTCTATTCTGAAGAGCAGCGTGGGGCCCCGCCCTGGCCGGAAAAGCTCACGCAACGCTACGGTGAAGCTAGATGTGTGTGGCATATGCTAGCTGAGTCGTGCAAGCTGGGTTGGTGAGCAAAGCATGAATCATGCATGAAAATGTTGGCTGACTCGCTGCGGTCCAGACGCGGAAGACGTGAAATAGATTTGTTTCACATCAAATGATGGAACGGCTGCTCCGTATAGATGTGGGCATGAGAGGTTGATGCTTTGTGGCGAATGCCCGGCCAGGTGGCGAGGTCACGTTCTCATTCTCTCGATGGTGTACGCTTGGATGGCCTGATGTGACGATCGATGGCGTATGGACAAGGATGGGCGCCCGAAAGCACATCCATTTGTTAGGAGTGAGTGATAGCAAAGTAGTACTGTAAGCATCTCTCACGTAGACCTTTGGCGCTGCCGATAAAAGTGGAAGGCGTTGCTATGGAGATGAGAGTATTCTCTTGGCGCGGGGCGACTACAACGCGCGCGGCGCTGAGAAGACGGATCTCGAAGCTCGCGTACACGTGCAATTCTAGCATAGCAGAGAACAGAGGACAGACATACGGAACATTCGGAAAACATGGAAGCCAGCATACTCGACATCATCGATGGTCCGCCCAGCTCGCCGTTTGTGACGGAGGTGGGGGAGACGAATAGCAGAAGCCCGAGCAAGCAATGGCAACAACAACCCACCACCACCACCATTGGCATCGACGAGGAAGATGAAACTCGAATGGCCACACCGCAGAAGCCGGTCACATCATCTATGGATGTAGTAGAAGATAAAGAGAATGTGCCTCAGGATGAACCAACCGCGACACTCGGCAAAATGTTCGCATCACCCGAAAAGCAGGCCACCCCCGAGCGCATCCCACTGAAGCGCACCACGCCTGAGCCCGCGACCTCCGCCAAGCCAACACTCGAGCGTCAACTCAGCTGCGACTCTGATCTGATGCCGCCGCCGCCGCCCTCGTCTCGCAAGGCCACACCCAAGAAGACGCCACTCAGGTCCTCGCGCAGCGGCGCCAACACCCCAAGACCTCTTAGTCGAGGTGACTCTTACGAACGAACACCCAAGACTGATGTATCAGCAAGTGCATTTCAAGCTGGGCTTGATATGCGCGACGCCCAGGCACCTCCACAGGACATGACCAACGTGGATGATACATGCTTCAGCACCTTCTCAGAGATCCCAGAAATGACCATCTTTGCTAAGCTAGGCCAGTCACCCACCAAGCGAGGAGACATGCTACGGACACCGGGTGGCAAGACTGATGCCACGCCACGTACTACTCGCAAACGTCTGTCTACCTCCCGCTCGCCCTCACCCACATCACGTCGCCAGAAGACACCAGCAGTCCAGAATGCAGATGGCACCACCAGCTTCCTCATCGACTTCACGCAGCAGATGGAAGGCGTCAACACCTACCGGCCTGCGTCTCCAGGCAAAGCTTCTACCGAGTCCAATCTCCTCCATTACATCAACAACCAGCGCTCGCCACAAAAAGGACGCCACTCCTACGCCACACCGAGCAAGCAAAACAACAACATCCTCAATCTTCTTGACTTTGAGCTTCCACCTGCACCGACACCACGTTCGGTGCCCACCATCACAGTCCGTGAGCTCGAGAGTCTGAAGTCAACCTACCTTTCACAAATCTCCAGCCTGAAAGCCACACTATCAGGTCGTGAAGCAGAAGTCGAAAGTCTCAAGCGAGCTGTAGGAGATGCTGAGCGACGCGTCGGCGAAGCGCAAGAGTCTCTCCGCGATGAAAAAGGCAGACGGGAGCATGTTGAGCAAGAAAAAGCGGAATGGGAGAAGCGAGGTCGAGAGGTAGAATGTGTCCTAAGCAGTGTGAAGGAGGAAGTCATGAAAAGCGAAGTCGAGAAGGAAGAGCTCCTACGCAAAGTCGAAGACAGTGAACGTAGAGCCGAGGACGCCGAAACCAGAGCCGTAAAGGCAGAGGAGCGCTTCGCCGACGCACTTGCCGCTCGCGCTGGTAATACTGGCGAAGGGGATAGCGGCAACAGCACAGAAGACCATGTCCAACGTCTCGTCTCCGCCCAAATCGACGCCAAGATCGAGGCCGTGAGCCGCGAACTCCACGCCGTATACAAAGATAAGCACGAGCGCAAAGTCGGGACCCTGAAGAAGAGCTATGAAGCTCGCAGTGAGAAGAAATGCGCTGAGCTTGTAAGGAAAGTAGAGGGGCTGGAGAAGACGAATGAGGAGTTGCTTGCGGCACGGGACTCGACGTTCTCTGGTCCGGTTGTTTCTGATGCAAACGATGGTGCAGTAGCTCTCAAGACTGAATTGGAGGAGCAGAAGGCGGCCCTCGCGCGTATGGAGGAGGAATGTCTCACTTCCCGCCATCAGCAAAATCAACTTATGCGAGAATTGCAACAGGAACGGATCGAGAAGGGCGATCTGGTTGCTGCGGTGGATGAGATGTTGGCGCTGCAGTCTGAAGGCGGGACTGGTGCGGGGCCGAGGCAGGGTCAGGCAGCTATGAGTGTCGTTGAGGATTTCCGGAAGAGTATTGGGAGGCCTTCTGGGCTGAGGGCGCCGGGTCAGTTGGGAGCAGCCCAGAGTAGGATTGGTGGTGGGCCTGGTATGTTGGGGAGGAGTACGAGTGGGGGGAAGTCGAGGCTTTTGAGTAATATTGAGAGGATGGGGAGGACGGGGAGTGGGAACTTGGCGGAATAGTCGTGCTATTCGTCGTATCGAGGACCGATGGGAACCCCCAAGAAGGCTTCAATCTGTAACACTAGCTAGCTAGCCTTCTTGTTTGCATGAGTGGTGGGCGTTGGTCGACTCGAAGATACCTCAAACATTGGACTTTTTGTGCTTTCCGGACGATCGATCGTGAGAGGAATATTTCTGCTATGTTATTGGCATGTATAACCTCCATCAATCACCAACCCCTGTCCCGTCATGAAACTCGACATCGGACTCGCGAGGAAGACGATGCCGTCTGCTATCTCCTCCATCTCTCCTAACCGCTTCTGCGGCACTTTCTCGATCTCCGCGTCCATTACGCCGCCGGCCTGTTGGACAGTCAGTCGCATGGCAAAGACAACCGTCATCGGGAATGCGGCTTACAGTAGCAGCCTTAAGCAAAGGTGTCCCCACATAACCCGGACATATAGCGTTCACCCGAATCCCTTGCTGCGCATACATCACCGCATCCGTCTTCGTCAACCCCATTACCCCATGTTTAGACGCTGTATACGCCACCGCCGGCGTAAGCGGCGAACTCGCCACCAACCCCAACATCGACGCAACATTCACGATCACGCCTCTGCTCCCTCTCGGGCCCGGGTCGATCTGGTTCTGCGTCAGCATCTGACGAATCTGAGCCCGTTGACAGAGCCAGACGCCGTCGAGGTTCACGCTCATGGTTTTGCGCCAAGATTCGAGGGAAAGTGTGGCGGTTGCCGCTTCGCCGCCTATGCCGGCGTTGTTGACGGCTATGTCTAGCCGGGAGAACTTGGAGATGGTGGTGGCGATGGCGGAGTCCACGGATTTCTCGTTACTGGTGTCGGTTTCTAGGGTTAAGATCTCTAGGTCGGGATACTTTTGGTTGAGTTGGGCTTTGGTGGTCGCGAGGTTTGTGGGATTGATGTCTGCGATGGCGAGTTTGCGAATGCCGTGGGCCGCGAAGGCGTAGGCTGTGGATTGGCCGATGCCTTTGATGTGGTATTGAGGTTAGGAATCGTGCGTATGTGACTTTCATTTGCTAGGTTGGTGTATGTGCTCACCAGATCCTGCGCCTGTTATGAATGCTGTGCCTCGTAGTAAGGATGCCATTGTGAGAATATGACTGTGTGTTACGTTGCTGCTGCTGCTGCCGCTTGTATTGATAGCTGCTTGTGCATGTGCTACTTTGCCACTTGACTACCCGCACCTCTTCTCACTCTCACGCAGCAAGACTCCAACCTGGTACACAAGCTCTCACGGCTCGAGCAAACTACACAAGTCATGTTGACCGGACTAGCGTTGTTCTCCACGCCATCGTAAACTCAAGATCCCTCGAGACGGCTCTCGTATCTGCACGGTCGTGCAGGAGGAAGTCAAAGCCAAGGTCTGGGGAGCGGAGTATAAAGTGGGACGGTACCTGATTAAGAAGTCCCGCTAGCTTAGCTACTCATGAATCATGAGATGCTCGGGAGTCGTTCTCCGTGAAACAAGGTTCGTGGGCGTCTCTCTTCTCCACCAAGCCTAGGGTAGGTAGGCGAGTCCAGACGAAGGTGGTCTGTGGCCCTCACCTGTGGGCTGTCTTTCCTGATCCATCGTGGAGTCATCATTCTAATGGCGGTGCCAGACCAGGAGCTCGATGTCCCGACTAGCAAGGACGAAGCTTTGATAGGCTGGGTTCAGCCAGACGAATGTGGCACATCCTGATCCTGTGCTTATCCTGCATCTGTCGGTATCTAGATGCTTCCGAGCGAGTATGCAAGCGACCATGCATAGCTTGCAGTCGACGCTCGCTCCAGACAATCTACCGACCCCATGGGCAGCAGCCATTCCTGTCTTGACGTTGACTCGCCTTCTTACCCTCTTCCTCTCCAGACTTCAGCAAGCCACGAAACCTTCTTCAAGACAATCGCGTGGCCACGTGGGAACCTACAAGGCTAAGCAGATCCTGAGGCCCGATCTGACACAGACTGCTACATCTCCTACAGGACTGTGTCTATATCGTTGATCATCTGCACAACCAAGTCTGTCGATCTTCGCCATCTCCATCCCTTTCACCATCTTAGCTTGACCAAGGGCCATGTCATATAACGAAAAGGACGTTGTCACGATGCAAGACGATATTGGCTCTCGCCATAACAGCAAACACCATGAGGATGATGTTGTCATCCACAATGACACCTTCGCCATCAAGCGCGAGGCTCTGGGAGATGACCTTCCTCCAAATTACTGGCGATCACCTGGCTTCATTGGCACTGTTGCCGCGCTATGCTTCGGCAACATCTCCAATTACTGCTCATGGGTCATGCCATCGAACTCGTTAGCACTCATCAATGCCACCTTAGGACCAAGTACATACAACAGACATGGGAAGCAGAATGCAGTCCACTAATAGTGTTACCAGGCACAAACATCTCATGGGTTGCACTATCCTACACACTCGGTCTCTCCATTGGCTTCCTGATCGTTGGCCGTCTATCAGACATCTTCGGTCGACGATGGTTCTTCATCGGGGGCAACATTTTGGCTCTCGTCTGTGGTATCATGGGCGCCGTCGCCAAGGACATCAACACCTTGATCGGAGGAAATCTACTCGGAGGTCTGGCCGGTGCAGTGCAGATCTCCTTCACCGTCGCCATTGCAGAACTCGTGCCGAACAAACATCGTCCTCTGTGGATCGCAGCCATCTTCTTCAGTAGCGTACAATTTGCCGTCTTCGGTCCCGTCATTGCACAAGAGCTTGTCCTGCATACTGGACCTGGATGGCGTGTCAATTACTACATGAATATTGCGGTCGCGGCGGCGGCGGTCCTATGCTTTTTCTTCTTTTGTAAGTCCAGTTCGATCATTTCAGAAAGGGCGTTAGGCTGACTGGGCCAGATCACCCACCGACCTTCGATCTGCTCCACGAAGATCGATCCAGAATGCAGCAGCTCAAGAGACAAGATGGTGTTGGCCTTGTCTTGTTCTGCGGTGGTCTCATTCTGTTCATCATGGGTCTCAGCTGGGGTGGCACAGTAAGCCTACAACGATATATGAAAGCCAAAAGCCAATGCTGACGACATCTCGTAGACATACCCATGGACATCTGCCCACGTAATCGCCACGATCGTGGTTGGCTTCCTCACGCTAGTGGCATTTGTCCTGTGGGATGCCTATGGACATCGCGGCGATCCGCTCTTGCCACTTCACCTGTTCAAGACCCGTGGCTACCTCGCTATGGTCCTCACTGCTATGGTCGGAAGCTGTGTATACTACTCCATGAATGTCCTATGGCCCTCCCAAATCGCCTACCTGTTCGTCGGCTCTGCAACACATAAAGGCTGGCTAGCTTGTACAGTCGGTGGCGCAACACTCCTGGGCCAAATTGTTGGTGCTACGATGTGCCAATACATCAAGAAGTCGCGATACATTCTTATCGGCGGTACGCTCTCCTTGCTAGCATTCTCGGCCGCCATGATCAGCATCAGGCCTGGTGATGAGACCAAGGGCGTCGCCCTTATGTTCATGGCCTGCTTCTCGGTCGGGATCATTGAGACGTGTTCGCTTGCTCTCGCACCACTGGCATTACCTTCTGAAGATATTGGAGCAGCACTTGGCGCCTTGGGATCTATCAGATCAGGCGGCGCGGCTGTGGCTCTCGCCATCTATGTGACGATCCTCAACAACAAGCTGATGAAGCTTATACCTTCATACGTCGCGCCCGCTGCGACTAATGCAGGTCTACCGCAGTCCTCCTTGCCAGATCTGTTCAAGGCGCTCACTGCTGGAAACCTTACCAACGTGCCGGGCATCACTACGCAGATCGAGCTTGCTGTTGGCGCAGCGAATGCAGAAGCAGCTGCCGATTCTTTCCAGTTTGTCTGGTATGCCGTAGTCGCCTTCGCTCTCGTGGCTGTTATTGCTGCATGTCTCACGGTCAACTACGGAGACTACTTGACTGATAAGGTTGAGAGGAAGCTTCATGGAGTAACAGTTGAAGGCCACCATGGCCAGACCGCTAACGATGAAAAGGTCTAGGCAGATTGAGAGTCCCATGTAATCTTTCGTCTATTCTTTCAATAGTTCTGTCTGACGAAGAGCAACGACTCTCTTTAATGCTTACAATGACGATGTGTATCATGTGTCCTTGTCCACTTGTTTCTGGTGATTTCAATCGAATTGCATCCAGGCACTCAGCACTTGTTCTCCTGTTCGCCGTTCACGTCTGAGACTGCGATGTCATCGTTCGCTTTCGAAGACGAGAAGCTGGCTTGGTAGCTCGTAAGAGTTCACTCTTCGTGGACAGAAGTCGGAAAAAGGATGTTGTCTGTAGAATGCGAGCTTTGGCACCAGTTTTGTACAGTAACAGAGCACCTATGCGCCTCGCTACCCGTTCATAATACCACCCATTGGTGGTGAAGTATAGTTATGTAACTCTGACCTGCCCCTTGGTGGAAACCCATCAAGATCATTTGCAGCTTCGCCAGTACCAGCATGCCACCTGCTCCAATCATCTTCCGACGGCAAGCCCAGGAAGTCCATCATCTGACTATCTGGAACACCAGGTAGACCTGTCATAGATGGCATGACTGGGAAATCGTTGCTGCCGAAATCGCTTCCCATCCAGTCATTTCTTCGAAGAGGTGAAACCACATTTGCTACTTCTGGTGCTGGTAAGAATCCTCCCGGCTGAGCAAACGGCTCGTTGTTGTGCACATTGGGCCAGCCTGAAAGTGAGCCCTCGGTTCGAGGGGTGACTAGTGGGAAGTCGCTATGGCTTTGGACTGGCTGTGATGCTGTACTGGCATCACTTGCCCGGTGCTGTCTGACTGTCGCAGACGGTGGATGCATGGCTTTGATCTTTGTCGACTTTCGGCGTTTCATGATCGGTCGCTCTGAACCTGTCTCCACTGCAGTACTGTCTCGACGAGCTGGTATAGATGACGCTGCCGAGCTTATCGTCTTGCCGGGGCTGATAGGACCGCCTCGCAGCTCGATCATGACAGCGTCCAATACTGCTGCCATGCGCTCTGCCGGTTGATAGCCATAGGCCATGTCCTTCATCGCTACCTGTAGGACTTCAAGGTATTGCAGATTATTTGTCCGATCCGCCGTGTCCGGTATATATGCGAGCGCGGCGATGAGAGCAGTGGCAGCCGTCCCAGCGTGTTGCATGCCAATACAGAATATCTGTTTGCCGTCATATCGTTGGCGATGCTGCCAGAAGATACGTGCCATCGTCACCGCAGATTTCGTACAGATCGCCCTGGATGCCTTTGAGAAGTGGCTATCCAACGCACTCACGCTGGGATCTTCTGCGTCCGGGCTACCAGAATCGTCGTAGCGAGCGAACGGACGGTGTAACAAGATGAGTACAGCGTGATATTGTTGGTGAAGCAGATAGAAGGAAAGAGGTGCTGACACTCGATTCTCCTCGGTGTAACGTAAATCTTGTGGCAAGCGGACTGCCCAATTATGTAGCTCACGATCAATAGCCGCCATACGGAAGTACGCAGATTGATCAGGACTTTGTCGTGTTGCATCTAGGTTTCGATGCTCTGCAGTCTCCACGATTTTGCCAGCAATCTCCATCAGGTCTATCAATGCCTCATAGATCCTGGTATTCAAGCTTTTGGCAGGACCAGCTGGCTTACAGGTACCGAGACGCTCAAATTGATTTGAAAGAGAGTATATCTCTACATCGGCACATTTGATGGTCGTTGGTCGTCCCAGAAATAAGGACCAGTATCTATCGTAGATGATGCACGCCCATAGCGTCATGCGCCGGATGTCGATTTCGCGTCCAGTCATGCCACTCTGGCTGCTGTCAAGATGCAGACCAATATCATAAGCCAGTCTCATAGCCATGCCAGCGTACATCCATCCGACATTGTCTCTCCCCACACCAACCTCCGAGTCGCCCAGAATGAGAAGGGCTGCGACAGAGGGTATACCACCTGGTCGTTCTAGCTCAAGATCCAGCATGTATTTGGCTTCTCGGTGCAGTGTGCTCTCCCTGTCAGGCAGCGCGATACGTTGCATGTCCGGTCTGTCCTTATCCGAGAAGCGGAAAGCCATAGCAAGTATACAGATGTGCAGAAATCCAGAGTAAAACTGCGTCTTTCCGTGTTCACGATCCTCTATGAAAGCCTCCTGGTGGACTACGTGCAGTACACCGTTATAGTGCTCCCAAAAGAGACCCATGAGGTAGTCGTGCGTCTCAATCGGCAAAGTCCGGATGACTCTCTCGGCTCGTCTGGCTTGCTCTACTGCTTCTCGGCTCTGTTTGACGCTGTCGACTTCCAGTTCCGAGTACACATGCGAGTTGACAGTAGGACCAAAGTATCTCAATCGGCCGCTGATCTGGTCAAATGACAGATGACCACGGGTAGATAGAAGTCTACTCACCAGGCCCTGGTTCTTGTCGTCGATTGGGGTGCCCTGTGGGTTATCGATTTCGCCACGATCTCGTTGGCCTTCTACGCTCATGGCTGACCCTACATGTGAGCTGCCTTCGATTGCGTCCTCGGCAACACTCTCCGGACTAGTCTGCTCGATGATTGTGTTTTCATAATTGTAATTCGTCGAACGCTGCGCCGATGGCTGTCTGACCGGCGACTGTTCGCCATCCGGATACATGCTTCCGCGGGTAGTCTTGGGCGGGTAAGTGACACTTGGTGGTTCAGCGCCTCGATCCTTGAGCATAGACTCCAGTATTGTCACTCGATCGGTTAATGTGCTAACGTAAGCTCTAGAAATCGGTCGTCGGCGCTCGTCGTCGTTCTTGATCACACAGTCCTGGCCAGCTCGTTTGCACTGCACGCATTCGCTATCTCCCGCGGGCACAACGCACTAGAGCCAAGTCAGCGTACGTGACGTGGTGCTATGCCGGGGCTCGCATGTCGGAGTGGTGGAAGACTGACTCTAATACGTCTTTCTCTACACGTCGAACAAGCGACACTCGCACGATGTCGAGACTTCTGACGCTTGGATGAACTGCCACCTTGCTCAGATTCGTCTTGTCCTTGTACCTCGTAGTTGGCAGGTAGCGAAGTTTGAGCCACTGGAACGTTCTGTTCGAGCACAGACTGCTGCATGGTGAGGTTCCCAACGTAGACCTGTTTTGCAATATCACCAGCTCTGTCAGTACAAATAGCGGGCTCAGTAGGCTGGGGAGAGGCAGATAGCAAGGGAAGTTTTACTATGATCTATGCAAAAACATCAGCGAGGTGGCACGCATAATCTGCGGCTCCGGTTCGTTGCCCCGAACCAGACCCTGGTCCAGGTCAGGCGAGACCTGCACCACTAGTCTCTTGAGGGCCAAGAGGGCCCGAGTCAGGCGAGAACGGGGTTGTTGGAGACCCCGCACATAGTCGGCGAACCACATGCGGTTCGTGGAAGAGAAGAGCTCGGTTTGGAGTGTCCCGTGCCCGCCACAATTTCGGTATCGCAGTGCGTTGAGCTCAGTACCAGCAGGTGTAGCTTTTTGACACGAGACGAGGGTCAAGGGCCGTCGGCGAATGGAACAGTGACAATGAGTGACACATTCATGGTGGAAAATGTACACTTCTCGGAATGTATGGCCGATCTCCAGTTGTGGGTGGAGACAGCCTTGGCGACCCGCCGCACATGACTCGGGCAGATTAACTCTATATTAATACCGGCACATCCGATTTGCTTTCAGAAGACTCATGCGCGGAGCAGAATCGAGCTGTGATGCGTGGCAGAAGCTGTAATTCGGACGTGTCCACGACTTGCACAAACTTTGGGACGCCATATCACCGATCATTTGGCCCTCCTCGTCCCAGTCCCACCTGAAGGAGTGAAAAAGTCACTTGTCACAGGGCTCAAAAGTTCATTCTAAATGTCGGAAACGATCTTGCATCGCGAATAGGGTCTGCAAAAGTGGCCTTCCGTATTCTAGTGAAATGTGAATGGTGTCGGGTCGAGTCGATGCTAGCTACAAAAAATTCACCGTACAATATCATGACCCCTCTACGCCTCAATCTACGATGCGTCAACTCGATCGGGTGCCACGTACGCTTAGTCCACAGTCCATTCGTGATCTGTTGCACTGTTAGCCTCATTTTCAGGAGAACGTCTTGGGATGACGACTTACCACTGCTCCTCATATACCTGCTCAAACCATCGACATCCCGATTCGCAGTAGCCTTCACATCACCATTCCCCAAGAATGCGAACCTGTTCTTGTGCCTCCATCGGATGTTGTAGTCCTCCATCCTTGGCTCTTTGATAGTCTTCAAGAAGTGGATTGTCGAACCGGGCCAAAGATATATCCTATTCTTGACCTTACCATCCTTGAACCACGACCGACACTCTTCTTGCCATACCGTCGTCTTGTGGAACTCATCGAAATGTGCATAAATATCATCAAGAGCTTCTTGCTGGACTTCGATGGCTTTGATGGCTTCTGTCTGGATCTTCTTCATCATCTTCACGGAGTACTCGATTGTAGTCTCGATCGACGGGAGGAGAGTGCCGTTCGACCAGGTCGCTCCAGGCCCGACGATGGTGTAGTAGTTGGGAAAGCGTGGGGCGCTCACTCCAAGATAGAGATTAGGACCATTGACCCAATCTTCCTGTATCGTCTTTCCAGCGGCGTTCACCACTCGGAAGGCTGGCTGGAAGGCTACCTTGAAGCCAGTCGCACAAACTAGCACATCCATCTTATGTACCACACCATCTGTTGTTTGGATGCCTTCGGGTACGACTTTCTCAATGCCGACCATGATCGGCTCCACGTTGGGCTGTACAAGCGCTTCTAGGTAGCCATCTCCCGGTGAAATTCGTCTGCAGCCAGGTGACCACGTCGGGATAATGAAGTCCTTGAGTTCTTGGTTGCCAGGTCCCATTCTTCGATTCATTTCATCTGTGATCACCTGTCTGAACTGCTTTGAAAGATCAGAGTCTTGCCTGTACATGCCGAACAAGCCATTGATCTCAGCCTCGATGCCTTTGCGAAACTGCAGATGGAAATCCTTGTCTTCCCGGAATCGTTGCTTGTCGGCGTCTGTGAACTCGTACTGTCGCATGCCTGGGTCAACGTCCTGCCCCTTTTGTACGCTTGTGAGCGCAGCAGACCCAAATGGCGGGCTGATCCAGGTAGGTGATCGCATGTATGCTTGCACCTTCTTCGCCACCTTCTGGAGCTGTGGCACGATCTGGACGCTCGTGCTGCCGTTGCCAATCACGCCAATGACTTTATCATCAAGATCGATACCGTGATCCCAGCTCGCGCTATGCATCTTTGGACCAGCAAAATCATGCAGGCCTTCTATGCTTGGCCATTGCCAGTTGTTCAGGATACCGGTACCGTTTACGACAACGTGTGCCCAATCATTCCACGTTTCCTTCGTGTTTTGGTCCTCAATGGTTCTACAATTTCAATCAGGTACTGGCAAGGAGTCTGGACAAGCACAAGAGCTGTACTCACATTTCCCAGATGCCCTTATCCTCGTTCCATTTGCATTCGACCACTTTGCTGTTGAGCTTCATGTACTTCTCGCTTCCATGCCTTTTCGCAAAGCCGACAAAGTACTTCTGGATCTCTGGACCATAAGCGAAGAAATGTGACCAGTCCGGATTTGGGTCCCAGGTAAACGTGTAGTTATGACTCTGTCATCATCAGTATATCTGATGTGTTACTGGAAATAATCTGCTATCCTTACCGGTATGTCACAAGCAACACCAGGGTAGGTGTTCTCATACCTGAGAAGAATGTGAGCATTCCCATAGTCTTCAAGAGGGCTACTACCAAAGCTCACCATGTGCCACCAAACTCTTTGTTCTTCTCGAACAACGTCAACTCCCAGCTTCCAGCCTCCAGCATCTTCCCCATCTTGTATGCAAGACATAGTCCGGAAGCTCCAGCGCCGACACATGCTACCCGTAACCGTCGAGGTCTGCTATGATATTGGTCGAGAACTTGATAGGGCCCGTCCGCCGTCGGCTCTGGATAGTCGTAGCTCTGCGCCACTCCATTGATACCATTAACGACGCTGGGCATGTGCGATTGGCCACCAGATGGCGGAAGACCGTTCGCTTGATGCATTGCGGCAAAGAAAGCAGTGCTCGGAAGATGGTATAGCAATAAAGGAGCGGTAGACAAGCCTCTCTCGATGGTAATGGCAGTAAACAGGTCGATATGAGGATGAAGTCCAGTACAACACAGTGCACTAGCGCTACTATCCAGCGAGAAGAAACATGTGATAAGACCTACTTATTCGCGCGTCTCGAGTACCGCGTTGGCAGAAGTAGCAGCATCAGCAGCAGCAGCTCCTCCTCGGCCTAGAGATGGGACCAGCCAAGAGCAGGCCTACCGATGGCTTTCCGTAGAAGCAAAGGCAGAACATGTCTAACCCTGCACGCCTGATTCTGGAAGCCGTGTATTCTGTAGTGGATGCACGATCATGCGGGGTCCAAAGGGTGGTGGCGACAGCGGTTGAAGGTAACCGGTAGAGAAGAGAGCTGGGAGAAAAAGTTGGGGGTGCGCCAACGCGCGCGCACGTGACTGTGTCTTCGGCACCTCTTTGCGTTCTCGCCACTTCGGCTCGATCTTGCTCATGCCCGAGCTGTTTCTGGTCCTCTTCCAAGCTATTCTGAAAAGCTATTCCGATCCACACACGACTCAACAAGTCTTGCTAGAGCGAACTGATCGACTCGAGAGCATCTCCACATGACGGTCTACGGATCACCAGCATATGGACCTGCGTATGTGCGTAAGCTCAAAGTAGTGTCAAAGGGAAGTTTTGTTTACGCGTCTCGATTCCTTACTCTCCTTCACGGTGCTACCATCATACTATTCTCTCCCATAAGCTTCATATCAATATCACAACCATGGGCGAATTCGAATTCAGCAGAAGCAAGCTGCCCAAACAGCTCGTCATTAACAACGAATATGTCGACTCGAAGAACAGCAAGAAGCTTACCGTACACAATCCTAAGGACGGTAGTGTAGTAGCAGACGATGTACCCCTAGCAGGCGAACTGGATGTCGACGAAGCAGTGGCAGCAGCAGAAAAGGCCTTTCCCGCGTGGAAGGCTACTCCACCAGCCAAGCGAAGAGACATGCTTATGAAGTTCGCGAATCTGATTGAGAATTATGGCAAAGAGCTTGGTGAGCTTACTAGGGTGACTCTTGGAGCACCTTGGGGTTCATTCGGCGCATTCGAGATCAGCTTGTGCGCAGAGACACTGCGGTCAGTTGTAGTTGAATCTATGACCGATGATTATGAGAGCTGACTCTACTATACAGATACAATGCAGGCTGGTGTGACAAGTTCGCTGGTGAGGCTTATCCACATGAAGATGGTTTTATCAAGATTGTGCGAAATGAGCCTCTTGGTGTGACTGCTGGAATTATCCCCTGGAACGCTCCCATTGGCAACGTCGGTCTCAAGGCTGGTCCGGCGCTTGCTACGGGTAATTGCTTCATCCTCAAGCCGTCAGAAAAGACACCCTTTGCTGGACTAGCACTTCTACCTCTGATCAAAGAAGCTGGGTTTCCACCTGGTGTGTTCCAAGTCTTGACTGGTGATGGTTCCACGGGCGCCCTTCTTGCGAGCCATATGCGTGTGCGGAAAGTATCCTTCACAGGCTCGATCCCGACTGGCAAGCGCATCCAAGAGATGGCTGCCAAGTCAAACCTGAAGCGTGTGACGTTAGAGCTGGGAGGCAAGAGTCCAGCCGTGGTATTCGACGATTGCAACCTCGACAACGCGGTGACCTGGTGTGTCAATGCCATAACAGGTCATAGTGGCCAGGTCTGTTTTGCCGCGTCGCGCGTCTACGTCCAAGAAGGCATCTACGATAAATTCATCGAGAAGTACAAGGAGATGTTCGCCGAGCGGACAAAGGCCGTTGGCGATCCCGACGAGGAGTCCACGATTCTTGGGCCACTGGCAGACGACGCCCAATTCGATCGTGTATCAGGCTTCATCAACAGAGCCGTGGAGCAGAAGTCGGGCAACAAGCTCATTGGTGGTGAAAGGATAGGCGACAAGGGCTACTTCATCCAGCCAACGATCTTCACCGACGTCAAGCCCGACTCTGAGATCCATACACAGGAGATCTTTGGCCCAGTGTCCGTGGTCAGAACGTTCAAGACAGAGGAAGAGGTAATGAAGATGTCGAATGATACAGAATTCGGACTCATGGCTGGTGTATTCACGCAAGACATCAACAAGGCGATGAGGGTCGCCAGCGAATTCGAAAGTGGTATGGTAGGTGTCAACTGCATATCTCTTATGATGAACCAGGCCCCCTTTGGTGGCTCAAAGCAGTCTGGTACTGGCAGGGAAAGTGGTATTGCGGCTTTGAGGGCGTTCACAGATCCCAAGTACGTCGTCCGTCGAATTGTGTGTCTTGGCGTCATGCTGACAGACTGGCAGAACGATTATGATCAACATGACCTATTGAGGATTATACTGCAGACATCTCTGGACTGGTATGATGCTTTGAGTAGACAATTGTACTACGACGATGTCAACCTTAAAACCCCGTCTCGTCTCGTCTCGTCTCAGATGTGATGCCTAATGTTTGCCTTACTCTTCCCCAGGCTTTCTCCAGATTCGGCTCCACACGATTTCGAAAAATACCCAAGCTCCCTCCAGCAACGGCCAAAAGTGGCTTAGAACACCTCCTCGTGATCAAAATTCGCCAATCACAACGAAGTACATGTATACTTCGCAAGCCCAAGCGCCTAATTGAGTGTCGAGCCCGTTTCGCTGCTACGTAGCTGACCACGCGGGGTAGGTTACGAGGTCAGGCGGACGAGGTCTACCTACTTGCCCTTTTCTTCTCGTCGTACAACGTCTTCCTTTCCTTCCCGCAAAGCCAACAACTACTTCCTACCCTCTCCGCTCAAGTACTTCCGCGAGGTACCTCGTTTACTCCCACAGCACGTGTCGCCTGAACTTTCCCAGGGCCCTCCCAACAGACTCCTCATTACTCAAGCAGCTATCCCATATCTTGCACGACTCGCAAAGATGTTTTCATCCAAGGTACTCTTCTCTGGCTCGGCCTTGTTCGCCACCACTACTGCCTTCAGCGCTGCTTGGGTCTGCTACGCTCTCCCAGCCCAGCACAACAAAGTCGGCCCTTTCAACTACCACCGTGTGGGTAAGGTGACACGCCGGTTCGGCGAGCGTGTACCATGGCGTCGTCTTCCCAAAGCGCTTTGAGCGCTTTGATCACTGGGTGAGTAGTGATGATTTCCTGTCGTTTACTATAAGCAAGACTGACAGCAAAACAGTGGTTCCAGTGGCATGGGCCTGGCGGTCGCACAGGCTCTTGCAGATCGAGGTTGGTCGGTTCATCTCGTGGACCTCCAAGGACCTCTGCAACAAGTGGAAAACGCGACCTTCCACAAAACAAATGTCACAGACTACGACTCTCTTGCTTCCACTTTCCAGAAGGTTTTCGACACGGACGGGCGTTTGGATTTTGTCTTTGCAAACGCTGGTATAGTCGAACGCTTCGATTTCTATGAGGCTCATCCCACTGGCAAGCCGCCACCACCACCGAATCAGCTTGTCGTCGATATCAATCTGAAGGCGGTAATCAATACTAGCTGGCTGGCTCAGCATTATTTCCGGCAGTCCAAGCAGAGCGACAACAAGAATCTCGTCATGACCGCCAGTGTTGGTGCGCTGTATCGTTGCCAGGTGTCGCCGAGTTACTGTGCTACCAAGCATGGCGTACTCGGCTTCATGCGCAGTATAGCGCCCTTCTACTACCAGAACAAGGACATCAGTGCTCGCGTCAATGCCATCTGTCCCGGTACTGTCAAGACCAACCTCCTGGATCCAGCGGCCTGGGCGACCTTTTCCGACGACGTTTTCGTCCCGATCGAGAAGATTGTTTCAACTGTTCTCATGCTCATCGACGGACATGATGTCGATGGTACTGGCCTCGATGGCAAGCCTCTTGCTGGTGCAAATGGTGTTAGTGCGAACGGTTCTACTGCTGGTGATGGCAAGTTGTACGGCAAGGCTGTTGAATTGTCTGGCCGGAAGCATTACTATCGAGATCAAGTCGCATACTGTGATGACCATATGGCTAAGTGTATGCTCGCTACCGAGCGAACTAGTTACAACGAAGCATGAATGACACAGGTTTTCAAGTCACTCTGTCTCAGCTCCTGTCGTCGTTCATGTCTTCTTGTCGAAATACAGGCCATGCTATCAGGTGTCTTCGCGTATGCACCGGCCATGGTGGAATTGCCACCGTCATGTTTGAAGAAGACTACGAAACCGTCTGACTCGCAAACTTGGAGCAACGGGGAATCGGAGTGCGCGGAGGTGATGAGCTTCTCCACCTGTCTCCGCAAAATTGACAAGTCGTTCTCCAAACCTTTTCCGACATGCACGTCTCGAGCTTCAGACTCCAGAGCTGCAAGCCGTGGCAACCATGCTACATATTGTTGCCGCAGGCTCGGCGTCTAGGTAAGTCAGACACCCGGCTTAGAATCACTCAGTACCAGTAGCCGCAATACCACTTCCATTACTCTCATCTTGTCTCTCACCATAGCCACTCTTGCCTCGTATATCCCAATGATTCAACCCTGCACCTCTCCCTCCCACCTTTACCAGCCTCTTCCACCCCCAAGCAAACGACAAGGCTCGTACGCCTACGTCAGACAGCAATCTACTCAGCACCTTGACAACATCCCAACTACACCACCTCCAGCCTATAAAGATGCCGTCAACGAAAAGACCAATCCGTATCAGTGGTGCCTCCGGAGGCTTCACGGATCGTACTAGAGCAATCCTGTCTCTGGCCCACTGCGACGTTGATGTTATCGTCGGAGATTGGATGTCGGAATGCACCATGAGCTGGCATGGCGCCGCAAAGGCTGATCTTGCTGCCAAAGGCGTCAGTGATGCTGATCGACCGGGACTGTATGACCCAAGTTTCATGGCAAATCTGACTCCTGCGCTGCCCGTGTTGCAGGAGAAGGGGATTAAGTTGGCTGTCAATGCTGGGGCTAGTGATACTGAGAAGCTAGCCAAGGTCATTGTGGAGGTTGTGAAGGAGAAAGGCATGGATCTGAAGGTTGCGTGGATTGAAGGCGATGAGGTTATGGAGGCCGTCAATAAACTGCTGGCTAAGGGAGAGAAGTTTGAGAATATCTGCTTTGGAGGGGAGCTGAAGGACTGGGGCTTCGAGCCTCTGGCTGCACAATGTTATCTTGGCGGTGCCGGCATCGCAGAAGCGTTTCGACAGGGCGCAGACATTGTGGTTTGTGGGAGAGTAGCAGACGCTGCACCCACTATTGGCGCATGTATGTGGTGGCATGGTTGGAACAGGGAACGGGATCTCGATCAGATTGCTGGATCGCTGATTGCCGGCCACTTGATTGAGTGGTGAGTGCTGGTGATCATACGACGTTCAATGCTTACTGATTATATCGTAGCTCATCGTACGTCTGCGGTGGCTACTATTCTGGCTTCAAGGACCTGTTCGACGGCTGTGAAAACATCGGTTTCCCGATCGCCGAGATCAACCAAGACGGCTCGTTCTTGATGGAGAAAGAACCAGATACTGGTGGTGAGATGAGCGTCGGAACCTGCGCATCACAATTGCTCTACGAGATCCAAGGCCCGCAATACTACGGCTCGGACGTCGTAGCGGTACTCGAAGGTATCAAGATGACTCAAGTCGAGAAGGACAAAGTTCTCGTCGAAGGCGTGAAAGGCGGGGCACCTCCGACAACGACTAAGGTCGGTATTACGGCCAAGGGAGGATGGCAAGCCGAGTTTCATTATATGCTCGTTGGTCTCGACCTGGAAGCAAAGGCCGAGTGGACTGAGCGACAAGTACGATATTCGATGGGCAAAAATGCGGAGAAGTTCAACGTTCTGAAGTTCACACTCAACGGCTATTGTCCCGATGACCCACGGAACCAGGATGTGGCGACCGCCGACTTCAGAGTCTTTGTGCAGACGAAGGACAGGTCGTTGATCGTGCGAGATAGCATGGAAGTGCCTGGCTTCAATCGTTGGTGTATGGAGAATTTCCTGCAAAGCTGTCCGTACGTATATCGTTCAAGGTAATTGCAATGTATCGAAACCTGGTACTAATGCGGAGCAGTGGCGCTACTATAGAGAACGATATCAGACAAAGTGCAGGCAAAGAGTTCTATGAGTATTGGGCAGCATTATTACCACAACAGGAGGTCAGCCACAAGGTGAATCTTATGTGGGATGGTAAGTCAATGGAAATTGCGGTACCGGAATCAGTCAAGGAGTACGGATATAAGCGAGAAGAGCGCCAATGGAGTTACGAGACGAAAAGTCCCGCCTCCCTAGAAAGCTTTGGACCAACAACGAGAGGGCCACTTGGTTGGGTCGTACTTGGGCGATCTGGTGACAAAGCCAGTGGTGAGCTTTCTCGTTACCTTGCTCGTTGGGTTGCAATTGACTAATAAACGCTAGATGCCAACGTTGGATTCTTCGTGCGGCAGGACGATGAGTACCAATGGCTATGCTCGTTACTTACCGTTCTGAAGGTTAAGGACCTACTTGGACCGGAATACAACGGAAAGGGGGTAGACCGATTGTGAGTACTAAGGACAACACTGTCGTGCTACTTTCGCTGACCCCTGAGCAGTGAGATTCCCGGCATCAAGGCTGTGCACTTCCTACTGCACGACCATCTTGATCGATCGTACAACGCATCAAGTACTTATGATGGGCTTGGAAAGAATGTCTGCGAGTACCTCCGAGCGAAGCATGTCGAGATTCCGAATCGCTTTCTTCGAGGCCGCTGCTCGTGGCCCTAATTTATCGAGGTCAACTAGGAAAATAGCGCGGCCCATAGATACGTCTTCTAAGTGTGCAGCGATACAGAAATGGACAGTCAAAACATCACTGTGGCGTCTGAGTATCCTATGTGTTCCACGAGAGATGTGAAATTGTTGCTACGTCGGCCGTCTCACACCAAACCTCAAGCACTGATTAGGAATCGACTCTTCTTGGCTACGTCTGACAAGCTCTCTCCTGCATTCTCAAGACAAATCAACTTCACGACCGCGTTCGATACGTGGAAATTACACTTGTATACGTAGCTGGCTATGCATACCCTCAAGTCTTGACGCTAGTCGCGCATGATCTATATCTTGTCATCCTCGGAAGGCGCTTTCCTTGAGCTGAATACCCTCCGGACATCATTGCTCGTTGGTCGGGACGCATATGTACGGGTGTAGAGCAGAGGGCACGGGAGGAGGGACTGAAGAGGAAGCGACCAAAGAGTAGAAGGAAGAAGTATTAGCTAATCACATCTACATCGAAGATTATAGTGTTGATGAGACTTGCTTGTCGCATGTATATACAAAAGTTCTGCGAGTATGTACAAATCCTCAAACAGCTGTCACAAAACGTCCACGCCGTCGCTAAGTACAAAGCAATCATGTTTCGGCCCACGCAGGAGCTCATAGAGATAGTTCGGTTCCACCCAGCTCGGCGGACACCTCTGTTGGATCCGTAATTTGCCCTCACTACCACATAGACCGCTCAATCTGCACATCGGTGTCATGTTTCTCTGAAGGATATGTTGTGTCCATAGAGGTCTCCGAGATATTGGCGAAAGACTGTACTTCGGTGGTCTTGAATTTCCTGGCAGAGACTTTGGCGTCGAAGAGGATATCGAGTTCTGCGTAGGTACGTCCCTTTGGCTCCGGCAGTCTGAAGTAGGTCCATGTCGCGCAGAGAATGCAGGAGCCGGCCCAAAAGAAACCTGCCTTTGCGCCCCAGTTCCACGATTGGGGATTGAGCATATGGGGAGTCAATACGTTCGCAATAAGCCCAGTAATGTTGTAGAGATTGCGAGCCAAGACAACTGATTTGTTGCGAAGGCGCGTGCTTGCCATCTCAGCAACGAGCGAGTAGCAGACTGGACCGACCGTAGCATCGTAAAGGAATGTGTAGATCAACATCATTGAGCCTATACCCCAGGAAGCTCCCGTGTTGGTTCTCGGTAGGATGCCGACACAGCCAATGACTATGAGCAAACCAGCAAGTATGATCTGTCCCCAAAGGTAAAGGGTACGACGACCGAACCAGCCCATGAGGAACCACGAGATGATCGTACCAACTGCGCCAAGTGAGTATTGGCCAAGTGAGAGACTGAAAGCGCTGGATACATCGAGTCCGGCCTGTTCGTAGAAGTAGGTGCTGTAGCCCATGAAGGCGGATCCACACAGCGTCTGAATGGCCCAAACGACGCAAACGATTTCTGTTCGTCGAAGATCGACACCACGGAAACAGGCGGCGTATGAGGCTGACTTAGTATGTGCCTTCTCGAGCTCGGTTGTGTAGATCATCATGTTAATAGTCTCGTCGGGGTCAAAATCAGGGTTGCCTTTCGCGGAGGTCAGACGTAGGAGACTGTGCTTTGCATCATCCTTGCGTCCTTGTCGAACCAGCCACCAAGGAGACTCAGGGGCCAGAGCCAGGACCACAATCAAAGGTACGGGCCAGATCCACTGAAGTCCATACGGCAATTTATAAGCGATTGGCCCCATCTTGTCTGCTACACCCTTCAGCGCCCCGCTAGCAAGGAACTGTCCGAAGACCCAGCACAGATTGACGTATGTGGTGAGGTAATGCCGTAGGGCAACAGGGCATACTTCGGAGGCGTAAGTGGTGGTCTGTATCTTCCATTAGCGAGCTGATACGACATGCCAGAATCCGAACAAGAACCTACGAGAGTCTGGAAAGCACCCCAGCTTATGCCGCAAAGGATTTCTCCGACGAGTAACATAGTCAAGTTCTGTGCGAAGAAGGCAAGGAAGATGCAGAGAATTATCCAGATGAGAGCCGCGATCATGCTATGAACCGACTGTCAGAGTATGTCATCGTCGAAGATGGGGAAGGGTGAACGAACGTCTTCTTGTAGCCGAATTTCTCGGCAGCGTAGCCAACAAACATCAAGCCAGCGATTTCACCGACCAGGGCACCATTCGAAAGGCCAGACTGCCATGCGGCACTGACAGAGTAGCTCCCATCGGGCTGCTCCTGACCATATCTTTTCTGAAAGGCCGGGAGTCCGTAAAGAGAATTGATGAGGACGATATCGAAGCTGTGATTTCGACCGTCAGCAAAGATGATCAGACCAGGAGTCAGAAGTGCGAATCGTACCCTTCCATAATAATGCAAGCCGAGATGGCAACCGACCAGGCAACGGCGCAAGGGTACAGCTTGAGACCCTCACGTAGGGTCATGCTGGTTTCGGCATTGGCCGCTTTGGCGGCATCTTGAGCGATATTCGTTGGCACTGCGGCCACATGGGTCATGTCCTCAGCAGCAATGCTATTTTTGCGAACGCTGTTCTTGCGGTCGCCATGCTGCACAATAACAGTGGACGGCTGCTGGAAGTCCGACATGTTGGACGAGTTGGATATCGCAAAGGGGACGTTGTCGAGTTGAGAGATGATGGTGGATGATGGGGATTGCAGTGTGGCCAGACATGTTCATACTTATGTTCACACAGATCCATAGTGACTTTCATGCCAGTCTTGTCCATGTGCCATAGAACAAACGAGGAAGAACGCCATCGGTCCGAGATGCGGCCAGTAATCGTCCAGGAGGATGTGAGGAGCAAGATTTGGGGTTGTCTCCAAGACCCATGGGGTACAAAGTACCTGGAGCTGGATGCGGAGTCGCGAGGTGATCTCGACGGTCGAGTATGGAGGGCAGAACCTTAGCTTGGTCGAGAAGTTGTCGGTCCGCGATACAGCCAATAGCAGTCACAATCTCCAGCTGTGCACGGACAGAATTTGCCGCCCAGAGAGCCACGCTTTGACGGACCGAGATGGCACTAATCACTGCTCTCGAAGTCGGACCGTCTGTCGCTCCTGCTCAATGTCGAGAAGCCGGACAGCCATTCGTGCCGGCGTCGAGAATGAACTGACCCATCTAGTCTCGCAATTGTGCTTACGATCTCTTACAGCATGTGTGGAGTTTACAATAACCAAGATCAATGTTAGGAAGTGGAGGAAGTGGAGGCCCGACGTGTTTGGTAGGTATTAATTGTTGCCCTTTCCATTCCTGCTCCAGTGGTATAGATGCTCTTCAATCTTCCTTCGCGTTAACGTCTCCCACGCACCTTTCGAAACCGACCGAAAGTTGAAAATGACCGTCACAATTCGGCCGTGGTGGAAGGATAGTGTGGTCTATCAGATCTATCCTGCTTCGTATCTAGATACGAACGGTGATGGTGTTGGCGACATACCAGGGATCACGTCCTCTCTTGACTACATTCAGTCCATCGGTGTCGATGTTATTTGGGTGTGTCCCATGTACGATAGTCCACAAATCGACATGGGTTACGACATTTCCGACTACAAAGCAGTCTATCCTCCGTATGGGACCATCCAAGATATGCAGAAACTCATCGCAGAGACACACAGGCGAGGGATGCGGATAATATTGGACCTTGTTGTCAACCACACTTCACACCAGCACCAGTGGTTCCAGGAGTCACGATCGTCGAAAGACAACCCGAAACGAGACTGGTATATCTGGAAGCCTGCAAAGTACGATGCACAAGGACATCGCAAACCACCAAATAACTGGCGATCAAATTTCGGCGGCAGCACGTGGACATGGGACGAGCTCACACAGGAGTATTACCTTCATCTATTCTGCCCTGAACAGCCTGATCTCAACTGGGACAATTTGGAAACAAGGAAAGCAATTTACGAGGATGCCATGATATACTGGCTGGATATGGGCGTCGACGGCTTCCGGGTCGATACTGTAAACATGTACAGCAAGGATCCAAGCTTTCCAGACGCCCCTATAACGGATCCTAATGCTGAGGAGCAGGATGCTGGCTTAGTGTATTGTAACGGGCCGAAGATGAAGGAGATATTGTCAGAGATGAACGCCATTCTCTCGAGATACGACGCATTCACAGTTGGCGAGTGTCCTAACACTCCCGATATTTCGACTGTCGTGGACTACGTTGGTGCCAGCGCAAAGCGGCTCAACATGGTGTTCCAGTTCGAGGTGGTCGATCTAGGTCAAGGCAAGGTGTTTAAATACAAATCCAAACCGTTCAACTTCCAACTGCCAGAGCTCAAGGAGGCGATCGACATGACACAGTCATTTCTCACGCATACTGATGGATGGACCACATCGTTCGTTGAGAACCACGATCAAGCTCGATGTAAGTGTATCCGGACCGCAATGTTTCTGGTTTTGCTGATGATTGCTAGCTGTATCGCGATTCGGCGACGACAGCCCTCGATGGCGTGAACGATCAGCCAAGATGCTCGCACTCCTCTTCGGCTCTCTATCTGGAACTTTGTTCATCTACCAAGGTCAAGAGATTGGCATGATCAATATGCCGAAAGAGTGGTCGATCGATGAATACAAGGATGTTGACTCCATCAACTACTATCGAATGGTCGATCGGTGCAGCAAGAATGATGCCATGGAGCTCGCGGAAGCACAAGCCTCTTTACAGCATTATGCTCGAGACCATGCTCGTACGCCCATGCAATGGTCGACTGGCTTCAATGGTGGCTTTACTGCAGACGACACTCCGCCATGGATGCGGGTCAACACTTCGACCGAGTATATCAACGTACAAGATCAGCTGAAACGCAAGGACTCTCCACTCGCATTCTGGCGACGAGTGCTGTCGATGCGAAAGCAGTACAACGAATCATTCGTCCATGGCAACTTTGAGCTGCTCGATGCCTCCAACCCGAATGTCTTTTCATTCGTGAAGCGAAGAGGCAATAGAGTAGCCGTTGTGGTCTGCAATTGCTCTGGTAGCGAGAACAAATTGCCATATTTCAACGGGCTGGACAACTCGAAGATCGTGCTTGGCAATGTAGATAAGCCAGCCGTGACAACCTTGCAGCCGTGGGAAGGCAGAGCATATGTTCTATCATATTAGAGGTACAGGTGGGTGAATATAGACAATACCGCTGAATTACGACTGATGGAAATCCTTGGACCTCAACAATAACCTGGTCTTGGTGAGCAGGCGCGAAGGCCAGCAACGAGATAGCATGAATGAGTGCAGGAGGGATATAGAAGGGGATCTGTGGTCAGACTAGATATATCTATGAAGCACGTGAGAATAATTGGTGAAATACATCTCTCTTTCATATGCTATCTCTCTAGTCTCGATACAGGAAAAAGTACACGCGCTCGATCGATTCAGTTGATCGTTCCATGTTGTGTTGGTGCAAAGGACAAACTCTCCCCACGAAGTCGGGTCCTGTTTTCTCCGTCGTGCGCGCAATCGAACGCACTTCATGCTCGATATCCACCGGGTCATACGACTCTGCCGAAGAAGATCAGGCATGCGTTCAAGCAAAGATGTTCCTCCTACTAGCTTCTAATGGAGTCGACCATCCGGGTCACTTCAAGGCCAACACGGAGAGCCTGTAAGTACCCATTCGCGCCACGATCGAGACGTGTTCACTTGAACTTATCATTGATACCGCGATTTCACAGGCGAGCCATGTAGAATCCGCAAAGTCCGCTGTAATGGTGAGCCTCGTTGTCAGCAGTGCTCTCATCTCGATCTAAAGTGCATATACGCTACACGCCAAGCACGGAAAACAACTCTCGACCGCGGCAAGCACGTGCGAGACTGGGCAAATAGGCAGGATGGTGAGCTTGTCCGTCAACGACCACTTCTTTCTGCAGAAGATGCCACTATCACCTCATCGCCCTCCTCAGCCACTAGTGGGGGGCATACCGACCAGTTCTTCCGCGGTTTCCTTCAAAACTATGAGCTCTACGTCTACCCCTTCCATCCGATCATATCGACTGTGGAGGTGTCTCTTGCGATTGACCAGATGCAAAATAGTCGAGAGGCGCGCGCCTTCGTCTACTCCATGGTCTGTGTCACCTTGACCCACTCAGCGCTAGATGCGTTCGCGTCCGACATCCTATCGCAATGCAGATACTGGGTTTGCGAGGCCATAAAATTGCAGGATCCCATCTTTTCCGTGGGTGAGATGACAGTCCGGCGGATCCTCACCATCGAATTCTTCCATGTGTGTCTGATGGGCCTCGGAGAACACGATCTTGGCCACTTCTACCTCAGACAAGCCGCAGCCATGCTCCAAACTCTGCAGGTGTGGCTTCCTAGGCCGTCGGACGTTCTTATACCGTTCGAATTGGCTCGTCGCCAACGTCTCTACTGCTTGCTATTTGTGCATGAACGGTTCCACGCTCTTGCACACCAGCACGAGCTGAACTTTCCTGCCTTACCGGGTCTGCCACCATCTGACAGCAGCATACCCGCTGGCGTCGACCATGGCTTTCGTCAGATCGTCGCACTATTCGGCCACATCGACTCTGACCTCATCGCAATCCATAGCAACAAGTCCGTCAGACATGTGACGAACATGGCCGGGTGGATCGAGACCAACTCACGAGCCATCCAACAAGAACATGTTGGTGAGCTTGATGACGATGCCTTATTGTCCGATGTCCAGCTGGCAGACATCATCATTACGAAACACTGGCTTCATATGCTCGTCTGGCAGATTGCAGTCTCGCAATGCTTGCTCTCGTCCCAAGCAGCGCACGATATGTCGATGTCGCTCTTGCTACCCGTCCGCGTCTCATCCCAGCTGCGAAAAATTCTAGCGATAGTCTCGAAGAGGACTGTGCTGGTCCACGGCACATCTATGCAGATGAAACTCTTCGAGATCACGGACACTATCGCAAGTGTAGTTGCCACTGTACCTGGAACCTCGGAAGAAGACACGCGCGGCTGGCTAGAAGACTTTGTGTTCTTGCTTAGCTATCTCTACTCTCTGCCAGGAATGCACGAAAGGCAGGCAAGTGTGCTCAGAGACAAGCTAGAACGCTTGCGGGATATGTTTCCAGAGCACGCAGCAATGCTGTCTGAACTTGAACAAACTCAAACCAGCCCGTTCTCGATCACGAGTATATGAGGAGTTCACAGTCGCTTTCCGAGTCTTCATGGCATGGCGGCTACCAACAGAGCCCGCACTTAGACTGTCGGACTTCAAGCCGTATGTACGTATGGAGTGGCCTAAGGATCACTTCCCGACCAGCCATCCATACGACTAAGCTGGGGAACACAGGACTTTTGGGCCCGTGCCGCATCTGTATGTCGGAAAGCAAGACGGAGGCGTTTCCATATTGCGATGTCAACCAGAAGCTCGTCCCTTCGCCGTGCTGAGGTACTGAAAGTGGTTGACCTTGCCCTGGGAGTCAGAAGACCATGCTGATAGGTGGGAAATGTCGGAGAAAGAGCATTACGATGCTATGGACATGTTTGAAAGGTGCAAAAATCACATGTGAAGGATGAGGACCAGCCGCCAGCGAAGAGGAGTCGCAGGGCACCGAAGAAGAGTGCGGGGAACCAGCAGTTTATGGAGGAGCGGATGGTCAATGTCGAGAGTAGGGCTCTCCTTCTCCTCCACGGGGACGAGACTTTGCGGCCGATTTGGTAGCAGACGAAGAAGTATGCGCAGGATGATGGCCTCACTGCCTTTCAGGAGGTGGAACAGGAGTTGGATGCTGCGCTCATTGAGCAGATGCTTTAGAAGGCAGAGCAACGATAGAGCAGATGAGTTCCAGCAACGTAGGATGAGGAGGAAGATGGTCAGAAGGTGGCGGCCAAGGAAGTAGATGATGGCAAGCGCAAGGCCGAAGGCATATCGGGAGAAAAGAAGGGAGAAAATAGGCAGCGTCGCAGCGTTGGGGGCAAGACCATCGACGGCATTGTTTGGTCTTCCCTTGCACCATCTCGAACGAGTACAACGATTGCTCAAACTTGTAGCACGACGATTCAGTTGTACGAGCGCTGACCATCAGGAATCAAGCACAATGGAGACGCGTCGAAGAGTAAATACAGGCGTCAATACGCTCAAAAAGTTTCATACTTCACATCCCACTTGTCGCACAACTCCTTGTACCGCTTCTGATACCCATCATGCCTCTCCTTGATCGGTCCTACCGTCTTAAGCTGATCTCTACCAACCTGGTGTCTATGGGCTGCATCCGGCCCATCAGCTATCCGCACAAACCTAGCATATGTCCACATTTCCGGCAGTGCTGTGTGCTGTGTCATTCCCTGCCCACCATACATTTGCATGCATTCGTCGATGATGTCTGCCGCTGTCTTGGGCACGAGAATCTTGGATTGAGCAATGGCATAGCGACCGGCTTTGTTGCCGTGGACGTCCATTGTGTGTGCCGCATTTAGTACGACAAGACGTAGGGAGTCGAGTCGCAGTCGCATAGAGGCTAGGCGCTCGATATTGCTGTCGAAGTCGCCAATGAGTCTTCCTCTTGGCTTCTTGCGAGGGTCTGTGGCGCGGATGAGAGCAAGCTCGTAGGCACGTTCGGTCTGGCCGATCAGACGCATGCAGTGATGTATTCTGCCAGGTCCCAGACGACCTTGTGCGATCTCAAATGCACGTCCTTCGCCGAGGATGATATTGGCAGCTGGGATACGGGCGTTCTCGTAGAGGTACTCGCCGTGACCCTCAGGAGCATGGTCATAGCCCATGATTGTGAGGTTACGAACCATAGTGAAGCCGGGCGTGCCTTTGGGTACGATAACGGTGCTGTGGCGTTTCCATGGGTTCGGGTTGTCGGGGTCTGAGCAAGCCATGAGAATGTATACGGAGAGATCGTCGTTCCACATAGCATTGCCGTACAGCTTGCGGCCGTTTATGACCAATGTCTCCGGGTCGTCAGGATCTCTTGTGATCCGACAAGCGATCTGCGTAGCGTCTGAGGAGGCTTTGTCCGGTTCTGTCATGCTGTATGCCGATGATGTCTCGCCATTTAGCAAAGGCATAAGCCATTTCTGCTTCTGCTCTTCGTTGCAGTACTTGGCCAGGAGCTCGATGTTGCCTGTTTCTGGTGCATGGCAGTTCATGGTCTGCAGGTATCATCAGCCAGCGCATCTAACATCCACAAACTCTCACCATCTTACCTGAGCCGCCCAATAACATCGTCCCATGATCTCAGCACAGCAGCTGTATTCCAGATTCGTTAAGCCTGGACTCAGCTTCCCAAAGCTCTTCGGCAAGAACAAATTGAACAATCCTTCCTTCTTCGCCTTCGCTCGCAACTCGTGGATAAGCGGTGGTGTCTTCCATCGTCCATATTTTGCTAATTGTGCCTTGACTACTGGCTCGGCTGGAATACATTCTGTCTCGACCCAATAATGTACGCGCTTGATATAGTTGACTGCTTTGGGAGACAGCTTCTCTTGAACCCAAGTGGGAGTGCGGGCTAAGCCAGGATGGCTTGCGTCTTCTGGAGACAGCATAACGCTGGTATGATTGATGAGACTCGCTGCTGGCGTAACCGGGTTGCACCTGCTGGGTTATACTAAATGGACCGAGTATGATTGATGTGACGAGTGGTCGACCTGGAGTAGACAGTGAGATGGAGAGAATCAAGACCTACTGTGAGATACCATCAGCACTCATTCCTCGCAATGCCGTCCCAGGGGACGTTCAGACGCGGTAGCGACTCGCGTTGCTGCAGGCCGAGGCGCCTGATCAAGACTCCAAAGTCGTTGGCGATCTGGGAAGAGGATAGCCGACAACGACGATGCTCGGACCGATGTGCACGTGCATTGGAACGCTCCACCTTCTCCATCTCCATCTCCATTTCTAGCCTCCTACTCCATCCTCTTCGTGCCGTCGGATCACTTGCGATACATCTAGACAGATGATGAATCAAATGAGATCACTTTGAGAACCGGTAGAGGGGATGCGCGATGATGTCGTGATTGTTTCAAACCGTCGCAACGAGGCGGCCAGAGTCCAGACGACCGTATATGGCCATTCTCTCCAACTATAGCAAGGTCTGCAACGGCAGGTGGACGAGGGAGGCTTTGCCACGAGCCAGGAACAAAGCTCCTCCCCATTGGATAGCGAGATGGGATGTTTGATAGCCTACCCTGCCAAAGGCCTTTGTTCTCATCAGAACAATATGAAGCCGCCCACGATATGTGAAGCTATGCTGAGTTCCGTCCGATACTATTGCTTGCCTGTAATGAACGCAACCATGTATCGATATATCTCCTCTCCTGCAGTACTAGCTGATCGCCCTCAAGCTTCTTCGTCTTCATTGCATGTCAAGGTAACAAAGGTGTGTCGATGAGCGACCACATATTGGACTAGTAGCCATGACGGTCTGCTGACGTTGCCCGTACTGTAGTCTCTCGATCATATAGGGAGTACTACGATAACAGTCCACGATCCACGTGTGCGCCCAACAGACACCAGAACGGCACGCAAACGACACTGCAGCTCTCCAGTAGCGGAAGGAGTATTTGCGACGATGCAAGGTTTCTGCTGGTTGCTGAGTGACCTGGGTCTGTTCTACGCCATGTTAGATCCTCACGAAGGTCATCTGGACTCGACTGTGGATAGTGTTCTGCTTCCGCAATCATCGCTCGTTGAGTTCACATGATGCGACGCACATCGCCGTCAACTACTGCCTTGGGAATGATCTTCGCCTCTCTAAACCTCTCAAATGCAGTCCACCACGCCGTCTTGCTATCCACCTCCTCTGCTTTCCCACCTGAATTCCACGCCTCATGCTGCTTGCTCAAATCCAACTGTCGATCAAAATCGAACATTGTCATGATGAAGTACTGGAAACCCGCCAAACTCCTATCATTACCAACACGTCCAGTAGCAAGCCCATGTTTCTTCTCCAGGTCCTGCCACTGCTGGAAGTGATCGGATAGGTACTGACCAGGCTGTGGCCCTGATCCTCCAGCAGGTGGTGCTGTGCCTTTGAGACCGAAGAATTCGCAGATAACAGGCCACTTCTTCTCCCACGAGGATGGCTCGCTGTTGTCCGAAACATTGAACGCACGACCTTGCCCACAAGCCTCTGGGTGCAGAACAGCATGGATGCAGAAGCGAGCTATCACGTCTTGACTGCTATCATTACTCAAGATTCTCCAGCTCTTCTCCGTTCCTGGGAAAGCACATTCGGCTCCACTCCCTTCTACGTCACGGAAGCAGGCTAGATACGTTGCTAGTGTTTGTGCGAGACAATAGACATTGTTGTTCGGCACGAATCCCACGACTACATCTGGCCGTACTTCACACCAGGTCCATTGTTTGCCTTTGCTCTGCGACTCGAGCCAGTCTGTCTGGTTGTAGTAAAAGTTCTGGCTCTGATAGGGTTCAGGTATGCGAGGTAGGTCCTCGGAAAGTGGCAGGTTCGAGGCGAACGGAAACTCGGCCAGACATTGGACGCCGTAGGCTTTGGTTCCTGTCGGTAGAAGGACGAACTTGAGATTACTCGAAAGATATTCGGCGGCTGTGACGGCTCGTTTGAGAAGCTCGACATTGACGCTGATTTCTTGAGATGGGTCTTCCGTGAAGATGTACGCTGGAGCGTCGTCAGTTTGACATCAATAGAATGACTCTCGAAAATCGACGTACCAAAGAAAAAGACGTGTGTCACTGTCTCGATACCAGGAATATCTGCTTTCATCTGCTTCTCCAACGCCGCCTGTCCGCCGTCGTTCAGAAGGTTGACGCCAGAAATCACCTGCAGCTTGTCGCTTTTCGGCCAGAGAAGGTTCTCAGATGGTGGTCTGTTAGCCAGAGCGGTGACCCTGGCAAAGCTATCTTTCGAGGGATACCCGGCCAGTAGTTGATTGATCACGGCCCAGCCTTGAATGCCAGTCGCGCCATAGACCAGGGCATGATTTCCGGATGTATTCGCCGACCCCATACTCACCGGAGATGTAAGGTACGCGAGATTGCAATGACAGACAGTAAGGAGATTAGGAGTCCACGTATAGAGCGAGGATGGATTGAGAGGAGATAAGTCCTTACCACGACAATAATGGAACTTCAGCACCACGAAATGAGCATGTGACAGCTAGCTACCCTGGAGCTAGCATAGTATCTCGTATGGCACTTTGGTGGGCGCTCTTGGCTACGACCGCGACCGCGTTCGGCTTCATGATGGCGGAGGCATGGCTGAGAGAATGAAGGGCAAGCTGAGATCAGATGGAAGTCGAAGGCGAACTCGCGAAAGCATCTCCGCAACCCCACAGACGCGAGAACACGTGAGCGTTCTTTGCCAAGACCAATGGCGATTATGTTGGTCGTGGCTGGGTCGTGGTGAGCTTCGTTAGACCTCGGGAATAAGTCAGATGGCTTGGAGCTTGATAGACCATCGTCGTGTGAGACCTGTTGTAGAAATTGTAGGCGTAGGTGTGGTCCTCTCGTATATCAGACAGCGATATTCCTTTGCCTTCCCTCATATTGACGGCCCCCAAGACCTACAGAGATGGCTGGCGCAGTGAGACAACCCATTGATCAGAAGGCATTGGAACGATATCTGGAGAAGCATGTACCAGAGATCAAGACACCTCTGGAGCTCAAACAAGTACGTGCACCCACACAAGTTTTCATTCTGTCGATCGTACTGACAGTCGATCAGTTCGGCTTCGGTCAATCAAATCCCACATATCAGATCACCGACGCCAAACATCAACGATATGTTCTCCGTAAGAAGCCGCCAGGGAAATTGCTTTCGAAGACCGCCCACCAGGTCGATCGCGAGTTCCGCGTGATACATGCTCTAGAGCGAACAGATGTAGCCGTACCGAAGACATACTGTCTTTGTGAGGATGACAGCATTATCGGCACAGCATTCTATGTCATGGAGTTTCTCGACGGAAGGATGATCCAGAATCCGAGTTTTCCTGGTGTCAGCGCAGAGGATCGAAGAGCAATGTGGAAGGATGCAGTGCGGACATTGGGCAAGCTGCATAGAATACGGCCAAAGGATGTTGGGCTCGAGACTTTTGGTAAACCATCTGGATTCTACAGCAGACAGATCAAGACGTTCGGACGACTGGCAGAGACACAATCGTCAACGAAGGACATAGAGTCTGGCGAGGCTGTTGGTCAACTACCGCATTTCAATGAGTTCTTATCGTTCTTTCAGCAAAATCAGCCACAGGATCGTGGTGTGCTTGTTCATGGCGACTACAAAATTGATAATCTGGTCTTCCATAACACAGAGCCAAGAGTGATAGGGATACTAGACTGGGAGATGAGCACAGTCGGCCATCCGTACGCAGATCTCACCAATCTCATTCAGCCATGGACAATATCGAACGCTACGGAGTCCTGGCCACGGATACACGCCGACACTGCTTTCCTACACCCTTCGAAATCTAATTCGACAAATTCGGAGTACCCCGGTCTACCAGCACGGGAAGAAGCAGTAGCATGGTATGAGGAAACTGCTGGTTATCAGATTCCTGAGAAAGAGCTGGCCTGGGCGACCAGCTTTGCACTGTTCAGAGATTCGATCATATTCCAAGGCATCGCGGCGAGGTATGCTACAAGGCAGGCTAGTAGCGATAAGGCTATGACGTATGGTAGGGAGCGGACGCCTTACGCTGAGATGGCTTGGGAGATGGTCGAGAAGATTAAGCAGGGAAGTAGAGGGTCGAAGCTGTAGTTTGGTCCCGAATGAAAATCTTGACTTCCTATCAATTGGGTCCAGCAGACGGTCACCGAAGAGCTCTGCTGGATGCTTGATTCAAGTACTTGTATATATTGACTAGGTGCAACCACGATGGGCTACAGAAACATTCTCTGCCATCAACCATAAAAGCCGATTCCAAATGAACTTCGCGCCTGCCTCACCGCTCCACGAGTTTGACCTTCACGTTCAGGTCTGGCTTCTCCCAGGTCATATAAGCTGCGAGTCAAAAGTCAGCACAACGTCTTACAAGGAGCAGAAAGTGTAACGTACCTCTCATATTCTTCATCTCGCCTTCAGGGTCCCACTGCCACGCACGATCCGTCGAAAGAAGATCAAAGCTCCACAGCAGTCGCCCGAGAATCAAGCGCATCTCCATATAGCTCAGATGCTTGCCGATACATCCACGAGGTCCCAAGCTGAATGGCTGAGCGGCTTTTTTGTAGTCGGTATCATATGCCTTGTCCAACCAGCGTTCTGGAAGGAAAGAGTCGCAGTCACGGAAGTTGGCGGGATTATGCGCGGCTGACCAGCTTCCTACGGCGACAGATGTGCCGCCAGGGACATAGCGGCCATCAATAGTGTCGCCTCCTGCGGGTACGGTGCGAAGTAGACCTGTTGGAACCGGCGGGTGGATGCGTAGGCCTTCTTCGATGCAAGCGTTCATGTAAGTCAACTTGCTCAGATTGTCAAATGTAAGATCAGCTTCGTTCTTGAAGGTGCTTCGAATCTCCTCGCAGAGCTTGCGGTACTTGTCCGGGTTCCAGATCAGTCGAGCAAGCAAACCAGAAAGTAAGTTCGCTGTCGTCTCACTGCCAGCCACAATGAAGAGGGCACTGTTGACAATGATCTCGTCTTGCTTCAGGTCATACTTCTCCTGCTGCTTCTGGATATACCAAATGAAGTCCTTATGCTGACTATTGCCATTCTCCAAACGAGCCATGCATTTCTCCCGAGATCGTCGAAGATGCTCAGAACGGTAATTACGTCGATACTTGGGGATGAACTCGAACAATATTCGTTGCGTGATGGAACCCGCAGGAGCAAATCGACGGGTCGCTTGCTCGAGAGCGCCAGCTTTTACTGTCTCATATATCATAGATACCCATTCGTGGAAGCGACCCATATCCAGACAGCCAAAGGGCTCGCCGAAAGCAAGATCGCCGATGATGTCGAAGGTGGTGAAGTTGAGCCAGTTGACCATGTTGAATTCTTCTTCCCTGCTTGCAAAATTCTTTAAATTATCGACAAACTGGTCGACATAGCGTTTAACGATATATTCCTGTTGGATCAATGCTTGCTGGCTGAAAGCGTGGGAAAGAGCTCGGCGTTGACGGGCGTGGTTGTCGTCGTCAGCCATCGTCAGAGTGGTTACACCTGCTACTGCCTGCACGGAACCAACGTGGATGGGATCTTTGTGCATGTTGGCATGGCCGGGACGATGGCCGTAGATGTCTTCCCATGCCTGGACGGAGTTGTATGCCAATTCATTCGGCGAGACACGGACAACACTGCCATGCTTGTCGTGCAGCTTCTTATTCTCCAAAGGAAGCCGCCCACGGAGCAGAGCCAAGATGCCAGGAAGTGGGCTGATGGCATTTGCACGAGGTCCCGGAAAACCAGCTAGAGGGTGTAGATATAGGTTGTAGATCACATTATAGGCCACATAGCCAACACCCTGCGGTGGTCAGAATGCATCCTTAGCAATGGAACCATGACTTACGAGAAGCACGAGTGCCACAGGCGCTATGGTGGCAATACTGTACATGGTGCCGACGACTCTCCTCAGTGATGTTCAGAGTACAATGAGGCTCGATGGCAGTATGCAGGTAAGTATTTAGAAATAGTGTTACCACCACGAGCCATTAGTGACTATTGCTTTACAAGGTCCCATCGATAGACGATACAGCCTACCTCTTCCGTGACTTCCCATCGTACCTAGGCTTGGACTGTCAAGCGACACGTCCGCCGACGTCGAACGTGACTTTGGCGTAGGTCTCTTGGTGAACTGGAGGGGTTGCGGGGTGTGGTCTGCAGTGCACGAGTGCATGTTGTTTGACTCGCGTTGCATGTCGGGAAACGAAGTCCGTTAAGAAGTGTCCAGACCAGTGCACCACTTACGGTACGCCAAAATGTTCGCCCGCCGACGACGTTGACAGAACCAATTGCGCTTTTTATGCTGGCACATGTTTATGCAGTAGAACAATATTTCATGTACTACAATCTCGCTCGCAGATTATTGAACTCGCGCTCTATCCCCGGAGCATCCCTCTTCGCCCATTCACGCATCACTTTCCGCTGTATCTTACCAGATGCAAGTTTTGGTACTTCATCCACAAACGCTATGCCTCCTACGAGCTGCTTGTGTTTCGCTACCTTTGGCTTCATCCATTGCTGTATGTCCTTCGCAGTGAGCTTGCCCTTTGCATGGTCCTTGAGCGCTACGTATGCACGAGGCCATTCCTCATCATGCAAAGTGATGCCAACTACAGCTGCGTCTGCTATGTCGTCGTGCTCAAGCAGCACAGCTTCGAGCTCTGCTGGGGCAACTTGCAGAGCGTTGACCTTGATCAGCTGTCCAAAAGTCAGCATTTCACATCAGACATTGTAGTTCTAGTAAGACTTGCCTCCTTCTTTCGATCCACGATCCAGAACAGCCCCTGCTTGTTGACGATAGCCACGTCTCCAGTCTTCAGCCAACCATCGGGACTGATCGAGTCCTTCGTCGCAGCATCGTTCTTGAAGTATCCTAGGCACACATTTGGCGCGCGTATGTACATCTCGCCTGGCGTGTCGTAGCCAACCTCATTGCCGTCGTCATCTAGAAGTTTGCACTCGGTATTCGCGATCAGCTCTCCCACTGTACCACTATCTGACGCCTCGCGCTGTAGTAATGACCCACAAGTCACTTCTGTCATGCCCCAGCCCTGCTTCACCTCTACGTTGAAGTCGCGCTGGACGTGATTCTGGAGCTCTTTTGACAAGGGTGCCGCTCCGCAAAGCATACCTTTAAGACTGCTGAGGTCGTAATTCTTCGTTTCGGGTCGCTTGGTGAGCATTACCATGATCGGCGGCGCAACTTGTAGATGAGTGATCTTGTAGTCCTGGATATGCTGAAGAAAATCGCTGTAGACGAATTGCTGCATGACGTATACCGGTATGTCGCACTTAGTGGCCATGAGATTGACGTACAGCTGGCCATATGCGTGATATAGAGGTAGGAAGCCAACCCATCGCTCTCCTTGCGGTTTCTCACCCCGCTGGAAGTCTAGCTTCGGCCATCTGATGTTGATTGTCTGCGCTACGTTTGCGATCAGGTTGTGGTGGCTGACGCATACACCTTTGGGCAAGCCAGTCGTACCCGAGCTGTAATTTATCGTAGCAACTGTTCGGACTGACTCCTCGCCGTGGAGTTTCTTCCATTGATAGCCCTCAGCATCTTGCACGCTTGCCATCATCTGACGCCAATCCTTCACACCTGCGAAGGGCTGACATGGCTTGTCGTCAAATTGAAAGATCCGGTTTTTGGGCAGGCCAGCTGCCTTTGCTGCCGCCACTGCGTTCTCCACCATACTTGGATGCGCCAGGATGCATACTGCTCCAGTATTTTTCAGCTGATGTGTCACCTCTGCTACGGTGTAGATCGGATTCGCGGCGCTGAAAGCTCGACAGCTGCCGACTATCCCGAGATATGCTACAGGCACGAAGATGTTGTTCGGCGAGTAGAGCATCACAATATCGCCTTCCTTGATTCCGAGTCGATCCAGGCCTAAAGCTAGTCGCTTCACCCATAACAGCAGTTCTTTTGGACTCAGGTTGTTAGACGGCTTTGCTGCGTCGATCCATACTGGCTCGTCTGATACAGGCTGACCATCGGGAAAGAGGTAGGTAAGAATATCAACCTGTATTTCATTGTTAGCCTGCAAATGTAATTGCTATTGGCACTGATTTCGTCCATGCCTTTGGAATGTCAAGATCAGGCAATGGAGATCTGATGATCATCTTGAGTATCTGAAGTGGTCAATGGTAGACAAGACAGGCTGTCAGTATATGGTATCGATCTGTTTACAACAACGAGAGCGATCAATTTCACCTGACTTTGGCTACCGTATCTTGCCTTTGGGCATTGGACGCGGCATAGCTCTACGACTATGTATGCCGAGGCACTCCTCCATCGCGTTTCAAGACGATCGTGTGAAACGGCTGAAGTAAGGAAGGCATTCCCGGCAATAGGCGGGGTTTTGGTAAGGATTCCGTGGTGCTACGCTCGGACCTCATACAAGTGAAGGTGGAAAAGGTGAGCCAACTTTAGGCATGACTCGTGTTATATCGTGGCAGCGAGCATCATGTCGTCCTCCTTCTGTCGATGTCTTGAGGTGGCGGCATCGAATACACTGTACAGCATCGACAGAAGATAGCGATGTCGGACTTCAGCATCAACAATTTCTTTTCGCTCGACGGCAAGGTAGCTCTGGTTACGGGTGGTAGGCCAAGCACCTGCGGACACGACATCCAGTTTCCCATCTGACTTGCTACAGGCTCTCGTGGTCTAGGTCTTCACGCTGCCACAGCATTCCTGCTCGCAGGCGCCAAAACCGTCTTCATCAGCGCTCGCAAGGCTGCCAGCGAACAAGGCATTGATCAAGCTGTCACTCGTCTGAACAAACTACCAGGCATCAAAGGCAAAGCCATCGGCATTCCGGCGAATGTCGCACAAGTCGAAGATATCGAGCGACTCGTCGCCGAGATCAAGAGGCACGAGTCACGTCTCGACATCTTAGTCGCCAATGCTGGTGCAACCTGGGGAGGACCCTTCGAACCAACACCAGACTGGAGCTCTCAGAAAGTACTGGACCTCAACGTGCGAGGCGTGTTCAATCTGGCTCGACTCTTCACTCCCATGCTCTCGTCGTCAGGAAGCAAGCAGGATCCGAGCCGCATCATTATCGTCTCCAGCACAGCCGGCTCGAACGTACCGCATGTCGGTGAGCATGGCACAATCATGTACTCTGCCTCGAAAGCCGCGGCACATCACTTGGCTCGAAACCTAGCTGTTGAACTCGGTCCTCGTAACATCACGACCAATACTGTCGCGCCAGGGTTCTTCCCATCCAAACTAGCTAATGGTCTGATCGAGCACCTGGGTGGCCAGGACCAACTCGAACGTGACAACCCTCGAGGCCGTCTTGGTGAACCTCAAGATATCGCGGGTGTGATGTTGTTCTTGTGCTCACGAGCTGGCAACTATGTTAACGGTGAAGATATTGCTATTGATGGAGGTGTTAGACTAGCTGCAGGTCGTTTGACGAAACTTTAACTTTGTACAAGTGTTGTCCATCCCTCATACACTATGACTGTGGCGAATCCGCACGAGCATCATTCGGAATTAGCTTTCCTTCGCGCATGCGATCGAAGACCGAACCCCATGCGTCCATAACTGAACGTTCCTCCGTAAACGGATCCTCCGTGGGCGTGCTGTAGGTCTTTGTCATGTCGTATTGTCGATCAAAGTCAAATTGTGTCATTAAGAAGTACTGCTGATATTAGCTGTGCTTCCGATCTAAGAGCTACATGGTGTTGACCCACCTCGAAGCCTTGGAATGTCAAGTCTGAGTCAGCGACACCTTTCTTCAGCCCATATTGCTGTTCAAGCTTCTTCCACGCATCGAGATGCTCGTTAATGTACTTCCTCATTTCGGGAGCGTTCTCGCCATCTTTGGGAGGTCCCGTGCCCTTGAGCCCAAAGTATGCGCACAGTTGTGGCCACTTAGTACTCCAGGACTCGTATCCCTTGGCATCAGCGACGTTGAACCCGCCACCCTTCTGATTGGCAGGCATCTTGAGCGAGAGGTGTAGTGTCTGCCTGGCAATCATGTCCGACGAGCTGTCGTTTGACTTCGCCATCCAAGATCTCGACGTGCCTGGAAACGCGCATTGAGCTCCCTTGCCTTGGACAGACGCATATAGAGCGAGGAAGATACCGAGAACTGTTCCGAGGGAGTAGAAGTTCTGGTTGGGCACAAAACCGATGATGATGTCGGGTCGAGTATCGCACCAGTTCCACTTCTTATCCTTAGCATACTTAGTGACCCAGTCCAGCTGAGGATGATAGAAGAGCATGTCATGGTAAGGATATTTGAGTCGCGGCTGATCTTCCGAAAGTGGTACTTGAATGTAGTCTGTCGGATGGTTGTCGAGCAAATGACAGCCGTACATCTTCGCACCAGTCTGCAGAACCACGAATTCCAGGGAAGGGCAAAGGCGATCCACTGCCATTGTCGATCGCTTGAACATATTCACTGCATCCTCAAGTTCTTGTTGCATATCCTTGTTGGCCTTGTACGCTGTGGCACGTAAGCTACGATCTTTGCAACCATGTATCCGACATACCAAGATAGTATACATGAGTGATCTTGCTGACATCTTTGATGTTCTTTGTCAGAGAGGCCTCTAGGTCTTCCTGGCTTCCTTTCAGTAGATCGATGCCAGAAACAAGCTCCAGTCGAGAGTCTGCAGGCCACAAGGAGTCTTCTTGTTTGAGCGGACGATTGGTCATCGCAACCACGCCATCCCAAGTACCCTTGCTAGGATAGTTATGTAAAATCTCATTGACAAACGACCATCCTGTCACACCACTGGCACCGAAAATAAGAGCGTGTTTGCCCATATTCTGTAACGTATTGTTGTGATTTGATTGAGAGAATAAGAAATGGTATAGCTGCGTTCAAGAATTGGGAGGTTTGAGTGTGTGAAACGGACTCACGCTTACTCACCCAAATCACAGACTGGAGCACATCGAAGTTGTCTTTTCCTCCTTACCCTCTCTATTGCATGACCACAAAGTGCTAGGTGAAGCTCGGAAGGTCGGTTCATGTTCAGGGACTGTTTCTCCAGCTCGGCATGCAGCTGGCTTCCAGACCCCGCATAGAGATGACGGACAAGCTACGCGTTACCCGGACGCGCTCTCTGTTCGAGTATTTCGAATCTTTCCTTTATTGTGTTTGTCCTCCAGTTGGTCCATTCTAGAGATAAGTCATCAATTCTGTACACCATGGCTGGCGTCGACAAGCCACTCCCCGGCAAAAAGCCAGGCATCTTGTTCGCCAACAGCAAGATTAAGAAGCCAGATCAGTTGTCAAAGGAAGAATATACTCGATGGTATGAGCAAGTGCATATTCCAGACATCTTCAAGACGAGCGGCATCAAAGAAGCGTCAAGATGGACCGCCCTGGATCCCAGTCAAGATCGACCATTTCTTGCCCTTTACCCGCTTGATGATCTGGACTTCCTGGATACGGACGAGTTTAAAGGTACGTAGGAAATCCTTGCAGTTTGTTCCACGGTCCCTTGACACGGTCGTCTAGCAATACCGGTCCACGACGACAACCTGCCAGGTTCAGGCGAGATATTTGATCTCGCTGATTTTGACACCCGATACTACAAACTTGCACAGTTGTACGAGCCTGAAAACGCGAAGTCTGGTAGGTGGTACTCTAGGTTCTTGCATTTAGCTGTTGTGCTGATCGTTGATGTGTCGTCAGGCCAGCCAGATTTCGTAATAGCAGCAGCTTTTACTCCGACAGACGACAAGGAGTATGATGCTTGGTATAGACAAGAACACTTGAAGGAGGTCTCCGGCCTCACCGGATGGAGGAAGACTGAGCGCTACGACTTGACGTTCGCAAGGCAGAACCGTAGCACTGGGGAGGACAACAAGTTGCCCGAGCCACCCAAATTCCTGACTTTGGTGAGTTACTCGTGAGTTCGAGGTGATGGAAGACTCTACTGGGAGGCTGATAAGAATCCATCTAGCATTATATCGATGGCGAGTCGCTGCCAGAGAAGGAACTCGCGAAGGCGGCTGAAAGCGAGAGGACGAAGAAGAATCTGTCAGAGATGAAAGCGACACAAATGGCTATCTTCAAGAAGTTGGCTCAATTCCAGAAGTGATGATGTTGACGGCAGGGCGATGGAATTGCCTGCAGATTGCAGGCGAGAAGAAAGATAGAAATGGTCGCGTTCAGCACGCGTCATGGCCCGTGCTACCAACACCACATCACTCTGTCATGACAGCTTTTTTCTCCTCTGTCCACCCGCACCGAGAATCTCAATGACCTTGTCAAACCACTGAAGCACTGTAGCCATATGAATATATGCTATCGATCAAATGGTCGGAAGCCCCATTACAATACTCCAGCCATTTCGCCTACTCCAGGCTAACAACAAAGCCTGTGGCACTCCTCTTGCTCGACCGTGACCAGAACGCTTCCGGGGATCTAAGAAACGCCTTTCTACCTACCTTGCGGCATGGTGCCATCATGCGAGTCATGCCATGGCGGCTGAGCTTACTCTTACACCGCCCCGATGATCTACTCGGCTGTGCTCACGTGTTGGCGCGACACAAAGCTCACTTTCCCCGCCATGAAAGCTTCTGGGATGATCACGGCGAACCTTTTCCAGTACCTGGTTGCGCGCGTCCGCAGCCTGGGCGCTGGGTAGTACTACGCGGACGCGATCTCAAAAGATCGAAAAAGGTAGTGTAGGCATCTTTTCTTCTACTCATACCCCACAGTAGCCATACTATCGGAGTCACCATATTGCCTGTCAAACTCACCATGACTGCATCTGTGACAGAAGCCGCAAAGGCCAATAGCCAGCTTGATGCTGATGCGGGAAAGATCACTGTCAAGGCCACCGAGGGCAAGGGCACAATGAAAGCTGGCAGATGGGACTCGGTATGTCAACCCCGAATGTCGAGTATGAACCGCTACTGACAGTTGCATGTAGGAGCAGAAGAAGATGGTGATCGTGGACGTCGCCATACCTGAGCCTGGACCCAACCAATTTCTTGTCAAGATTGCCTCTGCGTCATTGTATGTGCAATGAGAGCCTCGAGACGATGGATGAATGTAAGCTAACGGTCGACTACAGATGCCACAGCGACATCATGGCGTAGGCTTCTATCTCTTCCTCTCGTATGTGCGCACTCGTTGACGTCTTGCGCAGCATCGAGTCGAACACAAAGTCAACGCTCGGACACGAGGGTGCAGGCTATATCGAAAAGATCCACCCCTCTGTAGAAGACAAAGGTTTCAAGGTTGGCGACGAGATCGGCTTCCTCTACATTATTGGCTGCTGCTTCAAGTGCGAAGGCTGCCAGATCCATAACCTACATTGTGAGACCGGCAAGCAATTACTGCAAGGGTTTACTACCGATGGCTTCTTCGCCGAATATGCTGTCGTGGAAGAGCCGAATTGCATCAAGCTCCCCGAGAACATGGATGTCAAGACTGCCAGTCCAGTGTTTTGCGCTGGCATCACTGCCTTCCATGCAGTCGATAGCTCAGAGCTCAACGAGGGCGACTGGCTTGCGGTGGTAGGAGCGGGTGGTCTAGGGCAACTGGCGACGCAGATCGGCAAAGCAGCTGGTTACAAAGTCGTCGCTTTGGACATCAATGATGCTACGCTTGAGGTTGCCAAGAAGCTCGGCGCTGATGCAGTATTCAATTCAAGGTCAAACAAGGAATATGTGGAAGAGCTGAAGAAGCTCACCAATGGTGGAGCGAAGGCCGCGTGTGTATTTAGCAACGCCGATGCGGTGAGCGCCAGGTCCGTATTAGTCGATCGTTGCACTCTACTGACCCTTGGCAGGCATACGCAGGTATTCCGCCAATACTTCGTCTCGGAGGTGTCATGATGGTTATCGGTCTTCCTCACAACAATCTCTCAATCTCGAGCATGGATCTCGCTCTCGGAAAGTATAAGGTGAAGTCAGAGAGCACAAGCATTCCACAACGAATGAAGAAGGCAGTCGACTTTCTAGCCAAACACAACATCCAGCCTGAGGTGCAGCATCGAAAGCTTGATGACCTGAATGATATGGTGACAGAGATGAGAGACGGCCGAGCGACGAAAAGAATGCTGGTCAATTTCTGAGCATAGACTGCTCGCGCAGACGAATTCATGTCATACTTGTTTATACAGCATGCCAGAGTGCACAATCATGGAGGCTGAAGCTCTACACATAGTGCACATAGTGGAGATCCCTAAATCCACACATATCTATTCTGGCGCCCGTCCTGATGCATAACACATAATTGCACAGCAAAGATACCGCATGCTCACCTCGGCTTCGAGACATGGAGTACGGCAACGTATTTCCAGGGCAATAGCTCCCCTCAATATGCAGATCAGGTCGCCAAGGCTGGGTCTTAGGTTTATAGGAATATACTGGACGTACTCAGGCTGACGAACACAGGAACGAAGACGAGCACGAAGCCCATCATGACACTCAAGAAGATCGACCACGACTTCAAAAACGAATCGCTAACGTACGATGCGACACCCAACAACCAGCCTTGCATCAAACTGAGCTTCTTCTTCAACAAGCTACCAGACGTCTCCTACGAGCAGTTCCATCGCCACTGGGAGACGGTGCACGCCGACTTGACAATAGCCGCACGAGACTTCAAAGCATGCAAGATCCAGCGCTACGTGCAATTCCACCAGCCGCCCGAGATGAAGGAGAAGGCGAAACAGCTGGGTCTAGAGCACATTGCCTTCGACGGCTGCTCTGAGATCTGGGTCCGCGAGTGGGGTGACTGGATGGCGTTCTACAATTCACCGGAATATGCTGCGGCTATGCAACCTGATTGCAAGCACTTCATGGAGTTCCCTATCCACGTAAGTAAAAGCAGCTGGCCAGATCACCACGTCTGCTGACTTTCATCAGGTAATGGTCGGGTACGATACCTTGATCTTCGGTCATGCTATTCCTGGCGAAGGTGGAAGGGACGGTGTCACTGCCCAGACTTTGAAGACTAGATAGGCTAGACACCACTCAATCGTTATTGGTCGTCTTCAACATTTTCTTTGGCAGATGATGTTGCGTCCCACTTCTACATGGGATATCGTACCCGCATATCGAGTAGACCAGGCATGGGGTCGTGCAGATCATCAATGCGGGAGGATTAGGGGGCGCGTTGTGAGCCCGGGTATCTTTAAGCGTGCTCTCTCGCTCTGCTTGGCGCCACATCTTACACGCATGGCAGACGTCTTCGCTCTTGAGCCCCATGGCGAGGCCACGAGCATGCTAGCGCGACCGTCGAGACTCGGAGGCGCTTCATGCCCCGTGGGGTGAACACTCTTTTAGCGAACTCTACGAGCAAACCTTCGGCACTCGGTTCCCAGGACCTCGCTCAGATTGTGACTGGGAGTACACATCCTTGAGCATGCATATGGGACTGCAGGCACCACGCTCCCAATCGACCTGTCCCAAGTCAAGGAGACTGTAAAGTGGTTGCAGCTCTCTCTACTGGTCCGGAATTCTCTACAGCATCTACCACGATGGCGGTCAATGAGCATGTCGACATTGCGACCGAGAAGGGTGATGTTGTCTACCATGAAGAGGCGACCACTGTCTCGCCTCCATCAGAGCCGCATGCTGTTGGTGCGGAAGCGAGCATGACATGGAAGACCTGGCTGGTCATCGTCGTAAGTCTACCGCGTGAGGAGAAACAGAGGTAGCTCTGACCAGATGTAGATATTGTCATCCTGCTTTGGCATATCATTCTGGCCTGTACCAACAACGGCTGCACTCCAAGCGAAGTTGGCACCACAACTCGGCGATCTCACAGGCGTGACTTCATACTGGGTACGAGATCGAATCGTTGGAGTAACGGGAGACATTGCTGAATGCCGTCGTAGTTCATCCCTGCCTATACGACTGGAAGCGCCCTTGGTTTCTTGATTGCGGGAGCGAACAGTGATCTCTTTGGGCGTCGACTGTTCCTGTAAGTCCTGCTGTAAGAAGAATGCTCCTTGACGCTGATCAACAACCAGCTTGTTCGGCGAGGTGATGGCCGCTCTCGGAATGACTGTCTCTGCGACTGCCAAGTCTTCCGAACAATTCACCGCTGGACTCGCCCTTGCTGGTTTCGGTGGTGGCTTTTGCCAGATGGCTATGTGCTCTATCCCTGAGCTCATGCCAAACAAGTACCGACACATTGGTATCTGCTTATCGGACGGCTTCGTCTTCCTTATTGTGATCATCGGTCCGGTCGTCGGCCGTTATGCTATCGATACTGATGGCGGCTGGAGATACATCTACTACGGAGGCTTCATTGCTCAATTCATAAGCTTGGTGTTACTCGCTTGGCTTTACCACCCGCCAAAGCACCCCCGTGGTGTGGCCTGGAAAGAGGCATTGCCAGGACTGGACTATGTCGGGACTGCACTAGTGGTGCCTGGCGTCTGCTTGGTCATCGTGGGTATCATCAACACAACATACATGGCTACAACCAGTAAGATGGTATTAGCCCCGATGTGTGTGGGTTTCGGCCTTCTGGTTGCTTTTGGCTTCTGGGAAACCCTGTCGAAGACTAAGTTAGTATCGCGCACGTAAGGAACACGACCCGAGAAATGCTGACCATCGTAGATATCCTCTATGCCCTCCCCGTATATTCCGCTCTCACAACGGACGAGAGTTTACTGTGCCATTTGTTGTGGCTTTCATCGTCACTATGTTTTGTAAGTATACACATCGAAGATCGACCAAGATTCATCCAAGTACTGATACCATCTTATAGACTACGGGATCAATATTATCTATCGTAAGCAGACCAATAGTGCGGAGCCGTGGTCAAGACATCGATGGGATCTGACCAGTGCTGTCAGCCACCATGGTGAACGTGTTTTACATCACACCTACGACTACCCGCTCAGAGCAATTGCTGTTGACACTTCCCGGAAACATCGGTCTCGTATTCGGCGCCATGTGCCTCATATGCTTCGGTAATTTGATTGGCCATTGGAAATGGACGCTCTGTATATCTTGGGCGGGCATGACGCTCTGGGGTGGTCTCATGGCCCTGGTCACGCCATCCAACAAGGGACTGATGATCGCCTTTGCCTTTCTCGAGCAGACGTTCTTTGGTTGGGCGCAATACGAGTCGATTGCTTTCACTCAGGTAAGAGTTGGGCAGGTACAAGAATGTGCTATGTTGACTTGCTGACCACAACTAGCTCGGCGTTCACCAACATGATCTCGGCATGTCTGGCGGTCTTGCAGGTGTTGCCCGATATGCGGGCGGCAGTCTTGCACAGGCAATCTATGTCAGCATCCTCGCCAACTCACAGGGCCCGAAAGCCGCCAGCCTTGTCCCTGCAGCGGTGATCCAGGCTGGCGGTACCTCCGCTATGGCAACGGAGATCCTGGCAGCTTTCCCACTTGGCGCTACAGCGCTGGCTAAAGTGCCTGGTGTGACAACGCAGATACTTACTGCTGCCGGTACCGCTTACCAATGGTCGTACGCTTATGGTCTGCGCATCACAGCTCTCTCCTCACTGGCATTCGGCGGGCTCGGCTTCATCATGTGCTTGCTCTGCGAAAACATTGATGAAAAGGTAAGGGGATGAACTTTTGCTGCGCTTACCCGAATTACGCTGACGTCGAGTAGATGAATTCGACAACTAACGTCTTTTTGGAGAACGATGTCAATGCGGACAAGAACGAGTATCACTAAATACGATCCTGGCAGGATCCGTGTCGTCCAGGACTTGTAGATATGTCGTACTATCGCTTTCCAGCATCCAGCATATCAATTCCGGTACATACCATGGCCATAGCAGCTCACTGCGTTCAGTATCATGCACTGACGCCTGTGCAACTCATAGGACAGGTACCATATGCTCTCAGTCCGGCAGACTTTGCCCTGATAGCACATTATCCCACAAGTAGCTGGCTCGTGTGACATCTGCTGCTGTAATTTCATTCGGTGATCGGTGCCATCTGAGCAACAGTGTGACCCGTCCCACTTATCCTCTTCGTCTGCGACATGTGATTTGCCCAGTCATCTTGGACCGAATAAAGATATGAGTTTGTAAAGCTGTCTGCCAGCGTGAATTACTCCCTCATGCCGGAGCGTCTAGCATAGGAGCATCTTGTTGGCTGTCGTCCATCATTGCCTCCGCCGCTAATCTCCCAAATCGTTCTTGATTGCTTGAGCAATCTTTTCCGAGTGCTCTGAGAAGCCTTACGCCATCTTGCTTGATCTGCGGTGTCTGACTTTGACAAAGTCTTGCGAGAGCATCATGTGCATTTGTGTCTCTGCCCATAGTATCTCGCACCTCCGCGGATGGTCTGCTTAGCTGTACAAGTAAGCCAGCTATTGAATGCTCGATATCATGATCACTGTCATCCTCCGGCGTGGTAAGACGCTGCCACAGCTCCTCGTGTAGCTTTCGCTTGATGGTAAGCTCTGCGACGATGCCCTCATCCAGCTTCCGGATCAAATTACCAATGACCTGACATGCAGCAGCCATACAACGGTCGCTGGTATGCTCCGCTCTCTGTTCCATGGACGATGGTTCTCCTGCAGAACCATCAGGACCTGTCTGCCCAGTTCTTATGATGTTGCATAGATGCACGATAAGGCCATCCTCCAGATCGTACTGCTGCGAAAAGTTCTCGTTGGCAGCAATGTCGCTGAGACACCATAGCAAACTCGATGACAGAGGTCTAAGCACTTCGTGTGCCTCAGAGCTCTCCTGCGAGCGCTTCTCGCAATACATAAACTCCTGCCAAACGGACTTCACCAATTTACTCTCCACAAGCTGGTCTTGCACCGCAGAATCTCGGATGAATGTCAAGGTAATTTCAAGCAACGTGGCTAGGTCCTCCGTATCCACAACACTGCCATGGACAATGGGCAGGGACACGAGGTTGACCAGAATCTCCTGCAGAATCGGGTCTGGAGCGCCATCCGAAAGTCCGTCTCGCTGGCCTGATATCCAGAAGAGGAGATCAGTAAGTAGCGATCTATCTTCTTCCCTTACCAAGTCGGTGTTGGTGTATAGTCGTATCAGAGGGTAATGGATGTAATCTCGGTAGCATTGTTGTTGTGCTCCATCGTGGTCCGAGCAGATATTGTAGAGAACCTTCACTGTGAGCCACGCCAGGCCTGTATCTCCAGAAGCTAGACACGGAGAAGCCCAAGAAAAGCCAGATTGCGTGACAGTGGTTCGTGCGTCGTCATTGTCGATGCAGGCATTGCCGATACAGCGAAGCCCAAGCTCTGCTACCTCGACGGAGTGATCAAGTCCAGCATCGATGGCCGTGATAAGAGTCCGAATGACTTCTGGTTGTGCTAGTTGCGCTCTCTTCTCGAGGTCTGTTCGGCTGCTTTGGGCCAGGCTTTCGAGAGCCTTTGTGCCTTCTGTGGTACCAGTCGTGCCGAGCGCAAGACTTTGTATAGCCGTGTTAAGCACATCGATGTCCTGTGCTGCCATGTCTCAGAATCCAATGTACTGCCCGTTCCTGCTGAAGGCGTGCGATTAAGGTTACACACCACCATGAACATTGTAGTTGCAACTTTTAGCGCTCTGCACGGACCACAAACAAAAAGTGCTTCGCCTAAGTATGGTCGCATGACCAGTATGCTTGATTGCACAGATTGGTACACAGGATCAAGTCATACGTAAAGCTACAACGTTGATCTACGTACCCTTTGCCTCCTTCTTCAAACCATCATCCACAACCATGGGCGGAGCAGGCACCTCAATCTCATCCATCCTCCACTCCATTCCTATATAACTATCACTAACGACCAGTACCTTCATCTTCCGCTCCACAGCACTACCGGGCAGTTTGATATTCGCCTTTGTGGCCGGTCTGCCAGGGTTGCCACCTCTACTCTTGTCTGCCGAAGGCCAGCTCACACGCTTCAGGCCCATGATATCGCCATTCGCAGCATCCGAGACAATGACGAAGTAGCCTTCGGTTTGCGGCTTCGGGTACTTGGGCGCAAAGATATGGTTCTCGCGGTTCTGCACCGGGTTCTGGCGTGCGAGTGTGACTGTCAGCCCTAGAGCATTGACATCTGCTACGCCTACTCTGAGCTGGGGCAGCTGTCCAAGAGCCTTGAAGACTCGAGCATGGGATACCTCGGGTAGACCGAGCTTCTTCAATGCTGTAGCCATTTCGTTCCGTGGCAAGGTTGTAGCTTCAATCAAGTTACTGGGTTTGCCCTGCCTGGACTTCTCCTTCTCAATCTCAACACCAGGAAAGATGGCTAGTGGACCGTCCTCAGGCCATCGTGCACTCTTGATACACTGCAGCAGCGTAATCATCATTAGACAACTCTGCAGATGACCCATCTCGGTGAGGACGTCGATGCTAGCCTGGATGATACGGATCGCTTGGTCCAGTACAGAGTTCTGGTCACCCACATAATCACTGATGGGTAGCTCGACACGCTCGAAATACGCCTGCAGCAGTAAGAAGGCCTTGACGTGCGGATCCCACATTGGTAGACCGAATGTCTCAGCCTTCAATGGTAGATTATTTGACAGCTCAACATTGATCAGATCTTCGTTATGGCGGACAGGGAGCTCATCGTACTCAGTCGCTCTGCACATCCAGCTCAAAACATCCTCGAAAGTAGCAGTAGGCTTGGCATGTTTGGTAAGCATGCGAATCGTCTTGTGAGCCAAGTAGTAGTAACTCATGATCTTGCCCAACGGTGTGGGATCGACATCGCCATTGCTGTGCAGCATCAAGCACTGCGACTCTGCCAGCTCGCCGAGCGACTTGTCCACCATTTCGATCATGTAGTCGCTTGCAGCCTGCTGTGCGGCGGTAGTGTTGTTCTCCTCTGCCGAAATCTCCAGACCATAGTACGAAGGATTCTTGTGCAACCGGCGGAAGAAGAACGTCCAGGTCAAGTAGTCCAGCGCATCCTGCTTCGTGGCAATCGTTTCTGCGCTCACTTCAGCGCCCAAGTGATTGTCCAGGACGTTGTGCAGGCTGCTCTCAACAGGAAATCCAGTATGCAGAAAATGCTTGTAGAAAGCCTTCTTGCTCTCCTGCGTAAAGATCCTCGCAATACCAGAAGTATCGAACTGAGGCCTTCCAGCACGACCGAGCATCTGCAGCACATCCGTCAGATCCATATCTTTGTAGCCCTCAATTTTGGCATCGAAGAACTGCGTGCCCTTGACAACAACAAGATGAGCAGGCAAATTGACACCCCAGGCCAGCGTCGAAGTAGCAACAAGAATCTGAGTCTTGTTATTCGCGAACAACTCCTCCGCAAGCTGGCGATCCGACTCCACGAGCCCAGCATGATGCAGACCGATACCGAAACTCAAAGCCTCTCTGAGCGCCTCATCCTTGACACGAGACAGGTTCAGCGCCAGATCCTCCTCAGACATGCGCACGAACCGTCGTGGGTTATCCTCCATACCACAGAAGTTGATAAGATCGCGAGCCGTGAGCCTCGTTTGTCGCCGAGACGCCACGAAGACGATAACGGGCTTGTCAGGCGAATGCGATTTGATCGCCAGGAAAGTCGGCCGATTCATGCTCTGCATTAGTGGGCAAAACCCCCTCTGTTGCGGAAACCCATCGATGAAGATCTCCAACGGAACAGGTCTCACGGAGTGCCGGAAGTTGAACAGACCCTCCTTTACCCCGAGCCAGTTGGCAAGATCCATAGCATTAGCGCAAGCAGTCGACATGCCCACCAGCCTCACAGAACCCTTTTTCTGACTAGCGATGTAGTTCATCCGACTCACGATAATCTCCAGAATCGGTCCTCGATCACCACCAAGTAAATGGATCTCATCGATGATGACGAGGCTGACTTGCTGAACATAACTCCTCGTCTGCCAGCTACGACTGATGCCATCCCACTTCTCCGGCGTCGTGACAATTATATCTGCATCCCTAATCGTCCTCGTATCCGGTGTGTTATCACCCGTCAGCTCTACAAGCTTGAGCCCCATTTGTCTGGTGAGCCGTTTCTCCCAGTCCTTGACACGCTCGCGCACGAGAGCCTTCATGGGAGCGATGTAGACGACTTTACTCCCCGGCTTCTCCCGGAAAGCCCACCACATCGCTAACTCGCAAGCAATCGTCTTGCCTGATCCTGTCGGACTGCCCAAGAGGACGTTGGCGGGAGTGTGGTACATGCAGTGGAAGAGCTGTGTCTGCATGGGATTAAAGAATTCGAAGCGCTGGCCATAGATTTCTTCGAGGAGAGGGTTCTTCAGTGCTTTCACTGGCAGAGGTTGCAAGTTAAGGAGGTCGGTGTACACGCTCTCCGTGTCCGGACGGATGAGATGCTGAAAGCTGACCGGCGTCACTGTCTCAGCGCCCAACCATCGATCGCTGACAGCTCGAACATAGATCTGACTGGGCAGCGGATCGCTCAGTGGTATCGTGAAGTTCAGCTCATGATCATCATACAACTTCCTTCTGCTGAGAATGAAGAATTCATGATGATAGATCTCACTCGTTTCGCCGTTCTCCACCCAGATCCAATAGCTCTCGCTCTTCCCATGATGCCGATCATTCCACCTGAAGTCCGGCGTAACAAATAGCTTGACCCTCAGAACATCGCGATTAAGAGGTGCAATCTCTGCCTCAACAGTCAAGGTCGGGAAATTATCCAGCAACTTCGCAATCGTCGTCCCCATCCGCTGATTATGGACCAGACTTCCAATCTCCGCCGGCTCCATGTCGCGCAGGGAGTCAATACTAGCCGAACTCCCCTTCTCATCGAGATTCTTCAACACCGCTTGCGGTAGGTCAAATTGTCTGAAGGGATGCTCATACGCCCAGACTCTCTTCTCGATGCTCTTACACATACTCAACAAGACCAAACACTGATAACCCCAACGCCGATTGAGCGCTATCATGAACAAGGCCCGACAGATCCTGGCTGCGTTCTGTGCGACATAGGCGGTATCGCTGACCAAAGTGAAATCCTCGAGATTAGCTTTGGAGATGTAGGATTGGAGGAGGACGTTGGTTTTGCCTTGTTGAGTGCCGATGCCTCCTTCGATGTCGCAAGGTGCTGCCTCTTCTTTCAGGCGCATGAGTTCTTTTTCTTCCGTGTCGCGGGATTGGATGTTGTCGAATTCGCCCGACATAGCGATCATCTTGAGTGTGTCGGCTTCTGTAGCATGAGGTCTCATCATGGTGTTAAAGATCTCGATGCTGGTCTGCAGGACATAGAATTGTGATGCGATACGTCCGACGTCTTTAGCTCGCAGCTCTTCGGTTGTCTCATTGAAGATGATCATCTGGCTCTGCTGCAGAATCCGTGCGGCTTTTACGATAAGTTCTCGTCGTCGCTGAACCAGATTCGGATCGTTCTGGATCTCGCTCCAATCGATACCGTAAGCTATGGGGTTGCGACGCATCCGAACAAACAAGTAGCTGTATCCAAGCCAGGTGATTGCTTCCGGCACACTCGTCACAGTACCCAAAGCAATCTCAGCATTCAGATTGTCCACCATCTTGCGACTAAATTGCGACTCGATGGGCTGCTGCTGTGTCACAGCAGTCAAGTAATGCTGAAGCTTGTCCTGAGTCGTGATGATCATGCCGATACCAGTGTCCTGAAACTGAGGTCGACCAGCGCGGCCGAAGATCTGCAAGACGTCAAGGATGCCCAGATCAACGAACTTACCTGCTTCAGCGCTGTAGAGCTGAGTGCCTTTGATGACTACAGCTGCTGCTGGCAAGTTCACACCCCAGGCCAGGGTTGCAGTACAGCAAAGCACCTTGAGCACACCCTCGCCAAATAGTCGTTCAACCAAGTTTCGATCAGATCGTGGCATACCAGCGTGGTGAGTACCCAGTCCCTTCGCGACTAACTCCCTGATCTCCTTTCCCTTCGACTGCTTGACGTCCCTCACAGCATTGCTATACCCCTCATGTCCCGTCGGATCGAAAAGATCGTTCAACCCCTCTTCCTGCGCCATCTCAAGCAACATCCTAGCAGTCTTTACCGTATCCTTCCGGCTGTGCACAAACACCATAGTCTGATGTCCCTGCTCAAGCTGTTCCTTGACTTTCTCGAAAGCGGTACGATCGACATTCTCTCTGCTTGCCTTTGAGCCTGGCTTGCCTTTGACGCCCAGAAAGTGCTGTTCAAGTGGGACAGGGCGGAAGGAGCCGTCAAAGTAGAAGAGGCCGGCCATGCGATTTACTTTGAGAAAATCGGCGACGTCGACGTAGTTGGGGAGGGTAGCGCTTAGGCCAACGATGCGGATGAGAGATTGGGTGCTCTCTACTTGCCTCTCTGTTCTTGCCACTAGGGACTCCAGCACGGCACCACGTTCGTCGTGGAGCATGTGTACCTCATCAATGATGAGCAAACGCACTTTCTGCACGAGCTCTGTATCGCCAGTGCTCTTCCGAGTAACCACATCCCACTTCTCCGGAGTCGTGACGATAATCTGAGTCTGCACAATCTCGGCCTTTGTGAGCTGCATATCTCCAGTCAACTCGCGGACTTGGATCCCGAGCCAGGCCAGACGCTTGCTCAGCTTGTCGGTGATCTCAGCGGCTAGTGCCTTCATAGGAGCAACATAGACAACCTTGAAATCATCCTTCTGAACTACGAATTCTGTGGCCTCTGGATGATCCACGGGGCTGGGGTGAATATTCTTTGCCACCGTGTTAAGGATGGTGAGCATAGCGGCATCCGTCTTACCTGCACCTGTGGGAGCACAGATGAGCATGTTCTCGCTCGTCTGGTATGCGACAGGATACACCAAACTTTGCATGCGGTTGAGTGCTTTGTAGCCCTTGAATGTTCGTTTGCAAAGACCATCAAGATCTGATATTTCTACCAACTTTTGCTGTCGGGCAAGTGTGCCGACTTTGGTGGCGGGTATGCTGTACTCTTCATACCTTTCCTTCTCGATCCGCTCACTTCCCATAGGAAGTGTGTATCTCTTACCGTGCGAGGACAGAGTGTTGCCAGCTTCGTGCGCGCGGTAGACGTGTGGATACTCCTCACCAGAACGATTCTGAGCGGCGGAAAGGTTGGCGCTCTTATGCTTAGCATCGGCTTGACGGAGACGAGCATCCCGTTCTGCTTTGGTTAAGAGGCCGGACGCTGGTTTGCTGGGCTGCTTGAGTAATTGCTTGCGATGTTCAATGATCTCGGAGACCAGGTCTAAATGGTCGAAGCCAACGACATCCGCCAGCGTCATCTGGAGCTCATCATCGCTGCTGTCTGATGCCAATACTGCCGATATATGCTCTTGCAGTGAAGTAGCATCGAGACCACCTCCACTGCGAGCTACAGCCTCACAACCCCTGGTCAACCAGTCCTGCGAGCCAACACTCGCCACCACATTTTCAACACTAGAGGGACGCTCTGGAGAGACACTTTCGTCACTGAACTCCTCCTCATCCTCGCTGATCAAATCCCAGATATCATCGAGTGGCGATCCAGGTGATACGACATTGTTGTCCGAGTCCAGGTCGTTGGGAGGTTTATAGCTATCGGCATCCCCGTTCGCTGCAGGTAGCTTCAGATCTGCGATAGCCGCTCGCATGGCAGCCAGCTGCTCTAGCCATTGCGAGGCCGCGCTATCCGTAGATGGAGACATATTCGAAGGCTCACGCGCTCTACGAGATTTTCTGTGGAAATGTGGCAGGATTACTTCAGTTCTGTGGCAAAATATTGAGTGTCTCTAACCCCACACCAAAAGTGCACAATGGAGTCATCAGTCATCACGTGGTCTGTGCTTAAGCGCGTCGACCGTCCCAACCACGCGTACGAGGCTCGGTCGACTTGTCAAGACACAAAACAATCCTCGGATACACAGAAAGATGGTATGTCGTGAGGGGTACACGCATGGTATCGCTGTGGCTACTGACATGCCAGTAGGAGAGCCCACACGAGCACCAGCAGAACCTACTGCTCTCTCGGATCATCACGAATGTGGTACGTGTCTGCGACGACTAATACATTCGACATCATTCTGACCCAAGACAGGAGAAGCTTAACGAAGCAGTCATGGCTTTGAACAAGAGCCTACAGGTCAGCATACTTGCTCCGCATGGTCTGGACGCAGACTGACAGGCCACACAGGAAATCAACGTCCAGAATATGAATGTGGAATTGGTGGCGCAGATGTTCAAGAACTATCAGAGCAATGTGCTCTTCCATCTCGAAGGTGAGTGGCATCCCCGTGAGGTCTGGCTGCCGCCACTGACACGTTCATAGCCACCGACAGTCTTAAGGAACCGTCATGACACGGAAGGATACTCAGATCCAACACCCAGAGGCCCACTCTGTCCCACCTCACGAGAGTTCGCTGCGTGTGGATCGTGCGGCGGCCCCATCTTGCCGGTCCTGACTCGTTCCGCAGACACTCGGCAAGCAGAAACGGGCTGCCATATTTCCGCGAGTCAACCCCACCGTCTTGGCGCACGTGTGAGCCGACTCCATACCCCACCTCTCCAGCGGGCACTCCACTGCTTCCGGGGACGGTTCGTGGACTGCCATCCTTCGAGCAGCTAAAAGTTTATACCGCACCATCACGCTATACCACAACAGCACTTTCTCCGCACGAGGCCGATGGATCATCAGTGTGGATGCCATGCACGGTACTTACGTCCCTATGGAGTCCGCCAATGATGGACCGGATGGCGGACGATAGGCAATAGGTAAAGATAGAACAAGTGTCCGCGCTTGCGCTCAAATACCACTTGGCTACTCTCAGTGGTTTCATCTGTCGATCCGCGCAGAGATAGTGGAATGTTGACGACGCTCAGCTGTCTAACGCTGCTCGCGGCAGGTGCTATAGCGCAGAACACAGCCTTGACCACCGTCGAATGGCGCACCGGGAATACTAGAGTCGACAGTCTCATTGAGCAATTGACACCAGAAGAAAAGATCAGTCTCGACTACTGCAGGTGAGTCTGCGTACATCTGATTCATCTGAATGCCAAGAGCCTGGAGCTCTGCATCCGTGGCCTCAATTGCGTTTCGAAGTGACTCCCTCGTCTCTCTACCTTCAAGCGTGGCCGCCTCAAGCAAGGCTACCGCCTCGCTTCTGGCTTCTGGTGTCAGGCCCAATAATTTCCAGAGATCTCGATGTGCAGGCATGCCATCATTCGCCCTGCGAACGACAGCGTCCCCTACAGGTTTCCGTTCGCTAGTGAGCGTGAGCAGTAGCCCAGGGGATGCAATCCCTTGCAAAACATAAGCTAGCTTCCAAGCAAGGTTGAATGCGTCTGATATGCATGTGTTGCTGCCAAGTCCGTTTATCGGAGGATGTCTATGGACAGCATCGCCGATACACATAACCCGACCCTTCTGCCACGTGCGTGCTACTTGGTCGTTGATGGTCCATCAGAAGCTTGACAAGATCTCGAACTCAACGTCATTATCACCAACCATCTGCTTCAGTCGCCCCTGGATCTGCTCGTTGGTGGGCTCGAACGACCGGCCATCGATGTTCGCAGGGTGCATCGACACTAACCATTCGTTCCACGGACGGACCATGCGAAAGTTGCCCGCGGCAGACCATTCTGGCGCTTCGGTGTTTAGAACCCAGTTCAGACTTCCAGGACGGTTCTCCATGTATCTCGAGAGATCAGCTTGAATGTGAACGTTGAGCGCCGTGTTAAGTTGCTTGCCGTCGACAATTATCCCCAAGGTATCCAAGACTGGACTCCGAGCGCCATCAGCGCCAATGAGATAATCTGAACGAACCCACTACTGCTTCCCGGCTTTCGCAGCTTCTCCAACCAGGATTGGCTCAAGATAGCTCTGAGGCAGATCAGACATCCTGCATGGGCTTGCCATTTCGTAACGATGTTTCTTTCCAGGCTTGTTGCCCCAGGACCACATCCTCCCGTATTCAGTGCCGTTCAGCTTGTCAGACCATGGCGTGTGCGCCATGTGGGCGGCATCGCAGGCAACTTCGCTAAGTCGTTCCTCCAGTCGAGCATCTCTCAGGACCTCCATGGCACGCTGGTTGAAGATGTGCGCCCGAGGTGTGTTGGCCGTGCCATGGTGTTTCGAAATGAGAAGTGTTTTGATGCCTAGTCTTCCGAGATGCAATGCCAGCGTTGCTCCTGCTGGTCCAGCGCCAACAATAAGCACAGGATATACTTCGTCCATTTGCCCAGTGGTCGACATCCCGTCTGTGTGCATGTTGGCTTCGGCTTGTGTAATGCTGTGGCGATAACAGAAAAAGTTGATGTCGACATGGTGCCTTAGGCTCCAGCAAGCAGGGCAATGTAGCCGATGTATTGCACAAAATTATCCTCGCAAGTGTACGTGCAGACTAATGTCGAAGTCTGGCTAAGGGTGGGCGGAGATGTGGGGACAGTACCACATTATCCAGCTTCGGTTTGCTTGCGAGTCCCGTCCGTGGAGTCTAGCTGCAGATCACGGTGCCCATTTAGCGTCTGTGTGGCATGGGCGCCAGACGTTGCGGTATAACAAGTTCAGTTCCATGGCAGTGTGAGCGCCGGACAGGCTGTTCGAATCACTGTATAGCAAATCATGGATCCTGACTCCTCGATCGTGGCGCGACTGATAAAGTCACCAGTCAGTGTAGGGCTCTGTCTTCTGGCATTATACGCTGTTAACACAGTGAGTTGGGCATATATCTTCGACACGCACATTGTAGATTTTGACCTTTCTTAGGTGATCCGATATTACCTCTTGTCGCCAGTAATAAATGTGCCAGGACCGTGTGGGCTCGAGTCTCCAAACTTCCTCTGCTCTGGGCGACGTACCAGAAACGACGATCGCAGTATGCATCAGATCTTTTGGCACGATATGGACCCATTGTCGTGATCGCTCCGAATCAGATACATACCACCGATGAGGCCGCGATGAAAGTCATCTACAATCGACAGTCGCTCAAGACCAGCTTCTACGCAGGCATGGGCAGCTGGAAGGGCGTCACATCGACACTCGGATTTGTCGACTATCGTAGCGCAGCTCCGACGCGCAACAACTTGATACAATGCTTCCAGAATAAGAACCTTGAGACGCTCGTAGAGAATCTGTCTGCGCACATTGGCGAGTTTTGCGATCTGATTCGATCGAAGAAGGGACAGGATGTCGACGGCATTGTTCTCTTTCGTCTTCTGGCTTTGTACATCGTTACTGATGTACTATGGGGCGAGCGAAAGACCCTGCTGTCTGAAGAGTCCAGACGTACTCCCTTATTCCTGCGACGCTTTCATGCATTCAGCTCATACAACGCCACGAAAAGCTTTATACCTGGCTTCGACTTGTACGTTCGCCTGTTCGGAACTGCAAAATGGAAACAGCTTCGACAGGACTGCAGCGATATGGATATCACCGCGAAAGAAGCTCTCAAACGGTGGGATGAAGAAGGTAACCGTCGTGATCGCGACGTCCTTAGTATGCTGCGCTCGATGGACGATGCCGAAGAGAAGGGTGCCCGCTTGCCCAGTGACCATATTCCTGCCTACATGGTGGAGATGCTTGCAGCAGGTAGCTCTACCACTTCACACACAGCAACATTTGCTTGCTGGCAGTTGACTCGACATCCTGAAGCGGCCAAGAGACTGCAACAAGAACTATTCGACCAGTTTCCAGGTGAGATCCAAGAACGGAAGCTCATGGATCTGCCCTATCTTGATGCTGTCCTCCGAGAGACTATGCGGCTGATGCCGATGATCCCAGGACCACTAGAGCGATACTTACCAAAGGATGTGACAGTCGATGGCATTAAGGTAGTACTCAGCATGTTGTACAGCATTGTCGAATCTGGCTGACAGATAGGCGTAGGTGCCTGCAGGCGTCATTGCATCGACTGCGGCTCGCGACCAAGGACGCTTGCCTAATGTCTACCCAGAGCCGGGACAGTGGCGGCCTGAGCGATGGCTTAATGCTACCGAGGAGATGCACCTCCACTGGACACCGTTTGGCTTTGGCAGCCGCGCGTGTCCTGGGTCCAATCTAGCGATGACTGAGCTGAAGTACATGATCGGCATCCTTCTTCGGAAGTTCAGAGTCCTCGAGCCACGAGAGACAGCACATAGAAAGGCGAGCCTGGATCTTTGGGATGTCTTCGTATCCAGTGAGCGTAGCGGGCAGTGCTGGCTAAGGTTTGAGGAGATCGAGCCGCAGAAGTAGACGTAGCACATATGTATTCACTCAGTGGTCCTGGCCGGAAAGAGCTGGACAATTGTCCTTCGCACGGGCCTCGTGCTTGGCAACTCATAACCATTTCACACACCAACTCTGCTCCCCTCTATTCGACGATGTACATCTCTCTAATGCTCACCTTCCACAATCGCGCGGCTTATAGAGCTTATCGGTTCGTAGTCTGGGAACTGACGTGACCTCATGCAAGCCTCACCACTGCAGATCGCCTGTGGAAAAAGGAGCATTGTACTAGATGACTCACGACCCATGATAACAGCCCTACACCGTGCGAGTGTTCATAGTCAAGTATATGTCACGCTCCTCTCGAAGCCTGCACTGCCACCATCTTGACAGTACATCGCATTATGGCTGACCCTTCCTGCTCGGCTCGTCTGATCTACCGCGCGATAGAGCCAGACGAAGATGAAGATTTCTTCCTGGCCATCCAACAAGACCAACTCGGCTATCGCAATAGCAATCTCTCGATCAGCATACCGCAAGGGAGAGCATCGGCCAAAGGCTACATCAAGCGGGTGACGGAAAACTCCATGCTCGGTGTAGTGATCTGTCTCGCAGCAGCAGAAACCGTGGACGACGAGACTAGAGCAAACTCCGCTACCCCTGCCAAGCCGACTCCTATTGGGTGTATCCATCTAGACGGCTGTCGACCTAACATAGCTCACCATCGCTTTTCCGACATTGGTATTCACATCTTGCCCGCCTACCAAGGTAAAGGGTATGGTAGTGAGGCTATTGAGTGGATTCTGGAATGGGCCTTTGTAACAGCTGGACTGCATCGGGTCAGTATCCAGGCTTTCGAGTACAACAACGGAGCGATGAGGCTCTACCAACGTTTGGGTTTTAAGTTCGAAGGGGCTCATAAGGAGATGGTCTGGGCTCAAGGGCGGTGGTGGGATGATATTCGTACGTGCGAGGACTTCATGTCGTCTGGCGGAATTTGTTGGAAGCTTGCTAACATGTGGTCTAGATTATGGCATGCTAGAGAATGACTGGCGAGAGCTGCATGCGCAGAAGAAAAGCAGTGAGACGAATGTGCCGGCATGACGATGGTATATAGCGTTGCTTTTGTTGTGCAGTCTCACCATGCTACATAACCTCAACGCCACGATGCTAACCCGAATATGGAACATCAGCCAGGGTTTGATCACCTTAAGCCATTTCCTCGCCTCGCCACCGGCGCTGCTATGCAGGAACAAATCGCAATGATTGGGTTCGGACAACTACCACGCCGTGTACCCGCCGTCGATGACGAGATTGCCTCCAGTCATGAATGAAGAAGCGTCGCTGAGTAAGAACAGAGCTGCACCACGGAATTCTCTCATCTCCGATAACCGACCCAGCATATTTCCATCCTCCCACATCTTCTTCAGATGTGGCTCCTCGTCGAAGTTCGCCTGTACCATGGGAGTCATGATGTTCCCAGGACTGAGCGTATTGACACGAATCGGCTTCATGCCATCTTCAGTCTCGACAATCTTGCCCCACTCCATAGCCAGGCTGCGGGCCGACTGGATGACGGCGGCCTTGCTTGCGTTGTAAACGACGGTCCGGAGACCTCTGTTAGCGATCAAGCCACTCATGCTGCCGATCAGGACCATGGAGCCAGGGATGTTGTATTTGATCATCTGCCTGGCGCAGCTCTGGGCAGAGAAGAAGACGCCGCCGAAATTGATAGCCATCATCTTCATGACGTCGTCTGGCTTGTATTCGATAGCGTCGCAGACATGCTGGATGCCGGCATTGGCGATCAAGCCGTCAAGGCGCTGATGCTCGGTGGCGATGGCTGCAACTACGTCATCGAGTTGCTTTGCGCACTGCACATCGACTTGTCGGTAATGGAGTGTGCCCTCGTAGCGATGGGCGAGACGCTCCTGAGTGTCGTAAAAGCTCTGTTGGGGCTTCTCCTGACGATCGAGGCAGTAGACATGGCCGCCAGCTTCAACCAATGCTTCAGCGAGAGTCAAGCCGAGCCCTTGTGCACCACCGGTCACGATGAAGACGCGGCCGTCAAGCTAGTGCTCCGTTAGCACGTGTTTCGCGACTCGACTTAGGTTCGCATTGATGAGGCTTACCTCAAACTCTCTAAGTCTGTGTGGGCCATGTTCAACATCGGGATCTGGCAGGCGTTGTGCAATTGCACTTGGGCGCTGCAGAAGACGCTTCTTCAATCCACCATTGCCATTTGTATCGTCGTTGGCAGAAGGCGTCGTCGAGAAAGACCTAGTAGCTGTAGCGCGGTACCTTGCTGCTGGTACGATAGGCGCAGCCAATCGGCCAGACTGGTTGATCTTGTAGGCGGGGTTGATGGATGCAGGGAAGCGGAGTAAAGCTTTGGAGAACATCGCGGCTGTATGTGTCCAGGGTCTTCGTGTGTGGTATGATATGTTGTTGGTAAGAAGTGTATAGGTTGATCCCGGACCAAAGAGATATATTTATACCAAAAAGGTGTTCGCAGGGTGAGCGAAGCTTTAGTCACACATATCAAATGAAGGCTGCTCTCTTCCAGTGAACGTGGAACGACGTCACCTGACAGGCCAAGAAGGTGCTCTGGAATGCAGTCACGGCGCCACATATAAACTGCTGAGCGGGGTTTGCGGCCACTGCCAACTCACTCACGCAACGTTGGTGCTTGGCAAACGGGTAGCAAGCCGCGTCTCCTCACGACTCCCAGGCGTTTATTGACAATCAGCTATGCTTGAAAAGTTCTTGACAAGGCGTGCCACGTGAATGTTTGGCATGGCATATGGTCTGTGCTCAGGTAAGAAAGCATACTTTATGTTCGTTGTGCCAGTCATATTAGAATGACCATTCGCTGCTCGCCAGACGCTAACATCATTACCACTCCTCTGGCTTGGAAATATCCAAAGTAGCATCTTGTAGCATGAACCCGAAGCTCCACGGCTTAAACTTCGGAAACCATCCTTTAGGCACGATATTTCTACCCTCTTCAGTCTTAACCCATACGAGCTTGGCGCGGTTCGACCAAGCAGAGACATCGTAGGATTTCCAGCTATCAGTACCAACCAGCGCAGTGTCCTCGCCGGCAGGAATGGGAGGTTGCACGAACTTGGTATTGACGAAGTACTTTGTTGATAGAGGGAATGAGGGCGTCCAGCTCATGGTCGTGAACGTAGCCTTAAAGAAAGGGATCTCTGCTCTGACTTTGTAGCCTTCGGGCGGGTAGACTGTGACGGTGAGCTCATTCGGTGGCGACGATCCCTTTGCTGTCCGTGGCGAGGAGAACTCGAAGCGCGCTAGATGCTTGGGTATGTTCCAGTTGCGACGACCTTCAGCAGCTAGATTAGCAGCAATCACAACGATCAGGCTGGCCTGAATTACCGTTGAAAGTGATCTCCTTCTGGTTGACATATATCCTAGTAATCCGCGATCGGTTCTGGCCCCTCTCTGGTCCACCAGTCACGCTGAAGGTGCCTGGAATGATGGCAAGCTCGTCGTACTCTCCTACAGGAGTGTCGAAGTAGCGGACGATCATGATAACACCCGTACTCCCCATCTTGAAATCCCGGACTGTGCAAGTGGAATGAGTTGCTTCTAGTGGATCCCAGATGTCTACAGGCAGTGGGCTTGGGAGCTGAGTGACCATCCAGTATGTCTCGCATCGTGTACTCCATGGTGCAGGAGCCTCAGGAAAGTCCTCCTTCGCTTGGGTGCGACTCCTTGTCGCGGTCGCCATTATTCTGTCTCCAAGTTGTGGACACTTTGTGCGGTATCTTGCTGGCTGATACCGAATGTCGACAACAATAGGAAGTAGTTCCAGCTAGTGCTGTACTCAGCCAGTCCAGCCCAGCTCCAGCGCCTAAAACAAGGCAAGCACGTATAAAAGCGGGGTAATCCTTCAGAGGTGGCGGATGTCAGGCGACGACGATGACAGGTCGGAGAGCTCTTTTGAGACCTCAATGCACTTTCCAGAGCTTCAATATTAGTGGTAGTGGCTGGACGGATCAAGCTGCAGACCTCGTTTATTGAATTTGCACGTGCGTGGCACAGCCGAGACAGGCTATAAATGTCTCGCCTGGTAAGCCACTATCACCACCGATCCGAGCGCCTGGTTTCACTTCGATCATATCGGCTGCTATTCCGTACATCATCCTACTTAGCAGCGATAGCCTCGCCTTGACCAGTAGGAATAGCACCGGCGTCGACTGATTGCTTAGTCGTAGCCTCAGAGATCTTCTGGGCCTCACCGTCACGAGCACGCTCATAGATCGCATCGAGATCTTCCTCCCACACCCACTTCATGCGCTCCGCCGTCCTCTTGGCAATGAGAGGAATACACTCCTCAAAGCCCAAGTCAAGCATATCCGGCGCCTGCATCTCATACGTATTGCCCGCCGCTCGCGACGTCGCCTGTGTCTTCTGCGCGCGAGGTAGACGCACATCCTGGTAGAGCTGTGCCGTGGTTTCGAGAGAGGCGAAATGGCGTTTAGTGCTGCCTGAGAGGTGCTCGCTAAGTGCACGACCAAGCACCCAGCCATCTTCCATAGACTGACCGGCTCCAGCACCTAGATGCGGTAGCATGGCGTGTGAAGCATCGCCGAGAAGCATGACTTTGCCATCGAAGTAATGCCATCGATTGAGCGGCTCGCGATCGTTCAGACGCCACTTCGATGGCTGTTCCGGCATCAGATCAATAATCTCTTGTACTGGCTTGTCGAAGCCGGCGAAGTCAGCGTAGACATCCTTGCGATCGCATACAGACGTCCAGCTCTCCTTGACATCTGCTACTTCGTTTTCGGGCTTCGTGACGAAGGCGACGATGTTGAGTTGTTCGTTTCGAGCGATCGGAAAGACGAGAAAATGGCGGTGCTTAGCGGACCAGAGGACGCTGTAGCTCTCGAAGGGCCAGGAGGGTAGAGAGGCTATTGGTATGACTCCTCTGTAGGCGATCTGGCCAGAGAAGATCGGTTTGTCCACGACGAACTGGTTACGTAGTGCAGAGTGGATGCCGTCGCAACCTATGACCAGATTCGCTTCTGCCACCGAGGAGTCTGCGAAGTGTAGACGCACAGTCTGTCCAAGGTCATCGACCTTCATACACTTCTTGCTGGTATGTAACGTAGCTGCCTTCCGCTCTTCCACTACGCTCCTCAGCATATCTAGCAGATCCGACCTTGCGCATGGCGCCTGTCGTATTGTCTCATTGTCGTTCACCGGGATCGTCACAATCTCACCACTGTTATCATATCTCCTGAACGTGATCCAAACGCCCGTTCGGTACCCAGCAAAGGAATTGAGTCGTTCTCCAATGCCCAACTTGTGTATCAGACGAGCCGCATTGATGCCGAGTCCCACTCCTGCTCCTATCTCTTTATATTGACTGGCCTGCTCGTAGACGTCAATATGGACTGGTACACCAGCTTCGGTACAATGATGGTGGATGGCTAATGTGCAGAATAGACCGCCTATGCCTCCACCAACTACGGCTATCCTGAACGGCTCTTGTGTTTTGGAAATCATGTTGCTCCTGATGACACGAGAGTATGTTGTCGGAAACCATCAACCTCACCTTGTCCCACGATTTGATACATGATTGATCAGCTCATAGCACGTCTTGTGCCGGCTACCGATCAGCTGCTGCGCTGCATGGACGATCGGTAGCCCGGCAATTGTCGTGGATGATGGAAGGCCTGCATCTGCGGCCGGGAAAGCCCCTTCTACCTGCCTCTTCCATTTCCTCCACCTCCGCCCACCAAACAAGCCCATCTCCACAAGTTTTTCGACCCCTCCATGGCATCGATGACGCAGTTCTGTATAGCTTCAGCGGCTTCGGCGTAAAATGCCACGAGCTGTCAAGGAGCAAACCTCACCAACAGGGCAAAATGCCTCGTGGCATTGAGGTGGCGGCTTTCGAGATCGACGACACGACAGCTGCGACGATCATAACTTTCGCGACTGTCCTGCCATTGGATATCAAGGCAACGTCGAGCAATACAGTATCGACAATGACACGACCATGACAACATCGCCCGGATAAAACGCTTCGAAGCAGCAGCTCAGTGGAGCTTTTGACAGGTGAGCTTCCTGTTACGGCAGAAGGTAGCTCAAGATTATTCTCTATGTTCTCTTCATTTCTGCGCCGCTCCTTGACCACCAAACATACATCACTGACCTTACCCTCAATCCATTGTTCAAGACAGACACATTCTGCGTACTCCACCATGTCCAAATTCACCCTCAAATGGGGCATCCTAGCCACCGGCGGCATCGCTGAGACCTTCGCCCGCGACCTGTACCCGAACCCAGAATGCCGTGGTGTCAAGGATATCGAACACAAAGTCGTAGCCGCCGCTTCTTCTTCCTCAGTCAAGCGAGCTCAGGACTTCCTGAAAGAGGTTCGAGCCGTAGACGATGCCAAGGCTTATGGATCGTACGAGGAGCTGGTGAAGGACCCGAATGTGGACATCATCTACGTTGCTACGCCTCACTCGCACCACTACCAAAACGCCAGGCTATGTCTGGAAGCCGGGAAGAACGTGATTTGTGAGAAAGCCTTTACATCGAACGCGCCTCAGCTTGAGAAGTTGATTGAGATTGCGAGGGAGAAGAAGCTGTTCTTGATGGAGGCTGTGGTGAGTTAGACCCAAACAATAACTTAGGCTTTCCAGGATATTGACATATCGCGCAGTGGACTCGATACTTCCCACTCTCCATCTACGTCCGCGACATCATCACATCCGGCAAGATCGGCCCCGTATCTCGCTGCTCCGCCGATCTAAGCATGCACATGATCCCCGAAAAGACCTTCGACGACTCCCACCGCATGGTCAACCCCGACCTAGCCGGCGGCGCCCTCCTCGACCTAGGAATCTACTCCCTAACCTGGGTCTTCCAAACCCTCTACACCACGCAAAAAGACCCTAAGGCCCCCTCCGTCCTCAGCACGATGCGGAAATACAAGCTCGGCACCGACGAGCAAACCTCCATGCTCCTCACCTTCCCCGCCACCTCAGATCGTGGTGAAGCCCATGGTATCGCAACGACGGGAATGCGCACCTCGGCCGACCCGGACAGCAAAGCCACCGCCGGCCCCAGTATCCGCGTCCAAGGCGAAGAAGGTGAAATCCAAGTCTTCCACCCCGCCTTCCGACCCACCAAGACCAAGCTTATCCTCAAAGACGGCACAGTCGAAGAAAAAGACTGGCCGCAACCGGGTCCGGGTAAAGGCAGCGGCTGGAAGAATGGGTTTGGCGGCGGATGGCAGGAAGAGGGGGTGGGACAGGGGATGTTCTGGGAAGCGGACGAGTGTGCGTTTGCGCTCAAGGAGGGGAGGAAGGAGGGCAAGTATGAGAGTTTGCAGGAGAGTTTGGAGATTATGCGGGTGATGGACACGGTGAGGCAGCAGAATGGGATGAAGTTGCCGGAGAAGATTGAGACGCTGGATTATCCTGTCAAGTTGTAGATGCGTTATAGTAGAATTGGGTCTTTGGAGCGAGAGGTGAGGACGTAGGTATACACATATATACTCTGATTTCAATTGTCATTTAGACTGGTCCATCGATCCTTTGCAGACCGTCTGGCCAAGGCAGGGTTCATAGTCCTTTCGGGCCAATTGAGTGGTCGCCTTATGCTCATTGTACACTCTACAGTCATCAAATTCAGCAGTACCGCCCAGTGTCTCTGAAGGGTGCTCATGCCTTCGTGAAACAGGTCGACGTATATGGAGAAGCCAAGCGTGCTGGCGTTGCTGGCCGAAAGCGCTTTACGTAGGTATGAGACTGCGTCCGTCACGAAACGTGGCGAGGGTGACTCTGAACAGGGAGTACCAGGCGACCAGATGATGCCACTCGTATACCGACGAAGACATGAGATCGACCGTCCTTTCCATCATCCGCAGTAGATTCAGAGCACACTTGGTGGTGACACGGTAGGTCACGCAAGTCGTCGAAACTGCTAGCGACGTTCGAACTTCTTCGGTAGATAGAAATCATGTGACTTCATGTACGGCTGCGAAGGCCATTTATCAGGTATTGGAATCATCCTTGAGTCCAACATGTACGCCCTCGATTCCACCCGCCATCACCGGACTCGGTCGAAGTCGTGTCTACTTTTGCCTCTATGATGTCGTGACCCCACAGAGCCAGAGACTGCAAGGACGGGCTGACGGTGTATACTGTCGAAATGAGCAACGTCAAGTCCAGCGCACCAAGAAGATCCGTCGGCGACGGCAGAACGACTATGCTCAGGTACGCATTCTCATCATCGCCCTGCGGACTCGGATTTGGCGAGAGCAGTGTGCTATGCGCATCTGTGGCTCGTTCTCGCACTCCATCCAGCTCTATTCAAGTCTTCCGGTACATCCAGCGTGTGGTCATCTCATACAGTCGTGTCCTTGGGCCTGAAAGATCCATGGCGTGATCCTTGCCATTCTCACGCGAGCCTTTTTGCATGCTGCTCGGATAAGCGTATGGCGAAGTGACTCGCTTCCAACCTCAAGTCTCCCCAAAAACAAAAATCCCCTTCCCACTCCTGAACCCCTCCAACGCCCCCTGCACGGCCGTAACAAGTTCCTCCTGCTTCGTATCATAATTCCACGTCACGGGATCCATAGGTACATCCTTGAATCTCCCCTGCCTAGTCAAGTCCAACACCTCCTTGACACAAGCCTCTTTCTGCTCGGGGAAGCGATCACTCCACTTACTGACCCAGAAACCATCGAAGTGAATGTCCTTGAAGATAAGCAGGCCAGTGGGGAGCGAGACGGGCTTCTTGCTCATGGCGCCGTAGGTCACGATGTGGCCGCCGGGGGAGAGGAGTTTGGCCATGGTGTTCACGATCGGTCCACCGACGCAATTGAGACCGAGACGGATGGGTTCACGTCCTCCATTTGTGATCTCCTTGACCTGATCCCTGAAATCCTTCGACTCGACTTCCTCATCCGTGACCACGACATCCGCCCCTAATCCTTTCAACTCGCTCCTCAACTCCTCCATCCCACTCTCCCTCTTCCGCACAATATTAATACTCTTATACCCCCACAACCGCGCCAACTGAATCGCCGCCCGTCCCACACCCGAATTCCCACCATTCTGAATGAACCACTCCCCCTCCTTCAACCCCCCACCGAAATCCTTCAGCATCCTATACGCCGTCATCGGATTGACAGACACCGTCCCAACTTGCTCCGGCTTCAAACCCTCCTTATCCTTGATCACCACAAGATTATCGACCGTAGTCTGCGCATGTGTCCTCCACGTCCCGAACCCCTGCCTCCTCATTATCACCCAATCCCCCTTCTCCACCCCCTTCACCCCATTACCTTTACTGATCACCTCCGCTACCCCTTCATTCCCGCCCACGGCTAAGGGTTCGGCGGTTCCGAGCGAGGTGGTGAAGGTGGGTTTGGTGGGGTAGACGCCTTGGATCTGGTTGATGTCGGCGGGGTTGATGGGCGAGGCGAGGAAGCGGAGGGTCAGGAGGTCGTTGTGCGGGGGGGAGATGGAGTGGCCGTGGAGGCGCAGTACGTCTTTTGGTTCGCCGAGGGTGGAGAGGCCGAGGACTTTGGCTTGTTCGTAGCCGTAGGCTGAGATGGGGCGAATCTGGGGAAGTGACAAGAATGTGCTGGTCGTGAGGCGGGTTGTAGGGCGGAGGGTCGGGCGTAGGATCTTGGTGGCGGCTCGTGAGGGTGCCATGGTTGATGAAAGTGTGTATTGATGTCGTGACTTCCTATTACGGGTGAAAAGTAGAGCTGTAGAAAGTGAATGGAAAGCTCCAAGCTTGGCCTTACTGTATGCAAGGTGATGCAATGCCGACAGCAATGTCAAAGCGCTCGGCTCCTTTGCCGACGACAATGTATTCTCACGACAGCAGTAGTCTCCTCCCCGAACATTACAATAACAGACACGGTGAAGGATGGAACGATAAGGCTCGTGGAGTTGTTATAACTTGATCCTTGATGCGCGCGCTGCTGTTACCATCAAGTATACTCTTTCACGATTATTTCATTCTGATCATCCATTCATGTCATCCGAAGTCGAACCCATCCCAGCGCTATGCATCAACCACCCCATCCTACCTCTTGAGGCAGCAAGGTCGCCCCCCCTCCACCTCCTCATGTCTCAATCGGCCCATCCACAAGCCCATCTCCCACGAACCTGGTCTGGCGGTACCGAGACTTGGCCTTCGTCTCCACCCTAGCCTTCGGTACCGCCGCCGTCTCCACCTCAACCTGGTGAGGGAAAGGCAGAGAGGTAACCGGTTCAAGCTGCTGTGAACTGCGTATGGCTGGTAAGGCCACGCTACGCTTCATCCACAGGCCTGGCTCCAACAACGACGACGACGAGTCGGTGGGTAAGCGCACTGGTTCTGTGGCCGGCAAGTGCACGAAGCTGTCCGATGATGCTTGTGATGGGTTCGAAGGTGAGCTGGCCTCCTCCACCGACGACGAAGCCGACGAAGACGAGGTGAAAGATGGCGTAGAGCTATAATTCGCCACCTTCGCCCACCACGCCTCAGGCTCTGGCGATGAAGTCATCCGACTCTCGTCCGAGCCAGCGACACCAAAGACGACGACACTATCATGTCTCGTCACCTCATCGTCAGCAGTAGGGACCGGCGTCATTCTGGTCCCAGGCAGGACATCCTCATCCAAAAGCGCCTCATCTCCAGGCAAAACCTCCCACCTGCTCTCTTCCCTCCCCTCCATCCAAGCCGCACGGACAGCAGCCCGGTCATTCAACGCAACAGCAACAGTAACCTCCCGAGCATCAACGGAGGTGGCGCGTGACATCTTAGCATCACGTCCGCCCCTAGCCGACGATGACCTCTCTGGAGAAGGAACGGGGACAGGGACAGGGACATCCAACCCCGCCATCGCCGACTGGATCCACTCCGGACGCTCGAGTTTCTGCCCACTTACCACCTTGAAGCCTGTACTGGTCGGAGTCTGAGTCTTGGCAGCGGTGGTGGTCTTGGCGTTTCTGGAATTCTTTGCCGGTTTGACAGCGGCGAGGACTTTTTTCGTCTTTTCTTGGATGGAGCTGAAGCATGCCATGTTTTGAATGAATGTGTGTCTGGTGTGTGTATGTGGGTCTTTATTCTCTGATTGTCTGTACATGGGGTCAGGATATCACTCCTACTGAGCAAAGGTACCAAAGGTGAGCTTACTTGTTCAAAAGCTTATTGCGGCGGTGTGAAAGTGTTTGACAAGGTCTGGTATCGTCGTTCGAAGCTGGTAGTCTTTTTTGCAATAGAAAGCAGCAACAGCAGCAGTTTTGTATGTTGACAGAGAGAATAGCACATCCAGGCGAGCAGCACACAGCGTATATATGTATCCGACCGACACTGTTGTCTTCACATTGCGCTGAGGCGTTGAGGGAAGCAGGTCAGCATATACTTCCTGCTTACCAGGTCGGAAATCGCTGCTTTCGACCTTTGAGACGACAAGCCTTACTATGCACGACTCGGGGCGAATAGAACGACGGCGTACGGTCATGTACGCACTTTGACCGAAAAAAGCTGCTCTCCGAGACGATATCTCACCTTACTGCGACTCTTCGATCGCCTTCTCACCATTCACCTTACTCGAAATCCTCATGCTCGTCTCATTCTCACATCCTATCTAACGAAGTCCACCAGAAATCACGAATCACCACAACGAGATGGCTTCCACCCAAGAGACCAATGAGTGGCGTTACGACCCCAACCGCGGGAACCCGTACGTGAACTACCAGGTCTATTTCTTCGAGGGCCAAATGCAGAGCCAGCAGCAACTCCTCACCCAAATGGGAGAATCCGAGGCAAGCGAGGAGGCCGCTGAAGCTTCCACGAATGATATCGTCGATGGGAATGGCGACGTGGCATCAGGAGATCTTACTAATGGTAATATCGCTGGTGAGAATGCTGCAGAGGGCGGCGCGCCGCCGTTCCGTTTGCATAGGAAGAAAAGCAATTTCAGTCTCTTTGGGAAGAAGAACCAAGACGATGAAGCTGACGCGAGATCGGTTCGTGAGGAGGGTGCTCCCGATCGTCCGCAGAGGGGTCTGAGGAGGCTGAAGAGTGCTTTCTCCTTTCGTGAGAGGTCTGCTGGTGACGTTGGTGGAAGCCAACAGCAGCAATCACAGCAGCAGGCTGGAGCAGAGGACGGCGATGATCAGCAGCAGCGAAATCGTCGTCGTGGAGCCAGCTTCACTAAAATTCTCCGTCCTGTCAAGAGTCTGACGGATCTCGGAAAGCGAGTCAGTGATTTCTTCTCCAATAGTCGCAACGACAGAGAGGACTTTGACGAAGAGGATGGCGTGTCCCTTGATGATGCGAGGCAAGACAATGACGACGTCTCCGATGCTGAGAGTGACAGGACTGTGCGGGCGGCCGCCCCGTCTGAACAAGATGAAGATGGGAGGTCGAAGAGTATTTACTCTCGTGACGTTGGAGACGATATTTCGGTGGGCTCTTCTTCTACTGCTCGAGGGTGGGATGAGGATGGGCAAGCCTACGACGATGTAGTCGGGCAGATGGAGTGGGCGGAACGACAGAGAAGCTATACCAGCTCTGTCACCTCACCATCTCCTCCCCCTTCTTTCACTCGTGCTCCGGTGAGGAATGGTGGGCGCATCATCCGTCATCCTAGGATGGTGTGGCGGAATACCGAGGAGATGCGTCGTGCACTGCGCGCAAAGGACCAAGACGAATCGTCCCAAAGACCTGGAAGCATCAGTGCCGGCGAAGTGCTCGATCCACGCCGTAGTTTGGTGAACTTGGCTGCCGGCGACGACTGGAGCATGTACTCCGCCGACGTCAACGGCACCAGCGCCGAAGAATGGAAAGATGAAGAAAGCCAAGCTAGACTGGCCCATCTCACCACAATCCGGACGCCCGGTGGCGGAGAAGAAGACACGCTCGCGGCGCTGGAGGGAAGACCACTACCTTCGCAACAACAAACGGTGAGGAAGTCAAAGAGCGTGGCTTTCGACAACGTCGTCCAAAAGAGCGCGTACGACGAAGAAGACTACGGTAGTCCGGTCGTCTACAGGTCGCGAGCCAAATCAATAGCGACGAGATTGGACCTACAGACCAACAAGCTCACCATCCTTCCGCGTGGTAGCGACGAGACTCAAGGCACCATCAGTCCACGGACATCAGCACCACCTATCCAGTCATCAATGCGGCCGGTATCGATGTTCGAGCCGAACGAGACAGTCGGGATGGCGATGCCGCATGATACTGCATATGCGGGACCGTCGAAGACGTTACAGAGGAGGAGCACAGTGCGGAAAGCTGTCTCGGTTAATCAGCTCTCGGAAAAAGCTGCTGGTAAACGGCCTGCTAGGTTGGATTCGACGATTGAGACTGGGGTGCTTGCGGATGCCGCAGGATCTAGTGACACAAACATAGCTGCTGCCTCTACACCAAGCCGTCAAGCGATCGAGTGCCTCCAATCCGAACTCCACTTCCTCGAAACCCTGCGCTCCGACCTCCGCGCTCGACGTCGCCGGATCGAATCCTCCTCCACCGGCACCCCCTTCGTTTACAACGCTTCCAGAGAACCACGGGATACAAAGACCACTCACACGCTCACAGAAGAAGCACAAAAGATGCTCAACGCAGGCAAGCGCGAATCCGCCACTGGCCCCATCCGCTGGCAACCCGATGATCCGAGCGAGTATACCCGAAGAAAACGAATTTCGGAAAAATTTGAGCAGGAGGAGAGGGAGGCGTATGAGGCGTTGAGGGCGAGTGTGGATGAGGTGCGACGGGAGGTGGAGGCGGAGAGGACGAGTTTGGATTATACGAGGAGGCGGGTTGAGGATGCGGAGAGGGTGGAGGGGAATTGAGGGTTTGTAGATGTGGGGGAGGGCTATGAAATTGACAGTGGTACTACCAAGAATCGATCGACTGCCTGGTTCTGATGCTCCTTCTGGCATGAGATGAAAGTGAAGAAAGAGTATCCAGAACATCTGGGCAGGTCCGAGGGAAGCTGCTTGCTGGTACTCCGGAAGCGCAAGAACACATTGCAGGCGCACGACCCGCGACAACTAATAGGAGCATGTTTGCGAAATGGACCATACAGGACTGCCGAGTATTGACCTCATGTCCTGACCGCCTAGCAAACAAACTCGTACAGCACATACCTGAGCACCGCTTCAGGCTACAGCGATGATGATCCATCAACAAACGAACATACCTAAGAAGAATGCCATTGATCAAGAAAGACAAATCCAGCTGTCTCCCATCCCCATCCCTCATCCTCGCCACCCTCCGCCACCGCAAACAACTAGCACAGAAGCGGAAAGCAGAGAAGCTCGCACGACGAGATCACGAAAGGCAGACAGAGGGATTGCTGAGGATCGCGCTGAAACCCGTCAACTCGATTAATTCTTTCACGGCCGCGGATCCGGCGGTGTTTTATAATATGAATAAGGTGGCGGATAGGTGGAGATTGGCCAGGGAGGGTTGTGAGGGATGATGTGTGTGTGATGTGTGTGTGATGCGGGGCGATGGCGGGTTTGGGAGCTTGATTCGCGGATGTGTATGAGTTCGAGATAGAGTGGTAAAGAGGAGCGGATCTGGGAGTTGGGTATTGATGTTTTTGTGGTTACCGACGGCGTTTGGGAGGTATTGTACGGGCGAGTTAGCGGGAATGTTGGCGGAGTCTTTTGTGTATTTCGATCTGCTATAGACCAGGTACTCCTTACAATTGATTTCCTCAGTGTTCAGACATATCTCACGCCTACCTGAATGTACGTGCTGGTACAGTATTGGCATATCCAAAGTCAAATGCGGCTACTCCCGCCGCGTCTGGCTGTCACTCGTGAATGAACACGATAGCCATTGGAGAGAGGCAGTAGAGAGATGTCCCGTACCATCACAACACAACCCAGCACAATATGACACGAGCACAGCAAACCCTCTCGATCGGCCTCCTGGTCTCCTCGGTACGCCGACCATTCCGCACGCATCTAGGACCGAGCTAAGCTGATATTGCTGCGAACAGATATACATGGTCGCCTTCCTCGGCCTCGCACCCATCCCCGAAATCATCCAGAACCAGATCGTGCCTGTCGTATGCTATCCCCCCCCCAATAGCTAAACCATTCGCGAGCCATCTACTGACTTAGACTACAAGCTCCCCCTCTGGGCCCTCGTCTCCTTCGGCGCCTACCTCCTGGGCAAATTGGGATACGGCGTGCTGACATTCAACGATGTGCCTCAGGCGCATGCGGAGCTCATGAAGGAGATTGATGAGGCGCGGGCGGATTTGAAGAAGAAGGGGGTCGAGGTTGATTGATCAGTCTAGTCTACGGTGCGTACAAGGGAAGGATGCGTGGGTGGGGTTTAGCGAGGGCGTTTATATTCACTATAGGAAGGGGGAGAGAGAGAGAGAGAGGACACACGGCACAGCCAAGACATGTGACTCAAATCTGGGCGAGAGAGAGCAAAGGACATTCACCAGCTGGCCAAAAAGGTCTACAAACCCCCAAACGATCTTTACACGCACCACCGCTAACCCGACCGATTCAGCCCCCTCAGCCTATGCTCAAAGTCCTCCTTAGCAATCTCCTCCACCTTCTCCGTCCGTTTCAGCTTCACCCCCGCCCTCTTCTCCCACCCCACCAGCGCCTTAGTATGATCCGCATCCTTCTCCACCTCCCCCAGCGCATCCCCCAAATACCTCTTCAACAAAGCCGGGAGCTCGGTTTCAAACCCATTATGTTCCATGAACTCGCCCGTGATGCCCAGATCCTTGACCAACAATGCAAGCCCGAAACCGCTGTTATACCGTCCTGTAATGCCATCCCGACGGAAGGTATCCATTGTTGGGAAATTCACCCCCGTGCCCACATTAAGCGCATCGATCATAGTCTGCGGATCTAACCCGTACTTCTGACCCGTGACCAGACTATCGGATAAGGCGCAGATGGAGGAGGCCATGATATAGTTATTTAACGTCTTCATCGCATGCCCATTCCCCAACTTCCCCATGTGGAAGATATACGAGGCCATACACCTCAAGATCGGCTCGACTTTGTCAAAGGCTTCTTTGCTGTCCGCACCGACCATGAGAGTGCTTTCCCCGGCGTCCGTGGCGTGCATGTAGGTTTGCGTAATGGGGGAGTCTACGAGGAGGATCTGGTGCTCCGCTAGTTCCTTCCCAAGCGCAACGGAGTCGAAGGGCGAGGAGCTGGACGTATCTACAATGATCGTCCCAGCTTTCAACGCCTTCCCGATCCCCTTCTCCCCGAGCAAGACTTCCCGGACGATTTTGCCTTGGGGTAGCATGGTGATGATGACGTCGCAGTCGGCGAAGGCTTCAGGTTTCCCGTCCGAGGCGGTGGTGTTTTTCCATTCCGAGGCGGCGCGTTGGGCTTTGGTCGTGTCGGCGTCGTGGACGATTAGGTGGTAGCCGGCTTTGGGGAGGTTGGAGGCCATGCTGTAGCCGGCGTTGCCTAGGCCTATGTAGCCTACAGTTTTCACGGCGGGGCCGCCGTTGGTTTGTTGGGTTGGGGGAGGCATGGTCGGTGGTGGGAGTGAGGTGTGGGGGAGGAGGAAGGAATGATGTGGGATCTGGTTGTGATGGACAGAGAGGGGGAAATTGTGCATACTACCTTTGACGAGCAAGTGGACTACCTTCAACGCAGCTACGTGGATGATCAACATTGCGAGGTCGGACAGCTCGCTGGAGGAGAAGGTTCATGGACGGCGAATAATAATAAGGTAGCTTGCTTTGATCCTCCGGAGACAGATGTAATTATTATTATTGACGTAGCGTCGCGACCAGATGGCTGTGCACAGTAGTAGTAAGCAGAAGAATATCCATGTCAACAGAATGTCAATAATATCTCGACACGTTCAAGAGGCAGCTCAAAGCGACTACTCCCCGGAACTGTATTATTATTGTTGTTGCTCGACGACGATCGTCGTCGACAAGCCATTGACGTGAGCTTTCAACCCCGCCATATCGAACCCCGTCTCGAGGTATCATTCCATCCCCAGATCTACAATGCTTCTTCCCTCCACATCCACCAATCGTTCTAGAAGCTTGATCTTTACATCATCATCAACAACCAAGAGCCTCGTGCTTGACCCAACGCATCCCCCAAACCACCATGAGCGTACTCAAAAAGTTCCGCCGCGGCAGCAAAGACACCATCACATCCATCACATCCCAGGAACCACGCCACGACAGTCTCGCCACCGCCCCCTCAACATCCCCCCAGGCCCTAATCCCAAACAAACCAACCTTCTTCGACCTCCCCGCCGAAGTCCGGAACGAAATCTACGACTTCCTAGCCAACGACACAATCCTCTACCTCCCGCCTCCACCGGAGAAGAAACAAGACGAACGGAAAAAGAAAGACTACATCCCCCCCTGCGGCCTCCTCCTCGCCTCCCGCCAGTGCCGGAAGGAATTCCTCCCACTGATTTACTCTTCCTCCCCCGTAATAATAGATATCAAAGACTTTGACTTCACCCCCCTCCTCCGCGTGATAGGATCCCTCTACAGCACAGACCTGAAAGCCTTCCGCTTAAACAAAACCCTCATCCTCCGCCTCCGCACCCAAAACTGTACGCGCGCGAACCTTGACGGATTGAGAAGGTGGCTGGTTCATCGGGCAGATAGTCTGGATCGCCTACCCTGGCGCTACGAGGTTTTTGTTTCCGATCCCATTGGACGGATGGGCTGTTTTCGGCAATCGAGGGAGATTACGTTTTATGCGGAACGCTTGCAGAGGATGCAGGGCCGGTTGGAGGAGACGTTGCAGTGGGAGTTGGTTGCTATTGTGGCGGCTTTTGAGCGGAAGAGTGCGGAGTTGGATGCGGTTTTGCAGGGGGTGCCGATGCATTTGAATCCTACTACGAGGCCGATCAGGGGGTTGTCGGGGGGTGGGATTACCACGGTGTGAAGTCGAATTTGGAAGGGGGAAGTGCGATTGTGCGATGTACTGAGTTGCTCTGTTTCAATGGGGTATCCATACAATGGAGCGGAGTAAGTCACACCATCAAACCCATCAAATTCACTTCCCGACCTCGTCAGCTTCGAGACTCCTCCACACCCGCCGGAACCGCCAAAACAGCACCCCCTGAATCCCCGCCACAACCCCCAACATCGGCACAATCTGCCACACACTATCCGGATGCACCCACCCCACATTCCCATTCCACCCACTCAACGCAAAAAGCACCAGATTAAACCCTCCATGAAACAAAATCGGCTCCCGCAGGATCCGCCACCAATCCCAAACTCCCTCCCGATAGTCACCCAGACTCGCGGCGTTGGCGGCCAGGAGACAGGAAGTGAGACAGTGGCCTAGACCACCTATGAAGATGCGTTCGCAGACCATCAAGGTGGCTTTGGCGGGGCTGATGTCGGGGCGGTCCATGGTGCGGATGAAGCCTATACTTTCCATTGTGCAGTAGGCTAGGGAGGCCGTGAGGGCGTATTGGAGGTAGTGGGATTTTGAAGGGTGGGGTGGACGTCGCGATGAGTCCTTTTCACGAGACTGCTGCTGCGGCTGCTGTTTTTGATGTTTGCGGCGCAGGAAAGCAATGGCGCAGTATTTCAGTATCTCCTCGACTCCGCCGGCGAGGAATGTGGGCACCGTGGCGAGGAAGACCCAGTGCTGCCATCTGGCTATCCAGGCCCAATTCGCCGCTGCGATTTCCGGGGTGCCGGGTTTTATCTCCGTTTGCATGAAGGCGCGCAGGTAATCGCGCCAGTCCTTTCCAAACAATAGTCTGGAGACCGCGGGCGTGAGGAGGAGTTGGGCTGAGAGACTGAGCGCGAGGCCGAGGGTGGCGGTGAAAGTGTAGAGATAGGTTAGCGTGTCGAGATCTACTTGGTTTTCCTTCGGTTGGCGGTGGTGCCAGTATGCTAGGCTTAGGGTTGGGGTGGCTATGAGAGGGGTTGTGAGGGCTATGAGATTGCCGGGGGAGGTGTAGGATATTGCTGCGAGGAAGGTGGGCATGCCTAGCCAGCGGATGGCTTTGGCTAATTGAGACATTTTCTTGTTGATGGGGATGTGGAAGGTGGATGAATCGCGTCACGGTTGATGAGGATTATGGATGCCACATTGCGCGATACTGTTACGATACTTCGAGAGGCTGTATGTTTAGCAGTTGTATGTGCTGTTGCCTTCCATGCGCCCAATGGCCAGATGCGGCTTCGCATTCGCTTCTGTGACTCATACGGCAGGATGCCTGTCATGTCGTATATACCACATGGGTACTTGTTGGCACCGCCAGTACTCAGCTGCGGCGACATCCCGAATTCTCCCGACCATGCATTCTTCCGTCCTTGTTCGTTCGGTTCGCACAAGGCAGATTGCAAGACTTAGAGTTCCAGCTATTGATGTCTGAGCTCCATGATTCACGTGATGAGAGCCAAGGGGCCCAGAGATCTGCCCAGAGATCTGCCCTGACCTCCGCTTGAATTGGCATTCAGATCTGATCGGAATCCTCAGAACAACCGAGCAATCAATCCATCGATTGAAAAATAACGCATCACTCCAATGTATGGTCAGATCAAAGAGAGATGTTAAATGGAAGCTGGCGGTCCCCATGGCAAGTGAATTGGTCAGACTCTATCCATACCATCAACAGTGAGCCATCCACTCATCGCCAGGACATTCGCCTATACATGGTAGCAGTCTTGACAGCGTCTCAAGCACCCTCAATCTCCGCCTCCAACCCCTCAAAACTAACCTCCACCCCCGCCCTCTCATCCCCCATATTAGGCGTAGGCTTAGCAGCATAGACCCCAAGCTTCATCTCCACCCCATTCCCATCCTCCCCTTCATCCAAAAAAGCCCACTTGACCTCCCTCAAGGCCTGCCTCTCCCCACCAACAACAACATAAACCCACAACGTCGTCCCATCCCTCACAGCCTCGAATCTCGCAGTCCTCTGATCCCCCTCCTCACCCCCAGCCCCACGTGGCATAGGCGCCAAACTCCAATCAGAAAACCTATCGGTGCCTACGACACCTAAAGCGGGTTTACCCTCGAAAAGCTCGATCCCGGCTTTGATCCAGCGACATGCTTTATCTGGCTCCGATGAGGCTGTATTAGGGAATGAAATCAAGAGACCTCCCTGATCGAATTGGGTTTTCCAGGGGACGGTGACTGTGGTTGCCAGGCGTTTGAAGTTTTTCGAGGTCGTGGTTATGTAAATGTAGGGGGCGTTGAAGACGTCGCCGGCTGGGGTGGCGTCGCGGCGCCAGATGTCGGTTGTTGGGTAGGCGGTTATTTCCATGTTGGCCGAGGGTGAGGACGGGGCGGTGGCGCCGTTGGCTGCATGCCATTTGGGGGTGGACATGTTGGTTGATGTTATGGAGTTGTGTCCGGTCGAGATCTGGCTGTGTTCTACTCTCACTGCTGATCGGTCTGGATTCTTTTGATATGAGGAGAATGTATTGATGTCTATACTTTATACCTCATGAGTACACCTGGCGCCAAGGAGTAAGGCGATCACTGATCAAGCGGGAAGCCAGTTTTGGTTACGGGGCAGCATGCAGCTCCTCCACGCTTGCCGGTCTAGCATATACCGCATCGCTACGGCGGCAACGACTTACATGGCTGTACCGTCTGTACGTGCTGCGGATGGCACGTCTTTGATTCACGTGTCAAATGCGTGTAAGTGAATGGAAGAAAGGAGTCTCGCATCGATCAAAGTTAAGGTGACGCTCGTACAGCGGCAGAAGCGCCAAGCTTTCTGTTGTCCCTTCCAACGGGATTGTTTAGCGCGACTATAAAACGTAGCACACCTACTTTGGGCATATTATCACATGCTCATGTAGCAAGAAGCATTCTCTTGGACTATCAGCATCTGTACTGAAATCATGTCGAGATACAATCAGCACGAATCACCCATGGACTTTGAGTTCCAAAACGGTACAGGACCTTTAGATGCTCGTTCACCCTTCGCTCAGCTTAGCCAGAACTCGCAACGATTCCCACCAGGGCAGGGAAAGAAGCGTGCGTATCAAAGCAACAGTACGATGATGAGCGGACACGATATACTGATGGATGGAACAGGCACATACAGCGCTTTCGACTCGCCGGCCAAGGCAAATCCCAGCCATACACAATCCCCCTCCAAGCCTCTGCCAGCAGTACCGGCCTTCAACTCCATGTTCACCACCCCTCGCAAGCTGAACAACGACTACGACGACTCTTCTGCGGGAGAGACACCACGATCGCCAGAGCAGAACAACGACAGCGATGCTACACCAGACAATGCCAACTTACGAAGCGCCCTCTTACGATCGGAAGCCGCATCCATGCCAACACTACCAGGAGCAGAGAGCACATCGAGCCCGACGAAAGATCATGATCGACCACAAATGCAGAAGCGCGAGAGCTGGCTTTCATCTCAATTGATTCGGGCGAAGAACAAGTTCTCCAGCCCTGGCCGAGGCGAGATCGCACGAGTGGAGCACACAAGCAGTGGCATGGAGAAACGAGTAGAGAAGCGGCGCAAACGGGACATCAACCGCAAGGAAAGTCGAAGGAGAAGACATAGCATCTCGGACTCCGGAGACGACAGCGAACACCACCCGACCGCGCTCTCCAGCCCGCGCAAAACTAGCAGTCTCCTCCTCCTCCAACAACAACAACAACAACAACAACACCCATCCCACGAGCCCACCAAGCAACACTGGCTAAGCACCTTCTACACCTTCATCGAAACCCACCCCACAGTCCCGCACATCCTCTCCTGGTACGCCCAGCTCCTCTTCAACATCTTCCTCCTCTCCTGCTTCGCCTACGCCATCTACAGCGCCTGGTCCGCCTTCTCCTCCGACGTCGACAAGAAAGCCCACGAAGCCATGACCGAGATCATGGCCGAAATGGCCGTCTGCGCCCAACAATACACGGCCAATAAATGCGATCGCAGCACGCGTGTCCCCGCCATGGAGACCGTCTGCGAGAATTGGTCAAAATGCATGAATCGGGATCCAGCGAGTGTGGGCCGGGCGAGGGTGTCGGCGCATACGTTTGCGGAGATTTTCAATAGCTTTATGGAGCCTATAAGCTATAAGGCAATGGTTTTCACCTTCCTCCTTGTGTTTGGGTGTTTTGCTATCAGCAATTTCGCTTTGTACGTCAAGACGAGCGCACTATTCTCCTATTTTTGGAACGAACATCAAGCTGACTTTTGTTAATAACAGTGGACTCTTCCGCAAAACGGAGAGTGTGGGCGCTTTCCCCCCACAGCAGTATTATCAGCACCAGCCGCCGCCTCCTACTCCGCAGAGGCATTTCAGTGGGCAGGAAGGGCAGTTTTACGGGGGTACGCCGTGGCATCATCAGGTGCAGGGATTGGAGCCACAGGCTAGTGGTGCGTATGGGCAGATTGATGGGCGGGGGAGTCCGGTGAGGAGGATACAATTTTGAGGTTGATCTTGACGCTGGACTGGGCTCGGGTCCTGGTCTTGTTATGAATGAAGGGCATGATATGGCAGTATTGGGACGGATGGATTGTACAGCACGATTGCATACTATGGAGAGGCGTTTATGCTGAAGTCAGATGGGACGGGAATCTGTCCTTGTTGCTGTATGGAGATGCAGGCGATATTCGCATAGTATAGGATACACGGCTCATGACCACGAACTACCATCACTTTTAATGAATGAATTCGACACGTATTGTAGACTCGTCGCTCTCTCGATCATACTGAAGCTACATGTTCCTCCACTTTACGTCGCCTCACGGCCAAATAAACTTCTCCCAAGTCTGCGTCAACGCATAGTAAGCATGACTAGGGAGTCTGTCATTCGTCACGGCAATAGTTCGGTACAAAGTTCGACGAATCACGATCGAGGTAATTCGTGCCCTTGTGACAGGCGATCAGATACTCGGAATATCAGATTCATGTCAACGGGCCATAAAGAAGGCGCTTTCTACCCACTGTACTTTCATTCTTGCATCTTTCAGCCACTTACAGACCTCCAACCACCAACCCTTTCAAGCACGATATCGATCAAACCATCCATCAACAATACCAACGATCAACAATGGCTACAGCAGTCGTTCCCGCTACATGCTGTGGACGTGAAGGTGGCTGTATGTATCCTCTCGCCACCACATACTCAACACAAATGATGAGATCTCGACTGAGTAGCCTGCTAATCTGTATGATATGACCAGGCATCTGCGCAAAAGAAGCCACATGCTCTTGCGGCAAGAAATCCGCCATGCACTGCGACTGCGAGAAGGCGCAGACGGAGAATGCGTTGAAGGGGGCTAGGTGCTCGTGCAGTACGTCTTACCCACCGCTGCTCGATATCCACGAGCGCGATCATAATCTATTTAGTGTTTCCTAGGAAAGGAATGATGTTGATGATGTTCTTTCTTAGACCAACGTCCAGCCGGCGAATGCACCTGCAGTCGTTCGCAGCAGGAGAACTCGGCTCCGGCGGGAAAGACGTGTGCTTGTGGGAAGAGGTCGGCTGGTGCGTATCCCCTCTCTCTCTCCATCAATCATCCACGAAGTTTGGGAGTGCTGATGTTTTTGCTTCTGTAGATTCGTGCAGCTGTGCCGGCACTGAGACCGGCGACTCGTCGGCGTTGGAGACGGATTTCACTACCAAGGCTTCTGGTGCTTGATGGGGGTTGGGAGGTCGGGAACAGAGGCGAGATGTTATCATGGAGGTACATGACCAGCGATGACTTGACCATAGCTTTGGGGCTGGGGTGGTTCCAGTAGGGGGCGTTGCTGTAGTGAGACTGTCATCGGCTAAACATGAACAATGAAGTGCATGCCCTTGGGACCTGATAACCGCAGTTCACATTTTTCAATACATGAGCTCTTCATGAGATGACATTTACATAACGACGTGTCACAGTATTCACTCTTTGTTACCCTAGGTCCAAGGTACAAGTTGACCGCAATCCATCCTCCCTAGCAAGTTACTCACTGCACGAGCAGCTGCCCAAAGCCCATATACTCACACCCCATACCACCTAAAATATTCCCCCTCCCTCCTCGCCATCATCGTAGAAGTTCTCAGGATCAATAGCACGATCAAAGTCGCCGTAATCGTCCTCGCCCGCAAACTCCTCCCCATCGTCAGCATCGCCCGTCCAACCACCGGGAGCTGCATCACCATCGCCATCGCCATCGGACTGATATCCCTCCCCGTCAAACTCGTCTCCTAATTCACCTTGATACTCTTCTTCTTCTGGTGCGCCGGGATCAGCTTGCTCTTGGTCCTGATCCGGTGCTTGTGTAGGTGGTGGTGATATCGGATCGGTTTTGCGCTGGCCGGCAGTGCGAGCGGCGGGTGTAGCTGAAGGTGCAATTCCAGACACAGCTTGCGTGGTTTGTGGTGATTGTAGACCGAAGTGTACACTCCTAGCAGGCGGGGCGGGGGTAGCGGAGTCTCTTTCAGCACCTTCATAAACTGATGGCGTGGCGCTTGATTCTCTTCCGGGAGCCGCCACACTGCTCTCCCGACTCTGACTCTGGCTCGCAACAGACTCACTGCCATCGCTCTTCTTGTAGACTCTCGCCAAGCTCTCGTAGTCAATGTACTTCGAGAACCCTGGGCCAGCCCTCTTCTTCAGCATAGCACTGGTAGCATCAGCTGGAGTCTCGATAGGCGTGTCAGCCTCCTCCAACACACTGCCATCACCCACTCTGCCTCGCTTCTTCTTCGGACCAGTCTTCTTGCCACCACGTTTACCGCCGTTCTTGACTTTGTCGGCATTAGAGGCTTCGGCGAGTTTCTTGATCAGGTCCTTTTCGTGTTGAGCACGGAGCCAATCTTCGTTGTTGGCAACCCAGATCTGTTCTTTGATCTTCGATTCGGCAGGAGTCAGGAGGCAGTTCTCAACCTCAGGATCGTCGGCGAATTCCTCGGCGGTCAGGGGCCTCATATAATCTGCCACAGGATCCTCTGGGGGGACCCACGACACTCCCTCCGATGCACGGCGACCGTTCTCTGAGACTTCTTCTCTATCCAGCTGGAGATCCGCCGTCTCTCCAGCTTGAGGGAGGACCCTGGCTGCCTCTGCTTCCGCCTTGTCCTCTAGTTTCGCTTGTTCGGCGAGGTCGTACATTTTCCTCACGTACTCATCGTGAAGAGAAACATCAATCTCGTGGGTCAGTTCTTCCTCGATCGAGAGCTCATCCGGTGTTATCTCTACAGGCTCGGGCTTCTTCTTGCGAGGACGTCCACGGCGCTTTGGAGGAGGAGCAGTAGCAGCCTCCTCCTCTTCGGCGGCGGGCGTTGGCGTTCTGACAGGCAGAGCTGGTATGGCGAAGCCATCGGCATCATAACGAGGGACCTGTTCATTGGTGTCAGGCTCGGTGGTACGTTGTTTCTTGCGTGATGGTCCAGCTTCTGACGTCTCATTTGTGCTCTCAGGCACAGGTGTGCCAGCCTCACTGTCCTCGTCGTCCGGAATGACGATGAGCTCGCGCTCGGGAGTCTGCCCCTCAGCCACAGGCATGCCATTAGCTTCTCGAATGGCTCGATCCTCGTCTCGCTTCCTCTTCTGCGCCTCGACCTTGTCCTTCCTCAGCTCAGTGTAATGCAGAATAGGTGGATCTTCAGCATGCTTGAGCCTTGTTCCATATTCTCTAAACTGCTCCACAGTCAACGCTGAAGCCCTCGTACGCCGGAACTCCTCCACTCGCTTTGCAATAGTCACATCGCAGACTTTCGCCACGAAAACCACTTCCCTCACAGATCTCTTGAAGTTGTTCATCCTCGCGGCAAGGATGATACACGCTCCACACAACCCAGCAGGATGTCGTCCAGTCGTGATCCAATCTCGATTCATCCTCTTCAAGATCCTGACCGCGTCCGTCGCCACATCTCTCGTCTCAGGACCGAACTCAAGTTTGCGGCAGTACTTCCAAATAAGCGGCTCGATATCAACTTGATGTTGCACGCCCACATGCTCCTGATGATAATGCAACTTGTCACATAGAGCCTTGTACACCTCACCCAAACGAAAGACATTGATCTTGACCAGCTCTGCGATGTCCATGAGTAGAATACTGTTTCCAGCCTGACGCTTACAAGCAGTAAATAAGCAAGCAGCGACGACCTCATCAGTCCGGCGACCAGCACTAAAATTCAATCTCGCACTCGCAGCGATCAGAGCCTGAGCTTGGTCCGCCACATTCTGCGGAATGCCAAGACGTGGACAGAGAGCGGCCAGCGCCCGTCTGCCATTATTCTCGATCTCCTGCAGCCCATTCCTCTCTCCAGCTCCAATTCGACGTCCAGCAGTCCCAAGCGTATTCGCAAAGCGCGACCGCTCAGAAATGAAGCCTCCTTGGACAGTGGCGGCACCTCGAGAATCTTCTTCAAAAGTGACATCGGCGACGATATTCGACTCGCTGATTTGAGTACCGCAGTTGACACAGACTTTACTGCCGTCTTCGTCTGTGATGCTCGGTTCGTCGCAGCATTTTGCTTGCACTACGGCTTTTGCTTTTGGTTTGGGTCGGCCTGGAGCAGGTTTGTTGAGGGTGCCGAGACGACCAACTGGTCGACGAGGCGGAGCGACTGGTCCTACCATGACTCGTATTAATGACGGTTATGTGGCAATTGTGTAACGATGTGTTGCAAAGATCGTTGTTATGGATGTATGCACATGCTTGCAACGAAGGTGGCTGGGCTCCAAAACGACGTGATCGTTCAGAACGGTCGCAAAGTCCTCACGAAGGTCGCATTCCCGTCTGATCGATAAAGCTATTTGTCGTTTATGAGAGCGTCCGGTGTTACTGTCTGCAGGAAGTGAGCGATGCGAGGATTAGCCGGCATATACATTCAGTTTGTGAAAAGAGTGGGAGTCACGAAATCGCCGCGAATGAGTCGAGCAATTCTGGCCTTGACCCCGCGCGGAAACACTTCCGACCAGGGCTTGGCACTTCGCTTCGAACAGACTTCACTGACGACAAATTCTACTTTGGTATGAGTTAAAGCAATATACCAGATCATCAAGACGATACAGACACAGTCCGAAAGAGACCGCAATGACAGGTTCATCATCATTCGCTGTACAAAAATTCAACTATATCCACAGGGTATGCGAGAACAAATCAAGACAGAAGATCGCTCAACCCCTCCACCATTTTCCGTCAACTCCAGTCATCCCTTCAGCTTGCTTCTGATTCGCGGCATCGGATCAGTGCGATGACCAGGAATGAGTCAATGTATCTATTGCGGCCATGGCTGAGTCAAACGCTCCTCCATCGCCTTCATCAGTATAGGCGGTACCGCATCGTCTGTAGCTCTGATCGTGAGCCGGTACATCTGTTTTCATGGTTAGCTTGGGTACAAAACATCTAGCATCTTAAATCGTCCTCCCGACATGGTTCACTCACCTTATTCTCCGCATTCGGCTCCAACCTCAACAGACACCCAAACTTGCCCGCACCGGTATGCAACACCGTAGCACTAACGAAATTCCTCGGGTTCGGATCTACACCATCCAAAACACCCCACTTCAGGCCCTCGAGCACTCTCCTAGTATGATCGTAGCTTACATCGTGACCCTGGAAGATCCTCTGTGCTTCCCGCGGCGCACCACCGATTTGCTTCCAGCGCTTGAAGAAGTCGTCGGAGGATAGTGTGGCAGACTCCATATACTTGTTGAGTAGCACGGGCAACTGCAGCGTCAAAGCTTGCAGTGAGCCAGCGATATACGATATACGGATGGTAGGCGGTAGACTGAAGACACCTCGCGCCTCGAACATGATCATCTGTTGGCTTTGCGAACCAGGGTGGACCGTCGTATCGGGTATACTCTTGACGTCGGTCTTCAGCTGTTCTCCTGCTCGATTGTCTAGTGTGGTCGTGAATGACTGGATCGGAGCGGTCGACTTGTTTGTAAAGTAGAGGATGAGACATCCTACATCGGCGCGGTATTCGCTTCGGAGACCGACTTGCACTTGTGGGTCTTCATACAGTATCCCTGATGGTGCAAGTAGAAGGCGATTGTAGCCTTGCTCCCAATCAGGGGAGAGATGTAACGCGCTGGCGAGGTTTGGCATGCTGCTGCCGGTCGAGAGATCGAGGCCGGCTAATTCTTCTGTAGGCGACTTCACGGCACCACCATTTGTATAAGTGCCATTTCTCCCGTTCGTAGCTGCGGCCGCGCCGTTTGCGATAGCACCATTGATCGTCGCTGTAGCTGCTGGGCCACTGCCTGAGAAGTTTTGCTTGAGTGTTGCGCTTCGGTCTAGACCAGGTAGGCCGTCCTTGCCAGTCACGGACCATGTGCGCTTGTCGCCGATGGCATTCTGCTTCTTGTCCAGACGCGAAATCAGTGCTGAAGCACGTTCGGGAAATGGTGGCATCTCGTCTAGTACCGTGCGGAGCAGATCATCTGTTGGCATAGTGGCCATCGTAAGATACTCACATGCTCTTTGCTGCAGCTCGGAATCAAGACTGTGGCTGTATGTTTTGAACGCTTGCAATAATTGCGACTTAATCTCCGGGAACAAGTTGACGAACTTGACGAAAGCTGACAGGATCATTGCTCTTGTGTTGGGAGAGCATGAGTTGAACTTGCCCTGTAGTGCCATGAATTGCTCGATTGGACTGCAGCCTTTGCTGTCCGCTATGAGGTGTCCGAATTCGCCAAGTATGTAGCTGCCGATTTTTACCAATGTCTCGTGGCAGTGCTCTTGCTGGCAGTACTTCAGTGTCATCTGTGCTGCATAGATTTGCAGCTCGTCGTTGTTGGTAACAATCTGGATGATTCGTTGCCAGACTTCGTCACTGACATGATCTCCAGCCATTGCGATCAGTCGCATACTGATGTCGACATACCACTTGACATCTGTGGCGTACTTCTCCGTCAAGATTGCAATCTTGAGCACCATCTCTTCTCGGATTGCGTAGTCGGCCGTTTGGAGATACTTGAGCAACTCATGAACGATCTTCTCCGAGTTCGTGTTGTCGCACATGCTGTATAGTAGATCCAGACCTTGTCGTCTGACTGTTATGTCGCGGTCTCGAAGCGAAGCAATGATGATATCTTGGTGTTTCTTGATTGGGTCCAGTGTTTCTGCTCTTACAGCGAGATGTGTCATTGCTTCCAGCCCAAGATATCGTACGTTGGTCTCCCTAGAGCCGATGAACTTTCCGAGCTTCGAGGAGATCTGTACCATGAGATCATGCTCAGTGTCCAGATGAATGATCAAGTTGATAGCCTCGAATAGCACGGCATTCTGGGCGTTGTTCTGCTGCACATTCTTCGGCATCTCCATCGCGTTATCCAGCACTGCCTGCAACGAGTCGCGCATAAGCTGTCGGACATGTGAGTCCTCCGATGGCGAGAAGTACTGCATCAGTCGTAAGAGCTTGACTTGTAGCCACGGGCACGGCACTTTGTAGTAGACGTAATCGCCCATATACTCGTGATCAACCACAATCTTCCGTAACCGCACAGCAGCCTTTGTATATGCTCCTTTGTACGTCTCCGGGTCATCCTGCGCAAGAGCCATCACCAGGGAAGTGACAGACAACGCCACACCCATATCTGGATCGTCCATGATCGCGATGATTCGCTCGTTCCACTCTGGCTGAACAATACTCGGCACCTTGCGGTACAACCTCAGCATTGTCAACGCCGCCTTCTTCTTCACAAAAGGCTTTGAAGTGGGCGAGATCAGTAGTCGGTGGACATCTGCGCATAGTGCCTCGCCCATCTCCTTGCTACCCACATTGGCAATCGCATGCAAAGCCAGGCAATTGTTGAGCTCATTGTGATCCGCCAGATCCTTTCGTATGCTGTTCACAACCAGATGCAACAGCTCATGACTCTCATGCAAGAACAACGTCACAGCCAAATACCCAATCTGCTTCTCCGAGTATTTATTCGCCGAGATCAAGTTCACCGCCTCCAAGTGCCCAAAGTCGACGTTCCAGCCCAGTATGTAGATGTAGAGCAACTTACAAACATACTTCTTCTTGTCATAACCAGTCAGATTGCCCTGCTTGAACTTGTTCCGTATGTTCGCCAGTTCCTTGTTGATGCGTTTCTCTTCCAGTTCGCGGGCTCGAGCATTGCGTAGGTCTGCTATGAAGGATACCAGTCCTCGCATGCTGTTCTCCTTGCTCGAGCTGTTGCCGATGCCCCTGCTGAACATGGCGCTCGCGGCGGACGCCATGAGGCCAGGGCCCCTTGGCTAGCGAGGTCGTGGCAATACGATACTTGTGGCCCTCGCCGTGTTTCGAGTGGTCAGAGAGGCATCCGCTGGTGTCTTGTTTCTCAATCTTGGCCAATTCGAGGATTGCGGCACTTCGCGGGGTCGCTGATGGACGAGGTCGTGGTAAGCAAGAGGATAAGACACGTGATGTACACCAACCGGCGTCGATGTCTGCCAAGTAGCGTACTGAGGAAGTCGTAAATAATGGCTGGAAAGTAGCAAGATGATCTTCAGTAGTCGGTAGCGATAGCCACACAATTATTAATGTCGCAACGACATGGAGACATCAAGCTTTCGAGGCTCACATCGGCCACAGCTGCCGAAAGCTCTGGCCAACATGATCCCGAGACGGCGGATGCGGCTTACCGAGCAAGCCTCTCTAAACGTCTCCTCTCCTCAATGGTATCAAAGACACCAAGAAACAAGACAACTTCGTGTCGAGCTTGCATCGTTGCTTGATGACCAGGCGTAAAATATGGCAAGCAACGGTGATGGTACAGTGGCTGCAGACGCACTCAAGGTACAGATAGCATCAAGCTCAAGCTCAGGCCTGGCATCTGCCCATGCAATGGAACAACAAAGCGTGTCTTCAGGGCATGTCAATGGCACGGACGTAGCTACGAGAGACGACACGGGAAATACTGGAAGTGTGAACTCGGGCATCAATAGCATCGACGATGCCGCCACACCCACTGAGCAAAACCAAGGCTTGAATACTACAAGTCCAGCTGGCACAAATATCCCGATATTAACAAGTGCCAATAATAATAATACAATCACATTGCCGACAGGAGTCGCTTCCACCCCTGCAGCTCCTCTCATAACAGACACAGACCACAGTACAGCAACACCGACATCAGTCCCACGAGGAGGTCGCGGCGGTAGACCTCGAGGACGAGGTCGTGGGATATCCAGAGGCAGTATTCGACGCGGTGCCAGAGGCGGCAAGCGAAAGCGTGAAGACCAAGACGAAGCCGACTCCGAAAGCAGCGAAGAAATCTACACGCCAGCAGCCAAAATCACAAAATCCGGCCGTTCCATCCAGAAACCCTCATCCTACGTCCCACCACCGGAACCATCGCCAGTCTCTGGGGTCAAGAAGAAACGGACCTACCGCCGGAATCCGGAATCAGCCGTCTGCAAGATGTGCTTGCGTGGTACTAGTCCTGCCAGCAATATGATCGTCTTTTGTGATGGCTGCAATACTCCGTATCATCGCTACTGTCATCATCCGCCCATTCATCAGTCTGTGGTGGATGAGGTGGATAAGGAGTGGTATTGTAAACAGTGTGAGAGTGAGAGGGTTGTGCCGGTGCCGGAGGCTGAGGTAGCAGATTTTATTGCTGCTGGAGGCGCATCGGCTGAACAGGTATGGTTCTCGACATTTTGAATTAACTGAAACACTGACCATAAGCACAGCGGCAACGATACTTCGCAAGCTTACCACCTGGCATGCTTATCACCCTGCTCACCAAGGCGACAACGCTAAAGCCAGATCTACCAGTTTTCGCGCCAGACTTTCAGGCTAGACTGTCCGTTTCCACAACGGTGGAGCAGGCGGCTGCAAACGGACACACGGGAACCACGAGTGTGATACCTACTCAACAGCTACCTGATGCGGTACTTGGTGCAAGTTCAGATATGATCAAGGCTTCGATTCCTTCCACTACCATGGCCAAGACTGCCGGTGCTGCTTTCCCGGGCCAGAATTCAGCTATGGAGGACGAAGTCGTGCCCGCTGAGCATCCACCAACTTATCCTAGACCTGGCTATGGCTTGATGCAGACTCTACCGCCTGAGCAGGAAGATCTTGAGTATTTGGTTGACGATGATGACAAGTCTGGTGCATTCACGCATTTGTACCGGTGAGCCAAGATGCAGTTTCAGTCAACATGCCACGTATGATTGGATCAGTGCTGGCCTGAAGGCATCAAGCTCTCGTCGATGCATTCTCGTGGAACTGCGATGATTTCCAAACGGACGCGCGATTCCCACGAGGGCACGTGGGTGAGGTGCCCACCGTAAAGTACAGCAGACTCGAAGACATCTGCAGCATTGTCAACGAGTTGGAATGCGGGCTCTGCCTCCCATGTATTGCTCATGGCACAGCTGACTGAGAGTGCGGTCATGTCGAAGTGCTTGAGCACAATGCCTTCAGAGCCACGAAGCCTACATGTACGATCGTCAAGGGGAGTATGAAAAGGCGGTGCGAGGAAGAGTGCACGCACGATGCATCTCTGCTGTCGCGTTGCAAGCAGAACGTACAGCCGTCTACGACCATAGGCTCCAAAAGCTTTTCGGTACCTAGCCTTCGCCTGTCGGGGAAGCGCTCTCTGTTGCTCAACAAAGTAGAGGCATGCAGATTGATGCAAAGTTGTGTTACACACTGTATGCAGCTTTACGCCTGCACAACATATCCGCAAACGCTCGCTCGAACGCCAATCACAAATGCCAAAACTCACCTTTGACCTTGCTCCCCAAATCTTCTCCCCATCCTAGCCAGGTCCACAACACTTGCCGACTTCGCCTGAGTGCACTATGATACTACCGCACAACCTGTATACTCCCCCTCGGAGCAGCAGAAGGCCCCTGCGCAGTAGCATGTTCCTTCACACCCGGCTGCGTCCCCAACACCCGTCTTAACTCCCTGCACGCCCTCAAATAATGCTCCCTTACCCCTGGTGTCGGCTTCAAAGGATTCGGCGCTTTGTCCCACCCATGCGGCTCCCCCTCAATCATCCTATACACCACATTCTTATTCAACGGCGGACTCCTCAGCCGATCTCGGAAAGCTTCACCTTCGTCGAGAAGCATGTCCACTTCGCAGCAGTACATTATTATCTCCTGCGGAAGACCGTGTTGGAGTAGTGAGGTAGGCGCTACGCCCGGGCTGAGGTAAGGGGAGTCCAGGTTTACGCTTTTGGGTGGGTGGAGGTACGATTCGTCGAAGAGATTTGTGAAGATTGCGGGGAGTTCGTGATCCTTGCGGACTTGCGTGGCGCGGCGTTCTTCCCGCGTGCGGGTGTAGTCTAGGCTGGGGTACCAGGGGACGATACAGCGGATTTTCGCCTCCGAAACAGGTTTTGACTTGGCTGTTGCTGTTGCCGTCGTCTTGGGAGATGGAGATGAAAGGGTTGGTGCGGGTGAGTTCGGGTCGATGTGCTCGACCAGGCCGCCGCCAGGCGGGACTTGTGTTGAGCCGCTGGAGGAGGGTGATGAATCTGAGGGCGGTGACATTGGGCGGGGAGAACGCGCTGGTGCTTGGGGATCTTGTTCGTCGTCGTCGGATTCCTCGAAACCGTTTTGGTGTTGGTAAAGGCGAAGAGGTACGGTGACTGCCATATTGCCACCAGAAGAGAAACCCGATAGAGCAATCTTCTCGCGATCTATGCCCAACTCAGCCGCGTGCTCGTGTACCCACAAGACTGCATCCACACCGTCCTCTACCGCCGTTGGAAAAGGATGTTCAGGCGCTCGGCGGTAGTCGACTGCTATCACTACAGCATTACACTCATCCACCACCGTCCCACACCACCTCGCATCATCCGTGCTTGTTCCGATAGTGAAACCTCCCCCGTGAAAATTAATGACAACAGGATATCCACCCCACCGTCTGACATTCATCCTTCTCCGCCGTAGATTCTGGCCGAAATCACCAAGCGCCGTACTCACCCTCCGATTCTTGTTCTTGATTGCGACCCCGTCCTCCTCCTCATCCTCCTCAATCAACGCCTCCTCCGCGAACTGAGCCTCAGGCTTCCCCTCCCATAATCGCTTCTGCGTCACCCAATCCTTCGGTACATAGAACTGCAGCGGTATCACACCTTTCTGCCCACTTATCGTCGCCGGGATGCTCTTGGAGAAATTCGGCTTCGGCGGCTTTGGATTGGCGAATTTGTGCAAGAACATGCCTATTCCCATTAGGACCCGCCAGAAGACTGCTTGCATATGGAGCATCCATCGGGGTCGAGGATTGTAATCAGGCTTGAAGTGCATTGATTTGCGACGGTCCTGGCGGGTCATGGCTTTGGGCAGGTTTGGTAGGAAGGACTTCCGTCGGGTCTGATCGTGTGCGTCTGCCATTGTGGCTGAAGAATGATTTAATGTTATGTACAGTAGTCAATGGAAGGCGGGCCGGTCATGGGTTGTGGTTTCCAGCAGATATAGGTAGCATCCTGCGCTGGCAATATGGAGTCTGACAGGGTGTTTGTAAGGAAAACCAGTAGCTGCGCACCGTATAGTGCTATGTGTGATTGACCGAGAATTATTCAGAGTTTAAATTCGCTATACCGTAGTACGTACTCGTACTGTAACTGCTCCACGTGCACGGTATCGCGTGGCCGCGGCCCCAGAAACGCCAATGCGTGGCCGCTAATCTATATAAATGCGCCATGACGTAAGCGGCTAACATGGGTCTCGACCTCGGTTCTGTATAAGTGAGGTACCCTCATATCACACCACCAGAACGGTGGCCCCATCATGCCACCGAAATCAGAAGGGCATATTGGACCTACCTGTATCCAGCCCTCTTCTCGTCGCCCTGTGGGTTTGGTCGAGCCAACAGGCACGACACCTTAAGGGATTCACTCTACCAGATAGACAATGTTGAAGTGACGAAGAGCATAAGAAGGCTGAATACCACAGGACTTGTCTTGTAGGTCGAGTGGGGTCGCGAGTGTGTGAGCCATCCTGTTGTATGGCCTGATCCATTGGCATTCGAACCGTATCGACTAGTGTAACGTGCATACATACCTTCGCTCAGTCGAGCGGCTCAATGGGACCACGATCTTGTCTACTATCCCGTTCTGCCACCGTCACCACCCTTGACTAACAATACCGACAGGACCAGCTTCGTAGTCCGCCGCGACAGTATACACGTACCTCAAGATGGCCCCACCATATCTCCAGTTCCTCTGGGACACTCTCGCCTGCGTACTAGGAGTCTTCTTTGGCAACCTCCTGCCCAAGCTACACGTCCCAACCAAAGATCTCACAGGCAAGACGGCCATAGTCACAGGAGCCAACAGTGGGATCGGCTACCAACTGGCTCTAGACCTCGCCACACAGGGCGCCACTGTATTCCTGGCATGTCGAAACCTCACCAAGGCCGAGGAGGCTAGACAGAACATCGTTGACACTATCGTCTCATCTTCGAAAGCTGGCTTGGGAAGTCGTGCACAACTTATGGAAAAGGTGATAGTCATAGAACTCGACACGAGCCTCCTCTCCTCCGTCCGCGCCTTCGCCCAAACATGGCAGACTCGATACAAGGATCGCAAAATCAATATCCTCCTCCACAACGCCGGCATGACTTCTACCACGCATAGCGGAGCTGTAACTTCCGAAGGACTGGGCACAATCTACACCACAAACTTCCTCAGCGCATTCTTGCTCACCGCCTTACTAGAGGACAACCTCGCACCAGATGCCCGCGTGATTCTGACTTCGAGCGTGGCACAGTCCTTCGGGAATCTGAACCATATCTTGAAGGACCCCCGAGGCGTACACCCACCCGGAACAAAAATCCCAGATAGTGGCCCCTACGCTGACACGAAGTTGATGCAAATAGCCTTCGCTCACCTCCTGCAAGAACGCTGGAATCGCCACCCCAACCCGAACACCAGCCCGCACCATCGGACCATCAATGCGTTCGGCCCAGGATACACATATACTCCCATCTTCGACAAGATCGCCGCGCTGCCCATATACGTCGACCCCGTATTTTGGCTCGTCAAAGCTGGGACGATTATGGCTACGCCTGTGGAGCAGGGAGCGGCTACGGGGTTGTGGTTGGCTACGTGTGATGATGTGGAGGTTTTGGCTGGAGGAGGCTTTTGGGACCGTATGGTTAAGCGGATGAGTCTTGTGGATGTTGTGAGTGGGGAGACGCTTGAGAAGGTGTGGGCTTGCTGGGAGAGGGATGGGGATGTGGTGTGGAAGTGATGTATGTGTCTCATGTCTTTGCCATCTTGATTTAGAGTGTCTCGCCCTTTCTAGCAGTCATAGTATCGTTTGCGTTGTCCTCTGGTGGAGGGTTGCACCCCATCTCATATCGGAATATCGGCTCCGCAGCTCTCTTGCGTCACGCGCGTCGCGCGATGCCAGCGTCAGCTTCCCTATCTCCACTCCCTTGACTTGTGCATACTCGTCAGACCGGTGGTCGTCTTCCTGCCAAATCGACCGCATCGGCCTTTTTGGCGGAGTGCCTCATTAAGCTGGGGCATAGTATACCGGCTCGCGCATATCCTCGTCACTCGTAGGAGATGGACACAGATCCCCCACATTGCCGCCTTCACCATACCAGTCACCAGTCGTACCCTGCATCGTCACAACTCGACAAAGGGATCTCGCCGTACGAGCTCCTTGATCTCAGTCACGTGCTCGCATCTCCCTTGGCATTTGTCCTCCCTGGCGCAAAGCAAACAGATCCCGTAGATGCGATTGCTGACACCTTTACACATCGCCTGGAACTACGCCGGAATGATCGATGGCGAATTGTGATGCCTGCAAGCATGGTCCTCTCCGATCTCAATAGACGGCAAGCTGTTAATTTTGCGAAGAATATTGCGGAGCTACGTATCTGGCCAGGGCGGAGGCCAGACCGTACACTTGAGGTAGACGAGGAGCATCATAACGAGGCTTGACGACGCGGCGCGAGACGTGCAACCCGAAACGACACATTTGCCGTTACTACGCTGGCCGATGGTATTGATCAGCATGTCTCGAGCTGCACTTCTCTGCTCTTCTAGCCCGACTAGAGTACGCACGTCAGCATCATACTTGGTATCTTGCCAGTAACACAGACTGAGTAATACTTACGAATGACAATGGGCGGCAGGTTCACGAACTCTTATGATCCATCATCGTAGAGATTGGTTTGGTGTCCAGAAGTACGAGCCAACCGGTGAAGGGCGCAAGAATCTCCCTGTGACGAAGCAGATATGCCGCAGACGCGACAGCACCCAAATCGTGCGAGACATTCACCATTGAGAAGCTTGAGATATTGTTGACTTTCCTCCTGAGCAAAGCTTCTGTCGCCGGTGACTTTGTCTCCGCACAATCCCACTTATCAGCCGCAACTGCCAATCGACAAAGGTCCGTCGTGGCGAAACTCGGAGCCGCAGGTTGCTGGAAGTGCATCAGAGTGAGTAGCATATTCGTCGGACCGAAGTCGTCGTCCACCAATTGGATGATCTTGGGCTGTTCTGAGCTGCGCGTTGCCTGTCCTTCGAAGAATTTTGGTCCAAGCATGCTTTTGATGACAAGAGAAGCCATGGACAGGATAGCAGAAGTTGCGCGGATTGTGCTCCCGGTCTCGAAGCTCAAGACGACGTCGCCATCGCCTGCGAGTTCGATGTTCTCTACGTTAGATTCCGCTACAGGAGACGCTGTGCCGGACGCCATATCGTAAGTCTTGTAAGCGAGATGCGAGACTGCCGAAATTGATTGTAGGTCAACGAAGTAAGCTTTGATCAGACTAGCAAACAGACATTAGGGTCACGCACGCTAGTGCAGCTGCAAACGGACCTCGTCTTGGGAATGCCCAACCGGTGTGCAATACTGTTGAAACCACATATAGTAAACGCCACAGCACCATCGCTAACATGCACAAACCTCCCACAAAGTATCCGGTCTCAAGTAAACACATTCCCCAAATTATGCTCCCTCAAATACTCCCCGCCCTTCTCCATCCACTCCTGCCTCGTCACAAACTCCCTTCTCGACTCCGCCCTACCTGCCCACCCCGCCGCACCCCTCCAAGCATCCAGCACCGGATCCCTCGCAGTCCTAACCCTCACTTGTGCCTCATACGGCAAGACAGCCTCAAGCTCACTCCTCAGCCTCTCCTCAAATCCCCTGAAAAGCGCATACCCGCCCGTAACAAAGACATCCTCGAGCATAGCATCCCGTGCCGCATGCCCCGAAAGCCGATCCATCATGATCCCCTCCGCCAACTCCACGATCCCGGCTTGATCCACCCCAGCAATCGAAGGCTGGAATAGCACTTCCGGAACCCGGATCCTCTCGACGTTAAGATGGAACTGCGCGCTCTCCTTCGCACTCTCCTGATCAAAGGCGTACGGGCCTCGGGCAAAAGCATGATATAGACTCTTCGTCCAATCGCGCTGGGCCTCCTGCGTACTCTGTTCAGTAAAGTCGGGGTCGAATTGGAGTAATTGTGCTTCAATAGTCTTGAGCTGCGCCCCGAGATCCTCCTCCTCGTCGTCCTCGTCTTCGTCGTTGCGACCGGCTTGGATTTCGCGGTAGATACCCCAGTCTGCGTCGTCGGCGCCGAAACCATCATCGTCCTTGTCGTTGCGGCGGCGCTTTTTGCCGTTTGGGTTGTCGGAGGCGAGGTTGGCGATGTGTTTCATGCGCATTTGACTGGCTTGGGATTTGCGATTGCCCAAATCTGCTTTTAGCCTGTCGCGGTCTCGGATTCGTTGGACAACTGTTTGACGTTCCGCACGTCGATCGCCGACCCAGCTTTCGAAGTCTCGTTCTCGGTAGGCGTCGTCTTGTCGCTGGACCTCCGCCTGACGTGCCTTCTCCGCCTCCTTCTCCGCCTTTGCTCGGGCTCGTGCATCATGGTTGGCTTTTAGTAGACGCTGTGCTCTCTTCGCTTTGATGCTCTCCTCGTCGAGTTCTTCATCCGGTATGCCCAACAGCGGATATGTAGGCTCCTCCTTAATCTCCTCTTCCAGGTCTCCTACATCCTTGTTGCGCTGCTTGCGAATCGTCTTCTCCATCTCCTTGATCTTCCTATCCAGTGTTGCCTCATCCTTGAACTCCTCCTCATCCAACATCTCCCTCGCCGACTTCTTGGTTGGCGCATCTTGCACTCTGACCAGGACATCCTTCAAATACTCCATCTCCTGCTCCTTCTTGATCAATTTATCCAACCTCATCTTCGCCGCCTGCTCCTGCAACCTCCTTCCACTCTCCCTCTTCCTCTCCTCCGCAAGCCTCACCTCCTCCTCTGTCTTTCGCACAACCTCCTTCTCCTGAAAAGGCAACTGCACCAACTGATCCCTATCCTCCAACCCACTCCACTCTAACATCCGCGTAGCCTCTCCTCGATAATCCTGAGTAACATAACAATGCTCCCGCACCAGCTCCTCAATCTGCGTATCCATGACTTTACTGCTAGTAATCAGGCCTGGATACTTCGTCTTCAACAACCGCGTCAGGAACTCCACACACTGCGCTCGTCCCCAATCCAATCTTGTCGCCTGACTGATCAAAGGCTGTCGGTCCACGACTGGAATGAGGTGGGTGCTCATATGCGCACTACTAACCACCAATCCCGTCCTCCCACCATTGAAATCATAACTAAACAGACTGTCCACCCCATAAGCTACAGCCGGCACGTTATACAACTCATACAGAATCTCACTCATCACCTTCCTCGTGTACGTCGTATTAGCCAACGGCTCTGTCATCACAATCGGTCGGTCCACCCCACCACCACCACCCACCGCCCCTTGCCCATCAACCCCCATCTTCATGAAGATGTAATCCAAACACCCCTCCTGCACATCCCAATTATTGACAATATTGGTCCCTGGCTCATAGATACTCTTCGCTTGCCCTCTCGCCGTCCCATCAAAGTAGATCTCGCTTCCAATGAACATCAGCTTGCGATTGAGTTTGCGGTCGGTGTAGCGCGCCATGAGAGGTGGGAATCGGAGGCGTGGAAGAGCATCTGTTTGCCAGCCGGCGCGGATGGAGGAAGAGCCATTGTCGATTATTATCGCTGTGTCGGGGGTGGAGTGGTGGTAGGAGGTGGTGTCGGTGGGGAGTTGACCCTGGTAGGGGGGGTCGGCGAGCGCGAAGGTGGTGGTGGGCGGTGGTCTGGGGGTGTTGCGGCCGGAGTCGGCGTGGATGGGGATGGTGTAGTGAGGCATGTCCGCTCGGTGGGTGGTGAGGTTGTGTTTATGGCATTGTGTGTGGTGAGAGAGTATAGAATCAAGTTGGACGATATGGCTCTAGGAATAAGGTGTTGGAACGCACGGACTAAAAACGCGAAGTCACGTGTCAGAGCTTCAGGACTGACGATAAAGTATATACAACGTGTGGACTAGCCAACTCAACTCGCCTTGTCAAAAGGTGGACTACTCTCCACGGCAATACCATATGCCACCTTCCCACGAATCGCCAATGTGCCAGCCAAAAGGGTCTCCAAGCCAAAAGGGTATCCAAACCAAAAACACAACCCCAAACATAAGAATCACCCACTCACTCACTCCTCCCCACCCTCAATCCTAACATAAGTACTCTTCCGATTCTTCACCTGCGCCGCTGTAAGATCCACCACGCGTGGTCGCAGCGGCTGCTTACTCTCATGCGCCCTCTCCACCACCCTCCTCGCTCGACTCACACTAACTTGTCTCGCCACCGAGACCTGCACGATCTGCCTTTCCAGATCCCCTGGAGACTTAATCCGGGGATATGCGGCGCTGATGTGCTGGGGTTTCTTTGCTCTGGAATTGTCTGAAGAGGCGGGGCTGAGGTCCATGGCTTTTGGGTTGCTGTTGTTGCTGTGGGTGAGGAGGTCCCAGGTTGTGCCGGTTCCGCTGGGTTGGTGTCGGACGGTCGGCATGGGGTCGTGGAGCAGGACTGTTATGCCATCGTGCTCGGCCATTGTGGTGGCTACACTCGTCGGTGTAGGTGGCAGTGAATTCTCGCCATATATCGGAGAGTCGGGAGTGGCCTCAGAATCTGAACTGGTAACAGTCGCCGTCTTTGGTCGCGAGAAGTTGGGTGCCACTGGCGACACACCCGGAGGTGCAGTCTTGGACCGTGTAAGTGGACGTGGACGATAAATATCCACGGATTTCGCTTCTTGTGGCTTTGCATCTGGCTTCGAGCCTGTGCGGATGGCCAGAGACGGCACGCGATTCAGGTGAGGAGACGTGACACTCCTTTGCGGCACGCTACCCATAGGCACATCTCGGCTGGCCGTGGTCCCAATCTGCTCAATCTCTGGCGTTGCAGGCAGCTCCTTTTTGAAAGAGCTCTTCTGCACTTTCCTTGCCTTCGATTGTCTCCTCTCCAATATACTCTGCCGCCGGGGCTCAAGCAGCTTTTCGAACATTACGCTGTACCTCTCCATACCACCATCGGGGATATCTGTATCCAGCTTCGGCGTACGGGGATTGCCATAGGTTGTGCTTTGCGTTGGTCTGCTTGCAGATTTCAGCATAGGCTTTCTGCTGATAGAGGTGTCCTTTGGTTGATCAGGGGTGTCCGTGTCGCGTATGACCTCCATTGGGTTCGCTCGCGCGGTTGGCATATGCTCGCGTCCTAGCCTCGAGGGTGACCGTGCCATCTTAGCTTCAATGTTTGGCATAAAAGACTTCCTATCTGCTTCTGCTCGCGCCTCAAATCGTGCAATACCTCGAGTGATAGATGGTGTTCGTGAATGGTGAGATGAGATTGAATTTGGCGACCGTATGGCTCCATCTAGCGAGGGGTTTGGCGTCTCGACCAAAGGTCGGGCAACACCTGCAGCAGCTGGAGCACGCCGAGCGAACTCCTGTGCTGCTGGTGACAGTGTAGGTTGCTGCTGTGCTTGCACATTGTAGAACGGGTCCGGTACCGCCGGCTTGGCGGCCTTGCGCCCAAAGAGACCACCCAGCGTCTTCCATCCGGACTTCTTCTTTCGTATATTGCCTGGTATGCCTATGGAGTCTTGCATCATCGGGGCAGCAGAAGTATTCGCTCGTCCAACCAACGCCGGACGGTGCTCAGGCACTCCAACATGCCCAGCTGTGTATGATCGTTGCCAAGTAGGCGGCATCTGTGACGGCGACCCAAAAGCGACACCTATCGGCGTTGCTCGTCCTGATGATCCCGCGGCGGGAGATGCACTGTACATCGTGTGCTTTGCAGATTGTGGTGGCAGTCGTGGTGATGGTGTAGGAAAGTTGTATATATCGCCACCAGACTGAATAGCAATAGTCTCATTTTCGACCCCGAGGAACCCAGCACGATACGGCATGACAGGCTCCTCCTCCGAGATACGATTAGCAGTACGTGGTCGATCAACAGTCGAAGCCTTCCGAGGCGCATCTACAGACTTGGCACGACCAAAGATCGAAGATCTACGCTCGAATCTGCTTGCACGGCGGTCCTTCTTGGCTTCGGGGTCGACGGGATGATGAGTGGGTAAGGCTGGCAGCGCTGTAACAATTGCATCAGGCGCCTGCACCTGTGCTTGCACTTCTGGCACTTCCTGTGGTATGTTCGCCTTGCTGACAGTCCCGACCATCTGCGACTTCGAACGTTTGAGGAAGGGCATAGTGTGGAGACTTGGCGCCCAATGGGCAGGCTGGTAATATTATTCGAGAAGAACGACAATACGCAGCTGCGAGCGTGCAGTATGCGTGACTTCGGGTCTCAACGTGCGCGTCCGGGTCCTGGTAGGATAATGGCAGACACTTCGAGCGGTTCTTCCTGTCAGTGGTCGCGAGTTCGTGAAAGTCGTAATGACAGTCACAACTCGCTGTCTGTGTGAAATGCTGAAACGCTCGGTAATGGAAAGTGGCCAAGAAGAGCGATGGTGATAAGAATGCGTGAAAGAGCAGTAAGGACAGACGTGATCAGCTGAGGATGGGTCAGACAGCAGTGGAAAACAAGACGAAGACGACCAAAGGTGCACATCCATGGACCATGGCTGACGTCCACCTTCCAGCAAAGTCTCCTCTTGGCACACCTCTCTCGCTACCCGGCACGGAAGATGAAGAAGGATGGCGACCTGCCTGAAAAGCCGCGTGGGAACGCAGCTGTCCGTCGAATTGATAGAGTGCTCATCCTGATGCGGACCGGGAATCTCACCGCCAGCAATCAAAAGTCGCGTGAGCTGATTTCGCCATACGAGTTTCGGCACGCAAAAGACATGGGTGTGAGCTGTGCGAAGAAAACCTGGCTCCGCAGCGTCGACAGGGTGGTGATTGCGAGCAATATGAGTTGCAGCAAATCATGGATGAGTTAGTGGTCGGAAGCGTGTTTCATAAAGGATGCAGGGCTGCCACTAACGGCAAGCCGAGACGAGACGGGCGCCACATCCAGCATGAGCGCGCTCGGACGTACTAAGCTCGAGCAATCCGAATCGTGGGTAAAATCTGATACAGAAGCATCCTGCTCATTACTTGATGGATGGCCGAGGAGAACAGTAGGATATCGACTGCTTCTGTGGGCAGCGGTGCAATGCTTCTAGGACACTACCAACTCCATGGATTGGTCAGGTTGGCAATTGTTATGATACTTCCATAGGAACGTTCCAGAGGCCAAGACGGAGGACAATAAAGGTGTATGATCATCCGCAAGGTCGTCATTGAGAGTTCGACCATGATTTCGATCATACAATGAGTTTATATCAGCCTCTCGATGCTGCCAGAAGAAAAATACGGCTACTCACCATCCAAGAGGCTTGTTCAAGTAGTCCGGAGACAGATCGTATACAATGCTCGCTGACCACATGGTCCTTGGAAGACACAAATCTACATTTCGATGCACTCTCATACGCATGGGCAGGGCTGCCGGGTAATGTGGAGATCTGGGTGAACGAGGCGCCCATGATGGTGACGTCTAATCTGTACGCAGCACTTCGTATGTTCAAAGGTTCTAGAGCACTTTTAGGCCGGTATCTATGGGTCGATGCTATTTGCATCAATCAACAAGACATGTCTGAGCGCAGTGAGCAGGTGGCACTAATGAAAGACCTATACGTCAAGGCACAGGTTGTCCATATATGGCTTGGACCTGGGTTGGACGACGCCAAAAACCTGGCGGCCATGGCTTTAATGAAGGCCATACACCAAGGGACTCCACCTCAAGACGTCCTAGGACATAGTGATGACACTGGTGGGGCTTCGCAGATGCTGACGACTGCACCGTATTGGGATAGACTATGGGTGATACAAGAAGCGGTGCTTGCCCAAGAACCTCGAGCTTATCTCGGTGAAGCATGCTCACCATTCTGGGATCTACTCGAAGCCTTCACGCAGCTCACACTCGCCGAGCGGGACGGGCAGGTCCCTCCCACAGGCCTCAATCCGTTGGCCGTGTTACGCATGAGAACAGCAAAGGCCGTACAGAGCTTGAAGACTCACGAGCCGGGCCCGCTGAGTGTATTACACGTTTGTAGCCTTCTCCAGGCTACATCAGTAGCCGAGACAAAGGAAGAGCATGACAGAGTCTTCGGGCTCTTGGGCTTACTTCCGGATTACACTGGTCTTACGCCGGACTATTCGCTCGACGTTGCCGACCTCTACACCTATACCGTTTCGAGGCTCATGGAAGAGCTCGGTAGTTTGCACCTACTCGCCTACGCGGGCGTATATCCCGGCAGGCGTGTTGGTCTACCGTCTTGGTCATTAGACTTTGCCAAGATTAAGAACCTGGGAGTCTATGCAAATTGGACTTTCCGTGCTGACGCGGCGATCGAAGTGAAGAGTGGCATCATTAGCAACCGCCGAGCAACGAAGTATCTCGGAGTTCGGGCTCGAGCTTTCGATACCGTGACCTGGTTTGGTCCACCATGTCCAGATTTGAAGTTTCCCGAAGACCTTGAATCAACTTCAGAACACTCTTTGCGACTTCAAGAGGTCCTGCTGAACTGGCGCCTTGAGCTCGGAACAAGGACAGAGGGTAAATTCGATCAGCGGAAGGTCAGCCTTGTCTTCCGGCGTACGGTTACGAACGACACGATCTACACCAAGTACGAGGGCGTTCAACATGAGCGTCGATAGACTGCGGACGACTACCTGATCGCACATGACTACGATCGATGGCTCATGAGTGAAGCCGAGTTCCTCACCCCGCGAATGAGATTGCTAGCCCTCGGTTCCAATGCTGTCATGTTCTTCACAGAAGCTGGCGATATCGGCATGGCATCTGCTCGCCACGATCTACATAGCAGCACTGGCGACAACGCCGAGGAATCAGAGCAAGACGGCGGTGTCTCTATTCAACAGAGCGCAGCCAATACCACGCTGATTGTGGCCATTGTGGCTGGTCTTGCTTGTCCTTGTCTACTACGGCGGTTTCCAACAGAATTCAGCGACACATATCAATTCATGGGAGCCGCTTATGTGGATGGTAAGTCAGATATGCGTGACATGGCTTTCGAGTGAGAGCGTGCTGATCAGCTGCTAAGATGTTATGTACGGAGAAGTTATTCGTCGTGCAATCGACGAGCGCGAGTATCAGTCCAGCGATCCTTCCGCTGTCTTTGAGCAGATCTCGCTCGTCTGAAAGGTCCTACAGTGGAGGAAACATCTCCTTCTGCATCCTAACGTCCTCACGGGAGGTATATAGAAAGGTCCTGGCTCCGCAGCGATTGACAGCCCACATGTCTCCACGAGAGAGTATGATATGGTGATTTCAGTACAGCACAGATGCGTCTGCAGCGCGAGCCTGGGCGATATTTACTACTCAGGATACACCATCTTCCTCGTCACGCCACCGTCAACAACAAGCTCAGCGCCACTCACGAAGTCTGCTTCCACCAAGTACTCCACTGCCTTGAGTATATCGTCGACCCTGCCAACACGACCGGTCAGGTGCCAACGATGATCTTCTCCAGTCAAACCATCTTCCCAGGCAGTCCCGTCACTATCCGCGGACTTGCACTCGTTCGCCACGTTGATCCAGCCAGGCAAGATTGCGTTTACGCGCACACCTTGTGGCGCTAGGCTAACAGCCATTGACTGCGTCAGACCAAGGAGTCCTGCTTTGGTGGCAGAGTACGGCTCGTTGTCAGGCTCTGACATGAAGGCTCGAGTCGACGACATGTTTATGATCGAGCCGCCTTGCTGTTTCGAGCTCGAGTTCTGTAGCAATGGCAGACAGCTCTGGCTTAGCAGCATCGGCGCAGTGAGATTCACTTCTATCGATGCGTTCCAGTCCTCCAGGGAGATCTCAGACAGATGTGACTTCCCAACGGCCGAAGTGTTCGCCGCATTGTTGACCAACACATCGAGATGTCCACCGAACAGCTCGCTGGCTCGAGATGCAGCAGCACATATATCAGAGGGCTTTCGCAAGTCGCAGAGATGTGCTTCGAAGTCCTTGCCTCTAGTGTGCGATTGTGCAAGGTTAGCGGCGGTATGGTCTAGTTCCTCGCGATTGACATCGACGAGGAGGACTCGATGACCCTTCTGTAGGAGTAATCGACTTAGACCACGGCCGATGCCTCGGCCAGCGCCTGTGATTATGAAGTTCTTGCCGGCGTTTGCTGCCATCTCCATAGAAAGGCTCCTGCTGAGGTACGACAGCTTAGGACACGGTTTCGTACGGAACTAGGATATCGAGCATTAGCGTAGGGTAAATGATGTCATATACCCTACTGCTCGTTCGTGAAGCAGTTGATCTGGGTCTGTGATGGATTGGTTCTATAGTAGGCCAAAGCCGCCATGATGAAGAGACAGATATGTACAAGCGATATGTACAAGCTATAGCAGACGAGAAAACCAACGCCGCCCATCATTCATATCATTCTACAGCCTTGCCTTCTCTTGCGGCCCAACCAGTGGATCATACACATTCAAGCCGAGCGTGTCAGTTATCGTGGTTGTATGCATGCTCAGACCCCGTGTATCAACGAGATCCGGACCAAGTTCATCGACGCTCGAGCATCCGATCAGCCTCATATTCATCTCCATCTCGTCCTTCAACAACTGCATCGCACGATCCACACCAGGCAGACCATATGCAGACATGGCGTACAAGAACGGCCTGCCAATACCAACACCCGTGGCACCCAAGCATAGCGCCTTGATAATGTCTGTTGCGCGCCTGACACCACCATCGACATAGATCTCGATCTTCTTGTCCAGACCAAGTCGTCGGAGCTCAGGCATAACCTCAGCCAGAACCTCAATACCAGATCGTGCAAAGTCAAGTTGTCGGCCACCATGATTCGACAGCACGACTCCGTGCACACCAGCCGCGATAGCTTGAATGACGTCCTCCACCCTCTGCACACCCTTGAGCAGGATCGGCATCTTCGTCACAGACAAGAACCATGGGATATCCTTCCAGCTGAGCGAAGGATCAATGAAAGATGAAATAGCCCTGGCAGCACCCTGCGATCGATCCACGTTATCGCCTCCAGTATTCTGCACATTAGACCCGACATCGCTAAACTTCGAGCGCATATCCTTCTCTCGTCGTCCGAGCTGAGGTGCGTCGACTGTAATGAAGAGACCCTTGCAACCGCGCTTCTCCGCATGTTCGATGATCTTCTTCGTGATTGCGCGGTCCTTGTTGACGTAAAGCTGCAGCCATTGGACTTGGTCGCCTTCCTTCGCGTCTACGATCTCATCAAAGGAGCAAGAAGCCAGTGTTGGAATCATTTGGATGACATTGTGTTTCTTCGCACCTCGGGTGAGGACCACCTCGCCTTCCGGGTTTCCAAGTTTGCCTAGAGCTGTTGCCGTGACGTAGAAAGGGATCGAGACTTTGGTGCCGAGCATGGTTGTTGAGGTGTCGATGCTTTCGACGTTGACGAGTACTCGTGGTCGGAACCAGATCTTGTGGTACGCTGAGTGGTTTTCTCTCATTGTCTGGGACAAAGTTAGCCCTGACCGGCACAATACGGCGACCATGTACTCACGATCTCATCATCTGCGCCAGACGAGTAGTACGCCCAAGCAGTCTTCTTCATCACCCTCCTCGCAACAGCCTCGAAGTCCATTAGGTTGTAGCATTGCTCTAGAATCGGCATGCGCTGGATCCTCTCCTGCCTCTCTGCCTCATCTGGATCCTCCTTCTTCTCTTCTTGCTGAACCGTAGACATGTCTACCTCACCGAGATGCTTGCTCTTGTCCAAGTACTTGTCCAGAGTGTCGGGAGGATGAATTGGTGCGTACTCTTCCGTGCCATCCTTTCCAGCGTACTTGAGGATGATCTTGGGGCCACCAGGATGCTCTGGCATGAATTCGGTTACATCGTATGCTCTGCCATTGATAATGACCTATATATCGAGACGAATCAGCGTCAGGCTGGAGCCACTCAACACCCACTGATCACGTACCCAGCAGTCTTCGCGAGTGTTATGCTTTGCGACTTCTTCACCTGTGAGCTTCACAGCCTGCGTGTCGTTCGAAGAATGATTCATCTTGATAGATTCGTCTGCAGCTCGATAAGATGGCACAGAGCGACTTCAAGGAACCGAGATGAAGCAGGGCAAGGGTGTCTACTACCAGATCAGGAACCTACATGTACAATGAACGGCCTTTGCCACGACCTTCAAAACCAAAAGCTAGCGTCCCGTCTCGATGCTCGACCGACGAAACCATTCACTCCGCCGATAGAACGGCAATAACTTCTCCACATTGTGGAGGCTGGAGATGACCTGCGCCAATCAGAGGCGACATTATCTGTGACGGCAGGCCGCAATATCCGCTCGATGTCGGGAGTCTTTGACACAGTGGACTCGTCAACGCTGGCAGAGTTGTTATGCTCATAATGTCATTCGTGTATGTGTGGCTTTATCTATGTATATGTGGTGACGGGAAGGGGCCACCAAATTCGTCTACGACCACCTCCCATCCTTGTTCGTAAAGCACGTCTACCTCGACCAGCCTGAAGTAGCTTCATCAATTTCCTTTCTGAACTGCCTCTGCTGCTCGCACTGCTCGAGAAACACCTTGTACTTGGCCGCCAACAGCTTCTTTTCGCCCTGGTCTTTATTCGGGTGTACAGCCTTACCAGGCTTCGACATACGGTCCATGATGTCCCACAATGGCTCCGAAACACCCTCCTTGTTCGTCGAGGCCGCCTTGGCACCCAACATAGCCGCACCATGTACAACAGCAGCGTGCACGTATCGGGGAATCAACACTGGCATGTCGCAGGCCGTCGCCATAAGCTCCATAAGCACGCCGTTCTGGCATTGAGAGCCAGACATGAAAATGGAGCTGATGACATGACCCGACTTGTTCATGCGCTCGATGATCTGATGGGTCTGGAGAGCAATGAACTCCATTGTGCCGTAGTAGTATAAAGCGAGACCATCCATGCTCTTGTCGCTGCTCAGACCAATGACTGAGCCCTTCATCTCCGGATCCGCAATTGGGGAGCGGTTGCCGAACAGGTCACCGTAGAAGAAGAAATGCCTGCCCAAGTATGATATGCTGGGAGCATTGATCTTCTCCTGCATCTCGCGAAGGTGCTCGTTCAGATAATCGTAGATGTTGGCGTTGAAGGTCTCAGCCACTGACATTGCCTCCTGGAAAGCTGGATGTGTCTCGATGACATGTTTCAGCAGCTCCCCAGTAGCCGACTGTCCACCTTCTGCCACCCAGTATTCTGGAATGAGGACATCGCGATATGGACCCCATACACCATCAACAAAGACCGGATTCTTGCTCATGGCAAGATGGCAGGTAGAAGTACCAGCCACGGCTGCCAACCGAGTGAAGGCTTGCGAAACGTCGTTCTTTGCTACGTTGGCGTCGATGTTCGCGCTCGGCAGATTCACCTTGGCTCCAACGGTTCCGATCCAGCCAGCATATGCGTCGATGACACCGCTGCCGACAGCGATACCCGCAGGTAGGCCCATATCGGATGCGGCCTTTTCGGAGAGAGTGCCTATCAGCTCACCAGCTGTCAGATATCGTCCGTTCTGCGAATATGGTCAGCAATCTTTTATCTATAAGTACACTCTGGAAAAGGCAAGTACCACCCCGTTGACTCCACCCATGCGTTTAAAGTTGTCCTCGCACAGGTCTTTCAAGCCAATCTCCGTCAAGAAATCCTCCTGCCAGCCCTTGACACTGCCGTCAACACCGACCGGTACATATCCTTGCTTGCAAACAACAGAGCAGAAGCTTCTTGTCTCGTTACCCGTCGCCATATGTGTCAAAGCATCGGTCAAATCGTAGAACTTGCACTTGTCGAACACCTCCTTCGGCATGTGATTCTTCAACCACAGCACTTTCGGAACTTCCATCTCGATGCTCATCTGTCCACCCACATATCGAAGCAGGTTGTGGTTTGTGGCGTTGATCTTCTTCGTCTCCTCTACAGGTCGGTGATCGAGCCATAAGATGACATTACGATCGTTACCATCCGCGTTGTCGAATTTTGGTCCCGTGACGGAGACTGGCTCGTCGGTGTCTTCGGAGAAAACGGTCAGGGAGCAGGTGGCATCGAATCCTATGCCTCGAATGCTAGAAGGGTCGATGCTGTGCTGGTCCATGGCGCGGTGAATGGAGGAGCAAATGCATCTCCAGATGTTGGTCGTCGATTGCTCCTACGACAAAATCAGAACCTGTGCAGTCAGCTTACTTGGGCTCAGCTTATCGTACGTAGTATCCAGTCTCTGGCTGCCAAAGGCCAATGTTCTCGCTTGCCAGACCAACAATGTCTCCCTTCGAGTTCATAATACAAGCTCGTGCAGATCCAGTGCCGACATCGATGCCAATGTAATGATCTTGCTGGACATGGATCTCGTTGTGAGGGTCAACAGACATCTGACGGCTCTGTTGCCGCGAAGCCTGGCGGAAGGGCATGTTGCTCCTTTGGTTCGACATAATGGACAGTATGTGAATTTCTGCTTGTGGTGGGAGAGGTCTGTTGTGGTGGTGATGAAGACAGAAAAGCCAATAATCTCAATGAACGATTCTTCAAGAGCTGAGATCGGAGTTGTACAACGACACACTATCGTACACGTTACGTACAAAACACTATCGTACACGTTACGTACAGAAATTTGTTGAGGCTCTGTAGAAGCTCACCAGTTGCTTCTCCTCGCGGCGACGATCTTTGATCTTTCCAATGCGCGAGAATGAAGTCACTGCCCCACCACCCTGCGTTGCTGCGTTGCTCAGCGTGGGGTTGTTCGCGGGCCTCCAAACGACCGACATTCTTGCGAAAGAGCCATGTAAAGGTTGTTAAACCACTCTGAATGCGGTATGTCCTCATAGGCACCAAACACCAAGCCATGCTTGAATAACAGTACCATCGCCCGGACGACTTAGTTAAAGCTCACGCGCATTAGAGTGAGCTGCAGCATGTCGCGTGCGTCTTCGCATCAAGAGCTTCGCCTTGCGTCATCTGTTAGTGTTAGAGCAAATAGTAAACCATAGCTGAGTTCAGCAAGTCAGTCAAAAGATATATGTTCCGACTGAGCTTCTTACTTGGCCTGATCCTCTGTTCTATCCCTGTCCTGCATCCACTGCTTCAGTCGCATAACATGGCTCAAGAATATATGACCACGCCCAAGCAGCCTCCTGCATTGAATATCCCCAAGTCTGATACGGCAGTGAAGGTATCATGTATTGACAGGTGAGCTGGTAAAAGGACAGGATGGTCTACAGAAATTTATGCCAACATCCTGCAGCACAAGTCGGCTCGAGCTGCCAATGGGTCCGTTCCTGCAACCGGACTATGCAGGCCATGACAAGCTCTTAGGCCCAGCCTTCTCCTTCTTGATCGAACATCCATCAAAGAAATCGATCCTCTTCGACTTAGCAATCCGGAAAGACTGGGATGCCTTACCGAGCTACAAGAAATGGGTAGAGTTAGGCTGGGGAATCCACGTCGAAAAGGACGTGGCAACGATACTCAAGGAAAACGGAGTAGATGTAGACGGCGGAGCTATCAATGCTATCATCCTCTCTCATCACCACTGGGATCATATGGGCAACCCTCAGACATTCCCAGGTTCCACAGACTTGGTCGTTGGACCTGGCTTTTTGCAAGCATATACCCCTGGCTATCCCAAGAACCAGGACTCGACATTACTAGAGACAGATTTCGAAGGCCGTGAGACCAGTGAGATCAAGTTTGACGAAAACGGGTTGAAGATCGGACGCTTCCATGCCTACGATTACTTTGGAGACGGGAGTTTCTATCTTCTTGACACGCCGGGGCACAGTATAGGTCACATGTGTGGTCTCGCTAGGACTTCAACTAGTCCAGACACTTTCATATTCATGGGAGGAGACGCCTCGCACCACGGTGGCGAGTTCAGACCTACCGAATACCTGCCAGTGCCGAAGGAGCTCAACCCGGCGGCGCCGAAACGACGAGGCCACAACATCTGCCCTGGGCATCTGCTGCAGGACATCAACCCTCACGGTTCTGCCACAAAACCATTCTACTACGTGAGTCCGGTCCAAGTTCTGACGCTGTGCTGCAGACTGATTTCAATCTTACAGGTCACATCGCTGTTGTCGCACGACAAAGAAGTCGCTGACTGGACAATTGAGGGATTGGGAGAATTCGACGCACAAGATAACGTCCTGCTGTTGCTGGCTCACGACGATGCTGTAGTTGATCCGCCGCAATTCGACTTCTATCCAAATTCGCTAAATGACTGGCATCAGCAAGGTGTCGGCAAGAAAGTCAAATGGCTCTTCCTGGGTGATTTGGAGGGTGCTGTCCAAGCAAAGCAAGGTGGCAAGGAGGCTTTCACCTGGGGCAAGTATCCCTGAAGTACTGAGTAATGTGTGTGCTGTTGTATAGTCGTCTGCTCGCTTCAGGCGTAGACTTGTTCCGAAACCGCGTCAGATAGGTCGCAATCTCGATCTTCGTCTGGTGGATGCAACATCGCTCATCCAGGTGTCGAGTCTCCCACTAAAGGTCTCCGGCAATTATGGTTGTCAGAGACAGTGGCCAAAGAGTCTATGCCGCGCATTGCGTCAGGGCGCACCGCTCTTGCTTCATGAACGTGAATCGTTCCTTCCTGCACGCCCAGCATCCACGTGGGCTCGGATCCGCCCGCGCTAGGGAGTAGAGGTAGCCTCAACATCAGTCTGTATGCGTTTCCACAGCACAGGATCCCGTAAACATTCTAGAATTGCTGTCAGCTATCTCAGTTCGAACAAGTCCTAAATGATTACGCCATCCACATCCTCTGTCGCGCGCTGGGTACGGCCAGAGTCGATGTGGACCGCAGGCAAACAGTCAGATCGTACTCAACAACCTCAGTCCTGTCACATCCGAAAATTATGGTCGAACCATGGTATCGTCGTTCTCAAGCGCTGATGAATTCTCAATCAGCACGAACCAAAAGCTTCCACGGGCAACCGAGATCACCTGTCAGATTGTTCAGCTATCTGGCGAGACTTTTCCATGGCCCACACGAGCAATATGTATGGGCAAGCTTAAGTCCATGCTGATATGCGCCAAGTTTGTCAGCCCGGAAGACTTACGTCCGTTTTGGGACGATTCCAAAGTGCTGTCAGCAGCCCTATCAGCTCGGTTGGCAAGCTTGGTCAGATCATCTTCGAAGGAGCCATGATTTCGCACGATTCGTTCTGGAGGGCTGTCTTGTTTGCAAAGGAATGATCGCTTGCTGCTGATGAGTGATCCTTGTTCTGGACACCGAGTCGCACTGAAGACCAAGTTGAAGCTAGGACAGCCAGCACGCGTGAAGAGTCACTGCTAGTGCGCTGCAATAGCGAGGTTGATGCCAGACAGTCATTATCAAACAGCTGGCAGTAACACGACAGGGTGCGGAGAAGAGTCATACCGCCCATACGACGGCCAGTCTTCTCTCCGCCTTGTGAGGTTCGACGGGCGATTTAAACGAAAACCCTCCGGCTCAAAGAACGGCCTGCGGACTGAGTAATAAATCCTTGGCGGGGTAAACGCATGCTCGGCCGCTGGAAACACACCACCCGAGATGCAGCAAAGCAAGTTCAGACTGATGCAGTCTCCAAGTCTCCCAAGTATCAATAATAGCGGTGCCTGATGCACATACAATGTCATTGCCTACCGTATGCTATACGGTAGGCGGAGTGGTACAGATGGACTATCCGTTTGCTCGCATCTTGAACTCGTGTTGCTGCGCCGTCAAGCAAGCCACCAAGCTGCACAGTAGGTCCACCTCGCAACCGAATACTACAATGCGCCATTGGCAATTGCGTGTCGCATATGGGAGGGAAGGTTATTAAGTGGGTGCCTGAAAACTGTGCCTGCAACGAAACACTCTGAGACGTTCGAAACGTGTTCTGTATACGTATACGAGGGCCGTGCAGGAAGCCTTCGCACGAAAGAATGCTGCGGCCTTGGGAGAAATTGCGTTTCCAATGGCACGCACTTGGCGCAACGTCAAACAGTCACTGAATCTGCAGAGTCAGGCCGTGGGAAGCACTGCATACTCAATAGGGTAATGGAGTTTGTGGTTGACTATTCGCACAGCCCGTAACGTGCAGATGCAGCTGGAGCGGGCTGTGTACAGTAATCCTTGGATCGGACGATTTGCGAGCAACACCACCGACTGCATTAGTAGCGTGTAAGGCGGAAGGATTCTGCTCGGTGACTACAACTTGATTACAATTCGGGTCCGGTCGTTGCGAGGTCAGCGATTGGCCAGATGACGAGAAACGGCCTTGAGCGGAGGGTGCGTGCACGGACGATGGGTCGGGCGGAGAGTATATGCTCAGCAAACTGCGTGTCGCGGAGCTTACGGAGTCAAGACGCTGGGAATGGTCTTACACAAATATGCCTTGCTGCTCCTCGATTAAGACGTCTCTTTTCCTTCCATCAGCATCTCAAACAAGCAAGAACACATCTACATACAACAGCTTTCCCACTTCAAGACGACATTGTATCGAAGACTTGCATCACTCAAGCATAAAGTCAAACCATACCAAGATCCCCACACCTCATTGGCTGGTGTGACTCAGGCAGCATAATTCGGCCATATCAACAACCTGACTCATTTCAAACGCCTATAACCAAGATGCCTTCCCACCTCAGGCTGCAAGCTCAATTCGAGCCATTCTCAGCAAACGCAAGTTACCAGACATCGCCTACCTCACCACCATTGAAGAAGCAAAGGATGTCTCTCACACAGACCTACTACGTAGCATCGACTGCCAGGTCGAAGCTTGGCCGTGAAGCCAACAAGTCTGACCACAACCTGAGGTTGTTGGTCGGCCACGCCAACCTCCTCGACTCCCTCATGCTCGAGCTTTCCTCTGCCGAGCAAGAACAAGAACGATGGTTCAACGAGTCCGTCCAGAAGGCCAACAAGCCCGATCAACCAAAGCATATCCAATGGATCGACACCATTGCAGAGGCCGAGGAGATGGAAGAGGATGACGAGAGCGACGAAGAGAGCGAGTACGAGGACGACGACGAGATCTTCAACATTCCTCTCCGCAAGGTCCGAAGCCCACCAGTCGTCTTCGAGTCTGCCGACGTCGACATGGACGAATTTGATGAGGAGGAGGAAGATGATGATGACGAGGAGGACGACGAGGAGCACGCTTTGACTCGAGTACCATCGAGCCGACACTCACCACCAGAGCTCGTCGACGATTCAGAAGAAAGTGACAGCGAGGACGAATCAATGCCCACATCACCCGAGTCAGAGGAGTTCAAGCTCAATGACAAGCAAAGACAACAGATCACGACAACCGCCTTCTACGATGTCAAGGCCCAGCGCGGTCTCGAAGACTACATCATGCAGCAAGCACAACAACCACAGGCACCGCTCATCGCCGCCTATTGAGCTTGTTGTCTTCGGTCTTGGTCTTGAAAGTTGTCTAGCGTACGAGCGAGCGACTTGGTACATAGCATGGCGTTTGGGGAAGGAATTGGAGCATCTCTTAGAGGATGCATCTCATCTCATGACATTGGAGAGATATTGGGCTGCTGCTCCTTCACCTCTTGGTGAGTGAAGTCGAGCACGCCAATCATCAACTACCATACATACACATATACGATCAGAAAACACTTTGAATAAATCTATCACTCTTCTCTCTCTCTCAACCGGTCTGCTCTCTGTCCTCACCTCGCTGCCTACACCAATTCCTCCTGCCATCATACTCTGGGGTACGATGAACGACAAAGTTCAAAGCATGACTCTAGCTGACATGACCTGCAGATCCCATCCTTGCAACTTTCGCGTGCTGCTGACGCACTTTCCGGAGTGTCCGGATTCCGTGCTTGGCAAACTTCGCTTTAACGGACGTAAAATGTATCTCCTTGGTTCCGTCCGCCGCATCATCTAGATGGACATTGCGGAGTTTGTTTGTTTCTGGTTGCTCGACGTCATGCGCCAGCTGTTCCGCGAAGACGTGATCGAGTGGCCGTCCTGAGTCCTGACTGCCGCACCCTTGTCACGCCAGTCTACGGGCCCGTTTGCAGGCACGATTGACACAACTGGGCACTGTCTCGTGAATAACTAGTGCTGTATCTTCAGCTACGGTAAGGCTGACTGCGCACGAGATCCGCTACCTGGCGCAGCGGTGCTCGCTTGTGACCCATTACCTCTTCGGGCTGCTTCGTGCGAGGTCTGCATAACGTGAGCTACGGACCGACTTCAATTCCTTCCCCACGCGAACGAATGACTCACGTTCTTGTGCAAGGATCACGCCCCCAGGCCATACTGGGCAGGGCTTGCCTTGGTGCTCCCGAACCGACAAGGAGCGGAGCGGAAGTCCAGACCGCACCAGAACATCCATCCTGACAAGAAGCTGACATGTCACATGCGCTGTACAACAACTACATGATGCTGCCATCATCCGGATCATCGTGGGATCCGTAGACGTCCGACTGCCACTGCTGCGTCATGAGCGCAAGCACATTCCGTACCATTCTCACAAGGACTGTCATTAATAACCCCCGAGCTCGAAGCAGAGCGCTGTCAGACTCATCATGGTGATTGCTTACATTACCAATTCCTTCATTGAGAGCTGGGGAATGCAGCACAGGTACATTGCTACCTTTAAGGCATGGTCATAGTAAGTCTCGCTCTCATCCATCCAGGCCTCGGTTCAGACCCTTGCACGCTGCGACGTGGTTACCTAGCCTTAAGGTGTACAAGGAGAAGTCATGGTTGATACTAGCGATCGATCATCGTAAACAACGTGGACAGGCTACAAGAATCATGGCGACCATGCAGACACGTACGAGCGTTCACAAGAATCGGCATCATGCTAGGGTTGTCAGCTTTTACTACTGAACATTGTACGATGATAACTATGCGAGGACCAAGTTCCAATACGCTGGTTTGGTCCTGACCTTCTTGAGCATCTAGATGGCGCCCGGTTGTCGCTCTGGTGCAGTCCATGTATAGCGAACAGGGACTGTAGCTCAACAGCGTTCCTCAGGGCTGTATCGAGCGGGAAAACCTGCTCAGATTGCAAGATCCTACGATTCTGGTGAGGATGTACAGCAATGAAGTACTACCATCAGTAGTCACCTGACAATAGCTGTAAACGTCTTTGCAGCCTCGTACCGACTCTTTTTGTACATCTCATGATGCCAGTCCGAGCAGGAACCTAATCGGCCTTTGTTAACGTGGCTAGCACTTAGACAAAAGATGCCTCACAGTATGGTGAGAGTCCTCGGCACGAGCAGCTTCCGGTCTCGCCGACGCGGCAAACAGGAGTAGTTGTGAGATGCAGCTGTGAAGAAGCATGTAGACATCGAAATGTAAATCGATTGTTGACAAAAGTGTCAAATCCTAATCAGGCGTTCACGTTCGATGTCCACAGCTCTGACCAGTTGTTCTTGACGCATCACAGTGCCAACTCTGCTCAATGGAAAGCTTGGTTGCAACACGCGGAGGAAGAGCCAATTATATGCCAAAGGAAGGTCGTGAAGAACAAAACTTCACGACTGACGTGTTGAGCGGTCATGGTATTGCTACTAAGGCACTAGATAGCAACAGCGCATTTGCAAAGTAGTAAACACTTTCCTCACATCTTCATCCATTTATGTATGCTTCCCAAAAGAGATGATATACTCCTACGCTCTCGGATCGATCAGGCTCGATCTGTGTCACAAGTACTCCAGCTAGGTCCCAGCATCGGAGCCAATCACACCAATTATTGGCAAGGCCTTGAACCAAACGGGTAGAGCGTCTGCATGATGGCGAAACGGCGCAGTAGGCGTCACAATTCCATGAACGGGACTGGAGTCTTGTCGTCGACGACTACGTCTCCGGCAACCCTTTCATGACCCCTGCTTACCCGGCCAGGACCCACGCGCACACTTCTCTACTACAGGCCAATTGAATGCTTCCTTGTAGCACATTTTGCCTTCCTCGTACACATCTAACAGACCCATCCCTTACACCCTTTCGCATCACCTTCGAGCACGACTTCTCTCCAATATACAATAGCCACTGTGGCTAGCCTTTTCTCCTTCCGCCCCTCCGTGTCCCACCAAGTCGGCATCATCGAACTTAACCCTCCGATCGACGTCATCGATTCATCTGGACTGCGACAAAGATACCTTTGCTGCGCAAGCTGAGGATCGAGGATCTCGAGGTGTACAGCTTGGCCAGACGCCAGACATCCTACACTGGATCGACAAGAAGAGGGAAAGGTGGTCATCGTCGTCGAATGGATGGAGCGTAGGAGGTCGCTCATACAAGTCCGGCGATGAACGTGTTTCAGCCTTCTGGAATAACCTCGAGCAGGACGAGTGAAGAGAAGCCGCAGCTGGCGACGGCACCTTCAGGCTTGATGAGCCAAGATGCACTTCCGACAGAGGAAACCACCTTTTCAGCGTTGAGACCGCATGAAGATGCTCGCACGCTCGTGCGCCTGGTGCAGTGCTACGAATGCTCCCGGCCATATCGTACGCCAATTACGCTACCATGCGGTCGCTCAGTGTGCCGAGATTGTCTGCCACAACTTCATGAAAGAGAGCTCTTCACATACCCGGACATACCAGGCCGAAAACATGCATATCGCTGCCCCTTCCCCGAATGTGGTAATGAGCATCCCGCCTCGGATTGCAGCATCGACGTCACATTGACCAAAGTCATGGACTCCATCGCGGAACTTGTGGCAAAACATGCATCACTGGCTGGCAACATCTCAACGCACATGGAGGAAGTGGCACGGTGGGATGAAGGTGTCAGCCTGGCGCCCGCAGCCGAGAAGGCGTCTCAATATGAAGTGCCAGGCGGGCGGCTTGTTGCGACATACACTCTTGCTGCGCAAGGCAAGCTCAACTACAATGTTGATCTGGAATACCACACTGTCTTCGACCGAAATGAAAGCGAGAAAGCTCTTGATGCCAACGTACTCAGTGAGCTCCTGGAATCGACGCATCGGGAAGTAGATTGCCAAGTGTGCTATAATCTGATGCTCGATCCTGTCACCACTCCTTGCGGACACACACTGTGCCGAAAATGCCTTGCAAGGACTCTGGATCATGCGTGCCATTGTCCCGTCTGTCGACGAGGCTTGGCAATACCACCGTCTCTGCACTCCCAAGCCAGCAACAAGACCATAGTCGACCTGCTGAATGGTCTCTGTCCCGACGTCGTAACGACTCGTGCAGAAGCAGTTGCACTGGAAGAGCGACCTGGCGAGGGAGAACTGGATACACCACTATTCATATGCACATTGGGCTTTCCGAATCAGCCGACCTTCCTTAGAATATTCGAGCCCAGATATCGACTAATGTTGCGACGCTGTATGGAAGGCAATCGAGAGTTTGGGATGCTGATGTACAATCGATATTATGAGCCGCAAGGCGACCTAGGCCCGGTTCACTTTTACCACTACGGTACAATGCTACGGATCTTGCACGCTCAGACACTTCCAGACGGCACCAGCCTGGCGGAGAGTCGAGGCATGTATCGCTTCAGAATCAAGGCACACGGTGTGATAGATGGCTACGCTGTTGGTAGAGTAGAGCGGCTGGAAGATGTCGCATTGGCAGACGAGGAACGTGCGGAAGCAGACGACATTGCACTCCCACCAGTGGAGGAAAATGATGTATATGGACAAGTCAATCGCATGCCCACTCGCGACCTCCTGGCGCTAGGTCACGAATTCATCTCACGAATGCAGGCCCGGAGCGCACCCTGGCTCCAACAACGTGTGCTCGATATCCATGGACAGCCTCCGGACGATGCTGCTCTGTTTCCATATTGGTTTGCCAGTGTGCTACCGATCAGTGACGAGGAAAAGTACAAACTCATGCCCACAACGACCGTGCGAGAACGACTGAAAATCACCGCCAATTGGATACGGCGTATAGAGTCACAACGATGGTGAGTCTCTTTTTCCCCGCAAGTCGCACTATCTTCTGCTCCTCTCCATTAGCAATGTTGCGAAGCCAGTGCGGTCTTGCTGACTATATGTGTGCTCGAAAGGGTCGACTGACACTCTGTCAGGTATCAAACCAATTCTTGTCGGATCTTATGACTAGCTTTGCACTACTTCCTGCACTATGTCCTCCCGATTGCATTCGTCGTCTTCGCGATGCTTCTACATTGGAGACGCTCACCGCTTTGAGGACGACATCATTATCAGCACTATATTACGAGCCTTAGATCATGTAGCGAATCCCATTTCTTGTTCATGTCATTTCGGCCATGGCCATTGGTTTATAAGTTGAATTTTAGCATTGCGCCAGGCAGGAGCATACACTCATCTTGAAATTTAGGTGTCTGATCGAGCAGCTGTTGGCTTCTTGGCTGGACGGTGACTTTCCCAACTCATGCCATCATAGCTTACGAGCAATGAGTGCATCTCACATTATGATAAAATCTTAAGACTATCGACTCGTGACACAACCAATAAGAGAATACGATACGGAGTGATAGGTCGTTATCCTTGATATCGTTCAGAGTCGCTGCGGTGGCTAGAACGTGAGCAGCAGCCACAATCACATAGACTTTCAGACATGGCGATATTTCGTATCTCCCTGGTTGCCAAGAACAACTCGTGTCATGAATGTGGGACAACAGATACTCAATCAAGACAACGTGAGAGCAACGTGCTCTTGCAGCCCAGGAGATGCGTGATAGGCTTTGTGCCGTTCGCCTAATCTGCGTTCTGGCGATGCGGCTGCAGCAAATCCAAAGTTGTCGCTTGCCGCCCACGACGCCAACAGCTGCAGGGTTGATCTCCGTCATGCATGTGGGAACCAGTGAGCGTTTCCGAACGGCTGGGTCTGGCTTCGACGTCTGTCTACGCGCGCAGATCGGGTAGTGCAATGCTCGGCACTGCATTGGGGGCATTGTCATAGTTAGTATATCGTTCCCCTTGCAGATGTCGCTCGTCTTGCTTCCCGCAGTAATTACGACAAGGCGACATTGCTGCTACATCATGCGATAGCAACCATCTCCCGGACCAGCGCACAGCCCTCGTGGCCGACTGGAAAGCAAGTGACACAGACGTCGATTCAGCATGTCGTTGAAGCAAGAGATAGAGACATGGGTGGCTGCCCTAGCCGCCTACGACAACAACGAGTTTGAGAGCGCACAACGATGCTTCTCGCAGATTGCAGATACGTCGAAGATATTGTTCAATATGGGAGTGATACACGCGACACTGGGTGAACATGGTTTGGCTGTGGACTGCTACCAACGTGCCGTGCAACTGGATCAGTATCTGGCCGTGTCCTACTTTCAACAGGGTGTCAGCAATTTCTTGATGGGCGACTTCGAAGAGGCATTGGCCAATTTCAACGATACTCTGCTCTACCTGCGCGGCAACAACAGTATCGACTACGAGCAGCTCGGTCTGAAGTTCAAGCTCTACTCTTGTGAGGTCCTGTTCAACCGTGGCCTGTGCTACATCTATCTTCAGCAAAAGGACGCCGGTATGCAGGACCTCACCTTCGCCGCTCGTGAGAAAGTCGTCCCGGACCATGATGTGATCGACGAGGCCATTCGAGAACAGGCTGAAGGCTACACCGTCTTCTCCATCCCTGTTGGTGTCATATATCGACCGAACGAAGCGAAGGTGAAGAACCTCAAGACGAAGGACTATCTCGGAAAGGCTAGACTGGTCGCTGCTCAGGATCGACTCAACGTTGACGCAAGACGTCAAGCCGCACTCGCAGCAATGTCACTAGATGATCGACCCGGTGAGAAGCTATCTTATGCGGCCCTGAACCTCGTAAGGCCGGACCTACGAAGTCGATCTGGTCGACAACAATCAGAGCCACCTTTGAATCGAAACATGTTTCCTCCTACTCCACCACCAGAGCTCGACCATCCCGATTCAGCACATGAGAAACGAAAGTCGTCGGACAGCGCAAGTTCGACGCCATCAATGCTACAACAATCTCGGCCTGCCGCAAAGCCCTTGCGCCTCGAGCTCGGCGCGGCAGCCTTCGAGCAAAGATCTGAGGCCGAAAAGCCACGCCTAGGAAACAAGCGAGCAGCATCCGAACGACCAGCGATGCGACGCGAACATAGCGGCGGCTCAGCACGAAATAGCGAACACGACCGAAGACAGAATCAAGCTGTCTCAGCATCATATCGCGACATGCCAGAGGTAAGAATCGAAAGTGATCCGATCGAAGCCTACAGCCAACAGGCCTACGTCCCGCAGAAGCCAGTCCATCAACGCACCAGATCGAGTGCCTACAAATCACCTCATCTGCCGATATCCGAAGAGGAGGAAGAAGAGGACGAAGTCCACGATCTATCAGATGAACCGCTAGCTTTCGAGATCGTACCACCACGGAATACAGCGCATAGTAGACATCCATCGCAATCACGACGCGGGCCAGATCTGCGAAACATACGCATCAAAGTTCATGCCGAGGATATGCGATATGTGATGACTACACCCACTGTTCGCTACCAAGAACTTGAAGACCAGATCCGTGCCAAATTCAGCATCAAGGGCAACTTCAAGCTCAAAATCCGGGACGAGGAAGGCGACCTTGTCACGCTAGGCGATCAGGACGACCTGGATATGATAATATCGACTTGCAAAGCTACGGCGGCGAAAGAACGGGCAGAGATGGGCAAGATTGAGATGTGGCTGCATGAAATTTGAGGAGTCTTATTCCCTTTTCACCTTTCTGATGGTACACATACATATCTCATGCACATTGTCTCGCTACGCTGTAATGTTAAGATATCATTTCTGCGCTTCCTAGCGGGTCTTTCAGCTAGCCTGATATAGAGCTGAATCGAGAGATAATTTGGCTTCGTCTCATACCCCGTGCCTAGTGCTCACAAAGCTTCCTTCGTAATCGCCATGAACGCCGTACCCGTGATCCAAATGCCCCAGTCCAAGCACATGAATGCATTTCGAACGCCAATCCCTGTACCGACCCACGAAGCAATTACAATCATGCACTATCCTCGCCAGCAGAATCGCTTGAATCATCATCCTCGTCCTCAAGTACAATCCGCCTCAGCACACTCTTATCGAACAGGTCGATCACGAATCGGTACTGAGGTATTCGATACGAGTGCGATGCTAGCAGATCCATGGCCCTCTTGAACAGTGCCGGGTTCTGAAAGCCCGGTGCCTTCTTCGCCTTGAAGCGATTAAGCTCTGCCAGAGCTTTGTTCGTCAATACAGTGTTCCCCAGCATCGTGACCGAGTCCAAGATCTGATCATCCATGGTCTTCTTGTCCTCGTCATTGTGGCCGTCATCTGCTTTCTTGGAAAAGCTTCTGCTCGGGCCAGGCCGGCGGCGCACATTGGCTATCCCATTCGTCTCGGCAGCCCGTAGCGCAAACAACTTGTTGAAGTCGACAGGCAGAACATACCCCAAACTCTCACCCATGACATTCGTGGTACCATCCCAGCCACTCTCAGCCAGTATCTCCTGCCCATGAAGACTCCGTGAGATCAAGCCAAGGACGAAGAAAGCGGTCCCTCGCAGGGTCATGACCTGGGACGTCTGGGCGATCTCGACAATATACTTGACGATGTCGGTTCGCTCGAGGAAGGGAGCACCTAATTCCATCGACCCCACATTGCCAACAGCCCACAAGCAGCCTTTCACTTTCATTATAGTCTCGACATCCTCATCCTCGTGTACAAAGTCTTGGATCGTAGCCGCGAACTCTTCGAAGTGGCCTTTCGCCTTGAGTAATTTGCAACCTTCAACCGTCCTCGTCAACTCGCGATAGAAATGTGGTGGCACGCACCCGAAATCCTGAGGATCCAGACCTTCTTCGCTGACTTGCGGAGGCTTATCAGGGGATTCCGCCAGAGCTCGTGCAAGTGATGCCTCGACTATGGTCACATAAGTGTCGTTGCGGCCTAAGAACCAGTCGTCCATTTCTTTCGTGATATAGTCGAGACCGTCGAGGTAGTGGTATCCTACGGAAGTAGACAGGAATCGCAGGAGCAGCGGTGCACCAATCTCACCCAGGTGATCTAGAGCCGGCCGACACTTGACGACATATTCCAAAGAGGTGATGTCGTTGCAGGCTTCCTCTAGAATCTTGATAGCGACCTCACAGATTTCAATTTCTGGGTCATACAGCTGCGCTACAAGCAGCTTGATGGCCCACTCTGCAGCACCACCGCCAAGGATCGTGGCTTCGATGGGCATCATAGCATACTTCCGCAGGATCCTGGTAGCCGTGATCCTCATCTGCTTCGAGCTCGCAATCATAGTTTTTGACAGTGTAATACGAGGATGGCTGTCAAGGGTGTAGTCCAGATTTATGAGCAGTGCACGAATTAGATCATCTCGCTCCTTGAGCTCGACAATGTGGTAGAAGATGTTGATTATCTTCCATCGTTCGAGGATCTGCATGCCTTTCGAGTCGCTGCACATCACGCCGAGCATCGCGAAGTAGCCTCCTACTAGCGTCTCTGCCATGCGCACGGGTGAGAAGAGAGGTGTTTTGGAAGTAATGCCGCTCACAGGATCTTGCTGTGCCAGACACTCGCCGATCTGAGGTACGAGCTTGTTGCTCTCAAGATACTTCGCGCCTTCTGTGGTCTGAAGGAGTAGTCTAAGCAGTGCGCACGCGGTGCGAATGTATCGTTGATTAGCCTTCGTGTTTGCCACTTCAGAGAACCGGTACTTGAAAGGTCGTAGGAAGCCCAACAATCTATGGACAAACTTCGTGACGACCATTGCTTCTTGCAAGCGCTTCGGATTGATCATGGGCCCCTCGATGAGCTCCATGATGCCCGCCCAATCCCACTTGGTGTAATTGACAGTGTTGAGTATCTGTGTATCGATCATTTTCTGGCGGAACATGCCTTCATCCATAGCTGCATTGACCTGCGTCTTGGAAGCTGCTCGGACCCGGGCAGCTGCACTATCTTCGCCTGTTTTGATCGAAGCATTCTTACCAGCAATTGATCGGTATAGCGTTCGGTTGATACTGTCCACCTGATAGACCGTGGCCACGGCTTGAAAGCGTTCATCGTCGCGAAAGTTGATAGCTGCATCGAACAAGCCGGGCATAGATTGCATTCCGTAGCTCCAGGACGAAGGCAATAGCTCACTCGACATACGTAGCACCTCCGCAATGAGTAGACTCGTCCGCCGTTTCAGCGCTGATGTTGGTGCATCGCTTTCAGCATGCATTAATGCTTTCAGTAAGCCTTGGCGGAGAAGGACAGCCAGTGTGACCGCTGTGAAATGCTGTACCAGGCTCCGCTTTTGCGCCTCGTCAATTGCTGGTCGGGTGGTTGATTGACTCTCAGGCGCCTCGACCCGTAAATTGGTCACTCGTCCGTAGGTCGTCAAGCGTCGCCCACCGATGAATGATGAGGACCACGATGGCGACTTTACCCGAAGAATGCTGATCAGTAAGTCTAGTACCGCACTTCTGACTGGAAGGCTGCTGATGTAAAGCGTCGAGACGACGGACCTCACTGGCAGGAAGTCATGCAGAGAGAGTGTTAGCAAACCCGGCCAGCTCCGGAACAGTGCTACCACTACTCTGGCACTGGTGATGAGTCTATCTTCGTGGCTGTGATTGAGCACTGGCTCCGTGAACGAAGCGAAAGCCGAGCTAAACTCGAAGCCTGAGCGCAGAATTCGTCTCTTGCCGGGCAAGTCCATCAGATGTAGGAATGGCTCGATCAGAGTTTCCGGGGCAAAGTAAACGCCACTACCCATCGCTTCGCAGAGCACACCCAGACCGCTTGCATCGGCAACGAGCGTAGGGTGCTTCAACAGCATCTCGGCGAGCGTGAGGATGGCAATGCCGCGCGACTGATCATCCTGGTGATCTGCAACAGCCACAACAATGCGTGCGACTGCGGGATGAATCTCGTGTGCGCCATCCTTGACGTCCAGAAATGCCCGGATGAACTTGAGCGCCTGCTCCCGCTCAACACGTGCCTTGCTCTCCTTGACGAGAGATAAGATGACCAGATAGTCAGTCTGAAGTGCACGTATGGTCTGCAGGGACTTGCGATCGGTGATCGCATATCGCATTACCCTGTATCCAGCGGCGACGACTTCTCGACTTTCACTCAGCATCATCACCTGCATGCGCAAGCCAAAGATAGACCACGCCAAGTCATACTTCAGAGCCGGATGTCGCTTGAACAATTCGACCAGGTCGTTCGCTTGGCCCACGTAGTAGTCTGATGGCATACCCTCTGCTTCCAGTGCCTGCAGTATTTCCGCGAGAATGTAGGTAGGTGACTCGACCTCCATGTCACGACCAGGTTGATCATCGTCTGCTTGCTGGTCCTGGTGGGTGGGCGTTCTTGCCGGAGCAGACTGAAATAATCGTGACAATCTTCCTTTGGGACTTAGCGGTGCTTGCTCTTTGCTGCGTTGTACTTCGGCCGCCAAGTCCTGTTGCAGCTGTGCGATCTTCCGGTTTGACGTATTGAGCTCACCCTCGACCACTTTCCGCTGGTCGCGTGCCTGCTTCGCACTCTTCGTGTTCAACGCTTCGAGCAGATTCTCCGTCCCGACCCTGATCTTTGTTTCCTTGTCAATCCGATCTCGGAAGGTGGCTTGTCGTTGCTCGGTGGTCGTGAGTGCGTTCTGGTCATCGTAGCCGCCATAGCTAGCGAGATCAATGCGAGATAGGTCGATCCTCGAATTGAAGCCCTTCAATTCCGGTGCAAAGCTTCCAGGTACGTTGACCGATCGTGCGTATGACTGACCCTGTTTGGCAGGGTGTAGACTAGTAGATGAGTAGGACCGGGCATCTTTGCCCGTCTTCGAGGGTGGTACTAAGCCATCGCTAGACTGTGTGCCGGCGAGGTGACCGGTGGTTCGCGGTGTGGGCTTCATCTAAGCCCGCAGACCTTTTCGGTAGCTGCATTGGTGTTCACGTTGCGGGCGACGTCTTCGTGCATTGAAAGACTGAGGTCTTCGGGGTAGCATATCAGACCGAGTCGTGCGGATGGCTTAGGGTCGTGGTCATATAATGATGTCGAGATCACGTGGCTACGCTGCCATGTCATACAACATTGCCCTCAATTTGCTCGCTGCTCACGCGACCTTCTGGAGTAGACGAAAGCACGTGTACTTCTACTGAGACTACCTAACAATGACATATGCCCATGCCAGTCTGCAGCGACCCAGACAAGGCCAAAGCGCCTTTCGTGGGGTCGATCAGCGCCGAGCCACATGTTATATACATACAGTACATGAATACAGTATAGGGCTATTTGGATACTCTGTTCAGCATTGTTTCGAGTGTTGAGTTGCATGTCAGGCGAAACTACAGTGTTGCCGTCCGATGCGCTCCACCTCAGGCTCAGGGCGTATCTAATGCAATAGGCCCGGCCGCAGCCTGTGGCGCAACAGCCCACGGCCAGCTCCGATAGGATTAAGATATGTTATGCAGGTACATGCATGCCTGGCCTTGACGTACCGACCAGCAAGCACTGAAGAGCTTCCGATAATCGCAGCCTACCGATAAGAGCTCTATTTGCTTTTATACGCCGACGATAGTACGTCTGCTGTTCGTTGACAACCATTGACTCTCTTCAGACGTTCTATAAGCACACAGAATACGAGAGCCGGCCTTCTACGCAACACTCAACACATACCTACCAACCTACCAGAACAACACTATCACCATGGCCTCCCTCAACTACGCCCGCTATGGCAAAGACAACATCCGCGTTTACAAAGTCCAGCGCAACCCGGACAACACCCAAGACGTGACCGAAATGACCGTCTGCACCCTCCTCGAAGGCGACATCGCCGAATCCTGGACCAAATCCGACAACAAGAACATCGTAGCCACGGACACGCAAAAACAAACCGTCTACGTAACGGCCAAACTGCACCCCGTGAACCCACCGGAGCTCTTCGCAAGTATCCTCGCCGACCACTTCCTCACCCAATACAACCACATCCACGTCGCACACATCACCGTGACCGTACACAAATGGACGAGGATGCAGGTAGACGGCAAACCACACCCGCATTCCTTCCTCCGAGACGGCGAAGAGAAGAGAGTAGTAGAAGCCGTCGGCCGCAGAAACCAAGGCATAAGCATCCGCTCCAGCATCAAGGGCCTCCTGGTCCTTAAATCCACCGGCTCACAATTCTGGGGTTTCCACCGCGATGAATACACCCGTCTGCCCGAAGTCTGGGACCGCATTTTATCGACCGAGGTCGAAGCGGGCTGGAATTGGCGACGTTTCAGTGGGCTGGACGAGGTGAAGAAGGAAGTGGCAGCGTTCGAGCCCGCGGCTGAGGCTGCAAAGAAAATCACATTAGAGACGTTTGCAAAGGAGAATAGCCCGAGTGTGCAGAATACAATGTACCTCATGGCCGAGCAGATCTTGGCCGCCGTGCCGAGGGTGGAGGATGTGGAGTACAGTCTGCCGAACAAGCATTACTTTGAAGTTGGTGAGTCGAGAAACGCTCCTTCATGCCGACCCATGGTTTCGAGCGTGCATGTTGCTGACCTATCTGTAGACATGAGCTGGTTCAAGGGTCTCAAGAACACGGGCGAGGACGCTGAAGTCTATGCTCCACAAAGCGATCCGAATGGTCTGATCCAGTGTACGGTCTCGAGAAAGGGTGCGTCGCCTAAGCTGTAGTCTCCCTTGTGATATGACCTCTTGATGATGATTTGGCGTTCTAGCGAATACCACGGCTGCGTAGATAGATCATACAAGCACGACCTGCAGACCCCGAAACTCCATCGCTATGCTTGTCAGAGGCTTCATAATACCCTTAAAACCTTCCATCTTCTCAAGTTCATGTTATTGCGCTTGCTGAGCAAGTGTCGCCTGCACTTCAGCGCTCTGCGTTATGCTCGACGGCCGCTCAGACTTGACAATGTTCTGCTTATAAGGATGTGCCGAGCCTTCGAAACCTGCACTCCTCGTTAGCCATCACTCCCCCACAACCCCAGATCTCAAGAACATACACTTCAACCTCCCCATCCGATCATCCCTCAACCGATTCTTCGGCAACATGCCCCTAACCGCTCTCCTTAACACCTCCCCACCCCCCCACTTCTCAAACATCCTATCCATCGTGATCTCCTTCAAACTCCCGGGCCGCGTCGTATGTCGATAATACTTCTTTTGGAACCTCTTTTTCCCCGTGGTATGGAGATCCGTGCAGCCGGTCGCTACGACGTAATCGCCGCAGTCGGTCGAGGGCTCATAGATGGGTTTGTGTTTGCCCATGAGGCAGAGGGCTATCTGGGAGGCGATGCGGCCGAGGGGGCGGGAGTCGGTGCCGACGTCTAGGTGGTGCCAGGTTCGGGAGTAGGCTAGGCGGGTCTGTGGGATTGGGGGTTCTGTGTTAGACGGGTGGATGGGCTGGGCTTGGGTTTGGGTACGGTGGAGGAGGAACGGGGGTGCTGACCTTGCCTACGAATTGTGACATTCTGATTGTCGTACCCGGGTGGGCTTCAGAGCGATATCGACCTCACGCTGTATACTGGTGATCGCAATACGACTTGCATATGCTTGAGCACGAGAGCAGCAAATGCACGGCCAATCGGGAGTGTCGCGCAGTGCTTCCGCGAATCGTGAAAGCCACATGGGATGACGCCGAGGTCGCTTTTGCTGAGCAATCGTGGGACGATCAAGCATGATTCTGGCAACGAACATCACTCTCAATTCGATACGCGGGAGCAGGAGTCTGATTTGATTGCGACCATGATACCGCCATTCGAAACAACATTTGCCGTGCCGCTAAGCTGCGAAAGCTGCATCAAAGATGTCTCCACCTCGCTCTACAAAGTTGATGGTACGGGAAGCTACGACCTGAGATGCTCGCCACAAGACAGCCACTGATACGAAGTCAGGCATCAACAACGTCTCGGCCGATCTCAAGAACCAACTCATATCCATAACAGGCAACGCCGCTCCCTCGGCAATCGTCTCCGCAATCCAAGACACAGGCCGAGATGCTATCCTCCGTGGCTCAGGCAAAGCAGAAAGTGCCGCCGTCTGCATTCTGGAAACCCACTCCTCATCCGTCAGAGATCATGTCCGAGGACTCATCCGGTTGGTTCAAGTCAATTCGGAAATGACAATCCTGGATATGACGCTTCGTGGAGTAACTCCAGGCTCGTATAACGTTACGGTGCGAACGGCGGGCGATATCAGTAATGGCGCTGCATCGACAGGAGGAATCTGGGATGCTTTAGAAGCTAAGCAAGCATCGCCACCACGGCCAGGAAAGGGCATCTTCGGGAGGATCGAAGTCGCTCAGTCGGGGCTTGGGACTGTGTTCATCGACAAGCCTATCCAGATCTGGGAGCTCATTGGTCGCAGTATTGTAGTGAGCAGAAAGCAGGACAGCTTCGACAAGGAGGATCCTGATACGCTGGTTGGCGTGATCGCTCGTTCGGCCGGTGTGTGGGATAATGATAAGACGGTGTGTAGTTGTAGTGGGAAGACGGTTTGGGAGGAGAGGAAGGAGCAGACTGCTAAGGGCATGTTATAGTATGTCATTTCTTCATTATCAATGCTGCTTACAGTGCATCCTCAAAGCTCTGATGAACTGTGCGCAAATCGTACCCAGGACTCGAACAAATCGAGCCTCCATCCTGTCGCCGTCGCGGCACATATTTCCATGCCAATCATACGCCACATGCGTTGGTCGTGACTTGGATATTCAGAGATCATGAATGTTGCTCAGGACATGTCGGTCCATACCATCGCTCAATACTATAGATGCGGCGGCAAGGGGTATGGCGGTGCGCTGTAGTACGGGCTTTCTGGTAGCTGCTGCTGATTTAGCAACAGTCGTGCGTCAATCGGCGGTTCTGGGTCGGTGTACTGCGGGTGGTCAACGATGTTCTGTTGGTACGTTGATTGCTTGGCCTTTGGTGGTTTCGGTGGTCGAGGCTGTCGCATTGGCGCGGGCTGTGGAAGTTGCCGCTGTGTGATCGGAGCGGGCATGGAGTCCAGACCCTGTTGGATGATTGGCAGAGTAGGGTGCGTCTCCATGACCAGGACTCGAGTGGCGTCGTCCAGTGGCTGACCGTTCTCTTCGCACTCGATTACTTTTAACCATTTTCGTTTCAGCTTTGACATGGTCGTCGTGCTGCAGACGATGCTGAAACGGTCGTGTGTCAGCCATACGAGGTCGTCCAAATATCGGTTGCGATTCTTTGGATCGCGGAGCCAGTCTCCCACTTCCTGCACATATCGTTGTTAGACGGATGTATGTCGAAGACTGTTGAACAGTCTCAAGACTTGAATGATTGTAAATTATAGCACATGCGCGTTAGCAACATACCAGTTCCTGTTCTGCCGTGAGCACCTTTGGTCGACCGTTCTTCTTGTTCATCTCAACTGGCATATATGTGGTTCCATGTTGTTGCAAGGATCGCTTCATGCGATAGATGGAACTGCAATTGTCAGTACTTTTGCATGCTCAAGTAGTGATCGCGTGGATCATACCTCCTGCCCACCTTGAGCTTTCTGTGAATTGTGGTAGGATCGAATCCTGCCTCGAGAAGCTCTCGTATTCGTGCTTGCACTTCAGGCGGTTGTTTCCCTGCGCCAGGCATGTTGGGCCGCGAAGAGGGTGGAATGGCTTGATGGTAATAGTTCTGGTACGGCAAGTTGAAGCAAACCGCGACTTGGTAATGTGGATGTGAGCGGCTGAGCGGGAAGGGCGGAACTGCCCGTGCTAGCGCGACATTCATGTCGTTGCTCCTGCTCTCCTTGCGTGCTTCTTCAACATAAACCCATGAGTTAAGCTGATACTGTGGTAATTGCAATGACGGCGGAGGGACGATGAACGATGATACTCAGGCGTTACTGTCGGTCGGTTACGGGAGGCACTGATACTGGACGCGAAGCCACCCGCTACAGCTCGCAATCTTTCGACTGACGAAGTCTTTACACTCCGGTTTCTGCAACTCTTCTAGGACCACAACTTACACCCAGCATGTCGACTCTATGCACAGGAAGGGTGTTTCGCATCAGTCAGAAGTACTCACTCCGATTGGACTTCTGGCACAAGTCCGCCTTCTGTATTACCTTGAATCACACTCTATCCGGCCACTTCGAGGCTGCCGATTACAAGGCTGCACTACCAGCTGTGCTTGAAAGTCCACCTACCAGTCTTACGAAGGTGCGGGAAGCCAATGTGCTCAATGTCACGACCATCCTCGATTCTGCTACCATGATCGAAACCTCCAATTCTGTGTCCTGAGCTGCTCATTGAGGAGGTCATTTCACTGTTGAGCTGGCTCCCAAGCTTTTGCGGTTCGGCCAAAACCAGATCACCGTTGGCAAAAGCCTGGGCAACAGGAATGCTCGCCTTAGCGTCGTTAGGCTGCCGCACGGAAGGGCGAGGTGCAGCACTTTGTTGCAACGGTGAGCACTGGCCATGAATCCACTCTCCATGGACTAGGAGTAACAGCATCCTGCTTTGTGGTCAGTAATACCCATGTACTGCAAAAAGCCGAACTGCAGCCCCGCCCGGCACTTACATTAAGCGGAAAGGACGATGTGGGGTTGTTACCACACTCCAAGATGGCGAGGCCCTTCTGACACCATTGGATTATGAATTCTTACATTAGCAGCTCATTCGAGAGTAAGTCCAGGAGTGTAAGTATATCTTTCCGTTTGATTACTGGTCAAATCATATCTTGCTCTTGCCTTTACACTCCATACCTTTCATATCCTGCCACAGCATACCAAACATGGATCCGTCTGAAGTTACAGTCCCTCCTCTTAAGAACCTCACAATCGACAACATCACAGACAACGTCAAGCTCATCAACTCGCAATGTCCCAATCCCCGCATGAAGTACATCTTGGAGAGGATCGTGCAACATCTACATGACTTTGCGCGGGAGACACGACTTAGCCATGACGAGTGGATGACCGGTCTTCTCTTCCTCACATCAGTCGGCCAGATATGCACAGATGTCAGACAAGTATGCGACGAACCTCAATGCACAGCGATGTACTCTCCGAACTCACACAATTTCAGGAATTCATCCTCCTCTCAGACATTCTCGGCCTCTCCCTCCTCGTCGACAGCATAGACCACCCCAAGCCCCCCCAAAGCACAGAAGGCACAGTCCTCGGCCCCTTCCACTCCCACGAAGCCGAAGTAGCACCCAACGGCAGCATAATCGCCCACGACCCCGACGGCGAACCCTGCCTCGTCCTCTGCGACATCAAAGACACAGACGGCAAACCGATCTCGGACGTGAAGATCGACATCTGGGAGACGGACAGCAAGGGCTTCTACGATGTGCAGTATGCGGGACGAGAGGGCCCGGATCAGAGAGCTGTGATGCACAGTGATAAAGAGGGTGTATTTTGGTTCAAGGCGATTGTGCCGGTGCCGTATCCGATCCCGCATGATGGACCGGTTGGGAAGTTGCTTGTACAGTTGAAGAGGCATTGTTACCGGCCGAGTCATATGCACTTTATGTTTGAGAAGAAGGGCTATGATCATTTGATCACGTGCGTTCAGACGGAGAAAACTTTCTTGTCTTCTCAAGCTAACGGTTATACAGAGCGCTCTACCTTCGCGGCGACCCATACGAAACGTCTGATGCCGTTTTTGGTGTCAAGGACTCGTTGCTGATTGATTTGGGTACCGTCGATGCCGAGCAAGCGAAGAAGTATGATGTCAAGGAGGGTAGCAAGCTAATCACGTACAAATTTGTGTTAGTGACGGAGGACGAATCGAGTAAGCTGAGGGAGAAGAATGCCATGGCAGCTATGGAGGCACAAGGCCGTAAGATGAAGTTCTGGAATGGACTGCCGATACCTGAGCAGGACTAATCAAACCACAAGATCACTCAATGCATGCTCCAATCGTTCATCACACTTATGCTCGTACACTGGATGTTCGCTCCTCGAACGTCTCTAACAAACAATAACGCTAGTACAGGCGACAAGTAGTCGAACGTGTGTCCAGAGGACATCGAGACATCCATTTTATTGACATGTGGAGTCTGAAGCATCACTGCACGGCTAGCATACTTAGATTGACGTATCTGTTCACTTGCGAGACATTGTCGCATATCATTCCCGACACTGCATGGCTCTGCAGCCCCAGGCAGTGCGCAACACCGTCTGGCATCGCGGTCCTTCACGCACCCTCGTGCAGCGTCCGGCGGTAACGTGCCGAATCACATGGTGCTGCATTGCCATCGGCCTATACAGCTCAGCATCAACGCATCTCGAATCGTCAAACCTCACAACGAGTGTGTGCTGGTATCTCTCATATACTTACCATATGTACCGCTTATATCTAGCAAATGTTAGGATGATCGATTGGGGAAAATGCCACTGGTGAATAACTACTGAGCAGGTGCACAATCGAGCGGTTGTCTACTAGACTTGCTGAACGCGAGTTGAGACGGCAACGACTACGCTGTAGATTGCGGCATACTCCTTCGTTCTTAGGGAGAGGCCTGCGAGGTTTCACAGGGATTGAAAGAGCGATGCAATAATGAAAAGTGCATTTTATGACAGGTAGAACACTATTTTACACATGTCTTGTTCCTTTAGGCTCATCCGATCAATTGTGTCGAATCTCAAGAAAGGTCCAGATCCGACGCCTCATGTGGCTGAAGTTGCAAAGCCACAGATGCGGGGCAGATAGAAACGTGCCCTGGATCGGCGGCCAAATTTATTGCTTCGTTGGCTTGTGACTCCACCGCCAGTAGTGAGCTATTGTTCTTTTCAACCACTACACTACTGATGTGAACTCTGACTCGAACAACGAACCCATATTACTACCGCTGAAGCTCATACGTTCACGAGCTAGCCGCCACCACCCACAATGGCAATCGAAAATCTCCAAGAAGTGAGCGACGACGTCCGCAGTACGCAATGCCTCCCACCAACCCCAAGCTCTTCCACCGCAGACTAACAATGAACCATCCACACAGTCCTCGGCTACGACCCCCTCATCCCTCCCCAACTCCTCACCAGCGAACTTCCCGCCCCCACCAACTCCCTCCCCACCGTCCTCAGAGGCCGCAAAGAAGCGATAGAAATCATCAAACAGCGCGATGACCGTCTCCTCGTCGTTTGCGGCCCTTGCTCCCTCCACGACCCGTCCGCCGCAGTAGAATACTGCACCCGACTCGTCCAGCTCGCCGATAAGCTAAAAGATGATTTAATGATCATCATGCGCGCATACCTCGAGAAACCGCGGACGACGGTGGGGTGGAAGGGTCTGATTAACGATCCGGATATCGACGAGACGTACCAGATCAATAAGGGTTTGAGGGTTTCGCGGAAGTTGTTCTGTGACTTGACGAGCCAGGGGATGCCGATTGCGAGTGAGATGTTGGATACCATTAGTCCTCAATTCCTCGCGGATTTGATCTCCCTTGGTGCCATTGGAGCCAGGACGACAGAATCCCAACTCCATCGCGAGTTGGCTTCTGGTCTCTCCTTCCCTATGGGATTCAAGAACGGTACGGATGGGAGTCTGACTGTGGCGGTGGATGCTATTGGTAGTGCGGCGGCGAAACATCATTTCATGGGTGTGACGAAGCAGGGTTTGGCTGCTATTACGAGGACGGGTGGGAACCCGGATTGTTTTGTCATTTTGAGGGGAGGCACGTACGGGACGAACTTTGATAAGGAGAATGTGGCGAAGACGAGGGAGGCGTTGAGGAAGAAGGGGCAGGCGGAGGTCATGATGATTGATTGTTCTCATGGTATGGACCCTCAGACTGTTGACTTCTGGATGCAGCGCTGACCCGTACTCTCTTGCAGGCAACTCGCAGAAGAACCATAAGAACCAGCCCAAGGTCGCGCAGGTCATTGGTGACCAGCTCCGCGAAGGTCAAGATGGCATCGTCGGCGTCATGATCGAGTCGCATCTAGACGAGGGCAACCAGAAGGTGCCTGCCGAAGGTCCAGCTGGCTTGAAGCGCGGCGTCAGCATCACGGACGCTTGTATTGACTGGGACACGACCGTGGAGGTACTGGAGCAGCTCGCCGATGCTGTTCGCACCAGGCGTCAGATTCGCGCGAAGACGTCCAACGGCACGAATGGGTCGGCCAACGGTGCGCACTAAATCCCGATGTTGTTTCGATAGGCATGCTGGTTCTCAAAAGCTTTTGGCGTGAACATGATCTCCAGCCGGGCGTTGGTATTCACTCGGGCGTCCGGTGTCGAGCTAGAATTGTAGCATGGTCCAGCCAGATCTGCCTCTCATCAAGCATGTCGCTAGCTCCAAAAGTCCTCATACAGGCAAATCCTTGTGTGCTCGTTCGTTCGCTCCGGCCTTGTCTCCAGCCACCTGTAGAGCCCGAGCCAGATATGGTCCAACAACGGGAATGTTATACGCGAAACCCGCGATCGTCTTGAAGAACCTATGACATCTTCATTAGCCCACATATCCACTACCACCCACCTCCCCCACCAACCCAGCTCGCCCGTGGCAATGAAGGCAGATACGTACTCCCCAAACAACACAAAAATCCCATAACTCTCCACCGCAAACCCGACAAACGTCCACTTGATCAAAATGAGCAAGATCCCAGCCCAGAAGGCCAAACTCCCCCTCCATTTCTGTTTCCGGGCGAAGAAGGCAAAGGTTCGAGTGGGGCCGAGGAGCAGCGTGACGCCGATTAGGAAAAGGATGTTGCCCATGGCTAGCAGGGCGCGGTCGAAGAAGAGGATGAGGCCGAAGAGGAGGAAGAAGAAACCTGAGTGGGCTGTGTTAGTGGTGAGAGGGAGGGAGGGAGGGGTGGTGAGGGATACCTACCGCCGGTGCAGAAGCCCACGCCGAATTCTGTTGTAGAAGTGTCAGTGTCAGTGTCAGTCCTGCTCTGTTCATGGTGAGAAAGCTATATGTGGTGGGCTGCGCATACTCTGCGAATCGGAGAGCCAGTATGTAGGCATGATGGGCAATGAATATGTCTACAGAAAGACGTGGTATGTAGGGCAATCTCTAGGTTTGTATATCGTAGGCTCAAGCCAGTTTGCGACTGGGATTATTATTGGGGAGACGTGTCGCGCGTTGGAAAGGTGCTGCAGGGTCCAGCTGTTCTCGATTGGGAAAGTGTGATATATGAGGGGAGTATATGATGAACATTTGTTGCAACGTCACCATCTTGGAGGTGCAATGATCAGACGAAGAAGTGACCATATGGATATGATCGGGAGTTTCTTGGTAGAGTCGGTGGCTCATAATATTTGTACAAACGGTCTAATTTTAGTGGTACACATCTTTACCAGTACACGCACTTCATTTCTAGCCTTCTCCTTCTGCAGACTGAAATGCGCCAGAGAGCATCGCTCCCGTCACGTCTTCGGCGTTGACAGAGCGGAGAGCTTCTCGGATGCTAAACACCTCTCCCCTTGTCAGTCCTTGCCCCATAAAAATAATGTCGCTCAGATGCACGGAAACGCCACGCTATGCCAAAGCCACAAATATATACACCCATCTCGCCTCGCCCAGTAGTACGGTCAGCTCGGCGGTGGTGACTGCTCTCCTGTCGACTGCTGCTGCGACTGCTGATGCCTCAGTCTCTGTGCCTACACCGCAGAAAAAGTCATCGTCAGCACACGTACCCTCAACATCACACACTTATTCATCTTCATCATCGATCCCGATACAATTTCGGCCTCCAGCCCTCCCTCACCTCCTCTTCCCTCTCCGCCGCCTCTCGCGCCTCACGTACCTCCAATTCTATTCTCTCCCGTGCCCGCAGCACTTTACTCTGCAGATAAAACGAACCCCCTTTCTTCGGATCGTTCATGTCGAATAAGCGTTTGAATTGCTCGTGTGTTCTTTCCAGGTTCTGTTGGCCGCCTTTGGGTGGGGCGACGTTGAGGATTTGGCAGGCTTCGGAGAGGGTGAGGCCGGAGGAGGAGAGGGTGTTGGCTCCTGTTGCGCCTTGGTTTGCTGCGGCGTATTTCTGGTTTGGTGTGTTAGGACTGTATTATGATCTCGGGGAAAGGGCTGTTTGTTTTTATGCGCACCTGTGATGCAGACGCCTGCTTGTATGCTTCTGCGAATGCTCGTCCGAATACTCTTGCGCCGGTGAAGACTACTTGTGATATTATCCGGTGCGCCTGACATCGTATTAGCGAATAGCCCCATCATATCCTGTTGTGAAGCATCGAAATTCAAGCTCCTCACTAACCATAATGTGTGATGAACAGCAACGACCTCAAACCATCGCCGTCAAATGTTCATCAATCTTCATCTCTCGGGAGTCGCCCGGCATCCCAGAGGCCGATCTCGTCCAAGCGTCTTCACATGCGCGCCACATGCGCACCGCGGTCAAAGTCACGCTATTACGCACAGCAAAGCATGACCTGATCTGTTTTACCTTCCTCCGCGCAACCATCAGACATGCAATACACAGCCCGCACCTCGATTGTCACGCGTGACTCTGGCAAGCATCGCACAATCAGGCAGGAGCGTCCCTTGAGCAGATGCCAGCCTTTACTACCGTGTCTGGGAGAAGTGTTTGATGGCAGCATTTGGTATGTACTGCATGGCCTCACTCCACCACATATCTATGCTATCTGTCATATCTGTCTGGCCATGGGCTTGCGCAAGAATCTACGGAAGCTAATGTGCAAGCGTCCCGCAGATACACCCTGGATCGACTTGATGACATCGACGCACTCGAGAAACACCAGTCGAGACGATGGCGGAGATGAGGAGTCTGGTGCTCCGCCTACCGTAGCCGCTTTCTCGCCGAACCAGCAGACGGCGACGAAGAGGGGGAGGGCTTCGGTCCTGATACACCAGAAGAGCCCATTGCTGGTTGCCACTCCACCGCAGGTCACGCGTGCCTTGGCGTACAGTCATCCTTTCATATTGCCTCTTAACCATCTCGCTGGTCTGCTATCGTGGACAACGGGCGATCCGTGGGAAAGCTTCCTGTTACTATCTGCTTTCTGGTTCGTCACGCTCTATGGTGACATTGTGGTACGATGGGCTGGCCCGCTGGTCGTGATCACGGCACTGGTACTGGGCATGTACTCTCGCCGCTACAGTCCGCTTTCGAGCACAGTATGGAGCGACAAGTCTGCCAAACGAAAGCGAGCAGAGTCCGAGGCTAGAAAGAGCCTGGATGAGATTCTGGATACGCTGCAGACGTTCACGGCACGATGTGATGTACTTTTGGATCCTTTCCTCAGGCTGACTGAGTTCCTAAGTACACAGTCGACTGCGACGTCCGCGACTACCAGACCAGCACTCACTTCGCTCTTCATCCGCATTCTAGCATTTACGCCGATATGGGCCGTTTTGACATTGCCACCTTGGCATATCCTGACTACGAAACGAGTAGTGCTTGTCATTGGCACTCTAGGCTTATCTTGGCACAGTCGTCCAACTCGAGTCACTCGAACTCTGCTTTGGCGGAGTCGGACAGTGCGACAAATCGCATCACTGTTGACTGGCCTAGACTTCCCAGCTTATGTACCTGTCGCGAAAGCTCCAAAGCTGCCGCCGAGGGACAAGGATATCAAGGCTTCTGCGCTGAGTGTGTCAAACAACGCAAAGCCGGGTGTACGCTTCACTTTCACTATCTACGAGAATCAACGCCGTTGGCTTGGTCTCGGCTGGACAGCATCGCTTCTGGCATACGAACGACAGGCGTGGTCCGATGAGCATTTGAACGATTGCGCGGAGCCAGACCACTTTGATTTGCCTGATACGGATCATGCTACGACGAAGTGGCGATGGACTCCGGGAAGCGAATGGCGGGTCGAAGGGGCGACGGTGACCAAGGAGAAATCGGCGAAGCGCATCGGTGGAGGCGGCGGAGGCGATGAGAGTGGATGGACGTACTTTGATAATAAATGGCAGCTTCCTTCCAAAGTTGATGGGTGGGATAGGTATACACGGCGACGGAAGTGGATTCGGGACGCTGAACTGGTTGAGAGCACCGCCGATGATAATGACGATGGCACTGCCCTCGCACCGTCTGCATCAGAGACCGCGAATGAGAGCATGTCGCTTAATGAAGGCGACTCTAGCAGTATCGACGGCACCGCGAAACGAAAAGGCTGGTTTGGGAACAAGAAGCCCAGACGCGCTACCGTCGACAAATCCGATGCGGCTTCTGGGAAGGCTATTAGTGCGGAGTCGACGCGATCGCGGGATAGTCCTGAGGAGGATGTGCATACGCCTTTGCCGTATCGGCATATGGAGTGGGATCGGAGTATTGGGGAGGGTGTCTATGAGGGATTGTCGTAGGCTGAGATTTAGGATTAGATTTAGCGTGGCGTTGGAGGCCTTGAACTATCTGTACACAGGGTCAAGGCGCGATTAGCCTCTCGAAGAAGATCCTGTCGTGACAATACCAAGCTGTCCCTGGTCGATAGTCGCCATTGTTTAAAAGGCTTCATGCGTCGCTCTTCGTGCCGTTGTGACGACGGCCGACATCGGCTTGACTCCAGACGACACCGTATATCTATCTCCAATCACAGCACGGGGCCACTTGATACATCGACACAGTCTAGGACATGAGCACCTTGACTAGACCATTCAAGTGGTTCTACGAAGAATTCGGTCTAGTATCCATCCACGAAACCGGCAGAAATGCGTAAGTCCCACGCCAAAAAAAGAACGAACTTGCGTGCCTGCCCAAAACCCTCGCATCGTGAAAGCTGATCAGCAAACTTTAACACAGATACCTCATCATCCTGGCCCGCGCCTGCCGCATGTTCGCCTACGGCACCAACAGCCTCATCCTCGCCCTGTTCTTCGCCGAACTCAAATTCTCGGACTACAAAATCGGCCTCTTCATGACCCTCACCCTCCTCGGCGACGTCGTCCTCGGGCTCGGCCTCACCCTCATCGCGGACCGATTCGGACGACGCAGAATCCTCTTCGGAGGCTCCTTCCTTATGGTCTTGAGCGGAGCGGCGTTCGCCATCTTTGAGAATTTCTGGATCTTGCTTTTCGCCGCTGTGGTGGGGGTGGTTAGTGCGACGGGGGGGGACTTTGGTCCGTTTAGGGCGATTGAGGAGTCGATTCTTTCGCAGTTGACTATGCCCGGGACGAGGGCGGATGTGTTGGCTTGGTATGTTACGTTGTCTACTGTGGGGTCGGCGGTGGGCAGTGAGGCTTCGGGGAGGATTGTGAATGCTTTGTTGGAGCGAGAGGGGTGGGGGCTTGTGGATGCTTATCATGCGCTATTTTGGCTGTTTACGGCGATGGGGATTGTTAATGCGGTGTTGGTGCTGCCGTTGACTGAGGCTTGCGAGCTGCAGAAGGAAGAACAGGCATATGTGCAGGTGGCGCAAGACGAAAGGGGTAGTATGGAACTGGAACAGGGACCGCGAGATCAGACTACCCAGCAGCCAGCGGATCTGCAGACAGCTGAGATGTCCGGATCATGGTGGAAGAAGCTGACTAGCTCTTTCTCCAACATCTCTCCCTCCACTCGGTCGGTCATGTACAAGCTCTGGACGTTACTGGCTGTGGACTCTATTGCCGATGGTATGGTTCCATACTCCCTGACGAACTACTATATCGACCAGATGTTCCACCCTTCCTTGGCCTTACTAGGCGACGTCACGTCAGCAGCATACTTTCTCGGAGCAATATCAGCAGTATTCGCCGGTCCACTCGCACGCAAAATTGGCCTCATCAACACGATGGTTTTTACACACATTCCATCCTCGGCTGCGGTATTGATGTTTGGCTTGCCGAACAATCTCGTCATGGTTGTGATACTTCTGCTTATTCGAGCAGGATTGAACAATATGGATCAAGCTCCACGCTCCGCCTTCATAGTGGCAGTTGTGAAAAGCGAGGAGCGGACCGCGGTGATGGGGATTACGAACCTGTTACGGACGCTCGCTGCCATGACCGGACCGTCTATAACTGGATTCTTGGCCGGGAGCAACAAGTTCTGGGTCGCTTTCTTGGTCGCTGGTGCGTTCCGTCTAGCATATGATCTCGGGTTGTGGGTCATGTTCAGGAACCTGGAACTGTATAAGAATGAAAAGCCAATCGTTCAGTCGAACGGTGTTGCGCGGGCTGTGAGTCGAAGGTTGAGTGATGAGGAGATGACGGAGCTTGATCGATTACCGACGCCTCTGTCAGTAGCTAGCTAAGACTCTCTGGACGATTCAGACTCGTCGAATAAGAAATAAAGTAGACTAAGCATAAATGTATAGGCACATTGACTCCATTATGTTGACAGCGATGATCCATCAAGTCAATCATCTCTTCCGCCGAGACGGTGGAGTCGCCCATATGAAGATCATTGATGCTTGCAGGACCGCTTGCTATCGTTATTGATGCTTACCATGTTATTTTATTATGCTGAGAGTGGCTTAGAATAGTCAGCTGAGCCTACGTCACGACACGTGCTTCGCCTGCACGCGACCAGGCCAGATGGAGCGGTCGCCACTAATATTTCTGCAGGGTCCAGCAGTCTACCAAAGTCCAGATTGTGGGTTTGAAACGGGAGTGGCATTGCACCATTACAGTATTAGCAAGCACGCCTCTGGAGTGTGTTATCGTCATCGTGTGGTTTCAAAGGCAATCCGTGTGCTAGCTTGTAGCCTCTCCTAAACTAGCATCTGACTGCCCTACCAGAAGCATGCGTAGCTGCTGAGCAATAACTCTCCCTTTCCTCTTTGTTCGAATATAGGAGCAGACCTCCAGCTACGTCATCTGGGAGAATTCGACCTGCCTTCTCGTACCAGGGGCCGCCGTCTAACTACTGTTGCTTCGCCCTCAGAGAAGGAAAGACAGCGGACCTGTGGCCGACAGTGCTGAGCCGCAAGTCAATGACACGGAAGGAAGTGGCGCTCTTGTGATCGTTATGGCTGCTGACTGAGCCGCTCGAGTCTACACTTCAACATGGTCCCTTTAGTGAAGTCACCAGCCTTTATACCAACCACCACTCAATATCCACCGCCCAACATGACTGAGACGGCAACCTCGCCGCATCCGCATCCTTTTGCTCGACCTGCGAAGACGCCATCTGCAGCCGCCACGTTGCCCCCCTCCTACTTCTCCACTCCACGACTGAGCACCCCCCCTCAACCCGCCCCAACCAACGCGAAGTCGCCCAGTCCAAACTACTTTGGCTTCCAGGCGCACGACAGCAGCACTCACCATGCCGACTCCCTGCAACATGCCAAACAGAACTGGAGTCCACCATCTTCTGCAGTCCGATCCATCGCTGCTGCATCGCCGTCTGTGGTACCCATAGATCAGAATCTGGAGTATGATGACTTCAGGAGACAGTCAGAGGGCAAGGCCTTCAATCTAGGAGGGCTGAGTGGCAACTTCAAGGTGAACGCGCCGCCACGCACCAAAGTAGGCAGGACACAGAGCAAGCCGGAGAAGGAGGCCCCGAAATCACCTGGCCACAAGCCACGGGATGTGCCCACCCACCGCATACCTTCCAAGGAATCGCTCGACCCATCATCCGCCGAGTTGGCCCGATCACCGAAGCGAGTGCTGTCGCCTGGTTCTGCTGCACTGGTGGAGCCAGTGCGTAGAGGATCGCCTGCACACTTCAAGGCGAGCGACGAGGACGAGCCGTCGAATGCTGCCCGCTTCAAGCTACCGCTGGACAACATGAAGAACATACCTGGCTTTGCTCACCCACCACATCGAGCAGAGACTGCCCCTACCGGTAATGTTGACGAGAGCGAGGCAGACTTGATGATGACGCCACAACGTCTGGTCACGCTACTGGAGACTAGGTCGGAAGACATACTTATCTTGGATCTTCGCGTTTCAACACAGTATGCAACTTCACACGTCTCCACTGCCCTCAACCTCTGCATACCCACAACATTACTCAAGCGAACCTCGTACAACGCTCAGAAACTGGCCGAGACATTCCAGGAGGGTCCACAGCGGACGAAGTTCGAACATTGGCGCACCAGCAAGTACGTTGTCGTGTATGATGCATCGTCGGCACAACTCAAAGACGCGCAGATGTGCATCAACATCATCAAGAAGTTTGAAGGTGAGGGTTACAAGGGCACGCTTCGTATCTTGAAAGGCGGATTCGCGGGTTTCAGCCGAACTTTCCCGCGAGACGTCGAGTCTGCAGCCAGTGGTCCTTTCGGCCCACAACTGGGTGGCGACCCTGAGCGACCTGGTGTGGCCCCGGTAATCGGAGGCTGCCCGATGCCATTGACAGACAAGCCTGCGAACCCCTTCTTTGGTAACATTCGTCAAAACATGGACTTGATAGGCGGTGTAGGTCAGATCGCGTTGAAGCGCCCGACCACGGCAACGAATGCTGTAGAGGACAGGCAGTATCCAGGCTGGCTGCGTAATGCAGCCGAAGAGCACGACCAAGGCAAAAGGGTGTCCACCAGGTTCGAGGCTATTGAGCGAAGAGAAAAGAAGCGGATGGAGGATGCCCTGTCCGGGCAGGTCTCCTACGGTTCGCCCACGCCACCTGGTGGGCCAAAGACTCCACTGGAGCGCAAGCTGGCGATTGCTGGGATCGAGAAGGGAGCCAAGAATAGGTATAACAATATTTGGCCTTTTGAGCATTCGCGGGTGAAGCTTGCTGGTCTGCCCAAGTCGGATTGTGATTACTTCAATGCCAATTATATCAAGGCAGCGTGGAGCAACAAACGGTATATCTCGACGCAGGCGCCGATACCCGCGACTTTTGGCGTAAGTTCACAACAAGACCTCTCAATCCCGATACAGGTTACTAACATTCGCGCAGGACTTCTGGAACGTCATCTGGCAACAAGATATCCGAGTCGTCGTCATGCTAACAGCAGAGAAAGAAGGCGCACAAGTCAAAGCACACAACTACTGGAGCGAGAAGCGCTACGGTCCACTGCACCTGGAGTTCTTAAGTGAGAAGCGTGCCTCTCTCGAGCCGGCTAGGATCCACAACGCTCAGAAGAAGAGACCACAGCCTCCAAAGCGATCGTCCACCAAATCAAGTCTTCCTGGCATCCCTCTCGCCCCGATCGACTCAAGCCAGGACAAGAACTCGGAACAGCCCTATGTGACTGTGCGTAAGTTCTCGCTCAGCCATGAAAGGTACCCTTTCGAGCCCATGCGGGAAGTGACACAGCTGCAATACTCTTCCTGGCCGGATTTTGGCGCACCAGCCCATCCGGCGCATCTGCTAGGATTGGTGGAGCAAACGGATGCGGTGGTGCGAGCTAGTAATAAGACGCATAATAGTCAAAACCCGGATTCCGACGGAGAGCGGCCGATCATGGTACATTGCAGTGCTGGGTGTGGACGGACGGGGACGTTTTGTACGGTGGATAGTGTGATCGATATGCTCAAGCGACAGCGGATCTCGCAGCGTGAGCGGGCGGGCACAGAGCCGATGGATATCGATGAGAGGACACCTGCTCGCTCATTACCCTCGGACGCCAAAGCAGCAAAGGTCGACAAGAAGAAGGTTGGTCAGCAAGGAGGAGGAGCAGGGGTTGAAGGAGGTTTCTTCTCCTCCCTACTCGACCCCTCGGCTCATCAGGGCGAGAGTATTGATGGCCCCTGGGTGCAAAGCGACGACGTCGATCTCGTGGAGAAGACGGTGGAGGATTTCCGGAGTCAGCGCATTAGTATGGTGCAGAGTCTCCGGCAATTTGTGCTGTGTTATGAGAGCGTTATGGAGTGGCTTGTCCATCAGAGTCCGGTGGGTGAGGAAGTGAAATGAATCGAGGGACTTGATGTGTGAGTGGGTTGGGGAGTGGGGGTAGGGTGTTTGGGTGTGGTTGTTATTACTTGGCGTTATGGATTTGGAGGGTATGGGTATAGGTATACATGAGCCATGAGTGAGAATCCCGAAGACGCCGGGCCGAGTAGGGTTAGCGTGTGCATAGCGTGGTATTCCTGACCCCTTTCTGTCTCGTATTGCCAAATGCAGACCACGGTTGTCGTATTGATTGATAGCAATCATACTTGCCCACTTACCACCATTTGAAGGTCTAGGACCGCACGCTCCTGGCTAATGGCGAGTTGAGTTAACTAGGTGGTGATCCGAAGGGGAAGGTCTCTTCTGGTCCATCAGCGACACGCAGGAACGACTATGCACACCTGGTCTGCACCGTTCACAACCGAATCTTGAACCCTCCCCTCCCAGTGTCCCCCTGTACACTGTGGCCTTCCGGACTAGGCTCTCGGGACCGAAAACCATCAGCAACGAGGATAATCGTAACATGGCAACAGTTTAAAGCGCATCCGTTGACGACAGCAAACAAACGACCTCAATCCTCACCTTATGAGGCCTTCTCCATGCTCAGCACTGGTGGCAGTAGCAGCACTACTCTTCCACACCACTGGCCAAGCAACTCAGCCTCCACAAGAACACAACGACCACCGCGACCACGACCCGGACCTCCTGATCTCCTACGATACCTTCCTAGACACCTACGCCCACTTCCGCCATACCATCATTAACGAACTACAAGCTCTCGACCTCTCCGTCGCGATACCCGCGAACGTCTCCACCCCCGATGGCGTGGTGGAGAGTTCTACCAATCTGCAGGTCGCGATTTCCCAGGGGAAGGAGAACTCGACTATCCATTTCAACTTTACTGCCGCAGGCGATATCATCATTCCCACTCATGCGGGGATGGAGAGTGAGGGTGAGAGCTTGGTGAAAGTTACGCGAGCGTTTACGAGGGCGTTTGTTGGGGTGGTCTTGCCGCAGGTTTTGGGGGATTTGGAGGGGTTAGTGATACCGGGTCAGAAAAATGGGACGGGGGGTTTGTGATAATGTGCCTCGTGAAGGCGATGGTGGTGGGGAGGTTGTGCATGAGGTTTCTGTGTAATATGATTCTACAGAGCAAGCGAAGAGATTGCAAGGCTCTCGCCACCACCACCATAGTTACTGTACAGGGTATCTTACATAGTTGGTCACACGTCCCTCCATCTCTATGCAATCAATCCATCATCTCCTCGCCTGTCCAGTCATCCCCGGCCCACCAACCTCCTTCCACGGGAACCTCAGCTCATCATCCACCCTCATCCAATGCTTCCGCCTCTTCTTCGTCGTCTGATGCTCCACCACCATCTCCCTCGCCTGCTCACGCAGATAGCGCTTGATAAACCTCGGATCCCACAGCTCCGAAGCGATGCCGAGGTCCTTGCAGCAGCGCATCAGGGCGTTGGATTTGCAGCCTTCGGTGGCGGTGGGGATGCCGTCGGGGTCGAAGTATTGTTGTTCGCCGCGCGCGATGGAGATGAGTCTGCAGCATAACGGGTTAGTACTAAGGGTAGAGGGTATCTGGTCGGGTGTCGTTGGTATCTACCTTCCGCCCGCGACCAAACCATACTCCCTCGTCACCACCTTGGCCGTGACGATCGTCTCGCCGCGTGGTGCCAAGCCCCACCCTCCCGGACCGAATGCGCGGTTCAGTATCCTTCTATACTTGATCTCGGGCAGATAGATGATGCCATCGGGCTTCACCTCGATATCATCCGCCTTGATCTCCTGTTGCAGGATATCTGCCTGCTCGGCTGTGAAAGGGGTGGATGACAAGCCATGGTAAGAGCGTGTCCAGTCTATCTGCTTCTCGTCTTCGCCCAGTGTTGGTGGTGGATCCTGAAGGCCGTCGGTCAAGGAGCGTAGGGGTTCGGATTCGGTTGATGAGGTGAGGTTGTGCTGTGTGGTTTCCGTATTCGTCTGTGGTGATCTGGGAGCAGGAGCAGGAGCGACCGGTACCGCTGATCGCGCGGGTGCAGTCGCAGACGGTGATGGCGTCGTTCTGGCAGGAGCGGCTGGCTTGGTCGCTGCAGCTACGGGGCTCTGCTGCCAGCGGCGAGTACTTGAGGCGACATGGCGGCGAGAAGTGTCGATGCCTATGCCTCTTCGGCTAACCCGCTGCTTGGATGGAGATGCAGTAAGGATTGCGATGAGGCTCGCGCCCGCTCGTCGTGTACAACTCATCCTTCTGCAGCAAATAACTCGAGGCTCGCCTCCAAAGGTTTCAAGTCGAGCTTCATGCACGAGGTCCGTGCCATCAACCCCGTGCCGAGGCAGAGAGGTACACCACAGGAAATGTACCTCCTACATAGGAAGGCACGACACTCTCTACACTACTGGTCGTGGAAGTAAATACGTACTGTACATACATTACACGAGTGGAGACTTTACAGCTGTGTGAGAGCAAATCTGCTGGCGCTGGCGCTGCCACCCTTCTCACTTTGCATCCTTCGAGTCCGTCCTCTGCTCGTTTCCTTTTCTCTTCCAACACTGCTTGAAAGCCTCCATCTGTCCGAGTATGTCAGTGCTTCTCCTTACCATATACGTTCCGCTGAGACAGAGGTAGGTCATCGCAGTCAGGACCGACAATTCCTTTCTTACCTCATCTTTGCAAGCTCTCCAGTCTTTCTTCTCGAAGAAGCAGTCGTTCAGGCTAGTGTTCTCGTCTGGAGTCAGTCCTCCGGTCAGCACTGCCATCATACTGAACAGGGAAGAGAAGCGACGACAGACCTGCACAGCCTGTGCTGAAGATACGCTTGTCCCTGGGAAACAGATCAGTGGGTGGCGACTCAATGATACTGCATTAGGACCGCATACCACTCATCAGGTTCATCATCATCTTCAACGACTTCATCCGGTCGTTTATCCTGCCGCGTGTCTGTCATCCTGGTTGGCACTCGTACGAAGAGTCCATCAAAGCTACAAAGACACCCAGACCCAGAAGTACCGCCATCGAAGCACAGACCCTGCACGTGACACACGCATCGAGGTCAAAATGTCCGTCACAAACAAAAAGCTGAATGTTTTAATGTACGCCGGCACCGGCGCAACCATATCCTCGGTCAAACACACCACCTGGTCCCTCCGCCGCTTACTTGGACCCCATTACGCCGTCCTCACCGTCACCGGCGACCAGATCTTGAACGAGCCCTGGTCCGCCACCTGCGCTTTGCTCGTCTTTCCCGGCGGAGCAGATTTGGGATACTGTCGTACGCTCAACGGTGAAGGTAATCGGCGTATAATGCAATATGTCCAGCTTGGTGGGAAATATTTGGGTCTGTGTGCGGGGGGTTATTATGGGTGTGCGAGGTGTGAGTTTGAGGTTGGGAGGAAGGGGATGGAGGTTGTTGGGTCGAGGGAGCTAGGTTTCTATCCTGGGACGTGTAGGGGGTTGGCGTTTGAGGGCTTTGTCTATCATTCTGAGGCTGGGACCAGGGCTGCGGAAATTTCGGTGAACGGTGCTGCGTTTGGGAGCGAGGCAGTGCCGGGACGTTTGAAGGTGTATTACAATGGTGGAGGCGTATTCGTCCATGCTGAAAAGTACAAGAATCAAGGGGTCGAGGTGTTGGCGAGCTATGCGGAGGATCTTGCTGTTGAGTCTGGGGAAGGGAAAGCTGCGGTGGTGTATTGTAAGGTTGGTGAGGGTGGTGTGATATTGACTGGTCCACATCCTGAGTATCAGTCTTCGTATCCTCTTCAGGCTCGAGCGTTGTACTAACGAGAGATTCAGATTCTCAGGCACGAATCTCAACGCCTCCGAACCATCCGCACACTATGACTATGCAGCGGTTGTGACAGCTTTACGAGAAGACGAGACGAAGCGGACCGACTTCATGAAGGCATGCTTGACCAAGCTGGGGCTGCAAGTCAGCCAAGAGACTGAAGCGGTACCTATCCTCTCCCGTTTACATCTCTCCTCCTCACAGCCCTCGAATGTGTCTGAATTATTAGCATCATGGCATGAGCAAGGTGTTCTGAGCAAGCGAGACGATGGTACCGAGACCATCGAAGGCGAAAACGATCGTTTCATTCTCCATCAAGCAGGACGATGGGATATGAACGACATACAAGAAGCATTACCATCAAATTCGCCAACAAGCCAAGCACAAGCTGACGACAAGCCTCCGGATAGTCTCATCGACTATAACACCATCCCCAAACATCTCGTCGCCCACGAATCCTCCCTCCCTTCCGGTAAAGAAACACCCCACTTCAACCACCATGCCTTCTTCTCCAACCTCTCCTCCTACCACAGCCAACAAAAGGAATCCTCAGGCGACTTCGGGAAAACACTACTCTACGGCGAAGTGGTGACCAGTACCTCCACACTCCTCGAAAAGAACACAACCTGGCTCTCCAACCTCCCCGACGGCTTCACAGCAACCGCCACAACCCAAGTCGCCGGCCGCGGCCGCGGAACAAACGTGTGGGTTTCCCCGCCCGGGAGTCTGATGTTCTCTACCGTACTACGCCACTCTCTCAGTCTATCCACGAAGGCGCCGGTGGTGTTCGTACAGTACATCATCGCCATGGCCATCGTGGCCGGAATCCAGGGTTACGAGAAAGGAGGATATAACCGTATCCCCGTGAGGCTGAAATGGCCGAATGATATCTATGCCCTTGACCCCACGGTGCCGGAGAAGGATGAGAAGAAGTACGTCAAGATCGGCGGCATACTAGTCAACTCCTCCTACGCCGGAGGCGACTACACCCTCGTCTGCGGCATCGGCCTTAACGTCTCCAACCCCTCGCCCACCACCTCCCTCTCCCTGCTCGCCCAAAAACTCAACCTTCCGCCCTTCACGCTAGAGAGACTTCTCGCCTCCATCCTCGCCAATTTCGAAGGTTTATATACCCGTTTCTGCCGCACGGGCTGGGATAAGGAGTTTCAGGGTTTGTACTATGGGGCTTGGTTGCATACAGATCAGATTGTGGTGTTGGAGACGGAGGGGGGAGCGAGGGCGAGGATTAAGGGTATTACGAGTGATTGGGGACTTTTGGTTGCCGAGGAGGTGGTGGGGGAGGAGGGAAGGGTGACAGGGAAGAGGTTTGCTTTGCAGAGTGACAGTAATAGTTTTGATTTTTTCCGGGGGTTGTTGAGGAGGAAGATGTGAGTGGTGTGCGGGATGGGTGGGCGTGGTTGGCTGATGGGTAGGGGTTGGTTGTTGGGGAGCTCGTAGTTGTGCTGGAGGTGTGAGGTGGGGTGGATGGTGGGAGAGGCTTGCTTGCGACGGTCAAGCGACACTTGCCGAGGGAAAGGATTTCGACAATGCTTGATCTGGATGTGCGTGCTGAGTCTAAGCTTGCAGCCCGTCTGCTTGATTACAGCAGCCTCAGTCGGTCTCGAGAGGATGTGGATCGAGTCAGGTGAACCTCACGACCATACGGCTGGTGAAGCAAGTGGTGGCAATAACACTCAGTGATAGGCAAAGGGTGTACTGGCCCTGTCTCGCACCGATCTATCTTGAATGAAGAAAAGGGGGGCCTCATAATGTCGACCGGCGTTCGCGATGGTTGTTGCAGACACACCGTGGTGCCGGTCTCGTAAATCTTGTTCGATGACAATACGGTATCCGGATGTGCCAAGACACCACGCCCTAGAAAAGCCTCATCCGACTCGGCCGGCTGACCCAAGAGCAAGCATAAGCGGAAGGAGCAGGCCGTGTAGTTGCTACAGGCACGCAGGGTTGACTTCATCTTACGCTAGGCTCAATTACTGTCCATCTTGCTTACCATGCACTATGGGCTACGGGGAGAGTACATGTGCATATCTCAGCGAGAAGCGAATGCAGGAACGCAGCAAAACATGCCGTACACCTTTCACGGTCTAGTCTCCCTCGGGGGAACATTCTCGTCGCGTGGCTGTATGCTTACGAAGTCTATCCGATGCCTGCGAGCGTTCTGCCGAAGTTCCGGGCCTCGATATGCCACCGTGCTTGAGCCTTCCGGCTGTGCAAGAGGGAGTGCTGATTCTGTTGATCGACGCTGAGTGTAGGACGCGGTCGCCAGGTTCCGAGTCAAGGCCACTCTTGTGTTTCGAGGCACTTTGTGGGACCGAGAGAACACGATGTGGGATTACAAGCATCCTCCCCATGAACAATAGATAGTCTGGATGGATATACCTTCCTCTGTGTTCCCGTATACTACGGGAGCGTTGGGACCAGACAGCCCAACTTCAAGCAAAGGAGATCAGATGTCCATACGAGTCTCGATCAGCTCAGGAACGATCCTCAGCCAGCGCCGTCTCCCTCGAGCATACCGATGACGATGTCCTCGGACGTCCATCCGCTCATCGACGACGTTGCTTCCTGTGGTCGTATACAGGTATAGCAGGCACCTTGACTGCTCTGTACTGCTCCGCCACTGCCGCCCATCATTCGAGTTTGTACAGCGCAGGAACGATCGAGTCAGTGCAAGGCAGTTACACCGCATCGCTGCCGCACATTTATAGAGATTAAAGCATAATATGACCCAAGATGTCGGTGTCCAAACCCACTCCACCATCAAAGTGAGTCATAGCGCAAAGTCTACGACGTTGCGTAAGGTCGCTCCTGTCCCAGTGGCGTGGGCGGTCACCACGTTCTCGGCACGAATCCGCCCATCCCGACCTGTAGATCTCTAACATCACCGCTCGTCCAGGTCCTGGCCGATCGAGATTGTCTTGAGGATCCATTTGATTCCGACCCAGGGCCAGCAGGCAGTCCGAGGCATGTCTCCAGCTGCGCCTTCAGCCTTCCTAATCGAGCCCTGTAGCTCGGATCCTGTCCAGAAAGTAGGGCTGAGCTAGCCTCTTTGGCTCGTATATCAGACCGTCAGGAAGTCGGACGCTGGGGCCTCACCTACCCTGCTTCTTTCGTATCTGGTGACGACGGAGGAGACTCCCGAGCTCTGAGTGTCAATCAACTCTATCATCACATCTGAGTCCTGGCCACGGCCTCGTGCGTTAGACTGCGGCGTAGCCGACGTAGTGCTGGACGCTAGGCTATTCGGTCAGTGGATCTACAATGACACCAGATGCGGTCCATCGCCATCAAAGACCAACATTCTGCTGCTCTGGGATAGCTTAGGGTGCTTTTTGAAGGGTCAATCCTGCGGTATGTCGTGAAGGCCGTGTCGGCACTCGTTTGTCATCTAGCGAGCATAGCACACGCAATGATGCAGAATGCTTCGGCGCGCGCGGCGGGAAGGATTTCAGCACGTACAGTAGCCCTAAAACTCCACCAGCTTGCTAGGGTGCAGCCGCGGTGAATGTGTAAGCGGATGGCTCTTCTTGAAGCGCTCATTAGTCGAGCAAGCGAAGCCTCGATTATCAGTCAACCACCGCTACCATACGTAGCGTCGCAGCTGAACATAGGCCATTCTCGCGCAGAACCTGTCGCTATTCATGACGGTCCATGTGGGCACTGCAGCTCTGAGAAGCGGTCTCCGCTAGATTGCACGGTCGAACGTAAACGAAGCATGGATGAACTATGTTGGCCATCCTAGGTGTTGGTAGTCTCCTTTGTCAATCCCCAGCCGCATTTGCTCTATGACTACTAATAGAAGTGAAGAGTGCCTCAGATCTTGTGCGAGTTGGCATAGATACCGACAGCTATTGACCCAACACCTCATAACAGACAACCTCACCAACAGAATGCTCCAATTTGTCCACCAGAGCGGTGCTGAGGCCGGCAAGGACGATGAAACTCGGCGCAAGGTCCGTTCACAAGCAATGCGAGATTTTCGTCGCCGTCAGCGGGAAGAGCGCGAGGCTGGTAAGCAGAGGTAGGGCATATCGTAAAGGCCTACCACATTGCTGACCATCCCTCTCCAGTAACCAACATCGGTCGAGCCAAAGTGAGCAAGTCACAACGACAGTCAAGGTCGCCACAGGCTCGCCCTTGCGCCACCTCCGATCGATCAAGAGCTGCTTCCCTGCAGAGCGACTCGACTCGTAGTGAGAGGTCACAGTCTGCAACCTTCGAGTGGAAGTCAACAGACGAGTTCTTAGCCGTCCCTACTAGCCGCACGCCTTCAATCGCAATCCAGGGCGATTATTCCAGCGATGGCGGCTCACCTGGCTACTATTCAACTCCACGCGAACAGTCACCAGGTCAATACTTCACTCCACCCGAGGTCCCATCCAATTACTACTTCGCTCCCCGAGAACCGTCACCAGCGCCATGCCAAAACATCTACTGGACTCCCGAGCTCCGACAGGAAGAGCTCTATCAGCCATCGAGAAGTCCGTCGATCTGGGCTTCCGATGTCGAGGCTGGCCCATACCCACCTCCGGAACAATTAAAGCAGACCATCAACTTTTGCCGAAGCTGTACGACCAGCACTCTCAACCTGTTCATCTGCGATGAGTGTGTTGCATTATGCGAGCAGCAGGCCCCTCCTCATACCTGGGCTCGATGTTAGAATCAGCAATGACATGTCACTTTTCCATTTGAAACTATAATCTGACTTGAGCCACCCGGCCAACACGACCAAGGCCCCCAGTAGTCTGCAGTCGCAAGTCACGTCGCAGCTACGGCTCAAGCTCGCTCCACTGCTACTACTACATCTACCGATGTCCTACAAGTGGTATGTGCTCCATGTGCGCGTCAGGCTCGATATTTGGCTAATGATGCATAGTGTGCTATCATCGATAGAACTTCATCCCGCGTTTGGACATACGGTCAGCTTCGTTATTTGCGAAACAAGACTCTCCTTCGGATTACAGATTAAAGCTATCTGTGGCCTGCTAGATTGCTTTCCCGTGATGGGGGACTTGAGTATAGAACGAGAGACAGTAAGGGAGCAACAAGCATGAATTTGACTCACATCTTGCACGGACACAAAACGGTGAGGTTTGCAGAAGGCCCAGCATTAGTGCTGCGAAGTTGGAACGTGACATCAATCTCGAGCGATGATCTCGAGCGTGGCGCCATGGATGGACGAAATTACCGAGAGAGTCAGTGCGATAACTGCTGTCGATATCTGCCGGCCAGTTCTCCGTAGTCGGGTCACTACAAGGTCACTCTACCACTCTATCTCCTTCTCACTCTGCCAGAATCCACCAGTCCTTCCACCGATATCGTCTAATGCCAACATGACCGGCGTCCGAGCTCCCTCGTCTGGGGTCTTAGCTCCTCCACCTCTAGTCATATCTGTCTTGACATAGCCAGGACAGCACGCATTGATCAGAATGTTACGACCACGCTTCGACTCCTCCATGGCGAGGACTTTGGTAAAAGCTGTCTCGCCAGCTTTGCTAACAGCATAGCCCGCACTGGGAAACCCAGCTTCTTTCTCCTTGCCTTCTGCTACCGCAGACTTGAATCTCTCCATGATGGCTGTCACGGCGGGCACATCGGTCTTGGATGCTTGGAGGAAAGCATCGCGGACTTCATCCGAGTACTTCTTGAGGCTCCCAGCCATACTGCTGACATTGACGAGCCGCCCGCCGGATTTAAGCATCGGCAGTAGATCCTGAGTTGCTTCTAGCGTGCCATAGTAATTCGTCTCGACAGTCTCCTTCACAAGGTCACTGCTGAAGCCTTGCAATGCAATACCAGCGTTGTTGATAACGATATCTAGACCATCAGGATGTTCTTGTTTCAGGAATTTGCTAAAATCTTTTATGCTTTTAGTCTTGCTGATATCGAGTTCCTTGAATGTGATCGTGGTATCGCCACCATCCTGCGCAAGCACTTTTGCCTGCTTCAGTTGTGGGTCATTATTGAGAGTATTGACTGCTTCGGCACCTCTTTCAGCCGAGCGTGCTGTAAGATAGATGAGGAAGCCGCCAGAATGAAGAGAGGACTTGGGATACTGCAATGCAAGATTGCGGACTGCGTTCGAGTTAGCTGAATTTCTAGGGCAAACGTGATCTATTGATATTGTACCAATTGCAAGACCTATGCCCTTATTGGCACCTGTAACAGCGGCTACTCGCGAATGTGTTACCATGTCTGTGGTATTTGTTGGTTTGAATCAACACAGATGTCGAATTGTTGTATGTTGGTCCCCTGGTCAAGCGCGTCATCAAGTTGCCGTCGTTCGAGTCAAAAAAGCGTCATGGCGATCATCCATGGGCGACGAGAGTAAATCATATTAAAGCATGGGTAGGCAGGGGCAAACATCTGTATGATCGAATCGCAGATACTGTGTATCAACATTGCACCAGATGCGATTGGAGATGTCAGAATGTTATGAGGTGTTGCACTGATCGAGTTGACGAATTTCAAGCTGCGTATGCAATAATTTGGCAAGACAACATGTCTTTTCGAATGAAGTATTCACATAAATATAAAGGCTGCTCTGTGCGTCAGTTAACACAGTGGCGCAGGCAGCGAAACGAATGACACCGCTTGAAGCATTTCTATAGCTCATGAATTCCAAGGTGTGCTCAAACTGTGACATACTGCACCTCGCACTCCGGAGTTGCCATCGATGTAGCGGTCGACGTCGGTGTGATTGTGATCGAGATTTCGCACTGAGTTTCAGTGGTAGGGCTGGTAGGAGCGGCGGAGCTGACAACTTTCGCAATACTGGAAGCTAGCACAACACTGGAGATCTTCGTCGAGCTGTTTGCTTTCACGGTGCTGGAAGCCAACGGGACGCTCGAGGATTTTGCCGAGCTAGGCGCCACGACTGAGCTGATACCGCTCGATGCTGATCCAACTGTGCTCCCGCTGGACGTGCCTTCGGACACCGTGATATCTGCGCTGCCGGTGCTACCAAACCCCTCGGTGGAAACGATCTGGTATGTCGCGTTCGTGGCCGGGTTAAACGTCAAGCCGAGCTTGTTGTACTCGTCGTAATGGTTCTTTGTCGTGACTGTCCCGGAAGACCGTTTCTGCTGGCGGACAGACCAGTACTGCACGTATGTGGCGCTGCGATAGACACGATAAATATCGTACATGCCTCCGTCGCTGGACAGCGTGCCCATGTGGGTTCCGCCAGTACCTGGATTGTATGGTCCATAATTCTCGAGAATGTATGTCTCGCCAGTCCCTGACCTAGACCACCCGTTAGCTATTCATTCGGCAAAGTTTCAACAAACAGACAACCACAAACCAAGTATATACGGCTAAGTACGCGTTGCTCCCTGGGACAAAGGTGCCGGAGTAGTCGATGGTCCTGGTCGCTGTCAGTCTAGATTCCAGCCCGTTGAGCAGGGCAGGGTAAAAATACCGGTCGGTAGCAGTTTTCCAGCCCTTTCCAGATGTGAAATCGCCGACATTCGACCATGTCACCTTGTACTCGCCCGCATCCCCGTTCGTGTACTGAACATTGCCTGTGCCGTCCGACCCTTGGAATAGTGGATCAGTCGATAAAGCAACATGGACACGGGAAACCCTCACCAACACTTACAAAACTGGTAGAAGTAACCACCACTCGTGCCCTGCGAATTGGCAGTGCTTCGAGAGACAAGCTCGGTAGGCAGAGCAAGTGCCTGGACGGCCACGCTTGCCGCGATGACGGCAGAAGTGAATGAAACCATGGTAGCCAGACCAATGGCGAATGAACGAGATGAGAACTGGGCAAGGAATGTGTGAACAGCGAAATTCGGCTGCAATGCTTTTCTGACATGTTCTTGGCCAGTGAGAACATATATAGCTTATGATAGCCTCGTGCATCCTCACGTAGGCTATCGGAAACGAGGTGTACGACTTGATGCTGGTACGATTGTCACGGACGACAGCCTGAAACTTACCTGGAGCATGTCTGGTGTCGAATTAAGTGCTGGTAGCGACGATCTTCTTTGAACACGATCCAGACTGGTTCCGGGTGGTGGCTGTTGCGCGCGGCATGGTGGTTGCGGACACGGTCATCGGTGTAAGGACCAATGTTGTTATGCCGTCCAGCTCCTGCTTGTCGCACAAGGGTCAACGCATTGGTATGTGGAAGGAAAGGATAGATTAAGGGGCGTGCAATATCGCTAAGATCAAGCGTGTGTGCATAAGTGCCTCAGGCTTAAGCAGGGACGTGAGTGGACCTTACATGTTACTACTTCATTCGGTTCACAAACTCGCCTACGTCTATGTATGCGTCAGACCTACAGTGAGAATTGACAAGGATCACTTCAAATGGTCTAGACATATATCAAGTTATAGTATCCATTGGAACCCTTGGTCACCCCACAACAATAGAGCTCACTGGCCAACCCGGTGACCATCAGTATCACGCCCAGCTACACCATTAGCTTCTCTCCGGATCAGACCGCTCTTGAGGTACACAGATGTCCGCATCTCGATGATTGGATCGTCACTGACACCAATACCGTCCATATACCTTGGCTTGGGGTCAAAAATGAGTCGCTCCTGATCGCGTCCTGGCGTTGATCCCTGATCCATCGTCCATAGCCGGTCGAATGTGAATACGCCCAAGTTCACAAATTCACGGTCTTCGGGCCACTCGGAGCTCGAATCGTTGAGGCTGTCCTTCTCGGGGTCGGCAATTTGAGCCATCCAGTTGTACACGATTGGCTTCGGTGGTTTGGCAGAAAGACGCTCTTCGAGGTTGTCAAACAGGTATGTGCCACTCTTTTCCTTCGCCTCTTCTTCACCCATCTTCATCACACCTTGCGGCGATACCTGAAGCAAATCAGCATAAGCTAGTGGCACGCGCTTTCGGATCACTTACGAGTCGGGTTCGGAAGTATGTCTTCTTTCCATCTTCAGAGTCAAGCGTGAAGCAATGAATGCCGTGCCACTGCTCAGTCGCGAAAGACATCGGCCAGAGCGGCTTTCTGTTGCGCGTGTACCATGGAACAAACGGCCAAACTTTAATGAGCTGCTCCCAAGTAATCTCGCCAAGCTTGTACCTGAACATATCTCGGAAGCCCTCTCCGCGATTCACAGGGAATCCGATGGCTGTGTTTGTGATCATGTCGTAGTGGGTATGACCATCCTCGGAAAGCAAGAAACGTACGGCAAGACCGCGCGGGTTGGCATCGACATCATTGTCCTTGATGTCCTTGTAACCAGTATCGCAGCTGAAGCGGGCAAGAAGCTGTGTCGATGCTTGCTTGAAGATGGGCGCTTTGGAAAGATGTTTCGCAGCCTCAGATGGCACAAATATCCCCTTGACAAGCTGACCACGGGCATGGACTGGTCTCAGCTTGGTTGAGACGTCGCCATAACCCCTGCGGATGACGTCTACCAGCTCGTCGGCGACTTTGTTGATCTGTTGATTTTCTGACACAGGCATGATTGTGGATATGAAGGGAAAGCTGTGTCACAATACCAGTTGGACGACCTACTGTGGGATCTTTGGAGTACTTCAATGCGGTTGCTCGCAGCGACTATCAGCTGCTCCCCTCATCATCGCCGGATATGAGGCATGGCTGGCTCGTTACTTCCACTAAATCCATGACCAAACGCTGTAAGTGCCAGCGTACCTGTGGTTCGTAGTAATTAGCCAAGCTTTGCGAGGTGTAGTGAAGTGTTCAGATCATCCGGGGTTAGTCAAGACTCTTGCTATTGGGTGAAGCCACTACAGGTTTCCCAAAGCAACTCCACTTACAGCCCAGGCTTATTTCCGGATCTGCCAACGAGGCGCGGCGAACAGCAGAGATAAGCAGCCAATTGCGGCCTGTCAATCCTGTGAGCCAGACTGGTCGCTGCACAGGAGAGTCTCGGTCTTCATCAATTGTCAATTTGTGAGAGTGGTTGCGATGAAGAACAACGTCCACCACTCTATTCTGATCATTAGGGTAAGCATAAGCGACCTTGCTGTCACATTATCACAAGGCCAACAACCGGCGGCATGGCAGGCAGTTACCTCTATGATCTGCCAAAGCCACCTTGTGATGAATATGTATAGAGCTGGGTCGTGAGAGTCCATCACTGGGTTGCAAGGTTGGATATCATTGTAGTTCAGCCGCAGAAGTGACATCCATCGTTGTTATGGTCGCGAACCGTTCTCCTGGGTCGCGGCCATCCTTGATCAACCATGCAGCTTGGCTGCCTTCCATATTTCGCGCTGCAATTCTAAGCGCGAGACATGAGAGAGTGCAAATCCATGAACAAACACCATCTGCCACGTGCACGACGCCGGCCCCCCGTCCGAAGCCACCCGAGAGGACTTAATTCCACCCGCTGGGACGTATGAGGCGCCGGCTAGGACAAATCTGCACAACAGTGTAGGTGGCTTTGATAAAACCGAAGCATGTCGACAAACCCGGGGAGGATCTAGAGCATGATTGGGGTCCCCAGACTTACTACTTTAATCCCGCACGTCTGGGGAGTGCCAAAGTCTATCGTTCTTGGGTTTGGCTTGCCCAGATGGTTCGTAGGAAACCTATATGAGTGATTCGAGGGCTCCAACGCTGCAGACAGAGACCTCAGGCTCTTCTATCGATCGTACTTGAAAAGACCAAGGGGAGATCTCCTCGATTCCCTTTTGCTCACCCTCTTCTCTACCTACACAACTCGGCGCTCGCTGGGTTGCTCACACTCCTAGCCACGATGGAGAAGGCGACAGAGCAACGCCATAGCAATGGTAAAGGCCATGAGGTCGACGCTGAACAGGGGGCCAACTACGGTATTGGACATGCCGAAGCTCCTATGATGCAACACCGCGAGGACGACGATCGTGCCGATGAGGCCAAGGGTAGAAATGCGGATCAGATGGATCGCAAGTACTGGCTCTCCGTCAATTACATTGGCACGATGTTCGCCATCGGGTAAGCGCAGTGTTAGTATCGGGCTCATCGATGGGCTCTGACCATATCTACAGGATGGCTTTCATGGGCGGCATAGGAGGTACGAGACTGATCGTGGCGTGTATCGATCTTTCATCCGACTGACCCTTTTCTTCTAGGCTTCGGTCTTGTAGCACCCATCTTAGGCACAATCGATGTGGATCTTGGCCCGTCACCAAACATCAACTGGGTGCCACTCGTGAATATCTGCGGCGGTGCAGTTTTTTTCCTTATGGTTGGCAAGCTTTCAGATATCTTCGGTCGCCGGTAGGTGTTTGACGAGATGCGTACCATCCCGAAAAGATTTGTGGCTAACTTTCTATCTACAGCTGGTTCTTTATCTTAGGCAGTGTACTTGGCCTTCTAGGTTCCATCACCGGCGCAGTCGCCATGAACGTCAACACCATCATCGGCGCCGAGGTCCTCATTGGTGTAGCGGTCGCCTTCCAGCAATCTTTCTTCTGGGCAGTCGCTGAGCTGGTCCCCATGAAGTACAGATATTTCGCGAACTCCTACTGCTACCTGATGACTATTCCCTCATCGCCACTGTCAGCAAGAGTCGCATACAGCTTCCTCCAATACCCCGGCACATGGCGCAACTCCTTCTACTTCCTGATCGCCATCAATGTCGTCAGCATCCTGTCGTGGTGGGCTTTCTACCACCCACCGACTTTCAGCATGTTGCACAGGAAGAAGCTTGCGAGAGATCTTCTGCTCCACTTCGACTGGATTGGTGTGCTTCTGTACAGCGCTGGTCTCATCATATTCATCTTCGGGCTGAACTGGGGTGGTGTCTTGTACCCATGGGAGTCCCCTCAGGTCCTCGCAACAACCGTCATTGGCGGCATTACGCTGTTCGTGGCCCTTCCGATCTGGGAACTCTTCGTTAAGAAACGGGGAAAGGAGCCTTACTTGCCGCTTCATCTATTCAAGAACGTGCGATATATGGCTGCTGCGTGGAACAACGGCCTCGGAGCGTGTGTGTACTACGGTTTCGGGATTGTGTTTCCACAAGTCGTCAACAACATCTACTACGCTCTGGCGAGATCAGCGAGTACGACGTTGGTACCCTCGCCGGCTTGACGGCCATGGCATTCGTTTTCGCACAGGTCTGCCACGGCTTTGTCGAGTGGATCACTGGACCGAAGTGGGGAACACGTGGAGCAGCATTGTGCGGATGTGCTTTAATGACTGCCTGCGCCACTGATCTAGGCAATCGACCTCTGACAATTGGTCTCCTTATTCCCGGCGCTTTCTGCATGGGTCTAGTCGAGGGAATCTCAACCACAACTTCAACATTCCATCTGCGATCACAAGAGGAGATCGGCGAGGGTGGTGGACTCTGTGGTAGTATTCGAAATTTCACATCCGCTATCGCTGTTGCCATCTACACAGCTACGCTCAGCAATCGCCTCGACAAAACAATCCCGCAGTATGTTGCACCCGTGGCACTACGCATGGGTCTACCACAAGGCTCTTTGCAGAGCCTTTACGCCGCCGTACAAGGCAAAGCTTCATACGACCTCGTCAACGGCTTGACCCCTGCAATTAAAGAGGCAGTGCAGTACCCATGGCAAGAGGCGTTCATCAAGGCCGGCGGCACAGTCTTTTTGGTTTCAGCCGCCTTCTCGGGCACAGCACTCATTCTATCGCTATTTTTCACCAACAACGACAAGAACACTTTGGACTTCGTGGCCTCGAATGTTCATGGTAAGGCTATGGAGCGGCAGTATGCTACGGAGCACAAGGAGTTCAGGCGCTCTTCTCTTACTGGTGCCGAGTCATGATCTGCCTCACCCGGTCGACAGTGATCTGAAAGAAGTCGTTCGCAAGGGTTTGAAGCATTCACGCAGCTCCACATGGGCTGACGTGTTTTAATAATGGCCATCTACATAGCGCAGGGTTGGTTGTATACCAGAATAGGGTGTCTGAGTACATTGTTTCAAGGCCCTGCAGAGCTCGTGCCTTTCGTCGAGGCTATCATCAATCCTGTTCCATCATTATCACAATCTTCCCAACGAACTTTTGAGATCGAAGCGCTCCAAACGCCTCTTCCAGACGGCTCGTCGGAAATGTCTCGTCAATAATGTCATCGAATTGCAGTCCCGAAGCACCAACAAACTCGTTCATCTGCTCAAAGTCTCGTCGGGATCCCACATTGATGCCTCGCAGAACGGCAGTTTTGTCGATGAGAAGATGTATGAAGCCCTCTAGGTCGGCTACATCCTGCTTGCTGAGATAGCCTACTTGACTGATGGTACCGCCTTTCGCGACTGCACGTAAGCTCTTGAGAAGGCTAGATGTACCGCCGATGTCGAGGACAATGTCTACACCTCGGCCACCATTCATGTCTACAGCTTTCTCGTGCCAATTTGGTGTCGTCCTATAGTTGATCGTCTTCACTTGCGGGTATTGCGACCTGACCTTGTCAAGTTTCTCGTCGCTTGACGATGTGATGATGGCCTTGCTGCCAAAAGCGAGCGCGAGTTTCAACGCCATGATACTGACGCCGCCGGTACCTTGCAACAGTACAGTCTGCCCTGCTCTGAGGCTCCGACTACTATCTACCAGCGAGCTCCACGCTGTGACGCCAGCATTTGGCAGGCACGCGGACTCTTCCCACGGCAGGTGGGCAGGGAGACAAACGCAAGTCTCTTGGTCCATCACAATATGGCTCGCGAGTACGCCTTCGATCTCGCCACCAAGCCAGGCGCGGCGCTGCTCGTCGCCAGTGATAGCGAGCTGGTCGAGGATCGGACAGACTTTGTCACCAACAGCGAATCTGGCGACACTATCTCCAATGGCAATGACCTCTCCAGCCGCATCGGAACAAGGAATTCCATTGTCGAGAGTAGGCCAGGGGTTCGTGCCGTTAAGGATGTTCATATCACGGTAGTTCAGACTGACAGCGTGGACCTTGATGAGGATAGACGTGAGCGGAAGTCGATCTGCGAGTGGTTCGGTATGCCGTTCTAGAGAACGAGAAGCGTTATTTCGACGCCATACTGTGCGTTCCTTGGGCATTGCGGTCTTGGTCATGGCTCTTTCGATCAGGTGAAGTAGTGCGGCGTAAGGTCGGTCACTATTCAGCTGATGCGTGTTCATTCATGTCAGAATAGGAGAGGTCGCTATATACTTATTCCAATGTCGACCGTGTTGGAAACGGATCAAGGGTGGCAACCGAAGATATGTATCTGCTGTATTACAAAGCGCAAGTGGGCAGCAATGGAGCGTCATTATTACAGGCAGCTGTAGAGCAATGTCCGCATGTAGGCTATAGTCCAATGTTCACAGCGCCCGTGGAAGGTACGTTGAAAGATGGAAGAACGGTGAATGGTGATTACTAATGCCGTGCCAAGACTTTGCTCCGGATCGTCTCACCTTTTCGAGTGACACGCTGCCATCTTTAACACAGTAGCAGAATCGAACGACTTCATGGATATAAAAACAATCTTAGCCACAAGTATCAGAATCGCACATAGCGACTTTCTGGCTAATAATCCGGCAATCCACGAAGTCATTCGGAGGCACTCGTCGTAACCTACCTACCGCAAGCCCTCTATCAAATCTCCCACTAACTTCACCCACGCCTTGACAACAGCCTACCATTTCCATGGTGCGCTGTAACTGTCCGCTTCTCACCCCAATGAGCCTACGGTATTCGTCACACAGGCGCAAAGCGAGCACTATTCTATGAAGATCGCAATTAAGCCGGAGCATCATCTTGAGCACATGTTTTGCTGAAATATGCCATGCGTGGGTGGAGGAAGCTTGACTATGATTGATCTGACACTACCTATTTATTCTCATTTATGAGCTTTCAACTTGTTGCAGCGCAGGGATATGATCTCAGGACGATAACTAATACGCTTCGCTCGTTTGCCACTTCTTCGACCCTCTGTCTAGCGCCGGACGTTAGGATCACTCCACCTCCTCGCCCCATGACTCGTACTTCTCAAGCCAAGCAGAGACCCGGTCTCTCGCATGCCCGACTGGCGTTTGCTATGCTTCGGCCCATTATTGATAGTGTCGACCTCTGGGTCAGGGTCTGCATGTTCCAGCTCCGTCATCCAGCGCGGCTTTCTCGACTTTCCACGACGCCCTTCCGACTTTGGCGTAGTATCTTCTGCTTGCTTTACCTGAGCAGCTTGCTTAATTTGAGATAATCTGCGAGCTTCCATTATCCTCCTATGTCGCTCGTCGTGGTACGCCTCCTGGCGATGCAAGTTCAACAATTCCAATGCAGCTTCTTCGTCATAGCGATCCGAGGCATCTCCTTGCAATTCGTCTTCGCGGTCCGGATCCGAATTTTCGGCTTCCTGGTCCAACTCTGCTCTACCTCGCTTCCTCCCAGTCCGTGTTGCTGCGTTGGGAGCAGACGTCCCATTCGCTCTGGATGTGGTTTTGGCACGCTTTGGAGTTGTGCTCTGGCTGTCCTCGCTGACACCGCCAAGCTCACCGTCTTCGGACTTAGTGTATGCGGGTTCTGCAGAAGTGGATGGCTCATCTGAAGTAGCGCTCTCCAGCAGCTTTCTATAAGTCTTGCGCTTCTTGAATCCCCGTGGTCTTCGCCTCACTCGAGATGCCTCTGCACTAGATTTACTTCCTGATCGTGATGCAACATGCTCGAAGGCATGCTTTGACGATGTAGTGATATTGTCTGCATCTTCATACGATTGTCCCTCTCGGTGACGCGTTGAACATGCGGTGATGGTCTCGCCATCTGCCTCTGCCGCTCTGTAACACAGACCAGATCAGCCAAAGGTCTTAATATAATATCTCGCTAATGCCCAATCCGTCACTTCAGCACAGTATTCGCATTTCGTATGGCCAGATACTCTTGGACCTGTGCCGTGTTCAAGCCCTTGATTATCTGATAGATCTCGGCATTATAGTACTGCAATCCAGTCTTTGGATCTATGTACCTTGAAGGCAGACCGGTGATATCGCAGTACTTTGTCTTAGGCTTCAGACTCGGTGGTGCCTGAATACTGGTGTACGTAATACTAGGTCCCGTAATAATATTGGAGGGTACAGCAAGTCCTCCTCCATTCGCGTGCCGAGCATTTTTATCTAATACCAACCTGCTCAAGTCCTGGCTTCCTTGCGCAGGGTTCGGGTTTAGACTAGCTGTCGTGGCTTCGCCGTCGGTCACGGGTTGAGGCGTCGTGGCGCCAGAATTCTGCTGTGTATTCATGATACTCTGCTGTGCTCGTTGTGCTTCCGACAATATTTGTTTGAGATTCTTGTTGCGACGTTGCGGTGGTTTCCAGTTGGGGTTGCGGAAGGGTTTGGGTAGCTTTTGCATGTCGAGTTGATCGAGGAGGGCGGCATGAGTCTCGTCGTTTGAGGCAGTAGTTATCGGCGCCATGGTGGCCGTGCCGTGTCCTATATCGGACAGTGTTGTCGAGAAGGAGTGTCTTGAAGGTCGCTTTCACATGGCAATCACGAAACGGACAACACGCGCTAAGCTGTGGCTGCTGCCGCCCCCACGTCACCGTACCGGAGATCAGAAGCAGCCGGGCCGAGCTCTCTGACCGGATTGGTGTACGAGATTCTGGTCTTTGTGACAGGTGACTTTCTACAGTATACATCCTACTAGGCGACACGATAATCCACTACAAAGCACTTCTCTCCTATCCCTACACTCGATCTCACCTCGCAAAACGCCCCATACAACCGCCACCATGAAGATACTCTATATAGGCGTACGTCCTCCACCTCCACCTCCATCACCACCCCACCCCACCCCACCACGACACGTACTAATCCTACTATTCTCCAGATCCTCCGCAACGAAGACAAACCCGCTGTCGAACTCTGCGCCGAACGCGACCTTTCCTCCTACTCCCGCTTCACCCGCACATCCGTCGGCGAATTCATGTCCCTCTTCAGCAAAACCGTCGCCGAGCGTACCCGCCCTGGCCAACGCCAAGACGTCGAAGAGCAATCCTACACTTTCCACGCATATGCTAGGTCAGAGGGGGTTGCGGGCATAATAATCAGTGATCAGGAGTACCCGGCGCTAGTGGCGCATCAACTGCTAGGCAAGATTATGGATGAGTTTCTGGCCAAGTATCCGAGGAGTGCTTTTGCTGGGACAAGCGTGAAAGAGTGTCCGTTTCCGCAGTTGAAGGAATATATTGTCAAGTATCAGGATCCGCAGCAGGCGGATAGCATTATGAAGGTGAGGATGCCTCTTTAGCGTGGTGACAAAGGAGGGTATACTGACCAGACGAGCAGATCCAAAAAGAGCTTGATGAGACAAAGATCGTACTCCACAAGACCATCGAGTCAGTACTGGAGCGAGGGGAAAAGATTGACAGCTTAGTGGCCAAGTCGGATGGCCTGAGTGCGCAGAGCAAGATGTTCTATACCCAGGCGAAGAAGCAGAACTCGTGCTGCGCAGTCATGTAGATATGAATGGAACGATAATGTAATCAAGCGACATGCATGGGCTGGTGTTGAAGGAGTCTTCGGTCAGATTGGCAGCATATCCACACCTGTAAAGTCCACGAAACAGACACCAAGAAACGATGTTCATGGACATTACATTGATTTACGTACAATGCGGCTTTCCTGGCCGTTTCTATATCCTACATTCTTCTGGATATCCCACATCAGTACACCCAAAGCCCGATCTACCACCCTTACAAGATCGTCCGACTGTTGTACTTCCACCCCGCCTGGATAAACAACGCGAAACATGAGCACACACCCGCAAACCACGCCGCCGTCCTGAGAGGCACCGGGACCAAATCCTGAAAGATATAGATATGGTTATACGCAAATCTCGAGGTAACATACGCCAGCGCACAATAATTCAACGTCGCCACATCCAATCCCGCAGCATTGCCCGCGACCACCGCGGCAGCGAACAAAGGCAAGTTCTCGAAGGAGTTGGCCTGTGCGGCTTCCGCTCGAACGATTCGACCGCAGGTCTTCTTGTCCAGGCGCTGGTCGGAGTGGACGTCGTTGGTGAAGTCGCGAGGTTGGAACTTGTTGTAGGATTTGCCTGAGTCGGAGTAGGCTTTTGCTGCGAAGGCGCGGGGGAGGAGGGCGATGGTCCAGGCGGCGGGGATAAGGTAGAAGGAGATGTTGTCGCGGGCGAGGTTGGGGAGGTAGGATGTCATTGTTGCGGTGGTGAGGTTGGGTCGGATGTGCTTTGGTGGTGGAGAGTGTGTTTCGTAGACTATGTGCGAGATGGGATTCTATTCTGAGAAGTCAGTATATAATAATATAGCGTTGTCTTGATCATAAAAGTTCCGCCGTTGATTGACACGGGATCTGGTTGTTCATCCGGCTCCACAATCACCGGGAATGAATCTATCCGGCCAGTCATGATTGGCTTCTACTGCTTGTAGAGCACATCAGGTCATTGCTGAATACGCGTACCTTGAAGTGCAACGACGATAACTATCTTGATGCTCTGCGTACATACCAGGCGTTCTTACAATGGTATCTCGTCTGGCTTTCCAGCACATGTGTGTTGATGTCAGTCTTGCAGGGATCTATCTTGTACGTCTCCGCAAAAAGTCATGCGGCATGCGGCTCTGGCGGGACCGACCGCAAGCAGCCAAAACTTGCATGTGAAACCTCGATCCAGCTTTCGGCGCGCACCTTGAATATCTCACCAACCACCAAACAACGACATACACACTACAAAAACATTCACCTCGTCGGGCAGTCACCTGACGATCAATATAACGCTTCGTCACAAAGTCCACATTCATCTATGGGTTCTTACACTGCCACCGTCACCGTCAATATCACCGCGCAGAGCGACCTTGGCGCACCACTTCCTGGACTTCCTGCTGGACTGTCACGTACCGAGTCGAGCTTTGCATCGCTGCTGTGGCTACTCGCCCTAAGCCCGCCTTGAATGAGGTGGGCGAAACCGGACTGTTGCGTGGACTGAACACACGAACAAGAAGCACGATTCCCGGATGACATAAAGTTGGAGAAGTTGTTTGCCTGATGTTTGTGGCTGCTTGACATACTACCTGCATCAAACCCCGAGGTCTGCCCCGGACCTAGTACAGGAAGCCAGCAAGAGGGACGAGACCCAGTTCCTCGGGTTTGGGCAGCTCGCAATGCCTGGAATGGATCTTGTCGCCAATGGCACAGCTTTGGACGTGCAGCGCTCTCCACCGATGACGATCGTCGCGCCTGCAAGACTACCAGTCCGCGGTACGACTGATATGCTGTCTAAGGATCCAATGGAAGTGCCTAAGCTGGACCATGAGGCGATTAAGGAGAAAGCAAGAAAGCGGAAGAAGAACAAGAAGAAGATGTCCGCCGCAGCACCAGCTGTTAATGTAGTGAAAGGCTTCCAGACGCCAGTCATGTCAGGTGGCGAGGAGAGTGACATGTCTTTGGCTGGCACACCAAGACTTGGAGCTACAGGCAGCCCTCTAATACGCGCGGCAACCCCTGGTGTGAGTGGGATCAGCGCGCTCAAGTCGCGGTTGGATGCCTTGTCTCTAGACAACGATGGTTCTCGACCAAGCCTGGAGAGGGTCATGTCCAGCACCTCAACTGTGTGCGAAACCACAACATCAGCCTCGTCCCGAGCGAGTGACGGCGATCGCACGGAGATGGAGGCCTACGATGTGCCGCTCGACCAGGACTTCACTAGCCCCGACGCTGGCAGCCGCACCCCAATCCTGGCTTCACATATTATTGAAGGAGGTCTACGCGCTAGCTCCGTATGTCGCAAGATGTGTGCTGAGGATTTCGAGCCACTGCGTTGTCTTGGCAAGGGCGCGTTCGGCACGGTCCACCTCGTCAAACAGCAAGCCAGCGGTCGCCTGTACGCGCAGAAGCAGTTCAAGAAGGCAACCTTGACCGTCCACAAGCGCATGATCGAGCAGACGCGCACAGAGCGCACCATTTTAGAGTCAGTGAACAGGCATCCTTTTGTGGTGAAGCTCTACTACGCTTTCCAGGATCACGAGAAGCTGTATCTCATCCTGGAGTACGCGCAAGGCGGTGAGCTGTTCACTCACTTGGCGATGGAGCGCATGTTCACGGAAGAAGTCGCAGCCTTCTACATGGCTGAGATGATCCTGGCTCTCGAGCACTTGCACCACAATGTCCGTGTCATCTACCGCGACCTCAAGCCAGAGAACTGCCTGCTCGACGCCGAAGGTCACCTCCTACTCACCGACTTCGGCTTATCGAAAGTAGCGCTCGAGGACGAACGCGCAGACAGCATCCTAGGCACCATCGAGTACATGGCCCCTGAAGTGATCATTGGAAAAGGCTACGATTTCACAGTCGACTGGTGGAGTCTCGGAGCTATCGGCTTCGATCTTCTTACTGGTAGTCCGCCGTTTGGCGGCAACAATCATGCCAGGATCCAGCAGAACATCTTGAAGCAGAAATTGCAGATTCCATACTTCCTGGGCCCGGACGCGAAAGATATACTCACCCGTCTTCTGCGCAAGGAGCCTCATAAGCGACTAGGAGGCACGAGCAAAGCCGATCTGAAGACTTTGAAATCGCACCGTTTCTTCCGTAAGATCGACTGGAAGAAACTTGAAAAACGCGAGCTCGAGCCGCCGATTCAGCCTGTGATCACGGATCCCGAACTGGCGGAGAACTTCAGCAACGAGTTTACGGAGCTGCCGCTCAGTCCTGTGCTGACTCGTGGTGGCAAGTCTTTCGAGGATTATATGGAAGATGTGCAGAAGCCGGAGGGGAACCCTTTTGGTGGGTTCAGTTTTGTGGCTAGCAGTAGTCTACTTGAAAGCGACGAGATTATGCTTGGAGCTTGACTGTATGGCAGTAGTCGCGCGTGCACTTGTGGTGGTGTGCAGTATGAGCATGTGCACAATCGCATGGTGCAGCGTGGTACAGGCGCGTGTCGATTGAGGTGGTGGTCTTGTGTACAATTGTTTGAGGGGCATAGGATACAGATTGCTCACACCCTCTTTTCTGCTGCATTCCGGACGTGCTGTTACCTCCACTTTCCCGCACTCACGTATCCGCTTTTGGGACACTGGTAGGACGCGAAGTCTTCCTCCTGATCGCCGGTAGTAAGACATGTGTCGTCGATCTCTTGCCTGTTCCTGGCACAGCAGATGATGCACGCAGCTTTGCGCAAGATGCGGACCGTCAGTTGCACGGGTCGCTGCCGTGCACTACCATAGCGCTAAGTACATTACCATGGCGCTACGCTCATACTATATGCAGACAATACTCATACCAGACACTTGCCAGGTCTCAGAGCGAAAACATCTGATGTGATTTTGCACGCCCCAACCACAACGGTAGTGGTCGATGGGCATCATGTCTCGAAGCTATTCAGTCCCATGAGTATCTGCAGTACCGCCTCATATCGAATGCTCCACAGCAGTCTGCAGATCAACCTGCAATCGTGGCAGATGTCTGTCATTACAGCAGAGGCGAGGAGAAGGGATAAGCGCTCGTTGTTGTTCCGGCAGGGTTGCATTAGTCTGAATCACACAAATATACTGGTGTTCGTCTCTGACAAGACCATTGTACCTCTGTCCTGTAATTCCGACATACTTCGATCGATTTTATCATGTTCAGCAAGGCCATACTCGTCAGTCTTGCTACAGCGGCTACCACCCTTGGAGCTCCAGTACAGTCAAAACGAGACACCACCACCAGCAGTACAGCGCGCGCGAGCGCTGTGAAAGATGTGTTCCAATTCGCTTGGGATGGGTACTATCAGTGCGCAGCCTTCGATGGATCAAACGCAACAATGCACAGCTGACCGGACCAGGTATGCATTCCCGAACGATGAGCTTCTTCCAGTAAACAACGGCTTCTCTAACTCACGGTATGGCTCGCCATAGGCCGACGGCCGGATATTGGCTGACAATTGTAGCAATGGATGGGGTGCATCAGCCGCGGATGCCTTGACCACGGCCATAGTCATGCAGAATGCTGAGGTCGTGAACGAGATCCTAGCGTATGTTCCAACGATAGACTGGAGCGGAAGCTATCAAGATGAGCAGGTCAGCCTATTTGAGACTACCATACGATATCTGGGATCAATGTTGTCGGCCTATGATCTGCTATCTGGCCCCGTATCTTCGTTGGTGAATGATGTGCGCCATAATGAGCATTCCTTTGATCGAAGGTTGCTATGCTGACGAAGGAATAGACGAGCCTTGTTCCAGCGTTGCTCGTGCAGGCTCAGAATCTTGCGAATAACCTCACCTATGCTTTCAACACACCAAGTGGTGTGCCGAGCAATAACCTGATCTTCAGCAGCCGCAGCACAGATGGCTCCACCACCAACAACCTGGCACAGATTGGTACCCTGGTGCTGGAATGGACACACCTATCCGACCTGACAGGTAATACCACTTATGGCGACCTGGTGCAAAAGGGCGAAAGCTATCTTCTGAGCCCACAGCCATCGTCGTCCGAACCATGGTCAGGCCTTGTTGGCTCAAACATCGAAATCTCGACCGGGCAATTTGTAGATGCATCTGGTGGCTGGAACGGTGGCGACGACAGCTTCTACGAGTACCTGATCAAGATGTACGTGTACGATCCCACAAGATTTGGCGCCTATCGAGATCGGTGGGTAGCTGCAGCCGACAGCACTATCGCGCATCTGGCTTCGCATCCCTCGTCTCGGCCAGACCTCACGTTTCTGGCCGCTTTCGACAGTACCACGATCGTGGAATTGTCGAGCCACTTGGCGTGCTTCGACGGTGGCAACTTCATCCTCGGAGGTCTAGTGCTTGGCGAGCAGAAGTATATAGACTTCGGTCTGAACCTGGTCAGTGCCTGTGAGGACACGTACAACCAGACATCAACCGGGATCGGGCCCGAAAGCTTTTCGTGGGACAATTCATCCGTGCCCGTTGAGGAAGCGGCATTCTTTGAGAAGGCTGGCTTTTACATCATTGACAGTAGTTACATACTTCGTCCGGAAGTGCTCGAGAGCTTTTACTACGCATACAGAGCGACTGGCGACACCAAATACCAGGACTGGTCGTGGGCCGCGTTCCAAGCCATCAACGCTACTTGTCGTGTCGGCTCTGGCTTCTCAGAGATAACGGACGTCAATGCCGCGCACGGCGGAAGCTTCAAGAATTTCCAAGACTCCTTCTTTTTTGCAGAAGTGCTGAAGTATAGGTAAGCTTGCGATTGATCATCTTCGTCGCCGGAAATGACTGACCTTCGAGATCGTAGCTACCTCATCCATGCTCCGGACGATGTCTGGCAAGTCAATTATGACAGCAGCAATCTATATGTGTACAACACAGAAGCACACCCTATCAAGGTATGGCAGCAATGAGTCGCATGTCGTGGAGGTTGTTAAGGCCGCAACTTTGGCCCCGCTAGTCATGTGGAGGACTGCATGATATGCCATTGGCGAGTATCCAGAGTCATTGATGGGTTCGAGCGGGGCGAATACTCGAGGCTCAATGGCATGTGCCAGGATGATATGACGCTGCTTCAACCATTGTCTCCAACTGCAGCACCTACTGTCGAAGGCAAGTCAAGATTTGGAGGTTGCATGTAGGCGAGGACAGGATCCGATAGTTGGTAGTCTGCACCAAAGAACTCAGCCAGATCAAGATCCGGTGCGAAACCCAGATTCTGCATGAATTGTGGCTGTTGACGAGAGTCGGCACGCTCCAGCATGGCGAGCTCTTCGAAGATATCACTGCCTTGAAATGCAGATTGCTCGAGAGCACTCGTCATGGGCGGTAATGGTTGGCTGAGCCAGTCATCGGAGAAGCCATGGTGTTCAGAGTGTAAGATGGGCGTAAGGCCCGCTGTGTCGCTACTAGCATTTGTTGGTATGCTGAGGTATGGAAGACTTGCCTGTTGTCCATTGGCTGTACTCTGGGGTGTATAATTCACCCGGGCCGGTGGTTGATTTGAGGAGCTTAAGACATCTGCAGGATGCTTTCTGCCCTTTGCAAGGACGCTATTGCTCAGCAAGCAGGACACTGTCCTTGCTACTTTGGCTTGTGGAATCGGGCTATCAGATGAAGCCTGTTCAAGTGCTTCGAGACCAGCGAAGGCCTGCCGGACAACACCATTGAACGTACTGAATGCTCGCATGGGAGCTTTAGACGCCAGTACGGGCTCGAGTGGGTCATGCCAGAGCGACCATTCGTCCAGCCCATCTTCAGCGACCTCTCCGAGAGCCTGCATTTGCCTCATCGATGCTTGAGGTTGCTGATGCAAATAATCGGCGATTGTGGTCTCGAGAACCACAGCGGCTTGCACGACAATGTTCAAGCGTTGTTCGTTGGGGTCAGAGTGTGCCAACAGCGAGAGTCTTAAAGCACACCCAACAACTATCCAGGCGGTAGGCCACCGCTCTCTGATAACCTCTGCCACAGTCAAGATCAAAAGAGTCTTGACGTGGCTTAGCTTGAAGTCGCTTGCGTATGAGGGCAGCAAGCCGTAGACTATGTCACGCAGACGGTCACTTTCGGAATCGTCGTGGGTCTGCAGAGCAACGAGCGCCATTATAGACAACAACTCAGCATAGCTCGCTGACTTGGCAAGATCCATCTTCGATAGTCCTTCCGGTGGGAAGGTGTACATGAGTTTCAGTATTTCCTGCTTATCCGTGATCGGAAGCCAGGAGTACGTAAAGGCAACAAAGTAGTCTAGGAAGCTCCATGCACTGCTGGGAAGCTTGTGTAGCTCGTTAGGCTTGAGAATCATGTTATGCGTCAGTGACCCTTGAAGCTGAGGATCCAAGCACGTCTCTCGTAAAATTTCCACCGCAGCAGGTCTGTTCACATCGTACTGGGAAGGGCCGCCATTGCGTGATGGCATTGAGTCGGTGCCAGACCGGGGCCAGATCTCCGATGCATGTTGATTTGCACGAACAGGTTCCAGTCGTTCCTGCAGATCCTGTTGGGCTAATGTAATCTTGGGAGAGTCAATGGGGGCACCGGACAGGACCTGGTCTATCTGCTTGCAGACTATCCCATTTCGCCACATCCGGTGCATAGTCTCAGCGGAAGGTGCGTCTTTTCCGGCGAGGGCCTTGTGAGTCTCGTCGTCCACATTTGCGAGTTTCTCGGACAACAGCACTTCGGTCTGCGGCCATGTCTGGAATAGCCACGCCAATGAGGACTCCAGAGTTCGGATATAGTTGGGCTGAATGCCACGCTTCTTCGGCTGCTCATGGTAAGTGCACTCTCGATCTTGCGATGTACATGTCAGCTGTGGAAATTGTTAGTGTGCACGCCGATGGATGTCTCCAAGACGAGTGCTGCCTATCTCACTTACGCATGTTGGCTGCGTCCCGTCGCACTTCTCTCGGGATGCTCGGCATTGATCGCAGGCTCGCGAAACTCGAGAGCGCTTCGGAGCATTCGAATCTCCTGCTGAGGCTCGCTTCTTGCCATTGCCACGGACCGTGTCCTCGCCGCCCTGGTCGGCACCTGTCATTGCACTCCCTTGAGCATACCTTGGATACCTCGCAAAGCCGTGCCTGCCAGATCAAGCATCACATCCGTAGCACACGAGCTTGCGCAAGACGCGGTCGCGGCCTAGGCTTGCAATGGATGCTGATGAACCTCCGGCCATAGAGGTGTGTACAGCAGTGGAAAGTGGGGCGAAGGCGCGCGTGCCAAGAGATGTTCGGAAGAATGCTTATCCAGAGCTCATGGCTTCCATCTCGACGTCTCCCTTCACGTCGAGATATACAGACTTTAGCTTCGAGGCCACTGACCAGGAATACGATCATAAGGTGGTCGTGTACAACTCCTCCTCGCCATGGCGGCACTCCATGCCGGTCTCAAGCGGAATCACGATCACATGCTTGACCTCCGCCACTCGGTCTCAGAGGCGACGTCAAGAGACCTTTCACCTTACGATCGCGAGGAGCGCCCGACGAACACTCCGCGAGCCACACTTGACCGCTCTGGGCTCCATGGCGATGTGTTCGAAGATAGTGCATCGTTCCGCACCTTTGACGCCAGTTCCTCCATTGTCCTAATAGGTGTACGAGGTGCTGGTAAGAGTTCTCTAGGTGTGCTTGCTGCCACAGCGTACAGTCGCCGTCTGGTCGAGATCGACAGGTCCTTTTTCGATACCACAGGTATCACACCTCGAGACTATCGCAAGGCTCGTGGCACCGAGGAGTTCTATAAGCGCCATGCCAGTGTGTTAGCCCACACGCTTAACACTCACAATACCAACAGTGTCATCATATGCGGTTTTGCAGATCTCGAGCATGATGGTGCAACACTGTTGCGGACTTACGCAAAGACTCATCCGGTATTCCACGTCACACGAGACGCCATGGGAATCCAGTCTTACCTGCAAGTCTGGTCTGTGGATAGGGTTCAGCGACTGCTGCGCGATACTGGACCTCTACTGCGCTCGTGTACAAATTTTGAGTTTTTCAACCTCACTGAAGTATTGGCGGCCCCTGCAGAACAAGGAGTATCGGATGTCACCAGATCAGACGGGCTCTTTCTTACTCTGAAGCGAGTGGAGCGCGACTTCTTGAGGCTATTGAGGAATGTGTTGGGTGACCGCGATCGTATACCTTCACATCAGTCCGCGTATCCTCTTTCCCAGATATACGTACACGAGCGGCCATCCACCATATGTACACAGGTCGATCTGGAAGACATTGTGCGCCGCACTGCTGACCTTGACGATATTCAAGTGGGGGCCGACGCGATCGAAATCCTCATAGCTATGAGCACTTCGGATCATGGACCACCTCACGAGGATCTGCTATTGTCGATTGCCGAAGCCTTTGCGGTTGTCCGGAGGTCTACCATAATACCAATCATACTGACAGTCGCACCAGCACAGCGAGACGGTGAACTCAAACAACAGTATATGTGTCTTACAAGTTACTGTTTGCGATTCGGGCCCGAGTATGTCACTGTCGCTCTCCCTCCGAATGGTGATAATGTAAATGTCAGAGCTCTACTCGGTGGTAAAGGCAGGACCGTCATGATCGGCGAATGCGATATGGATAGCAGACCGAAGAATGGCTGGCTCGATGAAGAATGTCTAAAATTGTATTGTCGAGGCGATAGCTTAGGCTTCGACATTGTCAGGGTGCGCATGCCAGCAGACAGCACGGAAGACAATTTCGGGATACCCATCTTCCTGGATCGAGCGAGTCGATTGGGCTTACGGTCCTTGCTCACCGCATACAACACTGGAAAGCATGGCCGGACTTCGCTCTGCTTCAACAAAATTTTGACCCCAGTCACTGCTCCAGGCTCGCACGATAGCATGACTGCTAGAGGCAAGACCGCCATCACAGCAACCGACATTTTCTCGGCACTATTCGCGACATTTGTGTATGAGCCTCTTCACTTCTTCATCTATGGAGCAAGCGTCGACTTCTCGCTCTCGCCTGTGATGCACAATGCTGCATATAGAGCGTGCGGCATGCAACATACGTACAGTAAGCACTCTTCTCCAGACCTCAAGGACTTCGAGATGTTGTCTCAACAGCCGGACTTCGGTGGTGCGGCGGTGGTGCAGCCTTACAAGACTGGTGTGTTACCCCTTCTCAAGGGACTGAGCTCTCATGCCAAGGCAATTGGCGCTGTCAATACCATCTTACCGGTCCGTGAGTTTGTGCAGGATTCTCAGATGCCAACTTCTACTCAGCTACTCCTGCAAGCAAACAAAAGTGGGCCTGTAAAGGCTCTTTACGGCGATAATACCGACTGGATCGGAATGCGTGCTTGCCTACGCCGAGGTCTTTCCCCTGCAAACACTGTTCGACCGCACAGTACAGCCCTGATCTGTGGAGCTGGTGGGCAGGCACGATCGGCCGTCTATGCAATGCTTTCTCTTGGTGTTCGGACCGTTTTCGTCTGCAATAGGAATGCTGACCATGCGCATGAGCTAGCACGCCATTACAATAGTCTGCTCAAGGATCAGTCTGTGGGGGTGGTTGATCCTGCGGAGAGTGGTAAATATCGTGTCAGAGTCCTAAACTCCTTTGCAAGCACGTGGCCAAAGGACGCTCGTCATCCTTCCATGATCTTGTCCAGTATTCCTACACAAGCTGCCGATGGTTCGCCAACAAATTTCACATTGCCGGCAGATTGGCTGAAGAGTCCTACTGGCGGTGTATTGGTAGAAGTTAGTTACCTGCGTGATGCACTTGAGGCCTACCGCTGACAGTGAGTACAGCTCGCATACCGCCCGATGGTTACGCCTATTGTCAAACAAGTTCGCGCACTGGCTCACAAGGGTTGGATTTTGATGGATGGCTTCGATGTCCTGCCGGAGCAGGCCTTTGCACAATTCGAATTATTCACCGGCCGTCGTGCTCCACGAAAGGTTATGCGAGATGAGGTACTTAGACGATACCGTGAAGAGCAGCAGAGCATAAGTGCAGCGTGCAATCTCGATCCTAATCCTCCCGCCAGCTGAATACTGATTTGCCATACCAACGCCTGGACACGGATAGCACTACGAACTTGGGAAACGATCAACAAGGCCCTCGATATTGGGGAAAGTCCAGAAGAGGAAGGTCGGTTCCCCCACAACCTGCTGTGCCGTATCCACTCGGCGGTTGAATAGTGTGTCACGGCTACCTGATTTCTACTCAAATCAATCACGAACACGAGGGCATTCGGTCAGCGAAGCCATTCGCCTCCACCACAGCGATCAGGAAATGGACAAATAGATATGCCCGACCTGCATAATCTTCCCACGAATTGGCATCCGAACCATGCTCTGCGAAATAATGGACCAAGCAATTTTGCTCTAGAGCGCTTCAAACTTCGCGAGCTTGCGGAAGGCTGGCCGATGTGCAGAGATTACTGCGAGTGGGAGAACCTGGCTTCGCTGTTCGCGCCCGAAGCCATCATTTACACCTCGTGGACAGGCAAAAAGCACTACCAAGACTTCATCGAGATGTCCATGGCTGCGACCGACGATGGTGCCTTTATCATGCATCGCTGTCTGGGCGCGAGTACTGATATTGACCCTGCTGGGACGCGAGCCGTGACCAAGATGAAGGCCATCATCACGCAGCGCTTTGTTGTTGGACGGTTGTGAGGTTGATGTTGATGCTGATTGTCGTTTCTGTTTCTTCTTCGAGAAAGGCACAGACACTGTCCATGACATTGAAGCCGGAGAGTGGCGAGCGATATTCGTCCGCCATTGGTATGAGAAAGACAAGTTGGTATCTACAAATCCGAAGAAAGTGCCGGAGCTGGACGAGTCAGAATTGGCTAAGCATCCCCGAGGATACAGGTAAGTCGAAGAATGATCTCAATGGCGCTACCACTCGGGTACTAATGGTGGACAGATATCTATCTTACTGCTGGAAAGTCGCGCTTGGCAAGGACCTACTCCAAGATCTTCCGGGTCATCGTAGTGATGGCGACAACGTCAACGGCCAAGCCCTTGACATTTTATACATGCAATGCAAAACGTGGCTGGAGGGCGGCACACTAGACTTCTGATCGAGTCCAAGCATGGGGCCTAAGCAGAGGTGGGTAACATGATCTTCTACTGCGCCAATATAAGATCTGCCACTTCCTTCACACCAGCTCTGGCCTCGACCCATCCGCCCTCTTCCACCCTGACGATCTTGCCATCTACGCAGATACGCCGCCATCTGGCATCCTCCTCATCGAACTCGATTCTCAAGCCTTCGATCTCTTCATACCCGACTCGCGGGTCATCAGCATGCTTGCCACCATCATAAGCCTTGGTCATGATATCCATGCACTCATCGCCACTCAAAGCGCTAAACTGCACCAGTCGCAATTTACCGTCCAGGGGTCGACTGGCGGGCGAAATCGTGAAGCCCTTCTCAAGTTTTGAGACTGGTGTTACAAGCACGTAGGCGTGAGTACTTCTGTTCAAGACTTGCCAGTCCTGCTTCGCACCATCATTCGAAGGTCGTAGTACAGATACCTTACCGCAATAGGGATGCGGTCTTGATCCATCAGAAGGGTACAAAGCTTCCTTTGCAGCCATCTTGAACCGCTCCGCACCGTGCTTTCGATATTCATGCGTATCACTATCAGCTACCAGACCAGCGTGAAAGCCCCATGAGCAAACGACAGCACCATATGACGTCGGAGCGCCGTTGACCAAAGCCAATTGCTGCACTTCTCGTGCCTCGTTGACCAAAAGACGTGCGCCAGAGGAAAAGCTCACACGAAAGATTGGCAGCTCGCGCGTCCTACCTTGCAGCAGATTCTTGACACCGAGAGTGTTGTCCGCTGTGATGCCAACACTATGCGCCAGAGCATTGCCAGTCCCTAGTGGTAGGATGGCGATATTGGGTTTGATATACTGTCGCATGTGCTTATCAGAGAGCAGGCCATTCACGATGTCCACTATCCCACCATCACCACTTAGCAATATGATAGACTGTGCTTTACCCTGGTTTGCCGCGGGTAACAGGACACTCTTTGTAAGATCAGTAACACTAGACTCCGAGTCGGTAAAGTGGACAGCATATTTGTCGGCCATGGGGCAAACATGCTGGAGCATAGGCTTCAGTAAAACCTCCCAGACGTTCTGGCCTTGGCCCGTTCCTGAGCCGGAGGAGACGATGATGTGCAGATTTGGGATAGAACCATCGTCTTGCCGTAGTTGCCAGCATGCATTTCCTGGTGGTTCGTAGGCGTGAACCAAGTCCCCTGGAAGATTTGTGCCTACAAAGTGCTTGAAGATGACTGGGGAGGCAACGGGGTTGTCCTTGATAGCTGGGTTTGGAGCGACGTATAGGACAGTGTAATCGTCTGGTACGCTCGCGTGTATTGGTAGTACAGCTATCATGTCATCTCTGGTGATCCTTTCTTTCGTGTCGGACTCTGCTCTCTGTTAGCAAGTACGTACTATACCTTTGAAGAGCTTTGCATACCATTCTCTTCCCATACTAATTCATATTGACTGCCTTCGTGGCGCACGAGACTGAATGTGACGGGCCTGCCGTCGACCTTACCCTCCGTCTTCAGGGGAGAGGAGAGTTCGGTGCCCATGGCAGATTGTCAGCTTCGGTGTGAGACTGATATGCAAATTTGGATTGGCGGCACGGCATTATCATTAATGCTCTGTAATCGAGCTGCAGCACCTTGCTCAGTAATTCACGTCACGTTACAGGCACCTGGCTCGGAAGCAGACGGCCCGGAGCCGAGGAGCTCTATTTGGGGCGGCTTAGATCCAGCCTTGGTGCCGCAGCTCCTTCTACTAGAGCTGATAAACTCGAGTACGGCTTCTCAGCCTGGACAATAGCACTTCGATTCGATACTCGACGTTACGAAAGACGCCCACATACCATTGGACCATAGTACAGGCTTGGCGACCTCACGACCATCCACAGCAGGAGACATCCCTGACTCGCGCCGCATGATTTAGACCAGCAGTAAGCAGCATGGCCGTCTCAGCTGGCGGTGGTTTCGTGATAGCTTTGGTCATTATTATATTACTAGTAGGTGGAGGGTACATACTGTAAGCTTCATACCGGTTCCGAGCCGCCCAAACCATCTCTAATCATAGCATCAAGTTACGCACATTGGCGAGCGCGGCGACTAGGCCTACCACCACCCTCCCTCAATCCTTTCGCCAAACGCAATCAAAGCCAGGCAAACGCCTCGTATCGTGCACCAGCACCCGCACCAGGCGGTATCCAGGGTTGGTTCGCCGAGAAATGGGCGTCGTTACGCAATACCCGCACAGCAGGAGGAGCCTACGAAGGGACTAGCTACGGCGGTTCAGGGAGTGCGCGGGATCGACGAGGGTTCGGACCACTCGATCCAGACGAGGCCTGGGATGCGCGAGTCGATCACGAAGCAGGTGGGTACTACGAAGAGCAGGAGCTCGGCCTACAGGACCCATCACATGGACCTTACGGCGGAGGCGGGTACGGCGAGGCAGGTGTAGGAGGCATTCCAGACGACCGAGGACGAAGTCGATCGAGACAACGGGAAGTGGACAAGCGGTACGACGAGGAGATGCACGTCGGAGCGCCATCACAACCGGCTGGCGGCAACAGCCATCTGAACCCCTTTGGCGACCAGAACGAAGCCACGAGCTTGCGAAACGTGAGCCCCAGACCCCACCTCGATACTGGAGCAGGACCGACACGAGGCGTAAGCTCGCACAAGAAGAACAACAACAGTCTGGGCACGAGTGGTAGTGCGGAGAACAGCCCGACCGAAAGACGGAGTATGTTCCATGAGGATGTGTAGGATTGTGTATGCTAAGCGATGCGATGAAATTGGTATGAGCGGCGTTTTCGAGACGATATGCAAAGCAAGCGAGGGCGATCCAGATCTGTTAGGAAGCAATGATACTTCTGTGTATAAGCGCTTGATCGACACAGGTGTGATTATTGCGCATATCAAGCAGATGTGATTTTCTTCTGACGATTCTTGCCTTCGCCGTGACTGGTGGACAGTCTCTTCTCATATAGAAAGAGCTAGTATGAATTGCTTAGAATACTCAAACAGCACGTCGCAGATGGCCTGACGAGAAAGTCACCACGTGACAGTCCAGTAATCCTATCTAGATGCAGCAGCAACGACCGAGCTTCGCCAAAGCATTGGTGTCTGTGTTCTCGAAGACCAAAGCGCAGCCGCTGTGGTTGCACTCTGAAGCAACCTATCGATTGTCCGTTCTCGGGTGGTTGAAGCTTAGACAGCATTACTATTTGCGTCGAGGAAGCGATGTATTCGAGACCGCCTTGATGTCTTTGTTGGGCAATCATGTCCTAGGTCGACCACTTCGTAAGTCGTAAGGGAGTCCGTCACTTGTCCGAGAGTCTTGCCTTCAACGGAACCTGATCCGGTCGCTAGCCTGCCACACCGGTTCATGAACATTTATGGACATTGAAACGATGAGGCGGGAAGCTTCAAGAGACCTATAAGGTAAGTGCCTGCTCTGCTATACATCATAACAAGAGATCTCCAGATCCTGATAATTTCGTTTATAGTGATCGTCTGCTGCAGTCGTCTAGAATAACCATCTGCTGGCCATAAGTCCTTACTGACTTGGAGGAACCACGACTTTTGCCCAATATTTTGCGCATATGTGCAGGACGTGGTCAAGTGAGACTTTCTATCACAGTACAGTCGTACACAATCAGCGCTGTTTACTCAAGCTGCCACGACGGTATCGCTCATGACTATGGCGTGGGAGGTGGATGATTATTCCATATCGCAGGCTGCAGCTTACGACCACGACTTTCGTTATCTATGCTTATACATGTAGCTGACCATTAGCCATCTAGCCAATCAGACGTCTACCCTACGGTGAAACGTCAGGAGAAGCGGAACTAGACACACGATTCGCTTCCACGCTTTCTCTCACAACCCAAGGCCGCTGGTGAAACGGGGCTACCGAAGGGTTCCTGCAGTAGTCTGTGGCCTTCCTTGTACGCGCTGCATCCTCACCAGCGGCTCGACGATGTTCGCCTCCATCCTGCTACACACACGGCCTGGCATTCGTCTGCGCGCGGCGGTCTTGACACTGGTCGTGGAACCCTTTAACGACTCCGACTGGCTGAGAAGCTCATGGCCGACTGTTTCGAGCGCGGTCGACGTGCTGCAACCAAGACTCCATGTATAACAGACCATGTCTTCCGTACCTACTATGCTGTTTCGCTCCTCTCTCATCACATCTCTCTTTTCTGCTCCTCTTGCTTGTCAGGATCTCGTTGCCATTTCTTCTCCTACGAGATAGCAGGGTCACTCGTTTTCCTCTGCCAACAAATCTCATTTTCTGCTTTAATCTAATTCGACAGACTACCGATCCCAGCGATCCCGCAAATTGTTCAATATGCATTTTACACCAGCAACTATTCTGGTAGCAGGCCTTGCGGCTCAGCGTGTGGCGGCCACTGGTTGGTCTGTCGGCGCCAAGTCGTATAGCTGCCCTGCGAACACCGACAACCAGTGCTCGACTCAGCAGCAAGGTGGCTATGACTGGTCTGGCCTCAACTCCGGCTCGTTCAGCTCCTACGGCAGCAACAAGTTTTCTGGCTTCCAGTGCTCTGATGCGCCTCACAAGCGCGATGTCTTGAGCAAGCGTGCTTTCCAGGACAAGTGCATCTCTGGTGGCCTCGATGACAAGCCTTCCATCTCTTGCCACGACGACGACACCATGTCGATTGACACCTATCACATTTCTTCCAGCAAGGACGCCGATCTCGACTGCGAGTACGGCATGCCTGACGGCTCTACCTGCACAGAGCAGCACTCCTGCTCTTCGGAGGGCTCGATCATCCAGAACACGCAGTGTGGAGGTGCTAAGAGTGTGACCTTCAAGCCTCGTAACGGCGACTCTGGCGGGTGCTCGATGAGCATTCACTCCATTGGCTTCAACTGCGGCTCCGCATCCAGCACTGTACCTGCCAGTACACCGACCATCTCAAGCACATACGGCATTGCTAGCAGCTCTATCATGACTACCAGCTCTGTGGCCACCACCTCGGATGTCATTTCATTCTCGAGATCCTCCAGCACTCTCCCAAGCATCGAGACTTCTCCGGTGACCACAAGCTCTGTCGTTATTAGCACCACAAGCTCAGTCGTTGTTAGCACTTCTTCCACCATCACCTCGGACGTCTACTCGACATCTGAGACCTCGAGCGTATCTAGCGTCGAGACCTCGCCAGCTACCGCGAGTTCGGTGGCCTCCATCACGGCTTCTTACCCGGCCAGAAACATCTCCATCCCAGCGGTGTCGTCGTCCGCCCCATCTTTGACCTCCTCTTACGGCTGCTACGGCGCATCCTGCAGCTCCAGCACTTCTGACGTCGTCAGCGCTGTAACCAGTTCGTCGTTTTCAATCTCTATTGTGTCCTACAGCACTAGCACGGTCTACAGCACTACTCAGTCGACCTCGGTCAGCTCCGGCAGCACTGTTATCGTCACTGCGACAATCGCCATCTCCACCACCATTTGCCCAGTAACTGCTACTCAAACCGGAAGCGTTTCGTCGCCTGCTTCGATCAGCTCCTCGACACCTCTGGTTATCAGCGGCTCATCTACACTCACACCAAACTCGACTCTAGTTTCTGCCGTGACTAGCAGCTCTGCATCATCCTACCCTACACCAAACTGCCCTGATCTCCTGCCCAGCTGCTTGAACACCTGGATGTACGAGACCAGCTGCAAAGACAACTCCGATTCTGATTGCTACTGCAAGGACAGCTCATTCATCACCCATGTCATGGGTTGCATCAGTGCCTGGTCTGGCTCAAGCTCTGATACCAGTGCCGCCGCATCGTATCTCCAGGGTATTTGCGCAGCCCACGTGCCATCAAACCCGGCTATCATTACTGCTTGCCCATCGACTGTTGTGCCTGCGACGGAGAGTTCCCCAGCTACGACCTCACCCGCTCCAGTCGTACCGTCTACGATCACGATCTATTCCACCCAGGAGTACACCATCACGAGCTGTGGTCCTGAAGTCTCAAACTGCCCAGCCAGCAGCACTGTCATTTCGACTTCATCAGTTCCTGTCTCGACGAGCGTGATCACGCCAAGCTCATCGCCAGTGAGCCCGGTCACCTCGTCCGTTTCTGCTATCCCTGTTGCTCCTTCGACCATCACGCTTTACAGCACTCAAGAGGTCACCGTTACCAGCTGCGCTGCTGATGTAAGTCAACGCTTCCGACATACGCTACACTTTCCGCCTGCTAACGTTAAGATTCAGGTGACCAACTGCCCTGCGAGCAGCACTATTGTAGCCACAACATCTGTCGCTGTATCTACGACCATCGTTGTGCCATCTGTGCCCGCAAGCACGTCCGTCGCACCCGTGACTGCGCCTGCCCCAACCGGCCCTCAAACCACTATCACCTACTCCGCTCCGGTGACCATCCCAGCCACCTACAGCACGGGTGTGTCGAGCGGCCTCACCATCAACTCCTCGAGCATCACAACCCACCTTATCACGACCGTTACCGTCCCACAAGTGCAATTCACCACCTCAACAATAATTGTCAGTGGCTCATCAAGCGCCTACACAGGACTTGCTGCCGGCTGCCCAAGCAGTGTGGCCGCTACAGCCACCGCAGTCACCGTCCCAGCGGTCGGTGCAGGTTCCACAAGCGCACCTGCACCTGTGTACCCAACCTCCTTCGGTACCTCATACGGCACATCCTGGACTGCACGACCGACGACCTCAGTCGTGCCATTCACCGGTGCTGGTGTCAAGATCTCTGGTGCCAGCTTCGGTGGTCTGGCCGTGGGTGCCGTTGCTGCTCTCCTTGTTTTGTAGATACATTTCTTACAGCATTGCATGAGGCAGGAAAGAAGGATGTAATGAACAAAGACGAAATGGACTGGCATAGAGAGAAGGAGTGGCTGCGATTGAATTCATGACTTTCCTTGACTGGGTCTAGGTAATGCTTTGTTTGTATGAACAGATATCCGCGTGTATAGCGGCTGGAAATGCATTTGCCTATCCACAACACCTCAACTGGTTCGTGAAGACACTTGCCCCATAAAGTTTCAGTAGCTGCTCGCATGTATAAGGCGAAGAGATTGTCTTTAATCTTGCAGAAGGTGGCAAGACCGAGCTCACAATCGTCTGAATGCGCGAAGCCGGGATATCGCCTGACCGGCTCTGCAAAATTGCTGGTTGTCGTCGAGAAACATAATACACTTCTCTCATAGCTACCGTCAGAACCCATCATGATTTCATGCAATCATTCCGTAGAGTATATTACGCATTAATCAAGTCATCCTTGTCGCTAACACCATCGGTGCCACCCATCACTCATCCTCAAGATCTAATCTGTTCTCAACCCCTTGTAGGCCGCTAAGCCAGCTCCAAGCTCAACTGACCATCTCGAGATATGATATCAACGTACCCTTGCCGCTCATCTTCATCCCCATGACCTCACTCCTCCAATAAGCTGGCATATTGCCCCTTATAGCCTTCATAGCTGCGCTTGAACTCGGGATCTGTTGCCTTGATGCCCTGCAGCGCTGCAACGCCGGCCTTCGCCTCGTAGGTAGCAATACGGTGTAGACGTGCGGCCTTGCTACCTTTCTTGCTTTCGAGATAGCTCTGCAGCAGCTCGAATTGCTCTGTGGTACTGAGGGCCTCATCGGCAGCGCAAACACGCGCAACAATCTGGGGTTGGCTTTCGGCAGCTGTGCGAGCCGGCATCTTGCGTGTAGTGAGCAGAACGTCAAGCTCATTCAGAGTCATGATGCTGCGAGGGTCTTCTAGGGTGTTGCGAGTGACTGCAACATGAAGCGGCTGAGGCGGCTTAGGGATAGGCGTCAGGTCGCGCACATCGGCGATGTCGTCGCCGAGCATGCTGTGGTAGTCATCCACCACATCTTCATCGTAATCCTCATGAGCACTAGCCTCAACATCGCCATCGTCGAAAGTGACCATGGTCTTCTCATCGTCCGCATCACTTCCATCAGAACCGTCGTCAAGAGAGCTTGCACGACGCTTCCGACTACCTTTGCCTTTCACAGTCTTCTTAGCCTGAGTAGCCTTGACCTTCAAGCCGAATTGCTTGAGGATCGCTTTCTCGGCGACCTTCTGCGCTTTAGCCCAGTCGATCTGTCTCGCAAGCTTCTCTTGCGCAATGCGTTTTTGAACAGTCATACGCTCCTTCTCAGCATTGCGCTCGGCCCGCAACTGGGCCTGCTCCGCATTGTTGGCCATCTTCCGAAGCTGAGCAGCGACCCGAAGGTCCTCCTTCTCCTGAAGCATCACTTTCTTCGCCTCCGATTTTGCCTTTTTCTCGTCCTCTAAACGCTGCTGTTCAGCTGCCTCGTCGATTTGGCGTTGCTTCGCTGCAGCGATGCGGGTTTCACGAAGGACACGACGACCCTCCTGGTCCTGGTCGATCTCGATTGGGAGCAGCGCCTCCCCACTCTCTAGGCCGTGATGGCGCTCACGACATGCGGTATGTGTGTACTTCTTCTTGGTACCCATACGTAGTGCCAAGTCGTCGGCGACTGCCTTCCACTTCTTCTCTGTGATTCTTCCCATCTCGTCTTGATAGTTCTTCTCGATGAGCGCGAAGCTTGCTTCGAGTTTCGCATCCTGCCGATAAATCAGCAGTGCAAGAGAGTCATGAGTACGGACACTTACTTCTCCCGCATGCCAATCGCTTAGCTCATCGTCAAGTCGCTCCTCCTCAGCCTTCTCAAGCGCTTTACGCAGGCGCAACCAGCGACTGCCCACGGTCTTGGGTACGTAACGAATACGGCCCTCTTGAATCAAACTCTGGGCAACGTACTCATCAGAAAAGCCTTGTTGCTTCAGATGAATAATACGACCGTCATCAGAGTCGTAGTCGGCAAGGATGCGCTTGGGCACGGCAGCTTTGCCACCTTGGACTCGAGTACCTTTGGTAGGACGATGGCTAGTAGAAGGGGAATGAGCGCGCTTCAGGATGCTGTGTTCGCCCGTCTGTGGGTTCTCGTACTGTGCGTACACTCGTTAGCACACTGAAGGGTGATGTGGTAGCTCTGGTACGAAGCGAACTCACATAGACGTCTTCTTTCGCATCCGAATCGTCGAAGACATTTGTCGGAGTGTCGTCATTGCCACTCGCTTCTGTTGCAACGGCCGGTCAGCATCTCCGCGACATCGGCCGAGTGATAAGCATCTGCAGGCCGCGTGGAGTTTTGAGCGACGGTACAGATCTGGGGAACACACCTTCCGACTCATTTGGTAACGTGCCAGCAAACAGCAGTTTCAACGTCCTTGCCACCATTGTGGCGGTCAAATTGAGAAGTTGTGTGTTCTCGCCGTGGACGTCAGGCCGTGGAGCTGACTATCCTTTCGACCTGGAGAAGCGTTACGATCGGAGGTTGAGGGTGCTGTGCTGTTATGCAGACAGAAGACTGTAGGCTTCGGTTGCCACGGGAGCGGGCGGCTTTTGCTAGCGCAGAGTCGTTCCTGCCGTTCTTGGAATATGACGTAGCAGAGTCCTTGGGATCTGATCGGTGCACCACTGGCAGATCTTGCTTTTGTTCGTTTCTACCAGAGTCCGAAGTGACTGTCGTCCTGGAGGATGCTTCTGCTTCAGATTAGGAGTCATTCAAAGCAGCGGGTCTTACACGAGTGGCACTCTTTGCATGTGACAGGAGCCGCAAGAAGCCGGAGTACTTTATCAATCGTATAAGTGAATGAATCAGATGTTCGAAATCGTTGCGTCATCCTGTGTCCCCCGAAATGCATAATGATCTTCGAGCGTCAGTACTCTCATGGGAATGAAGGGAGGGTGATAGTAAGTGGAGCAAAGGCCTGGTGGTGTGATCATGAATCGATAAACGTCGATCAGCTCATTCAGGGCTTCTACCATGCAGTACGTCTGTTCTCTACACACTGGCAGTACGTTCTCGCCGTGCTGTGCTCAGCGTGGCACACCACCGTCGATGGCCACCACTCGCATCTAGCATTGGGCGGAGTGGCTGCTACATGGCGTACAGGACGATGGATTACTGGCTCCTGATTATGTCATGATAGACAGTGTCGTAAAGTGACAGTATCAACAGCATCTACCGAAAAGGTTTCCAGGATCGTGCAGGATCGAACAACTTCAGCAGGAGAAGAGGATGCTGGCGCGAAGGATGCTGCAAGGAGTGGACAGTCGCGACCTGAAGAAGCACGACATGGTATGCTGTCTGAGAGGGGACTACGTGGGCCAGAAGAGTCGAGGTGTGGTGAAGTTGAGCGCGGAGGTACAGCTGGACTGATCGAAGCTTTCACGTGATGCGCGTTCTAGAACAAGCAATCCCTGTCGAAAATCCAGCTGCACCGCCACAAATCCATCCACCTTTCGCGCAGGGTGACGTAGGGAGCTTCGTTGCGTGGAGTGAGGACGGCACAACCACAGCAGCAGCAGAGAAGCAATTGTTGCGTAATAGCTGTAGGCCAAGATAGGTAGGTAGGTAACTTTCTCGTTGCTCTAGGTCGACTCCCTTCTTTACATTACAGCAAACTTCTGCCACCATGTCTTCCTACTTCTCGCTGCCGTCATTCGCCAGAGCAAAGAAGAACCAGGAACAGCTTGAGAAGACAAATCCACAGAAGCCCGTGTTGAACGACGATGATGAAAAATTCTTCGATAAGCACATCGAGTCAGGTGAGGCAAAGGCCAAGACTGAGGAGGCGACATCGACCGAGGTAACAGAGGGTGGCGAAGAGAAGGAAATTCTACAGGAGGAGACCAAAGAGGCAGGCACGGATGCCAGCCAAGTCACACTACCTGAAGAGCAGCCCGAAAAGCCTCAGACCACTACCAGCGAGCCAGCAAAGGGCGATAATGATAAATCCAACGAAGTCGCCCGAGCACCTAAAGAGGAAATCGCCGCAGAAGACCCACCAGAGCAAGCACCTGCAGAGAAGATCACGGCAGAAGATCCACCAGAGCAAGCGCCTGCAGAAGATATCACAGCAGAAGATCCACCAGAGCAAGCCCCAGACGATGCGGCCGTCACATCTGCAGCTTCCGCGGCAAAGAAGCCAAAGAAAGACAAAGGCTTCGAGCTTCCGAGCCAGGAGGAAGCTGAGGCTGCAACTCGAGGTATCGGTACGGATGACGCACCCAAGGACGCCAAGGCGGAAGGCGAGGCCGGCGAGAAGAGGACATGGGCATCCTACCTGCCAACGATGAGCACTGCCAGCAAGAAGGACCAAGGCGAACCTCAGAAAGATACCGAAAGCAAATCTACCGACGAGAAGGCCGCTAGTGAGCAGACGACGGAAGGTAAATCGCGGACATGGACAGAGTACGCATCCTCGACATACTCCGCCCTTCCTTCCGTCTCGTCCATCACACCGTCCTGGACCTCAAAGGACAAAGACAGCAAGGTCGAGCCCGTCTATAAGGAAGACGGCACAATCGACGAGGAGAAGACGAAGGAGAAGCAAGAACGCGAGATGTCTGTTCTCCTCGACCATCTCAACCTGAGTAGCATCAACAACCGTGTCTTCGCCTTCTCCGGCGAAACTCAGAAGATCTACGAACGATTTGCGCAAGTGTTGAAAGATACTATGAATGGTGCTCCCACAGCTTACGAGGACATGGACAAGCTGATGAAGGATGCTGGGCCTCAGCTGGAGAAGCAATTCCAGTCCATGCCTCCTTTTGTACAGACGCTCGTCAAGTCCTTGCCAGCCAAGCTGGGCACGACACTGGGTCCGGAACTCCTGGCTGCTGCTAGTGAAAAGCCCGGAGCGGACATGAAGACGAAGATGGCTAAGGCTAGTAAGCAGTCTTCTGGTGGCCAAGAGTTCAGTACAGCGGACGCTAGCACAAGCAAGACGAAGGAGAAGGAAGGCGAGCCAAAGAAGAAGCGCAAGATTCCTGGTCTGAAGGGTCTGGTAAGTGAGCAAGGTGCTGTGGCTAGTATCCTCCGCAGCGTCGTCAGTTTCCTGAAAGTGCGCTTTCCTTTCTTGGCCTCTATGACGAATGTGGTCATGAGCTTGGCGGTATTTAGTAAGTCTTTGTGCTGACCTTACCTCATGATAACAATTTGTCGCTAACACGGCAGCAGTCCTGATGTTCGTGTTCTGGTACTCGCATAAGCGTGGCAAGGAGGTCCGACTTGCTCGCGAAGCTGCGGCGCAGAATGGAGATGGTGCGCCGGAGATTGTCGAGGATGAGGATGGTGAGCTAGAAGTCGAGGTGACGGATGAGGAAGAAGGTGGGGAGGAAGAAGAGTCTATCGAGAAAGATGTCGCGGCTGCCGTAGCGGAGGCTCAGTCGACTGAAAAGCAGGATGATAGTGCTGAGGCTGTCGAGGAGAAGACTGAGAAGGCTGCCGATGAGGCTGTGAAGGATGGGCCCGTGGAGTCTGCTGCGAAGCAGGAAGATAGCGCTGAAGCTGTGGAAGAGAAGGCTGAGAAGGCCGAGAAGACTACCGAAGATGCTGGGAAAGATGCGCCCGTGGAGTCTATTGCGAAGCAGGAAGATAGTGCTGAAGCTCTGGAAGAGAAGTCTGCAAAGACCAGCTCTGGCTAAGCTGCATGGTGGCGCCTCAGCGATTTACCTCTACTTGCTCAGAATGCCATGATGTGTTACGAAATGATGAGATCAGCTTCTGGGATGGAGTATGGTATGGATGTGGCGACATGGATACTGTAGTAACTTTTGCATAGCGTAGATGCCCACGTATACCAAATCAGCACATCAAGACCTCTTCCTCACCTTTGCCACCACGTACATCTGACGGCCGCCATCTCACGTCACACAGCATTGGCTTCCCGTCAGCAGCGTCTATCGACAATGAAAACCATGATCACTCGTCGAAAATCAGAGGCCAGACCGCTTATTCCTGCAGAAGCCCATAAAAACGAGCCCTTCCTGTCGAGATCCTCTCTCTAATAGTCCTCGATTCAGCATTCTGCCTGTCTTCGTGCGGCGTCTGCAGTATCATGGACAGGGTAACAGCGTTCGGACACCTTCAACGACCCGCCAGATCACGCTCTAGTTTGTCTTGGTCGTTTGCGCCACCGTAAAGAACCTTCCAATCATGGTCTCAGTGTGCGTTGAAAGGCCAGGATGCATTGAGCGAGTCCGAATGAAACTTACACCATGTCTCATGAGCCGTATTGCCTTCCATCTTGATCCGGCTGTGGTCGGCCAGACATCTAGGAGAGGAGTCAGCGATCAGGCACCTCGTATGTTCGAAAGTCGTGGATGTACTTACTGCCAACAGAACTGATGCGCACACCTTTTACAAGTCATATGCTCACACCCACCAGTCTTCTCAATGCGCCATCCACACTTCTTGTTTGGACACTGTTTACTCATCGTATTGAGCATGGCCTCAGTCTTCGCTTCCTCGTCCTTTGCCTTCTTGCCTGAGGTGCGATAGTCATACTGGTCGCACGTTTCGTTCTTGTGCCACGGCACTTTGTGCTTCAGGCATTGTTTGTAGCCGCACGATGCGCAATCCATGAAGTTGTTGTTCTCTGGGTTCAGCTGGCCGTTGTCGCAGGACGGTCCGAGACACCAGGCGAACTCGTCTAAAGCGCTTAGAGCATTTCTTGTTGCCATTTTGTCGTAGGCCAAGAAGGTGTTTGAGGATGCGGCACGCTGCACATCTTCGTACTCCAGTATTGATGGACACTCGGGACACTTCAGACTCTCCGTGCCTTTAGTCTCAAACTCGGAAGCCATCCATGATTCCAGGCATTCTACGCAGGTCGTGGCGTGATGCTCACATTTCGATGCTGGCGCCTTGGCAGGAAAGTCGAAGACATCTTTGATCTCGCCACACACATTGCAGTCACGCTCAGGCTTGCGTGCTGCAGCCAATCGAGCTTCCTCCTCAGCTTCTTCCTCGAGCTGCTTCTGTAATCGTTGCGCTTCGAGACGATTTTCTTCGTCATCTGAGTCGAGCGGGGAGGTTTCCGCCAGCTGACATTGCTGCGACATCCATCGTTCAAGCTGATGCGCCTGCATCGAGTTGTGATCGCCTGACCCATCGTCCAAAGCTCGCCCCTTGCCTTTGCCGCTATACGACGGAGGGTACCTGCCGGGCATATTCAACGCGCTGTCGACGGGACTGGAAGAGTCGCTGATCCATGACTTTTGCAAAGCCTCGTTGCTCGATGAATTATTATGGAAAAGAGGCTGCTTGCTGTATTTTGCGAAGACAGCTCGAGCTTCATTATCGTCCAGCTGACCCCAGTCTAGATCAGATATGGCCGGGATGTGCAGTGCTCGGGGAAGACTTGAAGTAGAGCTGCTGCCATTGGATGGCTCGCGCCTGTGGCGAGGCGGTACCATGTTGACAGTGCTCAGTCCCAGCTTCGACGCCATCGAGCCGTCGCCGACTACAGATGATCGGTGGCCAGCAGAAGTTCGAGGCCTGTGACTTTGCCGTAAAGCTTCCATCTCCCGTGCCTCGACATCAAAGTCCAGTAACGACTCTCCGGGCTCGAAGGAATTCGTTCTGCTTGACTGGGGAGAGGAGCCATCGCTGCTGTCGGCAAGATTTGCACTGCTCCGCCAGAAAGTCCTCCCTTTTCCTCGCTTCTGTAATTTCGCGTTCGACCTGGCAAGCATGATATCCGGGGACGCATACTGTCCAGCCTGATCTTCACTGGGCGCAATCTTCTTCTTCGACCAAGGCACAAATCTCTTCAGAGCTGACATCGTAGCTCCCTTGCCTTCTCCCTCAGTATTGCGGTATGCGTTCACAGACGTGTAGCGAACGACAGGTACACCCAACAGAGGTGCATAGCACAAGACACGGACGTGCGAACAACAAGAGCAGACGCGCACTCGGCAGTGTGAGTGCCAGTGCACCTGGTGCATTGAATAGCCTCTCGCATAGCCGCGATGCTCATAAGCCAAGCGCAAATTCATCCTCAGTGACTGAGGCAGCCGAGCATGTGAATGGGGGGGCCTCTTACCTATGTGGTGGTGAGGCTGTGACAAGCTTCAACTCTAGCTTTGCTATGTAAGGATAGAGATAGGCTGCGCGAGCAGTGCATGATTCGAGCACGAGGTTGATTGCCCCGCCGCATCAAGTTGGTAATGGAAGAGTGGCTCCATTTGGCGAGGTCAGGCAAGGCTGTGTTCTGGTAGGTAGGCCGTCGTCGTTGGGTGGAGCAGCGATTGAAGTAACTAAAGACCGGCATGGTAATCCTGAATCATTATACTTGCTGCAGGTAGCCATACACTGCGCAGGAGCTAGTGTTGGCTTCGCAGGATCATGGCTTACAATGGGCATCTGATACGGTCGCTACCTGATCAAAAGCGACTCCTTCCAGGAACATCGCGTGTTTGGCGTGACTGCGGACTTCGCCACTCTTCGAGCAGGCTGATCTGCTATGCAGGGCTGTACACCGTGTACCGCTATAAGACAAGCAGCGGCCTCAACTATATTCTGCAATATCAGTCATGAGGCTCTCGGATCTTCGTGATATTGTGTTAACGTAGTCGCAGGAGCGTGGGTCGTTACTGGTCGTTACTGGTCGTGATGGTGCTAAGTGTGGTTCTCGATTGCGCCGAATCCGGCCTGAGGCACTCGGCAATGGGCCCAGCGACGCGATATAAGGCAATGTTCCTCGGCCCATGATCCAATGCCTATAGACAAGTGTCGATCCTCGCTATATAACATGCTCTGGCCACGAGGTGTCTTGTGATGCATAGCATAGCATGTCATGTCATGTCCGCTCGTTCGTGGATGGGCGATGGGCGAAGCGCCGCGGCCCCACGCCCGGGCTTGATCGTTGCTCTGGAAACGTGGGTGTTGATGGAGTAGATTATCTTGAGCATCCGCAACTCCGCGAGACCACCCATGCAACACTCGCAAGCATTCCATACTGTCATACTGTCTCGTAGCGTATCTCAGAAGGAGACAAATCGCTATCGGCGACATCTCACATCGTTACCTACAGTCGCTCGATACGCATAGAAGGCCAACACCAACACGAAGATGCCGGCCACCACGGCCGATGGCCCTACCGTCTCACTATCATGTAGGTGGATCATGCGGAACAAGTGCATAGTAACATACTGACATTTGCAAAGTCGCGAACAATTTCTGGGGCAAGGATGACGCTGGTGTCGCACCGCTCCTGGGTCGTATGCACAATGCGAAGGCTACTGGTGACGAACTGAAGGCCTTCTACACAGCACGAGCACAAATCGAAGAGGAGTATGCGAAGAAGCTACTCAACCTCGCGCGCAAGCCGTTGGGCTCGGGCGAAGCAGGCACTCTGCGCATGTCACTGGATGTCGTTCGTGGCGAGCTGGAGACAATGGGCAAGGAGCACCAGAACGTCGCGGCCAAGATGAAGAGTGAGCTGGATGAGCCGCTGTCCGCTTTTGTTGGAGGACTCAAGGAGAGGCGCAAGATCGTGCAGGGTGGAGTCGAGAAGCTGCTCAAGGTCAAGATGCAGCAGACAGCGACCGTGAACAAGACTCGCGATCGCTTCGAGCAGGACTGTCTCAAGATCAAAGGCTATCTGGCACAAGGACACATGGTCATGGGCCAAGAAGAGCGCAAGAACAAGGCCAAGCTGGAGAAGACGCAGATCCAGATGTCTGCGAACAGCAACGAGTACGAGGTAGCGGTCAAAGTGCTCGAGGAGACGACCGGCAAGTGGAATCGAGAGTGGAAGGCGGCATGCGACAAGTTCCAGGATCTGGAAGAGGAGCGTCTCGACTACTTCAAGAGTAGTCTCTGGAATTTCGCCAACCTTGCATCGACGGTCTGTGTCAGCGATGATGCTGCGTGCGAGAAGATCCGCTTGTCGCTCGAAGACTGTGAGGTTGAGAAAGACATCACGACATTCATCAAGGATCTGGGCACCGGCCAGGAAATTCCAGATCCACCCAAGTACATCAACTTCTGCCGTGGCGATGTTGACGACGCAATGTCGAAAGCTGAATCAGATGATGGCGAGTACTCGGTCGCGCAATTTCAGCGAACCATGAATCCAGCTTTCAGGACTTCTTCGCCACAGCCTAGCACCTACGATTCGCACCATGATCCAGATACCAGCTTGCGCGACGATTTGGGTCTGCCGAAAGCTCGCACTTCGATCCAGGGCGATGAGAGTTTCAATGGTCGTAGCTCCCACGGCAGTGCGCGTGGCAACCCTATGCCTCCGCCACTTTCATCAAGTCAGATTTCTGCAACACCAGACCCGTATGCGAATGCACCACAGGTGCCCCACAATCCCTACCCGACCGACGGCATGACACAATTCTGTCGTATGGGTCCACCTTCGGAGCGTAGCACTATTCCATCTCCTACTCGACCAGATAGCCGTGACAGCCAGGACCACAGCGACTACTCTGCCCCAACATCGTTCTCCAGCATCGAGCCTACCAGTGGCAATCAGTCGCCAACCAAGAATTACAATGGCTCTGCGATGTCAGTTATGTCGGGCATGTCTGGAATGTCCGGTATGTCTTCCGGCCCAGAGGACAAGCAAGTGCAAAAGAAGAAGAGTGGCTTCTTCCAGTCACACAGTCCATTCCGCAGGCGTAGCAACAAGAGCAAAGATCCGGTCTTGGCTCCAGCTGCCATCGCACCTACACAACGCAACACTTGGACGCCTGCGACAATTCGCGACAGTAAGAGCGCAGGCAGTAGCCCAACCAAACCTTTCGCTCCTGGTAACCGGGCCAGCACATGGCAGCAAAAGCAGCCGTCACCGAGTCCCGATCCGGATCCTGTTGACCCTCGAGCTGACTACCAGCTCGGCATCGGTGGCAATGTGTTCGATGTAGACTCTCCTGACAAGCGCAACAAGGCTTTTCCCAACAGAAATAAGCAAGCAGAGTTGGATCCGATGGCACAGGCCCTTGCAGAGCTTAAGGGAGTCACGAAGCAGGCTTCTGTGCGAGCATCGGCGGATCACCATTATGGTATGTCAACGCCCGCGCCAGGTACTCCAGGTTACGACAACAGAGGAATGCCAGCTGGCGCGGTCCCGACACCTTTTGCTGCCAGGCCAAACGGCGTCACGCCACCACCAGCATATGACAATCCGCCTGTCAGCCGATTGGGTGCGCCTCAGCCCGCACATACCAGCAAGGAGATGCAAAGGACGACCGAGCGCTTCGTGAACCAGAAACGCGACATGTTCAACGCGGGTGGTCAATCGAGGCCAGGTAGCAGCATGGGTCGCGGTCAAGAGCCTCCTCGTGCGGCGTCGCCTCAGCCACCTCGAGCAACGAGTGCACGACCATCATACTCCAACGACCCAAGACAGCATCCCCAACAGCAGCAGCAGTACCGTGCACCCTCGCCGAACCCATATGGAGGTCAGTCGGGAGGAAGACCACGAGCCCAGTCTTCCAGCCCCATCAAGCACCAACCAAGCTACGCTGGCTACAGCTCTCGAGGAGGGTCGCCGGGCTACCAAGCTCCTCGTGCCGCTTCGCCAAACCCAGCCTATAATCGAGCACCTCCATCTGCGCATGGCGCAGGTAGCAGACCACCGAGCAGCAGAGGCTCCGACATCGGTGGCAACGCTATAGTGCTAGCTCCTGCTGGTCAGGATGCATATGGATCACAGCGAGGCGGCCGACCACAGAGCCAGTATTGTCCTTCTGACCAAGGTAGCCAGCAAGTCGTTTCCAGGAATCGGAGTCAGAGCTATGGTGCTCAGAGGCAGATGACTAGGGATGGCAAGCCAATCCTTCACTACTGTAAGTGTCCAGATGAACCTACCATGATACGATTTCGCTAACTCATCTCTCTAGCTCGCGCATTATACATGTACCAAGCCGCCATCCCGGAAGAGCTCACGTTCGCCAAGGGCGATATGCTCGCTGTCACAAGACACCAGGACGATGGATGGTGGGAAGCTGAAGTCTGCGGCAAGTCTGCTCGTTGTGGACTTGTGCCGAGTAACTATCTCAAGGAGTGCTAGGAGACTTCATCTGATTGGGATGCGTCGGTGATTCGATCGAGACTGTCCTTGCGCGATTGTACAAGGCAGTCGAGGGCGCGAATCTCTGATCGCAATAAACCGGATCTTTGGATGGGATGGCGAGCATGAAAGTGAAGGCGCAAAGACACACCTCGATTATGAGGAGGAACAAACAGGTGTAATTAGCCCATTGCGTTCATTGACACACCTGAGAGGTGTACCGATGCAGTACATACGCGGTAGATTGTTGTATAGTCCTTCAGTGTTTTTACAACGTCTCGACTTGCGCTTGACTGGTCCCGCATGAGGTCACGACTTCCTTTCATCCTGAGCACATTGATCTCTCGTCTCGAGAGCCCCACTCCGTTGTCAACAAACACGATGGCAACACATTCAACGATTTCGGGCGATGCCTCCCGGGGTCCTGTCTTCTTCTGGCGTGAGTTTGAGGAGCCGTGGGGATTCATGTCGCAATGGTATGAAGCGTCGTTCGAGGTCGATGGAGTCAAGTACCTGACCGCGGAGATGTGGATGATGATTGAGAAGGTATGTGGTGTGAGATACAAAACCAAGTCTGGTCTATGGAAAGGGCATGTTTACTGATTGAGAAGGCGAGGCTATTTGGGGATGAGGTACTCTTACTCAACAGCGTGAATTCGCCTTAGCTTCGCTGATGCAGAGTAGGAGATAGCTAGGAAGATGATGGAGACGACGGTTCCGGCTGAGCATCAGGCTTTAGGTATGCTTCATTGTTACTATCTACGATGGCAGTCGCTGCTGGTACTCATGGGTTTCACAGGTCGCAAAGCGAAAGGCTTCAATCGCAAGAAGTGGGACGAGCGTGAGTATACCGACTGTGATGGGTCAAGATCAATACTAAATGAAGATGCAGACAAGAGCCGTATCGTCGAAGAAGGCAATTACCACAAATTCACCAAGTGCAAGGAGAAGCCAGAAATGCGCAAGATGCTACTTGCCACTGGCGATAGAGAGCTCATTGAGGTGAGTGACTCTGAGTCATCCTTACGCCAGCATATCCCGTTGTAGCAATGCTGATGATCGCGCAGGCATCACCAACGGATCGAATCTGGGGCGTTGGCTTCGGTGCTGCAGACGCCGAGGCCAACCGGGAAGACTGGGGCGAGAACAAATTGGGCGAGGCTATGATGGTTGTACGGGAGAAGCTGAGGAAGGAGTTGTAGTACAGGCTACGAGTCTGCTAGTAGGCCTGAAGCCTTTCTGACCATGCTCTGCAAGCCTTCGCTTGAATGCTGACTCCGGACGCCTCGCTTTTCAAATCAGTCTTGGGCCGTTTCCCGGATCATTCTCGCTGTAACACCACGCTCAAAGCCATGAATACAAGCATGGCCGTTTTGAGCCACGGGTACTCACTGAGCAGGATTGTGACATAGCCGACGAACGGCACGTAGCCCACGACACTGCCGATGACATCCTTCGAACGGTCGAGGTAGCTCTGGCCTCGTGCGTAAAGCTCTGTGTCGTCGGCTGCATTGTTGTCTCCTTTGGTCAAAAGATTCAGTGGTGCGCTTCTGCAAAATGTTGTTAGCACGGCATGCTCTAAAAGCATCTCACCCAGGGACAGCATACCCTCCACCGAATCGCCTTATCACTCTATGCACAATCGGAATGTCCTTTCCTCGCACATTGTAGACCACGACCTCGCCCACTTGTGTCTCTTGCCCTCTGTTCCATAGAAATAAGAGATCCCCTCTTTGAAACGCTGGCTCCATGCTCCCTGATAGCACAACGACGATTGGCGAAGATGAGTCGGTGAAGACCGAGAGTCCTTTCCATAGCATGAAAGCGGTCGAGAGGACGAGGGCGAAGTTGAGGACTTGCGCGGCCAGTTGCCGGGGCTGTAGATTTGCTAATGAGCCAAACATCGTGACGACAGATTTCTGAATATGGGGAACCTCTGATGTTCCTTAAGAGGTGTATATGGTCTGAGAGTTCTACTGCTCTGCAACATTGACTTCGCCAGTTGTCGCTTCCATGTGAACCTCGAAAGCTCGGACCAAGTCGCCAAAAGCTTTCGCGTCTTCACCTTTCACGAAATTGATTGGCTCCGATTTTTACATCAATATTCCGATGGCGTTCCAGGCCTTCATCTACAGTTGACTATAACCACTGGTGGTCTCACTAGATTGTCTAGCATCCTATGTCCTCCCTTGCAACTGCGAATCATTGTGGCAATCTGAAGGCAAGCACCGACAGACGTGGCAAGCCTCAAGGTGTATCATTATGTTAATGGTGACCCCTTTTCTTACGCCATGTACAACAACAAGAACAAGCAAAAGGTCAGAACATGATTTGACCGACTTGGCAGATACAACGTCGCAAGAACATAATGACTTTGGAATTACTGACTCCCCGAGAGCAGTGGGCTTGTCGACATAGCTGACGACCTATCTCCTCCCGAAAAGGAAAGCACGCCATCACGTGGTCATGGTCCATGCTTGCTATGAGATCTCAAAGCAGCGCGGATGTCTTGTCAGAGGCCCATAGGTAGCAGCTCACTTCACTTCAAGTAGTTCTCCACTACACATCTCTAAGCTTTGTCTACCTCTCGACCCCTTTCCATTGACATCACACATCTTGACTAAACTGCGCCACGATGAAGCATGTAGTATCTTGCATGGCGGCGACAACGCCTCCTCCTACCGCGAAAGTCGAAGCGTTGCCATTGAGTGTTGACAGCCAGTGGATCTGGACATACAATGGCCAAGACTGGCCTGTGGTGCTCTGCGGCGATGAGCTTGCACCATCTCAATTCGTAGCGGGCCGTAAGCATGACGAGGAGGTCGCAGCAATTCTACTAGGGAGACGCAAATAGTATGCACAGCTTGGTAGGCCGATATCTGAAGGTGGGCTAACGAGACACAGTATCTGGGTACTCGAAAGTTGCCTTCGCGAGTACGACCCTCACAAGGACTACGATGCAGCTAAATCCAAGTACGAGCGCATCGATGACAGTGATGTTGCCAAGCTGAGTAAGCAACGAGGCCTCGCCTTCGCACAAGATGTGAAGGAGTTCCAGACTGCAGCGTACTAGAAAAACCTTATCGAACAGCAGCGCGAAGCCCGTATTCTGGCTCGGGAGATGAGCGTCAGTTCCGATGGGAGAAAACGGCGCAGGCGTACGGAGTCTGATAGTCCTATGGATCAAGAGCAGCTGCTCACGCCCAGATCGACCCCCAGGAAGAAGACCAAAACCACGAATACTGAACACACGGCGAACGACAAATCCAGATCTGCCGAAGACCCACAAGAAAGCTCTGATCCACGTGAATCGAGACGCCAGAATCAGCTTCTCGTTATGAAGGACCCACCGACGTAAGTGTCACCTCAGGAGGAAAAGAATTTGGCCATAACCTTGGCTGACGTTCTGTAGTGATGGGTTGTGTACAGTATTTGTGGGATGCGCGAAGACGCCATTTCGGCTTTCGAGTGAAGCTACTCGCACAAGCATGGCCATGAGGGACCGTGTGACCTACGATGTCAGATTCCGCTCCCACATCGATCTGTCCGACATTGAAGAGCTCACAGATGAGCACTTTGATGCCGTGGTGGAGTACCTACAGCACGACGACTTCACTCCAGCCATCGTCACCAACACCATTCCTCCGCACCTTGAGGGAATTGAAGATCTCGATCAGAAGCATGAGGCTGCTGTCAAGTGCGCCGAAGTCTTTCAGAGCGCATCACACCTTCAGCTGGGTGGCCTTCAAATGCTCTGTCTCGACAAACTCAAAACTCTTTACCCACCGGGGACTGTGACAATTCTATTCGTGAGCTTGACCTGCATGAAAGCCACTTCTTGGGAGTGCGAAGCAGAAAGTGAATACCATGAGTGGATTGTGGCTCATTTCGCAGAGTACTACGGCATCTTGAAGCGAGAGTGTCCAGATCAGCTTGTGCAGGTCTTTGAGAGAAGTCGGGCACTGGCGAAGGAAGTGAAGGAGAAATCAGCTGCTAATCCTGGGATGGGAAGGTGTGGGCTGAGTGATGATGAGAAGTGAAAGCAGTGACGAGCGCGCCGTTGCAGCGAGGCGAAGTGATGACTCTGATAGCAGCCTTCCATTAAGCGAGATGCTTTAGACTTAGCTAGCAAGAAGGCCATAACTTCAACGTGTGTCCCGATCAGTATAGGAATCTCGCGCAGTTGTCGCCAATGAGACAAAGTGAAGCTCATTATTGCTAAAGATTGATGGGAGTTCGTTCAAGGATCACCTAGCTTTGAGTGCCTTGCAGCTAGACTCTACCGCACCTCGCGCCGATCCGAATGCCGGCTTGCTGCAGTGCCAAGGGCCTCCATCTTGACCGTCCGGGTAGAGTGCATCTTGAACAGTATCATGCCGCAGGTGCGACGCAACAACAGCTAGCAAACATCCACCAACTCCTTACACTCCCGCCGCAAGATCCGCGGAGAGTATTCCCAATGTCCGAATGACACATCGATCCCCGACCTCCGCACACCAAGAACCCTCCTTTGACCCCACAACGACGAGAGCACGAGAGCAGCTGGGATTGGGAGGTAGTAGCGAAAGCAGGCCGCCGCGCAACGCCTTCAGCCGGCACTCATCTACCTCCAGCTCATATTCAATTCACTCGCCGCCCGCGTCTGCCTATCACGCGACTGGTAACTTTCTTCCCGGGCAGCGCTCACGCGCGGGCACAGGCAGTCCGCGAATCGCGACCTCCATTGCGAGCTTATCAGGAGCGAGTGGGCCTGGCAACAGCACATCTCGCCTCATCCGACATTCACCCTCACTCTCCCACTCCACCCTTGGCTCACCGACATCCTCCATCAGCGGTGCCTCCACAGGACACCTGACCAGCCTGCTAGTGACTCAGCTCAACATCCTGCTGAGCACGCTCAAGGAGAGCAACTACGACACACAAGCAGAGAAAATACGCCGGCTCCTCGATGAAAACGGCATGGAGCTGTTTGAAACATACTTTAGACGGCTGCTAAGCAGCAGCTGGTCACAGGTCTTTCCACACCAGTCAAGACCTGGCAGCGGACCATCAAATCCCGAATCACATAGGTTGCTTGAGCAGGAGGTACATAAGGTCTCGACGGATGCTGCGCAGGCAGAGAAGATTGCTGCGGCATTAGATGCGGGCGATCTCGACATTGATCTCGTGGCTTTCACTGACCACTTCCACCTGGATCCTACGGCGAGATTAGCGCTTGTGCTAGCATGCAGGACCACGACAGACAATATGCTCCGTGCGAAAAGTAAGCAAGGACATTGTCCGCGACAAAAACTAATTCTTGGCTAATTCGTGTTCTTAACAGCGGACTCGATTCTTGGCGACCTTTGGCAGTCCTTCCTCCCATCTCTGGCTAATCCGCAGCTCGACCATAACGGCGGCGTACAAGATGCAGTCGCACCCGAAGTTCTGGCTTCCATCATCGAGCGCATCAATCAAAATCCACCACGAGACTTTGGCGATCGACAGAGGGAGGACATTGTCATTGCAATCAAAATGCGGTATCAGAAGCTCAACGCGAGAATCCCGAATGCAGTAGAAGCTGTGCTATACTTGACGACATTGCTGGAGATCCCCGAGAGTAGACTTGCTCGGGTCGTGCAGAGGATTGGCCCGAGAAGCACTTCCTCGGTCGAAGCATGTAAAGAGATGCTAGCAGGTGTTGAGAACAGGGACATATCATATATGCAGGTCGCGAATGCTCTATTCTACATGCTCACGGCACAGGGTGGAGACGCATTCGACGCCGGCATATTCGTGGAAGCACTGAGACACCACAAGGCCGGATCAAAGATCGATTGGACAGATGTGGTGCAAGGCTTCGACAGAGAGGGATTGCGAGTAGGCAAGAAGCAGTTCTTGGGACTGTACAACGCTCTTGTCCCTTTGACTGCGGAATACGCCAATTTTGATATCCAGCAGTTGTGGGGTGGACCATGGCAATACCAGCAAACGCAATTGAGCTTTGTCACGGCGTTTCTGTCGACTACGCCAGATGAGCTTGACGTGGAGAGGATACCTCGATTCAGACGCGCATTCACCATGGAAGACTACGCGGACGCTCCGGATAACATCAAGGCCTATGCAGCAGAGGCTGTCAGGCATCCACTAGTGTCCCGCGATGCGACAGAGGCCCTTTTCGTGATGATCTTTCGCTCCCAGGACGCTTACAACGACGCACAGATGCTAGGAATACCGGAGACGATTATCAATCCAAACATGACCATTTTCCTATGCGCGGCGTCTGCCGTGCCGAAGCCATGGGCGCCTTTGCAGGATCAGGCTCTGAAACAGCTCTTTTACCCGTTCGTGTTGAAGCATCATCCAAACTATGAATTTGTCATGCATTCGTTGTGGCTGCATGATCGATCGTGGGTGGCACAAAGACTTGTGGACTTTTACCAGCAGAACGGACCTATCATCGCGTTAATATTCGAGCATGCTGTTGAGCACGGATGGCTGGACTTGCTGCTGACGATTCAAAGCACGTTCGGCGTCGATTTGGCAGCTTATGCCCATAGCAAGGGCCGTTGCGATTTGCTGGAGTGGGCACATCCATTGGTGCAGACACTGGGCGCGATGGAGTTGGGGCGCGCTGTCCACGATTTCATCGGATCGAAGGTGGAAGACGAGACCAAGGTGCAGAAGGATGGCGCACAAAGAACCACGGTCCCGCTCGCGTTGAAGACAGTGTACGCTCTACTCATGTTGCTCGAAACCTTGATCGGTGACGAGGAACTGGGACCGCTCTACCGACAATGCCTGCAGACCTATCCACGACTGTTTAATTATGGCGATGATCTGCAGCGCGATGCACTTTTGGAACGACAGTGCGAGAGCGGACATGGAGTGCCGAACGAAGCAGATGCAGAGATGCAAGAGCGCTACAAGAAAATGTATGGTGGCGAGGCCACACCGGATGATATCGTGAAGGAGCTCAAGGCATTCAAGGCCTCGGATGATCCCAATAAACAGGACTTGTTCGCGGCAATGCTTCAAGGTTTATTCGACGAGTACAATTGTTTCGGGGAGTATCCGAACGAGGCGCTCGCCACGACCGCGGTATTGTTTGGTGGACTAGTATCGTACAACGTGCTGTCAAACATTGCCGAGCAAGCGGCCATCTACATGATCTTCGAAGCTGTAGCTGAGTGCGGACCGGACGACTCTATGTACCGCTTTGGCTTACAGGCAATGATACACTTGCTTGGCAGACTCAAAGAGTGGCCGCATTTGGCTGAGCGCATCTTGCGAATCGAGTCGCTGCAGAATACTCCAGCTTTTCAAGCTGCGCAGAATACTCTACGAGATCTGCAGCAAGATGGCACCGGTATGAATGGAGACGCAGTCAATGGCATCACTAACGGCACGCTGGACGATGAATTTCCGGTTGACTCGCCAACACCACCTTTCTCCGCGATCAGGCCGGATCCACCTTTCAGGGGAGACTTGTACGAGGAGCCGAACGAAGACGTGTCTGATGGTGTGATGTTCGCTTTGAACAATGTCTCGGCTAGGAACCTGGAGGAGAAGTTTCGTGATCTGGACAAGCTAGAGGAGCGACATCACCAATGGTTCGCGCATTATCTAGTCGAAGAACTGGCAAAGTCGCAGCCGAACTTCCAGGCACTGTATTTACAGCTTCTGGAGACCTTCGATCGTAAAGTGTTGTGGTCAGAAGTGCTGAGGGAGACCTACGTCAGCTGTGCGAAGATGCTGAATGCACCTAGCACTATGGAGCATGCCAACGAGCGTAACAGCCTGAAGAATCTTGGTGGCTGGCTTGGGGCTCTGACCCTCGCCCGCGACCAGCCTATCTTACACCGCAACCTCTCCTTCCGGGATCTGCTCATCGAGGGTAACGAGACACAACGACTGCTCGTCGCCATTCCGTTCACATGCAAGGCGCTGTGGCACTCTAGAACATCGAAAGTCTTCAGAACACCGAACCCGTGGCTCATGGAGTTGCTCGGTATGCTGAGCGAGCTATACCATCACTTCGACCTCAAGCTCAACCTTAAATTCGAGATCGAAGTCCTGTGCAAGGATCTAGGGATGGATATCAAGCTGATTCCAGAGACCGAAATCGTGCGCGCTGGACGACCGATGCCGGAGAATAATCCTTTGCAGCCGTATGTCCAGGATGGTGGACAAGATGGGTTTGGTGATATGCACATCATGGGCTTGTCGAAGCGTCCACCGAACGAGCGCTTCTCGCCAGATGCCGTTGTCCAGGCGCTGCCGGATTTGAGGAGTATGCTGCATATCCCGACAGCCGCTGGCACTGTCACGCAGCCTCAGCTACGAGAGATCTTCATTTCAGCTGCTCAACAGGCTATTTACGAGATCATCGCACCCGTCGTCGAGCGCTCTGTTACCATCGCTGCGATCTCGACGTCTGAGCTTATCCAGAAGGACTTTGCAACCGAGGCTGATATCGAGAAACTCAAGAGCTCTGCTTATACTGTCGTCAAAGCACTGTCTGGCAGCCTCGCCCTGGTGACGTGTAAGGAACCACTACGGATGAGTATTACCAATAACATCCGTATCTCGGCCGGCCGTAACATCCAGGAGCCTTTGCCTGAAGGTCAGATCCTTATGTTTGTCAATGACAACATCGAGACGGTTTGCAGTCTCGTTGAGACTGCTGCGGAAGACCACAGTCTAGCTGAGATCGATGCACAACTTGCGACTGCTATTGAGGAACGGAAGAGGCATAATGAGCGGCGACCGAATGAACCCTTCAACAACCCACCTGTCAGTCGTTGGGCGCAGCTCATTCCTGAGCCCTTCAAGCAGGATCCACAGGGAGGGAATGCGAGCGGGCTCAACAGGCAGCAACTTGGTCTCTACGAAGAGTTCGGCCGCCAAGCTCGCATCACGCCTACAGCCCATGCTAGCAGCATGTCCCAGGATGCTCGTGGTCAGCTGCCGGACGTGTTAGGTGATGGTTACCTACCGAGCATGCCGACCCCTGCCGAGGCTCCCGCCATTCCTCGACCGACGCCCCAACAGCAGCGCTTGCCGATGCAACCACCCCCCGGCCACGGGCAGGTCAACGGTTTCCTGGACCCTACCATTGCTTGGCAGCAGTCTATGGACCTGCTTGAGGAGATTCTGCAGGTATGCCGCGAAGCTCCTGAAGAGCATGTTGCTGAAATCAGTGGTGACGGACCCATTCGACGGATTTTCCAGCAGATCCTCGGCCTATTCCAGATGCAGCCATTGGCTCAGAGGGAGAGTGTTGCCACTGCCGCGGCCGAGCGTTGTATTGTGATGCTCTACAGCGAGTGTCAGAAGCGACTGGAATACGAAGTCGTGGCGCGTGTCTTGCACGAGCTCAACACTCTGTCGGTTCCTGCAGGCCATCGTTTGCAGCAATTTCTCGTTAATACCGAGGATGACAAGGTCTACAACATTGATGCTACGGTCGTGCTCCTAGCACAGGGAACTATCGATGTGTCAACTATAGACGTCCAGGCACAAAAGGCGATCAGAGCAAAACGTCCGTCTGTGCTGCCATTCTTACTTGGCCTCTTTGATGAGATCATCCTGGGAGAGCATGCATCCGCTATGCGCGCCGACTTTGCTTACTCTTTCGACGCACTTGGACAATGGCTCGCAACTGAGCCCGACAATGACGCTCTTCGCAAGGTCATGGCGAGACTGTACGTGCCTATCAACCAGACGAATGGCATGCCCAGTCCGCCACAAGGTGACAAGCGTGACCAATTTGAGTACACTTTTGAGGAGTGGGTCAGACTTCAGCGTAAGGCACTGCCGCTGCACACCTACCTGGCTTTCGTGCGGCAGCTATATGAAAGGCACATCACCTCCGAGCCGGAGGACTCGCTCGAGTTTCTGCGAGCTTGCCTCGAGATGTCGTGTGCGACGTTCGAGCGCGCAGCTGGCAGAGGGTTTCCCACTCAGGAGACTGCCTATGAGCACATCGACGCGCTTGCGAGATTGATCGCTTTCATTGCCGTGTATCAGGTCTCGGGTGATGACGAGGTACAAGGCAGCAAGTCGACATCACTTAGCACAATCCTGCATCTGACTGTCCTGATCATGAACGATCACCAAGTCAAGCAGCGCGAGCAATGGAATGGGCGAGTCTACTTCCGCTTTCTGTCAACGTTGCTGTGTGAGATCCACGAAGCAAGACAACATGTTGATGCGCAGAAGCTTCAGCACATGTCACGAAGCTTCGGCCATGCATTGGAGGGTCTGCAGCCAAGGTACTTCAGCAGCTTCCTGCAATATTGGATTGCACTACTCGGCCACCGACTACTGGTTCCAGCCCTTCTGGCTCCGGCAGGACGAAACGATGGCAGCTGGGACACGTATATGCACTTGCTTTGCACTGCCCTCGACAATCTGGACGCACTCTTTGGCGCGCCTGGAGTCACTCCTATCGTGGTTCAGGATTTCTACCGTGGCGTCAATCGCATTCTCCTGATGCTACACCATGACTTTCCTGAGTTCTTGATCGAGAGGCATTATTATCTCAATAGCAAAGTCCCCCGAGGGTGTGTGCAGCTCAACAATCTCATCAATAGCGCTGTGCCCAGATCGCTTGAGCAGCCTGACCCTTTCCAGCAAGGACTGAAGATCAACAGACTGGATCAGGTTCGGCAGGCGCCTCTGGTAGCAAACAATATCGGCGAAGTACTGGAGCAGGCTGGAATCAAAGACGTTGCCGAGCGTATCTGCACTAGCAGTGACAGTCTCGAAGAAGACTTCGCCTTGATCGCTAACGCGCTGTCGCCGGCCGACGGCTCAGTGAACGCACTCTTAACGAATGCCTTGGTGCTATACATAGGGGTACACGCCACCTCAGCATCGAACGTTTTCTCCTCTGCTGCACCCACAGCGCGCCTGCTAGAGCGACTTCTACTGCGCGAAAGCCGGCCAACAGCTCGCCACCTGGTCGCCATGGCCATGGTCAATCAAGTTCGCTACGTCAACGCGCATACGCATTACTTCTTCACCGCTCTGCAGCATATGATCACCATTGCCTCTAGCGAAGTGCAGGAGCAAGTATTGCTGATAGTTGAAGAGCGTCTGATGGCACCGCGTCCACATCCATGGGGAGTCATTGTCATGATGCTGGAACTGCTCAAGAACCCGAATATCAATATCTGGGATCTTCCTGCCACGAAGGCTGCGACTCAGATCTCGCAGATGTTGAATAGCCTTCTGCAAAGCTCTGAGCCTGCACGCATGGGTAGGAGTCCTATTGGTGGCTCCATGATGTAGGAGAGAGAGAGGTGGGAGACCAGTGGAGGAGGATTTCCAACAAGGCGTCAGAGAACTACAATGAAAGAAAGGTGTATTCGTGTTGTTCATTGCCCTTCGATACGATGACAACACCATTCTTTCGGACAAGAAGGGTTTGTCAGAAGCGAGCGAGGGAGATGGCGTCGCTTCTAGGGAGCCTCTGAGATTTTCAGAGCGAGGAGCAAGGCAGGATCACGAAAGCACGGTTTGTACTCTATGCATGCATTGGGATCGGCGTCTTCGATCATTAGAAGCGATGGGGTTTGGGAGGGTTGTCTTATGTCCTCGTAGCATGAGATGTTGTATGTAGAGTAGTGCGTAATGTATCTCTATTCATGGATGTCTTTGGCTCAGATATGAGTGGGTTGGCAATCGTAAAATGTGCTCTGAGGCTGCATGCTCCGAGTCTCATTTAGTACGGATGTGTGAGCACGTGACTCCGAGCGCCACAAGGAACGTGACGCATGAACGATGACGTATAAAAAGCTGGAGAGCGGCGCTTTATGATGGTGGGGTTTCCGTGTCCTGGATAAACAGAAGCATGCGTGATATAGTATTTTATCATCCTTCGCACCATATCTACTTTTCCTGAGAATCACGACCTGCTTACCTACCCAGTGACATTTGACACCTCTTGGCAGAAATAAAGTATCCTCGACAGTGTTCAAGAATTCTTCCACAACAGATTGGTCTTCACCAATACACAGCATCGTACCACGCAACATGAGCGGCGCAGAGCAGGAGGGCGCTGCGGTGCCTGCGCAAAGCAAGGGATCATGGAGTTCGTTCTTGAAGGTCAGTAGTCTTCCCCATTACTCACGAACTGTCGCTGATATTCGCCCAGTCGATTGCCACCTTTAACGGAGACTTGGCGTCGATGACCGCGCCTGCATTCATCCTATCGACGACCTCGCTGACCGAGTTCTCGGCGTACTGGGCAGAAATGCCTCGACTCCTTGTTGCACCCGCGAACGAGCCAGATCCACAGAAGCGGGCAATGCTGGTACTGAAGTGGTTCCTGAGCACATTGAAGCAGCAGTACGCCAGCCGAAATGAGAAGCTCGGAAGCGAGAAGAAGCCGCTCAACCCATTCCTCGGCGAGCTATTCTTGGGCAAGTGGGAAGACGCAGAAGGCGAGACACAGCTTGTCAGCGAACAGGTCTCGCATCATCCACCCGTCACGGCCTACAGCATCTGGAACAACAAGCACGGCGTCAGACTTCAAGGCTACAATGCGCAAAAGGCCAGCTTCAGCCGCACCATCAACGTCAAACAAGTCGGTCATGCCGTGCTCCATCTCGACAAATACAACGAGGACTACGTCATTACGCTGCCGTCTCTGCACATCGAAGGTCTGATCACTGGCTCGCCATACGTCGAGCTTAACAAGAGCAGCTACATTGTCGGGTCAAATGGCTTCACCTCGCGGATAGACTACAGTGGAAAGGGATGGGTATCTGGCAGCAAAAACAGCTTGAGCGCGATTATGTACCCGCATGGCAAGGAGAAGGACAAGCATGCTGTGATCTACACTGCCGAGGGCTCATGGACGGACAAGTTTACCATTAAGGATGCGAAAAAGAGCACTGTTGACACTTACGACGCAAAAAAGGAACCTAAGACACCTCTCAAGGTCGCGCCGATTGAAGAGCAAGATCCTCTCGAGTCAAGACGGGCATGGAAGAGGGTCGCTGATGCCATTCTGAAGGGCGATCTGAATCAGACGTCCGGCGAGAAGACAGTGATTGAGGAGCATCAGCGTGCGCTGAGGAAGAGAGAGGCTTCGGAGAAAAGACAATGGGAGAGAAGGTTCTTCACTCAGGCCGCGAAGTTGCCGGAGATCGAGAAGCTGATCCGGGAGGTGCCTTATGGCAGTCTGGAAACCGACCAGACGAACGGTATCTGGATCTTCGACCAAGAGAAGGCGAGGAATGCGAAACCTCCCTTCAGTGCGCTTAGTGAGCAGCTGAAGAATGGGTGGAATTGACGGAGAGTCGGGTCTGAGAAGGACTGGGTCGGGTAACATCCATGACAGTTGCACGAGCGAGGAACGGCGTCTGGGCTCACATGAGTGACAAGCGGGAGTAGCGAGCTGCACCTGAGATGACAAACGAACGGATGGAAGAGATGAGCAATGACCAATACTGGAGGGTATGACCATACTGCCACAATGGCACGATGTCCTTTCCATATACGTCCCTACTAAGAGTGGTATAACCCTCCTTTTCGTGCGCTATGTCAGACAAGCACATCTTACTATTGCCAATATAACCAAGCTCAGGCACAATGAACGACACTTTCTACAAGCAGCAGGTGATCATATCGACAACTCGAAGTTATACGAGGCCTCGACTCTTCTGACACGAATTCATGGTTGAACACTGCGGACAAGATCCACCACGACATGTTGGAATTCGAGCACTTCCGCAATGCCGCCGTTTGGCCTCTCCACTCTTTCTGCAACCCCATCTTCTCCCCACTGCCACACCTTCATTTCGCCCGTGCATTGTGTGGAGTTATACGGAGATCGGCCACTGCGACCTCAAGACCAAGTAATCTAAAATCTGCTTACGGTTGCGATCAGCGTTCCCACCGCCGTCGTATGCCGGCTGGATGTAACGGATGCAAGGCATGTGGGCGCACGCGAGTGTCATCCGGAGCTGATCTGCATTCGTGCTGCTTGACTATCGTCTTGTCCTGCTTCTTCCCACCTTCTCTCTCGCGCGCGAGGTATCGTGCGTTGTGTTGGCTGACATCTCACGCGACATCCAACATGGCCGACTACGAGAAGCAGACGTCCGTCGAGCAGGAAATGGCCACGCAGGTCGAGAAGCTGGGACCTGAGAAGGCTGCTATCGTCGCCGCGCAGCATTTCGAGCACCCAACGCCGGATGAGGAAGCCAAGGTTATTCGGAAGCTCGATCGCAGACTGTTGCCATTGGTGTTCGTCCTGTATTCCCTCGCTGTGCTCGATCGCAGCAATTTGGGCAATGCCCGTCTGGCCGGTCTGCAGAAGGATATTGACATTGCTGGCGAAAGGTGTAAGTGATGAAGTATCTGCCCGCCATTGGACTCCGACACTAACAATGATCTTTGAACAGACGCCTGGCTCGGAACAATCTTCTACATCTCCTACATTCTCTTCCAGTGGACGCAGATGGGCTGGAAGCAGTTCAAGCCTCATATCTGGTGTGCTTCGGTTGTCCTCCTCTGGGGCTTCGTTGCCACGATCCAAGCTGCTGCAAAGTCTTGGGGAGGCTTGATGACCTGCCGCTTCTTCCTCGCTATCGCAGAAGCAGCATTTGGGCCCGGCGTCCCACTATATCTCAGCTTCTTCTACCCTCGGGACAAAGTTGGCTTCAGACACGGCGTTTTTATTTCTGGAGCTGCTATGGCTAATGCCTACGGTGGCGTGCTTGCCTACGGTATTACGCAGATCAAAGGGTCGCTCGCGCCCTGGAAGATTCTGTTCTTGATCGAGGGACTGCCGACCTGCTGCTTTGCGGTCATCGTATGGTTCTTCCTTCCCGACGGTATCCTGCAAGCACGGTTCTTAAACGAACGTGAGAAGCAGGTGGCACTGCACTTCGTGGCCAGGAATCAGCGTATTGATGTTGGCAAGGAACAAGGCCTGCGATTCAAGGAAGTACTCGAGGGTATCCGCGATCCAAAGTCCTGGATTCCTGGTATGATGTACTTCGGCTGGTAAGCTTAGTGCAGATTTGCAGTATGAGACGGGCCAGACACTGACCACGACCTTAGCAACGTATCGTACGCATCACTTCCTCTGTTCGTGCCAACGATCATCTCCTACTTGGGTAAATGGGACAAGGCACAGTCCAATGGACTCTCGGCACCACCATACCTTCTATGCTTCTTCTACATCATCGGGGTCTGCTTCCTATCAGATCGTCTCAAGATGAGAGGCCCGTTCGTTGCTCTGTCTGGGATAATCGGTGCCATCGGCTTCCTCATTCTCGCCACAGCCACGAAAACCGGCGTGAGGTACTTTGCAATCTTTATGGCTGTACAGATCTTCGCAGCCGTGGCTCTACTACTGGCTTGGACAGCCAATATCCACGCAACAGAAAGTAAGCGCGCAGGCGGGTATGCAGTCCTCGCTACGCTCGGACAATGTGGTCCGTTACTCGGTAAGCTCCCTTCACAGGCACAGGCATGACAAGGAGATTGACAACGAACGCAGGTACAAACGTCTTCCCAGACTCGGAGAAGCCTTTCTTCCGCAAAGGCATGTGGATCTCAGCAGCCTTCTGCTTGCTCGTGGCTGTTCTGGCATGCTGCCTGAGTTTGTGGCTCATCCATGAGAACAAGAAGATGGCCAAGGAGGGCATGCCAGAAGTCGAAGAGTTTGAGGATACCTCTGTAGCGAGGGAGAGTGGAAGGCATGAGAAGCATCGGTACATATGGTAAGAATATGGTCTTGGAGAGTTGCAAAGCCCCTTTTTGTAGTTATGCCGAGATATGATTGAAACGAAGGTCGCAAGAACAAATAGTTACACGAACTCCACGTCATCACAGTCTGCCTTCATAATCCTCACCACAGTGTTCGTAATCACATCATCGCTCGTCTGCTAGGAGGTTTTCCATCAGGATGTCCCGGCGTAGATCTATTGATTCTATCAGCAAGAGGAGAAGCAGGGCTCGGGACACGATGGGCGACATACCATTCACTTCTTGTTGCAAGTGCAGCTACCTGGCTGGCAACCGCAGTCCGCGCAGGAGCAAGAGGCGTTACCGCAGCCACCCATTGTGATGCTTGAGTTGTTGATTTGAGGTTTTGTGGTGTGGGAAAGTTGTCGGTGAGAGTTGAAGTGTGCTGTGATCGTCGAGTGTTGTGATATCTTTGTCTGATGTGCTAAAGTGAAGCTGTCGCTGCGGGCGTCGAAGCTCTTTATCAGCACGGATTGAGGCAATTCTGCGGTGGCGTGGGGGAGACAAAGAGAAGGGTCTCGTCGGGCGAAAACCACTCAGCCGGATGGAGGTGGAGCTCGCAGTGGTGGAGAGCTTCTGCAAGTTGCTCGGCCCATGAGTGAGTTTTGCGCGAATGGCCGCATGCTCGGGATGGACTATCGGTTCTAGTTCCTACATTCAAACGGATACGTTCTTGGCTGCTGTGATCTCGACAATATGTACATAGACACGCAACTAGGGTATCGGACTATCTGCTACTGGCTAAATGATTGACAACCTTAACCCCAACCTTGACACCAGCTTCGAGCATGTAGATCGCAGCTTTCAGTCCGAAACCTATGACTGCAACAGCACCTTGTACTGGCTTGCCGACATCTGCTGGCTGACCAACCAACTCTTTCGACACGCTGTCAATGACACGAGACGAACGCTTCGACCATCGTGAAGACTTCTTGGCTTTTGCCAGAGCTTTCTTGCTTGCCTTGTCATTCGCCGCGTAGGGTGATTTTGGTGGTGGTGCGAACGTGATGGCTTCTGTTTGTACCATGGTGTTCTCGATCGCGGCGACGGCGAACAAGGCACTGATCGCCGTGTCGACCATATAGGCGCTGTCCAATGCGAGAAGAGCAGGTAGGTCCAATACACAGGTATCGCGTGCGAAGTCGAGGAAGGCGAGAACTAAGTTCTCTGCGGCTATGGCGGCTGGTGTTGCAGAAGGATGATGTATGCCGATCTTGGCACGTGGCTCGCGTGAGGTAGCGGACTTGTAAGACTTGGTGACGGTAATGACCATTGTGCCAAGCACGGGATGGTCTAGATTGTAAGACGCGATGACTGCGCCCAAGCTGTCCCTCTTCCTTGTAGTACGCGTGAGGTTGCAACCATATCTTTGCTGTGCAAAGGCGATGGCAGCTTGTGCGAGCCGTGCAGCTTCTGGAGATGTGGCCGCCGGGTCAAAGGTTGCAATAGCCATAGCCTCTGGTGAGTTCGCAGCGCTCTGTACAGCTTGGTAGGCCGCCACTTGCGGGAAAATAGTCGTGATGTGAGCATCACACTTGGTTTCTGGAGTCGTGGTACAGTCGACAGCGAGCTGGGTCACTGTCTGGGGAATGTTCGTTGTCGGATTGAGCCTCTCCACAGCCCAACACCTCACGTCTTGTCCTTTCTGCGATGGAGATATTGGACTCGCCTTGACCAACGAGAAGATCGGCTGGTCTGCTGCAAGACCCACGACCAGAGAAGTACCTTGACTGCTTGGCTGGTACAAGCGAATCTGCACTTTCCTGCCAGCGACTGGGAAGTGGCCATCTGATGCCTTGTTGAGCGACAGTACATCGCTATTATCGGCATATGGTATATGCTCATACCCATTGACCAGATTCACAGCAGAGTCGAAGCGCTGAACAAGTGGTCGCTCGACAGGGTTGCCGAACTTGCTAATCTTGTCGCTTGGTAAGGCTTGAGCATAAGCTCGGTCTGTGGGATAATAGTTCTGCTGGACCAAGGGTTTAGCTGAGTCGTACTGCGGAAAGATGGACCTGTTCTCTGGAAACGGCGGGGAGCCATGAGTTGTGCTGCTGGTCTTCTGATCTGTCGATCTGTTGAGCTGCGATAGATCTGACGAGCCTTGCCGTGATGTCGGGAACTCGGACGATCTTGGAGAGGCGGGCAAGAACCTTGTCTTCTCGGGCAAAGGTGAGAGCTGGTCACCATCCGTCACAAGGTGCTCGGTTGCTTGAGTAATTGAGGGCGTAGGGCTATCGAGGACGGGCGATTGCCTAAGGCGCTTCGAAGGACTGCGGTGTACCTTGCTACCACCACCGAAATCGACGTTGACCGGTAAAGGTCGGAGCTCGTCTTGCTCATTGAGATGTTGCAAGTCAGTGGTGATCTGGAACGAATCTGGACTTCGTCCCATCAGAGATGCTGGCCTGGTCAAGGATCGGCGAGCATGCCGACGTTGAGGCAAGAACGGACTGGTCCGTTTTACGAAGTCAGGCGAGGTCGGAGGCTCGCAAAAGAGTGAGTGCTTGAACGTGTTTGCTGAAGGGTGGATGCGTGGCGATGTCTTCGGGCTGGTCGTGATTTGCAAGGCGAGGCCTTTCAGCTCTCCTTCTTTCGGCTGTACGCAGACCGGCTGCGGCCTGTTCCTCAGGCTGGTAGTTCGTGGTGGTGGATGAGTTGCGGTCGAGGGAAATAGCTGCAAAGGAATGGAAGTCGCCATGGTACCAGACCAAGGCAAGAAATGCTACGAAGAAAGGATAGTGGAATATGATGTGCAATCCGTAAGCAGCCTGACAGATTCTATAACAGCGCATATGGTGACTGCTATATACCTAGGGTGAGACATTCCAGGCACATCGCTTGCCGGATCTGTATCTTTTCAATAGCTTACATTTTAACCTTGACGGCATCGCGACGTGCCGTACACCATCACGCTTTATTCAGCGCGACGATTGATATAGCAGCGAATGGGTCTGCCCACCGAAGGCCTTGTATAGGGCGGAGGAGGTGTGCCTGACCTGTCCATGCATGCGGCCCTGTAAGCGCCGGCCTGTTACGCGCCCAGTGAGCATTGCTCGAGTCGGTACTCCGATTGCCATTGGGCTCCGCTCCAGCGAATACTCCTTGTTCCGTCGATGCAGAACGCCACGCAATCATTTGAGCGAGCCAGAAGCGTGATGCTCGTCGGTATCTATATTGTCGATTCATCCGGCGCGTGCATGGCCTTGGAATCAACACACGACTCTCCGTCATGAAGCCCGCCAATCCACTGGTCAATTGAGGGCGAAGGAGAGTTGTAGACTAGTCTCTCGGAACGTAAGACAACTGCTCCGTGGGATATGGACCGCAGACTGTATGTTCTTACGTGGACGTAAAGCCGGGAGAAGACTATTCTTCGCAGCACAGGCTCTCGAAGCCTCATTCGGCCATCGGTGGTGAGCTGACTAATCGAGAGAAGATCGTCTCTCACATGTTCAGTAACTGCGTCACTTCTGAATTATCAGTTTCTGATGATCTCGACCACTATGCTCATAGCTACCTAGACACGATGGTGTCCTTCTGGCCGTTTAAGGCCGACGACAGTTCGGCGGCGTCGTTCGAGAAGGTATTGAGCCAGTTATCGAGTAAGATAAACCGTGTTAGCACACAAAACGATAGCTTCAGGCAGAAGCAGCGACGGTATAAGGTCCTGTGGACACTGTACACCACCTTTGCCTATATCCTGGTCGCGGCAATCCTTACACTGGTCACTGGCTATCAGAGATGGGGAGCAGTAGAGTACACAGCCATAGTCGGCAGCCCAGTACTGATCTTTGCCATTCGAACCGCTTTGGATGCATACTACAACTATCGGCTCAGCAACTCGCAAAATCACCTGAATGAGCTGTATAAGCAGAGGGAACAGGCGATTCAGAAGCTGAAGGCTGCCACAAAGTATGATAGTACGCAGCAATTGCTTGACAAATATGGAGGCACACCAAAGAAGCGAGCACCATCACCACAGCCGCAGAAGAAGCGGCAGTCAGATGGTCCCCAAGCAAAGCAGAACATGGCGCCGGTGCAGCGGACTGGCTTTGCTCCTCCACCTACAGCGAACATACAGCGACCCTCTACAAGTGGAGGACCTCAGCTATCAGGTCCGGCAAGTCAGCCCCAACGTTCTGTGACTGGACCCAAATTGGCCATCTCACCACCGGAGCCCAACGAGGAGTTTGCACCGAATGCGTTCTCTGCCCCTTCACCAACACATCCACCTGCACCGATGCTACGACAAGCTTCCGCTCAGTACTCGGAAGGATCGAAGTGGTATGATCGCATATTGGACGTGGTGCTAGGCGAAGACGAAACACAAGCCAAGAACCGTATGGCATTGATATGTCAAAACTGCAGACTTGTGAATGGGCAAGCGCCACCTGGGGCGAGGACGCCGGAGGATGTGGGAAGATGGAGATGTAGCAGTTGTCAGTCTTGGAACGGCACGGAAAGCGAGCATAAGCAGATCTTGAGTCAAATCTCTGGCACTGCACCACAGAGGCCTACCAGTAGTGGCGAAGAAGCCATACCGCAGGCTATCGAGGCTGATGATGAAAGTGCTGAGTTTGAGCATGTGGATGAAGTCGCGGATGACGAGGACGAGGTCGAGGTTGCCACCGAAGCCGCACCTACAGCGTCGACACGGAGCAAAATGCGGCAAAGAAAGAAGGAATAAGTAATTCTTCCATAATGGCCTGCTTGGACCTTTGTGAAACAGCATAGTACAGCATAGCATGGTATAGCGTAGGAATATTCCGATATCATAACTTAGCCCCCGTCTTCCTCTTAACCAACTTCTCCACAGCATCAACACCCGCCTGCGCAACCTCCGCATCCTGCGCCGGCGTCCCGGTACTGACCCCAATAGCCCCCACCACCACCCCATCAACCATAATCGGGATCCCACCCCCAATCAACATGAACCTCCCTCCATTAGAATTATGAATCCCGTACGCCGGCCCACCAGGCAAGAAATTCTTATTCGAGTAATTCGATGTCGGTGCGCGATGGCCAGCAGCCGTAAAGGCTTTATCGATGGAGATTGGGACGGAGGTGAGTTTAGCGTTGGGCATGCGTGTGAAGTGGAGGAGTTGAAGGGTGCTGTCTACTAGGGCTATGTTGAAGTCTGCATACATCTCATCAGTACGACGACCCTCCTGTCAGGTAGTCGTTCTCCTTTTCAGGACATACCAATGCCCATCTGCCTTGCCTTCTCCTCCGCTGCTGCTGCCGCGACTTTCGCGGCTTCGAGCGAGAGGCATGGTAATTGTCGCGTGCCTGCCATATTTGCGAGACCAGTGACCAATGCAGAAGGTGCGAATGGATGAGAACGGATTGTAAGAACTAGACCTTCAACAATCTACATACCGCAGATGCGGCGTCTTACTGTACTCGAAGCTCAAAACAGTGACCTCACACTCAAAGCTGCACGATCGACCTTGGTCGGCAGGAGCGGAAATGGCGGAGAAAGTGAATGCATAAAAGAAGCCCATGCATAAAGTAGTTATGCTATGTGAGCGTGCCTGCCTGCCTGCCTTTCTCTACCCCTTTTGCCTCGATGAGCACAACAACTACTATACAGACCATGCAACGTGCCTGTACTGTACAAAATTCGCATTCATTTGCCCGTACGCTCTTCCTGGCATGAACAGATAGCGCCTTCGTCCTCTATGTGACATTTCCAATCCTGCCTCATCCTGGAGGGGGAGCGCTTGTGTTGCGCTTGCAGAGTTCACTCGCTGGTATTCGTTGACATATGAAAAGCGCGTACAACCTCATTGCATGTCGCCAGTGACAGTATGTCGACTGCGACTTCGCTCTTCCGTCGCTCAAGTCAGTGTGAGCATGTCCTTTCACGGACTAGTCGTCCCGTATGCTCCAGGCAGAAGCTCCGTTGCAGATGAGATGGAGCAGTCATACTGCGCGAGCGTAACTCCAGAAACGACGGCGTATGGAACTACCTGCGTGAGGAACAGTTGCTTAGACGATTCAGCTTCATGGTGTAGCTGAAAATCGTGAACATCATCGTGTTCATGTAGTCGGTGTCCGAGAGACAGGTGTTTTACCACTTCAGAGCTCACCATCGTCCGAATCCATGGCGGCTTCGACCTTTACACCAGGCGTAGACAATGCTCCATGCTGGTCCTCCTGCTTCCTCGCCGCATCGTTGGACTCGTACGTGAGCACTTGACCATTCAGCTTCGCATCCAGCTGGCCAAACATCGCATTGTCTAGACCCGGCATAGACGCTCTATGTCTCTTGAACGGACTGGCAATGGCATCTGCTGTACCATTCGTGACTTTTGACGACATCCCCTCAGGTGGTGGTGTACCCGCATTCGCTGAGGTCGAGTTCGCTGATTGAGGTGTGCCTCCTGGAGAGTCCTCGGCCTTGATATGCGGTGACTTGCGGGTAGCTGCAGATTCGCCGAGTGGCTCTGCTGAGTGCTGGCGTTTCAGCTGCTCACGGTCAGTATGAGCGTTTCTCGCCCATTCGGTGTCTAGACATACCTTAATCTTCTGCACACCCTCTGCCACCTCGTCCTGCCGCCTCGCATCCTCGGGTGACAGCAATTTCCCATTTTCATCCTTAATGTCAGTGTCGTTGTCGCCATCCCGCAGATGTTCCGCATCATCATCCTCCTGGTCACTGTCCATGGCATCAGCATCCTTGTCCTTGCCTTTCCGCTTGGCGTTACCATCACGGTAGCCAGAAAATCCCACGGTTCCCTTCGACTTGAGTGGTCCCAGGCTGGAGAAGTCTGGTCCGGAGACTTTGCGCTTGGCTACGCTATGTGGAGCCTTCTGCGCATCGTCGCTGTGTAAGATGTTCATCTTCTGAAGCTGCTTCTCACCACGGTAAAAGAATGTAAAGACAGCATACGGGGCCTCCGGTGGGTCTAGTCCTGTCACAGTTTGCGTACTGATCGACTTCGGATCCAGAGTCTTTGGCTTGGCGAAACTCGTAGTATGATCGATATCGCCGTCACCAGTCTCGTTGTTACCATTCTGGTCGGCGCCATCTTCATCCTCGTGCACATCGAACTGCGGGGAGTACTCGCCACGCTTGATCTCTCCACTGGCGAGCACTCTGAATAATGCCACCTTGATCTGGCCCGCGGCTTCGGCTTGCGGCGGCTCGTCGTCTGAGTCTGAATCTGACGAGAAGAGGCCGCTCTCGTCTTGCATATCCTCGACGGGAGAGGTGGGCTCGCCTCCATAACGCAGCACACCATTCCTGTCCAGACGCTTGACTTTGCTCTTCTCTTCCTCCTCGTCACTAGAGTCCATCGCCTGCTCCCTCTTCTTCTTCTTCTGCTTCTTCTCCAGCCGCCTCTGCCTCCGCTCAACCCTCTCAGCCCTGTCCTTCGAGCCCTCCAGATCGAGACCATTCAGCCACCGCTCGAGCCCCACCTCCCGGAAGATGAACTCTCGCTCTGCCAGACCGCCGCCTTCCGAGTCTGGGACACTGACCCATCTCGAATTGACCCAAGTCTCTTCACCGCGCCGTAGCAGCGTCGCAACCTCTTCCTTGATACGCCCGTCGAAGTAGATGTACGCAGCTATTGTCTCGTTGGGGTTCGATGTGCGTGAGATGTATGGCGGCACTGAGCCGATGTAAGCACCTCGTTCTTGACTCGTGCCTGGCAGGCTAGCGACCGTGCGGGGTTGTGGGTATGGGTCCTGCTCGGTGGGCTTGGGTGTGCTGTACGGGACATTCAGACCTGGTGTGAGAAGAGTGATGGAGATGGCGAAGGTGGACTGTTCTGGTTTGCCGGTCAGAGAGTCGGTGGGGACCTTGGCGGGCGGGACGGGGATGTAGGAGGAGATTCGTGACGCTCGTGACTGCTTTTGGATGGAGTGTTCTGCCAGTGGACCGTCCGGCGTGTGGATGCTGACCGCAAGGCCTTTGAAGCAAGGCATCTTGCGGTCTCAAGCGAGTGTGTCGTTGTCAAGGGGTGGGCCTTCAAGCTTGAGGTTTTGATAAAAGGTGGAATGCCAGCTGCCGAGACTCAAGGCGGTGGAAGGTCAAGATCGGTAGTGACAGCTTCAGCAGCACGGGCAGGGCGTCTAGTAATGCTGGTTGATGCGAAGTGATAGTACAACAGACTGAAGTCGGCAGTGTGTGCAGCGTGTGTCAATCTGGTGTTATATTATGTTATGTTATGAGTACGCGCAACAATATTTCGACGTCACTCGTGTATGGCCTGGCGATCCAACCTCGCACGCGCTTCAGCTTGGAATCTGGAACTCGACCCATCACGTGCGTGCCGCTTCACGAGTCAGGGTCCATACATTCGACTGCGTACTCTCTTCGACTTCTTCTTCCCTCCTGGTCTCTTGCCGTTATTTTTGGTGACTCAACGAGTATATGTCTATTGCAGGCATAAAGCTCGTCATTATATGAATTACTTACTGCTGTAAGCACGCCGGCCTCCGTATCACAGAAATACAGCGAGTGAGATGAACTACCTCAGAAGTAGGCTGCTTGTCAAGGCCTGAGTTGTTCCTGGATTGCTCATGTTTATGCATAACTCATCACTCTAGTGCAAGGGGTATCTCGAATATGACAAACCCAGAACGCTGTCGCCATGCCATGGAGTCTGCGTCGCGCAGCCAGCAAGCGCATATCATCAGTAAAGCAACATGCCCGATCTAGACCGCTTGCCCGCCAGCACCTCCCTCACCGTCCTTGCCGTCCCTCTTCTTGCGTTTCAAGTCGTCTTTGGTCGACTTGGGGTCGGCCTGCACCTTCTCGAATACGAGGCGACCTGTGTCTCGTTAGCCATGAAACAGCTTGTCTATCAGCAACGAACTCACCATACTCGTCACCGCCGGAGTGGACCGGATGATCGCAATTCAGGAGCCCGCAATCTTTGGGATGCTTGCGCACCGCCTCGTAATCACTGAGCTCACGCTCCGGCCGGCGAGCCTGTATGTTTGCCCGCGCGCCTGCTTCGGCAGCCTGGTGAAGACGCTCGTTGTAGTCCGCGAGTAGATCTGAGCCACTCTCGAGACGACGAGTACCATCAGTATGAGTGGCAATATGAACGTCACGACCGTAGTCGTATGTCACGCGGTAGCCCAGCTCGATGAAGCGAGCGGCTTCGCGTCGATGGTGAAGGTTGTTGTCGTATCGCGGAATGCGGACTCGAAGACGGATCTGGGTATAGTCGACCTGTCGACTCGGGTCCTCGCCGCCTGGCATGTTGGAATATCCTTCGTAAGCTTAAGGTCTGTTGTATACATGCTGAGATGCGGACTATCAGTAGATGATCAGCGCCTCCTGTTCGTAGAGGGTATGCTTACGAATTTGTACTGTGGGTATCAAGGCACTGTCTCTAGATGCTTGATATGTGTAGAAGCTGACTGGTCCTTGAGATGTATCCTGTTGTGAGGGCTGCTGTATCAAGCTGTTGGTTCTTGCGAAGCTGTGACATATAAGTACTGGAGCAAGACATGCATAGCGCCAGGCTAGCGCAGAAAACAATGAATGGAGGAAGAGGGTGTTGATCTTGGCGAAACAGACTCCATCCACCTACGCTCACTCACTAGAATAACGCGAATGATCGGATTCTCATGAATGCGGCTATAAAGATGGATTCCATGAGCCTACCGGTCCATAGGTGCTGTCCGGATGCAGCAGGCACAATAATCGGCAGAAAGAATGTCTCATTCATGTTGGCCAGGACCCAGTTTGCCGGACAAATAGTTTCAACCAGGAAGCGAAGGAATCTACGGGGAGCTCAATAGCGGTGTCGTATCGTTATGTCTCATGAGATAAAGGTGTTGATGGGGGTTGCCCATCGGTGTTTTGGTAGCAAGCTTGGTGGAGATGAATGTGCTGATTTGGAACATGTGCAGCGACGTCGAGGCTAGTCCCTGGAAACACATACGAGGCCAGACCGTACGACTGATCTTGATGCCATTGGTCGTCTTGGTAGCTGGAACACTTGTTGTCCACGTATGCTCGGTCAAGATCGACTCAAAGGCACTGGTAAATTCTTCTTAGTGAGACCGAACTCGACCTACTAACATTGTGCATGTCCTCATGGCTATTGGCAGCCGATGCAGGTGTTATAATCGTAGGGACTGAGCCGGTGTCATAACCAGGAGATCGTTTCTTCTTGGCATCATTCATGAACTCAGGCTAATTGCAAAGTAGTCTCCTGTGGTTGAAATTCTTCTTCCAGATGCAGTTGCATTCCGGACTCAGTCTACACCCTGATGCTGGTGACCTTGACGATGCAGCGGCCACGTACATTTCGTGGAAGGGCGGAGATATCTCTACAAGCCCAGACTGGTACGTAAAATATGCACTCAAAGGCAGTAGATAGAGGCATGGAGTGAGGTGAAGCTAAGTCAGCAGTGACGAAGACGGACCGGCCTGTGCACCTGACGTCAACCTACCCACTATTATTGCCCCTCCAAAGCAGAGCCATTATTCTTTCGATAGACTACCACCAGCTACAAAAGCATATCATTTGAGCCTCACCCAACTCACAAGACATATCCTCCAACTCAACAAAATGTACGCCCTGTACTCCCATAATTCTCAAACCATCCACCACCACTAACAATCTCTCAGCAACCCAGCCCATCACACCCACCCCCCTCAACCAAACCACCCACCGCAATCATGTCCGCACCCAACCAAGGTCGCCAGTCACCCGACCCAGAGCGCCAGAGCGGAGCCCAGGCGGGCGCCACAGCGACCAATGTCAACAACCAAGGCCAAGCCAAGAGCGAGACCGCTCCGGCCGAGGAGAGCAAGAACACTTTGAGCAACTTGGAGTCCAACCCCAAGGGACCCATGGATAAGGCTGCGGAGGAGAAGACGTCTAAGACTGTGCAGTAGATGTGTGCACTGTGTGGGAAATGACGCGAGGCGTGAGGATGGGCTACGATGAGACCTCCTACAATTTGGGAGGAATCGGGCCGAGAGGTGGTGATGATGTGAGAGGCTTGTTGATGATACACTCGAGTGGATGGATGGGTATATATAGGTCGGTTCAGTGGGTATATACATGAAGACGAAATGAACGCTGAGCACGGCACATGTGTAGCAGAGCATCGTCACGAACGCGGGTCCTTGTATACATTCTTACCGGCGCGGCGTCTAGGTGAGTCGAGATCGTAGTGCCGGTCGCGTGCCACACTCGGACACAAGTGATGTGCGAGGCGGCTTCTCGTGTCTACCATTGCCTCCAAGAGCTGGTAGTCCTGCCTTTTCCCTCGACGGAGACCGGATCGAGCTCAGGCAGTGGTCTGGCGTGCGTGATCTAGAATGTGGTATGATCAATCCATAGTTCGAACGCTGATATTTCTGTCTTTCTCTTCTCTCAACCCAGACCTCTCCCTCTCCCTCTCGTACTACTCGCAGCACCTCTCCCGATCCCGCTACCTCTCGAACTCGGCCCAGTCGTACCTCTACCTCGCCCAGTCTGTCCACCAACACCGACATATCCTCTCGCACTCGTACTCGCCCCTCTCGTCCCCCTACTTCTCCCACCCCTCGTACCAGCCGAAACAGCAGGCGCAGCAGCTCTCCTCGCCTCGTCCTCCTCCGCCCTCCTCAAACCTTCTTCTCGCCGTCTCTGCTCCTCGATGCCTCTTCTCTCGGTCTCCTCCCGCCTTCGAACTTCCTCACCTTCCATCTCTTCTAGATCTCTGCTCGCACCTTGCCAGTTCGGGTTCAGGATCAATCGTTGATTATACTCTGTCTGGCTCAAGATCCTCGTCCACGTTCCCAGAAGCGTACTGGCGTTCTCGACCGTCTGTTGAACGGTACCCATGTTCTGCCGCGACTTCTCCAGAGAGCTTGTGACGGAGGTTATGATGCTATTTATCTCTTGCAAGCGGCCTAGTTCAGATTGTAATCGTGCTTCGCGAGACGAGTCCGTATCGTTTTTGTTGTGCCCTTGTTTCTGTGCAGAAGGGTTGTTGGATGACGGTGTGTGTTTCTGCGTTGTCGCACCGCTCTCTGGACTCGCAAATACGTCTTCGTCGACATGGTCGTCCAGAGATAGTTGTCCCAGGTCGCGAGTATCTGTCGGCTTGGATCGTGACATAGTGGTCGCGTATGCCGTTTGAGACGGGTTTAATAGCGTGTATGACGTGTCAATTGGTCTGATCTGCTGCTGGCCGCGACATGGAGGCCGTTCTTGTTTACTTCTTGTCTTCTCAGGGCGCGTGTGGAAACGCCATGTTTTGGGCGCTGGAGTGTCTAAACTATAGTAAAGCTCACGCCTCCCCACATTGCGCCCAGCCACATCTCCGTCCCTCAGCATCTCTCCCTTGCTACAACTTTACCTACATCATCGACCATACAAATTGCATTTGATACTGCATAATAGAGCTGCATAAAATCGACCACGAACATAATACTCTGGACACGCGACAATAGCCTACAGTGCGTAGTTATCAGACGGCAGGCCTCGGTGTGCCATCTCGGACGACACCTCTTTCGAGAGGCAGCAGGACAGGATTTGCGATATAATAACGGGGCAGATTGCAGGAGAACATATTGTTTGGGTAGCGAGTGTAGCTTGACTGGGAAGATCACGAGACGCTCGCCCAACGTCACTACACGCCAGTCAGCCCACGATGCCTTCCACTCCCCCTCCGCCAACGCGCATTAGAACTCCGCCTGCACCATTACATGGCGACAATTATGAGCCATATTCACCACGCCGTTCCACACGACGCACTGCGCAAAGCAATCCATACAGCTCCTTCAACACCGATCGCTCTCCACGAACAAACGGACTCCGGCATACCACCCCACCACCAACCGTGAAGAAAACGAGATTCGCGCGACACAACACCCAACTCTCTTCACCACCTTCATCGTCCGCTTCACCTGCCCAAACACGGCTAGCGGGGCACAACAATCACAAGACCCCTAAGAAGCTATTGTCTGGCAGAGCCTCACACGGAGCGAATAACTCCGACTCTGACCACGCCGGACCTTCTTCCTCACTTGCACCTCACACTCTCGACCCCGTGACAATGCTTCCCACACCATCAAGAACGCCTCGCAAGCGCAACATCACCGCCATGAACTCGTCGGCACGCATACTCAACTTTGAACCACAAGATCCGAACGATGTCATGCCTGCTTCGCGCAAAATCAAGAAGCACGGTCGCTTCAACTCAATGAACGCGTTTGATTTGTTCGACGAGGATCGTCCGCAGCGCAGTTCCGCGATTGCAATCTTCACAGACACAAATGCACGTGTGCCGGAGCTGGACGAGACTGAAGATAATCCTTTTGTTGGACCCAAATCAATCACCACTCGACCCCAACGCAGCAGCAGAAGAGCCAGAACCGCAGAAGTCGACGCAATGGAGGAGGCAGCGCGTAATGATGAGGGTGTGATCTATGTCTTGTAAGTGCCACCATGTGAGAGGTCGTACCCCTGAGATACGCTAACGGATGTGACCTTAGCCGTGGCAAGAAGATGTTCCGACGCTTCTCAGACCCCGAGACCGACCGCTCATCTTCACCTGCAACCGATCTGGGTGAAGCATCTGAGCAGCGCACTCTTCGACGTCAGGCTGGCGCTGCCGCCCAGAGACCATTGACCCGGAGCTCGATCAAGCCGCGTCTGCTCTTTCCGAACGAAGATGAGATTCGTGCGCGCGAGCAATCCGCTGATGAAGTCGACGAGGAAGCAATGACCGATATCGAAATGAGCGACTCACACGACCATGTACAAAACAGACCTGTGGGGCAGACCCCGACGCGAGGCCGCTTCGGTGGCAAACCCGCTACGCCACCGACTACTGGACGTGCGACCCGTTTATCGAATATGAAGGGTTCACCTACCATTCCGACCCCGATTCTGGAGGAAGACGAGCCCGAGCCGATGTCTGTGGGCACGGATGATTCTTTTGGTGGTAGTGCTGGGCCGAGAAAGGGTAGGAAGAGTCCCTTTGATTCTTGGCAGAGGACGAAGGCGGGTGGGCGGAAACGGGCTGGTGAGCCCAGTGAGGAGGCGGTCATTGGGAAGAGGACGAGGAGTGCGGCTATTGGGAGCCCAGCTTGAGGAATCAGGAGAAGGCTGGCATGCAGGAGTCGAACGGTATGTATGGGTCTAGGAGTGAGCTCAGGCGTGCTTCGTCAGAGACTTTTTGACGAGTGCGGACAGCACCTTGCGGTCTGGATTCGAAGGTGGGTGAACATCCTCACCGTTGCTACTGCTAGGTATGCAGATCAAAACATGGCTGCACACGAGTAGCATTACCTCTGTCGATTCCAATTTGGATTTGCGGCTGATGGTCAGGATACTAAACAGAGCGCTTGCATCACATTTATATAATGTTGGTTGGGATTCGAGGCTTCTAGCATTGCGAAAGGGGCTTGGGTGCGCATGGACAAGCGAGGACAATGAAGCAGAGATACCCGGTTCTTGTAGCAGTAGTATCATGATTCGATCGTATTCTGGGTATGCGCGAAGCAGTGCGTGCAATTTCATGATGATCATATCACCGCGTTCACAGTCTCAGATCTAGGTCTTCGTAACATCCGTTGCATTTCGCGCGCTACTCGCGCGTGAAAGCCGTGTCCGTTGAGGCGCTCCGCAGCAGTGAGATCTCACTTGGGGCGATAATATTATCGTCCTATCGTCACGGCCAAGACGTTCGATCGGTAGCATGTGAAATGGGATGTCCTACCAAGAAGAGTAAGAGACCCTAGAATGTTTGAGGCTTCGGCCATAATGTTACGACCGACGTGGTGAGGCATATGGCTCTCGGAAGCAGTGCTCTGGAACATTCGGAAAGCCCATTGCTTCTGTCCTGCCTATGTTGCCGACACAGACTGGCTTTACATCCCTGACGACAGCTCACGAGAACGCGCTGGTCTCGATGTGTAAGCTGAACGATGATATCAGCACGCATCGTGCAAACCGTTCTGTCACCTCAAACGCCTTTCCCGAACTGAACCTCGGTAGCGCCAGTGTTGAGCAAAACGAATAGACCCTCCTGTCGCAAACTTGAATCTGAGCTCGAACCCACCCCCTTTCCCCATCAGCCAAACCACCATTTCTTCATCACAACAGCAAAATGGAACCCCGCTTACAGTATACCCAGTATACCGTCAGCAGGTCAGGAAAATCGACGCTCGACCACCAGAGGCCCTTTCGAGCATGAGGAAGCTATTCATGAGCTTTTCGCCTTGGTGCGCCTTCATACTCGTTTCTTAGACTTTCTGTCCTCGACGTGATAGCTTGAGCATCGATAATGTAATATATTGCTTTGGTATGGATTTCCGGGGTCGCGCCGGTGGCTGTGCATTTGGTAGCCTGGCTTCGTGGGCAGAGACGGTGTGAAGTGACGTCGGTTCGCTTGACCTATCCATTGCGGCCTGAGGGGTATGATCGTGGTACAGCTTTCGTTGGTATGGTGTTGATTGGAGCAGTGGCATGTGAGGGGGGCGTCGACTTGATCAGGCACACCATTACTTGTAGACGTCGTGAGTACATGATGCTCAGCCATCCTCACGCTCATCTTCCACGGCTTTGTCAATTCTCCGCATCATTTCCTCACTACCCTCATCCTCCACGAATTCATCTCTAACCTCATCCTCCTGTTCCATCCCACGCCCACCCAACTCAACACCCAGTTCCTCCAGAAACTCCTCCGCCTTCCTCTTCCCCCTCTGCTTCTGAATCTCCAACCTCCTCGCCTCCAGAACCTTCTTCCTCTCATGAACCTTCTTCGTCCTCTCCTCTCTCCTCCTCTCCGTCTCCGCCCTCTCCCTTTCCAGATTCTCCATCTGCCGTTTCCTCTCCCCAGCATCATCACTAAACTGAAAAAACCCCGTGCCTTTCGTTCTGATCTCCCAATTAGCATCAAAGTGCGTTTCAGGTGGCGGCGTGAGACTCGTATCTCTTTTTCGAGCGAGAGCTTCCATTTTTGCTGCGATGGGCTCATCGGGATCGAAGGCTTGATGCTGGATGGTGTCGCCGTAGATGATGTTTGATGGTGCAGATGGGCGGGCTGTGGAATGATCATCTGCTTCCTTCCCAAGGGCCTCCGCTCGCTTCATACGTTCGGCCAACGCTGCTTCGGCTGCTGTGCCTGTCCTGTTCCTACCAAGTTCGTCGACATATTCTACCATCTCTCCATCTCCATCATCATCGTCGTCGTCGTCTTCCTCAATTTCTTCATCTCCATCTCTGTTCTCGGCCCACTTCCTATCAAAATCTACAGCATACCTCTCATCCGCATCCTCGACATCACCTCTCTTCATAGCAGCATACAGCATCGCTTTCTCCTCCATCTTCCGCTTGCTGCGCTGCCATACTCCACTCTCCAACACTTCTCCATTGGTGGTGTGTTTCTGCTCGAAAGCTCCTCCCGCATCCGGATCGAGATCACATTTAGCTCGCTTGGCCGTATTGCGGTTGTGTGTGCTGAAGATGTCCTCTTTCTTTGCACGTGATCGTGGTCCAGATTTTGTGGTCGTGCCTGCCGCTTTGGTCGAAGATGAGTTTATAAGCGAGCTGAGTTGTGAGGTGAAGGAGAGGGTGGTGGAGGAGGAGATCTCCTTTCCGCCTGCTAACTTACGCGACTTTGACATGCCATACAGGCTAGGATCTTTGCTGCCTGACATGATGATGAGGTGCTGCAAAGTGGTGGACGTCCTTGTGTGAGGTGGTAGCCCTAACTTGAATCAAATTGACCCTGCAGCGGCCGCTAAATTGATTAAACCTTAACTTGGGATAACCCCGCCCCCACCTGACGTTCCTTCAATTTATGATTTTGTCCTAATCTCAATCCTCCTCTCAATTCACAAACAACTCTAGCAATCATGGCACAGCCTCAATCAATCTTCATAGCCGTCATCGGAGTCGGAGGCGTAGGGAAAGCCTTCGTCACCCAAGTCCAACACCTGCAACCCCGCCTCCGCAAAGCCAACCCACCACTCGACCTCCGACTCATCCTCGTCCGAAGAAGCAAACAGCAGATCTCAAGCCCTAAATATGACAATCTTGACCTATCAAAAGTCCTTGACGAGCTATCAAGCTCGAAAGACTCTTTACCACCACTCAAGGAAAGTCTCGAGTACCTGACAAAAGCACCCGGTCGAGCAGTCCTGGTAGACAATACATCCGACCCTGAACTCGCCTCCACATACCCAGACATGCTTGCAAAGGGCATCTCGATAGTGACTCCCAACAAGAAAGCCTTCTCAGATGACCTCTCCCTTTGGCAGAAGATCTTCTCCTCAGCAGCCAATGGCACTGGCTCACCAAAGTCTGGATATGTCTTCCATGAATCCACCGTAGGAGCTGGTCTACCCGTTCTGAGTACACTGAAAGAACTCGTCGAGACGGGAGACGAGGTGATGAAGATCGAGGGCGTCTTCTCAGGAACAATGTCCTTCCTCTTCAACTCCTTCATGCCCGTCGGAGGCGGAGGAGGGAAGTTCAGTGCAGAGGTCAAGAAGGCGAAGGAGTTGGGGTATACGGAGCCGGATCCCCGGGATGATCTAAATGGTCTTGACGTGGCGAGGAAACTTACGATCTTGGCACGATTGGCGGGGTTGGAGGTGCAGAGTCCGACGGCATTCCTTGTGGAGAGTCTGATACCTAAAGAGCTGGAGTCTTGTTCTTCTGGCGACGAGTTTCTGGATAAGTTACCTGGTTTTGATGGGCAGATGGATGAGCTGAAGAGTTCCGCTGCGAAAGAAGGGAAAGTGGTGAGGTTCGTGGGGAGTATTGATGTGCCGTCTAAAGCTGTGAAGGTTGGGCTTGAGAAATTCGACGCTAGTCATCCTATTGCTGCGCTGAAGGGCAGCGACAATATCATCAACTTTTATACAAAGAGGTATGGGTCGAATCCGTTGATCATACAGGGGGCGGGCGCTGGAGCGGATGTTACGGCTATGGGTGTCACAGGGGATTTGTTGAAGGTTGCTGCGTTGTTGAGGCAGAATTGATTGGACACTACCAAGTGCTGGAAGTCTAGAATATCGTACAATCATATCCTGGCACATAGGTATCGTTCAACCATCGTCACATTCGACCATTCGCCTCACAAATTCGCATACGACCAGCCGTCGTCCGGGCATTGCAAGGTCGCTATCCTGGACACTCGAGACCGTGACAAACTTTCTTACAGACTCGATCAAGGTCCAAAACATACGAGGCATCAATGTCGAAGCCGGCGTTGCATGTACACTGTGGTTCAACCGGTCAGGGTCGCGAAGCATCATCTGGTTCGTGCCGATTGATGATGATAGAATTAGATGCGTCAACAGATGCGTCATCGATCGACGGTTCTTGAGAGTCGACGGTTTGCATTTCAACTGCCTCAATGTCGTCTCCCGATCTTTGCCGATTTTGCTGTCGTCCCGGTTGTCTCGACAGAATGATTGCGACAATGATGCTTGTCAGTGCTAATACTAGCGATAACGAGCCGATCAGAACGGAGTGGAGGTCTGATGTTGTGTCGTAATTACTCGGGCTCGTCGTCGAAGTTGCTGTTGGAGTGGATGCATGTTTCATTGATATCGAAACAGTGCTCAGACTCTCTGTGGCGGTGGTCATATTCTACGCTCAGCAATTTCCGTGATAAATCGCATTAAGTATGGTAGAATGAATGGATAGAATGGTAAGAATGACAACATTCCATCGCACTGGCGAAGGACAGTCATTGCGTATATATGCCACTCAGCGCGGCAAGCTATACCATGGGCAGCCAAGATAGCTCCACTAGGCGCAATCTTCGCGAGCGTCCAGGCACATGCAGTCTTGAGGCCGGAGCATGAGGTTCATTCAAGCCAGTGGCGCAGACCTCGCGTGCTGATTCGTCCCGAAGCAACGCACACACCGCTTTGTATGTCAGCCAAATACCTCGCTACTGCCCGCATCCCCAACTGGGAACCTGAAGACTGGGTAATTCCTAATCGCTGTCTGCACACTGTAAGAGATGCGCGAATGTCGCACCACGCTCACAAGGCTCGGGTCAGTCCTCATGCTTGAACTGGGAGAACTTTTTTGGTAGCCCTTCTCTCTCTTCCAACTATGGCCGATCTCATGCTTTGCGGATGGCTTGTCTTCCATTGGAATGCTATGACATGCCGGGCTGTACACTGATCCAGACTGCCTTTGTTACGTATCTGGAGGTCGATATGCCCATATGGACGGGAAAGCTCGATGGATAAACGGCTGCGTGTACAGCTGTCAACCAGTAATGTTGACCACCGAGGTGCAGATGGACTCGTTGCTAACCATTGGCGACATGGTTGACAAGATATGCTATTGATCGGAGCGTGCGAGAAATCAACAAAGTTCGATCACATGGCCGCGACCATCGGATGTATAATTCGTCCCGGTGCAAGGTGATAGAATGGAATCAACTCGACATCGCCACCTAATTTGCACGCTCTTGGAAGTTGTACAGACGCGCCCGACATGCTTACGTTGATCGTTCAGAGCATAGATCAGGCGTTGCTTCGATTGGCTGCCTGCCATGGTCGTATTGGCGTCTTGTAGTAGGGAGGCTTAGGTTGTTGTCTTTCGATCGTGAAAGTCATCGTTCACGTCGCATTCGCCATGGTCATGGTCCTCGTTGTTGTCGTCATAATCAACACATTCGATGCCGCTTGCTGTACAGATGATGGGTGGCGATGTGGCCAGGGCTGGCCCATCAGGTTCAAGTATTTGCAGCTCCTGAGCTTCAACGTCATGTTGATGGCCTCGACAGCATTTTTGCTTGACAGCATGTCGTGCTATGATGAGAGTGACGAGAATGCTGACGACAGCTAAAAGCAAGGATAGCGAACCGATCAGAACGCTGTGCAGATCCGAGGTCGCATCATAATTGCTGGAGCCGTTTTGTCCGGTGCCAATGGTTGTCCAATCAGTACATGTCGATGTCGGTGTCGATGCCGATGTGCGAGAGAGTCGTAGAGTGATCAAGGTTGTGGCCACGCCCTGAGTAGTGCTCGTTGGAAGAGACATAGCATCGAGGGCATAATTGGAGGTATTCGTAGGCCAACTTGTGGGACTTTCGTAGCAAAAGTGCGTGGTCGGACAGAATTAATCTAAGCAAGTGCCAGCCAGCCTGGGTTATATGATGTTGTCTTTATCGCAGGCCATCTTGCCTGACACGACGTGGACCGGCATCAGTAATCATAAGCAATATGTAATTCTCTGTTTCTGGATTCCAGTGCGCCGCATCGGCCAACTGTGGATAGCGGTCAAGTTCGCAAAAGTGCGAGTGTTGGGTGACAGGTGATGGTAATGTACTGACGCGGATCAGTACTCCGCAATCTCCATACGTCGTTTCTCACTAGGTGGCCAATCGCCGTCAGGAGAGATCGCGAGGCTGCGGCTGGTGCGGACCCGGAAGCTTTAGATCCGCTTACATCGAATCGTGTGGCATCGTCGAGAAGCGTCGTAGTGCTCCGAGACATAGGTCAGCACGGGATCGTTGGTGACCGGGGGCCACTTGTGCTGTGTTCGCACGACCTTCGCATCTTCACACAGTGGCTCAGTCAGGCACTGTCCCGAAGCATGCTAGTATTCGTAAGCTGAAGACTGACCGCTTGTGGGCAGAGCTCTGTCGGCAAGTTTCTCTCCCGCCGAATTAGAGGACAGCGGATTCGCAAACGCATCCGGATTACTACGTGCGCTCGCCGTCACACCACCCCGGGGAAGCTCCTTTGTAGTGGCCGAACATGCGATCTTCCAAGCACACGAAGCTCTCTGACCTTACACACTTACGCTTGCGCTGCGCGGCCGGCCTGAGTCAAGCACAACATGCACTTCCCTAATATTCTGCACTATCTATGCTATAATGACGGACGCTAAGGCCATTAGTAATCGATTGTGTTCTGCCAGAGTGTCTTGCTTAGCATAGCACAAGGAATTGCGAGCTCGAAGCGAGTTTGTGAGCATGTACTGAAACTACAAGTTTATGTTACAGGGTCGATCGCTAATTCAGATTGGGTAGCGATGCTTAAGATGAACGGTGCCGGCCCAGACGTCATTCGCCTGCGTGTTCCTGAGCTGTAGTGACGCATTTGAACGAAGTCCAGCCAGATGCAGTGGCTGTCGAATCTGACTCGACCGACGTTTCCGAGAGATTGATGTTTTGTGGCGGCGTATGTCCGAGCGGGAATGGGAGGCTACATCCAGTATGACAGGACTGTCTCAGCCCGACTCTCGATGTATTGGGAAGTGGCAGTTCTGCGGATCATGGTCTGGGTGCCTCTAATTTTGCGACTCGTGCTATACCTGGCTTTCCAGAGCTCTTTCATCTGCCTGTGGTCGAGGCCGTCAAGATTCTTTGATGTTAGCAAGAGGTAGAGCAACCAGCCGCTAACTTTGTAAGCCGTTTCCTACCACATCTCAACTTTGGTCATTGCCCATCGCCATGGAATGAGCCCGGATCGCATAGGAAACGCTTGAGCAACGAATCACCTGCAGGGCCCAGCCAACAAATAGGCCAAGTCAGATTTGCGTGATCCAATTCCAAGTTTCTTCTATCCAAGTGTCTCCAGTCTTCAAGTACCTACACCTCAATCTTAGCATGCCGGAAATACTTCATCCCCACCCAAGCCACCGTAATCCACACCCAAGCAACCACACCCGTGAGCACAATTAACGCCGGATAATACCCCACAATCGGCAACGTAGGATCGTCCTCCAGTTCCGGCGGCGCATAAGGAGTCTCGCCAACATCCCAAGCCCAGCTCCAGATCTCAAGACAAGAACCCATTCCTACGGTGAAAGTCAACCAGGTCACGAACAGGATAATCCAGCCCCAGTATTCGGTCTCGGTGTAGTCGTGTGGCGGAGGCGAGGCAGGGTAGAGGGAGCCGGTTGAGACTGTGCGGGAGAGAGGGGAGCGGGTTTTGGATTTCGATTTTGAGGGATTTGCCAAAGAAGTCTCAGACGGACTTGGGAAGTAGCTTGTTGCGGCTGACGATAGTGGTTTGGGTAGGCTGAGATGGGTCTGGTGGTTCACCGGCCGGTCGAAGGTGAGGACGTCGTCGTCGTCTGTGGTGGAAGCATAGCTAGCTTGGCTTGTGGGCGATTTGAGGTCCAGCGGGCTTAGTAGATCATTGCTGGATGATGCTGCGGAGACTTCTCGCTTGACCGGTACAGCAGTATGCTCGGTGAGAAGTGTCAACCGAGCAGCGGTCGCAGCTGACAGCTCCATGATACTTCCATCGCTACTACTTGGCGTGTTGTCGGACTCATAGCTGAATTGTCTTCGTAAGCTTGGAGTTGCAGATTTGGCGTGGTCTGAGGTTGGCGCAATTGGACCCGTGCTCTCAGTATCGTCTGGACCGTTGGCTATTCGATGTGGCTCCTGATTCTGCACCACCTGAGGTTGGTACGGCGACTGACCCAGCGGGCTCTTAGCCGACAAGCTGTTCTTCCGTTCCCGACCCTCAGACAGTATGCGCTTCGTGCCTAGCAGTGCCGTCTTTCGCAAGGAACTCTTACGCTTTCGTGTCTTGACCGGTCGCAAAGCGAACGCCATAGCACTCTCCTTTGTGGGCGAGGTGGGCGAGACGATCGGCGACTCATCGTCAATGCTCTTCCGGCTCTTGAAGCTTTTCGGGCTCTTTGGCGGTGCGACATCCTTCTCACGTGATGGAGGTCGCAGGTTGTCACTTGACGGTCGCAAGAAGTTGAAGCGCTGGAATAGACTGCCAGATATTGTTCGGCGATGCGTCCGCTGCGACGTGGCTGGAGAAGGACTGCTCGTGTCATCGCCATTCGAGGGAGAAGATGGCGCAGAAGGTGAGCTCCAAGGCAGTCTCATGTCTCCAGCTGGTGAAGTCGTGTCCGTAGTATTCCCGGCATGTCGCAATGCTCCAGAGAAGGTCTTGCGACGGCTGGTTGCATCACGGCGGTCGCCGCTGCCAGGCGTGGGTGGTCCATCTTCCATAGCCTGCTGGGAGAAGGCCCATTAGTGCATGAGTGGCTGTGCTTGCCTGAGGATGGTGTGTATTAAGGTGGAAGACCTGTATTACACGGCGTCATGGAATGAAAAGTGTGCTCAGCGTATGCTATGCCATAACCTCTGAAGAATGTTCATGTCGAAGCGGAGGTGGAGTTGCGGCGCAGGCGAAAGTGTCAAGAGCTTGGCGCGAGCTGACCAGCAAACATGCCATCAGACACGTTCGTCCGTCATCGCCTTCTTTTTTGTGCTACTTGCGCATGCACAGTGTTGCATCATCCACACAGCTTCGTCGACTCGTGCTACTCTTGAGATTCGACCGACGCCATCGATGACCACGCCAGCGGCTGTCTACATGTTGCGAGATACCCAGTAGCACCATGGGTCGTCATCCCTGGCTATGTGCACTACAACGTAGTCGTGCGACCAAGGTGTGGCATATCTATGGCTCCTGATGATGTCTCATCCCGGCTATCCTCCAGGCAAGACGTATCGCAGGTCTGTACAACCGGTCTACTCCAGCTCTTCTGCTACCGGCATGCCGAGAAGAGGAGTGAGCCACATGCTGGACCGGTCATATCTCCCTCACTGGTTCTTCTGTTGAAAGTAAGTACCATATCCTGGCATGCGCAGCCAAGATTGCTATGTCTCATGTTGGTCTCCTCTACCTGGCGCAGTAAAGTGTGCACTTACGCTCGTTCTGTCGACCATGCATCGTGTGACATGCTGAACCCATTCCTGCTCCAGAACGTCACCAAGCACCCGGGTCGATAGTGCTCTCGTTCTGATTCCGTATTTCTTTACATCATGAAGCAGCGCATCTCAACCGCTTACTGGTAAATCACCCAGCTTGTCTCCTGCCTATTGCCACAGCACACTTCCTGACTATCACCAAACCAGCTCAGCTCAAAGCTATAGCAGAATAGCTTCAACGAGACAATGGCAGTAATTCCACAAAGTAACCTCACCGCGGCCACGCCTGTGCTCACTTCTACCACGAACCAAGACAGCAATCACGATGCCATGTCAGACAACCACAGCATGATTGTTGGCTCTGTTGGACTATTACTTGCACTCGTCACGATCTTGGTAGGTGTACTCGAGGCTCGACGACGGTCACGACGACCGCAATCTTCGCAACACAATAGGCTGTCGAGATCGAGTACGCTACGCTCACCCCACCACTCGACGGCCACCAGTGAGTGCTATACTCAGGCGGGAAAAAAAATTGCTGACCTCCCGTTTGCTAGATAACGATCATATCGACCTACGGAAAGCGTTCAAGCATCAGCGCTCATTCACTTTTTGACTAATGCTGACGACGACGCCACCCTCCGCGCCACGCTCTTGGCATATGTTGTGCTACATCACTGCGCTACATCACTGCAAATCTCGAAGCAATTCATGTGCAGGTCATAACATTCTTATTCTCGTGTCGCTATTTGGAGCGCAAAGGTACGGTCGAACTCGACTTCGTACGGGGCACAACCACTCTTGCCCTACTTCATTCACAGCACCGAGTCATGCCATCCGCTCCGTCGAACAAGCGGTCTCTATGCATCGTGGACGACGTTGAATGCTCGATTGGATGGATCGGAACCCTTTTCTCCTTTCAGGCTGGGCGTATACCTGGTGGCTGCTTTTACGCAGGTCACCTCTAATTTCACTTTGGCACAGCTGGTGTAAGCACCTCTCCAGACACCAGTGGTCCACACCAGCCAAAGGCGTCACATCGACATTGCTCGAAGCGTGGACAGCTGGGACTGATCAGCATGAAACCTCTCGCTCATGACATACCATCTCGCTACTCACTGCAAGGCATCCATGCCGAAGATGATATGCCACAGTTTCTCGAACACGAATCCGACTCCGAACCCGTCAAAGTCTTTCTGACCCTGCGCCCACTTGAGCATCCGCTCATAGTCCACCTTCGGCCTCTGCAGTATGCTCTCCCTGCTCACACCAAACTGCGCACAGCACACATTGCCAATATGGTCCGGCACCTGGCTTCTATTGACGCCCATCACCTCCATGAATATCCCGGCAAAGTCGGCTCGTGGATTACTCTTCGGCATCTCTACACCCTCAGCTGTGTTAGGCGCAATATCTGGCGGACATCCCGGATGCAGCTTGCACCGCAGATTCACATAACCATGCGCATCGATCGCTGCAGTTCGCAGACTACGTAGCGTGTCTGGCTGGTTCGTTGCTTTCGCGTATACATCATTGTGCCATTGGTCTTCGGCGGCGTGGATGAAGATGGAGTATTTCGGCAGCGCATCGTAGTAATCGAGGATGTAGGAAAGGTATGCGCTGGCTTCTCGTCCGGCTAGGGTTCTTGGGGCGAGGTACTGTGGTTCGGACCAGACATCTGTGGAATAGACGAATGCGGTGAAGGCGCTATGGTGACCGTTAGCATCAATCATACTTACGAGCATTCAAGCCGCACTCACTCAGCGCCGTCGTGGAGACCGTCAATCCACCGCACATCGTCGTGCCTGGTTTTCGGAATCACCAAAGCTTTCTCGATATTCTTGGTATCACCGGGTATTCGAAGCTCAGGTTGTCCTGAAGGCGTGTTCGAGCTTCTTACAGCACTGAGAGCAGGTGGCCACCTCCATATCAGCAGTAATGTCGCAGTGACAAAGCCAGCAGCAAGTAGTCCCGTCGATGCCCAAAAGCGGCGCAAGAAGAAGTACATGGGGTCGGGGAATCAGCTATCACGTAACCGATATTGACTTCCTAGCATTGAACATATCGTTCATCATGAAAGGCAAGTGCAGCGATGTTGCCATTGATTGACATGTGAACGTGAAAGAAAGAGGGCGAGGGTTGCACCTGCACATGTTTGAGAAAGTGGTTACCTGGATGCTACCATAGCATAATTTATCCGTCGTCAACTTGACTTTTGCATGAGTGCACAAATCCGCGAGTACAAGAAGGCGCAGCGCGGAGCCGGATCCTTCGATGTTGCATTTTGGAGGCACAGTATACGAACGCCAAGCTGGTTTCGCTCCTTCGCGCGACTGGGAGATTGTGCGCCTGAGCACAACAGGGTCTTGGCTCGTGGAAATCAAAATGCACCAAACTTGCGATCTGTGGGTCGGAAACGATTCATCCATTGTGACTACAGCTGCCGTGAGAAGCCCAGCAGAAGTCCAAACTTAGGCGGTTGTACCATCGAGTTTGCCGTATAACAGCCGACCTGAAAGTCTGCCTGCCTACCAATGCCAGATACACTTGTAGTTTAGAATTCTGCTGCCAAGCCGATCATATTCCAATCGTCCAATCCAGCTATCGTTCGTCATGCGCAGCTTGCCAAACACACTACCACCTTTCCACACTAGGACCGCAGGATCCAACTCTCTTGGTGGAGGCACGACTAGAATCTCGCGCGGAAACTGCGGGAACGCGGCTCGTAGCCTCATCTCGAGATATGCGCCAAGATATGGAGTCTTGGAAGCGCCGCCAATGCACATGATGCTGCCGAGGAGATCACGACGTCTTCGTTCGCTTTCTGGTCCAGTGCCGGCAGCGTGTTGTATCGATATCAGGATGGCTTGCTCGAGTGGCATGATTGGTACAGCGCGGTCGATGACATCGGTGTCTGGCTGGATATCTTTGATCTCCGCGATGTCGTCCCCATTAGCATCGTCGCCTGTGGGATGTGGCGTGCTACCATCCTCGGGCGCGGGCGAGCCGGCAGGAGAAGAGCGTGGTGTACCATCTGTGTCACCATTGAGGTGTGAGGGTAAGGCGAGAGGTCGTCTGACTGGTGTAGACGTAGAGAGAAACTGCGCTGACTGAGCTGGCGGTGCTGATACTGCCGATGGTATGAATTGATTGACGAAGGTGTAGACTGCAATCTGCGCTTTTGACAGCGGATCATTAGGACGTCCGTTGTATAGGTCCACAGAACGTGGCATAATGGTGTGGCGTCCGATCAACTTCCTTGACTGGTCGAAGATCGTCGGCCTGAAAAATCCCTACGATAGCTTAGTGCCATGCTCAGTGATCAAGATGAATAAGACTTACCAGTGGCGCCAGCATGCTCTCGTCATATATCTTGAAGTTGTACTTCCTCGTCTGCTGGCCATGAGCTCTCAGATGGAAGTCGAATAGCTTGACACTGATGTCTTCATCGCTCATAGTCGTAAATTGGGCCTTGAGCTCTTCCGCAAGCAGATAATCGTGTCTTCGCATCAAGTTGAAGTCGCTGTAGTGAAACCGGTCGAACAACATCATTCTCACAAACGCCTCCGTCACGTCGTAGCCGCCATATTTAAGGTTTATTCTGGAGTCCTCAATGATCATGCCGTCTTCAACACACGAGATGCTGGTCTTTTGCGCTCCCATGTCGACCATACATGCAGCTCCCACACCAGCGCCAAATGTCGCTGCCAAAGACTCCTGAATGAAGCAGACACGCTGGAAAGAGAAATCGCGTAGTAATTCATCAAGCACTCTCGTGACCATTACCTTCTCATACAAGTCTGGGATGATGAAAACACAGCTATACTGCGCCCACTCGCGCTTGTGATTTAATCCGAGTTCGTTCCTGATACTGTCTTCTATAATCAGAAAGAAGTCGTGCTCCAGCATGTTGCGGTTATTATAGTCCTTCTCATTCAGCCAGCCATGCTGGATTGGCCAGAAGAGACGATAACGGGGCTTAGACTTTTCTGGTATGCGTAGCGCAGCGTGGCCAACGATATGATCCTGGGCGGCTTTCGCATTGTCCGGTAGCTCTGTCCAGTCGATACGCATTGGATCACTGTGCTCCGGTATCATCTCGGGAGGTGTAGCTGAGTTCCATTTCGTGACCAGTTCTCGCGAATTGGGCAGTACGCGGCGTTTGTTGTGCCGTCGCATCGTCTTGAAGTCCTGTGCCATTGTGTTATACTCCCTTGCGAACTATTCACTAGTCAGTGAGAATCAAGTCAGCCGCAATGCAAACGCACCTCTTCACCAAACCACTCCTCCGATGGACCGTCAAGCTTGACTCGCTTCGGTAATGGCTCACTGTCTTCAGACTCGGATCGAGTGGACCTCTTTGCGATGACCATAGGGATTGTCTTGGGTAGAGCATCAGTGGCCAGCCCAATGCGCATGTTCTGGCTGCCAATATGAATGACTATGGTCTTTGAGCCATAGTCCTCGCCATCGGCATCATCCATAGCAACATCATCATCGAGATCAGCATCTCTCTCGGCATATGGAACGCCATCTTGAGCGGCCTGAGCACGTGCCCGGTCGATGTCGACGGCGGCCTTCTTGCGAGCATTGAGGCGCTCTTCCTGCTGCAAACGAACAGCGAGGGCCTGGTCGTCTTGCTTCAAGAACTCACTGCCAGGAGGGGTTAGTCGGGTTGGTAAGTATTAAACCGTGTATGGCAGAGGCCATGATGATGACAGGTTGGCATTGAACGCCACAGTGACAGAAGTACCTCCGAACATATTGGACATTCAACGCGTAGACATCTTTCTTGCCCTTGCGTAAGCCATCGAGAATCTTCCGGCCGACCATTACCGCTCACTCGGGACGGTCAACAGCAGATAGCGAAACTAGGGTAAGAAAGGAGGCGGGGATCAAAAGAAGAGTACGACATACGTATAATAGTTCTTCTGATTGATCATGTTGACTTGCGGCCAGGTCGTGAACTCCATATTGTTGTCCGTGCGCGCCAGCCCTATGAAACTCGTCTTAGCATGCAGGATCCCATAACCGGCATGGGTTGAGAGCGCCGGTCTGCTTTAGCAAAAGCGAGTCAAAGGAGTGGAACGTACCTTCCTCGCGTAGCAACGCACGCTGACTACGTTTTCCTACCATCTCGTCGACGGCTGTATGTAGTGAATATGATGGCGGAAGCGATATCGATGGCTGGCTTGCCTCTGTGTCGCGGCAGCGCTGATATGATCAAGGTTGGTCGGAGGAAGAGTTGGGGGCGCGTGAGCAAATGATGAAGCGAATGTCTGGGGCTCAAAAGCCGAATAGTGAGGTTGGAAGCAATTTGTGTCGTGTACTCGTCCTCGCCTTCTCATTAATTAGTGCTTCAGACGAGATTCGAGCGGCCTTAAGGGGTTGGTCTGTTCAGATACAAGCCACATATGCACGTGATCATTCCATTTTAAGCCATGTATTTACTGTTGGTCCTGCACGGCTGCTTGAGCTTTGGAGTAATATTGATAGAGCTCCATTAACCCCTATTAGTATAATGAGCATATCACGACCCCGCCCGCTCTAAAGTTCCCTATTAAGCACTTCGCTGAGTCCGGACACATGCAGTATACCACATTCACGAAAGCGCCCACCAAAGAGCCCAGACACTTTTGCAGGAACGCATTCGTGTTCAACAGTCTCGCGCATACACTCTTTACACATTAAGCCGCAGCCATGGGTGGTAAGTAGGACATAAATCCTATTGCGATTTACATATAGACGGTCAAAGGCTGACATGCGACACTTGCAGACTTCGAGAGCATTGCGAGTACGAACTACTACCTCTCTTCTTGGGCTTTGTTCACACTGACAATTATAAGAGCAGTTCGTCGAGTACTACTACAAGACCTTCGACTCGAACCGCGCAGATCTGGCAGGTCTCTACGGCCAAGATTCTATGCTCACATTCGAAGCCGCTCCCTGCCAGGGCGTAGCCAACATCGTCACCAAGCTTCAGGTATGCAACCAACCAAGCATTCATCACTTGTACGCGCACGAGCTTTCTCCACCAGAGGACTAATAATGTCGCACATTCAGGACCTTCCCTTCCAGCGAGTCGAGCATCAAGTCACCACCCTCGACGCCCAACCCGCGGACACTACTACAGGCGCAATTCTAGTCATCGTGTCAGGCGTGCTACTGGTGGAAGAGGAGAAGAGGCCAATGAGCTTTGCACAGACTTTCCAGCTTAAGCCGAGGGAGGGGAGCTATTATGTGTTCAACGATATCTTCAGGCTGGTCTATCCTGCGGCTTGATGAGAGAAGCAATGGGACAACGAAGGTCAGCATAAGGATGTGATGCCATACGGCCTAGTGGCAGAGTGCGAAGCGCAAGGATGGGCTGCACAAGGCGCGTTTTGATGGTCGCAATATAGCCTTTCTTGGGATCGAGAAGAGCCAGATACAGCATTGTTGGGAGTCACGTTCCCGGCTTTCTCGATCACCCACGACCTCGCGACCATTTCTGCTTGGTCTCACTTCCGTTGCGTGCCTAATGTTATGGCGACTTGGGCCCGGTATAGCGTGTCTTCGCTGCAGGCCTAGCATTGGTCGCGTATGTGAAGCTTGAGATGACTGAGCCTATCGATCAGTATTATCTACTTTGCTAGACTGCTCCGGCTTATCGTTTGCCATGCTCGTAGTCATGTTGCCTTGCCACCTAATAGGCTGGAGCGTGAGGAGCCCAATATCTGTTGTATGACTGTCAATTTTTGCGGGTTGCTGAGGCATTGATGGGGGCTCACTGCGAGCATTATAGTCTGGCACGCAGAGAGTAGGCTCTGGGTCTCGCGATGAAGTCAATGGTTGACTAAAGGTAAGTGGAGACGCCACGTGCTAAAACACGGTTGCGGCCCGTGACCACTAGCGCGAGCCCTGTTTGACGGGGCGGCGTGGTGAGATGTTATGTGTCGTCGTACGCTGGCCAAGGCAATCGCTTTCTTCACTTCCCTTGCACTGCTCTTCCCGCTTTCGAGCCCGGCTTCACCATCTTCATAAACACGCACCATCTAATCGCCGCAAAAGCAGCAGACACAACTCACCGGCAGCATCCCTCGAGATCAACAAAGCCAAGGTCAACACTCGGCGTACTACAAGCGACCCGCATAATACCTCACATACTCCAGAACAGCATCTTGCTGCCTTCACGTCCACGATGACTCTCGCCGAGGAGTTCAGATCACGGAACTTCAGTAAGACGACCGACAGAACTCCGTACAATTCATGAACAAATACTGACTCGTGTTGCGCTCAGGTATATATGGCCAATGGTACGCTAGCGGGAACGAGCACAAGATTCAGAAGCACCACAGGAACTAACGATAGATGTAGGACTGGCGTACTATGCGTGATACTGTGCTTCGCGCTGGGCATCGCCAACATCTTCCACTTGCACTGGGTGATTCTGTTCAGCGTCCTTTGCCTGTATGAGACCACTCACGTGCCAGGTTCTCCCTCAAGCTAATCTCATGACAGCATCTCCTCCTTCATAATCCTCTTCATCGAAGTCCCACTCCTCCTACGCATCTGCCCGACCTCCGCCGGCTTCGATGCCTTCATCCGACGATTCGAGACGAACTACATGCGCGCTGCGATCTACGCTGTCCTGTCGATCGTACAGTTCCTGTCTATGGTGACGAGATTCTACACATCTTTGATTGCCGCTGCGGTATTCCTCATGATTGCTGCGATATTCTACGCGCTGGCAGGTGTGAAGGGCCAGGCGTTCATCAATAGCAAGACGCTTGGTGGGCAGGGAGTCGCGCAGATGATTGTTTGATGAGTGCGAAGGGACGAACGGTTGAGTGCCAAAGGGAGACGGAGTAGCGTCAACTTGCTGCGAAAGCCTAATCTCGGCCGATCTCTCACGAAGGCTTGTGTTTTTGGCGTTCGAGGTCGTGAGAGAGGACAGCGAGGCGCATGGATATGGCAATTTATGTATTGTACTTTACCAGAGCAGTGCCGTAACTTTGTACCGAGTAGAGAGGAAATGTCATTATCCACGACTGCTATCTGTGATCCACCTCATTCGGGTATCCAGGCGAATCAAATGTGCTTCTGCTCTGGCACATATTGTCCGCATTATGAGGCTGAACTTCGCGTCTTCGAGCACCCCACATCTCTGAGCTTCTTCAACTCCAAACATGTATTCCAACCGAAACAATCATCGTCCAGACCAAGATCGAAAGCGCTCGAGGTCACCATATCATGGCATAGATCGTGATGTGAAACGCACACGGCCGCGGTCGCCATACCGCAAGTCCGGAGATGACCATCATGCCAGCAAGAAGTCGAATGCGATACATCTCCCATTCCATGCCCATCATTTGCACAAAAGAGGCGTAGAAGCATACCGCCCCTTGCTCGCCAACTACTTGGACGTACAGAAGAATCTGAACATTGATGACCTGGACGAAGATGAGGTGAAAGGGCGATGGAAGAGCTTTCTGGGCAAGTGGAACCGTGGTGAGCTTGCAGAGGGCTGGTATGATCCCGCGACCAAGCAGAAGGCAGATGAGCGGTATGAGGTACAAGCTGTAGTGCCCGCAAGAGACCGAGATCCACCCCCTGCCCGCCGTGCTGTACAAGAAGCACCGGTAAGCGATGATGAAGAGGACGATGGCTACGGTCCTGCTTTACCAGAACCGACACAACAGCGTGCTGGTCCGGCAATACCACGTGCGGAAGACTTTGAGATGAGACGCGAGCAAGCTGAAGAAGATCGCGAAGCTCGTCTAGCCGATGCCCGCTACGACCGCAAACAAGATCGCAAACTTCAACAAGAACGTCTAGACGAGATGGCACCACGTGCAGACCCGGGTTCACGTGAGCGCCAGCTTGAGAAGAAGCGTGTGGCAACCGCCACGAATCGTGACTTCCGCGAGGCGAAGGATGGTGGCGAGGTCGAAGTGGCGGAGAATGATTTGATGGGTGACGATGGCGACGGGTACAAGAAGCAGAGGAAGGAATTGGAGAAGAAGAAGTCTGAGCGGGAGATCCGGAAGGAGGAAGTGCTGAGGGCTAGGGCGGCGGAGAGGGAGGAGAGGCTGGAGCAGGCGAGGAGGAAGGAGGACAAGACTATGGATATGCTGAGGGATATGGCCAAGCAGAGGTTTGGGTGAAGATTCTAGACAATTTCCTGTGTCACACAATTATTCTAGATATCACTATGTTGCCAGAGCAGGACTTGATCACTTTGATGTGCCTTAGTAATCAACCAAATACAGCTAGAGTGCGACTTAGCGGCAGTCATCTCTCCATCTCTTGTGAATCCATGTCCTCTTCCAACCGCGCGTCAATAATGTTTGCGCTGCCATAACGTGCCATTCATATTCCAGAAAGATCATGAAGTCTGGCTCGGTACACTCTGTCGGCGGCTCGGCTGTTGAAAGGTGAGCATGGCATTCATTGCACGGCACTCCGCTCGGATTAGATGTATACCGCGTTTGCTATTCTCGCGCCCGCAGTCCTTTGCTGCAATACCCTGGAGGGTCTTCGGAGCGTCAGCGAGGATGGCATCTTCCACGAGAGGTGAGATTCTGGACTCATCATTCCTGGTAGAAGAGGCGATGGTCCGAGGCTACAAGGCCGAGCACTACTATCCCGTCCGGATCGGCGACGTGTTCCAAGAACGCTACAAGATCGTCGGTAAACTTGGCTATGGATCAGCATCTACCGTGTGGCTCTGTCGGGACACTCAGGCATCGGAAGCTTTCGTTGCGTTGAAAGTCTACATCAACAGCTCCAAGTGGCATCGGGAACTTCCCATTTATGAACACATTAACAGCCTAGGCTCTATCCTTCCTGGACGTACGCAAATTCGAGACCTCTTGGACTCTTTCGAAGTCAGTGGTCCACATGGAAAGCACATCTGCCTCGTGCATGAAGCCCTGGGTAAAAAACCTCGAGGAGCTTCGAGATGTGATTCCGGAGCGTGTCTTTGAGCCAGACCTCGTGCGAGACACTCTGCGCAACATCCTACGTGCTCTACACTTCTTACACACGGACGCTGGTGTTATTCATACGGGTAAGATACTATCTCCAGGTGGTACCTCGCTCTGCTGACACTGTGCAGACATACAGCCTAATAACATTCGCTTGGGCGTGCGGGATAGTCCTATGTTCGAGAGATTTGAGCAGGACGAGCTCCAGAATCCCATGCCACGAAAAGAACTGCCTGGACGTACTATACTGCTCAAGGCCAATGAGAATCACTAGAGGCGCGCCAGCTCTTTGCGATTTCAGTGAAGCTCGGTTCGTTGGCCCGCACAATCGTGGGCGTGTCATGCCTGCTGTCTATCGTGCCCCCAAAGTAATTCTTGACATGCCATGGGGCTGTCCAATTGACATATGGGGCTTTGTCATGACTGTAAGTTTACGTGCCTGCACGATTTCCATGTCGTGGCCTAACCAACGTTTCAAAAGCTGTCGGATCTATTTGAGGCAGAGCGACTGGTTTCTCCTCAGGGGCAAGACGGTCAGTACTCAGAGCAACATCATCTAGCACAGCTAATATCCTTGCTGGGTCTTCCTCCATAAGAGTTTCTCAGACGCTCAGAGAAGAGCAATCTATTCTGGGACTCAGGTGGTCAGATTCGCGCAGTCAAGCCTGATATCATGCTTATACTGATGGACTCTACAGGCAACTGAAAAAGCTCTGTTCCGATTCCATCTACTGATTTGGAGTCTGCAGAACAACGACTTCATGGCGAAGAGAAAAAGCTTTTTTTGATGTTCATGAGAAAGATGCTGCAGTGGCTGCTTGCCGATCTCATAGCATCAGGCCAAGTTGTACGAGATTAGTCACAGTCTCACGTCGCAGCACCGTATTCGCTCACCATGATGGAGGTACTGGAATACAAAGCATGACCGCATCCGTGACGATGTTCAGCATGGTCGCAACATATATGATCTTGGCACGGAACGTGCATTGCGTCGGAGGATAAGGTAACGCTCCCCAGTTCAAGTGGGATGGTCGACAGCCCCGGGTGATAAGTCAACAAGCCGCGATGTAGGTAAGCCCGCAGAGGATAGCCAGACGATAAAATCAAACATGCAAATCAGAACCGATGGTAAGCTGGTCGAAGAAGAACAGCATGCAGAACTTGAGCTTCCGTACGTAGTAAGGCACCGTCCGTCTTAGCCGATCATTCGATTCAACTCAACAGCTTGTCACCTACGAATATGTGTAACATGCAAGAAATCCAATCTGGCTCCCGGTTTCGATCTCCCGGAGCTCCTCTTTGTTGCATTGTGCAAGCCTGGCAGGGCAATATGCGAGATCCGAACCGCTGTAATAGGTCAGCATCACGCTCCCACGGAAGTACACTCCGAGGTCGAGACATGCACTAGCGCGCTGTATCCTGTAACGAACAGCGAGTGTTCTTTGGAGTCGACCCAATGCTGTATCTCGATACGTAGTTTTAAAGGAGCATAGGAAGGCAGTTATGTCAATATCTTGAAAGTCATATCTTACGGGGTATCTAACGCCGCAGAAATGCAGCAGTATGTAACGCCATATTATGCTATCGTATGCTGCGCACACAGACCAGCAGTGTGCTATTAGTTGTGGCATCTCTAAGCCTTGACACGCTTCATCTTTCCACATTCACGCTTGGACAGCGGTTCGTCCGGAAAGACCCATCCTCTCACCCGCTTCGCATCACGCTTCTCCTTCTGCGTCGGCTTCGGCATCCAAGAATCTCTGTCATTCAGATGATTCTGGCGCGTAAGCTCGCCAGGTGGACCAACATTCAGTCGCCAGCGATACTGTCCTGGGAACAACTCGTCTCGAGCCAGCATATGTAGCCACCAGAGAGCGAGGCCGGTTGTCATTTGCAGGTTGCCGTTCTCATTGTTGCCAGAAGCAGCGATGGGTATGGCAGCCGCGACTTCAAGGAAGCCGAATAGTGGCTTATCTGTCTCCTCAGAAGGTGGACCACCTGCACGTACGCAAACGAGCTCGATTTCGGTCATGATGAAGCCGTACCGTGTACCGTGCTCCCGCATGAAACGCTGCAGCTTTGCCAGTGTCTGCAAGTAGTCAACACGAGCTGTCGGGTCGCCGTTACGCATGCCGGAGTTCCATTGGTCATGGCACTTCACAATGCCGACAACCCTGCCTCGACCATCACCATATATGGTCTTTTCAGCATCTGATTGGTAGCTCGAAACGAACTCCGGCTGTTGTCGACTGCTAGGAGTAAGCTTCAGTGTTCGCATAGCCATGTGCTTATCGCCTTGTGCAAGCTTTAGTGCAGCGTTGACCTTGACCGCATGATGCTGCGCACAGGCGTCGACCAGCTGTGCTGATGTCTCTGGACTAGTGTTTACACGGCCAGCTTCTGGTAGCATACGCCGTGCCACAGGCGTTTGCAGCAGCTTCCATAATTCCGGGACAGCAGTGATGGTGCGAACATCGAAGTGTGACCAGGCTCTGACGTTTCGAACATCGTACCAGAAGTGAGTGTCCTGACCGCGACGTGGCTCGGCTGTCTTTTGCACAAGAGACGGCGCTGGGTTGGTCGACGTGAGGTAGTTCAAAGTAGTGATCGTCTCGAGATCGAGAGCTGGATCGTATTCTACCTCATGTGACAGCTGGGATGGTCGAGCAGGTGGACTGGCTGTCCGGCGACGTTGCGGGTAGGACTGCATGCCGCTCCCTTGCATGACAATTGGTGCGAGAAAGCTCATAGCGCTAGGCGTTCTTGTCATTGGCAGGCCATGGATTACCGGCTGCGGTGTCGGGCTATGACGATAGGTTGGATAACCATATCGACTGAGCATAGAAGCATCTACGCTAGAGCCAGAGATGTTGCGAGAATGTGTCCGAATGTTCGAGGTTGAAGCTGACCTTACATTGTGGAGCGAAGGTCTTCGCGAGCTTGCTTCGTCGTTGATCATGTGGTCGAAAGGAGATGGCACGGACAGGGGTGATGCAAGGTACATCAAGGCGGGCGGACTGACCGAATGTCTCTCTGTACTTGGGTAGCATGATGGCTGTTGATACTGCTGTGGCAGACAGTGGCTTGGCAGAGATGCTGTCCTGGAATGACCATAGTATGATGGGATATTACCCGGCTCCAGAAGCTGATCCTGAGGTCGGATCTTAGGCAAGAGCGTTGGCTCACACTCTCGTGCCCTTGGAGGCGAATGCGGTGGCGTAGTAGCAGATGTTATTGCCGTTTCTGGTGACCAGTCGAAGTCTACGCCGACTGTGCTGGCGCTGCCACCAGGGCATTGCACTTCATAGCAGTCAGTCTCCAACAGAGTTGGAGGGGTGAGTTGACGATAGTTCATGGTTTCAGCAATCCCTGCTACCAGAGCAAGTGGTGTATTGTACGCGGTCCTCGTGTATGATTAGACAGTAGTTGTAAGCGCAAATAGATGCAAAGGAGACCAGCTCCAGACGCCTGTATCAAGCCAAAGACCAATACAAAGGAAACAACAAAAGAGACTCGTATGCCTCGTTACAAGATCGCACAACAGAGATGACTGGGTAGTAAGTCCTGAAGATGAGGAGAAGAAAGGGAACCAGGAATGCACAGATGGACGTGCTTCCTATATGTTCGTCCACGAGGACAGGCGTGTTCATTGTGAGCGAGTAGATAGCATACCAGACATGGTTCCACTGGCCCTAGCGTCCCTGAAGTCTGAAACGAACCTTTGAACAATGCATAGTACTGTAGAGCCCATCAGGTGGACTATACTAATTCACAGCATCAATCTGGACCTCCATACCGCAGCCACGGCCGATGAAACCGTCAAGTGCATGGTCTGAAGGAGGTCTGTGTCTCGTATTCAGGCTCGAAGCGGATCTTGCGTCTTCTTTCCGAGGGCGCCGCGAAATCTGTGGTTCTCGAGACCGACTGGTCACTGCTGAAGAGGGCTGGGGTTGAACCACGTTTGTCGGCGGCTGCTAAGATGAAACACTTGCTCTCTGCCGCTTGCGAGATATATGCGGGCGGCAATGTCATCTTGCAGAGATCCAGTCGGCATCGCGTCAGTATTTCCAGCGCGCGTCCTGAAGTCGGGTGTGGTTGGGCGGCTCGAGGTCGAGCTAAGCTTTAAGTTTGCCTCCGCACCCAACGGTGATTGGTTGGCTAAGCTGAAACTGCATAGAGTCTGCATAAACGTTCTAACGATATGCAAGCAGACGATCAAACGAGTACTCGCCATGTGCAGACTTTGTACAGTGTTTCAGAGATGCAGGTGAGTATGAGTCACCTATGCAGATGACAGACCACAACAATGCTTCGGATTTGTCGATATATGGAGAACTGGAGGGTCCAGCAATCACAAATTAAATCAATTTCGGGAGCCAAAGAGAGGGCAAGAGTGCTCGTGAGCTTGATGGTGTTCAGCTTGAATCTTGGTAGATGAGGCTGTGTTCCTGTGTCTAGAAACGATGTCTCCATTGACGCGCGCGACCTGGTACCACAATGACACCGAGCGCGAAATGACGCATTCAACAATACCTCGGTGCTTCGATGGATATAGCAGCCTATTCTTGGAACGAAGCCGCTGAGGTCTCGAGACGGAAAGTGTCGCTAGGTATGGTCGACGATAACCACAGCAAGTCCTGATCCCATACCATAACATGCATCCGCCTCCTCTATGTCTCCGCTAGGTAGAAGTACCGCCAGGAATGAAACCCTGTCTAACAACTCCAAGCACCGAAAGCCATGGGTATCATTCCTTGAAATCACAGCGCTTTACCAACGCCTGCCGTACAATGGGCCCAGATGCGCGGGCGAAGACCTGTTCATAAAGTTCTATCCTCTGAACCTGACTTCGTCGGATAGCCGAGTGGACTGCTGAGAAAGTCCTGAGGGTCCTTTCGAAAGATCCTACTCCTCCACCTCGCCCTCCTCCACTTCACCATCGTCCTTACCACCGTCCTGTGTATGATCCGCGGCCTTGACCTCGGCCATACTTTCGGCATTCCCAGCCTCCACCCTCAGCTTTTCTTCTTCCAGCTTCAGATCTGGTTCCGCGGTCCCGTCGCCATTGGCAGTCACCTCCAACTTTGGACGTTTTGCCAGCCCGTTGACGTCAACCGCCGCATGTCCATTCTCCTCGGCCTTCTCATTCTGCCGCTCATCCGCTCGTTTCCGCTTGTCACCAGCTTCACTGCCTACACTCATTTGCCTCTCCCCATCGACGGGCAGCACAAAAGGCGACGAACCACCATGCTTCTCATCCTTCAACCGAGTACTGTCCCAGCCATCTCCAGTTCCAGCATCAATACTAGGTGTAGACAGAGCAGCGTAAACACTGCCCTGCCCGTCGCCTTCGGCCGCAGAGTTTCCATTGCCATTGACTTTGCCTGCTGCGCCGTCATAGTTGGCAACCATGTACTGCACCGCCCTCCTCATTTCAGACAGCCTCACACCCTGTGAGTCCCACCACGGCCTGCCTTTGTTGTCATCCGGGAGCTTGACTTCGCAGTACCGACACCCAGCATACAGTCCTGCGACCGCGATCGTCCGACTCGAGCACAACAGACACAATTGCGTGTTGCCACTATCCGTCACAAACGCCCATGCCGCATTCCGCAGCTTCTTGTGATGTTCCACCCCAAACCACTTCAGCATATCGAATAGCTGCCTATGCGGACTCTCCACGGTCAGGTCAAAGCATAATGTCTCGAGCAACACATCCTCATGGTGTAACACGCAATCACGCCACCGCCAGAAATCCTTGCTCTGCTCATCAATGACCAAGTTCGGATTCTTCTGAGCCACGCGACAGAAGGCGAGTATCATCTCTTTCATCTTGCGACAGCTCTCTTCAACTTTCGTCGCCAAGAACAATGCGGTGGCAGCGACCTGGTAGTGGTGGAGCTTCGGTATATCACCTCTGCTTTTCTTCAGGCTGGCGCGCATAAGGAAGCGTTGGAAGAATATCGCGGCTGTGCTGAGGGTGAGTTGTGGAAGCTTAAGCATTATACCGACTTGGACGATGAAGTGGACTCCTTTGGCGCGGGTGTCGCGCTCTTCAGCCACGTGCATGCCGTCCTGTATGGATGGTGTGTTGCTCAACTCGGCTTCAGTGAAGAGCCATTGTGCTTCTGCTTCTGCCAAAACACGATTTGGTGACTTTGGACGGTGTCGCTGTGCTGGATGTGTGGACGGTAGGTGATCCGTCTTCGAAGGTGCCGGCATGGCTGCTGGAATTGTGAGGCACACAAGCCCCGAGGTGCTGTTGTTATGCCAAGATGCTGATGTCTGGTTAGGAGTAATGGTACTGTTGATAACGCTGGTCTGCCTAAGGCACCCGAAAGTGGTGGTTCTGGAGATCAGGCTGTGGACATCGCATTTGGCTGACCGTTGGGACGATACTACAACACAAAGGCTTATGATGTTGTAGTCGTTTTGTAAGGGTTTGTGAGATGTTCCTACTTTCAGTATTGAAGCTCGCATGTGAGAGGTGCCGATCCCGACGCCACGCTACCACCAGCCGCAGATGGGCAGACGGTGCCGTGCGGGCGGTAGTGTCGACTTAACATTCCATAAGCTCACAATTAAACGCTTCGGCACCTCGAATGGCGATTGAGCTCGTGAGCATGCTAAATCCCCATCTACATCAACGTCTACAGCCATGGCATCACCTCTTCGCCTTCATAACGTTACTCAGTGCTCAGCATGTATAAGGAGCTACCTCACAGCTGGATTCGGCGATCTGGTGAACCCGCCAACAGCAGCTTTTAGACAGCAGATTAGGGGAAAGAAGAAGCTTGCCAACACATCGAGTACTGTGCCTGTGAGATTACTGAAGGATATGCGGACATTCGGACGACGAGGTCAGCGTCAACAATCCCGACGAACGCCGGTGTATAACGTGAGAAATCACTGACAAGATGTACGCAGGCTCAATTGTCCCAATCTCCCCAGGCCAAATGCGCAACGAATGGTTTCCACGCCGCGTCGCCGAATACGTCACCGTCACCGAACAGAAGTCTCTCCGTCTACGAAACGTAGCAGTCGAGCGGGACTTTGATTTTGGTCTTGCTGGAAATATACCTCTTCCAGCAGCTACGAGCTCGTCCATTGGTGGCATGACTCGAAGCGAGCAGCAAGAAGCGAGCATGTTCCAACGTGCGCCTGTAGAGACTGCTCGGTTGAGCGCAGAACGATGCAGAGAGTTGATCGAGCTCTTCGTACCTTCTCGACTGGACTTCTTCAGACAGCCAATTCTAGAAGAGAAGGAAGCCGAGCCCGAACCCGCGCCAGCCCCTGAATTGAAGAAGTCGTCGCGATCTTTGGGTCTGGGTGCGGGTGCGGAGTTGATGGCTGCACGAGCACAGTCGCAAGCTGAGGCAAAGCTCCCGAAGCCGAAAATAGCGTCTGGACCACAAGCGATTTATGGGAGTGTGAGCACACATGATGTCCTAGTCGCTGCCCGTGAGCAGATGGCCAGGAACGATGAGGCAAAGATGGTTGCCTTTAGGGAGGAGGACATCAGATTTGTGGAGTTGCCAGCAGAGTCCGAAGCGGATCGGGTGAAGTTCGTGGGCGATTATGCTGTTGAGGTTAGGTGTAAGGGTGTGGACGAGGCGAAGAGGGTTGTTGTGAGGGTCATTGGGCAGGAAGTTGCATAGTAGCCGCGATCAGAATCGTCAAAGTGTCTATCGGCTGCGGCGAGGGCATGGGAGACAGCATGCACGCTCTCGCTCATTTCCCGAACGACTCTCGCATTGTAGTCACTACTGGAGGTCGAGAGTAGACGAGCAGCGGACGCCCGCAGCAAGCAATATGGACCGTAACATGCCCAATAAATTCAGCTTTCCCACCAAGGACTTCTAGATGCAAGTTCTAAAGACAACCATTGATACGAGGACTTATCACGACATGTGCAGCCTCATGCTCAATCTTATCAAGCCATGCAACCACGAAATAACAACCATAGACTACTGCTCTGCCATCTCGGAATCGGTGCTCAGCGCGTACGAAAGCGCAGTCAAGACCGGGGACCCCGTTGAGGCCCCAAACACCTGCGCAGAGAGCTTTGAATGGATGCTTTGTACTGCTCTCGATGCGCCCGTGGCGTGTAGGAACTGTATTAACTGGCTTGAGGTGAAAGGTAAGAGGACTTTCGGTGGCGTGGCCGGACCGGAACATAGGCTGAAGCAGAAGGAAAAGGATCTCGGGATGGCGTACAGGGCTGTGAAGGCTGAGTTCCGACGGAAGTATGGGCTGTTACAGGTTTTGGAGGAAAAGAAGGCCGACGAAGTGACTGTGGGTCGTGGAAGGGGAAAAGAGCGGGCTAAGGCTATTAGGTAGGGTGACCTGATGGCGGCGGAAATGGAAGCGAGGGAGGAGCACGAGGAGGAGGCTTAGGCAAGGTCAAGTGTCCGCGATGTGTGCATCATATGCCATAGAAATGATCCTGTATAATTTACTGCAACATCCGTGCATGGCAGAGTGACATTCTTGTACTGCTCGTTCACGTGCAAGGGGCATAAAGTTGCAACCTGGAAGCCACGTGAAACTCACTCGGGATGCATCCCGCGCAGGCTTCCGACATCATCAGTTTCCCCGTGCTTGCATCGCTTGCGCCTCACCCATCTTACGAATTGTCCACGAACACGTACATACCACCAACACACATAACCAGCGCATTCAGCACTACTCGACTGGAAGGTCTTTGTGAATACTCGGACAGGCTATCGTAACTTCACCGCGGCTCGGTAACAGCAACCCGGACTCTGTCCAAGCGCCACGAACAAAGGACAGCACACAGCGGCAATCACCTCTTAGTCCACCAAGCGCCGCGAACGCTTACAGGGCCCTCTACAAGTCGGCTCACGGGCGTTCTCACCGATCACACCTCAAACGATAATAACCCCACTAGTCACCACACCATGGCAGGAACACGCAACTACGACTTCCTAATCAAACTCCTCCTTATCGGCGACTCTGGCGTAGGCAAGTCCTGCTGCCTGCTCCGCTTCAGCGAAGACTCCTTCACGCCCTCGTTCATTACAACGATAGGTATTGATTTCAAGATCCGAACAATTGAACTCGATGGCAAGAGGGTGAAGTTGCAGATCTGGGATACGGCGGGCCAGGAAAGATTCAGGACGATCACGACGGCGTATTATCGGGGTGCCATGGGAATCTTGCTCGTTTATGATGTTACGGATGAGAAGAGTTTCAATAGTGAGCTGCTCTCACCATGAAATCCCCGAGTGCAAGGACTAATCTTTTTGTTTCAGACATCCGAACCTGGTTCTCCAACGTCGAACAACACGCCTCGGAAGGCGTGAACAAGATGCTCATCGGCAACAAATGCGACTGGGAGGAGAAACGCGCCGTCTCCACGGAACAAGGGCAAGCGTTGGCCAACGAGCTGGGTATACCTTTCATGGAGGTCTCGGCGAAGAGCAATATCAATGTTGAGAAGGCTTTCTTTCAGTTGGCGGGCGATATCAAGAAGAGGATTGTGGATACGCAGCAACCGCAGCAGGCGCAGCAGCAGTCGGTGCAGGTTGGAGCGGGGCAGGGAGGGGTGGCGGCCGGGTTAGGCAAGAACTGTTGCTGAGTGGGTGTGAGCGTCTGTGTGATGGGTTGGGTGTGAGAGTGGATGTGGATGTTGAGCATGGATATACTGCTCAGAGACTTAGATGTTGGGCGTTCCGGCGTTTACGCAATGACGAGCGAGGCAGGACCTTTATTCTACATTTGTGGCGAAGGCAGTGTACAGCACATTTACATGGCTTGTGTATGTCAGAAGCAATGCTCAACAACATCATACCAAGCAGACTGCGAGGCTTCAGCATGTGGTGGGCTTTGTAAGGAGTGGTCCAGCATGATCATCATGCTCCTGGGACTGCCTTTGAACAAATGGTATCTTCTACGCCTGACGCCGTGACATGGCCTCTCATTTGAGCCACAGTATTCATATGACCACCCTGGGATCGTTCATGGTGGTCTTCACATGATCGTGCTGCAACAACGTATGATCACTTCTTCCCACTCTTCTTGATCCCACCACCACCCAGCGGGCCTTTTCCTCCAGCTTTCTTGGCCATCTCATCTCGTGCCTTCTTGTCTGGGACGTGTCAGTGCTTCGTGTGCGAGGTCTCTCCATACATCATGTCGGCCGTACCAGCTGCCTGCTTGTCCTTGAATGCCTTGTCCTCCTCGTCTTCCTCCTTCTTTTCCTTCTTGGGCTTCTTGTTGTCTGCGGAAAATGTTAATTACGTTGAGCTGTATTTGCCGCCTTCTCTCTTATGTCACCCACGAATCGGGTTTGTGCCCGTTCCTTGACCTGAAGGCATGTTTGCGGTTGTTTGGTAGAGGTTTATGTGAGTTATCCTATTAACACAAAACGATAATCGTGCACAATATGAGCCCCACCAAATCGCATGAGGCCGCCTACCCTTCTGGAAGCCACAATCGAAGAAACGTGCACAGACCCACGTTCTTCCCGCGCCTGTCTGCCTCGGAACACATGCGCTTCCACATCCCGAACAAGGCTCCTGCGAAACCACCGACGACCCCATGCATATTGGCCGAGCGAGACGCACCTAAGCCCACTAGTCCAGCTCCGCCCTTGTTCCATCTGACCCATTAATCAAACCAGAGGCAAACATAATCATCCACCACGTCTTCCTTCACCGTGGAAAGCTCAACTCCTTCCCCGTCTGCTTCGTATATTCAGTATGGAGCCTGGGCTTGGGACTTCCTCACCTCCACCATCTTCGGGTCTGCGGGACAGTATACGGATCTCAGTAGCGATTACAAACCGCAGCGGGCAGCTCTCATCGCTGTCGCTGGCACGGGCGCGACGAGGAGGATGCCGGAACGTCCGTTGACGATTGCGACGTATGCGGCTGGTGCGTCGTTGGCTGCTGTGACACTGGTGTATGTTTTTGGGCCTACTTTCTTTTTGGACGATGAGGCGGCGAATAGTTCCAAGTCGAGTCGGAAGAAAGGCGTGGTGGGGTTGGTGAATCCGGCGAATGATTGTTTCATCAATAGTGTGTTGCAAGCACTGGCCGGTCTGCCAGAGCTGAGGGCTTATATCATACGGGAGACGCATAGGAGGAGGCTAGATGGGGGCGAGATGTATAAGGATCTTGAGGCTGCATTGGAGGAGCAGAAGAGGAATAAGAACAGCAAGCAGACGCCGGAGTGGAAGCTTCTTGGGTTACAGCAGGGATTGGTCACGACGGGATTGAAGGATGTGCTGGATGCCTTGAATGAGCGACCAATATACAAGAAGACGATTAGTGCGCAAGCGTTCATTCGCGTGGTCGAGACGTCGTTTAGGACGAGAATCAATCGGACGCAGCAGGATGCGCAGGAGTTTCTGCAGCTTGTGGCTGAGAGGCTTGCGGATGAATACAATGCTGCTGAGCGAGTAAGGAGACGGGCGCGACGGCAATCGAACAATGCTCAAGTGTCAAGCAAACCCGCCGAAGGAGCTGATTTGGCTCCTCCCACGATCAGTAGCATCGGGAGCCGACAGGATAGCAAACTTGCTTTGCCTACGGACTCACCTCAGCAGCAGTCACACGAGGAGGACGACAAGGAGAGTATCGAGACGAATTCCCCGCGCTTTCCGCTGGAAGGCAAGGTTGAATCACAAGTCGAGTGCTCGCATTGCCAATTCAAGCCCAAGCCCTCGGTCTCGTCCTTCGCTAGCCTCACCCTTCACGTCCCCCACGACTCGACGTCGAGTACACTCAATACTTGTTTTGACGGTCTATTAAAGATCGAGCATATTGACGACTTTTTGTGCGATCGATGTCGACTAGATCACGCTTTGCTTGTCACCTCGAAGCAGCTCGGAAAGACGACCCTGAGTGCTGAGGAGCGATCTGATCTGGAGGAGAATAAGAGCAAGCTTGAGAAGGCTTTGCGCGAGGATCCAGAAAAACCACCCAAGAACGTTACACTACCAGACTCGGCTTCGACGCCCAAGCGCAAGATCACACGCCACACGCGCATCTCTTCCTTCCCACGCATTTTGGCAGTACACTTGAGTCGTTCAGTCTGGGATCCGCATGCTAGCAGTTCGAAGAACAACGCGAAGGTTTCGTTCCCGGAGACTTTACCATTAGGTGGTCTACTCGATCGCAAGACATATCGTCTGCTGAGCGTAGTCACTCACAAAGGTGGCCACAACAGCGGTCACTACGAGACTTTCAGACGCCAGTATTTGAGCCCACCTTTCAGCACGCCAGCGTCGATGGGTACGGATGGCATATACAGCGTGAAGAATACACCCGTCTCAAGTCCGAGGATATCTGCAGCACCGAGTCCCAGGATGAGTGCGAGATTCTCCAAGGATCTTGGAAGTGATGCGCCTTCATCAAGTACTACAACGCCGGAGCTACTGCCGTCGACACTGGACTCTCCTACCAGCTCATCAGCATCGACACGATCGCTGAGGACTGTGACACTGGATAGGCGAAGGACACCTCCGTCATGCGTGCCACTCGATGCGATACCCACGCCTGGCCTACCACCGCCGCCGTCGTCAGTGCCGAGGAAGACCATTGACGACAACGAGCAACAGCCGAAACGTCAGCAGAGCGTTGCTAGATCTATGGTTGCATTGGCGTCACGGAAGCGGAGAGTACCTGATCGGTGGTGGAGGATTAGTGATGAAAAGGTCAAGGAGTGCAAGACGAGCGATGTGCTCGGTCAGCAAAGGGAGGTATATCTGCTGTTTTACGAGATTGTGGATGACGCGCAAGCGTAGGAGTTTGCATGGGCATATGTTGCGACATTTAGCGTGGTGTTTTCGTGGTGAATGGCGGGTTGGCCTATCAGCATTGCGATCTGTTTGTGCATTGTATAGTTCGGCAACGAAGCATCTGATCTATTCACGTCCGCCATAACACTCATTCAATGCCCAATATTCGCTCACCTACTCTTGTTCGAGACACCGGCTTACGCTGTAGGAGGGGCACGGGACAACGAGCTGTCGGCCCAGAAAGCCAAAAGGTGGGGCAGAAATCGCCAGTCGCAAAAAAGTTCGAGGCACACGAGTCTAGATATCTCCTTCTTTCTTCCTTGGAGGTATGTTGTGTACCTCACCTGACGATTGAGAACACATTCTGATACGAGCCATATAGATACTAGTCGCACCGTCATCATGGTCGAGAAGGTGTACGTGACCTATAATCAGGTAAGGCAAGGCTCTTCTCATACAAATCCGTGGTGACCACGCGACATGATATAAATGCGCCGTAGTCATATTTGGTATGACGAGACAACTGACCTGATCGACCGCAGGTCCACAAGTTGTGCCAGGAAGCCGCACCGCGCATCCTCTCCGACTTCAGACCTACGCTGATGATCGCAATTGGTGAGTCGAGGCTGCGACAGTATAAGCGACTCACGGACTAAGACAGTACAACAGGTGGAGGAGGCTATGTCCCAGCCCGTATCCTCCGCTCCTTCCTCAAACAGCCCGGCAGCCCCAACATCCCCATCCAAGCCATCGGCCTCTCCCTCTACGAATCCCTCGGCACCGACGCCCAGATAGAAGAACCCGGCACCAAAGTCACCCGAACACAATGGCTCGACCTTCGCTCCCTCGAAATGGCCAACCTCATTGGCAAAGATGTCCTGATCGTGGACGAAGTAGACGACACCCGCACAACGCTCGAGTATGCCGTCAAGGAACTAGAAAAGGATGTTGCGGAAGCGGCGCAGCAGGTGGGGAGGGGGAAAGAGACGACGAGGTTCTCGGTCTTTGTGTTGCATAACAAGGACAAGGTTAAGAAGGGGATTTTGCCGAAGAGTATGATGGATGAGGGACGGTATGCGGCGGCGAGGACGGTGGGGGATGTGTGGATTAATTATCCTTGGGAGGCTACTGATATTGAGGAGCATGATCGGATGGCGCAGAGCCAGACGATCGAGTAAGAGAGCGGCAGTTTGAGGGTGGCGTTTGGCGATCAGATGGACGGCGAGGCTGTCTCTTGTGATTTAGAAGGAAAGACATAGATCAGCACGACTCGTAGTGGTCAGCTTGAGAGTTGCTTCCGGTAGTGTTCCATGTGGGCCAATTGCTAGACGTCACGCATTTGACCCATACCAGAACTAAATCTTGAGAGGGCACCATCCCATCAATGAAAGTGTTACGACGGATCAATCAATATTTGCAAGACATTGCCATCGCGCGGCTGTGCCCGCTGTTCCGAGCGGGTACGTGCGTGATGACTTTGCACATAATCCATATCGCATCGCAAGTGCTCACTGTCACTCGAGCCGTCCACAACACGTATGCTTCGCAACTTCTAGGCGAGCATCGTTCCTGCAAAACACTCGTCCTTTCGCCCTGCTCCTCTATGATACTCGCTGTCAACACGCCATCTGCGACAGAACTGCAAAGACACAAACCTGTGAGGAACCTTTCCACGCTGGTTCACTTTGCGAACCAAAAGCACGAAGCACATAAGCACGTACAAAGATCGATTAGGCTAACGCATTTGTGATCACACTTCTGGGTGTGCTGCAGGACATCGTCCACCGATACACAACTCGGAGCACGATGAGCCTGCGCTCGCGGACCAACTCGCCCGCCTTGTCCGATGGCGAAGTCCTGAGCGGAGACGAGGAGAAGGCAATTAGCACGAAAGCGACTACGAGCAGGAACAGCACTGTTAACACGTCCGCCAGATCCAATGGATCTTCATCTCGAGCTTCGCGATTTCCGTATGGTTCTACACATCCCCGTCATGATGGTGGTGGGGCTGTGAGGTTGCCCGAGAGTGCCCGGGATCGTTCTAGGTCGCCATACCGAAAAGATAGGTCTAGGTCGCCCTATCACGCGAAAAAAGGGACTAGTGGTGAGAAGCGGAGCCGAGAGGATGACCATTATGACTCGAAGAATGGCTCTGATCCCAGGCGGTTCAAGATTCAGTATGAGGATGAGGTCTCGCAGGGCGCATTAGCCGCACAGCCTGCAAAGCCAGCGTCTGAGCATCACATCCCGTCAAGACCAGTGAACGGCGCCTCTAAGCACCAGAACAGGAATGATGGTGTAGTTGGAATGCCAGACCGTGGCCGGGACCGCGCTCGCAGCCGCTCTCCGTTTCGTCATGGCAAGGAAATGAATACTGGAACTCATAATATTGGAGAGGTGGAGCATGGCTCTGCCCGAGCCAAGTTGCACAGTAGTGGTGGCGCAACGTCAGTCAAAGATCGCGAGTCTACCCCACCACTTTCACGCGCAGAGCATAGTACTAAGGTCAGGATGTCTTTGTCAGAACAGACTCACCCATACAGAAAAGCACAAGCTCAGCCAAGGTCAGTCATTCATGGAACACGTCGGCCGAGCGCTACTAACCGACTCTACTGTAGCCGCCCGCTCGCATCTACTACGGACGAGACTGCTGAGAATGATGCCGAGCAGCAGCCAAAGCCATCTGAAGTCGACATGATCGAGCAGCGCCGCAGACGCCGTGAAGCAATCAAGGCCAAGCACAAGAGCCAGCCTGGGTTACTGGTCCAAGCACTCGAGCACAACATCGCATCGGCGCCTGCCACGCCAGCACATGAGAGCAGCGGAGCTCCATCTGAGCAGCAATCGCCACCATCGTCCCTTGGCTCACCACGCACGCCAATCCAGGATTCGCCACCCATGTCACCGGCTGCATTCACAGTCACTGACGACGAGCAGCTAGCCAATCGCCACCAGGACGACTTGACGATACATGAAGACGATGGTCCTTCGGCAGCAGATTATGACCCTAATATGGACATGCATGAAGATCGGCCTGACCACAAAAAGCAAGTCGTCGAAGCTATCGTCGTTGAGGCATCGAAGATGGAGCCTGAGCCGGCGCCAAAGGCCAACAAGGAGTTCGATATGTTTGCAGACGACGACGATGACATGTTCGCAGCTACCGACAACGCTGGAGCTGCAGTCTCGAGTACGAAGCACGCAAAGACGCTCGACCAGAGCTTACTGGATAATTGGGACTACCCGGATGGACATTACCGGGTCATACTTGGCGAGCTACTTGATGAGCGTTACGCAGTACAGCAGCAGATCGGCAAAGGTACTTTCGCAACGGTAGTGAAGGCCAAGGACGAGAGGACTGGTCTTCCGGTGGCCATCAAAATCGCGGCCAACAACGAAACCATGTACAAGGCCGGCCAAAAGGAGATGGACTTCCTCAAACTGCTCAACGAGAGCGACCCAGAAGACAAGAAGCATGTGATCCGGCTGCTCCGTAGCTTTGACCACAAAGGCCACATGTGCATTGTGTTCGAGGCGCTCAGTGCAGATTTGCGTGATGTGCTCAAGAAGTTTGGACGCAATGTCGGACTCAATTTGAAAGCCATTCGCTCGTATACTCAGCAGATGTTTCTCTCGCTCAGCCATATGAAGAAGTGTCAGATCTTGCATGCCGATCTGAAGCCCGACAATATCTTGGTCAGCGAGCGTCGCAACCTTCTGAAGGTGTGCGATTTGGGCACAGCGGCTTTTGCAACGGATACGGAGCTCACTCCATACTTGGTCTCGCGGTTCTACCGTGCGCCGGAAGTTATCCTTGGTATGCCGTTTGATTATGCGATCGATATGTGGTCCATCGGCTGCACACTGTTCGAACTCTACACTGGCCGTATCTTGTTCGCTGGTGCGGACAACAACCAGATGCTGCGCGTCATCCAAGAGTGCCGTGGCAAGATCCCTATTCGCATGCTGAAGCAATCTCATGCGGATCAACGAGATCGCCACTTCGACGTTGAAAACAACTTCTTCTCGCAGGAACGCGACAAGATTACTGGCAAGACTGTGCTGCGCCAGATCAACTTCAAGTCCAGTGGCGAAGCGGGTAAGGATGTCCGTTCCAGGCTCAGCCACAACACGAAGGGCTTGGGTCCAGCAGAACTGAAGGAGCATATGGCTTTTGTCGATCTATTGGAAAAGTGTCTGCAGTTGGATCCGGCGAGGAGGATCTCACCCAACGACGCGCTGAGGCATGGGTTTGTTGCTGGTGCTGCGCCTGTGGTGAAGACGACGCAAAAGGTAACGCCTGCTATGAGTATGCCACGAGCTAGGTAGGAGCGGCCTGGTCGATTCATTGTCAAAGGGCATGGGTGTGGGAGGAGGGATTTCAAGGCTGGACTTGGGCTTTGACGACGAAGGACACGATCATCCCCACACGGATGCATTATGCGATGAGGACGACTCTGTCTCTCGGATACCTCGTGTGTCCAGGAGAAGACTTGTTCTCATTACTTCGAGAATGGTCATCATATGTCCAGGAGAAGACTTGTTCTCATTACTTCGAGAATGGTCATCATATTAGCGGCACTGGCAAGCTGAGTACGATTGTGGATTTGGCAGGTGATTATACGGGTCCGTTGAATACTGCCGGAGCATATTATGACTTAGTAATGCACAGAACAGTATGGAAGGTCATGGGAGATGTAGTTGGGAAAGCAGCAACGCCTGGAAATTATGCATCGGCTTAGAGAGCTCACGGTCGAGAGGTTAGCAATGTGCTCTGCATTAAATGCTTGCAGCAAGGTCTAATTGCTAAACAGTGGACACACAGCAAATTTGACAGTCACGAAGTCCAAGTCGATATTGACGCACGTCTGAGCCTCCATGTTGATTGACGTGTGGGAGAAACGTTTATCTCATTTCTGATGGGACCGCATCTTCGATGTTGATCGTCGTTCATTCAGTGTCGAGCTCTGGCCAATGTTGATCATCATGGTCATGTACACAAGTCGATCCGATGGTTCCGCTGGACCTCGACATAGTACCTCCACTGATATGCTATGTGAAGTGTGGGTGGGCCTTTGGTTGAGGACGATCGGTCGAAGGTAATAGTGACTCGGGCCACGGTTGGCGCTTCGCAAGCTCTTGAGACACAAGCACAAAGATCCACCGTTAGCGATCGAATAGTGCCGTTGCAACTGTTCCCGGGAAGATGTCTTAGCAACCCTCGGAAACAACTTGCCTTTGTCTTAGTGGTTGATCGTAGACGACGTCGGTGTGCAGTCACGTGATCGTACTCTCGAAGCGGTCAGTAACGGCTCTGCAGTGGAAAGTAAGGCAGTGAGACAAGCTGAAAGCAGGACGTCTGATCATGCCTCTGTCAAGACGGCAGCATTGCCGCCGTTGTCTCTGCTTGATGCATGCCTTAGAGACACTTCCACTTCACAGTCAGCGTCTAGTGGTACTGGGCTATATCTGTTGCACAACACTGGAGGCTTCAGGAGATCGACAGAGGCGAAGTGCAGTGTTCCGGCAGTCACAACATCCGAGTCTGCCGTTCGTGTGAGTACAACGCGGCCTGCCGTCCTAGTACGAGAAGGCAGGCATGGAAGGACTGGTGAGACAGCATAGCACATGGAAGTGCAGCGACGGCACGGTGTACAGACGCTAGCCCAGTCAGCGAAGCGCCCACACAATGCAACATGCCTGCCGCCGCTTCCAGGCAATCAAGAATGTGGTGACTGGGGCCCGTCTCAGCTGCACCGCTCGGTCAAATCTCCACCCATCGTGCATCGGTACAAGAGCGAAAGATACATCAGAAATACTGGGGCGGAGGAGAAAAACAGGGTAGGCTCGGATCTGCGCCCTGAAGCAAGTCGTGGTTGTCACTGGTTGGCTGCCGCTAATGTGGAGGGGCCGGATGCTCGTCAATGATCATGCATGGAGTGACGAGAGTTTCGCCTCGTTTTTTAACAGCTTGGCTGCTTATGCTCATGTGTTACTACGGTGGGCTAGATATGCGCATCGGGCTTTTGGTCGATATGGCTTTGGGTCGATGTAGCCTTCAAGGACGAAGTACATATGAGGAAGACGTCAGTCATGTGACGCGCACTGGGGGTGTTAGTACGTCCTGTGTCCTGCGCACTCCCAGGTGCAATAGGTTGTCCAACAACAGCGGTCGTGTGTTAGAAACACAGACGCTAGTCTGTGCCGTTCGTATCAAGCTATGGTACATAGTAGTATGGACAAACTCCGCTTGTATCGGCCTGATGATTCTGTGATCTCTCCATAGGCGTAGTGAACACCTTCCCCATCCTTGTTTGCCCGCACTTCTAATGGCCTGACAACAGGGTAAAGCAAAAGCAAAACTTTCCTCCGTATTCTCAATGTATGCCCCGCGCCCGAGAAAGAACAGCAAGGGGTATCTTTGTTACAGTGTTTCCGTCCCAAATGGCGCCGTGGCAAGTATAACACCGGATCGCAAGAACGCTTCAAGCTTGGTCCTCATGTCGTTCGTTCGCACCGTGTCAAAAGCAATGTACAATGAATTCGTGTTCGTGCGTAAAGCCTAGTAGACGGGGACCATTTGGTTCCAGAAGCAGGTGGATCGTGGTATGTGAAGACTAGGCACAAGTTGGCCGTAACGAGACCAAGCCGGGAAGGAGGGTGCGCGTCCGGTAGGGGCAATGAAAGGAGAACCGGCAGCAGGTGGTACCACTGCCTTCGGCAAGAACGTATATGGGTGTTGTTGGGGGCTGCTAGAATTCGATGGAGGTGGTGATGGGAGTCCATGGTGGAAGACCGCGGTGAGCATGGGGTATTGGGCACCAGGTAATGGGTCCATAGGTGGGACATCGATGACATCTCCGCATGGCTCCACGTTCGTCTGGCAGAACTCGGAAGCAGTAGGCGAGTATGGTGGCGAAGCAGGAAGACTCGAACAAGGCGAGCTCTGAGTAAATCGCGGGCAGCACATGATCAGGTTTCTCAGCTCGGCCAGCGTCACTCTCCGTCGTGGATCAAGCTCAAAAATCCGCTGGAGAATGTAGTTCAGCTCATCCGAAACCGGCAATATGGTCTGCAAGAAATTCCTGTCGCGCATGAAAGCCTTGAAAGTCGAATCCTCGGGCGACGCACGCTTCCATGGGTTGCGGCCGCAGGTCAGATTCACGAGGATGACACCCAAGGACCAGATGTCGTTTGGTCCCGACGCATAACAAGCATGCGGCCCTGGGTTGGCCTGTTGGCATTCTGCGAGATGTGGTTGTCAGTGCACGGTCAAGGCCATCGAAGGCGAAGTTGTAACGTACCAGGAGACATGTAGAAAGTAGAGCCGCATCCAAAATCGGCGGTGACCCTGTCTTGAGTAGCGAGTCCAAAGTCGGCCAGCTTGACGGTCCATCCATTGTCCTTGACCAAGACGTTCTCAGGCTTGAGATCCCGATGATAGATACCGCTGGAGTGGCAATGTCTGACCGCGTCCAGGATTTGCAGGAAAACGGATTTGGCCTTGAAGTCATCGCCAACGTAATGGCCCTCTTCGGTAATCTTGGCAAAGAGATCGCCTTCGGGACAGTACTCAAGCACAACGTATGTACAATCCAGATGATCCAGTATCTGCAACATGGAAACAATGTTGTTGTGATGGCTCGCCTGGTAATGGAACTGGATCTCACGATCCTGGAACTTCCGTTGCCGCTGGTCGAGGCCGACCTTGTTAAGAGCCTTGACGGCGTATTCAACGTCGGTTTCTACATCACGAGCTCTGTAGACTGTGCCGTATGCACCAACGCCGAGAACACCAGTCAGTTGGATCCGACCTGCCAGGATTTGGCCAATCTTGTCATCTTGAACACATGTTCCAGATGGCTTGGGCGAGGCCGGAGGAGTTGGGTACATAATCGGTGGAGAGAGAAAAGTCCTGGGTGGAACAGACCAGCGAGCTCACAAACGCAGGACACTCATGGATTAATAAGTCCTGGTGCGAATGGGATGATGGGTCCGAGATAATCCAGTGTCGAGCGAGGACTCGATATAATTCGCAAGGTACGAGTCGTTGAAGTGAATGAAGAGCGACCGAGCGTGAAATTGCAAGGAGTTTTGCGGCTTAAAGTGAGGCGTTGATCAACAGTGATGGCCGCTGATATGATGTCGTGTATTAATGCGGGGCGTACGTGGGCTGATAAAGGTTACGGCGGCCGGACACCCTGGTCAGTAAAAAGTCGAGCTATGCTGATGATTGGAAGGATCGAGCTCCAGAGATGTGTGTCGGGCGATTGATGGGTCGGATGCACAAAAGGTGTGTTGTATACGTACCTTTCACACAGCCTTCAGCAGGCCACCCATGTGGGTGAGTCCTCGGGTTGATACACTTTCAACAACGTTACTGTAGTCTAGCGGCAGCAGGATCCCTGAGCTACACGGCTCGCGTTCACTAGTTGCAGAGCGACCACTGACCACCATGTCATGGCCGCACGGACTATTCATGTAGCGCTGCTGCGCGAGAGACCAAGCCTGCCTATTCTCGATGGAAGCTTGGCGCGCAGGATATGCTAGTGAGTCGACGTGCCTAAGCGCGAGGCTTGAGCTACACCCTTGCACGAGAGCTTGCGTGTCAGTGGAGCGCCGGGGTTCGTGGCGTCGGTCTTCTGCCGTGGTCGATGTTAGTGGTCTGGCTTCGTATTGGTCTGCCTGTGGCCGTTGGCTATCGAATCTGCTAGGTTACTAGCTCCGTGTACGAATTCTTCTCTGTTCGGCAGAAGGCGGCGGCCATGCAAGATTGAGCAGACTCCTCGCGTAGCTTTGCAATGAGTTACGATGGCTTGCTGCAAGGTGCCGCTCGTATACCTGGCAAGTCTTTGCGACTGGGGAGTATCATGCTGATTGGGTCTGTCTTGATTGATCATAAAACGGATCTACAGCCAATCACCGAGACATTGCGCGCTGATCAGACCCAGCCGTCGTCCTGCTCTTGACTGGACAACGTCCTCAACTGGGCGTTACGCGAGTACATGCACGTTTCGCAGACCAGTAGTCATCGCTCTTCAATTTCCAGAAAGATCTTTCGTACGCAACATGCTGCTTTGGTACCACTTCGTCAAAATTCCTGGCGTACCAGTCGATCTTTGTGCTAGACATCGAGACAGCCATCGAGGCAGCCATCTCCCCAGCCGTTGGTTCACCACAGATGGACACGGCGTCTACGCGCGCCCTGTTCAAGGCTGCCTGCTGCGGCATAAGCATCGCTGAGTTCGACTGTTTCGTACGCCGAGATCTACAGTTTGCCCCATGGTCCGTGCACGGTCAGACCAAGCACGCCGCAGCCTCCTGTCTGTGAGCTAACGGTTTGCGGCAGAGGCTTGCATTCTGTGCGCATACGGCCGTGCATCGTATATCCCAGTGGTGAGAGGTATGATTGGACGAGTGTACAGATGATCCGCGAGCGGCCTCTTGGCTTTTGCCTTTCTGACCACATTCACGATGATTGGCTGCCTCAGATATAAGCACAATACTTGCTCAACCTGCCTGAGGATGCATCTCGATGTTGCCTTCGCAGCCAATGTTTGTGTGGGTCAGTACTCCACTGGTGCTGTTGCACTTATTTCGAGCACCAGGTCCCCACGAATCTGTGCCTCGAACCGCAACGCGCGACAGGCCACGAATTTGGGTTGTTGAGAGCCTCGAAAATAGCTCTAGGGCTGCCAACGATTGCACTTCCGGGACAGACAGCTGGCACGATTGCTCCGTGTCCGATCGAACCTTCCCAAGCCAAGTGCTCGGATAGCTACCGCCAACACACGTATCGCTGCACCAAGCCGCTGGGCGCGTCCGAAAGCGCTGCCGAGCAAGTGGAAGTTGAGCTGCATAGCCACGTCACAAAATACGTGCAGTCTGTACCTCGTGGTCAGCATTCCCTGACGCCGATGCCTTGCAGGAAGACGCATTAGCTTCCTCCGCAAGTCTGGAATGCTCGAGAGGCAGGTCCCCACTCTATGATTGAGCTCGCGAGGGAGGCGGGCGGTAACTCACTTTGATTTTGCCATTTACAGCAACGATTCGAGCTCCACTGTATGAAGACGGCCCGCTGTCCAGTCGGAAGCATTGTGGTGCGAAGCAGGATGCGAGTCTCCGCCCGCATGCTGATTGAATCCAACATTTTGGTTATGTCTCAATGGATATTGGTTCATCGACTCCCGAAGGACCGATAACTTCTTGTGCAGCAGACGCACACCACTGTTGCTCGCTTTCCTTATCAGCCATTGACAAACCTTCGATTAGAGCCAGCGAGTGATGAAAAGGCGCCTGTACACCCGCTTCGTGTATAGTTTTCAAGCCAGAATTGCTCACCCGGACATGCGTTACTGTGCAGTGGTACAGTGCATCTGATCTGCAAGACCGCGAAGTTCAATCCTCCTGTTATGGTGATACTGTAGGCGCTGTCTGAGGAGGACGATAGCACGTTGCATGCCACGTCGATTTTCTGTAGAAGGACGGCGTTTGACGACTCGCATCATCGCTTCATACCTAAAGCATCAACGAAAGATCGGCCGCTCATGCGATACTGACCATCGGCATTATGGAGCGACTTCTGAGACTGCTCTAGGCGCCCAGCGACCGCGGACACGGTTCATTACTTCGTCCCAACGGAGACAATACCGGTAGGATGCGTCCTAGCCATGTGGTGGCTGCCACGCATTGTTGGTGGCTGCAGTCTTGGAAGAGCGCTTGCGGGCCATTCGGCTCTCTGATTACGGCGACCGGCCTGGCTGGCCATGCAAAGGCACTATACTTTCACCTCCATGGTCATGTTCGCCGAGCCCTAGTGAATGCCTCTGTCCGCGAGACGAACTTCAACGCATCTCACGAGCTGGATCGCCGCCACCAGCCAAGGAGTTACGGACGTACGCCATGTCAGTTAGAGATGATGGGTGTTCCACTGCTGGCACACATTCGGACACAATCCGCTACATGTATCTGCTGACGAGATGAAACGACTCTCTCCCGGCTTAACTCTCCGAACATGGAAAGCGAATCTGGTCGGAAGGTAGGCACTTCAGTTCACCAATCAGATTCAACTTGAGACTCTGGTGGCAAGCATTACGTCGACAACGACGCTCTATACCATTCAGCCCAAGATTATAATCAGACTGGTGAGCTGAGCATGAATCGCGACTTCTTTCCTGCTCATCTCCTACGCAAGACGCCGTTATTACATATAACGGAATTCTTACTTACGCGCCGGTATATGTCGCAATAGGCCATGTCGGCTACAGACTGGGGCTTTCTGTCTAGTAGCAAGTCTGCGATTGAAAGGTAATAATGTTGATACAGGCATGGAAGTGTTTCAATCCTACTGACTCGCCACTCTATTTGTTGCTCTGCCTAGCGACCCGCATAGTGCCGGCTGCGTTCCAACATGCATCTTGCTTGCATGAGTCGTGTGGTATTGATCACTATTCACGCTTTCATGTTGATAGCATCATCCTCGGCTGTCCCATCCTAGAGGGAGTACCGCAAAAGTCTTCGATTCAATATTGCGGATCTCTTTCACACTCGCCGTCGTCCCTCGATCGGACAGAGATCACCTCAACGTCACATTATTGACCATTGACTTGGGTAACACTCAACCCGGAGCTCCGCCTGCAATCATGCATGGCCTGACCACAATGTGCTAGTTCATTATGACATTGGCGCTGCGAACGCTGGGCATTTTCAAGTCCACGACTATATCACAATGTATCACTGTACTCCGGCGGCATTTCAATGATGCTGTTCACTGATGGTGGATTGCAAAGCAACGTACGATGTTCGGTCCTCCTTGGAGCTGCTACTCCGTCGAACATGCTGCATCGCGTTCCAAATTGGGCATCAGTGAGGGGACAACGGCATCGGACGTGACTCCGGGAACGTATTTGTAAGACAAGGAGGAGGCTTATGATTGTATCATATGTCACTATCGAGCTCGTTGACTTTGTTTCCGTGCAGTCGTACCGACAGAGAAACGCATGTAGAAGGAAGTTTGGATCCCCACTACAGCTGATCTGCTTCAGACACCGATAGAGTTCTGCAGCGTATCCAGATTGTTCTTGATGTTCGAGTCGTTCTGCCCAAACTGGGCAATCGCGTCAATCAATTTCACGGTGATCGGCTCCAGATCAAGTCCCAGCGCTAGCGGATCGAGCGTTGAATTGGCTCTTGTGTCACTGCTGCAGCCCTTAGGCACTGTACCACTGAAAGCATCCCCAACGAATGTGAGAGCTTCGGGAAAGCCAACGACCTCCGTGGTAGCATGTCCACCTGAAGCGTATGTAGAGAAGGTGACGGATGATCCTTGCGCGCACCACTCGTTGGCTGTCTTCCTGGCATCAGGGTACGGAATGATCTCATCCGAGCTGGCGTGGTAGAGCAAGATAGGCACGATGGGATGTTCAGTTGCGTTCACACCCAAGACGTTGTCCGCAAGTACCGCAGCGATGGTAGGCTCGTAGAGCACGCGGTCACCGAGAGTCTGAACCTTTGCGGATTCGAGAGACATCTCAGGGAAGTTGAGAATATCTCTGACGGCGCAATTAATGTCTGCAAAGTCGAGAAGACTGTGACCATATGGCGTGAGGATCGTATCCAGAATCGGGTTGAGTTGGGCGCCGTATGCACTTGGCTTTCTGAGACCAGAAACAGCGTCTGGGAGGAAGCCACTGAAAGCAGTATTATCGAGGAATTTGACGATGGCACTAAGATTTGATGGTAGACCGCCAGCTGCCCAGCCTCTGATATTGAGCTCCGAAGCATAGGTAGACTGTAATGCCGCCGCCCAGCCTGTGGCTATTGCACCTCCAGAGTAGCCATAACCGACAGTCATCGGGTTGGTGGTGGTCAGGCCAAGAGTAGAGCTAAAGGCCTTTACAGCTCGCATACCGTCCAGAACAGCCATACCTTCAAGGTGGCCTGCGGCGAAAGCAGCGTCTGGACCTTCATAGTCGGGAGACGCCACAATATAGCCAGATGCCAGGTAAGCCTCTATCAGCAGTGTCTCTACGGATGTGATCAGATTCGTTTGCACGGCTCCCAGCTGATAAGTATAGCTTGGGTCTGTCGTCACGAACAACGCTTAGCACGAAGATTTCAAGCTCAAAATTATACGTCAGACTCACTGCATTGCACGGCTGCCGCATCGTAAGCTGTATGAAATGACACGAAGCGGTCAAGTTTGGCGTTGAGCGGCTTGAAGATTGTGGTCGCAGTTGAGATTGCAGATCCGTTGACCGCCGTCGTGCGGTATAGCAGCTGATATGAGACCACTGGAGTAGGGAGCAGCCCGAAGAAGGATGCCACTGCCGACCGCGAGCGCAAGATTGTTCCAGGAGCGGTATTCTCGTAGCCGGCTGGGGGATTGTAAAACGGGTCAATGCTGGGGCTGAGTGGAAAGAGTGCTCTCGTTGATAGTGGGTGTGCAGCCACTGACAGAAGCAGGGCGAGGCCAATTGAGAGGCATGAAAGGACTGTCATCGTCGTGATTTCCTGCAGTGCTAGCGCTCCTGGAGGAGTTCTGCTTGAGTTCAGTACCTCGACGTATTGGCATCACGCCTGATCATATACACCTGTGTCGACGACGATCATTTCGTCTACACCTCGGCCACCAGACATGAATTGCTTTGAGTTCAATAGTGTTGACAGGGTATCGCGAATTGCCTTCGAAGGTGGCCTCTTCTTCCCGCTGCGCGACGATATGGTCTGCCTCCTGCCAGCATAGCTAGCTGGGCATCGTCAATGCGGGAAGTGCCAATTCACCCTTAAACCAAGTCTCACGACTAATATCATGCAGCGCTGTTCATAGAGAGGAGAAATCATTGACGTGTGGGTGTGGTGTGGTATGGTGCTGATCGACATGGGCAAGAAATGCATCTTCCTGCTTTGATCAATCACCTCGGCACGGCAAGAACGAGCTCGATTTTATGCATAACGCGAGTCTTGACAAGCTGATGAAGCACAATTTGCTTTTGCATGATTTCTACAACCGACCCTATCTGGCATCGTGCAAGTGAATAGCGGGCCAAAACTCTCACGAGGACTCTTCGCGACAGGTGACCATTTGCAGAAGGCAGACTGCGTGCGACCCGCGACGGAGTACCGAAGACTCGCCCCCATGCAACTCTCATCACCTCAATCTCTCCGCAACATTTCGTTACAGACATTTCGGCAGAGGCAGACAGGCTATCAATCTCAGCCTCAAGACATCAGTCATGGCATGCCCGTGTTATCTGGAACGGGGCCGACCCAGCATCGCAACGTTAGGCAATATATTCTCCGTCCTCAATATGAGGCCCGATACCCACGAAGGCCAACGACAAACTCCAGGAAGACATTGCTCATCAAATCAACTCGCAACTGGCATGAACGATGAGAGGTAGGACGTAGATGAGCTCCCAGCAGTTTCCACGTTTCGTGAGGAACAGCCGAACGACATTTCGTTTCACGATCCCTCCATCCCCACACTACTGAGACTTGCACGCTCCGCCTCGAGACCGAGCCTCACCATGCACGTCGACACTCGGGAAAGCTGGATCAGATATGTCCAAGCAGTGTTGAGTATATATAGACGACTGGCTCAGGACCACAGGCTGTCTTATTTCTGCCATCATATCTTCACCCACTGTCTCTCTTTCGCTCCTTGTTCGTGCTGTGCACTTACTGTCCTTTACATTGAGATCTGGCATCTCTCTGACCTTCTTTTTCTTGCACACTTCTTCAAAGCACAATTCAACGATCCCGTCAATCACGTTGCTACCACCACAACAAGATGAAGACGTTCATTGCACTCTCCGGTTTGGCCGGCCTTGTCGCTGCAGTTCCAATCAATCCCCCCTCCTTCAGCATGCAGCCAGTCGGACCAATCAAGCCTACTGGTGCCGTTCCAGCTGGGCCTCCGTCTGGTACTCCTGCAGCTGGGCCGTCAGGGGCTGCACCCTTCCCATTTCCACCAAAGAACTCTGGCGGATTTGCTGCCCCAAGTGTTGGCATGGAGCCGCATCACCACCATCATCCCCACGGTTAGTCGTAGCACCTACTTGCTGATTATCTGACATATCCACTTACATTCTTATAGACCCATCCTTTCCGACCGGCAAGAAGCCAGGTCAAGGCGAATCATTCTCCTTCCCAGCACCAACCGCTGCGCCAAGCCTTCATGTACGTGACGCCCAGTTCGGTAGCGGCGGCTTCCAGTCCGATATCACCACCGCACCTGGAGCTGCAGCGACGGGTGGCTTTGGCGGCGAGCCTTTCTCATTCCCAGCTGGTGGCTCACCATTCTCCTTTCCAACCGGTGGGATTGGAGGAGGTGCCGCTGCTCCGACAGGTTCCTTCGGAGGCGGCTCCCCGGGTGCAGGTGGTAATGGTGGCAACAATGGGCCACTCCCCAGCTTTTCGCTCCCTGCAGGCGGTCTTGGGGGCGGAGCTGGCTCGGCTGCCCCGACAGGCGGGTTCCCAGGCGCAGGTGGCAATGGTGGCAATAACGGGGCACTACCCAGCTTTTCATTCCCTGCAGGTGGTTTCGGGGGAGGTGCCGCTGCTCCTACAGGTTCCTTCGGAGGTGCAGGCAGCAATGGCGGCAATGCTGGGGCACTCCCCAGCTTCTCATTCCCTGCAGGCGGCTTCGGAGGAGGAGCTGGCTCGGCTGCTCCGACTGGAACCTTCGGAAGTGGATCAGGCGGAAACGGTGCAGGCCTCCCTAGCTTCTCCTTTCCCATACCGACCGAGAGTGGCGCTGCCATTGGCGCTCCCACCGATCCAGCACGGTTCGAGAAGTTCCACCACCATCACCATCATTCAGGCAGCTTTCCTGGATTTCCCGCACCCACCGGAGCGTTCCCTTCTTCTTTCCCTACTGGCTTTCCCTTTCCCACGGGATCTCTCGGCGGGTCGCCTGGGTCGGGTGCTGGTCCTACTGGCGTTGCCAAGTACGACCGTGTGCATCCTCACCACTCCAGTCATTCCTCTGGCGTCGCTGCTCCGAGTGGTGGATCTCCGGCTCCTTCAGGGGGTGCTGGTACTGGCCCCGGCTCAGCTACTAAGCCGAGCTTCTCCTTGCCTGCTGCGTCATTCACGCCTGTCGGTCCTAGGCCAACGCATAGTGCAAGCTACTGGGGTGCTTAAGACATTCTAGTTGACAGCATAATGGGGCCAAGGTGAGATGTTGGTGTTCAGGGAGAAAGTCACTCATTCTGGGAAGTGCAAGATATTGGGATCTATTCGTGTATCATGTATATATACAAGGAGTAGAATCCTGGTGCTCATTGTCATGGTCTCTCCGTATCTCCTTTGGCTATTCTGCAGCTCCGAGTCGATTGGCGCCGATGCTGACCGAGCACTTACAACAGGCAGCTCCATCGGACATCAGCCCTTGCAATAGTATTCCGGCTGGGTCGGTACAAATATCAGGAGTCTGGCAGGCCGTCGGTGCGTGTTCTCCATCCTTTCCGCTAGCAACTCATCTTCACTCCGCGAAGCTTCTCTCGACTCAATCCCCAGCATCCAGTCTTTCAGATCAGCTGCTTTGGCGGCCGGTATTACATCAAGAAGCATTGGTGCTGGGAGAGAGAGTGTCCGGCGACGACGTCCTCGCACACCCAACTACCCTTTCGCACCTCGTGCACTGCATCCCATCATTCCCAATGTCAACCATCACACATCTCCCAATGCTACAAATACTCACCCCCGCCGTGATTAAGCTAACAGTGCCAATTCGTGGTGAGCTTGCCCCTTCCACTTCTGAAGCATGCTCGCCACCAATCAGGTCATCGAATCCACCTCGTCGTTCGCAAATCGGGCACTCGTTCTCCTCAGCTTCTTCGAGGAAGACCTCGCTGCGTCCTGCGCAGTCATCTGCTGGTACGCCGGGAGTAGCGCGGTTGAGGAGGCATTGTTTGATGCAGTGGCCTCGCATGTGTAGGCATGGCTCCCAGCGGGTGATCAGGAAGGTGCACATTTTCCAGCTATATTGGTCTGCGTAGGGGCGGTTTAGATCAGTCCTTGTGGAACGTGCTGGCATGCCTTTGTGTAAACCATGGTGTCGTGGTGCTGCCACTCCTTTGGTTGTATGTCTTGTACTCCGCTGGAATGAGCGACAGTGCCTAGAATGTGCACCAATGCTGTCAGCAGACATGGCGATGTGGCCCATATCAGAAGTCTCGAACAGTAATTGCATATACATATCTTACAACACAGGTATCCGACCCTGCCAGTTGATACACGTGATACAAAGCCGACCAGAAGCAATCCCAAAGCCGCAGGTATACATACAACAGGAGTCACCATTGCACAGCTGGCAATCCTTCAACCCAATCAGTCCAACTCTTCGATCTCTCTAACACCATCAGAAACCGGCAACCGATCCCTCAACCACCTCAAAACAGCCTCCGTCCCTTTCCCCAGCACAGCTCGCCCTGGAACACGAAAAGGATTACCCCCAACCTCGAAATGCCTCAAACCCTGCTCCCACAACAATCCCAGCTCAGCAGGAAGGCTTGCAAGCTCGTTTCCAGTCAATTCCACAGTATGCAAACTCCTGAGGGCCAACGCAGAGACAGAGGAGAAGCGATTATCCTTGAGATAGAGCTCCGCGACCTGCGGGAAGGTCTCACGTAGTGTGGGTACCGGGCCGGAAAGCTTGTTGGCTGTGAGATTCAGCTTCTTAAGTGCCGGGGCAACGAGTTGTTCTCGAAGTGGTTGTAAGGATGTCAGACGACAGAACGCCAGGTTCAGTTCTTGAAGCACCGGGAGTTCGAGCTCGGCGGAGAAGTAATCGCTGCCGTCGAAAGCGGCATTATTGGACAAGTCCAGGACTTGAAGGTCTTGACCCAGCCATAGAGCAGGAGGCACACAGGTAAGGGAGTTCTCGGAGAATCGCAGATCCCTGACCTCGTTGCTCTTGAGCACGGAGCCGAGGCGGTCGTTGCTGTCATCTGAGAGGTTCTTGTTCGTGAGATCCAGGATGCCTGTTGCAGAGACCGTCCATATCGATGCTTTCGCATTGGTAATGCCGTTTGGGATACCGATGACAGTTTCGGGATCACTGAGGCCCTCCTCGTCGGCTTCTCCACCAGACACAGGCTCCAGTCGAGCGGTAAGAACCTCCTTGATATCTGACGCGGTCATGGTAAGGAACTTCTTCTCCTTCAACGGATTCGCGGCAAGTACGAGGCTATTCAGACTCTCCATTCTCGCGATCTCAGGGCCGAGTACACGAATTTCGTTGCTACCAAAATTCGCCGTCCGTAATCTCCTAAGCGCGGCAAATCCTTGCGGTACTTCAACGATCTTGTTATCGCCAGCCATCAGCGTCAACATCTCCGTCCAACCCGACACATCCGGTAGAGATGTAAGGTGATTGTTCGTAACGTCTAGACTTCTCAGGGCAGGAAGCCCAAGGAAAGGTGAGAAGCTGAGCGCGGCGATGGAGTTATTGGCCACATTCAGAGATTTAAGAGTCGGATGTCCGCTCGTGCCACCGAGCGGAAAGAGGGACCCGATAATCATATTGCTGCTTGCATCGATTTCCAGAAGAGGTACCTGCTGTAAGGCTTCCAATGGGAGAGCAGTCAGCTGGTTGCCTGCCACATTGAGGGTCCGTAAGCTCAAAAGCTCTCGGAGAGCTTCGGGAAGTCCGAGGAGTCGATTCGATTGTATATCGAGTGTTTCGAGAGCAGTCAAGCTAGAGATACTGCTGGGTAGATTTCCGGACAGACTGTTGTGTCCAAGATTCAGGTCTTTTAGTGTCGCGATCTGTGTGATCACCTCCAGGCAGGTATTGTCCAGCTTATTGTGCGCCAGATTCAGGCTCGTCAGTCGCTCTAGCCGCCGCAGGCCTAATGGTAGAGTCTGTAATTTATTGCTGTGCAGGTCTAAGCTTTCAAGACCACCAAAAGAGTTGCCTCTTCCATCCTCCTCTTCTTCCAGCTCCTCCGCAGACTTGTCCGGGAACAAAGTCTCATCCAGAACCTCAAGCTCATCATCAGCCGCGACGAACTTCGTCAGATCGACTACCTCAGCCCAATTGACATTACCATCCTCCATTGCTTTAGCATCGAACATACCAAGCACTTCTTCTGGAATGTGTTTCAGCTCCAAAGCAGCAATGTTGAGCCGCCCAGTCGTCCAGGCGGCTTTGATTCTGTTCTTGAGAACATGCTTAGGATTCTTCGGAGCTAGATTGAAAGGGTCTGCATTGGGCATAGTGCCGAAGTCCTCCAGTTGCGCTGTGTGCTGCTGCAGAGGCGAATCGTTCTTCGCTTTCTCCTTGCGTACAGCGGCTTTTGCAGCTGCGATCTGTTCACGAAGTGCTGCCGAAGAGCTACTGGATGGGTTCGAGGTCACCCGCTTGGCTGGTGTGGCATTGTCGGACGTGGGTGTCGCCGATGTGACGCCATTGCTCTTGGACGATGATGCAGGTCCGAAGGCATCCGCAAGTGCAGGGCGAGGCTTCGAAGGTCTCGCAGCCAAAGTCTTACTACCAACAAGGGAGCGTTGAGTCGGTCCGACAGACGATGATAAGCTTGGGAGCCCTCTCTTCGCAGGAGAAGGCGATCGGGGCGGTGGTAGCGTGGGCTCGAACCCGTTCTGCAGCTTCGAGCTGAAAGCCGTGCTAGCACTTCTTCGTTTCGCACTAGCAGGCGTGAAGCCAAAGCCTCCCGAACCTATCCTTGATGCTGGCTTAGCACTGGCCGGTGCACGCTTTAATGGCGACATTGGCTGAGCATTATTGAAGTAGGAGGATCCATCGCTGGTTCCGGGACGACTGGTGTTACTTCCATTCCTACTCAACGCCGAAGTAGATCTGCCTGGTGGACCCATCGGCGATTCTACCTGGGAGAAGAAGCTTGATTGTCTCCTGTCCTTGGGCGTGGACGGAACTTGTTGTAGACTCTCTATCGTACGATCAGAAAGGGAAGGTCGAGATTTTGTTCTATCTTTAGGCCGGTAGAGTTCTTCGTCCGTTGTCCAGACAGATTCATCATATTCGACGGGCGAAGGGTCGTCAGTGAAGCCTTGGCGTGAGGCTGCACGAAATACTTTTAGAGTACCGAGTTGGTCGTTTTCTTCGTTCTCAGCTTGGTGACCTGGCTTGGCATATGGCTGAGGTGCCCGTTGCTGATTGCCTCTAGACGAAGGACGTGCCAGACCTCGCAGAGTGCCAGTTGGAGGCTTGTGCCCATACCGCGATGCAGCGAGGCCAGACGGCTTCGGCTCATTGGCAGCTCTCGCAGGAGAAGGATCTCGGCTCACAGCTTGCGTGGCTAGATTCAGACTGGCATGCGAAGCACGTTTCTGCAGTTTCGGCGTTGCAGCTGTCGGCCGGTAATTGTCCAAAACATTGCTTGATGGTGGCAAAGGTTGCGAAGGCCGTTTACTATTCGGCACCGGCAGTTTACAGAACCTGGGGATCCCCGTGGGCCGGGTCGTGGTAGATGCATCCATTGTTGGTGCAGTAGTAGTGGTTGTGGGTAACAGACTCCTCCAATGTTTCAAGGTGTTTCAGTCACGACTCATGATCGCTGAGGAGCACGCGGCCGAGCAACATGGAAAGGGACTTTAAGACTTGCGTCTTCCTCCTGAGACTCCAACGGTTGTTGTCTGAGCTCCTGCCGGATATGGGTCCTGGATAGGGAGTAGGTTCGGAGTTGACATTGGCGGGTGTTGCCCTCTGGAGCGGGCCGAGAAGTGCGTGCATTAGCGCGGGTTCGTTGTCCGGTCATCAGCCACCGTCATTATGTGCACCCGGCCACCATGTCGCGACTGGCGATAGAGATGGTCATGCGCCTTGTCTATCACTGACATGCTCTTGAATGTACAAGCTGCAGCACATGACTCCGTCGACACTGCAAGGTATTGCTAGTCAGCGAACACCGTGCGACACATCAGACGCAAGGAAGACTACAACCACCATCACCACCTGACACAAACCCCACCAACCAACACTCACTGTCAACGACTTCACAATGGCTTCACAGGACAGCTTTGCGGATCTTCTCTCTCCACCTGACGTGTCGGAGCCGTCAACACCACACATGCCACACATGACACTACCCGCAAGCAACATACAGGCCGTGGCTGACACTCAAGCTCAACGTGTCGACGATGCGACCAAAGGACCAACACCGTCACAACGAGCCAAGACGCCCACGCCTACACCGAGCGCCTCTCACATCTCGACACCGCCACCGACCATCTCCGGCACAACGACGGCCCAAACATTCCGTCTATCACCTGCGACAGTCACTGATATGAAGCCTGCTGAACTTGCCGTGGCATCAGCCGAAGCCCTCCGGACCAAAGTCGAAGCTCTCCAGGCTGCTCTCCGCGATGCCAAGATGTCAGCCGCTCATCACGAGCTCCAGTATAAAATGCTACAACAGGAAAGTGCCGCCGCCCTCGAGCGCATGGCCGTGGAAGCCCGAATGGCCGAAGACGAGCACAATTTCATATACAAGACTGAGCAGGCTCGTGTAGCTGCAACACCCGTCCAGCAACCGTCACTACCAGATGGTGTCATTCCCGTGCACAAGCATCTGTACCAACGTCTCAACATCGAGCTCCAGAATCTGCAGGACACCAACAAGCAGTGGGAGCGGGAGTACAGCCAGCAGGAGAAACTGATCGGCCGACAGGAAAGTGAGATTGCTAGCCTGGGCGACAAAGTCACTCTCCTACGCGAAAGGATTCGTGAGACCAAGACTCGGAGTAAAGCTCTTGCCAACAACTACCGTCTGGACAGTACACCCCGCTCAGTCTACGGCACGCCACATCGCTCACAAGGTCTGGAAGCTCTACTTCAAGCCTCGGAGATGGCGAACCCGGAGATGAGACAGAAGAAAGGGCATAATCGCAACACGCACAGCTTGTCCAGCTTGCCCACGACACCCCAACGGCTCTCCAAGGTCCAAGGTCCGTTGATGTATCAGACCCCCTCTCACCGCCAACCGCCTCTTCGCGTCCCGGCTACAGCACCTGTCCCACGTACAAGCGCCATGCGCACGCCAGGTATCTACGGCCAACCCATCCTCCCAGTAATCCCCCACCTTCCCGGTCCGCCCTCAGAAGAAGGCACCGTCTCCGCCCCCGAAGACAATGACAGCGAAGCCGAGACCGACATCCTCGACCCCGAAGACGACGGCGCCGAAGTCGGCGAATCCCAAGCCTCACGCGCCGCCACTCAAATGCTCAAGCGAAGTCGAGAGGAAGTCGAGACGAAGCGGAATAGTTTCAAGGGGATGGGGATGCTGGAGCAGAGTATTTTGCCGAGTGGTGGTGGTGGTGGTGGTGGTGGTGGTGCTGGAGGGGCGAGTAGTGCGGGCGCGGCGTTGAAGCAGACGAGGTTGTTTGGGCGGGTGAGGAAGGGTGGGGTGGAGAGGGTGGTGGCGGGTGCGGATGCGGCGCCGCCTGCTGCTAAGAGGCAGAGGACTGATGAGTTGGCTTCTGGTGCGGAAGGGATGGGAGCTCAGGGACGGGTGGGACTTGGCATTAGTGGTGTCAGGCAGTAGGCTGTTCTCGTGCGACCGATGGAAGACCTTTGACGGGAATGAACGACAATGAATTATGGTTCGAAGGAGGCCCGCAAATGCGTAAGGAAGGAATGAATCGACGGCTCGAGTCCGTATCAGCAGGGCAGTTATGTAATAGTAGGTAGCTAGCTGGTCTTAATAAGGACACTCGTTCCCCTCCAAGATCATGTCTGTGGGACAGACGAGATATTTGGGATCGTGTCAAGAAGTGTGCGTTCAATGTTCATTCAACCCGATGCCGACCGAAGATGCCGAGTCGTCCCGGGAGCATCCCCACAAAGCTCCGCAGACAGCTCAGGGCTTCTCCAAGAGCCGCAACGAAACGCCGAACTACTGTCTGTCCATCAATCTCCACGTTATCATGAATCAATAATTAGTGGCGCGAATGGTTCAGTAGTACTCGTCAATGCGTAGGTCTCTTCTTCCTCTTCTTCCTCCTCTCATCTACACCATATCCCTAATCCTCTGCATGCTACTCACATCCCTCCTCGTCGCCAAATACCTCATCACCGGCCAGATCTCGCTCTCCGTACAGCTATAGGGTATAGGGTATAGGGAACAACCACAATCGACAAAGGCACCAATCGACTACAGGATACGCACAACAAAGCCACAATGGCAGCCCTCATACAAAAAGGCACCAAAGCCATCCTCTCCAAACAACCCACCGACATTGTCATCCTCTCCGCCCTCCGCACCCCGATTACGCGCGCGAAGAAAGGCGGGTTCAAAGATGCTTACGACCACGAACTCCTCGCCCACGTCCTCAAAGCCACTCTCGCCGCAGTCCCCAATCTCGATCCCGCCGTGATAAACGATATCCAAATCGGGACTGTGTTGTCCGAACTCGGCGGTTCGAAGGCCGGGAGGATGGCGGCGTGCCATGTGGGATATCCCGAGACTGTAGCCTTTCAGACGGTGAATAGGGCGTGTAGTAGTGGGCTTGCGGCGATCACGGGGGTGGCGAATTCTATCTCGACGGGCCAGATTGATGTCGGGGTGGGAGGCGGGATGGAGAGTATGACGCGGAATTATGGGAGTCGGGCGATTCCTACACAGTTGTGGTCGGAGCTTAAGGAGTCCCCGGTGCAGGATGCGAGGGCTTGTATTATGAGTATGGGGTTGACGGCGGAGAATGTCGCGGAGAGATATAACATCAGTCGAGCAGATCAGGATGCTTTTGCCGCAAAGTCACACCAGAAAGCCGCGAAGGCGCAACAGGAGGGTCTGTTTGACAAGGAGGTTGTACCCGTCACCACCCGCTGGCGACCTAATCCAGAACAGCCGGATCTAGAAGAGGAAATCACAGTAACGAAAGACGACGGCATCCGTCCCACTTCCTCACCGGAAAGTCTCGCGAAAATGAAACCCGCCTTCAAACCCGACGGCACGGCTACAGCGGGAAATAGTTCCCAAGTCTCCGACGGCGCCGCCGCAGTCTTGATGATGCGCCGCTCGACCGCCACCTCCCTCGGCCTCAACCAAAACATTATAGGCAAATTCGTGCAAACGGCCATCATAGGTTGTAAACCCGACGAAATGGGGATCGGCCCCGCCTTAGCTATCCCCAAACTCCTCTCCCTCACCGGCCTCTCCACCTCTGATATAGGCGTATGGGAGATCAACGAGGCGTTTGCGGCGCAGGCGGTGCATTGTGTGCGGGTTCTTGGGTTGGAGGGGCTGGGGGAGGAGAGGGTGAATCCGAAGGGTGGGGCTATTGCGTTGGGGCATCCGTTGGGGGCGACGGGGGCGAGGCAGGTGGCTGCTCTATTGCCGGAGTTGGAGAGGCAGGGCAGGGAGATGGGGGTTGTTAGTATGTGTGTTGGGACGGGGATGGGGATGGCTAGTTTGATTGTTAGAGAGTAGTGGGTAAGTGGTGTACATATTCTCCGTGTAGATATCCACTGGTCTCAGTCAATTGGAACGACATCCTTCTTTTTTCCCTTCTTCTTCTTCTTCTTCTTGCTGGCGCGCTGGCTGAGCATTTCGTCGAGGTAGCTGGTCGTCTTGGATTTGGTTGGGTTTGTGATGACAGGTGCCGCTGCTGTCTTCGCCATACTCGCTGCTCGAGTCTCCTCATCGGCGGAACCTTCTTCATCAGGCTCTGCAATGGGCTCACGCTCTACGGCCACTTCCTTCCGTCTTTTGGACTTGAATGCGCCTGCTCGCCCCCCTTCCTCTTCATCATCACTCTCCTCCACGGTCCTCACGGGCTTCACTATCACGGCTTTGGGCTTCGAAGCGACATGCAGTGATTCCTTCTTCTTCGCCTCTGCACCTTTCCTTCCAATCAATCGCTCTAATAGCTTGTCGTCCCGAGCCACTTTGGTCCTTTTCAAGCCACCTAAGATATCGTCTTCGTCGGCGAGTTTGCGTTTGCTGCCTATGCCGCCTAGCTCGTCCATCATGCCCGAGAAGTCCTGGTCATTGTCGTACGTCTCTTGAGTCGTGACTGTGCTTTCCCCCGTCGCTGTTGCTGGTGGGAGCCATGATTGGATTATTCGTTGGTCCCGGGCTAGTTTGACTGCGTTCCTGTTCTGGGCGACTTCTGCCAGGGTTGGTGGTTTGGTTGCCATTATTGTGTGTGTGAGTGAGCTATTCATAACATCTTGGTCTGGGATGGGTCTCTTGATGTGACTTGATCATACATGTATATATTGACATGTGAAAGTAGGATGATTGTCCCTTCACTTTCGAATCCATGAAATAACAGTCTCCTTCCCCTTCTCCCTTCTTCCACCACCACCCCTTCCCATCAGACCGAACGATACCACTACTAAAAACATGTCGGACAAAGAATTCGGAGGTATGTCTCAGGAAGCAGCCGTCACGCAACAATGGCTATAGCTATAGGAAGAGGACAGCCGGCCGCACTGGTAGAAGGACGTCTCGCGACTAACACTCACTTGATTCTGTAGGCAGCGAGGACTTGTCACTCCCCAAAGGTAAGTCATACAACGAAGCCATCCCATCCCATCCCAGCACATCCCCCGCGGACACCATGTAGAGACTTACCTCCCCCCCACAGCGACCGTCCACAAAATCATCACCGAAGTCCTCACCTCCCCCTCCATCCTCGCTGCCCAAAACCAAGGCAACAGCGTGGGTAGCGATGGAGTAGCCGCCCAACCCATGACATTCGCGAAAGAGACCCGAGATCTCCTCATCGAATGCTGCGTCGAATTCGTCACGATGCTGAGTTCCGAGGCCAACGAGATTGCGGAGAAGGAGGCGAAGAAGACGATTGCGTGCGAGCATATTACGAAAGCGTTGGAGGAGTTGGGGTTTGGGGATTATGTGCCGGAGTTGTTGGCGGTGGCGGATCAGTTCAAGAGTAGTCAGGTGGTGAGCATTTGTCCCCACCCTACACGGTCGAGCATGGCTTGTGAGAGAGGAGGGGAGATTGGGGGAGAGAGGTGGACTGAAGGGTGGGCTGATGGGTGGATGTGATGCTGACGAAATCGTTGAATGCAGACACGAGAACGAAAACAGACCAAGATCGAGCAGAGTGGCATGACGAATGAGGAGCTGATCCGAGCACAGGAGGAGCTGTTCAAAACGGCTGGGGACAAGTTCTCGAGCAATGTCTCGCCTGGTGCGTGAAGGAGTACTTCATGAACGGGAGGATGGGAAGGAAAATGTCGATTAGCGTGGCGTTCTCGGTGTGAACAAGGTATACCCCCAATGAAATGCTTCAGTACTATCGATCATGTCAAGCGAGCACAGCGCGTGGAGGCGAACGAACGAACAATGTCTTTGTCAACACGGACGAGCCAGGCATCGCTCCCGCCGTCTCTGGCTTTATCCTCTTGTTAGGACCGCACAATGCCTCTGTCCAGGTCTGATCACGGTGTACAAGGCCATTCTGTTCCGACGCGACTAGCCATATAAGACGTCTGCGGACAACGCCACCTTGAGCTCGTCAGATACGTGCTTGTTGACCCTTTGACAAGCACACACAGCTCGGTAACAAGCGACTCGAACTCACCACAACACAACAGAGATCAAGCAAGGATCTCGACAATCATTTCTGACAACTTCTACATCAACGACCGCAACTTCCACCTCAAGCGTACCGGTATAGCCCGGCGCCATGCCGAGGATGCTCGACTCCATTACGAAAAATGCTGTTCATGACGCGCAGACCGCGCATCAGGACTACGAGGCGGCGGAAGCTGAGGTGTATTGGTCGGAACGATACTTCATGATTGGAGAGATTTCGGCTGCGATGGTGAGTCAAGCCAAGACAACCCTAAGGTTCGCCACTGTCCGTGCTGAATTTGCAGATCAGAAAGTCACGAGACTACATCAAGTTGTGCTGGAGACGAAGGAGAAGCTGGAGAAGGCGGAGAAGGAGTTTGCTGATTATCGTGCTCGTCAAGCCGTTCCGAAATCGTCATCGACTTTTGCTGGATCTGACAGCGACGGGAGCCGGGCTCGAGCACGCGCGGGCACTGGACCCGAGTGGTATGCTGATGCTCCTCCTGGGAAAACCGGGAGCAGGGCGAGACCGAGGTTCTCCTCTACGGAGAGGGCGAAAGCGTATACTGGGACTGCTCCGTCGAAGAAACAGAAGAAGGCGCAGAGGCGTGGGGAGGAGAGGATGCCGGAAGAGGTGCCGAAGAAGCATCCTCCACCCCCTTCACCGAAAGCAAAGTCGACGAAGCAACCCAGCTCCAAGCCAGAGAAGATCACCGCCCTCAGCATCAACGGCCTTTTTGCCACCGCCTCCCTAGCTTTCGCAGACTACAGCACTATCACCGCCTTCCCGGACCCTCCCTCCGAACCATGCCACAATCTATCCTGCATGAAAATAGCTCGCGCGCTCGAAGCCTGCCTCTGTAATCTACGAAAGGTCTTCAAGATGGTGGAGAATCCGGGTAAGGAAAGACGTGCGTGGCATCCGGATCGCTTTGCTTGTGTACGCGATCATTCACAGGGTTTTCGGGAGGAGTGTCGGAGGAAGGCTGGGGAGGTGTTTGTGGGGTTGAGTGGCATGATGTGAGTCTACTTGGTCTTCTGATGCTTGGGCAGGGATAGCTCGTTTGGTGAAGTAAGGTAAGACTTCTTCTCGCCAGCTCTTCGGAATTCTCCTTCGAACTCACATTGCGTACATGAATGACCATCACGATCTACCTCCACTCCTCGACTCATTACCGTCACGGCAGGCCGTTGGCGTCTCCACTCCTCAACTTCGATGATATAATTTCGAGTTGGGAGGTTTCTTTGATCAATATCATTGTTAACTTTAATTTAGCTCGCCACAATCTACCAGTGCTTTGTCTCCCAAATCAACCCCATCTTTCTTTCTATCAATCTTCTTTTGGACAATGGAAGCCATGGAGTATATGCAGGTAGCAGCAGAATCCGCCTCTTGGCGGTTGCTAGATCCTGTCCCAACCTACACGTGAAATACAGATACATCACAGCCATGCCCTTCAAACACTTCGAAAACGACCCGCGCTGGCACAAAGCCCAGATCCTGCGCGCGAAACGACTAGTCCAAGCCGCCCAACTCCGCCACGACCGCGCCATATCCGACTCAAAAGAAGCAGATGTTATAATCGCCGACGCCAAAGCTGGCCTCCAGAAAGCCCGGCGCTCGCACAGGGTATCCAGACTCCCAGGCCCCTCCCTCGACGTCCAAGGCGCGGAGAACTTCGTCCGCAAAGCCGTAGCGAATGCGGAATTATGGGAGGGCGCGATCAGCACGCTCCTGTTTGAGGTGGAGAGGGCCGAGCGGTCATTGAGAGAGGCTGAAAAGGGGTTGGGAAAGTGTTTGAGGAGGGCGAGGGAGGGCAGGGATTGGGATTCGGAGGAGGAGGCGGAGAGGGCGGCGGAGGAGAGCTGGGAGGAGCGGAGGTTCGAGGAGGAGGAGAGGAGACAGTATGTGAAGGAGCGGCAACAGAGGCGGGACGAGGCTAGGGCTTATGCTACGGGTGCTGGGGTGAAGGGGCATGTCATCACGCGTGCTGGAATCGTCGCCTTTCACCAGAAGGCGAAGGAAGCCTTGGCTGGCTATGGCTCCATCCCTGTCTTCCCTGACCCGCCTTCGGAGCCTTGCGGGAATGTCTCCTGCGCGGCTACGGCCCCGACTCGAGCGCTGCGGGCTTGCAGGTGCAACATCATGCGAGTCTTTTTCGGGATCTCCGATTTGAAGAAAGTGAGGCGGAGCTGGCATCCCGATCGCTTTTCCGCTGTGAAGCCAGAAGTTAGGGAGGAGTATAAGAAGAAGGCTGGGGAGATCTTTGTCGTTTTGAGTGAGATGATTTGGTGATTGATATTCCTGATGTGCTTTTCGGTAAGTATGTCTGATAGGCGTGCATTATGTTTGCGATGCGAGGGTTTCCGAAGGGCATTCAGCTGGATTCGGAGGGCCTATAGAGTAAGCGTCTTGTAAAGATAACACAGCTCGAGCCGTTCGTTCATCCCTTGCGCGTTTGGACATCCTTCCAAGCATAATTCATGTCGTTCCAGCTATGTCCAACGCCAAGCCTGCCATGAACGGTGCCGACAACTCCTTGATTGCGAAATGTCCTATATGATGCAGAAGACTTGACTTGCTTCTGCCAAAACTGTCGGTGAGGTGTCAATAGAAGTTGAGCACACCTCGCCGATGTATTGGTATCGATCATTGCTTACTCTCCGCAGGATCACAGGCAGTGTGCAGTTCTCGAGCAGACAAATGGAATCACCGACTTGCGCCTCGTCATAGACCACACTTAGATTATCCTGCGAGGACACAACAAGCTTCATCCTGTAGTTCTCCAAATTTGCAAAGGCGCGCTGCAAGATAACATCGCACTGGCCATCACTTTGATAGCTGACCATGGTCGACTGTTCCCAAAGCCTCGCATATTGGTGAATAGTGTGTCGTCCAACCCGTACAAAGCCCGTCGTATGGAGCCAAAAACGACGAAGCAGTAAATCAGCTGCGGTATCATGCCGTCCTGCGAGCTGGCATGTAATTATCGAAACAGTCTCATTCGTTGTCAAGCTTTGCTGGTACACACGCTCGTCCTCCGTAAGGTCCGCAGTCTCAGTCACGATTCTGTACAGTCGGCTCAGAACCAAAAGAACCTGGACTAGTAATGGCGCGTCCAAGGTGTATCGGTCTGGTACGTCGACGATCGCATCAGCAGACCGTTCGGCTCGTTTGGACCATTCACGCCACTCAGCCTCTTCGGCTCGCAAGTTTATGGATCTATCTGACTTCCCTCCGACGCAAGCGATATCATCGAGAATATGACCCGGCAGATGAATACTCTGGGCCGGGTCGAGATCACCGACAACCAGGTCGATGTCAACGGAATCCCTCTCTGGAATCGCGCTAAGAGGGGACTCAACCATGCGCAATATCCATGGTGGCAGGTTGCATGGCAGCTTAGACCAATCTGGGACCCACGACGGGAGAGTCGCATCTCGCAACTTGTCCTCATCGAGGCTCCAATTATGTCTCCGTCTACGCGCTCCAGCCAGCGTAATGAGAACCTCTTGTCCTTGACGTAGGATCATGCTCCTTGTAGTCTTTGTGAAGATCTCGGCCACGGATTGCATATAATTAGGTATTGGCAGTAAGTCGGCACCATCTCGGGTCAGGCCGAGCAAAGCGTATATGACGTCCCGCTCATCCGTGGCTGTGCGATGTCTATTTGCAAGCAGAGCAGTGGATAGTTGTATGCGACCAGTGCGCAGGCTTTGGCGTTGCTCCTGCGCCCTAAAGCTGCAGAGCGAGTCGAGCAGATCCCAACAGCGAGGCTCAAGATGTAGGTCGCAACTGATCCCACATGATGACGAGCACCTCCCATAATTCAAGCAATGAGACAGGCGTTCGAATGGTAGAGTCCTGTCACGGTACCATAGCTCAACGCATTTTGCCTTCGCTACCTCCTGCACTATCCAGCTCCTGGACCAGTAGGCATTGTTCATTATGCAATCCAGGTGCCATTTGTGGTCGGCAACGCTATCCTGCTTTCCGGTCGATGACGCCAAACTCTCCATCGCCGCACCCCATGATAAATCATCATACTTGCTGGCGCCGTCCGGCCACACAATGACACCTTTAGCTTGGCGATATATCTGGCCCATGAGAAGGATCTGAGAAGACCTTTCACCGGTATCACATTGATTTATGCATAGAGCATCGGCCCAAACACGATGGACCCCGCGATGATGCATTTCCTTCAGAGCCATGGCAAGATTTGAGGTACATATCAACGTCTGCCCGTCGATAACCACGCTGACGCCTTCAAGCTGATCGCCCCAGCAATATGAGAGCGCGTGATAGTCATTGCACGTAACCAGTGATTCGGTTCTTAGTTGACAGAACATCGCCGGTACTGTGGAGGACTCTTTGTGTAGCTTGTAATCGACCAGCTCTAGTATCCTGATCTCGAATCGAGATTGATCGAGTGGCTTGTACAACTTTTGAGGTCGGTCCTCGGATACACGGTTCTGCAGGCCACGCAATTGGTTAATGGCCAGCTCGAAGTCCATTCCCTCTTGACTGCTCATGAGGTCTTCTCGTATGAACAGTAAGCTTTTGTCCAATCGGATGCGCTTGCTGCGTTCTGTCAAATCAATGACCCTCCGATATGATCCATTACGACTTTTATTGCCTCCCAAGCGGAGAGCGCAGTCGAGCACCTCATTGAAATGCTTGTAGGATTGATCGACCAGATGCATGCGCGCGAACTCGTCCTGCTGGCAAAGCTTGTTCATCTGCGGGATGGTTTCTTCGACCTTCTCAAGCTCTTTCAGGAGCTCAAGCCAGTAAGAAACATCATCCGCATGACTGTCGGTCACCGTGTATTGCACTCGAGCTTTCGCTCGAGCCAACGCGGCGTGTACAGCCTCTGGATTAATTTTCTCGGCGTGTGAGGCACCTACAGACAGCGACATATCTGCAGAGAGCTGGGTTTGAGCTTCAATATGTTCGCTCTGGGATAAACAGGCGATGTCTGAACGATTCGGCCAGCGTGACTGTTATCTGGCACCAGTCCAAGTCCTCGCCAGCCAGATCAGTAGCCCGAGGGAGTGGATGTGTATGTCTATCGAGCATGCGCCTGTACGCCCTAAGTATCAGCCTGACTTTCTTGGTTTTGTCACAATGGTCGGGCCGTTGGCGGCAGTCAGCAGCTTCTAGAGAGTGCAGTGGAGCTGGAACAGTGGCAAGGCTGTGAGGCACGGCGTAGCGAGCTGCCCTGCATGACGTACAAGGCATGCCCCAGCTACACCGACCAGAGTATCGGGTATACGTTCTATCTCGAGGAAAAGTCCGTTGATGGCCATCGTCGAGTGCTGCACGAGCAGTGGCGGGAGTGAGGTAGGTACTTGGTTGAGGTCCATAAGATTGAACATCACGTGCACAGGCTGAATCCCGGCACCCGGTACGGTGACTAAGCGTCTTCACATGCACAAAGCATCTCTAGTCTTCAACATTACCGCACTACTACCTCCACGCAACACCCCGCAACGAACAATCATGGCAACAAAAGCAGCCCACAAGCGTCTGACCCGCGAATATGCCGCCCTCGCTGCTCAACCCGTCGAATACATTACCGCCCACCCAGCCGAAAGCAACATCCTAGAGTGGCACTACGTCCTGACCGGCCCACCACAAACACCCTACCACAACGGCCAATACTGGGGGACCCTCACCTTCCCGCCGGACTACCCTTTCGCACCACCTGCCATCCGGATGCACACACCCAGCGGCAGGTTTAGATGCAGCGAGAGATTATGTCTAAGCATAAGTGATTTCCACCCCAAGAGTTTCAATCCTGCTTGGGAAGTCTCTACGATCTTACTCGGGGTATTGAGTTTCATGACTAGCGAGGATATGACTACGGGCTCCATATCTGGAACGGAAGCGCAAAGGAAGGAGTTCGCCGCGCGGTCGAGATGGTGGAATAGTACGGGTGGTGGGAGTACGGATCGGACATTGGGTGGGAGTTTGAAGCCTAGTAGCAACACGAAGGGATTCGGAAGTATCAAGTCGGGTGACGGAGGGAAGAAGTTCAAGGAGCAGTGGCCTGAGCTGGACGAGGAGAATTGGAAGGCGATTGAGGAGCAGAAGATTGATCCGCAGACTGGACGGTCTTTAATCCTGGCACCCGCACAGAACTGCTCGCCCGAGACTGCGGCTTTGAGGAAGAGGGCAAGCGGGAGTACGGCTGGGCTTGGAGCTGTGGTGGAAGGTGGTCAGGCGGCACGAGACGCTGGCCAGGGGTGGCTAGGGAGGAATTGGGGTAAGCTGGTGGTGGCGACACTGTTTGTGTATGTCATTGCTGCCAGGTTGCTTAGTGACGTTCAGTCGTGAGTACACTACAACGGATCATGGCTTTTGTGATTAGCGAGGCGTTCGAGGGGATGTACAGTATAGCATTGACGGAGCATAGCATGACCACAGGCGTGGGAGCACATCACGGAGGATAGAAACATGTCGTTATGAATGAGGTGCATCAGCACAGCTACAAAGACATTGTAACTAGTACGAGCACGCAGGAGACCAGGCAAGGGTTGCCGTTCTCCGCGACAGGATTCTCATCATTTCTATCACCATGTCCACCACCACTGCCACCGTATTCGAAGCGTAATGTAAGCCGATTGCTCACAGACGACGACCACGGCGACCACCCTTTCTCCTCGTGCTGTCGGAAGGAGTAGGCGTCACATCCTCAATACGGCCAATCTTCATGCCGGAACGAGCCAGGGCACGGAGAGCAGACTGGGCACCTGGGCCGGGGGTCTTGGTGCCGTTGCCTAACATAATAATATCAGTACCTGTAAGCCAGATTCATACTTCGAGCTGTACTCACCACCAGTAGCCCTAATCTTGACGTGGAGAGCAGTGATGCCCAACTCCTTGCAGCGGATAGCCACATCCTGAGCAGCCAACATGGCAGCATAGGGAGAGGACTCGTCACGATCGGCCTTGACTTTCATGCCGCCGGTCACACGGCTGATGGTTTCGCGGCCACTGGAAATCACCCAGGTTAGCCTATGAACTTCCAAAAGCTATGTGTGTATGTATATGCCATCCTCGAATCATTTGCCGAGCAAGATTCTTCGTCTTTCTCTGCGGCTGTTGTTCAAGGTGGTGTGGTGGTATAGGTGGAAACGTACGAGAGATCGGTGACGTGGACGAAGGTATCGTTGAAGGAGGCGAATATACGGGCTACGCCGAAGACGAGCTCGCCTGTGCAGAAGGATATATCAGTATATGTTGCTCTCGTGCTCATATCGCATATCGCATATCGCATGTCGCATTGGTGGTGGAGGTGGGTTATTCACATACCCTCGCGGACCTGGGGACCAAGCTGGACATTCTCTTGCGCGCCGCGCTCGACCTTCTTCTTGGGTGCCATATTTGCAATGTGTTGTGGTTGACTGTTTTTCGTGCTTGCTATCGTTGTCAAAGCGGGCAATTTCTGAGTGTGGGTGTGGAAGTTCGACTCGGCACGAAAGTCGTGCCAAGGCCGATGCCCGCGGCGGTCCAAGCGCTCATTCACGTCTGCCATTTTCATCTTCGAACTTCAGACATTCGCCTGCTTCTTCACCATCCACCCGGGCCTTTCCACGTCCTCAACCAGACCGCTATTGTATCGCACGTTCGTTCCGAGACGAGGCAGAGGTCTTGCTCGTTGAGTAGCCCTCTTACTCGTTCTTGGTGCATGCTGAGCTCGCGTGCTCACCGTAATCATGGGGGATGCTGTAGTTGGCATCATTGGCATGGGTGACATGGGCAAGATGTATGCCCGGAGAATCAGCAAGGCTGGCTGGAAGTATGCTCACCTACTCACCCTTCCCGGCTCCCGACTCGCCCTTGGGCACATATGGTACGTGCAAAGCCCCTCTTCTCACAACGCATCACGCTTGCAATGATGACTTGAGTGCATTTGGCTCGAGTATGGCCGCTTGGCACCAGCTGCACCGTTAGGTGCGGTTGACCAGGCGGCTGTCACTGATGTAAAATCTCAGCTACCTTAATTTTATTTGTCTGACAAGCAACATATCACATTATTTCGAATGTTCCACAAAAACACAAGAAGCAGTAGCTAACTTACTCTACAGATATGTCCATCGTCTCATACTGACTGTAATATAGAGTCCACGCCTGCGATGTCCCCGATAAGACTGCCGCGCTGAGAGCAGAATTTGCGGACAATGTAGGCTCACTTTAGATAGTAAGCTCAGTCAGCATATGCTGAAAGGTAGGCAGACCAACATTTCCATTTTTGACAACGGTCATCTCGTGTCTCGTAGCTCAGACTGGATCATGTACTCGGTGGAGGCTAAGAACCTTGACGCCATTGTCGGCCAATATGGTCCATCTACGAAGGTCGGTGCTATCGTCGGTGGCCAGACTTCTACCAAAGCTCCCGAAATTGCTGCCTTTGAAAAGCATTTGCCCAAGGATGTTGAGATCGTGACTTGCCACTCGCTGCATGGGCCTGGAGTCAACCCCAAGGGCCAGCCACTGGCCATCATCAAGCATCGTGCTTCTGACAAGTCTGTCGAGCTGGTCGAGCGTATCCTGTCATGTCTCGAATCAAAGTTCGTCACGCTGTCGGCAGAGAAACATGATCGCATCACAGCAGATACCCAAGCTGTCACTCATGCAGCCTTCCTCAGCATGGGCACGGCATGGCAAGCGAACAATCAATTCCCATGGGAGCTACCACGATACATTGGAGGCATAGAAAATGTCAAGATCAACCTCATGATGCGTATCTACAGCCAAAAGTGGCACGTCTACGCCGGCCTCGCCATCCTCAACCCCTCAGCTCGAGCACAAATCCACCAATACGCGGTCTCCGTCACCGAACTATTCAAGCTCATGCTCGGCGGTCACCGCGAGGAGTTCACAACCCGCATCCAAAGCGCCCGCGCAGCAGTCTTCGGCGCACCACGCAAAGACGGCGAAGAATTGCTCCTCCAAGACGACCTCCTGGACAAATTCAGCCTGGGTGAAAAACCTGCTTCACGGCTGAAGAACAATCATCTCTCCCTCCTGGCAATGGTAGACTGCTGGTGGCACCTCAACATAAATCCCTACGACCACATGATCTGCTCGACGCCTCTCTTCCGCCTCTGGCTCGGCATCACAGAGTACGTGTACCGGAACGAAGAACTGTTATCCGAGTGCATCGACACCGCCATCGACGACAATACGTTCAGAGCGGATGACCTGGAATTCACGTTTGCGGCCAGAGATTGGAGCGAAAGGGTGAGTTTCGGGAATATGGATGGGTATCGGGAGAGATTCGAGAAGATCCAGAGGTACTTCGAGCCGAGATTTCCCGAGGCGAGAGAGATCGGGAACCAGATGATCCGAACTATCGAGGAGAATTTGGCGAGTAGGAAGAAGGGGTGAGGAGGGGAGATATTGGTACGGACGAGGGAGTGATCATGCAGAGCCCGATACGCTGCGGTGTACACGTGTCTAACGCACCCTCCGCGAGTATTACGGCCAGATTCCAGGTTGATCCGCATAATTCGCATAGTCTGCACCAAATAGCTCACGCATCATTTGATTTTGGTCTGTCTCCAAGAAGTTTGCTGGAAGGTATGGTGTCAACGGGTCCATCATTCCCTGCCCCGGACTAAGCATGCCCAATTGTTGAGTGACTTTCTGCAGGTTGTCGTTCATGTAGGTTCCTTTGTTCTCAAAATTCCTCTCTGTGCCATTTGACCCAGCAGCGTTGACTCTGCCGTTCGGGATCGGATCGGTCAAGCCTAGCACGTTCTGCTTGAGAAACCTGTGTATAGCTCGCAGTGCATGTCGAGCTTTCATCGATTTGGTGCTGTAAGACTCCCACAAGACACACAGCTCTAGCATCTCCGGTAATGCGTACTCGAGGCCTTGGTCTACAGTTGGTGGGGAGCCTGTTGCCTGTCGGCTCTTCAAGACGGAGCACAAGATCATGGCGGCAAGGTTGAAGTCGTGGATGAACTGGACCAGAAACGCGCGAGTCACTGTCAAGTTGTTGCCGGGTTGTGCTGCGTTCAGGAGAACTAGCTGGTGCTGAATCAGCTCCTTCGCGGCATGGATACACCGTCGCTGCTCTTCCTCGTAGCCTTCCAGGCCTATGTAGCGTTGGTAGAGGACACAGACGGCCTTGAGATGCGCAAACTCCAGAGTGTAGCGACCTGTTCGGAGTTCTGTGGGATCGCATATCGATTGATCAAGGGCTTTCATCTTCATTCCGGAAGGTAGAGAATCTCGAGCTTGCAATAGACGGTGGCACAGCGTCTCGATCTCGCCCGGCTCGGGTATTTGCGCTGCATGAGTCGACATAATTATGTCTCCGAAGATGGTCGAGATATGGTGGTATGCCAGACAGTACGTGACAGGCGTGACTTCGCTCCATGGCCGAGGAGGGGGTAAAGGGTCAGCTGTCAGATCAGCATCGGTGTAGTTGAGAGGCTCTGCTGTGTCGTGAGTGGTACAGTTGATGACAGAGACTAGACCGAGCTGGTAGCACATCTTGATGTCGTAAGCGCATATTGCACCCCAAACCCTTCGACGCATCTCCGCCTGCACGGGTGAGATCTCGGGATTGTGACGCGGGTCTCGATGATAGCCCCCTTGTGTGCAGAGCCTCGTGACGCAGCCGAGAAGGATGTATGTCTCTGAGGTCACGTCATTGTTCTTCAAGAGCAACGACTTGATATGCAGCAATAGAGCTTCGATAGCGTGCGCTTGTGGCCTTACGTAGTCGGCGATAAGTAGAGCGTGAGCGGTCATCCGCCGCAGATCCTCGGCCATGCTCTGCATTACCGGATCATCTGTAGCCTGGTTGCTCATCTCTGCACCCACACTTGCGATTGCAAGAAGTAGAGCAAGCCAAGCAGGAGAGACTGCTCCGGGATCACGCCAGAACTTCTCGTACTCCGCCTGGAAGGTAGGAGGGTGCGTAAGTAGTCGCAGAGCATCATCGCAGTGGAACCAGAGCACAACCAGGCGATCCATAGTGTATTTTGGTGGCACTAGATGAAGCAGGTCTTCGAGGCTGTACAGCTGAGTTATTCTGAGAATGATATCGGCTACCGCTATCGAGCTCTGTGGGATCTGCCAAATATCGTCTGGTGGCGACTGCTCTTCCCTGCCTTGCTCCTCGAAGTACGTCTTCACTTCCGTGATATCATCAATGATGGCTTCCCAGTGAGATGGTCCAACGAAATGTACAACGCCGGCGTCCGTGACCTTCAGTCTACCGACAGTATGAGCAAGATCGGTGGCAGGCTGGGCTATCGCTGCCGTGTCATCCTTGTGTTCTACGGCACTCTCATCTTTGCCAGTATCAGTCTGTCTAAGTTGATTCACAAAGCTTTCCAGACGGTCAACTTTCTCCCTCATGACTTCGGCTTTCATCTTCGCTGCATTATATCGCAGCCCGCGCTCCGTGTAATTGCAAGAGTCTTCGCGTCCGCGTTTGACACACTGATCGCACGAGGGAGCTGCACGGTTGCACTTCAATTTGCCGGTCCTGCATGGTAGACACGCGAGCTGAACACGCTGTGGTCGTCTCCGAGCAAGATCTTCTGCCATGTTCTGCAATTAATCATGGCGCACTTCTGCTGGGATTCACCTTTAGGTCTCTGCTTGCCAGTCCTCGCGTATGCGTTCTCAAGCGGTACGAGATGGATGAACGATGGTGTGCTGAACATGATGTGGCGATGGAGGTGGTCAACATAACATCGAGATTAGACTCACGAGAGCAAGGCAAGCTAGAATGAACATTAGACGCGAATGCTCGGATCGTCCTTAGACGGCGATCTAGCTGGATCGCACAGCCTGGCTCGTCGTGTGGCGACCAGTCAAGCGTAAGGTGGACGGACCTGCGCTTGCTTAGACTGCTGATTAAGGTGACAATAATGGCGCACAAGTTACCGCACTGGTGGTGTATCCCAAACTCAATCATTTCGCCCCCACTTGTCCGACAGTCGAAGGAGCGATAAAGTTGTCAGCTGCAGGAAATCCTCCTGTCACTAGACTCGTGCTTGAACTTCATCAGGAAGATGAGAAGCGCACTACTACATTCTACTGATAGACTTTCACGATGGCACAATTCAATACTGGCTGCCCAGCGAAATGAACAGAAGAAGCGCCAGAGTATGCTACGGGCACCCAGATACTGTACAAATCACCATCGTTCGTATAGGCTAGATATGCTCCCAGAAATCCAGACAACAAGTCCAATCATCGGTTTCGCGAGAACAACACCCCAAAACGCCGTGCCGGAACAGCCTTGTACTACTTGTAAAGGTAGCAGGCACGGCATCGCCCCTTGAGCCTACGCTTCATGTTCCTCCCCTGAGAGCAAGGCCCATCGTGTTCAGATCCAAGAGCTTGGTGATTAGTGACGAGATGGCGAGCCCCGCCCAGCTTCAAAAACTCTTTGCGCATTTCGCGACTGGTCTCACGGGCTCGATCGAGGCAGCCGCACCAGAATGGAGGCGGCATGCCCTGATCGCGGTGGATTGTGAGATTCTCTGCCGTTCGAAGACTCCATTCGAGCACCTCGTTGACATACTGCTTGTCGTCACGCAAGCGAAAAGAGTGGTAGTGGCGGGGATCGGCCCCTCCGGATCTAACCAGATCCTCATGTGCTTGGGTGGACTCATCATACCACCTGCGAAGCTCAGGCCTTGACGGTAAGGAAAGTCGCGAACTGAATATCCGCGCTACCACAGCGCTTTGCGCTTCCGCCACTGTGAAAGTCGCGCTCATGGTTGGGAGGCCAACGAAGGTCAGTGTTGGGTTTTCAGTATAGAGAAGGTGTTTGTAGACGTTACGCACTGAGACTCCAACCGGGGAGATCAAGTCGTCGCCTGCCTGTCTGATGAACGAGAAGTCGTAGGAATAGCCTGTGCAGATGATGACTTTGTCCACGGCAAGCTCGGTGCCGTTCTCGAAGGTCACAGTCTTGACTGCGTGATTGAATTGTTGGACTCCGGTAACACCGACGTGGGTCTCAGCACTGAGTTGCTGGGTACAAGGTCTGGGTTGTAGCGATCAGAAGCAACAATTACTTCTTTAGCGACGGCCGCAAGCTGCTTTGAGATATCCCATCCGGAGGCAGAGTTTCCAACGACAAGTACTACCTGCCAACGGTCAGCATTCTCCTACACGATTCATCTCTGGGTGTCTGACCTGATCGGCAAACTCTGTGGGATTTCTGTAAGTGATAGCGTGAGAAAAGCTAGACTGATGCAAAAGAGCTCACTCGGATATGCCTTCCAGCGGAGGCACGAAAGGATGGTGATAGTTGCCGATGGTAATGACGACTGCGTCGAAACAGTCCGTGCTTTGTACATCTCGAGGGGACAGGGGCTGCGTAGCCCGGATTCTCCAGCACTGCCGACCCATGCTCGTACCATGCTTGACCTCCTTGACTGTCGTGTTGCATTTGACTAGGAGATTGCTCTGGCCCAAAGGAGACTGCTCCAGCTTACTAGCATACGTCTTCAGGTACTCGAATACTTCAGAGCTTCGGGGAAAGAGTGATGTATCTTTGAGCCATGGAACATCAGAAAAGGTCATCAAAGAGCGCGGAAGGTTGGTCTCAAGGCCATCATAAACAGGGCTTGAAGTGCAATCATCCATTCGAGTAGTGTTCCAGACTCCACCAGGCTGTGCTTTCCGCTCGGAAATGGGTACTAGCAGGCCTTCTCCTAGAAGGTACTTTGCTGCAGCCAAGCCTGCGGCACCAGCACCAATGACCGCGACCCATCTGCCGTTGTTTGGTAGATGATAGACCATTGCGATCTTCGTGTGCGGGATGGAGGTGGTTTGTCGGGTGCTCAGGTCTGAGTGGTAGTTGCAGTGCTTTGAAGATTGTAAGAAGCTTATATCTGAGTTTTGATTGCGGTTGGGGATGTTTCTAGCTTAAGTATAGAAAACTTGAAGGGAACGGCCTAGTTGGTCTGTAGAGTTGTGCAGTCTCAGACAACGTCATTGTTGATGTACAGCTGTATCTTCTGCAACACGCACTGAACTACGCGAGATACTGTAACACTTGCTTGCTCAGACACGGATCCGACTGGCGAAACATACTGCAGGCATTTCTTTGCCCTCGCCATAATGGTAGGGCGCGGTCCCGAACTCGATCCAAAGTTGTTTTCTGTAGAGTCGCATGGCACCTTGATCTTTGTCCAGAGCGAACATAACCAGACGAACACCTGTTTGCTGGCTCCAAGTTTCTGCAGCTTGAAGCAGCAATGTCGCGGTACCGCCACCTCTCTGTCTTGGGTCGACAAAGAGTCTCCCTAGAACAGCGATCCCAGTATGGTCCGGGTGGAGTTTTCGCCAAAGAGCCACATATACATCGCTATCGTCTGGTTTGCTAACTGAGACGTGGCCGATGATTTTGTCTCCGTGAACAGCGACCCAAGCTTCTTGGATGAAGCCCTTACTTAGGAAGTCCTGAGCATTGTCCATGCCTTGCACCGGATAGCCATCAGCATCGTAGACACGCTGCAGGACGTCTACACATGTGTCGAGATCATCGTCTGTGCGACGCCTCACTGTGGTCGTAGTCATGGTGCTTGCAGGCCTGTCTCATCATCGTGTTCTTGCACCTAACCACGGATGGGAACAAACCCAGTGTAGGTCTGCTAGAAGTAGCGGGATAACCGTATGCTGACTCTTGATGAACATTCGACCTGCTTAGTCTGTCCTTGTCGTCGTCGACCTGGGAGCTGTCGGTATCGTGGATTGATAGAAGAAGCCATCGTGTTCTTGGCACGAAACGATTATACCCAATTGAGAAGGCGCCGTCTTTAGCGCCATTCCTCCCAATCGTTGGTGGGGTTTGCTTCTTCACCAACATTGTTGCAAGATTGTCGAGCAGAGGCAAGGCGTGAGAACAGCACCCATCACAGCGGCGCTACATATGTATATGCACTCCACCACTATGTAGATGCTGTAGCGAGAGCAGCACACCTCATCAATTCGATACTCACCATGGCACGACGTTGGCTGACTGCATTTGTATGCTGCTGCTAGCGGCTGAAACATCCTGCAGTGTTAATTTTGGCACAGCATGGGGCCACAAGAGCAGCACAGCCTCGACATGTCAGCCTTGGTCTAGCAGACCATGTCTGTTCGCAGGTAAGACTAATGTCTTCTTCACAACTCTCCCTCCCTGTCACGTTCAAGGATCGTGCCATCTGGAATGTTTCGCTTCTTTCTTGTCGGTCTGTTCACTTGGGCATTATCTGGAGTCGGGGCACAAGATGTTTTTCCCGACATCAACGAAACCAATGGATACATGGGACTATTACCTTGCGAGCAAAGCTGCGTGTCCACGAAATTGGCCAACGAGAATATAGCCCAAGGCGTCTGCCAGAATCTAGGAAATAGTCTAACAGGCCTTGGCTCTTGCCAGGCATCAAATTGCACAAACGACAGCGATGATTCAAAACGTAGTGCCTCTGCTGTGATGGCCGAATTCTGCACATCCATGGGTAAGGTGTACTCAACTCTGAGCATTCCTGCAACCACTATATCCTTATCAACAGCAAGTGGTAGGTTGGCGCATCACCACTCCGACCGAATGAAACTGATGATTTGTAGGTCCAACGACCGCTGTTGCAGCTGTGGCTTCCTCGGAGATTTCGTTGATGGGCGTTACGACACCGACAGCAGCCGGGACTGCCAGCATGGGACCAGCGACCATCAGTGCAACTGGACCTTCTGCTAACGACCCGACTGCTGCACCAGCCAACGGCACTTCCTCCTCAGTCCCCTCCACGTCCAAGAAAGGATTGAGCAGCAGTGCTAAGGCTGGTCTTGGTGCAGGACTTGGCATCGGCATACCACTCATACTCCTAGCAATTGCTGCTTACACACTCGTAAGAATGCGTAAGGGGCGTGCAGCTCGTGGACCTTACGACCAGGTCAGATCGGGCGAGAAAGGCATGCATGAAAGTGCCAGCTACAGTAGTCCACGAATGGAGACTCACCAGCTACATCCGATGAGTCCGACAGTACCGTTTCTACCACCTGGTGCTGTACTGGATGCTAGCTCGCGAGAACATCAGTACCATGACCGACCGACGACGGCACACTCACAACACGCCGAATACAGTGCTGTCGAGCCGGTCTCGGCAGTGATGCTGAGGTCGCGAGACTTCTTGAGCACACCACAAGAGCCCATGCCCGGGCAAGTACGACCAGCGACATCTCGAGATGTTTCAAGACCAGCAACACCACCTTCGATCAACACCAGTGTTCGGCCAGCTACTGCGCAAGCTCACTATGGGTCCGCAGGAATGGATGAACCACCATCACCAATATCGCCAGTGTCACCCGCCTCTCCAGCAGGCAGCCGGCCGGCGTCTTTTCTGAATGAGCGAGATCACCATCACGATTCATGAATACATAATTAGCATCTGGAGTTAGGGTCCGTCATCGATACCACTGAAGGTTTATCTGCTCAAGGAGCGGCTTATTCAAATCGCCAGTACTTCAGTAGTTGGTATAGCTGAGCTGTACAAGCGTAGTGCTCTCCCTTGTTTTGTATGGTAACGATTGTGCTAGCAAGAATGCAGGACGAATCATGTTCAGTCGCAGAGCTCGTAAACAATGAACGCTCCGCCAGTCGACCCGTAACGATAGCCCGTGCCAACAAGCACATGCTTCTCTAGTACAGCGATACCGCCCCACATTACAGTATCTACTTCTATCTCTTGTAGTACTTTGCCGGCGGTATTGAGTATTACCACACTGCCTGTGCTGTTCGCAGGTGCAAGGGCTCCACCATTGTAGTTGTAGTTGCGTCCTACGAGCACAAGATCTGTGTTCCAGCAGCGTTAGTACCACTGCAGGTATATGCCTGGTATAGATCAATAGCCTACCATTCACCACAGTAGGAGGATCCAGTGAACTGTAGTTGTGAGGCACTGATGTCTCCCAGAGGAATGTGCCATTCAATAAAGATACAGCGCCATAAGCTGAGTTCGAGATGTTCTTACCAGACGGCCTTCAGCACAACGAATCAGCTTAGTGGGAAAGAGACTCGGCATCGCGCGCTTCTGCTTACAGTGTTTCCCAGCTTATACCTGCAGGATTCGCGCCGGTAAAGTAGACCTTCTCGCTGTCGACTGCAACTCCCCAAGTCAGAGCACCGTTTGAAGAGGAGTCCGGACTGGTAAGAGTCGCCCAATATACGCTGCCGTTCGCAGCATCCATTGCAAACAGCACGCCGCTTTTTTGTCCAGTCACTACAACGTCAGAGTGATTCGGAGTGCGGGCATGTGACGCAGAGATGAAGGACGGCGCCATTCCAAAATCTGCATCTGGGCCTGAGAAAGCATTAGCAAGTTTAAGGACCTTCGATCGAGTAGGTGGAGTAACCTGGGTCGGCAGGACATGTTGGAAGCTTAGGAGTGAACCCGGGTACTCCACAAGCAGCCGTCCACGCCTGTAGCGGTGATTGCTTCGAAGACCAGTTGATCCGACCAGTGCGAATATCGAGAGCGACGACAGCTTGAATCTGTGCGTCTTCAGGATAGCAAGCATCCTGATCATCGTCTTTGGTCGCATTGATACATGCTACCACGCTGTCGGGCAATTCATAAGTGTTGCCGGTTGCGATGAAGACCTGTTGACGCTTTGAATCAATAGATGGCTGACTGCCCCAGACAGCAGCACCGTTCCATCTGCCAAAATGTTAGCTACTGGTGCTTAAGTATAAGCCAGAGTTCAGCCCATACCCATCTACACCAAGGGGCTCAGGGAGTAGGGTCACGTTCCACTCCGTTGTGAACTTTCCCTTGGAGTGATCGAAGCTGAAGGCGGCGAAAGTGCCTGCGAAGCTGCAGCACGTATAATTGGGTAGGAGTGCAGCAGTCTCTTCCGCGCTAGAGGTGCCTATGAAGACCCGGCCGTTGTAGTAAGTCGGGCTCATAGTGAGTTGTGCGTAAGGATGAGGGTGTACCTGAGTCGTAGCAAGTAACTTCCCAGTCTTCGGATCGAAAGCCAACAGCAAGGCATGAATCAAGGTGGCGATGTACAGAACTCCGTCACCTATCTGTGGACTGGACCGTGATACAGCTGAGATTACGGCCAACTGGAACGCAGTGGGCTGACCATACTGGTATATGATATCTGTTACGTTCGTCCTCCAAACTAGCTTGCAGTCCACGTAGTCGTAGGCGATCAAAAGACCTCCGTAGGTTGTAAAGTAGGCAATGCTATCCTGAGTAGCAGGTGGTGCGCTCGTGCCAACGGCGACATCGTACCGGCAGCGCTGCTGGAGAGACTTCAAGGTTGTGCTGTTGAGTTCGCTATTCTGAGCATGTCTGTCGTTGAGGTAGCTGCCGCCCCAGCCAGACCATTGGGAGACGTCTTGGCGGTAGTCTGGCGATGGTTGTGCCAGCACCGTACACAGAAGAGAAGCGATCCTTAGCCGGATCGAGAACATCGTTGTCACTCTCGCCGATCAAACCAAGTCAAATACTGAGGCGGGTAAAACCGAGCACAACGACACAGAAAGCTAGACGACCTCGAGCATTTATACTTGAACGTACCGTCACATCGCCGCGAGGTGGCTGCTACCGGACTGGCGCCATTGCTAGGATTATCAGCCGCTCCGCCCATAGGACCTGAGACGAGGGTAGTCCATCCAATGTATCGTCGGGTACCTGGCGGGCCACTTGCGACCGCACATCCATCCGAGGAAAGCGAGTTTGTAAGACATTCGGGGGAACAAAGAGCTCCGATGCGGTTGCGACCAGGTTGCTGTATAGCGAGCCAATCATGCGCCTGGTCGGGTTGGAAGCGAAGGAACACAAGCTGCGCCATCATGCAATACAATCTCGACAGCTGCACTCGACCGTCGTTCCAATGCCAAGAGTTGGAAGGGCATTGCGAGCTTGAGCTCCAGGACTTCAGGTGCCTAGTGCCGAGCAGCCGGAGGAGGTCACGTTTGTAGGCATAGGCCTGGGGCTTGCAGTGGGGACACTCAACATCCCTCGATCTACAGGGCGCAGCGTTCGCGCGTGCCAGTCGATGGCTAGCTCATTTGATTACCTATTGTCATAACACAAGGACGAAGGTAAGGCAGACAACCTTTTGGTGAGGCACGGGCCACTGGAGAAAGCAAGTGCACACTGGTATGGCTGTTGGAGAACAGAATATTCAACCATTTCGAAGTCTGAGACGCAACTATCATCACTGCCTAGGCTTGTATCCTAAAAGCGAACAGGATGGGAAAGCTTGGATGTGTATAATCGGGGATAGAGGCAAACCAGTGCACAGTCAGGACTCGCCAGAACAATGCCACTTTCTAGTGATGCATGTACCACGAACCTCAGAAGGATATTGTACAGTAGCTATGCATTAACCTCCTCACTAACCTCCGCCGGTCTTGGCTCAGGCGCACTCGTGCCATCTGTACCCGAACCATCCTTCTCAACACCATTGGCCTCCTCGTTGCGCTTCTTCGCCGCCATTTGCCAGGCAGGGATTTGTGCTTTGCCACCCAGCATCCTGCCGTATGGACTGCTCGTCGCTGACCTCTCGGGCAACACGGAAGCGGGCTTCTCAATCTCTGTCGTCGAGCCATTGACCGAAGTACTACTGTCTGTGGTTGAGCTTGCCGGCGCAGAAGGGGCAGATGTGCCATTCGTCTGCGGCGTCTGCTGCGAAGCATACGACGACATGGGTCTCTGCCCCGTCTGCTGCTGCTGTGTCGGAGCAGGAGGCGCCTGCATGCGGTTCGCCACAAGCGTCTTCAAGCTCTTCATCTCTCCCGTCAACTCCTGCAATCTATCATCCTGATTTCTCCTCTCCTTCTCCAATGCCTTTGGGATCTGTTCGTGCACCTCCGACAGCTCCCGTGCCATACCCTTGCCCTCTCGCTCTCGATCTTCATTAGCTTGTTTGAGCTTCTCGAGCACAGCTTCGACATCACTAAGCGCAGCATCCAATCGCTCTGTTCGCACTTTCTCGCTGACCTTTAATTCCTGTGTATTGGTGGCTAGCTGATCAAGGAGAGCAAATGCTTTGTCGAAAGAAGCGTCTATACTGGCTTTGTCTGCTTCGAGTTGTGGTGGGGTGGGAGGTGCGATGAGCGGGTATATATAACGTTTTGCAGTCCAGTATGTGGCGTATCCTACGCCTCCTACTACCGTTGCCACGATGAACCAGTCTCGCCAGTCTCGTCGCGGTGGTTCAAGTGGTTGTTGATTCCAGTATGGGGGCGGCTGTTGCTGCTGTTGGTAGGCATATTGTTGGGGCTGTTGAGGGTATTGTTGTTGTGGGCTGTAGTTAGATTGTGGTGGTTGTGTTTGGGGTTGGCCGACCCGGGCGAGCGAGGCGTCTATCTCTTCTTGTGTGAGGTTCTTGGAGCGGAGGAAGGCTATCTTCTGATCGACGGGTGCAGAGGCTACTGAGGGATCTTGGAGGAAAGTGATGGCGCCTTCGATCAGATCCTCTCGCACCATTGTGGCCGTGGGAGATCAACAATTTACCGGCAGGCTTTGATTCCAGTGTGAAGCCTCGACGATTGCTGATACATCAACCAGAACTCGCGTGGTCATATGGACGATGGCTGGCACATGAAGCTCTTGTCTCGATCGTAGACCTCGGCATCGGCGGAAGTGACCGTGCGCGCCGATTCCGCGCTAGGCACAAGATAGCAACGGGTTGTTTGGGGAAAGTAAACACACTCCAGCTGCATGCGCTTGCTCGCGTGTACATTGACCGAGATCAGATCGATATAGCGACGACCACCTCATACCGCGATCGACCATCACACACATCGCATACTCCTACAGATCGCACTGTTGGGCGCTTCATCTCAACATGTCACAAGAATCGCACTTCAACTCAGTGCGGCGGCCGCGCGAGGTCAGTCGCAAGCGTATCGAACCAATACAACTGATCACATACTAACCAATGGTACAGACACTCGGCGCGGTCAGTCACAACGTCTCCGCTATACCGATGCCGGCCTCCGCAATGAAGCGATCGACCTCGCAAGCGAACTTACAGGCGCCATACACAGCTAGCCATGTGCGGACGACATCCGGGTCGCGCATGTCCCTCGCGCCCAACAGACCCGCGCAGCCTCAGTTTGGACTAACACGATCCTCTTCCGGTGATAACTTGGCCGGTATGGGCTTCTCTACTGTCCAGCGACAGAGCACGGCGAACTTCTTGGCAAGCACGGGAGGACGAAAGAGCTATGCGCCGGTGACGAGCACACCCGCGAACCCGCTGCAGCTACAGGAGAGCACACAGCGACGGAGTAGTGTCTACAGCGCCCGCCCGTCGCAAGGATTTGGTCCGACTGGCCACCAATCTTTCTTTGCGACCGCACCTCCAGTAAATGGCATCCCGCCAGATCCACGACGGCTAAAGGACAAAAGTCTCCAAGCTGAAATGGGCAATGAGATCATGGAATTCCTGTCGCAAAGGAACTTCGAGATGGAGATGAAGTACACCCTCACGAGCAAGAGCATGACCTCACCGACCATGAAGGACTTCCAGCTCACTTTCCAGTTCCTATACCACTGTATCGACCCCTCCTACCGCTTCCAAAAGGCCATGGATGCAGAAGTCCCACCCTTACTCAAGCAGCTGCGATATCCGTTCGAGAAGCACATATCCAAGTCAGCACTAAGCGCGGTTGGTGGTGCGAACAGCTGGCCTGCAATCCTTGCGATGCTTCACTGGATCATGAATCTGGCGAAAATGATGGAGCAGTATTCGACTGGTGTTTACGATGAAGCTTGCATAGAGGCTGGCTACGACGTGAGCGCTGATCGTATCACGTTTCAATTCTTGTCGGATGCATACAAGGAGTGGTTGTCGATCGAAGATGACGATGATGGCGACGAGGAGGCGAACCGGAAGATACAGCCACATGTCGATGCGATGGCCGCGAAGTTCGAGCTGGCCAACCAAGCAAACCTGGAACAGATGAAGCAGCTCGAGGCCGAGGGTCAAGCACTGCAGGAGCAGATCGATGAGCTTTCGAAGTCTGCACCGAAATTGGCCAAGCTGGATGAGACGATTGATATCCTGGAGAAAGACCGTGCCAAGTTCGAGGACTATAACGCCAAGATCGAGTCCAAGGTCGAGAAGTACATGAATCGAGCAGATTTGATTCAGCAAGAGATCGAAAAGTGCGAAGAAGAGATGCGTGAGGCGGAGGAGGATCGTAACGAGCTCCAGCGACGAGTCGATGAGCAGGGCCTGAGTCTGCAGGATATCGATCGCATGAACACCGAACGCGAAAGACTGCAGAAGGGCGTGGAAGCGACCAGCATTCGTCTTGAAGAGTCCAAGGAGCGTACCTCGAAGAAAGAGATCGAGACGGGAGGGAGGCTTGACGAGCTGGAGTCGAGCGTGCAGCGCTTCAACAGCATGGGCTACCAGGTCGGCATCATACCTTCCACAGCCTCGAATGCCGAAGGACTCGACCACGAGCTGCACCTCAGCCTGAACTCGGGTCCAGAATTCTCGACTTCGCAGCTCAACGCCTCTGTCACCATACCCGCAGATCGCCTGCTCTCAGATCCAGCCACCGGGTACCAGCCGCAACATCTGCTGCCCACGACTGACCTTCGACATCTGAAGAAGCACCTCCAGGATTTGCGCAAGACGATCTCCGACCGCAGATCTCAAAGCATGGAAGACGACCTGGCCAAGGTTGAGATGCTGGACAAGACGAAGGAAGCTCTGGATGACAAGTATGCGGAGCTAGAATCGCTCGACCACCGCATGCGAGCAGCGCAAGAAGAATGCGAAAGAGAGAGAGAGGTCTGTAGAGTGCAGGATATGAACTGCGAAGCTCAAGTGGAAAGACTGGAGAAGGAGCTTGGAAGGCTCAGGCAACGCGAGACAGAGACCGTGCAGGGTGTTGAGCAGAGGGAGATGAATGTTCATCTTGAGTAAGTCGCCACTCAACACGATCCCATGTCCTTCCCATGTACAACTGGCTAACCGGGTATTTAGGTACGAACAACTCACCATCCGCTCCGCGGCCATTCGAGAGGAATTACACACGGAGCTCGAGAGGATGCTGAACGAGATCATTCGCTTCAAGATCCACGTTCAGGGAAGCCTGGAAGGCTTTGAGGAGTTTGTCGCACAGGAGGTTGAGAGGGAGATGGAGGAGGGTGCGCAGGCTCATATCGATGAGGCTCAAGACTTGGAGGCCGAGCAGAAGGGTAATGAGATGGAGATTGAGGAGTAGCCTTATCCACCAGTTACTGATGACTTGAAGGGCTTGGCATGTTGTATGAATGGCGTTGGTGGAATTTCTGCTCGCTGGGATGATACCTCTTGAGCGTGCAGTCGTAGTTAGTAATGATCAAATCCTACAGTGAGCCTCGAACCTTGATTTACAAGTATCACTGTTGCTATCGTTTTATGGTAGTCCTGTGCTTTTGAGATAGACGTGAAGTCGCTTCTTAGGCATCACGACTTCGGGCCGAAATGATGATCTGTGGACCGTGTTCGGGCATTAAGAAGCAAGTGCACTTGGCAAGGACATAGGTGTGGTTGTCGCGCATACACTTTGCAAACGATACAAGATCTTTCGATTCCATTGCAAAGCAAGACTCGACAAACCTCGAAAACGCGAGTGGCTGAGCAAACCGTTGACTTGCGCTTGGATGACACGAGGCCGCGACATCTCTCCAACCACACCACGCCACTTACACCTACATCACTCTTTTTCGCAAAGCATTGTCGGCATCTGAAGAACGGAAATCACGATAGCCTCGATGATGCACTTACGGTCCGCGCAGCAAGATATAGTAGTTGAACGCCACAAAGCACTGCTGCCGAATGTCACGCATGAATTTCGCCGAGCCGAGCCAGGCGAACACAGGTCGGCCTCGTAGCCGTATGCGTTCGATAGCCGGGCCACCACCGAGTAAACGATTGATATTATGTGAAGACGGTTAGAAAACTCGACACCAAACAATAGATTGCAAACAAGCTAACGTGTTCAACAGGCACCTGGCTCAACTCAGACTCCGGTACACTAAAAGGCTCCATCACGATCCCCTCAAACATCACCCGTCTCTCCCGCGCCATAAAGCCTATAAGTGCAGACGGCATCCCCCAAATATCCTACTACCATTACGGAGTCGGTGCAGGTGGAGGCGTGATTGACAAAATCACCTCTGGTGCTTCTGGCGCCGGACTCTCTGAAATTGTCCGCGAAGGCTACCAGTTCATCGCCACCAACTGGACCCAGGGCGATGAGATCTTCATCTTCGGCTTCTCGAGAGGCGCTTATACGGCAAGGGCTATTGCTGGGTTGATAGCGGATGTCGGTTTGCTGACGAAGAAGGGATTACCATTCTTGGCGGAGGTGTTCAAGGATATGCAGCACAAGCACGACCGTGACTATGTTGGCAAGCATCCTGATATACCGTTCCCTGACAAGCCGAGTGCTGCTTCACCGGAGTATCGGGACGAGTTGCGGAGGAGGAGGTTGACGACGTTAAATGTCCCGATCAAGGTCGTTGGTGTCTTTGACACCGTGGGATCGCTGGGGACACCGAAGATAGGGTGGTTGGAACGTGTTGGGTTGCAGTCGAATGCTATGAAGGAATTGTCGTTCTATGACACGAGCCTCGGTGACTGTATCGAGTATGCCTTCCAGGCACTCGCGCTCGATGAGAGGAGATATGCTTTTCAGCCAACGCTTTGGGAGAAGCTGGACGGTAATAGAACGGTTCTGCGGCAGGTATGGTTCCCGGGCGCCCACGCTAATATCGGAGGAAGGTAAGATAGGCCGTCTCTAATTGCAATCTCTCAATGACATTACGCTGACACTTTCTCAAGCTACGAGGATCAGCAGGTCGCCACTATCACTCTCGCATGGATGATGGCGCAATGTCTGCCATTCTTGGAATTCGACACTGATTATCTAATGGATCAGTGGGAGGATGGAGAAGACTTGTATGAGAAGATGGGTGAGAAAGAGCGGCCTTGGTCGTTTGGAAAGATCTTCAATGGATTGGCTGGGGTCTATGCGTTAGGCGGCTCGAAGACCAGGTCTCCTGGACGATACTGCGCAACAGATCCTTCGAATGGCAAGCAAACGAATGAACCACTGATCGATACGCACGAGTACATACATCCTTCGGTCCGGGCGCGAACCAAGCTAGGCGGACCAGGTATCGATGATCGTGGCCGGTATGAATGCAAGGCTTTGCGAGACTGGAAGTTGACAGTTGAGGCACGCGAAGACGGTGGCAAGTGGCCAGACGTTCTCTGGAGATCGCGATATAAGCCAGAGGAAGGGTTTGCGAAGGTCTTGCCAGAAGCACCGCTGAAGCCACTTGAGACTGAGCTGCTACAGTATGACACGGAAACACGGGAGTATGTGCTCAGGCCATCTGGAGTGCGTCAGCGCAGGAGTATGAGGAGTAAAAGTCGGCGACGGCCATCACCTGATGACTGAAACAACGTAACATGGGAGTACTCCACGATACGTTCATCCTGAGCTCCAGCCGCAGGACCGCACGTCTCCAGAGACCAGGCGTAGTCGATTTGATACCCTGTTGCGAGTGCATGAACACGGCGAAGCTCTCACTTTGGCTTCGGCTTTCGAATAGTGACCATGCCGCTATCCTGGAGCTCCCACCCAACACCTCCCTTTACGAGCTCAGGCCAGCTCGAGTCACCAGTCCTTTCCACGAAGGATCTGTCGGCACTCAAGTAGCCTCTACCGAGGCACTTCAGCGCATGCAGCCTCATTCGATCGACAGCGAACTCCAGGATGGCGCGCTGATACCCGTCGACGGCACGCTTGATCCGCCAGAAGCGGACCCAGTCGTCGTGCACAAGACTCATGACTACCGCGGCAACACGGCGGTCGTCGAACTTGAAAGCTCGTTGGAAGGCGAAAGCATCCGCCAACTCGTATTGTCGACATGCCAAGTCCAGGGTGCGGTAGCCGACAACGTCCTGTAGGTCGGTAGACGAGAGTGGTGTGATAGGGTGGATCTCATTTAGCAGGTACAGCAGCGCTGGTTGGTAAGACTCCCAGTGTCGACTCAGTATGCTTGCTTGGATGATGAACATATATGCTCGTTGCGCGAATTGGTCACGGCGTTGAGAGCCGAGGATGCCTTCGCGCAGTCTCCGCATGGCCATGAGGATGTTCGGCATATCGTTTGGTCTCGGAGTGGCGGAAGCTTGGCGAGGAAGTGTTGGACGATTCGAAGCAGGGCCATTGTTTGCGGGGACTTGTGGAATTTCATCTTTGACCGTGAGTGATGCGAAGGCCTTCTCGAGTTCTTCGCCACCTCCTGACGATGCAATGAACTTCATGTAGCGATCCACAATCTTCTGGTAGTAGGCTTCTTGGTTCTTGTGATCATGTAGCCTGTATCCGTTAGAAATGTGATCACATTATCATAGAAGCAGAATTGCTCGCCTCGTCTCTCCCTTCGAAGGCAGACCGTATACTTCCAAGGGGTCAATGACTGCCGGCTTGAGCCTCGTCCATGCTCCAGACGGGCCACGTCGTGCTTGTGGACGACTCGAGCTTGCCATTGCGTCCGTGCTGCTTTTGATGCTATCAACTCTCAAGGTAAGACTCTCAGATTGATGTCGAGATATCAAAGCCGAACTTACGAATCCAAGCAGTGTGATCTGCATTCGTCCAGAGTTGAAAATGTGCTTGTAAATATCGAGTCTTGCTGATGTAGGAAAGCACGAATGTCGTGCATCAAAGTGGGCCCGGAGCAAGCGGCTTTGAACATTTGGCCAACAAGTCGACCTCAACATGTTAGATACGGCCGCATTCTGTTGTCTAGATGCAACAAAACGATGTAAAGGACACACCCACACCCCTTTTCACCTGTGGCCGTTACGAATCTGTGTTGAACTATCTGCTCGTTATGCAGAGCATGAACAGGGACACAAGCGACCTGATCACCAAAACAGAAGGGAAGGCCGAGCAAGCATTAACAGTGCTGTGGAACAATCTACCCTCATGGCTTCAGGTTTTTTCCAAATTCCACAGTAGTGGAATAGTGCTGTTGACTCTCGATCGTAGGACAATCATTACATACACTCTGGCTACCGCCCAGCATCGAATAGCTACGGCAAGTCCTTCTCAAGCATCGGCTACCTTCACAACGAGTCCGTCAACATCTGGACGCATCTCTTCGGTGCAACGCTGCCCGCCATTGCCGCCGGTACCCTCTACGTAGCCTTCAAGCCTCGATTTGATTTAGCTACGAATGAAGACGTCTTGGTCTTTGCTTGCTACTTCCTAGGTGCAATAGCTTGCCTGGGCATGAGTGCGACCTATCATACCATATCGAACCATTCAGAAGCAGTTGCAAAATTTGGCAATCGCCTCGATTATATCGGCATCGTTTTCCTGATCTGGGGGTCTTTCATCCCATCCATCTACTATGGCTTCAGTGCTGAGCCGGTCCTGGTAACCCGATATTGGTCTATGGTAAGCAGGAGGCAAGAACAGTTGCGAGTGCACAGACTGATCACGGAGTCCAGATCACAACCATCGGTGCTGGCACACTAGCTGTTGTGATGCTGCCAAAGTTCAGGTCACCACAATGGCGTCCTTTTCGCGCTTTCATGTTTGTAGCCATGGGCCTAAGCGCAGTCGTCCCGGTCATACATGGCTTGCAGATCTATGGTGCAGAGCAGATGGAGAAACAGATCGGTCTTTCATGGCTAGTCGGTCAAGGCATGTTATATATCCTCGGAGCCGCAATCTATGCTGTATGTGATCTACTCGTGGTAATGGGACATCGTGTGGAACGCTGATGAGAGAGAGCAGGCACGCATTCCAGAACGTTGGCGACCTGGATCGTTTGATATCTTTGGCAGCTCCCACCAGATCTTCCATATCTTAGTCGTGCTCGCAGCGGCAGCGCATCTGATGGGTTTGCTCAAAGCCTTTGACTACGAGCATACGTGTCGCAGCAGCGTAATGACTGCGTACAGAAGCGCAGCGAAATTTGGTGGTCCAAAGTGAATTGCATTCATTCACGGGACGGAGACCTCACCTTCACGCGAGATCTGTATACACTCTTGGCTGCGTGACATGCCACCGATGCGGGTATGCACCCCGCATAGTCATTGACGAGACTTCCAGGGATCATCTTCTGCTAAAGTGGTAAGCCAAGGAATACAAAATGGCATTGCGATTACGCCGCGAGCTTTGGGTCGATTGCGCGGCGCGGTCAACTGTCAGACCAGTCGGAGCTATGTATGCGGGCAGGTGCTTCTAAGCTGTCCCGACCAGGAATCATGTCGTACTCACGCTGTTGAGAGAGTGGTGAGGTACCGCGCGAGGCTACCTCAACCACCAGTCACACTTCGAGGCTCAACATTTGAGTTGGAAAAGATAAAGCTCAGCTATGAATTTTGCCGCCATAATACGAAGCTCGACAAGAGCTCCTCCTGCTTCGATGGTAATCCAGTTTCGAGCTTTAAAAACAACTTCCACAAGCCAAGCAGGCTTCGGTGATTCGCTGCTTGGTGGCGTGCTGCGTCCTGTACCTGAGGTACTGCAAATTGCCACTTCCGAACTCCATGATCTCTTGAAGTGGAGACCAGGAGCAATGTTATCGTCAACCCACCGACATGCCGAACGGGCACGGTAGCTGGACCCTGCACTCACCTATCAATTGAGCAGGGACATGCGGAGTTTCAAGATAGACTGTGAGATGAACGGGTTCTGCACTGATCCAGAAACCCTCCACGACTACGCAGAAGTAACGAGGAACGGATGTAGTGGCAGAAGCAATGCTTGTATCTCGTGGTAAACAAGAACTAGTGAATGCATCGTTGTACTGACCCATTTCAACACTTCTGACATACGGCTGAGGACGCGTACTCGTTGCGGGTGCTGTAGATCATCCATCTGCATGATGTTCTAATTCAAGCTAGCTTCATTCGCCATATTGAAAGCGCCTTTGCCATGGCTCTACAGTAGGATTGGCTTGGGAGAGGTCATCGTCAAGTGTAGTTCATGCTGTTGCGCTGTGCTTGTCCCCGAGTGCAGAAACGACCGAATAATGTACAGGGTATACACTTGGTGTGAGAGTGGATCAAGCTTTATGATTGCGTTGACAGGAAGCGTGAGCACCGAAATTATGCGGTTACTGTTTCAGTTGCTGCGGGCCGACATGCTGGCCCCTAGGCTTTAAGGAAAGATCGGGTCTCCACAGCGCGAGCTTTGTACAGGGTGTGAGGTTGTTGGATGTGTAGTAGCGTCGTTGCGTCTCGTCGCTCATTCAAGATCATTCGCTCGTCTTGTGTGCGGCGAACCAGCGACCGGTGCGGATTACTGTACAGAGTTGTGGAAGTTTGCTTTGACTTGATCCTGCCTGCCAGCCTGCCAGCCTGCCAGGCCAGTCCCGTATCACGCATCCAGGCCACCCGTGGCTGAGGATACTTTGGAGCGATAATAGACGCTGCATATACCGCACAGAGCGTCGTCACCCCGGCTCATTCGCTATGGCCTGAGCAAGGGACGAGAGAGGAGGTAATACTGTACGGGCAGAGCAGAGTGGGAGGGGCTACGTAAGCTGTGATCGTACCTACAGAGATGGCCACGGTAGCGATGCAGAGGATCAATGGGAGCGCTTTACGATCCGCGTACGACAAGGATGAGAGGAGAAGTGAGGCTCGCAAGGCACAACCAGATGTTCGCGAAGTCGCATCCTCGCCGCGGCATGCAGACTTCCCACGCTCGGCGTCGTACACGTATCTGCCGGAAGCCAAAGATCATGCACGCTACAATAACCAAGCGGTCTTCACGATCAAAGGCAGCTTCTCCGACGCCGATCTTGTACCGCCTCCCGATGACCTCCTCGACGACATCACACCACCCGATTCGTCAGGCTGGACAACACCAGACGATGTCGAGCAGAGAGTACCGGTTCAGCAGACTCGAGATCTGGTAGCAGAGTTGCAGAGGAGTCCTAAGATCTCGGTGCAACGCATGGCGCGAGGTGGTGAAGACGACAGTAGCAGCATAGACTCATCTGCCAGACCGCCAAGTATCGCCAGCACCGTCGAGTCTGTGAGGACCACATCTACGCCTGGCACGACTCCCGGATCCGTGACGCCAAGACCACGAGCTACCCCAAATGACTCGTTCTCTCGACGCTTCAACCGCAATTCGTGGTACGGAGCATCGCAGTCGTCATCTTCGCCTTCACGCTCTCCTTCGCCGCCGAAGCCGACTTCTCGTAGTGCTTCACCCAAGATAGACATAATTGCACCACCTCCTGCTGCGGTCACTACTCCACGACGGAAGTCCTTCTCCAAGATTCGAGAGGCAATTGTGCCTGCAGCAGAGATTACTCGGACAAAATCTAGCACCACAAGTTCTGATGACCAGAAGAGTGAACGTCCTCGACCGCCCAGTCGCCGTAGTACATTATTTCGCAGGAAGTCCCGACCTGGCAGTGGCATCTTTGGGAGCAAGAAGGAGAACGAGAGCAGTTCTGCGGTTCCAGCTTCGAACGATGCACCGCCTGTCCCACGGATGCCATCTCTACCAAAATCATTCTCCACCGACAGACTGCCGACATTTCGATCGCACACACCACAGCTTGACCGAGCAGCGCCCGTACCAAGACTGCTCTCGACCGAGCGCGCACCAAGCTCTGGCCTGAGTATCCCGATACGAAGAAGAGATGAGCTATGGAACGTCTTTCGAGGCCTGGATGGAGACTATACGAAGTTTGCATCGAAATCTGTTGCTCTCAAGGCCAATGTAGTCCGTTCAACTCTTTTGCCATTCCTACGGACCTATTTGAGCCATGCTTCAAATCACACTCTACGACCGGAAGATCTCGACCGGAGAGCCAACATCTTGAACAAATGGTGGACTGGTCTTATCGAGATGCTTCACGGACGAAACAATCAGTCCATATCCGGCACGGATCGTCCTGCGATACTGGATGGCATATCAGGCATTATGGAGCGACCTGAATGGCGCTTGGCACCTTCGCCATTCTGCCCGCTCGATCAGAAGATGAAAGGAATCAATACACCACGCAATCGATCGAACACTTCGCTGAGCTCTGGAGCTTCCGAATTCTTGACGGAGTCAGTCCATCACAACGTGCGAAATATCTTCATCCAGAACTTAAGTGCGCAGATGGCATTTGTGGTTGATAAAATGTCCTTACGCAACGCTTCTGCCAGTCTGGTCACCTTTTGTGGCAAGGCTTGTGCATACGCTTTCATGTTCGTCCCTGGCATGGCAGACGTTCTCACACGACTCTGGGACCTGCAGATGGACACTCTTCGAAGAGTGCTGGAAGGAAATGATATTGGCAAGTTTGACAACCTCGGAGATCTGTCTGCCTCAGTATCGTCTAGCTTTCCGCCTGCACTACACCAACTTGGATTCACATCACTCATGAAGTATATGCGCAAGCTACGTACGCCTCCGCCACTGCCTCTTGGTACTGCCAACATCCAATGGTGGGGACACTGGCTTGAAAGGTGGACAGGCCGCGAAAGTGACTTGTTCTACGTCTTTGTCAAGCACTTCCATATCTTGGTCACGGAATTCTTACCAAAGGACTTTTCGAAACAGGAACGCGCATGTGCACCAGGCGTGCTTCTTGTACATGCTCAGATCCTGGCCAACCTTGATGCCACAATACATCGAGACGCTGGCCATGCACAACGGGATCCGGCGGCCGCTGGACAGTCGCCCACCTTCGACGATGTTCTGGGAGAGCCTGATGCTGTGGCTTCTTTGCCGCTTCCGCCTACTAATGCTGTGAGAATAATGGCCGAAAATAGGCTAATAATGTTAATTCGTGACTTCTTGTCTGAGCGGACGGCAGACCACCCCATAGCCCGGGACTTCTTCGCGGATGCTTTCAACGACTTGATGCAAACAGCTGCCAAGGGGACCTCGATTTATGACCACGCGGCTTGCTATACACTGCTAGACTTTCTGGAGGAGGCGCTGGTGATTCTGGTTCGTTTCGAGCATCTCAAAGATAGTGACGGCAAGATCATCAACTCCGAGTTCTGGCAGAGTGTTTGTCGCAAGATGATTGAAAGTCAAAACACGATGACCGAGATCCGACTCTATGCCTTCTTGTATACTATTTGGAATACGGTAGTATGCAACACGAACCGCAAGGCCGATCTCTGTCTTGGCTTGCTGCTGGACCCTGAAGTGTTCGAAAGCCGCTTCAATCATTGGTGTCCCATGGTTCGCGCCTATTACATGCGCCTGCTATGCTGGCGAGTTACGAGGTTCGATGGCGAGTCCCACTCGGGCGACATGGCGATTCTCGAGACAGCACTGCAACGACTACGGACTACTTGGTCGCATTATCTTTACCTACGCGAACAAGCAGTGACGAAGAATGGCCTGCTCCCACCCACAAACCCATGTAATCCTGCACCTGGGCGAAGGCTACTTATCATCCGCACTGATACACAAGTCAACCCCGGAGGCTCGTTCCTCTCGTTTGATGGCCTGACATCGCCGACACCACCTACTCAGCCTCAATTACCGAACAAACGCTTCTCGACCCTGTCCCGAGTCGTGGAGCTGGACAGCAGACCCGAGACCTCACACTCGAGTTCTGATTCGGAGATTGCTGAGCTGCCAGATAGTGGTTTCGGCGGGTTCTTCCGCAAGATGATGGGCACTTCAAAGACCAGGTCAAAGTCACAAGGACCACCGACGAAGCGGATCGAAGCACCTGCTAGTAAGGCAAATCCTACTCCACCGGCCGAGCGTGCAAACGGTCTCACGAGAGCCGCAACAGACGAATTCCATCCTCCGAGAAGCTCCTCAATTGCCTCCTCAGTCGCTCCATCGATCGCGGAACAGGCAGCCAAACCTCCTACGCCAGCCACGCCACATCGTAACTTCAGCTTTAAGTTCAGTCTCGAGTACCACCCCAACAACAAGCCCGCCCCGGGACCCCTGCGACTCTTACCGCCTCGACTCCCTATGCCCGCCCAGAAGCATATTCAGGAGGAGTCAGCGATTACGGCCTTCATGGCCCAGGTCCGACCCGTCGAGCCCACGGGTGCGAGTGCTGCGCATGCGAGATACTCTGGCCGTGCGCTCGCGGAATGGATGGTGATTGTGGGTGAATGTCAGAGTTTCTTCGAGAGGCGAAAGAATGAAGGAGTGCCTGGGAATAGATTTGTGGAGACGCCTACATTGGGCGTGGAGGTGTTCAGGCGACCAGCTTAGAGGTCTAAATCTGATGAGGGCAGAGTGGCTACATTAAAGGACGAAAGGGGAGCGCTGTACAGTACTGATCTCCATCCAATGACATGGCATGGCGGCGGCGTTCGGGCGACTTGATTGAAAACAACGATAATGCAACGACAGGGAGCCTTCGAAGCTGACCAGGATGGATATAATATTGGCAATGTGTGGGAGCTTTTTGGAGGCCCAGATTGGATATACATAGTGGTGGATATATATATATATATATACACCGGATAGTGGAACTGGATAGATATGGGTTGATTCTTGTCCCTCTCCTGTTTGGGAGCAGGTCGATAGTGATAGTAGACATGAATGAAAGGCAGTCTTCATGGTGAAATATATCAACGTTTGGAACACGTCCTTCAGTCTTTGGGCATCTCTGCCAGCAACGGTTTTCCTGTCTCATTGGTCAAAGTACTGGTGCGTGTCAAGCTAATGATCACGCCCGCTGGGGCCCGCAGCCGTCACTGCACGCATGATGATTGTTCGAAGTGTTGGCTTTTTTGTACCAGAACAATCACCTTGCTTGCCATTCGACGCCGTGCAATTTGCTGCGCCTCGCCGTAGCGTATCGTGGTACCTTTGGTCACACTGAACGCGTTCGGGATCCCGCGACCAGCTCCCGAGCATCATTATTCTCCCAGGCCGGGCGCGTAGCTTAGCTCTTTTCGATTACTGCTGCTGCCATCACCACTGCACTGGCTTCGTTGCACGCTGGGGCGGACCGAACTTTACCACAGTGAAGGAGTACCGACACGAGGGATCCTGCGCTCAGCCTCTCCCTGCCGCCGCCAGAGCGGAAGCGCTAGACTGATTTGCTGACGAGTCGCTACTGCCACGGTCCACCTTCCATCCTGTCAATCGGAGGTAGTCTCACACAGCCAACAAGTGAGCATACTCCCCGCCCCCCTGCACCTGCGCCCGGTGCGGCGAAGGATTCAGGCGCAACCACATGGATCAGCAGCATTGGCCCTACTCGCACAACGACACCACTGCCGCCGCGGCCAATAACCCCGACTTGCGACATGCACCACCCTCGCACAACCAGCACCACCAAGTGAGCACCCCGCAACGCGACCTTCTCACCCACGCACCCATCCAGTCGCAGTACGAGGCATATAGCACACCGGGCATTGCGACGCGTGCGGCGTCCTTGGCGATATCATCTCCGCCCGCGGGAGACGCACGAACACGCAATATGGAATCCAACGGGGATGCTGACGGTGACATGCGTATGGAGGATGCAGACCCGTACAACCAGCAGAAGTATGCGCGCCCGAACCCCGGCACGAGTTCGAAGAGGACATCAGCACAGTACCTGCCTGCCCAGCCGGAAGATGCGCAATCGCGGGCAGCAGCCAGATATTCACCCATGACAACCTCGCCCACCTCCTCATACGTCTCGAGTCCGCAGCAGCAACCGCTCGCTTCCAATCAGTATGCATCTTATACACCCCAACAGCAGTCGGCGCGTCAATCACCGACTAGACAGCACAACCCCTATGCCTCGCCTACACAACAGCAGAGATATTATGCTTCTACACCATCTACTGGCAGAGCGAATGCCTCGCAGCTCCCTCCGCTTCAATCGAACATGTCTCCAAGTTCATACTATCCGCAGTCAGCGACTCAGCAGCTCAACGCAATGTTTGGTAATGAGCCCAAGTCACCTCAAGCGCCGCAGCAGCCACAACTAGCGCCTGGTGAAAAGGGCCCGGTGCCGCAATTCACAAAGTGTAATAACGTTGCAGAGTTGCATCCACAGATGACTCAACAACCACCCTTTCGGCGAGCAAATCCCGAGGGAGGTTTCATTAGTCCATTGCAGGCTCTCACGACCCATCTGCCCCCGACCTACCGCATCTGCAATCCCGGCTTCCAGTACGAGTCTTCACGTAATCCACGGAGAGTGTTGACGAAGCCAAGTAAGGGCGTGAAGAACGATGGCTACGACAACGAGGACAGCGACTACATCTTGTATGTGAACGACATTCTAGGCTCCGAGGAGACGAACCACAAGAATCGGTATCTGATCCTGGATGTACTCGGCCAAGGTACTTTCGGCCAAGTCGTGAAATGTCAAAACCTCAAGACCCAAGAGGTAGTGGCGGTGAAGGTCATCAAGAACAAGACAGCGTACTTCAATCAGAGTATGATGGAAGTATCTGTACTGGACTTGCTCAACGGACGGATGGACAAGAACGATGATCATCACATCCTAAGGCTGAAGGACACATTTATACACAGACAGCATCTGTGTCTGGTTTTCGAGCTTTTGTCGGTCAATTTGTATGAGCTGATCAAACAGAATCAGTTCAGAGGGTTGAGCACGACCTTGGTTAGAGTGTTCGCGCAGCAGTTGTTAAGTGGGTTGTGCTTGTTGAGTAAGGCGAAGATGATCCACTGTGACTTGAAGCCAGAGAACATCCTTCTGAAGAAGTGAGTGTACCGAAAAAGTGGTGGCAGTACATGCACTAACATTATCCGCAGCTTGGAGAGTCCCATCATTAAGATCATCGATTTTGGGTCCGCATGTGACGAGCGGCAAACAGTGTACACGTACATTCAATCACGATTCTACCGATCACCCGAGGTTCTGCTTGGTCTACCATACTCAGCAGCAATCGATATGTGGTCGCTAGGATGCATCGTGGTAGAGCTCTTCCTGGGTCTGCCTCTCTTCCCAGGCTCGTCAGAGTATAATCAGGTGTCACGCATCACGGAGATGCTAGGACTGCCACCAACTTGGATGCTTGAGGTTGGCAAGCAATCTGGAGAGTTTTTCGAAAAGGTACACGACGAGTTCGGGCGCAAGACCCATAGGCTTAAGTCTATGGAACAGTATTCCAGAGAGCATGGCACTAAGGAGCAGCCGAGCAAGAAGTACTTCTCGTCGAGCAGACTACCGGATATCATAAGAAACTATCCGATGCCGAGGAAGGGTATGAAGCAGAATGAGGTTGAGCGAGGTAAGATTGAGAAACGATCCGAGCGGAGCAAAGCTGATGTGTTCTACAGAAATGGCGAATCGGGAAGCGTTTATTGACTTTGTACACGGCTTGCTCAACATCAACCCACTGGAACGATGGACACCTCAGCAAGCACGAACGCATCCTTTCATTACACAGCAAAAATTCACTGGCCCTTTCCAGCCGCAGATGAGCCTGAAGACCTCGACGAGCAGATCGCCAGCTCCCGGTCTGCAGCAGCAACAACAAGCCGAGGCTTTGTCACGGCAACGGCAGCAGCAAGAGCATCAACAGCAGGCTGCTGCTCAACAAGCGGCCATGCCAGCATACGGCAATGCGCATATGAGTCCTGGATACCCGACGAGCCCACATGTGAGCCAACAGCAGCAACAAGCAGCCATGTACCAGAACATGTACAGCCCCAGCAACCAAGGAGCACCGCCGCCATACCCATCTCAGCCATCATCAGCGTACGGTCAACAAATGCCAATGATTCAGCCGCCACAACCTGCGGCCTCGATGCATCCATACAGCTCACAAGCACAGCCGAACCTGTACGCGCAAGCCACAACTCGAGCTGGGAGGCAACGAGCGAGCACAATGGACGGCAACGGCATTCCACCAGCTCTCCAGCGAGTAGTAAGCCATCTAGACCCCAACGCACCGATAAGATTGCAGCCTTCACCTGCGTACTATCCACCTCCTGCGGATGGCCAAGAAAGTAGCGTAGGTAATATCGGCGGACGAAGACGGACTAGCAGGGGCGCGAGACAGCCGCAGGACAATAGAAACTTCGTACGAGTGCTTGAGGATCGGACGCTGGAAGAGGGCTGGAATGGTAGTGGAGTTGGTGGCGGAAGTGGAGCGGGCTGGCCGAGTACTTGAAGTTGAAGGAGGCGGTTTTGAAAGGAACGATTTGTTTGTTACTGGAGTCATTGCTACTCTGAACCAATTCATACGGAGTGACACGCCGACAAAGCTAAGACAGTCGCTTGAGAAGCGTGGTGGCTAGGCACCTCCACAATGTCAGCCTCTAGCCAGAGCAGCAGCCAATATTGACCACGACGGTCATACGCTGAGCCGAAAGCACTGGCACATATTCACTGGGTTGCAGAGGCTTCGAATAGGTATCACAAGCCAGCCGAGCCACCAAGCTGCAAGAAGGTCGGGGCGAGAGTTGGACGACGCAACTGGAGTGAGACAAAATGATATGACTTGACACGGTGTCTTTGGAGGCAGTAGCTGATGGATACCATTACCTTCCGTTGTGCGCGAATGCTTAAGCGAACGTGCTCGATCAACATTGCTGCATCATGTCCCTGTCTTCCGCTTGCGTATATGCGGTTTTATGTCTAGTAGATGTACAACACAGTTCCGCAACTCATCGTACGGATTGGTCCTCTTCGATGCTCCTTGCAGTGCTGCCTTGGAGGGCAATTGTGGTGACCCCGAGCAAAGACTGTCCACTTGCCTCCACCAGCTATCTCATGCAGTATGAGATCAATCGTTACATTGAACAAGACAGAGTCCTCACTGATTCTCGATTGTTCACTTTGCAGGCCCTTTCATGTTGGCAGTCGCAGCAGCCGCAGCAGCACGCTCCAGTATTGGTAGCTTCGGTTCGACGTCCGGGGTCGATACAGTTGGAGTCGCCACCTTGGGTGTCGAGATGGGCAGAATCTCAGTCTTAAGTTCGCGATTCTTCTTAGGCTTGGGATCGGGTGCTACAGAGTCGTGTTAGTACTCACTCACATATTGCAGCGTCCAGGATCAACTCACCCTTGTTATTCTCCTGCACATAAAACTTCCTCAGCAGCATAATCGCCTCCTCCCTGAACAGCCCGCCGTAGACAGGATATGGTGGGTCCACACCACGATCCTGATGTACTGTCATCACGCCCCCACAGCCTCCGAAGCGATCATTGAGGCAGCCGAAGTAGACAGCGCGGATCTTGTATTGGCGGAGGGCGGAGGCACACATGATGCATGGTTCGACCGTGACATAGAGGTCTGTATCTTGCAGGATGCTGGCGGGATGTTTGGCCATGATTTCGGCTAGGGCGACGAATTCGGCATGACGGGTTCCCTGGGCAAGGTGTTAGCATAAGTTAAACCGAACCGGATCAACGCAGTGGAGATAGGTGGTGGCGAAAAGTGTAGAAGACGGCACATACATTGAGTGAAGCATTCGTGCCATTGATCCCTCGGCCAATGACCTCGTCGTTGTGTACGAAGACGCAGCCGACGGGCGTCTCATCAGACAGGAGTGCTAGCTCGGCCATTTCGACGGCCTTGCGCATGAAGCCTTCATGGTACTCGCGGTTGGGAATGGGTCCGAACACCATCTTGCTCAAATCTCTTGTCCGTATCGTGATTGTTGTTCTGTCTCCAGCGAATCGATGTTCCGCTCCTTAATCGTACGACCATGTTTGGTACTTTTACACAGAAGGTGAAAGGACATATCTGTGTCTGAGAAGAAGGTGCAACTTGACCCGAAGGGGAAAAAGTCACATGCGGAAAGTTTGACGTGGAAGCGAAGCAGCAGAAGCAGGGGCGTACAATTCAGCACTTATGGAAGGCACGATGTGCGCATAATATCCTACGGGCACGTTTCACACAGCTCAGACGGAGAATCAAAGGGCAAGATGGTGTTTATTATTCTGATACAATACCCTTACATACCTCACTCGAAGACCGCAATAGGCAAATCCGAACTCCAATGCATATCCGCTTCCACGCTTGCGCTTTCCTTATCCCCTCCCATCGCCGTACAAAATAAAAAGCATCCTACAACAAATGGCTGTTTGCCGTTATTCCATCCACCCTTCCCAAAAACGCCAAAACACTTCGCTGCCATATTTGGCCCCGTAACGCCCCGTCCATGAATAAAACTCCTTCAACAATCATGAAAGCCGTAAGTAGATCCGGTGAGAAATCAAAACAGAAACAGATACAGAACGTCAGAACACTCGGATCCCTCCATCAGGTACTCTGCCCACTCATCCACTGACAATGACAACCGCGTGCCACCAACCCTCTTTTTGGCATCTTCGATCCAGCCATGCCTGCGCTCTGATACGCACTATAGCTCGGGTCTTGCTCATTCAATTGCACAATAATCGGGTTCTGCGTGCCGGGCTGCACCACCATACCATACCCGCCATCATCCAGGATTTGGTACTGCTGACAGTACGGCGTGATGGTATTACCGGACAGTCTCCGCTCTTCGATCTTGACCACGAATGGGTATTGAGCGAGATTGGCATAGTCGATGGGTGGCGGTGGTGCCTGTCGCTTGTACTTGTTGTTGTCTCCATCATTGGTGGTCTGGCCATTATTGTAGGATTTGCCATTGTTGGTGCTTGATTGAGTTGCGAAAACGTGCGCAGACCAATGCGGGAAGCCCTCGGCAGGTCCGGTGAAAGTGGCAGTCTGCGAGGGCATGCTAACAGTGGTGGTGATGAAGGCTGTTGGTGAGCCAGCTGGTGGTGTAGCTCCAGTGCCCGATGTAGTCGTGCTTGCAGCGGTAGCATTGGGCGCAGGAGTAGGTGGTGGCTGCACTGGACTATATGAGGTCACTACCACAGGTTGCTGCACGTAGATGAAGCCCTCGACGAAGGTATTATTCCAGACGCAGAACCATGGTTTCTGACCAGGCTGCACAACTTGCTTCTGTTGCATCCACCCTTGGTTGAGCTGAATGCTCTGGCGCTTCGACTTGCCTCCTGGACCAGGTGCTGTAAGTGCGGTCTCCGGAACGACCACGACCTTGTCGTAGAACTGCTGAAAGTAGAATGCTGGTCCATCCTTGGGAGCATCGTTGTCCTGGACAGCGATGAAGGGCGCGAAATTTGTGTTCATGAATGACTGTTGAGCGCCATAGGAGATCTGGTTGTCAACGGTGGGAGACCCATAAAACAGCTGAGCTCCGGTCTGATTACTACCAGGCGGCTGGTAGATGTTGATACCTTGCTGAGCCTGACCAGCAAGGTCGCAAGACCATGCTGCTTGTTGACCAGTCTCCGTCAAGCAGGCCGCTTGTGTCTCCTGTGGTGTGCTCAATGGCAATTGGAAGGTGCCTGTTGGTGGCGAGATAGCTGGTGTAGGGATGGCGCTAGCATCGTACAGCGTGCTACTTGCTTGGGCGAGGATACTGCGAGGTGTTAGCGGACTCTCGGGCTTTCAATCAACGTGATAACTTACTTCTGTGTCTTTTGATTCTGGTTCATCACGAACCCGCCAATGACACCACCTAGTACTGTTGCAATGAACACTACCACGGATACACTCAGTAAGATCCACCAGAAAGGTATGCCACAGAACTTGGTCTTCCTCTTCTCCTTCCAGGACTTCTCGCTCCAGCTCTTGTACGATAGTAATGATTTGCTAGTGGACTGGGTGGTCATGGCTTCCACATTAGCAAGCGACGGCGCTCGACTGCCTCTTAAAGTAGACGCGTCCATCATAGACTGTGGTCGAGGCGTTGGTGGCGGTCGTATGGAGTCGTGCATCAGTGCCATAGTTGGGTCCGTCCCGGCCACTGGTGCACGGCTATGTAGAGCAGTGGGTGCCGCAGGTGCAGCAAGCAACGGCATCTTCTCAGGGCCATCTTCAGGATATCGTGTGTATGGAGGTAATTGCTCTGTATGTCCGTCCTCGCCAATGATATCTTGCTCCTCGCCTTCCGGACCTAGCCGCCTTTGATATGATTGACCAAGCCCAGGAAAGCCAACAGGTACTAGATTCTGAGGGGCGTGCTCATCATCGTCCTCCTCGCCCACTCCCTGCGGATACATGGTGTAAGGGTGTTGTGGTCCATCCTGTGGTATCGACTGTCTGACGGACGCTCGGACAGTAGATTGTGTTGCAATGCTTGGCGAGCGTGGGATGGTGCCTTGCGGGTACATGCCATACGGATGGCTCGGTCCAGCACCGAATCGTGGGCTCCCCGTACCGGCAAAGTTGATCGAAGAGGCCGAAGAGACGGAGCGATGTGTGATGTCGGGCTCGAAGGTGAGGCTTGGCGTCCTTTCGTCATCTTCGGGACTGGCGAACGGGTTGTCCTGGCCTCGCGACTTCCGGATCGAACTCCGCGAGTATGCACCAGACGGCTCTCGTGTCACAGTCGAAGCCGAAGATCTGGTTGAACGCGTGCTGCGTACAGATGTCGTGCGTATTGGTGCGAATGTGGCATCCCGTCCGTGCGACCGCATACCTCCTTCTCTGTCATGATCCGAGGGTCTAAAGCCGTCCGCTATGCCATCGAAGTCCTCCGCCTCAAATTCATCGTCGAACACGTTCCTAGTCTCGCCTACTGGTGTCGTCTCGCCGTCCAGCAATCGCCTATCCATCGTGTCCGACTGCCTGCCTCCTCAAGGCCGGGCACAGCCACCCTGCGTGAAATGACCCCAGCGCTCTCTCAAAATCCGCTCTCACGTCCGGCGAATGAGCAAAAACACGGCACGATCCTTTTCGAATGTTGAGTGAAGCGGAACAGCAAGCGAGCGGCAATGTCGGAAGTCAAGTGATGATGTTGTCGTCGGGCAGAATAACGAGAGTCGGGAGTTCTGACACCACCCGGCGCAGTGGACGCTAGCCCTAACCTGACGGCTTGCTCCGGCGCTATCTTCGAGAAACTCGCGCAGGAGAACGACAACCCTGCGCTGAAAACATAATAGCCGTATCAAGAAGCATGATCTTTTGCTATCACCTTTGATAAATGACGGCATAGGCATATACCGCGAGAACATGAACTGCCCACGACAGAATGGCGGGAAATCTGCAGAGAATTACGAGCACGTTTCAGATCAAGACCAATGACGCTCCAAACCTTCTGTGTACACGAACTCTGACCAATTAACCCCTCCACTGGAATGACAAAACTTCGGCGGTATGGTGCAGGCTACAAGTGCCGTCGACCAGGTCCCTCTCCTGTGGTAGGACTATGCCATGAAGGAGACCCTCATGGAAGGACCCATGATGGCAAACAAGAGAATGTTGACACGGACAGAGGCGAATTTCATGTTGTTGCTTCATACACCTACTACAAACAGCGCCGCAAGCCTTCAAGGTCGGTCCTCCATAGCCTATCTATTCGGACCCTGACCATGCCTTGTCGCGGCAAATTCTGCTCGGTCATCGCTCCCTCCACATCACGCTGGGCTGAACGCTGTCAAGTGTACTCTGGTACTTCCACCCAGCACCTCGCGATGCTGTCACGAACCCCGCGGCCGAAGAAGTGAAATATCCGTCAAATCTCGTACCCAAACGCCATCGTACAAAGCTTCCAAATGGATTTGTCCGTCGGGTGGTCATGCCTCTACTAACATGCCACGTCTACTGCTTGATCTCGTACGATCTCCTGAACATATCGTCCACATTCGTCAAGTAATACGTGCCGGGGAAGATAGTCTCCGGCTTACCCTCGGGCTTGTAGTTGTTCTTCAGATGTGCTCGTTCCCTCAGGTTACACATCTCGTCGTAGACCTCGGGCGCCACTGTTCGCCTGCTTTCCAATCGTGTCTTCAAATCGATCTTGGACTTCATCTCATCCGTGCTGCCATTGACCTTGAGCGAGAACATGGACGAAGCAAGACCAGAACCGTAAGAGAAGATTCCGACACGCTTGCCTTGCAGATCTTCGGAAGAGATGTTGCTGATTAATGAAATGAGGGAGGAGTAGACGGAGGCGCAGTACATGTTGCCGCACATAGTTGGGACTTCGATTCCGGGCTGCACGCGCTGGGCGAAGCGCTTCTTTGAGAGGCCCACGAAGGTCTTTTCGACAGTCTTGTCGGTGATCGATTGGTCGTAGGTAATGTCCTTGATCTCGGCGGGTACGTCCTTGAAGAGTTCGTTCGAGGGATCGTTCAGATAGTCGTTATAAAGCAAACGGCCGTAACTCTTCGAGACGAGTTTGCATGTGGGTGCGTGGAAGCACATGTAGTCGAATCGATCGAGGGGTGTCTCGGGTTCGGCATGCACACCGTTGGCATGACCATTGGTCTGCGACTTCAGCTTCATCTCTCGCGCGTTGTACGCCTTGTAGCAAGCATCAACAGCCTCGGAGTAGCACTTGATGGAGAAGTGACCATCAACGATCGGGTACTCGCTCGTCAAATCCGCCTTGTAGAAGTCGTAGGCGTGGGTAATGTAGCTTCCGCGAAGACCTGGCTCGAAGACCAATGGTGCGTCGGGGCCGAGAAGCATAGCAACGCATCCAGCACCACCAGTCGGTCGTGCTGCGCCCTTCTTGTATAGAGCAATGTCGCCAGCGACCACAATAGCGTTCCTCCCGTCCCATGCAGAAGACTCAAACCAGTTCAGTGTGTTGAAGAGAGCGTTCGTGCCGCCGTAGCAGGCATTGACGGTATCCACACCCTCTACGTTGAAGTTGCCCGACTTCTCAAACAATTGCATCAACACGCTCTTCACGCTCTTCGACTTATCCAGGAGCGTCTCAGTGCCCACCTCCAAGCGACCGATCGACGCAGGGTCGACGTTATACTTCTTGAGCAGCGAGGAGACGGTCGTCAGAGTGAGGGAGTAAATGTCTTCCCGGTCGTCGCAGAAGGACATTTTGGTTTGGCCGAGACCAATGGTGTATTTGCCCGCGCTGACTCCGTCAAACTTCTCGAGCTCTGTTTGGTCGACGCACTGTTGGACGGGACATTTTGATCAGTACTTTACTTCACTTTAAGGTACTTTTCGATCTTGTCAGAGGGCTACCGGCTTACTTGGCTTGGGAAGTAGAGCTCCATGCCCTTGATTCCGACATTTTGAGGTCGGCCGTCCATGTTGTGTGGTTTGTGATGTGGCTACTGGTGTGTAGCGAGGGTTGTGCGAGGTCGCGTGCGACTTGAGTGCTCCAATATGTTTTGCGTTGAAAGCAGGACAATGATAGAATTTAATGTGGAGTGAGGTATAAAGTTCTCGTCTCTTTCCCTTATAGTGGCAGGACTACGGCGGGCGACGATGTAGATTATGTCGTGTCGGTGTGTGGTGAGTGCGTTGTTGTAGCGGTTTTGGCAAGGTATTCGGTGGGTGGAGGGAAGAATATACTGTTTCTCCTCTGCCGTCATATCAGAGCGGCGTTCCTTTACAAAATCTGCCCACTTTTGCCCTGCTTCTCGTTCCTGAAGCTAAACCGAAAGCATTTTGCCTATTTGGGTTAGCATGGTAAAAGCCGGGCGTTGTCTCAACGCTCCTGCAAGACGATGGTTCGATGTTGGGCTATCGTCGACTGACTTCACCGCCACCTCTTCAACCAGTTTCCGAATGATCCGAAGAAATACGTCGTACGATTCGAGGACCATCACGTGCATGCGTGCAGAGAGCAGAACCATGTTCGACCAAGATACAACCCTGATCTTGCGACCGTTCACGCTTGAGACTCGTATGCTGTGCGTCGTGGTCTTGTGCTCAATTGAGACGGCAGATTCGCGGCGGCGCGAGCACCGAATACGTTGTGCTGATACCGTGAGTGACCCACCACCAGGGCGTGAGGTCGGCAATGGCTTGGCGTCGTATACTGCAGTTCAACAATCGCCGCTTGCTGTTGGAGAAGGGCAGATGTTGGTGGTCAGATCAGCCATGTTACCGTCCTTGTCTCAGGGGAGGATGTGCAAGACTGTCGATATACAAAGATTTGTGATAGAGGAGACATCTAATTACTGCCGTCACTCCCATATGCCTCTCCTTATAGACGTAAGGTCACCGCGATACTCTTGGTATGGTAACCCCTGAACACATGATGCAATATCATGTAGAAGTCGGAGCTCTATAATCCACATTATGCAAAATGTTGATGGCACTCAACGCAGCTATAGCCGCAACGGTGACCACAAGTGGCGCGCATATTCGATGGAACATAGGACAATTCTACCTGCTAGACATGCACCACCTGCGACAACTTGTTCGCCTCGCTATGAATTCGGTGCGATATAGGTGTTCCCTCGAGATATGAGATTGCGTTCATTACTGGAAAGTAAGTATACCATGCTGTGCTTGTAATCTCTTCAGTTCACAGCCACTCATGAGACTGCCTGCGATAACCTAACTTTCTCATCGCCAATGTTGTGCCTGATAACCATACTCGACCACAAAGTCTTGGAATCTAATTACATCCTGAATTCGAGGACAGAAAACACGTCGCCCCAGGCCCTGGCCTCTCGATCTCGGATTCTCCAACAGGCTCTTGACCATCGAAATCCTCCAAGGTGTCGCCACTTCACATACTGCACCATCATTACCCTAGATCATACCGGAAAGTACGACAAAGATCTCCTCCGCCATCTTCTGCATCACCTCTCGAATTTCCTCCGGGCATCTCGCGAATTTGTCCGGGTGAAAGCGGTTACGCATAGCCTTGATGTTTTTCACGCCAGAGAAGACCTTCTTGATATTGCATGAGCAGGCCTCGAGTTTGCGATCTGCAGCCGATGTTCTGCATGCAAGCTCCTCGCATGATTCGGAAGGCGGCTCCGGGAAGGCCTTCAAAGTACTGCGATCAGTGGGCATGGCCTCGAAAACGGCAAAGAAGGCGACGATGTTTTGTCTGGTGATGATCGCGATAAGCTTCGTCGGAGGTCTCGCCGAGGGCGAGAGCTTGGAACATGCATCCTCAAGTCTGGCTTTCTCCTGGCGAAACCAATCACGGGGCCAGTCGCCCTTCTCCCGTGCTCTTCTCTGCTGTTCTTGGCGTAGCTTCTCCTCGCGAGCTCTAGCATCACGCTCCGAGGCTTCACTCTGCCTGGCCTCTTGCTGCCTGGCCTCACGCTCTTTGGCCTGACGCTGTTTAGCTTCATACGCCTTCGCCTGACGTTCCCTTTCCGCGGGTATCCTCGCCCGCTGCTGGGCCAACTGATCCTCAGCTTCCTGACGCTCGCGCATCTTACGTCCCTGCGCTTCGACCCATCTACGGAACTTCTTCTCTTCCTCGCGGTGCTTTTCAGCCGCTTCTGCGGCGACTCGGTCACGTTCCTTGGCTTCTTCAGTAGAACGTTGCCATCGTTGATACTCTTCGAGGACCGAGTTCGCATGGAACAGCCTCCCCTTGATGGCATCAAGATTCATCCTGGCGTTTCTAAGCTCCTCGCTGGCTTTCTCACTTGCGTCTTCAGCTTCCGAGACACTTAGGTGTAGACTGAGCATGCTTTGAAATAATTCATCGAGGGGTGTACTCCTTGAGTTGGGGGCACTTCGAATGCCTAATCCTGCTTCCTCGTCCTGTCGCTGCTTGGACAGTTTTTCTTTCAGCCGTTCGCATCGCTTTTGTTCTGCGCGTGCTTCATCGACATCACCCTGTGCCGTGGCGAATGCTGTCTTGAGATCGTCGGCGTTGCGAGTCAAACGGTCCAGGTAGGCGGTGCTTGCATAGGGCGGCATGGCTTCTGTAAAGTTTGCGACGATATCCTATACATAAACGATGTTGAATGAATGAATTAGGTAAGGCCACCTCGAAGGAAGAGTAAACTAGCCCTGACGATTTGTAGGGAAGGTCCTCCATGATGTGATTGTTCCGAAAATGTTCGATCGTGTCTCAAGGCTCGAGTAGTGACGTACAACAGGCAGGCCTTCATTGCTGTGAAAGAATCAGCACAAACGGAATTGGGTTACATCTTGGAAAGACTGGATTAGATGAGATGAGAACAAGAGGAAGTGAAACATTGAATTACTATTGTCGCGGACTTTCACCGCGTGATCGACCAGCGACCATCACTCAGGACTTCTACTTCAATGTCTGTTAGCGCCAGGCTGGCAAGCACCCGTAAACAAGCCCTCAAGAATATCATGAACATACCTTGCCTGTGCCCTGAGCGCGCCGGGAAAGAGATCAGGGTCCCACCTCAGCCGTTCAGTCTTCAACGAGATAGTCTCCTCCTTCGATCGCGTACCGCCCAAGAAAGCGGCTCGAACAGCGCAATCGCAGGCCTGGATCAGTCGATCATCGGAAGTCTTCTGTCTCCATCTAGGACGGCTTCGACAGCTCAGCGAATGTTTGGTGCCTTCCGGATGTGGAGGAGGTGCGGGAAAGGAGTTCATGTTGTCGTAGTCGTCGAAGGCAGCATTGACTTGCGCACGCCAGAGCTGGATGGGACCCTTCGTGTCACTAGCAGTAGTATTTGGCTCAAAGTGCCGCAGTCTGCCTTGACTGAGACGATAGTTGTCCAAGTCTTGTCTAGCCTCAGCTTCGGTCGCGCATGCTAGCTTGTACTGTTTCTCCCGAGCATGCAGGATGTCCTTCGCAATATATGCAGCTTTCATGAGCTGTTCGACTGAAAGATTAGCATCCTTGCGACACAGCTCAGTGAGACTTGAGGCTTTCCGTCTGTTGGTTGGGGTATCATGACCCAACTGCCCTCTTCGTGCTACCGCCTCGTAGGCAGAGTTGTATCTTTTGAGTACTTCTTGCCGGGCTGTAACGCACTGTTGGTGCACGACTTTCCTGTTCGTCTCTGCTTGCATCAGAGCTGCAATGAAGGGGTCTGACATCATGAGATGGACCGCCAGCGGTCTCAAGTCGAGATGTAGCACAGTGTCCTGGAGCCTTGGTGAGTAGGTCCGTACGATCAACGTACGGCAGTGTTGAAATCCACTTGGCTGGGCAGCGAATTCGAGACTCGGGCTCAAATTTTCGGATCTTTATCTGATCACATTGATCAATGCTATTGTGTCTGGTCAAAAGCACAGATGGATGGCTTTGTTCAGGTCTGGGTCCATAGTGGAACAAAGAATCGCAGGTAAGCCTATGGACACTTGCCCAGGCCATGGACGTGAGCGGAGTCCTTTGTGATAGTCTTGTGTGGTAGACAGCGCAGTGCTAGATGTAGCTTCTCAAATCGGCTGGACCTCTGCAGCATTTCAACGAGCTTCTCAAAAGGCCAGAAGCCTGATGTGAAAGATAGGTTGATGCTATAGACCACAGTCACTATCTGGTAGTGAACGATGAGTAGTCTAGGGTGTGAATCTTCCACTAGAAGCGTAGCCAAAGAGGCGCGCGACTCTCTATAACGCTACCATCTTCCACTGGCGGTACTGGGGGGACCAATACCACCCAACTTGATCACTGCAGAGCACAAGGATAGCTGTTCCCTGTACCGTAGTCATCAGATATTACCTCGGCGGTCCGCAACAATGACCGTAGCCAAAAGTCCAACAAGACAAAACACCACGCCTTCTTCCTGGAGTCATGGCGGAGCTAGTGACATCCGCGGGAATCATGGCTTGCGAAAGACCACATCAAGTATATTGTCGTAATTGACGTTCGCTCGTAATAGATGGAGGAATTCTTGGCGTCGATCTATAGGAACGCGGTCGTAGAATTCGTACATGTCCTCGAACTTCACACCACTGAATCGAGGTATGGCATCTCTGATTTCTGTCCTGGTCGGGAATCGACGTAAGAGTGGTGGAAGCGCGAGATTAGCAGGGCCCATCTAGTTCCCTGCGGTCGCGGAAACAGATGCGGCCAGAGTGGATGCCGATCCATCATCACCAGCAGCTCGAGCAGCAGCAGCTCGAGCAGCGGCCATCTCCTCCTCCGTCTTAGGCACGATCTTGCCCTTGACACCCGGTGCCGCCCTACCCACTTCCTTGACCATGGCAATGAAGTCCGCGGTTCTCTTCGCCACCCGGGCGCGGAAAGCCTGAACCAGTTCGCCGAGAGCAATACCCTCGGGTGGGATAGCTGCCTGTATCTCATCCACAGTTGGGAATGGTAGGTTGGGCTGAATGGGTCGAGCGGGGCTTTGTGCTCGACTGCCCGTTGGTGAAGCGGCGCGAGAGCCGTTTGGTGTACCACCCGTCCGTGGAGAGCCGGGTACACTGTTTTTGAGGCGGAGCTTCGTGCCTGTGCGGCCGGCGCGGGAGGTGTCAGTCTCGCTGCCGGAGCCATAGCCAGATGGAATACGTTTGGCTGCGTCAGCTGCAACGATGTCAGTATCCACCAGTTCAAGAATGCCATGCCTCTGCTTACGTGAAAGTTGTCGAGCTCCATTCGGCACTGCACCACCAGCGCCGTTCAGCTTCGCCTTCTTTCTGCTCGACTCATTGCCACTAGCATCGGAAGCGTCCGCTTCACGCTTCATCGATTTCTTCTCCAACCTGCCGGTAGGTGTATTGGTACCCTTGGTCGAATCTCCAGATTTGTCGCCATTAGCTTGGCCAGTTAGCTCGGCCTCACGCTTCTTTTGCTCCTCAGCCTCCCTCTCGCGCTCCTCCTCCGAGTCCTCTGATTCACTTGAGTCACGATACCTGTTACCATCATCATCGGAGTCGTACTCGAATCGAGACTCCTTGCGCTTTAGCTGCTTGCGCATCTTCTTCTGCCGCTTGCGCTCGTCCTCATTGGCATTTTCCTGATTCTTCTCTTCATTAACCCAATCGTCCTCATCCGCTCGCTTGACGTCAGCGTCCGGCAGACCAGCAGTACGCATCTCGTCGCGCACACGCTTCTCCGTATCTTTTGCTTCGTCATCATTCGCATCGCCCCAGATAAAGCCTTCGTCATCGTCCTGGAACTCATCATTGAATTCGAAGTCGATCTCATCCACATCAGCACGATACTCTTCATTCTTGATGAACGACGGGGCGTCATCGTCACCGGCGTCAAACTTCTTGACCGAACGATGCTGAGCAAGTTGTTCCATCTTTGCGGACATGGCCATCTGCCTAGCGATAGCCTCAACCTCCTTCGGATCTTTGCCCTGGAGCCATCTTGGTGCAGGGTGTTTCTTGTCGTCCATCATCTTGATAATCGTGGCATCATCGAACGCTTTCACCCGATCCACACGAGCCATGCGATACCACTTCTCAACTGGCACCATGTTGAAGGTCCCTATGCTACTGACCTCGAGCATCACATGTTTCCTGCTGAGAGGTTCCTCGTAGGTGGCAGAGAATTTGTTCTTGTAGTCAAAGTCCTCCATGTGCCACGGTCGAGCCTCTTCGTATCGCAGCTGCGACCTTGCTTGGTTCTTTGGGTTGTTCTCATCCCAGTAGACATCCTCGACCTTCTTCTGCGGCTTCTTCTTTTGTGTCTTCTTGCCTGCGGTCTCTGCCGACGGAGCTATCAGCGCCTGATTCGCCTCGCGCTCTTTCTGCCGCTCAGCACGCTTGATGTCTCGCGCCTCGCGCTCCTTGTCGTCCACGCCTGAGGCGGCATCTGACTGTTCTGCTGCCTCCGGCTTGTCTTGTGGTCGGCGCCTGTAGAGTCGCACCGGTCGGGTGAATTCTCGCTCGTCGAATGGGTCGATTTGAATAAGATTGCCTTTGTCATCAAGTTTGCTCTGCATGCGGAAACCGTGGTAGTGGAGCCCGCGCATCAAGGCCGACTTGGAGACTGTGATGGGATATTCGGAGTAGGTGCTGGGATCATCTTCTTTGGCGACAGGTGCTGCAGTATGTGCGCCATTTGTGACTGGTGCAGAAGCATGCGGTCGAGCACTATTCACCGGCACCTGACCGGAACCTACGTACGCCTGCGCCGGTCTCTTCACCTGAGGCTTCTTCTTGGGGTTGAAGATGCTCACAGGTGCCTTCTTGCGGACCATCGGCTGAGGAGTGGCATTTGGCGGCGGGGCTGTAGGTCGGTAGGCCATTCTCGCAGAGTAGGGCGCGGCTGTGTGTATATGGTGAGCGTGACGCACGAGCAGGCCAGTCGCTGTATGCTACAGTCAGTAGCTGCAATGCCGGACTTCGCGGTCCAGAAGGTAGCGGGAGAGGCGTGTGACATGGGCTGTACTGAAAAGGATATCACATGCGATCGGTGCGAAGATACTGGTGAGAATCTGAAAGAAGTTGTATGTCTCGCTTTGACTCGAAGTATGTTTGCGAGATATGCCTTGCATTAACCGTGATTGAGCTTAACTACTATGGTAGCAGCTCGTGCGCGCGTGCCTGCGGGATCTGGAGCGAGCTGCTAGCGTCGGACACAGCCGCAGCTAGAGAATCGGCTCGCTATTGACCGCGACCACGCCATGTAAACACGAATCTCATCGCGGACGCATAGTGATGGATACTAATCGATAGAGGCCTTTAAATCGCTGCCTGCTGCTGCTGCCCGCTCCGCCACCTCGATCAATGACCTTAGCTTGTAATTCATATACTAACGAGAGGGTGATCAGGGATAGCATCGAGTCATGGATCGAGCATTCGAAGACGACATAAGACAGAAGCTTCAGCTTAGTCAAGGGCATGGTAATGGCCAGACCACCGAGGGCTCTGCTGGGCCAGTGAGACAGAACCAGAGCCAGTCGACCCAGCAGCCACAATTGCCACCTGGCAGACAGCAGTACTCAACCCATCCGCAATCCCATGCTCGCACTGCACGACCGCCACGCCAGCAGGCACAAAGTCACACTCCTCAGTCCACTGCACAACAACAACAGCGACATGCGAATCATCGACCAAGTCAGCAGCAACGCCGTATGCAAACTCAAGGACCGCAGGTGACCACAGGCCAAAACTTATCACAGTCTCGTGCCGTGGCCTCAGCACAGCAAAACACTCCTCTTGATCCGAGCGAATTCCAGCGCGGAGGGCAAGTCGCAGGGTACTACCAACGCCCTCAAGGACCGCCTCGGCAATTGTACAATCCTAACAATGCGTCTCCCGCTCGTAGCTCACCGATGCCGATGCATCATGATGTGCGCAGCGCACAATCGCAACATCTGGAAAGCCTGGCCAATGTCGAGATCGCGAGAGTTGCGATGGTTGCCGCCGAACGTGATGAGAAAGAGGCTTTTCGAGAACGCCTGGAGTCGATCGTCCAGGAGGTGTGCAAGGCAGATCCCGAGCGGCTACCCATCGTCTCACTCCAAACTTTCGGCAGCTTTCGCTCTGGCTTTGCAAACGCAGGCTCGGACATGGATCTGGTAATAGTGCTGCCAGATGGCTCCCCAGCTAACGCAAGTCTGGGACTGCTCGAAGATGACTTGCCACGGGCATTAGAGAAAAAACTGCTTCAGCTCGGCTTCGGTGCACGACTGCTCACTCGCACGAGGGTACCCATCATCAAAATCTGCGAAAAGCCGGCCGAGAGTCTTCTGGACAAATTGAGGGAGGAGCGTGAGAAGTGGGACTATCTGGACCACGACAAGAAGTACCCGCATCTACACGAGTACGACGGAAATCAGCAAGCTGGTCCGAACGATATCAGCTCTGCCTTGGCTGGTGCCGACGGACCTGCGAGAACCAACGGTGCCAGTCCAAATGGAGCGGCGGGCATATTAGCGCCACCACAACCTGTGGATGGTGCCCTTTCCATCGATGCCAACGGCACGACCAATGGTGCAACAGCTCTAGCGGAGGCCGTCGAGCAGCTCTCTGTCGATGAGAGCAAATCCGGAAATGCCAACAAGTCAGAGGCGCTCGCGACAAAACCGAGGCGTGATAACAGACCTTTCACCCGCGAGCGTAAAGCTGGGCCACTGGACTTTTCAAAGTCGGGCGTAGGCATCCAGTGCGACATCAACTTCTTCAATCCACTCGGCCTCCACAACACGCAGCTACTCCGCTGCTACGCTTTCTGCGACCCTCGTGTGACACCAATGATCCTCTTCATCAAGCAGTGGGCCAAGAAGCGCAAGATCAACAGCTCATACTCTGGCACACTATCAAGTTACGGTTACGTCCTCATGGTGCTGCACTATCTTGTCAATGTGGCTCGGCCTGCGGTCTTGCCAAACCTTCAAGGCCCATGGCGACCATCTGCATCGTGTCAGCTTCCAGGAGCGACAAGAACAGAGTGCGATGGCTGGACCGTCGACTTCTGGCGTAACGAAGAAGAGATTGCAAGAGCACTAAAGGCCGGTCAGATGTCCACCAACAACGAGCCTCTCGGCTCCTTACTGAACGGCTTCTTCGACTATTTCTCGTCCATGGGTAATGGCCCTAAGTTCCACTGGATGCAGCAAGTGCTCTCCTTGCGCTCTCAAGGTGGTATACAGACGAAGGAGGAGAAGGGATGGGTCAAAGCTATCACAGAAGAAGGAGAAGGCAAGAAGGTGCAGCACAGGTATCTGTTTTGCATCGAGGATCCCTTCGAGCTGGCGCACAATGTCGCCCGCACCGTGACTCACCCTGGCATTGTCGCTATACGAGACGAGTTCAGGAGGGCAAAGAGGATACTGATGGACATTGGCTTTGGGCGTGAGGCAAATGATGGTGGACTCTTTGATGAGCTAGTCGAGGAAGTGCCGGAGGCTGTAAGTCTGGAGGTGCTAGAAGAATCCACCAACGGCGCCGTGCAGACTTTGATGCAGCGGCATGCTCTGCATACTGCTCAGCACGCCGCTCAGCAGAACCAACGGCAGGTTCAGAACAGAGGTGGCAATTCCCGCGGGCCACCGAATGGTCGACAGCAGGTCCAGGCCACCAAGACAATCGACATGGCAGACAACGATGCCTTCCCTACACTAGGTGGCGGCTGTGCGAAGGCCAAGTCGAAGCCAACGAGTCGCCAGAATGAAGCTAATACTAGTGAGATCTCTGGCGAGAAGGCGCAAGCACTGCTCGCTAAGATCAAGCAGGAGAAGGCTGGACGTCATGCTGAGGCTACTGCTACAGATGTGGCGGAGAGTGTATTGAGAGGACTTGACTGAGATGACTGAACACTGATATGGGGCACGGATAGCCTGTCAAAGGGTTCAATGAATATATGAGTCAATGCTAAAAGAATGGACATGAGCGGAGCATGGGTATGGCACTAGACTTGCATGGTACAGATGATTCGAGGCTGTGAAAATGTTGTTGCTTGGCTGTGCATGATATGCTCGGCGCACAACCGTACATTAGCTTCGCTCATGCAAGTAGTCCACAGAGGCGTACCACTCATAGTGAAGTCTTACAGCACCTCCACAATCTGATCATCCTCATCCTCCTCGACCTCTTGAATCTTCGGCACCTCCACCTCCTTGCCCGCTCCCTCTTCGTCTCTCATGAGTACCTGCACCAACCGATCACAACTCTCCCTCACGTCCTCATCCTCAACCTGTAAGTGCAGTTCTCTAACAATGGGATATACCTTCACCTTCCTCAAATGATCTCGACTCTCCCTTGCCGTAGTCAGGAGGAGTAGGGTATCGAGAAGTGTACAGATGATATCATTCTGCTTCTCCCTTTCTTTGTCTGGGTCGAGCAGTTGACATTCGTCTGGCATGCCTTCTGTGTCTTCGTCGCTGTACTCTTCTGAACCCATCAGGGGCAGGAGAATGTAAGGTAGGAGTCCTACACCAGTCTCGGTCTGGTCGAGTAGGAGTCGCGAATGTGATGAGACGCTGAAAGTGCAGTTCTTGATCGTGTTCGCCACACCTCGTCGCCGGATGGTGGATTTGTGTTCAGTGAAGACGATCAGTTTTGTCAGGGGCACGATGTCCTTGTCTTCCTTCCGGGATGCCAGGAAGTATTCCCGGCCAGAGTCTTCTTTGACGAGATCCGCGAAGAGATAGGAGAGGTAGTCGTACGTTGCATTCTTATTCGTCCCGGCTACGAAGCAATCGAGGAGCTGGTCGATTGCTATCGGTGATGTCGACAAGGCTTTGGGGACCTCTCGCTTCAGAGTCAACAGTTTTGTGATGTTGGAGGACTTGGCGAGGTTGGCGAGGAGCATGCAGGTCTCATCTGCGTTGGGCTCGTTTGCGTCCTGGACGACGGAATCAGCGACGATATCTTGATGATGTGGGTGATATGGCGAGCTGGGGGACTAACATACTGTCACCTTCTTGAGTAAGGCCTCCAGGAAGTCACCATCGTCGGCAAGGTTCTTGAGAATTTCTTGATCTTCGGACAGATTGACGAGCATCGTCAAGGCATTCTTCGCAATGGGCGCATAGTCTCGCACCAACAGCTTCAAGTCCTTGACCGGTTCCAGTTGATTTCTTTTGAACAGCGATGGTCGTGCTGTGGTGTAGCCGACCAGATTCTCAGCAGCTAGAAGAATGGATCAGAATCTGTTTTTGCATTATGGTATTGCCACCATCAACATACCTATCGTCCGGATTTCTGTGTTGCCATGATGAAGGAACTCGACGAGCTGTGACAGCATCAGCTTGAATCGACGTGAGTTGTCGATACTCTCCTACCTCTTCCAGCTCCGTTGGCATGATCGATCACAATATGATATGAATGTTTGTGCTTTGGAACTCGGATCGAAGGTCGTCGACAAGGATTTATTCGTGGGTCCAAGCTCAATCAAGTTCATCTCAAAGTCGATCGCGTTAATCGTACACGCTAGCGTCTCCAGCCACAGGCCTATGCTCCATGCTTGCCAGGACATGTACAAGGCACACGAGCTGCTACATTACATTGTTGTGATGTGTTGATGGCACCTAACGAGGTAACGACGATACGATGCTTGTAGAGCTTAGGCGGAGTAGAGAGGCGCAATCATGTTCAACGTAAGCAGACATGCCATGCTACTCTGCTCAATGACTAATGTTACATGTGTATCAGCGCCTCAAGAACTTCAATCTCGATGCCCTCCTGGACAGCAAGATAGCAGAGGAGCAAGCGAAGCAGGCTAAACAATCTCAGTCACCGAAACGATCTGGAAGCAATGCCGGAGCAAGGAGAAATAGTGGTCGGACAGACTCGCCTGCTCGAAGGGCCGGAAGTAGATTGAGGGCTGCGGATGCTGGCGATGCTGTCGTGACGGGAAAGAGCCCCGATCCGGAGGACTTCGTGATCGGCGACGATGCTTCCGACATCTCGAGGGTGGCTACGCCAATGCCGACGAAGGAAAGTGCGGATGGACCACAAGATGAAGAAGGCAAGAAGGATGTCTCTGCGTCCACCAACCAGAAAGGGAAGGAGAAGGCCGTAGAGGAAGACGAGCTGCCCGACGATGTGCGCAAGAAGTTGGCCAAGCTGGAGACTTTGACGGGACGATACCAGGATCTTCTTCGCAACTACCGAACGGCACACGCTCGTGTGGTTGCTATCGAGCCCTTTGAAGCTACGCTCAGAGAGCACACACCTCTGACATCAATACAAGAGCCGGGTGCGTTGGTCGAATTCTTGAATCAGCGAGCTTTGCAGAGCCAGATGGTGCTAGAGGAGCTCAAAAGCGTGACTGGGGAGCGGGAGGATTTGAAGACGAAGTTGCAGGAGGCGGAGAACAAAGCCAAGGAGGCCTTCGACGAGGCTGCCGGGTTACGAGAACAACGTCAGGGAAATGCGAAGGACTCGAGGGAAACAACTCATACAAGTGGTGGAGATCCTCTTGGCGTCAGCCACTCTAGTGCCGCTGAGAAGACACCTGCATCGGGCGAGGACGAGGATTTCTTCTCGTATGATGCCGAGCAAAAGCAGGGAATAGAGGATGAGATCAAAGCCTACGTGGCTGAGATCCAGGAGCACAAGGATTACATCAATGAACTCTCCACCGAGAACGCCACTTTACGCAAAGATCTTGACATGTGCCAGCTGAACCTCAATGCCATGGAGAACAAGGTCGGCGTGAAGGATCGTGACCTTGACGGCGTCAAGCAGGCGCTAGGTGAAGCCAAGGAGGAGATCGGCGCTGCAGGCAAGGCTCGCGTAGAAGCTGAAGAACAGGAGCACGAAGCTGCTGCTCTTCTCGCCCAGACTGAGGGACAGGTTCTCCACTTGCAGGAGCGATTGAAGGGGTACCAGCAATCGCTGCAGGATCGTGAACAGGAGTTGAAGGAGAAAGCTGCGTTAGCGGAAGAGAATCTGAAGAAGTATCAGGACGAGCACGCCGAGAACCTCAAGAAGGGCACGTATTCGCAACGCGACGAGAAGGGTATTCAGACCTTGCGAGGTCTGGTGAACACGCTTCGCGAGCAATCGCAGCAGGCAGAAAACAGTAAGCTGCAGGCTGAGGGCCAAGCACGCGATCTACGTTTTGAGCTCAACAAATTAGAGTCAGAGGCCAACACACGCGGCAACCTGCTTGAAAAGCTTCGGCACCAAGAAGGTGCAGCAACTGCTTTCAAGCGCAAATTGGCCGAGGCTGAACAAGAGCGTGACGAAGCGCAACGCCTGGCAGACAGCAAGAAAGGTCATGAAGCTTCGGCCGCGAGTTTGAGAGTCCAGCTCAAGACCGCTTTCAAGGAGCGTGACGATGCTTATCAGATGATTCTTGATTGTGGCAAGTGTAAACTGCCAGAGAAGGAGCATGAGAAGTTACCCGAGACGCCTACCCAGATTAGCACTCCGGAGCCGCGATCAAGAATGGGATCAGAGAGTACTGAGGTTACTGAGGCGTCGACACTACCTACCACGCCTGGCACACCGTCGGTGGACGGTGAGCCAGAGAGCACCGAGGCTAAGAAGAAGAACAAAAAGAAGAAGTCAAAGGCAAAGAAGAAGCCTCTTTCAGAAGCTGCGTCCGAGTCGACCACAACAGTTTCAGCACCAACAATCGACATCGATGAACTCATCGCCAACCCTGAAAAAGCCAGAGAGATGCTCAAGCAAGATGGTGCAGCGCAGAATGTGGCCAGTCAACTGATTCCGCGATATATCGAGAAGCTTAGATCCGATACCGAGACGCAGCATGACGGCCGAGAAGAAGTCATTCACCACCACGAACAAGTGATCGAAGAACGCAATCAGACAATCAGCGACTACAGCCGCCTTATCCGCGAGAAGGACCAGGAGATTGAGGCTCTTCGACATGCCATCGGGCGGAAGGAAGAAGCGATCGAGCGACTTGATCGGAAGTTGAAGGGCGAGGAGGAATTGAAGGAAGAGATCCAATCATTGAGGGATGACATGGTGGAGATCGGAGCTCAAGCGACTGATGCGAAGCACGAGCTCAAGATTGTGCGAGAGCAAAAGCAAAGTGTGCAGCATGAAGTTGAAGAACTCCAGATCGAGAGTGATCAGTTCCGAAAGGAAGCTAGGGATGCTCAGGCGCAAAGAAACGATTTGTCTAGCAGGTGCCAGGTGCTTGAGAAAGAGATTGTGGCGTTGAAGGGTGCCCAGAGTTCTACTTCTACTGCTACAGCGGAGGAGTTGCAGGCTGTGAAGGAGAAGTTGAGTGGTGCAGAGAAGGACAAGGAGGCTTTACAGCTAGCGAAGGAGACGTGTGAGAAGCAGATTGAGGAGTTAAAGACGCAGCATGGGATCGATTCTACAGAGCGTGCCGCCAAGCACAAGTCGCTCGGGGAGGAGTTTGCGCAGCTGGAGTCGAAAGCATCATCGCTGGAGAAGGACCTCGCGGCTGCGAATGATCTGGCACAGACGAGGTTCAAGGATTTGAGCGAGGTGAGAGAACACTCGAACAAGCTGCAGCCGGAATTAAAGAGGTTGCGTGAAGAGGCTGCCGAGCTACAGACAGTGAGAGCAGAGCTAGAGAAGTCAGGTGCTTCGTTGAAGAGGCTAGAAGGCAAGGAGAAGGACCTAAGATCCGAGATCGCGGAGTACAAGTCCCAGGGCGTCACAAAAGATGGCGAGATTGCCGAGCTACGAGGGCAAGCTAAGCAGAGCGATGAGCGTAGTAAAGCACTGGAAGAATCATACGAGAATGCTCGACAAGATCTCGAGCAGAGCCAAAGTAGGCGCGATGAAGCTACAGAGGGCAGAGATAAGATGCAAGCGGATCTCCAAAAGTCGGAAGGTGACCTTCAGCGCTCGAAGTCGACTCTAGCGGAAATGGAACACCAACTCAAGAAGCTCCGCGACGAGGCTAACAATCTTCGTGAAGACCTACAGCTGGCCCGGGCTCAGCATGCTAGTGCGCAGAACTCCATGTCGAACCAGCAGGATCAAAGTCGAGAACTCGCCGTCCAAATGCGCGAGGTCCGCGGTCGAAACGAGAGTCTTGAGGAAGAGCTGATGGAAGCTCAAAGACTTCTACAGGAGAGGAGCAGAGAGGGTGAGACGATGCGCCGGATGTTGGAGGAAGTGGAGACGAGAGCTGAGCAAAGGGTCAGAGAGATGAGGGAGCGCATGGACTTGGCTGTTGAGGAGCGGGACAGGGTGGAAGACGAGGCTAATACTGTTGGTCGTAGGAGGTCTAGAGAGCTGGAGGAGTTACGGACGAAGCTTCGGGATGCTGAGCGGGAGGCAGCCAGGGCTAGCGAGGCAAAGGGTGATGCCGAGAAGAAGGAGCGGGCATTTCAGGACCAACAGATTGACCTGGAGAAGAGGGCTGCGCGGGCTCAGGAAGAGCTGAGTGAAGTAAGAGAAGCAATGGCGCAACTGAGGAAGAGTCTCGATGAGAGTGAACGTCTTACTACCGCCCTGGAACGGGAGAAAGCGGAGGTGAAGAACGAGCTCGAAGAACGACAGACTCGACTCGAGAAGCTGCAGAAATCCAGCAAAGCCATGTCGGAGGAGCTGCGTACCTTGCAAGCAGGCAACAAGATAAGACAAGGTAGTTTCCAGTCCTCGCAGCGAAGCTCGATAGATACTAGCCGCGTCATGTCGCCCGGACCTCGCGCAGTGAGTGGGAGTGGCAATGGGACGCCTGTTGCTAGTACAAGGGGTGGAGATCAGAGTAAGGAGAGTATCGATTATGTGTATCTTAAGAACGTGCTGTTTCAGTTCTTGGAGCAGAAGGAGAAGAAGCATCAGATGCAGCTTGTGCCGGTTTTGGGGATGCTTTTGCATTTCGATCGGTAAGTTGGGTCTTGTGTGGTAGGACTGTTTGTGGATGTGATGCTGATTTGTGGCTTCTAGGCAAGATCAGCAGAAGTGGGAGGCTGCTATTGCTGCTCGATGAGTGACGATGGACGTAGCAGGCTTCGAAGACACCATTGCTTCGCACTGTGAACAGCAGCAGGGCATCACATGACTCGCCTACCATGATCAATCGCCTGGGTTGCTTAGGCGAGACGCAACTGCCTGACACGATGGCTCTCGCACCAGGCTGACACACCAGATGCACCACTTTCGAGCCGGCTTGCCACGGTCTACGACTGTGCTCTAGCTTCCGGTCGGTCATGCTTCGAGCATCGCTTGAGACGATAACGAGGCCGTGGCAGCATGTACGTATAGGGGAAGCACATGTATACTAGTAGCATGACTTCATGCCTGGGGATCTGTATGAAGCAAGCAAAGGCATGATTGTAATAAGGCTAGCCGAAGCATCATCGAAGCGAATATCCGCCACAATTTACCCGCCTTGTAAGATTTCTCTTCATGCGCCTAGTGCGCGTACCTGCTTTCTCGAGAAGGCGATCATGCAGGTTTGCATATTCGAGCATGATTCTCTACGGCGTTTTATCGCGCGAGGCTGCATGTCGTGTGCAAAGCATGACCTGCAAAGGCTTTGTTGTCGATGTCAAGCGAATGAACGAGCAGGTAACGCGGCACATGATAATCTGTTCTGGCGAATCTACGCCAAGGAGTGCACTGACGAGCTTGTGTTGACTGCCGAGTGATCGCCTCTGTTTTAGGATTTATATGTCTGCGGTTGAGATAGTGACAAGCATACAGATATAGCAACTGGCTTTGCCTATCCTTTCATCAATCAATAATACCTTTAGATTAGAAGTAAGTGGATGTAATGCTGAAGCCGGACTTTGTTGATCATGCTCTGATGTGTGCCGTCATAACGTCTCTCCACCAGCCGGACTTCCTGATTCGCTCTGGGGGCGTGCGTGCTCAGTGCTGCTGCGCCAGCCAGCCTTCCCAGACCCCAGTCCCGGTGGTGCTAGTTTGTTAGTTCTACTATCGTGGGACTTTGTTCAACGACGACATCTCTGTCTTCGATATACCTGCGTGACTTGTCTGGAGTGAAGAGAACAGAAAGGAGGGGAAAGTTGAAGTAGGGTATACAGGAAGGGAGCGTGACATATTCTACCTATGCGCTGGACTCCAAGCGCTGCCCGGCCATTGCCATCGCCAGTCGCGGAACCGCCAGATCCAGCAGCTACATCAGCAGCGACGGAGAGACGCAGAGACGCAGAGAGAGAGCTTCACTGTGAGGAGGAAGTCGGTCTCAAACTTCTCATTCGGAGACGCTGGACATATTCGCCGGCGCAAAGCCGATCGGTGTGAGAAAGTGGACAACACAAGATGAATGGCAGCGACAGCATCAAAAAGGCGGCGATCAACAAAGCCAAGCAAGTGGCCAGCACCGTGAGCTCGGGTGGTAATAATGGCAGCAATAATGGCAGCAATAATGGCAGCAATGGCGGGAAGAAGCGGCGGAAGCAAGATCTGAAGCCCATCATCACCACCGAGCAGCAACAGCAGCAGCAGCAGCAGCAGCAGAATAGGTGAGTGACCTTGACAGCAAGCTTCTTGATCTCTAAGACCTGCGAATCTTGCGGCCGCTTTGCAACTCCACACATACACCACCACACTCGCATGGTACTAACACAAATACTAACACTGCTGCCGTCGCTGCCACCATTGTCGCTGCACATCGCAATTACATCACATCGCATCGCGCATCGTGCTTTCATAGCACGTCATGCCACGCCCACTAACAGCTCGCAGTGGACAGAGTCAAGGCTCGCCTCTCAACCACCAAAAGGGTCAATACGGCCACGACATCCACCAATCACCCACGGATTCCGAATCGAGCGGCGACGAGGCTACGGAGAACACCGCGGACGAGGAGGACTCGGAGGACTACTGCAAGGGTGGTTATCACCCCGTCCAGGTGGGAGAGCAGTACAAGGATGGCAAATACACGATTGTGCGGAAGCTGGGGTGGGGTCACTTCTCCACCGTGTGGCTCTCGAAAGACAACATCACTGGCAAGCACGTTGCGATGAAGGTTGTGAGGTCCGCCGCACACTACACCGAGACTGCCCTGGATGAGATCAAGCTCCTCAACAAGGTCGTCGAGGCGAACAAGGATCATCCAGGCAGAGCTCACGTGGTTAGCTTGCTGGACTCGTTCAACCACAAGGGTCCGCACGGCATGCACGTATGCATGGTCTTCGAAGTGTTGGGTGAGAATCTCCTCGGCCTGATCAAGAGGTGGAACCACCGAGGCATACCCATGCCACTGGTCAAGCAGATCACAAAGCAAGTCCTCCTCGGCCTAGACTACCTCCACCGTGAATGCGGCATCATTCACACCGACTTGAAACCCGAAAACGTCCTGATTGAGATTGGCGACGTGGAACAAATCGTGAAGACATACGTCAAAGACGAGAACAAAGCCAAGGACGACCACAGGAACGGCCGCAGAAGAAGAAGGACCCTCATCACCGGCAGCCAACCCCTCCCTAGCCCCATGAACGCAAACTTCTCCCAAACCGACATCATGAGTAATTATCCCGGAAGCACGCAGAGTTTGAACAAGGTCATGAATGAGGGTAAAGGTAATTCGCAGCCTCCTGTCTCCGGTGCTTCGCCGATTGGAGATAAGAGTGCTGAGATGAGTGGTGCTGCAGGTCCTCCTTCCAATCCTCCGCCGCCAAAGTCGATGCTCGAGAGTCTAGGTATCATGAATAATGCCGAGGAGAATGGTGTGGAAGGTGTTGATCCGCAGAAGGAGAGGGAGAAGACTGCGTAAGCATTAATCATCCAATAAAGTATATTCGTGTTGTCAACTGTGGTAACTGATGTTCAGACGCAGAGACATACTCGCCAATAACGTTTCGGACATGGATCTAGGCACCTCACACCCTCCTCAGCCAAGGGAGATGGAGAGGGGCGATAGTATGGATTTGATCTCCGTCAAGATTGCGGATTTGGGGAACGCCTGCTGGGTTGGTCATCACTTCACGAATGATATTCAGACGAGGCAGTATCGATCTCCCGAGGTCATTTTGGGGGCGAAATGGGGCGCGAGTACGGATGTGTGGAGTATGGCGAGTATGGTAAGCCACTTACTTCTGAAACATACAATACAGCATATGGTGGACGCTAATATGAACGACCAGGTCTTCGAACTCATCACGGGCGACTACCTCTTCGACCCCCAATCCGGCACCAAATACGGTAAAGACGACGACCACATCGCGCAGATCATCGAGCTCCTCGGCACCTTCCCCAAATCCCTCTGCATCTCGGGCAAATGGTCGCAGGAGATTTTCAATCGCAAGGGCGAATTGCGTAATATCCATCGTCTGCGCCACTGGGCCCTGCCCGATGTTTTGCGGGAGAAGTACCACTTTTCGATCGAGGAGGCGAAGCGGATCGCGGATTTCTTGCTGCCGATGTTGGAGCTGTTGCCGGCGGAGAGGGCGAATGCGGGGGGGATGTCGAATCATGCGTTCATGGAGGGGGTTAAAGGGATGGATGGGGTGAAGCTTGGGGTGGAGATGGGGAGTAAAGGAGAGGGGATCGAGGGGTGGTCGACGGAGGTGAAGAAGCTGCGGTAGGGTCGTGGTTTGAGGCATGCTGATGCGGGGTTGCCCCGGGTGAGGCGGCGATGGTCGTGAGGAGCGGCAGGGAATGCATGCTCTGGTCCTTGTGCGCATCGAGGAGGTACGGGGGATCCTTTCGCTTCTTGCCTGAGGGTCCGCGATTTCAGGCAATTAAGAGGGAGGAGGAGTGGGGTGTGCGAGGAGGCCAAAGTTACAGTGTGGCTTCTGACGAATTGATGCCCCCAGATACATCATGTTCATAGGCATGACCATTCAGTCACTCCTTAGTATACGTGGAACAGAAGCGCTATACAATGATAGTTTTTGTGCATCTACCATGCTTTCTTCAGCTCCACAATAATAATAATAGGTCCATGTGACTCTTTGCCAACGCCGAATGACACACCCTGTTGCTTCGGCCTCATCGCGGCAGGGTCTTGCCTCGCTCTGATGACCCGGTAGAGAGCGTTTCAAGACGAGCGGTCCTCGTACGATGGTATTTCGGGACCGTACGCTTCACGAAGGAGTGCCTGCGCCTTTTCGACAATACCTCCTAGCCGTCTCGACCTCGAAATCCTTCGCAGTCCAGACTGGCTCCTGGATCTCAGCATTTGGAGCTGAGTGTACTTCGCTGACGTACGGCTGTCCTACATATCTGAGCAGCCAGTTGCGTGTATCAGGCCAACAACCCGACTCAGGCACGAAATCTCTCGCGCAAATAAAAAGTGGCGTGAAGAAAAGCTGCAGGGACAAAAGGCAAGGCAAGATCCGCCTTTCTGGAACTAATTTAGAGTTCAACAGGGTCTCATCTACATTCAGAAGTGGTTCGATTGCTGCTCGGCGGGAATTGACCGCCATCATAAGCAGTACAGATTGTTGTTGAAGAAGACCAGTTCACTCTTTTGATTAAGATTACTCGTCTTCTCTTTTGTTCGCCACATGACCCGCACACTTCTGACTTGATCACACCTGCATTCATTCCATCCGCTGCTTGAGTGTTGTGCAACACAGTATAGGAAAAGAGTGGGATTGGATCTCACAAGGGATTCTGGCAAGATGCCAATGACTACCTATACCATGGACGTGTTGTAAGTTCGCCACCTACACGACAGTATCCGAGCAAGCCCTTCAGACGTCCCATCGTTCCAACGCTCCATCACCTGGTCGTTCTAGTACTAATACCGCCGGTCACAGTAACAACGCCACCTACACCTCCCTCACCTCCGCCATGCTCCCACACACCACCAACACATACTGGCACGAATTCAGCGAGATCAGCCGCGCCACTCCCTCTCTAAACTACTTTGAGCGACTATGGGCGGCATGGTATGCCTTCATGGGCAACGATGTCCTGGCCACCGGAATCATGAGTTTCATGATGCATGAGCTGGTGTATTTCGGAAGGAGTTTGCCGTGGATGATCATTGATCAGATGCCGGCGATGAACAAGTACAAGATCCAAGGTGTAAGTTGATATTCCAGCGGGGACGAGAAGAGGTGTAGCCGTGTTAGTGGCAGTTGGTCGATGAACAGCAGGCTGATATCATGCATAGCAAAAGGTGCCCTCGAAGAAGGAACAATGGGACTGCGCCAAGCTTGTCCTCCTCTCCCACTTCACCGTCGAACTACCGCAGATCTGGTTCTTCCACCCAATGGCGCAGTACTTCGGCCTCACCACCACCGTACCCTTCCCTTCGATCTTGACCATGGCATACCAGATCGCTATCTTCTTCGTGTTGGAGGATACATGGCACTATTGGTCCCACCGCGCTCTGCACTGGGGACCGCTGTACAAGAACATCCACAAGATCCACCACCAGTACTCCGCACCCTTCGGCCTAGCAGCGGAATACGCAAGCCCGATCGAAGTCATGATCCTTGGTCTGGGAACAGTCTCGGGACCGATATTGTGGTGTGCGATCACCAAGGACCTGCACATCTTGACCATGTACATCTGGATCGTGCTCCGGCTGTTCCAAGCCATCGACGCGCATTCCGGCTACGAGTTCCCATGGTCGTTACACCATTTCCTGCCTTTCTGGGCCGGTGCCGATCACCACGATACCCATCACGAGAAGTTCATTGGCAACTATTCCAGCTCCTTCAGGTGGTGGGATTATGTCTTGGACACCGAGAGTGGAGCTGAGGCGCAGAAGAGGCGACGGGAGAGGAAGTTGGCGAAGGCGCAGAAGGCGCAGTAGGTGTATTGAATCGAGCGTGGTGGTCTGGATTTTTAGGAGCGCGCGCTTTGCTGATGAGTCCTGCGAATTTGCTTCAGCTGGGCTCCTGGCGTTGTTTAACAAGAGGCGACTGCGATTTGGGCTACGGTCATGCATTCGCTATGGTGTTCAAGGGCGTTTCTTGCATAGCAGGGGACTGACTGCTGGGTTTGGACGGATATGTCCTGGAAAATGGTCTCTACCTAACTTGTAAATATTTTTATGGCGGTAGAGATTTATGAGTGAGATGGCCTTACGGCGCCTGTAGAATGAAGAGACTTTGGTTACGTGTCTATGCTACAGGTTTCAGGCAGAACATATACCTTCTGATGGGTACTTCGTCGGTCATGCGACCTGCTGACACAGGCCCTAGTCATTGTAACATGTACACGATTCATCCAATCCGACTCGAGCTCGAGCTTCTGGGCTGCAGCAGGCACGCAGAGCTGCCGGCCCACGTCATTGTTGGTTGTGTGTTGGCCGTTGGAACATGAAATTGTATCTTGGTTCCTGTCCTTGGTCGAGCATAGTCTTCATAAAACCAAAAAGACCCTCACATACGCATAGGCTGGGCCTACTCTTGACAGATATTGACAAGATGGTCTGAAGCCATACCGTCATCAGCAGAAGCTGACCAGCAACCATGAGCTTCGTGCTCGACCAAGTGCGTCGGATCGATGCCCAGCTAGATCGTGTACAACTTGCGACTTTGCCCCCTTCATCACCGGGTGCTTCGCGAACGAGTGCCTCCAACTTCGATAGTAGCAAGGCGAAACCATCTACGCGGTTGCTAGCCCTTCAGGCCTCGATCCGTGGTCTTACTCCTTACGGCTCAGATACGAGAGCCCTCCTCAGACCGGCTCAGATCGCCCTATACATTTCCACACTCTCGCCGCGACCGGAAGCACCGCTTGCGATAGCAGAAGAGGACAGGGACGAGAAGGAGCCGTATGAGACGGAGTTGGAATGGTTGCTAGTGTCCAAGGCTACGGCACAGACATATGGCTTTGCGCTACAGAGTATCCTCGACAATACGGTTGCTATCGCCGATGATCTTTGGTACTGGGACGAGATCCTCTCATCACGACGCTACAGCGCTCTCTACGGCATCCAGATCTCGCCTTTCCAGTTCTGGCATTGGAGCCTTACTGTTTGGGAGGACGTGAAAGCCCGAGGGGGAGACTTCAGCATCACGGGTGCGCGGAAGGATGCAGCTGATAGTCTGGGCAAGAGATGGTCGGAATTCTATGGGCTTGTGAGGCAAGTTGTAAGTGAGAGGAGTGTGCAGGAGATCAACAAGCAAGTTCTGAGTCCGGTCACGAGACTACGAGGCGAGATCAGGAGGAAGCAGGCTGCGCTGAAGAAAGTCAGATCACGGAATGCGAATGCTCTTGGGGTGTTGTTGGGTGAGGGTCTTGCGAATGAAAGCGCACACGGCGACGCGCTCGGAACGGACGATCTCGAGCAGGCACAGCAGAGGTGGATGGCTTCGGTCGCGAGGAACGTGGCGTTGATGGAGGCTGTCCTTGCCAAGTGCAACGATGCTGAGACGCCGATCGAAAAGTTCGATGCGGCTGTCGCGGAGCTCACGGATGACGATCCACTGTACGGTGCTGATATGTCTGCTGATGAGGAAGGCGGCGGGATGACGGGAGTCAGGCCGCAGGATGTTGCTGAGCGATTGACGAGGGTGATTTCCATGGCGTTGCCGCAGTATGATGCTGAGCTCAAGAAAGTGGTGCGGGAGCATGGGAAGCCGTCGCGGGTAGTGAGGTGGTGGCTTCCTTTGACTATCGGCTTGCTTTCGTCCAGTACTGTCCTAAGGATCCTGGTCAATCGGAAGGCAGAGATTGTGCAGTGGGTGCAGGAATTCGGAGTGACTGTGCTGGACTTTTGGCGGAATTGGGTTGTCGAGCCCACGAGGAAAGTGGTCAGCACGATCAGGCACGATGAGGGGAGCGAGGTCAGTATCATGTCGAAGCGGTCGCTGGAGGGTGATAGAGACAGGTGAGTGCCATTTCCAGATCGTGGATGCTCTTAAGAAATACTGATCTCCGTTTTAGCCTCGAGCGTATGGTCGTCGACTTTGCCATTGACAACCCTGCTCACGCCACTGGATCAAAAGCGAAACTCACGGAGACTGAGATAGCGGGCATCAGGACGAAGGTCCGCGAAGGCGACCTCACCCCCGTCCTCAAAGCTTACGAACAAGACCTCGCCTCTCCACTCATGGGCACAGTCCGCGGCAATCTCATCCGCGCCCTCCTGATACAAATCCAGAAGACGAAAGTCGACGTGGAAGTGGCCATCGGCGGCATCGACTCCCTGCTCAAATCCCAAGAACTGGTCTTCGGCTTTGTCGGTCTGACGCCGGGGATCTTGGTCACGTATTTCGCGACCCACTACCTCCGGACCTCACTCTCGCAGAAACGCGGTTCGAAAGCCGCGAGGAAGCAGGGTATCATGATGAGGCAGCTTCGAAATATCGACCGTGTCTTGAGCAGAGGGGTGCCGACGGAGTATGGTGAGCTGCCGTATAAAGACCAGGGTTTGCTTCTGTGTGAGATGCATGTTCTGAGGAATGCGGCGCATAGGATCATGCCGGCAGAGGTGTTCAAGGAGTTTGGTGAGGATGTGGAGGAGTTGGGGGATGTTAGGGTGGGTGTGGAGAGGCAGAAGGCGGCGGCGCAGAGGTTGAGGTGGGCTTATGCGCGACATTTGTCGTAAGCGCTCGAGTGGTTGAGGACATGTATGATTGTAAGCCTCTACTCTGTCTGCTGCGTCGGCAAGAGTACTAAGACAAGGATCAAGTGCCTTGCCGAGATGTCATCGAGGGTGGGAAAGTGGAAGGTGACACCAATTACATACAGGCTGTGCTTCAGTATAGTCTGCGTGGGCAAGCGGCATGTCCCTGTCCAGCGACATGATGAAGCCAAGAAGGGGGAATAACCAGAGAGGGGAGGTCGGATTGTAGGGAGGTATTACACAATTCGCTGCCCGCGCAAGTCGAAGGAAGCTGAAGATCTAGTGTCATTGTACCGAGTGACATCCAAGAGGTAAGAAAAGTGTATGCTATGCATTCAGCGGCCGGGAAGGAATATCTTGCTCAGCCATGGAGCAGATAGGGTTTAGAGCGAATGATCGTCCTTGAGAGTCGAAGGCCATCTGAAATCGTGCCATTGGTACAGAACGTCTTCGTACATTTCCTTCGGCTGCTGCTGTACGCTGCTCGCTATAGTACAATGCTTTCCCACCATACACCTGCGCTGTTCTGAAGACGAAGAGCTTGCGTCAACTCATGCTTACTGCTGCTCAGCAGTCTTCTTTCCCTTCTCGTACACATTCTGGAGCTGCTGGCTCCGCTTCTCGAGAACCTGGCCAATCTCCGAAAGCGTGTCCTTGGCGAGCTGCTCGGCCTCCTCGCCATGCTGTTGAGCGGCTTGCTGCAGCTTCTGGAGTTGAGGCAGGATCTTGCCGCCGCCTGGGACCATGCCGACGAGCTGGGAGAGGCTGCCGCTGCTGAATGATGATTGGGCCTTTTCCTTGGCGCTGCGATTCTGTTAGTAAGACAACTTGTGAGGTGATGCTGCTCGAGAACACTTACTTCATGATGTACTTCTCCAAGTTCATCGTGCTACCTGAGGTGACAGCAGCAGAGACGGCACTTGCTAACTCGCTGAAATTACCAGAGCTCAAGGCATCCTTGTTGTCCTCCACCAACTTCTTGACCTGAGGTGCCTTCTCAAGCTGTGGCTGCAGAGTCTCGTACCCCTTGTCGAAAGCCTGCTTGCCCATCTTGCGGATCTGCTGCTCCTTGTCTTGTACGAGCTTGTATATCCGCTCAGCGCTGCTGAAGTTGATGCCCTCCTTGACAATGTCGCTGACCTCCTTCCACGTCTCGTCAACCTGCTTCTTGGCCTCTGGCCCGAGCTGGTCACCGAGCTGCTTCAGGTTGTCGAACGAGCCGCCGAGCTTCTCCTTGAGCTGTGGGTGGTTGTTCATGATATCTTGGGCGGCGTCACCAGCCAGGGCCATCAGACGCTGAAGGTGCTTGGAAAGAACATCCCATGTTGATGTCATGGTCTGGAGGTTCATGCCCTGCTTGCTGACGTCGCGCAGCTCTCCATATGCCTCACGGACGATCTCATCGACTTCATCGCCATGACGTTTGCGGATAATCTCAATGTCCTGGAAGACCTTGTCTGTATACTCTCGACCGCCTGGTAACCAGCGAGCATACTTGTTGGCTGTCTCGTGCAGGAACTCGATAGCCTCATTAGCATCCGGAGTGTTCTCCTGGAAGGTGGACTTGAGCTGATTGCCGGCACTGTCGACATAGCTTTTGACCTGGCCTGCTGTGCGAGCTGCCGTCGCTGCGCCCGACATCTGGTACAGGATGTAGAAGCCGACCATGCCGCCAGCGAGACCTGTCAGGGCACCGACGACCGCCGGCGATTGAGCTGTGCTCTGGGCTGCCGAGCTCGCCTGGCCGGTGGCACTGTCGGATGCGAATCGTGCATTGCGTCGAAGCGGTGCAGCATTGATGCGTACAGCTCTCGAGGAGCGGACGATGGCGCGTGTGGAGTACATGTTTGCGGTGCTGGCGAGGGAAAAGGAAGATATTGGGTCGAAGAAGGAAATCAGACTGCTAGAAGGTCCAGAACGGATATCACATGCAATTCTTCACTGGTCACTCTGCCGTCAAGCTTACGATGCGGCAGGACTTCCCCGTTTGTGCTCCAAGTTGTTGACGAATGACGTTGCTATGACATCTTGTGGAAATCCTAATTTAGGTCCGCCTCGACCACGAGCACAAGCAGCGAACCGTGACCGTTGGCTAATGCTGTAGTATCCTTCATAAGAGGATGTGGTCATGGAAGGACAGCAATAATGTAGCATTTGAAACGCACGCCGGGCCGACTTTTCGCCTTCTACGGCCATTGCACTCGGCCCGAGAGTCAGAAAGCAATCTAACGACGACATTATTCGATCTCTGTTTCTATGCTGCCTAGAGCACAGTGTCCAAGATGAGCAGCAAGCGAACGTTCACTGACTCTCTTTATGCTACAGTAACTTTGTACAACAGGGGTGAAGAAGCTCGAATACAGACTCTCGTCTCTAGTAGAGAAGGCAGCACAAACCAAGACAGTACGATCTCTGGAGTACCACAATTGATCAGATCAACGCGACATGCTTCCAACTAACGATGATCCGAAATTCCTCAACATGGGACAGCTCAGCACTGCAATACTGCGCTCATGGCTGAGACTCAGCAGCAACATTATGCGAAATCCTGACGCACCAATCGAACGCAGAAGTCAGCATGCATATCAGCTCTTGAGACTCTACCTGGCCGCTCGATTTTGCTCATTGGGATCTACAGGAGATTCAAGATGGCGAGTTTGCAGAACGAGTCTTGTATGATGCTGGCCATGACTTCTTGATGCCGCAATGTGCTCACAAGGAAATGTACGAGCTGATAGACCAACATCGACAGACTTTGGCGGCTCAAGGCCACCACTACGCGGGTTTACCTGCAATGCTCCACGAAGCATCGGTCAATGGGAGTACTCGTGCCTCCCAACAAAATGCATACTTTCAGCCGACATCAGCGGGATACCAAGACTCACCAGAGCCAGGCCCCTCGCATACGGCGCCACAATTTTCCAACATACTAGCCGCGGCTCGACAGCAATCGTATACGCAACCAGGGCAATCACGCCCGAAAGCGTTCGGGGACTATGGTGAGCCTTACGACACTGCATCTTCTCGGAGTCGTCAATAACAGCCTCCTCAGGATCGCCGATCACGTAGTCCAGAAGAGGGATCTGTCGACTACCGCAATCGTAGAACGCAAATTCAACAAAGGCCCTCAGGCATTCCTTCAAACCCTTCGGCGTTGCGTACCAACGATGTCACAGCAGGCACGCCTTCGATACCACCAGGGCTACGGACAAACCGGATCCCACCAGCCGACCAAACCTTACGACCACCTCCAGCACCAACCACATCTCATAGCCAGCTGCCTACCTTTACCAAGTCATCAAACTTGCTCTTCCCAGGTTTCAAACGGTGGTGTGGGCCCTGCCAAAACAACACATTCATCGAGATTTTACAGGCATGGGACCATTCGAGGGAGTGTCAGTTCTGCAGAAACTGTTGTGGTAGGCATCCAGACAGTATGTACTATCGGACGATGGCTCAGGACGTGGCCAGACAGGTCCAGGTTCAGCAGAATCGTGCTCACGAAACTAGCGGGAATGAGAGAGGCATTGGACTTGCTGTCGGCTGGCTTGTGGCTGCGGTCGGAGTACCCCAGGCTAGTGGCAGACACGGCGGACCATCAGCAAAGGCACTGGGGAAGCAGGCAATGAGAGAAGGAGAAGCCGGTCCGTCTGAACCACGTGCTGCAAAAGCACGCGGTGGAAGTGTACTACCGGCTTCCACCAAAACGCGTCCAGCACTGAATCTGGAGGGAGAGGCTGGACAGGGCAATGAAAGGACTGCTGGCAACACGACCCTTCCAGCGTCTAGCATTGAGCAGAATCGAGCTCCGAGAGATGAAGCTGAGGATGCTGGCAACGATGGAGAGGAACCGGACGCCGGCGTTACGGAGGCCCAAACCGCTGCTGCTGAAGGTGAAGGAGAGGACGAAGAGGGTCAAATCGGGCAGTGGGCAGCCGAAGAGTATGCCATGGCTGCTGGAGCGATTGCTCGAAGTGGTCTGCTAGCAAAGCAAGATCCACCTAGCGACAGTTGAATACGTCGGAGTGAGGTCCAGGATATTTGTGGTGGCAGCGCAGGGGTTTCCCGGTGCTGCACCAAATTGAGCTTGCGCATCGTAGGATTCTGCACGCTGCCCCGTTAGATAGATGGCAATGTAGACTAGAGCAGTGTACATAGCTTGGTGTTTACAAGGTGGTATAGTGTCGCGAAATGCGAGATCCGGTTTGTCCAGACATTCGTACCATCGATGGGAGTGTCTCGGTAAAGTGGCGGTTGAGCATATGCATGTCTTGGACAACCCGCATCGTGCGTTCAGACCATAATTGCCATAGGGTACTTAGACAGTGGTGCGCGATAGACATAGCATGTGTGGTTCCTGCTGCAGAGGCAAGAAGGTGGTGGTTGTAAGTGGATCATTACTCGCTTGCCACGAGTCGTCTACAGTACTAGAGGCGCTGCACATCCGTCTCTGGGGCTGGCTGATGAAGATCCTTACAGGGATCAATCATCGACATGAAACGAGCAGCAATTTTCCAGCATTTTTCTCCGATAGCTTCAAGTCGTGATACAGCCGAGGATTGTGCTAGTAACTGCACTCCTGCGAGGATGCACGCCCAGTATTTTATTCCTCTTTGACCGGAGCTCTGTTTGTTGTAAACTCTTGTACAAAACCATATATCAGAGATCGACGTGTGTCTCACATTTCGCTAGCACTACCGCTAGAGTGGCGCTTTGACATTTTCCCTCTCCACATTCGTAGCCCCTGGCCGCGACACTATTATTGAACGGCCGAGTAGAGACCAGCTGAAGACGTTGGGTCGTTCTTCTACTGTCACTACAGCGCGATCCCAGACCTGGACTATGTGTCGTTTGGGAGAAAACATTGGCAGCATAGATCATACGAAACACGATAATATGATGTCCGAACAGATGCAGCCCTGACTGGACGAGACGAAAGCGAAGGAGAGGGACAGGAAGGCGAACCTACCGCGAACATTGAATACTACGACGACGAAAGCATGCCTTTCAACACGCTATCGGTCGCCTCAGCAGTGACCCCATCAGTCATTGAGACATACTTTTCACATTATCTAAACCGCGGCCCTCTACGGCAGAAGCCCACGGCACACATTTCCTACCACGAAGGCTTGCGGCTGATCCGTCAGTTCCTTGACTACTCATCACGGCACTCGGTCGAGGAGCTGCAAGCCTTCACCACGCAATGGGTTCCTGCGCCAACATGGGTGCGCACCTACGATCTAGAAGTCGCACCGCAATTCCTGGAACGAGCGGCGAAGATTTTGCACACCCATCTAGGCCGACGGGATCTGGAAAAGATTGGTGGTAAGACGTGGTGGCAGTGGAGACGGCCTGAGGCTCCTCTACGAGCAGAATGGATAGAAATGAAAAAGGACTTCAATGAGCGGAAACGGGCGGGGACGAAGTGCGACAGGTGTATACTGTACGTTCATGGTGGTGCATATTACTTCGGCTCGGTGGACGAACATCGATATCAGATGCAACGGCATGCGCGAAAGTTGAAGGCGAGGATATTGGCTCCGAGGTACAGGCTTGCACCACAGTTTCCATTTCCCTGCGGGTTGCAGGACTGCATCTCGACCTATCTCTACCTGCTTGAGCACTTCCGGCCAGAACAGATCCTGTTTGCTGGAGACTCTGCCGGTGGTGGGATGGTTCTGAGCTTGCTGGTCATACTACGCGATCAAGGTCTTCCACTCCCAGCAGGCACGATATTACTATCACCCTGGGTGGACTTGACACATTCATTCCCCTCGGTAGCTGGAGATGGCGCAGGCGACTATATCCCACCCCATGGCTTTCATCACAAGCCTTCGATGGCATGGCCTCCGCCGCCCAGCGACCAGACAAAGAAGCGAGCACGCACTTTCATGGACGCTGCACCATCAGATGCAGTTGAATTGCCGGCAATTGCTGAACCCAGGAAGAAGAAGCGGAAACAGAAGAGAGGCAACGAGGATGTGAGCGACGAGGAAGAGGAGGAAGACGTAACCCCAGCTATGGCGCAAGCGAAAGCGCCAATGCATCCTACTCTGCCTGACTTTGGCGACGACCTCAGCGTCATGTTAGATGGCACGGAGATCAAGCTCAAAGAGCAGCTCCAGCTCTATGCGCCGAACGATTTGCTTGCCCATCCATTGGTCTCTCCGGTCTTGCAGCCCACACTAGGTGGTTTGCCACCAATGCTCATACAAGTCGGAGGTGCAGAGCTCTTACGTGATGAGCAGATATACCTGGCCCACAAGGCAGCAAGTCCGCATGGATACCTGCCAAGCCAAGCGATCATGCGCGAATATGATCCGCGACGGCAGCAGCTCAATCAGTATCCGGCGACTGATGTTCAGCTGCAGGTCTGGGACGACTTGTGTCATGTTCCGCACACTCTGTCCTTCACACGACCTGCAAAATACATGTATCGCTCTGTTGCACAATTTGGTGCATGGGCATTAGCGCACGCGCAGCACCGGGGCGTCGAGATTCGAGATAATGATGACAATGTATCGATTATCAGCTCTGGCGCTGAAGACGAAGGTGATGCCTCTAATGCCTCGACAACAGATCTGACGAGAAAAAAGACGGCCAAGCCTGACGAGAAGGATTCGGTAGGCGCAGTGGGTCGGGCTGGTGATCCTTTGCCACCCTTCAAGGATCACATGATTCGGCAGCGCGTCACGCGACATGGTGCTCTCTATAACCTGGCACCTGAGGCAGAAATCGCCTGCTTGGCTCTGGATCCGGCGAGTATCGGCACAATCAAGCCTGGACCTGTTCGCAAATGGCTATCGAAGAGGAGAGACAACGATGTAAAGTTCGCAAACGACTTGAAGAAGCTCCAGAAGAAGAAGGCGAAGGAGCTTGCGCAGGGCTACGATGATATTCCAGGTGAGACGCCACCCCCGACTGCACTTGTGAACAGGAGGAAGAAAGGTGTGGCACCTGAGGAGAAGAAGAAGCAGAAGAATTGGGGTTTGGCTATGTGGTCTGGCTGGGGTAGCAGTCACGATGAGAGCACACTCAAGCGAGAGGAGAAGCTTGACAAGGAGAACGAGGCTGCAAGGCAGACGAGCATGCAAAGCACGAGACCAGATGGCCGACCTGGAAGTAAGGCCTCGAATATGCCACCTCCTAGTATCTTACAAGGAGCCAACACGCTTGTTGTGCCTGGTTCTAGAAACGGCGCTGCGTCATCAGATGGTTCGACCAAGAAGCGGAGAACGAGTAGTGTGTCCTTATGGTCCGCGCCATGGTCGCAGAAGCAGGTTGTTGAAGATCAGAGGCCAAGGAGCTCGAATCGGCAAGTCATGGATACTGGACAGGCTGGTAGGAGCGCCGCTGGAAATGGAAGTGCGAATCTTGCTGGGTACAGCAGACGGTCATCCATGTCAAATCAATCTTTCGCATCACGACCAACGAGCGTTGCTGTGCCGAACGCAGGAGAAGCGAATCCTGCTAGTCTGCGCGTTCCTGGCACACAGAATACGTACTTGGCTCCGGGCGGTAATCGACCACATGATGGCATCAATGCCTTTCCGTTCAGACTACGAAGTCCAGCTTCAAATCCTTCGGTGGCTACACTTGACAGTGGCGCGCCGAGCTCGACGAATGGTGATGGTGTTAGCATTGCGGCTGTGGAGATGCCTACACACACGGATGATCATATTGAGATGCCAACTCCTGCTGATGAGCATGTTGAGATGCCAGCGGAGCCATACAGAGTGCCTACGCGAAGCGATCGACCTTCACCAATTGAGGACCCTGTCTCTGCTGTATCGCGGACTACTGAGTCGCCATTCACCGACATTGTCAGTCCGGTCGAGCAGTCATCTAGAAGTGCAGTACCAGCTAGACTGCAGACTCCACCGCAGGCACTGCCATTGCCCTTCGCAGGCCGTCCCGCCATCTTCGACAATAGATCTTCCGTGCTAGGTGCTCTTGGCGCAGACGGTATGCCAATCACACCGATGATGGCTAAGCAGCGCGCTCCAGAGATACCTCGTTCAGTACCCACGAAGACTCCGCAACCACCACCAACAGTATTCACGACTGCAGCTGCACCGTCAAATTCAACCAGGAGGGCTATGACACCGGAGGTTGACTCTGAGCAGGGCACGCCAGTGACGCCCATCGATGCGCAACAAGAAGCTTTGTTTAAGATCCGCAGTCAAGCAACATCTGACCCTACCATCACGGCGCCTACGCCGGAGGGTTCGGTAAGGGCTGATGATTCCCTGCCCGTCACTCCTGTAGATGGACAGAGTACGGCGCCTTTCAAGATTCGCAATCCAGTATACGATCCGCGTGCTGCACAGACGCCGACACCACCCCTGGTCGCTGCAGTAAGCAACGGCTCTACGGCAACAGCATCCGAGTCGCCTGAAGAGAGCAGGCCATCGCCTGAGCAGGTGCTTGCGAAGAAGCCAGGTGAGGCTACAGATGCCACGAAATCTGCGCCGTTCAAGCTCCGACATACTGTCTATGACCCGGCTGCACCAATTGGCGGAACATCCAGTAAGCAGCAACAGGAGCCGGCAGTTCCAGCATTACCACCTACCAGTAGCGAAGGACAACGCCAGACACTCTCATCATCGCCAGAACAGGAAAGAGCACTTCCTGATGCTCGCAAGGTAGCTGAAAGAGCTATGACACCGTCGGCTGCTGAGCTGCCACCCGGTACGAACATCGTCATGCCCACGCTTGTCTCGCGACGGCCCATGATGATGCAGACAGACGACTCTCCACCGCCTGCTCCTCCGCCCAAGGATGACGCACCTCTGCCTCTCACCATCGGCAACGGCTTTGGGAAGCCTGACTGGCTAGCCCGCAAACGTAGCAGAGAGCTGCTCGCCAACCTCAGCGGAGCAGGACGCAAGAGCCCAAGCCCAGTATCTGATCTGCTCAGTATGGATCGCAAGACCCCTGCTGCTACTACCACTAATCCACAACAGAATCGAGTGGAGAATCTGATGGGGAAGCCTACTAGTAAGTTCTCTACGATTACGAGCATGAGTCCGAAAAAGAGCGGTGCTGGCGAGATTACTGGGCAGGGAGCACCTGATCTGGGTGAGCTACTTAAGTTTGATTTTGAGAAGCGCGATGCTGGTCGGGAGGTGGCAGCGTTGAAGAGGCCGGGGTTGGAGACCTTTGTTACTGCTTCTGAGGGGCAGTTAAAGAGGAATTGAAAGGTCTTCAGAGCCGGTGCTGGGGGAGAAGTTGTGCATTTGGCTTCGCTGGAAGGCGATATGGCAATAGGTTGGGCACATGTGAAGGAGTACTATTGTCATGCTCAGGTTTCAGCGATGGCGTTCTGGCGTACTCAATCTGTTTCTGGGAAGCGTGGGCATTGGAAAGGAGGATATATGAGGTTGGCTTGAAAGAACTACATACCAGACAGTTGTAATATATGTAACATGAGTACAAGAAGGCGGGCATATCTAGGACATGATTCACACCTCTTTCACCGATTCGACACACGTAATGCAGGCATGCTTCCGCGGGAGCTTGCGCGATCTCACGCTCACTTGCGATCGCACTTTGCCTCTTTTGGATGGGAGGCGATGTGCCCCACGTTTCCATGCCATGATCCATGACCCGAAGAATGCGGCGCTAGAGGGCGCTGCGGCGGAAGACCAAGGTCTGGGCGGCTCTGTGGCGATTACTGTCGCTCTCGTTTGCGTTCATCTGTGAAAATGATGATAATGCCTGGGCGGATGTCATCGGGTCATCTTTCTACTGGGGGCTTGGTGCTCGTGACAATCTAGAGTGAGATTTTGGTTGTTGGAAGGACGGAACGAGGAAGTGCGCGCGGCCGCTGTAAGAGTTAAGTGGAGGGCTTGGAATCATTGGATTTGAATTGCCTGGGTTATGTGACCTGGTGAAGTGAAGGGTTCCTGCTGGTATATGCTTCAGATTCTTGCAAGGCAGAGACAGAGTAAGAGATCTGGTATCACGATATCATGATGGGGTCACGGTATACCATGAGGTGTGCTGCGGCACTGATGCTGGCATTGGGACGAACGCAGAATATAACGCCCATGAATTGGACGATGGAGAACGCAGGCTTGGAGGACAACAACTCGATCATGATGGAGGTTTCGGAGCGAGGAGTGATGATACCCACCGCAGCCATACTTCCATTAACCGATACTGCTGCAAATAATCTACCAGTAAGCAGAGGACCTCACGTGCTCATACTCGATTGAATGTGACTGACGTAAATGAAGCCTCCCGGCCTCTCGGGACCAGTAGTCGTAGCCAACGCCTCGAATCAGCTCAGCATCAGTACAGACTCGATTGCCATGATCTCCTGCGATCAGTCCGCATACGCTGGCAACATCGCCGCTGCAGACATCTTCAACCGAGCCGCTTCAGTGAATGCAACCGCCGTCATCTGGTATAGCACAGCTGCCGCCTACTGTAACCTCACGGGTTACAACAATCTGTACCCTTGGGTGTACAGCATGAAGACGCAGAACGACTCGACATACATGCTGCAGAACTTCGCGGATCTGATGCAAGGTATGGCGGGTAGCGCATATATCGAGATTGTATCAATGGATCAATTGAATGCTGCGAATAATGGGACCGGGCATGGAAAGCCATCTGACAGTAATCAGAATCAGAATCAGAATCAGGGCAACAACGGTCCGTTGGGTCCAAGCCCGGGGACTGCGGTTGCGATGATCATACTCTATTCCATCACTGGTGTCATTACGGCGCTATTCTTGGTCATCATTATCACTGGTGCCATACGAGCGCATCGGCATCCTGAACGCTATGGGCCGAGGAACATCATTGGCAGAGCACGGCAGACGAGAGTGAAAGGGTTGGCAAGAGCCATGCTTGACACTCTTCCGATCGTAAAAGTTGGCGACAGAGGCGCCGAAGCACCTAAGCCTACAGATGTAGAGTTAGGCGAAGGTGCAACGGCGCAGGAAGGACGACCGACTGAGATGACAGGATTGACTGCACGAGATGCACGTGCAAGTGGGGAATTAACGAACGTCCACAACGCAGAAGAGCTTCCGAGAACCTCGTCCACCGAAGGCGGCATAGCAGCTGCAGCTTCTGTGACTCATGCACAACATCAAGCGAGCCACGCCTCGGATCAGGACAATCAGGGATGTAGTATATGCACGGAGGACTTCGAAATCGGCCAAGATCAACGCATATTGCCTTGCGACCACCGCTTCCATCCAGACTGCATCGACCCTTGGCTCTTGAACGTCAGTGGGACATGTCCGTTATGCAGAATCGATCTTCGACCACGACCTTCTGTCGATACAGCTGAGGTAGACGAGGACGGCAATCCCATCTCACGAAGCGCCACCCTCGAAAGCAGAGAAGGTGAAGCACTGCCTCCTCCGCTAGGCGCAGCAGCTGGAGACCGAAGATCTGTAAGACGAAGTCTAATGCGCGGCCTCATGGGTAATTCCTCTGCAGGCTCGATGTCTAGAGAAGAACGGCTAGCAGCGCTGAGAGAGTGGAGGTTCCAGGAGGCTAGGCGAAGACAGACAGAACGAGGAGAGTCTCAAGCAGAGACTTCCGAAGCTCGATCTGGGCGGGAGGATGATGCAGGGTTGAGGACGAGGTTGAGAAATGCTTTCCGAGTGAGGACGAGAAGAACTGGAGTGGCAGAAACCCCGGCTGTTGTCTCCTCAGAAGATGCGCAGGAGGCTGCTGAGGGCGAAGCTTCGGCATCAAGACCTGCTAGGACTTCGTGAGTGTTGCTCTTTTGCCATTATGAAGAGATGTGCACGTGGCCTTAGGGTTAGGGTTTGGGTTGTGCATATGGGCTCAAAGTCTTTGACGACGACGCAGCTATCGCGAGGCGTACAGGTGAATCTCATGGCGGCTATGATTGTATTACGAAGCTATGTATGATTGAAGTATGTGTGTGTACAGTGTATGAGAGTCAATTGCTGCTCACTTCGATCTATTGATGCTGCCACTTCTTCTGATTGCTACTTTCTGCGCCATGTCAACACAGCGGTCGTGGAGATTGCGTGTAAATTTTGATGAGCTGGAAGGCCTACGCACAAAGAAACATGTGCCTGTGGACAATGGTGGGCATCCCAAGCTGACCATAACGATGAAAGGGCTCATTTCGTGCATTGCTTTGTTTCGCGCTATTGTGTTGCCAAACAGTAGCAAAGACTGGCAATGCGATGCCAGGCTGCTCGAAAAGCGCAGAGATCGAGAACGGTATTCCCACATAATGGCACCCAAGAAGAACAAATCGAACGGCAAGGGTAAGACCAAAGCTTCAGGTGCCATTGGGAGAACAGACTCTGGTGCCACAGACAGAGCAGTAGTAGCACGAACTCATCCTTGTGCTCACCCTTGCAGGCTGACATGCACTGAACATACTTGTTGTGTCGAGAGCCAAGCACTGGTGAACGCAGGAAACGCAGTAAATCCGGCGGCAGTTCCAGCAGCAGATTCGGTAGCAGCACCGACGGCAGGTCCGTCCAGAGCAAGATCCTCGAGGAAGGGTCGTGAAACTGTTGGTGGACGCAAGCGGAGACGGGCTGACACAGATATCGCTGAAGACGAAACAGGTGAAGAGAACGATAGTGCTGACGAAGAGGGACTAGAACAGGAGGCAGCGCAAGCGGCCGGTCCGTTAGCGACAAATGGCTTAGGCAGAGATCGCAAGACTGCTGGTGGTCGCAAGCGTAGACGAGCGCAGCCAGCCGTCGACCCAGACCAAGAGCATGCTGTTTTTGACGTAGAACAGCCCGAGCTCGTGGCAGAGCCGGCAGAGAAACCGCCAGCCGCGCGAATTTTGGCCGCCCAAGAATCTACCACCGATATTACGCTCAAGGACGGTGAGGCCAGACTGACTGTGCGCCTCCAGGTCTCTCTCGATGAGGACAGCAGCAGTCGCCTGGCCTACCATGCGAGACTCTACGTTTCGTACATTGACCGAGATGATGTTGACGAAGGAGGTGAGTATGCTGGCTACATCAGCTCGTGGCGTATTGACAAGCCAACAGCCGCGAAGATGAATGCCAAAGCATCATGGACTGACGAACTACTGCCGCCGAAAGCCAGTAAAGGCAAGGGCGGTATCTCCGAAACGGCGAAGTGTCTTCAAGCCTTATTCGACAAGGATGGAAGCCTGAGTAAGAATGTTGAAGACGCTGAAGTTTGCAAGAGTCTCGAGGACGAGAGCCTGATGTTCATCGGCATGATCTACTTCGAGCCAGGCTTCCGTGGTAAAGGACTTCTGGCTTCAGCTTTCGATGGATATTATACCTCGCTACGTCAGCTCCCGGAATGGTTTGCTTTTGCTGGTAACATTGTACTTGTCCCTGCTAAGCCAGTGGAGCACCAGGCTGCTTGGGGAAAGACGCCGGACGACGAGGTCGAGAAGATTCTGATAGGCACGTATGAGAAGGCTGGATACACCAGATTGGCTGACGCCGAGCTAAGGATCGGACCTGGGAAGTTTGAGAGACTTGTCGTGATGGGGAGGATGGTCAAATAGTTCTGTGAATACTTTGCCTCAATCCCGTCTTGTTCTTGGCGCAAACTTCATGGATCGTATTACTTGTATGATGTGTTGATGCTTCACATCGTATTAGGGGTGGTGGCGAGTGCCGATGTGCTTCGAGTTAGAGCTAGGATTGTCGTCTTGATATGCTGACTTAGCTCGCTGACTTGCGCTCGAGTGAAGAAAGTGTCATTGAATGAAGGAGACACATTGTCATTCCTCGATGAATCTTCAGGTTGACTGAGCACTGACGTCGCATAGTTTTGACGCTAGCACAATCTGCGGCTAGCGTCATGCGAACCTTCGTTCCTTTCATCAAAATTTCAGCCTGCACTTGCACTTTCGCGCACAAACACATCCCTCACGACACCTCATCCGAATCCGTTCTTACATCACACCGTCCCTCACATCTACCACACGCTCCTTTCCACGCTTACACAACACATCTGAACCAGTCACTACAGACCCAACAGCACACGACTCACATCATGGCTGGCTACGGCTCAGGAGGCTATGGCGGCGGCGGCGCTGGTGGGGGCTACGGTGGCTCTCGCGGCGGCGCTGGAGGCTACGGCGGTGGCGGTGGCGGCTACTCGAACGGGTACGATAATAACGATGATTGTGGCTACGGCTCGCGCGATACAACTTCCTACTCCTATGGGTAAGCCCAGAAAGTTTAGTTAGGCGCGCGAGCCTTGCGCCAAAGGCTTCTTTCATCATACACGTGCATTATGGCTGCTAGGCATTTACTAACATCTTCCAGTGGGTCAGGAAACGGCTACAGCAACGGTGCCAGCGGCGGCTACGGCGGCGGCAGTAACGGCTACGGAGGTGGCTCAAACGGATATTCTGGAGGAGGTGGATATGGTGGTGGAGCGGGTGGCGACAGGATGTCAAACCTCGGCGCTGGTCTCAAGGCGCAGAACTATGACATCAACTCGTTACCCAAGTTCGAGAAGTCTTTCTACAAGGAGGCTCCTACCGTCGCAGCCCGCACACCAGCTGAGGTTGACGAATTCCGCCGCAAGCACCAGATCTCCATCCAGGGTCAGAATGTACCGAAGCCAGTTGAGACATTCGATGAGGCTGGCTTCCCAGGTTACGTCATGAATGAAGTCAAGGCACAGGGCTTTCCCAACCCTACCGCCATTCAGTCTCAGGGCTGGCCCATGGCTCTCTCCGGTCGCGACGTTGTTGGTGTGGCAGAGACCGGCTCCGGCAAGACGCTCACCTACTGTCTGCCAGCTATCGTCCACATCAACGCACAGCCTCTTCTCGCACCTGGCGATGGTCCAATTGTGCTTGTGCTCGCTCCTACCCGTGAGTTGGCTGTTCAGATTCAAGAGGAGGTCAGCAAATTCGGCAAGTCTTCGAGGATTCGTAACACTTGTGTCTACGGTGGTGTGCCCAAGGGTGGACAAATTCGCGATCTGGCTAGGGGCGTAGAGGTCTGCATTGCCACCCCAGGTCGTCTCATCGACATGCTCGAGGGTGGCAAGACCAACCTTCGCCGTGTCACATACCTCGTCCTCGACGAAGCTGATCGCATGCTTGACATGGGTTTCGAGCCTCAGATCCGCAAGATCATCGGCCAGATTCGTCCGGATCGTCAGACTTGCATGTGGTCCGCTACTTGGCCCAAGGAGGTTCGTCAGCTTGCTTCCGACTACCAGCAGGACTTCATCCAGGTCAATATCGGCTCCCACGATCTCCACGCAAACATGCGCATCACTCAAATAGTCGAGATCGTCTCAGACTTCGAGAAGCGTGACCGCATGAGCAAGCATTTGGAGCAGATCATGGAGGACAAGGCCAACAAAATCCTCATCTTCACAGGTACGAAGCGTGTCGCCGACGACATCACACGCTTCCTCCGCCAGGACGGCTGGCCAGCACTCTCAATCCACGGCGACAAGCAGCAGAATGAGCGTGATTGGGTCCTCAACGAATTCAAGACGAGCAAGAGCCCTATCATGGTTGCTACCGATGTGGCTTCTCGTGGCATTGGTATGCTTGCTAACACCCCCTCCCTTGCCCTCCCTGCACCTTTTCCTTCCTCTCCTTGGCCCGCTTGCAAAAGCGAGGTCTGTTCTGTCACACGCTGCACTCCGTGCGCTTGTCGTGCACACATAACCACATGTCTAGGGCTGTCCGTGTTCCTTTGTTCTTCATCAAAGGCTTCCTTGGAGACTTCTGATCGGTACGGTAAGCTCTTGCTTGCTGTGCTGTAGCTTCTCGTTTCTCTGAATGCTTGCACCTCCGACCTGCCAGAGAAATGGGATGTCATAAGTTCTTCATGATGTGTGTGTTGCATTTGCTTGCAAGATCGCGCGCATTCCAAGGATGTCTTACCGGAGATCGTCGTACACAAGCCCGTGACATTGGACGTAGATGTGTGCGCCTCGAGCGCTATGGCGATTGCTATCTGTCCGCTTCGTGTGGACACTTAGCTCGCCGTGGATGGTGCTATGTTGCACACTTTGACAGACCTTGCTAGCATCCGGCAAAGGAATGCTATTCCTATTCATGCTCACTTCGCGTCATATTCCGAAAGACTTGATTTACTGACTTCGCTCGCGTCTCAAGACGTCAAGGACATCACTCACGTCTTCAACTACGACTACCCGAACAACTCTGAGGATTACGTTCACCGCATTGGCCGCACTGGTCGTGCTGGACGTATGGGCACAGCCATCACTCTGTTCACTGCTGACAGTAAGTCACCAACGATCGAACAAGTTTGCAGCTCATACTAACTTCTTCACAGACTCCAAGCAAGCCCGCGAGCTTGTCAGTGTACTCACCCAGGCCAAGCAGCAAGTCGACCCTCGTCTTGCCGAGATGGCTCGGTATGGCGGTGGTGGAGGAGGAGGTCGTGGTTATGGTGGTGGCCGCGGTCGTGGTGGTGGCCGTGGCGGCCGTGGAGGCGGAGGTGGATGGACTGGCAGCAACACCGCTCCTCTGGGTGGCAACAGTCGCTGGTAGAGTGCTTGAGACTATTGCATGGGCTTAAGCCAATTGCCTTGCATTCCGAGCGACATGGCGTTATCGGTAGACTGGGGGGAAAGATCGTGTGGCTTTTACGGAGACGCATGAGTGGCGTATTGGACGCGTGGATTTCTTGCTCAGATGAGTAATGTTCTTTAGTGCTGCCGACTATGGCTGCGAGATTGATAGACTGCGAGACTTGTACTTGATAGTTGCAACCAGAAGGAAGCTTCTATGCAATGACGTGTCGAACATACTGGATGGGGGCGAAGCTGCTCTCACTCAGGACATTCGGTCCGGTGTAGCGAGATAGAGCTGGAAAGGAGGAGTGGAAAGAGTGAAGTGATCAAGCACGTCCTCAGTGATGGTGAACAGGAGGGCTAAATGACTAGCACCGATGATGTCTCGAGATGGTTGCCATCGTCAGCCTTGGATGTCACAAAAGCGTGTGTTTGCTGGTTTCGAACTACAGGAAGTCGTAAACTGTCTATTACGCATACTTTGAGATGCAATTACGACATCGAGATCGCGATAGTCCCACGCTACCGCGCCTATATGTAATCGAAAGTGGAAGGTATTTCCAGGTCTGCATGTTCGACATAACTCATCAAAGCTTTTCTGGATTACCCAGTGCAGCGGTTAAAGTCGTTTCGTGCCAAGCTGTGGACATTGGAGTACTCTGCCTATATGGTCTCTTCGGGCACGGATGATATGCTTTTGGAGGCGTGTAGCTCTATGTGCAATAACAACGCGGCAGATCCTGACAGAACATGTCGTGATATAATCTCGTATGTGCCTCTGAGTTATATCGGACGGACTATTGTAGGCAGAGACCCTTGACGCTTCCATGTCAGAGGGCGTTGCGGCCAAGACGTACCCACCGCTGCTTTTGGCCAAACAGCAGACTTTCAGACAGCAAAGTACCAACGAGTTATGAAACTGTAGCAGCTGTCTGGAATAAATCTGGATGTTCTCGACCATCGTAGAGCTCTGCTGCAGCTATCCCTGTTGAGTTGGCATGTCAGCAGTGCATGGCGGCTCGGTAGATTGCATATCTATGTCGGCTATCGAGTTGCGGAGCGAATCACAACGGGATCCCGTCACGACCAGGTAGTCATGCAGCCTGCGCGTTGTTCGCCCAGTATGCACTTATGTGTAGAGTCCGCAGCGGTTGCATGCACGGCTGTCCACCAAACAGACCGAAGAAATCTCTTCCCACGAGTCGTGAGCCGGTATGTCGGGTACATTCGCCGTGCCAAAAGCGTGGACCTTGTTCACTTGGCCGATTAGTTGCCCCGAGTGAGGCGTGGTTTGTGTGGCCTCTCGACCTTGGCGACCGTACCCCGCCGGATGTAGGAGGTCAACATAAGAAATGTCCCTGATCTGCGCTATGCAAGACTACGAGCGACCGTCTGAGGAAAAGCAAGAGGCGCCCACTTGATCGGGTAGACTTCTTTAGCGCTTGAAGGCAGATTCATGAATCGTTCTCCTTAGCCATGTAGGAAGTGCCCGTCGCAACGGAGACTAGAACTTGTGCTTGATCCAGTACAGATCGTGCCCGAGCTGTTCGAGCTTCATGTCTCCACTGCTCGATCCAGAGCTGGGTCTCTTGGGAGGACCACAGGATGTAGTGATAAAGAAGCGCCAGTACACTGGATAATTCGTCTAGTACGGTGCTCGCCATGTGGAGAGCAAGCAAGCTCGCTGGAATCACGGCAAGGGACATGGGAAGAAACGGACCTCCTGTCTCACCCTGTACCACATCGCCAGTATTTCCGGCGATACGTCGCGGGCAAGCGTACCATTACAGTGCTCACTCCGCGATGCTACCTTCTGATCACACTGGTCATGCGACACCTCTGTATGAGCGGTGCCGACGGGACCGTCCGAAAAAGCGATGTCAGTGCTTCCACGAGCTGAGGAGGGCGAGTCAAGTCGAGCCAACCACAGACCAAGCGCTCCGTATAGTCGTCCTGATCTTGGAAATTGTGCCGGAGTGAAAGTCGGGCTGAGGGTGTGCTTTTGGCATGTTATCGACACTCATTGGTCAGCGCAATAACACAACACTGCGCTGAAATCTGCTTGTGGCTGTTCGCACTGGTCTGCCGTTGCGACGTGACTCGAATGATGATGAGCCAAGTTCTTGTCGCCTTTTCTGTACGTCCGGCGTGACCTCCACATCGGTGTGCAAGCAAACAGCATTCGTGGCCCCACTGTTTCCACGCCGCTCGGACCATCATCAGAAAAACACTTTGCCTTTTTTCGGCTTGGGCGCAAGGTTTTCACGCGCCAGCGAACTCGATCTTCCACGTCTCGTGCGTGGTAAGGGAAGCACGAATCTCACCGCCACCGCCACTACCACACCACCCTGAAGGCATCCCCAGTCAGTGAAGGCAAATCACGCCGCTTACACGCCACAACCGAACGAAGTTTCCGCCTCACTATCTGCGGCAGTATCAATAACAAACTACGCTCTTCTCACGGAAGATTCGCGGAAACGACCTGCCAACTACGATCTAGCACGCGCTGCACCTCACTAGCGTGGCCAGAAAAGCGGGCCATCTCGAAGACCGCATCCTGTGTGGGCCCGGCTGCATAGGCCAGCTACAATATTGGACCATCAACAGCTTTGTGCGAGAAGATTGTGGTCGCAGACTGACGGTGCTCGTTCCTCGACCTCGAACGAGCACTTCACCGCTCACCCACAGGTCGCCCGCTTTGCTCCGCAACAGAGCATCAGTGGCCGCCGAGATTTCTGCATCAATTTGAGATTCGACGAACCTTCGAACGGCAGTCTCCAGAATTGGTTCCGAGGTCTGCAGCGTCTGCTACGAAGGGTGCAAAGTCTAATTTGCGCATCGTCACTACCACAAAAGCCGTGTGCTTAGCCGAGACGCACATCGTCCTGCTTCGTCTCGATCCTTGTTGCTGGCTCGTGAATCCGAGGGTCTGTCACCCGCCGCTGCCGAGCGCTCTGCAGAAAGTCTGACCTCCACGCTGACCATCACGTTGGTTGCACGGAAACAAAAAATCCTTCCCAGAGTATTACCTCACAGTCTGCTTCGACCAGCCGCATCAAGGCCGGTGACCGCGCTATTTTCAGGGCACCCGCGCCACCCCGGCTCTCGATACGCTCAATATCTCGCGCTATCCGCCTTCCAACTAGCACTGTATCTTTTGTTTACCAATGCCGTATTGGTCCTTTCATACACTACTGCTAAGCTACATTCGACTGCAAGCTTTGCCGGCGATACCATTCGGGCCATCCCACATCGCAAGACTTCTTCGCGCTAGACCGGAGGCCAAGTCGACGGTTGCGCTAGAAGCCAACGCAGTGTAGAACGTCTGCACATCATTCGCGTGCAAGCTGCCGAGGGGCGCGACCTGCTCGATCAAAACAAGAGGCTTTCTCCGGCTCTCGTTCGAGCGGGCACTTGTACCCGCCGGCGCGCTGTCATCACTGTCTTGGTTGGAACGACTGGCGATACGTCCTATACCTCTGCAGGCGTAGCATGACCGGAGCCTACACCACATCACCTAATCAGCACGACCACGCAACACCACTCGACGCGACCCTTGCATCTCATCTGCCACCCCGTCAGCCACAGTCGATGGATGGTAGACAGCCAGAATATCCGCAGTCAGGTTTGAGCTCACCGTACGCGCCGTATAACGAGCACCAATCTGAAGGGTCATCTGCAGATCAGTCGTCTGCTGTGCATTACCAGCCCGGACAAGACTACAAGTCCTCGAATTTCTCATCGTCCGCGACACCGAACTCCGAGTACGGTCTACCGCAGTCCGCGCGATCGGGTTCGTTCCCAGAGTACATACAGCAGCGGACGTACGCCGAGGGTCAACAACAGCCGTCCCGTTACCCTACTAGCCAAGGAGCTCACGCAGCTATGGCGCAAACATCGAGTCCGTCACAACCCATGCTTGAAGGCTTACCGACCAATGGTCACGTGCAAAACAACAGAAATTCTGACGGAGATGTACCAATAGATCCTTCGATTGCCCAGTCAAGCCCTACCTATCCTCCCACCCATGGGTATTCGCCGTACCCACCACAAAACGAGATGCCTCCGCAGTACCAAGGGCAGGGAATGCAGTATGGGAGACCAGATTGGGCTGGTCACTATCAGCAGCCTATGGCATATGGCCACTCACCCGCAACTACGGCTGGTGCTGTTCAAGGCACTGTCGCGCATATTCCAAGACCACCAGCTGTGGGTAGTGTGCCGCAAGCTGTGTATCCGCAGCCTTCTAATTGGACACAGGGTGGTCATCCATTGTCGACCGTGTACTCGTTCGTGCCTATACCAGGCGCGCAACAGCACAAGCGACCGAGACGTCGTTATGAGGAAATTGAGCGCATGTATAAATGTGGCTGGAATGGTTGTGAGAAAGCGTACGGGACGCTGAACCATTTGAACGCACATGTCACTATGCAAGGTCATGGTACGAAGCGAACCCCAGAAGGTAAACATCCCTCTCCCTGCTCCTAACCCCATCATACCTTCTCATCATGACCGTGACTAAACGCTGCCAACAAATGCGCCGAGCACATGGTTTGACGCTTATTGCTTTTCGCGATTACCATACAAGACTAGCGCGGCTGAAACTTCCGACCACATGTGAGCTATGCTGACTAGTGACTAAATCCAGAATTCAAAGAGATTAGAAAAGAATGGAAAGCAAAGAAGAAGGAGGACGACAACCAACGCAAGCAGGAGGAAGAACGCCAGCGTCAAGAAGCTGTGCGCAATGGTCAGGACACGCCGCAGTCGCAAGGTCAGCCGGGACAGTATGCTCAGCACATGATGCAGCCACAGATGGGTGGTCCTCAATTACCTCCGATCGGTTATCAGCCTGCGGGTGGTCAAGCACCAGGCCAGTACGCGCAACCCCAGCAAGTCGATGGCGCTCAGCAGTATGGCGGCAGCAACCCGATGTACGGTGGGCCAGGATACCCGCAGAGCCCATACGCGCAAGGTGGCCTGCAGTACCAGCAGCGTTCGTGAGTCCAAGCTCGTCGCTGCGGGTATGGTACTGACAGTCTTCAAGACGAAGATCAGGCGCCTAGCCAGACATATCATCAACAGTGAGACGAATGGCTTTGGGCCATCGCGTCGACATCCTAGCGAGGAAGTGAGAGGATGTCCTCTCACATAGCTTGTTCTTCTGCATTGCATATGGCGTTACATTTTGGGAGGCGGGCGATTCATTCTTGAGTGCGGTGGCTAGAAGTTTTATGGTGTACATTGGCTGGAAGCAGCAGGGCGAGTATAGGGATGATGTCCAACGGCCGGCTCAACACGCGCACACAAGAAATTACGGTCGGTGATACCAGAGGCGACCAATCGTTGCTCATATGGGGGTTTGGAGAAAACAGAAGCTAGTGCATATTGAAAAGGGATGACATCGAGAGTGGAAGCAAATAAGCAAGCGATCGCTCGAGCAAAGCACGCTACTAACTGTAATTGTAAGAGAGGCTCACAGTACAGCGCAGCGACATCGTGCGTTACTCCTCAAGCAGTCTTGATACAGTAGTAGCACTCATAACCTTCCGCTCTCCAGCGTATATCTCAGATCTGGGAGCATGCCACAATGTACCTAATGCGCTCCAATAAGAACGCGTTCCACAACGTCTCAAGTGTCAAGGTACCACGTACTTATGTGCACGCCGCCTCCACGCGGCGGCAACGCACGCCACGGATTGCTGCGTTAGCGGGATCTTGGAAGCAGGAAACGGCGACTAGAGCACAAGTGCCGTGAGATAAGGTAGAGTAGTGCTGACGATTAGCTAGCGAAGTTACACAGCGCAAGTGGCAAGATCGGTCGTCGCAAGACATGCGCTAGGCTAGTGGGAGGAGGGATAGTGGAAGGGATGAATCATCTAGGGCTGTGGCGGCTGAGCCGTCCATCATGGATTTGCGGCACAGTGATCTCGAGTGCTTGTACATGCTTGGCTGTTACTGATCAGGAGTAGGCGATACGACTGCTTACGAACGACCACAATTCACCGAGAGACTTATTCTGACACCCGAGATCAGACTACAAGTACCTCGATTGAGGATCAGGTTCCCAAATTGAGGCCCCGAAGCCAACGTCAAGTTTATGGCATCAAGTAATCCTGCTTAGATGGTCCTCTTGACTGGGAACGTAGGTTTGAATGTAAGGCGCAAGATGCTACGGGATGGGTGGGAAGATGTGGGCTACCTGGTCGTTCGGCTGGTGGCGTCGAGATGTACTTGTACCGTACTCTTCAGCAATTGTCCTACCATTGGCCGATAATCTCGATCTTACCCAAGCCTCTCGTCAATTCATGCCTGGAGGGTAACCCCTTACGTGGCACGACAAATACACTCACTTTTCTCTTCGAAGGCTTCCCAGTGGCGTTTGCGTGCACAGAATCGAATCGAACATCTAATCCGATGGCCTCGCTTGCGGCCCATTGCCTTGCTGCTGCTGCCCGTGCTTACTATGGTTGATACAGCACTAGCTGCCTGGAAATTTCTCCTGCAAACCTGCTCTCGTTCTCCGTTGGCGACCGGGCTGTGTTTTCTCTTTGCGCGCTATTTGTTCTCCTCGATCGCCAGACAGTGGGTTGGGTGAATGCCGCGTACGACAGTGAAAATACCATGCATGGCGTGGGGTGCACGACTTGCTTCACGTCAACTCCCTCCGTCCCAACATCGACTTCCTCTCGGCAATATGACGCAGTCACTCTGGCCGAAAGCGAAGTGCAGAGGAACTTCAGCGCTTGGTGTTGGTTGGTCCAGGCGGCTGCGACCTGCTGAGTTGCTTGTTCTGTCAACGGTTGTTGCAGGCCGCTTAGAGACAGCACAAGGAGCTGCTGTCGCATTTGAAGTAGCTTACAGCACCGATCTACCTGGCACAACGCAATTGTCCCCCGACAATCTTGCAGTCTTCCTCAAACCCTCCTAAGCGGCAAGACGAAGCAACATCGCGCTCTAGCACATACAAGCGTGACAAGATGCTGTAGCTGGTGGGAAGACCAGCCGGGAGTGATATGAGACTGCGTGAAACGCGATCATGGGACATGAAAGTACAAGCAGTGTTGATAGTACTGCCTACAAGGCAAGATCGCCAACTGGACATCCAGCGCGGGTTTTACGACCAAAATCACATCATGCACGTGCCCCCATCTCCCAAAAACCGATCTCCATCTAGACAGCTGAGCGTCAGCTGTGATCTATTATCTCGATTTGCATCGCTCATACCTTTGTGGCGTGAACAAATATGGACACAAGGTCTTCGATTCTGCTCGGCGACTGCTTAACGGCATGCTTCTCAATAAGTGCTGGACTCCTTAGCAATGGTAAAGTGCTCCGATAGATCACAACCACTCACCACATCCCTTCTCGATAGCAGAAGTATAGTCTTCAGCAACGTAGTTATTGATCCAGGTCAGATATTGATTTGGCTCTTTGGGAGGGTTAGTTGATTGTAAGCCATGCAGCCGTCGAGCAATGACTCCATAGCCGAGCAAGCATGGTAGCAGACTGAGCTGTAGAGCAAGCCAGTCTTCTGACTGGCCAATATCAAGCACGTATCGAGTGTACGCGGTGCATGCTGATCTTGGTCAGCGCGTATAGAGGAGATCAACTTCGTCCCGCATGTACCTTGACTCTCTTCGTACTGCTCGATGTCGGACTGTGTCAAGCCAAAGTCTTTGCACTCTTCGAGATGGAGATTAACCTCATGGCGTATGTGCGTAACGATTTGAGCAGCCTGTTTGACGTTAGTCCAGGCAGTGCGTTTTGGGAAACTCACACATACACTGGCAATGTCGTCCAGCTTCTTGGCCTTGTATCCAGCCAGAGCATTGGCGCGTGCGAAGTGAATCTAGTCAGATCAGCGTTGGTGACCATGAAAAACATGCCTACTCACCAGGTATAGATAGTCCTGAATCATATAGTACTTGAACGTTTCTCGTGGTAGGGTGCCGTCTCCCATCTTCTCTACAAAGTCATGGTGTGTGTAGTCATGCCAGGACTTCTTCACGTCATCACGGTCCAGCAAGTAGTCCACGAATCCTCCACTGTCGGCACGTGAGCTCATGTGTTATCTTCATCCACATTGGAGGGGACATACGGAGCAAAAGGCAATATCTGGAGGGAGTGGAAGTGATTCAGGGGTCCAGAGCCTCTGCCGAGATTGATGCTGTCCTTGATGCCTGCCTCCACGTATTTGCAGGCTAGGCGAACTGCTTTGGCGATGCTGTTGCCCATGGCGAGTTGGCACGTAATAGCAGCTGTAAGGAATCAGTGGTCGCTGGACATTATGTCGGAGACTTCGCATACAGGCGAGAGTACACCCAGTACCATGAGTGTTTCTTGAATTTTGGTATGCGAGCTCGATAACTTCGTCGACGTCTTTGCCGTACAGTACATTGGCTATGATTTTCTTCTCGCTGTCTGAATCCGCAGTGTTGCGCTGAGCATTGAGAGGCAGATGGCCACCTTTGATCAGGACATGCCTCGGACCAAGTCGATGAACAGCACGCGCCAGCTGCTTCAGTCCATCAAGACTTTCGACCTCAATGGCGGGCTGGCCGGATTCTTTCAGTATCAGGTTGGCCTCTGGAATATTTGGTGTAACGAGATATGTTAGTGGTAGCAGTCTATCACACATGGTCCTGATAGCACTTTCTGGCAAAAGTCGTGCTCCGCTTGTGGCGACCATGACAGGGTCGACTACAGTATACTTGAAGTCATGTTTTTGGAAGGCCTCCGCAACGACCGCGATTGTCCCTGCAGACGCAAGCATTCCTTGTATTTTCAGCATGTTATACAATTGTAGAGAAAGTTCAAACTACCTGTCTTGACGGCATCAACGCCAATGTCATCCACGCACGCCTCGACCTGCTTCTGCACGAATTCTGATGGTGTCTCGTGTATTCCGTAGACGCCTTGAGTATTTTGTGCCGTTAGGGCGGATGTGGCGGTCATGGCGTAGCAGCCATGGGCAGCGATCACTTTTTGGTCGGCCTCCAGCCCACTGCAGCCGAGCATCAGCTTTTCGGAATTCCAGGGCTTTCTGTCACATCCTACTTACGCTCCTCCCGAGCTGTCCGACCCTGCGATAACAAGGATACGTTTCATTGCTAATGTAGTCCTGTTGTTGTGCGCACATTCGACTGTTCTCGAAGGACTCAATTTGAAAGTGGAAAGCAGTGACGTCAGTCAATATTGCCCATACGTTGCAGGAAGGTTCGGCCGAGTTGTTTTGCTCAGTCAGAATCACTCTCGTCGAAATCTGGCATATTTGGGTCTGGTCACGTCAGCACAGTACGATAAGATATGGAAAGCGTATGAAATACCTCTCAGCAGCTGATATTCGAAGCGCCCGCCGACTTTAGCAACTAAAGCTTCGCGGAGCTTGTCTTGATCCTCATCAGATATCATGTAATCTGGATCTGCTAGATCAACCGAGAGGACAAGCCCAGAATTAGAAGCACTAAGTGTCTGAATGAAAGCTTGGATGCCGTCCGCGGTGAAGCTTGTGAGGCCAGCAAATGTCGCCTGCTTGAGATGCTGCAAACCAGATATGCCATCCCACACCGCGTCAGTGATGCCATATCCTCCAAGATACAGGACTTCCAGCAACGGCAAATGCTCGGCGAGGAGTTTGATGTGCTCATTGTTGAAGTATTCCGAGATGCGCCAGACATCCAGCTCGCGGAGGTTTGTCAGACTGCATAGAGAATCGAGCAGTACGTCCATATCATCTCGGGTCACGCTCTCGGGATCGGCCCGTAGCTTGAGGTTACGCAAGTTTTTCTGTGTCGCTAGTGCCTTATGAAAGTCGTGGTGGTCCTTGACCAGATATAGCGAGCCTTCCTTAGCAGTGACATGCAAGTCGTGCAGCCTGACTTTGGCGTTGAGCAGAATGGGTAGCAAAAGGTCTGGTGCAGAAACAACGCCGTCGAGGCTGACTTCGACACTATAAAACAAGAACGTGTCAGCTGAGTGCACACTTGGCGCCTTGTATGCGTCGCCCGCGTTGTGCATGAACATGCCAGGAGGCTACAACACAGAGACAGGTTCAGCTCGGAAGTACACAGGGATCAAACTTACTATAATCCTGTCAGCATGATCCGTGATCGATTTCATGAGTCTCAACATGCGTACCAGTCTGTGACATTGATTCAGCCAGTCCACGATTGTGGTGAAGACATCGTTCTGAATTGCTTTCAGATCGACCGTAGCGCGTAGCGCCGCCACACTCAGTATCTCGATCTGGGTGCATGATTGCAGCAATCCCAAGGCAAGCATCCCATCTTCATCGAGTGCTAATTTGAGCGAGATTAAGCTCTTGCCGTGGTTGTTCAGCGCCAAGCAGGTCTCAGCGGCAATGCCTGACGTGCCATTGTTCTCAAACGAGGTCAATGTGTTTGCCGGCATACCGCCTAGGAAGGTGGCCAGATAAGTATCCGGGTTCTCCCCAGAGGAGTGGTAGATTCGCAGGTGTTGAAGCCTTGGGCAATGCTTGTGGACCAGACTTCGCAGCGTCTCATCAGCAAGTGCTTTGCCGTCCCACAGCTCTAGCTCATGCAGGTGGCTCAGCCGAGACGCCCAACCTGGTAACGCCTTGGTCAATACATCAGAGCTGTTGGGCTCACTGATGCCCTCAAGGAGCGGGGCGTGTTGTGTAATCTGGTCGCCGATTTCGAAGAGAATCTTCTTAATGTCCAGTCTTGTGACTTGATATTTACCGATGGTCTGGTAAGTATGATGGAACTGCTTCAGGTCTCCCTTGAAGAACTGCTTCGCAACCTTGGTGCGGAACTTGGGCTCATCCAGTCTGTCGAGAAGATCACTGAGATCGCGTAAATCGAGCTCACGCAAGTGCCTGCAGTATGGATACATAGTCTTCCCAAGAGACGAAAGTATGAGCGTACGCCACATAATGGACCATCGCATTATGACCAGATCCTGTTCTGCGAACGACAGGTTGTCGCTGCCGCCGCCCTTGACGGGAGAGCCTTCACCAAGACTGATCCTGCAGAAAATGTCAGATATGACGGGAGATGGCGATCGTCTTTACGTACCGGTACAATGCTGTGATAGCACCGGCATTGGCCAGGTACCTGCTACTAGCGACACATGAGTATAGGGTGGCGAAGTCTTGTCTCGCTGCCAATTCGGCCGTGAGAAGATGGAACAGATCGGCTGGGAGAGGTTGTGCGTCGGTTGCAGCCATGGTCGGCTGAGTCGCACAAGGGAATTCGCCTCAATGACAATGTTGAACGTATACTTTCCAAGATGTGTTCTAATGTTGATGTTCTTGGAATGGCAGATGACGAAGCGAAGTGCTCGATGAACTGATCGAGAGCTCGCCAAACGCGTGCTTCCTCAACGACGCGCCAAGCGGAACATCAGCATTCACCTCACTCCTTCTTCTCCTCATGCAGCAATAATGAAAGTAGAGTGCAGCAATGGCGGTACTCAGGTTCTCACTGACTCCAGAGGCAACTGGACGGATACATGATGCCTTGGTCTGCTTGGCCAAGTTCGGCGAGTTCGTGGCGATCGAAGCACGCGCTGAGAAGGTGGATGGCCAGCTCGAAAGAACAAACCCATGGTTGCTGACCGAAGATATAGTTCACGATCACATCCCTGAATCTATCGAAGACGGCATATGCAGCTTTCGCACTGGACGCCACTGCGTTCTTCGTAAGTTACGAGTATGATGGCAGTAGTACAGCAAAACGCGGCGATCGATTTACTTGTCAATTACTCAACAAGGTAGAAGTTTCTCACCACGATATGTATCGCGAGGACTCGCTGATCCTGTGTAGGCACTCCAGTCTGTATTTAAGGGTCGGGGTAGCGATGGACGTGGACGAGAGCCGATGCTAGAGTGCTGCGAGGTTACCATACAGGATCAGCCCGACAAGACAGAATGCAGACTCAACGTGAAGATGCTATGCAAACACGGTGCGTAACTGTCAACATGAAGCAATCGATTCCACTACTAACACTCAGCAGGCATGACGAAGACATATCGATTGACCTACGAATCAACGGAGGTAATGCATGCACTATTCGATCAAAGTGTCGCCAAGCAAGGCTGGCGAGTCTCATCCAGAGTGCTGCGGGAGTATATCGAATTTTTTGGTCCGAAGACCGAGCAGCTCGATCTGGTGGCACAGGAAGGCAAGGCTATATTCACGAGCTTTACGGAGAAGATCGAAAACGGAAAATGTATGTTCGCTTCGACATGCTTTGTTCGTGACTGTGCTGATACCACAATCAGTGGTGTTGAAGCAGCCACTGGAGACTGCCATTTCGCTACACACTGAGGATTTCGAGGACTTTCATATGCAACAAGACATGCATATCGTGATTGCCGTCAAGGACTTCCGAGCCATCGTCACCCATGCCGAGACACTGCGAGGACCAATCTCAGCCCATTTCTCCTTCCCGACTCGACCCTTGCAATTTAGCTACCAAAATTTCGGCATGCACTGCCAGTTCACCCTTATGACGACTGGCGACATACGGGGGGCATCCTCCACTCCAGACCCCAAATTCGTGTCCAACAGGAGTGCTTCACGTCAGCCAACAGCCGCGCCTTCTCAAGCCGTACCGAGCAGGAGCATGTCTGAGATGCCACCACCACCTCGACCTGGACCCAACAAATCGCTATCTATGAGCCAGTGTCAGAGACCATCGCTGAAGCCACAGTCGAGACAGCCTTCTGCAGCAGAATCTGAGCCTGATCCTGACAGCCTTTTCATGCCTGGCGGCGAAGAAGATCGGACATGGGATCCACCAAACTACGAACAGGATGCTGGTGAGGAGATGCTGGGCTGGGATACCGGCAATGAGCTTCCCAGTGCCAGCTTCCACCAGACATTTCAAGACAGTGGAAGTGCTGCTAAGTCTCAGCCGAGGCGACGAGAGATACCGCAATACAGCCAAGAGGGACTGGAGCCAACGCAGCGTCTGTCGCAGGTATGCTGTGTCTCCTTTAAAGTGCCGAATGATCGCTGACCAGATCTCTAGCTTCATGGCATGTTCGATTGAGGTCATCAAGTGCGTTGTACTTGCATTTCATCCGGTGATCACCAAGAAGCTGGTCGCACATCCCGCAGCAATGGAGGCGATCTGACCATGGACCTCCATCTCTTTCCAACGTCCGTTGACATCGCCATGCTCATTGGTAGGCTCGCCACAGTTCCCATGCTCACCCCAGCCCCAAGCTAACACTTTGTCAGATGTAGTCAGCGCTAGACAGTGCTCACTGCCGGCAGCAATGGCCGCAACGGCAGGCAGCCCAGATGGTGGAAGCTGGCCATGATCGTCCCTACCAAAGCCGTGAAGCTCGCCATTGTCCTTCAGTACGAAGACACTACCCCAAGAGGCCGCGATGTCCTTCCAATCAGGCACAAATCTTGGAAGGCTAGCGCGTAACCCGAAGCGATCGTTTTTGGGAAGACCGAGCAAGTGGGCCTTACCTTCACCATGAGCGCTGACGATATAAGTAAAGTCTTTTCCACATACGGCTTTCGCAGCCGCAAATGGCAGGCCTTCTACTTTTCGCGGCGACCAGACATCGATATTAGGCTCGCCAAGCTGCCCCTTGCGGTTCTTGCCCCAGCCCCAGACCTCGCCGTTGGAGAGGATGGCGACAGTGTGAGCCATAGACGAACTGATCTGCGCAATTGAGGTTCCCTGTGGTGGAAAAGATGGGATTCTCGTCAGCTCCTGCGTCTGCTGCTTCTCGCCACCAAGACCAAGCTCCCCGTTCAGCCCTTCGCCACAAGTGAAAATGGTGCCGTCTTGGTGCAAGAGTATGCTCGTAGTCCATGTCGCCGCTACTTGCGTCCATGCACTGGCCGCAGCCTGCGAGAGCTGGCCGCACTGCCCAGAAGCATTCAAGCCATAAAAGTTCGCCTCACCATCAGTGTAGAGCACTATCGTGTGATTGCCACCAGCAGCTATTTGAGCGATATGCGAATCATTTCGCGTGACTGCCTGAGGGGAAGCCGTGTCATCGTTGTGTCCAAGGCCAAGTTGTCCTGAGCCATTGGAACCGAAGGCGAAAAGCTTGTTTGACATAGTGATGAAAAGAGTTCTAACATCCTGCTCGGTTGTTTTGGTTACTGAACGACCTTGTTACACGCACAAGTAGACCTTGTGATCAACATCGTGCAGAATCAATCTTTACAGAGTATAGATTTACTGTCTCTCGAGCATGACGTTGAATGCTCGTCTCGGTCAAGACTCGGAAGTGAAACGCGTCTCCCAGACTTCCAACGCGTTCAGCAGCGGCAGTTCACTAACGCCAGCCTACCCACAGCTTTGCGCTGGCTTCTCGCCAACTACACCGCAACAATGTCTCAAGATGACCCCATTGCCTCCACCTACAACAACACTCACCGCGCCTTTCTCCAAGCCCTTCTCTCAACCCAAACCATCACTTACCCCACTGCCAAACCCCTCCTCGCCGCAATCCTCACAGCCCAGACCCCGGACCGCCCAACCCTCCCCGAAGACATCTCGCAAGAAGACTTCGAAACATACATCGACGCTCTGACCACCCAGATCTCGCCCTTCGATCTCGAGATAAGAAGTACAGTCCATCAAACCTCCAAAGAACGGATATATGCCCTGGTGAACACTACGAGCGATGCTTTGACCCAGATGAGCACGACACATTCAGCTGACGAATTGGCCTTCCTGAAGCGGGTCTTGGATGCCATGTTTGAAACCTACAACACTCCCCGAGCAGAGATCATGGCGATAAAGAGTCTGCAAGCCTTGAGACTCGCTCGGCCGAGTGGGGAGGATAGAAGACGAGAGTCACAGGCAGCGAATACGCAAGGGAAAGATGCAGGACTGACGCAAGTGCAAGCTGAGAAAGTCATGGGGACACTTAAAGATGAGGGGTGGTTTGAGCTGAGTGCGAAGGGATATTATAGTCTCTCGGCGCGCGCATTGATGGAGTTGAGAGGGTGGTTGGTGGAGATTTATAATGATCACGAGGAAGAAGATGGTCAGGATGAGGATGAGGAAGCGGAGCATGTCAAGATCAAGTTCTGCACGGCGTGCAAGGAGATTGTTACAGTAGGGCAGAGATGTCCGGATGTGAATTGTCAGGGCCGGTTGCACGGTCATTGTGTGAAGAATATGTTTCGAGCGCAGCAGGGAAGGGAACAGTGTCCGGTTTGCAAAGTTGTCTGGACAGAGCCGGGAGCGGTCGGAGAGAAGGCTGCGAGGGGTGATGTCAGGCAGAGTAATGGTGGAGGTGGTGGGAGGCAAAGTAATGGTGGGGCGAGGAGGGAAGAAGTGGTCGACGAGGAGAGCGATTCAGAGTGATGGATGCCATGTGATGGAATATGCTTATACTGTATGGGTCATGATATAGCGAGGCGTCTGGCGTGGCTGGGATTTGCTATGATCGATATGTAGAACGATCTTGATTGATTTCTCTCGGACTGAGCCGTTCTACCTCAGTGTAGCAAGCAAGCAAGCATTAGCACAACGCTCCATGCGCCATGATGAAGTCCATGCAGCACGCATGGCAGCAGCTGCGAAAGTCCTCCACAAACATTCCCACATCCTCCCCAGCCTTCCTTGCGCGCACGTGATTCCTCCTCTATCTGTAAGATTTCTGGTACCTCGCACGGGCACCGGGACCACCGAACTTCTTGGGTTCGCAGCGGCGGTTGTCGGCGACGAGGAGGGTACGGTCGTAGGCAACAAGGGCTTGCTTGAGCTGGTTCTTGCTGTGCTCGTCGATGTACTTTTGGTAGTAGGCGACCTGGAAGTATATCGTGTTAGTATTCCTCGTGGTACTCAGCGTAGTGCGGCTCGATAGGTAGTGTTTTCGGCAATAGTGGTAGTGCTGCTGGAGTGGGAAGGAACGTACAATGCTCTTGGCAATGGCCTGTCGGATGGCGTAGACCTGGGATGTGTGTCCACCGCCGCGTACGCGCACTCGGATATCGACCTCAGCTGAGCAGAAGACATGTTAGCACTGATCGTATTTCTCTTTCATCCACATCTCTTCATCATGTCCATCTCCATGCTCATATCATGAACCACCTCCTCCTCCCCGGTCTGCACCACGTACTCCCCTGCACCAACTCTGCTGCACCAGCCAAGACCTCCAGAAGATGTACGTACAGAACTTATCGAGTCCGAGGATGAGCACCGGCTCATACACCTTAAACCTCATGATCTGTGGCTCCACGAGACCGAGAGGCTTGCCGTTGACACGGATCAAGCCCTTGCCCGCCTTGCAGTGCGCTACAGCCGTAGCCGTCTTCTTCTTGCCGAAACATTGGACCTGTTGGGGAGCCTGGGCCGACATGATGGCGAGTTTGGGTATGTCGGTGGGCGATGTGGATGGTCGTGTCGTATGTTATCGTCGTCGGCGCGAGTAGTGGTCAAGCGAACTTTTGGCTCGAATTCGTGCGTTCTTGGCATCCCGCACGACTAATCGGGTTGGTGCGATGGAAGAGCGGGTATAGCCGTTGAATTTGAAGAAAGCTACATGTTGACTGCGAAATAGTCACCTTACATCAAATGCAGACAGTTCATTGTATGAAGACCGTGTAGTCAGCTGAAGTGCATCGGAAGACGGTCGCCTACATCGTCCTGCGCCGAGGATTCGACACACCGTCTGTTCCCAGCTGCGAATGTTCGCACTTTCAGACAATCAGCAATCGTTTTCTAATACTCGCCAGCTCCGATCATTTGCACAATAAGACGTCTTCATGCGCCTCCCGTCGTACCGATCCCCGAAGCTTTGCGACTTGCGTGTGGTATCAACGTTATTGCCTCTTCACTGATATGTTTGTCTCAGTGCCATCTATGTTTGCAGGCGCCTGACCCTACTGGTGGCCTTCTACAACGACAGCGCTTCTGTCCGCGACGCCTTGGCGATTCACTGCAGCCCGCTGTCGACCTGCTTGGTCACAATACTCTCGATATTTTCCCCCTATCACATCAGGAGACCGTGAGCCTTTCATTTCGATCATGATGCGTGTCCACGATAGCTTCTTCACTTCGCGGAATTCCATCATCTTTTCGATTTCGACTTCTGACCAACGTGAGCGTCTATGTGATGACGACGATCGGAGTCCCTCACCTCCCAATGTCTTGGCAAAGCGTGTCAGTACAGAGTACATGGTCCTGTCCAGGAAAAGAGCCAGGGTCTCTTTCCACGGTACTCCGATGATCTCGATTGCAAAAGCAGTTCCGTTTCATCCGCACTCCAATTTCGCACGGCATTAGGCTTCGCGTCTCTCGAGATATTCGCTAGTAAGGATTCTCGATGGTTCTCCACAGCAGAGAGACTACGTCCAAGCTGCCTCGCAAGTGCTGCCATCGTGTAGCCGTCAGCCTTCATAGATAGTATCCTAGTGACTTCATCCGCAGAGTACGACCCAGGCGCAGCTGTGCGTGATCCGTCTTTCCGACCGAAGATACGGCTATACCGGACACGTACGGCTTTAGCTGTTCGTCCGCCGAGGCTCTGCCCGATCGATCTCCAGGTGTCACCAGCTTCTACCATCTGAACCATCACTGCGCGTTCCTCTGGTGACCAATGTCGTCCTTTCCGGCAAGTGTGTGCTTTCGCGCGGTAACCATGGCGAAACCCCACTGTCGGGATCCTGCGCAATGACGTGAGCGTGTTCTGCGTGCGCATCACATCACCTCTAGGTATTCGGGTTGCATGTATATTACGATTGATCATCCTGATGGCATTACGGTGTCCTTGGCTATCGAGCTTGAGGACAATATCATTTCGAACTGCAGTGTAACGGTGCTTGAGAAGCATGACTGCGCCGATCTACTGCCGATGCTGGATTTGGTTCGCGCACCCTGAATGAGTCGGTGGTCGTAGTGCTCGACTCCGAAGAGGCATGGTGTGGTGCTAGGGTTCTACGAGACCGAGCAGAGTGTCGAGATCCACCGTGCAGCGATGGGCGTGGCCGTAGACTGCTGAACACCTTCATATGATAGCCACGCTTGAGTTCCACGACTGGGTTGTTCGAACTGGCACGCGGCCTTGTGGGATATGATGCTATTGCATCCGGTGAGGCCCGAAGATCTGTGCTACTGCTATGTGGCATGCTCGCCATACCTGTATCCTTGGCTAGCCTTCGAAGCCACTTCTGCTGAAGCCTTTGCAAAAGACATGATGCTAAAATTGCATCTCGGAGCTGCGCATGTGACCACTCCCGAGGATCAGATACGGCAACCTTGCCGAACAAAGCATTCCATTGTTTGCTGTACCCATTATGCACTGCGCTCCTACCACAAGTAGGAATAGCTCTTGAAATAGCTTCAAACGTCATGCCCATGCTGTTCCGACAATACACTACAGTCAAGGCCTTTATGGTTGAGACGTGACGAGGTTTACATCGACCTATGGTGTTCTTCCCGTTCGCAAGAGTAGTCTCGGAAAGAGCATGGTTGCGCAGAAGTCCCCGACGACTGCTGATGCTGAGCCGGATCGGCCAAGCTCTGCAGCGAGAGACTCCACGGCTACCTTCCTACGATTTAAAGCATGCCATGCGAGGATCCGGTCATCCTTGGACTTCGAGTACATTGGTCCTTGATTGCAAACACGGCCCGTCGATCCTCCCCTCAAGGTCGCCTTCATTCCACCACGGTGGAGAACCTGGCAGATATGGTTTGCGATGGCGCCTGTGGTACGACCCCGGACTTTTGCAACCGCTGCATGGCCGGTACCGTGATCGAGTAGCTTGATGATGGTTGCATCCTCTTCCGCAGTGGATCGTCAGGGCTTGTATATAGGAGGCGCGCGAGGCCTGAGATTGAGTTGAGGCTGAACTTCGCCGCCGACAGAACTTGCAATACCAGCCGCGTATCCAGGATGAATCACAGGTGCACCACTCCCTTTACACGCATCACCAGATTGTTCGGAGCCTGGGGTCACACGGTCACCATATCTGCCTTCGGACCTGACGATGGGCGTTCATGACATGACACTGTGCATACTGCTGGCGACGTTCAGGTCCTGATCTCGATTCACGCGATCTGACAGGCGAGGTCGTGCTCTGCCGTGCTAAGTTTTGGCGGTATGCCAATTGACTGACAGATTCCTCGCGAATCCCGACTATCCCATCTCAGGATCCAGCGACCTGTCCCTTCGATCTCGTCTTGTTGGCAATAACAGGAGTACTACAGAATGCGGTTCTGGTGGAAGTGTCAATCGTGGCGCAAACTCAATCTATGGTGCGGCGCGACTGCCGTATTTCCCGCAACCGCTAGTCCAAAATAAATCTCACCGGAAATCGACAAAATGGCACTAAGAGCGCTCGAATGAACTGTCTGTAGGGTCTCGGGCGCCTGGACTTGAAGTGAGAGATGCATGGATACGTAATCTGTTACCTAGCTACCTCCTATACAAGGAATCAAGAGAGGGTCTCCTCGCTCCCACGCAACTTCTCCTTAGCCGCTCGTTCCCTCTCCAAGAACGCCGCTTGCTCAGTTCGACTCTTCTTCACATCCACAAAGAACAGAAGGAAGATGAAGCTAGCAACACTCAAGCCGAAGAGAAAGTAGAAAGGGCTGGAATTGTTTCCAGTGTCGTCGATGATTGCACTCGAGACCAAAGGTCCGATGAAGCTCGAAGTCTTGCCAATGATACTGAACAAGCTGAAGAAGAGGAACTCCTTTCCACGTGGTGTGACTTCGGAGATCATCTGGCATTGTAGGTCAGTATAAATCAAGGCTCGTACAGATCAATAGAACTCACGGTCTGCGAGTAGCTGTACCAAGGACAGACAAATAGTCCATAGAAGACCTGATAGAGCCAGACTTCCCAAACATGATGGAACCCAAATCTTTGCGTCCAGATCCCAATCATGCCCCAGCTATCCAACAAGATGATGCCGACCGCCACAGCATTGAACATAGTCTTCGTGCTCAACTGCCACCTCTTCTGGATATTCCAAAACGACCAGATACCAACTGCTTGCGCCGCAATACCCACCAACAGCAGATATGTCAACTGCAAAGTGTTGTATGCCACGATCTCATTCTGTAAGGTCCCGATGACGGTCACAGTGGTGTTCAACGAGTCGCCAAGGAGGAAGTATCCGATAAGGTAGAAAAGGCTCTGCTTTAACTGCCAGATCTGGGTCATGGCGCGGCGAAGTTGCCAGAAACCGGCCAGCACGATGTTCATTCCTGGGTCCTGACCGGGACGACGCTTCTCCAGAAAGAACCAAGGCAGAGCGACAATGATCCAGATGCCGGATGCGAATGCGATGAGGACGGAAAGTCCCCAGTTATTGGCAGCTGTGCTCCTGTTTACATGAACGCCGAACATTACGCCCACGATGAGCGCCAAGATCACGATCTCGCCCACCGACTGCACATAGAACGACACATTGCTCAGCTCATTCCTCTTCATCGAATCCACATGATCGTACTCATCCCTCGAAATCGTCCCATCCTCGAATTCTCTGGCCTTCTCCCTCAGCACAGCAGTATTACGCGCCAGACCCGGGAAAGCTGCAGTCCAGTACGTCAAGCACAGCTGATAGGCGATCAAGCCTACAATGTACAATCCCAAACCTGTCTGCCACTGCTCTGCTCGATGGACGCCCAGCCAACCAAAGCCGATACCCCACGCGACCAACGAGAGGACGATAAGGATGTTCGGACGGAAGGTACCAAAGTCTGCGTATGATCCCAGGATCAAGAAGATGACAATCTGGATCGCGAAACTGATGCCATTGCAAAGCAAAACGATGGAATTGATCGTCCTATCCGCACCTGCAAATCTCAGGATCGTGTTATCAGCGCCTCCTTTTACTTCAGCCTGCTGATAGACAAGATTCTGTGCAGCCGTCGGCGCAAAGTTGAACAAAGTCAACCCATTGTTGCCAACATAGTAGCCGTACCATGCCCAAATCTCGTTGCGACTGGTCTCGAAATGCGGATCGAATTGGTCTGGTGCCACTGGATGTTCTTCCTCGACTAGATGGCCTTGCTTCTCTTCAATCATGCCTTGCGCCGGGTCTTCGGCTGGCGCAGCGAGTGGTGCCAGGCCTGGCTGAGCAGATGCCATCGTGTGATTCTGTGGTGATATAAGTGCCTCGTGAGGGGGGTGATGTGCAGGGTAAAGTGTCCGTGTCCCCTTGTAAAATTATGGTCTTCTATTATGACCTTCTATGCCACAGCCGACGAGCTCGAAGGTCGCCAGAAATATGTTTTCATCGGCATCAATGCTGATCTGTTTGAAGCTCTTGCGTCAAGGTGACTGCTCAATATCAGCAGGAACAGTCGTCTGTCCAAGTGTGCAAGAGATAAGGAGATGTTGAGATAAAGAAAGAATCGTTTCTACCTTACTTGACTAGGCTCTACTCGCTCCAAAGTGCTTGCGTCTCTTCGGCCTCCAGATCTGCATCGCCGATAACGAAACTGCATGATGCTTCAAGGTTCAAGCACGCTATATGCGGGGCCACGCACGGACATCGAATATGGAAATTCGAAGGCCACATCACAGATTTTGTGGATGGAAACAATGGCCTGGATGTCTTGGTAATGTGACAACCACATGGTGAGTGGCCAAAATCAAACTACCGCGGAGCACATCACGCCTGCGCAGAGTCCACACGCTCGTGCATGGCTGACAGCGGTACCTCCTTCGTCTCCAAGCCATCAAGACCCAATCCTCTCGCTCGCTCTTCAGGCAGCCTCTCATGCATCGAGTCGGGAACTAGATCTGGCGTGATCTGTCTCGTCAACACTGGCTTCGGCGGTGCGAGGAATGTCTTTGCAGTCGGACTCTTGGGACTGTCAAGCTTCTCAAGCACCGAGTCTCGCTTCTTAAGCACCAATTCTTCGGACGCCAATGCTTGGCCAAATCCCTCGGATGTCGCTACCTGCTCGATAGACTTGAAGTACTGCAGGACGTTAGAGGAAATGTCGAGAGTGAGATGGACGAGCGACCGTGCATACCTTGACAGTCTTGACCTGCAGCTCGAGCGTAGCATCCTCGTCAACGACGATCATGGCGTGAGGATGTAGCTGCAGACTCGACAGAGTCCACATGTGGTTGACACCGCCTTCTATGCACTTCTGCAGCGCCAACGCTTTGTGTGCTCCCGTGATTATGATCACGACCTCTCTCGCCTAGCAACTCTGTCAGCCCAGGACGCTCTTTGCCAGTCATGCTGTACTTACATCCATAACAGTCTGCACACCCACAGTCAACGCCATCTTAGGCACCTTGTTCAGATCATTCTCGAAGAATCTCGAATTGGCAATGATGGTATCGTAGGCCAGCGTCTTGACTCTCGTCCGACTTCGCAAACTCGATCCAGGCTCGTTGAAAGCGATATGTCCATCTGGACCGATGCCACCAAGGAACAGCTCGATACCACCAGCCCGACGGATCTTCTCCTCGTAGGCAATGCATTCTTCTTCCAGATCTTCAGCATTGCCGTTGAGGATGTTGATATTCGCAGGGTCCACATCGACGTGGCTGAAGAAATGCTTATACATGAAAGAGTGGTAGGATTCCGGGTGGTCTCGTGGGATTCCAACGTACTCATCCTACACGATCGTCAGCTCGGATTGCTTTGCAGCTTTTTGCCACTTTACGCACCATGTTGAATGTGACAACGTTCTTGAAGGAAATTCTGCCATCCTTGTGTGCCGCTACCAGGTTCTTATAGATGCCTTCGGGTGATGAGCCAGTTGGTAGACCGAGAATGAAAGGCTTCTCTGGTGTTGGCGCAAAGGACTGGATACGACCTGCATCATCATGAGTATATTCTCGCTGTCATGTCCTGAGGGAATTCAATCGTACTGATTATGTAGTCGGAGATATACTTGGAGGCTTCAGCTTTCTGGTCCCGGATGATGAGTCTCCTGCTCCTGCTTTAGCACGAATTTATGGTCGAGAAACCGGACGCTGATAGCTTACATGGTGGGCGCCGAGATGGTCGTAGTGATGGAGAGGGCAGAAAGTGGAATGGAATGTTTGTTGCCATAATGGAAAGACCACCTCCACGAACCTACCATTCACTATAGCAGAGTCAGGCGCGTGTACAGCTCGCTCCACGTGCCTGTCGCAGTGACGTCGGGAAGATACCTTACCCAGCTCTGCCATCAATCGCAGGTCTTCCGACTGCACGGGGCTAGATACGATATGCAACCCTCACATCGACAAGCTCCGGCCGCAGGATTGGCCCACGTTGCATAGAGAGGTTGTGCCGCCGTGCTGGGTAGTAGTTGCCCCGCACCTATATCTGCCTCGACACGAAAGGTGTTGTTGATATCTCGCTCGCTATGGAGCATCAGATCTTCGACAAGGAGTGATACATGTATGCTACGCTGTTATCGCGTGATGAGATAGGAGCACGCCACGAAAGGCGGACATGAGCAGTGTCACCTCAAGAGCGGAGACGATGCCTGACTCGAATGTGTTATGTAAGCCATATGTCCGTGCGATGGAACATCGGATAGCCTCCTGGGCCAAGAATCCTCCAAAACTCTTCGTATCCGTCCAGTACTGAATGTAGGTATCCGTACGAGGTGGCAAATGAGTGACTGCTTTCACTGCCCATGCTACTGCTGTATCAGTGAAGCGAAGAGGTGCACGCGCGGGAGAATTGAATGTGACGGTGAGATCGAGGTCGCACACGTCGGTCGACCTTGATAACGGTGCGCCTTGAGCTCAGCCAATTGATAGCCGTGCAGCACAAGCTATCGGTAACGGCAAGCTACTCCACAAACCGAATCCCTGTTCACCACCGACCAGCCTAGCTGATCAGGGTTCGACATCCTCCGAACATGTTAAGGTCGCGTGTGACCTTCCCTCTTACATCGCACGCTATCTCATTTCACGCCGCCGCCGACTCTGGGCCCTTCACTTCCACGACATTCGATTACTGAACTGTGGATCAACAACGACTAGCTTCACAACTTCTACGGATTTCGAGAACATCTCTCTTCTCGATCGAGCTCGTGCGACAGCAAACAACGATGGCGGACACCACGACCGAGAAGGCGGCGCCGACCGAGCAAGTTCACTCTCCCACTCAGTCCATGGGCGAGCATGAAGTCGAAATCCCAAATGGGTGGATGTATCGTGGCCGCAAGATCGGCGGGTTGAGGTTGCCATGGTATGCCAGTCCAGAGTCGCAACTTGTGCTGGTGGCCTTTGTGTGTTTCTTGTGTCCTGGTGAGTGAAGCACGAACAAGTGTTTCACTGTTGGTGCTGACCGAAATTAGGCATGTTTAACGCACTTGGTGGACTCGGTGGTGGAGGACAACTCAATGCCCACGCTGCTGATGGGTCGAATACCGCACTCAACGCGACCTTCGCCATCGTCGCCTTCTTTGCTGGCACTATCACAAACAAGCTCGGCATCAGGCTCTCGCTTTCCTTCGGAGGCATCGGCTATTGCATCTATGTCGCCAGCTACTTGAGCTACAACCACACTCAGAATTATGGCTTCATGATCTTCGCAGGCGTTCTCCTTGGCGCATGTGCTGGCATTCTATGGGCTGCTCAAGGCGCCATCATGATGTCCTATCCACCCGAGGCCGACAAAGGCAAATATATCATGGTCTTTTGGGGTATCTTTAACCTTGGTGGTGTGATCGGCAGCTTGGTGCCTCTGGGCGAAAATATTCATGTTGCTTCAAACAGCACAGTCACCGACGGCACCTACGTTGGCTTCCTCGTCCTCACCTTCCTTGGAGCTTGCCTGGCGTGGAGCTTGTGTGATGCTAAGAAAGTTGTGAGATCTGATGGGTCGAGGGTGATCTTGATGCAGCACCCCTCCTGGAAGTCGGAGTTCCTAGGCCTGTGGGAAACATTACGCTCGGATCCTTGGATTGTGCTTCTGTGGCCCATGTTCTTCGCGAGCAATTGGTTTTACACTTACCACTTCAGCGATGTCAACCTTGCACAATTTAACACGAGGACACGCGCTCTGAACAACACTTTATACTGGTCGTCACAGATCTTTGGCGCTGCCACTTTCGGCCTTGCTTTGGACTCGAAGAGATTCGGCCGGCCAATGCGTGCAAAGATTGCTTGGGTGGCTCTCTTCGTCATCACCATGGCAATCTGGGGTGGTGGTGAGTATTCTAGAGTAGCTTGGGGGGTTCGTATGAGACATGAGCTAATGACCTTGCAGGATATGCCTTTCAAAAGGGTTACACCCGTGAGATGGTCGCCGCCAAGACCTATGTCAAGATGGACTGGACTACGAAGGGATACGTGGGACCGATGTTTCTCTATATGTTTTATGGATTTTACGACGCTGCATGGCAGACTTGCATCTACTGGTAGGTCCATACTGCAGACACAAATCCCGTCTCGGTCGCTGACTTGTTCAGGTTCATGGGCGCAATGACGAACAACAGCCGCAAGCTGGCAAATTATGCCGGCTTCTACAAAGGCATCCAGAGCGCTGGTGCTGCTATCATCTGGAGGCTTGATGGCATCCCAAACGCGCCGTCGTACATGGCACTCTTCGGATCCTGCTGGGGTCTGCTTGCTGGTGGTCTGCTAATTGCAGCACCTGTCATGCTGCTGAGGATCACGGAGACCGTTCCCGTTGAAGAGGATGTCAAATTTTCCGACGAGACCGTTGAGGACGTCTTAGGCCACAAGGGTCACGTCTTCCCCGAGATCGAGAAGGTCTAATATCTGTACTACTGTCTGTTCACGCCATGAGACGATGCATACGAGGTTCAGCGCAAGAACTTCATCAATGATTGAGACGAGGAATGCGGTGTGTTGAGGTCTCCGCTGCTTCTATAGCGTATACCAGTACCATACGATGCAATGAGCTTTACGATAATACTCAAGCCACGTTGCTCGTCAGAGCCTGATCTAGAAGTGTTCACGACTTGTAGATTACAAGCAGTCTTGTCGGGTGGTGAACACACACCTCTTTGAGGTTGGATCGAGAACTTGGCGGACATTCAGTTCTTCGAGCATGGCAATGCGTGTAACTCAACCCTTCGACATCCCCTTCCTTTCCTTACGGCTGGTCAGCCTGGTCACTGTCCGCGGCCACTCGCGTCCGCGCATATGTGGCTGCCACGCGGTTAGTGACGCTAGCCGCTTCGATCACTAACAGGGCCCCAGTCCCCGCTCTCGAATGCAACATACAACCGTGAAATGTAACAGACCCGCCCATCTGCTCCAGTAAATCAGCACCAACGACACCCATCTGCAAGTGATCAGATATCGAGCGGCTACTTGGCCGGGACAGTCGGGTGGCGTGCATACGAGGAGTCGTTCCGTACAACGTCCCAACCGGCCATTGCACACAACATCACCGGACGGATCTTGTGCTCGGCTTGCACGGCTAGCGACATCGGGTCAACATTGGACGAACAACTAAGTCATGTTGGCCGTTACAACCTTCCTGACCTGTAACAGCTCCGCTACTACTGCTTGTGCTATGCCCGGTATCAATTAGTCTTCCTGGACTACGGATCATGCCTGTACCCGTTCGCGAGAGGTAACAGGATGTTTACGATTCAGTTACACCACGTTATACATGGGCCCGTACTGCTTCGATACCACGCATGACTACGGCGCAGGTAAGACATCAATCGTTATATCAACAAAGGCATACGCAACAAAGGCATACGCTATTGGTCAAGTCTGGACGTCTAGTCCATGCGCATATAGTGAATAGATCTTACCATAGTGCTCCTCTATGCACTGGCGATAACATCTTTCTGGCCGTCAATGCTGCATCTCGCTTGCTACTGCTGCTGCATTCTGCTTGATCTGTGGAGCGCCAGCAAAATAGGGTGCGCTATGAGCGTATTGATATCTTCTGGGCTGGATTTCATACGGAATGGTCATTCGATGAAGCGGAAACGGGAGCATCATGTGGTGGAAAGGGCGTACGAAAAGAGCATGGAGGAGTTTAGCACACAGACAAGAGATCTACTGGCAGTATCGTGCGGCTCAGCGAGGCTGCTGGAGATGTCGGAGCGAATCAGAGAGGAGTATTTGCAAAGGCTGCAGTCTTCAGACATCTCCATGCTGCCTTCGTATCTACATACACTGCCCACTGGCACCGAGCAGGGCGATTTCTTGGCGCTGGACGTTGGAGGGTCGACATTCAGGATAGCAGTGATAAGGCTAACCGGCAAACGAGATTGTGAGGATTCATTGCAAGTGAGAAGGATAAGAAGTTTTGTGATTGGAAAAGTGATACGGGATTTGAAGGGGCAGGCATTCTTCGATTGGATGGCGGAACGGATTGGCGAGTTACTTGCAGAGTACAATCACATGAAGGGCACCACGAATGCGCGCTTGCAGATGGGCTTGGCCTGGTCGTTTCCTATCGAGCAGACTTCGCCGAGGAGTGGTCGGCTTTTAGCTATGGGCAAGGGCTTTTGTGCAACTCATGGCGTTGAAGGCCAAGATCTGAGCGAGTTAATCATGCGGTCGTGCAGGGCACGGCATCTAAATGTTGAGATGATGACCATTGTAAACGATGGCACGGCGACTTTGCTTTCCAAGGCGTACCTTGACAGGTCAACGAGGATGTCACTAATTCTAGGCACTGGGACGAATGCAGCAGTGTTCCTACCGACTACAGCACTAGGGAAAGGCAAATTCGGAGAGCGGCCGCAGACCTGGCACGACGCCGCTGAACGAGTTCTGGTCAATACTGAAGTGAGCATGTTTGGCCGGCATGTCTTACCTCGTACACGATGGGACGACGAGCTGAACAAGCACCATGTCCTCCCCGACTTCCAGCCTCTGGAGTATATGATCACAGGGAGATACTTAGGGGAGATCGTGCGGTTGATACTGGTCGAAGCCGTCACCACAGCAGGTCTGTTCGATGGGGACCTTCCGGAAGGCCTCAATGAACCATATACGCTCGACACCCGGCTTTTGGCAGCCTTTGAGCAAGATACAAGCCGAACACTTATTAAAGCGAGCGCTTCGTTTTTGAGAGCACATGCTCTTCCCACGCCACCTCGGCTAAGCGAGCTGGAATTCCTCCGAGAGACAGCGACTTTGGTGTCACGGCGTGCAGCGACATATCTAGCGACTGCACTGCATGCACTTTGGCGGTTACGCACAACGGCAGAAGGCCTGCGGCCTGGCGAAGCGAGCCATGTCACCATTGCATGCGATGGTACCATCATTGAGAAGTACCCAGAGTTCCGAACAAATTGCCAGGCGAAGTTGGACGAATTATGCGCACTCTCCGGCGCCGCCAAGGGTACTGTGTCCCTTGCAATGGCTCCTGAAAGTTCCCTCTTTGGTGCCGCCGTTGCAGTGGCTTGCATAGATCACCCGTAGGACCAACTTGAATGACATTCACAAGGACATGTGCCAGTCGTAGTACTATAATCACACTATCAAGATTACAGCTTACAATGGTAGAGGCCATCGTGGAGGTGCGAAATACTGCTGGCGAATGCGAGACAAGGGTGACCACGAGATGCGGCTGGCAAGATCATCGTTACATTGCAGTGTAGACTTGACCTTGGCGACCTCGCTGCATAGATATTCTGATATGAACTCCGAGCTCGGCAGTAAGCTCTAACTTGCTAGACGAGCATGACCTACCAAATCAGGAAAGTCCATGGCGCATATCAGACTCAGCTGAGTTGGTCGTCACGCGCCAGCCACGAAAGCTGTTGCTCACAGAGCAACCCCAGACGTCGCGCCAGAATGTATGATGCATGGCGTCGACTCCCACCCTACATTCTAAACCGAGTGTGTCAAGCTGTTGGAACGTCTGACGATCGTCAAGGAAAGTACCTTCGTGGTCATTGCCTCGCCCACTGACTTTATGTAAACCGTAGGTTATTATACATTGCCATGTCTGCATGTAACATTGTCATCTCCTTTTCGATCAGCCCGCATGGACACCGCCCCTCCGTTTAGTGAGGGACACTTCAGACGCTGGGCCCAGAACGAGTATTATCGACAGGATCCACTGTTTGCCCACGCGTGTTGGGATGACCGTGGTCTCTATTGACACGAACGGCTATATCAACACCCACTGAGGCGAGCTCTATGCAGCTCATTCGAGATCTTAAGCCTCGCAATCCTCTTTCACATCTAAGAAGCGAGCTCTATGCAGCTCATTCGAGATCTTAAGCCTCGCAATCCTCTTTCACATCTAAGAAGCTTGGAGGAAGCTGCACTCTGGATAGTCTTGACAGATGGATTAATAACATTCGCCTCCACAGAGACAATGCCTTTGATCATGTAACTGATCGAAGGTCCGGCGCTCAACTGACATCTTCGCTAAAGTATCGCTTGCTGCGACTCTTCGCACTGGTCTTGGGATCTCGTGGATCGGTGGGCAGCTTAGTGTGATGAACAACGTGCGGCCGATACACAGCATCCACAGGTGGCATCCAGTCATCCAGTCCGAGTGGAAAGTACTCATACAGCAGATCTGCACTTTCATCGGGACTATTGACCGTATTCAGACCAAATGACGGTGGCCTAGGAGGTATGTTGGCCTTCTTGGTTGCTCGCTGATCGGGTGGTGTGGCACTACTACCTGGCACTGGCGAATCATCTTCTACCAACGACAGATTTATAGGCGCAGTAGGTGCCGACGTCGTCTGGCGAAGCCGCGTGAGATCAGGAGACGATATGGCGTACACATTACCACCGTTGAATGGGCTCGTGCTGGGTGGTAGGGCCGTCATAGCACCGGTCTGTGCTTGTCCATTGCCTTTCCAATCGTAGAAATCTGTGCTAATGACTGGCTCGTCAAAAAACGATGTCATCGGCACTGCCAGCGACGGCGGCTCTTGCTTCAATGGAGCCGAAGTAGGGCCATCCTGCGCCTGCTTGACACCAGAGTCATTCGTACTGTTTCGGCTAAGCTGAGCAGGTGCGTTCGTTGAGGTCTTTCTGGTATGACCAGCACCGCTTAGTGGCATGTCCTTTCGAGCCTGGAAATTGCGTGGACTCCGGCCCCGAACTATGATCGCTCCCGAGTGCACTTCACAGATCGGTATCTTGGCGCCGGTAGCAAGAGTAGCAACAACCTTGAGGTGCACCACGAAATGCTGCTGGAGCTCCTTTCTCCGGCCATTATTTGCCGTGGCTATTCGAAATTGCAGTCGCTTCCATTGGAATGGAAAGCTCGCAAAGTCTGTCTCGAGCTCCTGGTAATTCAATAAGTCCAAGGGTATCGACGGAGGCTCCCGTTCTGCTCTGTCGTCCACGACATTGCTGGATGGATGCGCTGGTGTCTTCCATGGTACTGATATGATTTTGACGGGATTGCCTTCTGTGGACTCCGTAGCACTAATCATTAACTCTTGTCCCATGATAGGGATCTGCTCTCCTTGCTCTGTCATCAGATATCTCAGAGTCCGAGGCAAGGTAATCTCGCCCGTTGTCTGAAACAAGTTCCGTCGATAGCAGGTCAATTCATTTGGCTGCAGCTGTGTCTCTCCAGCAGCTGCCCATGGCGATTCGGCCAAGAAAAACATGCCATGTAATTGAGCCGAAAGAGATATGGTGATCGGCCGATAGGTGTAGTCCAGTAGGCCATAGGGGAATGTTGGTAGTGAGAAGCCGAGTAGTTTGTTGTCTCGCTCAATGGAGGGCGTCTCAGGGTCTTTCTGATCCTGGTTGGCATTGTCAAAGGCACTAACCACGTCTGAGAATGGATCCTCGTAAGCACTGGAGAAGCGCTTGAGTTGTGGCGTCGCGTGAGATTGGAGGTTGTGGAGGTTCATGTCTTCGCTGCTGCAGATGGACAAACAGTCAGTAGTGCACCTCGTAAGTTGTTCCGCGCGTACACATACCCAGCATAGCCATATGTCGACTGGTGATCAGGCATCTCCATTGGCAGCAGCATTTCTTGGAAAGGGTCCGCACTGCCTCCGATCACCGGATGTACCATTTGAGTCCATGTCATCGTAGACGTGTCGAAGCCAGGTAGACTATCCATAGCAGCGTATGTCTTTAGCGATATCGTCTTCGCCTATCACTGGCGCACCTCCACCTCCAGGCCAGTAGTGCCCGCGCAATCCCTCATGCAACTTTGATCGAAATGACAGGATTCAGAAGCTCCTGCAGCCTGTTGGTCGGCGCTGGGTCTTCGAGGGAGTCGGCGACGAGCATGCACGGAGGAGGCGCATTCGATGAGAGCTATTGAGGGGTGTCGTTTCGGGTCACGGGACCTGCATTGTTAGCCAAGCGTCAACCGGCCTGTCATAGCTCGACGGCGACGATGTTTAGTCCAGTCACTGCTTTGCGTGCGCTTAAGTGCTCGATGTCAATTCTGGCAGATCGATAGAAGTCGTTGCTATCGCGAAGTCGCAGTAGTGCCTCGGTGCTGACCGACAGGGTAGCTGCCAGGACGGCTCCACGCCTTTCCGAGGAGCGTACCGCCCCCGACCTCATCTGGTTGGCTCGGGAGTAGGAGGATCGAGCGGTCCGACGGCTTGGCGCATACGTCTCAACACGTGAGCCCAGAGTTCTGTGGCAGATCTTATTGTCGAGACTTTGGTCTTTTATCATATTCGGCGCTTTCAGCAATGCGTGAACGAACTACGCGCGCAAGGAGCATTACGCTTGACACCTCCGCTACTCGCTGTTTCGCCGCATGCGCCGGAGGACGTCCCCGTCTTGGCACCGAATCTTCAATTTTTCGAGCAGAAACTGCCTCTACAGCCTCTACAGCCTCTACAGCGCGCCACGCATGTTTGACCAACAATCTGAGCGCTCTGGGATATCTTTCAGACTATGCTCCACCTACTAGATAGATCCTATGTATCATACAAGTGCGCACACGGGCGTGAGTGGGGGCGCTTTCATTATTGTCTTACCAAAAAAGTCTCCATCACGTGACAGGATATACCTAAATATAACGACAGGCACCACTGGCTCTCAGCCACACTCTCATGATGGCGGCACCATTGTCCAAGTTGCTGCATCGCAGCTGACCTCCTCGAAATTGTGCAGAACACTGAAACCCAAAGCAGAAAGTCCATCGAAGTCACCATCACCATCCATGTAATCCAAGATGCACGCGTTGCAGCCTTGCTTCCTGATCTGACGCATGCCAAGTAGGATCAGACCTTGCAGGAGAGTCGAGTACTCGCCTACGGAGGGACTGATGACAGGAGACGAGATGCCACCAGCGAGCTCGCCAATGTCTTTCATACCAGGCACAAATTCCGCCAGCTGCGAGTGCATGTTGTACAGTACAACAGTGCCAACGAGAGCGCCATCTTCCGGCCGCCTAGCTCGGATAATACCACAAGCGGACGGGTCTGCCAAGGCCATCTTATACACCTCAGCCAGACCTTGGCGATTGTTTGTCTTGATATGGTCGAGCACCGGGCTTGCATGACCCCAGCCGTACACCAGATCGAAGTCGACCCCTGCGCTCTGCAGGCTTTTCGCCATACCAGGAGGCGGCTGCCAAGTAGCCAGGTTACGCGCGACCATGCTGCAGACTGCACGAGATAATGCAGTGTTCCAGCCCAGATTAGCGAACCACGAGCGAAGTCGCTTACGCTCGCCACCATGATCTGTGGGTATGCCTAGGTATATACTCGGCAGGCGCGAGCCAAGCTGGAAGCGCTTGATGCCTTCTCGCTGTAGTAATGTACGAATAGCGCGATTGTGCAGCGAGTGTCCAATTGATAGCTTGCGGCGGCCCGGGTCGACGAACACAGCACCAATAATGCCGGTACCTGTTGCTTTGAAGAAGTAAGTCGTGCAGAAGCCATATAAAGCTTGCGTGCTACTGTTCCGCACAACGAAATGTGCTTCGAGGATCTCAGGATGCCGCAAGAGGAAAGAGTTGGATGATGCACTCGAAAGCTCGGAGTGCAATCCAGGGGTATTGCCTTCGACCACAACCTTGAGCAGGACGTCAAGCGAATTCGAGTCGCGCTCTTCGTTGAAAGCTTCGACAAGCCAGTGCTGCTTCGACTGCGACAGCTTCTGGCTCTGGCTGATGGTTCCGGGTAAAGCACCGGCGGGAGCTAGCTCACCATAGAGCACTTTGACCAGTGAATTGAGCGCTGTCTCAGTGAAATCATAGGTGCAGATATATGTTCCGATACTTTGGTCCATGGCGAAGTCGTAAGGTGAGCTCACGGCCACGATCACAATCGGCTTCTCTCGTTTGTCGCCTCCAGATGTGTACTGCATGTTGCAGATCATCGATACATGCTTTGTGAACCCGCTCTGATACAGATTGCGATTCGCATCTGCAGTGACAAGCACGATAGCACCGGCACGATTGATGAGGTTTTCGTGTTGCGGACGCACACCATTAGCTGTATAAGAGGTGTGTAGAACGCGGCCACTCCTTTGACGAGCCAATGAGCGACCGAGCTCTCGGAATACTCTCTCGCCGCTCATGACGGAAGCACTTCTTTCCCAGATCGCAGGTTCTGGCGAGCCATTCGTGGCATGCTCTGAAAGTGCTCGTGAGGCCGCCGAAGCTACTAATGGCTTTACGAGTGGCGTCAATAGCAGAAGCTCGTCTTCTGGCTCCATCGTATTTGCGAGTGGCAGTATGCGGCCTTTATCTCTTACCACAGTGATCGAAGAGTTGTAGGCCCTGGTAGACAAGACAGTATGAGCAGGTTGTAGCTTCGATAGCAGATTGATGCCGGGAGGGTTGAGTGCCTTCTCCCAAGTCGTGCACTTCGCTTTCATGTTTAGTACCCGCTTCAGAGAGGTTCGCAAACGCTCTTTGGTGATCATCGCATTCTCGATGCCAAGCTTGAACCCCTCGAGAGCTTCTTGCTGATGCACGAAAGAGCGGCAGAGAAGCACAATGTCACAGCCTGCATTAATCGCCATGACTGTGCCGCCGCCGACGCCAATATTATGGCTAAGCGCTTCCATCTCTAGACAGTCGGAGATGACCACGCCATTGAAGTGCAAATCGTTCCGAAGCAGATCGTTGACTACCTGCTCGGACAGGCAGGCGTGCATAACATTCAGCCCAGCACTGTTCATGGCACAGCCTCCGACCATCATGGCATCTAAGCCTTCTTTGATGGCGTTACGGAACGGCACCAAAGCGTTCAGGCTCAATGACTCCAGGCTTTCCGTGATCGTAGGAACATCCAGCGCTGAGCCGAGGAACTCAAGACTGCCGTACGAGGGGAAGTGCTTGCCCATCGTGGCAAGACCAGCGTCCTTGTACCCCTTCATGAATGCCACGCCGTACGATGAAACTTCTTGCGGGTCGTCGCCAGTAGTACGCACACCCAGAGGCTGATTTCGTACATTAGTCAAGACATCGAGACACGGTCCCATCATCAAGTTGATGCCACAGGCTGCGATTTCCTCGGCAGTGGCTTTCGCGACTTCGTAGGCTAGCTCACGCGATCCTGTTGCTGCCATACCCATGGCTGAGGGATATTGACGAATGTAAATCTCGTCGAAGAGGCTGTTGACGCCGCCATTCTCTTGATCTAGGCCTATGGCCAGTGGCACGACATGGCCGGCATCGTAGGCACATTTCTGCAGCTCAAGTACTAACTGCGTCGTCTGTTCGGCGGCTGCGCGCGGTCAGCTCGTGGAAACACGGAGTTGCGACTTATGAAGCATACATTTGAGGTTCTTTGCTGTCAGCAGAATCGAGCCCAGATGATGTTCCTGTATCAGCTTGCGAATCTGTGGGCCATCATTTGTCAACGAACCGCCTATAGCAGCTGCATGGCAACCTCAACCATACCTGAGGCGTGACTGTGGTTCCCTCAAAGCCCATCATGAACAGCTGACCAAGCAGCCGATCTGTATCGCCCCATGATGGGTCTAGCTCATCTACGTGACTTCCCATCTTGGACGGTCTCCACCAGCTGTAAGAGTTGTAGTCGAGATAGCTCACACGTGGTCAGCCTGACGATCCGTACCGCTCCTAGGTGGCGCGTTTGCGGTCGCTGACGATCATTGCGATGCTACGCTACCACCTCGTGCTCCACTCATGTCGGTATGATAAATCCGCGCCCTGCTGATACCACCAGGCTTGGACCTGCCACCTTGAGCTTTCTGCAGCAAAGTCACTGTGTAGATATGTTACTCCTAAAGCTCGTCTCTTCGTGTCTCGCGGATGAGGTGATGTGCCATCCGGCTCACCTCGGTTCTCATCGGCCCGCGCCAAGACATTCGCTCGAGTTGCCTCTCCACTTCGACATGCCATTCGTTCTGTAACGTTGCATGTCAGCTTGAGAGCTCCATCATCATCGTTGACACCAGCTCGACGGGCGTGATCCATCCATTGGCCGACAAGGCTTAGGGGCTGCTATCTTTTCGTCAAGGTGACTCTGATTAGATAACATGCTTCATCAGAGTCCGAGGACGGCACGGCTAGCAAGGTAACTGCAACACGGAAATCTTATGAATTTGGGTTAGGAAAAGTATACGCTCCGTTCACATCTCCCTGCAATCATTCCGTACAATGTGAGCTACTCCCCATAACGCGTGGCCGGTCTCGCAAGTCGACCAGTCTCGGGTTGTTGCGGTTCTTCTGCGGACTTCAGGCGATCTCCCATAGCTGGGCCACAACCCAAGTCCACGCCATCAACATGCCCATGGCAATTTCACCCGAGCGGCCTCGGACTGGCATCACTCGACTCACTGGTGGTCGTCTTGTGCGAGGCAATAAGCTGGTTGAAGACGACTTATGGATATCGTCTGTCACAGGCCGCATTCTTCGTAGCCAGGAAGTGTTCTACGAACATCATGCTGTTCCGGATGAGATAGTGGACCTCAAAGGCAAGATCTTGTGCCCTGGCTTCATCGATGTGCAATTCAATGGCGCATTTGGTTTCGACTTCTCTACCGTGCCGGAGGAAATAGGCGAATACCAAAAAGGTCTGAAGCGGCTTAACAAGCACTTAATAAGAACCGGCGTGACCAGCTACCTGCCAACACTACCTAGCCAGCAAGCTGAAGTCTATCACAAGGTCCTGAGATATCTAGGCCCTAGTGGCGATGCCAGAAATGCCTTGGAAGGCTCAGAATCACTGGGTGCTCATTGCGAAGGACCGTTCATTTCGCCGAGCAAGAATGGAATCCATAGTCCGCAAGTCCTGCAAGAGGCACCAAATGGCTTCGCGGACATGGAGACAATCTACGGCCTGGAGAACCTATCACATGCTGGGGGCTACCCGCATGGACAGATACATTCACCCATCAGCATGATTACAGCTGCGCCCGAGGTAGCTGGTATCACCGCCTGCATACCTGAGGTCGTCAAGCGAGGCATACGTTTCGCCATCGGCCACACAGAGGCAACGTATGAAGAGGCAAGCGACGCAATACAGCAAGGTGCGAATATGATCACGCATCTGTTCAACGCAATGCGGCCACTCCACCACCGCAATCCTGGAATCTTCGGCGTTCTGGGAAAAGCGGAGGGCACAGATAGGCCATATTATGGCATTATCAGCGATGGTATCCATCTGCACCCGACCACTGTCAAGATCGCGTGGAACGCGCATCCCGATGGCTTTATCTTGGTGACAGATGCTATGAAGACGGTTGGCCTACCAGACGGCGTATACGACTGGACGAACGGCGATCGATGGGTCAAGAAAGGTCCACTTCTGACACGAGAGGGCTCAGACACTCTCGCGGGCAGCTCAGCGACCCTCATAGAATGCGTCAACAACTTCTGGACTTGGTCACACGCCTCGATACCGGAGGTGATTCGAAGTGTCACAGAGACACCAGCAGAAATGCTTGGGCTGAGAGGAGCCAAGGGGAGCCTGGATGCCGACACAGATGCGGATCTGCTGGTACTCGATCCTGTTGAAGAAGCTGATGGTAAGAGAAGCTTCAAGATCGAGAAGGTCTGGAAGTTTGGGACTTTGGTACACGATGCCGGTGACCAGAATTTTGGATTGTAGTAAACAGCCGGACGAGAATTGTCTTGCACTTTCATAGACAGCGTAGGCGCTTCTGGTGTTCTGGGGCTCGAAACTCTTCCGCAGTATATGATACTTGCCATTACGAGTTCTACAAAGATCGCTGTTTTGACCTTGATGTATACGCTTACTAGTGTGGCGCATCTATGTAACCACCGATATCTGGCATGTGAGTGTGATGTCAGAGCGGGATCTCGCAAAACAATCCATGCTCGTCATGTTCAACATACACATCATCTCTCGAGTCCAGTAACTATCTCTATCATAATACGCGATGAAGCGGTAGCACCGGACGATACTCACCATGCGAGCTGCTTTTCTTCTGGGACGTACATGCTGGAGGTGCAGCGGCGAAAGTGTGCGGCCACAGATCCTGCGGCATGTCCAGTACAGCATTAGGAGTGGACGTGGCGCCAAGAGCTTCTCGTCGATACACCACGCAAAACAATCTTTCCAAAGACCGCCTGCGCCAGTCAAAGGAGGGACGGCGTTACTAGCACTCCTCAGTCCAGCAGCTTTCGTCTCGATCGCGGACGATGACGAGAGCAAAGGGGCCAACAATGGCAAGACGCATGAAGAGCAAATGCTTGAGATCTCACGGCAAGAACTAGAGGAGGCACGAATACCCGAGCGGATTCAGCACTCGGCGAGATGGAGGAGAGGGTTATGGAAGTTCGTGGACGAGTGGATCGTCGAGCCATTTGCGACGGGCGTGCGCTTCCTCCATCTGGTCATCATCTTCGTTCCAGTCATCATCACGGTCCCTGTGATATGGCTGGGCGAGAAACAAGCCGACAGGGATAATGAGAGGAGTGGAACGCTATGGTGGTATAGCTTTCTGGTCGCATCCATGGAGAGAGCAGGCGCAGCATTCATCAAGCTTGGGCAGTGGGCGGCAAGCAGGACGGACATCTTCCCAAACGAAATGTGCTCTATCATGGGTGCACTCCATTCAAATGCACCAGCACATTCGCTAAAAGTAACCAAAGCCACAATCGAAAAGGCATTTGGGCGCAAGTTCGAGGACATCTTCGACGAGTTTAATGAAAAGCCACTCGGCGTGGGAGCCATTGCACAGGTATACAAGGCGAAGCTGAAGCCGGACCTCACTCTACTGGACGACGATACCGATAAGACGCCTCAAACCTTACGTGCGAAGGCTTTGAAGACTGTTGACCCCATACTGAAGAGCACACCACAAAGAGTTCCGTCAAGTTATGTTGCGATCAAAGTGCTGCATCCGAAGATTGAACGTATCGTACGGCGAGATTTGAAGATCATGGGCTTTTTCGCGAATGTCATCAATGCCATACCGACCATGGAGTGGCTCAGCTTTCCAGATGAGGTCCAGCAATTTGGCGAGATGATGCGCTTGCAGCTCGACCTTCGCATCGAGTCAGCCAATCTTACCATCTTCCGCCGCAACTTCCGTAATCGTACTACGGCATGGTTTCCGTACCCATATACTCAGTACACGACACGGCAAGTCTTAGTAGAAGAATTCGCCACCGGCATCCCGCTTGAACACTTCTTGCAGAACGGTGGCGGCAGCTTCCAGAAGGAGATCGCAGATGAGGGCCTTGATGCTTTCCTGCACATGCTCCTGATCGACAACTTCATCCATGCGGATCTCCACCCAGGCAACATCATGGTGCGATTCTACAAGCCAGCGACTGTCGATATGGGCGCCAATCTGTCGAGTCTAACAGGCAGGAAGAAAGCCGATCCGAACAAGAGTCCAGATGTCACAGAAGAGGTGCTGGCACGACTGCGACCACATCGACATGCAAAGACAGAGTGGGAGAAAACACTATCCGAAATTGATAGAGAAGGCTACCGACCTCAGCTCATTTTCATCGATACCGGCCTGGTCACTGAACTCAACGAGACGAACAGAAAGAACTTTCTGGACTTGTTCAAAGCCATTGCTGACTTTGACGGCTACAAAGCTGGCCATCTCATGGCCGAGAGGTGCCGACAGCCGGAAGCAGTGCTTGATCGTGAGGTCTTCGCGCTCAGGATGCAGCATCTAGTACTCAGCGTCAAGAGTCAGACATTCTCGCTTGGCAACATCAAGATAGGAGACATTTTGAATGAGGTATTGAGTATGGTGCGGGGACACCATGTCAGGCTTGAGGGCGATTATGTGAATGTCGTGCTGTCGATTCTGCTGCTGGAAGGCATTGGCAGAAGCTTAGACCCTGAGCTAGACCTATTCTCTGGGTGAGTAATGTCTGACTTCGAGATCGATATGCAGAGCGGCTAACATCAAATAGTGCTCTCCCTATCCTGCGACAGCTCGGCGCACAAGCTGGAGGATCTCTTATCAGGTCCGGCGACCTGTCAATGGCCAAGGTCTGGGTTGGCCTGGAGGCTCGAAAGTTCTTGCGGGCAAGCATCGAAAGCGTAGAAATGTGTGTGAAGTATGATCAGCTGTCTCCAAATATATAACGTTATCACCACCAATCAACAGTAATAACGAATGAAAAAACATGAACAAGCCGGTAGAGCCAGCACAGTATTTCTCCCTGCTTCCTGATTGATACGCGAGAGGCATACGATGCTAACACTAAGAGGTTCAGTGATGCTGTACCACAGCTCCTGCGTCAACTGGATCGTTCCTTCTTCAATCTCAAGACGACCCTGGGTTTAAGCTTTTGCGTGGTTCGAAGTCTTTCTCACTCAGACGTGCTACTCATTGCCACTTCTTGGTACTCCACTTGCCACCGCCATACCATCCGACAGCGTTCCTCGTTGCTCGATCACTTCATCATGGCTCTACCTCAGGACCCAAATGTCATAGCGCCGGACGGCGACGTGACGCTGACATGTGGTGGACAACTTGTAGACGGCATTCCGTAAGCGGTAATCAGCATATGGAAAACTCGATGACTGACTTGGGAAGCATAATCATGCTCCGCGTCGACTCAACCATCATGAGCTATGCCTCGGAAGTTTTCAAAGCGCTTCTCTCGCCCCGTTTCAAGGAAGGAAGTGCCCTTGCCGCCAACGCCTCCGTTGAGGTACCCCCTGCCGGAGAATAATGGTCGAATTATGCGCTATATTTGCATGATTTTCCATCACCGTCCTAACGCACTGCCAACGACGATGAGCGTTTCGGACATTGTCGTTCTCGCACAATTATGCGATAAGTATCGTTGCACGACCGCGGTCCGCATGCACGTCGGTCCGGTCATCGAGCCTCAACTTGATCGTGCTATGCATGATGACAGACTGCTCCTGCGGGAAGCAGCCATCCTGCTGCGACACGACCGTACGGTCAAATCGCTCAGCTGCAAGCTCGTCTTCAGGTCTACTGCAACCAGTCCTCTCTCACCCGATTTGGCCGACTTCGCCGCAGAGATCAGGCAGCGGATCGTGGTATACATTGAAAGCCAGATCGATCACCAACTCGCTCATCCCGAATGCACGGCACTGCCGCGCTGCATCTCATTAATGCTGTCACGCATGAAGCACGTCGACTTGTTCCCCATGACCAAGAACGCCAAACCCATTTCGCAGCTCTGCACGATCATGACCAACACCAGCTACACTGATCCCACAGAAACCGCCTTCAACCAGGAGCCAGGCTGCAGGAAGCATAACCTGCACTCCCTTCGACATCTCCAGGGTCAGTTTGCCAAGGAGGCAAATGCCATTCGTGCGTCGATACTGAATATGAATGCAACAACTTGAGCTGCTGGCCGGACGGACTGCCGAAGATTCCGCGGACTAGATTTGCTTATCTCTATGGCGGAAGCCCTAATCCGACTGGTCAAGACAGGAGAATAGGACAATCTAACGTGGTACAAGGGGTGTTCGACTGATGAACGCTGTCGGGCATGTACTATGGCAAAGCTTCACCTGCAAAATACAAGATCTCACATCCCAAAATCTGCCGGTGAATCTGCAAACGTATGCCTGCCCGGTTCCTCCCCCTTCCTCATCACATTCCTAGGCCCACCCCTATTCCTGAACCCCTTGAGAGCCTCAGGCAAGTATCCAGCCCTGTCCTCTTCGTCCCTAACCCTCCTCGGTCCCGTCCTCTCCTTGCCCTCGCCGAGCCTAAATTGCATCCTCCCATTCTCAAATCGCTTAATCTGACCTTCCCTCAGCCTACCCGCCCTCTCAAGCTTGATCACCGACCTTTCCACACTCTTCGTACTCCCACCTATAAAATTTTTCAGCTGCGACCGGCGAGAATGCCAATGGCCGTAATCCTCCCTCGGTACGAGCCCGCGGTTCATACACGTATCGACAGCTCCAACCACCGCTCGGAAGAAGTCTAGTATTTCCGTCTTGGCTTTGAGGTCTATCTCCCGACTTTGACCTCCGCTTGCTGGACCGTAAGTCAGTCGGCTCCGCAAATTATGGATCAATGGATCAAGCCGATCGATGGCCGCCACGACTTTTGGGCCACTGTCCGAATTCAGAGCGAGCGAGAGGTACTTCTTCAATGTGACCACGTCTGGATCTGCCAATGCTTTCTCCATCGCATCTACGATCTTTGTCGCGTTCTCCAGGACATGCATGTTCTTCGAGTCACGTACGCAGGCGTCCATGGCAAGTCGGAAGGTCAAGTTCATCGGCCTTGATATTCCGGCCTTGGGTAGGTCGTGTAGTACCACTTCTGCAGCATGTCCAGAACTTCGGTTTGTCATCAAGAATCGCAGGTAGGCGTGGAAGTTATGAAGGTCGGGTTGTAGGCCATAGATGTCGGACGTGAGCAGTTTCCAATACGCGGACGCAGCCTTTGGTACACGCATCTGCGAGCAAGCGTCAAGAAGCACGCTGAGTGTGTCATTTCCTGGTTTGGTGTAGGGTAGAAGCACTGGCTGTTTGGGCTTGCTCGGGTCCTTGGGCAATGGTTTGACTGTCTTGTAGGCCTTTGCGTCTGGTCTGTCGGTGGGATCTTTGGCATGCTCATGCGTAGAAGACTCTACCGACACGATTGGCGCGTCTACGTCGTTCGTCTCAGCAGTGACTGCGTCTTGAGGGACCTCGATTTGCGGCACGTGTCCAATATGACGTTCTGCCGAATCGATTGGGTCGATTTGTCGTTCTATCTCCATTGTCTGTTGCACCAAGTTCAAGACATCGTCATGATCGTTGATCCTCCCACTGAGAAGTAATAGCCTAGCCATGGCACACACGAGCTCCTCATCAACCTTGATCTGCCCACTTCGCCATTTCTGTACTACATCCATCCACACTTTCCTGCCTGCGTTGACAGAACTGCCGGCTTGCGCTATTCGCTCAGCGTGACGATCCTCGGTCTTGAGACTCAGGACTTCATATCTCAAAGCGTTGAATATGATGGAATACGTAATGTGGTCCGCTGCACCACCACCAACTTCTGGCAATTTCGACGCGATAGCCCATAACGCATCCATATCTCGACCGAACGCACAAACCTTCAAGACAGCATTCGTATGAATGATACTCGGCTTGACGCGACTCGTGGGACTACTCATGGACTGGTATATGCTGACAGCTCGGCTGACATGCTCTTCTGGCACTTTCTCCTTCTTGTCCTTGCCTTGCAATCCGACCAGTCCTCGTAGCAGTAAGGTGTACGTGTGACCGTCTGGAAACTGCGCTCGCTTCTTCATCTCATTGTAGACCTTCAAGCCGTCCTGAATCCTGCCTTGCTTCATGTTCCAGTCCACCATGTGATTCCAGCTCACCACGCATTGCATGTCCTTGCTCGCCGTCCGACACAGCTCCATTGCCTTCTCGGGCTCATTGCAACGCAAGGTGTAGTGCACATGCTCGGCAAGCTTGGCTGGATCCTTAAGCCATTCCAATTCTTTGCGGATGTGGCGGCTGGATGTCACGGCGATTCGTTTCTCTGCAATCGCGGCTTCTTCATCGTTGTTGCGGGTGTCGAAGCGGCGGACTATTGACTTTGGCTGGCTACTTTGCTCTTGTCTCTCGAGATGCCGTCGCTGTGCAGCATTGAGATATGCTTCGCCACCACCCTCAGAAGGAATGGTGGACTGGGTCGCTGTGGAAGCCTTTCGCGTAGTCAAGTGTGGCGTAAGGATGAGAGGGCGAGGGCGTCCAGCAACAGCAACTTCACCCGCAATGGCTCTGATGGCGCGTAGAGTACACGCATTGCATTCGAACATTGCTGTTCAATGCCAATAAACTATTCCCATCATCTCCTTTGAAGAATGCCCCAAAAGTCGCGCGCCACGGGATGGCCCGCTGCGGCGATAAATCTTGAAATCGCCGGTTGCCAGGCGGTTGTGTACTGAGTAAATAGTCGCCCGCGAACAGCTTCAGATTATCGAACCGCAACCTCGAAGACCAAGCCCCAGCGAAAAAGACACAATGGACTCTTCAAAGCCCACCACATCACTGTTCGACGTATTCTTGCGGCTGCGACCTTCTTCTGCCGTCGACAAGGAGCGATTCCTGGATGTTGAGCAGCCCGAAAGCACCACGACCGGGTCACAAGCACCAACTCATATCACGATCCATCCACCAGTGAACGACAATCGGAAACGAGCAGTCGAGAAGTTCGCCTTCACAAGTGTGTTCGAAGAGCATGTCGGGCAGCGCGAGATCTTCGAAAGCACTGGCATAGTACCGATCGTAGAAGGCGTCCTGGGTGGACAAGGACGGGAAGGACGTGATGGCTTAGTAGCGACACTTGGTGTGACTGGGAGTGGAAAGGTAATGACTTTTCGAGACACTGGTGGAGCTAGAAGCTGACACTATTACGCAGAGCCATACCATCCTCGGCTCCAAGTCCCAGCGAGGCATCACCCAACTCACCCTCAATGTCCTCTTCCAACACACGGCACCCTACCTCGTGGACGCCGAGACCCGACCTACGATCTTCCAATCTCTATGCTCATCCGACGTCTCCGAAGCCCAGATCCTGTCTGCAGCCGCTTACCTCGACTCCATTTATTCTCCCGGTGAAGCAGGCAGACTGAGCAGAGCCACCACACCAGCAATGGTACGCGAGTCCACACTCTACACACTTCCGGGCTCATATCCCACCACCATCAACACCAACATGAACGGAGACTCAACGTCCTCCGGCACTGCGCGCTCAACGCCAGCAGTGTACGAAAGACTCTACCCTTCGCTTGCGAAGAACCAGAGTCGTCTACCACATTCTCCTTCCAAACCTAATGTCATAACGAGAAGTATCGCGAAGCTTACATCTTCTTTTCAGCAGGATGTTTCGTTCATGTCTATGCAGGCGTCGAGGAGGTATATGCCAAGAATTTCGGCTCTGTCACAATTCCCTGCCGTTGACGACATCGGGATTGAGGTGGACAATAGTGCTGAGTATGCTATCGTCATCAGCATGTACGAGGTGTATAATGACCGCATCTTCGACTTACTTACTGCATCTGCTACTGCGAAAGCACCACAGAAGAGACGCGCGCTCTTGTTCAAAAGCACGGAGCTCTCACCCGACCGCAAAGTCGTCGCAGGCCTTCGAAAGGTGATCTGCGCAAACCTCGAGGAGGCTCTCCTGGTATTGGAGACTGGTCTTACCGAGCGTCGCGTCGCAGGGACAGGCTCGAACACGGCCTCAAGTCGAAGCCACGGCTTCTTCTGCCTCGATGTCAAGAAGCGTCGTCGCTCTTCAAGCCACGTGGCAGTGCCTGGTCCCTGGAGCAACAGCACTCTGACCATCGTTGATCTAGCTGGATCTGAACGAGCACGTACAGCGAAGACAGCTGGTGCCACGTTGGCCGAAGCTGGCAAGATCAATGAGAGTCTGATGTATTTGGGGCAGTGCATGCAAATGCAATCTGATAATGCTCGCAACTCGACCCTCCCTGGAGCTGTGGAGCGCATGGTGCCTTTCCGGCAATGCAAACTTACTGAGCTGTTGTTCAGTAACAGCCTCAGTACTCACCACGGAGCAATCCATAAGGCGCCGCAGAAGTCGATCATGATTGTTACTGCGGATCCGCTTGGCGACTTCAACGCCACGAGTCAGATTCTGCGGTACTCCGCTCTGGCACGTGAAGTAACTGTTCCACGAATCCCATCTGTGACGGCCACGATCTTGGCTGCGTCTGCAGCTGCGCATAACAAGCCCGCCAATGGCCGCAATTCGCCTTCGGCACTACAAGAAGATCTGGATGCTGCCCTCGCCGAGATCAGCCGCCTGAGGCAGGAGCTAGAGGTTACCCAGGTCCTGCTAGAGGAAGAGACTCAGCGCCGCATCGAAGCGGAATCAAGCTGGCAAGTAGCCGAGAGCAGGATCGAGGACGTGGAGGCTGAGATCCGCGAGGAGGTCTTTGCAGAAATGGAGGATAGGCTGGAGATGGAGAAGCGGAGATGGCGTGCCGCGCGACATGTCGAGATGGATGCGCAGGATGAGCATCTTGATCGGAAGCTGGATCTCTTGTCTCAGCAGATGGGTGCAGAGGTGTATGAGGATGGGATGGTGGGAAAGGAGAATCTTGGGACTGTGGCCGAGGAGAGATTTGTCGAGCTCGAGGATGAGAATACAGTTTTGAAGGAGAAGCTGGCTAATGCTGAGAGGGAGAAGGAGGTCATGCGTAGTCCGAGCAAGAAGATGAGAGTACTGAAGCCTAGTCGGAAGTGGCAGGGAAGTGCTGGTGTGAGTTTGGACGATTTGTAGATACCCTTGGCATATTATGTTGGCGATTGATCGGGTACTCTTTTCGTACATGTATACCCGAGATATTCTCTCGCTCCTAGAACACGACTCTTCTTTGGGATCTTTGCGTGGTTCGACATGACTACGTCGCAAGACTTCAGGCTGAACAGGCAGATGGAGGAGGGCCCACCAGAACTAGAAGACGATGACCGAGATGAGCCGGCAAAGAGGAAGAGGAAACTAGTTGGACAATTTTCCACGGCACTTGCGCGGGTCCTAGGTATCAAAGGCAACGCATACAGAACTCTTCTCCAAGCCAGGACGTGCGTACGAAGCCTCCTGCGGCACGCTAAGCAGTCCAAAGCCGCCGACCAGGGTGGGAATGGCATCTACTGGGGAATCCTGCGTTTCCAAGTGAGTACCCGATCCCACAGTAGAGGCCAAAGCCATAGCCAAAGCAGTCGTGACAGCCAATGCATAGCCAGGATTCTACTAACCGTCGTGCAGCCCTGTCGAGCAGCGTCGAAAGGCTAGGTTGCCTTCGTCGTCGATGTCGAAGTGGTCAAGAACCGATGATGAGTATCTTCGACGAAGCTCATGGCTCCACCGAACATTCCAGTGTACACATTCGCCAGGATATCGACGTCGAAGCTAGCCAAGCCATCCCGATCTCGTCGATCACAAAGCAGGCGGAATGCAGAGGTTATGTGGGCGTACGACAACGACCATCTGGGAAGCCAAGTCTTGGTGATCGTGCGGTAGTATCTCACAGGGCTCGGTGTTGCTTGATCCGCCGTCTGGGCCAGGAAAGGGGAATATGACCTTTCGGATCGAGGTCTGTTCTTGTGACTGATCGAGCCGATGGGAGAGGCCCTCGATCTGATCGGCAATGTCTGTGCGCTGGGGTGGGCCGTATATTTCTAGCAGGACAGCAGTGCCACTAACGCTGCTGCAATATTGAGTCCAGAACACATAGCCAGCTCTCCCACTTCTCTTCTCCGCGGTGAATCATCACCCTCGTAATTCATCTGCTCTTGTGCTCTCAAATAACACTTCTCCACCTTGACCTACTGACTGCCGCTACCACACTTCACCATCACAATGCAGATTCCAGAGATTCTATCTCGTGGCAAACACTCCATCACCGCTGCAAATCTCTCCCCCTTGGACGTAAAGAAGTCAAGGTACCAAAGTCAGCTTCTGGCACCGCGCCAGCGCCAGGGAAACAAATTCCAGTCGCTCCTTCCATTCTCTCTCGGTCTTGATCTCGACCGTCGACCTCACGATAGAAAAACATCCACCCTAAACTCGGTCGCCGTTCATCGTCCCGCAAAGTCATCGACTGACGAACCCTAGCAAATCCGACGTCACTTTCAGAGACCCGAGCGAAGGCTTCAACTCGCTCGTGCGCACGATTCTCCATATCCTCAAATCTTTTGACATCTGACGGGACCGCCACACCGTACTCGCATCAGTCGACCGGCGGGAGACAGACGACCTCATTGGCTGAAGAATCATCTTCTGCGAAAATTTCCTCTTGGCACCGAGTACTGACATTGCAGCCGAGTCTGCAGCTCATGCTGAACCCCTCGACCTCAGCACCTTCATCTTCCTAGGATGTAGATTCGAACGTCGCTGGTGAGCTCTCCAGCACCCAGCAAGCACGCTCACGAAGGAGGCCAACTTCATCGGCACTAATAAGTTAGTCATTGTACTGACCATATCTTTGAGCCAGTTCCACAATGTCGTCTACAAGGTCCTTGGTTGGGATGACAGTCCCTGGATCCTCCTGCTCTAGGATGTTGCATGCAGTTTGGCGCAGGTCAGCGCGCCAGCCATTGTGGGTGGAGCTGGTCTGGTCCTGAGTGGCTTCTCCATCCTCGATATCCCATCATCACTGTCATCACTGCTAATCTCTATGATCTCACTGGTATTTCTCTCAAAGCGCATTCTTTTCGCTACCCAGGAGGTGGTCCTATTTGACTCCAGGGATGGCCGCGTCTTCTTCTGACTGCTGCTCTGGCCACTTGACCTTGGCCAGGCCAATTGTTTGCCAGTGATCAAATAATAGATCTTCGTGAACGCGTCGAAGCGAAGGTTGCATCCGAACGCCTTATTTGGGCCCGCTGCAACGACCAGAGAACCCAGGATCGTCGAGATTGCGAAGTTCAATGCATAAAATCTGCAATCTGAGCCGTTGGATTGGAGAGGACAGGGAGAAAGTGTCGGCGCCTGCCACTGGACCTGCTGCCATCCAAGCCCTGGGCGAAGGGACGCGATTTCGGCTAGTAACGGGGCCAATTCCAGTCCTAGTGAATGATGTGTTGCCGAGTGCTCGCTTGCGTTGTTAATGGAGTTCGGAATGTATGAATCGTGGAGGCCGATTGTGCCGACGGTGGACTCTCGATTGGCTTTCATGTATAGATGCTCCCAGTGACTCCCTTTGAGATTGAGGATGAGGCTCAAGGTGTGCACACCACATGGTGCTCTCGACGCTGGATACAATTGCCATTCCTCTTGATCTGGTGCTGGCGAACACGCGGTCATACTGGCTCTTTTCAGAATTCCAACAACGTCAGTCCTTGTCTGGAACTGGTCGCTACCCAGGAACAATCTCACATCCGACGGTGCAACGATATACCCTTTGCTCTGGATAGCTGGATGACGATTCTCCACGTCGACCAAGAGGTCGAGGAGATCATCATAGCCTAACCTTCGCGAAGCTTTGATGGCGGATAGATGTCCAATACTCCGTTGAGGTCTAAAGGTCGTACACCCTCCTGCCAGTAGGTGTCCGGTATGGGATGAGCCGTGGACATCGGCAGCGGCAAGATTGCGGTCCCGTATCTGGTCGTCTGCGACACAGTCTCGTGATCGGCCGCCCTGTTTAGAGTGCTGCTCGAAGAGTAGTATAAGAGCGAGCATGGGGATTGCGAAGGGATTGCCACGTGCCGCATCGACTGTCTACAACTGCTGCCAGTTGTAGACCTCAGTCGTCTGTCGCCACCTCCTGGTGGCTCCTATTGCATCTGTCCCTACATCTTCGTTCGTCTGAAGATGCCATGGTCGGGTTATAGCTCATGCGGCGAATGGTGAAAAGCAAAGCTTTCGGCCGATATCGTTGTACCGAGGGCGAGGAGAGTGGTGAACACCATACAACGTAGGAAAGGACGCCAGAAGCGACACACGAACAGGGCACTCGGAACAGCCAATGCATAGTCCTGATCTGAACAGGTATCGTATAGTGCTATTGAACAGCCTCAAAATGTGAGGTGCCTTTGCCTTTGACTTCGACTTACCAGGAGGACTGGCGTAGTGGCTAAATGTGATGTGTTGTAGTGCTCAGTAGCAGCTTAGCATGTGGAATCCTCGCGACGATTTCTCGATGGCTGCTTGCACATGGCTCCACTCGTGACTGCGTTGATGAGCCCCAAGAAGGCACATTGTTCATCACATAGTCTCGTAAGAGCGTCGTTGTCGCAGCAAGGTACAGCGCGACCTCACTTTAGGTACAAAGTACGAGTGAGGTAGGCGAGGCAGCTTTGGGAAGCTACCATACTATCAAGCTCGGGCTCAAAGCAAAGTTGAGTTGCTTCTCATTCGCGTAGGACCATCAGAACGGTTCATGGCGATATCTGACGCTAGATAGGTGTCGTTGCAAACGGAGATTGTTGTGGCCATTCATCTTGTGTGGTTGGCGGGCAACGCGTATGGCACGCGAGACGAAAGGTTGTTGTGGTGTGCGTGCTGTCAGTGCGCGAAATAGTCCGGCAGCATGTTCACGCAATAAAGACGTGGTTATTTCGGCGTTCAGCTTCATCGCCTCACAAGGACAATGTTAGGCGCTGGATTCGATCAGATATAATGGAGGACTATTGATTCACTGTCATGTTCTGCTACACGAGATGAACAAGGAATTCGCGAGGAGTTGTAGTGTTGTTGATGTGAGGTAGAGTGACGTGGGAGGTCCTGCCAAATCTCGTGTTGACGCCAGTGCACCTGCCCGCCAAAACAAGCGGAAGGTGCGATGCCCCGCGCTTGCTTGGTGGTCTCAAAGGCGTTCCCCAACTGCTGAGTGCTTTCTAGTTCTACTCGTTCCTCACACAAATCTGCCTCACAGTGGTAGAATCGCCTCTGGTAAATATTCCCTCCCACAACACCGCCTGCACTACAGCTTGACGCGACCAATACCACCTTCACACATATCACATACATCACAACAACGATCGATCAAACGCGCTCAGACGCCGTCGCCGATTGTATCTGCAGTCGCGTCTTGCGTTCAAAACATCATTCGCGACCTTGTTGTCGTCGTCGACCTCCAACGATCACAGCAAGCTAACCCGGTCAACCACTAGCAAATTCGCCCTTCACCGCATCACGCGCTCTTGATTCACTTCAAATGTAAGTCATTCCCAGCTTCGACAGCTGATTCCCTTGCGTTCTTGTGACGTCAAGAGCTTGTGGTATTTGCGACCGCGAAGCTGAAGATGCGGCGTGCTTCACTCCACCACCACAACAAAGCTACTCATCAACGCGCGTCGAGAACATCAACGTCGCGTAACCCCAGCACCACAAGATCTCGAGTCGCGTAGATCTCCGTTATTATCATTGACTGACATCGCCACCTCTCGATCAGAAACTCCAACACCGCAATCCCAAACAGCCATCATGCCTAAGGAGAAGGCTACCACGCGCAAGGCCGCCAAGGGCGCCGACAAGTCTGTTGGCAAGAAGAAGAAGGGTAAGTCGCATCGAATGTACCTTGCTGGCACCACGATCAACCACTAACGCGTCTCCAGACCCCAACATGCCCAAGCGTGGTCTATCCGCCTACATGTTCTTCGCCAATGACCAGCGCGAGAAGGTCCGTGAGGAGAACCCAGGCATCAAGTTCGGTATGTTGCGCTCTGCTGCCTACGAATGGTCGGCCTCACTGACATCCACTAGGCGAGGTCGGCAAAGTTCTCGGCGAGAGGTGGAAGGCCTTGAACGAGAAGCAGAAGGCTCCCTATGACGCCAAAGCTGCCGCCGACAAGAAGCGGTACGAGGAGGAGAAGGCTGCCTACACTGCCGTAAGTGGTCCTTACCCACAATAATCGCTATTAGTACTGACCATTTCCAGGGTGGCGACGAGGAGGAAGACGAGGAGTAGAGCATGCAGCTCACCTGATACCCTCAACATGCATCAATCCAGCCTCTGCTGATACCAGCGCTGGTATTATACTGCATGGTCAATTGCATTTCTCTTTTGCTCGGAGTGTCAACGGAAGGCGATGGAACCGCGGCAGTAGTATGGCTCATGGCTCTTCCTCGCGTGTGGTGTTGACATGATATCAAGGTCAGCGAGACCTACGAAGCCACATACTACGATCGTAATGCCGATGCGGCGTGTACCATAGTGAGAAATCTTTTGCATGACTCTGCTCTCCATTCCTTGTGTTGCCGTGGTGTGTCACCAGACTATGCACAGCCGTGGACAGCAGGACCAAGCCGCGACCTCCTCGTGCTAACATGCCACCGACGAGACCTGACGTACTTCTGTAGCTCACGCATACGAGAAGCAAAACGTACAATGACGAGCCAAGAGCCGCTACACATGCTATACATAGCCGTTGGGAAGGACTGGCCCTGAATTCTGCTATTTCAGCGCCAGCACCAACCAATCATGTATTTGCTCGGCAGACAGCCCGAAACGTTCACCTCGCAGATCGGCGCGTGGCACGCGAGAAGGTACCCGCAAGGACATTTTTGACGTATCTACCCCAACGGCCTTCTCCACCAGGTCGTCGTAACCGTTCTTTTGTGTTTGTGCGATGAATGGAGCCTTTTCATTGTCTCCTGCTTCTTCTCCTACTTACTCACCCGTTGACCTTTTGATCGGACTTCTTGATTGTTTCTGAAACATTGTTTGCGAGGTACATTCGCTAGTGGGAGATTGAAGGACAGTCGTTACAGACACGAGCGAGACCCTGAGCAGAGTCGGCGAGTCGGGAAGCATTCACTTCGCACATGTCTTGGACCTCGTGATCGACCCGATCGTTTCCTATCTTGTTCCTTCGACCTACAGGATCTCGCAGCTGGCATTGCAGCCATGGCCGACCTATCACCTCCAGCGACTCACCCTCTCCTTCCTCGCCAGAGCAGTGGCGGCAATGGCAACGCTGGCGACGAGTTGCTCAGCCTATTGAGCTCTGGATTCGCCTCTCAATTGGCCACAGACTCCGTGTACGCTTCAGTGGCCACATCCCTTGGCTTGACCCTTGGCATTGCGCTTCTCTTCTCCTTCATCCGGCCATATAATAATGTTGTGTACGCCCCACGAGCGAAGCACGCCGACAGCAAGCATGCGCCACCACCAGTCTCAAAAGGCCTCTTCGGCTGGATTCCACCACTCATACAAACGAAAGAGCAAGATCTGGTGGAGAAGGTCGGGTTGGACGCTGCCATATTCTTGCGCTTCAACAGGATGTTGAGGAATATCTTCTCGGTGCTGTCGCTACTCGGGTGTGGTACTTTGATTCCGGTGTACATCCTGTGCTCGGACTCCAATATCACCAAAGGTATAGGCTGGTTCTCAAGGCTGACGCCGAATTATATGTATGGTAGCCAAGGGTTCTGGGCAGTGGTACTGATGGCATACGTATTCGATGGAACAATCATGTTCTTCTTGTGGACAAATTACAGAGCAGTCTTGAAGCTGCGTCGAGCATACTTGGAGAGTCCCGAGTACCAACGGAGTCTGCATGCACGAACTCTACTTTTGACGGATATTCCGAAAGAGATGCGATCGGACGAGGGCATTGTGCAGATCACGGAGGAGATCAAGGCAACAGATGCCACACCGTGGCCAGCTATTGCACGCAATACGCAGGACTTGCCGGAATTGGTGGAAGAGCACGAGGAGACTGTCAGGAAGCTGGAAAGTGTGCTGGCCAAATATCTCAAAAATCCGAACAAATTGCCGCCTAAGAGGCCAACTTGCAAGGTATCGAAAGCAGATAAAAGCTACACCAAGGGCCAGAAAGTGGACGCTATAGAGTATTTGACCTCTCGCATCAAGGAATTGGAAATTGAGATCAAGGAAGTGCGCGTGGCGGTTGACAAGCGTAACGCGATGTCGTACGGCTTCGCCAGCTACGACCGCATTGCAGAGGCGCATAGCGCAGCTTACATTGCTCGCAAGAAAGCTCCACGAAACACCGTCATTCGTTTAGCTCCTAAGCCGAATGATCTCGTGTGGAAGAATCTCAAAATGCTCAAGAAAGACAGAGGCTGGCAGAACTTCGTCAACAATCTCTGGGTCGCTGTCTTGACAGCCTTCTGGGTTGTGCCCAACGTCCTGATCGCCGTCTTCTTGTCCAATTTGGCCAACTTGGGCCAAGTGTGGAAGGGTTTCGAAGATTCTCTGCAAGCACATCGAGTCTGGTGGGCTCTTGTGCAGGGTGTGGCCTCTCCAGCGATCACAACCGCATTCTACTTCTTCCTACCGGCCATCTTCAGACGCCTTTGTGTCAATGCTGGAGACGTCACCAAGACGCAACGAGAACGCCATGTCATGCACAAACTTTACACATTCTTCGTCCTGAACAACTTTATAGTATTCACGTTGTTCTCGGCAGTCTTCAAGTTCGTGGCGGCGGTCATCGAGGGCTCGAAGAGTGGTGGAGTGTGGCAAGCGATCGAGGACTCGCATCCGTTCCGGTCGATCGTCACTGGGCTGTGTACGGTCTCGCTCTACTGGATCTCCTGGATGTTGCAAAGGAACTTGGGTGCGGCTGTGGATCTCAGTCAGCTTGTCACGCTCATCTGGGGTGGCATCAGGAAACGCTTTATGGCTCCCACGCCACGAGAATTGATTGAGCTGACGGCTCCGCAACCTTTTGACTACGCTGGATACTACAACTACTTCCTCTTCTATGCGACTGTGGCCATTGCTTTCGGTGCACTACAGCCATTGATGCTTCCGGTCGCAGCGCTTTACTTCTGGTTCGACAGCTTCTTGAAGAAGTACCTCCTGCTCTACATCTTCATCACCAAGTATGAGAGCGGTGGTATGTTCTGGCGGACACTATTCAATCGCATGCTCTTCCTGGCACTGCTCGGCAACGTTGTCATTGCCCTCCTCGTGGTAGCCCAGGGTGCCATTGGCGCAAACTGGGGTATGTTGGCTGCCCTCGCGCCGCTGCCGTTCTTGTTGCTCGGCTTCAAGATATACTGCATGCGCACTTTTGATGACGCTATTCACTACTATCAAAAGGGGAAGGCGATGCGTGATGCGGAATTCACGGCTGCTACCGAGCACAAGAAGCGAAAGGGCGATAAAGTCGGCGTACGCTTTGGACACCCTGTGCTGTACAAGCCGCTTCTCACACCGATGGTGGCTGCCAAATCACAGCATCTGCTCAAGAGTATCTATAGCGGCAGGACGTCAATGGACGACACGGCTACAGCAGGTGGCTACAGCGACGTATACATGGATCAAATGGATGCTGCACAACCTGGACGGAAGACAGGCCAGCCTGCGCCTTTCGAAATCGTGAACGAGAACCAGATGGACTTTGAGCACTGGAAACACAGACCAGAGTTCCGTGACGAGCACGGAGGCGGTGGCGAAGTCTTCGGCCGCGCGTATGATATCATTCGATCTGGCACACCTGGAAGCATGGGCACTATGACGCGAACGGGGACCTGGGAGACGGATGCTAGTCGCAGCCGTAGCGAGTCTCGCAACCCAGGCCATGAACGTCATCGCAGCGATAGTCGAGACAGCGACCAGACGAAGGTGGGAGGTGAGACGGAGTACCCGCGAGGCTATCACATGACGCCTTCCGCGCTGCGCGAACACAGTCCGGCTGGAAGTGATTATTCCGGCCATGGTGGCTTCGATGCGCCTCGAGGACGTTTTAAGGGAGATGATGGTGGTATGCATAAGGAGAGTCGAGAGGGGCTGGTATCCAGTGCGGCGAGGATGGGCAGGAGTCCGCCGCCTACACTGCCGACGCCTTATGCACCTGCACCTGGTGGGTATGGAATGATTAGGACGCCGGGCGAGACGCCGCTAGGGGATGGTAAGATTAGTGGGGAGGACGATACGAGTTACGATTACTTCAAACGGGGCAGGGGTATGTAGTGCACAGCCTCTGCTTCGTCGATGTTGGCTTTAGGCGCTAGGACGGATATCTGAGCTTTGAGTTTTGGGTTCATGGTGTTCTGCGCAGGGCGCAGGGCGTAGATGGCGTGGACAATCGCCAAGATAGGCGTCAAGTATTGTTGTAGACTAGTCGTCGTTCTCTATTCTTGATCTAAGATGTGCATTCTCATTGATGTCAAATACCTCCAGTGTGTGATCGCATACCCAATTCACGCTGCTGAGGTCTCGTCTCAACAAAATCCTCGCCGATGCGTCTTCATGTAAATTGTCTGCCGAGCTCTCTACTATTCCGATTTCTTCATCGTCTCTGTAGTCACCATACGTTTCCTCGACGTCCTTGCACCCACCCGTCCATTCTACAGTCCCTTGAACAAATTTCGACACAGAGATCGGGAGCGTGAACACCACCTACATCAACAGCCTCCTCCTCGCAAGTCCGCTATGGTATTAGCCCTTGATATCCGAATTCTTCGGCAGCAATGCAGAGCGCAGGAACAGAGTCCCTGGCGAGTCGCTTCGTGACATAATTACTATGGCCTAGACCCCAGCCAGTTTCAGAAATCGTGACATTGGGCATGACGCGGATTAGACCAGCGAATACCAGACCTACATGCTGAGAGTATCATTCCTCATCACTAGCAAACATGTCCTCCGCACGCATCCGTCTCTTAGTCCCAGATGGCTTTGCGGCAGTACTTTCTGCCTTCGGATCGTCCTCAGCTGGCTGTGCAGGTGCAGGTGCAGTGGGAGCATCAAGCTGCATAGGTGCACCGTCCACATCGTCTAATGGCGCACCATCTAGATCCTCACCTACATCCATCTGTGCACCAATAAGCTCCTCCATAGGCGCACCGTCTACGTCATCCATGCCTTGCCCGTCCACATCCTCAGCCACAGCAGCTGGCACAATAGCCTTTACAGCAGGCGACCGAGACCCGGCAGGCGAACCCCGCTCAACCCTCCTGAACTTCCCAGCCCACTTCACCTCCGTCTTCCTCCTCTCCTCCGCTTCCTTCGCCTCTCTCTCAGCCTTCAACTCCTCCTCTGATAGAGGCGGCTCCAAAAACCCCTTCCTCAACCCCTCCTGCACACCCCCACTAAACACCGACCACCCTTCCCAAATCTGGAAGATAGCCCCAACCCTCCGTTTCCACTGCTCAGCCTTCAGTCGTCCCCACGCCAGATCCTTGTCCAGCTTCCCGAGATGTTCGAAGGTCTTCTGAGCCTTGAAGCCGGATTCGAAGAGTTGCCGGTACTTCCAGGCGTTCCTTGCGCCGGCTGTGGAAGAAGCGGAGAGGATGTCGGAAATGAGATAGAGGGCTATCAGTTTGGCGTTTGAGGGGTCCTCTTGTTCCTTTTTGGTGTCGCGGGGTGGTTGAGGGGAGCTGACGCCGATTGTTGGGAGGTCTGAGTCGGGCTCGTAGTCGTCTTCTTCTTCTTCTTCTTGGGAGGAGGAGTCTTCGTACTTGGCTGCTAGGCTGAAGCAGAGTGGCTTCTTAACGTTGAGTAGTAGGAGATTGACAATTTCTTCTGCACCTTGCCCTGCGTGGTTGATGGCGAAGTTTGTCACTCGTGCTACATCCCCTTTACGTAGTCTGGCATTGCTGGTTGGTAGTCGTGATAGAAGGTGCACTAGTCTTGCACGCTTGACTGGGCTGAGATGCGCCTTCTCATTCTTGTCAAGAGCTGGACCGTCGCGCGCGCCATTGAACTTCCTCTCGCCACCCTCGTCGTCACTCTCCTCATCACTCGATGCGTAATCCATATCAGTCACGACGTCCGCTAATGCTGTCAAGTCCATGAATGGCACCTCTCCGTGCGGTGGCGCCCAGTCGAGTATCATATCATCATGTACCCGTTCCAGTCCTTTAGCATGTCGCTTCTGCTCGCCTCGACTATCTGGACCCCAGAGCAGATATCTGTAGTAGACACCTGCGGCACTTCTCGAATCGTACAGAAAGGCGAAGCGCTCGTCTCGCTGTACCTCTGGCATACTCATCAGCAGAGCTTCGAGCTGAAGTGCGCGTTCAGGATCGGGCTCCGTTGTCAGACGCTCGACCATAATATGTATGGCGCGGATAGTGGCGATATCCAGTGGTGCATGCACATTGACTAGCGCTTCAGGTTGCTGTACAGCACCGTAGCCTCCTCTCGGTGATGTATCATATGAGCTCGGTGGTGCAAATCCTCTGTGATCCATTGGCGGCGGCGCGTTGCGCATAGAAGGCCGCGGTGGCTCCTTCGGTTTCTCAGCACCGAAAGGTTCGTCCGAGACAGCGGAATTGATGTTCACCATACTTGGATGTAAGGCAGTAGAGGAGAGATGGCGAGATATGGTAAGGTAGAAGCCAAAGCCAAGATACTTGTCCTTTAGAGCGGTCACAGTGGTGTCGATCTGTCCAGTAGAGGTCTCTGCGACGAGAGCGACGACCGCTGATAGAGACCGCTTGGCTGCAGTACTTGGACCGGCAGGCGGGAGGAATTGAACAGAATGAACTTCAAGATGACCATTCAGGAGTGCCTTGATATCTCCTTCGACGATGCTTGGTGGCAACTGGCCAAGATGCACTGTGGGTCGTGGTGCTTCATCTTCGCGATCGTCGTCCTGTGGAGTACTCTGCTGTGCGTGCCGGCCGCCACTTCTCGACTCCTGGTAGCCAAGCACAGCCTGCTCCTGACGAGCTTCTTGGGCTTCTCGCATCTCGTCCAGCGCTCGTTTCCTCTTCAAATTCGGAGGTATTACGCCCGGAGCAGGTCCGAGACTGCCGAGGCCACCTCGAGGTGGTGGTTGCGACATGCCATAGTCTCTGCCAGCTCCGCCATAGCCCAGCGCCGCCCCTCGAGGCCCACCCGCAGGACCTCGCCCTGCGACTGCAGCTGCCAGATCGTCATCCTCCTCATGGCCGAAAGAATCTTCGAAGACCCGTAGCGCAGCTGCATTCTCCTCTTCAGCCTGCTTTCGCTTCACCTCTGCTGCCTGTCTCTCCCTCTCGAATTGTGACAACTTCTTCGGCGCAGCGAGCTTGTTGCTCACGTCCGGAAACTCTTTGACCTTCTCACCGTCTGCCATGCTTCTGGCCACCACAGTGTAGCCTCAATTTCTTAACGATCCCGCACCAGTATCTATGCGCCCAATCAGGCTCACTCGGTATTCCATATGCAAGTCATGGACATTGAACGTCGCGCATGAATCCCGCGGTGGTTTAAGCTGTCGCTAGTGAGCGATCTCCCGCGAACCCCTGCTAGCGTAAACGGCCATGCAAGCCCCACCGCGTGACTGGCGGACGAACACATGCACAGTGTAAGGTAAGGTAGCATTACAGCTGCCGTAGTCGAACCGTCTTGAAGCTGCTGCAAACTGGTATACAGAGAGTATGGAGGAGGCTGCGGAAGAAGAGATGCACAGTTGAGAAGGAAGAGATTCAGCCGTGGTCTAGTTGACCACCTTCCATCAACATGGCGCAAGCCTACAAGGACAACCTCGACGGCATCTTCAACGACCTCAAATCACGCCACGATGGCACACGACAAAGCGCCGCTGCGAAGCTCGGCGAGCAGGTCAATTCCGCCTTCCGTGAGTTGTTGCCTGCCGAGTTCACCCGCTACTACGACGATATAAATCGACGCATGCACCTGCTCATCACCAATGGCGTCGACACACATGAGCGGACTGGTGGATTATATGCGCTTAACGCTTTGATCGACTTCAAGGGCGACGACGCTGCTTTGAAAGTGACCAAGTTCAACACGTATCTACGGAGGACTCTGGAAGGCAATGATACTAGTGCTATGGTTGTCGCTGCGAAGTGCCTGGGCAGGTTGGCGGCACCTGGCGGAGCTTTGACGGCAGAGCTGGTCGAGGCTGAGGTGAAGCATGCTTTGGAGTGGCTCACCTCGGAGCGGCACGAGAACAGGAGGTTTGCGGCGGTCCTAATATTGCGGGAGCTGGCCAGGCACAATGGAACCTTGCTGTACAATGCGATACCACAAATCCTTCTCAACCTATGGGAGGGCCTCCGAGACCAGAAGGTGGTGATCCGAGAGACGTCAGCGGAGACCATGCGGGAGATGTTCAAGGTGCTAGCTGCACGAGATCAGCAGATCAGGCAAAGCTGCCTAGCTCGGACACTGGAGAATGCCCAGGACGGCTTCAGGAGGAATACGGTCGAGACTGTACATGGATCACTGCTGGCATACAAGGAGCTGTTGGTGCAAGGCGGCATGTTCATGCACGGTCAAAAGTTTAAGGAGGTCTGTGAACGTGTACTCATGCAGCAGTACCGCGAGCATCGTGACGCAACCGTACGGCGGACCGTAGTCGAGATCATCCCGATACTGGCTGCCTACGCTCCTCAACAATTCTGCCGAGACTACCTAGCTCGCTCTATGCAGCACTTACAGCTCATGCTCAAGGATGTGAGACAGCGAAACATGGCGTTCGTGGCTATAGGAAAGATCGCGCATGCTGTGGGTTCGCAGATTGCACCCTACCTGGACACTATTTTACTGCACATACGAGAGGCTCTGTCTATCAAGAATCGTGGCAAGAATACAGACGAGGCACCAATCTTCGAGTGCATTAGCATGATCTCGATTGCTGTCGGCCAGACACTCAGCAAGTATATGGAGGCTCTACTTGATCCGATCTTCGCCTGTGGCTTGTCCGACGCTCTGACACAAGCACTCGTTGACATGGCTCACTATATTCCTCCTGTCAAGAGCACAATACAGGAGAAGCTTCTAGATCTGCTCAGCCGCACTCTTTGTGGCAGACCTTTCCAGACGCTGGGTCATCCTACACAGGGCCAGGGTTTGCCACCAATCTACACCAAGGATGTTCGAGACCAGCGTGACCCACAGCACCAAGATCATAAGGAGCAGGAGATCGCTCTGGCACTCCACACTCTGGGCTCATTCGACTTCAGCGGTCACGTTCTCAACGAATTCGTCCGCGATGTTGCTATCCGATATGTGGAAGACGACGATCCGGTCATTCGTAAAGCTGCGGCATTGACATGCTGTCAACTCTTCGTGCGCGATCCAATCGTCCATCAAACTAGTCACCACGCCATTCAAGTCGTCTCCGATGTCATCGAGAAGCTGCTCACAGTCGGCGTGGCCGACCCGCAACCTGACATCCGCCAGACTGTACTAGTATCGCTCGATGCACGATTTGACAGACATCTGGCGAAAGCCGAAAACGTTCGAACACTCTTCCTCGCGCTGAACGACGAACGCTTCCCCATCCGAGAAGCCGCAATGACAATCATAGGACGATTGACAGCCGTCAACCCTGCCTACGTTTTCCCATCCTTGCGAAAAGTGCTCATCCAGTTGCTCACCGAGATCGAGTACAGCAATAATCCGAACAACAAACGCGAATCAGCACAGCTGATCAGTCATCTCGTCGGCGCCAGCAGTAAGCTGATCAAGCCGTATGTCGATCCGATGGTCACCGTCCTTCTCCCAAAAGCAGAAGATGGAAATGCGGATGTCGCGGCCACCACACTTCGAGCACTCGGTGATCTCGCAACTGTTGGTGGTGACGAGATGATGAAGTACATTCCGGAGCTTATGGATATTATCATTCGCAGCTTACAGGATCTGACTTCGGACAAGAAGCGTGAAGCAGCACTCTGCACACTCGGACAGCTGGCTAGCAACAGCGGATATGTCATCGACCCATACATTGACCACCCGCAGTTGCTCAACATTCTTGTCGGCATCGTTAGGAACGAGCCACCTGGAGAGTTGAGGCGCGAGACTATTCGTCTCATGGGTATCCTGGGTGCGCTAGACCCGTACAAGCATCAGCAGGTCATCGAAGAATCACCTGAGTCGAATCTACGAGCAGAAGCTGAAGCCGAGTCGGATGTGACGCTCATCATGAAGGGCGTCACACCAAGCAACGAAGAGTACTATCCAACCGTGGTTATCAACACGCTCATGAGTATGCTTAAGGAGGATACACTGAAGCAATACCATTCCGCGGTCGTGGAAGCCGTCATGAACATCTACGCAACCATGGGCATGAAATGCGTGCCTTTCCTCAATACTGTCGTCCCAGGCATTGTAAGTGTACTGGGTGAAGCACAATCCGAAGATAGACTTGAGGGCTACTTCAATCAGCTTAGTCTCCTGGTCAAGATTGTCCGACAGCATATTCGACCACATCTGCACGTTATCATCCAGGCAATTTCCGACTTCTGGAGCAAAAGTGTCAGATTACAAGCCACCATGCTCGGACTCATCGAGAGTGTAGCAAGGAGCTTGGAAGGCGAATTCAAGGTCTACTTGGCTGGTGTCCTTCCTCTCATGCTCGGCGTGCTTGACGCGGATCCTAAGAGTGATGCGAGTAAAGCCGCCTGTCAGCGAGTCCTGCATGCTTTCCTTGTGTTTGGAAGCAGTGCTGAAGAATACATGCATTTGATCATACCGGTCATCGTGCGCATGTTCGATACGGATCGCATGCGGCCACGAGAGGTTCGCAAAGCCGCTATCGAGACGATCGGGAGGATGAGCAAGCAAGTCAATATCTCTGAATTTGCGGCCAAGATTATACATCCGCTGTCGAGAGTCCTCATGTCGAGCGAGACTGGGCTGAAGCAGACGGCTATGGAGACGCTATGTGCGTTGGTGTTCCAGCTTGGTCCGGATTATTTGCACTTTGTACCGACTATTGACAAGATCTTGGTTCAGCATAAGATTCAGTACGCTGCTTACACACTCATCGTCAATAAGCTTAAGAAGAACGAGCCGCTGCCGCAGGACTTGAGTCCGGAGCAGCATTATGGCGACGACGATGACGACGGCTTCACGGCTGACATTGCAACGAAGAAGCTCGCTGTCAATCAGCAACATCTCAAGAATGCTTGGGAGGCGAGTCAGAAGTCGACGAAGGAGGATTGGCAAGAGTGGATGCGAAGGTTTTCCGTCGAGCTGCTCAAGGAGTCCCCTCAGCAAGCGCTCAGGGCTTGCACGCCGCTTGCTAGTATATACCCCCCTCTGGCACGAGCACTCTTCAATAGTGCTTTCGTCAGCTGCTGGACCGAGCTCTACGACCAATATCAGGAGGAGCTTGTGCGATCGCTCGAAGTTGCTCTGACCTCGCCACAGATCCCGCCTGAGATTCTGCAGATCTTGCTCAATCTCGCCGAATTCATGGAGCATGATGACAAGGCGCTGCCGATAGATGTGCGGACCTTGGGCATGTATGCAGCGAAATGCCATGCTTTTGCCAAGGCTCTCCATTACAAGGAGCTGGAATTCAACGCGGAGCAGAATGCCAGTGCGGTGGAGGCACTCATCAGTATCAATAATCAGCTTCAGCAGACTGATGCTGCTTTTGGTATTCTCCGGAAAGCGCAAGGCTTCAATGAGGTCGATCTCAAGGAGACCTGGTTCGAGAAACTACAGAGGTGGGAGGAAGCGCTTCTTGCTTATCAAAAGCGAGAAGCTCTTGAGGCGCCGAATCCGGGCTTTGAGGTGATTATGGGTAAGATGAGGTGTTTGCATGCTCTTGGCGAGTGGGACACCTTGTCTTCGATCGCGCAGGACAGGTGGCTCAATGCTTCCGCCGACCACCGCAAAGCTATTGCTCCCTTGGCTGCGGCTGCTGCGTGGGGGATGGGACAGTGGGAGGTTATGGATACGTACTTGAATGTTATGAAGCCTGCTTCGCCGGATCGGTCGTTTTTTGGAGCTATATTGTCGATTCATCGGAATCAGTTCGACGAGGCTCACAGCCATATCACCAAGGCTCGGGAAGGTCTGGACACGGAGCTCAGTGCACTTCTCGGCGAGTCGTACACACGAGCTTATGGTGTCATTGTTCGCGTACAGATGTTGGCGGAGCTCGAGGAGATCATCACGTATAAGCAGCACTCCAACGATCCTGACAAGCAGGAGCGGATGCGCGAGACCTGGACCAAACGATTGAAGGGATGCCAACGCAATGTCGAAGTCTGGCAGCGCATGATGAAAGTCCGTGCTCTGGTCATCACGCCTCAAGAGAACACGGAGATGTATATCAAGTTCGCATCCATCTGCCGCAAAGCACAGCGCAATGGGCTAGCGGAGAAGAGTCTGAACTCTCTGCTTGGTGGACAGGGTAGTATCATGTCTGCGCAAAGCATTGGCAAAATTCACTCGGCCCCTTACCCGGTGCAATATGCTATCTACAAATTCTTGTGGAGCAACGGGCATCATAACGCTGCTTTGAGCTCGTTGAAGGACTTTACCGTTAGGTTGAGGAGCGACTACGAAAACAGGAGTTCGGCGCTGTCTGCAGGCACGACTAATGGCAACCATGCCATGCTGAATGGTGTCAACGGAATGAACGGTGTGCATAGCGCGCAGGCACCTTTTGGACCGGCACATCCCCCTGTCTCTGCAAAAGAGAAGGCGGAGCTGGATGAGTGGAAGATGCTGCTTGCTCGATGCTATCTCAAGCAAGGTGATTGGCAGATCAAGCAACATGACGGCGATTGGGAGTCGGATCACGTCCAAGATGTGCTGCAGTCGTACAACATGGCTACTCGGTATAACGAGAACTGGTACAAAGCCTGGCATGCATGGGCCCTCGCCAATTTCGAAGTCGTCACTTCGATGGCATCGAGCGCAGATCGGGAGTCAGCTGATGTGCCACGGGAGATTGTGAACGACCATGTCGTACCTGCTATCAAAGGCTTCGTCAAGTCAATAGCATTGTCTTCGTCGAGCTCATTACAGGATACACTACGACTACTTACACTATGGTTTGCTCACGGCAAGCACCAAGAAGTCACACACAGTGTCACGCAAGGCATCACGAGCGTGAGCATCGACACATGGCTGGAAGTCATCCCACAACTCATCGCCCGTATCAACCAGCCCAACAAGATCGTCCGAGACGCCATCCACAATCTGCTCATCGATGTAGCACGCGCACATCCACAGGCCCTGGTCTACCCACTCACCGTCTCCATGAAATCAGACGGCGGGAACCGTTCCCGCTTCGCCACCCGCATCATGGACAATATCCGCCAACATAGCCCTAAGCTCGTCGAACAAGCCGGCCTCGTAAGCCACGAACTTATCCGCATCGCTGTCCTCTGGCACGAACAATGGCATGAAGGTCTCGAAGAAGCCTCACGTCTTTACTTCGGCGACCACAACATCCAAGGTATGCTTGCCACGCTCGAGCCACTGCATGAGATGCTGCGCAAAGGACCCGAGACTCTGCGCGAGATATCATTCATTCAGAGTTTCGGCCGTGACCTTTCCGAGGCCAGGGATTGGTGCGAGGCGTATAAGACTACGCAGGAGATTGGGGATCTGAATCAAGCGTGGGATCTGTACTATGGTGTTTTCAAGCGCATTGCAAGACAGTTGCCACAACTGATGACTCTGGAGCTGCAATATGTCTCGCCTGAGCTGAAGAACGCCCATGATTTGGATCTGGCTGTGCCCGGGACCTATGTCAGTGGGAAGCCGGTCATTTGTATCCAGGCGTTTGACCCTGTGGCGACCGTCATCTCGTCGAAGCAAAGGCCGAGAAAGCTGTCGCTGCGGGGTAGTGATGGGCTACGGTGGGTGTACATTGTCAAGGGTCATGAGGATATCAGGCAGGACGAGAGGGTGATGCAGTTCTTCGGCTTGGTCAACACACTCCTGGCGACCGATCCTGAGTGTCTGAAGAGGCACTTGAATATTCAGCGCTACGCTGCCATTCCTCTCTCGACACAGTCTGGTCTACTGGGCTTCGTGCCAAACAGCGACACTCTGCACGTGCTGATACGCGAGTACCGAGAAAGTCGCAAGATCCTACTTAACATCGAGCACCGCATCATGCTGCAAATGGCACCAGATTACGACAATCTCACCCTGATGCAGAAGGTCGAAGTGTTCGGCTATGCGCTGGACAACACGACTGGTCAGGACCTGTACCGTGTGCTATGGCTAAAGAGCAAGAGCTCGGAAGCTTGGCTTGATCGCCGTACGAACTACACTCGCTCCTTGGCCGTCATGTCTATGGTCGGGTATATTCTGGGACTAGGAGATCGACATCCGTCGAATTTGATGCTGGATCGTGTGACTGGCAAGATCGTTCACATCGATTTTGGCGACTGTTTCGAGGTGGCTATGCATCGCGAGAAATACCCTGAACGAGTGCCGTTCCGCCTAACAAGGATGTTGACCTTTGCTATGGAAGTCAGCAACATCGAGGGGAGCTTCCGCACGACTTCGGAGCATGTCATGAGATTGCTACGAGCCAACAAGGAGTCCTTGATGGCTGTTCTCGAAGCTTTTGTTCACGACCCGCTGCTGACGTGGCGACTTGGTACTCGCGAATCGCCACCAGAACCGTCTTTCCCATCGGAACGCCGCAGCTCTATCATGGTCGCGAACGGTCCGACAGAAGGTCGTCGAGCAAGCGTTATGGGTGGCGATCCCAACGCACCGTCAGAACGCCCAGGCAGCTCCTACCGTCCTCGCAACAGGACGAGCGTGGCAGCCATGAACGGCAACATTGACCCTGTCGAGAAAGAGGTGCAGAATGCAAGGGCTCTGCAGGTTCTCAGTCGTGTGAAGGAGAAACTGACAGGCCGTGATTTCAAGAAGACGGTGGAGTTGCAGGTGGAAGAGCAAGTGGAGAAATTGCTCAGCGAGGCCACCAATCTGGAAAATTTGTGCCAACATTATATCGGGGTGAGTTTTGAGTTCTTGCTCGCGTGCTTCACTACCCTTTCGATTACGTTACTGACTTTCGACTAGTGGTGTTCTTTCTGGTGACGAAGGTGTGAAGCTTGTGTTTGATACTAAGCTTTGCTTGGCGTATGGTGTTTCCGGGCTCCTAACGATGGAGTTATGAGCTGCATCGTTGGCCGGTTACACGAATGAGCAGTTTCGTACATTTGTATCCCTTTACGGAGTATTGATCGCGATGATCAAAAGAAACAACTGTCGAGACGGAAGCTACGGCACCACTCGGTTAAATAATCCGAAAGTTTCTTGGCAGCCAATTAGATAGCAGGAGATCCACTACTTGAGCTTCTCGAAACACAATGCTACGGACGCCCTCGGAAGCATGGCGTGTACGGCGGAGTAACTTTAGCTATGCTCCTCGATCAAATGGCGTATTCTAAGCATTGTAGAGTGGATGTACATTGGCACGAACGCCGTCGAGTCGACACATGAAGCGCCTGCCTACCGCAGTGAGCAACGTACTTTCACCAACTGTAATACCATCGGTTGGAGGAAAGGACTATGAGACGCGGCAAATCGCCTGCACGAGGTGAGTTGGTCTGACTTACTCGACGAGAGAGAATCATATCTGCATATCAGCAGGACTAATCATGGACATCTCATTAGTCGATCCCGAGCAATCCACATCGCTGTCGCGGGCCGGAGGTAGAAGGCGAGACGAGAACTATTCTTCCTCAGCACACTCGGACACGCCATTGCATCCACGGAGAAATCTATCCTTCGACACAATCGGTGCACAATTGCTGAAAGCTAAGCATGTTCACCATCATGTGCACGACCTCCGATTCAAGGAGAGGATACGGCATTTTACTTGGACTTGGTTCACCATGACGGTACGTTGGTGCTCAGTAAAGTCCATCGATGCATACTGATGTACATACCAGATGGCCACCGGCGGCGTGGCGAACGTCATCTACCACGTACCATACCGATTCAATGGCCTCTACACCATCGGCTGCATGTTCTTCATCCTCAATATGGTTCTCTTCCTCTTCAACGTCACCATGATATCGTGTCGGTTCTACCTCTACCCACACACCTTCAAGGCTTCGTTTCTGCACCCCACCGAGAGCCTGTTCATCCCGGCCTGGGTGATCTCGCTCGGCACTATCCTGATCAACATCTCCGAGTATGGCATTGGCAAAGCAGGCCCGTGGCTGAACCATGTCATGTGCATAATGTTCTGGATCTATTGTGCCTTGGCAGTTTTCTTTAGTCTAGGAATCTACCGTGAGTAAAGCAATCATACCCGTCCGAAAGAGTAAGGTCGATGCTGATTGTGGGCAGTCGTCATGTGGAGCACCCAGACGTTCACCATTGCAGAGATGACGCCTGTATGGGTAAGTATTGTATCTCTGCAGAATCTTATAGTACGGTGCTGATGACCCGTAGATCTTTCCAGCGTATCCTCTGCTTGTCATCGGTCCTCACGCGGCCGTGCTAGCCAACAAGATCGGAAAGGAGCGAGGTCTCGACATCGTCATGGGCGGTTTCATCTTCCAAGGCATTGGCTTCATGGTTTCCCTGATGATCTACGCCGCCTTCATATATCGCCTAATGACACACAAGCTGCCCAAGGAGTCTCTCCGGCCGGGAATGTTTATTAGCGTTGGTCCAAGCGGCTTTACGATTTCTGGCTTGGTTGGTATGGGACAGGTCATCCCAGAACTTCTGCCAGACGATTTCATGGGGGACGGCGTGCTCGCTGGTAAGGTTAGCAGGATCATGGCTAACTGGGCGGGCCTGTGGCTTTGGGGACTAGCCATCTGGTTCTTCTTTGTCTCGGTCGGTGCACATTACTCGACTGTTAGAGAAGGCGGTGTGAAGTTCGCCATGACGTTCTACTCCTACGTCTTCCCCAACACGGCATTGACGGCGTCAACTTTTGCCATTGCGAAGGCTCTCAAGAACAAGCCCATCGGCATCCTTGGTTGTGTAATGACATGCCTACTCATCTGCGCGTGGGCTGCTATCTTCGGCTTGATGATACACGCAGTCATGGTCAAGGACATTTTATGGCCGCAGAAACAAGAGGACCGAGCCGAAGGAGGCTGGGAAGTTCATCCGGATGAGAAGAGAGCCTGCGACCCGAGCTGCGATAGTGGAGTGCTTGCTGGGAACGGGGTGGCGAATGGTCCACAGGTGCCATCGGCGCAGGATAATACGGATGGTCAGAAGAACGACGATGGTGTCATGTTAAGTAAGCGCCGCCAGTATGGTAATACTGGGCAGAGTGCCTCTTCGGCTGCTGATCGTTATATCGATATTATTGGAAGAAGTGCGAGAACAGCTCAAGGGAGACCGGAAGATATGGTATGACGAGTATGTACCCAATTATTGATAGCGTACAAGCGAATGCGTAGCAATACAAGAAAAGAACTGTGCCTGCTGCTCTGTCGGCCAAAGACCTTGAATTGCCCGGGACATAAGTCGTCCGCACTGGCATGCTCACAATCCTCTAAGCATCCAGACGACCTGCACGGATGGCGTCTTGCTGATATTCAATCCCACGCTGATTGAGCTGGTCGATCTGTCTTCGCTGGAGCACGACATATTCCCAGTTGTCGGGCAATGGCACCTGAGCTCTGAGGAGGACGTCAGTATAAATCTATGTAGTACGCAGTGTGGGTCTGGCAGGGCGTCCTGCACAGAAATAGAATAGACTTACTGCAGGAAAGTTACCTTCATATTGCGCGCTTTGAATCTCATATCTTCAGCGGACCGACGTGCGAGATTATCCTCATCTTGCTGGTCCTGCTTTTTCAAGATAGCATAGCTAATGCCGTCGGCCCCATAATTCTCGATTAGGGTGACCAGAGCATTCTCCTCATCCTTCGACCAAGGCGCACGGACTTGTGTCGGCCTGTTCTGCATAGCAACAATGCGGCCATGCTTCGCCAGTACCTTGGCACGCTCGAAGTACTGCTCATGAGGTATGTTGTCGTCCTCTGCAGTAGCTGGCGGCAGTGGTGGCGGGATCGTCGAACCTGGGTTCTTTCGTCTTCTTTTGGATGGGCTGGGCGTGGCTGACGCAGGCACTTCGTATGCCACGGTACTGTTGCTACCGGATGGGGCCAGTCGCCTCAGCGGTGCGGACGATGCAGGTGCATTCCTTCGGCGAGCATTTGCTGCGGCTACGTCGCGTTGATCGACCTCGAATCCTCCGTCTTGAGTAGGCTCAAAGTCCTCAGGTTCATCCTCGAAGTCGGTACGTGGACGTTTACCTGCAGCTTTCCTGGAGCTTCCTGATTGTGGTCTTACAGCTGGTGATCGTTTTGGAGACTGGAATGTTGCAGGCCCTCCGTGTTGTGATGCCTGGCTATCTTCGAAGCTGATGCGTTGTGCATTAGGCTGAGGATCTATAAAACGTGCCTTTCCTTTCTTAGCGTTCTGCATCTGTAAGTTTTGGAAGCCAGAAAGCTGGACTGCTGAGACCGCGCGCTGCTGGTTCAAAGCCTGTGCTGGCACATCATCCTCGGGAGGTGGGGCTGGCTCATCTGCGATAGCCTCGTCGACTTGAGGTACTGTAGTTCCGTCGTTAACGGGTGCAGAGGGATTCTGTGGCTCGGCTCCGGTCGCAGAAAGTCTCTGCTCTCTAGCCTTCAATGCAGAAATCGCTCCCCTGCCGAATGCTTTCTTCGGGGTATCGCCGGTAGTACCAATACTTTGGCGTTTCGCTACAGCTGTTCGAGCATCTGCGCGGCTTTCGACCTCTTTCCACAAGTTCTCCATAATGCTGTCGACCCCTTCAGCTGCGTCGATGTCTTGCTGCAGCTGTGCACTTCGGTGCTGGAAGTACGCCACCACCTGTTCGATGAAATCGTTCCAGTTGTGCGTGCTGCGGATGTCAGGGAGTGCAGCGTCCACGCTGGTGCCAGCCTCGAAAGGCGCTTTCAATCCGTCTGCAAGCCCCAAGATCGAGTTGGTCCACTCGACAAGGTCATCATCCGCAACACCGTCTATCTGCAGTGCATCCATATCCTTGTAGTCGAGCTCTCCGTTAGCATCTCTCTTAAAGAAGCTGTCATTGATGACTTCGACAGGATCAAACTGTGGCGAATCCTTGAACATAACCAAGCGCATTATGGCGAGCTGGGTCTGTAGTTCAAGAAGCATTAAGGCGGCCTCTTGGTCAAATTCGAGACCTACAACAGAGCTCTTGAAGTGTGTCTCAAGCAGCTCGAAGCTGTTGTAACCATCTACCGTGATCTCAAGTGTGTCGGCCGAGACGGTAAGGGTCGATCGTAGCATCTGTGCTAGATTTGCTTTGTAGAATAGCGGATCTGGTCGCCATGGTCCATCGCCGACCTCTGCCATACTCTGCACACCAAATAATGCGCGCACCACTACGCTCGGCTGGATGTACTCTTGACTGCCAAAGTTGCCTCTGTGGACGTTGAAAGTGGCCAGACGATTATTGTATAGCTTGCTAAGTCTGGAGCCTTGAGTACGGAGTTCCTTCCAGACGAAGTGATGCATCTTTGAGTCGGCTGGCAGTAAGAGATCAATCAGCTTATCGGTTGATGTGAGAAGATCCGGCAAAACATCAATCATGACTTGTGCGTCCATGTCTGCGATTTCTTCTTGGGAGAAGGAAGTCTTCGCGGTGGTGCCAGAGAAGCCCGAGTCACCGGATTCGCGTCTTGCGTGGTCCATTTCGTTGTCGAGAGCTGCGGCCTCTGCTTGCTCCGCCGTTGGTTCAACAGCTTCAGTCTCATACGCGGCATTGTTGTCCTCCTCAACGATACCAAGGTCTAGTAGATTTGTCAGCCAAGAAGAAAAGGAGGTCATGGTCTTGCTGTGTCGGAGTTAGGGAACGCGACTGGGCTATGATAGCTCATAGACATGTGGCACGATCAAAAGTGTTTATTGCATGCCCCGTGCAGTGAGGTCTGTCATCGGGTGGGCGTCATCGGGTGGGCGGCATCGCTCCATCCACACATCACACGCACGACTTACCAGCCCTCGCAGACTTAGTCTTCCTTCCTTTTCGCGGTGATGTTTGAACTTCGAGATTCACTTCTAGCTCACGACTTGCGCTACGCGTCGCGCGTGTTGTTCTGGCTGGCGCAGTCGATGTGGCGACATCCGCCGGCGTGCTGTGGCCGCGGCTCGCAGGTCGTACGGTCGATGAGATTTTTGCCATAATAAGCCCGTCGTCGATTTGTGTTGTGCGCAGTCGTGTCGTGGTCATGTTGTTGTTAACCCTAAGATTGTGTTTACGAACCCTAAGGTGATGTTTACATCTTTGGCCAATCATGATGGCTGCCTAGAGAGGCTTGGCGCGCGTATGTTACTTGACTAAGCTGACCTACCGAAGTGCATGCATATGGCAGCATGAGGCGACAGAAGTGAATGGCAAGAGGTATACAGTGCATTTGAGATCGGCAACGATACAGACAATGTCTGGCTCCTCTGGCGGATTTGCTGTCACATATCCAGTACCTGACACCTCGCTTAATTACAAAGATCCAAGTGACGGGTGGCCATGTCTAAGCGGCGGCCTCAACGACAGATGCTCCCGCAGGCTTCAGACTCGGGTCAAGCTCCGCCTGCTTCTCTAACAGCCTCGCCTGGTCATCCTCCGCAAGCTCACCGACCGTCAAATTGAGCTGCGTCACTACTTCCTCTTCGTCAGGCACACCACCCATTCTGCCAACCTTGCGCTTCGGCCGTAGAGCAGTCCGCTGCACGATAGGATAGTAGTACGCAGCCTTCGCCAGCCGCTTCGTCACTCCAGGTACAACACCGACCTCCATATCCGGATCGTGCAGTGCCAGAGCTACAGAGTCGTTGTAGAAGCTAGTGCCGTTTCCGTGCTGGTTATAAGTCTCGTAAGTCCGTACTCTACCGTAAGTGAAGCCACGCCTGCCTTCATCAAGGTCCTCGGTATATAGATCCGGATCCTCGTTGTCCGGGTCATTGACATCAAACTTGCGCTTGATGCCACGTAGTGCTCCTTCATCGTTCGCCACGTAGTACTCGTAGTCGAATTCGGGCAGAGGTTGTGGTCTTGAAGAGCTTGGGTCCCATTGCTCCAGTTTCCTGTTGTATTCTGCTTGCGCTTGGGGATTGTCCACAGGTCGAAGCATGGCAGTGTCCAGTCTCCGGTCGTAGCTTTCGCTGGACAATGGATTTGATTGGAACTTGACTACCAGATATGCGCCGTTGGTTGGTAGTGCATCTAGATCGGGTAGCACGGGATAGCTGTCCAGAAGCTTAACGTCTGACTTTGTAGGATGCTTCGGGTTTGCCCATGCCTTCATCTCAGCATCCGTTACTGCAGCACCGCGAATATTGTTCGTGCTATCATCTCCCTTGTACGCATCTGCTGGGTATGCGATATCGAACCCTTTCACAATATTGCGGATAATGTTGATGGGGTCCTCCTTGTCTGTAGCGCCTAGCTTTCGTCGCTTGGCATCGTTGCGTACGCGCATGATATCCTTTGAGGTGTTTGAGGCAAAGTGTTGTGGGTTCTGCGAGGAAGTGTACTCTGTTCTCCGTAGGAAGGACACTCCTCCTTGGTTCGCATTTGCTTTACCCAGAGCAGAAAGTGGTTTCAGTAGTGCCTTGTCCGCGGGATGTATCTGCGCATCGGGTCTAGCCAAGATAGCTGGATCATGTCAGTTCAGATCGAGCTGGCATTTGTCCGCGCCATTCCTCACCTCGCTCATCGCCATCAAATATGCCAGGTATACCAATCAGGTCGATTGGCATGCCAAGCTCCGCATCCGCTTCAATGTTGAGAGGCTGTTCCCGTACGAGTCTTGAGGCATATCCTGCGCTTGTGTACTGGCCAGCTGCGAGACCTGTTCCTGGTATATCAAGGAGCTTCGGAGGATTCGGCGGAGGTGGTAAGGCATTCGAATATCTGATGCGCGCGATGTAGTCCTGGTGTACCACTCGCTCAGGTCGCTGGCTCGAAGACATGACGGCGATCCTGGAGAGGTATTGTGTGGCGTGTTTGACCGTGATTTTGCTGATGAGCACGCGATGCAATGCGCGCCAAAGAATGTCTAAATGGCAAAGTGAATGTACAGCGCGCCGGGATAGATCTCCATGACTAAGCGAATCTTTTGCCCCGGCTGAGCAACTGTGATTGGACGAATAAACACTACAACTGCCACGTTGGTCGAGTATTGGACATGCAGCTTCACAATTTGCAGCGGAGCTGACTCTTGACGCTCCGCCATGGGTGACAATGTCTCGACCAGCGATCTCGCGGAGCTCGCCAGCGCCATTACCCGAACGGCTACCTCAAGCTTACCCTCCCTCGCCGCTGCAGGATCCAATATCAACGCCACTACTAATGTCCACATCCCAGTTCAACCTCAGTCGACCCTCGGCATGCTTGGAGGTCTGTTATTCGGGCTCTTCACGATTGTCCCGAGTCTGCTCTACTGGATCATCACATTCGTGACCCTGACATTACCGTCATGGCTATTCACCTTCTTATCAACGAGTCTCACGTTTACCATGAACATGACGACTCTTCTACTGATGCTGCTGGGCTTTGCCTCCACTGTGGCATGGTTCGTACGATATCGATTTCTGAATATGTACTCTCGGCTGCCGCCTGAGCCACAAAGGGAGGAGCCACAGATCGAGATCTTCCCGGACATGCAGGAGACTGACTCCAAGCCTGGGCTGTCCAACTACTTTGATGAGTTTCTGAGTGCGATCAAGGTCTTTGGCTACCTCGAGAGGCCTGTGTTCCACGAGCTCACAAGGACGATGCAGACACGGAAGCTGATCGCGGGCGAGACGCTTCTACTAGAGGAAGAGAAGGGATTCTGCTTAGTTGTTGATGGTCTGGTCCAGATCTTCGTCAAGTCAACTCGCCCATCGGATCAGCACGACAGTCATGAATCGGTGCTTACCGATGATGAGCATGCAGAAGACCGATCGAGCGGCAACCGGAGCTATCAGCTGCTAACAGAGGTCAAGAACGGTGCGCCAATGTCTTCGCTTTTCTCGATACTGGCACTCTTCACAGAAACCGTGAAATTGAGGTTTGATGAGGAAGATGATGCACCGTTAGAGACAAGTCGATCAGGACTTGACATGAAGCAGCACACTCGCTTCCCATTCCCTCATCTCGATGGAACTGCCACTCCAGAATCAGGTGCGGATAGCCCATGGCATGGAGGTCCATCGAGGCCACAATCTAGACATAGACGATTGTCCACCATGAAGGATCCACCGCCATTCACCCTAGACGGCACTGCTGACACTCAGCACCTTCACCCCAGCAGTAGCAGGAGACCGAGCATGTCAAGGCTGCACGGCAATGGTCCACGTAGGCCTAAGAAGCAAGGCTCAGTCCATCCAGATATCGTGGCTAGGGCTGCCGTGGATACGACCATTGCCATCATACCTGCAAGCGCTTTCCATCGCATTACGAAAATTTACCCAAAAGCAACTGCACACATCGTGCAAGTCATACTGACCAGATTACAACGAGTGACGCTTGGTACGGTACATTCGTACTTGGGAATGACGAGTGAGGTGCTTCGGACAGAACGACTCATGGACACGTATACGACATACGATCTTCCGGACTTTCTACGTGGCGAAGCATTATCACGGCTGAAAGACAAGTTCAACAAAGATCAGGAGCGCATAGGCTCCGAGGAGAGCATGAAAGGCATAGCCTTGCACAATCCACGACTTGCACAGCGCAAACGACGTACGAGCAGTAATTTGCGCCGTGAGACTGCTGTCAACGCACGTTTCGCAATGCGCCAAGGGAGTATACAGATCAATGATTTTGAAGGTGATCGTGGAACTGTAAGTGCTGGTGATCTGCTCACGAATATACATGCTGCAAGGGCAAACGGGCGGACACAGAAGACCGGAAGCTTCTCACAGCCATACTCGGCGCCAAGACAGGTCAATGGTCACTCGTACGCACCACATGAACAAACCCACGATGGCTTTAATGTAGATGACAGCCCTCGAGCACATATGCACCGACAAGAATCAATGGACGAAGATATGATCTTTAGAGAATCTATCATGGAGTGTATGGCGAAGGCAATCGGCCTGTCAGGTACAAAAGGTGGCCTCTTGAATCCCACTTCTGCTGCACAGTCGCCTCGATTAGTGTCGTTCGACCCGAAGAGACAGAGCGCAGTGTTCAACAATGCCTTTGGCTTCATTGACCCATACGAAGGCTCACTGGACGATTCAGAGTCAACCGCATCACAATCAGCATATAGCTCAGGCGGCACTGTGAACATACTGGAAGATCTGAAGAACGAGATCGAGATCGTCTACTTTCCGAAGGACTCTGTGCTTGTGGAGGAAGGTGAACGCAACCCTGGCGTGTACTATGTCATTGATGGGTTCCTGGATGTCAGTGCGTCGATGGAAGGCGATCAGAATACAGAGAATATGCTTGGCACCCAACCATATGCCAGCAAGGTGGAACTCCCGGAGCTTTTGGGCCGTGGAAGTGAGAAGCGCACTTCGACCAGCAGATCCAAGTCTACTGGTGGTGAGCAGCAGAAGCGCAAGAAGCAATCACAGCGAAGCTTGTACCTGATAAAGCCAGGCGGCCTTGCTGGGTACCTCGGAAGTGTCTCTTCACATCGCTCATCGATAGACGTGACAGCTAAGACAGATGTTTACGTTGGGTTTTTGCCGCGAGCTGCAATTGACCGGATTGTCGACCGACACCCAGTTGTGCTGCTGACCATGGCTAAGCGTCTGACGAGCCTGCTACCAAGGCTGATCCAGCACATCGACTTTGCGCTCGAGTGGGTGCAAGTTGACGCGGGCCAAGCAATCTACCACCAGGGCGATGAGAGCGATGCTATCTACATCGTGCTCAACGGTCGTTTGCGGGGCATACAAGAGAAGCCAGATGGCAGAATGGAAGTCATTGGCGAATATGGGCAAGGCGATAGTGTCGGTGAGCTTGAAGTCCTTACGGAGTCAACTAGACCCGGCACCCTACACGCGATAAGAGACACCGAGCTCGCCAAGTTCCCGAAGACGCTGTTCAATAGTCTTGCACAGGAGCATCCAGGCATTACGATTAAGGTGTCGAAGATCATCGCCTCGCGCATGCGTGCTTTAATTGAAAATCCTATGACCGAGCCTGCAGCCAACGAGAGTAAGCTGGCTGTATCGAGACCAAAGGCAACTTCGAACATGAATCTAAGGACTGTGGCGATTGTACCCTGTACTGCTGGCGTGCCGGTCGTGGAATTCGGCAATAAGCTACAAGCAGCGCTCCTCCAGATTGGCACAGTGAACGGCGTCACAACATTGAACCAATCCTCGATCCTCAATCACCTCGGCAGACATGCTTTCAGTCGGATGGGAAAGCTGAAGCTGTCCCAATATCTTGCAGACTTGGAGGAGAAGTATGGTCTTGTGCTGTATGTGGCTGACACAAGCGTCAAGTCGCCTTGGACCCAGACCTGCATCAGCCAGGCGGACTGCATATACCTTGTTGGCATCGCAGAAGGCTCTCCCAACATCGGCGAGTACGAACGCTTCCTCCTGACCACGAAGACTACTGCCCGCAAGGAGCTGGTACTCCTACATACCGAACGCTACTGCCCACCAGGCACAACTCGAGCTTGGCTCAGAAACAGGACCTGGATCAACGGCGGCCATCATCACGTCCAGATGGCTTTCCGCAATGCTCCCGAACCAGTCAACCCCGTGCCAAAGCGCTTCGGAAACGCCCTCAAGCAACGAGTCCAAGTCCTCCAAGCCGAGATCCACAAATACACCTCCCGCCGCGTCCGTCAAACGCCCCTCTACTCCGCCGAAACCCCCTTCAAAGGCGATTTTCACCGCCTCGCCCGCCGCCTCTGCGGCAAATCCGTTGGTCTCTGTCTCGGAGGCGGCGGCGCACGCGGTCTAGCCCACGTGGGAGTCATTCGCGCGCTCGAAGAAGCCGGCCTACCTATTGACATCGTCGGCGGAACCTCCATAGGCGCCTTCATCGGCGCCGTCTACGCTCAAGACGCGGATGTTGTTCCCATGTACGGTCGGGTAAAGAAGTTCGCAGGCCGCATGGGCAGTGTCTGGCGTTTCGCCCTCGACCTCACATACCCTTCCGCCTCCTACACCACCGGCCACGAATTCAACCGAGGGATCTTCAAAACATTCGGGGATAGTCAGATTGAGGATTTCTGGCTGGATTTCTACTGCAACAGCACGAACATCAGTAAATCCCGCTCCGAGATCCACACAAGCGGATACGTCTGGCGCTACGTCCGCGCATCCATGTCCTTAGCCGGTCTCCTGCCCCCCATGTGCGACGAAGGCAACATGCTCCTCGACGGCGGCTACACCGACAACCTCACCGTTTCGCACATGAAATCCCTAGGAGCCGAAATCATCTTCGCCGTCGACGTCGGAGCCCTAGACGACAGCACGCCGCAGAACTACGGCGACAGCCTCTCGGGTTTCTGGGCCAGTCTCAACCGCTGGAACCCCTTTTCCTCCTACCCCAACCCGCCCACTCTAGCCGAAATCCAGGCCCGACTCGCCTACGTCAGTTCCGTGGACTCGTTGGAGAAGAGCAAGAGGGTTGCCGGGTGTAGGTATATGCGCCCGCCGATCGAGGCGTATGGGACGTTGGAGTTTGGGAAGTTCGATGAGATTTATCAGGTGGGGTATCAGTTTGGGAGGAGGTATTTGGAGGGGTTGAGGGAGGAAGGGGTTTTGCCTGTTATGGAGGAGACGGAGGAGAGGCGGAATTTGCGGCGGACGATGGCGCCGAGGAGGGCGAGTATTTGAGATTTTTCTGTTATGAGACCAAAGGGGGGCATATATGGGTGGTGAAGATGATAGTTGGTTGGCATGCGAGCATGAGTCGTGAAGGCGTAAAGGTGGGTTTGATGGCTTATTCAGAGATACCCTTCACAATCTGAATCGTTCTGCCGCGGTATGCTACGGCAACAAGTGCGCACTGTACAAACACCCATGCCTCACAGGCCCCCAAAAGCCCATTCCCCGAAAAAAAAAAAACGCCTCGCTATGCCAAACCTCACATACCCAAACCAAAGAACTCTCCCCTCCATAACCCCCTACCCAGCTCAACCCAACTCGCCTCAATTCCCCTCAATAATCCTCCTCCCCGCCTCCCTCACCCTCCCCGCCACCCTCCCAACCCAAACCCCCGCCTTCTCCCACTCCCCCCTCTCCATCGCATCCCTCACAAACGGAAAGATCCCCACCCCACCTCCCACCCCATCCTCCCCCACCGGCCCAAAAACGCTATGTTTGAACTGACACCTCCCCGGCATCCCCCCACCATGAGGACACTGCGCATTATCCTGCAGATCTAAGAGATCGGTTTCGAAGCGCGCGAGGCGGTTGTTGTATTCAAGGCGTTTGGCGGCGAAGCCGCGGGTTTCCAGCCCCCCAGAGGCGAGGACGTTGGAGGTCCAGGTTTCTTCGAATTTGTGGAAGGTGTTTGCTTGCTCGGTTAGGGCGGCGATGGCTTGTGTGAGTGGATTTACTGTGAATCCCGTGGCGGTTTGTAAGTCCCCGGCGGATGCGTGCTGGAGATTCTGTTGTTGGGCCCAGAGGCCCGCGGCGTGGCGTTCAAGGTCTTGGGTCCATGTTTGGAGTTTCGCCGCGTAGGAGCGAATATCATAGGGTATCATCGGACGATCGGCGAGTTCGAGGATGAGGAGGGTCCAGATTTGGGCGAGAGTGGAATGGTATGCGAAGTCCGGGGTGGGGTCGCCGTAAGTTTCCATCCAGGCTAGAGTGTCATGGCAGGAGTTATAGGGAAAGTATTTCTCGCGTGCGCCGGTGCCGGCGACGAAGGAGAAGTCGAGGGAGGAGGTCCCCGCTATGGATTGGAAGGCGGCGTAGTCGCTGGCGTGGCCTAGGGGTTGGAAGGCGGAGGAGTGTTGGGCCCATTTTTGTTTGAGGGTGAGGGTGTCGTTGGTTTCGGGGGCGGAGATGCGGTCGAGGACGTGGAGGAGCGGGCGTTCCCAGACTGGGGACCCCGAAGCGGTGAATATATCTCCAAAGACGCCGGTATCGACGTTGATGTAGGCGAGGGCGTTTTCGCGTAGGAAGTCGGTGGTGTCTTCTACGTACTCGGTGCTGCCGATGTTGTTATATTCGCCTGCGTCGAAGCTTACGAATTCGATGGTCCGGAGGGGACGCCAATTGAGTTTCTTGAGTTCGCCGAAGATGCGCACGACTTCCATCATGACTGCACTGCCTGAGCCGGGGGATACAGCGCCAAAGCACCACGCGTCTCGGTGGTTGCCGACGAGAATCTTCTTCTGCGGCTGCTCGAGCCCTTCCATCATGCCGTGCAAATTCCAGATCTCCTGCAGTGGATTCTCATCATTCATGTTCTTCAGGTGCACGATCGGTACATCTGCATCCTCCGCCTCAGCCGTCCCGCTAAACCAATGCTTGTCCAACCCATCGCCCGGCCAATGAACCCAGCTGAACGGCACAGACGCGCCATGCCCGTCCAAAGCCTTGATCAGATCCTTCGCGTCCCGCCATGCCAACGGCAAAGACGGTATACTCGGCAACCCCCGATTACCCTCCATACTCAGCCTAGGTATCTTCGAGTCACTATGACTAGCAAAACCCGGCGTAAGCGGATCCCCCAGCACCCAGTCACCCATCCCCACATCACCCCTCTGCACCATATCGTCCGGCGGCCGCCAGGCACTATCCTCCGCCACATCCGAAGGCGAAGAATACATCAGCACCCCCACACACCCCGCCTCCTGCGCCGCCCTCAACTTCCACCCCGCATCAGCCTGCGTCCCGCCAAAATTCACCAACGCCACAGACCCATTCACCACAACCCCATTCTCCCTCAACCAAGCATAGTCATCCCAACTCCCCCCATTAGCATAAACCAAATGCCCCTCCACCTCCCCACTCCAACTATGACCCTGCCAAGCCCCAATCTGCACTCGCCCGGGCACAGCCTGCTCCTCCTCCAACCTCGCCGTCCACCTCGCTCCCTCCGGCCGCATAATCTCCACTCCCCTCTCGCCCGGATAATTCAAATAAACATGATATGGCAAAAGCGCCACCTGATCAAATACTCCCTGCTCCGTCCACATACCCTCCATCCACTTGGCCAGATACAGATCCCCTTCCGTCCCCGCCACATGATCAAAAGAAGTGATGTGCTCCAGCGTCTGCCGGATGTTCTCCCCAGAAGTATGTTCCAACACAAACCGGCGCACGGCTTCGGGATCGAAACGGTTCCCTAGTCCCCTACGAGATCCAGGAAAGAGGTCGAAAGCGAATAAGAAGTAGATGAAAGTGAGCAGTGTAAACAAGCCGGCCAGTCTCGCGGCAGTAGGACCAGAAAGCCGATAGCGTTCCGGCACACCAACCCTCGACACGAACCGACTCAACCAGGTCCTCGTATCCGGCCGCGCCTCCCCTTCTTCATCCGTATCCACGGGTCTATACAAGGAGCGGAAAGAAGGGATAGGGAATCGTAGATTGGACAGTGTGGCTCCCAAGCTAGACAATTGCCGGCCCCACTTCCTCCCACTTCGTATCCGGACCCGATGGTATAAGCGCGGACTCCGACGGGAGGAGTCCGGGTAGGAGGGGTCGAGGTAGTCCAGCTCCTCGATTTGTCGCCGTTCGATGTCGTTGTTGTGCCCGTTCACTTCGGGGAGGCGGAGATCATCGGCTTCTTCGTCTTCGTCTTCGGCGTCGAAGCCGAGGCTCGTGCGGGCGGATTCCACGGTGGGGTGGTGGTAGGTCAGCAGCCCCTCCCTCTCCGCTGTGTTGTTGTTGGTGGCATTGTCGTGGGTGTCTTGGGAGGAAGTGGATCGCGAGGCCGTCGCTTCGTCGTACGAGGGGATGGGGATATTGGCGTATTGAGCGTATTTGTCCTCCATCATGTGCTCATCGTCGTCGTCGTGGTCGCCAGCAGCCATCGTGGGCGCTGTGAGGGGGTTTATCGTGCTTCGTTCATCCGGTGGTTGTGTGTCTGTCGCGCACGTGATAGGTGATGTTGTTCAATCGTGCCCCATGTAGAGTCATATCGTGTATTTGCGCGGGATATGATACAGAAATAGCAATCAAAAAGAACAATAGATAGCAATAGCGATAGTAATGGTAATAGTAATTCGAACCGCCTCCTGCCCAGAGTCGAGACACACGTCAGATCATCCCCAGACATCTCGGGTCGGAACATATATCCGCCTTCCCGTGCCTTCCGATATGAGTTCACCGTAGACATAAAGGATTCTAGAAGAAGTATAAGATGTCCTTGGTAATGGTACGTATATATGTATGAACTGTATATGCGATACAAGACTTCAGGCGATGGCTAGCACTACCCACACACACAGCAAGCCCGTCATAAACACACCCGCCCTGTAACCTACCTCGCTTTCCCCATCACAACTCAAAGCGTCCTCAATCCTCCCCCCATATCGTTGTTACGTCTTCGACACCGACCCAACCTGTTCCTCCACACTCTTCCTCAAACCCAGAACAGCCGCACTACCCGGGCTCCCCTCACTCATCCCCTGCGGCTCTTCCACTAGATGATCATCAACCACCGGCGTAATCGGGCCCTCAGCATTCGCATTCCCAGCATCCAAACTCGTCCTCACAACCGCACCAGCCGGACTCTTCACAGACCCAGCCCCAGACCCAGGCGTCCTCGAAATAATGGGAGAAGTAGGCGCTAACCCCCGATGCCCATCCGTGTACGCCACCCTACTCGTGCTAGACGAACCATGCACACCGCTCTGACTCCGCCCCTCACCCTCAGGACTTACATGCGCCTTCTCCGGCGCCTGCACCCTCGCAGCCGCCACCTGGGGATTAATCAACCGCTGCACCAACGTCCTCTCATCCACATCCGTATCATCATCCTCCTCCTCGCCCCAAACCGCCTCATCCCAAGCAACCCCCGCCCCAACCGACCCCATACTGTCCTCTCTGATAACCTGTGGCCTTCCCCTCACCCCGCCGCCCGGCCCCTTAGAACTATTACTCCCCCTCATCCCCCCCCTCGGAACCTCCAACCCCACAAGCTCATCCCTCGCCTCCCTCATCTCACTCCTCGACCTCTCCGGCGGCGTCCGGGCCGTCTGATCGCGAACCTGCTCCCCGCCATCATCAAGCGGCTCCTCCAACGGCCGCGCCCGCTCCCGCGCCGGCTCATCTTCGTCTCGTGTGCGAGCGGAATAGTTATCACCGAAATGCGTATCGCAGAGATGTTTCACCACGGGCCATCCGTACGCGTTCGCGAACATCCGGCGCACGATCATGTTGTTGTGCGCGTCCGGTTCTAACCTCACCAGAACTTTCCTCCAGGATAAATCTTTATGGTACGCCCGGGCGATTTTCTCCTCGACTTTCATCGCGCCTGCTTCTGTCGTCGTCGTGGTGGTGCTGGAGTCCTGGGAATTGAGCGAGGCGTTCGAGGCATGACTTCCCAAAGTCTTGACGCTCGTGTCGCCGCTGGAAAAAGATCTCGTGAGTCTCGACCCTGGCCGTTTGATCGGAGGTGGCGGGATGTCTTCGGGATGATAAACGCGATCGTGGAAAATCGTCCTCGAACGACTCGTGGGATCCGTGATCCACTGGCCACTCGGCAACGGCGGGTGCAGGATATCGCCCGCGGACTCGAAGATGGAGGTTTTAGGCGGGGCTTGTAATTCCCCCGTTTCGGTGTTGAGAAGGGTGTCGCCGCGCGTGGCTTTGGGCCGTTTGTGTGACTGCGACTGCGATTGGCCGGTGTGGTGGTGTGTTAGGGAGGGCCGCATGGTGGGGTTGTTGGTCGTCGTGCCCTCTACACCTTGTGCCACCTCCTCTGGAAGTTCGTCCTCGCCTGACCGCATAGTCTGGGCACGAGAGAGGGTTTTGCGCGTCTTCTTCGACATGGACGGGGGCGTTTTCGCGGTGGAGGGGTCGGAGGCGTTGGGTTTGAAGAAGTCGAGGAAGGTGTCGAACATACCCTTCTCTTGCGTCTGAGGAGGTCTGTGTCCAACGGAACCATTCGCGTGCCGTTGTGGCGGCACCGACTCCCCCTCATTATCCCCATCATAACTCATCCTCTGATTCCCCCGCTTATTGTCCTCCGCCACCTCATTCTCCGCAGGTAAAGGAACCGCATCCCCCTCCCCCCGCCTGAAATCCTCATCATCCATTTCATCCTCCTCCCCCCCAACGCCCATCCCACCCCCATAAACACCCCCGACCCCAACCCCTTGAGCAACCCCACCAACATCAACATTCCTCCTCACGGCCCCCGCATTCGCCCCCGTAAGCTCCGCCCACCCCCACTCCGCCACCGTCCCAATCAACCCATTCTCCCGCCTCGCCTTCTCCACCTTGCCCAACCCCCTCCAATCCAAAAACAACAAACAGCTCGTCCGCAGCGGCACGATCCCATCATTCACCACATTCGAATAAACCGTCCGGTTGCGGAACATTCTTAAAACCTGATGCGCTGGGCCCGTGGGCAAGATGCGGAGGAGGGGTTTCGCGGCGGGGTCTTCGGCTTGTCCCTTTTCCCCATCCTTGGCTCCACTACCGCTATGAGTACTACTACCACCACCTAAACCCCCAATCACAGCATTCCATCCTCCTCTCGCTAGGGTGTTAGGCCGCCAACTCAACCCCAAGTCCTGGCCCGTGCGTCCCACGAGCCCGAAATCCAGCGCAAATTTAACATACAGTGGATTCTCATTGCTCAGACCCAACATCGGGGAAGCCAGACAAATAAAATTCACCGGCTGGATTTGTTGGAAAAAGGTCGGGCTGTGCTTGTGGATGTAGGCTATAGCGTACGTCTGGATGAGGCCGCCGAGACTGTGGCCGAGGAAGGAGATGCTGGTGAATTTATAGGGGAGGTCTTCTGCTCTCTGGGCTTGAGATTGGCCTTTTGTGGGGTGGTGCACGCTACTACCCACATGCGACGGCGGACCATCACGCCTGGCTTTGTCGGCGTCGGTGCGAAAGGGGTCGCTGAAGGTTTTGGATAAGGGTTTCTTGACCGGGAGGAAAGGTTGGTCTGGGTAGGTGAAGCGGAGGATGTACTTGGCCAGTCGCTTTCCCAGGTATTGGATCCCGTTTTCGGTGCGGACGGCGTTGCCGGTGAAGCCGCGGACGATGGTTTCTTCTTCGTCGTCGCCTTCGTCGGCGCCGGATATGTCTTCTTGGCCGCCGGAGAGGGGGGCTGTGGATGTTTCTTCTTTGTTTTGGTCGGAAGGAGCTGAGTCTTCGGTGGTGGACTCACCTTTCCGCTCTTTCTCTTGCTTGCGATATGCGGCTTTGCGCTCCTTGGCGTCTAGGCGGGCTTGCTTGACTGTGGCATCGATACTCTCTTTCAAGAACAGCATGTCGGCTCCAACATTGCTATGTAGACCATGCGTCACCACAACCAGATGGACATTCTTCCTCTTCTTCTTCGGCTGCTCGGGCTTCGACTTCTCCTCTTTCCTCGTTCCCCGATCATGTTCCGGCTGTTCGTCCCAGGTCGGCAAAGCAGGCTTGTCCCACAAGGTCTCCACATCCTCTGCCACTAACCTCACAGCCTTGGAGTACACCCCCGCCGTCATCACATTCCCTTGCCGTCTTGCCCTCTTACGCTCCGGCTCAGAAGACTGCTGTTCTTTAATCTGTCCCGGAGCACCATGTCCATGCCCCGCCACCGCAGCAAACCCAAGCTCCAGACTCCTCTCATCCCTCCCCACCAGCACCTCGAAATGGACGGAAGCGGAATTGCTAAACAGGATCTGTGACGTGACCTCAACAATCCACGTCATACTCTTCTCCTTGTCCTGACCTCCCCCTCCACTCCGCTGCTCCGAGCTGATCCGCCGCATCCCCAAATCCGCCCCCGTCTCCCGTATCTCCTCCGGCACCGTCAACTTAGTCAGCCAGCTCCCGCCCGCCTTGAGCATGGGTTCGTACTCCGGCACGCCATAACGTTCCGGCTCCTCCACCTTCTTGTGCGGGTTAAAGGTCGACGGGTAGGCGGCGACATGTAAGACATACGGCCCACGAAGCCATGCCGCTCGTAATGGGATGGCCGAGGTATTCTTAATCTTCACGTGCAGGTGGTGGGGTGTGGGCAGGATGCGGTCGTTGCTCGGGGTGTAGGTGAGGGTGTAGCGCACGATCTCGCCGACTTTGACGCTGCCGGCTTGGTGGACGAGCAGCATTGCGGGCGGATGGTTCGGAGTGGATATATATGCAGTATATGCAGTATGTTGTTGTGGCTGCCTCTCCTGCACTATACAGTACTTCAGTCGGAGATTCTTCTATGATATTGTTACTGTTCTTGTTCGGCAGCTACTTGAGCAGCTTGAGCAGGTGTTATTGTGCTCCCTGTACCGACCACATCCTTCGCACTCCTCACACCACTATTGTAGCTCTCCTCAGTCTCGTCTGAACTTTGGACGATGATAGCAGGCACATGATCTGTACATCCTTCGACAATGTTTCATCCTTCGACAATGTTTCATCCACCACCACCACCCACGCGACGATCATGCGGCATGACGAAACCTTACTAAACTCAATAATCTCAGCCACAATCTCCAGACTTCAGTGGCTTCACCAACCGCTCCTTCCCAACTCGGCACTCTTCACTATATATAGTTCCTAAACAACAACCCATCATGGCGGGTCCCATTATTATTCTTTCCTAATCTCAACAACAATATGTAAACCATAACACCATACCGTGACTTGTACTCTACCTCCCATGTCATCATCATCAACAACCCACCCTAGCAAAATGCCCACCCAACGCCACCTCCTCCTCTGCTTCGACGCCTTCGGAACCCTCTTCACCCCCAAACGCCCCATCCCGCAACAATACGGCGACGTCGCCCGCTCTCTAGGCCTTTCTGGCTTCACAGACGACCAAGTCCACTCCTCCTTCCGCGCAGCCTTCAAAGCCGAAGCCAAGAAGAATCCGACTTTCGGGAAAGCTAATGGCATGGATCCTACTACTTGGTGGACGAATGTAACTATCAATCATTATTTCAACAGCGATCGATGTGTTTTCATACTGATTTAATTCGAGATCATCCACAACACCTTCCACCCCCTCACCAACCCCGACAACAACAACAACAACACAAGCCTGCCCCCCGACCTCGCCCCGAAACTTCTCCACCGCTTCGCCTCGGAGGAAGGCTATAATCTCGCTCCAGGCACCATCCCGCTCCTCCAAACCCTCCGCGCCATTCCACCAGCTCCCATCGACAAACTCGCCATCGGCATCATCACGAACTCGGATGATCGGGTCCCCGGTATCCTCACCTCCCTAGGCCTTCGCGTGAGCCCCCTCGTATACAGTGGCGACAACAGCTCCACAGTCCCAAATCCAGAGGAGGAGTATGATATAGATTTCACCGTCCTATCCTACGACGTCGGGCACGAGAAACCGGATCGACGGATCTTTGACGCTGCGGAGGAACTACTGATCTCTCTACCTATAGCGCAAGGTACAGAGGCGGGGGAGTGGCAGAAAGTTTATGTGGGGGATGAGTATGGTAAGGATGTTGTTGGGGCGGGGGAGGCTGGGTGGGGTGCTGTGCTACTCGGTGAGGATGCTGCAGAAATTCACGATGACGTTCTGAGGATCTCGGAAGGTCATGGTGGCGATTTACTCGAGGTTCTGCACGCTGGACAGGCAGTATCGGTCAAGGACTTCACTGTGCTCGCGCAGTCACTAGGTCTGCCGACCTCTCAGAGCGAGCCTTGACCAAGTAGCTGCGGAAGCGATTTGTGAAATACGATCCCGGAGGAATGAGAGATGTTGCTTCTTTCGTCAGGATTCTCGCGGCTCCCAATGGCCGGAGCCAGGAAGACTGGCTCGGCGACCATGACCATGCGAGGACACGTCTACGCTACGTACTCATGTTTTATCTGCATACGGCTTCGATGCCGGCCGCGACTGCAAGCATCTTCGCCTCGCCGAGAGGCAATCCCAGGATCTCGAGCCCGACCGGCAATTCCGGCCCGTCTGGATCTTCGGCCACGTCTCTCGACTTCCCCACCGGCACTGAGACGGCTGGGAACAATAGCTGGCTAGCAATGACCGTGTTAGTTGGGAAATTGAGGCAGGTCCACCTGATGGGGAAAGTCAGCTTCCGTTATCTCACTATGCGGCAGGTCTATCGGACAACGCACCGCATATCCAGCACATCCTGCGTCTTAGGCGCTAAGAGCTGACACGTCGGATATATTATCGCGTCAAGATCATGCTTCGCAAACAACGACGCCACGAGGCGCTGGAACTTCGCCTGCTCATCGAGTCGACGACCGTTGTGAGGATTCATGGTGTGGTCTGCTGGCGCTTTGACAAGGACATCTATAAGATCGAGCGCTTTGTGGTACTTGCCTTCCTTCTGCAGATCTTCGATCTTGAGATGTGCGAGGTCCGGGCGTGAGCCGAGGAAATCGTTGATGTCGGTTTTGGAGCGCACGGCGTACATTGATGTGAAGGAGGTGTAGTGGTCGAGGTCGACGATGTCCACGTCGATTAGATCTGCGCCGGCTTCTTTCAGGCTTGAGAGCGTGGTGTTGAGGACTTGAGTGATGCCTTTGTGGGTACCGAAGGCCCTTCTGAGCACACCGAGACAGTGGCCTTTCGTCTTCGGATTCTTCACAGCATCGCTAAACGGTGTGGAAGAGGCTGGAACAGCCATGGCATTTACAGCTGTGTACTCGTCCGCTTCATCAAACCCAACAACAACATCAAGAATCTTGGCGGCGTCCGCAACAGTCTTCGTCATGGGTCCAGGTGTATCTTGCGTAACAACAAGCGCAGACATCCCATCCCTACTAATGCGACCTGGAGTGACACGAACACCCACCAAGCCGCAGAAGCTAGATGGCAGACGAATGCTACCACCCGTGTCGCCTCCGATAGCAGCAATGGCCATCCCTGCTGCTACAGCTGCACCACTACCGCTCGACGATCCTCCTGGCTCTCTACTGAGATCGTACGGATTCTTCGTCGTACCACTTAGAGACGATGTGGAGAACCACGATGCCGCCCAATCCGGCATCGTACTCTTACCAAGAATAACAGCGCCCGCCTCTCGCAGCTTTCGCACAAGCGTGGCATCGCGTTGTGGTACATAGTCTTTACATACTTCGCTCCCGAATGCTGTCGCGATGCCTGCTGTTTCGATTTGATCTTTGATTACGAATGGGGCACCATGTAACGGTCCTCGTTTGGCCGGGTCAAGCTTGTCGAGAGCTTCGGCATCTGCTAGTGCATTTTCGTTGAGCGCCGTGATTGCATTGATGTCGCCGTCGAGCTGTTTGATAGCTTCTAGGTATTGTTCCGTTACGTCTTTGGCTGTCGTCTTGCCGCTTTGTATGGCTTCTTGCACTTCTGCTATCGTTTGGTACGGCGTTTGTGCGGCAAGCATGATGGGCCGGATGATCTTTCGTGTGCCTTTGAAAGCTTCCTGAGAAGCAAACGCTATATCACTTTGCGATTGTCACATTATTCGCCACGGCCAAGTTGGCCGACGGGCAGCTTCGGGACGCTTCCCAAGCGCCCGCGGCGTGGAAAGCTCCTGCGATAAGCATCTTGCTTTATCAAAACAGCGTCTGTCATAGAGATCGTAAGCTGTGAAGCCACGGACGGGATAGCCTCAGTAGAGCTCTCGTGTACGTCGACCACTGCGATTGCACCAGGCGCACTAATAAATACATCAGCTCTCGCTCAGCAGAATCAATACAACGCCAGCCTCACCTCTGTCTTCGAGCACCCCTCGTCATGCTCAATACAAAACAACGTCGTACAACTGCGGCACCGTCTCGTGCAAATCTTCTCACACTCCTCGCACGTCCGCCCACATCCGAAGCAATCTCTATGCACGCCGATGACCTGCACAGCATCAGCCGAGCACTCCTACAAAGCCTATACGTTTCTTGCAATAAAAGGGCAATATCAGCCCCACATCCCATTGCTACCAGCTCCTATCATCATCTCGCTCACAAGACAACGCTCAACGCAAAGATGATTGTATACCTTGACTGTTGCGCCTGAACCTGCTGCCGGCCCACCTGCAGTACTTCCAGTCCATCCATTTCGTTGCAATTCGTTTCGTGTCTCGATCTGTTGCATCTCCGTCCGTTGATGAACTCTCGATATAGGCTCCTCGTAGCAATCCTCGCACCACCAACGATTACAGCGTTCGCACCAGCGTCCTCGTAAGCAGTCTTCGCAGCGGAGGATAAGTTTGGGCATGCTTCCACCGTCTGGACGGTGTTGTGGGTATTGTGCTGCTCGGACGGTCGATGAATGTAACGGAGCGGGACCGAGAAGTGGTAGCGTGTCCTCTGCACTTTTACTAAAGATTGCCGGTCCTTCAGGGCACGAATGGCATGTCTCACATCCTGACGGTCCCAGGGCGACTGTAGCGATAGTTGGTTGTAAGAAGTCCTCGCTCGCTGTCTTACTTATCTCATGGCGAGGTCCACGGCATAGTACGGCGTCGAAAGTAACGATTCCTCTACATGCATTGAGCGTGTCAGGCCACTCGGATTGCGGTCGACGAAGTGCTCGTCCAGTACTGTGATACCACTTCGTTTCCTCGTCGCCGAAATCAGCAAGCAGTGCATCGGAAGATCGTTCGTTCCATTGTGCGCCGATCTGAGCACCTTCCGAAGCCATCACTCCCAGTGCCTGTGAGCCTTCGAGTCTCTGCTGATGGCCGATGACAAAACTCGCATCGTCTTTTGGTCCGAAGAAGTAGAGTGCTTTCAACTTAGGCGTCCCTTCAGCACGTGTAGGCCGAACAATATACCGTAGAACTTGCTGCAACTTCGTCTGGTTGAGATTCTTCGCCTCACGGATGCTGAGAACCCTGACGTTGTACCGGTCCTCAGCCACAATCTCGCGGACAAGATCGGCAGGAACTGACAGTCCGTCCAAAACCAAAGTCTGCACATGCCGTAGAATAGTCTGTCGCTGTAGCTGGGAGAAGATTCCTCGTAAGGGCCCGGAATAAAAGTCGTCCTCCGTCAACGATTCATCCATACGTTCTGCTCGCCACGACATGCCACCAACATCGATTGGCGAGGAGTCTATACGAGCCGACGAGATGTCTGTGAGGTCAACATAGCGCCAGACATCCGCTTGGGCTCCAATGACAAGACGAAAGGTCTTGCTTGTGGCTGAGAGGGCGAGCAGATTCCGGGCCGGGATATATGGTGCTGTTTGGCGAAGTATCAGTGAGTTGCTCAAAACGTCTAGCAATGTCGTTGGAAGATCCTCCATGATTTTGACGGTCTATGCATGAGAATGGAAATACGGAAACCGAATATAATGGTCGCGTGTTATGGACAGACCAAAGCTAGATCAGGACATCGATCGAGATCTGTAGGAATGAACCCGATTGGTCGACACATCTCGACTTCCATTATGACCATGTGGTTCACCTGAAGTATACACCTCTACTCAGGGACACTGTGATCAAGATGATCTGGCAAGAATGGTAGACAGTGTGGTGTTTGTTGAGCACACATTGCTTTTGCTACATGATTACATCAACTCCCATCCCAAAGCCTGCCCTCATGGAGCGGCATCACCGGCATCACCGCGCCACGCCATGCCAATCGTACACCCACACTCATCAAACGTCATCCATCTAAACCCCAGAATAAGGCCGCGTATTCTCAAACGGCCCGTTATTCGCGGCACGCCTCCTCTCCTCCTCATTATCAGTAGGACTCAAAGGCTTTCTCTGCCCGGTCTGAGATTTCTGTCTGTAAGGATTACTCGCGCTATGCTGCAGCTGCCTCATCTCGACTGGCGAAGTCGCGATCGGAGATGTCGCAGTCGAGAGCTGAGGTAGCTGTGGTGGTATAGAGGTTGTTGAGACGGCTGACTGTGATGGGACGCTGGATAGTGTTGGTCTGTAAGCTGTTGGTGTGGAAGAGTAGCCGGTGCTTTGGTAGCCGTAGTCTGCGTAGCTGGTCGTGTTTGGTTCGTTGATAGTCGGTATGCCAGAATATTGCATTCGCTGGCCCTCGGTGCTAGGTTTGCGCTTGCCTCTTGTGCTCTCGCGGCGCAAGAGACCACGCACTTCGTTCAAATCTTGCTCGCGCTCGAAGCTGGTCTCACCAAGTGTACTTTCGTCTTCCCTGCCGGACGTCCATGCTTGGTCGCGGGAAGCATCGTAGGCCGGATTACGGCTTGTTAGATCGCCCACTACCTTGGTGTCATGAGCAGTGAGGCCAGCAGCGCCCGATCGACTGCTCGAGATGGGACTGAGCTTCTCAGCGTCGTCTGTCGTCTTGGGATACAGGCGTGCCTTTGTTCTGGTTACTGCAGCCGCCGCCACAGAGTCCTTAGCAGCTTGATCCGAGACGGCGACAGAGTATGAAGGGTTTGCGGCACTACCGGAGGCATCAGAGCCGCCGCCAGGTCCGTAGATAGGTACTGCTTTGAGCGCAGACACCAGCGCGCACATGAACTTGCTTCTCCTAGCCTGTCGGACAGTCTCGTTGCCCCAGTTCGACTTGTGCCTGATCTCGACCTGGAGCATGAGTCTGGACTGGTCAGTCGTTCCAAGGATCCCGATTTCGAAAGTAGGCTGAAAGTCGCGGCTGTTGTCCTTGTCGTTGACGAAACGTGTAAGCTCGTCCTTGAGGATCTGAACATCGTCGAATGTGGTGTCGAACGATACCTGGGAAACATCAGTATTGAGCCCAACATTTGTGGGTGAGATAGAGGGCATGCTTACCGCAACATCAAACTGCTCGCTCATTGCCTTGCTCCTCGAAATGTTCTCGACCCAAAGAGCGTTCAAAACAATATTTGGAATCTGAACAGATCGACCACAATTGGCACCACTGGTCCTCCGGAAAATGGAAAAGAGCAAGCTGATATGCTCAACCACGAATTGATCAGGCCCAAGATCAATCCGGTCACCAACATCATAAGGATGTTTGACGAAGACAAAAATGCAGCTTCCGAGAACTTCCTGGCAAGTCGCCGAGAAGACGAAGCTGAGGGACAGCAAAGCGGTTCCAGCCGTTGCCAAAGTGGTAACGAAGGATTTGTTGAGAAAAGCGACGAAGATGAATACGACTGCGATGAAGACGACCGCGCTGAACAGATTGTCCAGAACATTGATGGCTTGGTCAACGTCGTGCATAGAGCTGGCGATAGCCTTGCGCTCCCGGCCATATTCGGTAACGACCATGATCATCTCGTCCAGCGAGATATCGCCATTGCCGTCCTGATCAATAGCAGCGAATGCCTCCTCGGCGTCCGTCTTCCTCTCCGAACCAAGAACTTCCAGAAGATCGTCCTGATACAATGCTTCGCGACCTTCCATAACAAAAGACATCCAGATACGCTTAGCCAGCGCCTCAGCAGCTTGCGGACGTTCGAGCGCATTGATAACGATGGAGTGTGAGCTGTTTGCATCGAAGACTTGCTTGCCCGTGATTTCGGACGCTACATTCCCGAAGGCAGAAGTGAGCTTATCACCGTACCGGCCAAGATCATGTAGAACACGCATAGGCGTACGACTTCCACTTCGAGCATGGCTGTGACCTTTACTACCGCCGAGACCGAGAGTGATGGCGAGCTGGTCACTGATTGTGTAGTCTTCCTCAGCGAACTCGTTACAGTACGCCGGAAACAAAGCCCGGGAAGCGTCGTAGAGTAGACTAAGCAGGAAGATGTTACGCTTTGACTCCTTGATACGGAAATGGAATTGCTTGCGGTGATAGTCGATCGAAATGAGCTGGATGATGAACTTCTCGCCCAAGAAGACCAGAGCACAGACCGTAGCAGCTCCGAGAATCTGCTGAAGGATATCTTGCCATTCGTATGACTTGCCATTGGGAGGATCCAGGCCATCAGGCTGCGTGCCGGGGTTTTGTGTCATGAGAGGCTTGAAGGTCGCCAACGAGCATACCGCCCATCCGACAAGCGAGAGCGGGATCTCTAGTGCACGCAGAACCATAGAGTATTTCCTCACACCAGAAGATACGAAGCCAGCAAAGACTTCGTAGATCATCGGAAGGAAATGTGCCACGATCTTGCTCACCCATAACGAGGACCAAATAATCTCAATCCACACGAAGAACCACAAGATCGGCACGTTGCCAATGGTTGTCTTCCTCGCGCTTGTCGCTCCAATGATGATCGGTATAGCTATGCATGCACCAATGGGCACGACATAGAACAGATACCTCGTCACAATCGAGAAATCCCTAATCTTCTTGTAGATCTTTCCCATCGTATTGATCGTGTCTTCCTCCCCGTCGTATCCCACGTGTCCCGTCCTGTTGCCGCCATGAATCCCACTTTGCGGTCTCCTCCCTCTGTTGAAAGTCTTGTTGATTCGTTGCTTTGTAGGTGACATGGTTGAGTCCGTAGGCCGTAGCTGACTAGTACTGCTTTGATTCCTCAAAGTGGCAGCATCGTCGGCCATGTGCTCCATTGGAATATCTATCGTAGCGTCGTGATTCATGTTGCTGTTCTGATCAATGGGTTGAAAGCCATCGCGAGAGAAGTGAGCATGTCGAGGAGAACTGCGTAAGGACATTCCGTGTTGGAAATGACTGAGGCTGCTGAGAGTGAATGAAATCGATCAATCGCTTGATGGAGCACCAATGAGCTCTCTTCAAAGCCTTTGCTTGCCGTAGAGGTACTGTATGATCGTCCCGGTCTTGCAGGATCGGCAGGGGACTGGTAACGATTGTTTGTCTGCTTGTATATTACAACGAACAATGTGGAAAGGAGATAAAGGGGAGATGACAAGAACTCTACTCGCCGTGCACCATACTTTCGAAGCTGTTCACCAGGAGCAGCGTTACATGAACGAGAAAAGAATGCAATGCCATGCACCAGCAAAAATAGCACCAAACACTCGTCACCCTCGCGTCTACACGGAAGCTTGGGAAACTCGAAATGCAAGGGACCACGCTAAAAGCTTCCTTATACAGCTCAGTGCAGCCATTCACGGCGTTTCTTTCAACGTTTTTCCCGATTAAGCTTCAGCGCCGTTGTGAGGAACTCTTCCCGATTCGCGAATTGAAACCATTTTTGACACAGCTTACGAGTCCTGCTCGGTATGTACCTTACCTCACATACTGGCGGTCGGCACCGATGTTTGCGTCGGGAGTCCACATAGCAATGCACTGCCTCGTCGTTAACAGTTTTGATGGGATTGGCAGTATACGGATGCCACATTGCATCGTTACAGCAAAGTTTATTGCTCAGAACAGATCATGGAGTGTGCCCCCCCAGCTCCACGACTTCATCAAGCAGTTGTACTGTCTCCTTTGGACTAGCTATCCAAGCCGTACAACACGCCAATCTGGCCTTGAAATCATTCGCTCCAGCGCTCAGAAACTGATCACCTACATGTAAAGTCTTGGCCGCCTCGATCCCACCAAAATACCTCTGGCACGCCATCACGCCGTAGCTCTTGTCTCCTATGTCGACGAAGACATCGTTGCCGCCATTGAAGGCGCAGAAGGGTATGCGTTGGCCTGCTAGTGAGGCGGAGATGAGTTGTCGCACATTTAGCACTGTCTCCTCCAAGATCTCCCGGCTGAGTCTTGTGCCTTTCTCTGGGTAGATGCCCACAGCGTGAGATTTCCGCAAGACGGAGACGGGGATGGCTAGAGTCTTGATGCAGTCTCTTAGAGCTTGCTCTGCAACATCGAGCAGAGCGTTGACGTTTTCATGCGTCCAGGTTTCCATCTCAGGGAGTCGCCAGTCAGCGTCGGGTACTTGTTCGAGCTTGTAAGGTGCTGTGGGTGTGTACGTGAACATGAAATTGCTCTCGCCTCCCATGACCACGAGCTTGTGTTCGAGTTTATGGCTGTGATCGCTTGCGGCAATGGCATCTAGTAGGCCTGCAAAGCGTCGATGATACTCCTTTGCTTCTGTGTAGCCTGCTGCTGTGACAAGACCGATACGAGTCCCGATGCGCATCATTGTTATGATCCGCTCGATGCATGGGTCCTCTGGTTTGAGCACTTCACCGTCGTCGTAGAGCGTAACGTCCCCGTCGAAAGTGACGAGTTCGAGGCGCGAGTTGCGGACCAAAGACATGACTTGGGCTGTGTTCAGGACGAGACGTATGTCGTTGAAGCTGGGCGCTACGAAGCGCCGACTCGAGATTCGTCTCTGGGCATCTTGGTATCGGAAGGCGTCTTGGAGTGGTAGAGGTGTGAAGAAAAGACCGACGGATGGGACGAGGAGTTTGAGCTTAGATATGCTGCCTTGCTCATTTCTCGATTGGAGGATGTGATCGTTGACCAGTTCTTCTATATCTTGCATGATTTGGCAGTAGCGATTGAGGGCATTGGATGCCATGGCGTCGACGATCCTGGTATCATCATGGATGGCCGTGGGCTGGCTCAATAGCACGAACGGCACGGCAAGCAGTCCTTTGATCCATTCAATGAGTTGGTCACGGCGGTGTGTCTTGAAGTAGATCAGTATTCCTGACATATGTCGTGGAGGAATCATCTGACTGGACACACCTTGAGTTGATCTGTATCTCAAGATCAGTGTCGCTTCTTATTGCAGTAGATTTAGATCGAGACAAACACTCAACACGATATCTTGTCGTCATGTCTGCTGCTATCGACGTGTCCTGCGGCAGGAGATCTGATGTTTATGTTCTACATGGTCAGATATAGGGAAGATAGATCGAGGCGAGGGAGAACGAGCGGAGGCACATGCCCAAAGCTTTGCCCTGCGTCCAAGCAAACATTTGCCCCACTTCTCTCACGTGCTTCGTCCTTCTCTCGACCTTCAATCTGCAGGCACGCTTCTTAGCGTATATGCTTCCATCCAACTACATGTATCCCGCGACTTTCTTCTAGTCTGGCACGACCGCTCGCCGATCATGGCAGCACTGTCTCTCAAGCCATGGTCACGCGCCTCGAACGACACAAGCACCCTCAAAGACATCCTAGGTCGCGTACATCTCGAACGAGGCCACTTCCGCGACATCACCGAAGCCTCTCTACAAGAAGAACTAGCTAATGATGGCGCCCTCGAACTCAGCTCTAGCTCCGATGATGAAGCGGCCGACGAAGATGAGGAGAAGCAAGAAGCTGGCAATGCCAAGCCAAAGACACGAGAGGATCTCTGGAAGGCTCGAGCGGAAATGCTTCAGCACCTTGACGCGGCACACAATGATGTTATGATCGCACTGGACTTTACTTCCCTGCTCTTGACGAAGGAGGCGCCGAAAGTCGCTGCTCCTACCGTGAGCCAGGGCTTGAAACAGGAAGTACCGCTCGGCACGTTGGGGACGGATATCTGGCATCGTATGCCCGTCGACAAGGTACGGGAGGTGCAAGATGAGGCTATAAGTACGAATGTGAGGATGGAGGCGCTGCAAAAAAGTGCGGGTAGCTTGCTGGCTGCGGCGGAGCGATTAGAGGGGAATGTGAGGAGGGAGACGAGGTACTGGGGTGAGCTCTTGGGTGTCACGGAGAAAGGGTGGAATGTGTGTCGGTTACCAGGTCAGAGAGGGCGGCTGGGAGTGACTTTCGGGTTTGGAGAGAGTGTGGGAGAGTTTGCGAGGAGAGGTGTGGCGGCTTTAAATGCTGATGCTGAGGGCGCGGTTGTGCTTGAGAGGGGCATTGGAACAAAGACCAGAGGACTGAGGGTGGAGATTAGATGCGGGCAAGAGGTCGTAGGGAGTTCGCGTTTGCCACGACTGGTTGGTGAAGACGACCTGACGCTGGAGACAAGAATACGACATGCGAGAGACAGTTTGTTCGACGAGGAGTTGTATCACGAGTTGGTCCGCGAGAGCCGATCGGCAACTTCGCTTGGTGTGAGCATGAAGGGAAGCAGTATCTGTTTCCACTCTGGAGCTGACGATGATGGCGATCGGGCTGAAGTATCGTTCGATCTGGTGTCGCTGGACGATTCCGACAATGTCTCCGCAAAAGGCGGCTTGGAACAAGACTCCGTCGCACAAGCTATCGCATTGGCGTCACGACTATTACTCACCCAAGCTCATCGCGATCGGTTGCGAAAGCGGGCAGAGGTGCCTTTGCCCATATCTGAGAACCGCAAGGACGACCAGCCACTTCTACCGATACTGAAACCGATCATAGCGTTCCTGATGCATCAGACTGCGATTGATCAATGTAATACCTATCTGAAGCGACTTGACAAACTCCTTTCGAAAGCAAACTTAGAGTACCAATGGGAAAAAGCACATGTCAACCTCCCTGCTCTCTCCGACGCCAAATGTGCAGAAGCAGTCATTCGAGCACTAATGCAACCCTGGAAATCTGATAGCCTGCTTTCTATCGAGAACCACAAGATCGCTATCAATATGGAGACGAGTCTGGCGTACGGCTTTGGCACGAACTGGTCACTCACCACCCACAATGGGGGCTGCCTTCGTGTCAACGACATCGACGAACTACGCGGTGCGGTGGATAGATCTGTAGCGGGCGCTATTGCTGGGACTATTAGAGAGAAGGCTGGCGAGGGGTGGACGTCTAATGAGCGGGAGCTCTTGCTGAGGAGAGGCCGGGGAGAGGACGGCAAGCAGGGCAAAGTGTGGGTTTCTCTGAGTGGCGATATGGGTTTGCTGAGCATTGCATCGATGACTAAAAAGGTTAGTTGGTCAACGGAGGGTGAGAGTTCTGAGATGAGTCTGGCAGAGGCCTGGTCAGATATCGTTGATGTTAAGCCATAGAGTCTTGTCATCCTCTATCGTTCGATCACATGTTCTCGCGCTAATATGTTCTCGCACGTGCCATCAGACGCTAGCCAAATCCCCAGTGCAGATCCGAAAGCTAGACGTGGGATGAGGTCCGATGTGCTGGGAGCTTCGATACAGCTTCGAGCTTTGTATATTGTTGGAGATAACGATATAGAAAACAAAACATAGTATAGTTGCTAGATCAACGATAGAGAAGTGCAGTGGGCGGCGTGTTGTAGTACATAATTCGCTAAGGAGCTCGAAGACAAGCACCACCCGGGCAGTACTCACCGCTCCGAGGTGTGACCGAGCTCTATCGATTGCTTGTGACTTCAGCGGGGCATTGACTGTCTTCGCAGAGAAAAAGACTGGAACTGTTGTTGACTAAGGTAGTGACGAAGAGACGTATTCGTAGCGCGCCCCCTCAACGTGTCTGGCACTGTCGCCAGACTTCACACACCTCCCAAACCCCACCACAATCACTTGAAGGAGAGCAGGAGCAACCATGGCAGAAATAACTCTCACCCCGCCCGCCGTGCCAGCAGGCGGGAAACGTATAGCAGTCATGACCTCTGGCGGCGACAGTCCCGGTATGTCAGGAGCTGTGCGAGCCGTTGTCCGCCAGACACTGGCTAGCGGCTGCGTGGCTTTCGCGGTGTATGAAGGCTATCAAGGACTTGTCGACGGCGGCGACATGATCAAGGAAATGGCATGGGAAGATGTGCGAGGATGGCTTAGTGAAGGCGGTACTTTGATCGGAACAGCACGATGTAGAGCTTTCATGGAACGGGCGGGACGATTGACGGCTGCAAACAATATGGTGGAGAAGGGTATCGATGCGTTGATCATTTGTGGTGGTGATGGGTCTTTGACTGGAGCGGACAAGTTTCGCAGCGAGTGGCCTGGGTTTATGGATGAGTTGGTGAAGACGGGCAAGAGGAGGGAGGAGGAGGTTGCACCGCATAGGCATTTGAATATAGTGGGATTAGTCGGCTCAATTGATAACGATCTCAGTGGGACGGATGCGACGATCGGGTGTTACAGTTCGCTGGAAAGGATTTGCCAGGCGATCGACTACATCGATGCGACGGCCTTTTCACATCAGAGAGCTTTCGTGATCGAGGTCATGGGACGGCATTGTGGATGGTTGGCTCTCATGGCAGGTGTGAGTTGTGGTGCGGACTTCATCTTTATCCCGGAGAACCCGCCGAGTGAGAACTGGGCGGCGGATATGTGCAGTGTGGTCAAGAAGCACAGAGAGATGGGCAAGCGGAAAACGATTATTGTGGTGGCGGAGGGTGCGCATGACAGGCAACTTAACCATATCTCGCCTTCAGCGGTCAAGACATTGCTTTCGGAGAGGGTTGGCCTGGACACGAGGGTAACGACTTTGGGACATGTGCAGCGTGGTGGACCACCGAGCGCATACGATCGCATGTTGGCGACCTTGCAGGGTGTGGAGGCTGTCAAGGCCGTGCTGGATTCAACCCCAGAGACTGAGTCACCTGTTATCTGTATTGTGGAGAACAAGATCGTACGAAAGCCTCTGGTGGACGCGATTGCGAAGACGAAGGAAGTGGCTGCGATGATTGAGCGCAAGGACTTTGAGGGTGCTATGAAGGGTCGAGATGCAGAGTTCGAGGAGTTCTTGGAAGCCTTCAACATTACCACTGCAACGGAGAAGTCCGGCATGCTTCTACCGAAAGAACAGCGTATGCGCGTGGGTCTGATTCATGTTGGTGCGCCGGCTGGTGGTATGAATGCCGCTACACGAGCAGCTGTGGCATACTGCCTGGTCAAAGGCCATACACCAGTTGCGCTCTACAACGGCTTCCCGGGCCTCTGCAGACATCACGACGATAAACCTCTTGGCTCTGTTCGCGAGCTCGGCTGGCTGGATGCAGAGAGCTGGGCTTCGCGAGGTGGCTCTGAAATTGGCACAAATCGTGGTCTGCCAGCTGAGGACTTCGAGAAGACTGCTTTCTGCTTCGAGAAGTATAAGATCGATGCTCTTTTCGTGGTCGGTGGTTTCGAGGCTTTCACAGCTGTATCTCAACTACGGAAGGAGCGCAAGAACTTCGACGCTTTCAAGATCCCCATGGTCGTCCTGCCCGCTACGGTCTCCAACAACGTCCCAGGAACAGAATACTCGATCGGCTCCGACACCTGTCTGAACGCTCTGATCTCCTACTGCGACGCCATCAAGCAGTCGGCGAGCGCAAGTAGAAGACGAGTCTTCGTAGTAGAAACGCAAGGTGGAGCGTCCGGATACGTCGCCACAATCGCCGGTCTTGCGATTGGCGCACTTGCGGTTTACACTCCGGAAGAAGGAATCCACCTCAATATGCTAGTCGAGGATATCAAATACTTGAAGGAGCAGTTTGCCACCGACAAAGGCCATGCGCGAAGCGGCAAGATTATCCTCCGAAACGAGAAGGCGAGCTCGGTGTACACGACCGAACTGATAGCAAACATTATAAAAGAAGAATCCGGCGGCCGCTTCGATGCCCGTTTCGCCGTACCCGGTCATGTCCAACAAGGTGGTGTCCCATCGCCTATGGATCGTGTCCGTGCCGTACGTTTCGGCGTCAAGTCTCTCCAGTACCTAGAAAAGATGTTCGGGAAATCCAAGCAGGAGATCTTTGAAGACCCTATGAGTGCGACCGTCATCGGTATACGTGGTGCCAGGGTCAAATTCTCTGCGATGGAGAAGATCGAGAGGGAGGAGACGGACTGGAAGGACAGGCGGCCAAAGGACGAGTTTTGGATTGAGCTTGGAGGGGTGGTGAATACGCTTTCCGGAAGGCAGAGGGGGAAGAGGTTGTTGAGTGGGAAGAATACTCCGATGCCGCCGGGTAGTCCGGATGTGCCGGCCAAGTCGCAAGAGGATATCGATAGGAAGGAGAGTCTGCGGGTTGGCGGGACTTCGAATCTTTGAGGCGATAGATTTTGAGTGGGTATGAGTGTAGATGTGAGGGATAGAAGTGTGACGAGTGTGCTGTGAGTATGGCGTTTGGCCATGTAGATACCGGACTTCTCCCCACAGCTCTGCTGTATGATATGACATTCATGAACATTCATCAAAACATACCGAGAAACTCCTGACGCCTTGCTAATTCCATCCCATTTCCATCTTCCCAATCGTGCCTACCCCGAAGACTCATAATACACCGTCGTGTTCTCCCGGTAATCGCTTGACTCGTTTCTGCTCCCAGTTATCTAGGTCTTTGGCTGCGAGTCTCTGTATAGGACAAGAACATTAATATCCTATGCTCAATACCTGCAAACCTTGGCTGCGACATGATCTCATAATGTCCAATGGGAGAAGCTGGACGACACTCACATAATATTCCTCCTTCAAGTCTATCCGTCTTCTATTCTTGCCCATCCCGAGCCGATCCTCCTCCGACACCTGTTTCACTTTCTTGTCGTGTCGCTCATATCGTAATGCTGTTGCTGGGGTAAGGAAGAAGGAACCGAGGAGCATGGTCGCGATGAAGGGGAGACCGAAGAGGGCGAAAGGGTGTTTGCTGAGAGCCTGGCGATAGCGATGAGCTAGTGTATGGGTCGAACTTGAGGGTGTGAAGCGTTTCGATGGGAAGATCGCCATCGTTGCTGATTTATCTAACTAGTAATCGTGAGGTTGTCGTATGGTGCTTGACCTTCGAAGATATTTCGGCCTCAGGCATCTAGTCCAAAGCGCGCTTCTGATTGGTCGGCGCGTCTACCTACGACCACGCGAAGCACTTTAGAATAACTTCATCCCAAGACCGAATACATGATTTGCTTACTTCCACAATCTGGTCTCTCAGCATATCAAGAGATGACTCTCCATGGCCCGACGTATACCAGACGTGAACGGTAACGCACCACCGCCATCGACACTCGCTGCACAAATAGTCCAGAACCAGACCGGATCGGCGCCACAGCAGAATGGAGGAGCAGAGATTCCTCTCAAATCTCTGCTCAACGAGATCCTCACTCTTCCAGACACCGCTCAAGAGACCGATATAGCGGTCAACGTCAAGCTCGTCCATGTCGTGGCAGAGGCTGGTCTTTCCCCACTTGCCACGCTCGATCCATTCGCGAATCATGATGCGGTCCTATCTGAGGCTGCCGACAGCATTGCTGTGATTGCAAAGACCATCAAGAGGAAGCCTGAAGTCTTGCTCACACCGATTGTCGAGGGTGGGCCACAGCTTGTCCTTTTGCTTGTCTCAAGGCTGGTCTCCATCTGTGGCAAACCGAAGACTGAATCACTACAGATCGCCGAGCTTCTGGACACCGCTATCAGAGCCCTCTTGGCAAGTCTAGAGCTATGGACGGCCGCTGCAGTCGTCGAGAGCATGTGTACTGGGATCGTAGAAGGTATGTGGCCAAGCACAAGGTAAGTGAAATCTCGCTCATCTTCTTACAGAATGCCTCTCAATTCTCGAGGCACAGAAGGAGCTCAACACTCCTTTCTCTTGCACTGTACCGTCGGCCAAAACTGTCGCAAAGCTATGGCCGCAAGCTGAGGCTGCTATCGCCACACCCTACCGCTGTCAGGAAACTATCACGAGCCATAATCATGCTTTCATGCTAGCTCTAGCACTATCGACTGTTGAGAGTCTTGACCGCGAGTGGCGCTACAACGTACAACTACGTCTACAGATGCTGCTGGCTGCAATGAGGAAGCGGCTGACAGCCGTCAAGCAATGGGAGACCGCTTTGCTGCAGCTTCTGTCGATGGACGATCATCTCCTTGTACTGCAGCACATCCTTGCCGATCTGGACAACGTAGCGCTTTCGCAAGCTGCTCAGGAGTACATCACGAAGACGCTGGTTACTGACTTAAGAATACGCAATGGGCTTTACAAGGAGAGTCTGATAGCCTACGCGCTGGCCGCTGCTAAAGCCAAAGCTTTCGACAATCTCGGCGACGATATGAGGATCGCTATAGCGACATGGCTTGTCCGCTGCTTGCCAGAGCACGAACTGCCACCAGATGTGCTCGAGCTGCGAGACATGCTTCAAAGCGACGACAGCATGTTAGATGCAGAGCTACGGGCTTCATTCCTGCGATTAAGCACTCCGTCAGCTGGCGTTGCTCAGCACAGACGCAAACGCAGACGTTTGAGCCCGGAGTCAGTACCGAGACCAAATCTATCCGACAGTCTGCGCAGTCGGTTGCTTCACGATGAAGGCCAGGCCAGATCTGACATGTCTAACATCGCCACGTCCATGTACACGGACCTGGACGAAGCTGAGCAGTGTCGAGTATGGAGGATACTTAGAGAACGGGCATCCATACAACCAGAGCTGGTGGCCCAAACGATCACAGCGCTCCTGCAGTCACCTGCCTTACGCGCAGCTAGGCGACCTAGAATCGAGGCCATGTTAGCCATCCAAACGATCGCCCGATCCACCACGAAACCTGTCTTCCTACAGCTCAACGACTCTCACATTGGCCGCTACTGCATCTCCTCTGTGCACAGCTCATTGCGTGAGCTCCGCATAGCTGCTGGGAAGTGTCTGCCGTTGTTCCTAAGGGATGATCTGCCTGCTGAGCTTCTGAGACACAATCGACACATTGCGCTGGAGTACCTACGCCAGCTTTCAGATCAGGATGCAGCGAACGAGCATGAAACGTTGATACCAGTCTGGGCTGAAGTCGGTTTCAGTTGTGGGGATCGCGAGCTCAATCTTGCTTTGCTGCGTCTGGTCGAGTATCTAGGGAACCCTAATCCCCTGATATGCGCAGTTGCACATGCCGAGATTGATAGACTCGCCACACTACGAGATCAGACTGTGGGAGATATGTTCAAGCCGTTCTGGAGCACTATCGCTATCTCTGTCGTGCAGGACCTGACCCTGCGGCCGCAGAAGGCTCAACATCTTTGCGATCTGCTCGGGACAAATGTCTCGGAGCTCTTGCTGTCGACACAACATCATACTATTCCTACGCTGCTGCTATCAAAGAAGAAGGACATCTTGCAGAAGCTTGCTGCAGCTCGTCAGACGACCATACAAGATCTCTTCATGCAGCCTACCATCAATTTTGTGGCGACTTTTGCCACCCTGCTGCTGCAGCCTGTGAATGATCCAGAAGAGGCTGGTCTTGCTTGCCTCGTAGAAGTGACCCAGAGCTTTCGCAATCTCGACAACATGACGAATCTCATCAAGGTGCATGCCGATGCAATCGCGTGCGAGATGCTTACACGAACAGGAGACGTGGCCGATAATCGCAAGCCTCGAATGTATCGGGCAATACAAATCTTCACGAACATCGTGCAGAGGCGACAGGGCCAATCAAAGTCGGAGAAGAAGTCCAACAAGGCTATGTACGGGTTCGTCGAGGAGCACGCATTGCCCATGATGGCACGGCTCTCCGAAGTTATCGAGAGCGGATCATCTGCTCAGCTCAACGAGGAGAGACTGCGATGTGTCAAAGGTATCAAGGAGATGATACATCTGGCGAAAAGCCATGTCAGCGTTGCTCTATCACAGCTACGAGCCACCCTGCAGTCAGCCATGACACGACCAGAATTACGTGAGGTAGCTTTGGCAGCTTGGCTTCAGCTCCTTGTCGTACTGGAGGGCGAGGACGTGGAGCCTATGATCGGCCAGACATTCGCCCTGATCCTGCAATATTGGGACAGCCTCACACCAGAACTTCATCACACTATCCATTCGAACATAGCGGAGCTGATCAGGACTCACCAGCGAGTGGTGCAAGACAGCGTCATGACCCTACCTTCATTGAAGAGCATACCATTACTATCGAAGTTCGGCGCAGAGATCGAGCATCTGCGAGCTCATGAGAGTCCGGAAAGTCATTGCAAGGCTTTTGAGCAGAGACTCCGGGACGAGAGCCTAGCTACCGTGCGCCAAGCTCTGCGCGAGCTACTGCCGTTCCTGGTTGAGAATCAAGAGTTCCTGCACGATGCTGCAGTCAGCGAGCAGCCCGTACTGATTTTGTCGTTGTTGATGCGGGCCCTGCTCGATGTCGATACGAAGTTCGCCTCTCGGGATGTTGAGGTTGCGGAGCTTTGTGGTTCTGCTCTGGGTGCCATCGGCTGCTTGGACTCAAATCGAGTCGAGGCGTCCCGTCCCAGCAAGCAAGTGCTTGTGCTTTCGAATTTTGAGAAAGCCTCAGAGACACTGGACTGGGCGGTAGTGCTGTTGGAAGATGTTCTGGTCAAGTCTTTCCGATCGGTCACTAATGCACGCTCCCAAGGCTTCGTGGCATATGTGCTGCAGGAGATGCTGAGGTCGTGCGGCTTTCGTGATGCTGTTTCCAGGACGCGCTCCTCCCAGGGCTCCACCGCAAACCAGAAATGGTTGTCCATGCCGGAGCATGTCCGTATCACGTTGACGCCCTTCCTCTCTTCGCACTATCACATTACTAATGCTCAGACCAACCCGCCACAGCGCACCTATCCTGGCTTCTCCATGGATGCGAATCATAGCAGTTGGCTGCGATCACTGGTGTACGATTTGATGTGGAGAGCGAAGGGCGACAATGCGAAGATGATCTTCCCACTACTGGCTCGGCTAGTACGGAACAACGACATCGGCATTGCCACTTTCATGCTTCCATATGTTGTTATGAACGTCGTGGTCGGCGGCACCGTAACAGATGTCAGAGAGCTCCACGATGAGCTACTGGCGGTCTTGCAGTGCGAGCCAATGACCAATGCACAAACAGAAACTGCGAAGCAAGGTGGCGAGGCAGTCTTCAAAGTGTTGGACTACATGTCAGCTTGGTTGCAGGAGAAGAAAAGGCTACTGTCTCAGACTCGAGCAGACGCTTTCCGGACAGGCATCTCACCAGGCGACTTTGACGAGATCAGCGACATGGATCAGATCAAAGGCATTGAGCAGTTCCTTGCCGAGCTACCCGCCGAGGCCATTGCAACACGTGCTATCCAGTGTGGTTCGTACGCGCGGGCATTATTCAACTGGGAGCAGCACATTAGACAGCATCGCACGATCATACCGTCCCCTCAGACGCAGCAAGATGACCAGAGCCTGTATGGTAGACTCCATGACATCTATGCCTGTATTGACGAGCCAGATGGTCTTGAAGGGCTTGGTGCACATCTATCATTCCTCACTGAGGAGCAACAAGCTGTTCAACACGCTAAAGCTGGCAGATGGACAGCAGCTTCTGCATGGTACGAGGCACAATTGGCCGAGGAGTCGTTGGAGCCTGGCGAGAAGCTAGATTTACAAGTCAGTCTTCTGAAGTGCTTCCGTGAGACTGGCCAATATGCCTCCATGCAGAAGTACTCTGAGTCGTTCTTGAGGCAATCCGATACTCGGCCACCAGCAATACTTTCCATGCTGGCTGAGTCCGATTGGATGACGGGCACGTTCTCTACAGAGACTGATGGACTGGCACAGAATGACTCGGGCGCTTGGAGAGATATGAGCATCGCTGTGCGCACTATGCTGGACGGAATAACGAGCACAACACCGAACGTCTTGGCGAAGCAAATCTCGGCCATGCGAGTATCGATCGCGCAGTCTATGACCGAGTCGGGAACAACATCCATTCAAGCATGCCACGACGAGCTCAGAAACCTGCATGCTCTGCATGAGATTGAGGCACTTACCAATGGTCAAGCAGTCGATGCATACTTGAAGAGCGCGGACAAGCGCCTCGCTGTTCTAGGGTCGTACAACAGCGATAAGGTATACTTGCTAGGCATTCGACGTGCATTCATGCAAGCTCGGAGCGACACAGTCGTCGATGCTGAGATAGCGCCTCTATGGCTGAGCACGGCTCGTCTGGCACGTAAGGCTGGCAACTCCCATCATGCGTATCATGCCGTGCTACAGGCACATGCGTGTGGCGATCGGACTGCCAAGCTGGAGGAAGCTCGTCTGCTATGGCATGATGGACATCAAAGGCAAGCGATCCAGTCTCTTCAGTCTGCAATCGATGCGAGACTATTCGAGCCATCCGATGATACGATGGAAGACAGTGGAACGACAGGCGGCGACAAGAGTCAGAACCTGCTTGTAGCCAGAGCTCATCTAATGCTGGCGAAATGGCTTGATACTTCGGGTCAGAGCCAGGCGAAGGACATGCAGAATCGATATCAGTTCGCTGCGAAGAATTTCCAACGGTGGGAGAAGGGTCACTATTACCTTGGTAAGCACTACAGCAAGCTTCTTGAGGCCGAGAAGACTATACCGAGCGACAAACAGTCGCTCTCATATCGTGCAGGTGAGATGACCAAGTCCGTCATCGAAAATCTGATGCGTTCCATACCATTCGGTAACAAGTACTGGCATGAAACCATACCGAAAGTGTTGACCCTGTGGCTGGACCTGGGTCTGGAATTGCTCAAGAAGCCGGCGCGAGGCGAAGATCCATCACTCCATGAGAGACGGCAGAAGGCGCTACAAGCTGTCAACAAGCAGTTTCAGAAGTATTACGAACGCATACCCGCATACGTATTTTACACAGCTTTGCCGCAGATGGTGTCACGTATCAGTCACCCTCATCCGGATGTATGGAAGCAGTTACTCAATTGCTTGATGCGGATCGTGCAGACCCACCCAAGCCAAGCATTGTGGTATATGCTCCCGGTGCTCAAGGCCACTGATCGTGTGCGCGCCGAGCGCGGAATGGAGATTCTAAACAAGTTGAAGGATCCGAAGAGGCAGGCAAAAGGCGAAGTTGACCTTCGTTCCTTGATTGTGCAAAGCCAGAAGATGGCAGATGCCCTGCTGCAGGCGTCAGAAAGGCACGTCGAGCCCAAAAGAGCACACATCAGCCTTGCCAAAGATCTCGATTTCAACGTCAAGCTCGCACCTCTACCACTCGTCGTGCCTGTCGAGACATCATTGATGGCTAATATACCCCTTGGCGCCAACACCGACACGATTAGAAAGCACAAGGCGTTCGCGCAGGACAAAGTCACCATTGCAGGCTTCACGGACGATGTTCTCGTGCTCAGCTCACTGCAGAGGCCTCGAAAGATCAACGTTCGAGGATCGGACGGTAAGCTATACGGTCTGCTGTGCAAGCCGAAGGATGATTTGCGCAAGGACCAAAGACTCATGGACTTCAACGGCATCATCAACAGGGCCTTGAAGCGGGATGCAGAAAGCAGTAAGCGTCGGCTGTACATCAAGACGTATGCTGTGACGCCACTTAGCGAAGAATCCGGCACTCTAGAATGGGTCGAAGGCATCAAGCCGATGCGTGACATTCTCACCGGAGTATACAGTCGCAAGGGCCAGAAGATCGACTATCATCACATCAAAGCCATGCTTGAGCAACAAAAGACGCCCTCAGAGCATGCCCAGATATTCGTGGACGAAGTTTTGCCACAGTTCCCACCACTGCTGCATGAGTGGTTCACCGAAACATTCTCGGATCCGGAGACTTGGTTCATAGCGAGGCTGAGATACACGCGAACAGCAGCTGTCATGTCCATCGTGGGCCACATACTCGGTCTCGGCGACAGACACGGCGAGAATATTCTGCTCCAGGAAGGCACTGGTGGTGTCTTCCATGTCGACTTCAATTGTCTGTTTGACAAAGGACGCACTTTCGAGAAGCCGGAACTCGTACCCTTTCGTCTGACCCACAATATGGTCGATGCGATGGGTGCCTATGGTTACGAAGGACCTTTCCGTAAATCCGCTGAGCTCACGCTAGCGCAGCTTCGCCAGAACAAGGACACTTTGATGACGATCCTGGAGACTTTTCTGTACGATCCCACTACGGACTTCATCGGCAATAAGAAGAAGAAGAATACTGTCGGTGTGCCAGAGACACCACAAGAGATTCTTGACAGCGTTGCGAGGAAGCTGAAGGGCTTGCTGATCCATGAGCATGTCCCCTTGGGTGTCGAGGGTTATGTTGATGCTTTGATACAGGAGGCGACATCGCATGCGAATCTTGCGGCTATGTATATTGGGTGGTGCGCATTCTTGTAATCAGTGCAAGGCAGGGTTCAGTGTAGAGTGAAGATAGATAGAATTATCTCGTCTGGTGATACTAGGCGCTACCTTTGGCACGAGTCATCGGTCCCCAGTTTTCTCTCGGGTTCTGCTGGTACCTCACGAGTCTCTTGCCTGGTTTGTCTCGACCCAGTGCATCATCAAAGACGACCTCAATCGTCTTCGGATCTTCGCCTGATTTGCCAGTAAGCTCTGCCGCTTCTTCCGTAGCGACGTCCGGTGACGATGATTTGGCAGTCTCGCCATCCACTTCATCATCCTTCGGAAGTATCTTCCTTGCCGCAGCCATGACCTTCCAGCCCGGCTGCCCTTCCTTGAGTGAACCCTCTTTGATAGGCGACTTCTGCCTCACCCACTCCCTCATAACCTCCCAGATCACAAACCACGGCGCATCCGTCTTCACACTACCAGGTTTGCAATGACTTCTCGTTGCCTTATACCCAGCATGTCTCAGCGCGCCTTTGATTGCTGCTTCGGGCGGTGCTATACAATGTACCACTTTCGCCAGTGCTGACGGGATGAAGAAGAAAGGATGCAAGTCCACGACCTCTGGTGCCGTCTTCGGCAAAGTGTCTTTTGCACCATCTTTGCTGCTATCCACTGGCCATGCTATTTCGGCATTAGGCAAGACCAGTAGCTCGCCCCGGGCCGTGTCGATCATACCTTCCAGCCTCTGCTTCGTCTGATATACCTTTGGATCTGCTTCCTGCGCATCACCCAGCAGCTTCTCGACGAAAGCAGCGTTATGTAACGGACCCGCCCACATGGGACCGGCGATATGCATCTTACTGCCACAATGCTCGCAGAGCCGATCGGTGCTAGGACCTTGTTCGATGCCGTGCTTGAAATTGAAGGTGGGACTATTGTTCTTCGCTTTGCCAGTCTGTAGGGCGTTGCGGCCAATCATTTGAGTCTGCCATGCGCCACACCCATGGTCGCAATCATACACAATCATGGTCTTGCCGGCTAGGAATTTGACATCGGCTGGTGACTTAGCGACACGTATGAAGATCCGGACGTAGAAATCGATGCTGAGAGACAACAAAGGTTCAATGGCGAGACCGTACTTGGCAGCGGCCGTTGCTACCGAGTTGGTGATCAGACGTAGACCGCCTTCGTGCGAGTGGTTGCCTTTGATTGGCATCCCACCATAAAGTGAGAAGGTCTTCTCGCAGTAACCACACGAAGCGAAGACGCCGGAGTCTGTGCATGTCACGCATAGCATGCCGCCATCATTTAGAGCTTGCAAAGCAGAATCGATGAACGGTGCTGCTGAGCCATAAGGATCAAGGTCGATCACATCGTACCGGCCATTGATATGGTTCGGTCCATGGCTATCTGTGGGTGGAAAGGCAGTGGCGTACATATGTCCCATTGCATTGGCGAGATTTGGCGTGATCTTCCCCCCCAACTTATTGTATTCCACGTTCGTCTTGATGCTTCTCACTGCGCCGCGGTCCATGTCGTTTGCCGTCACGCCTGTTGCAAATGGGATCTCTGATGCGTACCGGAGCGCTCGCAGGCCTGTGGCGGACAACGCATCCAAGATCCGGAATCTCGGTTTCCAAGGTGGATGGTTATGTTGCCCATTGATGTTGGCACTGGGGACCTCACCCGTGGTGTTGTCCTCGGTACTGACATCCTCGCCCTTACCCTCCATGGCCTTTCCGAGATCGACTGGTCCGGGTGCCTCACCGTTCGTTCTCTGCTTCTTGGCACTAGCAGCCCCGCACGAGAGCTCGTCGCTCTCGTCTTCAGCTTTCCGCTTGGTGCCTTGCTGGGCGCGAAGAAGGTCGATATCTGCCACATCCTCAGCAGCCGTCTTCTCTGCGCCTAGACCATTGCTTTCTCCCGCTTCAGCACCATCAATTTGCTCCTCCGTATGCCCCTCAGCATGCTCCTCTGAATGATCCTCCGTATGGTTCTCGGCCTTCTCTACCACCTCAGATCCACCGTATACCTGCTTCTCCACCGCGTCGATCTTTCTACTCCTCTTTCTCTCCTTCCTGGCAGTAATCTTCCCTCTATCTCTCTCATGCCTCACCCTCCGCTTCTCACACAAATCCTCTCCAAAAGCCTTGATCGCCAAAACGCTCAAGTCTCTGTTAAACTGCTGGATAGGATTATAAAAGACGTTTTGCGGTATATCACTACCATCATCTACTCGAGAAGCGTCAGTCATGTTGAATGAGCTGCGCAGGAGAGAAGGAAAAATGGTTGATGAGATGTTTGGAGACTGCTTACCTGGCTTAGCCTTTGCTTGAGGATTCATGGACGTACGAGTATTGGGTGGGATGAGGATGAAGGCGCGACCCTCCTGGATGGTATCGTAGGTCTTGCCATTGTGCTCTACTAATTGACCTGCTGCCGGAGTCGCAGAGATGGGCACAGGTTGTCTTTCCGCCATAGTGTGCGATTTGCGGGTCGTCGATACTATGTACTGAGAGGGTATACGGAAGCTCCAGTGATTTGTATAACGCACATGGCCCAACCAGGTGTAGAGTGATTGTCGTTTAGTCTGCAGCATTAGCCTTTGGGAACACTTGTGTTCTGGTTCAAAGACTTGGAGAAATTTGGATGCACGACTGAGGCTCACGCACGGGCCAGCCCAATTGATCAACATTTGTGCTGCAATCTGTCGTGAGGACAGGAGAGAGCAGAACCTTTCGAGACAGATGGAAGGGGAGAGAGAGAGGATGAAGGATAACAGATGAAGCTACTGGTAATGTACATTGCATAACTATGATACAGCATTACATATCGTTTAATTCTTTCGTCACTTGTGCAAGCATTCAATGACTTTCATCATCTGCGTTCCTCCAAGTTGCGACAAGTCACACTCTCACACACTTAACCAGCCTGGTACAGACCAAGAGCAACCACGTGAGGGTTGATCATGGACAAGTTGAAGGGCGTGAGGTACATGTCGATGTCGGTCAAGGCAATGAAGGTCGTGCCGTTGACGATGGCAGCACCACCCTCGTACACAGAGCCATTGGGCTGGAATGTGTAACCGGTGTTGGCACCGGTGACGGTGAGGGGTGTGTATGTCAAGTTCAGCTGGTTGGCCCAGGCGACGAACTTGGGTGCACCTGCGACACCACCAGCGGCGGTGACGTAGGACATGTTCGGGCCTACGGGCTGGCCTGGGGCATCCCACTCGAGGAGGACCTGCTTGCCAGCGAAGGACAAGGGCTCGGAGCGGTTGTGGGCAACGCTTGGACCGCAGCTGTAGCCGGTGGTGTTCACATTGATGCAGCTCTCGCTCTGTGCCGGGACGGTGGCGGGGCTGGCAGTGCGGTTGTCGGTGCGCTCGAACAAGCCGGTGTCATTAGGCGAGAAGCGGTTGATGTTGGCCTGGTTGGCGACGTGAAGCGCCGGGAAGTTCTGCCATGCGAGACGAGTGGTATTCTCGGGGCAGGAGCTGATGTACGGAGCGAGGAAAGTCCAAGCCCACGACTGAGGAATACCAGTTTCGAACCAAACGGGCATGGGGTGTAGCCCAGACATCTGGCGGAAGATCATCTGCTGACGGGCCTCGGTGGCGATGGACTGGGCTAGGAGCTGACCGACCTCGCGGGAGTCGAGGTGGTTGATGAAGCCCCACACGCCAGACTCACCGAAGCGGGTGAGGATCTGGTTGAAATCGACGAATTCGCGGGCGTTGGTGTATGGGTAGTTGTATGTGCACTGTGGTGGTGCAGTCTCGCCGAGCATGTTCGACAAGAGAGTGGCGTGGCCCTGCTCTTGCTGAGCCATAAACTGGATCAAGGAAACATCCTCTGGTGTCAGGCCAGCAGCCGCCCAGTCCTCATCGCTGAAGGTGGCGACACCGTTATTGAAAACATCAAGCTCGATCCACTCCTGGTAGAGTCCGAGGGTGATGGACTCGTAGTCGAAGTCACTCTCGACCATGTAGCGTGGCAAGCTACCATTTGTACCGAGACCACCAGCTGGCGTGTATGGGATTGGCTGCTCATTCTGGAGCTTGCCATTGGTGTTGTAGTAGGTCGCCGTTGGGTTAGGTGGCAGAGTGGGGATCGTGGCACTGGCGTGGATGGTGCTGACTGCGCCGGTTGTCGTTGGCTTGCCACTGTATGGGCCGTGGGAAGTAGGCCCAGTTGGCAAAGAGCTGCGCTGGGTATCTGCAGCATAGAGGCCGGTGCTAGGCGCCGGGGTATGGATAGCGGAGATCTGCGAATCCAAGCCGAAGCTGCTAGGAACGACGCTCAATGGTGTAGGTGTCTCGCTCGCGTAGGGAGCGTTGGCATTGCTATAACCAGAGACGTCACCGACCTGGTTGGCGGCGACGCCGGTGCCAGCGGGAGCAGTGGCAGCAGCACTGCTCACCGCAGATGATACGGCGGAAGCACCAGATGTGGCGGAAGCGCTGTAGCCGGATGGGAGGGCACCCTCGAAAATCGAGAGGACCTGTCCCCACCCTCCTTTGGAGTTCTGTGCGGCTGGTGCTGCAGCAGCGAAGCCGCTGAGCAGGGCGGAAGATACGACAATCCGGGCGTACATGTTGATTGACTCGGTAGTGTGCTGGGTGAGGAGGAAGTGGGAAAGAATGTGGTGCCGGACATGGGACTATATCGAGTTCTTGCTACCCTGCACCTACCAAGCATAGTGACATTTCCGCATCGCAAGCTCGTCATTGATTTGGCGTCAACAGAGTGGTACAAAAGTGATCTCATCGTCTCCCAATAAGGTAATCATTGTTCCACGCCTGGGCTCGTTGGGAGGAGAGCCGGCCGCACCAGCCGTCAAAGCAAGGCGTACGGCTGCTGCCGGCCGCCTGTCGTCGATTGTGCATAACGATTGTGATATAGTTATGCCGCCAAGAGTTTGTTGACCTCACGGCGATAATGCAGACCGCGGTGGCGAGCGAGATAGCTGTCAGTCCTATTGGCTGCGCCTGGACGGAGATAAATACGGCGGGCTCTCGGAGCGTTTATATCGCATCCCGGCATCGATCACGAAATCGTCCAGGCGCAAAGAGCGGCAAGTCTGCTCGCTGTGGAGCATATAATTCGATTATGGTTCGAACAGTGGTGACGGGATTGTCATCGTGACGTTGCATGTTGCGGCTCAACGGCAGGGCGCTAGCTCCACGCTCTCCAGATTGCTTCGGTCCATATTTACGCCTCCGATGCATAGTCGAAAATAGCATAGTCACACGACGTGTTGCAGGCTTGTGGCAGCTATTGATTCTTTCGGGCCAGGTCTATCATGTGAAGCCTTTTGAATCGATTACGGCAATCTCACAGATAGAGATCTAACGCAAGTCCACACATGGAAGCCATCTCATCGTTCCTGTCACCAAGACATGCATAGTGTTGTGCCAAGCCTCTCAAGCTCCGAACCCAAATCGAGGAGATGCCGTCTGTCCAACATGACTCGCCCGCTCACTCGCTCGCTCCTGTTCTACGTTTCTCGCTTCAGACACCCTCTATGACCTGCACGGCGCAACTCGCATTCTTGGCCTCGCACACCTAACATATCTGTCTTGTCTTCAATCGATATCCATCGATGGCCAGCGTTGTACAGCCGTACTGCATTTTCTAGCTGCTGATGCTTCCGCTGCCGTGATCCCGATTACGAAACTTAAAGCATGTCGCTGCGAGTAATTTTACATGGCGGCACGGCTATCGAAGCCTATTGACCTGGACATTACTGCTATTGCGGAAGACTGCGGTATGTCACTTGACGCGCAATCGAGCACTCAGTGGCCAATGTGGTACTGCAATCATAACCAACGACCAACATATGGATAGGACGAAAGTGACTTGTCCCGCGGCGCCCAAGATGACGTGCCACTTGTCGCTACCAGCTTCAAACGCTGTAATAACAGGGTTATCGGCCAGCACCACAGACTTTGTTCGGGTGTCAAAGTATGTCACCAGAAGTATGATCAATTATCAAGACTGAAGTGTAACTCGTCCGTTGCAACATGGAGTCATGCATTTCATGTGTTAGAATGGGGACTGAGCGTAAACGCAAGCACCCATGCCCCTCACAGCAACAACGCTTGTTATTAAGATCAGATTGGCAAATCTGCCTGAGGCAGGACCAAGATTCTAGGAAATACTCGCAGACTGCTTTCTACCATCGCTGATATCGTGGTAGTAGTTCCCCCAAAAGCCTTCCCGAGGCCAACACGGCTTAGCTTGCATCCTGAGGGAAAGTGTTTGTCCTCGGACGAGATCCAGACTGCACGTGTCCCAGAGGACTCAATGCTGGCCTCCCACCGGCTCAAGCTCGAACAGGAGTGCTTTATCCGTAAAGTCATTCGGCTTGTACACTTTCACGCGCTTCACGGTCATCATGCCGAGCTGGACCTTATGTTGTGCAAGGAAGAACGCCACGCCCGCTCCTGACGCCGTCCCAAGAATGGCCTTGCCACTGTCCGATTTCATATCGACCCAGGTGCCTTGATTGAACGGCTGCCTGTCGATGTCGGCATCAGGCGAGTCAGCGAGAGGTCGTAAGGCTTCAAGGATTACCTGTTCGGTGTCCCAATTCACAACGTCGTCCCGCGCTATGCCAACGAGCTTCTTCATCTTCTCTGGATCATGCTTGCAGAACTGCTGCCATTGCAGGAAGACCACATCTGACCAATGGCTTAGTGGTGTGATCTGGTTGCTGGATACCGGATTGGCTTGCTTTGGTCCATTGTGACCAGGCGAATAGTTGTTCGTCGCAAAGATCATTTTCGAGTTGAACAAATTCGTGTACTCTCCCTGCGAGGCACCATACTCATGATCACCAACTCGAACAGCTCTATCGTTGGTGCATACTACCTCGACGTTGTCGTCTGGATCCTTGCTGAGCGAATACGCCTCAAAGATCTGCTCGTTCGACCCAGCCATGAACCACCTAGCTGTCTCTTGGTAATCGAACTTCCTGCTCTGCGACGTCCACCCATACTTCTCCAGGTCTGCGTACTGCACCCAATGGCTTGGTTGAACGTAACCGGCAGGCTTCTCTAGCTGGTCCAGGAGATACTCGCCTTTTCGCACAAGCTTATCATACACATTCCGGTCGATGCCTCTGGTCAGAAGCCTACCACTAGTGGTGTTGTCCCTCGTATGGCTCTCATCATATGTTGGTTGTCGCCGAGTGACAGCATTGTTGGATAACTCATGCCCTGTGACTGTGGTGATAACCAGAGCCAGAATGGCTGCGAAAGAAGACAACATTTGGATCCGCATGGTACTGAAACTTGTTTGTTCGGTTTTGATCGTTGTACAGTGCTAATAAGCCGTGATACTGTGTTAACCTGTACGTAGTAGCAGCACGCTTCGAACAAGCACACGTACAACACTTCAACAGGAAACATGTGTGTTTCATCGATACGCTGTTCAGCATATGCTTGGAACACAAGCCATCATATCCAGAGGATCCTGACTATCTGCATTATCTAATAAACGCATAGCACGAGCTGGCAGCATAACATCTCTCTCCAGTCTCTTCTGCCGGAAGACCAAGTCCTGTGGGCCGTCATGACATTGTCTTCCAACATCATTCTTCCATGCCCAGGTACCTCATCTGCGCCTTGTCCGGTCCGTCCCCGAAATCAAACAGGAGAGCGTAGCCACCTTTCGGGATCTCCGGTGTATACACCGTGACCCCTTTTATCGTCTTGTCTCCAAGCTGACTCTTGTGCGTTGCAAGTAACTGTCCCACACCCTGACCATTCGGAGTTCCCAAAAGAGCCGCACCTTCATCACTGTTCATGCCAAACCATGCCCCTTCGTCGAAGAGCTCGAGGTCTTTCTCTTCGAAAGTAGGGGAACGGCTACGCATGGCTCTTTTGATGGTATCCTGCGTCTCCAAGTTGGTTATCTTGTGTCGAACGACGCCCTTGAGCATCCGCATTTGGTTCACATCACCCTAAAGCTGTTGCTGATACTGGAGGAACACTACATCGGACCAGTACTTCAATGGTGTGAGGTCTTCTTTGGGTAGCGGAGTGTCGTCGTATCCCGGTTGACAGAAGCCTGGGCGATAGTTGTATGTGGCGATGATAAGCCCCGGGTTGTAGATGTTGCCGAACTCACCACCTGTCTTAGGGCGATATCTGCCATCGACATGGACTGCGCGATCGTTGGCGAAAGATACCCTACGGTTGTCTCTGGGGTCTTTGGATAGATCGTACTTGTCGAAAATCTGCTTCATTGATTCCGGCATGAACCTCGCATGAAGGTCGTCGTTGTCGTACCTGAGGGCATGATCATCAACAAGTCTCCAGCCATACTTCTTAAGATCGCCGTATCCGACAAAACGACTCTGTTCAACAACGCTCATTGGCGAGTTCAGGTTTCTGAGAAGCTGCTGACCGTGCTTGAGATGATCATCCCAGTGTCGTCGAGGTCGTGATGTTGTAGCCATGGGTGTGTCGAGATCTGGTGGTAGAAGAGAGAGCACAATTGACTGTACCGTGTCCGTACGCTGTATTGCAATATATCATCCTTCTTACTTGTCCGCGGATCTTAGACATCTGTTGTCAATTGCTTGCTGCTCGATTGAAGTCCCAAGTAGAACAATGCCGATGCAGGAACATACACATACTGCAGCATGTTGCTTTGTGGCTTTAAGGAACGTTAGCAAGTCTGCAATGAACGGTCAAGCAATCAATCTCGGTACGAAGTGAGATCCACGAGGTACGCAGGAGACTAGTCCTTGCTCAAGTGCATGTCAGAAGTGTCTAGAACGTATTTCCTACTTCAAGCCACCAGAGACGAGAATACTTTGCCCAGTCATGTAACCCGTTCGACAGAGCATGGTAACGACCCCAGCGCATTCTTCTGTCCTCCCGCTCCTGCCAACCGGAATACCTTTTGGGTCTCCAGGAGTGCCAATTAGGTCTTCTTCCGTTGGAATCATGCCGGTACCAGTGATCATAGCTGGCGCAACATCGTTGAAGGTGATACCAGATTTGCCCATCTTGTTCGCCAGATTCTTGCTCAAGCCTTGAACGCCTGCTTTGGATGCAGAGTAGTGACAGCCGTTGATCGATGTACCTCCCGCGGCGATGGATGAAATGTATATGACTCGCCCCCAGTGCTGTCCGAGCATATGCGGGACTGCTAATTTCGTGATAATGAAACTCGATCGGAGGTTGACATTGATCGTGTAGTCCCATTCTTCCAGACTAATATCCAGTATATTTGATACTCGCTTGCCATAGCCAGCGTTAACCACCAGGATATCGGGATGCTGACCATGGTCGTGCTTGACTTCGTCGAACAGGCGTTGAAGGTCGGCTTCCTTTGCAACATCACATTGGTGGCTGGAGAGTTTCAGATCTGAGTGCTTTGAGCCTAATTCATCGATCACACTATCTAGCGAGCCTTTGTTGGTGCTGTATGTGAGTGCTAGGCGTGCGCTGTTGGCTGCAAGATCTCGTGCACATGCCGCACCTATTCTGTGCTATAATGAGCAAGTCACATAATATCTGGAAGTATTGTATTGGTCGTACCCTCCAGAAGCACCCGTGATAAGTGCAAGTCTACCTTGAATCTTGTTGTCCACTGCACTCATGCTCGCTGAGTGTGCACGTCTTGCAAGTGGACGCAAGAATGCACTGGCTTTCCTGGCAGTGAAGACAACCTTACTCAGATCTGCTGCATTCGATAACTGATAAGGCAGCGACGACGTACAACGCGTTGCCGAGCACAAAGTGTACATCAGCATCCAGAGCCTGGACAGAACATGTACGATTATGGCAAGTTGTTGTTCCGAAAAGCAAATGGTAGCCGAAAACCCACACCTCGGCTGATAAGCTTTGTGCGTCAACTTTTAAGACCACCGCAACAGTGGCATTGCATGACAGACATGTACGAACCTCTTCCCAACGACTGCTAACTGTGGCCAGACGTGAGACAAATCTCGATACAAGGGTCACATCTACTTTGTACAATCTATGACCGAGACGATACACTTCATTCGATATCATGTCCTTTTAAAGCATCCTCATTCTTGTCAGCGCCGCTTGCAGTGTCAATCAATGCTTCGCCCTCCTTCGCCTTGCCATCCAATGCCTTACCCACTCCTTCTACATCCTTACTGATCTGTTTTGACCACAGCGCAACGTACTTGCCATTCTGCCTGAAAAGTTCCTCATGGCTTCCAGACTCAATGATCTTGCCATCATTGATGACCAGAATCAGATCCGCATGCTGGATCGTTGAAAGACGGTGAGCGATGATAAAGGTAGTCCGTCCGGCCGCAAGGCGCTTGAATGCATTCTGGATCAGTGCCTCTGTCTCAGCATCGATCATGCTCGTTGCCTCATCCAGTAGCACAATCTTCGGCTGCTTGAGTATAGCGCGTGCTATCGACACACGTTGCAGCTCTCCACCCGACAGCTTGACGCCGCGCTCACCGACTGTGGATTTGTATTTGTCTGGGAATGTCTCGATCTTGTCATGGATGGCAGCCGCTTTGCAAGCTTCCACGACGTCTTCCTCGGTTGCGTCGAGGCGAGCGTACTTAATGTTCTCCATCAGAGACACATTAAACAAGGCCGGATCTTGTGGTACCATGCCGAAGGAGTCCCGTAGACTGTCCAGATCCACATGACGTATGTCCTGCCCATCGATCCGGATGCCGCCTTCACCAACATCGTAGTAGCGATAGAGAAGCTTGATTATCGTGCTCTTGCCGCCTCCAGTCTCTCCAACCAGAGCCACAGTCTGCCCAGGCTTGACTTTGAAGCTCACATCTTTCAACGTCTGCCTACGCGGATCGTATGCAAAGTCCACATGGTCAAATTCGACCTCGCCCTCCTCAATAACGATAGCTGGGGCTGATGCATCACTTATGACAGATGGCTTTGTGAGCATCAATTGTAGCAGGCGTTCCGAGTCCGTAAGCATCTGCGATACCCTCCTCACTGACCATGAGACTTGAGCCAGTGGGCCTTCGATCGATCTCCAGTACATTGTGAGAGTGACGAAATTGCCGACTCGTGCTCGACCTTGAGCCACTCTCACCACGGCGAGTGAGAATGCTGCCAATCGTCCGACGAGCATGACCAAAGATTGCAAACTGCTGCCAGTATAGTATGCAATGTAGTAGGTCCACTCAGCGGCATTGAACTCATCCAGACTCTTGCTATATCTCTCACATTCGTACGTGCTTCGGTTGAAGTGCGACACCGTTTGCCAGTTGTTGATTGCTTCGTTCTGAACTTTACTTTCGTTGCGCCAGGCATTGTTGAATCGTCTACGTTGCTTGATACTCCAGGAAGTCGTCTTAGCACCAATCCAGATGTAGGCAATCCCAATAATTACCAGTATCATGGTCATGTAGACGTCGAACAGAGTGTAGACGTACACAAAGCCGATGATCAGATCGATGAACATGGGCCCAACCTCGAAGAAGATGAATTCGAGTAGACCTGTTAGATGCTGCCCTTGCTCGATGGCCCGAATGAGCTCGCCAGAGTTCTTGTCATTGTGGAAGTCCATAGACAAGTGCATGACGTGCGAAAATGCCGAAGAGCCGATACTTTTGTAGGAGAATTGTTGAACAGGGATCTCGGCGAGTGACTTGATGAGCGATAGTCCTGCAGGCGAGCTCAAAGTGTAGTACAATATCCATAGTCCTACAGCTCGCCACGGTATCATACCTGTACCATATGTATCTGCGAGCTCGTCCGTGATTATCCCCAGCTGGCGTGGAACGAGGACGTTGAGGAAGCGCTGAGCAATAAGGACTAGGACGACTGTAGCCAAGCAAGATTGAACGAGCCTGTTTCGAGACGGCCACAGCATAGGTATAAATATTTTGAAGTCCGAGAGGTAATTGAGCCAGTTACCAGAGTCTTCAAGACGCTTCTTTTGCTGAGCTTTGACTTCCTTATCCCGTTCAGGCTCCTCGCTGTCACTGTCAATATCATCGTCGTCCTCGCTCGCGACCTTTGTGGACGAGGCATCGCTATCGGTCGACGAGGTCGAGCCGTAAACTGGTTTTGTGGCTTGTCCGTTGGTCTCATTCGCCCCACTCGCGAGCAAAGGCTCAGTCTCTGCATCGGGCTTGGCAGATTTGTTTCGCTCCTGTAGCACAAATATCCAGCCTAGAATGCTAAGCACAAGTAACAGCACCACGCGGATAAGCTGCATTCCGAAATCGAGTTTACCGTGTTTGTTAGGCCTCTTGTTTAGTGCTTGTAGCGCGGTGCAAGCCAACTCCGCCAAAAACCCGAGCGTCCAGGCACCAGTGTACAGATACCAGAGTGGCTTCTTATTCTCCCACAGTCCAACAAGCAGCGAACTATAGATGAGAAGATCAACCGTGATATAGACGACCACATCTTGGGACGCTGAAAAGCTTCTCTTGGTGGAAGCTTGAACGATGTAGATAATGCCCTGCGCAGACACAGAGGCTGCGACGGCGCCGAGCAAGCTGATGGCAATATATCGTCTCGTCGCAGCTCCAGATTGTGTTCTCTGTTGATGAAGCAGGCATGCCGCGATCACTTTCGCCACAAGGAAGTAGCAGATTGGTAAGAGTGGAGCAACATAGTGTAGTGCTTGTAGTGCAGAAGCCTCGCGTGTTGTTGCCATCTTGTCGATAGGCATATTCATGAGATGGTCTACTTGTCGTGACTTGAATTTGGCCGGTCCCAAATCCCAGACCAGACCATATGCTTTATGAAAGTCTCCGAGCTGTTAGACGGCCAATCAGTCGTGCTAGGTGGCGAGCTGTACGTGTGAGTACAGCTATGCCATCACGTGGTACACTCTTAATGCAAGTATAGCAGACGAGTACTGTGAGTCAAGCACAGGTACATCGACCGGTCAAGGGAATATTGGCTGAGGTTTCTGTGGACCGGTTGGTCTAGCCAGCCAAGTAAGCAAACAGACTTTTCGCGGTCACTCGCGGTGGCCTTATGAAGATTTGTGTGATGTACTGCACTTCGCTGCCACGCCTCTACCGCGCAGCTCCGTGGACGATGGCGTTGTATGCTGCAGATGCGAGGGAGGCGGTGTGCTTGCAGTAACCTCGCGAAATGCACGGCCACAGATTTCTTTCAGCTGGCGCAGAAGTGCCGGCCCCAGCTGTTGCAAGTTTCAGGCCACGCCGCTTGAACGCTGTCACCGGTGACGAAAGTGTACCTGCATGAGCTGTCACGATAGGGCTGCAGCACATAGTCAGCTTCGACGATGTATCATTATGAGCCCAAAGCGTGGCTAAGAAGGTGATGCAGAGGCAGCAGCTAAAGTGCTTGCGGTTTTGCGTGTTTTGATTGGTTGTGAGTCATAGTCTGTGCGCCGCGCCTCCAGTCTTCACCTCATCCGTACGATCTACCCCCACTCCCTGACCGAAGCTGACCACAACGCCTTTACGCTAGATGCAAGATGCAAACAGTTGAAATAAACTACGAAGGTAGTCGTTTTGTAATAAAAACCGACGAACTTTTGTGTATTTAGTTGCATACTTCCGGACTGCATAGCCAGTGTGGAATACCCGCCCTAATGCTCTTCCTGAGGCAATCGTGCCACCATGTATACGCTACGCTACGCAGACGACAATCCCCTATCCTGGACTTGTCGACCTGGAACCATAAGCGGAGTCGATGCGGACTGGAGAGAAGTAGTCGTCTCCGACCACGCGACCTGTGTCGATGTCAGTACTCGTAGAGCGCTTTACTCCCCGAATACACTCACCAAGAACCGGCTCTCGATACAATGTGCCTTCATCCATGGCATTCCGTAGTAGCGGAACCACTTCCTCGTTTTCAGCACGAACGACCTCCAGCGCCTCCAAGCTCTGCGATCCCCATGTTGTGTTTGTGAGGGTGAGCAGAGCATAGAGGTTCAAGAAGCCATGTATATAGCTGAAGAGAATGCCAGCTGGAATCCAAAGCATATCCTGTGGATTTCGACAGAAATGCGGGATCATCTTCACATTCTTCGTGAAGACGATCCAGACAACGAGAGCAATTGTGGCCCACTGTTGACAGCATGTGCCTAAGGTGGCACCGAGGACGAGGCCAAGTAATAATCCATCGACAAGAAGTGCTGGAGTCTGGAACTGACAGATATAGATAACATAGCATCCCCACCAGAACTTCGACGATCGCCAGTATCTCTCATTCTCCATGACGATGAAGTTCCCCCGCCAGTGGGCACGAGCCCAGCGAAGACATTGCGAGATATACTTCGGGTTATCCTCCAAAGTCGTCTCGATCACAGACCGAGGATCCGATTGAATGGTGATGGACCAGCCATGCGAATAGACATACCTTGTGAGGCATTTGTCATCGTCTGTGTTCAGAGGATGGCCTCGCCAATGATCGTTTAGAAAACAGTGAAAGAACTCATCACTCTTCAGGATTGCTGTAAGGTATGCAGAAGTGCGACCAGACAGAGTCGAGATCGATCCATCAATGGCATTGGTCGCGATGTTATTCCAGACTCGACGCTCAAGGTAAGAAATTCCAAGGAAGTTCCAGAAGTTGATGAATGTACCAGGATTGCGGCGGACTCGCTGACGAGTGCCACCAGCACCAGTACGAGGATCTTCGAAAATGGCAAGCAAGTAATCGAGGTATCGAGCTGGCCAGAAGACATCATCATCAGCGAAGACGACTATCTTGGTGTTGACCTGCTTCAAAGCCTTGATCATTTGTCGTCGCTTATTGAGTTTCTCGACTCCGAGCACACGTACTCGATTGTACGCCTTCAGCGAGCAGATTTGTTGGACGAGGCTGATATTGGCTACAGCTGTGACCACCAGAATCGATGCCGGAGAACAGGCGCTGATGCAGCGTAGACAATGCGTCAACTCCGTCTCGGACTTGAAAGTTGTTGGCACTATCACAGTGACGTCCTTGGCAGTGTACGTCGGTTTGACCTTGACTGGCTTTGGTCGATAGAATATAAAGGTGAAGATGCTGGCGACAGTCCGCATATATCTGAGCAGCGACATAACAATCCACAGAGTGAAGAGCAACATGTTCATGACCTGCATGGCTGCTGTTGTGCTGCTTAAGTTTCCGAAAATCTTTTGAGAACGGGAGTCCTGGCCAATTTATTATAGCAAGTGCCTACCTGCGTTCTGTTGGATACGAAGAGTGTACCGGAAGACCGGAAGACTCGTGGTTGCTGGATGCTGCAAAGGATCGTGTCTGGTCAAAGGAGCGACTCGCAGGATTGAACATAAGTCGAATCAGTCTTGTAAAGGCGCGGCCTGCCGCTTACACAAACGCATTCATCGCTACGGATGTGTTTCGAAGCCTGGCATTCACAATGGAGGGTGTTGTATCGTGTCTCGGTATATACTGAGTATGTGAATGTGCGAGTTAACAAAGCAATTGTGTTGAATGGCGAAGGTGTCACCGGAACGTGGTTCGGGCCCTTCACAACGCGGTGGTCACTTGTGAAGTGACGTTGGCGTATTTGCAACCTAGGAGTCTCTCTGTGTAGAATCTTATAAGTACTGATCGTTCTCCCTGCAGGTCAGTGATCGAATGAAAACATCTTTAAAAGGAAAAGTCGCTTTCTGCAGCTCTTGAGACATGCAGCTGGGTCCCAGTCAAAAGCATACTATCAAGAACAAAACGGACTTACAGGCCAAGCATCAGGTCAGTATGTGCACCTACCAATACTCCATCTGCCCGGCTTGCGGCAAAAATATACCCTTCGCAAGCCTCTGCAGCATCTGTCCTAGCTTCTCATCCCGGTATGGCTGTCGAGGCTACACCTCCTTTGCTGTCCCTCGCATCAACGACACAGCCTGTCAATCTTGCCTCGCACCACCGCCCGCACCACAGCCGATGTCTCCCGACCACACATACACAGACATTCAAGGCACTACCTGGAGCTTTGAGCGCGTTGCTGACGATGATGAACCAGATGCGAAGCAGGGTTCGTGGCAAAAAGGGTGAAGGCTGTTCGAGCATGCAAGACAAAGAAAGTCTCCTCTCGCTGATGACAGCAATCTCGATGAAACGAGAATATCCCTAGAAGCAGTCGAGTCAATCACAGCCGGTGGGCTTCAGAATCGTCTGTCGTCTTTGGCCCAACCCAGAGGAGGAGAAACTTCACATCGCTACCTTGTTGACCGAGAGACTTTGGTCTCGCCATGACCGCAGCAATAGCAACACAAGATCACAAATCACTACAATCCTACCTCCACCAGATTGACCCATTTCCATGTGCGTGCTTCTGCGCCGATGCGAAATATTGACATGTGGCCCCGAACTGTTATGTCTGCGTTGAGGAGTACAGTACTCGACGCCAACACCAGCTTTTCCATCGCTGTCGTTGCTCAATGCCGCCATACACACTTCTCACCGGAAATGCATTGTCGTAATACACCTGAAGGACGCTCGATGAGCATGCTTCGATTGACGTTCCTCAGCAATTCACCGGCACTGCTCCTCCACATGCCGTCTTCACGGTCACTGACATCTCCTTCGAGCATGACCCCTCCACCCAATGCCCCGCCCTCCACATGCATATGAACAATGTTGTCTGGAATACATTTTCCGTTTATACCACGCGACCTCTTGCTTGAAACGTGCACCTTCAGACCAACTACGACAACCTTTCACAATTATCCACCATACTTAGTAATATCTGCTATAAGACCTAGACTCGAGCCAAGAATGGAAGTGCCTACGGCCAAGTCGTTGAAGGAGATATACTCAGAAGATGCACTCGAGAGCCAAACACAACGATGGAACAACCTGATCAGCAAGTTCAAGGAGGAGTATGGCAAGCTACCAGACTTCGTATCAAGAAGTCCTGGCAGAGTCAACATCATTGGCGAGGTATGTATCATGGATTTGTCAACGACGATCAACGAGTCGGCAAGGCACTATAGCAAAAGTGCTGTTACCTGACATTTCAACGTGTGAGGCTGTTTGGCTGACTTTCGTGTCATAGCATATCGATTATTGTCTGTATGAAGTCTTACCAATGGCTATCACAGCCGATGTCTTACTCGCAGTCTCTGTCCACTCTCAAGAACCTGGTCCAAGCACAATACGACTGATCAATGTTCATCCACAAAAGTTCGAGAGCAGAGAATTTGACATTCCGGATACGGGCGACGTACACATCGATCCGTCGACCCTCGAATGGACGAACTACTTCAAGTCCGGTCTGTCTGGCGCTACTGATCTGTTACGAAAGAAAGGCAACGACTTCAAGCAAAGCGTTGGGATGGACATACTAGCTGATGGTACAGTACCATCCGGTGGCGGTCTGTCGAGCAGTGCCGCCTTTGTCTGCTCAAGCGGGCTAGCAGTCATGAAGGCGAACGGCGTCGACAAAGTCGACAAGAAGGAGCTAGTCGAGGTCGCCATCGTCTCGGAGCGAGCTGTCGGTGTCAACTCTGGAGGGATGGACCAATCTGCATCTGTTTTCCCGGTCCAAGGTTCTGCGTTATACGTCTCCTTCGTACCTGAGCTCTCAGCTACGAACATTGCTTTCCCTCGGATGAAGTCGCCTCTAGTATTCGTTATTGCACAATCGTTCGTGGCGGCCGACAAACACGTGACGGCACCAATGTGCTATAACCTGCGAGTTGTGGAAGTCACACTGGCTGCACTGGTACTAGCGAGAGCATTCGGACTCAAGGAGCTGCCAGCGGATGCTGGACCACTAGGGGTCAGCTTACGAGGCTTCCACGATGCGTACTACCAAGAAAAGCATGGCGTAAAGAACAATCACGGAGTATCAAAGGAGGAGTTCCAGAAGCAATTACAAGACCTGGTTGAGAAGGTCGACCAGTACCTACCACAAGAAGAAGGCTACACTCGAGAACAGCTGTCCGAGATCCTCGGCATGAGCATACCAGACCTGGAGAGCAAGTATATGAAGAAGTTTCCGATCAGAGCGGAAAGATTCATGATAAGACAGCGAGCACTCCACGTCTTCAGCGAAGCACTACGAGTACTCAAGTTCAATGAGCTACTGGCATCACCACCACCGAAATCAGATGCAGAAAACACGGAGCTGCTCAAGGCTCTCGGCCAGCTCATGAACGAGACACAAGATTCATGCCGAGATGTCTTCGACAACAGCTGTCCGGAGCTAGACGAGCTGTGCCAGATAGCCCGGTCCGCCGGCTCGTGTGGTAGCAGGTTGACGGGCGCGGGATGGGGTGGCTGCAGTGTACATTTGGTGCCCGAAGATAAGGTCGAGGCTGTGAAGCAGAAGTGGATCGAGAAGTACTATAAGCAGAAGTTCCCAGATATTACTGAGGAGAAGCTCAAGGAGGCGATTGTTGTCAGCAGACCAGGAAGTGGGAGCTGTGTCTACGAGGTGGCTGGGAAGGAGAGTGTGCAGTGATTGGCCATGGAATGCGGACATATCTTGGCTTAATGATGGCACGTCTGGCACCTCGTCCTGTGTGCATCAGCATGGGTATAGCGCAGACTAGCATGCCCATCCTTCAAATGCACACAGCGCTACCGTCTCGATAACTTTTGGAGGAATACGAGCAAACGCTCTGTTTCAGCTTTTCATTCTACCAGTCGAGCTGCATTCGACATCTTCGACGTCGTGATGATTACCGAGTAGCCCATGAAGGTTGATTAGCGATAATCCATTCGCCGGTATATCCTCACAAGTACCAGCCCAAACAACCAGCCTTGGAGCGCACATGCAGACTCCCTCGACGCTAGACGCTGAAGTGCCGTCACCCATTCAACGACTTCCAGGCTGATTATTGGGGATGACGGAGACAGGACCAAAACGTCATTGCAATTGGCTTCATTGCGCGTGATGCAGCAATAACCAGCTGATGGGCAGCATCACCATCGATGGGCGGCACGGCGGCATCATAAGTGATCGCATATGACAGTGTGGTCGTAATTTATAGCGCGTGCAACGTTGACTGAGGCGTTGAGCTGTACAGTGGCATAGTGACGTTGAAGATTTAACGATGCAGAGGCTGCTGTGCAATTTTAGACATGTGCATCGTACCTTCCAGATCTGTCCCGCGTGCAGGGTGGCGGACCGTGCCATGTCACAAACGTGCTTCGCCCTCTGCTCAAGTCTTTTGCGCCTTGGCCCTCATCCTCGGTTATTATGGTACACTCCATGTGCTTCGCAAACATCTGAAGCGGGTATCTAGAATCCACGCAATGGTAAGCACCCTAGCACTGCTTTCTCCATATCATGATCTGACACAACCTCGCTACCACAGGCCTTACAGCACTGCCGCCAGTTGGAGCTGCCAGTAGAGCTCCAACTCCAGATCTACGAGCTTGCCGTTCTTGAAGACCACACCATCAACATCACTTGCCCCCAGGGGTCACTACCCATTCCAGAGCTTTCGGAGACTCTACAAATGGACGGCCATACATCAAGCGATGAGAAATGCATGCACCCTTCGCATCTCCGACGAACACATCCAGCCTTGGCTGCAACATGCCGATACTTGCGAGAGTTTATCCTTCCGATATATTACTCCCACAATAGATTCGCAATCCACAACACCTCCACCCGTGGTGAGGAGCGATTTCAGACGAAATGGCTCAAATCGCTTGACATCGGGTTAGCGCCAAGCTTCAAGAATTTGTACTTTCGTGTTGTGGAAGTTGGTGAGGCCAAGAGACTGTTCGGGTTGTACCGGACGCGCATCGGCGCAGAGTACGTGCTCTTGCTATATGGTGCCCTTTTGGAAGACGTTCCTCATGACTCATGTCTTTGGAAACTCAGCTTCCAGGGTCATCCAAGACTGGCTGATGCAGAGGGCCGGGAATGATGCAGGCGAAGGTTGCTCGGTGGATCTGGATGGACCAATGACGATAGTGAAGGTGCTCCAAAGCTGCACCGTGAATGCGCACAAAGGCAGCCTGAAAATTCGCAGTGCCGCACATATTGCACACCGGTCTGATATGCACTCCAGACACAACGCAACCCAGACGAAGCCTTGTCCGGAGTGCAAGCCCCCTCATCCCCCATTACCAGCCCGATACCTCGCCTGCGCATCAACAAGCAAATTCTGTCTCTTCTCATCCATATGCACTTTCCTCTGCTCGTAATAGTAGTACGTAATAAAAGGTATAGCGATCAAGGACCCCACAGTCGTGAAAAACCATAATGTATCATTGACTCTCTTAATCGGCTTTGCAGAAGGCGTACCGATGGCGTTAGGGTTCACAGACTGGATGGGCGTTTGTACGCTGGTTTGACCGTGGAGTGATGTAGTTGTGGTGGTGACTGCTGGGACTGGGACTGGTGATGCTTGCGACTGTATGGTTGTCTGGACCCGCGTATCATTCGAGGCAAGTCGCAAGAAGGTGGTTTCGAACAGGTGTCTGGAATTGATCCTGCTGCCCAGACGGATACTGCTCCGTACGATCATCGTGGTTGTCTTGTACAAAGTAGGTGTCAGATGTCCGCTGCTTGATCAATCACGAAGTCCTGATGCATTCACTTCCGACCCTCCGCAAAGCACAGACGAAAGCACGGACTTTCGTCGCGTCACTCGCGCGTGGTGTGACACTGGAATGAAGCCACATACAATTCATCGTAATCATACATAGAGTTAGACGACTAGCCTGACTACATGCCAGCCGCTAACATCCTTGATATGCCAGTCAACCCCTCCTAGCTGACGAAGGCGACGAGACCAGGTATGGAACGAAGCTCGCAGAAGCACCGCTATTCCATGCATTCCATTGCTATACAGCCCAGAACGCCTTGCTAAATCATGCTTTGGAACAACAATGTGACACGACGCTGCGAAAACTGTTATCGCACCCTCATCACGAACCAGGCCTCATGCAACCCTCGCACAACTCGTCCCGTGGCTCATGCAAACAGCATATCATGTCCTCAGCCTACTCGTGCCGCCCAAGCACTGCAAGTCTCCCAGCCTCCTCCCAAAAGTCTTCATGTGCGTTCATTTTCATCATCCTCAAGTTCTACCCAGTAACCCTCCTCACCCACAACCCCTCTTCACACCCCTCCCCCTCCTTCCTCCTCACCCGTGCAATCCTGACCCCAACCTCCCTCTCCTCACAATTCAGCTCCGCCAACCTGTGTCTCTGCTCCTCAAGCCTCTTCTTCGCCTCCTGCACAGTGGACCAACTAACCTCCATCGGGCTCGCCTTTTGAATCTTCTCGAGCTCGAGGATACCCTTTTCGATGTTGCGGCGTTGGTGGACGAGGTCTTTTTCTGTTGCTAGGAGGGTTTCCAGGTGGGAAATTGGCTCGGTGGGGGTGGGTGGTGGTGGGAGACGCTTGCTGCCGTCCTTGTGGATTGTGGTCGTGGAAGCGGAGAAGGGCGAGGTGCCACGGAGAGCTGGATGGACTACGCTGAGTGGTGTGTTTGAGGATGCTGGTGTGGTCGCTGAATGTGGTGTAGGTGTGTTTGAGCTCTTGCGGGCTGGAGGTGTCCACCCCGTCTTCTCGATCCGCTGGATTGGACGCTGTCGCGAGAGTATAGATTGTACAGGCATACCGCGAGGACTGTATGTTTGTGGAGTGTTGGGCGCAGAGTACTTGTTCGGTATCGGTGGTGGTGGGCTGGGCGGCCGAGGTTCTACTCGTCGTTGATGAGTGGCTACTGTATTTACTGTGCTCCAACTGAAGTGAGATCTTGGATCGCGATCTGCTGCGGTAGACTGCTTCGTATGTCTCGAGTCCGTCGAAGGACGTCCAGGTGCTTCTGATGCCGCATATGTGGTCCAGCTGAAGTGGCTTTCGTCGGCCTGCTTTCTCTCCGGCTCGTCGTCGTCTGGTGGCTCGGTCCAGTCACTATTCACCGAAGGACTTCGCTGTGGCTCAACGTTTTCCTTGGTGATAACGATTGAAGAAGGAGTCGGCTTCCGCTTGATCAATTTCACAGACGGCGGCGCAAGTGACAATGAAGGCTGAGGCCGATCGTGATTGAATTGTGGTGAAGGTACCCTGAAGTCACTTGCAGATACAGGCGAGATAGGTGAAACAGGTGACAGGCTGCGTGTATTTCGCCCAAGTCTTAATGGAGGTGGCGGCTTGACTTCGTCGTCTTGCAGAACCGAGAATGCCGGGGAGGCTTCACGTGTCTGTTGCGCGCCACGACGCTCGGGTGATCGCTTGCGCGATCTAAACACTTTATCATAGGGTGAAACGTAGGTGGAGGGATTCACTTGCGCAGGCTTGCCACTGTCGGATAGTTCGCCCGAGAAGTCATCCCAGCGTGCATTGTCGGGCGTGACTAGTGGTGGCGGTTTGTGAAGCATTGAGCGGACTTGCTTGAAAATTGGCAGCCGCGATGGGCGGAGCTGTGGTCCAGAATCCATGATTTGTTGCTGTGGGTGTGCGTGGTATGATGGATGGTAGGAGAGCTTGTCGTGAGCTGGCACTGGTGGCGCATGTTCATCATATTCGTCACTGTAGATTGAGGAGGCAGTGGGAGCATGTGATGCGCGGTCCGTCACCCATGGAGGGTCCTCGGCGATGGTGTAAGTGGGCATTGCCATCCCAAGTCGTTCTGCTTGAGAGCTTCGTTTGTTTTTGAGAAAGACCATACGGGCAGGTAAAGCTGAAGAGCTGTCTTCTGAGTCCATGACAGCCATGTTGTCCGAGTGTTTGCTGATTCGCTGTCGTCACAAACTTCGGGGCGAAGGATCCTGGGCCAATGCCTCGCGGTGGATTGCTGTGGTTAGCAACGGACGTGTTTCAGAAGTCAGCATCCAGGGACCAGGACGGTCGAATGCCAGTGCGAGGCGGAGCGCGGTCGCAGTACCGCCGTCAACTTAAACAATGCAGCAATGAAGGAGGAGGAGGGCGGAGGAGTATGTGGGTGTAGGATTAGAATGCTGTCACGAGTCACATTGCCCTGTTTGCGCGGACTAATTTTCATATTATCGTGCCGTCTACTCCCGTATCTTGTTCAGTACGAGAGGCTACACGGCGCATTCCTTGGATAGGCGCGGCTGGTCGACCACACTACCGCTACGCGCACCGGTGGAAATTATATGGTCAAACGATCGCCGCTAAGGTCATATTAACCGCCGTTGCGACGCGCGCTGCCCACGAGATGGAGATGGACCCTGACTCCCTGAGCGAACCCTCGGGATTGATGCAGTGCGAGCCGAGACACGAGAGGCAGCAGGCACATGTCATATGTGGAGCTGCTTGTCAGACCGGAAGGAGCACAATTTGGCTGACACACCTGTCATCATAATCATCTCGCCGCTTGCATATCATCTCATCAAGTTGCAACAGCATCGTTGGTGTGAGGTAGCAAAACAATCATGGACGAGGGTGTGTATAGAATCCACAAATAAATCACACCCTAGCTAATGGATAGCAAGGCAGCACCATGAACACAGCTCCGCCGGCGGCGCAAGTGTATGCTCATACCAGACACATTGGACCAACAAAAGTCTGACAAATACTACAGCGCCTCGATAGCGAGCCCGATCAACCTCATCCTCCTCTCCTTGTTCCTGGTACTAGTATACATGCGCCTAAGACCAGCGAGGCCACAAGCAACGACTCTGCCTACAGCTCCAGCCCCAACGGTCTTCCGAGTCTTCACGCCGCCGCAGCTAATGCCATACAATGGCACAAATGGTATGCCCGTCTACCTGGCTGTCCGCGGTAACATCTTCGACGTCAGTCCTGGTCGCAACTTCTACGGTCCCGGAGGTCCATACCAGAATTTTGCGGGTCGGGATGCAAGTAGAGGCCTAGCATGCGGCAGTTTCGACGAGGATATGTTGACGGAGAATCTGCAAGGCCCGCTGGATAGACTCGAAGATTTAGGTGGTGATGAGATGGAAGCGATGAGAGGATGGGAGGAGAGGTTCAATGAGAAGTATCTTGTCGTTGGCAAGCTGGTGCCAGTAGGACACGCTGAGGCGGAACCGGACGAGAAGAAGGTATGAGCACATTGGCATTTCGACCTTCTGGCACATACACGGCGGCGAAAGCTAGCCTCGGCCATTCGCAGGAACGAGCAATGAACAGTAATTATGATGCATGTCTTAATGATATCAATGGCCATAAAGGATGAAATCAGCACGACACACTGCTCACTAGATTAGGATTTCAGAAAGCGTGCACGGAAGAAACGCAAACCGAAAGACAAGGTAAGTACAGAGAGTGTACAGGGCGCCCGATCTTGCACTACACCAAGGCTCAGTATAACTTACAACTCAGCTCAACTCTTTAACATTACTACCTCACTCATTTCCACACATTCAGCGTCGAATTTCACCGTCATACTTCACATGTCGTCCTCAGATGCCCAGCAGCTGTTGTCTTCACTGCGCACGTCCCGGGACCATTGACTCACAGCGCAGGCAGAAGTGCAGATACTTCCACCATGTCGATTCCGATTCCAGTCAACTCTCCAAACAACCACCGGATCCCTTCCCTGGTTGCACATCAGCGAAGATGGTTTTCAGAGAGACGAAGAAGTCAAGGCAGAAGGAGCGTGCCAGAGTGGCAGCATTCGGTACTCTTCCGGACGAGGTACTGGTACTCGTCTTCGAGGACCTTCCCACACACGATTTGTTAGCTCTCCGTCTCAGCTGCAGATGTGTCATGCCAGTCTGCACTACAATCTTGTCGCAGAGGTTGACGACGCTTTACATCCGTCCTGCCAAGAATTCTCTCCAAACGGCAGTCAGAATATGCGAGCATCCGGCCTTGAACCAGAACATCAGTCGCCTTGTTTTACTGGGAGGTGTATCCCCTCAAGAGGTCGATCGGACGTTTCCATGCCACAGGTATCAGACTGAGATACAGTGCCCTGGTGCAAACTATCAGACTCAGGAATGGTATCACAAATTTCGACCATGGCCGCTAAACTTTCCGGTAGCGGCTGGTCGGAAAGCTGCGGTGGCTGTCGGTCAAGAAGAGAAGGCCGAGGACTCGTTACAACCATTCACTGGAGCTTATAGCATATTGATCGAAGCGCTTGCACAACTGCCCAAACTAGGTCAGATTGCTCTCGACGATTCTTGCATAGGAACAGGGTTCAACACGACCTTGAGTGGCAAGTCGTCAGGAGAGCGTGTCCCGAAGCAACTTACGTCGCAAGTGACTCATCACCGCCAGATCACAGGACGCGCAGATACCTCTATGATGTTCGATCTGCTTATGCAGGACCAGCTGAGTTTCGAGCAGCTGAGTATTACCACCCACGAACTACCCTATGCCGCTGCCCTGCTCAAATGCAGCTATACTGGTGTCTTCAAGGCATTCCGCCATCCGGCTGCTGTGGACAAGCTTGCAAAGCTTACGAGTCTCGACCTGATTCTTGACGCTGGTTGGGACCCCAAGACTACATGGCGAAAGTTCTGTCATGGGCTTACAAAAGGTGCGACGCAGCTCGAGCATCTGCGCCTAACATACAGGCCCAACTCCGCTGATCGCATCCACGGCGCGAGGGACGAAACGAGCACGCGCATGATTCTCGGCCTAGACGACGTCGAAAATGGCGATGAAGCCTCCAAACCATTCTCGAAAATGAGGAGCTTCGCACTCGTAGGCCAGCTGCAGCACGATGATTCAAAGTACGGCCCTCAGCGACCAGTCTGCCATGTCCTCGACGTTGCAGACTTCCTTTCGCAGCATGCGTCCACTCTCGAGAATGTGGCATTCCATAATACCACCTTCTCGGATCCTGGCACAGATTCAGCTCCTCACGATTCGATGAAACGAGGGATGGAGGTCCTCCTGACATGTCCTCGACTTAGAAACGTCGTGTGGACGGTCAACAGATTCAGGCACTACAGAGGCTGTGGGAAGCAGAGTGCACCTCACTTCCTCGACTGTCGTTCTAGGCATAGTTGTGGGAGGTATAGTAATGGCATTGCGGATGGAAGTGGCCTCGCGGGTGTGGAGCTCATGGGTGCTGTGGCTGAGGAGCTGCAAGTGGAGTTGAGTCTGGATGGTAGGGCCTGGGACTTTGGTGAGGTAGTTAGGCGAGAGAAGGGCTTGAGTAGGGAGGTAGATGTACGTGGGCATATTGATGGCGCATCGGCTGCTTGAGGTCCGGATGAACGTGTCATCAATCAGGTCTTTGGCTATTTCTGTTCTGCGCTCACATCATGGTGAAGGGGCCAACTAAGAGAGTGTGCATTACTTTCTCATCACCCATCCTTACGTGCTACCTGGTCTAGAACATTCTCCGACTCAGTGAATCCTACCTCGTACCCTGGGCTGTTTCGCCATTCGAAGCACTGGATATGCTGACAAGGGAGACGTTCTGAGGATGGTGGTATGACGATGTTACCGTATTGATGGTTGTCTTCCGATACATACTGCAATACCCCTGCAGTAGCCACGCAACGAAATCTCATCAGTGTAAATGAGCGCTCTGTGGCCCAGCCGACAATACTCACCTCCTCGGCCTGACCTGCCGTCTTCCAGCTGGTTATCTTGCTCCCACGGTGCCCGGCATCTGGTAATGCTCGTCCACACTCGCCGGCATCCTAGGTTATCGGCATTTCCTTATCATTCGTCTGCGCCGGGAGATGCACACGGCACTCCTATCTATGCTCGACTTGGCTCGACAGTGACCTCTCTCGGGTCACTAGTGGCCGAACACTTGAAATCCAGTGCAAAGACGGAGAAATATCTTTCGGGCTCATGTGGGCAGACGTATGATTCGCCCCGGACTCCAAGCCTAGACATCTGTGGAGTGCAGGCCTAGTGTTGTTGCGAGTCAAGTCATCTGCATGGGGCTACAGAGGGGGAGCGTAGCATGACTTGGCAGAGCACGTGGAAGTGATACATGCATTCTATCTATTGGTCTATCAAGAGGCAGCTCAATATCACGCCCTGATGATGCTCATCAACGATGCGTAACGCTCACAATGGACGAGCACCGACAACGACAACGACCAAGTCTATGCCCTTTGCCGCTTAAGGCTTGCCTACATACGGAATGATGACCGAGCTGGGATATTCGCCACCGAAGTGCAGCTTGTGCGTTCCATGGTTCAGCTCATGGTCAGGACGTGGCACGGACCATGCTGTGAATTCCGAGGCTGTGAGGTTCTGGCCAGAAATCTGCGATCAAGATGATTAGTAGATGTCTTCGGTTAGAGAAGAAAGCCATGCCAGGCACTCACCCTCACGCTTAAGCTCTCGCCGGCATCGAAGTCGACACCCAGTGCCCAGATACCGATCTCCAGCTTCACCACTGTACCAGGCTGCACTTTCTCCTGCTTTTCGTGGGTGTGAAATGGGAAGTTGGGGTGTATGCTCTTTGATGGATCAATCGCACGTTGCGATGCCCGAAGGACACCCATCTGGCCAACGTGGGTGTTGACGCTGTGTGTGCTGTTCTGGTCGATCTCCGCCATCGATTTGATTGGTGACTGCGAGAAGGGAAAGTTAAGATGCATGAGTAGATTGCCGTCCTTGTCCTTCTTCCTCAGTAGCACAAAAACGAAGAAGTCGTCCTGGTCGTCACAAGACATGTAGACAGTTGCCTTGGGTAGACCGAGAAGTCTAGAAGCCTCCGGGAAGGTGTGCGTGAACTCGAGAATGCTGTTACGGTCTTCGGAGTTGTAGGAAGCGACCTGGGCAGACGATGGGGTCGAGGTGGCGAGCTTCCCGCCCTCGGTCATGAACAGCTCCTTATATTCAGTGTTTGGCACCGGGAAGTCCTCGATGACAACATCTTGGATTGGGGCTCGGTCACCAAACTGCAGTATGTTCCATCTCACCTTGGGCGTCTTCTCTTCCCAGCCATTGTTCTTCTCCTTCAAGAAGCGATCGAAGAAGGACTCCAGATGGTGCTCTGACTCGGGCAGACTGTATAGCTCGAACCATTCTTGCCAGCTGCCCCATTGTAGCCACTTCTGCTCGTGTGGGATCTCCATCCAGGCACGAATAGAGCCCATGTTGTGCAAACCGCTGACATCTGATCCACGAATATAAGTCGGGCAGCGAATCTTTGTGAAGTCGACACGCTTGTCTTTCCAAAAACCGTTCATAGTTGGGCTTCGTCTGTACATTTCTGCAAAATCCTCGACGCCTGATGCTAGGTTGCCTCTCAAGATTTCTTTGGTAATCAAATCGAAATTGTGCATGCTGAACCATCCGCCTGGAATAAGGGTCAGCTTCTCTCCGCTTGGTGTGCAGGATATTGGTGACACATACCTCGACAGAATTGTTCACGGTACAAATCACTAAGGCCCTCCCATGGTGCTATGGCCTTGAGCGAGGGCGGTTGTTGTGCGGCAATGAACCATTGGGAGATCGCCAGATACGAGTTCCCTGCCATCCCAATATTGCCGTTACACCAAGGCAGCTTTGCCACGGCCTCAACAACATCGTAGCCATCCTCGGACTCTTGGGTACCCATCACACCGATGTGACCGCCGTTGTTCCCAGCGCCTCGAGCATCTACGCTGATGATGGCATAGCCCTTAGGACACCACGCAGCAGGATCTAGACCCTCGAACTTTTCCAAGCCTGAGAGATCTGACCGCTTGACACAAGAATGCCAGATGGTCATGGGAAGCATGTCCAGAGCACTGTACTTCTTCCCATAAGGTGACCAGCTGAGGATGGCTGGAATCTTCTCCTTCGAGTCTGTAGGTCTGTAGACATCTATGTAGAGGCTGATGCCGTCTCGAGCAACGACTTCTACGTCATGCTCGAGCTGGATGTCGCTGATTAACGGCTTCGTGTCGGAGCCAAAAGGCTGCGATCCAGACTTGAAGACATCGACTTTGCCAGGGTGGAATCCAGTGTAGCCATTGTGACCAACTTGAGGCTCTGTAATCCGCTTCACAGCGGGTTGTGGCATGAGGACAGGCATCTTGTTCGTGGGGCTGTAATTCTATGGTGTTGGGTGAAGTTCAGCTCCTGAGAACGACAAGGGAATGAGGGAGGTGCCATATTCCTGCACGGGGCCACTGATCTTTTTCTTGTTCTCGTCGGAAGACGCGTTGTCACGCGTTCGCTCTCCACCGGAATAAAATACCATTCAACTCCACCTTTACCCCACCTGGTTGCTCCTCCTCCACAGTCCACATATTCCGAAGAGATGAGCTGCTATTGCGGCTCCAACGACAATGACTTATATGAATGAGCCGCAGAAGATGTGCTTGAATCCATACAAGTCTATCTTCACACATCAAATCTCCTTGCATCGTGGATAGCTTTCAAATCAAACGTCAAAATGTCCACCACAACGACTCAGACACAAGAAGATGGTGCAAGGCGCACTTTCGGCACCCAGTATGAAACCAAAGACTTGATCGAGTTTGATACCAGCAAGATATACGGCGACTGGCGCGACGAATTTCACAAGTACGGATGCGTACTCATCAAGAATGTCTTAAGCAAGGAGCGAGCCCAGTACTATGTCGACAAGCAGCTCGAATGGTTGAAGAACTTCGACCTTGGCTTCGACGAGAAGGACAAGTCAACGTGGACTGCAGACCACTTGCCAGTCTCATTCAAAGGCGGAATGTACTTCGCTTACGGCTCCACACACGAGAAGCACACATGGGAAGCGCGGACAGAGCCGGCCATCGTGGACATCTTCGAGAAATTGTGGGGCACGGACGAGCTCATCACATCCTTCGATGGTGTCAATATCTTCCCTCCTCGCAAGGACCTCAACTGGACACCGTGGCCACACTGCGATCAGAACCCAGAGAGGAAGGGTATGCAAGCCGTTCAGGGTCTGGTGAATTACGCTCCCAATGGCGAGAACGACGGCGGTCTTGTCTTGATGAAGGGCTCCGCCAAACTCCATGACGAGTTCTTCGCACACAAGCGTGAGGCTGCAGACCACGAGGATGCGCCTCCACCAGAGATCAAGTTTATGGATCTCTTCCTCTTCAGCCAGAAGGACGTCAAATGGTTTGAGGAAAGAGGGTGCGAACTCGTGAAGATCAACATGGAGCCCGGCGACTTCGTCCTTTGGGACTCCAGAACACTCCACATGGCCAAGTTCCCGGAAGGTGAGCAGATTCGACACGCACAGTACATCTGTATGACACCTAGGAAGTTCGCCACGGATGAGGCGTTAGAGGCGAAGAAGGAATGCTTCGAGAACTACTACGGCACCACCCACTGGCCTCACTGGTAAGTGCTTGTGATCGTACTACGGGTGAGCAAGACTGATATCTTTCCAGTAATGTTCGCCCTTCAAGCGAGAAGCCGATGAGAAATGGTGAAGTGTGCCCGAAATACCGAACAGAGCCGTTCGAGAAGCCCACAGTCACCGACCAGGTCCTAAAGCTGGCAGGTGTCAAGCCATACTAGAAGTCATTGGGTCGGTCAGCCTGCGCATGAAATGGAGTCCACGCTACTAGACTGAGCGTTATGTATATCCACAATTCCATCATACAAAACGATTTTTTAGCTGTGTTGCTTTCATTGGAGTGGAGCCGGCTCCGGTCTTCGTAATGCAATGCACCCGGAAGGTTTCGCTGGGAGTCTCCAGCATTCGCCAGCCCATGGCGGTCTGGAGAAAGCAATGCCACCACAGCATGCATGGTGCTCTCACCGTGGTCAAACTTTTGACACAATACACTTTTAGCTCCACAAGCACTGTCAGCAGACTTGTGCTCGTGGTGAGAAACACGGTAGTCAAATGGCATTGATTACGAAACCCTGCACCGGACATGTCCCCAGTCACGCACAGCAGATTCCTTTCCTGGCTCCGTATCGATGCTTGAACATCCGACATCGAGACTGGGATACAGGGATATATGGTCCCTTTGGATCGACAGCTTTCCGTGGCCAAGCAGAGACTCACAAATCAGCTATGCAGACCTTGTATCCAGTCATCAGGTATCCATCCGACGAGAACATTCCTCCTTTTTTTCGAGTTCCTGGCGTTATACAGGAATTTATAATCACTTTCCAAATCACGACTTCGACATCAGCGTCTTGTGGTGTGACTCCCCAAAGCTGTTGAACATCATCAAGCGTCTCGGGCTTCTTTGGTCGAGTCGAACGGGCTATGTTTCTCCGCAAGAACACGAATACATCGTGTGGGACCGGCCCACATAGCTCGAGAAGGGCGCCCACACTCGGTCGGAAGTGAGAGGACGAGCACCTCACCTCGCCTCAGATTTCCCCGCACAAACCCCGAACGTTGTCTGGGGTCTCGACCAGGTTCGTGCAAGCCACGAGTCCCATAAAGAACTAGTTGAGACGACCATGATTCGTGAAGCATCAAGTATTCAAATTGACAGGCATTGTCCACTCCTTCCGAACATGCATGGCATCCGAGCGCCACCTCGAGGTCGTTGCTCAACTGACCAGCGATGATCGACATTAAAGTAAGCCTGTCCCATCGGCATTGACGGTAGCAGTATCAAGAGTAGCCAACTGTCTATCAACGAGGACTTTCTAGAATTATCATTCAGCCATGGCGAACGAGGTCGCCGCCGAGAAAGGCTTTGCCGGTGTCGAACATCTGGAGATCGAGTCTGCCAACGATGACACCAACGGCATGGCCGTCATGGGCACGACGAAGCTCAATCTCGACGAGATCCTGCTCGTCCCTGCACCGAGTTCGGATCCAAGAGATCCACTGAACATGCCATATTGGCGGAAGGTTGTCTTCGTAGTGCTTCTCTCTGCATGTAAGTCGATTGATCATGCCTGGTTATTGCGGGATGGCAAGGACTGATCGAAAGTGTAGTCTCTAGCCTAGGCCTTTCGCTGGTGGCAGGTCTTGGAGGACTGCTCGGTTTTTATATCCCGGAGTACGCAGCCAGTATGTGTTCGATTACTATCTGCCTGGCAATGCCGAGCTGACAAATTCGTAGAGGGTGCAACGTACGCCGATATTACGGCCTTGATGACATACCCGTCCATGGTAAGCCTGCAAACGACTGATCGCAAGAGTCTTCGATTGACATGTCGCTAGTTTATGGGGATTGGCAATCTGATCTGCATGCCGCTCGCTCTGGCTGTTGGTCGTAGGTCGGTGTACCTTGCCTCGCTCATCATTATGCTGGTGGGAGGCCTCCTAGCCGCATACTCAAAAAGCTACGAATGGCATCTGGGAGCTCGGATGATACTCGGCATTGCTGCGGGCAATAGTGAGGCATTGGTTCCCATGATGATCCAGGAGATCCACTTCCTGCATGAACGCTCGACCTTCCTCATGTGGCAATCTGCCATGCAGTTGAGTATCACTGCATTGTACACCATGTTCGCATCACCCATCGCTGGTGCCATCGGGCCTGGAAACTGGTACATCCTCGGAGTCGGTCTTGCTATGGTGGTTTTCATAGCCTCCATCTTCTTCGTCCCGGAAAGTCGATACACGCGCACTCTGGCCGCTTATGGTCAGACAGTAGAAGCGACCGCCGAAGCAGATCTAAAGCACGAGCAGGAAACCAAGCCAATGCGGATATCTGATCGACCTGCTCTCGACTTCGAGACCTATCAAGCCCGTACCCTCTGGTCGGACATGCGCCTGTTCGTTGGCCCACCGGACTGGTCAGAGGGCATCTATGCACTCAGAGTAAGATACCTCTCTCCAGCACGACAACGCAAACATAGCTGACTGTTATCAGAACACCTTCCAGATCCTGTTGTTTCCGAATGTGTTCTGGGCCTTCTGCTTGAACGGTCTCACCCTTGGTATCAACATCGCCATTGGCACGACCTACGGCAGCATTGTCACCGCACCTCCATACAGCTGGTCGAATAATGCTGCATCCTACGTCAACGCTTCACAGATCTTGGTTTCTGCTGTCGCCTTGCCATTGCTTGGAAATGGCTCAGACTTCATCATCAAATGGCGCGCGCGTCGCAACAATGGTGTTCACGAGCCCGAAGCACGTCTGATCCTACTCGTCATCCCTGTCGTGCTCGGTGTCTTGGCAGCTGTTCTCTATGGCCAAGCAGCACAACACCCGGAGGACTATCATTGGTTCACCATTGTGTTCGCGTACGGTGCCTATATCTTCTGTTTCATCGGCTGCAATATCGCGGCTATCACTTGGCTACTGGACTCGTATCCGGCCCGCTCGGGTCCAGTGTTGATTGTCATCTGCGCCCTCCGTGGGTTCATCAGCTTCGGTACAAGCTATGGCGTTTCGCAATTCATCGAGAAGGCCGGACACGACGGGGCTTTCGGTGCCTATGCTGGTCTAACCGCACTGTTCGGGCTGATGGGAATCCCAATGTTCATTTGGGGCAAGAACATCCGAGCCTTCACGGGTCGATGGGCCATCAAGGAGAGGAGTGGGAAGCCATCCATGTCGCATTAGGAGATTTTGTGGTACTCCAGTGCCACGCCATCAATCCGGCTGCTTTCTGGCGTGCTCATTCGTTGTCCTCAGAGTCTGCATGAAAAACAACGGTATCGCAACGAAATAAATTTGGCTATGTGCTTGCTGCTCGATTAGCATTGTCCGGCTAGCAGGGACATGGACATTAGTGATATGATCATGACAGTATACGGATATAGTGCTTGCCAAAATAGCTTCTGTAGATACAACATGCAATGTGTGTATATCGTGCGAGCAGTGTTCATTGTTCAAGATCGACTGGACGCGAAGTGCTCTTCCTGTCGGATGACGTATAGTGAAGAACATACGTTCATGCACCGTGACCAGTAACCGTCTGTCCTGAAACACGCCATGTACGCTATACTGTTACATTGTTGATGGCTAGTCTGCGGCATCATAGTACAACGCCGTGTTCACTGCGGTGATGTAAGCTGGTCCGCGCCACCGGCAAGCGTAAGAACGGACCTCCAGGAGCAGCTTACGGAGCCAGTACAAATCATGCACATGGGGAGCAGGTGTAGTTGTCGGTATTAGGCCAGGACAGAACACTTATGTCGACATCCGCTGGGGTTCAGATTGGTGGGGTCGATGTCTGCGCAAGCTCTTCGATCACCAGTGTGTTGACTCGGACTTGTTTGTTCTTGGAGTCACTGGCAGAATCGCTCTCAACGTGTAAGCGACCCTCCAGAGCCGAAAACTTGATGACAGAAATCGCAGGAGAACATTGCGGTCACCATCACTGACTGCAGGGCTCCGCATGAGCGGCTGCCGTCATGCGGAAGAGTCTCACATTCGCGTACGATCTCGGGCCAGCGACAGTCGGAGGCCGTCATGATTATGCTCGCAAGGACGATCGATGAGTTGTGGCTGTTCCTGGGAAGAGGGTATATACGGCAGTGCTGCAAGCTACCAATCTTACTTGATGCAGATGCAGTGGCGGGCACCGCATTGATAGGTCCAATAGCCGTTCTCAGTGAAGGCAATGATGCTATTTCATTCTTCCTCATACGGTCGTGTCCTGCCTCTCCTTCGCTTGATGCTGTCAGCCCTCCTCGGACCACTGCTCTCTAAACTTGTACCAAGGCCAGAGTCCAGGAGGAAGTCCGCATCTTCGTCTTCGTCTTCCACATCTGCTTCTGTTGCCCTGCTGACGTACTCGGGTACTATTGCAGGTCTCTCTCCATGTTCCAGCTTGATTCGTGGCTCCGGCTGATATCGTAGTGGTTGCTGCCCAGACAATGTAGGAAATGTTCGTTCTGTGTCTGACATTTGTGGGGTATGCGACTCGTCATCGGGTTCGTCCTTCACACGCTGAGCAAGCTCATCTAGTTCTTCTGCCTTCGTCTCCTGTGTCGTGGGTGCATAGGACATCGCGATCAGGGCCCAAGCCAAGCCTGCGAAGATCATCTCCGTCGTCCAAAAGCCGCCAATGAAGAGTACACCACTGATGATGCGGTGATTGTACATCAGCCACCTCAGACCATGGAAGCGTGCTCGGAACACTGCTTTCGCATCGTAAACTCGCAGTCTTTCGGTACTCTGGATTTCCAGTCTCATGGTCCGGGGTACGTTTCGTGCGCCACGGGAGAACTCAACACCTTCGAATATCAGGACACGTAGCTTGTCGCTTTCGGATCGGACGTTAAGCAGGTACCAGTGGATCTCGGTCAGCTTGTACACGAGCTCGATGATGGGTGATCTGTACTGTAGTATAGCACTTCTCCGTGATGTCGCCAGGACACCCGGCTCCGTTGTGCCAGACGTCATACCGGCCTGCACCTTCTCCGCGATACTGCTGAAAGCTCCTTCGCGCGGTGCCAACATACTGACCTCGAGCATGAAATTTCCGGCGTTCACATTTTCTGGAGTGCGAGGTAGTGTAAGCTCGATCGCCACATCGTAAATTTGTGCTCCGAAAATGTCCGGATACAGGTTGACGATTCCATAAGGGTACGGGTGGTAGTTCTTCGCGACTTCTGAGTTTCCAATGCTCGGGCCGTGGACAATGTCGAATTGTAGGTTGATGGGCCGCTCGAAGCCGATGCGAGGGACGTAGGACCAGTAGAAAAGCAAGTACGCCGAGATCGCGAAACCAAGCAAGGTGATTGCGGTAGTGACGACGATTATGGTCGTGAGATATGCGCGTAAGGCGGTCCGTGAGAGAGCGATGCGGAAAGGCTTGAGCACGAGGCTCTACTTACCATTAGCAGTGGCCGCTGTACCATCAGCAGCTGGAAGTGAGTACCTGGACCAGGCCAATCAACCCTCTGGACCGTTCTTCATCATCATCAACAGGGGACTTTGGCGGCATGATGGCGAGGTGGGACCTCGTGCATACGTGGCTGGTCAATCAATCAGATCAACAAGATGTGACGTGGAACGTGTTTTATGCAAGTTCACTGCTGACTGATCAGTGGAGCTGTGGATAGCGGCCGCTAGCGGATGTCGAAGTTTCAGTCGCAAGCTTGATATAAAGCATATAACACTATCAACTCTACTACAAAGCTTGTGTGCTCCGCAATTTGCGTGATTCAGACATGCGAATAAGCATGACATGTCTCATTGGCAATGGCATGCCGAATACCACAACGGCAGAGCTAAGCCTCGCAAATTGATTCCTGGTAGGAACACTGCGTTCGGAACCTCTTTTCGTACTCATGCGAACGAAGGTATCTGATGCCACTGATGTTCTATGGATATGCTGATGGGTAGGTTCTCCACCGGAGATCATTCTTACGTTAGATATGATATGAGCACCGCAACGACCATCTCACATCGGGAACCAGAGCGTACTGAATTGGGTAGAGTTGAATATGTTACATAAGACATCAAGAACATCTAAACCACAATGAAACCACTTTCCCTCCAATCCTCGTCTTCGACGCTGCCCTCCTATCAAACTCACCGCAAAACAAAACAAGCAACAAATACCGCAAAAACTTTTCAATCACACACCATTTCTCGTATCAGAGCCACGATCCACACCATAACAACGCCCTCGTCGTCGTCGATATCAGGTGGGTCGTCTGGTTATTAGTGTAACACGAAGATCAACCAAGACTCAATTGCCAAGTCTGTTGCGGAATCCCGTGAACTTGGCAAAAATATCGTAGTCGATAGGTTACTCGTCAGACATCAAGACGTCACCATCCGTGTCGAGCTGAGACGCCTGCGTGCCCTGTATGCCCGGGTATAATGGCCCCGACGCCATGCCGCCACCATAGTAGGACGGCGGACCATAGGCCTGCGAGCTATAGTCATAGTTGTGAGAGAATGGCGGGATGGTGTTGGCGGGACGGAAGCCGGTCAGCATGATGGACCTTGGATCCACGGTCGTTGGCAAGGTGTCAAGAGTGCGAGGAGGAGTGAAGGCAGGTTGGCCAAGGTCGTGAGATGGATCGGCCGTGGTGAGCTGAGTAGATATCGTGAGCGAGACCGTAGTCGAGGCGTGTTGAGTGAAGAGAGTTTGAGCTCTAACCGGGTCGGAAGTGTGGCGAGTGAGGGCGAGTGGAGGAAGAGTCGGGACCGGAGCAGGAGCAGGAGCTGGGGCAGGGGCAGGGGCAGGGGCAGGCATAAGGGCCGGAGCCGCAGCCGGAGCAGGAGGCTGAGGCTGAGGCTGAGGGCCGGTGAAGTAGAGGCCCGAGGGGTGCGGAACGAGGTGCCGGGTTTTGTACGCGCCTTGACCCGACGCAAGGTACGTCCGCACAGAGTTCTCGAGGTCCCTCAACAACTGAGCCCGAGTGATGTTGCTAAAGCGGGCTGCCAGACCCTGGTCTAAGAGATCCTTGGCTGCTGTGACGAGGAGAGGCTTCTTCTCGGTCGATGGGACGTAGAAGGCGACCTTGTGCCGGTCACCCGTGAAGGCTCTACTCGGGAGCGCGTCCGAGACCTTGATATACTCGTAGTACACGTTCCTCGTCCTACCGTTGCCGAATTTGCGGAGGAAGAGGGCGATGGTGATGATCTGGCAGAGGTCCTTCCATTGCAGGTTGAGGAGCTGGACGACAACCTGAATGGGAGCATGGACTTGCGTGCTGAGCTTGCAGATGTACTCAAGGCGAAGTAGCGCCGCCTCTAGCATGTCGTCATCGGCAAGGTTGATGCGGAAGTAGTACTTATGGTTCTCCGTCGCGTACATAAGTCTGACCTCGTTGTAGATCTGCCTGCAGGCGGACAGGAGACCAGTGTCGGCGTCAGTGCTCTCACTGGTAATGAACTTGATTGTGATGATCTTGTTGCCACCCATGCCAATAGCATATTCGTAGATCGTGTTGCGTATCTCTGACGGTAGAGTGAGGAGGTGTTGCGCACCAATAGGAGCAGCCATTGTGCTTGTGTGGTAGGAGGTGGTGACGCAGTAGATGTTAATGATACTAAACAAGAAGTGTAAGCTCGCTGCCACTCCAAACTACCAGCGTAAGAACGAACCTTTCGAGCCCACCAAATTGTGGTTGTGTGATAGGAGATGGCGGTGCGATTGATGTCAGATGCACTAGGGTTATGTGTAAGCTCGTCGCCACCCACGTACATCACTGTAAGAACAAACCTTTCGAGTCCACCGATTTTTATTTGTGTGGAAGAATCTTCTTGCTTGCACAATTTCGAATTGTGCGAGCGTGCGTGCGACGAGGAACTTATAGTCAGTGCGGACGACGGGAGTGGCTACGCATTGACCAACCCGAAAGGAGGAGGGAGGCTCAAGTCGGTGGCGGAGGGGGTTCAGAAGCAAGAGGGTTTGCTAGCAGAAGAGGCTGAAGCTTTAGAGTGCCGCCGACGACGACATAGTGGAGCTGTTGAGATAGAATGTGCTAGAGATTCGAGAGCAAGGTCGAAAGTATCTTATTGATATCCATATGTAGGATTGCCGTTGCTCTATATCATGTTATCGCTGGTCGACTCAAAGGCTTGGCGTGTTGGTTGGGGAAGTAGCGGCTTGTGGCAGTGCTACACGCTATGCAGAGCCGTAGACGACGACGGAGTCGTGTTTATGCGACGGATATTGGTAGAGATTGTAGAGCAGGCTCGGTAGTATCTTGTCGACGTGCATACCGATCGCTATCGTCGCTCTAAAGCACGTCGTCGCCCATTGACCCAAATCCTTGGCACTGGCCGAAGCACTCAACAAGCGCGCTCGGACCAAGCCCGGGCTGCAATTATTATACTGCTGGGTAGGTATTGCTGGTGGTGGTAGCGAGCAGGGCGATACTGCCGACGGAGCATCGTTGCTGTCATGCAGATGGATGGCGCGGTCAAGGCATGTTTGCTCGAATCCCCCTGCTCTCCAAGCAAACGACCTCCGTGCCTTTTTGACGCGTTCCAGCACCAAAGGACCCAGCTCAACCACCCCCGAACACCGCGCTACCAATTCTCAGGCGGTAAACAAGATGAGGAGGATACGACCAAGCCCACGAGAGCAAGGAATAGTGCCTGGTAGAAGCGGCACGGTCAAGAAGACGATAGGCGCGGCCCGCCATCATTTGACGCCGTAATGAGCTGTTGGTGGGACACGACCAGACTGTAAGAGCTAAACCATCCTCTAGCGGTCTCGAGAGGAGGGAGTGATCATAGATACGCCAGATGGTGATAAAACAGCGCCTCCCCTTCGACAACCGTGTGGGCACTGAAGCATGCAATTGCGCGCGGTACATGTCTATCCAACTCCAGGAGGTGCGGACGAGGTCCAGAAGTGGCCGAGAGCAAAGATCGAACCGTACAGGCCGTCATCCACCCGATGCTACACGTCCACAGCGGTCTGGAGATCCCGTCGCAATGACCTTGCGAGAGTCTCCATGATTGAGGTCAGAAGAGTGAAAATCTACCCAGATTTCCGGACCGCAGACCGAGGAAGATCCGGGACAGCCGAACCAGTAGCCACCCAGACACCACGCTAATCCGCAAACCCAAACCCAAATCAGGAAAAGGCGGCATTTCTGGCTCAGTCAAACTCCCGACTATCGCCAATATCACAAGTATTGAACACCTCCTCCTCCAGCCCCTTCCATTTCAGAGCCTGCTTCAACACCCTAGGCGGCTCAAGCACCTCCTCCGTAGTCAAAACCCACGTACCCCAGTGGATACCAAGCGCCATCTTACACTTGGTGTCAACAAAAATATTGACGGAATCATACGGGTTGGCATGCATAGGACTCATGATAAACCGCGGATCATACGCCCCAATCGGAATCAGACCCAAGTCAAACGGTCCTCGCAGATCGCCTATTTCCTTGAACGCAGGGCAGTGTGGAAGATCGGCGTGTTTCTCCCCGTAGTCGAATTCCTCTTTCGGGAGCTCGGGGACGGTGCGGTAGCCTGTGTCGCCTCCGAACCAGACTTTTTTGCCACCGGAGGTTACGGACCACGAGGCCCAGAGGGTGTGGGCTTTGTCGAAGGCTGTTCGCGCGCTTGTGTGTTGGCAGGGTAGGCAGCCGATTACTGCGGAGACATCGCCAGCATCAGACTGATCTCCTTCTCCTCGGTCAGCCGGCGAGAGGGTGATCTCCTTCTCCTCCCACCAGTCTAGTTCGTGGACGTTGGTGTCATCGAGACCCATGTGTTTGAACCAGGGTTTGTTGCCTAGCGGGACGAAGAAGTGAACGTTCTTGTACTTGTGCGCGATCTTCTGGAGGGTGGGATGAGACAGGTGGTCGTAGTGATTATGGCTTATCACCACCGCGTCGATGAAAGGGAGGTCCTCGATCTCGCATGGCATGTCTGTATACCGTTTCGGGCCTATCCATTGGTAGGGACTACAGCGATCCGTGAAGACTGGGTCGAAGAGGACTCGTAGGCCGCCGGGGAATTCGACGTAGTAGCATGCGTGACCCAGCCATGTTGCGCGGAGCTTGTCTGTCTGTCTGGTAGGCAGGAAGCTGGGTTTATGGACTGGGATGGTGGGTGGAGTGGTGTCTGGATTCACCCATTTGCCTGAGAGACGCATCCAGATCATCTTGCGGAACATTTCCATCCCAGTCCTCTCCACGTACGAGGGCCATGGGTTGACGAAGCCCTTTCCATTCTTATTATGGTGCACTTTGTTCGCGACATCTGACGGCTGAGCAGAGGGTGCGGTGGGTGAACCCACGACCGCGTGGAGGAGGGTGGAAGTCATGACCGAGTGTCGCGTGCGTGTCGTGTGGAAGGTGCGGAGGTGCTGCTGCCAACGCGGGAGTCGAGCTGCTTTCAATGGTGATGATGCTATGAAATGCTTCAACAGACGAGGAAGAGATGGTACTTGCATTTGAACGAGCGACAAGCAAGGAACAACGCTAATTCAGCAGATGTAACAGATCACACCACCTTCGCCAGGCACCTACACAGTCTACGTTGCGTGAGGGAAATCAATGCGAGTCCGACCGGCCGTGTCGATCTAATGTCCGTGAAGTTGCTGTCAAGATCATGGCCGCGGAGGTGACCTTTTCTCCGTCCCGACCTCACGACATCTAAACATATGAAATGTAGGCTATACCATATAAGCTTGAGAGTGTGATACGGCCGAGATCTACCACCTGTAGTATCTCAGCGTAGTTCAAAGACACAAAGATAATCTGATAGTAAGCACTCTGAACGTAGCTGGGCATGACAGCCCGCGGCCAAATGAAGAACAAAGCATTGCCTCGAAGACTGTGTATACGGCAATATCTTGCCGACGACAGCACATTTCTCAAGCATCAACAGGGCTTCTACCTTATTCTAATCAGACATGAGATACATATGAAATGCAGCATGGCGAAAACACCAAGATCCTGACTTACCTCGTTCATGCTCCAAAAGAACAGATGAGGCCAGGACGAACTAGAGCAGGACGATGGAGCACTGGAAGTACTGAACAACAGCAAAGGCTCGAATGAAAATCTCATAAATTCTATCAGTAAGGCTAAAGCTAACCTAAAATTCTCTCCCAAGCCCTTTCAAAGCTCCGAGAAAATAAACCCCATAAACTCCACCGCCATCGCCAAAGCCGCCACGCTCATGCCGATATGCGAACCAACAACCGCTCCACTAATCGGCGCACTAGTGTGTACCGCAGAGGTGTTGGCAGAATGGTAAGTACTGTTACTCCTCGTAGCAATAGCAGTATGATTCGCATAGACCGTCGAAGTCATCTGCGTAGTGACAAACATTGTCGAATGAATCTCGGGCGACGAGGTGTCTAGTAACAAGCTTGCAGTCGGAGTGGACATGGTGGCTGGGGCCGTGACATCAGTTGGTAAGTCGGCAGCAGAGGCTGAGGTCGGTGGGGTGGTTATCGATGCTTGAATTATGACGGTGGCGCTGTCGGTGTTACTCGCTGGTGTTTCGGTCGGGGTGCTCGATGCGTACGCCGCCGGGGACACGGCGCTGGAAGTACTGCAATAACTCGCGGCAAAAGCGGCAAACGCTGCTTGGTCTGCGGCGCTGCACTCGGTCTGCACGGCTTGGGCTAGTGCTTGGCTGATGCTGGGGTTGGAGCAGATGCATTGGACATCGGAGGTTTGGCAGCTGGAGTTTCCGATTGCCGTGAGGAGGCATGGTTGCGCGCAGGTGGGGAGGCCCGGGGGGAAGCCGTCTGGGCCGGGCACTGGGGCTGGGATGGCGAGGGCGGAGCGGGTGAAGATGAGGGTTGTGGCGTAAGCCAGAGCCACGATGGCATTGGGTGTGTGGTGCATTGCTTGGTTGATGTGGTTGTAGAAGGCAGGTATTCTGAGGTTGTGGCGTGCGGAGATGGCTTGCTGGGTTGATGCTGGTGAGGTGTTGAGTTGATATGCCTTGGCGTGGGTGGTTTTCGAGTCAATGCTATCGCTTGAGAAAGACGAGAAGATGGAGGAAGAACATTATCACGAAGAAGGAGAAGAAGATCGAGAACTTGTACACTTATCCTCTATCTACGCTGGCTCCCATGAGCGTTTCCGTACTCCGAGCTCAAACTTCGACACGCTGGAATCCACCATGCAATGGCACGCACGAACCGGAAGCATACAAGAAATGCAACAGCACGAGTCGCGCAATAGACCGCACGGTACGACTACGTCAACCACGGATGACAAGGCTTGGCATGCTGTTCCTACCGCAACCGGCTGGAATGTAACTGGAATGTGGCTGGGTAAGGAACGGACCGCGTACTCCCAGCCTTGTGAAGAATGTCTTTGTTCTGCTTGCAGACTTGTCTTCGAGCGCGACGACTGTTTGCGGAGATGGTGGTACGGGTCGAGGGACATGACGATGTTGTGTGACGGTGGGTTGGTGGCGACAAAGGAGGATCAAAATAGTGCTGGTGACAATGACGGCGACGGCTTGTCTCTACTCCCACAGGCTCGGTGCGCTGGCTGTAGAGGAGGTCTCGATAGCCAATTCAACCAGGACTGACGTGCTATGGTGTTTGTCCATATTGGAGGATAAGCATAACAGTCTTCGCCGCTGATGAGACGCCATCATTTCTTAGGTATAGTCCACACAGCATGCTCATCTACTGACGACGACAAAGCTGACTATGCGACTAGCCCTTTCGATGCTTGAGACTCCCGCCCCGGGCGCGGAGGTCGGCTACGCTTCTACGCCTTCAGATGGCCGACGACAATCAACGCAGATTCCTTCTTCTCCATACCACAGCGTCTACAGACAACTGCCGCATCTGTTCAGTGGCTTCTGTCCAGGCAACGGTACAGATGATGAGGATCAGATATCAGACGATGATGAGGAGCCCTCACCCGAATCCTTGGCCCCGCGCGAGAACTTCCTGGGCCGGGTACAGAGTTACTCCAAATTGATGCACGCCCATACACAATCGCAGCTCGCATCGCCCTCGGTGGGGACACTGCTATCGTACGCAAAGTCCATGCACGCTTTCACGCTCAACCAACTCAACCACAGCCAGACGACTACTCAGAGTGCGAGGAACAGTCCACAGCTTGGTCCTGGTGGAAGACGGATGGTGCTGCGGAGACATATTTGTGAAGGATTGAAGAGGCTGAACTTGGGCGAGACGCCCAACCCGGCGAACACACCTGTGCATGGACATAGCCATTGGCATGCGGAGCGAAGGAGGATGGGGGCATCGAGGAGTTTGACGGAGCCTGTGGATTTTGGTGTGCCCGTGACGAGGAAGGATTTCGCCATGGCCTGATCTGTGAGCTCTGCGAATGGCGGCGGGAGAGCTATGAATTGTACATCGTTGAAAAGCCACCTTGATAGGCACATCATTTGAATATCTCCCCATAGCGCTCAATGAACTGTTCCTGCCACATCGGCTTGTCCTTCTGCTCGACTCGCTCATTCCAGCGAAGAGAACGGGCAAGCGCACGGCTGCTGACTAGATCTCTGATCTCTTGCAGCTCGTCACCTTTGCGATTAGAGCGTACGACGCAATTGACCGGATGCCCGAAGTCATTGGACAATTCTCCGAGGAATTTACCCAAGACAGTGGCGCATTGCTTCTCGTCTACCTCGCCTTCGTCATCGGAAACAAACAAGTTGATTGTGCAGATGGTGGGAGGAAGGATATCAAGCAAATTCGGCACGCTCGACGGCTCCCACGCAGTGAATTCCCCTTCCATGCCTTGCCGATTCCCCGAGGCCACCGATGGGCCCGCAAAAACACGTACGTCGAGCTCGACAGTGTTCAGTCGTTTGAACTCCTTCAAAGACGTCACACCGTTCTCGATCATGCCGAAGAGAAGGTCGATCGTGATCGCCAACTCTGTGATTGTGTCGCCCCGATGCTCTCCAATGGCAGCGATGAATGATCCCGCACCCCAGTCATGTAGGCAGCCGTGCCATTTTGTGTGATGTGAGTAGGCGAAAGTTGTCAGCTGTGGTGTATGTCGCACCAGCTCGGCAACGCCGGCCGCATCCATACACCCACCAGGTAGCTGGATCGTGCGCAGGCACGAGGCGATGTCCCCATGGTACCAGAGAAATGGTATACCAGTATAGCCGTCATCGACACCTACCATGTTGCATACATGAAGGTTCTGCAAGCTTTTCAGGGACATGAATGGCAACACCTCGCATAGGCCATTCCGCGGGTCGTATTGCGTCTCACTGTACGGCAAGATAGTCTCCAGACTGCTTAGAGGAGCCTCGCCTTGTGAAGACTTGTTGGCCATAGATACGATAGCATCCAGGACTCGGCGCAGCGCCGAAGACTTGCTGTTTCCACCTGAGCTATACTGAGTCTCGTGCCACTGATCCGGCAGTCTGAGAGTCCGTACATTCGGTAATAGTGAGAGCAGTACGGCTGTAGTAAGTTCCTCGTAGGTCCAAGGTGTAAAGGGGTTTTGGGAGTGCCTGTCGTCCTCCCAGCTCTCCCTCGACCAGAGATTAGAAAGTGGGTATGGAGAATCTGTCACCAGTCTCTCGAGGGCAGCTTCATTCCCCTTGTCCGCCAGCAGGGACTTGATGCCTGACTCTACGTCGACCTCGTCAGAGTAATATCTCAGGTCCAAGGTTTCGATGTATTCCGCGATGCGCCGGTCCTGAATGTTAGAAAGGATTAATGCCAGAGCTGTTTGTGGTTCGCGACCCTGTTGCCGCCTGTCGTTAAGGTCGATATGCTTCCATTGACGCTTGTATGAACGATGTCTTCGAAGAGTCTCCTTGCCCACTTTGGCAATGGTCTTGCATGAGAGACCAAGACTGTCCAGATCGCTGGGTCGGGTAAGCTCAACGATGAGGACCAGCAGCTCTGTGGGAAGGTCCAGGATTCCCATCTTCTGACTGCGTGCCTCTCTTTCACGCCTATGCATGAAGTGTAGCCACAAATCTGGGGATGTCAAGAAGCGAGCCGACTTCAATATCAATGGGTGTTGCGGTGGCGTTGTTGCCTGTCCTGCCTGCCCAAAAGTGGATCCGTTGATCCTATCGCTGTGCTTGTTCCTATTTTCAAAGGCTACCTTTTACATTACTCCTTGCACTCACAGAGGCAATACTCAGAAGCTGACAGTGACTACCCCAACTGCGGGCCTAGACAGTACAATATGCGAGTATGAAGTAAGGACTCGTCTATTGCTTCTTTCCTGTTCATCATCAGCAACGTAAATGAGTCTCGGTCTCAATGGTAACACTGGATCATTGACACGGGTAGTGAAGGATACACTTCCATAACAAGATGGCGGGTAACCAGTCAGCACCAACAGGTGGTACATCCTTACTTGTAGAGACAACCACAGACATAAAAAGTCGCTTTGATACAACAAAGACATAACATCCTTGATCCGCCCAGAGGCCCATGGACTTCTAGATGGGGTATAGAGGCTAGATTGATCGATATGAGGACGAATGGGATACAAGAATGATTGGACTGAGTACAAAAAGCCAGCAGGGTATAACTTACAGTGGACAGCGACAATCTTGTGATGTATGCATTGTAACATGGTAGGCTGATCGGAGGTGTTGTGAGACGACGTGATGAGCTGTGAATGAAAACATTTTTGATGCCGCTATAATCGCTAACCCACGTAGCTCTTTCACTACCAACTAAAGTACACTTCATGTCTCATAGTCATTCTTTTCGCGCAATTCGTCAAAGCTATGTCGTAGCTGTTCGCTGCATACTGTGCAGTCTTCCTGTATCACAAATCGTAATACAGTCATTTCAGAGGTCGTAAGCAGCCACTGGTGCAGCCCCTCATATCGAAGTAGTCATGATCGTGACTCGTCGTCTACAGCTCGTTCCTGGCGGACTGAGCGCTGCCAGCTGCCTTGGCGGAGGCAGACGCTGCACTGGCGGAAGCCTGGGCGGAAGCGGAGCTGGCGCTGGAAGATGCTTGGCGGGATGCCTCGCTGGCAGCAGAGCTACCGGCACTGGCGGCATTACCACCACTCTTGGAGGCGGCAGAGCTAGCGCTGGACGCAGACTTGGAAGCAGCCGAGGCGAGCGACGAAGCAGAAGAGCTGGCAGCAGATGAGAAGGAGGAAGCAGACTGGCTCGCGACCGAAGCGGCAGAGCTCAGGCTGGCCTTGGCCGAGGCGGAAGCGAAGCCGATCTGGTTGGCGAAGTAGTCGTAGTAGTTGCGGAAAGAGCCGTAAGCGTCGTTGGTAGCCTGCGCGAAAGTGTTGCCGGCAGAAGAGGTGGCAGCTCCAACATAGCTGGAGGCGGAAGAGGCGACGTTGTCACCGGACAGAGCAGCATAGTTCTTGCGGGCGAGAGCAACCATCTCATTGCGCTTGCTACCCTGAGGAACCTTGATGCCGTGCTTGTCAAAGAAGTCCTTGAATTGGCTGTCACTCCAGCTGTCGAAGACCTGGTTGCTCAAAGACTGCTGGGCGTTGGCAGCAGAGGATGAAATGGAGGCAGCGGAGCCCGAAGCCTGATCAGAGGCAGCCTTGGCGTTGCGGCGGAGAGAGGCGATGAGCTTATCACGGCCACCTGGCTGCGGGACTGGGACACCACGCTCGTCGAGCCATTGCTTGAGGTCAGAGTCGGACCAAGACTGATAGATCCAGTTGCCAGGGTAGTTGACAGTCTCGCCAGCCTTCTCGGCAGCCGAAGCATAATTGGAGCGGACAGTAGAGAGGAGCGAGTCGCGAGTGCGAGGGCTTGGGTTGGGAATCTTATGGTAGTCGAGGAAGGACTTAAGTTGAGACTCAGTCCAGCTGCGAAGTGTCAGTATGTGCACGTGATACTTAAAAGAAGTTACATACGTGTCAAAGATCCAGCCCTGGACGCTGCCGTAAGCTGTGTTGGTGTTGTCGGCGGTGCCCTTCCAGAAGCCGGAAACCTGGTTGATGAGAGTGTCCTTGTTCTTCTCTGTGCCCTTCTTCACCTCGTGACCCTGGGACTTGATGTAGTTGTTGAGCTGGTTAGTGTCCCAGCTGTTGTATGGCTTCACAACGTTCGAATCCCAGTTCTTATTGACAAGATCTTGGAGATCCTTGCGGTCCGCTGGAGTGGGGTATGGGACGTTGTGGTCGGAGAGCCATCGCTCAAGCTCAGTCTCATGCCACTTGTTGTAGACTGTGCGGGCTCGCCGGTGGTCAGTCAACGTTGCTTTGATATCTATGTCATGATTACAAGACACGTACCTGCGTTTGAGCCAAAGAAGCTATCGGCCGCAGCTCCAGTGGCAAGGGCCAATGCGAGAGTATTGAGGAATCTCATGGTGTTGATGGGCTCGATGTGTTGTGTGGTAGTACGTAGGGAGAGAAGGGATGAAGGCTGGTGTCGAAGTGAGGAAGCTCCAAACGTGGCGCAAGAAAAGATGAGAAGGCGTCAATAGCTGCAGCTTCCTTGACCAACGTCGCGATGACGTAAATCGGTGTGGTGCTCGCGTTTGTTTGTTGCGGGGCCAGGGCCAGGCGTCAAGCCACTTTCCTTTCCGCCACGTTTACTGGATATGCAAGCGACAAGGATTGGCAAGTTCAACGTAGACGATCCCACCACGACGCATGCTGGCCCCAAAGGATAGCAGGAAGATGGGAACAGTTCTTGGTCAACAACGAGTACTACGCCGCTATGCAAGTATACATGAGTAGCATTAGTCGACTCATCGACTCTGCCATCCACAATCCGTCACGCCACTCGTCAAAGCGGCCCAACTCCTGCCGCTCAAGGTTTTATGAAGAAGTCCGTCGTTAGCTGCCTCATCCTCTGATACTCGTGGTCTTCCAGTAGCGAGAGCACTGAAAGTCGTGTTGCCAGTAAGCTCCGACATCATGCTATCCTCCGTGTCTCCTTGAGGACTACCTTGCTCCTGCTCCATGAGATTGGACAGCCGATTGTGCCGCAATGGCTGCTTAGGCGTATACCGTCCTTCTGTTTCAGACTCCGGTGTATTGATCAGTTGGGATCTCGGTCGCCTGTGCAGTGTATGGGCTATCGGCCGTGCCATCTCGAGCTGCATGGACAGGCGCTGGAGTGGGAGTATCATGTCCAGGTGCAGAACTGCTCGATCTCGACTTCTTGCTCATAGCCATCTCTGGATCCTGCTCCGCATTCGGGTCGTGGTTAGCCCTCCAGTGGGCTCGCTCCCTGCCCTCCGCATGTGCTGACTTGGGTCCGAGGCCATACTCGGTATTCTTGATACCAGCAAATAATAATATACAACTGGCAAGCACACTCAGCCATCCAAGCCAGACAAAGACCACGGCTGCGACTGCGCGTCCATTCTTCCCGTACACCATGGGTGCCTCTTTAGCCTTCTTGCTTGTCGCCACAAAGCTCTCGCAAGTCGCTGCATCGACGCCAGAGCAATAACTGCGATGAGTTATTGTGACGATCGTTAAGAGGATCGCAGAAGCAAGGTGGAACATCACTGCAAGGACTCCAGTAACCTTCCAAGCCACGCGCACACTCTTGTTCTCGTAGCGTTCGGGCCAGATCAGGTCGAAGAAGAATGCCGCGCCGAAGATGAAAGCAACGAAGACGCCGGCCCAGATGTTGTAAGATCCAGCTGCGACGTAATCGTTGTTGTGAAAATAGAGGTCAGGATAAGGACCGGTGGGTGCGCGGAAATATGTCTGAACGTGGCGCTGGATGGAGATGTAATCTGTCGAAAGGTTAGCTTCTTGTCGGCTGCAATGGGATAAGCTACATTGTAGACAAACCCGACAACGCAGCCGTGCCCAAGGACTCGGATATTACACAGAAGATCAAGGCGCATTGATAGACCGCCAATTTCGTTCGTCGCAGATGGTAGTCTCTGTTCCCGAACATATACTTGCTGCTAAACTTTCCCCATTGAAGCTCTCCAAGATCCAGTCCCCATATTACTGGTGCCATAATGTCTCTCCGCTTTGTCGATAGTAGTGCGATCAGTGTACAGATATGATTACCGCACGTGTGCTGTTCTATGGCCCACTGAGGATGCTCAGAGCGACTACAGGAAGAAGATCAAGAGTAGTGATATGAGCAAGCGAAGGAAGTGCGAAACGCAGTCTCTGGACAGACCTGTTGCTTTTCCTACTAGGTCGTTGCTGGAAGGTGAAGTCCACAGTCCTCGGATGTTCAAGGAAAGCGAAACCGCGTTCCAAAGCACAATCTCCGTGCTGATCAAGACATTCGTGGCGAAAGCACATGACTTTGTCAGACGTTGTGTACGGAGTAGTCTTGGAGATATTTCTGCTTCCGATATCCGAGAAAATATCGTGCTGAGCATGATGACGAGGATTTCGCTCGGTCCTTGTCGATGGGAGCGTGCAAGAAGTTTCTACGTTATGTCGAATCAACCTATGGTTTCAAATCCAGTAGGCTCACCCCGCGAATTGTTGATGCAACATTATCGTCCTCCAGTAGTCCTAGAGTATAGCATGTTTAAGCTTCAGCCTTTGTCACACCCGAAGCATCCGGTTCTTCGGAAGTGGCTTGGCTGACGGCGAAGCTTACTAAGGTATGCACGCATGTTCTTGGATCCAATATCATGAAGAAGCAATGAGCGAGGATCGGAAGTATAGGCGTTACACAGTGGCTGTTACAAAAGCCAAAAAGCAGCAGAGGGAGTGGAGAAGACATATGACCGAACCACAAACGCTGAACAAGACTACTCAATGCATATCTTATACCCTGACCTACCGTCCCAATATCGACTTCATCCAACGCTTCACCCGCTCACGTCGACTACGTTTCGACATCGAAGCAGTAAAATCCAAAGACGCTTTCCTAACGACCTTGTATTCCGGCTTCGACTCAATCTTCTCTGCTCTCGCCCTCTCCAGCTTGTCGTGAGCCTCCTTCTCGGCAACGACAAGCCGTTTGAAGGCGGCGAGAACGGTATAACTGGCACTCTCCACACGATCGAAACGTCGACGACGATTCACAACAACAAAGCGCTCGGTATCATCCTCGCGATCTTCCATTGCGTGACAGGCGACTTTTGCTTTCCTTACCTCGTGCTTGACTCGCTCGAATTCTTGTTGGGCCTGCTGGGCTGCGTCGATCGATAGTTGCGCACGGAATCTGGCTTGTTGTGCATTGTGCTCCAGTATCCTGGCTCTGTAAGGTGTGGATTCGCTCATCTTCGTGGATAGTATTCAGCTTGTTGCTGAGCATTGTGCGTACTACCACGTCTGTATTAATGTACGGGGATTGTGTCTCGTGCGACAAAGACATTCAGACATTCAGTAATAACACCAATCACAAAGAAAGCATTGTCGAACCTGTCCTGAATGCTTTGTCCTTGTATGTGACGATCAGAGTTCAATGTAACGACCTCGGTCTGTGTACGACAGTGGGTCCACGTGACAGCCAATCGACCAACATTGGTCTCGTTCACGCTTTCAACCAGTCTTGATCATTTTCGTGACATGACTCTCATACCAGTCATCCCAATGCACAACCTTTCGTTCTCGTCGTGCTTGGTCAGCAGCGAATACCGCAGCATGGCTACGAATCACTTCCTCAAGAGTGCAGCCTAGATACTCTTTCTGCGCCTCCTCAACACCCATCTTACCATCCATGACAGCAGCGACTGCTTTGACGAACATTGTCGCCAGGCCATCATCGCCACCTCCATGATGACTATTGACAGGCACTTCAGGATTGTAGACCTCTGTGCTGTCATTTGTGAAATCGTGGACAGTAATAGACTTGCTGTCGTAGCTGATCTCGCCATTCGTGCCGTATATCCGCCCTCGACGTTCGCATTGTGCTAGTGTCTGTGCGATCATGTGGAACGTGGCTGTCTTTGAGCCTTTGCCCGTCCCATGTACGTCGTCCCACTCGAATGTCACGGTCTGATCGTCGCACACATCGTTATCACTCTCCCACACGCATCGACCGTACCACGGACGGCTCTCGATGTCTTGGACAGGGGTTGCATCTGCGTCATAGTCTTCTGCCAAGGTCACAAGCAGAGCTTTCTCCGCCGCCTCCAGACCCACTGTGACCAGTATATGCGGGATCTCAGGGTTGACAATTTCAACTGGCCACTTCGCTTTGCCTTTTGCGAGATGCTTGTCGTTGTAGATGCGTTTCGCAGAGTACATGCAGCTATCCTTGATTAGACAGGACATGCAATTTGTGGCATCCCCAGCTTCTCGAGGCTTCCGAGCACGCTTGAACTGTTTTAGACTACCGCTGCTGCTGACGGTCGCTGGAGTGTGAGCCTGCGCGCCATCACGACCAGGAGGCGGCGAGCATAACATCCAGAGTACGAAGTCGATATCGTGACAACTCTTGGTCAGAAGACTCGGAGCAGCTATACTCTCCTTACGCCACTGGCCTCGGACATAGGAGTGGCTGAAGTGCCACCAGCCTACAGGTTCGGTGTGCTCCAGGCTCAGCAAGTCGCCTATTACTTTCTTTTCGAGCAGAAGATGGCGAAGCAGCATGTTGTGGGGACTGTATCGCAGGACATGGCCGATGGCAAATACACGAGTAGGGTATTGTGAGAGTGTTCGCTGTATGTTTAGGCAGTCGGTTAGCGTTGTGGCCAATGGCTTCTCGCACATTACATGGAACTGGAGGGGTGCCAAAGCAGTGACAACTGAAGTATGCATATCGTCCTTGACGCATACGAAGACTCCATCAACGCCAGGGAGGACGTCCGAAGGGTTGGCATTTGCATCTTTTCTTCGCTGCTCCTCATAGACAAGGAAGTCATGCCAGTCATTAAAGCTATAAGAGGCCTCCGCGTGATGTCGTACATCGTTCGGTATATAAGCCTCTGCAAATTGATTCCGCTTGAAAGCGATCGGCTCTGCTATGGCGGCGACGACTCCCAGACCAGAACGGATAAGGGCAGCGGCGTAGGCTGTACCTCGAGAGCCGGCTCCGATCACGAGAAAGTGTGGTTTGCGACTACTACCACTCCCATCGTCAGCTGATGCTTCGGACCGTGGACTGTCAATGTAGGGAGCCATGATCTTGGGATGCTACGATGCTGTCAAGAAGGAATTGGGAAGAAATGATAAGAAGTGAGTCGGCGTGTAGCTTCCGATTTGGGATGTCGGCGCCACCCGCGATAAACCCGTGGTTGTGGTTGACGACATGGTCATCGTCTGGTCGCAAATGCGTTTGCATTCGCAATTGTACTTGCCATTCATCCGATCACACCGACGACCTCAGCGAACTTTTCAATATACCCTTTTCTGGCACCATGGGCTGGTTCTGGACAGATGCAACGGCAGTGCCGACGAGTGCGCCACATCCACTTCCTAGATCATCGAGCAGCGAACCACCAGTATGTCGCCCGAGCAGTAAGAGTCCGGTATCACGCACTAATGCTTCGTAGCCATCATGCCCTATGCACAACTCATCGCGCAAGCCTACACCTCCACCAGCACAACTACCACCTGCGAACGACAAGGAGAGCGCATGCCCCTACAAGCCTGGCGAATCTGAAACTCCTACTGCATCCCCATCATATATCTCGAAGCTGAATCCGCTGAATTACATGCCATCGAACATATCGAATGTGAAAGAGTCAACCTCACAAGCAGTCATCCTACCACTAGAGCGAGAAGCATCCACAATACCACGAGGCGATGGCACAGGGACATGGGAATATCCTTCGCCACAGCAGATGTATAATGCTATGCTGCGGAAAGGATACACGGATACACCTGCGGAACATGTGGAGAGCATGGTGGCAGTGCATAACTTTCTGAACGAAGGCGCGTGGGAGGAGATCAAGGGATGGGAGCAGAGATTCGGCCGAGGATTATCTGCAGGCTGGGACGCATGCCGGAAGGGTGAAGAAGGCGCGATTATGGAGGCGATGCGGCGAGTACGGAGAGGAGAGGTGGATGCTGAGCCAAAGCTACTGCGCTTCATGGGACGACCGAACGAGCCGACACCGAAAGCACGAATGCTAGGTTTCATGGCATGGCTATATCCTAGCCAGTTCCCAGACAACCCACCTTTCGACCGACACGACTGGTTTGTGCAACGACAACATGCGAATGGTGAGAGTCGAGAAGTGCGGTATGTGATTGATTACTATTCTGGACCTCCTGAGCCGACTGGTGAACCCGTCTTCTTCTTGGATGTCCGACCTGCTGTCGATGGTCCCACTGCGGCTTGCGAGAGAATGATGCGATGGGGTGGCGATGTGTGGTATAAGGCGAGCGGCGGCAGTGTACGCGAAGAGCTCGCAAGGCACAAGCAGGCTGGTGGGAGATGATTCTGGCGTACACTGGGTGTAGAGTAATTGCCATTGTGGTGCTACTGTGGGTTCAAGCGACGGAGTCTGGGCTTTCGGGATGCGTGCCTCCAGTCTTATTGCGCACTCAACTCCTCCATTGTGGTGATCTTTGCTTTCATTCGATCCGCGTCGACACTTTGTGAAGTAATGGTTGTGCAAGTGAAATCACCTGTCCGTTCATAATTGATTTGAGTTTCTGCTAGCACATTGACCATCAGGCTGTTTTGTGTATTGCCGGTACAGAACTCAGTTTCTGCAAATCTACTCACTTCAATTATAAACTTGTGCTTTACGGTGTTCATCTATATCTTCATCTTGACAGGCACTTGAACAAACCGCACCTAAGTTTTCTTCTCTCCATACGACTTTTCTAGAATGAAGGTAGTACAAGGAGATGTTTCCGACTGGACGGCTAGAATCCCTTGTATATTGACGTCGCGACTCTTGACCTCACCTCCTCTTCAAAGTGTGTAGATCTCGACCCAAACATGAATATCTCAGTTCGACATCTCTCCTGCAACAGACTGGACAGGGCCGAGAACCCAATGCGGCACTACAGCCGCCTTAGGCAGGGAGCATCGAGATCTTGCCCTTGAGCTCACTGGCGACGGAGTGACGCTCCGACATGCTCGGATGTTTACTCCGCAACTCGAGGCGACACTTCCCACCATCGTCAATCAGACACGGCCGAGAGACAGACTACGACAGGCTCGCGTACAACCACGTACTGACACGCTACTGCTGCCTTGGGACCGCGCAGCCATGTAGACAGCCATGCCAGTCGGATCCTCTCCAATTGTGCTGCCCAGCAGAAAATCGAAAACGCGGGGGCTCAGCATCGTCAGCGAGCGAACGACTGACTTCGAGAGCAGCCCGTCCCCACGTACCAGTCAGAACGACTCCGGCGACTCAGCGCCCGCTCGCAAGAAACGTCGAAGGACAGCTTTGACACGAAATGCCTGTACCAAATGTCGTCTCGCGAAAGCCAAGGTAAGTAAGTGATGAGCAGGCGCGCAAACTCACCGTGCACTTGTGCCACCCGCCTCATGAGGAGCCGCGTAGGCGAGAGCTTGTCGAGAGCTCAGCAATCTCCACAGCACTCCATCGACCTATAGTACCACTCCCTCCGCCATACACCCCACGTTTCACGAACAACAATACCTCACAAATCGCGCGAACGTAAGCTGACAGTTGCAAAGTGCTCCGGCAAACACCCGTCTTGTGCTCGCTGTGAGGCGAGTAACGTCACCTGCGTCTATGATGTCTCCGACGAAGGCGTCACACGAACGCAGAATCTACAACAGAAGCTTGAGGTGAAGAGTCGAGACTACGATCGCGTCATGAGTGTGCTTCAAAGGCTACAGAGTGGCACTGACAACGAGGCCGCCGGTCTGCTAGCTCGGTTGAGGTTGGGCGAAAGTGTCGAGCAGGTTACTGAGGATATGGCACCGCGTTCTATTGAAGGGTCCACAGGGTAGGTGAACTACTAGCGCCTGAGTTGCGATGACTACTTGAATGACTGTTGAGCAATAGTCGCTATTCCGAGTCGAGCTCACCACAATATCAAAGCTCAATGACCGCATTCCAAAGCTGGTCTCCTTCACCAGACCTGCAGGCCTATGCAGGAACCATGCCCTACTTCTCGCAAGCCACAGGAAGCAGTTTCGACCTTCCACAACTCGCCTCAAGACCAGTCCAACCCATACACGGTACCGCAGCAGGTCGACACAAGCCATTCACCTCCCCCGTCTCCACAAGTCCAATGGACATGTACGACCCAAGTTCACCACACGGGTACCATTTCATCGACCCAAACTACGCCCCGGACGCATGATACCGCCACCTGCCTCAGATCTCCTTCGGAGGCGCCACATGGCCACCCGGCACCAAAGCTCGGACCGAGTCTCCTCAACGACAGTATATCACTAGCCCACCACCAGAGCTCTACCATTCAAGACCCGTGCAGCCACCAGTAAGCAAATCTCCACAACTACCTATGTAAGCAAATTACGGTCCCTCATCACAAGACCACGGTCGCTTCGTCTGGGCTTGCAGTACCGGCGATGGAATGGGCGGAATCCAGGGCATGCCGACACATCGCCGGTACAGCGATGGTAGTCCGCGGACAGCCATGGTAGCTCGCGGGGAGGTCAGGGACAGGCTTTCGAGATCCTGACCTCAAAGGAGTCGCAATGATAGTAATGACGGCAGCACGTACACGATATGGCCGGTTCCCTTGCCTGACTCTTGCCGCATCAGGGGAGACAGCTTTCCTGGTCGCAGGCCCCTCGCCGAACAACGTCCTTTGTTTCCAATGTCACAAGTTAGCATGGACGTTTCCAGAAGCGGCAAAAGTTAATGAATGTACGGCAACAAGGCGTTCTTATTTGTGTTGGCTACATATCGATGACGATGCCCAAATTGCGAGTCAATTTCTGTTACGATTATGTAGTGAATCAGTGTTCCATAAGGCTAGCGCGAGAGAAGGACAAGCATCGGTATCTAGGTTGTCATAGACACGGTTAATACTGCCTGGCATTGACCTGGATTTCCGGTGTGCGTGGCGCGGGCTTTACCTCTGCATTCAAAGGCCGTCATCTACGACCAAGGTCTACGTCCAGAACTTTGATGATCTCCGTACTATCCTGCTCCACACCATTGACGCCAAAGAAAGGTCGCACAGCCACATCCACGACTCCCTCGAACAGCCCTTCCACTAAGCCACTGAGCTCATCGCCCGTCTGCTTGAAATCCGGGAAAGCATTTACTTCGAGCAACCACGCCGTGCCTTGTGCATCTACCAGGAAATCCAGGCCGAAGATCTCGAAACTGTTTGGCAAGGGCTGGAAATGGATTGACATGGTTCTAGCGGCCGCCTCGAACGTTTCTGCTGTCGCGGCGCAGATCTGTTCAAACACGTCTTGGCGCCAGTCAGAGGTATTCTCTGCGGTGTTGAGGTTCGGGAGAGTAGACGGCAGATCCCAAAATGCTTCGACCGAGCCTTCGCGTTCGCCACTTTGGAGACATGTGTTTGTTAGATGTCTGCTTAAGTCTTCTTCGCCACTCGCTGCAGAACCAGGTGGCGTGTAGTCCTTTCCTGCGAAGAGGGCTAGCATGGGTCTGTACACGTAGACTTTGAGGGCACCTACTGCGACGACGTAGGTCCGGATGTGAAACTTGCGGTCCGCGCTAGAATGTGGTGGGGGTAGAAGGAGTGATGGATGGATGTAGGGCTGAGCAATGAAATGACGGAGTTGAGAGGTCATTATTCCATTGTTGCCGTCATCTTCGTAATCTGTGGGCTTTGGAACTCGGTCTTCGCCGCCTTCATCTCCTGAATGGTCGGCTTGAGCCTCATCGCCCTCGTCCTCGTCCTCATCATCGGAAGGCGGGTCCCACTCCTCAAAGATGGCAGTCAATTCTTCCTCGGAACTGAATAGCCTGATGCCTTGCCCACGTTCACTCATGCCAGGCTTCAGGATCCACCACTCCTTCCCCTTACCACGCTCGCCCGCCCCTTCGTCATCAATCGCAGCATTCCTGGCCCAAGACTCCTTAAGCTCCCACGCTTCCACCAGAGCATCGTCCAGGAACTCAGCATAATCGACCTCGAACTCCACACTAGGCTTTACATGATCTTTCAGTATCGAGTCCGGATTCTTGGTAAGCCAATGCGAGATGGTGGTTGATAGATAATGTTTGCGTATCAGAGCTTTGCGAATGATGTAGCTGTTTGCCAAAGATGTGCTGGGATTGTCCAGGAGATGCTCAAAGTCGATTTGCTCGTATTGTCGCCACTGAAGATATTTGGCATTTGAGAGTGGCTGTTCCGGTTCTTTATCTTGGATGAATACCAGAAGCTCTGGCGGAAGTCGAGACTTTATGGCCGCTAGAACCAATGGCTGCACATAGGCGTCTTCGTAGTCGACGTGCAGATAGATTCTATCGTTCGGCTTGTCCATCATGATTCGGGAGATCCACGAGCAGTTCGTATTTGGACTGCGAATGTTTCCTTCGTAAAGTGCTGCACTTCGGAGGAATGTCGGACCGAATCATGTCGTCTCGACCGCCACAACACATTCACATCACCCCTTCTTCGCCACCGCACCCTTCGCAAAGAACGAGCTCAACTTCTTCATCCCAGACGTATCAGCCTTCGCAAGCTTTTTGACCCCCTGACTAACATTCTTCTTATTCCTCTCCTCCTCTTCCTTCTTTCTCCTCTTGGTTTCTGCTTTCTCCAGACCTTCTTCGTCCTGACCGCCAGCTCGTTTTCGGCTGATGTTGTCGCTGATCGAGCGCAGAGCTTGTGCTTCAGATTTGAGCTTCGTAATGGAAGCGAGATGGGTGTCTAGAGGTGCGAAATCGATGGCCTGTGGCTCGGAAGTGTCGAAGATGATAGCCAGGAGTCTGGGTGCAAAGGTTGGTGGGATGTAGTTCGTGCAGAGGTATTTGAGAGCTGTACGGATGCGCAGAAGATGTGCAAGCTCTTGGTTGGCCTGATGTGCTTTCTTCTGCGGACCTGCACCTTCGGCGGCATCTGCCTCTTCCACCATGCTGATGCTGCTATCCTCTCGCCTCAAGCTGATCTCGGGCACTTCTAGTGGAATCCTTACAAAGTGCTCTTCCATGCTTACCGGCAGGCCAACTTCTACCATCCTCTTGGCTTTCTGCAGCAAGACAGCAGCAAGCTTGTCAATGTTCAGCTTGTACAGCTTGTCCTCCCCCATGTCCAGATTGTCGCAGACAGCTCCCATCCTCCCCTCCATCCTTATTTCTAGATCGTTCCCAGCTTCAGACCGGAAAATCTGTCTTAGATGCATATAGCCATTATTCTCGTCCGAGAAGAGCCTGTCGTAGAACGTCGCCCACTCCTCGCCTGCTCCTGATTTGCCGGCAGACCATAAAGCAGGAAGCATCAGAAATAGCGAGTCGACAGGCGTCGCGATGATGAGGTCTGGCGTTTTTAGCATATAGCCATTCTCTCTCTCTCCATCTCCGGCACCAATGGCATCATCCTGGAAGTCTGGAGTCAAGAGCATACTTCTGCATGCCTTTTTCGGGACTGACACCTTCGTGAGCTCATAGCACCCTTGCTTGGGGTCGACATAGTATCGATGCGATCTGCCAGCGGCCGGGTGTGGAAGAGTGACGAAGCGAGACAGGCCATCTGCCGATGTACTTTCTGTTAGGATAAATGCTGTAGGCGGGTTCTGCTCGGCGGCCGAAAGCGTGTGCTTGCTGGTAGATTCTGCCTTGCTTTCTTGTGACTGAGGCGGCGCTTTAGACGTAGCTGTCTTCTTGGCCCGAGTCTTCATCTTGGGCGTGAGTATTGCGAGAGTCCGCTCAGAGCCTCTCTTGCTATTGTCGATGCGACAACGATTCCATATGGTGGAAAGTGATACGCGCTGCACACGCGTCAAAGCGCGGCTGTGGGGTAAACTTAAGCCAAATTGATTGAGCTTCATGCATGATCCATGATGTATCTGTGAAACACTTAGTGTTGACCACAACAACAATGGCTTAGACAACCCGGTATCGCTGGTAAAGCTCGACGAGAGGTGGTAGAGATCTTGTGCTAAGATGGTGGTGGTACGAGAGTCACCACGCACAAAGATCAGCCCGGACAAGAACAACACCCAATGGCCGCCCAAGTCGCCCTTCCAGGCCCTACTGTCTTCGCCAAGCGGAAGGAAGAAGTGGCAGGATCGCGGCACGAGGGAGCGAGAGAGGTCAACATCTCCCTCGCCTATGAAGAATACGCAGCATAGCTCGAGAGCGTTGCAGGCAATGGCCGGCGGATCGGAGGACGAGATGGAGGATCTGGATGAAGAAGAGAGGCAGGCACAGCTCGAATTGGCGGCGATAGAGGCGAAGCTTAAGCTTGAGAAGATCCGCCAGCGCAAGAAGCTCGCTGCGGCTTCAGGCGAGAACGCCGGGAGCAGTAGGGCAGCATCAGGGACTGACTCTGTCACGACCTCTCCAAGGAAGTCGCTGCGCCCTTCGCTGTCACAACCTGACCTTCGGAGAGCGCATGTCGAGGTTCCATTGTCACCCCTTCAAAACCGCATTGACCCTGCGGAACAACTTTCTCCTGCTCGGAGACGCCTCGGACTCAACAGCAGTGCTCTGGCCGGGGATGTGTCCCTCAAACGAGCCCGCGATGGCTCGCAGATCAAAAGGTCCGAGTCTTCCCACAATGAGATGCCTCGACCGAGCTTCAACGACAGGCTACGAGCTACACAACAACGTGCCGATGACCAGGAAGCCAAGCATGATCGGATCGAGCGAGTGCGAAACAAAGGCTTTGATAAGGTAGTGTCAAGCTTTGGCGAAGTGGCGCGTAAGGTAGAGCAGGGCACGAAGGGGAGTGAGAAGATCTCAAATATAGCGTCAGTGCGAGAAACGCGAGGTACGCCACGTCAAACCCGAGATGCTTCAACGACATCAAGTCGACCTTCTCGCTGTTCGGAAGCAAACGCCCAAGCACCATCAAAATCGAATGGACTCTTCCAAAGCATCAATCACAAATCCAATGAGCTACCTGACAATTCCTCGAGCAACATTTCGAAGGACAACGAAACCTCAAACGAAATAACATCAACACCAAGCTATGAAACCTTCTCGGAGCTTCACTTGACCAGACGCCACCTTCCTCACGTTGACATAGCCCGCGCCATGGAAGACAAGGAAATTTACACCCTCCCTCGCCTGCTCAAAGAAGTCACAGCACCCTCTTATGATCCACCTGATTGCGAAAGCGACTGGGTTGTCTTCGCCATTGTAGCATCAAAATCATCCCCGTACGACCAGAAGCAATCACATCGAACCTCGGACGAAGGAAAGCCACAGGATGATGCCCTAGCACCGCGCAACAAATTCATGGTTCTCAAGCTCTGCGATCTGAAGTGGGAAGTTGATTGCTTCCTGTTCGGCACAGCCTTCGACCAGTTCTGGAAACTCACACCGGGCACCTTACTTGCCATTCTGAATCCGGACATCATGCCTCCTAAGACAAATCAACACTCCGGTCGCTTCAGTCTCAAACTTGGAAGTTCGGAGGACTGCGTAATGGAGGTAGGTATGGTGCGCGATCTTGGTTACTGCAATAGTGTGAAGAAAGATGGTCAGCACTGCGGCGAGTGGATCGACAAGAGGAGCACTGAGATCTGCGAGTTTCATCTCAATTTATTCATTGAGAAGCAGAGGAAGGGAAGGATGGAGGTCAACGGTATGTGGCGTGGTACCTCTAGTGGTGACTCGGACTCCAGGGCTAAGAGTCGAAGTCGTGAAGCCGGTGTGTTCGATAAGCAGATGAGGACACAACAACAGAAGGGCAAAGGCGGTGTTGGCAGTGGAATTACGCAGTCAAGGGAGTTCGGGACCTTGTATTCTGTCAATACTGGGTCCTCGGCTGCTGACCTCCTGGACGCTGAAGATCGCAATCAGCTCAATGGCTGGGCGGAGCACGAGGCCAGTCGGAAGCGCATCGCAGCCAAAGAGGAAGAGAGAAAACTGCAGCGTACCCTCGCGAAGCTTGGAGATGGAGGTGACAGTGTCGGCGCTGCATGTTTGCGCGATAAGACTGGCCTGGCGCCTACGATGAGCCTGGAAGCTAAGGCATTATTCCAGAAACCCAAAGCTGCTGATCTGGGACTCTTGGGTAACAAAGCAAGCACGACTCACCTCAGTCCCTCAAAAGAACGCAAAAAGCACTTTGGCCTCGGCGCCCTCACAACATCCGGCCGTGATGCAATCGGCTGGGGTGGCGCAAGAAAGGTCGAAAGTGCCCTTCTCAAACCTTCTGCCACTGCTGCGAAGCGTCTTGCCAGTCCTGAGAGAGGACAGACGAGACTGGACCCGATTAGACCTCCTGCGATCAGGGCCCGGTCACAGGATGGGAGTGCGGGCGGGAGTCTCAGTAGTCCTACGAAAAAGCGAGCGAGATTCTTGTTGGCGGAGAAAGGCTTGAGAGAGCCCGGGAGGGAGAGTGGAGGGGTTGAGTTGAAGTTGAATGAGGATGATGATGATTTGGATATTGTGTAATTGGCTTATGCTGAGTTGCAATGAGTTCTTCAGCTTGCTAGAAGCCAACTAGGACATCAAAGCTGTGTCTGCTATGCGAAAGCTTTTTTCTTCTCATAGCCTCACACCAAGTTATTGTCGTCGCTCCCGACATGCCACGGCTTTCTGGGCTTTCATAATCGCTGGTCCAAATTCGTAGACGAAGTCTAAGGATCGTTCTCCATCCCGTCGTGGTCTCAGGTGCCTGACCGTATCCACAGAAATTCCTCCTCGCCAGCTGGACAGGCACCTGATCATCGCTCTGCTCTGTCAGAATGAACTCCCCGGCGATAGCGCCCTGTTCCTGCGCCAGTTCTCCTAGATCGGAAGTCGACGCCTCGAGGCGATTGGCCTCGAAAGGCACCGGATCGTGATTCTCTTCATCAGACGTCAAGTCACGCTCTCTAATCAGCTCCCGTGTACACAACACTTCGACGATCGACAACTTCTCGATGTCGGTGAGTTCAGTACGAATGGTGTCGAGCAATCCTCGTAAAGACTCAACCTTCGGCACACCGTCCTCAGGAGGTATACCACTCGCGCGATGAATGGACAACTTTTTCAGCGTCTTGGCATGTCGATGCAGGAACCCGACAAGGTCTTCAGTACTATGCATACCCAAGCAGCCTAGTCTAGCACTGGGTGCTGGGCCGCGAATATGCCAATCAAGGTCAGTACACCAGGTGATGCAGCCCCGAATAGTCAATAGCTCCAGCCGTGGGAAGAAGAGCTCACGTAGAACGTCAGTTGTCACAAACCGGGATTCGTATTCGAAGCAGTGCACAATCAGCTCCTTGAGTCGTTCGAGTCTCCGCAAAAGCTGTACCCAGGCTGTGGTGTCTGCGGAATCTCGGTCTGGCTCGTCGGAACGCATGATGGCGTCCAGCTCTCGATCGGGCTGTACTTCCAGACTCATGCTGGTCACCCAGCTGAAAACATCTCGCGCGATGATGGGATGAATCGATAGATATGAAGTGCATGCCGACCCTAGAAATGATATGGGCATCCACAGAGCGAGGTGTAGGCCACTCAGTCTGCCAGTAGACGCGGCCGCCGCGAGCGCCTTCAGGAGGAGTATGGGCTCGGCGAACAGTCGAGGTCGATCCATGACGGATAGACTGAAGCGTGCGCACCTAAGCGTCTGCTCCGACAGTACCTCACCCATGGTCATATCCTTATGCCCCTCAAGGGAGCTCTCACCCCGGTGATTGCTCCATGAACGGCGCTTGCTGTACGTGTTCTCGAGGAGGGAATCATGATCCCATCTTGATCCCCATGGCTTGGGCGATGAGTATAGCTGTTGCAGCGCTGGAAGAAGCGGCAGACATTGGAGAAGACGCGATTCGATCTCGCTCGATGACAGAAGGTCCTGCTGTTCAATTTGCTGTACTCTGATGTCTTCCAGCACACCTTCAAGAAAGGATGGAATCGGACATTTGCGCCCGGATTGAGACTGTAACATAGGCGCCAAGTGGTCTTCGTTTGTGGCATCAATGTCCATCAAGGGCGGTATGTATATGATATGTTTGATGCCAGCAGCATGTGGTGGACTGGCGCAGACATCCTCGAATCGTTGTAAGGAATCGCGAGAGATGTCGATGTATATACTATCAAATCGCATAGCCTGTGTCTTGAGAGCTGCTTCGCCGAGTGCGCGGCACACTAAGCGGGGCCTGAGCAAATCTTTGATCGACAGCAAGTGATCGTTGATCTCGCGCAGTAGTTCAGATGGTAGTCTGAGAATTGGAGACTGTGAAGACATTGTGTGTGATGAGTCAATCTCTCGATATTGTGTCGCGATGTTTGTGTTGTCACGGAGAGCTTGTCGATGGTTTGGTTGGGGATTGTGTCCAGAGGTGGGTGTTATAAAGGAGCTGTGCAGGTGAGAAATTCTCTGGCGAGTTATACGGTCGTGAGAACAGGTACCTAGTGACGAATATCTCAAAGACGTTGGACGCAGTGGTGACTACCGCACATACCCAGCTGACCGCTGTATCGTTGATGTATGCGTGTGCAATGTCCTAGTGAGCGGGAGCTGTAGAGTCAACATTGTCGGTGGCAGCGCATACCCGGTATGTGTTTACTGTTCGACCCCTGAAGAGGTCGATAACCGACTGGCGGCGCTCGAGGCAGGGGTCGTCCCAATCGATTGCGAATCTTAAACAGCGAAGTTATGGTGGAGGTCTGTCATGTCGATTTCAGGGCCGTGGGCGGCATGCAGGAGAAGATACAATGTCGAAAACATGGTCGGTGATTGTGCATACGAATCTGAAACATGTGCTCTCCAGCAGCACATGCCATACTGTATCAGAAGAAGATGTTAAATTGCTTGTCAGCATAAACATCTGGAGACATACCAGTATCGACGGTAGCATGGAACACGGACGTGTCTATAACGCTCAATATGGGCCAAGAGGAGTGAGCAGCAGCATGGATCAAGGAGGCCTCCGCTATAGCTAAGGAAGCAGGATTGGCGCCTCGAAAGAGGACGAGGTAGGTCGTCTCAATAACGACATCTCAGGACGTTGACTTCATCTGACAGGTGATACCTGGCCAGTTCCTCGAGGCACAGTACGACATGTTGCCCTCTAGGTACGTATCGGGCAAAACCAGTGAAGCATACCCGCGCAAAGCACGACACAAGGTAGTGTTACTTGTGCTCTTCCACAGAATTGGCTCGCTGATGATTCGGTAGCTTGTTCCAGCAGTCCTGTGGGCGTCCGTTGCCATGGTCGTCGTCGTACTGCTTGCTGCTGCCAAGACACTTGGTGGGATTGTGCTCGACCTGTGGCACAGCCTCTGAGAGCAGCAACTCACGACATGCCGGTTTGAACATCTCTCAGCGGCTTTCAAGGTTGGAAGAAGCGCATGTGTTTCTGTCATGTTTTGATCCTCTGCAGTCTCGATTGCCGACTCAAGAAGTCAAAATGCTTGCAGCGAGCTTATGCACGATGACGTCGATCAACGCGAGCGTGTCTCTTTCGCGTTCGAACTAATATGAGCATCTGTTCCTTAACTACCGACGAGTTAGACAAATATATCAATGGCAGGAGCAGCAGAGTTACAAGCGCTCTTGCGCTTTCTTTCCCAGGATGCCAAAGTTCCGTTGACTACTGTAGGCATCATGAGTCCGAGAGCGCTTCAGAACGTGGGCTGATGAAGGTAGGCCATGAGCAAAGTCAAAGAGCTACAAACGGCACAATTAGGATCACCAGAACTGCTGGCGAAAGCTAAGGCTACTGACTTGAAGTCCATGTTTAATGACGAGAAAGTATGCAAGCAAATCATCAGTGCAGCGAAACGGGTGTCCAAGAAGCGAGCAGCGGGCGAAGACATTACTCCTTCGCCCAAGAAGTCGAAGAAGACCTCTGGATATGCAGATCCATCTGCGCCGCCAGCTGACCTGGAAGCGACGTTGGAGCTACCCACTAGCGTTCTAGACGAAGATAAACTCTCGAAAGTTGTGGTCCATAGCAATCGGGCTCCGCTGTTCCTTGCCTTCACATTAACGTTGTTGAGATACGCAATGCCGGAGCAGCCACTGTCGAGCAGATTGAGTCTTGCCCAAGCATTCATTAGTACAAGCAGTCGATCGAGAGCCGTAAGCTTAGGCATTCAGACGCTCGACAGTGGCGAGGTAGAGGCAGAGCAGAGGCTCGCCGAGGGTCAGCCGACAGTCAAGATCATGGGCAAGGAGTTACCTGTGCTGCGACGATGGGGCTATGAGTGGCAGCGAGAAGATGCGCCGACGGATGATGGTGCACCAGAACATGATTCTGGAGAGCAAGTGAGCAAGCTCAAAGCCAATGCGGACAGGGAGGCTGTCAAATTCGAGGAAGCCGAAGCACAAGAAGAGCATCCAGCGCTATGGGCCCTCGACCTCGAAGCTCTAAGAAAGTCCAATAAGCACGACATCTCAGCGGCCAATGCCAAAGCAGGCAACAACAGTAACCTCCCAATCTATACTCCACAATCTGCTCGAGCATATATGGTCAAAGCCTTCGATGCTCCAGCAGGCGAGAAGGGAACCAAGACTTCTGCTGCATCTCGACTAGCGATCAAAGAGCGGAATTTAGGCCATCTGCTTCGTGCGCTTGACATGCTGTACAACTCGTGGACGTGCACCTTGACCTCTGACGAACTTGATGGTCGGACATGGGGCTGGTATGTCAAGGTTCGGCCGGATGTTGAGCAAGGCGTAGCTGGCTGGGGAGGGAAGAACGAGATTAGACTTGCTGATATTCTGGACTTACGGCATGGTAGATAGTACCGCCTTTGACATAGGAGTAATCTTCAACCTCTGTCTCAGGTCGCGTGCTCGTAGATCTGATGTGTCCGTGCGCTGCACTGTGACGTATTGATGCCATAGCTTCACTCAAGCACGACACCATCAAACGAACATCAATCTACCAATCTACCAATCAATTGTCCACTATGTCTTTCCTCAGAACTGTCCGCCAGCCTCTCCTCCGGCCATTGAGCCGTACGACTCCTCGCGTGGCCTTCGCCGGTCGTCGCTATGCCTCGCAGGACTATGGTTCACCAGAGGGCGACATGGTGAAGGAGGCACCCAAGGACCGCGGCCCCAACCCTTCCGAGCATCTCGAACATCCCGGTCCACCACCGCCTTCCACTGCGGGTAAAAGCGAGCAGCAGACACAGCAAGGTGGTCAACAACAGCAACAGCCAAAGTCCGATAACAGCGGCAACAACAAAGGTACGCAAGCCGCCCAGCCCAAGATTCTGAATGAGTCTCCGCCTCAAGAAGAACATGCGTCGGAGGAAGTGCAGAAGCACAATCAGGAGGTAGATCGACGAGCTGAACAAGCCGCTTCAAAGGATCGAAATGAAGACATTGAGAAGGATAAGGTTGGCAAGGATTTCTGGAGTGGTGAGTTTCATGTATTCTAAGTCCCTGATTCTTTCTAACGATCATCCCAGGTCACGGAGGAGCCGATAGACAGCCATAGAGAGCTGCACGGCATCATGAAGCCGAAGAACTGATCTCGAGGAGGACGCCGCTATGCCACCTGCTGCACATATGAGACGAAGCAATGTTTGCGAGACGAACATTTGTATACTACCACTACTACAAGCGATCGAGACCAACATAAGGTCTTTGAAAGCTTTGCACGCCAAGAGCTAGTCCAGAGCATACGATGTCCGGTTGACATGCAGGAGTGAAAAGAGCACTTCTGTGTTCAGGAATGCCGAGTATCGTTAATTCCAGAGTGACTTGCTATGTTAGTAATGTCTATTGTCTATATGTATAATTGCTCGTGGCATGTATCAAGGTCACAGTCTACTTTCCTGCCCCAGAAACTCCTTGCTAAGAGGATAATCGATATATCCATCCGGTGATTCTGCTTTGTAAAATGTCTTGCGGTCATACGGCGTAAGTGGGATGCCATGTTGGACCCTGTACGGGAGATCAGGTGTGCTGATGAAGAATCGTCCATATGCAATAATGATGTTCTCCTTGGTGTAGACCTCATCGACAGCTTTGATGGACTTTTCGGCATCGAAGCCACCAGCAAGTATGAGAGGCGCTTCAGTGCCCCATATCTCAGCCAGCTCGTCGTTGTGACCGGTGACAGTGGCGTACTCGGCGTCGACAGCACTCTTCCCGGATGTTCGAGACTCAACCAGATGGAGATATGCCAGGTCCAGTTTCTTCAGCTCCTTGATGACGTGCGAAAATTGAGGGATAGGATCCTTCATGCCCATACTCTGGAAGGTGCTCCAGGGTGACAGACGTATTCCGACTTTCTTGCTGTCACCACCACAGGCCGCAATGACTGCGTTTGTGACCTCGAGGCCGAAGCGAGCACGCTTTTCGATGCTGCCTCCGTACTTATCGTCTCGGCCTAGCCGCCAACAAGTTCTCGTCAGCCACGGTTCACGACAGTCGGGAAGGAATCACTCACGGTTAGAGACATCTTGCCAGAACTGGTCGATAAGATATCCATTGGCGCCTTCGTTCGTCAGCAACCACTCACATGCCCCTCAAATCGATACTGACCATGAATTTCTACACCATCAAAGCCGGCCTTCATCGCATTGCTCGCAGCATTTGCATAGTAGCCAACAAAATCTTGGATCTCGCTCTTGGTCAAAGCATGCGGCTCCTCATATTCCGAGCTGATAGCCTGAGCACTCGCACTGACGACGGGAAACGGACCCTCTCGCTGCAGATTCTTCGCAGCTGCATCTGCTCCAGCGGCACGTCCCAACGCCCAGAGCTGAAGGTAGATGAAGGAGCCCTTGGCATGAACAGCGTCCACGACCGGCTTCCAAGCCGATACTTGTTCGTCGTTCCACATGCCGGGTACATTGTTGTAGCCTCCAGCTTGGGGTGCGATGAAAGTGGCCTCCGTGATTAGAAGAGTTCCGGGGACTGAGGCACGCTGTTCATAGTACTCCACCATATGCTTTCCAGGCACATGGTCCATTGTGGACCTAAATCGCGTAAGCGGAGCCATGGCCATGCGGTGCTTCAGCTGGCAGTGGCCTAGCTGCAATGGCTGCGAGAGTCTCCCGGCTCCAGTCATGTTGATAGAAGCGTCCTGGCGTGAGTGATGGGCAAGGTTTTCTTGTCACTAGCTTGAGATGGATCTTGGCTCGTAGGCAAGGGAACGATGATGGGAGACTGGGCAAGAAGATTCACTTGCCTCTCATGGAGAATCAGTACTACATATATGTCCTCGTCGGCAGCCACTCGTTGCGATGACAAACCACATCAATCGCGTGCTAAGAAGACCTCGGCAGAGCAAAAAGACGAGACGAAATCAACATGGCCCGGGCGTTCTCGAATGCTGACATCATGTCTTGACCTTAATATACATGACTGCTCCCCTTCTCTGTCATCACACACTTATAAGTCCACCAACCCTAATTGATAGGCAAGCATATTCAGAGACTCTCGGTAGTCCGCATGCTTAGACGAGCCATGGCGACCGCAACCAAGCCCAAGTTGAATCCAAGATCATTTCCTAGGCCACCGAGTTGCGAAAAGACGCCGCGACATTTAGAAGTCAAGTGGAATGGACACACGATAGCTGATACGAAGGAGGCGTACTGGGTGCTCGAGACATATCATCCACCAACCTACTATCTGCCACAATCATGTCTGAAAATCCCCTTGCAGACTACGAGTAACAGCTCATTCTGCGAATGGAAGGGACGAGCAACTTACTACCAGCTCGAGAACCCAATTAAATCTGGTGAAGTCGTGAAGAACAGAGTCTGGAGTTACGAGTCACCTACGGCAGGCTTCAAGGATATCAAGAGCTACTTGAGCTTCTATGCGGGACCGTGGGATTGCTATGTTGATGGTGAAAAGGTTGAGCCGCAGCCTGGTGACTTTTACGGAGGGTGGACCACCAGCGATATCGAGAAGGAGAGTGTGAAAGGTGGACCAGGAACTTGGGGATGGTGATACACAGATTTTGTATGAGAACTAATTGGATGATGGCCTTCCTGCACCCGTCTGCGCCTTCACTTCGAGCAGTAAGTTCACATGAGTTCCAAGGCCACTGCCTGAAGTCTGCATGGTCAAGGTATCATGGTAGCTTACATGAAGTTCAACATTTGGTCTTTTCTCCTTTCACTTCACTTACATCTTCCAAGTCTTCGAGCTTCTAACATCGTTGGAGCGGCATTCAGCATGATTTCGGGAAAGAAACGACCAACCGCGCTCGTAAGTAAGGAAGCTGGTGGTTTGCAACCTGTAAGCAAGAAGTGGCAGCGCACCAAGTACGTTCGAGGGTTGGAACTGTGGACCTCAGAGCTCAACTGATACTTGCACTCCTAGCAGTAGATACACTGTGACTCCGACCAACGGCCACCCACAACACAACCTACTCTACAGACTACCACCGGAAATACGTAACGTGATCTACAAGCTTGTGCTGGTCGACAATCCTGGTCGATCAACATACGAAGGCGACATAGTTCTAAGGTACGGCAGATATCGTGGATCGCGTATCTACAACGCCAACGGCAAACCGATTTACAAGAAAGGCCCACGTCTTCGATGGCGAGAGCCAGCTCTTCTCCAAGCTTCAAAGTGGATCCGCAAGGAGCAAAAGCTGCTATACTATACCTCGCATACGTTCGCCGTCAAGTACACCTCTCACGACATCGGCCGCTCTGCCAGTGGCTCCGCTTCCTCATCAGCGATGTGGACGCCTTGAGCCTGCTTGCCCGTTTCAAAAGAGTGTTGACTCAGTACACGTGGTCCGACGTGCCGACATGGCTGCCATTGGCAAAGCTATATCGAGATGTCGAAGCCGTGGGTGTTCTGAAAATCTTTGTGGGCGAGGATCTGCCTGTGAAGCGTTACTCTGAGCAGTAACACGGGCTCTGGCAAGTAGCTAGACTGGGGTTGCAGGCCAGAACCGAGGACTGGGATAATGTAAAGCTCGAAAATGAGTTCGAGGACTGGGCCGAAAGGGTGCTGGCTAAGTGCTTGCCAATTAGAAAGCGTGAAACGCGCCACGCAATCAGTCTGGCAATGTGGAAGGAGAAGCGCAAGAGTACGCCGGACAGGCCCAGAGACCATCATTGCGAGGATTGCAGGTCCGAGGCACTTTAGCTTCGGTACACCAAGTAATGTGAAGCAGCTCGAAGGACTAAGACCGCAGCTGAACAGCGGGCGTGAGCTCGGGCGATGACTTCAGAAGGCCGGAAGAGCGATTTTACGATTGACCTTGAGCAAACCACTACGCGATTACCGTAGAAGGGCGGCAGCTGCGTCAGGTCATAGCAAAGGATCGGGATATGCTAGAATGTGCGCGAGAGTATGGTTTGGACGCTGGTAGGGTATTGTGGTTTGCCACAACCAGCCGCAAGCAGAACCGAGTGGCTGCTTGAACTACATGTCATCTTCCATGGTAAACGCTGCAATCAAAATGTAACATGTACGCTTTTCACGTCCCTGCCTTCATAGCCTCGAGCCTCCCGGTGCCTCTGCTGCTGAAGATTGCCATGATGCCAAAACCCACATAAAACAATGCTAGTGGGTACGCAACCAAACCACGCATATTCGTCATCCTACCAACCACGCAAAACATCGCCGAACTCGAGTATGTGCACCACGCAATCGCAAGTGATACCAGACAGTACCCAAGTAAGCTGTCCAGCGGCAGCATCACACCAAGCAAACTCGCAATGACCAATGGTAAAAGACAATACCCCAGCACCGAGCTCGACCGTCCAAGCGTCAATGTCGAGCTCAGACTCGGTGAACCGTAATGGCTGCTGTGTTGATTTTGTGCGGCATTCATTTCGTCCTGACTTAGAGGCGGAGACATCATACTAAAGATGAAGTTCAGACTGAACGCTCCCAGTGCTGCAAGGCCGCAGACATAGCCGAACCATAATTTACCCGACAGAAGGAGGAAAGTGCCGAATAAGGCACAGAAGAGGAAGGGTCCTGCCAAGTCCGAGTCGTCCATGATGTGTTGGTCTATTCGTGCCATTGGATTCAGGACTGTGAGTGTCTACAATTTTTGTTAGCTCACAATTCACATAGCGTTTGCTGCAACATCGTCACAACGCACCTTCGTCTGTATATGTCGGAAATTCACCCCAAGCTCCTCCAACAAAGGCGGCTCACCCTCGTACCCCTCCGTCCCGAATGCCGCCAACCACCCAGTCCTCAAGCCACTTTGTCCTGTCCCCATCTGTCCACTCGCACCCTGCTGTCCAGGGAAAGCACCAAAGCCATAGTTCCCTCCTGCTGCCCCAGGGTAGCTAGCCTGTGGAGGGTAAGCCCCGCTCTGTGCACCAGCCCCATAAGCGGCCTGGAAAGGTGTGCTATGCCCTGAGACTGGTTGTTGTGGATATGACGATTGGTAGAAGTTGAGGTTGTTTTGTGCGGCGTAGGAGGATTGTTGTTGGGGGTTTGGTTGGTAGCCGTAGGAGGCCATGATTTTTGATGTTCGGTGCTTGGGCACTTGTAACTAACGAGCTTGTGACCTGTTGGGTGAGTGGGAGAGCTCTATTCTATCTCATGATCATGGAGTGCTAGGTACTATTCGGACAGGGAACCAGGCGGCAATGACTGGGCAGAGAAACATTTGTTGGTGAAAGGTGTACTCGAATGTGGTTTCCACGTTGTCGAAGCGGAATGGTGCCGCCTGGAGTTCATCCCACTTCACCTTCATCCTTACATGTACTTCTCCTTCATTTTCTGGACATGCAGCAACATCAGCGACATAGGAACATCACTACGCACACGACCGAGTAGCGTCTCGGCGTGATATGAGAGTGCAACCGCCGCAGCCATTCTCATGCGAGCCGCATGGATCGTTTGTTAGCCCCTATCGATGGAGCCGTGTTCAGGACGACATCTCAATGCGTTCCAAGTCCTCCTACATTCTTACTGGGACCTGTAGTGCAACCTTGGCGATGACGAGGCTCTGACGATTTGTCGTGACGACTGAAACCAACAACAACGCTCCAGCTTCTTCGCCTTTGTTCTCCACAGCATAAATCAATTGACTTCCGCAAGCAGCACGATAAGACCTGGCTACCAGGTAGAGCTCCTCAATCCTCGCTACCGACTGCTTCAAAAGCCCGCCTGGGGTGCATGAACCTATTGCATCTACAACAACGATCAATACTCTGGGCTGTTAACGCCTCTTCCGCTGACTATGCTCTTGATACCTTTGTGTGTTGACAATGAGTTCCAGCTCGCAGCCACTGTCCGGTCTGTGTCTACACAATCAATGCGCCTTCAATCAATGCGCCTTGAAGCCTGTCGAAGATTTGTACCTACTTTCTCGTCTTTCGGCGTCCCACAGCATCAACCAGTCCAGACCACGCCATTCGGATCACTGGCTTTCTAACATTCATGATGTCGTCAGATATCAAGCAGCAGCTCCACTGGATGCAGCGAGTGGCATTGATCCGACACAATCTCCATGCTGCCAGTAGAAGCGGTGACTTTACATTTTTCAAGACACTGCAAGCAGGGAGCTTGATTGAGGGCACGAATCATGTCGCCACACTCAGCAATGCTCTCGGCGACGACGCTGATATTTTGCTTGCTGCCATGGATAACTTAAACGCAGGCCTAGCGTATGTACATCAGGATGCTTTCAAGAACGTTTACGAAAACCTTAAGAACTCAATGCGTGATGGCAACCAAGATGTCGACAGGTCCAAGCTCTACGTTGACATTACCATGCAGAAGAACATGGCAGATTTGGCTATCGACAAGATGGCAAGCTCCGCCGTCGCCTTGATCAACCTGCAACCACCGAATTTGCAAGACCTGGCAGTCAACGTCTGGATCACGGGTACCACTATCGTTGCAGATGCAATGGCGATCTCACTCATGCAGATGGACGAGATCGAAATGAGAATGGACGACTTTATCCGTCTCGAAGACTCCTGGAACACTGTTCGTGCTTCCGTGACTTGCGCCATTACCGGCATGAAAGGTGTCTTTTCTCTCATGGACACGGGCAGCAGCTCGTCAGCGAAAGAAACAGGCACGAGATCTGCAAGTATCGCTTCTGCTAGTGGCGCAATCTTCCGGCGCTTCTCCAGCGCCTTCGCTGGTAGTAGCCAGAGTAGCACAAGCCCAGCTCACAGCCGCAGCGCTAGTGTTGCATCCGCCGACGGCAACAACGCCAGTTTCACCCGTAATGGCTCTGTAAGCTCTTTGCCTAGCAATCCAGTCTATCGCACGCCGAATTACGTGCGCAACAGTGTCAGTAACGGCTGCCCGACAAGCATGCCTGCGCATCAGGACTACATGGCGCACAAGCTTAGCATGATTCCACCTACGCCTGCTTACGAGGAGGCAACCGATCCGTTTGACAACAGTGTGCCGCCGGTGCCTGCTATTCCAATAATTGCGGCTCTTCAGCCTGTTCTTGGTAGTTCGAGTTTGCACCAGAGGCGGATGAGCCTGGGGGCTGCAGTCTAGAAAATGTACGCGAGAGCAAGAATGGTACGGAGGATAGTACTGAGAATAATGCCCATGGACCGAATCTGTGGACAGTGTACATACGGCAAATATAGCCTTACGCTGATATGAATACTTCACCCTACTTCATGTTCTCCTGTGAAGTGACGTCGATGTACATGTGTATCTGGCTTTTGCTTGTCAAATTCGACTCCCACGTAAACGAAAACTCATCAGCACAATGATATCGCCACAAACCATGTCACCCAATATATCAATTAGAGACTCGATCCGTTGGCTTCCTGACGAAGCAGACGAGCCAACATCTACACTCGTGCTGACATCAGGCGAGAATCGGTTCGTGGATATCAGAATACTCAAGGGTTCTGAAAATGAGACGAAATCAAACCGTAAGTCTAATGTCACTAAACAAGACTTTTCATTGAGTTCAACCACAGTTCCCGTCCCACTGTTATCTGGCCTCGACTGGGCCTTTGCAGGATTCTCGCACTCGGAACTCCAGCACGATGATAATGGTAAGCCATACGCTCACTCCACCTGGCAACACTGGGTCTCGGATCGCGCGAGAAATGTCGACGAGGTGAAGGATGAAGGTGACATGTTTGAGATGCCGGACGGACGGACGCTGGAGAAGGGGAGGATGGTGAATCCCGCCACGGGGCAGGAGACCGACTACGAGGAGGTATGGAGGGACGGGGTGGCAAAAGTGGTCCCCGAAGACGAAAGCGATGGTGCCGATGATCGAGAGGAGGGCGAGGCGGGGAAGAAGAAGTGTGTAGTGCTTATGCTTCATGATGATGAGCATGAAGCGAGGGGCATGGTTGTGAGGATGGGGCAGTTCGTGCAGGGTGTTTTGCGAGCGGGTAGCCACTTTAGTCTGGAAAGGTGGGAGTGGATGGGCACTGCTCAAAAGGAGGGCTGGCAGCGAGTGGTGAGGATGGGCGATTCGTGGATGCCTTGTGGAGCAGCTACAGAGCAAAGGAGATTGGCACTAGGGAGCGAGATCAGGTTTGGAGAATACGTGTGGAAGGTTGTTGAGCTGGCGGACTTCTGATGGCTACCTTGGGTACAGCCTGTTGGACCATATGTAACAATGAACTGACAGGATACACGGTCTTATACATGCGTTGTTCCAAGTAAGCAGCATGAGTCATAGCAAGCAAATGCCAGATGAATATCTATGCCATCCATCACCACATTACCTCGCTCACAAGCATCCCCAGCACACCCAATGGCAAACTCAAACCTCCAAACCGAGCAATACACCGCCCCAAACTTCACCGAAAGCTGCGGCGCTATCGCCATCAAGAAAAGCACACGTCAGATCTGCCTCATAGGCCAACAGGGGAGATACGGCTACAACTACCTTCTCCCCAAAGGCCGTCGTAATGTTGGCGAGGACCGCACCTTCGTTGCAGTGCGCGAAATGCAGGAGAGACTGGTAACACCTGCCATCTGCTCGACGTGAAATTGAAGACTCGCGCGCCGCCCGCAGGCATCAATACTTTCGGACCATTAGACCACGAGGAGAAGGGCGAGCAGTTCATGATGACGGTGCGGCATACTGGTCCTGGACAGGTGAAGGTGATCTGGTGGTACATTGGTGCCATTGATGAGAGTGTGGCGAAGGCGCGTGAGGAGGATGTTTATGAGGCTGTTTTGTTGACGTTCGAGGAAGCCTTGCGGACGATTACGTACGAGGATGATCGAAGGGTTGTGAGGGAGGCTGAGAGGATATTTGAGCACTCATACCCAAAGACTCGAGCTTGATGTGGGTGCTTCGTAGAGGAACTATTTCTGTCATCTAGTATCATTACTTCTAGTCGTTCTTATGCTCTAGATTACATGACTGTACGGACGCCAGCGCCGCAGCGTTATCCATCTTTTTGCAACAGCGTCAAACATTAGTACGGCGCATCCTGCACAGCATGAATATATGTGAGCTCGCAACTCGAATCGTTGCCTTTCCAGTAGATCTAGCACACGATTAGCCAATCGACCACCTCATATCAAAGTAAAGCGAGACTTACCACACTCTCCTCCAGCTGCCCATCACAGATCGTCCAACCTTCCTCCTCGCCATCAACGGTAAGCAGATACCCATTCTTCAAGGCCAGATTGCCCGCCGGCTCCGCACTCGGCGAGAACATCAACTCATCTCCTTCGGCAACACCACCAGTCGAATTGTACTCATATACTCCTACACCCTCGATTCCGGGAGCAACAGACTGCAAATCACCGTTCGTGAGGTTGAAGCGTGGGAGGCTGCCGTAGCCTGGTGCTATGAGGCGGAGAAGGTAGTTCTTTTGGTTGAAAGGGTCGAATAAGGACGTTGCTGAGACATCTGCTAGGGCGGAAGAGTTGGATGTGGATGGACATTGGGAGGTCGCTACAAGCAGAAAGTTGGTTTGGACTGGTGTTTGACGTGGGTAGGGCGAGGCTGCTGCTAGAGTGGCAAGGAGCGTGGTGAGGATCGTCGTGGTATACATCTTCGCTAGCAAATTATTGGACGGTGATGTTCGGATCGAATAGCTTTAGTCAATTGCTTTGGTACTTGATGAGGAAGTAGCGATGAAATTGATATGAGGAAACAGGGACGGAAGTCACAGTCCTCAACAGTACTTCAGAGTAAGGAGTACAAACAATCTCCTCATAACCCCACATATTGTTACTCCGCCTACTCACAACGTGTAACTGCATGCCACCGATGATCCTTACTTGTTCCTGTGTTCAGGCCCACGGCGTGCCTGAAGCCTGACGGGTCGCAACGTCAATCTGCAACGACTGGCTCACGATCCTTGGAGATCCCGGCTGAGTACAACTCCATCGCAACTCGCGTCGGGCACTCGAAGTCGCCACCGTGGACTGGGAGATCACCGTGTCACTTGCTGGGGAATCGAAGTGATGTTTCGCGACACGTGACGCCATCGAGGGTTGATGTTGTACTTGTCAAGCCACGAACGGGATGACTTGCAGGTAAATAGGCGCTCAAGCACTTCGGCATCCTCCGTGATAGAGATCAGCAGGGGTACAGGACATTTCTGAGGCACTCCTTCGTCACTCGTCAAACACCAAAGACAAGGAGGAATCCTGTACAGAGCAAGCAGGAAGATGTCAGGCTCAGACAAGGTCTTATGTAATCAGTCGGTACAAAGAGCAGTCATCTGAGAGACCAACGCATAAATTCCGGCTGAGAAGTCTTCTCATGTACAATGCCATGCAATCCGATACTCTTACAAGAAATCTATACCCACACCGAAGCTGAGACCTTTCCTCCCTTCCTCACCCTTCCGCACAACAAGCGGTAAGCTGAAGTTGAGCTCAAAACGCGCAGCAGGATGTGCATACACAAGTCCAATACCCGCTGCAGCACTAGGTAATTCCTTCGTCAGCTCGCCGACAGTAGCCATGAGATCGCCACCCGCTTGTCTTGCTTTCTCCTGCCCCGAACCCGAAGTACCACTTCCACCAGACTCCTTCAAGGCGAGCAGTCGTCCACCGTTGATAAAAGCCTGCAGTCGTAGAGGTGTATCTTTACCGACTCGTGGCAACGGCAGGAGTAACGAGGCACCTCCAGCAGCAAAGACATCGCCGCCAAGTGCATCGCCGCCATCGCGAGGTCCAAGCCCAGCTAGGCGGAAACCACGAACATCTGTCGGTCCCCCTAGCTGGAAACGGTCATTGATCCTGCTATGGGTTGGTGGTGACCGTCCGCCTGGCGTGAGAGGGTACATGACTCCACCTCTCAGTCCAGCAGTGAAGGATACACCGCTGTCGCCTTCTATGCCAGGGATAGGTATCGGTACCGCTGCCTGGGAGTCGATTTGGAATTTGCCGAATGCCACATCGCCTCTGAGTGGCCCTAGTCCTGCGACTTCCGTCACCGTCTTAAGTAGATAGCCTGAGCTGGGGAGCATAGCCACATCCCTTGTATCCGTCGTCCATGTGTGCGATAATGCGGACTTGAATGAATCGCCTGCGTCACCCCGTATGCTAGGACTAGCACTTTCCGCCAGGCCAGTGACCTGTCTCCATAGTCCTGAGTACAGGAACTCATGTCGACTTCGCTCACCAGTCTGCCACGCAAATCGTGTATTGCCACCCTTTAGCACCTCCTCGTGTGAAGCCCATGGCTTCAGGGTACTACTCGCTAACCCACCAAGCTCCCATCTCAGATCTGGATTTGCGAAGATAGGCGTGCTGAAATTTGCACTGTACGCACTTCTCGTCCTCGTCCCCAAGCTAGCATGCGCAGTCAAGCTCTCCGCTCCTCCGAAGATATTCCTGAGCTGTGCGTTCACGTACGCGGAACCCTCAGCTGTTCCCGCTTCCGTACCAGTCTTGATCGTATACCGACCTCGTTCTTTCGCGGTGATGAAGATGGCATGGTCAGTGGGTGTCGTGGAGGAATCGGTGGGTTCCGAGACGTCTATGTAGGTTGAGATGGGATGTTGGAAAATATCGAGCTTGTTCAGTCGAGTTATGGCTGTGTTCAGTTCGGAGAGGGCGGAGCGGAGAGTGTAGGGTTCTGTATCTGTTGGTGAACGGTTGGCGGAGAGTAGAGGGTCTAGTATGCTGCTGAGGAAGGCATGGCGGGTATGTTGGGCGCCGAGGAGGCGGATGGAGGAGAGGCTTATTGGTTTCGTGGCATTGAGGCCAATCTGGGGGTCATGTGAGCTGTATGGTCGAAGGTACCCAGGATTTTACGTCTCACAAGCTCGGCTTGCCGTTGTTGTGACTTTTCATATAGACCGTGGATCTTCTCATCCAGTTCTCGTTCTCGTTGTTCTTGCACCTTAGGGTCTAGTGGCTGGCGGAGTTGGGCGAAAGCCTGCGTAAGCTGTAAGTATACACACTTGGAGCTTGTTACGAGTATAACTCACGCCGTCCTCCAGGAGTGGACTCGCCATTCGCCAAGGGTATGAGCGCTCAGGATGTTGCGGCCACAATGCATACAAAACAATGGTAGCTCTGCCCGGGGAGACCGCGGCACAGCTGAGCCTCTGCGACTTCGCTGGCCCGTGCTGTCATCCACCAGCGCTTCACTTCCAGGCTCCTCTTCGACTTCTTCGACTTTACCTACGTCTAGAGCTTGCGAAGGGCTGCCCAAGTAATGAGCATCAGGATTGAAGGTTCACTGTCTCCTTGACCGTAATGCCACGTTTGCCTCCAGCCATTGGCAACATTAGCAACTATACATCACGCAACTGTGCATAAGCTGCCTGCAGCGGCAAGGCTGCACCGTGCAGCCAAAGGCTAAGGCTACGAATGGGCTGGTATATATATTTGACATTCGCCCTGCCGACTCTCTTCTTCCGTATCTTGGTCGTCCACGAGTCGTGGCTCGTCCCGCATATTCATTACAATGGATCACGCTGAGCTGAAAGGCCTAGCATCCATTTCGTATCCTAAGGACGTCTACACGGCACTGGATTCAGAGACCCAAGAATTCCGGCTTCTCGTGCTAGAACAAGCACAGGAAAAGGATGATCCGGTACATTGCTCCGTTCGCAAGGTGTCACTGCTTAGCACGCCTCCGCCTCTGTACGAGACCGTCTCCTATGTCTGGGGCGACACGGAACTCAAAAGCGAGATATTTATACATGGCCGAACGACCCTGGTTGGCTACAGCGCTGTCCAGGTACTACGACGTTTCCGTGAGAGAGGCCGCGATCGTGTGCTCTGGATCGATGCTGTGTGTATCAATCAGCATAATGATGAGGAGAGAAGCCGGCAAGTTGCCATGATGGCGGACATCTACTCCGGTTGCACAGGCGTGCTCATCTGGCTCGGAGAAGATAATGGGTTTGCTGAACGAGCCAGTTTGGTGATAGATGCAGTCGTCGAGAATGCGAAGCTGCACATAGATGATCTCCATCAGCTCGCAAACGTGTGGGAGCCTGGATTGCCAGTCAGCGCTGGGGCGATTGACAAGACCATCGACCTGGAGCCTTTCTATCAGTTGTGCTCGAGTCCATGGTTCACGCGCCTGTGGGGTGAGTGTCCCCGACACGTGCGATCATTGCTTGTCTCACCCAAGAGATCCTCGTTTCCTGTCAGCCTCAATCTCCCTGGTTACACTCACTACCAATCAATTTGCGGATCTACAGTTATGTGTATCTGTAGAATATCTGCGGCGCGCTGATAAGCCTTTGTGTCAGTGATACAGGAAGCTGCACTTCCACCGCGGGCCGATATCCGCTGCGGCGATATAACACTACCGCTTGCTCCTCTGCTATTCAGCGCCCGTTGGATTGGGCAGCGATCTTCCGCATTTACTTCCAAACAAGCGGATCTCGTGCGTACGCTTAGATCTATCTGGTTATATGCCGATAGGGAACATGGACCTTATAGGCCTGGATCAGGTTGGCACCTTTCCCTCAATAACTTGTTGCAGAACCTCCGGGGATTCGGGGTTTGGGATCCGAAGGACCAGGTATATGGGGCCCTAGGCTTATATCGAACGCACATTGCGAATAATCTACCCTGTGCGTTGGTACCGGATTATGGCAAATCTTTACGGACAATACTTCGAGATACAACTAGGTTGGCCATTGAGTCAAGCGAGACAATGCCACTCATGGTCTTGTCTTGCCTCTACTACGATCCGGGCGACGACACGGCTTTACCATCATGGGTACCCAGGTGGCATCGTCCCTGGCGTGTGGGGCATGATCCAATCGAATTCGCTCGAATCTTCGAGGCAGATGATCAAAGACAGATGGCAATGAGCGTCCATCGGCTTACCGATCCCGATGTTTTGACTGTTGGAGGGCATGTGGTGGAACAAATCGCCTATGCGTCTTCTACCCTTGAGTATGTACCCGCGAAGTCACCAAGCGGCCGTTCGAAATGGCTCATAGAAGTTCAATCAACTTGCAAGACAGCTCTATTCGACAACCAACAATCCATAGCGAGAACGCTGACTACGGATCGAACTTATGGCAGGGCACAAGCAACTGATCAGGAGTGTTTCGAAGGATATCGTGCTTGGTGCAGATACCTTGAAAGGCATGAGTATCCACGCCGTTTATCGGGTGTTGATCCGCAGTCAACGTCCCAGGAGACTGTAGCTGCAAAATATTGCCATTATATGGGCGACGCCTGTAGAAATCGTCGTTTCTTTTGCACACTCGACGGTAGGATTGGCTTAGGTCCTCGGACGACGATGGCAGGGGACATAGTCATGATATTGTACGGTTGTCGTTGGCCGGTTGTGCTCAGGCCACGAGATATCGAGGGTCATTACGACGTTCGCGGTATATCATATGTCGATGGGATCATGGATGGCGAGTTTGTGCGGGACATGGACAAGAAGGGCGTAGCTACGACTTTGATCCACCTGCATTGAGCTTTGAGCAAAAGCAGTGCCGAGACGGGGAAGGCGGCGAGCACCTGAGCGGAGCAAAGGCACCCTGGCTTACAGCCGAACGATCGTCTCGATTTCGGTATTCAGTAGACTACTGAATCATAATCGCATCATCCCAAATACTCCCAACCTCCTCTCCAGCCTCAACAGCACTCCAAACAACCCTCTCACTAGCCCTAACAGCACTCGCCGTAGCCGCACTAGCCCACCCTAAACCCCTCGTCGGCATTCTCAATTTCGGAACCACAACCACCGGCTCCGTAACGTCCACCCATCCCTCGCCAAACACCCAATTGACTCCCGTACCAGCCCACCACCCGAGGCTCTGTACCACAGGACCCCAAAGATGCTTCCAAGGCCGAAATAGAACGGTGGGTATGACGAAGGGGAATTGAGGCGGATTCCACTCTTTGACTCCGTACCCGACCATTTTGTCGGCGTAGAGTACGGGGCAGTAGTGGTAGCAGAGTACGCTTTCGACTGCGAACCAGAGGAGCCAGAGGGTGCAGAAGAGGCCGAGGTATGTTAGGTGGATGTTGCGGAGGCGGGAGAGGAGGTCGGTGGTTGAGCTTGTGGGAGGGAGGGTGTAGAAGCAGGATGTGAATTCGCGCCACAGCGCTCCCCAGGCTGAGTGTGGTGGTACGGAAGGATGGGAGCCGCACGCTGGGCAGATGTGCCGGCCATCGTCCGTGATGTGGATGATAGTCTCGGGCGCTATTGGCGTGGAAGCAGCCTGCACGGTCTCGATCTTATTCTCGACTCGTCGGAGACCTCTATTCGCATCTTTGATGCTTGTGCGTGCAGCGCGGAGATGTTTGTTCATTGATTCGATCGCGAGCCTTTCTTGCCGCCTATCCCTCTCGGCTTGAGTGAGAGGATCTGAGGCTGCACCATCCGCAGCATCAATAGCATCGATCACTTCTTGCGCCACTGCAGTGACGTCCATCGATGCGACAGTATCTGTTACTTCCGTGTCCGGATCCACAATGTCTTCTAACGATTGTATAGTCGTGTCGCCAAGCTCCAAGTCTGGTTCATTGACGACATCCTTTAGCACATCTGCAAGTGCGGACTTGGCTAGGACAGGTTCGCTGACTATGCGCCTCCCATCGTTGCCCAAAGGATCATCCCTCGGCTCCAAGGTGGCGATAGCTGATGGTGTTCCAAACGCACGATTGATCTCTGAATCCGTTGTTTTCAGTAATGGTCGCAAGTCTGTCATAGGTCCGGGAGTATCGAGCCAAGCACCAGTAACTAGAGGTGCCTTGCTATCTTTCACGGGAGGCTGTGGCGCTGGCATGTCATCGATATCTGGCGGGTCGATCTTGAGTTCAGGAGGTGCATCGTCATGCTGCTCTCCCGCTTCCTCAACAGGCACCTCTAGCTGTTCTTCGTTCGCACGATCGAGCAACTCCTGCTCGCGTCTCTTCTCCGCAAATTTAGCACCAGCACTCTTCGGCCTTGCCATGGCAAGATAGTCACTGTTAGCACTCTTCGCACCCAGCGGCCCAAAGTCCAGCTCCGGTACACTCTTCGTTCTCTTGTCAACAGCGGCGGTCTCTTCCTCATTTTGTGGCTTCGCAGGACTAGGAGACAAACTAGAAACTCTAGCCAGCTTCTTAAGCAGGTTGTAAGAGTCCGTACGCTTGTGTGCGGGTCGCTGTGCGTTCTTGAATGTCACGGCTTCCGCTGTGCGATTCACCAAACCGACTGTCTCGGCACCTTTGTAAGTGCCATTCACTTCGCCATTGGGTGGGAGGTTCTCTTTGTTGGCCATGAGACTTCGTCTTCGTCGTGGAGGGCTTACAAACTCGCCTGAAGGGGCTGATACTGGACGCACTTCAGTTGTCTTGAGTGTAGTGTGGTCCAGAATCTGCTCCAGGTTGCGCTTTGTGACGCCTCGCTTCTCGATCGATGCTATCTCTTGGCGGGTAAGCTCATCTATCCGGCGATTTCGTCGATTTAATGCAGGCGTCGAGGCAAGTAGATCCGCGGCTGTAAAGTCGTGATCTTCGCCACCCTCAGCACCGTTGATGGTGGTATTCATATGCTGCATGGATGAGGGTGTTGACTCCCTCCTTCGCCGTCTCATAGAAGGTGGTGTGGTTTCGTTTGGATCCAATGGCTCCTCCGCTACAGCAATCCAGTCCTCGTCTCCAGTATAGGCCGTTACATGAGGCATTATGACGCCTTCGTCCGCCCTGTGTGCATCTGGCTCCAGACCATCTGCTGCCGCCGCATGCTTCCTCCTGAGCCACTCACTACGCGGCTTGGCTTTCGTTGCCCACTGTCGAGGCGGGTTCACAGCTGGCTCTGAGACTGCACTCTCTGCACTGCCTGGCCTTTCACCGATTCCAGTCTCTGCTACACCATCCGTCTGTGCTAGCCTATTGCCCGATCTTATTCGTGGTCGTGCCTTCCTGAAAGCCTGCTGTCCAGGCCGCAATGCATTGTTAAGACGCTGCACGTCCCGCTGGTGTTGCAACAACCTTTTGCCAAACTCGTCTGTCTCCTCGAAAGCACTCTGATCCGAGTAGTCCGATCCAGATCCAGAGCCACGCGTCATCTCGTTCTCTCCCAATACTTTGTCCATGGCAGTCAAGGCTTCAACGCCTCCAACTCTAAAAGTGATCGATTCCTCCTCGGTATGTCTGATGTGGCTCATGAGCGTCCTGGAATTCTGTGTTGAAAGCATGGTGGCGACGAAAACATGCTCGTTAATTCACATACTCATATCCAAACGGCGTGTTTACGAAAGCTGGGAAGATCGCGTGGAACACCTTCCAACACTGCCAGACACTTGCCAGCGCGTACTGCTCGCGTCCCCAGATCTACAATGTAATCATCGACCTGGCCCGAGCTTCACGATCGCCAAGACTTGCCTTCTTCAATCGTGAGCAGCCCCACTTCGTACGTAAGCCAGGCACGACTTCGAACGTGCATATGGAGTGAATGTTGTGCCTGCTCCTCTTGAAGACGAGGTAGATGATCAAGGAACGACACATAAATCTCTTCGTCTTCTACAATGGCCAACATAAACTGGAGAACAATCAACATCGACGCTCTTGACCCCGAATCATCCTACAACTTCGACCTCAGCACATTGACACCTGCTGTCCTGCCAGTTTCCACACAAGACGTACAGACATTATCAGGACAAATACGGCAACTGTTACGAGGAGGAAATGCAGAAGGAGCATTGCAAGGAGCGCTAGAAAATGCGCCATATGGTGCGGATGAGCAGGGAAAGGTGGGTAGTCCCCAGCAAGGACAGGATGCATTTGTATAAATCATCAAGTGCTGATGAGATGGAATCCAGGCAGCACACTTCTCAGCAGTAACAGAATGCCTGAACCAAATACGGCAAGCAGAAATGACACCACTCCTACAACGACTCTACAAAACAGAAGCCGGCTCTGAGCTTTGCGATACCCTCATGAAGTACCTCTACAAGGGCATGTCACAAGGCGCGAATACGCCTTCGAACCATGCGAGTGCAAAGAATGTCACACCGCAAGCTACGGGCTTCTCGCAAGCAGGCGGGAGGAGTTTTGGTGGTGGGGAGGGCGGTGGGCAGGCGATGAGTGTGTTTTTGAGTTGGCATGAGAAGGTATGTTGGGAGTGGTGGGTGAGACGAGCTATACTGATCGATACTACAGCTTGTAGAGATGGTCGGGCCAGGCAGTATCGTGCGGGTCATGTCCGACCGAAGGACGGTATGAGGATAGCGAATGAACGACTATGCGCCATTACACTCCCGGTGAGATTCAGCCTTGAGGGCTGTGAGAGATGCATTCATGCTATACACAGGCACTATACATTACAGATTCCGCTTCGCATACAGCGGTATGTGCGATAATGGCCTGACTATCAGCTTGGCACGAATCGAAAAGCAGCAAGAAGGGGCAAATTTACCAGAGTGAGGCCGTAGCTGCCAAATATACGAAAACAAGTGATAACGGCCCGCGCCTTCCGCACGTCTCTTGCATCTGTCCGTAACTGCTCAGGCAGCTCTCAATACTCACAAACATTGCTCAACTCAATTTCGCACGCTGACAAACAGCTATCGAGCATGGCAGGTCGCGAACGCATCGCTGAGGCAGACGAAGGCGGTGGCCGAGCAAAAAAGGTACGTGTTCTGTGCATTCTCATAAATCAGAGATACGCATTTAGCAGTAATTGCTTTCCTCACTATCACAACTCCGCACTCACTTTCCCAGGAGCCCCGATAGATATATGCTGACACCCTTTGATAGAAAGTTGCCACACGAAGCGCTCGAATCACGCGCAGCACGCAGACAGACGGCCCACGCAGAGCTGTCTTTAATACGGCTGAGCTTTTAGAGGCTATACTGCTTTTCGCACCTATGAAGACCGTCTTCACATCTATGCCGACAATTCCGGGACGTTATCGCCACTTCCGTGAAGCTCCAGGAACATCTTCTCTTGCGTAAGCCCGTGCAGGCTCCACAACCTCGTTCGCGGCCAGCAATATTCAACTCGTTGCTGGCAGATGGAACCACTCCGTTGGAACGCGCTGCCAAGCGTTCCACCCTGTGGCTTGCTATGCCGAAACCCTCACTCCTTGATGATTCTGCATCTTGGAAGCAGACATACGTGGTGAATATACCGCACTCCATACGAGTCGTCACCTTGGAGTGGTTCTTGAAGGGCGAGTCCAAGTTTTGGAACCTCAGCTATGCTCCCGACTCACTCAAGGACACCAACGATCTCACGCTGGGCGAAGTGATCGAAGCATTTCTCGATAATGATCAGCACGCCAGGAAAACAACAGGATATGCCATGTGGGGCCACGCACCTACTCTCGGCGAGGAGATTCGCATGATCGGCACACAGGAGGGCAGGCAAGCCATGTTTCATGCCTTGCACATCAGGGTATCCATTGAGAGTACAGAGACCCTCGAGAAGTGTTGAGTTTTCTCACAACTCAGTACATTGTGTCAGTGCTCGCTTCCCATGGCTTCAACACACTGATGCCAAGACTAGGTCCGAGCGCGGGCTGCTACCTGGAGTTGCCTAAGCTAAAGTACGTGTATAGACGCTACATAAGGTGGTCAAAGAACACCACATATATGATTATGTCCTGGCTCGTTCTGACACTAGAGCATTTACGTGAATTTCCAACGTTGGACTAACGTTGGTCTCCGAAACATTACACATGACTGACATGGCGCCTCGAAAACGTAAGGCTGACAATGATCAGCAGCATATTGGTCGTGTGAGCTGAAGTCTAATGCCCATGGCCATTGCGAGCATCGAATAGCTAATGTCTCAACAGCCAAAACGACATAGAAGTACTGGAGCATCGACGGAAGTCCGCCATACACGGGAAATGACAACGAACGCACCTCGTAAGGCCGTCTTTGACACAGTCGAATTGCTTGGAAACATTCTCTCTCACTTAATAGTAAAGACGCTCTTCGGCGTACAGCGAGTGTGTCAACAATTCAGAACAGTCGTCCAAAAGTCTAGCCACTTCCAGGAAAGGATGTTTCTCCAAATACCCTCTACCCAAACTCCACCAGTCAAATTAGCCTTGGTTCATTATCACCTCACATCAAAGAGTCCCAATCAGCGCACAGCATTTTACATTCCAGACGGAGTGGACTTCCCAAAGGACATAGGGTGGTTGTTCACGAACCCTAACCACGCAATTCTGGCTGCGAAGCTCAATCCTTTGCTGGTTTCCGCCTTCCCTCCCCTTGACCTCTTGAACAGACTGCAGGGTGGCGAGACAAGACAGCTAGATATAGGCCGGCGTCCTCTCCGCGAGGTCGCCTCATGGCAGCACACAATCGTCTCAGACGTCGACTACGGGCCAACCACTTACTCGAGCGCGACCGTGTCCATCAAGTGGTCGATCCCCGGCCGAAAGCTCATCAGTGGCCGAGTGACAAAGACGATTCATTGGTGGCACCGGCATACGCTGGGCTGGATGTTGCAGGATGTGCTGCAAAGCCATGCCACTTTTCAGTATTGTTATGGGAAGGAATTTCGGGAACGCAAGGGATGGGTCGATGCGCAGATTGGACGGCTTGAGAAGCAGGCTGGTCGGGAGGCTGTTCTCGAGAGCATGGTGATTAGTTTCAAGGGTGTTGTTGAGCTTAGTGAGGAGGAGGCGGCTGGGATTGCGGATTGGAGCCCGTCTGCACTTAGACAGAGTGTGTAGCGAGAAGTAAGACATCCTTCCATTTCAACAGCCGCGTTCGTGGACGATCTGTTGCTGTATCATGAAAGCCTCCCTGAAAGCAGGGACTCGTGGTAATTCTCGGGAAGGTGCATGCCGTATGCTGTCACATGCCAGTTCTATGCACTAACCCGTGACTTCCTCTTTCACATAAAGCGTTATTGCTTACGGCCTCCAAGATCCGAAGACAAACAACTTCGATACGACCGCATCTTTGAACACTGCTTGTCTGTAGCGATCTAAGGACGCCAGGTCAAGCATGGCCGGTCGCAAACGTCAAGCTGAGAGCGTTGAGAGTGATGACAAGGTATGCAACCCGGCAACACCCAGAGATATGACGCTGACTATACTCGGCACAGGCACGCAAACAGCGCAAGGTCATTCCAAAGCCCACGCGGATCACTCGAGGCATGACCATTGATGCACCTCGAAAAGCTGTCTTCAACACCTCTGAGCTCCTCGAGAGTATCCTGCAGTATCTTCCGACGAAAGTCCTGTTCGTAACACAGCGAGTATCTCGCCAGTTCTGTTTGGCGATCCGTGGCTCGTCGAAATTGCAAGACCGCATGCTAGGGAGGTCGAAGACACAGCATGATGCGGAGCCTCTCACGATCGTCCGGGTTGCAACTCACAAGTATCGCCTTGTGCATATCAAGGATACTAAGGAGGCTTCGAGTGATGTGACGATCGGGCTCGACAACATGCCAACGGTCCTGACTCGAGGGGTCTTGCATCCGCTGTTGCGCGCGGAGGGTTGGCTTCGGGATCCAGTCGAGCGGGTGTTCTATGGCAATTCAGGACAATTTAGGTTTGCCAGGCGGCCACTCTTGCTCAAGGCTGGATCTTGGAGAGAGGTACGGCTTTCCAACGTGGCTTGCAAGGTTGCGGAAATTCGTCTGCACTGGTCAGCAAATCCGAACGGTGGCTCTTCAGGCTTCATATTTGCCGGGTGCCGCACGGAAGCTATCGACGGCTTCACTATTGGTGGCCTCCTCGATGCAGCATTGGACCAGGACAGACAGGAATATGTTTATCACTTGGATGGTAGAGTGCGTAGGGAGCAGGGAACAGCGAGAAGCATCTTAGAGAGATTGCAGAGGATCAGTGGGAAGGAAGTATGTCTTCAGGACTTCAGTGTCTCCCTGGAGGACGTGATCGAGCTTAGCGACGAGGAAAGGGCGGGCGTGGAGGACTACAAGAAGGTCTGAGGATGTTCTTGCTGAAGTGATCGTGAGGTGGAAATCAGGATGGCGCAGAGTTGATGTAGCGTAATCCTGACGACCTCCTTCACGTACCTTTGCATCAGTATCGTCCTTCATCATGCTCTGGGGCCGTCGCCAGGAGATGTCGATGCTTCAAAGCCGCCCTCCGCCTACAGAGTTGATTCGTTGGTAGCACATGAGGTTCGCAGCTGGGCTACCAGCGTTTTGAAGAGTCAGATGGTTGGTGACCGCGAAGTTTCTCCTTGCGTCGCTAATGCTGACTACCGCAGACTGCGTGGAAGCACTTTCGTCGAGCTCGATCTCGGCTTTGTCGAAGACGTTGATTCAGCGTTGTAAGCTGATGCCAGAGTCGATGAAGGACGTGATGGTCCAGAGGTGGTAAGGAGATGCAAGCACAGGAATGAACAACAGTCCAGCCGTGTGGAGACGTGAGTGAGCTGTCTATTCGTCGTATAGCCAACTCTTTCCCTGAGAGCCTGGGCAATACGACCGGTAGCTAACAGCACTTCGTAAGATCGTGGTCTCTCTCATCCAGTCACCGTACTCCCCTTAACCTCCTCCCTACTGAACTTCGTCGCCCGAAACTTCGAGATGAAATCATCCCGATTAATATACCCACCACACATCCTCCGCTTGCCCGTGAAAGCCGCTCGGCCATGCAAGCATCTCCAATTATCAAATATCAGCATCCGGCCAGGCTTTAATTGAAACCAGTACTGATTCTTCTTGTCATTCAATATCGCGTCGAATTTCGCAGCGGCGTTGTACCAAGCCTCGACTTTCTGCCACGAAGCCGTGATGCCGGCACGATCGGCGTTGTTCCATCGTACTTGCATTAGTCGATTCGTTTCGTTGCTGTGGTTTAGAGCTGGGTAGGGTTCGGCGGGTTGGATGGAGATACCCTCGTTCCCACTCGCGTGGGCATGGACGCCGATGACACTCAGCATAAGGTACGCCATTGGGTCATCTTGACGCAGTTGATTCGCGGCTGCGAAGCCGTCTACGAGACTACTTTCACCGCCAGAGCCATTGGTATGTGAGAGAAGATGTAGAGCTTGGAGGCCGGCTGGTTCGGTGAAGTAGGTGTTATCTGTGTGCGGCTCCAGGGCTTCGCTCGTGTAGGCTGTATCTTTCAAGGAGAGGTCTGAGGTGAAGTCGTAGAAGCCGCCGTAGTGGGTGTTGCGTATGGGGCCTATGCTGTCGAGAAGGGCTTGTGTTGCTTCTGGTGTGGGCGGCATGTCGTCTATGAAGCAGAAACCTCGTTGACGGATCTTGAGCATTAGAACGGACATGCCTGCATCAGTGCTGACATCGGAGTACGGCACTATCGGTGGATCCTTCTCTATAGAACTATCCCATGTCTGCACCTGTATAATGCCACGCCGATCGTGCATCTTCTGGCGGGCAGTTCTATCGAGGAAGTAAGAGCCTGCGATCGTAGTTTCATGGCCATCGGCAAAAGTGACAGATAGTCGATCGGGCCACTGCGAAAGATCCGTCTTTTCTATCTTGGCTGCGGAAGGATTACGAAATACGTTGATCTGTCTCTGCGCTGTATCTGGATGACGACAAGATGCACAGGAGCACACATCACGGAGCCAGCTTCCGGGCAGAGTCACCCGTCCGTGGCCTGTCTCAATTCCGAGGACGCCGCCGACTATTTTTGGTGCGAGGGGCTTTGATTTCCGCGCAGCGCTCTGGGGATCTGGAGGTAGAGTTGCAAGTTGCTTACTGCTTTGATGGAAGGTAACGGTCGTCTTTGCGGTTCCTCGGCCCTGCTTGGCAAGTTTTGCACTCTGGGTTGCATTTGCCACATCGACCTTGTCCGTGCTTGGGCTAGCCCTTACTTGCTTCGAAGACACAGCGTGCCACGGGTGAGAGGCTGTTGGACTTGGACCGCGTGGCCCGTCCTGTGCCGCGACCACTGCGTCTTCGTAGTCCTGCACCGAATCATATTGCGCTTCGGCTGATGGCTGAGATGTGGCTGCTCCGGACTGTTGCCTACTCGTTATGCTCCAGGCCTGTCGTGAATTGTGGGAGAGCCGGAAAGAAGGTCTGTATGGTGTTAGGCGTTATGCTTCACCTACAGTATACAGAGCAGCAATACCTGCAGCGCCGCCCGATTTCACGGCAGGAGTGGTGGATGATAACCATGCTCATGCAATCTTACAGGGTCTTGTAGTCAGCTAGCAAGTCTTAGGAGATCATATGACAGTGAGCCGTAAACTACTTCCGCCTGCAAATTGGTAGCGTATAGTTTGGGCTAGTGTCGCGTGCCTACTGTACCTTGTTGTATCGCTCAAGGCGGAAGTCAGTGAACTCGCACCGGCAGAACATCGGCGAATCGGAACTTGGACTTGCGGCTCACGAGCTGCTGCTGCATCAGCGTTTCGTGCCTGGAAGCATAGGTAATGTCCCTTACAATCAAATCATCAACAGCACACTCATCCTCACTACCACCGTACCACTCAGAATACCTCACAACCAATTCCTCCTCAGCACTTTCAATCTCTCGGACGTACACCGACCAGCACATAATCTCGCCACAGCCATGTCGACACTCGAGGATCTCGACGACCTGGAGCAGGACAACAAGAAGGAGGAGCAGAATGACAAGGACAAGAAGGCCGATAGCAGTGGAGATGCGGACATGAAAGATGCTGGTGATGGGGAGAAGAAGGAGGACGAAGAAGAGGAGGAGCTGATGGACGAGGAGATCCTCAATTCAAGCACACGCGACATCGTGGCGCGGAGAAGATTATTGGAAAACGACACACGGATCATGAAGAGCGAGTTCCAGCGACTATCACATGAGAAGCAGACGATGCATGACAAGATCAAGGATAATGTGGATAAGATTGATAACAATCGGTGGGTACATAATATCTCTACGGCAAATGATGGTAGCTGACCAATATCCCAGACAACTCCCCTACCTCGTGGGCAACGTAGTAGAGATCCTCGATCTGGACGTCACAGCTGAAGCCGCCGAAGAGGGTGCCAACATCGACCTCGACGCAACTCGTGTAGGAAAGTCCGCTGTGATCAAAACCAGTACCCGCCAAACCATCTTCCTACCCCTCATCGGCCTGGTCGACCACGAGAAGCTGAAGCCCGGCGACCTGATAGGTGTGAACAAGGACTCTTACCTCATCCTCGACACCCTACCGGCGGAGTATGATAACCGGGTGAAGGCGATGGAGGTGGATGAGAAGCCGACCGAGAAGTACACGGATGTCGGTGGGCTGGATAAGCAGATTGAAGAGTTAGTCGAGGCGGTCGTGTGGCCGATGAAGGAGGCGGAGAGGTTCAAGAAGATCGGCATCAAGGCGCCGAAGGGTATGTCATACACGTACCCCGGAAGCCTACGATGAAGCTAATTTGATTGACAGGCGCCCTAATGTACGGCCCACCAGGTACAGGCAAAACCCTCCTCGCCCGTGCCTGCGCTGCCCAAACCGATGCCACTTTCCTCAAACTCGCCGGTCCGCAACTAGTACAGATGTTCATCGGTGACGGTGCGAAGCTTGTCCGTGACGCCTTTGCATTGGCCAAGGAGAAGGCCCCCGCAATCATCTTCATCGACGAGCTGGACGCCATAGGAACCAAGCGTTTCGACAGCGACAAGAGCGGTGATCGCGAAGTCCAACGAACCATGCTGGAACTCCTCAACCAACTCGACGGTTTCGCCTCCGACGAAAGAATAAAAGTTCTAGCAGCCACTAACCGCGTCGACGTCCTAGACCCCGCACTCCTTCGTTCCGGCCGTCTAGACCGCAAGATCGAGTTCCCGCTTCCCAATGAAGAGGCACGAGCTCAGATCTTACGTATTCACAGCAGGAAGATGACGGTGGATGAGGGTGTGAACTGGCCGGAGTTGGCGCGGAGTACCGACGAGTTTGGTGGTGCGCAGTTGAAGGCTGTGTGTGTCGAGGCGGGTATGATTGCGCTGAGGACGGGGCATAGTAAGATTAGTCATGAGCACTATGTTGATGCTATTTCGGAGGTGCAGGCGAAGAAGAAGGATACGGTTAATTTCTATGCGTAAGGTGGGAAAGACGGGGCAGGGGAGGATGATCTGGTGGATGGTGGATGTCTGTACCAACGCACGCGGCTTGTGCTCAGTTGCGGAAGGGACGTACGATATACACTGTTAGACGTGGTCGTATCAGGGCCGAGTATCATGAATGATTGCCACCACAGTCCGGTCTCTTCTGCGGTCCTGTCACGAAGGTGTTATCTCTGTCACGCTCGGCTTGGGCAGTATGCCGATTTCGTGGTCATAGTGATCTGAAGCCCAACTTGATAAGATAACCGTCGCCACGTTCCCGTCACGGAGTCCCAGTCAATGTCGATAGCTCTACTTCTAGCCTCTCTTGATTCTTTGACTGCAGAGTCGGGTATCGTCTAATATGGTACACAAACTTCACATCAGCTCCATCGTCCTCTCACAACCAGTGACCCACGACCGGTATCCGCTGATACATCTGATCATACAAGTTGCCGACCCACCCTCTCGCCAGACCTCCTTGTCCAATAACTCCGAATCCACCAGCCATCCAGAGACCTGCTATCAGCGCCGCCACACCATTAATGATGTACCATCTCCTCTTCTTCGACAACGCTCGGTCGCTACCCTGTGCAGTCGTCTGATCCGGTGTCAAGCCAAGCCATTTCGCCCATCCCCATGTTATGTGTGAGACGCCGATACTGATCAAGGCTGAGAAGCCGGCGTAGCTGACAACCGGGTGCTTGGCGAAGGCATGACTGACATAGCTGAGGTTGACATTCGACTGCCCTCCAGGAAATTGATTGGGAATGGCGCGGTTGATGAAGATATGCCCGGCCAGCAACCAGATGAACGGATATCCCAGCTTGCTGATACCAGAAACCTTGGGCCAGAAGTCGCTGCTGAAGAAACTCTTCTTCCCTTCCTTACTTCCACTATCACCATATCTCTTGGCATTGAGATTCCGTCTGATCACCCGTAACGCCACGCCGGAGATCACGTGCGCCCAGAGCGGTATGATGACAAGTAATGGCTCGGCGGGAATCCCTTGGTAGTAGGGTCGAGTAAGGAGGACATATCGTTCCGCCTGCGGCACACTTTGAGTTATGAGCGGTATTATCGAGGTATTGACGATGTGGGCGGCGCCGAAGGCGGTGAAGACGTAGCTGGAGTACTTTTGTATTCGGGTCAGGTACCAGATAGGACTGTGTTGGGAGAGGCCGAGGGTCGAGGATCGTTGTGGTTGGGATGGGTTCTCCGTGTCTTCAGGGTGCGGGAAGTAGCTTTCTTTGCCATCGGAGGGTGTTTCTTCTACAGGTGATGGTTCGAGTTCTACGAGGCTGGCGGCTCGGTCGTAGTTTGCCATGATGTCGGTGGTTTATGGCGATGCAGTGAAGGAGTGTATGAATGTTGATTTCGTCGCCTAAAGGAGATAGTATCTGAGTCAGCAGGCTCTGAATTGTTCTGATTGGCCAACATGCGCTACATTGCACAGTTAGCGTGCTCTTTTATATGTAGATATGTATATATTCAAGATCCAGAATAGATACATACGTTCGCATCAACAAGCGTGGTATCTTGCTCGAACTGTGAGATCAAAGTCGAGCCCTTGTACTGAACGATACTAGTCAATAAAATCGCGGACTTACGACAATAACCACATCAAGGCATAAGCATCATGGCACCCGTACGACATTCGAGATCGACTGCAAATTTTGTGATGTATCTGACATTTCGCTAGAGAGGCCATACGCTTCCCCAAGCGGTCACGGAGTCGGCAAAAGAAGCTCGGAAAGCATTCTTCTGTACGACCTACCACAGCAATCAAGCACGAGCACCACGATTGACAGCAGTACCTAGGCGAACTATGTGGCAAAGGCTACCAACGCATGGACCAGTTCGAAGCACACGAAGGCTCATATGACCACCAGCATCGAAAGGTAATGGAAACTTTGCGAATCTGTACCACTTTCTAACCACATGATCAGCGTCTAAAAGACCTTCAACAACTGACGAAAGACCCCAACGCTGCTTCCCGAGCTCGAGAATCAGAACGCAAAGCCAATGAAGAAGCTGGCATCAAGTCTATCAATCTCAATCTGTCTGGTGCTGGTTCCAGTTCGAGCAAGAAGAAGCCTGTCTTCAAAAGTACACTACAGCCGCATAATGCTGCTGCGTTTGGCCAATCAACGACCTCCTCTTCGCTGAGCGGTGCTGGTGCTGGTATTGCTGAGGTAGAGATGAGCGAACCGGCTGACGAAAGCTGGATCGAGGAGTGGAATGCGGATCCAAGTCAAATGAAAGCCAATGGCTGGGAGGCAGAGAGATTCGACCCGAGATTCCCAGCCGGCGAGTGCGGACGATGTCGTAGGCGGTGCGAGGGACATGGTGTTCTGGATGCGCGAGAGTCTTATGCTGAGTGGAGGGGCAGGTCCGAAGCTGGGATGCAGGAGTGGACCAAGCGTTTGACCGATATGGCTGCTCCGCGATGATAAAGATGCATCACCAACTTCATGGTGATACCGAACCTAGGACATAATGTCGACGGACGCCAACACCTTCATCATCCAAGAAGCACTGGTCTTGACTCGCAGATTCTTGTATGGCTGGGCGGATGATGCAATCAGCAGCGTCGCCAGGACAGACAGTACACGATGCGATAACATGCGGTGTATTATTTGCCATATTTTATGCTGCTCAGAGACTGCCACAGAGTATGTTCAAAGTACGTCTCGGGCGAGAATGGCGACGCAGACCGAGCATCCTGTATAGCTACACGGCTACTCGTCTGGCAATCAAGCTAAACTTCTGCCTTCGTGGCCCCCTCTAAAACCCGTCTGGCACTCAACGACATCGCTGGCGCCGAGCCTAAACTTTGTCTGGCAAAGAATGCCGATGGTGATGGCTGAGGAGAAGTGGCCTTGCTCGGATACGAAGTCCATACCACGGCGAGGTATATACACGAGGAGCGATTCAGTCCAAGCGTGCGAACGGACCGAGCAGCATGACTGTAGCATCTGTTTATGCCCGAAGATCGGCACAAATACATAGTGCTACCGAACTACAAGCAACGTAATAGGCTTCTCACATGTGATTCCATACGTCATCGTGCATGACCTCTCCCTTCCTCGCTCGAAGCTGCATATACGCTATCCTTCCTTTGCTTGACCACACCACAATATACAAGCCGCTCGTCGACGTCAGGACCAACAAAATCCACACTCTCTCCACCTTAGCAAACATGACTCAATCAATGAAAGATGCCGTCTCGAAAGGCGTGGACTATACAGGCAAGTAGCAGTCGGAAAAGCTATTTATTCACTCAATTTAAGCTTCTGTCACTACTAACCTTATTTCTTATACAGGCGGCCTGCAGAGTACTAGCCAATCTCTAGGAGAGGCGATAGCTGGGAGTTCTGACATGCGCGGTGGGAAGTCGAAGAAAGCAGATGATGCGACGTCGTCGTTGAACGAGCTTGCTGGTGTGAATCCTGGTAGTAAGTCATGCCCTGCCATCCGTCTGGACCAATACTGTTGGCTAATTTGCGACGTGCAGAGGGCGCAGCAACCACACCAGGGACATCTGTCAGTGGAGCGCAGCAAGTCCAGAATATGCAGACGGGTACTGCGGATCACTTGGATATGGGCTTCAGGAAGTCGTAGTACTTTGTACAATACAGTACATGCTTTCAAACCGAGCTCCTGCTCATCTATGCTTCCACTCAGCCTTCTTCTTCTCCGCGAAAGCTTTCATGCCAATCTTCTGGTCTTCGCTACCGAAAAGGCCATGAAAGACTCTCCGCTCGAACTCGACGCCTTCCCGAATACCTAGATCCTGACTCTTATTCACCACCTCCTTACAAGCCTTGACAGCAATCTTACTATAACTCGCAATCGTCTCCGCAGTATCCAACGCACCATCAACACACTGCTCAGGCGTCTCAAACACCCTCGCCGCGAGACCCCAATCATAAGCTTCCCGTCCACTGAAATTCTTCCCCGTGAGAATGAGCTCCATAGCCTTGCTCTTCCCAATCGCCCTCGTCAACCTCTGACTCCCACCCGCACCAGGAATAATCCCCAGCTTGATCTCAGGCTGGCCGAGATTCGCCTTCTCGCTACAGTACATGATATCGCACATCATCGCCAGCTCGCACCCGCCTCCTAGTGCATGACCGTTGACGGCACTGATGACGGGTTTCTTGATCGTGTTGGGGAGTTCGGACCAGCTCTCGATGAAGTCGTTCCCGTAGGCGTCTGCGAACTCTTTGGTGGCCATTTCTTTGATGTCTGCTCCGGCGGCGAAGGCTTTATGCGAGCCCGTTAGGACCATGGCGCCGATGGTGGAGTCCTTGTCGAGGGTTTTGAGGGCTTCGTTTAATTCGAGTATGAGGGGGGTGAAAAGGGCGTTGAGGGCTTTGGGGCGGTGGAGTTCGACTGCGTATCCATTAGCTCTTTGTGTATCATTGCCATAACAGCAAGGAACGATCGCACTCAATGCAACACCCGTTCGTGGTGTCGAGACCTTGATGTGTTCATAGCTCTTCCCTACTGCTGTGGAATATGTTTGCAGAGGTTGGATATACCGTTGTAGCTGTGAGGCGCAAGGTCTCACACGTGATGCCAGCATGTTGATTATGTGTACAATGGACGACGGCGATTCTGCAAGCAATACAAAGTTGAATTCACAATTGTTACATCGAGACGAGACAAGAAACCAAGCTCTCAATGCGCAAGAGTTCAGCCGAGGTTGAGTATCGGTAAGAAATACTCAATGGCAACGACATGTATCATAATATATATATGTATCTCATCTCCACTGCGAGAAGGATCGTGAGTAGCCAAGATGAGCAGTCGCGCCTTGCCCTTCGTCCGATCAGTATGGGAGTAAGATATGACAAGCACTTGAACATTGCGATTTCTTGCTAACAGCCTCTCAGGTCCTTCCGGGTCAACTCTGGCCTAGAGCCCAGGTATACATATCTCGGCTATCATGAATATGAACATGAACATGAACACTTCCTAATTGATGGGACAGATTGGTAGATGGTGTACATCTCCATACTCCCACTACAGAATAGAATCATCGAACGACTGAGACACCACCGTTTAGCTACGAGTCACAGCCGCTCGACCAGGCGTAGTCAACTTCGAACTTGATATCGAAAAGGAGCACACCGTAACCTCTCCCATCACCCCTTCTGCCCCCTATCCCGTCGCACTAACGATCCCCAGAACCGTCTCAACATCCTCCATGGCGGCACCCTAGCCTGCATGACCGACCTCGGCGGCTCCCTAGCCGTCGCCTCACGCGGCCTCTTCGCCACTGGCGTGTCCACAGATCTCAGCGGTACGCTCTTCCATCCATCAAAGGTACTGTAGACTAGATCTATACTCATGCTCGCCTCCTTAGTAACCTACCTAGCCTCCGGCGGCAAAATAGGCGACACGATCAAAGCCGAAGTGACCTGCGACAAATTTGGCAAAACGCTCGCATACACATCGATCCGGTTCACGAACGCGAAAGACGAGCTGGTGGCGAGGGGGAGTCATACGAAGTGAGTGTGGCCGCTGACAACATCTCCTCCCTTCTGGTGGCGAGTCGGGTACTGATTGATCGCTGACAGATACGTGGCACTGGCCTGGAAAGACGAAAAGAACATTACTGATGAGCTCTCGCCCCGACCTGAGAAGACCGCATGAGACCAACCCGATCAATGAAATGGCCAGACGATTCGGTGACCTTATGTACAGTACATTGTACAGATATCAACACAGTACTCTCTTCCACATGACCACAACCACTACCCAACCACATCCTCCTGATCCGCCTCATCCAAGCGATCCATCCCCCCCTCCTCCTCCTCCTCCTCCTCATCTTGATCATCATGGTGAGCACTCTCAATAGCAGCAGGCGGCAGACTCCCACCTCCCTCCTTAAGAGCCTTAACCTTCGCCTGCGTCATCTCATAAACATACTGACCCAGATGCTCCACACCCTCCATCACAGTTCCCTGCACTTCATCCGCCACACCTCTAGTAGCCGGGAACATCTCTCCCGCCACAACCTCCAACTTCCCACTCCTCGCCAACAGCCCCCCCAGCGCCTCCCCCATCTCCAAACTCCCCTCAAACACCTCCCTCCGTCCAAGAACATACAACCCCAACCTCGCCCTCGACAACGCAACAGTCAACCTCCTCAAATCCCTCAAATACCCCACCCCCTTCGTCCTCACCAAACTCAAAATCACATAATCATTCTCCATCCCCTGATACTTATCCACCGTCCCGACCCACCCGGGCATCCCGAACAGTCTATTCCCTTTACACCGATGCAGAAGCACATCCCTCACCAACGCCCTCTGACCCGCATAAGCGGTCAAAATACTGATCCTCTCCGCCGGATATCCAAGTAATCTCATAAACTGAAACAGCGCAACCGCATACTCCGCCTCGCCCAAATTCTGGAAGAAATGCGGACTCGGTTCCGTTTCACCCTGGCCTTTGTAATCCGGGACGTCGATGAATTGGTACTCGTACTTTAACCCTGCGTTCGCGCAGACGAATTCGGGGTTGGAGGACGTGAAGGGGAGGTTCGTGAGGGAGGGATAGCGCCATCTATAGAGTTCGGCGAGACTGGGTCGGGAGCGGCCTTGGGCTGAGAGAGTGATGGAGGGGACTCCTAGGCGGATGAGGCGGAGGAAGAGCGATTGGTCAAGGTGGGCGTAGGTCCTGAAAGCGGCGTGGGGGATGATGGGAGAATTTTGGAGGTGGTCGCCTATGAGGATTATGCGTTGGAGACCACCGGCTTCCTCACCCGGCTTCTCCTTCTTGTTTTTGCTGCTGGTGGTGGGGTCTGCGGAGCGGGCGAGGTCTTGCATAACGAACGGAACGAAAGACTCCGTTTCCGTGACCTGCGCACTCTCCTCCATAACCACATTATCGTACCTAAATCCCAGATTCGCAATCTCCCGTCTCCGCATCGCCGCATGCGTGGACGTCATAGCGATAATCCGCGCCTCCTTCACCAGAAGATAGTTCGACTTGTCCCTCTGATGGCGCAGAAGCTCAAAGGGTCGGATCTCAGCGAGCTCGTCGAGGACTTTCCGGATATGTGTTTCGCAGCCGCGGGCGATGTCGAGGTGCTGGTCTCTGCTCGCATTGGGAGGGAAGAGTGGCTGGGGCGCATCGGCGAAGAAAGGGAGAAAGGGGAAGGTCGAGGCGGGGTCGGCCTGGGTGGCGTTTACTTCGTTCCAGTATTGTTTGAAGCGTGGGCGGATGTAGACTTGGTCGAAGTATTCAGCTGTCTCGCAGCTATTGCCGTGAGCACCTGGTGCACCAATACTCGCAGCCAGCCGCTGGACATCAGCAAGATATTCGCTCCCTCGCTCGAGGAAAGAGTCGACACGACCGGCCTTGCTGAAGCTGACATCTCCAGATAGCTCCTCCTCGCCATGGCCAAGCCGCAGTAAATGCCGCTCATCGATGTCCAGCGCCACGATCTTCTGAAACAGCTGGTTGAGTGCTTGATTGGAATGTGCTATCAACAGTGTCCGCTGCTGAGGGTGGTTGTGGTAGATGTTACTAATAATCTGCGTCGCGACATCTGTCTTCCCTGTACCCGGTGGACCAACAATAACAGTCAATCCAGGTTGTGTGCCAGAAGTGATAGCATCGACCTGCGACGGCGTGAAGCGGACGGTATTCAGCTTGGGTGCATCTGTTGGGTAAGGACCAGGATTCGGTGGCGTATACGTGCTGACTCTCACCGACTCAATGACCTGTGCTGGCTCAGGCCCATCCGGTTGGTCTCGTCTCCGCTTCTTGCTTGTGCGTGGAGGAGGTGCTTGCGACTGGTCGGTCACAGCTTCGAGGACGTAAGGTGGTGGGAAGCTGGCATCAGCGCCTGGATCGGGTTCGACGGTCTTGCCGGACATGGTTTCGATCAGGTGCTGCCAATCTAGGAGTGTGTCGCGGTAGTCGACACTCTTTAGCCTGCTCGGGAGACGCTTGTATGAGGCCGAAGAAGGATCGCCATAGCCAAGGAAGACGTCACGCAGCCATGCCGGCACCGGTCTATCGTTGCTCAGTGTGAGCTGCTTGATACTTTCCAGTATCGGCTTCCAGTTGTTTTCCCTAGCAGTACGTCGCACAACAAGATTAATACTGTCCAGTACGTCTCCTTTTCCAGCCTCAGCTCGTTCCTTGTCAAGTTGGTAAGCCGTAGCATCCAGTCTCAGCAACAGTCGTCGCTGCCTTGGGCGATCAAAGTCATCGTTCCGCGAATTGCGATCGTGTCGTAGGATCCGCCCTTGCTCGTCAAGCACACTAACGACCTCGGCGCAGCGTAAAGCTTTGATCCCAGCTTTCTCAGCAGGTGACTGGAAGGAAGTGCCATTCGTAAGCCGCTTCTCCGTCTCCGTGGGTTGCACAGCAATCAAGTACACGACATCATCCGGCCTCAAGCCCTCCCACTCTCGTCTCAGACCAGGCTGTAGACGACTAACATCCAGCGAGACCTCGACCTGTACCTCTCCCAGAACATCCTCACCCACCTTCGCCGGTTGAGTCTGAGTGACAGCAGGCTTGCCAATCGGTATAGCCATTTTCGAGAGACCTTCGAGACGTGTATTTGTACCTTGCAATCGTGGCTGAAGCTTCTTGATGACATCCTGAACATGCTTGCGGATCTCGAAGAAGGCTTCGCTACGGTACAGCGTGAAGGATCGCCATAGAAAGTCGCCCAGGGTCAGGTACTGCAAGTTAAGCTTAGGTATGGCTAGAGGTCTGCTCCCGTCATAGCCACCTGCTCGGAGACTCGACAGCTCGTATAACGTATTCTCCGTAGGCAGGATGGCAGTCGATCGCACGGTTTCCGTGTATAGTGCGTGTTGTTCGATAAGCGAGGCAAGCACCTCGTTAAAGAATTGTCGATCTTGCAGAACCAATGACTTTTCCGGATACGAAGTCCGCAAAAGAAGTTCGCCACATAGTTCCACAAACTGCTCCTCATTCAGCGCCTGGAGATGACCAAGTAGTTCACCCTTTTGCGAAAGCGATCCATAATTCGCCAGCACCAGAATCTTAAGCGTCTCAGGATGCAGCTTTAGCGCCACATTCTGCAATCGTGCTATACGAGCATTATGCGCATCCTCATACTCCTGCTGGCTGAGCTCCTTGCCGGTCTGGTCGTCAATGGGAAAGTACATGTAATGCTGCAACAGCTGCGTCATATCCCGTAAAAGAGCAATATCGTCGGCGTCCTGGTAAAGCGGCGAGAGCTTGATTGCAGAGAGTATGTTCAGGTCTCGCAGTAGCGTATTGACGTATCGTCTCGTGGGTAGCTGTGACTCCAGATCACAAAGCAACTCCATGAATCGCTCGCAATACAGCATATTCTCCTGCCTCCGCTCCGCCGCGCCATCAACATCGTAGAGCTTATCCAGGAAGTCCAGCGCCAGAGTATACAGCCAGCTCCTCTCGAACCGCAACCTCGCCTGCCCAGACGCATCCGCATTCTCGTACTTCTTCCCCGCCGCCCTCCACGCCTTCTGCCCTTGCACACTATTCGCCAGGATATGTTCCCTCGATCGCTCACTGTGCAGATGATGCCATATCCCGACTGAAACTAAGGGTGCACACTCTCGGCGCACAATCCCGCTATCCAGACTCTGGAACGCTCCGACTAAGAAGACAAGCAGTTGCGTGCGTATGGGAGTCGAGAGCGACTGATCAAGACTCAAGTGTGTGATGCGGCGGTAGAAGGTGGAGAAGTGGTCCGGTCGTTCTGCGAAGAGGGACCAGACGGGTAATTGTTCTGTTCGCTTGACATTGACCAGCAATGCCAGTAGCAGGACATGCTGATTCGAACTCTCCTGGCCGTAGCCGGGCCATAGGAATCGCTCGAGGGTCTGTAGTTGTTCCAGTAGTAAGAGAGCAAAGGGAGGTGTTGTGTCGGCTTCTACAGCCTCCCACAGCTCTTTCACTGTCTCCGGCAGCACTTTTGGGGACGACTTGGTGAGCCAGTGCTTGCGAGCGAGTTGTGCGATGACATGGTCGCCGGTGAGGTCGGCCACAGTCGGCCGTGACATCGTTATGACTGTAGGCGCATTGTTTAATACCTTGCGACCAAAAAGAGATATATATCTAACAAATCGCGTCTGACTCGCGCGTCGTCAAAAAGTCGCAGCTTCAAGATATTGATGCCTCAGGCCATCACTTCTCCCAAGCGGAGACATCCAATACTCGAGCTTAAACCACCGACGACACACCTCAGCGAGGCATTGTCTAACAAAGCACCACAGCAACACCACACAATGGCCTCCTCCGACCGCGTCGCCGAGGTCGAGAATGTCCGTGAAAGCTATCCGGAGCTCAAACCCACCCTTGGTCGACCCATTGTCCCCGCCCGCACCCTCGCCAGCGACTACCCGGTATGCCATCCACTCCACCCACCCATACCACCACCATACCACCACCACCCTATACTAACACGCTCTTGTTCTAGCTAATCGACTCCGACCCCCACTTCCGCCGCGTCCTCTCCTACGCCCGCCCCTCCGACTACCTCTCCGGCACCATCTTCGCCGCCTTCCCGCCCACCGCCATGCTCCTCATGGAACGGATCTCGCCCTCCGAAGTCGGCCGTGGCGGTTTCAGTTCCATAATGCGACTCACCACGGGTATAGGCCTCGTCAGCGGCTTCTACCTCCTCTTCTCACGCTCGCAGAACCGACTCTATGGTTTCTCCGAAAACCGGCGGGAAATCGAGATGGACATGCGGGAGATGACTGATAGAGTGAAGAAGGGTCAGCCGCTTTATGGGGAGAGTACGATGACGGAGTATATGCAGGGTGTGGCGTCAAGACAGAGCAGGTATTCCGGCGTGTTTCTGCATGTGATGCCTTGGTTTAATTTCGTCAATCATGGGCAGCATGGCGTGGATACGGCCAAGTATTATCGGAATGCGGAGAGGGAGTTGGAGGCGGAGAGGGTGGCGGGCGGTGGGTCGTAGAGATGTTGCTGGTGGGGAGAAGAAAGATATACTTGGGACAGATTCACGGGCGTTTAACAAGACGCGGTGTACAGCAAAATTTCGAGCCACTATGAGAATAACATGCACGATCGTGAAATTCCATTGTTTTTGGTTAGGTCTATTCGATTTTGGGATTTTCGGATGATTTCCTGTACTTTTGCGTCCGCCCTGGTGGTATCTTCTAAAAGCAAACGTCCTCTTTTCTAGTTTAGCAGCGAGATGCACTGAACTTCCTCCTAGGTCCTATTCGCCACGGTCTTCAGATCCGCGACTCCGTCAGCTGGGTAGCAAGGGAGGCAGCACACTTCCTCCGCCTTCCTCCAGCTCCTACCGAAAGCGATTTTGCCTCCATCTCGACCCATCACCCCAAACTAACTCACAACCAATCCTACCCCTCCTTTCCCCCTTCACCCTCAAACACCTCAGCAGCAACCCCCGCCACCTTCGTACAAATCCACGTACTAGCATACATATTAACCCGATCCGTACAAGTCCCCGGCGGCACCCTGGCCGCCACTCTCTTCGGACTGAACCCATTCTCCTCAAAAACCCGCATATACCAAGGCATCAATCCGGAAGATCTAATCAACACCCGTCCCCCAATCTTCAACGCGCGATTGACGGCGAGAACTTGGGCTTCGGCTTCGGGCCCGCTGGGAGTGAACCAGTCCATACTGTCCATCAGGACGGCAATGGTGAGGGCCTCGGGCTGCATGCGGGCGAAGACTTCGGCGAGCTCGTCGGTGTGGATGCGGAGATTTTCCAAGGCGCCTTCGGTGGAGAGTTTGAGGTGGGCTTTCGGGGTGAGGTAGTCCGGGTGGCAGCGGCGGGTGTAGTGGCCTGCAGTTCATAAGAAAGTCAGTATTACTTTCTTCTCCATGCATTGTGGCTAGGTCCTGGGACCGTGTACTCACCCAACAAGCAGACCAAGTAGTAATGGTTATCAAGACTCAACAACGTATCACTCGCCACCGGATCCAAAGTCTGCACCCCATAATTCCAAATCGCCTGTCCACTCTTCGTCGCACCGACCTCCCCAGGCCGTCCAGTGCCCGAAGTCTTCTCCTCCGCACTCCTGGGCGCCCGATCGCTATTCTCCCGCTTATAATCCTCCTCGATCATGGCCCGCTGCTCACCCGGCACACCCAGAGCTTTCCACAAGAAGCGCTCGGACCCCACGACGAAGTAAGCCAGTAGTTGCGAGAGGAGCACTTTCCGGACCCGTTTCGTCCAGATCTCGCGTTGTTCCGCTAGCGTTTGCACTTCACAGAGTCGGCGCATATCGTTCCTCACTCCAAGGAGAGAGCCGAGCCAGGCGATGAGTTGGAGGGCGTGACGGCTGCCGCCGGTGTAGTAGAACCCGCTTCCCTTCCGATCGAACGTCTTGGGACCGACATGGAGCCAGTAGTCGAAGGCTTGACTGGAAAGATGAGGAGACAGTTCCTCGATGAGCAGTTTATGAAAATTCTCGTGTTTGCCCTCGCCGAAGAGTTTCCACATGTCTTGGTATTCCAGAGCACGGAAACAGGCGACTTTTAGTTCGAGAAGGTGGTTTTGAGCCGGGTTGAGATCGACGGCGTGGATGCGTTTGGGGCGTTCGAGCGCGTAGGAGAGGATGTTGTCGCCTGCGGAGGTGATGGCAAGGATGACATCGTCGCCGGTGATCTTGAGGAGGCGGGCGTCGGTGCGGCTGTCTTCCCAGGTGAAGGCGTAGATGTACTCGTCGTTGAACTGGGTGTGTTTGGGAAGGGTATGGTCATAGTAGATGCGGGTTTTGTTGTTCTGGTAGTAGGCTGCCGGGAGTGGGAGACTGGCGGATAGGTTCACGACCGCGGTGTCAAAGGCTTTGCTCCTGCGCTCGGTGCTTGAGCTCCTACGCTTGCGAGGGTTGAGGGTTTGGCTGTGGAGGTCGAGGGCGGAGATGAACGGTGATTCTGTTACAGCGGCGTCCAGTTGTGCCACCTCTTTCAACATCGAGCCAGTGCGTCTAGTGCAGCCCACGAAGATGTAGTACGGAATTCTGAAGCCCACGACGTTGGCGCGGCGGTTGGTGCTGAGGATTGTGCCGAACTTGTACTCCATATAATCACGTCTTGCCGACTCCAGATTGACACGGTCAAGCTCGAACCAGGTCCTCCAGAAGACACGAGAGATCCACATGCAGTGCCTGTCGATGGCGCCACCCATGTAGTTGCGATGCGAGAATTCCACACCATTCTGAACATAAAAGTCGATCACACCCACGATACCATTGGGTGCCAGAAGGTTCGTAACACTGTCGACAGCCGAGTGGAATTCAGGGATCATACTGAGGCTGTAGGACATGGTCAGAAGATCGGCACCGACCGAGTCACGTGCGTCTTCGTTGTAGATCGACTGTCCGATGGAGAAGTCGCGGTTCGAGTCGTCAACACCAGCCTCGTAGTCGCTGAGGCGGAAGACTCGAGCATCTTCGCAGACCACATGGACGTTCTTCCAGCCGAGACGTTCGAATCGCTTTGTAGCGATTTCGCACAGAGAAGTGCTGAGGTCGACCAAGTAGACAGCATGAAAGAAATTGGGTACATCGATTTGTGCGCCCATCTGCTCAATGTTCCAGCCTGTGCCGCCACCAATGTCTACCCAGATGGGCTTTTGTGGGCTTTGTCCAGTAGTACGCCTGTGCTTGACCTGTGCTGCCACGAGAGCCAGCATATCCTCTCTGCCTTGCAACAGTGTGGACCTCGTAGCATCGTAGATAGAGGCCTGGGACTTGTAGAAGCTTTCCAAAGCATCTTGCTGGCTCCCAGTACCATCACCCGTGTGAGGCTTGAAGAAGCAGGAGTAGGCGAATTGCACGTAGTGGCCAGTAGCACCTTGGATCTTGCGGACCACGCTGAGATCGGTGTAGGAGAAGAAGAACCAGGCTACCAAGAATAGCACGAGGAGGATGGGGACTGTCGAGGCCTGGGTGAGAGGGTCGGCGAGCCGATGGTAGAGGGAGGACGCCATCGTTGAAGATCAATGCTGAGCTCGCGTGCTCAGCAAGAAGGTGAAGGACAAGCAGTAGGAAGAGGTGTGTGAGGCGTTGCAAGGTGCACAAAGAAAGTAGGAAGCAAGGAAGATGGGAGGAGGACAGTACACTTGCCTCGTAGGACCAGGTCCAGGCTAGACACTCACCCCTACGCAATCGGGCAGGAGCATGTGAAGCGCCAGCTAGCGTCTGCTGGGTCTGTGTAGAAGTCAACGGCGGGCCAGCAGAAGCGCCAGACAGAGTCAAGACTCAAGAATGGTACACGCCCATGCCGCCGATATGCACGCCAGTAGATAAAGTGTAGCGAAGCGCGTCAGGTCGTCAAGGGACAAGGGCCATAGAACTAAAGTGAGAGTGAGGACCCCACCCCCGCGATGCCGCACTCCTCTGCTCAGGCAAGCGATGTCGTTGAGGATCACGGCCTCCGTATGCACCACCAGCCTATCAGCTCGCCCACATGTGCATGAGAGGCGGACGGCGTAGGTACCTAGCAGGCATAATTATTAGCAGTAGCCAGGCACAACCGCGGCGATGACAACAAATAAACACACCACCAGCTTTCTACCATCCATAGCGGGGCACGACAATTTTCTGGGCACTCGGAGAAAGCTCACTCACCCAAGCGTCGAGTTTAGTTAGATTGAGACGAAAGTGGGATGGATCGTTGTCAATGGCACATGCACGCCTTCTGCAGGGACTCCACCAAAGCACCTGTCAGCCTATCTCATCGAGCAGATGCGGCCACGGGGGTGTCTAGGGCGGGAAGCTCCAGCGACTGCGCGACATACCTCTTGCACCAATCATGTGGTAGTAAGGTCACCACGCCTGCGACTTCAGCGCTGCTATTCATTGTGCTCATAGCACCGACGTTCGACCATGAGTTTGGTTCACCAGAGTATCACAGGAGCGACTTCGGGAGGGTTTGGGGTGGCGGGTAAAGAACCGTCTGCCTCTACAATAATGCTGCTACTGATCGAGCCCGGGAGATTCGAGGGCAGAAAGTGGCCTCTTGGCCGAGTCAAGACACATGGGTCATATTTACTCAATCGCCGGAATGTAGCTGGCAGCAGTCATCCGACCAGCACTGCTCGAGAGCAGCGAGGTCTCTTCATCTCTGGCACGCGACCACAACGGAAATCACGTGATGTGCTCGAAGACTGGCCAAACAATGTTAAATGCGTCCAGCTGACCCGGTCTATGCCACCAGTGCAAGACATTGGCAATCCATCTTGCTAAGATGAAGCAGACCTCGACCGTTCCTCACAACGCTGTGTTGAGAAAAGTCCGGAGTAGTGGTCTTGGAAGGCTCCAAAGCCCTATGCTACAGAAGAGGATGAGGCAGGCACATTGAGCTCGCTCCGGCCATAATCCACATTACTTCAAAGTCTCGTACAATACATATCTCTCCTGTCATGCTCCAACCCGCAGCGCCATGCGTGAACAATCAGACAAACAGTGTCGGTCGAATCGCTCATTTGGCACTGTACTTCGTCTTGCCGAAATCCCACGGAACGTATCTGTCAAAATTGTAAGCAACCTCGAACCTCACGCGCTCCCATATCACCCTCATTCGACATACCTATACTTGATCATACTCTGTATCTGCCTCCTCATAGTCAAAAATACCAAAATCAACCAATAAATCACCAACACCGGCCAGAACACCGGCAGGTTGAAGATCTCGCTCCAACAGCACAAGAATGCTATCGTCAACGCCCGCGTCGCCGCATGCCAGAACTTGAATTCCGGTAATCTTCGCACAAACGGCTTGAATTCCTGGTCGTTCTTGGTTGGTAAGGAGGATGCTTGGCCGGCGGGCACGCCGTCTTCCATGTCGGTGTCTGCTTCGAGGGAGGGGTCGAATTTGGGGGAGATGAAGGCGAGGAAGAGGTTGAGGATGTAGATGCCGAGGGAGTATGCCACTGTGCGATCCCATATCAGTCCGACTGTTCGCCGTATATCCGCGTGATTTGGGCTGTGTGCCATACCAATGTACCATCCCTGCGCGAAGATGATGCGTAGCGCGAACATCGCGAAGAGGACCCCTGTGCCTACCCATCGGTATGTGACGAAGGGGGTGACTTTGTCGAGATAGCTCTGGTAGATCTGGATAACATGGAGGTAAGCACGCGCTCATCATCCTGCTAACACACGCGCATATCGCCATGTTGTAATCGTACCTGCTGAATCCTGGTCGTCTGCGCGCTCACAGCCGCGAAGGGCGTCTCTGGCTCGGGCGCATCCATGATGCTAATCGATAGCGTAGTGTTCTCGTGTGTATAGCGATCGCGTTCCGGGTTCGACGAAATGCGTTTGAGATTTCTTAAGTAAAGTAGGAAGGTAGGCTGCACAGAATAGCCTTCTCAACAACGTGGCAGTTGGTGGACTTTTCGCCGCAGCCACTCAAGTGTGGCGCTCGCTGACGACTGGTTCAGGGACACCTCGCAATTTGATGGAAGGTCGCTCATTAGCTTGAGCGAATCGAAGCTACCTCACCACCTTTATCACTGTAGATTTTATAATTTGACATTGACGTTGACATATGCAACGGACGACAAGCTCTCGCTGATCCCAGCGACGCAGGTCTTCTACATGCAACACTCGAGCTGCATAGCATAGGTCGACGCTTGTCATATCCGGCGGGAATCATGAGCAGACCTCTCTTACAACCTGTCGAAGTGTCGACGAATGCCCGACCACATTTTGACAATGTGTGTGTACAATCCTTCGGATAGCTGAAGACTTTACAGTGCTCTATGCTTCACCCCCGATCATCAACGAGCCGTGGCTACCGTTGCTTGCATTCATTCGGCATGAGTGTTCTTTTGCCTCGGTTGATAACTCAAGTTCACTTGAGACCCCGGATAACGCCCCGCAAAAGTAGGTAGGTACAGCGTAAGGTCTTCTTACTGTCAGAACCCACTCCTGTGTCTCGAACTCTACCATACACTACAAGATTACACTCAATCACTACAACATGAGCGGACCAGGAGCAGGACACCAATACAGCCCTTACCCAGTATCATGGTATAAGCGGGACGTGCTGCTGTTCGCGAACAGCATAGGATGCACCGTGGATGAGCTACATTTCCTCTATGTAAGCATGACATTTGCGAGAATTGTTCGACGGCATGCTAACAGCTTCGCAGGAGCTTCACCCTGAATTTGCTGTCTTCCCTACCTATTCAATCATCCTGCCTTTCAAACATGAATCCCCCGAGGTCATCGACTTTTATGCCGCTCAGAACTCGTCGCGAGAGGCCATACCAGGCGTGCCAAAGCTTGATAGCAGGAAGGTGGTAGACGGTGAGAGACATATTCTGTTCGCCAAGCAGCTCCCTACAACGTCGGAAGGCCGGAAGTTCGAGGTTCGCGGTAAAGTGGTCGGCGTGTACGACAAGGGCAAGGCTACAGTCCTCGAGACTCAAAGCGATCTTGTGGATGCGAAGACTGGTGAGCTGTATACGCGCATGACCGGCTCTGCGTTCTTTGTTGGCCAGGGCGGATGGGGAGGGCCGGCGGGACCCAAAGCTCCTAGCTTTGCACCACCAAAGGGCAAGAAGCCAGACGCTGTACATGAGCAAACGATCAGTGCGGAAGCCGCTCACCTTTATCGTCTCAACGGCGACTACAACCCTCTCCACGCGACGCCCGAGCCAGGAAAAGCCATGGGCTTTGGTGGGGCTATTATGCATGGTTTATACTCTTGGAATTCAACTGCCCACGCCCTGTTGAAGTTAGTGGGCGGTAGTGATCCAGCCAACATCAAGGACTACCAGGCGAGATTCGCTTCGCCAGTCAAGCCTGGTGATACTCTGGTGACTGAGATCTGGCGGACAGGTGAGAAGGATGGTGATGGCTTCGAGGAGATTCGTTTCACCACTACCATCAAGGGTGGTAAGCTATGCTCGAGCAATGGTCGTGCAAAGATCAAGGTTACTGGCCAGCGCCAGAGCAAGCTATAGTCGATCAAATGTACATCCATCAAAAGCAGCAGTGCGCCACTGGCAACACTGTGTTACCTGTGTGGCTGTATTTCGTGTGGTATCGCGATGCATGATCAATGCTTCACCTGCCGATGAGACGCGTGGCGCCCAGTCAACGTGAATGTATACTCAATCGTAAATAAGGTTCTTTGTTCGGCTCACTCGATTCCGACATGTGTGACACCTTTGAATTGCTGGCCGCTGGTAAAGGCTTGTAGTAATGTATTGACGGTCAGTGTCTTAGCGTCCTTCATGTACCCTGGGAACGATGGATCTGAATCAAGTTATCGACCAAGCAACTGCAAGATCGCATCTCGTCCCGGTAATCTGGGTCAGCAACGGCGTAGAGCCGCTAGAGCTAGACGAGCGCCACGGGTGTGCCTTGGCAAGACCGCTTTTTCGTGACCCGGTCTTGTCGCTGATTGTGAAGATTCGTGCCTTGCTTCACCGATCAATCAACCAGCGCTTATTTCATTGTCTCTCTCCCTTCTCATACCGACAACTCTTCAGTACCGCTGGCTCACAACTGGAAGGTTTCTCGCGGCCGGCTACTCCATTCGAATTTTTCCATGTTCCGGAGATATTCGCGGCAATTCACGTTCTGCGGCGTGGTGACGTAGTGGGATCGGCCCAGCAACTTGCAATTAGCAGGCACAGAATCGATTGTCAAGAAGCACGTAGTGCAGGAGACAACCTCGAACGACAAGGCCAGTACGAAGGCCTTCCATACACCGACCTAACACTCATACCTACAACCTGGCCCCACGCTTTACTCGAGCGCTGAGGAGCGACACGCCAAAGTGGAGCCGAATCGCGACCCGGAGAAGCGGCCTGGACGTCAGGACGACGCTCGACCCATTGCGATTGAGAAACGTCCTACGAAGCGTCCTGGCCATCTTCACACCAAGTCCGCATCTGCAGTACCTACCTTGTCAACGTTGAATGCACAACCGGAGCCTGCACCATCGCCACCAAGAAGCCCTGCCAAGTCTCGACCTGTATCTCGGAGCTGGCTCAGTCGTCCTGCTAGCACCATGTCTGCGACACATGAAGGGCAGCTCAACTCCAATATGGCTGCTGATCTTCTTCGGCAGGCCATGATGCACAAGTAAGTGGTGAATTCTTTCCGCCTTGCATGTTAGGACTTTCTCGTATCTGCGTGTCAGTTCAACAGCAGCAGCAAAGCCGCGATGCCAGACCTCTCAACGAGACGCAGGATAAGGACGGCTAGATGCATCTGCATCAGACTCTATCCTGTACGACGGCAACAGACTCAACAGAGGTTCATCGCGGGAGTGTATTGCTCAGCAGGCTGGCACAGCCTCAGCAGGCTCGCATCCGTTCGATCGCCACAAAGCACCTCATTGGTGCTGCGTACCTTGGTCGACTACAACTTCTCGTTACAGCCGGAGCAAGAACGCTACGGTATAGAGTTCTGGAGGTGGGGCATGAAAATGCTGCCACTCGATCGGACCGAGGCTGCGCCGATGTCATCCATTTCCATTGCACTCGACTCTCGTACAGGTTACACTAATACTCGCTATTTCGGGGATCATCGTGCTTACGTGCTCTTCTTCTGTTTGCTTCCTCATTGCGCATGGCTGTTTCTTGGTCACGATGTCGAACGCTGACCTTCTTCGCGCGCATAGCAAACCCCACCACCACCACGACGAAGACCACGATCATATAGGGTCTGGTGCATCCACGCCGCCGCATGGCACAGCGACGCCACGCCCTGACTTGACTGACAAACGTTTGCCCGGATTAGTGAATAGCTATTTTGCACAGGTTCGTGACTCCTTGTCTAGTTCACGCAGTAAGAGCAGGAGCCGAAGCACACTCAATTCCAACCTGGATTCCACATTACCTACAATATCTCAGGAGCTGGACAGTGAGACCGGTAACGACGACACAACACCTACGGATATGGCAGGAGCGAGTACAACATCTGGCAAGACAGGCTCATCAAGTAATCTGGACCCGGCTTCGCCAACTTCTCCACCACTGCTGCCGCATGAGAAACACACCCTGAGAGGCTATCCTACACCACCTTTGTCGCATTCGTCATCTTTGGCCAACATGGGTAAAGATGTTGGAGATGCTGATAGTCCGTTGAATCCTTCGCCACTCAGCCGGAACCCATCATTGACAGCAGTATCGAGACCTGAAACTGCGGCTGGCCACATCTCGAATCCTGCTGGCTCCCTAAACACCCCCGCGAACCCTTCAGTCGCCCATGGTTCTTTGTGTTCCGTACAAGAGAAAGCTGAGCTAACACAGGAGCGTGCTCAGAACACACCTCCCCAGACACCTCGATCCGGCTCGCACGAGAGCAGAAGAGATGGCGAAGATGTGCGACATGTTCCGCGAGCCGACAAGTCAAGTCGGTCAAGCTCGGGAAATCCGAATGTTGCTACGGTTGGACAGATCAAGGGTCAGCTAGAGGTTAGCGTCGAGGAAGGCAGAGGCTTGAAGCCGAGCGTGGAGCCATATGTGGTGTGCATCTTTCAACTCAACGAAGCTGTCTCGAGAAGGCCGCAAGAAGACCAGATGGACACGGCGATCGACAACGATTCGGAGCCTGAACACAACCTGGCCAAAGGTGTGGCTATGAAGCGACTTGGCAGTGGTTCCGGAACACCAATGGCTATCCCGGGAATGCGAAGTCGTCAGACAAGTTCTACAAACATTGCCGATCTGCGTCGAGGCTCGAAAAGCGAGAAATCAGAAGTCACAGATCCCGTATGGCGACACAAGACACTATTCGATGTGGTCGGAGAGAACAACGAGATGGATATCTCAGTCTACGATAGGGCGAGAAATGAGGAGTTCCTAGGCCATGTGCGTTTGCCCCTGAATCTTGAGCAGTACGAGCATCAGCATGCAGATTGGTACAAGCTTCAACCACGACAAGGTGATACCACCAACATAACCGGTGAGGTCCACCTGAGGATTGCTTTCCACGCATCTGGCAAGAAGACCTTCGGCCCAGAGGATTTCGAGGTCTTAAAGCTGATTGGCAAGGGTACATTTGGGCAGGTGTTCCAGGTACGAAAGAGGGATTCGCAACGCATTTATGCTATGAAGGTGCTGTCGAAGAAAGTGATCATTCAGAAGAAGGAGATCCAACACACAATTGGCGAGCGTAATATTTTGGTCCGAACAGCTACGACAGAGTCACCCTTTATCGTTGCGCTGAAGTTCTCCTTCCAGACGGCGGCCGATCTTTATCTGGTCACAGACTACATGTCTGGAGGCGAGCTGTTCTGGCATCTACAGAAGGAAGGTAGATTCGTCGAGGAGCGAGCGAAGTTCTACATTGCGGAATTGATACTGGCCCTTCGTCATCTACACCAGCACAACATTGTGTATCGAGATCTAAAGCCGGAGAATATCCTGCTTGACGCCAACGGACATGTGGCACTATGCGACTTTGGCCTGTCGAAAGCCAATCTCTCAAAAGACGACACCACAAACACATTTTGTGGCACCACGGAGTATCTTGCCCCCGAAGTTTTGCTAGATGAGCAAGGGTACACCAAGATGGTTGACTTCTGGTCTTTGGGCGTGCTCGTGTTCGAGATGTGCTGTGGTTGGTCGCCCTTCTACGCGGAAGACACCCAGCAGATGTACAAGAACATTGCATTTGGCAAGGTCCGCTTCCCACGCGACGCTCTCTCGCAAGAAGGCCGGAATTTCGTCAAGGGCCTGCTCAATCGCAATCCTTCACACCGCCTAGGCGCGAAGGGCGATGCGGAGGAGCTTATGGCCCATCCCTTCTTCAACGACGTCGACTGGACTGCGCTCAGCAAGAAGCTGACGCCCCCACCGTTCAAGCCGAAGCTCAAGGGCGAGCTTGACACGAGCAACTTCGACCCCGAGTTCACCAACGCATTGACAAGTGGCGACATGTCATCGTCCTTGAACGCGAGAGCGGCCGCTTTGGCTAGTGGCGTTGGCATCGACAACACACCACTGAGTCCCACCATGCAAAACCAATTCCGGGGTTTCACTTTCGTCGACGAAAGCACTCTGGAGCAGCAGTTTGCGGATCGCGATGTCGGTATGACAGACAGCGTCTCTTCCACGAACGGTCGTGGTTCGCGAGGCGACCGTATGAGCGGAGTCGAGCCCAGCAGTGCTACCAGCGCACACGGAGACGCAGATTTCAACCATGGTATGCTCGAAGATATCTAGAGTGTCTCATAGGATACCTGTTCCTTACAGATATGAGACGAAGAGGTTACACGGCAACACAATCACGAACAGCATGGGCGGCGTTGATATGAGTGGGTCGCTTTGGCGGCTTTTACGGCGGATGTGCAAAGGTGTACAGTGACACGAAAGGGTGGACATATGGGCCTATTGATGGTTGAGTGAAGACAGCGCTTCGCTAGCGAGATGCAGTGGCGCATAGCAGAGGCGTTTTCGGGAGAGACGAAAGATGCATTATTATACGAGAAGACATGATATATCGGCTTCGGTGGATGAGTGACCAGCCTTTCAATTAGTCTTCGGTAGCAGTCCGTAACATGTGAATGTCTGCACAATAGCCGCCAAGCGTGCTTGCTTGGTCGAAGTTTCTCGCGTGACTGCCTTTTGGCTCGAAGCACGTCCATTCGCAGGATTGTCACTGAATTACATGCACTATATTTATTTCTACTCGGCAGCACAAATATACTCATTGCTCGCCACCCAGTTTCGCGCAGGATTCGCCAAATCAAGTTCAACATTTCCATTTCCACCATGAGTGCCACAGGGCTCGTCCCAGCTCAACGCTGCAGCTTTTCTACTCACAGCGGGCCGTCATCAGATGATCACAATGATACGGATCCTGCAGATGGATGCGCGGGCACCAACGACAAGAGAGAAGGATGGGGTGATTCAGAGGTCCTAGGACAATCCGGGTCTGATGCAACATGTTCTGAGAGTGAGGCAAATGTGTCGAGGTCCGGTAAAGAATGGGAAGACGACGAGTACCCTCCACTTCACCTCGATGAAGATGCTCTGCGGCATGTTGCAACGTACTTCCTACCTGGCAACCATGGGAAGTGTGTCAAGATCGAGAAGCTCGGCCGTGGCACCTTTCACGAGATCCGTCTACTGCATTTCGAAGACGACTGGACCTGCATCGGCCGCTTCACACGAGACCCCGAGGAGCCCGTTGCGGTCATCGAGAGTGAATGTGCTACTAGGATATTCGTCAGGAACCACACCACGATTCCCGTGCCCGAGACCTATTTCGCAAACTTCGATCCTACCAATGCAGTGGGTGCCCCTTTTGTAATCATGCAGTACATCAATGGGTACCGACTACAAGAGATGTGGCGTGCACTTGACGTGCGGCACAAGCTGCCTGTCATGGCGCAGACTGCCGATGTGGTTGCTCAGCTCGCTAGTTGCAAATTCGACCAAATTGGCTCTTTGACTAGGAAGGGAGATATTGGGCCACTACTGAATATAGCTCTGCCATATGAAAGTCTGGGCCACGGCCCTTAAGGGTCTACACAGGACTATCTACTCAGCTTCATTGATGATGATCTCGCTGGCAACGAGGAATTCATGTCGTACTATCAGTCGATCCGGCAAAAGCTCGTCCATCATATGACCAGCAAAAGCACCATGGCTTTTCTTGAGCAGCCCTTCCGATTGATTCATGGAGACTTCGACCTTCAGAACTTCATGTTCGATTGGACGAGTCCAGACGAGGCGCCAAAGCTGTTAGGCGTTATCGACTGGGATTACAGCTACATCGGCCCGGCATACTTTCTATATGAGTATCCGTCATTCATTCTTGACTCCGACTACGAAATGGGGTTATGGACGGAGCACAAATTGTGTAGGAAGAATTTTGTCTCTATGCTGGCGCAGCACTTTCCTCCCGGATCGCAGGAACGAGAAGAAGTCCGCTCTTGCTTCAGACAGAAGAGTTATCTATTCAACAGATTCCGGAACATACTCATGGTATGCAATTGGGAGGATAGGGTGGCGCTTGAGCTTGCGCAGGAGTACAGCAGCGATTTGTCGCCATCAGTGATCACGGAACGTGCGTATGGTGGGAGGGATGACTACGAACCGGATTCGGAGCTGGAGGATGAGTGCACCGAGGGCGATGCCAAACGGCAGTGATGCTACAGCAGCTAGCGCACGAGTCTGAGACGCATATCGGTGGCAACTATGATTCGTTGATTCTGTCCTCTATTGCGCCACCATTCCCTGCTTAAGATTACGTGGCAGTACAAACACATAGGTAAGACAGATTATCCATTCTGATACGGAATCGAAAGATAATGCTTCCTGAAGTGTCAGAATGACAAGTCGACCTGGGATGATCTATTCTTCACAGGTTTGTGTTGAATTCCCATCACTCTATCGGCCCACGTCGGTTGCCTGCTACACGCAGCGCAGGGTCATCTGTAGATGTGTTATATACTGTCAAGGCTGAGAAGTCGCTAGGGAACCCTGCGCCAGGGGCCCTACCGACAGATAGGATGCCGCAACTGGTCTGAACGTCGATCAAGCAAGCCTTGACATATTGGCCACGCTTGTACCATTGCGGTCAGCAACCAGTCCAAGATCCGACCCGCATTCAGCTGGTAGCACTTGCAGCCGACGAGTCGCCAGTGTTGGTAGCCGAGCTCCTATCCTCACCCTTGTCGTCCTTCTTGTCTCTGTCATCCTTCTTGGCCTTGCGCACTTTGCTGCTCACCTCGAAGAAAGCATTCTGCTCCTTAGCTTTGATCGCGGCCACGTCGGCTTCCTTCTTCTTGCGCACCTCCTTGTCCTCACGGTCGGCTGCTAGGTCGCAAAGGCTACAAGATTCGTCCTTGTACTTGCAGAACAGACGTGTCAGCATATACTCATCAAGACAAACCTATATAACAGCTTTGTGATGTCCAGCAACTCGCCATGCTGGTCGATCTTGGGTTGACTTACCTTCCAGTAATCTTTGTGGATCGGGCAGTACTCTTGATGTTTTGGGCACATGCCCAGGTGCCTCGCCTTCCTCTTACTGCCCGTGCCCTGACACTAGTGGCAGTGATGATTCTCACCTATCTTACCCATGTTCTCACACCAGCGCTGTGATACTTGCCTGTCTGAGTTGACGGTCTTACCGAGCAGTGTTGATATGCGTATGATGCTGGATCAACCTCAGGGGTCGAACCTCTTATATCATGTACTCGAACAATAGGTACATGATCCATTGATCAGGCGCCATTAATTAGCCAAACAGTGACTGGTGGCTGTAGGTGAATGGTCTCTGCGAGGAAGCCAAGGCCGTCCTCTTCCGCATGATCACGGCACGAGAAACTGATTCAATGGCCTCATCAATACGAGATGCCAGAGCCATCGATGTTTCGGCCAGGCCGACACGACCTGTCCTTGTGTCTTGAGTTGTGCCAGAGTATGAGTGGACTTTTTGAGGTGTTCGTCCATTGCGGACCGCAAGAGCCAGACTCTTGGTGGTTCTGAGGCAGTAAGGCCATATTGAAGGCATGGATAGAGTCTTCTCTGAAAATTATCAGCAGGAAAGAATCAAATGTCATCCAAACCCTCCTCACGCATCCTCGCCTTCCGCTCTCGTTCCGTCCTCTCAGCCTCCTCATAAGCCTCCTCATCGAACCAATTTGTAGTACCATGCCTCTCGGTAACGTCTCCAGCCTCAAGCTCAGGTACACTAGCCTGCCTCACAGACTCGCTCGGCTCAGATAATATGCCAACACCATCAAGCATCGACTTGACGCCAGCCGAGTCACGCTTCGATTCCTGTTTCGAATTCGCAAGTCCGAACTCCTCTGGCCTGCTGACCCGTCGAGATCGTAGGGGTGATCGTATGAGCTCCCACCAGCCGACGAACATGGAACTGCGAACCATGAGTAGGAAGGTGAAGATGCCGATTAGGACGCTCATGAACAAGCTCGCAATTACAACGCCTTCGCTCAAGCTCAGACCTTCGGTGTACAGCAGGCAGTACTCTTTATCTCCTTTGGTCAACACAAGGCAAGCTGCCCACGCCTCGATCTTGCCGAGCGGAGCAGGATTGTCATCGGCGCGCGCCGCACGAGTCTCGGCGACAAAGACAACACCGAAGTAGACGATCTCGAGTGTGACGAGCAGACTCATGAGTATGCTTCGCCACTGCACGAGTAGCACTTTTCTCACTCTCTTCCATGCCAGCTTTCTGCCTAGGTGCACCGATGCTCGCCGTGGTCGCTGCTTCGCACCAGGCTGAAGTCCTGAAAGCGCGCTGGCGGCCGACTCGCTGTTGTCCCGACTGTGCGAGGAATTGCTCTCAACGACGAAGAAGTGTCGGATGTAGAGACCGAGACAGAAGCCAGTAGTGAGGAATTGGAGTAGTGCTGCTAGACAGCCGAAAGCCAGAAGCCAGCCGAACCACGTTATGAAGGCATCGTGCTCGTTTGGGAAGCAAGTTGTGCCCAGCTGATACGACACGCCCGTGACCGGTAATGAGATAGCCAGGAAGAGGGCAGGGACACCCCAGCCCAGTGCCTGGGCAACCCAGAAGAACGTTGTGGTATGCTGTACATCGGCCACTACACGAAGTTGAGTCCAAAGCGCCCGCAGCAAGACTCTCAGGCTGTTAGCAAGAGCTTAGCTCATGTATTTTCTTGCCGGCGGCGTCCACTTACTCCACATAGCTCCAGCCATGGATCCTGCCTCCAGCAGGCCGCCACTCCATCCACAAGACATGCTCGAGTGGAGGTCGTTCGGCGTGACTGCATCATGACACATCTTCGGCTTCGTACCCAGTGGTATAATGAACGACAGCTACCATCTTACATCAGCCCCATCCTCAACGTCCCGTAGCATCGTCTAGAGGAAGAACCAGCTCACCTCTAACACCACCAAACTGACACACAACCCAATGCTCAAGTAATGCACATGGCTATGTTTCTTCTTTAACACCGCGAACGTGAAGAGCAGAAAGACTTGGCAGATCAACGCAGGCACGTTGAACCAGTATGCTATGTTCTTGTTGCGCTCGAATGTGTTGGAGTAGAACCAGGTCTCGGTAGGACATGGCAGACAGCAGGTGAGTGTCGAGCCAAAGGGACCACACAAGCGGCCAGGGCGATACCCAGAGGTATATGGGTGGGCGGACTGGTCGACGAAGGGAGATGGACAGGACGTGAGGGTCGACATGACTAGCAGTTGCGGCTGTGGAGACAGTGTTCCAGTGGCTCTTGGAGGTGTACACTTCGCCATCTTGATCATCTGGACACAATAGGCCAAGTTGCCAAGCCAGACTTCGGAATGTGTAGATGACAGACCACGCCCTTGCTTGCCCACGTGGCTGGCGGCTACCTCCCACGAATAGACACACAATCGAGGCCGGGAAGATGGCTAAAAGAGGAGCGCTTCAGCACAAATACAATCATACTGATACAGATAAGCAACAAAGCGCTGCCGCTAGGCACAGATCCTCACCACCACGTACCTCCCATGCCCACCCCATCGAGAACCACCCACCAAGACCTTGGAACCCACAAACCCATCCAAGATTCTGTCCGGCAGATAACCATTCCCACAGCCCACACAACAACGCCTCATTCGCCTAACGCCCTGATAACATCAAACCGGATACCCATTCAGACCAATGTTCAGATCCTTCCGCCAGGCACTCTGAGCCTCGGAACCCCATCGACGCTGCCACTGTGTCTCAAGCTTTCTAGTCTCGAAGAAGGCTCGTCGGCAATCTTCTGGTAACTCGTCGATGAGGTCGTCTGGTATACCGCTGAGGCCGTTGGATCCGGATTGTGGGTCCAGGCTGCTGCCGTCCGGGCCTGGGTAGCCTGCGCTGGTGAAGGGTGAGGCGGTGTAGTGCATGTCAACTACTGCAAAGTTGCGGCCGATGATTGGGGGAACGTTGGAGAAGATGGTATGTTGTGGTGGGTCGGCTGAGCGGGGGATCTCTTCGACGTCCATGGCGTCTTTCTCGATTTGGCCAAATGTGTGGTAATACCCGTTAGTTAGTCCACTGGTCGTGATTCTAGTACTCGCATGTGTCTCTTCGGTAGGCACTGGCTCCCACTTCGCGTGCGTAGGCTGCATGATTTTCGGATAGAACATCATATTGGTATGCGTGTCATATACGCCGTCGAGGTTGGCTTTCCGTACAGCAGAAATAGCAGAATTGAAGCGACTGACAGACATGTCAGCTGGGATGATTACAATAAAAGATCGTGGGACCCACCTCGCCTCACGAGCATGCATGAACTGCCAATTACTGTACGTGAGATTCGTCCGCCGCTTCCCTGTCAGCCCCGGCTTCCCAGGCGCAGCACCCTGCCCAAGATTCCTATACACCTCACTGGCACCAAACCACGCCACATAGCGATTGCGATCGTACTCCTTCTTATCATCTGGGATTCTATCCTCAGGGTCTGCAAGTTCGCCTTCCACATCGCCATTCTCACGCGCTTCGGTGACCTTGTAGTCGTCGATGATTCGCTTCCCAGCAACCACAATACGTGCTCCGAATTCGCGGAAGACGGAACGCGCGGTGACCACACCGATATTGCGGCCCTTGTAGCTGCTGGGTAGGATATCGCGGTCGATGAGATCCTTCTTTTCATCTTCGCCAAGTAGGACTTTGTAGAGTTTTGGGTGTTTGGCGAAGAAGAGGTAGCTGTCTCGGAAGCCGCAGCATCGTGCTGGTTCGGTGGACAGCATGTATAGTCGATCGTCTCGGCCGATGATCTTGAAGGTGCGGACTCGATACTCGCGACCTCCTTGTAGATTGCCTTTGGCATCCACTTTGGTGCTGCCTTCCTCGTCGTCCTCCACCTGCACCTCATCGTCCATGACATCCAGCGTCTGACCATCTTTGTCGACCACGACCCGTGATTGCTCGGCCTGTGGCCCTCTTCTCCGACCTCTGAAGCCACCTCTCCCTCGCCCTCTACTCACACCATCAAGTCGTCCTCTCCTCCGCCGGAACGGCGTGCCTGACTCTGAACCCTCCTCGCCGTCCCCGTCCAGCGGCTGTGGCGTGCCGTAGTCTGGTCGGTCTGCTCTCATGCTTCTCCTTCCAGCTGCTCTACCACCTCTCCCTCGTCCTCTTCGTCGTGGCATAGCTGTGATGGTGGGAGGCCCATCCTCATCTTCTTCCTCGTCGTCATCTTGCGCCGGCGTGCCTACATCTTCCTCCATATCATCCCCGTCATCCATTACAACATCCCCACCGTCGTCATCGTACACAACTTCCTCTTCTTCGAGCTCATATTGCATTCGTCGTGAGGGAGTGTGTTGTGCAACGCCTGACGTTCTATTGCGCTTCCCACCATATTTGTTACCTTTTTGGAACGGCTGTGACTTGTTAGCCGACTTTCACATAATGTGCGAAGGGAAGTGAACCAACCATCGTCGTTGCAAGCCGACGTTCAAGGGCCGGTCGGCTTTGCTGAGTGACGCGCTGCTTCGCGTTTGCGACTTTCGTGGAAGCTGCGCTGGAACTTTGCGCCGGGAGTGGCCGCTGCTTGGTTTTGCCTAAGGCACGAATGAAATGGCGGCGGCGACACGATATTACAAATGGCTTGTTAGAGTGTGTTATCGAGTACGCGATTCATTTGTTATGCCAATAGAAAACGAAGCATAGCGAACGTGAGTGTAGAAAAGGTGGTCCACTTGAGATCCGGGGTGATCCCTTGCCATGGAGAGTTCACTCACAAGCACCTGAAAGTGAAAAGTGAATCTCATGCTCAGGAGACGATGCCTGCCAAAGATTGGTGGGCTCTATCCTATCATTAAATCAAGCTATCTGTCTTATCGTGCACCCGACCCATCCAACAAATCCCGGGGTGGTATGTGCAGACGACCAAGACCTAAGCGAAGGCGTCGGAGAAAAGGTCCCATATGTCTCACAGGACAGTAGCAAAAAAGCACATCTAGTCGCGAGCAGGCAGGCGAGCAGAACAAGCATAGTGTGCGCGCCCCCTTTCCAAACCCTTGCCGCTAAAACAATCCGCTATCCTCCATCGTCGAGGACGCAATGGCAATAGCCCCGTGTAATTCCGTATCCCACCTTTTTGAGTAAACGCCATGCTGTTACAAAATAAGCAGGAAAAGCAGGAAATTCGAGCTGTGCCCCTTTTTGTCCCATAACGCCTTGCTAAGTGAAGCATATCCCATTCCCGCATAAAATAACACTCCAAGAATAAATGAGCCAAGTAGGTAGTCCTCCATGTACGCGACCCAGAATCTATCGCAGGCAACGCTGCGCTTTACCGCAGGGCATAGAGCGTGCTGGGTGGCAAATCGCACGCCGGCTTTTGTCGTGATAAGTGAAGAAGCATGGCTAATGTTGTATGTGCATGTCCAAAGATGAATGCGCGCTAATAATCAATTTTTTGTGTCCGTTTCGGTGAGGCACTTTTGGTGTTGGGCGAGAGTTCAAGGTCCAGACAAGGTGAGTTGCTCAACCCATGACCGCCTGAGCCGAGTAGCCAGTGGCCATCGAGTAGGGGCGATAGTGGCTCTGGTAGGCACAAGCAGTGCAAGCGCAGTCATATCGATGAGCTGCATTCCACGCTGGTTGGTCCCAGGTAGATCCGTATGTCGGCATCTGATAGTAAGACGCGTGAGCGTTCTGCTGGTAGGTATACGCTGACTGACGAGCGCGCTCGTCAGCAGCACGCTGGTTGTAGGTATCCATTTCGGACAATCCAGCGTACCTGCCAGGTCGATTGTAGTAGTCGTCGTATGATGTGCGCCCGCTCATGGCCCACAAGTCGTTACCGTAAGCGGTGGTGCTGCCGTATTGAGATGACCGAGCCGAAGTCGCAGAGTCGTAACGAGACGGAGCGCCACTGTACGGTGTCGGGTAGGGGGAGAAGCGCTCACGATGCCCGCTGTGACGATGCACATTAGTGTCGAGGGGCGACAAGCGAGCGGGGGGCTGCTTGATGATGTCCTTGATCTGATAGTCCCTCCACGCGCGTAGCCACGCTTGCAAGCCATGAGGCGACTCAGGATCGACATGAAGACGCCACTCAATCATATCAAGCCACTTAGCCTCAAGCTGATTGAGCTCGGTAACCTTGATCGCGGTGACATCTGCCCACGACTTGTTGATGAAGGTGTTGTCATCTAAGAACTTGCTGCCTAGAATCAGACCCACGGCAAGAAGCCGATAGATCTGGTTCTCATTGGTCGTCACCGTCTCCGGGAAGCGCGCGATGCGATCGTTGAGATAATGCAAGCTGAGCATGATCGTGGATGACGGTAGTCTCGTGGCGGAGAGTACCTGATGCACCCATTTGCGGAAGGAGGGCGGGCTTGTCATCTTGTGATGGAAGCTTCGAGTCACGTCAACATCTGCCACACAGATAGGGGAGCAGTGAAGGGCATACATTGTCATGGTGGCCTCCGTGACAAAGTCCGTCATTCTCTCCATCTCGTAGTCGAGCTTGGCAGACACACCGCCTGTCGCTTTCGCCTCCTTGACCGCCTGACGTTGCTGCTCGCGCGCTACTGCATCCTGCTGTTGCTGCTGTACTCTGCGTTGATAGTCATCAGCAAAGGACGCACGGTCGTTGATCCTCAGCGGTGGCAAAATCGGTGCGCCGATCGGCTCGTAATGCTCGTAGTAGCTTGAGATTGGTGGCAGGTTGTTGGCAGTCTGGTAGCCCCCTTGCGAGTAGGAGTAACCTGGCGGTCCAGGCGCAATAGCGGGCTGCATGTAATCCTGCTGCGGCTGGTAGTCATACGTGCTGTCTTGACGAAGTTGGCTGAGACCCTGGTGCGGCGCATACGGATCCTGGTTGTGATACATGTTGCTGTAACTGTATCCCGAACCAGAGTCTGGAGGTGTGATTGGCAATGCGCTGGCCGATGGCCGTGTACCGTAGAAGGCTGGCATGTTGGAGAGAAAGCAAGAAGGAGAAGAAACGACGTGCAAGCACGACCTGCGATGGGTCAGTCTCAGTCACTGATGAAGTATGATGGTGGATGATGGTGATGTACCGTTTCTTGCTCTTCACGCACTGACAAACAGGCGCTAGACCTACTGACTGCCGTTCATGCGTTGGGTGTGGTGTGCAAAAGATGTCGAGATGGATGTCTTGATTGATTTGTGTGTTTTGCTTGCTTGCGCAAGATCTTGATGCTCAGTCAAAGATGGGGAAGTGTTGTCGTTTGACGAGTGAAGTGAGGTTGGCGCAAGCTTCGAAAGTGGTGTTGCTGCCTTGTTCGCGTTCGCAACAATAGACTTATGCGCGATGCACCTGCTTATAGCTGGACGGCTAACTTAATAGGTCCTAGGTATGTGTGAGGCGAGGTGGTGATAAAAGTCGGTGATTCGTGTCTCGTGGCGTGCGAGTCGCGAGGTCGGAAGATGCGGCGGCGCGGTGACGTTGAACAGCTATTCGCAAACAATCACTGTACTGCGCTCAAATGCGAATTCGAGCGAGCGGGCGGGAGGCGAATGTTTCCACCGTTTGTTGCCAGGAATGTCGGAGAGCGTGGTCGTGGCTTAGGACCCGAGGCGCAGTGCTGCTCATTCGGCGGACACGAGGAGAGGGTGGCGATTGTTGCGTTAATTTTGCTGTTCAACTGGGTGCCTGCCAGTGAATGCGAGGGAGGAGGATACTTTTTCGGGTTGGAAGAGAGTGTGGTCGAAGAAGAGTGGCCTGTTACTCGGGCTGACGACTCCTCGCGTGTTTCTGCCTTCCACTCTCCCAACCGGTCGGCTGACGCCGGGACCAAGGAGAATCAGGGAGCTCCGAAATTGGAAAGTTTTCACACACTCAGGGAGGCGGAAGTCGGGAGGAATGATGGCACAAGCATCCAACTCGTGGATGGGCACGGATATATACAGCGTAACAAGAAGGTGAAGACAACTTCGAGGACAAAAGCCGTGAAGCACAGTCAGGCCTGCAAAATTCTCACTCACCTTCTTCTTTCTTTCGCCAGAACGTCCGCTGGGACTTTGCCGAATCCGGTACGTCTGGTCATCGAGCGGAGGTACCTTGGTCGAATCACCGACCACTCTACTCACTTTACCTCCGCTCCGCCTTTCGCCTACGCATTTGCATAGGCTTAGATATTCAATCAGATGTGTCTGTAAAATTTCTGCTATACATGATACTTGGAAGACTGTCGGCCTGTGGTCTTGCTCCAACGCCCTGCTACGGATTGTCCATGCATGCCCGCGAGACAAAGAAAACAATGCAAGTCTCACACGCATCAGTCTGTGCTCGACAGCAATGTTTTGGGCGTCGCTGATCGTCTCGTCAACTTGCAGTCATCGCGCGGATGCATCGATCGAGACGGAGATGGGGGCGTTGGAACCATTAGCTCACGCAAGTCCATAATAATAAATAGAGTCAACAGCCGTCTAACCAAGCTTCTGAACCTTTGTACCTCGCAGGCTTTGCTGGATTCAAGACTTTGATTTCATAGTACTATTGCTGCCTTGGTCGCTGTATACTGATGCCTACTGACCATCTCATGTCTTGTCAGACGGCCGATGCAGCGTGTGACTGTTCTGCTCAAGCTAGCAGACGCCATCGTAGTCTTGCAGATGCCACGTTTCGGCCCGGTGTCCTGGTGGCGAGTTGGCGTCCACTCGAATCACGAGGTCAGCAGAATGAGGCGGATGTGATCGATTTGATTTCGATCCAGACGATTGCGAGCGCTGCAATCGTCATGCTTACCGGCTACTGCAAAGAGGTGGCAGGATCCTGTGCGGTATTGACGACCCGGATTGCTCTTGAACCATGGATGAGGGCGTCGCCATTCTAAGCTTCGAGGGTGTGACATCGGCTCTTTGAAAAACTCATTATAGATTGTCCAAAGAAGTCGTGAGACACTGCTCACTACTGCTGCCCTTATCGAAAGATGAGGACGATTGCCAAGAAAATGGCACCGTGGCCTAATGGTAAGGTAAGTGAATGAGCTCATAGCCTTCTACCTTCTTGAACAGGATCTGATCACGTGTCGTTAGGCGCCGTCTTCCGGTTAGGGACATGGCGGAGATTGCGGGTTCGAGTCCCGTCGGTGTCGTCGTCGTTATCATCGTTCTTTTGCCTCTGTAGCAGGCGTTATGGTTGTAGAGGCCATAATCTCAATTTTGGGAGATTCTTATCGTGTTTTGCTCCTGCGATCGATTGTATCATTGTTTGTGATGTTGCAAAGCCTCCTTACACTATTCATACAACGTTTCAGAGAATGCTAAAAGTGTTGGGTTGAAGATCGATCGATGTCGACGCCAAGCTGGTCAAATTCAGGGTATGAAGTCAGCAGTCTTCACGATGCGGAATCTGCACTTTGACCCGGCATTTCTAGACTGAACACCACACTTGTCACCCAAAAGCACAGCCATCTAATCCTCTTTGCAACCAAATCAACGTTGGGTCTTGAAAGCGGCGTATAACACCAGCCAACACCGCTCCGGCAGAACACGAACGCATGAAGAAGGCGTTTGTATGCCCAGTATTACAGCCTACCCACGCCCATAGACAGGCACGGTAGCTAAGTCAATAGCATGAAAACGTTGACCACCATCCTCTCTTTGTGAAACAGGTCAAGCTGCACACCCGTGGAAGTATTGAGGCATCAATCGCATCTGCAGCAACAACTTCCGAGCTAGTTGATAGTCCTCCAGCCAGCCAGATGGTTCTGATATACCTGCAGACTCCTAGCAGTTGATCTGGTCTCGACCATCTCTACTTGGCGACAACCTCAAACGAGCACCCGGAAGGGATGGATTCTCTGGTATCAGTATCGTTTCGTTCATTGTGACGTTGCCGTATCGATGGACGATATACCTTCTCAGCCCCCTGCCTGCACATCTGCCATACTCCGGAACGGTCGAGCTTGCTTTTCGACCACATTTCTGTGCGATTCCTGCCAAACGTAAGAACCTACAAAGCGGTCGACTGACTGGCACGAACGAAGTAGCATCACTGGAGACAAAACCGCTTCGCCCGTAGTGGGAGTCAATGCTATCACATGGCATATCAACCCGATCAACCACCATAAATGTTTATATCTGTGGTACATGAGTCCTACATGTATCACTCCCAGGCGAACTTGGTATATATTTTTTGGAGGTACTCTGCTGAGTATGTTTCCGAGTGAGCTCTATAATCTACCCTTCCATCTACACTACAGCACACAGCTCGGCCTCCGCACCTAGAAAAACCACTACTCCTCAAGCGAACTCAACTGATTTCGCTCAAGCAGCCAAACTCTTCATATCCCCCTCCTTGACCTTCCCAGCCTCAACCAACTTCTTCACCTCCTCGACAAAAATCGCCTTGATCTCACCCTTATCACTCTTCCCATTCAACCTACTAGTCACAACCGCCAACTCCTCATTATCCCACTTCAAAATCAACGCATCAGCATCATTCAACGCAGTATCGATCTCCTTCGGCCCGGCCTCGCCACCAACAAAATAGTTCCCATCTTTCACCGCACCACGCACAACCCTCTTATTCTTCTTGGCAGCATTCTTCGCCGCCTCCTTGGCCTTTTTACCCTCCTCACGCGAAGCCTTCTCAGCTACCTCCTTGTCCTTCGCCGCTTTCTCAGCCTCTGCTTTCTTCGCCGCTGCTTCCTCCTTGGCTCTGTTCTCTGCTGCCTCGCGCTCCACTTTCTTCGCGTTCTTCTGCTTACTGCTCTCGTGCCTGAACCGCTTGATTCGCTCGTCCTGGCCCATCACATCGTCTACCAGTACGCGCAGACGCTGCGAGTCCTCGACCTTGCGCTTCTTGCGTGCATTATTGTTCTTACGTTCTTGGTGACGCTTCTGGTCGCGGTTCTCGTTGTCGTCTGGTACCTCCTCGTCCAGATACTCAAAGGAGCGCCAGGAGTCGAAATTGTACCAGAAATTGTAGAACTCCTCCACTTCTTGCTTGGTGGACTTGTCATTACCCAACTGCGGTACGGGCTGAGATCGAGAGAAGCGGCCCTCAGCCTCGAACACAGGCGCCCATAACTTGTAGAAGTTGCCAGGTTTCTTCTGCACGTCTTTCTTGTTCGGTGGTTCCTTCTCCGCTCCTTCATCTACACTGTCGAATTGCCTGCGCTTGACAGGGTCTTGAAGGATGTCTGTAGCACGCTGAATACACTTGAAGAATTGATCGCCCTCATCTTTGCCGGACGCAGCCTTCTTGTCAGGATGATGGCGTAGCACCTTCTTCCTGTGCGCCCTCTTGATCTGCTCTTCAGTGGCCTTGTACCTGTACTTGCTTAACCCTAATACCGCATAATGATCCTGTGTCTTCCAGTCCTTGGCCTCGCGCTGCAGGAGCATGGGATCCTCGGCCTCGGAGATCTCGCCGGCATCTTCGTCTTCGGTCTTCTTCGTGCTGCGGAGCGCTTCGAGGCGTTCGTCTTCGCTGAAAGTGCGATGGTGGCGCTTGCGGCGGGCGTGGGCGAGGAAATGTGGGCCTACCGGTTCGAGGGAGCGGTTGGTGGGTTGGCTGAGTGAGGAAATGGCCTTGAAGTCCTTATCGGCGGACCAGTCAGGAGGTAGAGACGGCAAGGAGGCCTTAATCTGTATGGGAGCCATCTTCGCGGTACTGGGGAGTGGATGTGTTGGTAGAAGATAGAAGTGTGAGGCTGTAAATTGTTAGAATTTCTCTATGTGGCCCGTGCATCAGTGTCGCGATAGCGCGAACAAGGTTCGGGAGTGTCGACGACCAGGACTATTCTTACATGGCCATGCGAGTACTATAGACAGGAAGAATCCTTTCGAACTACTCCATGGCGACTCGCTTCCTCTCCCCTGCCGAGATCCAGTCCAACGCCTTTGCAGCGCGAGCGACGTATCGACATCTTGTCCGCGCGATCAACCTCTCCTTCAGAGGTACACCTCATCCCTTCATGCCCCCTCACATACATCAACTAACGAAACAACACCAGGCGACAGAGTAGTCTACCCCGCCGCCATCCAACAAGCCCGCGAAGGTTTCATCCAAAACCGCAAACTCGAATCCGGCAGCATCGAAGCCACACAAGCCATCGAGCACGCCCAGGGAGTCGCCCAGATATTGCGGGAGAACGTGGTGCAAGGTGCCAGCACGGGCGACGACAAGTATAAGTTGAGGTTCACTAAGTACACGCAACGGATGGACAATGCCAAGACCAAGGAGTTGAAGGGGACGACGAAGAGTTTTAAGGAAATCAAGAGCGCGCAGTTCTGAGGAGTGCATCCACTGGTGTATGCGAGAAGACGACCTCAAGATGGCTGTGCAACCTTACAGAAGAGCCTAGGGTTCGAGTGCCATAGATCACTCTATCTAGGCACCCTAGGGGTAACTGGTGCAACACTGGCAATGAAAGCCACATGTTACGGTGGTAGCATTGTTAGCCAGACGAGAGCTCGCCACCTGAAATGAAGAGCCTTAGAGCTGCCTCATGATGATGCGGGGAACGGCGGTGGTCGGTGAAGTACAAGACTGCAAGGCCCCATCAACCAGGGGGCTTGACGCGGTGCGTTGCTCTTCAGGACTTTGTAAGCATACTGTAATATCGACATCTGCTCGATACTATCTTGTACTCATAGTTTGACCCCAAATCATCCTGTACACCAACGAGTTCCATGGAGACAGCGGCCTTGGGCTTACTGCAGCTTTTATGCAGGGCTGCCTCAAGCTGTGTGGCTGAGCAGTTGTACAGGTACATCGTCAGGCTGAGGACACCCTTCGTCGAGCCTGTATGAGACCTCAACCTCGCCACTAGATTGTCCAACAACAATGACTGAGCTGCAATACGACGCTTTGCAGCACGCCGCTCTCTCTTCGTCCACGCCGTTCTGACCCATCAGTGCCGCACTCTGGCATTGCCGGGCCCCACTAAGCACGATGATACAGCATAAACCGCTACAAGACGCAAGGCAGCAGATTCGTCTCCTCAAACTGCTCTGGCCACAGGAACCAAGCGAGCACCTCGAACTCGAATCGTCCGTCCACAACATTGCCGACCAGCCTGTCTACAACGCCATCTCTTACACCTGGGGTCCTAAGCTGCCCGAAGCTCCAGTCATCTTGGATGGAAACCTCACCATACTACGCGATGATTGCCGCCATGCGCTGCGCTCTTGCCAAGAACGTGGGATCTCCGAGTACCTGTGGATCGACTACATCTGTATTAATCAATCTGATGATGTCGAGAAGAGTGCACAGGTTGCTATCATGGGCAGCATATTTCATAGAGCCGCCACCGTCCTGGTTTCTCCGAGGCCGTTGCCTCTATTTTCGATACCGGCTGATGTGCCGGAAGACCTGAGACAGTACTACGCCAATCTTAAGTCACGAGAGCAAGCCTGTCTCGATCACGAATCGACGCATGGGCCAGGCAGTAGTGCGAGAGATGTGTTTGGAGCTTTGTCCGGAGGCAAAGAAATGGACGCCCAGATCGTATCTCACGTGATGTGGAAACTCAGATCTAGTCGGTACTGGTGCCGTCTATGGATCTTGCAGGAAATTCTGCAGGCATCTTAGGTGGTAGTGTTATGGGAATCTCTTACGCTTGAGCTTGCACAACTTGACAGGACATACAAGGCGATCGAGAAGGCACGGGCTGATCCCCGCTGCCGTGAGAATCTCGTCATGAGTTTGCCCCCCTGGGAGACCGTGGCGACAATGGGAGTTGTACTGGATATATGGCATGCTCGTTCCAACACTGCAGTGCAGGAGTACAATACACTCCCGGATTTGCCACGCTACTTCCGACAACATCGGTGCTGCGACCCACGAGATCGGATCTATGGCTTACTCTCGCTCACGACTGCGATCTTATTCCGGACTATTCGTTGTCCAGGATAGAGCTGGCCCTGGTGCTCATACGCCCACCGTACGGAATGAGCGACTTCAAAAATGCCAAGCTCTTCCTGAGTGCTCTCGACCTAACAGACGTCGACATCAACGACGCTCTAAGAGAGTCTGCAGCTTGGCGTGTCCTTGATGGACGGGAGTTCCCATTGAACCAGTCGCCGGCCGTTCGATTGCTGCTCTCAAAAGAGCAGTACATACTTCCGCTGCACCTGCGGAGCACATCGTCAGACTTCGCGCCAAGCTGCACGCAGAGCTACTGCTGCGACTGCCAACCCTTCACCGTTGGCGATGACATGGCTCACGGGCCAAGGACCAGGATCCAAAGGGGGTGGACCGAATCGTGGCAGTCGCAAGTAGCATCGTACACGAGGGCGACAGCATCCTTTTGGAAATGTTATCCAATCGCTGGTCGCCAGCAGACATAGTGTTCCGAAGTGGCGGGTTCGTCGTACGGCCACGACTGGATGCGGCCAACCTTTACGACATAATTGGCCGATTTTGGTTTACCAACAGCGAAATGCTTCACGATCACAACGTAGGTACGGTTCGGGGCGCAGCGCTGTTCCTACTTGCTCCGTATGTGTTGAGCCTCTTGAGATGCTTAAAGCAGTCTATTTCACGCGAAATGGGCCGCCTATTCTCGCTTGGGGACAGTGGTTAGAAGAGCGACCTGTACGTGTGGGAAGCACATCGTTTGCCCGTCTGAAATGCGCCTCCGAACAGCAAGATCAATGGGAAGGAATAAGCTTCGGGACTACGATCCAGTGCACAGGATGCAAATTAGGCAAAAAATTCCATTGAGTCGGAATGTACCAGCTCTGTCATCTGCCGTCAGGACCTCGTCGGTCCTATCGTGTTGTACCATCATTCGGCACTCAAGTGCTAACACCATTATCCATAAGCCGAGCTACCATAGAACAGTCATTCGGTACGAGAAGCAGGCGTAGTACGCAACGACATCTGACCCTCTTGCATTTGCTGCTAGTATTGTTCCACACCTTCCACCACACGGCCAGTCTCTCACCCCATCCTCGCCGCACTAATCGAGCACATCTCTCCCAGCCTCCTTAGTAGCCCGCTCGAACACAGCATCACCATAGCAGATCTACAAGCACCAAAAGTGTCAGCAACATCAAGCATCTTCCGAACAGGAAATGTATTCGCAACAAATACAGCCACGAAAAAGCAAGTCTCCTTACCTTCCCAACCTTCTCAACCTCCTTCGCAGCCGTACCCTTTCCCTCCTTGCGCAATCCCACACAAGCGCCCGCCAGCAAGCGCATGGTAGGAACGTTGTGGAGATGGTCTTTGGGACCGTGGTCAGCGGGAACAGAGAAGGGTTCAATGGACTCCTTCTTAATCCTGCTTTCAGGGGACAGGTCATCTGTATCGGTACTAGCATCCAGCGTGTCGTAGCGCTTGCGACTGCCCAAATATGGGGACGATTTCGTACGAGGTGGTACCGGCATGATGCTCTGACCTGGCCAAATAAGCATGCGTAATTCCAGCCAATTTGTAGATGACTCCAGAAAGACTCTATCATTTGAGATATCTACGTGCCATGAGCTTTGGTGCGAGGAAAACCTTCGTTCCGGGTGTTTATTCAGGCGGCTGCGTCGCAGATGATTGCTCCTGATCTGTAACCTGCTTGCTGACTATGTAACGTTGTGTTATGCAGTAGTACGTGGCTGGCGCGCCCATCAGCGGTTTTGAGGCGAGGATCGCATGGTCTAGTGGCACCAGATGCTCATGGCATTGATTTGGCAGGGAAGGCTCTGACACGAGCGGAGTCGATCGATGTTGCAACGGGTAGGGTGAATAAGGAAGAAAGCAGATTTGTTGGAACAGGAGACAGCGGTAAAGCGTGAGGTACGCCACCGAGTGCCTTGCAGAAATGCCATTCGGTGATATCTGCATACATCGCACCCACGCACTGTCATGCTTGCGTGTGTCCCACAAGCACTACGATATGCTGGCGAACTGGGTATCATGACCCGTCTATTTCTTGCTACTCTCAGCCTCATCAGCCTTCGCCTTCGCCCGCTTCTCCCTCTTGCCAACAAGACGAGCCTCAGACCTAGCGTCACGCAGCTTCCTGTATGCCTTCTCCTCGCTCTGGAAGTCGGAGACCTTGCCCTCCTTGACAACGACCTTGTTGCTGATGGGCAGCAAGTTCTTGTTGACCATGTTGACGTGGCCTTCGTAGCCGGCCTGTTTGGCGGCGCTGGCCTCCTCGGCGGTGGAGTCGCCGGCTTTGGGTGCCTTGCTCTTGCGTGGGAAGACGACGAGACGCTCCTTGTAGGCCTTTAGACGCTCGACGTTGGCCTTGAGGGACTCCTCAGAAAGGTTCTGGCGGCGGGGGTCGACTGAGATACCGATTGTGGGCGCGAGCTTTCGGGGGATGCCGGCTTCCTGGAAGTCTGTGTGAGTACGTGTGCGTTTAATATATATGATAGATGTATGCATACCTTGAGCTCAGCAAGCGAGAAACCACGGCCAGCGCGCACACGACGGTTGTACTTGACAGTCGGGCAGCGTACCACAGGCCTCAATCGGTCGACAGGACGAGGAGCGAACTTGGCAGCCTTCTCCTGGCGCGCATTACGGCGCGACTTCTTCTTGCCGGGCTGTCATATTCATCGCAAGTCAGAAAACGTTCATGTCTTGTATGCACTGCAGGCGCCACTGCTCTCAGGGACATGAGAGGGGATTTACCTGGTCGAAGTGCACGCGGACACGGCGTTGCCAATCCTTGCGGAAATCTGTGATGGAAAGTTAGCCATTGTCGCAATTCGTGTAGATGGACTGGGAGGGTGAATGTGTACGGGTGCTGGGCAGCATCTGGTTGTGCTTGATCGCCATCTTGTCGGTATTTCGATATGTTTGTACAGCGGCGTGCTGATGTTGTTGTGACCTTCGTCGATTCGCTGGCCTGCGAGAGAAGTGGCTGTTCTCGATCAAAATTTGTGGGATGTGCTGGAAGTCTTGGCAGTTTCGGCCTCATGTATCTCCTAAGCCGATCGGCAGTCACGAAAAAACACGCTAGTATGTACAGACGCGACTTCCAAATCTACTCCACTCCAGCCATTGCAAGAGCATACTTCTCTTCTTGCCCATGCACTCGCCATATGTTGGATTGGCTCATAAAATAGCATGATAAACCACAACGACATCTAGTCTGTCCTCTCGCCATAATGCCACTTTCCAGAGCAGACCGGCTCAAGCAAATTCGAGCTTTACGAGCCGCTGGCAAGACTGGGTTTGATGCATACGAGGTAGCGGAAGCCGAGTCGATCTACGAGACTGTCGACGATGAAGGATACAAGAAAGTCGTACGCAGTCGCCTGGATCAAGACGACTTCGTCGTGGACGACAACGGTGGAGGCTACGCCGACGATGGACGTGAGGATTGGCAGGACCAGCGAGTAGTGTATGAGGACAGCGAGAGTGATGGAGATCTGCCGAAGCAGGGCAAGGCTGGTATGGCGTGACATGTCCTCCTTGATATACACCTTACTGACATGATGACAGCTAAGCGAAAGCGTGAAGAAGACACTGAGCGACAGGAAAAGCTCAACAACGGCATCAACAAGTATTTCAGCGCTAATCCAGCAGCCGCTGCGCCGAAAGCCAAACCTGTACGAACAGCCGAAGACGATGCCTTCTTGACGGATCTGCTCGGCGAGGTTGACACCAACATTCCTTCTCGCGTACCTTCACATGGCAAGGCAGTGAGAAGCAACGATCGACGCAAGACCCGAGTGCTTTCACCACCACTTGAGAGCCGGCCTCGCGCACCAAAGTACGAAGAGCACGAAGATCTCGCCATCACCCCTGTCGCCATAGCAGACGACGATAAAGGCTACTTTGTGCAGCCACAGGATGACGACGTGCCCATGAGTGATCCTCTGCCGTCGTCGCCTGTAGCTAAAGTGGCAGAGAGGAAGGAGGCCGCGATCAAGGCTGAAGACGTTGACGAGGATGATTTGATGGAGGTTGCTGAAGTTCAGGGCAATACGGCGATCAGGTCAGCCAACATCAACATGAAGGGCAGTCGTCCTGCACCGAAGCTGGCCAAGCGCGCATATCCAACACCAGACAGCTCGTCGCCTGCACGGGCGCCAGAAGATGGCGTTGACATGACAGCAATCAACAATGTCACGGAAAAGCTCAATATTCTTAGCAGCCCACCAGCCGAGACAGTGTCGGCAGGCAAGATCAGCGCGAAGGATGCCATTGAGAATGATGGCTCGTTACGCTTCTTCTGGACCGACTACACGGAAGTCAACGGCAGCCTGTGCCTATTCGGCAAAGTCAAGAACCGTAGCACTGACAGCTTCGTCTCCTGCTTCGTCAAAGTCGACAACATCCTTCGCAAGCTCTACTTCTTGCCACGCGAGACTCGTCACCGTCAGGGGCGTGACACGGGTGATGAAGTCGAGATGGGTGATGTTTACGAAGAAGTCGACAAGCTCATGACCAAGTACAAGGTCGACATGCACAAGATCAAGCCCTGCTCTCGTAAATATGCTTTTGAGCTTCCGGAAGTGCCAAAGGAGGCCGACTATCTCAAGCTCCTCTATCCTTACGACAAGCCTGCCCTACCTATGGACATCTCCGGCGAAACTTTCTCTCGCGCCTTCGGCACCAACACAGCACTTTTCGAACAATTCGTGCTATGGAAGAACATCATGGGTCCGTGTTGGTTGAAGATTGATGGCGGTGACTTCGAGTCTGCCAGTAACGCTTCCTGGTGTAAACTTGAGCTACAAGTCACGAAGCCGAACAACATCACAACGCTCGGTGATTCCGACAACCTCGAAGCGCCTCCACTTACCCTTATGTCCCTCGCACTACGGACTACCATGAACGTCAAGGAGAACAAGAATGAGATTCTAGTGGCTAGCGTTCGTTTCTATCCCGATGTGTCACTCACGGATACGACACCGCCCGAGAAGCTGCCATCACGGACTTTCACTTTTATGCGACCGAATGGAGATTATCCTGTTGGATTCAAGCTTGAAGCTGAGAAGCACAAGGGCTCGATCATGATGGAGAGAAATGAAGCCGCACTGTTAAGCAAGCTCCTTGCAATCATTCAGATGCACGATCCAGATGCGCTTGTCGGCCACAGACTGGACGACGTGGACTACAACGTGCTTCTGACACGAATGCGAGAACGCAAGACACCTGGCTGGCATCGCATTGGGAGGCTAAGGCGCAGCGACTGGCCCAAGAATGTTGGCAAGGGAGGTGGAAGCTTCTTCGCTGAGCGCCATCTTGCTGCTGGGCGCCTGCTTTGTGATCTTGCCAACGACATGGGTAAGTCTATCATGACTGGCTGCCAGACCTGGAGTTTAGACGAGATGGTGAAGCTGTATCTTGGTGGGAACCACGTTCGCAAGGATATCGACAACGAGAAAGCACTTGCCATGGCTACTACGCGACAAGGTCTGATGAACTACGTCAAGATGTGCGAACTTGACACGTACTACATCGCAGCTATAGCACTCAAGCAGCAACTCCTGCCATTGTCGAAAGTCTTGACCAACTTGGCCGGCAACTCCTGGGCACGAACACTTTCCGGTACCCGGGCAGAACGCAACGAGTACATTTTGCTGCACGAGTTCTACCGCAACAAGTACATCTGTCCAGACAAGGTATGGGGCAAAGGCGCCACGAACAAAAAGCTCGAAGATTCTGCCGAAGGTGGTGAGGATGCAGAAGCGGGCGATGGCAAGAAGAGAGACAAGTACAAGGGCGGTCTCGTCTTCGAGCCCGAGAAGGGACTCTACGATAAGTTCATCCTGGTCATGGATTTCAACTCACTATATCCCTCGCTCATCCAGGAATACAACATCTGCTTTACGACTGTCGAGCGGTCAAACATCGGCGAGGACGAGGACGTTATACCTGAAGTGCCAGAGGATACGCAGAACAAAGGCATCCTACCTCGACTTATTCGTACGCTCGTCAATCGCAGGCGAGAGGTGAAGAAGCTTATGAAAGGCAAGGGCGTTAGTGATGAGCAGCGCAAGACATGGGACGTGAAGCAACTAGCCTTGAAGCTGACGGCCAACTCTATGTACGGGTGCTTGGGTTACTCGAAATCTCGTTTCTACGCCCGACCGCTGGCTGCCTTGACGACCTCGAAGGGTCGTGAAGTCTTGCAAAGCACCAAAGAGCTTGCCGAGTCTGCTCACGCGTTGCGTGTCATCTACGGTGACACCGACTCCGTTATGGTCAACACGAATCAAGACAACATCCTCGAAGCCATCAAGATGGGCAATGAATTCAAGAAGGCTGTTAACGAGCGATATGAACTGCTAGAGATCGAGATCGACAACATTTTTCGCCGCCTTTTGCTGCATGCTAAGAAGAAGTATGCCGCGATCAACATGATTGAGGACGGCGGAGTGTGGAAGGAGAAGATGGAAGTCAAGGGCTTGGACATGAAGAGAAGGGAGTATTGCCAACTCTCAAAGGATACATCTACGTAAGTCAAGGTACCATAGACGCTTCGTTGCATTACTGACATTCTCCAGCGAGCTGCTCAACTACCTCCTATCAGGCGAAGATCCAGAGAAAGTAGTGTCTCAGATCCACGACTACCTTCGCAGCCTAGGCGAGAAGATGCGGAACAACAGCATTATCCCTTTAAAGTATACGATCTACACGCAGCTCGGCAAGGCACCAAAGGAGTACCCCAACGCCAACTCCATGCCCTCAGTCCAAGTCGCCCTGAAGCAGATGGCAAAGGGAAAACAGATCAAAGCCAAGGATGTAATGTCCTTCGTCATCTGCGGCACAAGCTCAGGCTCAGCAGAGAAGGCTGCCCAAAACGCTCATACCATTGATGAAGTTATGGCCAAGGACAGCGGACTCGTACCAGACGTCGATTACTACCTCCACAAGCAGATCTTGCCGCCTGTCGAGCGTCTTTGTGCTCCTATCAGTGGCACGAATATCTCTCTGCTAGCTGAGTGCCTAGGGCTGGACACGAGCAAATATCGTGTCAGTGGTGTTAGCAAGGGCATTGAGCAAAGCAACGAGATCACTACGCTTGAAAGTCAGATCCCAGATCACATCCGTTTCAAGGACTGCGAGCCACTGGATCTACTATGCTTGGGTTGCAAGCACCACTTCGAATATCGCGGGCTGAACTACCAGCCACCACCAGATCAGGAGATCCCACTCACACCCCTAACTGTCCTCGCGAACTCTGGTCTCAGCTGCCCACGAGCAGAATGCAAGAAGACGATATCGACATTGTCCCTCTCCACTCAACTCGATGCGCAGATCCGCAAACACAGCTCACGCTACTATTCCGCCTGGCTGACCTGCGACGACGCGGCCTGTGGCATCCGGACCCGACAGATCTCAGTCTACGGCCGTCGATGTCTTGGTCCGAAAGGGCTGGCACATGGCTGCTCAGGACGTATGACGTGGGACATCTCGCAGAAGGGACTGTATAATCAGCTCTTGTTCTTGCAAGGACTATTCGATGTCGACAAGAGTCTAGAGAAGATGGGCAAGCCTGGTCTAGCGGGTGTCAAGACCGAGGAGAGTGAGAAGCTGAAGGTGCTGGCTGGTATGAATCGGGAGAGGTTTGAGGTGTGTAGGGGCGTTGTTGATGGCTATTTGGATAAGAGTGGATGGGGGTGGGTTAGTATGGAGGGGTTGTTTGGATATGCACGGAAGGCTTGAATGAGTAGCTTCGCATGTAAGCAAGTACGCAATGAAGTTTCTTTAATGATGAAGCATCTCTCGCATATGAAGTAGTGACCCTCATATCCCAATGACCGTCCTGACTTTTCATAACGGCAGCGATCTACCGCCCTTGAGGCGATACTCCCAGCGCTCTCCACGTCAATACAATCACATCTGCATTGTAACGATTCACCGACCCTCAAGTGGACTTCCACAGCACGCACGGCCCAAAATACTAGATTTCGTCGCTGTCCACATAAATCCCCATCGACAATCTTACGAAGCTCCTTGCTGTCCCTCTCTCTCAAGATGTGGGTCTGGCTGCCAAACGACCTGTCACTACACAAGGAAAGCACGACGATAGTCGGCGCAGGGTCTTCGAATCTGCTGTGATCAGCGCGCGAGAGCTTGGTAGATGTCATTGATTAGTCCTTTGGTGACCACGGGTTGGCCTTGGTTGCCTAGCGTTGACCTGACGACATTGTCAAACCGCGACAGGATGTCGTCCATATGCGCACAGCCGTTATCTTCCTCGACGGTAAGGGCATGGCCCGTTCTTACTCTTGTAAGATCGACAAGAGAGACTCGGGTACAATAAGGTGCTTCAGTCCTATACCAGATACCTGGTTCTTTCGGATGTGCCAGTGCATTTCTCCTCCGCGCGCAAGAAGCGGTGACCACGAACTCAAGTTTTCGCAGAGAAGCTATAGCTTGATCTCCGATGGCTTCAAGCCATCGACAGAAGTCTTTGCTGCCCGTGCTGATGCCTGGTCTCTCTGAGTCCACTGCGACATATAGTCGGAAAGTGCTTGACGACCAGAACAGAGGCAAGAGCTCGTTGTGCAGTGGTCGATCCACTTGACGTATGGCGAGAGCAGTACTCAGTCCTTGCGGCACCAGCATCTCATCATAGTCAATCATGGATATTGGCCATTGCTCTGTTAATGCATATTCGTAGATATGTAGGCGGAGCTCTGCTGGGAGATCTAGCAGTCGTGGCATTCTTTTACAGAGACAGTGACCGATGCCGACTGATCTCTCTCCTAATCAATTCTTGTTCTTGCTCTACTACTGCCGGATGCGTACGATCCTAACTGTCAAATGAAGTGAATGATCGGGAGTGGAGTGCGAAGAGGAAGTCACGCAAGCTCAGAATAGTGCAGAAGCACGAGCCAACGGGGATCGGAAGACAGCAGGGTCCCAGCTTCACGAAGGGCCGAAAGTCATCCGCGTTGTTGGGAAGGGAAGTATTTATCATCAGCAACGGCAGCACAACAGCATCCACGTCCCATTCACTCATTTCTCCCGTGTCGCGTGCAACCAGGACCAGCACCTCACCGTCTTCAGCTCACACCAACGCCGCGATGGTGGCTTCACGACTTGTCCGACCAGCTGCACAGCTCCTCCGCAGCTCCCCTTCAACACTCCCCAGATGTAGCTTGCAGAGGGTGGCTGCACCGGCGGCAGCATTGAGGTTGAGGAGGTCATATGCTACGCCCTCGGGTAGCAAGGAAATGACAGTGCGAGATGCACTGAACGAGGCGATGGCGGAGGAGATGGAGAAGAATGAGAAGGTCTTCGTGCTGGGTGAGGAGGTTGGACAGTACAATGGCGCGTGAGTCTTCCCAGAGCGCTGCTACATATGTGAAGATCAGCATGAGCTGGTGTAATTCAGGCTATAAGCATACACCTGCTGGAAGGCTTGCTGTCTGGATGTAGTATGCATGCATCACGAGGTCAAGCTGACGGATATGCTATTACAGATACAAGGTTACGAAAGGCCTGCTAGACCGCTTTGGCGAGAAGCGAGTCATCGACAGTCCCATCACAGAGTCCGGCTTCGCAGGCCTGACAGTCGGTGCTGCCCTCGCAGGTCTCCACCCTGTCTGCGAGTTCATGACCTTCAACTTCGCCATGCAGGCCATCGATCAGATCATCAACTCTGCGGCCAAGACACATTACATGTCCGGTGGCATTCAGCCTTGCAACATCACTTTCCGTGGACCCAACGGTTTCGCATCAGGTGTTGCAGCTCAACACTCACAGGACTACTCAGCTTGGTACGGCTCGATACCCGGTTTGAAGGTCGTTGCGCCCTACTCCGCCGAGGACGCAAAGGGTTTGTTGAAGGCTGCCATTCGCGACCCGAACCCCGTCGTTGTGCTTGAGAACGAGCTTCTGTACGGTCTGTCCTTTCCGATGAGCGCAGAGGCTCAATCTGACGACTTCGTAATTCCGGTACGTAGTCCATTGGTCGAGATACAGTCTAGCCATGCAGTCCACTGACAAATATACCCAGTTCGGCAAAGCCAAGATCGAGCGACCTGGCAAAGACCTCACCATCGTGACCCTCTCCCGCTGCGTTGGCCAATCACTAGTAGCCGCTGAACAGCTCAAGAGCAAGTACGGCATTGACGCTGAAGTCATCAATCTCCGATCGGTCAAGCCTCTTGACGTAGAGGCCATTGTCAAGTCCGTCAAGAAGACCGGCCACATGATGGCAGTGGAGTCCGGCTTTCCAAGCTTCGGCGTGGGCGCTGAGATTATCGCCCTTACCGCGGAATACGCCTTCGACTACCTCAAGGCGCCACCAGTCCGTGTCACTGGTGCGGAGGTCCCGACACCTTACGCGCAGAAGTTGGAGGAGATGGCCTTCCCATCGGAGTCGCTTATCGCGGACTACGGCGCTAAGCTCTTGAGAGTGTAAGGGAGGAGACATGCCAAATCAGTACGAGTGAAGAGGATGGGCTAGACGGTTATCAGTGAGCGCCCAGTTCCTGTGGTGGCTGCAGTCCAGGTTGCTTGCGCGGAGCGAGGCCAGATCAAACAAAGGCGACAGGCGTGGTGCGTTGTAGACCTACCCGGGATGGGATTCCGACTTTGTCTTACTGGCTTTTTGTGGTGGTGGTGTAACTAGGTCGCGTTAGCACGGAGCATAGCGTGCTTTTCACGGTACGATAAGCCATTGATCATCGTCTACCTCGTCCTTTCAAGCCACAATGCCGTCGAATCATGCTTTGCGCAGAACGATGAACTGTCATGCACGTAGCAAACTATCTGGTAAGTTTTTAATCTCGTGATGAATCGTGGTGTAAGTTCGAGCATGCATGACTGCAAACACATGGAGCCCAACCTTCCGTACTGCTCACATGTGCAGGATCTGAATCGTCGAAGAAGAGCTGGCACAACGCCACACGGTCATGTCCTTGGCTACACTCGAGTATCTACGCAGCAGTAGCGTGGTCGACATGAAGGGCTGGGAAAACGCTTCCAAGCCTCGTCAGTGGCATATGGTCGGGGGCGCGGTCTGTCACCATTGTAGCTCGTACTAGCAATGCATATTCGCTTACACTAAGACTGTGACACCTTACCATGTGGCTGTGGCGATGTACGCCCAACTCGTGCTTGCTGTAGCTCGACTGTAGTAGGTACATGAGAGGGGGTGGCCTGCATTATGCATACGCCATCTGCGCACGTGTGGTCCACGTGGAGATCGCCATCCGTGTAAGCGAAGGTGTAGGTGTCGTCTGCACGCCGTCTTAATTGTGGCGTTTGAGCATACTTGTGGGCTCTTGAAGCAGGCCGTTGAGTCTTTAGCCTCGTTGTGGTGGTGCTCACATATGGCTCGCTGTGTTGAAGCTGTGTCGTGGCCGGGTCTGGGCCGCCACTTCTTAGCTGGATGACTCAAAGTTGCTTGGTTCCAAATACTGATGATGATGGCGTTCGATGAGGATGGGGCACGACAAACTTTAGCCGAAGCTATGTGGTCCTGGGTCCTAGATGCAATAGGTCGCGCGGAAGTAGGGTGCCTGAGCATCGTGGCGTCTGTGAAAGTCTACATTGAGCTCAATTGGATCCGCCTCAATCGCGATCCTCGATCCACATCCCTGGGAACTGTATCTTGGACCGGCTGTATGGTCCTGCAAGCCTGTCAACCAAACTGTCGGCGCGAGTATCAGAACTCCACATAGGCAGCCCTCGTGATGATTTCAGGAGCAGACGCTAAGGTGAAGAGGACAGAGGTCGAGAACAATCGCAAGCATGTGGCAGCCACGCGGGCGTTTTGCCGCTGCGAGATGTGAGACATCCCCACGACATCACTTCCTTTCTCTTCCCTCGAGACATCACTTGCATTTATCCCTGCTTCCCCACGAGCAAGAAAGCTGCTTTGCGCTCCTATTTCACCAGACATGCCTTCCCTACGCCCAAGCGCTGGTTCCTGAGAGCCGTCCCAGCCCTTGTTGCAGGAGGAGGCACTATTGTCTGCATGTCTCACCGGACTTCCTCGGTGCATTGCAGCTTTTGCCGAACTTGCTTCAGCCAACGCGGGATGTAGGTTTAGGACAACCTCATGCGAACCACGCGAATGCCCTGCCGGGCCTGACGCCATGTTGACCTTCCTGTCGCCTTCGAGTTTTCTTGACGTCCTGGTGGGCTGCCAATTTTTCTGTTGATGCGCTAGCACAAAAACTTCCCGAGCCTCTTAGCTTGACGATGTGCTCGCCGGTGTGCAGCCCAGTAGCAATCCTGGCAGACAAGATACCTCCTCTGCTGCCAGCATTCAGCTACTTGAAGTCACACGGAACTGACCACCGGACTGACGCTACAGTGTAGTAGCCTACGGTGAGGCTCGGTGTTGTGAAACCAACCACGCCCAAGCTCCATACGCGCAACGAGTGGATCTGACTGAAGCTTCAACGGTGATATAGCCACATGCAAATCACCCGCAGTTCTGCGCTGAAACCTCTTTAAGCTTGAAGCACCCCAAAGAGGTCGTTCGAGGACTAGTCAGTATGCTCACATTGGCTGTTTTCGACCTAGCTCAGTATATCGTCAGTCTCAATGTGCAAGCCGAGCATTCCCAGCTCACGCGGCATGAGGTAGATGGCTGCCATGCGGTATCTGAGCACGCTCCGGCGGGCCCAACGTTGCCTGCGATATGCGTGTCAACTGCCGGCGGGAATGCCGCAATGGAAACCTGGACATGGTCATGCTCGGCTACGCATGAAACTGGTCCCTAGCTCTTTGTTATCCTTCACTGGGCCAGCCACATGCGAAGAGCAATCTCAAGCACGTCTACGGCTGATCTATGCCTGCTCATCGACTAACAAACACCGTTGCTCGGGCCCTAAGCAACGGGTGCAGTGTGAGACATCCTTCACGCGATATATGCAAGACATATCCCACTGGTTGTTGGCCATGGGGTCAGAACACAGACATACAATGACCCTCAGACCTCGCGCCGTACCAGATCTACCCAAGGCGAAGGTTCCTGCAGAGTCAACAAACTTGGCAGCATCGTCTTCTTCTTGGTCGTGCCCAGCTGAGGCAATACCCATTCTGGCAACACCACCTATCTTCAGGATACCGGCCGAGCTGCGGCTGGACTTCTATGCATTGGCACTACTGGTGGACGACTCAGACCTGCGCTTACTGCAGACTTGCAAGCAGATCAACATGGAAGCGCGCCCGATCTTGTACCAACGACCGCTGACCCTCACATCACAAGCACAATTCTTCGAGCTCGTCCAGCGAAGCGACCCGGTGGACCTGCTTCGTATACATGATGTGACTCTACATCTCACAGACATTAGCCTGTCGTCGCTACTGGATGGGTTCGCTGGTATCACTGCTTGGGCTTTGTATCAACAGGAGCTAGAAAGGCTCGACAGAGCATTCAGAACCATATCGGGCCTACGACGATTAGTCCTGCGCCCGCCAGCAGTCAACCATTCGCAGCTCTTACGAGGCATGTACCTGTCATTCCTCGGCCTGATACCTCAGCATCACCCATCGCTGCAAAATCTCGTCATCGAAGACAACAAGGATCTACTCAACAAAGTGCCGTCACTCCGAGATCTACCGAATGTACACTTCACCATCACGACAGACAGTACGCCAGATCGCAAGCAGACATGTTCTCGAAGTCCAACAGTCAAAGTCGAGGTTGAGGAGAACGAGGAGGATCTGCTGGCAGACCCTACCTTGCCCGAGGACTCGGGTCTCGTCGACAGGAAAGCCAAGACCAAGAAGCCGGCAAAGTCACCAAAGCAAGCAAGATGTAAGCGCAACAGATCGACCATCGAGCCTGCAAAGATGGGAGAGGGAATTACAGCTGCTAACACGGTGATCAAGGCAAGGGTACGCAAGCCTGCGACACAAGTACGACCAGGTATCGCAGGACGACGGCGGCGAGGAGATGATTGAGCGTACTCTGCCGTATCATTAGTATAGAGTCATAACATGGTGGTAGTCAGTAATGTAATCATTCATACACCGTAACACGAAGCTCTATTTCGATCCCTCCTTCCTTGCACAGCAATCTCCTGCCGCGTCGATGCTACAAACCTTCAAGGTCTCGTCACCTTTCGGCTTGTCAGCCTCGTACTGCTCGCCAAGATGTTCGGCAACGTCGTCGCAGAACTTTGCCATGTATGTGTCCTTTAATGACAATCCACGCGGCGTATGCGTTGTCCACTTGATAGCCGTACGATTGAAGACGTTAGTCCATTCAGGGTGATGCCGTTGCTCTTTGCACTTTTCCGCCACTTTGTTCATGAACTCCTGTAAGTCATGTCAGCGACGACTACTACAGGGGTGAGGTCTCTGCTCATGGAATGGATTTCGGTTTCAGTAAACGATCGTGTCAGACATACCCAAGTAGTCTTGAAAGTCCTGAACTTGAACACCCCTTCGAGTGCATTCCCATCGGACAACTGCCATCGACCATTATCAACCAGCCGCGTGACCTCCTCAGCAACTTTATCCTCGTCGTTCTGGGCGGAGATTGACAGCTTGAGTCGATGCACCATATCTGCTCTGGTGGTGGAGAATGCTCTTGTTGACGTATTTATGGTATTTCTCCCGGTCACAACATATCTACCAGACTGTAGGCATCCTGCAGAGTGCTGAGATCGAAAGAGGCGAGTCGATAACAACACGCGCATACTACCCCAATTGAAAGATATTGTCTTGGTTTGAATCGCCGCGAACCAAGACGTGAAGTTGATTGCCACTTGAGACGCACGGATCATACAATAACGCTCCATCACAGACCAAGGGTACCAACATTCTACTTCATGCATCGAAATCATTATAAGAGGCTCTGTCATGACTTCATGGAGGCTTTGTGTATGTCTACGTATACGCATCCTCGATCGGAGCCCGAATTTTGAGCCCGAATACCACTCCCTAACAACGACTGGACACAATCATGCCTCGCGCACCACGACGCCCTGCTAAAATAAAAAAATCCCATTCAGAAGCACTACCCATCGCTATTCGCCAGCCATAGCAGCATACTCAATGTCCCCAGCTCCAGGCGGAGGCGCCACAGCTCCCAAACCATCAAGATCATCATCGCCACCTTCTTCACCTGGCGCTGCCGCAATAGCTTTATTCTTCCCAGCAGCAGCAGCACTCCTACCCCTCTGCTCCTGCCCTCGTGCAGCCCTAGCATTCTCCATCCTCTGATCACGGTCCATGTTGTCCAACGGCTTTGGCTTGCCCCACTGCACTCTTAGTGGCACGCCTTTCACAGTGGCCCTACCTTGACATGCCTCAGCCGCTGCCTCAGCACCTGATCGCTCCATATAATTCATGAAAGCGCAATGGGAGCGATGCGAACAGACTACGCTGCGTAGTGCGCCATACTGCGTGAAGTGAGTGCGAAGTTCGTGTTCGGGCATGTCGTCTTCCACGCCAGTGATGAAGAGAGAAGTGATGTTCTTGTCGGCTGGCGGGAGGATGTCCTGAGGTTGTGGAGGCAAAGCAGCCGCAGAAGGGAATGGTCGGCCTTGTCGCGCACCACCTCTGCCACCTCTACTGCTCGTTGCTGCACCCCCTCGTGTTCCATATGCAGAGCCGTAAGCAGACTTCCGCGAGTCTGCTGTCCGTATCGGTCCTGGTGTATGTCCGCTTTCTGAGCTCTCACCACCTTCCAGTAATTTCTGTCGGCCCTCTGCTTCTTCCGCTTCCAGCCGTCTCTGCTTCTTGTAGTACGGCTCACTACTCGCCAGCCGCCGCAGCAACTCTCGTGCCTTCTCATCTGTCTTCTCATAGCCCTCGAGTCCTCTGCCCTCCTCGATCTCCCGCTCGTTGTTCTGCGCAAAATACTCTCGATTGATACCACTCTGTGGGCCAGGCGCAACCATCTTCAAAGCAGCGTCACGAATCGTGATCGGCAATCCGAAGCTAAGATCCAACATACAACACTGACAGCAGTTCTTCAGTCGCGCGCACGTCAAGCATATGCCTGTGCGCTTTTGTCGGGAGGTCCGGTCTGCTTTCCACCGGAAGATAGTGAAGGGTCTTGTGCATAGCTTGCACTCGGCGCCGTGGTCCTCCTTCAGCATCTGTACGTATGGGTTGTCGGGCAGGCATCGTTCGCAGACTGAAGGCATGTCTGTGGTCTCCCATCCACTCCGGTTCATATCCTGTTTGATTTGCGCCATAGTGCTAAGGAGAGCCTGGCCGTAGATGGTGGGGTGCTGTGGTGATGCTGCCCTATACCGCAGTGCTCTCTGACGAGTACAGCGGGTTCTGATAGTATGGTGAATGTATTGTGAAGCGCTTACGGATCTCGATTCCCAAAACCTCCAGAACATGCCAAGCTTATGTCATTGTCCTCCACATGGCACGTGACGGGGCGGAGAATGGGCGAGGAATGTAGACCCTGGAAATCTTCCATCTTGCAGGCACGCTAGGCCTGTTCCTAGCGACAGCCAGAAAATAGTGGTTCGATTGGAGACGATTTGTTGAGGAAGTGGCACGATTAGACGGACCACCAATTGCCATTGAACTCGTAGAATTCCCTCAAATCTTCGACAGACGATTGTCAAACCTGCTTGCCCTTCCTCACACATTTACACACATCCAACATGGCCGCACCACGATCAAACATGACGCAACTCGAGAAGGAGGACTTGGAGCGAGATGCCGCTTTCAAGAAAGCCCTCCACGGCAAGACTGGCGAAGGACGTCAAGGCTTCGTGGCCATGATGGGCAAAGACCACGCTGCTCAGAAGGAGGCCGTTGACGAGTACTTCAAGCATTGGGACAACAAGGCGTCCGCCGTCGAGACCGAGGAGACTCGCAAAGCTCGACGAGACGAGTATGCCACACTCACACGCCACTACTACAACCTCGCCACCGATCTATACGAGTATGGCTGGGGCCAGTCCTTCCACTTCTCCCGCTTCAGCAAAGGCGAGCCCTTCAAGCAAGCCATTGCCCGTCATGAGCACTACCTCGCCCTTAAGATGAACATCCAAGAAGGCCAGCGAGTGCTGGATGTTGGCTGTGGTGTTGGTGGTCCCGCACGCGAGATTGTCAAGTTCACAGGCTGCAACACAGTCGGCCTGAACAACAACGACTACCAGATCGAGCGAGCAACCCAATACGCCAAGCGAGAGGGTCTGGACCACAAGCTCAGCTTCACCAAGGGCGACTTCATGCAGATGCCATATCCCGACAACTCCTTCGACGCCGTCTACGCCATCGAAGCCACCGTCCACGCACCGAGTCTCGAAGGCATCTACAGCGAGATCTTCCGGGTATTGAAGCCAGGCGGTGTATTCGGCGTATACGAATGGCTCATGACCGACAAATACAACAACGACGATGCGCACCACCGCGAGATCCGCCTCGGCATCGAGCAAGGCGACGGCATCAGCAACATGGAGAAGATTGACGTTGCGCTCGACGCCATGAAAGCCGCCGGGTTCAAATTAGAAGTGAATGAGGATATGGCGGATCGACCGGACGAGTTGCCTTGGTACTGGCCATTGTCGGGTGATTTGAGATATATGCAGAGCATCTGGGACTTTCCCACCTTGGTTCGCATGACGCATGTTGGACGTGGATTGGTGCATCGGTTCGTAGGTGCATTGGAGATGATCAAGTTTGCGCCGAAAGGGACGCAGAAGACGGCGGATTCATTGGCGTTGGCTGCCGACTGCTTGGTTGCTGGCGGTAAGGAGAAGCTGTTCACACCTATGTATTTGATGGTTGGCAGGAAGCCAGCCAAGGCTTGAAGTGTTACATCTTAGAAGAATAGTCTTTTCGCGATACAAAGTCGTGGTTCTGAGCCGGCGTTATGGTGGACTCTTGCATCCATATCTAGAGGATATGCGAGATAGTGCATAATCGTGAGAAGTGGATGCATTGCAGTAGCACTCCACACAATATCTAATCAGCAGATGCTATCACATCTTCCCAATCAACAAATTTCCGACCATCTCCCACCCAGTAACCCAAGTCGTCCTCCACAACGTCCAAAAACCCAATATACTAAAAAACGTATCTGCATACCCAAAAGCAAGCATCCCAGGAATCCATCCCCTAGCATACTCAAGCGCGAAACATGCCTCACGCATAGAATACTGCTTCACCTCTCCCCGTCTTAGATGATGCACAGAACCTGCCGGATAGACCTCCGGCTCGAAGACATCTGGACCAGGCGCGTAAGCATATTGTGTCCCGGACAAGATATGGAAGTAATCATCTGCTGTATGTCGACCCGTATGGCCTTCTGTCCCCAAAGCGGTGCCGAAGATGATAAGGTATTCCGTGACACTGGCGTGGATGATGTACATTGCGCCCATGGCGCCACCGGCGTTGTTGAAGATCCATCCTTCATTGATACTTAAGTAGGGTGATAACTTTGGGTCCTGGTGGAGGGTGGTGACGATGTGGGAGACGATGCCGGAGGTGTTGGTGCCGTGGAGGGAGATTGCTTGGAGGGAGAGGTTGTGCAGGTCTGGGGGGTTGAAGATGTAGAAGGAGTCGAGCAATGAGTCGAGCTGGATGAGGCCGTAGATTGCGGAGGCGAGGCAGATTAGTGTTGTGAGGGCTAGTATACGGCTGTCGCTGTGATTGACGCGAGAGGTCATGTGGCTGGGTTTGGTGTCCATGGTTGTGGCGACCATGGAGCGGATCTGGGAGGAGAGCAAAGAGTAGAGTCGAGGTACACCGTCAGCGCAATGGCTACAGCTCTTGTTCCAGTAATTCGCAGGAGGCAGATGTACTTTAGCAGTATCCTGTAGTACATGGAGAAGCTAGTATCACATTACTATAACAATTGCTCTATGTCAGCATCGCAATCGTACGACTGTGGAGCTGCATTTGCAACGAGGGATGGAAGGCACGCAACAACGCGGACTGACGCGACCACACCTCTATCTCATACTCGCTGATATTCAGATCTTAACCGCGAGGTGCACATAACAACAGCAGCTCCCGCAAGACCGACATGACAGCTGGGCGGCTTAGCGAAGTCAAGCAAGAACAAGACGAGAAGATAAGATATATGTCATGAGCAGATCGTTGGCATATCGGTGCACTACCTGAGCCACCGCATCATCTCACTAAAACATCTTCGTATCGCACACTCCCTTTGCCTCAAGCTACCAGATGCTGATCTACAGCCCTGCGTGCCAAAGTGGTGTTACGAAAAGAATGCTGCATGCCATGCTTCCCCATCCTCCTTCATTTCGTCAATCTTTGTTTGGCCCTCGTTTTGTTGGACCATTGTAAATGAGGCCTCGCAGCCGGTAGTCTCTGCTATTGTTGCAGAAGCTTCAATCTCTTCTATCGGAGGGCGAAACAATTCTTGTTGAGGCGGCTCGAAAACTCGTGCCGATGAAAGCCTGCACCCTGGAGGCTGAAAATGAAAACGCCGGAGCTCCTCGCCATGCTGGAAACAATCGGTAAACAATGATGATCAAGCTTCGAACATGACGCAAGCAGTTCAGTCTTGTTGCTGAAGTGCAGTTGCGTCGCGTCATGCGAGCTGTGGAAATAGTGTCGAGGTCGGCATTAAACCTCTGCAGCGTTCTGCTGGTGTGTCGTAAATAATAGTACAATCATGCCGTTGTGGTTGGTTGATGGATGCATCTTTAGGTCTTGCGGAAGTCGGAGAGCACAGGGTAAATGAGCTCAAAGGCCTGGTAGATTTCCTCGCGGACCTTAGCGCCAGTGAGCACAATCTTGCCAGAGACGAAGATGAGCAACACAATCTTGGGCTTCATCATGCGGTAGATGAGACCGGGGAAGAGCTCAGGCTCGTAAGAGCTGAACATGTGATGACGGCTAGCCAAACCCTCGAGGCGAATCGGGAACTTGATGTCGCAAGAACCGACGATGTTCTGAATCTTGAACTCGGAGAACTTTGCATTGAAACCGAGTTTCTGAATGATGCGCGCGTACTTGCGGCTTGCGAGCTTGCTGTCATCCTCAGACTTGGCTCCAGTGACGACCATCTTGCCGGAGGCGAAGATCAGTGCCGTCGTCTTCGGCTCGCGGATACGCATGATCACGGCAGCGAAACGCTTGGGATTGTACTCAGCGTTGCGAGCGTGCAGCGCAATAGTCTTTAGATCACTGCGAGGTGTGGTGTTAGATTAGCTCTCGTGCAAATGTGCCAGACTATACCTACAGGCGGGTATCGAGGTTGACGGTCGCAACAATATTCTGCAGGAGAGGCACGATGCCCGACGCATGAATAGAGGTGTCCGCCGTGCTGGGAGCCTCAACGGCAGCAGGTGGCGCCACCGCACCATTGCTCATGTCGCTGTCAACCGTCTTGACCTCTTTCTTGGCCATTCCTGCGTTTTCCGCTGGGAACCAAGGCGCCTGGTGGTAATTCGAGGCAAACTCCTGGACCTCTTGCACGTTCGCCGGGTGGGAGATGGAGGTGCCGTTGGGATCCATGGTTGCAGATGGTGCCCTCAGACAGTCAGTCCGCCGATATGTCGATCGTGTTCAAGTAAGTGAGGCGCGTTTCGCTGTCTCAAAAGTGAGGACAGTGATGACTGCGCGCGCAGGTTTAGGCAAGCGAAGTACTACTGAAAGTCTCACGAGCCTAAGGAAGAAGAAGTAAGAAAATGCCGTCCACCAGCAGGCACCAGAGAAGTCGCGCACAGTTTGCGTCCAGCCTTCCGAGTTGCCGATTGATGTGAGAGAGAAGACGCTTGTTCGCGTGGATGGACGGTTTTAGTATGTGGCTATGTGATCTCTGTGTGTGGAGATGTGTTTGCGGATGATGATGGTGGGCAAACTTTTCGAAGAGGAAGGTAGAAAGCCGAAGATCAGGCGAGTGCGTGGGGTCGGTCGCAATTGCCTCGCGAAGTTCATGAGGGCGGCGGCTTCCCTATTTGTAGTCGCAGGCAGCAGAATTAGCTCGCCGAAGTAGGACTAGCGGCGTCTTCACATGTGAAGCAAAGGGGCCGTGACGCGTTTCAACAGGTGGCTTTCTTTGTTCACTCATAAACGCATGACATGTTATCTCAGTGAATGCATTCATACTACATGTCTGTAGTATACATTTCATTACTTCGACGTATTGCTTGTACCATGCACATGCGCCGCCTCATCAAGCTATCGAGGCAAACGATGCGATGCGATAAAGTGCGACTGACTGGTCCACCATCCCCACTGGTGACTCACCTTTCTGCTAGCGGGGCGAACGAGGAACCAACCATGTTCGAAAGGCTGCACAAGCGATAGTCTGGCAAACACCTCAGGCCGGATGACAGCTGTCTGGAACGAGAGAAAGAGTTCGCATAATTCTTACACGGGCAAGGCTGGACAACTACTCTATCGTACGTGTTTGCGCCCGGCTGGCTGCAGCGCTGTTTGCGTGGAAGCCGAGAAATTTCTGCTGCCTCGCGACATCGGAAAGGTACGGAGCCTGCTGTGGTGGCAAGGACACAAATCGGCGCAAGCATCTGTTTGCGTCGATGTTCGTTCGAGACCGCTCAGATGGTGCTCGTGTTGTACTGCAGAGCATGTTCTGATTGTTAAGGCAAGTGCATGATCGGATACGTACGAGTGCTGCCCAATGAGCAGTCACATCATCTGATGTCTCGAAAGTGGGTGAGTATGACGATGCAAATGACATTCTTGAAATGTGCGTGGCAATTTGTCATATAAAGATAGTCGTGCTAACAAGGTAGCGATATCGTAAGGCGCGGATCAACTCCATCCCAATAATCTCTGCTATGTTAATCGAAAGGTGTTGACTGCGGTGCCGACGAGGGTGGCAGTCTGCGTTATTCGCCGCGTTGGCTGTAGCGTGGTGTCCAAGCGGACGTCAACTGCTGGTATTCCACACTCTGATCTGTCGACTAGAGTCGGTGCCACGTATGTCATTGAACAGGCCACGATAGCAATGGAGGCCTTCACGAACAGCAGGCCACGGCTGTTCTTGGTAGCTAACCTCAGTCTTTCCAGAAAAAGATTCCGCCTGGGGTCTCGATTCGAAGATGTTCAGGTTTAATTAACTCGGCTCATCGTAGTTCCAAGAACACCGCTTGTGTGGCTCACCCAGTACAGGCATCGCCAGCTATACTTTCCTTTTGATCATGAACTTCCACATCTTGTCATCGTCGGTATTGCGAAGGATGGTGCGGTACGGAGTATCCTGATCCAACCTGCAGCATCAAGCTCGCCCTTCCCGAATACTGCACAGTTGTATGATACACGCGAGATGGCCAGTGACAGGACCAGGTCTTCCTGAAGTCCATGTGCATCTGTCTTACGCAGCAGGCTTACTTGTATACGCTCCATGGAGTTTTGATAGTCCCGAGCTGAGAGAGAAATTTACGGGTACGTTGGATCTCTTGCGGTTCTGGCGAGGACGCTGGTACTTTAGCACTTTCTTTTGCTTTCAGCGACAGTCAAGCATAGATGCGCACGCTGAATTTTGGAGCTGGAATGGACAGAGACGCAGGTAGAACGTCCTGGCAATACTACGTGGCAGCAGTAGCACGGATCGTGCTGGGTCCTCTGATGAATGCACACGGAGTCAGGTCGTCTAAAACGCTCTCGGTACTGGGCAGTGTAGATTGCTCGAATGTCGGCCTTCAGCGCGATCAATGTGGCTGACTCCCGCACGAAAGGAGGCTGAACCCATTCCTATGATCACATCGGAATGTGATGATGCCAAGACTTGAAGACTGAGGTCTGTGTCGCATGAGGACGTCTAGGTAAAGCATTCTGATAAGAAGGTTTCTAGCTGCGTTTTGCAATGACTCGGACGAGCAGTTGATTTTCAAAACATACATTTATGGTTGACTCTGTTCCCCAATCGTGCCGCATGCATGTCTTGAATTGAAGATGAAGATTCCACGACAACAGCATAGGGCCCATCATCCAATAGTGATGTTGCCACAAAGGACGCGATACCCACTACTCTCCAAACAGTACAATGCAAACTACAAGTCGCGTGCATCGAAGATGGCGGTTTTTGGTGCTGCAGGTACCTGCATCCAGCGGCAGATCATTACCTGCAGTCTTCACCGTCTCAAACTGTAGTCAGGCAGCTTTGAGCAAGATGCAGGCAGTGTCGAACGACGTGAGATTGATCACTGGCGTCGAAATGAGTTGAGCTCCGTGGGGTGCAGCACGTTTCTGTGGTGTAAGTGGGACTGGTCGTCGACATGGTCCTCGTGGCTCACGAATATCTCCAGGTTCACAAAAGTCTGTCGCGTGCGCAAGGAGCTAATTCATCGTCATGTAAGTGCAACAAGCCCGAGCCAGTAATGTGATTGGTCGTACGTGGCCGGCGAAGATCGAAAACGTGCTAATATAAGTTTCTCGCTAATGTAGCTAGCAGAGTTGCCGATATGGCGGCTCGAATGTGACGAAGCCGGTTCCGCGCAGAACATCTCACGAAGAAGTGTGGCGAGCCGTGGTGTGTGTGACCACGAGCGCGGCTCCAGGGCCCAGGCAGACGTTCGTTTGCTGAGCAGCTTGGGCTGTGACCTATCGCATGTACCGATGTTCGAGTGGTTTGCAGTCCAAAGTCACTACTGCCTTGAGTGGAGTAGCCATCTTTGCTAGCGTGATTGTGGTCAGCGTTCCGGCAACGCTTATACGAGGCGGCACGGCTTCGGTGGATTCTTTGCAACGAGCCTGTCCAAACACAATTGGAAGATCCCTCCTGAAAGTCGTATCGTTGGTGTTTCGCCCGGGTAACTACGCTGCGTCATTGCGAATTCCTTTTGCTTGCCACAGACCACTCCTATTGCTGTGTTGCTCTCCCTTGCCAACCATCACAGCATCTCTGATCCGACACAAACACCCTCTAACATCACGGCACGACATAACGTGAGAGGGCTGACCGGGAATCTGCATGACGGATTAGCCTTGCTTTAGCTGCATGCGACCCACCCAGCAACGAATCATTGTGGGATAGCTCTCATTCTTGCAGCACCAAACATCCGCTGCCTGTCGCGACTTTTTGCTGTAGGCGCTGCGCTGTCACTGGAACTCGACATAACATTTTTGATGGGCGTTGCCGCAAAGACGAATATACCCAGCATCAATGACGACCACCATGCCTTACAATACCAGACGGAAGTCTATCTCCTTGTCAACGCTTGGCATCACTGTACCCAAACGGTCGAGAACGATCTCGCATCCTTCACCGCCGAGCACGGCTGCCGAGGGAGATAGTCGACCAGTGAAGAAGTCGAAAAGGTCGCATGGCTCGACATCGCCGCCGCCTGGGTTGATGAGTCCGCCACGCACGACAACGATCAGAATAAAAGAAGAGAAGCCGAAGCATGCGAAGGAGCTATCACCGCCACTTTCACCACGCGCGGAAGGCACGAACAAGGTCGACTTGGAAGGCATCAACGACAACATTGTCGCAGCCACGATCCAGCAGTTGGAGCGGACTGCGAACAGACCTCTGCTGGTCAAGGAGCTGGCGATCTTACTGGCAGCAGAGTTGCATTGTGTAGAGAAGTAGGTCCACCACGCCTGACAAGACTCATGTAAACACCTACTGACAAGCTCTCCAGATCCGCAAACCCGTGTGCACTCATCTCATCACGACTAACAGCATACCTCAACCGATCGTGGCCGGCTGTTAGTCAATGTCCATTGGCAAAAGACCTGTCTGCTGTACATCCTCGCCGATTGTACTTTTACCTCACGACAACACCACACCAGCCAATACCGGATGTGCCACCACCACTACCCGAGCTTAAGAGGACGCTGTCGCCCCCACAGTCATCGGCATCGGCAGCAGACGAGGACGAGCGCTATAACCGACGACGAAACACTCTATCACTATCGCCGGAGGTCGACCTCTCATCACCTGAGCTCGACGAAGAGAATGTTGAGCATCCACCAACACCTGGCGGACCGTTCTCGAACCGTAGCTCCGTGACCCGTGACTCGCGATCCTCGAGTCTGTCGCAAAACAAACGGGCAGCTAGCCCACAGCTGGAACGTGAGGAGCGTGACTTCAAGCAGACCGCCAGTCATCTCTACGAGCAAGCGCAATTGAGGCGCAACAGCCAGGGAGAAGATGTCAAGATGGAGCAAGCCGACGCCACGGCCGGTGCTGAACGTGACACCGACAGTGTCACCATGTCGATTGAGGAGTCTGAGGAGACTGCTGCGCTCAAGCATTGCAATGACGCGGCTGCACTCTTCGGTCACGCCGAGCATCTGAGACTGCCGTCCGCCATCATGGAATTCAGCAGTCCCATCATTCAACCACACGTTGAGCTCCACATCGACACCATAACTTCGCCCGGGAAAGCGGAGTCCGAGATTACAACAATGGAACCCATGATACTCGACGTGGAATCGAAAGCCGACTTCGCTCTTTCCGACTCAGCTTTCGCGTGGGAGAATCTACAAAGTCCAGAGAATATCGGGGTGGCAGAACTGGACGATATGTTCGATGATTATTGAGCGTCGACCCTCGGGAAAACGACACAAATAACGGCCGATGTAACGGTAGATTGTATGATGCATTTCACTCGCGCAGGCAACAGGATGTATGAGTAGAGGTTTGGAGAATGAGCGCGAGCTCGGAAGTGGCTGGCTGCGTGAGTGGATTTGGGCTGCGAGAGGCAGTGTGTTGTACGAATAGATTGTCGGGATATAACAACTGGCTTTACGGCGCAAACAGGTCTGCTGGACGGTCACTGGCGCGCGAATAGCATATAGCATGTAGCCTGAAACCATCTCCGCTGCAAGCTCGGCTGCTCTCATATCGAGTCCTGAAGCGCTTATGCTCGCATGTGCTGCTGCTCACGATGAATCGAAGTGTGTCATGCCGCTTGGCTATATATGTCTGACTGGCAGATCTCGAGCCACTGCTATCGACTCTTACAACCTTAGCGAAGTGCTCTGAATGTCGTCTCTTCCTGTCTATCTGGCCAGCAGCCTTGCTACTGTGCATCGTACAGCTTGCAGTCCAATGCGGCAGATGCGGATCGTTGGACAGGCGGTCTAACGACCTCTATGCTCTGTCCTGCTCGCGATGTGCTGCTGAGATAGAAGATCATGACCTCAAAGCCCACGGGACCCAGGTGGGCCGTTCGGAATCATACCGCAGAGGCTGATCAGGCTTGGACGAAGACGATGTCTGATGGTCGCCAACCTTGGCCCCAGGCTGAAGCTGGAGTCGCGAGCAAACACTCTGTGTCGGCTCTGACTTTCGATTGCTGGTATTTGTCGGGTACAGTTGCATGAGCCCTATTGTACATTAGCAAATACAAATAGCGACTTCACGGAAGTGCTTTGTGATTGATGGAGGTTGCTTGTGCGTCAGGAGAATGGATTTCTCAACAAGATTTGTTCTGCCCCGTCTTGAAACATATTTTGGACATTCAATTCATCATTGCGAGGGATTAAAAATGGTGGGGTGATTGTGAAGGATGGCTTACCATGCGAATCAAATGTAGAGCACCAACCCTGAGCTCAAACCCGCGAAGACGACTGATCATTGAAATGGCAGTAGACCCGAGAACAGCATCTTCGAATCTTCGGTCTCATTTCCAACCAATTCTATTGAGCCAAGTTGTGCTCTCATTGGACGCAGTTTGTACACTAGTCGATGGAGCACCCAAACTGCTGGAGGTACGCTTGACAAGCTCATCGGAAGGCTTCAGCTCAAAGACCCAAGTCGTGCCGAAGTGGTGTCGACGCTCCCCGACGATCTCCATACCAGTCTTCTCCGCTGCCTCCTGCACCAGCTGCCCAATATCACGATTGAACCAGCATCCATGCAATTCAGCATGCTTCTCTGCAGATTCGTCGAGGATGTTGTTCATCCATGGCATGTAGGACCGACCATGCTCCAACAGCAGGATCCGGGAGTCAGGCTTCGAAGTATCAAGGTGCGCAATGATGTTCTCGAGCAGCTGGAGAGGAGCGGCAGTGCTGCAGAGTCCCATGGTTTGGAAGATGGTGTCGTACTTCTTACCATTCGGCGACAAAGGCATAGGTTCCAAAGCAGACCCAGTCATGAAACGTACCTTAAGATCGTGCCTTAGCTGCCCGGATCTAGCCTTGAAACCATATATTGTCTCCCACTTATTCCGACAAACATCGATCATTTGTGAGGACAGATCGTTGAAGCTCAAGGTGCTCACTATGCCACTTGCGCTGTTCAGGCTGTAGTATCCGAGGTTCCTGCCCGTACCACAACTCACTTCCAGAACCTCGCCATGACACTTCTGTGCAAGCTTTTTACGGATGCCATTGATGCCCATCAACAGCTCAGATAAGCCGACATCTGAGTCGAAACTCGAGGCTGTGTAATCATAACGTACCGCAACATCCTTCTGTTGCGCCAGATCCGCAATATGAGGGTTGTGGCAGGGCTTCGAGGCCGCAAGATAGAGCTGTAGGGTGTAGAAGCCTAGACCAACACCAAACGTGCCAGTGATAAGCCATGCACGACGTGGAGCCCCAGAGGACGTCTGCCCTGTGGTCGAGGAAGCTGACTCTTGCCTAGCTGCAGATGGTGCATGTTGCCGGCGCGGTAGTGATTTTGGCGAAGCACGAGCAGCATAGGCTCGAGCATATGGTGCGACTACATGTCGTGGAAAGACCACTCGGCGTAGCAGCATGAGCCGGAAGTGTGTCAAGCTAATGCTGATCCAGTAGAGACGCGATGAGACGATATGAAGTGGTATAGTAGTGGGCAACATGGTGGGCTGAACTGGAGATCTGCCAAGGCATTTAAAAGGAGCCACTTCGGGTCAAGGCTATGGCGACCTCACCAAGCTCCATCAATTACCACCAGAGTTTATGTTCAGTAGCTACGACGCCCTATGTAAGTACATACATCTCTCTACGTATTCTTCCAAGTCCTTCCAGTGTGCACATAAGCTCATGCTTTGCACCTTCTTACGTCTGTATCGTAATTTCCATCACCCTATCAACCCGGACAATGGCAACTCCAGCATCTGTGATCATCGTAGGCTCTGGTGTCTTTGGACTCGGGACGGCATATGCACTAGCACAACGAGATGCATATCGCAATACACAGATCACAGTACTGGAAAGGCTGCCCTTTCCTGCTCCCGATGCTGCGAGCATAGATTCATCCCGAATCATAAGACCAGACTATGCGGACCCAGCTTATGCAGCACTAATGTTAGAAGCTCATCCTCACTGGCGTGGAGAATTCGGTGCTGACGGTCGATACATGGAAGCTGGACTATGCCTCACTCAGGAGGATGCTGCTAACGGCGAGGACGACGCTGCTCATTACTATCTTGTGAAGGCACTGGAGAATGTCAAGACTAAGCTGGGTCTGAAGGTGGGTAGACGGGAGGATGGTGGGCAAGTAGAAATGCTGGAATCTTCCGAGGATGTGAGCAGGGTCGTGAGGAGTATGGGGGGCGACTGTGGAAGACGAGGCTATGTCAACTGGACTTCTGGTTGGGCGGATGCGGAAGCTGGTGTGAGGCATATGAGGAAGATGGTTGAGGCTACTGGACGAGTGATCTTTCGCACTGCTGAGGTCAAGCGTCTACACTACAGCAGCAATGCTGTCAAGGCTGTAGAGCTTGCAGGTGGCGAGCAGCTTAGAGCAGATCTCATAGTGCTGGCTACAGGTGCCTGGACGCCTAAGCTGGTCGACCTACGTGGTGTAAGTTCGGCGACAGGGCAGGTCCTGGCCTACATCGACATCACGCAGGAAGAACAGGATCGACTTGGTAGCAACCCTACTCTACTTTGCGAGACCAACGGCATGTTCATCATCCCTCCTCGCAATCGTGTGCTGAAGGTAGCGAGACATGGTTATGGCTACTCAAATCCCACGCAGATACAGCACCCTGAGCGTCCCGACTCCGGAGAGGAGATCACTGTTTCCCTTCCGCGGACCAAGCACGACGATCCTCAATTGAGCATACCAGCCGAGGGTGACGAAGCATGCCGTGCATATCTGTCAAAGTGTATTCCGGACTTGTCGAACAGATCTTGGACGCAAACGAGGATATGCTGGTATACAGACACTCCTAGTGGTGACTGGCTGATCAGCTATCATCCCAAGTACAGCAATCTCTTCTTGGCTACTGGTGGCAGCGGACATGGGTACAAGTTTCTGCCTATCATTGGTGAAAGAATTGTAGACATTATCTCGAACCATGAAAGGGATGAGCTGGGTGCGGAGCTCAGGAAGAAGTGGCAGTGGCCGGATTCAAGGCAGGAGAGTGATCATGTGTGGACTGATGACTGGAGAGGTGGAGTAAAAGGCATGATACTGGAAGATGAGTTCAGGAAAGGTGAAGCTAGAGTTGTTGAGACGGAAGCGTCGAGGGGTAGGGGCGGTATCACAGAGGCGGGAATAGCAGGTGGGAAGGATGGCGACTGGGAAATCAGTGCTGCTCAATATGAAGCCGAGGTGAAAGCTGAAGACTCGAAGCTGTGAGACATACCCTATTCAGATTCGTCGATATCTCGCGCTAGGGTGAGGCTCAGTTGACTGGCAGAACTCTCTCGACGTCACTCGAAAAGCAGGATCACATGCTTGAAATCCTCGACTACCGCAAAATGATTCGTGTACAAATATTCGCTTCCCACTAGCACCCACATCAAAGCAGAAGATCCACTTCCGTCGAACACTACCGACACGCCACACTCGCAGATAAAATCATGGCCACTGCAGTCTTCGACATCCAGGAGCTCTTGGAATCCATTCTCCTGCGATGCACTACTGCCGACCTGCAACGTTCTCGGCGAGTCAACAAGCAGTGGCATGCGACTGTCGACTCTTCCATTCGAATGCAACGTGCGCTGTTCCATGCTGCTGTCAAGGTGGACGATCTGGCCGATGATTTCCGCAAGTATAAAATCGACCCAGGGCATATAGCAGCGCCTACGCGCAAGCTTGGCGGCACAACGCGATACTCTCTTCATCCCACCATCAAGCCATCGATGCGACATGCAGGCCTGCGCACCGCGATGCAAAAGTTCGCTCGCACAAGTCTCAAGGACAGCTACCTTACCCAGCCGGCTGCTCTTTCCGTGTTCCTCTGGTGTGAGGTATTCACGGACCGTTGGAAGATCACCTTCATACATCTCGACGAATATGAGACTTTCTCGACCCTACTGGACAAGATCAACGCCAATCCAGGTCCTTCTTCTTTAGATGATAAAAAACAGCGCTGGCGGTTGAGGTGGGCCGATGCTCATGAAGAAGAAAGACCTTGTTACTAAGTAGAAGGCGAGTGTCTCAAGAGAGCGCCTCGACACGTCATTCCATCCCTCGACGATGGCAGTGTCGTTTATAGGCTGGAAATTGCGACACGCTGTCCTTCACTTACGATGCCGTGTATCATGAGATCGCCGGGCCTGTGACTAGGGTGGAGATACCTGACGTTGAATGTGAGAAGGATGGCACGGTACCATGTCACATCGGTACAGCATTCTAAGCCTTTGCCGACTCATCACGACATACGCGGCCGTAGGCGAGATGGAAAGAAAGAGCAGTGACTCGATCTTCTGGAGCCAGGTAGCCAAGTGTTTGTACACAAAAGCTCATCATCAATACAAGAATAACTACATCAAGTCATCACATACTTTGGTCCCTCTCCACCCTGTGGCGTTTGCCAATTGATATCCTGACTCGGATCCTTAATATCACACGTCTTACAATGCACACAATTCTGCGCATTGATCTGAAATCTGACACCATGCTTCTTGCTCTCGTCCTCCACATACTCGTACACTCCCGCAGGACAGAAACGATTCTCGACCCCCTTGTACTTCGGCCAGTCCATGTCGGCGTGTTTATCCCAGTCCGCGACTTGCAAGTGCACGGGCTGGTCTTCTTCGTGGTTCGTGCCAGTGCGCGAGACGGAAGTGAGGATGTCGAAGGAGATTTTGCCGTCAGGTTTGGGATATTCGATCTTTTGGCATTGGTCTGCTCTCTTCGTTGCTAAGTGGTCACCTGCGTGGTGCTTGAGGGTCCAGGGCGATTTGCCACGGAGTAGGAAGGCTTCGAGACCGGAGTACATGATGCCGCCGTAGAGGCCGAGGGGTGTGTGGAAGGAGGGCCGCATGTTGCGGACCTGTTTTAGTTCTTTCCAGATACTGCTGTTGCGGAGTTTGTCTTCGTAGTCGTAAAGGAAAACGGCGCCCTCGGCGTCTTTTGTGTCTTTCAATGCCGTCCAGGCTGCTTCGGCTGCGAGCATGCCTGAGCGCATGGCTGTGTGCGTGCCTTTGATCTTTGGCACGTTAAGGAAGCCAGCAGTGTCGCCGATCAATGCTCCACCGGGGAACGCGCACTTAGGTATTGATTGAAATCCACCTTCGTTGAGTGTTCGAGCGCCGTATGAGATGCATTTGCCACCTTCGAGATACTTGCTGTAGAGCGGGTGGTGCTTCATCTTTTGGAACTCACCATATGGTGCGAGCCATGGGTTAGGGTAGTCCAGACCTACGACGAGACCGATTGACACCATGTTGTCGCCAAAGTGGTACATCCAGCCGCCACCATATGTGTCCATCGGAAGTGGGTAGCCCATCGAGTGTACAACCAAACCTTTCTCAAACTTGGCAGGATCGATCTCCCAGACTTCCTTGATGCCCAGACCGTATGTTTGAGGTTGGCTGTCTCGCCGTAGATCGAATTTCTTTGTGACCTTCTTCGCGAGACTGCCATGACATCCTTCCGCGAGCAGTGTACATCGTGCGTGGAACTCCATACCTCGTTCGAACGAGTCCTTTGGCTTGCCGCTTCGGCTCAAACCAAGATCGTTTGTCGCAACGCCCTTCACAGATCCATCTTGGTTGTATAGAATCTCCGAGGCCGCGAAACCTGCATACACCTCCACACCCACCTCTTCCGCTCTTTCGCCCAGCCATTTCGAGAATTGGTTCAGACTTATGATATAGTTGCCGTGATTGTTCATCTGTGGAGGTGCCGGTATCGGGATGCTGCTCTTCTTGGTCAAGAATCGCATCTTATCCTTGGTCGCTGGCGTCACTGGCTCGAATCGATTCGGGTTGTCCTCGGAGTTCCAGTCTGGTATGAGTTCATTGAGAGCCGACGGCTCGACTACATTGCCTGACACGATATGGTCGCCTAGCTCGCCAGCCTTCTCTAGCAGCAAGACTCGAAAGTCCTCATTGCCCGCTTCGTTTGCCAGTTGCTTAAGCTTGATCGCAGCACTAAGCCCTGCTGGGCCGCCACCCACGATGCAGACATCGACCTCATCGCTCTCTCGCTCTATTGAAGCTGGGTCGAAAGTGTCGTCCACGGACGCGAATGTGCGTCTAGCTGTACTCGAGAGTGCTCGTCGTTGTCCTGCTGTGATGGGCGCTGGTCTGTAGCCTCTGACCACACATCGTGACGCAATGCTAGTAGTTGCCAGACATGGTGGCGCTGTCCCAATTACTCGAGGTGTCCTTAGTAAAGTCCTTCGTAGTGCAGTCCTTCGTAGTGCTGTAGACGCCACCACTGAAACTGACATGGTTTAAATGATACGCGGAAAGGCGAGGCGTACGAGATACAGGTCGACATTCACCTACGAACGAACGAAGCTTCCATTCACATACGGTAGCGCAACACAATGCACATGTCTCTGACGTGCGTAACCGGTAACCGAGGTCTCTTCATTGGCTGATTTTAGTCACTTCGGACGCCAAGATTTCTCTAGCTCGACTCGGTGCTGGGGACTCCCGTGTCTCCGCTCAGCTCGCCTTGCAATTCCACGACCTCATTTCACTCCGCGCCCATCTGCATTGTGACAACATCCATCGACACCGAATATTGTACGCTGCAGCACCCACCTGCAGCCTTTTCGCCTCACTTCGGGAAGCTCACTCGCGGCATCGCGAGCACCACCGACACGCTGGCGGACGTTCACGGCGAGGAGATGGGCCGCAGTCCCTATGGCTCTGCGGCTCCACCACCAGCCGCCTCCAAGATGGCCGACGGCGCCAATGGCGGGAACAGCGTCAGCAACACAAGGCTCTATCTAGGAAACCTTCCTCGCAATGGTATGCTCTCCTCCCTTGGATAACACAGGACACGTCCCAGTCTGGGTACCTGGTTCCGCTAGCGCTGCGTGCTTGGCCCATGGCCCTGTATCGCGCGTGCGCCTCACTTTGAGGACTGGCTGCTGCTGCTGTCGCACTCCACTGTCTGATGCTTTTACCACGACCACTCACCCCCCAACCCTTACGCATGTCTTTGGCCGCTCTGCTGGTTGGACCCGGAGCCGGCTCGCTTGCCACAGGCTTGCTTGGACTTCTGGCATCGCTAACTGGACCGTGTACTTGCAGCTACCAAGGCCGATGTTGAGAACCATTTCAACACCCATGGCACGGGCGAGATTACCGAGATCAAGCTCATGAACGGCTTTGGCTTTATCGAGTACAAAGATGCAATGGATGCGCGCGACGTTGTTCCAGGTAAGCCTTCCTTCTTTCAACGTGCAGTGGTACAAGGATGCCAGCACGGTGTCTCTTGCCACTTCACTTGCTTTTGCTCCACACCGCTGCACGTCACGAACTATGGTAGACCTCCTGCTAACTCAACCTGTAGCTTTCCGTAAGTCATAACTTGTTTGCGTTCTCCATCTACCAGGGTGCCGGTCGCCCTTTGTCGGGCAGCAACACGCCTCTCGTGTCCCACAGCCTCAATGATATGCTTTCGACCACTGACATTCATCGATGGCTAGATGGCTCCGAATTCATGGGTGAGCGTCTGGTTGTCCAATTTGCTCGTGGTGGCAATCGTCCACGCGATGCATACGACGCCCCTCGTCAAGCTCCTCGTCCTCGCCGTACCGTTCATCGCATGACCATAACAGGTCTGCCATTTGAGACCAGCTGGCAGGTAAGTGCTTCATCTAGCAAAGATCTCTTAGTGTACTCTGCGACTGTCATGATTCAAGACATCGGTACAGAGCTGCACTCGCCATGAACACGAAGCTGACAAACATAAAAGGACCTGAAGGACTTTGCTCGCCAATCTGGACTCGATGTCGTGTACAGCGAGGTCAACCGTGAGCGTGATCCAGCTGGCGGCGGGAAGGGGTACGATCCTGGTCATCGACATCACACCGCCAGAATACCATGCTGACCCTGTTCTAGCTTCGTCGAGTACGAGACTGCTGCTGATCTAGCAAGCGCTGTTGAGAAGCTGGACAACTCGACCTTCAAAGGCTCCAACGTTCACTGCATCTCTGATGTACGTTATACAAACTTTTGACGGGCATGCGTATGCTAACGGATAAATCAGCCTCAATCCGAGATTCCTCGGCCTCGTGAGCGCTTCCGCTCCCGCTCTCCTGGCTTCCGTGGCCGCGGCTACGGCGGCCCACCACCTCCAGCCGACGATTACTACTACGATCGTCGCGGCCCACCTCGTGGCTACAGCCCACGCCGTGACGACTACCGTCGCCGTACTCCACCACCACGCGGTGGGTACTACGAGGACCCACGCGAGGACCGCTATGGCCCTCCCCCACGCCGTGGCCCACCCGCTGACGACTACCCGCCTCCTCCACGTGGCGGAGGCGGCGGCCGCTACCCTGACGATCGCTACGGCGCTCCACCACCACCACGTGGCTACGGCGAGCCGGACCCCTACATGAATGGTCACTCTCGTGAGCCGTACGGTCGTCCTCCAAGCCCTAGGCGCGACGGCAGAGGCTACGACCGCGGCGGATATCCCCCGTACTAGGAGAAATACGGGTATTGAGGTCAGACAAGACTGGACTCAAACACAAAAGGCCCTGGTGTAGCTTTACTGGCGCGAGATGCCGAGAAAAGATTGTGAGATTGTGCAAAACAACGGAGGGATGTACTGTGTGTTGGGTATACATAAAGCTATGGTTCAGTGTTTATCGGGCTTGCTATACGTTCTGTGCTTTAAGCTGGTCTGGAATCTCGGAGAGACAGCTGAGGCTCTGCTTGATATGATAGTTCGCTTGCTTGCCACAATATGGGTAACGGTGTGGCTCAACTGGTCTTTCCGTCTGCTGCTGCCATCTCTGGCCCTGAACCGTTGGCCGGTGCTGTGTCTACGGTATCCACGTCAGGTCTATGGTATCAAAGCCGTGGCTCGCTCTTATCGTCATCACTGTTATCTTCCGAGATCTGGTTGTCAAGTAGCATACTCCATTTCGGGAAGTCCTACCCGGTGACAACCTGTTGTTTGATCGTTGATCTGGCACCGCAAGCTTATACCTCCGGACCGTGTATGGCAGATGTCGATGCGAGTCTCCGAACGGACGTGAAGATCCATGCCGAAGTGGCTGTCTCGATTACAGTGTGAGGTCATCTTAGGGCCTTGAGGAATGAGGTCCAGGAGTGCGGAACCAATGAGTCGTCGCAGGGTCACACGTCTGCCAATGTATCGAACTCAACGACGCTTGCTCGAGCGGTCTCAACTACTTCGTATAACCCGTGGTGTTGCTTCGGGTTGCTGCGGTCATCGGACAGCATTACTAGGCAGACTTCAGCCAGCTCACGATGCGCCCTTTACCGCTCACCTCATTCACCACCTTCCTCGACCTCGTGCGGGCGCAGTCTACACAAACTGGAGCTGCCGCCACATCCTCCTGTTCAACCTCGGACTGCGTCTTCCTTACCAATGCCTGCGACCGCGACTACGGCGGATGCTACGCTGTTTGTCCAGGTCTACCAACACCGACGTTCACAGACCCCGGATGTCCTACCTCAACAGAAATATACGATGTCACGGACTCTTGCTCGTCAACCATCTGCGTTGACTATATCAATACCTGCGGCTTGCGGTACGGGGGCTGTTTTGATGCGTGTTCGGGATATACTACGCCCAAGTTCACAGCCCCGCTCTGTCCAACGACGACTTCGGCATTGAAGACCTCTTTGGTGGTCGTGGTCACGCCCACGGCGACTGAGACGGAGACAATGGGTCGGCTGAGACTGGGAAGGGCTGAGCAGACGAGTGAATGAGGATGCGAATGATTACTTCAAATTCGGCAGCCGTGTCGAATATTTCTGTGACGAACATAGCGGCGCTGTAGAGTTTTGGCCCTGCTGTTCAGAGAGATGTTGCTTGGGGAGATTACAAGGGCTTTGTGGGTACAAGGTAGCCGTCAGAGACGCATTGGAGATGGCTCTTGATTGGACTTTTCTCCTGATACGTGATCACACTGATCTCCAGCTGACTGGTCATCACACTCATGACGTTGGTTCTACAGCTTAGCTAGCAATTGCAATCCGTGTTGTCAAACATGCCAATGAGGCTTGCTTATCAGGAAGACTAATGCTGACATCTCAGCATATAATGTCATGATTGGCCGCACCGTCAAACATTTCTGCAGACCTCGCATCCTCCAGGACCTACTGTACGATGCCCTCCACTTCTTGGCAAAGGGGCAAGGTGAAGTCGTACCTGTCCCGTACCGCCACTCCAGCAAATCGTTGGCATTCCCCTAAATTTAGCTCGAGCTTTCCAGCTTCTCCAATTCTTCCGCCGATCAACCACTCGTCTACCATTATTATTACAGGCTATGTATGTCTTAGAAAGCCACAATATCCTCGTACTGATGGCCTTGGCAAGTGCTTTGACCGATACAGTGACGCGCTTGCGCAGTGTGATCATGGGATCCTCCTCGTTCGTATTCTACGGCTTCGCCAGCTTTGCATAGACGAGTAATATAAATGAGCAAAGGCTGGTCATGGGTCGTCTCACTTACCTTGTACCTTGAAGCCAGCATACTAAGTAGGCCATCTTTTCCACCTTTCGAGCACAGCTCCAGTCGGTCGTACCAGATCGCCACAGGAAAAGACGATACAGCTCACCACTATGTCGACCCGAAACATTTTCGCCGCCGTCTGCACTGCCTTGGTTGCCCTGGTATGTGCTGACCCAGGACCTCCGGTCATTTCACCAATAGTGACACTCCCTGGAGCCTGTACACGTAGCATTTGCGCAGATTACATCAATTCCTGCGGGAAGACCTACGGTGGTTGCTATCCTGCTTGCTCAGGCTACACGACACCGCACTTCACGGATCCAGGATGTGCCACCACGATATCGACGACATCGAAGCTCTCGATCTCGACGCCATGTCTGCTGAGTCTCTGTGATCAATCCATCAATTCTTGCGGAAGGGCGTATGGAGGCTGCTATCCGGCTTGTTCGGGGTATACTGTCCCACACTTCACAGACCCAGGATGTCCTACTACTACGACGAAGAAGCCTACTACGAGTAGTCCGCCGATCACAACGAGTAAGCCCTCGACAAGCTGTACTAGCACGATATGTGCCGACTTCGTGAACTCTTGCGGTAGGACATATGGCGGATGCTATGCTGCATGCTCTGGGTATACCAGACCCTCCTTCACCGATCTAGGATGTCCTACGACTACAAGCAAACCCACGACTACAAGCAAACCAACCATCACGACGACCTCAAAAAGCTGCACAAGCACAATCTGCGCAGACTTTATCAACTCCTGCGGTCAAACATATGGAGGCTGCTACGCCGCCTGCTCAGGCTACACCACTTCTCACTTCACGGACCCGGGATGCCCTACCATCACCAGTACCAGCTCGTCTCTCATAACCCTCCCGACTTCCAGCTGTGGCTTTCTGTGTCAAGACTACTTCGATAAGTGCGGTAACACATACGGACCCGGATGCTGGACCAGCTGTCCCGGAGCCAAGCAGCCGACATTTACGACGCCCAGTTGTTCGTTGACTACAGCTACTGTCACAACTATTACTGGGTCTTCGACTGTGACCCTGCCGCCTACTTCTTCGTGTGGCGTGAAGTGTCAGGATTATTTCGATAAGTGCGGGAACACTTATGGTCCCGGTTGCTATACTAGTTGTTCTGGGGCTAAGGAGCCGACGTATTCGACTCCGAGTTGTTCGCTGACTGCTACGGGTGCTTCTAGCACGAGTGTCCCGGTGCTCGCTCTTTCTAATCCGACAGGGTATTAGAGATGGGTTGAGATGGCCGGGAGCGTGCTTCGACCGCTAGGACAACGCAACGGACAGATATGGGTCTCCTTGGAAAGATGAGATGACAATATTTCTGTCCATAGCTCGTCCATATGATCGGAGGATGAAGATATATATGTCCCGTATTGCTGCCTCTTTTGCCTTCCAATCGATTCGCCCCACTATGAAATTGATTGGCTTCACTTAACGCATGCTCGGCGCGACTTCTGACCCTTCCGTTCTGCATTGTAACAAAACGATCCAAGTAGTGACTCGAACGACGAAGCAAAGCACCGGCTAATCATCAAACGACACACATACACTCTCCGTACGCTAACATATCCAGCCTCTTCCCTATCAACCCAAAGCCCCTCACTAACATCCAAAATGAAGACGGACAACTACTTGACCCTTTGCCTCGAGCAGGCCGCCAAGTCTCCCCTGCACTATCGTCATGGTGCGATTGTTGTCCGCGGCGGCAAAGTCATCGGGCAGGGTTACAATGACTACCGTCCTGGTTTTGATGGCGGTGCATTGAAGCATGGGCGCATCGCAAAGGGTGGACTGGATGGACCGGCTGTGGCGGAGCTGAAGGAGAAGCTGAAGAGGCAGAAAGGGAAGCCGAAGTGTCAGCAGCAGCAGAATGAGAGTGATTTTGTCGCATTCGAAGGCACAGGTGGAGGACATCGGGCGAATGTGCCACTGAGCATGCACTCGGAGATGATGGCGATCCACTCCGCCCTCGCCGCCTCTTCCACTCTGTCCTCCACGGCCTTCGCCTGCGAAAAACCGTGCTTGAAACTATCGGGTTGTGAAAAACGGAAAGCACGACTACGAGCGGAGGTCCTCAAACAGTACGTCGAGGCTGTGTGCCAGAACGTTACCAGCGGCGCCGGAACAGGCACGGGGAGGTCAGGCTCAGGCAAGCTGCAGGTTCAAGAGTGCGGTTTTGAAGCTGCCGCATTTGGATCAGGTTGTCCACCACGGGGACAAGTGCAACAACAAGGAGGAGGAGGAGGATTTGGAGGAGAGCAAGCAGGCGTTAAAGAGGCACGAGCGGCAGGGTGGCGTGCAGCACCTCTTCCAAGGATGCCACAGGGGGTTTCATCTCCCGCTGAGTGGAGAGAAACATCATCTGAATCAGAAACGGAAGAATCAGAACCTGAAGAAGGAGAAGAAAGGTGGGACGATACAGGGTCAGTACGGCCGGTATCAGTACGGCCGGTATGGGTCACAAATACAGCTAGGATCACATGGAGGACAACAGGGACAGCCGTTTGTGTCTGAGCGTCAGCGTGGTAAAGGGTTGTTTGATGGTGATGATGGTAATGATGTTTATGCTGATGATGATGGTCCAAAACGAAAGTATGATTCTACGGTCCATGGAGTCATGACTGAGGTGTCCCGTGAAGCTTGCGTGGAAGTTGAACGGAGTTCTGGGAAGGGCAAGAAGGATTACAAGAGGGTGAGTGGCATTGTGTTATCCAAGGAGTGTCTCGCATTTGCTGACCCTTGAACAGTCTGGCAGGATGAAAGCGAAGCTTCCTGCAGTCCAGCCACAGCAGTCCGAGGTCTTGCTCCTGCTCAAAGGTCATATTAGTCCGAGTAAGACTGATCGGAAGAAGAGTCCACGGCTTGTGGGAGCGGATCTGTATGTGGCGAGGCTGGGTTGGTGCAAGGGGAATAGGGATGGGAAGGTTGAGCTACCAACCATCCCAGTCGCTAACCCTGCGCCGTCTGGAGCGACATCAGCAGAGACGGAGACGGTGGAGTCAAGTTCCGTCTCTATCGACACCTCGTCTTCTAGTGCAACGGGTTGCTCCCTCCACGATGAGCTTACGTACTCTGATCCAGCACCACCCGCGTCAGCACCGACGACATTCGCAGCTCAGAAGCAGCTTGACCCTTCAATCATTCGCGCCTCTCGACCTTGCTATAGATGCATATCCTACATGCATGCCGTTGGCGTGAAGCGTGTCTTCTGGACTTCTGATGCTGGAGACTGGGAAGGAGGGAAGGTGAGGGATTTGGTGGATGCGTTGGATGATAGTATGGAGAGTGTGATGCATGGTCATAACGATGGTGGTGGTGGTGGTGATAATGGGATCATGGGCAATGGGGTGTTTGTTACTAAGCATGAGGTTCTTATGATGAAGAGACGAATGGGGATGAAGAAGTAGGAAGACGACTGTGGTGAGAGACAGACGGTTCTACTGAGTCAACGGAGAATGTAAAAAGAACAATTGACTTACCTTGCGCTCCTAGCCCGTCCCGCAGGCTTCTATCTTTCGTCGAAGACAATCATCGAAATGACTTACCGGGACTCGTACTCAGAGTCGTGGTCCCTTCCTCTCCGTCTTCAGCTGCATACTGCCGACTTCGTCACTCAGGTCCTTGTTGATCTGGCTTTCGATCGCATCACTGAAACTTACACTCCTCACCCTCTTCACCACAACAGGCGCAGACGCCCTTCTCAATTCCTCCTCATTAGCCGCCGCCCCCTCTTGCTTCCCATTTCCCAGCCCGAACATCTGCATGGACAGCCTCTCAACTTCCCTCATCGCTACACGCTCCCGTTGCAGCAACTGGTTCTTAATGCCCGTCAGCATCCAAGCACGCGTCCAAAGTTCTGTTCCTACTTTGATCTTACGCGGTGCATCCGTGCTTGGATTCATGGGGTTTGAGGAGAGGGGCTGGATTCGGCGGCGCAGCGTGCGGAGGGCGGAGGTGGCTTGGGTGGCGGCTTTTTGGGTGTGGGTGTATGTTTCAATGGCATGTCTGAGGCAGGTGGGGGTTGACGTTGGGAGTGGAGGCGCCAGAGGCGGGGGGGCTGGTGGGAGCGATTGAGGTGGAGGGGTGTTTGGGGTGAGGGATTGCGATTGGGGCTGTTTCAATGGAGGTTGGAGGGCCCGTCAGATTTGCAGAGGCGCTTAGCGGCCGGAGATTCGACGGGTGTGAGGATGATCTTGGACCCGTAGATGGTAAAGAACATGGTGAGCGAGAAATCCATGATCAAGTATATGCGTGGTTGATCGCGATTGAATGCTTCTGATAATGATTAGGTCGAGCAGAAGTCTGAAGACGTTGTGGGAAGAATGCAGGCATGTGAACAATAGGTGAGCTTTTGACAAAGGATTGAGTAGAGAAGAAAGATGGATTGGGCTCTTTCGGGCATTATCTCTGTGCAAAGGATGTAGGTACAGTCGACTGCACCAGGAAAGTGATCTTATGTGCACATGAGCGGGGGAAGTAACGATAGTCGACCGTGATGGGACGAGATGACTGCATTGATGGACGTCGTTTTATCGTGCCCAAGACTGTCCCAAAAAGTTTTTCCTCTCCGTCTCACGGAACCACCTGTCTTTGGCTTCAGCCGAAAGGTCACGACGTTCCGCATGCCTTCATGATTCCTAGATGGAAATGATACTAGACTCATGGAGCCCGAGCATCGAGATTGCAGTCATCGATGTGATCGGATGCAACAAGCTTTGGTACGTCTTGAGATCGAGAAAACTGTGGTCGCAGTACTATTGAAAGGTCTCATGGTAGATCTGTCGATTGATCAAGAGCAGGGCCAACAGCTTGTGCTGAGCAAATGGAAGACGTGCTGGGTGAACTGCGTTGTGGTTATCGCCTTTCACATTTCGTTGGACAGATTGGAGACGATGTCAGACTAAAGTAGGCGTCTGTCCGTCCGATAGGTACTCCCGGATCTTCAGCGCAGCTTCGTCGGTAGAGCTAGCGGTTCGCAGGGAGCTTGCTAAGCAGGGATGCGTTGCCAGGCGGGGATGCGCTGCTAGGCCTTCTCGGATAGCTACGGTGATTGAGTCTGTTCAGGGCGGTGCTGTCTCGATGCCCTCGAGAAGTTTTCCAGCAAGTCGTGTTCTTGTCCGAGAGAAATCCTGCTCTCGGTCGGTGTATTGCTGTGTCGAAGGATTCCAGAGGGTTAGCTGTCATTGCGTATGTATGTCAGCCATTGACGTCCGTTGTCACTAAAGATGCGCTACGCCAGCTCTCAAAGGAGAATCTTTTCTTCCAGGAGTGGCACAGGACAGTCTAGTCCATATGCTGATGGGCAATGGACGCATTTCTCGGTGATGTCTGCGACCTGGCCAATTTGTGTCGTCTGCCGTCTCCTTTGGCTTGCCAGAGTCGTAATACCGTCTGCGCGAAAGCCACATGCCTTCATCACACTATAAGTGTAATCTGGCTGAGCAGCTCAAGAGGACTGTGAGTTTCTATTGCAGAGCTGGGAGACACTGGCCTTCCATGCGAGGAACTCCAGATTCTTCACCATCCCATACTGGCAAGTACTTCCTCCTCATCGTCAAACTCGCCACTCTGTTCTGGCCCTGGTGGAGCTGCCTTTGTGAGGTCTTGCACAGCACGGGTCCCGATTTGTCCTAGTGGCTCTTCAGCCAAGAGAGCATCGAGTTCGTCTTCGTCCGGCTCACCGTGATCGTCCTGGAAAAGCCCAGAATTACGTTGCGTTGGCCGGTGTGCATGCACGGATGCATGATCCTTATCGTGAGCCAACATTTCGTCTAGCTCGTCCTCGTCGTCCTCGAACATGGGCCGACTTTGAGGCTGCGGTCGAGTAATTATCGGTGCGACGTTCTCGTTCGTCAGGGCATCCAGCTCATCATCGGGGGGAACATCGTTACTGTCACCATTGAGTGGCCGATCCAGCATTTGCTCATCTTCGAACAAATCATCGAAAGAACGGTCATCTTCAGCGGCGCCAGCACCAGCTCCCGCGCGGTCGTCGCCAATCCTCTCCATGCTGCCCTCTCGCACTCTAGTCTTCGTGCCATCAATCCAGCCTTTGCGCATGACATTCATCCGCTTCCCACGACCCAATTTCTCCACCATTTTCATACCATCGCGGAACTTGGCTTTCGGGAACATGTCATCAAGCCATAACTGGTATATGCCAAGCAGTCGTCCAATATCAGAGAACTCGTGCCCTTTGCCTTTCAGTTTGAGACGCCTTGCTTGCCGTCGTAGAGCAATGATACCTCGGTCACTCAGTAGAAGGTTCTCATCAAGCTTGGGCACAGGCTTCCGTGGTTTGCGAATCTTGATCTCCTCGTCCACGTCCTTGGTCGTCAAGTCAATGTTGGTAGGGTTTTCATTCTCGTTTCTGTCGATTGGCAAGTCACGGAGGAAGTCGTCCACTTCTTGGACGTAGTTGGTCGCCCCATCCGCCGCACGAGGGTTCGGCGACACAGCAGTCGGCATTCTGGTCTGTTCTCGGTCCTTTATTCGCGAGCTGATATCCTGCCAGATGATGTTGCGAAGCACGCGTCGTGGAAGACGCGACGTGATCCACTTTCGGTCCCGGGCCGCACCCCGACCGCTAGCGTGCTTTGGATATCTTCGACTGTCCTCTCGCTCATTACTGCCGCTGACCATTTGCCAACCAGGACTCCACGTCACAAAGGTCACGCACTACTCATCGTCATCGCTTGAACCTGCAGCACCCGTCTCTGGTCCTGGTTCGGCTCAGGCTGCACGGCCCGTATGCCAAAGATCTTCCGTCGGTATTTCGTACCTCTTTCCGCTTCACACCTGGGACCGATCCTCTAGCAAAGTGACACTTCGGCGCATAGCATCTACACCGTTCATGCAGACTTCTTCCCGATCAATATAAGGCTGGACTAGGATCTGGCAAATCGAACATGGCAGCTGACTCCGCAGCTGGATTACCGCTAGTGGCGCAAACGATCACAAGACTCGAAGCTTTGCTACAGCGAGCCCGGACCTTGAAGCGTGAGGCTGCTATAGAGCCGCCATTATCGACAGCAGATTTGGTGCTGGATGTGGATGCCCTCGGTCATACTATCGACGAGCGATATGAGCAGAGCTATCGCTTCAGCGTGGTAGAAGCAGCAGCGAGGCGGATTTTCTACAGCCTCATCTACGAAACCGTCACCGAGGATCCGAATTTCGTTCAAGTATGGAACCTGTTAGATATTTTACTGGTTTGTAGTGACAAAGGGCTGTGCACGCCTGAGTTAGTGCCATGGCTGATCGAAGAGCTGCTGGACAGCCAAACAACGACTGGCTGTCGGACTGTCTTCGATTATCTAGGGTCTCGACGTGAGCGGCTCGCAGCCAAGGATTTCAACAAGAAGCACTTGGTGTGCTTGCGTTTCTGTAATGAGCTACTACGCCGGTTGAGTAGAGCTGAAGATGCCATGTTCTGTGGCCGAGTATTCTTCTTCCTCTTCCAGACCTTCCCGCTAGGTGACAAGAGTTCTGTCAATCTACGTGGCGAATTTCACATCGAGAACACGACCAAGTTTGAAGAAGCCGATGGCGAAGCCATGGACGTGGATGACAGGGCACTCGAAGGCGATAAAGCTATGGCCTCAATCAAGGCTGAGACTCCACAGCCTCCGACCAAGCCGGGTGGCAAGGCCACACCAGCGAGGGTGGCACCAAAGAAGGTGCCTGAAGAAATTGTGCTGTCCAACAACAAACTGTACCCAATCTTCTGGCGTCTACAAGCTGACTTCTCCGATCCAATCCGTTTGTTTACAAAGGAGAACTTCGAGACATTCAAAAGCAGTTTGGGTCACACTCTGATCAAATTCAAGAAAACGCCCACAGTGGTCCAAACCAAAGCAGCTGGAGACGACACTTCTAATCGGGGTTTGAAGCGTAAACATGGCGACGAAGAAGGCGCGGATACTGCCGGCAACAACGATCTGGCAGCCAACTACAACCCGAAATACCTCACAAGTAGGGACCTCTTCGACCTTGAGCTCAGCGATCTGGCCTTTCAAAGACATATTCTCCTGCAATCGCTCATCCTCATCTCTTTCCTCCTATCACTCACTGCGCCCGCCAAAACCAGATTGGCATCCACACTGGAGACTACCAATAAGTCGATGATCTATCCTCTGACACTAAGCCCAGAGGACACTAAATGGTGTCAGGATACTCGCAATGCCATCACAGACTTCCTACGACAAGTGCCAACCTTGGAAGAGGGCAGATTCTACCACCGCATGGTCGAGACGGTCTTAGCGCGCGATAGAAACTGGGTCAGATGGAAAGGTGAAGGATGCCCGAGTATCGTGCGCGAGTCTGTCGGTATAGAAAGTGTGCAGGAAGCCGGAAAGGGTGCGAGAGATGCCACGCGACTTCGACGCGTGCCTGAACGTGCTGGAGGCGCACTGGATCTTGGTTTCTTGGTCGAGGGTGGCGGTCTCGATGCTCTTCGTAACCCGGCGCGTTTCGCTGCGCCGAGCGTAGAAGAGCTGGTAGAGGGCGTCAAAGGCGAGGAGCTGGACCTGGAGATGGCAATGGATGAAGCCGAGCAAGAGGGGTTGAAGAATGCTATAGGAAGCAAGACTTGGCGTGCGCTGAGACAAGTTAGAGAAACGCAACTGGGCATGCTTAGAAGAGTGGAGGTTAATGGTGACCTGGAGGTGGTTCTTGGTAAAATGGCGAGGCCAGACGAAGGGGTCATGAATGACGTCCATGAAGAGGGCGAAGAAGCTGCTGCTCTGGATATTGGTGACGTCGTTGCCGATGGCCCCGATCATACTGGCGAGGAACTGAAGATGGAGGACGTGGACGAGCAGGTGGATCCGGCAAGTAAGGCAATGCCGCTGCCAGCCACGGACATGCAAACAGAAGCCGCGAAGGTAATCAACATGGTCGACGCGGATGAGAAGTCTGGTGTAGCTGCAGATGCTGAAGATGGCATCGCTTGATGTATCGTAATGGCATCTACTTACCCTTGTAAGCTACTGTAACAACAATGCGATAAGGAATAGCGGCAAGGCAATCGAGAACATGCTTCTACATCAGAAGTGTGCCGCCCTCCCGACCCTTGTTTTGCAGTCGCTCGACCTCGCTCGCCATACCAGATGCTTCATCCAGGAGTTGCGCCCTCATTCATGTCTGTCGCTAGACCGTCTAGCATCTGCTGTCGCTGCTGGGCCAAACGAGCACCAGGATATGGGATTCGAATGCGCACCAGGATGTGGAATTCGCATACGAAGCCATCATGCGGAAGAGTTTTGGTGAGTAACGATACTCTACTGTCTTTTGGGCTTCTTCGAGTAGATCTCTACGAGCGATGCAATGCGATTCATTTTCTTGATAGATTTTCTCAAGTCACGCTCACTACGTCAAAACTTGCGTGAAGGACGATATCACTGACTACTGACAGTAGCTATCCTGGCGGGCTGACAACGATCGTACCGGCTGGTGGTCACGACAGCACGGTCACGAGGCCACACACACACCATCTCCACGAAGACCGACGCCGAAGGGTTGACGACTTCTCCATATCAGGCTCCATGCCTACCCAAAAGACACGAGGTCAAGCGGCGCGGAGCACCGTTCAGGCTATGGAGGACTAGAGAAGAGTTCCAGATATGGTCAGTGTCGATCTGCAGGTCGTGACTGTACCTGAATAATTAGCATGGGTCATATGTCGAGCATGGTGTCACTTGGGACGTTTGCGCAAAGAATTATTGAGGTGTCCGAGCGTCATGCAGGACTAGTGAACGACCTTGGAGGATGGAGTTGTGGCAGTGTTCGTTAGCATACTATGGGATCAAGGACGAACGAACCCGAACTTGTATTCAAGCATTCAGTCATGGTCGTGAGTTGCTGAGCTCTACGAGCCGGTGCCTGCTGAAATACTCAATTCCACATCGGCTGTTGGACCTGCCGTAAGATGCAAACAGTGCCATTGCAGCAGAATGTATTCGCTTGAGTAAATCTGGGGTCGTGAAGGAGCCGGTATGCAGTCCCCATATTCGGCATTATGAGACCACATGCAAGGCAGTTTAAGGGGCATGCAGTAGTAAGCAATAGTGCTACAAGCGGCGTGCGGGAGGCTCTCGATGGGCGCTGCTGTCAGAAGCAGACTATGTGGGCTGGTGGCGTATACCGGAACAGTGCGTCCATCGCACGCCAGCCTGCTCAAAATCTTGGAATCCGGCAAGATTCTGGTCAGGAGCAAAGGTATCCGCGTATGTCCTGAGAGCCAAAACAAGGTCGAGTACCCTCAAGATTGTCGACCTGAACTATACGCACAGCCACACTGAGCATGTCAAAGCCACCGGCTGCAGGCCCGTCATGCCGGACAGTGAAGTCGAGCCGTCACTGAAATCGATCAGCACAGGCATCTACGGGCAGAGGGAGATGTCAGGGCCGACGCGTCGCTGCCATTCAAGATGAAGCCGACGGCTAATGGCAGATGGAGGAGGCCTGATATCATGGTATTGCATTGATGTTTAGATGAAAGGGTGCTAGAGCGTGAAAAGCCGTTGTGACTTGCATCTGCAGAAACAAGCCGTCAGACCATGTCGCTAATACCATGTACCTGATTAGTTCCGCCCCACGCGGATGTTTCGATTGCGCGATGCTGTTGGCTCGAGCTTGGGAGAGCATGATGTACTGTATGATGTAGGGGTGGAGGATGGAGGATGAACTCTCTACCTTTTGGTCAGGTCCATACAAACTTTCGCAACACAATGTCGATCATTGCTTCGCAGTGCCGGCACCTGCGAAGTCCGTTTCCAGACGATGTCCGTCGATGCGATACAGCGGTGAAGCACTCGGGCAGGATTGGATGTGGGTGCAGCAAACTCTATCGGACGGAGATGACTCTGTATTCCCAAAGTAATCATTAGAAGATTGAAGGCCTCGCACATTGTGTTCGCGCTCGCATGCGCTTGTGCATGTTGCGCCATCTGATGATGCTGCTTTTCAGGTACCTTTGCGGATCAGACATGGCTAGCTGTAGGGCTGGAGAAGTGACAAGCCTTGTTTCACTATATGCGGGAGGGATAATAATAATGTCAGCTGTATCCTTGGCGTGTATCCGGCAATCTCGAGTACAACAAGACGCCTCCAAATCTCCGTCAACCCACTGTAATACAGGTTCCAACGGTCATTCTGCAGCATTGTACCCTGGAGGCAACGCAGGCACACGTGAATTGGTAAGGCTCGTGTAATGCCACTCATACTGCCGTCCACTCACAGAGTTTGAGCGTCTGCGACAACCAGTTTTGAGTGACCGGCCAGTGTGACGATCGTAGCCGACTGGAGTAACGATGAGCCCACGTGAAGCCACATGCGATTTACCCGGCTTCACGTGCCGAGCTGTAGTGTATTGCAGATCGCAACCAGGGGTATTGCAACTTCAATGCCAATCCGGATTTGTGCTCTACGAGGATCATGAGGCAATGCATCTGCAATACGGAAGTTGCAGGCTTCTCGCTACAGCACATGCAGTCTTGGCATTCGCTCCGCCGGCTTCATACGCTGATTCGAATCCTCCAATGTCATTGCATTGCCGTTGCGGTCGGCTGGCGGTGATAAAACCCTTGACTTCATGAGTGAGCCAATGACCGCGCGTCGCTTGCGCATTCAAAACGTCCATTTTACGTTTCACAGCGCCAAAGAATCCAAAGGCAAAATCGCCAAATCGTGCGGCCCGGCCCTGACCACTGACCCCTCGATCTCAGACATCAACTATGTACCAGATCTTGAGGCTGCCCAAAACTTCCGAAGCACAGGGCTTGTGACGATGTTAGGGCCGTGCTGATTAGCTGGTCATTTGACCTTGGCTCTGCGCCCGCCAGCAAAGGCGCAGGGATGAGGAGCGGCACTCTCCATGATCGACGTCTAGCGACATCAAGCCTGTAGACGAGATGATACGGAGGGGCACGCCGGAACAGACCATAACACGGCTTTTCTTACCTCGCTTAGAGCGGAACGAGCAGCTTCTGACAAGCCACGCGGAAAGTGTGGCAGCTCTTGTAGCGGTACGGCCAGCATACTCGTGCATCTGGACTCACAAATGGTGTGTATAAGCCTTCGTACGGTACGAGATAGAGGTACATGAGCAAAATGGACAGTTCATCGTGACTAGTCCCCGCAGGAAAGCCCATGCTAAAGCCCGCTCCATGCTCGACGACTAGCACAGCCGTGTGCACACGGCCATCGATGCAGCCAACCAGAAATGGTCGGACAGCTCTGTGGCATGGGACCCTCCATGGGTACCTTACCGGGCCCGTCGATGTTTACTGCATGCCTAGCTCGGACCCGCATCGACACTTCCTACTTCTTCAGTCCAGATCAACATTTAACAGTTAGGTCAAGTCTATGCGAAGCCAGTCATCCAGTCGCTCTTTAACTCGTTTGGTCGTCCGGCAGTGCTTCCCCAATTCTTCCAGTGCCATCGGTTCAATCCCGAGGTCTTTCCTGAGCTCAGCTTATCTGTGATTCGATATCCGGCTCATCGGACGGGCGCTTCTCCCTCATGGCAGAAGTGGACTCATCCGGACAACAAAATTAAGGCACGAACAGGCGGCTCCCGCCCTCGCCGTACTAATCTAGACCTCATCAATCCACCATCTATCTGCTTCAACATTCTCCACCAACTCCAACTATTCCTTGATGACACTGCCAATCTAGTCTCTGAATACGAGTGCTTTGCACGATCACCATCCGGTTTCGAAGCGTGCTCAGCGAAGCCACATCTCTAGGAGCGCTGGATTCGTCCCGCCACATCAAAGTCAACTTGAAGATCGCTGAGCGGTGCAATCTTGCGATCAGGTTCGCCGGACTATCCGAAATCATCCCACTTTACAGCTTGCCAGCTCTCTGCGGTGTGAAGCTGGGGTCTAGCGCTTCATTCTGCCTAACCGCCGAGGACTATACCATCCGGACTCTGCAGATAACTTCATCTACTCGACGCAGACCCAATCCGACAATAGGAACTTCAGCCTGTCGTGATTGCGGATCGACGTGGCACGTACCTGACTGCTAAATTGCCAGGCAACTGTGTCATCAACAAGGAGCGTTTCTTCCCGGTGTCGATCCTTGGCTGGCATCTTGCATCATCGCAATAAGCGCCTACGAAGCGCTCATCCGCAAACAACGGCTCTACACGACTGTCGACTTTCTTTTCATTACGCCGTACGGAGGTAGTGCTGCGCTGGTCCGCAGGGTTCTCGCTATTTGAGCGGGTTTGTGAGCTTAGCTCTCGGTTACAGTGGTAGTGAGCTCCGCCGGTCGCTCTTGAGCTGCGTCAAAACCACCAGGCACTTGCGGTTCATACAGCGAGTGTCGAGGCCTATCGACTAGCGGCAGGACATCCACCGGATATCCTCACGGCGGACACTGCTACTAGATCGAGCGACTGACCGGAAGCCTTCTTCCGCTGCACAGAGCATTCCAATGATTCACGGACGGCTCAGGGTGCCTTTATCGCCTCCAAGCTCTCCGCGTATGTCGGACGCCGTCACGAAGTCCAGCGGATACCAATGGCAGCAGCCTCCACCTTTGGCGGTCCTGCAACCTTTGTCCGTCGCGCAGTCGCAGCTCCACTCCGGACCTATTGGACTGGCGCGAGAACCGTTGCAGCCGATCAGTGTTCTGAGCAGACCGCCCTTGCGAACGTACAAGAGCTTCCCATACTCTCTAGGTCCGTCTAGTCGTCTGTCAAATGATGCCCAGACATCGCAGACAGACGGTCCTACCTTGACGGAGTTCAGGGAGGTACTGACCTCCCAAGGGCCTCAACCAGTAGGCAGTTCTGACCTACCACCTGCAACGTTTGGAGGTTCCGCCCCGACTAGCCCAGCGGGTCGTCTAACGCCGAGCTCTCCAGGAGGAGGACCAGACGACGAAATCATGGAAGATGAGGAGATTGGTTTCGGTACAGCGGAACAGGGAGATGACGAAGACCGACCGCCCATGACAGCCGCCGAGCTGCGGGCCCAGAAACGGAAAATGAAGCGATTCAGGTATGCGGGACATTCTGCGTGCGGCGTCGACGTGCTGGCTGACTTCATTGTGTACTAGACTCACCCACAACCAGACACGCTTTCTCATGAGCGAGTTTGCGAGGCAACCACATCCTGACGCAGCACATCGTGAGAGGCTGTCGCGTGAGATACCAGGTCTGAGCCCGCGACAGGTTCAGGTATGGTTCCAGAACAGGTGAGCACGAGCCAACCATGTCTCAGTCTCGAACGCTACTGACCTACCATGACAGACGGGCAAAGCTAAAGCGCCTGACAACTGATGACCGTGAGCGCATGCTAAGATCGAGAGCGCTGCCTGCCAATTTCGACATGACACAAGCATTGCATTCACCTTTTGGAACACAAGCACCCCCAAATATCGGGACGCCGATGCCATCGCCTGGAACATACGGGTCATTTGGAGATGCCAACGGTGCGCGCCCACTGACTCTTGACACGATGAGACGCGTGCCCGACTATGATCAGTACGCTCAACCCCAGTACACTACTCCGACAGGAGTCACACCGGCATTGGGAGCTTTCAACTTCACACCACCACAGTCTGCCACGGGCACATTGTCGCCCACCTCGATGGCTAGCGGTGCATCAGCTTTTGGTTTCCATCCGCAGGAGAGCCCTCGACGGTACACCTATGGTCTGCCGTTAGGGGCACATTCGAATTATCCTTCTCAGCTTTCGCAGGTACCACGACACCACCTGCATGATAGATTTGCTCGTCCTTACGCCGAGACTGCGAGCTCTCCTTTGCGGACCAGCATGTCTTACTCTGGAATGTCATCGACAAACCAAGCGCAAGAACTGCCAGCTGAAAGGGCTTCATCGTACTCCGAGCAGTCGACCTTGCCTGACAGGCCATCTCAACACAGGAGCTTGACAGGTCCCGTCACTGGAAGCATGTCTGAGGGCATTGGACTCGGCTTCACATGTATGTTGTGAGAGAGCATGACGACAGGCAACAAGATGCTAACACATACGTAGATGCGAACATGCCGCAGTACTCGTCGGCGGATCAGCAATCACATACAACTCCAGTGACGGCAAGTAGCCAAGCGACGGACATCGGCTACCGTAGAAGCAGTAGCCATCTTGCCGGACCACCGCTCAGCGCATATCAACCCTACCAGCCCAGCAATTTTGCAGCTTCGCAAGCACCGCAATTTTCTAGCTTGGCAGGGCACTTTACCTCACCCTACGTTGGCAGCATACAGTCACAGCATCACACCAGCTCACATCAGAATCAAAGTCACTCGGTGGCAAGTTTCGGGTCCATTGGAAATCAGCCGCAGCAACATTATCTGGGCATGAATGGTGCTGGTGATCATGAGCAAGACGATGCCGATAATAGCGATGGCGGAGTCCCTCTACCTCCAACGTACTGAACACGTGCTGGGGCCGCACACGACTGAGACCCGTAATTCGATATTCGATACCTCGATATGCACATTGTCCGACTTCACACAACCTTGACGAAAGAGAAGATCATCACACCCCCTGTAATGGCAAGCTCACTATTACGAGCCATATGCCACAAGTTTGCATACGATGAAAGCAACCAAATGCTCGTCCTAATCACGCAACAATCCGCACGCTTTCCTTACTGGCCGGTTCGCACTTTCCTTCATTCGCCAGGCCATCTGTTTCCACTGTTCAGGGGACTGGAGGAGGCTTCCGCTGGGCGGAATTTTACGGGCGCAAAGACTTGAAGTTTTACTCGAGAGGCTGGATACCCTATTGTTTGTACTTGATGTACTGGCTCCTAAACATTTGTGTATAGTTTCACGGCCCTGTAATATATATATGGTCAAATTTGTTTGTCACGCTTCCTTGAATGGATGCTCAATTTCTGCTGCTAGACATGAGCCTCAGTCGTGGTGATAGGGTTGTCAATGCGATCATTGTCGTGGCATGTAACCACGCATATCAAACATTGAATTTGGACAAACCTCGCCCGAGGTTCGTGTGTTGAAATTTCTGTCAATGGACTCACTCTTCGTGGAGGTATACTAGAGCGGATTGAGCTCTGGTGAGCTCACTTGCCTGTGACAATTATTGCGACGATACTTGACACTACTATTGACATGGATCGCCAGACTAAGACCATGTCACAACTTCGCAATGGAGCTTGCGACCGGGCTGTGCTGGGGAGCGTCGTGTCGTGGTCGACGGAATTATGTGGATGAGTTTTAACCCACCACATACATGCACATGGGACATATGGACCGCCGTTGAAAAGCAATGTTTGAAAGTGACACTATCAGACACGATGAAGAACCGTAGTTTCATCAAGCCGGACTATACATAGTAGTATACGTAACACACAGACTGACCTCGACTCGTTGGACTCATCTCACAACCATGTCAGTCTGTTTCTCAACCTAGAAATCTCCTCCTCGGCCACAATGACCGAGCTGCTCTGGACATCGCCTGAGGTTCCAACCACTTGGGTCAGCCGTGAAGACGTGCATCAATACGGTCGATGAGGCATCTGGGCTCGAGGCCATCACTGCTCTCGGCAACACTGGTGCGGAAAGATTGTGCTCAGCCTGCAAGCATATTCATCACTCCACAGGCACGAACCGGCTGCAATCCGTGAGTCTTTCCGCAACTATGGCTCATAAGTACGAGGACTGGCATACACATTCCCAGCCCATCACTCTCATGGTGTCTCTCGATTCACTCAGGAATGCCATATTTTCCGCTGGAAGGAGAATACGAGCTGCTAAAGGATCTGTTGTCTGGACTGTCGCGCACACATCACACTCCTCATGCGCAAGCCGGGTCTATCCTTCTTTACCCGGTAAGTATTGGAGGATCGGTTCATCCTGACCTGGGTGGTGTCACTCACGCTACCAATGCAGGAACTATTGTATGCGATGCGGGGCATACTGCTTGGCACCGAAGAAGCCTCGCTCTGTAGACCGCATACCACCCTGTTCGTCTATAGATTGCTGCATTGCGGCTCTAGCCAAGACTGCTACCGGCTAAATGTAAGTGAACACTGGGGAGATCGCCAGCTGACTCTTTGAGTTTGCTCCGAACACAACTCAGATTTCGCTTTACCCGTCATAGCACGTGTGGAGCGCCCATGGGAAAACTGTCGTGGAGAGTCCTCATCAAGCTCGCCAAGGCGCGCTCTATACCACAACGATGACCGACCAAGGCTTGCCAAGCTCACTCTGTGAGGGGCAGGGCATTGTATGGTATATACGGTATGACGATCACGACGCGATATCGTAGAAAGTGTCCTCGCAACAGGCTAAAGACTATTTCGACGACACGTTAGGTCGTGGTATATGAGAAGGTCTCGCCGGTAGTGGGCTACGGCAGGCTGATAAATTTTGGTAGGCTATCGATTGTTGTATATTCTTCAGGATGTTGTCTTCAATGCTTTCTACTGCTTTGTTGGTGGCTGCGACAAGCGCAGTGCCTCACGGACCTCCATCGCCTCCCACTGGTCCAGGTCACAACGGACCTCCTGGCCCTCCCGGCTATGGACCACCACCAGGTCACCCAGGACTACCTCCAGCGCCGACTGCTCCAGCACCGCCATCGCCGACTGGCCTACAGCCATATGGCTTCTTCGTTAACAGTACGATCTACGCTACATCAGGTAGCGAGCATAGCACATATCCACGCTACACTGAGCTGTAAGCACGGCCATACGCAGAACTTCGAACCCAATTCTGACATTGCATGAACAGCATGGATGGTACTATTTTAGCCACCAGCTCACTCTCAGGCCATTCTCCACCGTACTTCCCAATCTTCGAGAGCAAGGACGGTGGTGCTAGCTGGAAATACATCAGCAACCTTACCGATCAGGTCAACGGGCTCGGATTTGCTGCCCAGCCAGGTCTTACCCAACTCACCTTCGACATTGGTGCCTACAAGAGGGGCACCATCCTCGGAACTGGCAACTCGTGGGGTTCGAACAGCACAAACATTGACTTGTACAGTTCCACCGACGGTGCGCGGACATGGCAATTCGTTTCCAACATCGCTCGTGGAACCCGACCAAACACCACTAACGGTGCCACACCGATCGTAAGTACCTGTGTCTGATAACGATAGACTGCTCGCGCTAACGAAGTTTGGTAGTGGGAACCATACCTTTTGTGAGCACAAAATGGCGAAAAAGTACAGTTCCACCACTGACGCGTGACAGGCCATATGACGGCGAGCTCGTCGCCTACTACTCTGATCAGCGAGATTCCAAGTATGGGCAAAAGCTAAGCCATCAAACCTCGACGGTACGTCTAGCCAATCCAAACGAAGGGTGCTCAAACATGCTAATGTCTCCCCAGGACCTCAAGACATGGGGCCCAGTCGTTAATGATGTTGTGTACGACGACATCTACGAAGCTCGCCCTGGTATGACTGTCGTTGCTTACGTCCCACCAATCGACAAGTGGGTGTTTGTCCATGAGCGACCCATTGGCAACTCCTCCAGCTACGGCCAACATTACCCAGTGTATTACAAACTCGCCAAGGACCCTCGAGACTTCCGCTTGTCACCGGACATGCCTCTTGTCGTTGGCAACAAGACTGCTCCCAATGCCTCGCCGTACGTTGTCTGGACACCTGAGCCCAAGGGTTCCAAGTACGGTACCATTGTTGTCTCGGATGCTGATACACGATCTGTGTTCACCAACCAGCTGGGGGGTGACATCGATGCGTGGGAAGAGCACGGCACTGCTGCGGGTGCGGTGTATAGCCGTGCGATTCAGATCCTCAAGACCAAGCCGGATCATCTGCTCATCTACGGTGGCGATACTTATGATGGACAGCAGGCTGGCGAGCATATTCCCTTCTCGGCCAGCGTGTTCGACATCAATGATGTGCTGAAGAAGGGTGCCAATGATTACTCTGTCTAAGAAATCAGTCATCGATATCGAGTGGCTCACATAGTGTAAGTTGCATGTATGTCCGATACATCAAACAATGAAGCCCGTGAACGATGTGTGAGCGAAATGCAAGGTCTGGAAATTCATTTTTACAACCTGTCGTTCATCCCATGGCTCTTTGCATGTACGTGCACAACACACTTTCCGCACGCGATGTTTCATCGTCTCGTTGCTCCGCGAGTCGTACGAGACATCTCGCGAATGGAAGCACGCTAGAGCCCTTCTCGAAAAACGCCACCCGCTGCTGTCGTGCCGCCGCCTCGAGGTCCAGGGACCCGGATCTTAAATTACTTGAGATATGTCTCATTTTCCCTTTCGCCTCACTTCTCCTCGTTTAGAAGAAGTGTGTTGGAGGAAGATACGCGTGTCTCATTTTCGTTCTGGTGAGTGGGTTTGTGGCGCTGGTTTGCCTTCGTTGCACAATAATACCCACCTTACTTCAGGGCTGCAAATGTCCGCCCGTTGGATCTGCATGAACCCTTGCCTCTGCCAACGAAGAGCGTTTGACACTCGTCTGTTGTGCTACGTGGACCACCACTTCATCTTGACGACTTCCTTCAGCCTCTCAATATCTCTACTCAGGTTCATCGCTTCTTCACGGGCTGGACTGGAATCGTTCTGATCTCGAATGAAGAGAGATATGTGTCTTAAGCAAGCATGACAATGCATTATATGCTGTCCAATCGGCATGTAGTTCGCATCAGATTTCATGCATGTCACTGCAGCTTGCCATGAATAGTCCGTCATAGCGTGACTCACATGTCAAGGTCAGAGCGGTCACAGCACAGCGTCCGGTCGACGATGCAATTGTGCTTATAGGTAGCCGCGGTTATGCACAACGTGAGGAGAAGCTGGCCAAGTCACATACGGAGGCATGCGAAGATGTGATGACTGGCATAAGTAGCCTTGATCTACTTGCTTTGTACGATGATGACATATTGCATGTGTATCGCTGGCTTCGCAAAGGACCTATCGCGTAGCAATGTACATCCCAACTGGGAGGGTCTGGACAGGAGAATGCAATAATAATATGCTCTCCCGCAGCACAGAAGTCAGCAGCCTTTGGTAGGGATCATGGCTACAGATGATCAAATTCGCCACAGTAGTGTTGTTGTCCTCTTATTGTGTATGTATCGGTCGATGAATTAGTCATGTACCGACCACAGCACAGTAAATAATAGGAGAAAAGATCGAGGATAACAAAAGCGTGTCGCGTGCAGTGAGTGGATCATTACCGGCGCCAAGACCTTCCGGGCGGCGAGCCGCAAGCCGTTGAAAGGCATCTCTGCCAAAAATCAATTTGCTCTGGCCGACGCACCCTTCCTCCATCACCCTCCACACAACCTCTGTTGCGTGACTTGCCTGTTCATCGGCAGATACTACACCTTTGACCTATCTTCTCGCGTGTACTCGCAGAAGTCCAGTCACCCACGACCCAATCGGCACCGCCTTTGGACCTTTCCACTCCGCCGTCACGTTCGGCGCCCTTTTTCACCCACTCGCTGCAGCCTTGTTTGCGTGTGCCCTCTCCGCTCCACCACGAAAGCGACCACCACGAAACCTGTTACAGGCGCCTCGGATTTGACATCTGTCGCCGCTGTCCGGTCATCCCACTGACGAAAGCGTCCCACGCACATCCGCTCCCTCGAAGACCGCGCGCCCGCTCACCCGCAAAGTCCATCTACTAATGACAAGCGCGATTGCACCCAGCGCCCAAGCACCACCACCACACGCCACCACCGACGCCCAGCACACCGCTTCCGGTACGACATCGCCTCTTCCAGGAGCTGTGCCGGCACAGCTACCTGCAAGGTCGTACGCCACAGCTACAAAGACGGCGTCCCCAGCTTCCCAGACTCCGGCAGGAGCCTCCACCCAGAATGCAAAATCGACTGACTCTCCGGTGAACGGAGCGCACCCGATCGCGCACGGAGGCTCTCAGCCAAATGGAGCCAACAGCAACAACACACCCGCCGATCACGCGAGGAAGCCCTCGGTGGTCATCAGCGCAGCTGGCGCAAGCGGGTCCATACCGAATGGAGGGCCGGTCAGCGTGAACGGCCGCCCACATATCAACTTCGGCGCCATGAACGTGTCCCCTCTGCCTCAGCACGCCGCCCCATTCCAGGCTCAGAACGCCTCCCTGTCGACTCCCGGCAGCAACAACCCGCGAGTCATCTCCCCGGCACATTCACCTTCGCCCATTCCACAACCCCAAGCTAGCGGCGGTCGCCCGCCAGCTGGTCTCCAGAATCAGACCAACGGCGTGACTTTTGGCCAGCTTGGTGGTGAAGGCGAGCAGGTGAGATCAACTGCTTTGGGGTGATGGGAAGATCAGCAGCTGACCACAATCAAGTTCCGCCAGAACCAGCCGCCACTCGGCCCCGGCATGCCCTCGATGCATGAGCGCAGACAGTCCTCGCATAGTGACATGAGCAACTCGAACATGCAGCAAAACATGAACAGGAACTTCATGCCACCAGGCGGCCGTGGTCGTGGCTTCCCAAATCAACCTTACGGTGGTATGCCATCACCTGGACCTAACTACAGATCCATGTCTGGGCAACAGGCTACCCGGCCCAACATGCCACCACAATTCCAACCTGGCCCGCAGCCCGGTTCACCATTCATGCGCTCCGGCAGCCCTGCTGTCAACCACCCACGACCCAGCATGCCGTCATACGGCTACAGTCATCAACAAGTAAATATAACCCACTTTCCAGTGTCCTCGCCGACCTCTCAGTCAAAGTGTCCTGGCACGTTGCGAAGAGCTACCGCACCTTTTCGAAGAACGGACATTCCTCTGCAACTTGTCATCACATTTCCGACTGACGAGGCGGCGGACAACTCTAACAAAGCGAAACGTGAACTGACCCATATTTTTAAGCAGATGCAGTATGATCCACAATACGCCTACAATGGTTACTATCAACCATACTATAACGGGTACCCCGGCCAGCCACCACAAAGCCCTCGACCTCCATACCCCAGTCCATACCAAGCCCCTGGTGGTCCCATGCCGGCACCCTTCAACCCGCCCGACATGTCGCGCAGCGCTTCGCAAACATCTCAGCGACCGCCTTCTAGCCTTGGCCAGCCACCGACACCATCGATGCAGAATCAGGCACCCTCACATACCCCTGGCCCAAGCCAACCAGCCCAGCCATCACAATCGAGCAACTTTGTTCGCCCGGTGAAGAAGAGCAACGCCATCAAGATCACAGACTCTCAAGGCAATGAAGTTAATTTCAATAAGTCGGCCCCATCACCGGGTGCTGCTGCGCAACCCCAGCCACAAACACCTGTCATCGTGTCCACGCCCAACGCACCCACACCACCACCTCGAGTTCCAAGTGCACAACATAACAGGGTCGAGAGCAAGAGCACGAAGTCATCCGAAGAGACCAAGAATGCTTTCCAGGAGCAGGTCAGGCGAAATTTGGAGGAGGCTAAGCGTCGCGAGCAAGATTCTGAGGCCAAGAAGAGCAAAGTGGAAGCACCTGCCAAGGAAGATTCGAAGACAGAGGTCAAGACCACCGCTCCAGTCGAAGCCGATAAGGATGAGCCAGGACCTCCAGCTGCAGCGACACAGGAGCCGGTCAAGGAGGCTGCTGCGGCTGCGGAGAAGTCTACCGCCACCGCTGCGAAGGACGAAGAGGGTGTAAAAGCCGCTGACGCTGCAGAGGCGGCTGTTAGCAAGCCTGTTGAGGAGCAGACCGAGAAGGAGGAGACGGAAGACGAGCGCATGGAGCGGGAGATCGCTGAGATGGAGGCTGCCGACAAGGCCGAAGCAGAGCGTGAGGCTGCCTTCCAGGAGAAGCGGCAGAAGGAGAAGGCTGAATCGGCGAAGCGACAGGCTGAGACGGATGCCAAGGCTGACGAAGAGCTCAAGCGACAAGAGCGCGAAGCCGAAGAACGTGAGGAGGCTCGCGAGCGTGAGCGGAGGGGTGAGACGGAGGAGAAGGACAAGGATGCCGAAGAGCCTGATGATGAGGCCAAGGCCATGTTCGCGTCTCTCAAGAAGCCCGCTCTTGGTCCAGGTGCCCCGGCGCCAGAGAGTGGTGCCGAAACTTCAGTCTCCGAGGACGCTCCAGCTGACAGCAGTGCCATGCCTCCACCATCACAGCCTGCCGCTAAGCATCCCGGTGCTCAGAAGCCTAAGCCGGCTCATCTCAAGCTTGAGACTAACAAGCGTGTTGAGCCTGCCGAGCCGACACCGGGCATGCAAGCGCTGAAGTCCGCCCGCTTCCTTGCCGTCAACGAAGAGCTGAAGTATCCTGATGGTTTCAAGTCTCCGAATCCGGCTCTCAATGACGCTGGCGCCCGCAAAGGTAAAGCTTACGACCGCGACTTCTTGTTGCAATTCCAGAACGTATTCAAGGAGAAGCCTTCGGTGCACTGGGAGCAGAAAATTAAGGAGACACTCGGCAGCGACGAGCCCGCATCTGCTCGACTTGGCTCCGCACGTACGCCATCTACGAGACAGCCGTCCGGTCGTGGACCCGCCCCAATGGGAGGATACGTTGCAATGGGTCAGTTTGCTGGTGGCGCACGAACTCTTCCACCTGGCACATCGTCTGCCGATCGCTTCGCAGCCTCGTCAGGTGCAGGCCGTGGCGGTATGGCCATGCCTCAGATGGGTGGCCGTGCGCCAAGTCAACTTGGTATGGGAGCGCCCATGGGCATGAGCAGAACCAACTCGCTGCAGACCATGGGTAACATGGGAGGTCCGAACTCACCTCGCCAGCCGAGCGGCCGTGGCGGTAGAGGCGCCAGCAAGCGCGGCATGAGCAAGAAGGAGGAGCAGGATGCAATGGCTAAGATGCCTTTGACGGCTCACATGGAGATTGCTCCTCTTCCCAAGTCGACTTCCGGCTGGAAGCCTACCAGCATCAGTGCTGCACCAATGGCTGCTCCTGATCTAAGCGGTAACTTGGCACCAGACATTGTGCAGCGTAAGGTAAAGGCTGCGCTCAACAAGATGACACCAGAGAAGTTCGACAAGATCGCCGACCAGATCTTGGAGATCGCCAGTCAGTCGAAGAACGAGACCGACGGCCGAACTCTACGACAAGTCATCCAGCTTACGTTCGAGAAGGCTACTGACGAAGCTCATTGGGCTGGTATGTACGCCAAATTTTGTCACAAGATGTTGACCACTATGAGTACCGACATCAAGGACGAGACGATTCGCGACAAGAATGGCAACCCAGTCGTTGGTGGTGCTCTCTTCAGGAAGTACCTTCTCAACCGCTGTCAAGAGGAGTTCGAGCGTGGCTGGCAAGCGAATTTGCCGGAGAAGCCCGAAGGCGACTCGCAAGAGGCCGCCCTGCTATCCGACGAGTACTACGTTGCTGCTGCTGCAAAGCGTCGCGGTCTTGGTCTAATCCAATTCATCGGCCAGCTGTACAAGCTTAAGATGCTTACGCTTCGCATCATGCACGAGTGTGTCATGCGGCTACTCAACTTTGAGGGCGAGATTGATGATGCCGCTGTAGAGAACTTGACAACTTTGTTGAGAGCTGTCGGTGGTACCATGGAGGAGGATGATCAAGGCTCTCCTCTTCTCAACACCTACTTTCAGCGCATCGATCAAGTCTTCCTCAAGAACGAGACACTGGCGAGCAGACCTCGGTTCATGATCATGGACTTAATCGATCTTCGCAAGGCTGGCTGGAAGGGCAAGGACGACACCAAGGGGCCTAAGACCCTCGATCAGGTCCACGCAGAGGCTGCGGCTGCAATAGCCAAGGCGGATGCAGAGCGCGCTCGTACAAACCAGCGTGGTGGTCCCGGTGGTGGGCGGATGCCAGCTGGTCGTGGTGATGCTCGCAACTTTTCGGGCAACATGCCACCTCCGGCCGACTATAACCGCAACGTGCAAATGGACGATTTACGGAAGCTACAGAACCGTGGAGCATCGAACCGTCAAGCTGGCGGCAGCCTTGCTCCAGGTGGCGGTCTTGGCCCATCGGCGCTCTCTGGTCGCCAAGGAAGCAGACGTGGCAATCTTGGACCATCGTCGTCAGGCAACACGACTCGCACGAACACGCCGCCAGTCGACAAGGACAAGAAGGAGGAGCCTACACAGCAGAACTCATTCAGGTAAGCTGGCTCATCTTTCATACCTATCTCATCGTGCTAATATATCGTAGTGCCCTCGCAGCGCTCGAGAACGAAGACTCCACCGCCCCGCCTGAAGATACAGCCTCGCCTCCAACCGCACGAAATCGTTCCAAGTCACCACTCCCGGCGGCTGAGCGAACGGAAGGATAGACCATCGACCATTTGCATCATCGCAATCGAGATACCCCACGACATCTCGAGCGAGACTTTCTTCATTCCTTCATCCTGCTGTATTCCATACTTCGAGACTACTACACCTTATTTAATTCGACAGCACTGGTCAACGTCAAAAACTCCGGGATGGAGGGCACCGAGTCAAGAGTTCTTGCTGTGAATCTTCTTCAAAGTGCAGATTCTATCGGTACGTTCTTGCACTTGCTTCTTGTTGTGTTATAAAAGTCCTTCTTCGCGCTGCACTATCTTAGGGCTTGGGCATGGGTTGGTGGGAAAGGCGTTATAGATGGTGGGTTGAGGTGTGCTTTGGGGACAGCATACTCGCGGCTCGTCGGTGCCTTTTCTTCTGAAGGTGTGGTTTAGAAGATGCTGCTGAGGGCAAGCATGCTTCTGTTGAAGTGCAGAGTCGATGGTCGGGCACTTGGGAGGTGTTCAAGGACTGGTGTAAACGAGATGAAGGAGGTGTTGTGGAAGAGGTCGAGAAAGGTGGGGAGGAGCTGCTTACTGGTTCTGGAGATGGAACTTGAAGTTGGCGATGTGTTTTGATAGAGATTCGGGACGCTGCTCACCGTGGCAGTGCCGAAGGGCGTACAGCTTGGGTGTGCTTCCTGGCGCTTGTATGTGTGTCTCTGTACATACTTGCTTCAATTGAAGATGCTTACACCCGTTCGGCCTTCACTGGCCCACTGCGTTAACATGACAATATGCCTCGCTCACGGAAATGCCTTCTCATCTGGCCGTTGTGTGTTCACCCGCTCGACTACGTCCTTCGCCAGCAGCCTCCGGTGAGATTTCGAAGACGCGAGATATATCTTCCACTACTCGTCGTCCTGTTCCGACACCTCATGTTGACATCGATCACATAACGCACCTCCCCGTGCGGGGAGACACCCTCCGCGACGAGACAAATCCGAGATACTTGCACTTCTATTATGCCGTACATACTACGAACATTGATGCGGCTTATCGAAATACTTTTATACGGTGGCTAGCAACTCTAGGATGCTATACCTTCAGCTAATACTACCAAAACGTTGTCTTCGCGCGCTATAGGTTCTGCGAAGCCGCTCGCTTTCTTGGCGCTGCATCGAGGCACGTCTTGTGTATAGGGTGCGATTTACGAGCGAGAGACCACCCTAGCCGGTACTTCCTGAGGTTAAGGATAATGGTTGCCAAGATCGGAATATATCTTGATATAGAGGATCGTAAAATACAGATCGGATACGGATATTGACACTACTCACATTACTACGGACAGCTCCGTTGCGTTTTGCTCAGACTCTGAAGTGCAGCTGTGGCAACGCGTTAGTTGACAATGAGCACCGAGCATACAACTTTACATTTACGATCTAACTACACCAAAGTCGTAGCAGTCGTTCTCACTGCCTGGAAGTTTTCGCGCCGCTTGACCGGTTTAGTAGAGAAGATATGTGGTTGTGGCACTGCATCGTCGTCGCTGTTTGACAAAGCCGGAACAGGCTCGCTCGTAGAAAGGCGTACTGTAGCAGCGGCAAATTCTGCTTTTGGATACAGGAGATATGTAAGGTAGTGAACGCTTGTCCGCGTGGCGAGATGCTCTCTATCCAGCACCTTCTGCACCCACACAAACTGAGAATGACGGTGCTGTGTACTGTGATTACGAGGCAAGGCACAGTGTCATGAGCAAACTCCAAACAAGCATCAGAATCCGTTGCTATCACGAGATTGCTCTGTCCTGAAGCTCCGCTATAATCACAAGTTTATGCTAATCTATCGTGAAGGTCATAAGGCTTCTCCAAAGTATAGCGGAGTGGTAATTCAAGCGTCAAGCCACTCTATGTTGTGTTAGACAAGTACAGCTCAATACAAGTCAAGTCTGTTCCATTGCACAGCGTTCCCTGACTGGTCGAGCAGCTCTCCATGCATAAAACCGTGAACATACGCCTCTCCAATCATCCTGGATTTCCCACTCTCCATAGCCCTCACCACAAAAGGCACACGCGCACTGTTGAAGACGTAGCATATGTCATCCGGCTGGGTAATAAGTGGTCCGAGCCCACAATAACCCTTCGAAGTCGTGAAGAAGCAGCGGCCTTTGCACGCAAGATTGACTTCCGCCCAGCAAGCTTCCGCATCGCCACCGGAAGATGGCAGCTCAGAATACGCCGAGCCTTCAATAAGTTGCCAAAACGCCTGGAAGTCCGCTCGATGCGTTTCGAGAGATCCGGAAGACGCCTCCACTTCCAGATAATTATGTAGTCCCGCACATAAAGTGAGACTCAAGGCGTCTGGGAGTTGAGCTGGACAGAGGCGAGCCGTGAGATGCCTGTGGATGGCCACCAGTATATTCACCAACCGGGGTGCACTGCTCGCTACCTCTTCCGCAGTACCAAGGTCCCAAAACCAAAGTATGTCTTTCCACCTATCACTTGACTCTGTCCCTTGCTTATCTAGCAGAGGAAAGGGAAACACGGCGTCGATTGTGTCTAGGTAAGCTGCCTGGACGGCCAGAACTGAAGGCGCGGATGTTGAGAAAGTTGGCTTCCATAGCGTCGAGGGATCCTCGGGCTCGGGTCCAGAGGCACGGTAATAGAAATCGGGGTAATAGCCAAGCGACCTCCATGTCAGGTCCATATCCCACCGAGTGATCCATGATGGCAAATACTCCAGGATGGTTGAATTGTCGTGTTCGACTGATGAGAGAGTCTTCAAGCCGAGAGTGCGTAACATGTAAGATGAGAGCTCTATTAACACCTCGCCAACTGGGGCCTCATAATTAGGCATCAAGAGAGGCTTGTTGGCGGCAGTACGTGCTAGCGGATGACCGAGAAGCGAGTACACGTTGTCACGGGGGTCACGGCAGCCAAGACCTTTAGCATAGCTGAAAAAGTCAATCAATGTATAGTCGTGATCCACGCTTGCTCTCCAGTCAGGCATCCATCGCTCCCAGTCAGTGTGAATAGGAAGTAGATATGCACCGAAGCGCTGAGTGAGCAGCGGAGCGCACCGGTCGATCCACCTTCCCAATTGCATTAGACTTCGATAGCTGAACTCCGCGTTGCCCCAGAGCACACGAGCTTCGCGTGCTTTGCCGACTTCTTGGACAACTTTCGCTTCGCATTAGCATCGTGTCTCGTGTGTCTCAATTGACTACGTCGTACCCCATGCTCTCTTGAACCAATCATCTCTTGTGAGCTTAGCGAGAGATCTCCATCGCGCGTCGTCAAGAACGGGATCATTGGAAGCGAGGAGTGGCATGTCCTGCAGCGATTTTACACCCATTCGACTGGCGTGCTCGTTCAGTAGAGTGACGACGTCGCTTGCTTCTCCGCTCTCGTCGCCGCCCATGCAGACCAGGACTTTGGTAGCCTTTGCGTAAACTCTATCCATGAAGGCCACATGGTGACTCTTCTCGGCTAGATTCTCCTGATTGATGCCTAGGAGTCGTAGGTACAAGTGTTAGTAGTAGCCATCTCAGCCATGCTCAAGGAGCTACACCCGTTTGACAAGCAGTATACTCACAGATAGCATCGGCCCAGATATATCGTGGCTGGCCTGGGTATCTGACCCTGTTCAGTGCAGCGTGGAGCGAGGCGGTGATCCGAATCTGCCTCCTAGTGTCGTGGCACTCGATTGTCTTTTCTTTGTCAACTGATCCCCATACATAGCTCAAGGCCTCAAATGTTGGTAGTTCACCTTTCTCAAGGTCGAAGAAGCTAATCCTGACGAAGATTGGGTCACCAGGAGCACCGGCCTGCAATTCGGCGAGACGAATATCAAGGCTTGGAGGAAGCAAGGGGGCATCGAGCGGATGGTTCATCCCAGACCGGATCCTAAATTTGGGAGAGTAGCTGGAGCGATTGACACCACGGGTGCCCGACTAGCCCTGTCTACTATCCGGTACGAGTCGTGAGGTGTTGCTGGGTATTGGAACGCAGAAGACTTTGGGACCAAATGCGGGCAGCCTTCTTTCGATCTCAAGGCTGAGTGCAGCGACATCGGCATAGTAGCAGCCACGTGAACATAAAACATTATCTACATCGTGCGTGTGCGCCACTCGTGGCGTCAGAACGCCATCACCCACGTGATGTTGCTCTGAGCGTGGTTTCGAAAGTACCTTTGTGATGAGCCACCACATATTGCCGTTGTGGACAGCGGATATAAACTGAAGATGTAGATGCTACGCGCGAGTTGGCAGTGTTATCTTGATTGACATCTCTTGATTTGACGACGAAGGGCGGTTTGTACCAGGGTATGGAGCAGGATCCAAGGTGAAGTGGAACTGGTGGCCCGTGCGCAATCACTCTCCAACCTCTCGAAATCGCACTTGCCTCCCGCTTCCAGCCATCTCATGTCAACGAACCAGCACAAATTATGGGTTTCACGACCAGCCACGTCTATGTATGTACAGTAGCAAGAAGATAAGTCTGTTCTTCTCAACCTTTCCTTCTTGCTTACAATCTTCATCTACCACACTCCCGAAGTCTTGTTATTCGAAGCGAAGCTGAAAACCCTTCAGATCGCTCGAGTATCGAAACAAGACGAGAAGTAAACACTCACTTCTTGCTTTGCACACATCATGTTCTCCTCGATATCATCTCTGTTGGTCGCAAGCATATATCTAGCTCTCAGCGCACAAGCTCTACCAAGACCGCAAGCGACATACTCTGTCGTGGATGTCGACGGCAGCGCAAGCAGCACAAGCTCCGCCTCATCCGCCACAATTGTTTACGAGACGATATCAGTCACAGCACCTTCGGCACCTCAACCAACAGTCGAGAAGACCATCTCTGTCACGATAATCGCAACACCCAGCACAACTTCGTCAAGCAAAGCGGCTTCTTCGACCATTTCAAGCTCGAGTCCAAGCACAGTAACGCTCGTCAGCTTAACGACAAGCATATCAACGACATCGATAGAATCTGTCTCAACAACCACAGTCTCGGTCGCCGGACCAGCTCAGCCGTACACTGTCACAGCTTTGCCATCCGCTGCATACAGCAACAGCAGCTCCTCCACCAAGACGAGCTCCTCAACACCAGCCACAACATCAACATCCGCCAGCATTGCCCAGGCAACGACTATTCTGAGCACTTTTGCCACCTCGACCATTCCCACGACTGTCACCGTTGCATCTATTACTACGGCGACACCTTCCGCATCTTCGACATCCTACTATGATGATGGAATGTGGCATACTTCATACCCAGTGCGACCACAGTATACGAAACCTGCTGTCTGGAATTCTACGACCAATGCTCTGCATTGATTGCCAGAGTCATAATTCTGCACTCTACTCAGGATGGAAGTTGCACATCATTTGAAGCATAGGATTACCTCTGATTTTGTAGCGAAGGACACATGGAGCGTGTCGACTTTTTTGCTGCGTTCGAAAGCGCTGGAGTTGTTTGATGGGATGATGTGACCGCTCTGCTAGTGCAGCATTAAGAGCTGGTGTCTTTGGGTTACGAATAATGTGTATAGAATCGCACCGCAGTAATGCCACATACTTTGCACCTTGACAACATCTTTTCACCTTGATGGCGCCTTTCTTTCACCTTTGATCATGCCGAGCTAAAAACGATGGATGGACTCGGCACCTTGATGTGCTCATTGGCGGACCGGCATTATTATTGTCGCGGTGGAGCAACGTCATGCACGATAAGCTTATCCCAAGTACCTGCGTATCTCTGCCAGCTCACCCATGCCCGTGATGATGTGAGAAGGGAGTGTTTCGCGGTGGAATACTGTATCCCCGGGTGCATCTCTCTCGACCTTTACCGCATCCAAATTCACGGTCTTTGCGCCCGAGTCACCGCTCACAGGCTGATCTCCATAGCAGGGTATACCGTGGCAGAACAATAGTGACTACAGAAGCAATATCTCTTTCATGTCCATGACTCTTGTTCACCGACTTCATCCCATCCAATGACATTCCCGAGACTCGACGGCCACCTATCACGATAGTCCCACCCGGCTATCGTCAGCTCTGACAAAGAGAAGAAAAGGTGTCGCCGATACGCAATATACCCACACCTTCCGAGACCGGTCGGCAAAATATAATTTGAGATAACAGCGACAATGGTATCCTCGGTGAATCCCTCACCTACTGCTGTTCGGTCTGGTGAACAGTCCACAGACTCTACTCAGATCAAAAACCTTTCTACTGGTCTCATGAGGCCGCTATACACTTCTTGCAGCGAACACTACCACGCCCAAGCACATAAAGAAACCAAATTCTTGTGTCTAAACGAGTTACCAAGGATGCCTTCTCCCTCACCCTCGACCTCTCCAGTGCGACAGTACTCACAACCGAGTCCTTTCCTCCGCCTGCCTCCAGAATTGCGACTCCAGATCTATGGCCTCCTCGTCCTCCCACGAAAAGAAACAGACCTCCTCCCATCCTGGGCGAAAGTGCACTCCAGCACCCAAGATTACTTCGACTACGAAGCCAAACGCCATGGCACCGACCTCCCTCTCAGCGCAAACCTCACCAATCCAACCCTCATGATCCGTACCCTCGACCCAGGAAGCTACCGCCAAATGATACCCGCCCACAAACCCATACCCGTGCGAAGCCAATACGCCGTCCGCTGCGATCGCTTCCGTAGCGCCTGTAAGAGCACAACATACCACTGCATCAACAACCCTCGACTCGAAGACCACCTCGGACTGCTCCGAGTAAATAAACAAATCCACTTCGAAGCCGCAGAATTGCTCTATAGCAGCTATACATTCGACTTCGACACCCACGTCGAAGCCATCGTCCCTTTCCTCTCCGACCTCACACCCTTCGCCCGCAGCAGCATAAAAAGCATCCGCGTAGTCAAGCGCGCTCTGGCGTACGAAAAAGAGTTTGATCGCTGCGAATGGTCAACCGCACTCCGCTACCTCACCTCCACCTCCACCGCCCTCAACCTGCACAAACTCGAACTAGGCATCGTAGCTGGCCGCCCAGGCACCAACGGCTGGGATCGCGTGCCCCGCTACAGCGCCGAGTATTTCCGCGACTGTCATATGGATGGCGAAGAAGGCATGGAGTGGATGCAGTATCTGCTTGAGATACGAGGACTGCAGGAATTGGATGTCAAGGCGGTGGTGGAGCATTGTCCGCCGGCGACGAACAGTAATGCTATGGCCAAGTATGTGAGGTTTTCGGCAAGTGTCGAGGATGGGTTTGCACGGTTTTTGAGGGACAAGCTGGTTGTTGTGCCTGTGGTTGCTTGATGTGATTGGTAGGGTTGAGGATGGTGGTGTAAGCTTTTGTGATGATTTGATGGTGATAGACTCTGCTCCATTTAGATTTTGCGTATATTGGCTCTCGAGCATATAGTAGTAGACTACGGAATTCTTCAAGCCATGACACTTTGTCAAAGAAGCTGCGCATGTAATAAGGGTGTCTGGTGGCAGTGTGCCGCATACAAGCTCGGTGATCTAGCAAGCAAAGGGAGTCAAAGAGGCTCAAAGCTAAGACGGCACGACTGAGAGATGCTCCGTTATGTACACAGGCAAAAGTATAGAAATGGCACTCGTTTTCCGTCCCGCCTGCCTGCCCATTGCATACGTCTTACATGACCAGGACTGATGTATGCATGAACTCCTCACGCTCAAGTCTTCGCCTTGACCTCAACCCCCTCATATCCCCTCGCCTCCACATACTCCAACGTCCTTTGAAAATGCCGCTTCGGATTCTCTAGCCCAGAAACATTCTCCGTAGTATTCAGGTTACTATGGATCAACTCGATCAACCCATTCAGATATTTTGTGGTGACGGCGTCGTTCTCTTGGTCGAAGTAGTAGACGTAGCGATTTAGGATCTCGACGAAGAGTTCGACGGAAACGGAGGTGTCCATGCAGGCGTCTGCGACGCGGAGGGCGCGTTGGAGGCACTCGAGCACGCGTTTGCCGTCGCGGTAGGGCTAAAGAAAGGTTAGTTCATGTTGCGACTGATCAGTTATACTTTGAATATACTTCTTTGCCGTCCTCCGACTTCTCCGACTTCTCTACTGCCCACCATAAGTGACTTGCCAGGTACACTGAACGACACTGATCTGGCTTCTTGAGTAATTTGCTGCCATGTAGCGCAGCCTTCGTGATCAGGGTATCGTAGTTCTCCCGCGAGAATCTGTCCGAGCATCCAGACAATGCGCCGGCAATGATGCATATCGCTTGGAATTGACTTCTGGAGTCGGAGATACTCTCTTCGTAGATCGTGAATGCTTGCGCAAAGTACTCGTACGCGACATCCTCGTTCTCACATTGCGATGCAACCTGGCCACAGGAGACGAACAGACGGAGGACCAGATCTGGCACACCTGATGATCCGGAAACGCGGGTATAGAGACTTGATAGCAAGGAGTGGCAGAACTTGTATAAGGCGCTGGAATTAGTGGCGTAATCGTCGTTGGAGAGATGTTCTCTTCGCTTGAAGTTACGGGCGAGTTTGAGTGAGGCGGTGAGGAGAGCAGGAGTTGTGTATTTCGTTCTTTCGTTGCCTTCTTGGAAAGCCGTGCGTGTCTTTTGCAGGAGAGAGAATTGTGTCGTGTTCGATGGTGCGGCGATGAGGTGAACGATTCTTGCTAGCCAGCCTTGTTCTTCCACGGTCTCCTCCGTCTCGATTGCTGTACGCCGAACCTGACCTCCAGGATAGTTTGACGAAGGTGACTGTTGGCCTTCTTTGACGAGTACACCCAGTGTCTGAAGCACGCCTTCGAGGTTCTCGACGGTCGTGATCTTGATCTCATTACGCAGAAGGCTCCGCGCTACTTCGCCTGCGACAGATCGTCGGGTAGGATACGTTTGCTGCTGGAAGAGAGGCACGAAGTTCGGTAGCGCTAATGCCGTGAAGAGTGAGAAGTATGCTTTCACTGGTGAGAGGAGTAGGTTGAGGATGTTGGATTGTGCCGGTTGTGAGTGAAGATCGGCGGAGCTTTGAAACCTTGCCGTCTCCTTTGTAGCATATTGTAGGACCTGATCAACATAGTCCAATCGGTCGGGATATATGGTAAGCGCAAGGTTGACAAGGGATACTAAGAGAGCTGTGATGTCCTGTATCGGTAGCCGCTGCACACCGACCACATGCACCACCTGCTCATAGAAGATCTCGAACAGTTTGACATTGTCCGGTATGCCTGGTTGTTTGGTCGCATCGCCGTTGGTATGTGGTGTTGCATCCTCAGTCGTCTTATTGTCCGCAGCGCTATCGGAAGGTGCCGAATCGGTATCGTGAGTCTCGCCATTCGGCGGCGCGGTATCATTAGCCGACTTCGTGCCATCCTCTTGAGCTTTATCCTTGCCGAGCTTGATCTTCTCGAGCAGAGCAGACACGGATTCCTCTTCGTGCCTCTGCCTGTCTTCCGGTGTCTGTGTCTCTGCTTCTCGTTGTGCATATGCCGAAAGCCGATCCATGAGTCCGATCACAATCGCCTTGACATTCACGTGCGGGTTCAGCCGTGCAGTTGCCGAGAGCAGCTGATCTAATGTGTTGAGATGGAACTCGTCTGGAAAGACCTGTGTGATGACCTCCAGTAGGTACTCCTGCGCCAGCACATCTCGGCATTGCACCACTTGCTCTAGAAGAGGTTGTAGTATGACGTTCTTGTAGCTGTCAAGATCCACTAACTGACTCAACCGGACCAGGTTGCTGCCGACCAGCAGTTGTAGCTCTTGCCTCTCCTTCGTCCGCTGCTCCCGCTCTCGTGATGGTCCCTGATGCTGTAATCGCACCCAAAGCTTGTTCATCTCCACAAAGTTGGTGAGTATGAAGCTGATGCTGTCCTGGAGGTTGCCTTCCGGTCCATCGCCAGTACCGCTAGGCAGCGAGTCTCGTGCCTGGCCGCTAAGAAAGTACCGGAGGAAAAGACCGCGCACTGGCTGCTGTACACCTCTGCTCATTTCCATCATATCCTTCATGATCTCCTTGACCGGCGCATCCTCGATACCCATGTACACCGTACCCACCGTGATCATGAGATACAACCTCGGCACCACATTGCCTGCATATTGCACAAGCTCGTATAAGTCCGCTAGATGGTTGACAGGGTGTGAGTCTCGGAGGTAGACGGAGAGGTGTCGCAAGGCATCGAATATGGACATGTAGAGCTCATAGTACTGCTTTGGTCCAAGGCTGGAAGTCCGTAGTTCTGACACAAGAGTTGAGGCACATTTGAGAGCATCCATGAGCTTGCCAGGCGACTCCAGACATCGGCGCATCAAGACAGACTGTTGGCGGACCACAGTCAAGGCATCCTCCAGCAATCGCGCCTGGTCCTCCACTGGAGGCGGTGGGGACGCCATCTTCTCGATCGTTGGCTCCAACTATCGTCGCATGCGTGCTATCCAGTACATGTATGTGTCGATCTGCTATAGCTGGAGTATGTTAGTGGTGACCTAATCGTCGGGTTTCCGTGATGCTGGGAGCTGCATATGCCAATGCGGACCAGCATAGCGTGGCTCACTAGTCCGGGCGTACGTAAGCAGCCACAAATACACGTACACTTTAAGTGCATCTACCTGACAGGCACGCACCGCCCCATCAATTTCTCTCTGTCGCATATATGCCATGCAATCCGAGAACAGATCGAGCGAGATAGATATCAATGAGCAGACCAGTCTCTCAACACCGCGTGCTCAAGGAACCGGCACCTCTAAGGACAGTGACACAAGTAATCAGGACAGCACAAACAGAGTGCTAGGCATCTTCACGGCCGCGAAACGAGATGGCAGGCCAATCAACGGTAGGTACAGCACGCAGTTCTTTCATCACCCTTCATCTCCTGATCATCCCATGCCCAGTCTCTGCCCCGATGGTCCGCTACTCCAAACTCCCCTTCCGTCTAGTGGCGAGAGAATATGGCACAGACATAGCATACACTCCCATGATCCTGGCCCACGAGTTCATCCGCAGCCAGATCGCACGAGATAGCGACTTCACAACTTCACCACTGGAGAGACAACCGACATCTGATGGACGGCAACATGCTCTGATAGCACAATTCGCTAGCTCTGATCCTGTCGAATTGGCGCGGGCGGCAGAGATAATCGCACCGTGGGTTGACGGCGTAGATTTGAATTGCGGCTGCCCTCAAAGCTGGGCGATGAAGGAAGGAATAGGCTGTTCACTCATGTCTAATCCGGACCTGGTGGTCGAAATGGTACGAGCGGCGAGAAAACGACTCAACCCATTACAAAGCGTCAGCGTCAAGATTCGAATTCACAAGGATCTGAGCGAGACCATCGCTTGGGTCAAAACTGTGCAGGAAGCAGGCGTGACGTACATCACTGTCCATGGACGGACACGAAGTCAGCGCTCTAGCACCCCACCGGATTATGAGGCTATACGGCAGCTGCGACAACATATCCACGTTCCTGTAGTTGCGAATGGAGACGCTTATACACTTGCGGACGTTCACAAGATTGCTAAGCTGACGGAGGCGGATGGTGTCATGGCCGCTCGTGGTATACTTGAGAACCCTGCGATGTTTGCCGGACATGATGTTACGCCTGCCGAGTGTGTGCACCGACTGTTGGGCTATTGCATGAGATGCCCAATGCCTTTCCCACTGGTGCTGCATCATGTCAGCGAGATGACTGCACGAATGCCCGGCATGAACAAAAAGGAGAAGAGACGATTAATGGAATGTCAGGATTTACTTGACCTGGTCGATTATGTTGAGACCAGCTGGGGTGCTTATGATCTGGTCCACATATCTGACCACAAAGGACCTTGACACTCGGGAATCCTCACCCGTCAACTCAAGCGCTTTTGTACGGATACATACATATACACATGCCTCATAGCGAGCGGGTATCTCATAATATCATATCATAACCACCCATACCATCATCAAACCAACTCAAAACAACATCTTCAAATCCAACGCCTGCTCCCCGAAGATACTCCTATCCATCTCATTCCGCCTCTCATAAACCCACTTCGGCGCCTCCACATCGGCGAAATCGATCAGCGCATCATGACTCCCCTCGACATCAGGCTCGAGTGTATACTCGACCTGACTCTCCATATCGCCTACATAACTCCCAATGACGTGCGTAGCTGAGACACGCTTATGCTCATCATGCACGACAACGTTGAACGCGGGCTGTTGTCTACTCTCGCGGATGCGCAGCTGGGCCTGGATCTGCGACAGGCGCAGAAAGCGCTCATACCTGTCGCTGTCGAAACGGTCAATCATTTCAAGGTCCAAGGCATCAAGTGTTTCTTGCACGATGGGCCGGCAGAGCTCTTGCACTACTCCCTCGTAATCGCAGGGGACCTTGATGCGGCGGAGAGATGGGAGACGGCCGCTTGCGATGGCGTTGGCGATGAGGGAGGTGCCTGTGCCGGCTACTAGGACGTCCCAGTGGAGGTCTTGTAGAGTGGCCGAGCCTAGTGCGCGATTGACGTTCGCTGCTTGCATGCCTGGTAGCATTTCTGGGGAGGTATTCTGAACCAATGTGAACTTGCGCAAGCGGCCGAGGTTCGTCCAGAGCTGTTGTATCGTTCGTAAGGAGGTCAACTCTAGACCGATCAAGCTCAGGCTCTCCACCGTAGATGCTAGACGCATATGCGCGAGCTGTTCGACGCCTTGATCTGTGAGTCCGTCCAGATGATCCAGGCGTAGTGATCGAAGGCCCGGTAAAGAAAGCAGGGTACCGTTGTGAAAGTCTTGCCGGTTCAAGCGAGACAGCATGAGATGCTTGAGTGAAGGCAGTCTTTGCACAATCGCAGCCACTAATCCCAATCCCAAGCTCAAATCCGAGCTGGAGCAGATCACGAGCGTCTCAAGCCATTGCCAGTCATCATGGCAGTCGAGAACCTCACCAGCATCAAAGGTGGGTAGTTGACGACCTCCAAATTGTGCTACCTGCGCATTCCACGCGTGTGATCTTATGTTTGGCCGCAACGCTAGCGGGAAGAATAGCTTAGTGCTTGCAGCATCTCGAATCGAAGGGTTGTATCCGCTGAAGTCCTCCAGATTCGCACAGCGATTAATGATCGCAGCCACCAGATCAATGGTTGCTCGTCGCGTTGCTTGCGTGTGGTCCACACCTTCAAGCATACATGCCAGGTTCGCCGTCACTCGCAGATGTCGTACCATAAACGCCAAGGCATCTGATTCGTCCAACGTGCGTAGAAGCTGTTTCAGTCGCGTCGTGGACCTATGCAGAGACAGTGTCCGCCTGGGTAGGTCGTCATTATTCGGCAGCCAGACTTCGCGGTACAGATGTTCTCGTGCCGCGCGATGCCAACGCTTGTTCACCAGCGATAGCGCTTTCAGATCCGAATGCAAGCTCACCACATCCACCTGCGACTTCTGCTTGTGTAACGACTCGACATGATCAAGGATGCAATGGTATATTTCGCGCGGCAGATGCTCGAAGATGTTCTTTGGTAACGGTCTCAGATCAACCAGCGGTATACGCTGCGAACGTGGTCGGCGCGTGTGCCGTTCCAGCTCCCAGGGTGTCTGTGTCAAGGTCGGCGTATTTTCGAAAGCGTATCTCCCTGGTCTACTGCGCTCCGCTGTGGACTGCGGCCATGTCTGTCGTTGTGATGAGGTACGCTGTGGCACAATTGGCGTTGCACCCGCGGTCGTGGGTCTGAGGTGTATATCGTCTGTAGTAACATGAAACTGCACGTATTTCTGCTTCACCGGCCTGTTGTCGCGTTAGTATCGCGTTTTGCCCTCCATCCCTCGTAACACAAGAGTGAACGAGACACACCTGCACGGTAGGAGCTCCTCATCTTCAGCCGTTGGCGCCGGTGGTTTCGCGTTTCGGGAGAGCAGATTCTTCAAACTCTTGCTACGTTTCAACGCTCGTCTGGGTTGTTGTTCCGCTGCCATTGAGTCGCCAGAGTCAATCAAATACCTCACCGTGCTGTCGCGATAGCATGATAAGTGTCTTTCGGGTGACAGGAGAGCAAGTGGGACAGAGCCATTTCGGAGAATAACGTACGCTTTAGACTAAATGGTGCACCACACTCTCGCGCGATTGACAGACCAGTAGGCCGGAAGCTTGCTGAACATGCCATTCCCAGATCGGCAGGCTAACATGCCATATCGAGCCCGACTAGCGACGATGGAGACCGAATGGTCAGTGCGAAGACCATGCACACACTCTAAACAGATTAGCTCGGACGTTTGACTCTCTTGAAGCGGCAAGGATGGCTTGAAGCAAAACAAGTTAAAATCGTCGCCAGGAACGATGGGAAAGCGGTTGTTGGCTGCTATCGTCAAGCCACTGGAGTGATAACCGACAACCGTACAGAGTGATCCGGCGGGGAAGACGTCGCCGTGCCTACGCGAGAGAGGATGGGCGATGTGATAGGACCGGGAGAGCAACATCTGACGACTGATCGACGCAAGCACATCATGTATCACCGTTGCCGACGTTATCAATACCAATTTTTGAGAGGCACATCCGCCGCCACAATGTCGATCAAAGGGACTTTTGATCACACATGAGCTGGAAACTCGACTTTCCCTGCATTGTATAACCGAGGTGACGACAATCGTGTGCCAAAGCAGAAAGAACTTGTAAGCGATATCTATCAAACACCTTCCCTCTATCATCTATCAAATTCTATCTAGGCTGTCGATGCCTTTCGTGGTATCGTAATGCAGATCCCAAAACTCCCGATATGTCGCTATGCAACTTCAAGGACCAATAGTGAGCACTCGTGGATCTGCGGCAGGCGACAAAATCATCTACTCGACCATGACAGCACTCACGTCACCCTTCTGCAACAGAGGATTGACACGCTCATTCTTCCAGTTGAAGTTGAAGTCCTGACCAAGCTCCTTCTTCATGGCCGTCTGGACGGCGTCGAGAACGTTCTTGAAGACACCGAAATTGGCCGGGTTCTCCACATCGTTCTCACCACCCTGGAAGACACCAGTGCGGACGAGGCAAGTATTCCAGCCATAGCTGTTACCGCCGACGATGTCCGAGGCCGGGTTGTCACCAACCATGTAGATGTTCTTGGGCAAACGTTCGTCATTGTGGATGATGTCCATCCAGTTCTCTAGCACGGAGTCGGCGTACTTGTAGGTGGCCAACTCTGGCTTGCCGTAGACTACACGTTCGAGGTCCTCGCCTGTGAGGGCTTTGTACATGGCCTCAAGTCCGATGCGGAAGGCGCCTTGCGACATGCGAGGATTGGGGTGCTCTGTTGGGCACAGCAAGTCGCCTTGGCTGAAGTAGATCGGGATGCGCTGAGATACTGGGTCCTTGGCTCTCGTGTGGAAGCGGCCGTTCTCGGATTGTAGCAAGTCCATGATGATCTGCATGTCGGTAGCGTAGTCGCGGGAGTCGGAGAAGACCATGATGGCCTCGATGTTGACTTTCGAAAAGTCGCGAGGGTTGGAAGTCTTGCGCTCCTCGTCGGTGAAAACACGGTAAGGTGCAATGGTTGGGTCCCATGCCACGATGTCGTTGGGCACGACGATGTCCTTGAAGCCGTACTGCTCAGCGACCTCACGGCAGCGATAGTCTTCACCACCAACGACGAGCACAGTACTGTAGTATTCGGAGAGAGCCCGCATGGGTGTGTGCGACTGGATGAACTGCTCCATGCTGATCGGCTGTTGTAGGATCTTCGAGAGCTGCTCGATACGTGCCGCCTCCGGCTTACCAGAGCCGTTGGTCAAGAAGATATGTGGGACCTTGATTCCAAGCTCGTTGTCGCCATTGAGGATCTCAAGCACCCGCTGCCCTTCTGGGATCAAGCGGTCACCGTGCACGAGCACACCATCAATGTCGAACACAAATGCCATGTCCTTCGCAGCCGTGACCTTCTCACCAGACATATCCTGGACTTGCGAAGCCAAAATCTCCCGTGTTGGCTGGACTGTCGGCATGCTTGGTCGTCCAGCATTGCTGCCCGAATATGCTATGGACGAGAGTCGGGACTGTCTCTTCGATTTGGGAATGGGTAGCGAAGCACCAAACGAGTTGCGGGATCCTCTTCGGTCTTTGGCTCCTGGACGGCCGTCCATCGACAGCTCGAGCATGAATGGCGAGGCATTTGCAATGCTTGGCCTTGTTGCTGGCACTTCTACGCTGTTGCTCAGGTCCTCACCTGCGATAGCCAAGGGACTGCCATACGCTGAGCCTCTTCGGTCGCCATTACTCTCGCCAGTCTTGACCCTGGTAAGATCTTTCGATTTGATGATGTGGATTGGACCACCGAAGTCTGCATCGTCGAAGGAAGGCATGATTGATAGTGTGTATGGATGATTTGGCGGGTTTGAAAACTATGTGGCCAAAGGAAACGTTGTGGGCGTTTGGAGGGAACGTCGCGAGTAGTAAGTGACAAGTGAAAGCGTGGGATGATAGTGAAGAGTACGGGTACCTTGAGTAGAGTGTATATACATCCAGGCCAACGAACGCCTCCGATGGATGGGGTTAGAACCTTCACGCAGAGCCCAAAACATCGCACTCACCACTCCTCCTCACCGTCTTCAGCATCCGTCTTCCGTGCCCACCCAATCAGTTTCACCAGCTCTCAACGCCGTATTCAAGCAAAGAGCAGTTCTCCAGCACGACATCATACCGTACGGACGTGATTCCATTTGAGGCACTATGACATCGCCACCGGCCAGTCCCAGAGACCCTTCCGGCACTCGTGCCCAGATACGTGGGACCATTAACCACGAAGGGTTTGAGTACCAGAGCGCAGCGCGTAAGCAAAAATTTCAGATGTCAAAGAAAAGAGATGGAACAGGACCCAGAAATGGTGGATATCGAAGCTGTAGTAAGCCAAACACCATAGGGCTGCACGAAGTGACTAGGTGAATTAGCGTCGCACGTGCCTTGCCTCTCCGAGAAGAGACCGTACGGCTTGGCACGGCCATGACGCAGGAACCTCGCTTTCACATCTAGATGATAACGATGCTTCTGGAACGAGTATCCACTGTCAGGACCACTTTATGCGCAGGTTGGGCGGTCAACGTCGGGAGTACGAGGCGGTTCTGGGATGACGTCGGAGTGTCAACAATGGGAGTTGAGGAAGGACGAGAATGTGAGGAAAAGTTTGATGGGAGTTTGATGGGATATGTAGGTCTGCGTGGCGAGGTAGGTAGACAATAGAGCATCTTTCTCAATATTGTCGTATTGTTGGTTCATAATTACCCAGATCCACTATCACGTCCATCCCTCATCATGTCGAGCGGCAAAACATACCAGCTTAACAACGGCCTCACCATCCCAGCCGTGGGATTTGGCACTTTCGCGAGCGAAGGCTCAGCAGGCGAGACGTACAAAGCCGTGGCTGTGGCGCTCGAGACTGGATACCGACATCTAGACTGCGCATGGTTCTATCAGAACGAAGAGGAGGTTGGCGAGGCCGTACGCGACTTCCTGAAGAAGAACTCGAACGTCAAGCGTAGCGACATCTTTATCTGCACAAAGGTGTGGAATCACCTTCACGAGCCCGAGGAGGTGAAGTGGTCGCTCCAGAACTCGCTCGAGAAGTTTGGCTTGGATTACGTCGATTTGTTCCTGGTCCACTGGCCGATCGCGGCGGAGAAGAATGGCGAGAATATGCCTGCCTTGAACGAGAAGGGCCAGTATACCATCAAGCAGGAGCTCACAAGAGATCAGAAGCCGACATGGCGAGCTATGGAGGAGATATATGAATCCGGCAAAGCTAAGGCGATTGGCGTGTCGAACTGGACGGTGGAGGGCCTGGAGGATATGCTCAGCTGGGCCAAGGTCAAGCCGACAGTGAATCAGATCGAGATCCATCCTTTCCTGCCAAACGACGAGCTTGTGAAATACTGCTTCGACCACGATATCATGCCCGCTGCTTACTCGCCGCTCGGATCGCAAAACCAGGTCCCGACAACAGGGGAGAAAGTGAACACCAATCCAACATTGAACAGGATAGCAGAGAAAGGCGGCAACTCTTTGGCGCAAGTTCTGATAGCATGGGGCCTACGAAGAGGCTATGTCGTGCTGCCGAAGAGCTCCACGCCTTCTCGAATCGAGAGCAACTTTAAGACGATTGAGTTGAGCGATGAGGACTTCGAACCGGTCAATGAGGTCGCCAAGGGCAGGCATACCAGATTCGTGAATATGGTAAGTCCATCTAGATACTGATCTGAGGGTGTTGCTGACGAATATCGCAGAAGGATACCTTCGGTTACGATGTATGGCCTCAGGAGTCGGAGTCTTCCAAGTTGTGAATGAGAATAGATGTCTTCATGTAAGAGCGGGAATAAGCGTTCTTCGCCAGCACAGTCGGGACTTCAGGAGTCCGTGGGCATCTTCTCGCCCTTCCTTAAATCATACGTTGACGGCTGGTCGAAGGGAATCCATGTTTGAGCGAAATGGACTGCTTCGTGCCGAGGGAAGACCATGACGAACAAGAGACGAGAGCACTTGTGGTCCCAAAACACGTCCATGCGGTGTCCGGCATAATCTTAGCGCCTGTTGTACATTTCTATGGCACATTTCACCGAAGTGTTGTGTATACGATTAGAAGATGTTAGGGGGATTCTGTCCTTATAGGATGCAGTCAAGCTGTCTCGGTCTGCATCGCAATCGAGTGGTCGTACGTAGATATCGTGAGCCAATACTTGTGCAGCGCGTAAGGCATCTCCTTCACACCCTCGCAGTCTGCCTCCTTTCCAGCCAACTTGTTTGTCCTTGTTCTCGTACCATTTAGAGTTCCGAAGGTCGCTCTAGAACATGAGAGCAAAGTAGCGCCAATGTGTGCAGGACGGCTTACAAGTCACGCGGCAGACGCATTTGCCCACGGTACGACTGTTGCGCATAGACTTGTAATTCTAAGCGACCACGACACTCCGGCGTCAGCTGCCTCTCACCTAGAAAGGCCGTTCCGCTCCCTCCTTTGGCGTCCATGTTCCAGCAGAGGGCCGAAAGTCATGTAAGTGTTGGAACAGGCAGCCGGACCGGCTCTGAAGCGCTTTGGCGCTCTGATCGTCGCGCAATCACTGGCCCAGTCTTGATCTTGCCATATCTCGCAAAGTTACCCAGCAATCGATATGCCAGGTCCCTTTGACCTGGATATCTGTCATGAAGGCATTGACGTACCCATGCCGCGTCCTCGTGACGACCCTGTAATCGTAGTACATATACGAGCCGCGTGAGATGCGTGATCCAGATGTTGTTTCTCTTCAAATCGTGGCTGTTGATTCCTGACTTCTCTATCCAGGTAGTCTCCTCACGGTCGAGATCATTACCGAAAAGTTTGCGAAATGTGACAACGATCACGTTGCCATCTGAACGAGCAGGGTGGTAAAGGTCCAGGATCCCGTCGTTCAGCTCCTGCGCAATGGATCCTGCCTTGACGTATGGCACTGTGCGTGAACTTGCCTTGAATGCGTCGTACAACTCGACGTCCACGATATCCTCAGCACTCCGCAGCTGGGTCAGCCTGCCGTGGAGGTAAGCACCAGCAGCACGCAGGGGTACCAGTGTGGGATTGGAAGCTCGGTCGTGCCTAGACTCACTCCCGCGGATTGCTTGAGCTTTCAAGTATATGCCAATTGCCGCATCCAATGACCCGGGTACCCCGTAGAACCCATCAACTGTGTTGGCGACCATACCGTGTATAACTCTACCTTTCCATCGGTGAAGGAAGTATGCCTTCGACCGACGCTGATCATTCACGGGCACATCAGCGCTGGACGCCTGCCACTCCGTTCCCAGGGTCATGTCCATTATGATCCAATCCCACAGATATTGCTCCAGGCCCTCCCGCATAAGAGCATGAGTTAGGGATCTCATGAGTACATAGTCTTCCACGAACTCCTCCGTTTCATAAAGCTTCGCAGCCCACAGCACAAGAAGAGCACGTTTTCCAGGCTGTGTCTCGGTGACGAGTGTTCTCTGTTTTGCCACTGGCAGAGCTTTCAGGTTTTCTTCGAACTTGCGAAGGCACAAGCGTGTGATCGCAACCGAAGCGATGCCTTTCTCATGATATTCTTCCAATAATGAGATGGGATCCTTCCCGGGGTTCTTTTGTAACTCAGTGCTGGCTTTGGCGTAGTTCTGGTCGGCGGTACTGACAGTCTTCACATCCTTGCTCAGCAAAGGGCTAGTCAGAATGGAAGCCAGATGAGTGTCCGCTGATGCTGCCGAAGAGTGGAATGGTCGTCCGTCTGGGAGTGGCGTGCTAATTTGAGCTTCGGTAGGACGCTTCTCCGCAACGGACTTGGGATGCACCTCATCGAGCCGCTGACGAAAAGAGCTTGTGAGTGCGGTTAATAGGCGCTGCGACTCTTTCTTGCTGAGTGGCAATTGCTGGTGCAGTCTGTCGGCCCACGACTTCAGGCCAAAGAACACGGCGGATCCTCTCATCCTTCCGGTGTTGCTAGCGGCGCAGGCGAGCATAGTCGCCGTACACGACGCATCTCAGCAATGGCTGAAGGTCATCATTACACCAAGGTATGCTATGTTGAAGTGGATGTTGATGAGTGAGGTGAGGTCACATAGCCAGATCTACACGTGACGCCTCGGCGACTGCAGCGGATGTCTTGGCGCGTCTGGCGCTCGGACTTTGAGCACTTTCACAGAGGCAGAGCTGCGCAACTCATCACACATGAAACATACAACTCCACGCCGGTCGTCGTAGGTCGCACTTGACGCACAGCACAGAACCCTTCGCACCTTCTACATCCATCACTCTCTTCCATTGCGACTTCCATCGTCAACAACCATAATCGCAGCACGCTGTTTGCTCGAGCTTGCAACTCCCTGCTACCTTCTGCCTCGCGCGGAAGCCAACCTCACTCAAACCTCGCGTTGCCAAGACCAGGCAACCACAGCTTCATTCACACTTCGGTAATATCACCTGACCGCACACAACCCACACAATGTCGGAAATCGACTCGCGGCCTGCGCCATCGCGCGGCAGGAGTTCAACCAGAGGGGGCAGGGGTGGCTTTGGCAGAGGTGGACCTCGCGGCGGTAGAAAGCCTACCAATGGCACCGGTGCAGAAACAGCACAAATGGACGACCTACTGGAGGATCAGGGCGAGCTCGGCGAGATGAAGAAGAAGTACTCCTCAGAACTGCCCATGCTCAAGGACATGTTCCCGGACTGGACCGATGTTGACCTGGTATTCGCTCTTGAGGAGGCCAATGGTGATGTCGGAGCTACTGCCGAGAAGATCTCAGAGGGCTACGTATCTCAATTTGCTGAGGTCAAGAAGAACAAGGACCGGGCTCGCTCAAAAGCCAAGGACGAGCCAGCCATGGCAGGTGCGACCGACAAGTCTGGTCTGCGTGGTGGACGAGGCCGAGGCGGCTTCGATAGTGCTCGTGGTGGACGCGGCAGAGGCTCTGATCGTGGCCGGGGCGGCACTCGTGGTGGGAGAGGTGGTCACGCGACCACGAATGGCACGTTGAAAGACAGTGCGGCAACTTCCGTACCAACTCAGGATTCGACTGCGTGGGATAATACGACTACTGCAGAAGCTGCGAACGGTGGATGGGACACGCCGGCTGCAGATACTACCAAAGAGGCTCCCGCCAGCACTGAGCAGCAAGGTTCGTGGGGTAGTACAGCTCCAGCGGAGAGCACGATCGCTTCAGCTGTGGAGACTGCGAAGAGTAGTCTGATTCCAGAGGGTGTGAAGAAGAGCTGGGCAAGCATGTTCTCGAAGCCTGACCCTCCGCCTGCACCTGCACTGCCCAAGCAGGCCCCAGCTTCTGCGCAGCCTGCTCCTATTGAGGAGTTCGCTTCTAGCGAGGTTCCGCCTGCGGAGGAGAAGGCATTGGACATTGATAAGCATGTTGTCGAAGAGCCGATCACATTGCCATCCACCATCGAGGAGCCACAGGCGGATGCATTCGCGGAGCCATCTCCCGTACCTGCACATTCAATCGATGGTGACGATCTGGCAATCACACCCTCAAAGGACCCGTTGACCGAGGAGAACGTCGAGCATCTTCCTGATCAGTCCAACCCACCCGCGACCCAGACTGTTGCCAGCACTGTCGGCTCAGTCGAGACCCGCAATCTTACTCCACTTCCAGGCCAGCTTCCGGCGCCCATTGGTACTAGTCGTCCTCCGATGGGTGGCTATGCTGCGAGCGCGTACCGAGCAACGGGCCAAGCAAACAGGAGTGCAAGCTATCAGAGGCGTGTACAGGAGCAGCAGGAGGCAGTGGTTATGCCTGGCCACAATGCAGTAGACAGGGCAGCTGTGCAGTTCGGTAGCATGGGTTTGAGCGGAGAACCAGGTCTAGATGTGGACGAGGAAAGGGAGGAGCCCGAGACGCAACAAGCGCTTCAGCACTCACCACCTTCGCAACCAAGGACTTCTCTGCCACCAGCACCTCGCCAGGCACAAGAGCCAACGCGTCCGGAAGGCCTGCCAACACCCAAGCAAGCTCCAGGGCTGCCACCAGCATCTGAGCACAATCAACAGCAGATGCAGAATGCCACGATGGCACCAGGCTTGACACAAGATCAAGCCCAGATGAATCCCAACTATGCGCAGTATGGTCGCTACCCTCAACAAAGTCTGCAGCAGGACAACAGCTCCCAGCAGCAGCAGAAGCCGTATGATCCTTTCAGCCAGCAAATTCAGCAGCAGTATGATCATTACGGGACCCACCAAGCTCATCAGCAACAACAGCAGTCCCAACAGCCCAGCCACGCCGGTTTCGGCGGGCTCTCTTCAGCACCAAACGAGTATCAGTCGTACTACACCTCCAACGAGCAGCAGCGCAATGCATACAACCAATACTACGGTGGCGGCTATGGACAGCAGGATGGAGGTAGGGCCCAACAGCTCCAGCACGAGGCTGGCCTGGCACAACACCGCTCTGCCAGTGGCTTTGGTACAGGACCGAACGAGTCCGCTTACGGCGCACAAGCGCAACAACAGGTTAGTATTCCTACTTCTTTACGCGCGTTGCGACAAAGTTCGCATCCTTCAGATTGCGATTCAATCGATTCAGCGGCGATTCAGAGTATCGGCAAGTCACAATACAGCATTTTGCCTGGAGCACAGCAAATGCAGCCACGCACTTCAGCGATACATCCTGATCTGCAAGTCGAAGTGTCTCGTCTCGTACAGTCACAATCGCAGCCAAATCTCGGGACGCTCGAAACCCTGCACACTGATCTCGATGACCCTGACCGCCAAGCCCCTGCAGTGCTTTCATCTCCCATCCCTACAGTATATCTTAATAACAAATCTAACCACATCTTTAAACAGACTCAGTCACGCTACGGTGAGACACCAGGCTCCGGCCACAACACACCCAACCCACACCTCAGCGCTGGTCAACCTCAGCAGCAGCTCGGCGGAAATGCCTCGCAACAGGCACAGCAGCAGCAGATGCATCAAGCCCAAGGCGGTCATCCGCAACAGCAGCAGCCGAGTGGCTATGGAGCGAATGCAGGCTACCCGTACGGTCACCCTTACTATCAGAGCCCGTACCAAACAGCTTACCAGAATCAATTCGGCAGTCAATATGGTGGCGGTTACGGCGGCGGTCAGTCCGGCGGCTATCCCTCAGGTAACAAGCAGCAGCAGCAACAAGGCGGCATGTACGGCGCACCAAGTGGGTACGGCGGTATGGGCGCCCACTCGTCTTACGATCAGCACTCCTCTTCGCCAGCCAACGCGGGTGCCTTCGGCCAAAACCAGCAGAGCTCCATGCGTAGCGCTAGCGGCATGAGCTCGGGTCTTGGCGGCAATCTGGACGATTACAGTCGCTCTGCTATGCAGACTTCCCAGCAGAACAGCGGCTTCGGTGGGCTTAATGATCCCTTCGCACGCTCGACTTCCGGTTTCGGTGCCCAGGGCGGCTATGGACAGCAGAGCATGGGCGGCCAAGCAGAAGACACGCTCAAACCCTACAACGATACCAAGAGTGGGCCGTCGCCTGCTTTGGGTCAACCGGGACGTCCTGGCTCCGCGGCTAATAGTGCTGGTTCCGCGCAGCAGCAGCAGCAGCAGCAGCAGTCCGGTCTCCAGCATCAGCAGAGCCAGCAGTCTGGTTTCGGCGGATACGGCGGTTTCCCATCTCAGGCTGGTGGGCAGTACGGTGGTCTCGGTGGCTTGGGCTCTCATCAGCAGCAGCAGCAGGGTCAGCAGCAGAGCCAGGGGATGGGCGGACAGGGCGGGTATGCTCAGTACGGCGCTGGTGGATTCGGGCAGACGTATGGGAATTATGGATCTCGCGGGGGATGGGGATCGAATTACGGCGCTCATTAGGCGAGGCGTTCAAACAACATGGTATTGCTGTGGATGCGACATGGAAAAGCTTTAGGCGTACTTTGAAAGAGTGGGGAAGGCCTGATGACTTGCGCTCTCGGGTTCTTAGTGTACTATGATCATCTCTTCTCTCTGTTACTGCTGATGCCAGGGACGCATGAGTGTCTACTGGGACGGCGAAGGCGAGGGAAGGCATGAGCTTGGGTGAGATGTGTGTGATATATAGCTGAGTGAAAGCAGAGGCTACTCTTTTGGCCTGATCATGATTGTCTGCTTTGTTCCTCATCCTCGTCGTCGTCTTACTGCTCTTGTCGGAAGTAGGTACTGTTTCCTGCTGCCTCAGGCATCCCATTCAGCTCGACGTTCACAAGCCAAAGCTTCAGCCAGCTTGCAGCTTCATTATTGTTGCCATTGCGCCAACCACAGTTACACATCTACCAACACCATTTAGAGACACCTACCCACGAAACCCCGCAGCCATGGCCCAAACCAAGAACAAATACTCCATCCTCCTCCCCACCTACAACGAACGCCGCAACCTCCCCATCATCACCTGGCTCCTCGACCGCACCCTCACCCCTGTCGGTCTCGACTGGGAACTCATCATCATCGACGACGGCTCCCCGGACGGAACCCAGCAAGTCGCAAACCAACTCATCAAAGCCTACAATTCCCGATCTCAAGAACGTATCAAGCTGAAACCTCGCGCTGGAAAGTTGGGGTTGGGCACGGCATATGTCCACGGTTTGCAGTTTGTCACGGGGAATTTCGTGGTGATTATGGATGCGGATTTTAGCCATCATCCCAAGTTTTTGCCGGTTATGATTGCCAAGCAGGCGGAGGCGGATTATGATATTGTGACTGGGACGAGGTATGCGGGGGATGGAGGGGTATATGGGTGGGATTTGAAGCGGAAGATGGTATCACGTGGGGCGAACCTGGTCGCGGATACGGTGCTCAGGCCTGGGGTTAGTGATTTGACGGGGAGTTTCCGGTTGTATAAGCGGAAAGTGCTCGAGGAGGTCATTGGGGCGACGGAGAGTAAAGGGTATTCGTTCCAGATGGAGATGATGGTCAGGGCTAAAGCGAAGGGGTTTCGGGTAGCCGAGGTACCGATTTCGTTTGTTGATCGCGTTTATGGGGAGAGTAAGTTGGGAGGCGAGGAGATTGCGCAGTATTTGCAGGGGGTGTTTGGGTTGTGGTATAAGGTGTAGGGTGGGATGATGGTAGATGTGGTCTTGGAGGTTCCAGCGAGGCGTTTGGGGGGAGTGATGGGATTGCTTTGGCTCCGGAAAGCGCATTCGCAGCTTCTTTATTGCCAGATAGCTTAAGAAGATATAGCTAGTGGCGGCGAACTCACATATGGTCCGTGCTTAACGGGCCTCAGGCACCATAGAATGCATCGGTACATACTATGAGTATTCTGCATACCACAACTCCCACTTCGATGGCCTTGAGTCGCTAGCCTGAAATCAAGCATGAGACACAAGACTGTGTTGCACAGATCCACGCCAGAGACATGACTTGATGCTGACCTCCATAAGCTAAGGAAAGAACGTCTCTCGTACTTTCTCCTCCTCGTCTCTTCCTTCCTTTCTCGCACCAACAAATCTCTACTACACTAACCCAGCACGGGAGCACATCACAAATACCATCAAAGTCCACAATGTCGAAAGCCGCAGCCAAAAGATCAAAATCCTCAACGACACCCAAACCCTCGACCATCTCCCAAATCCCAACCCCGTTCACAAAAGCACCCACGATCCTCACCCCCCTCCTCGACCGTCTCGACCCAGCCCAAGTCTACATAACCCACATCGATCGCCTGCCCCCCGACCACAAAAAGCAAATCTTCCTCATACCCGTCCTGCTCAACGGCAGCATCGCACTTCTCCTCCTCTGGCGACTTTACACCGCAATACCGATTTACTGGGCTATTGTGCAGACGTTACTCGGCTACACAAGCAGCGCGACTGTGGATGTGGTGAATACGACGAGGAGGGAACAGATATGGGTTTTGCTGAGGCGGGTTGGGATGTTCTTGTTCGATTTCCTGCTTTTCAGATTCGTGGGACCGTGGCCCTTGACCTTTTTTGGGGAGAGGCCGGCGAATCCGGTGGTGTGGAGGTGGAGGTTGGGGTTTCTGCCTGAGGAGGTTGTGGTGAGGGTTTCGAGGGGTTGGGGCGCGGAGGAGTTGATGAAGGGGGTTAAGCAGGGGGAGGAGAATGCTTTCTTTAAGACGAGGATTTTGCCGGCTATCGATGGGGTGGTTTTGCGGAGGAAGACGGGGTATTTGCTTATGGATAAGAGTTGGGATCTCGACTTTGAACTTATGCTGGACGCCCACGCGCTGCTCAAGCAAGAGGATATCAAGGCAGCGAGGGATTTGGATAAGTTTGTTTTGGTTTTTATGGATGGCGTGGGCTGGATTGTTTGGCAGTGGGAGACGGATATTGATGTGGTGCAGGATCGGAGGAAGAAGGTAATTATGTTCAAGGAGTTGTTGACGAAGTTGGGCAAGGAGAGTCTTTTCTTCAAGTGGATGGAGATTGTAGAGGAGGAAAGAGACACTGATGGTGGGTTCACTACGGCTGGGCAGCAGAAGGTGGCAGAGAGGGTACAGAGGGAATTTGAGAAGGAAGGGGTGGATTTCGAGGATTTGGCCAAGGGCGTTGGTGGGCTTGAGGAGTTGCCTGTCGAGGGCAAGTAGACTAGGTATGTTCTGATGAAATGGCCGGGCTTGACGTTCAAGGAAGAATAGATGGTGCATCAAGATCTTATCCACCACTCGTTCAGCAGCGATACTCCACAGACCCTTTCAACCGCTCGCACGCCTGCTCCCTCACTTCACCGGGATGATGGCGCGTGACGCTGCGCTAGGCGCTGATGACCATACACCATCGTCGCTCTCCTCCTCTGCTCAACCCAACCACCTTGCCGACTTAATTGCCGGATGGTGTCCGATGTCGTGCCGTCGACCTGAACGAACATGCTATCAGCGTCCTTTTCGGAGGGCAGCATGATGGAACGTCAAGGCTAGCTGGCATCTTACGCCCTGTTCGGGATGTTTGCGGGAAACGCGAGCTCTCGGGTACCAGGCAGATGGATGGCAGCGCCCAGGGTCTGGTTGGGACGACTGACTGACTCTGACTGACTGACTGACTGACTGGGAAGAGGTAAGAGAAGAGGGGCCGACGATGGCCATGACCATGTTGGGAGATGGGGGTTTTCCATTCGAGATACCCCCCTATGTATGTATAGCAAAACCTGGCCCGGTCCTGAGCCCCCTTAACCCTTCTAACCTTTTTGACGTTTGAGGGAGGGGCTTTGGATGCAGTAGTCGTCTGCTTGCATCCCAGCCCTCACTTCATCCCCCTATCTAATTGTGCAAGCAGGCCCAACACAGCCGCCCCACCACCCTCCTCATTACTCTCCCTCCTCCCCCCTCGACTCCGACTCCTCGCCCCACCACGCGCGGCACGATCTACCTCCCGCTTCTCCCTCGCCTCAGCTTCTTCCTGCTCCTCCTCCACAACTTTCTGTGCACGTTCATAGGCTAGCATCGCCGCTTCATCCTCCGGGCGAAGAGTTTCTTGCATCCCGCGGCCGTAATCGTCATCTTCGCCCTCATCCTCAGAGTCAGAAGGTGCGGGCGAGTCGAGATTGCGCAGTTCCGGAGACTTCAACAGCCGTTCGTCCGGTGGTGAGGCTGGCGGGTCCTCGGTACTCGTCGTGCTCTGTGCGGACGTCACCCTTGACAACGAGCTCCCACGCCCCTCAGCAAGCCCACCAGCCGAGTTCCTTCCAGGTCGCACCCCAATCGCCTCCGCCACTTTCCTCGCCTCCTCATCCGGATCGCCACCGCCCAATTCTCCCAGCAGACCCAACCCACCGCCCGCCGCCCCAGCAACACTAAATCGATTCCTCTCATCCAGCAAATGCCCCCCTCTGCCTCGGGGTGCATCCTCCGTCTTATCCAAGATATCTCTATACCCCGTCCTAGACGGATCCTGCATCCGTTTCCTCTTCTTCGCCTCCCGTTTACTGCTCGGCCTAACGACAATAACAGGGACGGGGGAGTATTGGAGACAGTACTTACTCACGCTTCCACTTGACAACAATCCTTGATATCCGGTCAAACTTCTTCCGCGGGTTCCTACGACTAATATGGCGGGTTCGTAAAGCCGAATCATTTGTTGGATCGTGTCGTGGACTTTTCCTATACTGAACTCGAGGACGAGGGATATGGCGCGATCGTCGGTGTTCTTCTTCTCGATCGCTTCGAGGAAGCGGTGGGCTTCTTTTTGGTAGCCGGTGCTGCCTTGGCCGCCGGCCCACTTGATCGCTTCCTTGCTGTCTTTCTCTACTACTCTCAAGCATACTATTTCGTCACCGTCGTCTACCAGCTCGTCGATCAGCCATTCGAGCGCGGTATCGGAGTATTCATTTGTGTCGGTGCCGCAGAGGAAGGTGCGGCTGCGTTTGGTGTAGGTGTAGTCGCGGTGTTTGCGGTTGAGGGTGAGGCTGTATTCCGAGGCGGAGGGGTTGCTGAAAGTGTCGAAGCTCACACTACTTCGATATTGAGCTGGTGGAGGTGGGCTGCTCATACGACGGCCGCTAAGGCTTGGGCGTTTGGAGGAAGAGGTTCCATCAAGGTGAAGAGTGCGAGTGCCGTGGGGTTTGGCGCTGGAGGAGCGGGAGGTTGAGCCGGTGATGGCGTGGGGTACGAACTGCACACTTGGTCGACGGCCGGATGCATCGTTGTTTGGGGTGAGGGTTGGACGCCGCCAGGTGGGCACGAAGGAGGGTTTAGTGGAAGAGTCGAGTGGTTGGTCGGGGATGGAGCGGTTGGGTAGGATTGTTGATGCTTGTGATCGAGGTGACGGTGTGTTAGCTCGAGCGGGCGAGAAGGGCGATGGCGAGCGACCGATTGCCATCTTCTATCAATACTTTCACGGTGTTGTCGAGTTGTGTTATCGCATTGGTTCAATAACGTTGCATGTGACAGTCTTCGATATCGGCATTGGATAGTGGGGAGCTCGGCTCGGTTCATCCCTCGGCCCGCCATGCACTCACTCCGTCATCGTGCCGAGACTCCATGCTACCTTAATCAATTTAAGCAGGATGTTAACAGAAGGCTTGATTGCCATCTATCGGACCACCCGAGGACCGTTGCAGTGAACGACACATCCAATATGAGATCCAGGTTGGCCTTATGATACGCACAAACTACATGTATCAGTGCCTGACTTGTCCCACGCCCGCAACACCACTAAGACCCTGTCACGAATCGGCATCTACGTTGCACGGCGCCGATCGAGGCACAACTCTAACCTAAGCCGCATGCTCTTTCTTACACCTTTCACACTCGGTCTATCTGTATGCCTGCAACATCACCAGCTCACGTCGCACGCATGTACGAACCGCCCTGATGTCCTTCTCGCTGTTGGAAGACTGCGAAGACTGTCTGCCGAAGTATCTCCAACGACGCCTGGACTCAGTACCTCCGTCTACGATCATCTTATCCAGCATACCCTTCGTCCTGACATGGATCGTGGCAGTGGTGATCGCGCAGCAGAGGCTGTTTCCTATACTCAGCAACAGCGATGCGCAACAGGAGAGGAAAGCTGGGCTACCTGTCTTCAACAAGGACACCTTCAAGCCATCTACATACAGTCTGAAAGATTCAATACGACGGCCTAGCGCACAAAGACTAGCCTCTGTGGTCTTCTCCACCAGCATCGGGCTATCTACAGTGCTAGTCGAGCTCCTCCTCTGCGAGATCTCCAACACACTCAACCCAGCCGCAAGAGGTTTAGCCTTGCGAGTCACTCTCACCTCCCTTCTCGTCCTGAGCATCCTAGTAACACCAGCCCTCGAAATCCACGGCCTGGGCAAGACGATTCTAGGCACGCCCACAGAGACGACATCAACACGCAAAACCAGGCCCACCTTCCGCTTGATTCTCCAAACCGCCCTCTTCGCCTCCTGGCTCCTGGTCTTCTGGTACATCCCGCAAACCTCTCTCCTGCGTGCCTCCCTCCGCCCAGACGATACAACACAGTCCTCCGACCACGCCTTCACAGAAGCCTGTCTCGAACGCGTAGGCATCATCGGCATCTCCCTTATGGCTTCCCTAGCCGGCTTCGCAGCCGTGTCTTCTCTGTGGCAAACCTTCGGAGTCCGCCATCGCAAGATTCGCGAAAATGACATTTCGCGGAAGGAGGCCGGACTGTCAGCGACGGAAGAAATGCTCCACGCCAAACAAAGTCGTCTCCGGGCTCTACAGCGCAAATCATCCGAAGCCTCGCCTGCAGACCAAAAAGGTTTCATGAACCGCATGCTCTCCTCCGTCCGCGGTGGTGGCAGCGAAGCCCAGGAACTCAAGTCTCTCCAACTCGAAGTCTCAGGCCTGGAGACCATGCGCTTCCAACTCCGTACTTCCCTCTCCAACCTCCGGAATCGATGGACAGAACAACAGCGCTCCCGCACCACCACAGGCAAAGCTCTGAACATCTTCAACACGATCTTCGCAGTCTACTGCGCTTACCGCATCCTCGCCACTTCTCTCTCAAGTCTAAGGAGGTGGTGGCAGCCCACCCATTCTTTCGCGACCAGCGATCCGATCAATAATATCTTGGCGCTGTTGACTACGCACTGGGATAACAATCTCGATCGAGCGGCGTGGTCGAGGCAGATTTCTTTCTTGCTGAGTGGCATCATGTTATTGGCGAGTTTCAATGCTGTCCTTCAGACTTTCCGCCTCTTCTCTCGGTTTGCACCGAGCGCTCTACAACATGCACAAACAAGCCTACCCCTCATCATCAGTCAAGTGGCGGGCACGTATGTCATTTCCTCTGCTCTGCTTCTCCGATCTAATTTGCCGGAGGAAGTGGGAGGTGTGATTTCGGAGGCTTTGGGCAAGCCGCTTGAGGGTGGATTTGTGGAGGGGTGGTTCGAGAGTTGGTTTTTGGTTGCTGTTGTGCTTACGGCGATGGGTATCTTGATTGGGAGGAAGGTTGGGGAGGGGGAGGAGTGGGATGATGGGGGTGAGGAAGGGGGGTTGGAGATGGGTGGGTGGGGCGGGAAGAGACACTGAAGACTGAGTATGTCTAGTCAAGATTTCTAATTGATGGTTGATGTTATGAGGCATATTACGCCCGGCCGTTTCCACAACGACCATACGCCCAGCCCTTCCCACCAGCGCCACACACAACCCCTGAGGTCCAAGCTCCATTGATCAAGTGAAACAAGCTTCCGCACAAGCTCATGCTCACAGCTCTTCGACTTCAAGCCAAAATTCAATGCAATCGCCCCTCCAACCACTCTGTCGCAGTACCGACAACAAATCTCCGACCGCTTCGCCAGGTTCAAGCTCCGTGGAGCGCCTATGAAGATGGACACTATACCACGCAACCAATACCGGCACGGCAGGTTGTACTAGGAGCATGCGGTGGCATGAGGCGGTGGACGGCGTGCTCAGGATGGGCATAGGGATGTGGGCGTTGAACTCGTCTTCCTCGAGCATGCGGAGGACGAGGTAGTTGTACTCCGGTATTTCAGCTTGAGTTGTGTCTTGGGAGGCGGTCGGGGCGAGAAAGAGGCGGCGCTGGATATGGATGGAGGAATTAATGGTTCCGTTGAAGGTGCGTGTGGTATGTCGTATGAGGAGGATGTTGCGCGCCGGAAAGTAGAGGAGGATGTTCTCCAGGAGCTCAGGTATGGCGAAGACTGTGTTTGCTGCTATTTTGGCTTCGCTGAGGGCCTGTTCTGGTGCTGGAATGGGTTTGGCCTTGGCCACTGCTGCTTCAGGTTGGAGTCTCGATATGAGGAGTCTCTTGATGCTGCTGAGGGTTTGATAACAGCTGTGTGTTGATGTCGAAGAAGGGGGGATGTGTTGCTAATGGGAGAGTCATGAAATTTCAGAAGGCCTCACGCGCAAGGTGATCGTTCCTTCCAGCCACAAATCGCGCTAGTCCTGCTAGCGCGTAATCCAGACACCGTGTGAACTCGGCACCGACCACGAAGCTGGGGTCTGCATTATCTGACAGCGACTATCAAGTGGCATCGCCTGCTAAGGTGCTACCTGCATAAGGATCTTGTGTTCGGCCAGCCACAAGCCAAGTATCGAACGGACCAAGAACATGCATACCGGGCTCAGGCTAAGTCCCGACCACCTCTACTCCAGAACGGGATCTTCTTCGAATGCCACGACGCACCCGAACAAAACACTGACAACTTCCTCATGCTGCAGAAAATCATCAAGATCCTTCTGCGACATTGTGCAGTACCGATCGTAGATCACGATACTCCACGCGACCTCCTCGTCGGGGCCGAACGTGATTGCGGCCGTAATTTCATCGATCTCCAGCTTGAAGTCCCCGAAGCGATGGGTGATCCGAATCCGGTTACGCCATTCTGCCAGGTCTAGAGCACTGCTTGGATGCCCAACCGTGCCGGTCTTTCTGAACGTAGTATCCAGTATCGATTCGATCGGTTGAACGATGGCTTCTTTGATTACATCACTCATGATGATGTCGAGTGTGCAAGGGATGAATCTGGATTGGATTGTTGAGGCATTGAGCTCGTTCTTGTTCTTGGGAGCCTCGACAGTGTCTGTTTCAGAATCTCGTTCGGCACGAGCTGAGGTACTCCGCCACTACGGAAAGTCCTTCGATCCCAGCTTCCAAGAAATCGAGTCTACCGCCGGCACCAGTTTCCACAACTCTTGCCATCGACTTCCGCCTCCACCAGTACGAACCTCGGCACGAAGTTGTGCCAAAACCAAGCGGATCCTATTGTAGCGATCGACGATGGTCTCGTCAAAGGATGCTGACGCGGAAAGCCCAGGTGGGAGGCCGCGATTCCAAAGGTCTTTGCTGAGGACGTGGTCTTGGTTGGAGATGAAGGCCTTGTCGAAGGCTGTGAAATAGTCGCTGTGGTCTGGCGCGACGCTGCTCAAGCTCTCCGTGTTGGCGTCAGTGTACAAGCTGTCGTACTATTGAAGCTCGCGATCGCAAAAGTACCAGACGCAAGCGATGAACTCTGGCTTGCAATTGTACGCTGCTTCGTGAAAGCTTGGTACATATTTGGTGGCTCCGAAGCTTATGTCTGGACCATAGAAAGCTAAGCGCTGCGCTTCTGTCTGGAGACACAGCTCGCGCATGAGGTCGAGTGCGTTCCAGCAGTCCTTTCTGAGCACACGCCTTTGCTTACCACTATTGTACAAAATTTCTGTGTACTTGATAACCACCGGATGAGTAATGATAGCCCGGTATGCATCTTTGGATCCCTCGAGACCTAAGCAGGCCATCAATTCCCTCCGGTTGCGGCCGAAGTCTGTCACATCGCCCTTGCCACTTAGAGGGATGGGCGCAGTAGGCCGCGGTGTCGGGGTGAGCGACGTTATTGAAGCCATGATTGCTTGTCATGCGGGAGAAAAGGGGTTCGGCCACGCAGTCAACCCCGATAGATCTACTCAAGGAGATGTGTAGTGGAATTGGCTTTGTTCGGAAGAGATGACAGGATGGAAGCCAGCGGCATCAGGGTTAGCGCTGACGCTTGTACCACGTGCACAGTTGTCGAGGAAGGAACGTTGCAATCGACCAAGGCGAACGGGACCGCAACTTCGTACAACTCAAGATCCTTGTCCATGAATAGGACAGCAAAAATGCTGGCAGAAAGCATATCGACGCGATGTTCATGGCGAAGAGCACACTTGCTGCTAGTGGGAGGGCGTTAAGTGATGCTACCAGCGGATGGGGGCCCTTGAAGTCGTGCGGCAGGAGTGGCTGATAAGCCTTGGCGTAGCACGCATCATCGACTCGTCTTCCACATATCGAGATTGAGTCTACTTGGTCTGGTACTATTGTGCTTCCGTACGAGATACTCGAGATCTTCAGATTATCGTAGCGTCGTAGCGCTGTAAGGTACATCGCAGTCTAAATATCCTACCAGACATCAAGCACCCAGACCCGGCCTCCGACCAGGCGCCATCCCAAGTACACTCTCATCCCCCAAAAAGTTCGGCGCAAGCCCACCATCATTCCCATCACCACCACCACCACCACCACCACCAGCAGGAGGTCCCTCCGTCTGCCTCGCCCTCCTCCTCCTCCCACTAGCCCTCTCGCCCCGCCGCCCAAAATTCGCATCCCCAAAAGCATCCATTATCACATTCGTGGCATTTTGTACAAAATCGTCATTCATAAAGTGGCCGGCCGCGTTGCCAAGGCCAAAAGTCTCATCGCGTTGTCGTTGTCGTGGATTCGTTTCGTCGTGGTTGTTGCCCAATAATGTGGCGAGCTGAAGTCGTCGAGCGAGATCTTCGTCTTGTTGTTCTTGTCTTTGTCGATCGTTGAGTTCTTGCCTGTATGTTCGGTCTCGACGTCTAGGCGCTGGTGGTGGTGGTGGCTCGTTCCTAGTAGGAGTCTGATTCGGAGCAGGAGCTGGGTGGATGGGAGCAGCGGCTTGCGGTGCAGCATATACCCTCCTTAGCAGAACCTGCACAGGCTCTGGTACTCGCATGTTTAGCAATCTATCCGCATCCTGTAAACTCGTGTAGTTGAACCAAGGGCAATCGCATGTCTTCCACTTCGAGCCACAAATCATGCAGAATTCTGCCAAACATCGGCAGGTCATATGATTGCAACCCTCCTTTAGCTCGACCATCGTATTACAGCTAAAGCAACGTTGCCAACCTTTCTCCTTCGCTTGTGCGACCAGCTTTGCTATCTCGGGGTCTTCAGGACACTGGCGCGATCGGTGCAATTTGTTGTTGCAGAGTGTACAGACCTTTGTCCTACAGCGTGGACAGCTGGCGTATTTCCTGCCTTGCGAATCGCGATGGATGTTTGAGGGCTTGATCCATTCGCCACACTTGGCTGCAGGACAGTATATGCGATTCTTCGTGTGGTACTCCTGATACTTCCGATTCCATAGAGTCTTGAACTTGATGTCGAACAGTCGGTCTACATGCTTCAGTGGGATATGATCTTCTGCGCAGCATCGTGGTGGCATGTGTGCAGGATCCTTGACAGACATCTCGAACACTCGCTTTAAGCACTTATTACACATACGGTGACCACATCCTAGCTTCGCAGATTGCGCATGAGGAACATCATCTGAGCCGCAGGTCAAGCACTCTACAAGTCTTGGTGGAGATGGTACGGCTGTCGTCGAATGTCTCCTGAACAGACTGCCAATCAGTGTCGAGTCTCTCGTAGATCTCCGTTTCGCAGTGGCTGACGACGTTGTTCGTTCCTCCTCGTCAATAGGGTGCAGCTTTGACGTGGATGTGCTGCTTCGCTTGATCACCGGCCTAGTCGTGCTGGCCCGCAGACTAGTTTTGGAAGCTTGTCTCTCGGCGACCACAGATATGCTATCATCTGATGTTACTTCGTCTTCAACTACATTGACGGAGGTGCGACTTCGAGAAGACCTGTGACTCGCGGGTCGACGACGCTCGTGCCGTTGAGTGCCAGCAGCATCTGGCACCTCGACCTCTACTACTGGCTCCAGTCGAGGCTCGGCAACGTCTGCGTTTCGTACTGCACTGTAGACATAGCCTCCCGCTTTCCGTTCGTCCTCGCTCAAGCTCTTCGTGGTCCGGCTCCTGCTACTGGTGTGCGGCTTCTTCTTGCGCCGGCGATCAGGCTCGCTCGAAGGCTTTGTTTTGCTTGAAGCTGCTGAGACGTGGCTAGTTCTAGGTCGTATCACTTTCTGCCTTTCTTCAACCGGCCTTTCATAGTATGCTGCTCGTCGCTGTCGAATTTCTTCTACATCGGGCTGCTTCGCTTCTGTGTCTTCTGTGACGGCACGAGTGCTACGATGTCTTTTGGTGGATGTTCTCGATCTTTGCGATACTTTGCTGCTTCTAGAAGGCACGCTACGGCCGACCGCGCTGCTCAAAGCCATACGAACAATGCAAGTGGTGAAGCAAAAGAAAATAAATGTTAAGGCTGGGTAAGATAGAACTGTCAAGCTTGAGAGCTGCAGGCTGCGCTAGACCTCTTCTGGAATCCCCGACGTCGGTGAGTCCTATATCATGGTCAAAAAATATTGGTTGTCGCGTACGCCTCCATTATTGACTGTAACGAGAGCATTCAGTCCGTAAGTCGTAGCGGACAACCACTCGGACTCACCGTCACACCCCAATGTTCTCGCATTAAACACGGCAATGCTAAACTTGTAGCTGGATGGTCATATGAATCGAGTCACTATTCGGAAAAGCCTTCTCTCACGAATTAGAGCCTCAAACATGGCTCTCAAGGCCAATGATGTCCGACCCGACCCAACGTCTGACCTGGACTGGTCTGGCTATAGAGGAGCCATATACGAAATCTTTGCCAAGAATGCAAATGCACATCCAGCGAGACCATGTGTCGTGGAAACGGCATCATCAAGTTCGTCGGAGAGGTCGTTCAACTATCAGCAAATCAACGAAGCCTCGAACGTCCTGGCTCACCACCTAGTCAGCAATGGCGTTCAGCAAGGCGAGGTCGTGATGGTATATGCTCACCGTGGCGTGGACCTGGTTTTGGCGGTCATGGGTGTGCTCAAAGCTGGAGCAACATTCAGTGTGATCGATCCAGCGTATCCGTCAGACAGGCAGATCATATACTTGGATGTCGCGAAACCGAGAGCGCTGGTTGTTATCGAGAAGGCGACTACTGATGCTGGTCCACTCTCGGAAAGTGTTCGTGATTACATCAGCAAGGAGCTGCGATTACGGACAGAAGTGCCGGCACTGAAGTTACAGGACGATGGGTCCGTCATGGGTGGTGTCCTCGGAACGTCAAAGGACTGCTTGGATGTATCGCAAGCCAAGAAATCCGATCTACCGGGTGTGGTCGTTGGTCCTGACAGCACTCCCACACTGTCTTTCACATCAGGCTCAGAAGGTAGACCGAAAGGTGTGAAGGGGCGGCACTTTTCACTTGCTTACTACTTTCCATGGATGGCAGAACAATTTGGTCTGTCAGAGAAGGACCGCTTCTCAATGCTGAGTGGCATTGCACACGACCCGATCCAGCGAGACATCTTCACACCTCTATTTCTGGGTGCCAGCCTCATTGTGCCACCAGCTGAAGACATCGCATTCGACAGACTGGCCAAATGGGCAAGCGACAATAGCATTACCGTAACCCATCTGACTCCGGCTATGGGACAAATCCTGCTTGGCTCGCAAGAGCCGAAAGTACCTAGTTTGCACGGCGCATTTTTTGTTGGAGATGTGTTGCTCAAACGTGATTGCAGAAGGTTACAGCAGCTAGCTCCCAACTGCAAGATCAAGAACATGTATGGCACTACCGAGACGCAGCGAGCTGTATCGTACTACGAGATTCCTGCGCATAGTGCGGATCCCACTTATCTGGACAAGATGGGAGATGTCATACCCGCCGGAAAGGGCATGTTGAATGTGCAGCTCCTGGTCGTCGATCGCGAGAAGAAGGAGAGACAGTGCGAGATTGGAGAAATTGGCGAGATTTATGTTCGTGCAGGCGGACTTGCTGAGCACTACCTGGGCGACGAGGAGAAGTCGAAGCAGAAATTCGTCGAGAACTGGTTCGCAGATCCGCAGAAGTGGATACAAGAAGACAAGAAGCGAGTTGAAGCACATTCAGAACCGTGGCGAGAATTCTACTTTGGCCCGAGAGATCGAATGTATCGCTCTGGTGATCTTGGGCGGTACATGCCAGACGGTAATGTTGAGTGTGTGGGTAGAGCGGACGATCAGGTCAAGATTCGTGGTTTCCGAATTGAGTTGGGTGAGATCGATACGCATTTGAGTCAACATCCTCTAATTCGTGAGAACGTGACATTGGTCAAGCGTGACCATAATGAAGAGCAGATTCTGGTGTCATACTACGTGCCCGAGATTCAAAGGTGGCGAGAGTGGTTTGCCGAGCAGGACAAACAAGAGTCGACGAATGGTGCTAACGGTACTCTTGGCATACCGACAACCATGCGAAGCAGAAGAGTCTCTGCGAAAGAGGACATGGATGTTGCTCAGCGCATGCGCATCTTCGAGATCTTGACCAAAGATGTGAGAGAGAGGTTGAAGAAGAAGCTACCGGTCTACGCTGTGCCTACCCTGTTCATTCCCATGCTCCGATTACCACTCACGCCTAATGGCAAAGTCGACAGACGGGCACTGCCATTCCCTGGAACAGCCGAGCTGATTGGCGCGATGCCCAAGGCTGGAGATGTTGGATCGAGAACCGATACGGAGAAGGAGCTGGCGAATATTTGGGAACAGCTACTTCCCGCCACTGCAGACTCCATGTCCCGCGAAACATCTTTCTACGATATGGGAGGTACTAGTATGATGGTCAGTCAGGTCGTGTCTAAGATCAACAGAAGGTGGGAAGGTGTCAATGTAAAGATCAACGTCATGACTGCAGGGCAGCCGACTCTGAAATCAGTTGGCCGATATATTGACAGATCACTGGATCCTGTTGGCCTTCGTCTCGACATGGAAGCTGGCGAAGAGGAGGAACAGCAAGCATTGCTCTACTCCAATGATCTGCCGAACTCAGCCTCACAGCTACCCAGCACGATTCCAGCGCTCGGCTCAGACTACCCTCGAGTCTCGACAGGCCTGAACGTACTACTTACTGGTGCAACTGGTTTCCTCGGCGCCTACATCCTCAACGACTTCCTGATGCGCTCCCCACCAAGTCATGTCTACGCCCATGTACGAGCACCTTCACACAGCAAAGCCATGGAGCGTCTCCGCACCACCTGCATCGCATATGGGTTATGGCAGGACTGGTGGGAGAGTGAAGGTATACTGGAAGTTGTGATTGGAGATCTCGAGAAGCCCAGGCTGGGTATGCGCGAGAGTGATCTCGGAAAGATTACGCAAGATTGCGATCTGGTCATCCATAACGGTGCTAGAGTGCATTGGCTACGACCTTACGAGGAGTTGAAGGCGGCGAACGTTGTGTCTACACTCGAGTGCATCAAGCTTTGTGCTGTCGGTAAGCCGAAGAGGCTCGCCTTCGTGAGCTCAACCAGCGCGCTGGACTCGGATCATTATGTCCAGCAGTCGGATGCTGGCCACGATATAATGGAATCAGATGACTTGGAAGGAAGTAGACAAGGCCTCGGGACGGGTTATGGTCAGTCAAAATGGGTGTCTGAGAAACTCATCGGTGAAGCTTGTGAACGTGGGCTTAGTGGAGTCATCATTCGCTCCGGCTACGTGCTTGGTGATCCCGAGACTGGCATCTCCAATACCGATGACTTCTTGATTAGGATGCTCAAGGGCTGTGTGCAAGTTGGCTGTCGACCTGATGTCACGAACACGATCAATATGGTACCGATCACACAAGTTGCCCGGCTCGTGGCAGCCGTAGCCTTGTACGGCGAGGCGGGCTCTGTGGCACATGTGGAGGCTCATCCACGACTGACGTTTAATGAGTTTCTTAAGCCATTGGAAGAGTATGGGTACAAGACGCCCATAGTCCCCTACAAGGAATGGCGAGACAGGGCAGTCGCATACGTTGAAGACCCAGCCAATGGCAAAGAAGAGCTGGCCTTACTGGCACTATACGATATGGTGACGGATCACTTGCTATCATCAACCAAAGCACCAAAGCTCGACGATCGTAACGCGACCCGAGCAGTCGAAGAAGACGCTAAGACGTCGAAGAGAGCGCCGACACCAAAGGGTGTGACTCAGGCAGGTATCAGAGCATATCTCGAGTTCTTGGTTGCTCGTGGATTTATGCCGAAGGGCCGTGGCCCTGGTGCTTCGTTATCTCGAGAACAGGTTGCGGCGCTTGACAAGGTCGGCGGGCGCGGTGGTGTGGCGTGAGATATGTATCATCATAGTGATGAGTCCCTGTTCACGATGAATTATGCGTAGAAGTACAGCAATGAAAGAAGTCCTCATTGGCATGGTCGCTCCGCCTCTCATACTCCGCCTTTCGAAAATATTGCATCCCCTTCACCACCGATCTCTACAGCCTGCCGAATGTCGGTCCTGCTTCCGGTCATTACTCATGTCAAGCACAGGTCTCCGTTGACAACGGAGGCGCACAACAAAACGACCCCGCACGCAACGAGTGAATTCGCGATTTCGAACCCCACACCTTCAGAGCAAGGATCACGCTAGACAGTACTACATGCTTACATCTCTACGGTAAGCGTCGGACAACATGCGTACTCTCGAAGAGGAGCCGGTTGCTAGGACATGTTATGTGACCTCATCTTCGTATCGAGATGCCCCGCCGCGAAGCAATGCGGTATATAAAAGGTAAAGGCGATTTCTGTTCTCGTTGATCGCTCTCGTGTTACACTACGACTTAGACACTCTAATCATGGCTCCATCAAAACGAGTATTTCTGTTCACGGCTGTTGCGGCAGCATCTACCCTCCATGGCCGTCAAGCTCTCAACCAGTCGACACCTCCGACCGTGACGCTCAATGGCAGCACTATCGAGAACCCTACGGCCTATGCCACACCCTTCGTTCTCAACGTCGAGGACATGTGGGACCTACTCGTTGGACCAGTATCGACTGCACTTGTCACCACGACTGCGTCGGCCACACCAGTTCCATCCAGCTCACTGATCCCGCCGCCTCCTCTCTACTACAGCTCATTCCCATCCGGTCAGCAGAACCCAATGGTAGTCAAGAACGAATCCTGGTCCTTCCCGAGAGGCTTTATGTGGGGCGTAGCCGGTGCTGCCTGGCAAGTCGAGGGAGCCGTCAAAGATGAAGGTCGTGGCCCTAGCGTCTGGGATGTGCTTAGCCATCGCGTTACCAACTTCGAGTATGATAACGGGACTGCTGACATTACGGACAATCATTACTACCTCTACAAGCAGGATCTGGCTCGCCTAGCCGCGCTCGGTGTGAAGGCGTACTCTTTCTCCATATCGTGGTCCAGGATTATGCCGTTTGGTCGAGGCCCAGTCAACCAGATTGCGATCGATCACTACAACGATCTGATCAACACTTGTCTGGGGTACAACATCATACCTCTCGCAACATTGTACCATTGGGATACGCCGCTTGCGCTGCAAGATACCTATGGTGGCTGGCTCAGCGAGAACATTGTCAACGATTTCGTGGAGTATGCTAGAATTGCTTACGCTGCTTTTGGCGATCGTGTTGATTACTGGTTCACCGTCAACGAGCGTAAGTCGTGAAGCGAAATTCAGCACGAAATTAGCTGACGATTTCCAGCATCTGTCTTTTGCAATCAGTACCCTCTCCCAGCACAGTACTTCAAGAACTTCACGATCCCGTGGCAACAACAGCCTTACTACTGCGGTCACAACGTCCTGCTAGCACACAGCCAGGCTTATCGTCTCGGCAAGTCTATGATGCCAAACAGCACTATCGCGTGGAAGTCCAATGGTGGATACAAGGTGCCGTTGACGAATTCCACCGAGGATGCGGAGGCTGTGCAGCGTGCTTGGGACTTCAACGAAGGCCTGTGGAGTGACCCAATCTACCTGACTGGCGACTACAATGACAATGTGAAAGCTTACATCTCGAGTTTCTTGCCGGCTTTCACCGATGGACAAAAAGCTGCCATTCTCGGTTCAGCTGACATCTATGCCCACGATGCCTATACCTCACAATTCAACTTTGCGCCTGATGGTGGTATTGCAGCATGTCTGGCCAACACAAGCAATCCACTGTATCCAGTGTGTAGCAACAGCTCATTCATCTACACCCAGCAAGATGGTGGCTGGTTGATTGGCCCAGCTGCGGACCCTTTGACTCCTTGGCTATACAAGGCTACCGACTGGGTACCTGCCTTCTTGCACTACATCAAGGATACTTGGGCAAAGGACAAGCCGATTGCAGTCAGTGAATTTGGCTTCGCTGAGCCCTTCGAGCGTCAGAAGACCTATCTTCAGGATATCCTGTTCGATCCTATCCGGAGTGCCTACTACCACGACTACATGGAAGCCATCTTGATTGCTCTCAGCGAGGGTGTAAATGTCATTGGATGCCTAGCTTGGAGCTTCGTCGACAACTTTGAGGTGAGCTTGTTCCGATTCTGACCGATTACTCTTGCTGACGTTTGTTAGTGGGCGAGTGCCTACGGAGTGAGGTTTGGTATGCAATATGTGAACTTCAGTGATCCCACCTTGCCCAGGTACTACAAGGCAAGCTTTTTCGAGTATAAAAATGCATTTGATGTATACCAGGAGAAGTAGATCTTGGTCTTCGATTAGCCAGATGGTAGATGCACGCAAGGGATGTGGTCTTGCTGGCATTTCTTGGTACCGTAGACCGCATCTCAAGTCCAGTCTACTGATATTAGCCATGCCTTCTGCCTTGACATGAATCAATAGAACCATGTCAGACCCGTCTCTCCAACTTCTCCCTCCTCCGCCATCGATCTCATGAACAACCCCACAAAACTCAAGCACGGAGCTAGTAGGGGTGACGGGTAACTCCCGAGACCAGCCTCCGCATCCGAGTCGTGCCAATGCGACCACTCCCTACCCTCTTCTCTCCTAGCAACCTTCTCTCTCATCCACAACAACTTTACAGTCCAACCCAAGCAGAACTCGAATCGCATCACGTTGTACAACATTACTTTCTCAAGCAAGTCGACATCGTTCCCACTTTCGATCCAGCATTAGCCGAGTCGCATCTTCGCCAAGACAGCGCAGCTACAGAAGCCATGGGTGAGACTGAGATCAAGGAAGGTGACCAAGGTACGTCCATCGCGTCTACATGAGTCGCGCGACCCTACTGGCCTCATAAAACGCGTTTGCGACGGCGGTCCACCCCTCGCGCCCTCCAGGCGCGTCACTTCACTTCACATAACAACCTGCTTAGTCATCTCGAGTATACTATTGCCCATCATTGGTCACATTCGCGGATATTACCATGATTGCGCTTCTTCGAGCCATCACTGCTACGCGCTGCTGTCGTATTAGACGCTGAGATGTCGCCCCGCCAACTTTTCATCCCTTCTGCCAAGAAATGCTATCAGCATGCGCCTCAGAGCAAAATCAGCTAAGCCTGGCATACTAACTCCTCTTCCAGTTGCATGGCAATGGGGCGGTGGAAAGCCTGGTGGCGAGGCTTCTGAGATCAAGGAGCACGGGGAGCTTTCTATCACGACTAAGAAAGGCAATGAAGTGAAGAAGAATGCCGATCCCAGCGATCCCGCCGTCAAGGTCTCTCGCAGTGGCAACGACGTTGTGAAGCGCGCGCATGAGCTTGAGATCACGAAGAAGGGTGACGAGCACAAGGAGGACGGTGGCGAAAAGAAAGCCGATGACAAGGAGACAGAGAAGGAGGATGATAAGGAGGCTAAGGAGAACGGCGATGCTGAGACAGGCGACAAGCGTAAGGCTGACGACGAGGAGAAGAAAGAGGAGGAGACCAAGGCAGGTGCTAAGAAGCAGAAGACTGGCAAAGCTGCCAAGGAGAATGGGGAGAAGGCAGAGCCGAAGAAGAAGGGCCGACCAGCCAAGGCTACCAATGGCGACAAAGCCAAAGCTGAGCCCAAGAAGAAGCGTGAGCCGAAGAAGGCTGCTACTGCTGATGGTGAGCCCCGACGCAGTGGCCGCAATGCTTCCAAGTAGGAGTTGTCGTCCGACAAGCACTTGTCGATAGGCAGACTTTGACACGGAAAAGAGCGCATTTCTTCGTGGGTATGATTGATGGGTGGGTGGGTTCCAGTCAGCAGCTCAGGGTCCAATATCGGTTGGGTATGAGTTGTTTATGCGTGTATAGTAGTCTCGCTTCATGAGCACCAAGTTGTTCCGACATCAGCCTATTCGAATCTCAGCCTTGTCTCAACACACACCTGAGATGGTGTTGTTGGTGACTACTTATGCCTGTTGATTGTTGATATATGTCTATCGTAACAGAGTGATTATGATTGTGATCATGCATGCACATTGTTGGTTACCCAACCTCAGGCACACGCGCATAAAAGTCAATGATGCGTACCTTCCTCTTCGCGTGCCACGCCACGAGGCAACTTCACCTCACTGTCTTGGCCATTCAAGATGTTCGATGCTAACGGCGCCAAGTCAAAGCTTCCGTCCCGTGTCCTTGCCTGCACTGCTTGTCAGCAGCGCAAGATCAAATGCGATCGCCATTTCCCTTGCCAACACTGCACAAAAAGTGGTTTACAGTGTATACCGGCCGCTCTTGTACAGAAGACACGAAGGAAGCGCTTCGCTGAGCGTGAGCTGCTGGGTCGGGTGCGGCATTACGAGGACCTACTGCGCGAGAATGACATACCGTTTGAGCCCATACATTCTGCTCAGGGCAAGTCACCACAGGACACGGTTACGGAGAAGAGCGAAGTGAAATTGGAGCCCATATCTCACGAGCCTAAGTATATGGTTCCTTCGACGACACCTAGCCGATAGTTGAGAGACTGACCTCGTTGCAGAAATGTGTTTCGAGTGATGAATCTGAAAGTATGTAAGGAGCCATTGCTTGCTTGGATCTACTAATGCGAAGCGCAGCGTGATGACAAGAATCCCACCAGTCCTGATGACAACCAAGCAAGAGACCTGGACGATGACTCTACAGACGTGATTACCGAGGCTATGATGAAAACCACTCTTGATGACATATACACGAACGATGACCACTTAATGTTTGGTGAGCGCATAAATGACGCCGATCTCTCTGCTCTCCATCCAGCACCGGCTCAGATCTTCAAGCTATGGCAGACATACCAAGAGAATGTTGATCCGCTACTTAAGGTCACCCATGGCCCTTCTCTGCAAGCACGGATTGTTGATGCCATGGGATCGTTGCAAACAATCGATTCAACGTTAGAAGCGCTCTTGTTCAGCATTTACTCCATGGCCGTCTTGAGTCTCGACAAGGCATCATGCTATGCAATGTTTGGAGCGGCACAAGATGATCTCCTGAGCGGCTATCAGTTTGGGTGCCAGCAAGCACTCTTGAGTTGTGGTGTGTTCAAGTCGAATGACCGCGAAGGGCTGACAGCTCTGTTCCTGTACTTGGTAGGTGAATGGAACAGCTTGTCGATGTATGTGCACTCTGTTAATAGCACCAGATCTCTGCCAGACCAGCCACCGATCCTCGCACACTATTCCTGACGCTCGGCATGGCTGTCAGACTGGCCCAGCGTATCGGCATCCACGACGAGTCTGCGAATAGCCAGTGCAACGTGCTGGAAGCTGAGATGCGCCGTCGACTATGGTGGTCTCTGATCATCTTTGACAATCGTGTATCGGAGATGTCTGCCTCGAAGACTACCATGTTGTTACCGTTGTGGGATTGCAAGATACCTTTGAATGTGGGCGACCATGAACTCCGAGAAGATATGAAGACACCGCCTACTCCCCATCCTACCCCCACAGAAGCCTGGTTCGTAGTCGTCCGCGCAGAAATGGACGAGTACATGCGGAACTGTCCTTTCCAGCTCGACTTCGTGAGTCCAGCGTTGAAATTACTGTCAAGGAACGTCCGGCCTGTCGAAGATCCGAGCGAGAGTGAGCTGGCAGACCTTGTAGGCAGTATTGAGGGAAACTTCCTTACGCATTGCAACAAAGAGAATCCGCTACAGCTCATGACCGCCTGCTTCTCCCGGGACTACTTGGCAAAGAATCAACTCCTCGAACACTTTAGCAAAAGCGTCGATGCTTCTGAGCCAACCAAGGAACAGTCTCAGCACGCTACGGCCCTAGCACTCGAGGTCCTGGAGTGCGATACCACGCTTATGGCTTCACCACTAACTCAAGGCTACCTGTGGATGGTTTCATACCACTTCCCATTTCCAGCATACATAAATCTGGTGCAGGACCTCAAGCGTGATCCCACAAACAGTCTTGCGGGAGAAGCTTGGCAGGCAATGGACATCAATTATCGGGTACGATGCGAGAAAATGCCTGGTGCTGGCTTGTTTCTCAAGGTGACCTCCAAGCATCTTTTACAGGCCTGGGCTGTTTACGAAGCAGCGCTCAGGACGGCAGGGCAACCGGTCGTTGTACCTCGTGTTGTGCTGGCAACTCAGGCACAAGTGGCTCATCTTACGAAGAAGCCGTCCTTCGATGTACAAAATGGTGATCTCGCGCAACACCAGCAGCCTGGTTTCGGGTATGCAGACAGCGTTGTTGGTGAGCAGACCGCTGCTACATCGAGCGTCCCTAGCCATATGATGAGCATGGACACCGCTCCAGTTTTCGATGTGAATCAAATCGACTGGGCTTCGATAGACTGGAGCGAGATGGAGAAGACATGGTGATCATTTAACATGATCTCGGGAGTGGCAGCGATACATCTATTGGACAGGCCGAAAATCTCCAGGAAGAGGAGCGTCACAATGCGCTCCTCCCCGTTAGCGCTCAGCTCAGGTTGTGCGCATCATCAACGCCACTCAAGGCGATATGCCTATTAATCCAGGCATTGGTACTGGCTGCCATAAATGAGCCCAATGATCATTCCGCTCCGACTTACTCATTTGCTTGTAGCTGCTCCACCAAAGATACTTTCCACCATCTCTCCGCCGCGTATAGCCAGTATCGACAGTAGTGAATCAGAAAGACCATGCGTCTGCTCGTTGCAACCTTGCAACCATACACCGGCATTGGACTTGACGCTGCCGTCCACGAACTGCACACCATAATCTCTCCGGACGTTCCAGCGATTGTGACCATCCGGCTTGAGTTGTTGTAGCCCCCGTAGCATGTCTTCGTGCGCATCTCGTCTGTAACCACTCGCTACGACGATGAAGTCGACCACCAGCTCGTCGATACTAGCGTTCTTTCGTTGCTTGAAGGTGTTGGAGTCGTTCTGAATGTGTAACGTCAATGCTGCTCGGCCATCGACTTCACAGTCTTCAACCCCAGTGACAGTGCGGTGGTTCAGAATTTGTTGTGGCCATTCTTCCTCACTGTCATACTGGATCCGATATGAGTAGAGCATGCTATAGATATGCTCGAGGAGTTCCAAGCGTACAACAGAATAGTTGGTGGCCTTATCGCGGGCGATCTCTTGCGCTCGGACAGCGGGATCCTGAGAATAGATATCGTCCACTCGATCTGGGTCGAACACCTCGTTGACGAAAGGGGAATCGTCACTGGGTCGTAACGCAGATCCTCGAATGAGGAGGTACGACTTGGCATCCGGAAAGCGGGAGGGTATGTTGTTGAAGACCTCGGCAGCACTCTGGCCTGCACCAATGACAGCTACCGATCTTGGCTGCTGTCCGTTGCAGAACATTTGCGATACAGTTGTGGCATATTGTGATGAATGAATGATTCGAGGATGATTCGACGGTAATGCTGCCGGTATGTTGGGCTTTCCACCTGCCGCAATCACCACATGCCTAGCTTTGAGGGTGGTAGAGTGGCCCGTAGTGCTGTCGGTCGAGGTCACCCTGAAGTGCTCAATAGCGCCTGTCCTTGGACAAGTCGATCCTGCTTCGATAGATTGGACATCACGATTATAGTCGACCACATCGCCAAAGTGGTTGGCACACCACCTCATGTAGTTCTCGTATTCGATGCGTTGAGGAAGAAATGTGCCAAGGTTTGTGAACTGAACCAATCTGTTCTTCTTGTGAAGATAATTGAGGAACGTGAACTCGCTGCGTGGGTTGCGTAGAGTGGCCAGGTCCTTTACGAATGTGATCTGCATCTTGGCGCCAGGTAGAAGCATACCGGCGTGCCAAGCAAATCGTGCCTGTCGCTCGAGGAAGCGTACTTTCGGTGAAGACGTACATAAGTGTGGTCGAACAACTTCAAGAGCATCGTTCAGAGCGATTGCTATAGCAAGAGAAGCTGGACCAAAGCCGACGCAAATTAGATCCTGAATCTCTTCGTCGCTGGCAGTCTTCCAAAGGGAGTGGCTGGCGTTTGTGACAGGGTTAGCAGTCAGTGTCGGGGCCTCGGTTCGGTGCTCAGTACATGAGGTCTCACACTCTTCATGTTCGGACAGTGCGTGTGGTGACATGATGAGATCAATTATTCGATCAGCTGCTGTGTGTAGATGAGCAACAGGGACACCAGATGCAAGCTTTCGGAATACTTTGACCTCCACCGACCTCGGCGACGACCTGGAGCACGTTTGTCAAACCACTACAAGCGGTGTAATCACAGGTTGTCATCCTGGACGCGCAAGCAAGACCGCAGGCAATGTCGTCAGTACGGACGACTCGATGCCAAGGTCAGCTGGGGAGAACGGTCGAGCCAGGATGGCTTAGTATCTTATCAGATCATCAAAGTGTCACTGGCGACATCCTTTTCGCTCTTCTCAACCGCATACGTGACATCGGACCAACGTACCATTGGTCAAGCAGTGGACAATAAGCGGGCTAGAAAAATCTGCTTCCCGTGTCACTTTCGTCGAGGTACATTTTAGCTCTTATCAGATCCGAGCGCCTGCATGAAGCCGCGGCCCAAAGTCGGGATGCGCTAGTATGGTAGTCATTGTGTGGTGTGTTCGATAACTGAGCAAGTCCGCATTGTGAAACGTGATAGAACCCTTGACAAGAGACGTACTTGGGTATAGACGGTGATGGCCTCGGGGGTTGCTCACTCAGGCATGGACTAAGATGGGTCTACATCACTATGCTACCGACTGCGCCTTGGCCATGCTTGCATACAGACCACCCATGGCGACGAGCTCGTGGTGGGTGCCACTTTCTACTATTCTCCCCTCGTCAAACACGTATATCCTGTCAGCATTCCGCACGCTCGCGAGTCGATGAGCTACAGTGACGGTTGTTCGGCCTTTCCCTGCTTCCGCAAGGGCTTGCTGAATATGGGCTTCACTGTGAGCGTCCAAAGCACTCGTTGGTTCGTCCAGTAAAAGCACTTCTGGGTTCCGGATCAACGCTCTCGCCAAAGCGACCCTCTGTCGCTGACCTCCAGATAGCTTCGAAGAAGTGCTGCCACCACAATCTGTGTTGTAGCCATCAGGCAGACTTTGGACGAAGGTGTGCAGGCCACACCGCTTGCATACCTCTCTGATCTCTTCATCTGTCACGATCTGCCCGGCAGCAGAGCCCAGACGAATGTTGTGTGCTATGGAACCAGGCAGTAGCTCTGACTCTTGCGCCACGAGACCTATTCGAGCACGAAGTGCTTGGACGTCCAAGTCGCGAATATCCACGCCATCAGACAAGATGCTGCCACTGGTTACATCGTGAAACCTCTCCATTAGCGAGATCGTGGACGATTTGCCAGCTCCACTAGGACCGACAAATGCCACGGACTGCTTGTCGGTGATGTTCAGGGAAACAGTATGTAGTACCTCTCGGCCACCTTCGCCTGCGTACGAGAAAGATACGTCACGAAAGGCTATCTTTGGCACCGAGGCTCTATCTGGTGTACTATCATAGATCTCTAAGGCTTTCTCTGTGAAAGATGCTTTCTTTGACATGGGACCATCCGACAGCATGCCTGGAGGCGTATTCAGAAGTTTGAATACGCTGACAGCCGCAGCTCGGGCCCGTGCGATCTCTGGTGAGAGTGTGAAGAGTTGGCCAGCACTTTGTGCCGAGAAGAGCATTGCCGGTAGAACGATGAAGAAGTCTTTGCTGGTGTAGAGACCATTGCGCACCTGTTTCGATCCCCACCAATATGCCAGTGCGTAGACGAAGTATGTGATAGAAAGCGAGACTGCCATGATGATATTCGAATAGGTCGTGAACATTTGACTGTCGCGGAATGGCTTGCGTAGGGCTACACGGTACTCATCGAGAATGTAGTCCTCCAGAGCATAGATGGTGACAGTTTGTCGACGGCGGCATGCTTCGGCCGCCAAGCTAGTAGCGTCCTTGTATGCCTCTCTCCGACGACTGTCTGCATGTGCGACCATTTTGAGACGGATAAAGCCGGCGGCGATCATGATTGGCACAACTGCAAGAAGTACCACAGCTATCTTCCACGCGACGCAAAACGCCAATATGATCCCGCCGAGCACTGAGGTTGTTGTGGTAAGTATAGTGCCCAGAGCAGGTCCGGATAAGCAGCTCAGATCTCCGCTATCTTTGGTAAAAGCGCTCATAAGCTGTTGCACAGACCGGCCTGGTCCGGCGTACCAGTCCATATTTAAGGGCAGAAGGGTCTTTATCAGTCTACTTTGTATCCGACCAACGGTCCGAGTGGAGGCCACGCCGAAAGCCATTCCGCTCACGGCCCAGGATACCAATGCTACGCAGCCCACGACAAAGAACATAAGACAGTAGAAGTTTGCATGCCGCTGGAAGTCCGGACTGGAGACGCCGCCGTTGATCAGTTCGATCAAGTTGCCGAAGATAATAGCCTCAGCCACAAGCAATGCACCATTGATCATGGACGCAAGCACGCCAAGACATATGAGAAGCCAATCTGGTCTGAGCATGCTTCTCATGAGCCCAAGCAACCGCCCGAATCCCATGGGTGTATTCATGGTGTTGCCTTCAAGATCAGCTCTAGTCGGGATGTATGCTGGCCTCAACGAGCTGGTCGAGCTGTTCTTCTCATCATCCGTATCACTCAGGCCTTTCCGAGGATATGTACTCTCAGCAGCGTGAAGACTCGTGTTCTGCGCCCGCAACAGATCTTGAAACACTCCATTGCGCTCTACGAGATTCCGAGGTTTGCCACTCTCAACGACTTTGCCATCGCTAAAGACTGCAATAATGTCTGCATCGAGGACCGTAGACAGACGATGAGCGACCATCAGGACTGTCACACCGCGGACCGCAGCATACCTGATCGCGGACATAACGGTGACCTCGCTTTGTGCGTCCAATGCGGATGTGGGTTCATCACAGATTAGAATCGCAGGCCGACGTATGAGAGCACGAGCGAGACACAAGCGCTGCATCTGTCCGCCCGACAGTTTGATACCCTGGCCGAGTAGGGTATGTACACCTTCAGGGAGCTCGCCGATGAAGTCGACTTTGGCATCGATCATGGCTTGCTCAAATCGGCGTTCGAGCTCCTCGGTAGATAGGCCTGCGTTCCGAACACCATGACATATATTGGCGAATATAGACCCGGAGAATATAACATGGTCCTGTTCAACCACTGCGAGTTGAGACCGTAGATGCGATGGATCTATGTCTCGAAGTTCATGCCCGCCGATAGCGATCGAACCGCTATAAGGGTAAACTCCAGTCAACATCGAGACGAGTGTCGACTTCCCGCCACCACTTGCACCCACCAGAGCTGTGAAGGCGCCCGGCCGAATCTCCAGATTGAGGTCGTCCAAAGCTTTGACCGCAGATCTAGCAGGGTATGCAAAGCTGACATTCTGGATGCTTATGGCGCCACCATTCAAGTTAGGAGCGGCTGATATAGCTGTCTCCGGCCTTCCAGAGATTTCTTCAGCCTCTAGAAGAGTTTTGACAGTCTCTTGTGCACTCGCAGCTTGAGCAAAGATGTGCAGGAATGGTGCGAATTGTGCGACCACCAAGGAACTGTCAAGAATCAAGAATACCACCGCAAATACGGTTCCAGCTACGCCTGGCCGATCTTCGTTGGCCGCAATGCGACTGCCAAGGTAGAATGCTAGTCCGTTGACAGAATATGCAAGGAAGTAGATCGAGCCCATTTGCACTGCTGCAATGATGGCCTTGTGCACGCTGGCTCGTACTTTCTTACCCAAACAGTCGGAATGATCTGAGCACATATCCGCGATCATGTCGAACGCCTGGACCATCTTGATCGAACGTAACGCGGTTTCTACAATCGCATTGGCCGCTGTGCTAAGTTCTGTTACTCGAGAAGAACACTTCGACTCGAAGTGACGAGTACCAATAGAAACCAAGACCAAGAATGGCAGGATAGCTGCCAGCAGTATGCCGGTAAGTTTGGCGTTCAGTATGAAACCCACGATGAACGCGGTCAAAAAGTATGAGATCGACTGTATGAAGATCCCGACCTTCTCCGAGCTCCCGGCGTGAATCGAGTCCACTTGTTCGCTCAGTAGGCTACTGATATCGATGTCGTGGGTCTCGAGATATGAGAGGTCGAGATGTAGTAAGCATTTAAGCAGTCGTTCTCGAGCACGGATGGCAATCTTTTCGCCAGTAAGGCCGAATGCGGTCGAATAGATTGAGGTGACCACGAAAAAGGCCGCTGCGATGCTTAAAAGCTCGCCAATCATGGTCTTCAATTCGCCCTCCGATGGTGGAAATGTGCTGATCAAACGACCAAAGATTACACCGATGAGTGGAAGAGGGATGCCAGCAGCGATAGCAAAGAGGACGCCAGCGCCGGCCACACATCGATCACCCAGATTATCAAGGGAGCCATATATGCTGAGGTAGGATGTCTTGAACGGGTTGAGGCCTAGAATTTGGCGATATGCCTTCCTAGACAGTCCCAATGCCGGACTATTCCATTGTCGCGGATGAGCAGGATCGAGGGTGGAAGCTTCGGGTATGTCTATTGCAGAGAAGGAAGGTCGTGCAGCGTCCGGACCAGATACTGACGCTTGGGCATGTAAAGAAGAGCGTCTAGATCGACTTCGAGCATGTTCATGAGCGTCGTGGTATTGTAAAGCTCCTTTTTTATAGGCGTTGGTGACCATTATGTCCAGCTGGCAATCTGACTCTCATGAATCGGTACCTCTAAGCACACTCGAACATCCCAGCCTCATCCTAAGGCGTTCAGCTTCCAAAAGCACGGTGGATCAAGACTTCAAGTCTCGTCCAGCAGCGATACACACATTGCGAATTGGAACAATTATGAAGTGCTTCGCAGATTGACAAGGAAGCACTCAAGGCCAACGCCGGTCACGGCACGCCAGCGCTGAGGGACAAACCCACGCGGCCTAGACGGAAAGGCTCCTAGCATCGTCATATGGTGAGAATCCTGAGCTCGAATTTGCATACGGTAATAGGCCCACAAGCATGTGTCCATTGGCAGACACACCGATGTGCTGACCTCGGCAATACTCCATAAATTGCTTCAGTAAACCCACTGGAAAGCGCAGGTGGAGGTTTCCGCATCGCCAGGCATTCTGGCAGTGGAGCCATGGCATGGTGGGCACCCTTTGCCAAGAGAGAAAACCTTTATCAGATTAAAAGATACCGAAGATCAGTTGTCGATTTTGCGCAAGGTGGCAGGCGATCCTGACCTCCTGTGGATACCTTTCTGCAAGCCACGAATCGCTTTGTGCTGGGCACACGTAAGATAGAGGAACATGCCGGTGTCGGTAGTGGGACAAACTCAACAGGAAATGTTCGTGGTCGCTCGTTAAACTTGCCGGTCGCTGGAGGCTGTTGGATCACCCCTGAGACCATGGCAGTCTCAGTGTCTGCATCGATATTCCGCAGCGGATCCATCAGGCTCGCGTTCTGCTGGGCTCGCTTCCTGGGATACTCTCGAGAACGAAGGTCCAGGTCTTTGCAGCGGCGAACGAAAAGGTAGGCGCGTGATGTCTGTGCTTCACTGACCCAGCTCACGCCAACCAATCAGCGGTAGGCACGACGAATGCACTTGCCTCAAGTACGCCACCATCAGCAAATTGCTTAGACCCTACTATCTTTGCGACATCGGGTGAACCAACGTTGCAGTCCCCATCTCAAGTCGTTGATTGTGCTCGCAAGAAGATGTGTACTTGCCGCCGCAATAAGAAGCCCCGGTATCGAGACTTCCCTCCCTGAGCGATCGAGGATTGACCTTCTCGAATCATCGACCACGACCCTGAAAGCTGTCAACTCTCCGTCACAACTGTGGGTACATACTCTTGAGAGCCCCTACGATGGGTCGGCAGCTGGCCGTACTGAACGAGAAGCCTCGACACTTGCCTGGACCCGAGCTCCTACACGAGCTTATTGCATGGGAAGCATCACCTCACGATGTCGCCATAGAGTACACCGATGACCGAGGATCATGCCAGATCTTGACATACGAGCGATTGAGGGCCAGATCCGATGCTTTAGCTGCTCGACTAATCCGTGCGAGGGATGCCGGTCGTTCACGACGAACGACAAGATTCATCGTTCCCTTGTACATACAGCAATGCTTGGAGCTGTATGTTGCGCAGATCGCTGTCTTAAAGTCTGGAGGGGCGTTTTGCCCAATCTCACTGGACGTACCAGAGGACCGCCTACGTTTTATTCTACAAGACACTGATGCCAGTGTGCTTGTCACGGCGGCCGATCACATCGACCATCTACCACATCTTGAGGGCATAAACGTCCTCTCTATCGAAGACAATGAGACCAACGATAGACCTTTTGCTGCGCCATCGATACAAGCATCCGAAGCGGCGTATATCATGTATACGTCCGGATCCACTGGCATACCGAAAGGTGTCGTCATTTCGCACAGTGCGGTAACGCAAGCTCTTCTGGCCCATGAGCGGCATGTACCTCACTTCCGGCGCTTTCTACAGTTCGCCAGTCCGACGTTCGACGTCTCCTGTTTCGAAATATTTTTCCCGTTGTATCGTGGCGCAACACTTGTGGCTTGCCACAGGAAACAGCTTCTCAACGATCTCCCGGACGTCATCAATCGCTTGAAGGTTGACGCAGCAGAGCTCACTCCATCTGTGGCTAGTACTCTTCTCCGTGGACGTCAGAGTGTGCCAGGACTTGAGCTGTTATTGACCATCGGCGAGATGCTGAAAAGGTCTGTAGTTGAAGAATTTGCAGCCAGTACCGAGCAGACTGGCATACTTTGCGGCATGTATGGGCCCACAGAAGTAGCCATACATTGTACCGTTCAGTCATGCTTCCAGAAAGCAATGTCTGTGAGAGACATCGGCATGCCACTTGACACAGTGTCTGCTTTCGTTGTTCGGCCGGCAGAGAATGATGATGGTGGGATACCAGAGATCCTTACTCTAGGAGAGGAGGGAGAGCTAGCTCTGGGTGGCACGCAGCTGGCAGACGGCTACCTCAATCGTGAAGAACAAACTCGGGCGGCTTTCGTGTACCATCCACAGTACGGAAGACTCTACCGCACTGGAGATCGAGCGCGGATTGGCGATGATGGGAGACTGGAATGTCTTGGCCGGATATCTAGCGGACAGGTCAAATTACGCGGGCAGGTCAGTTCCTGCTACTCCCACACATCACAGGAAGGTGCTAACGTTAGACAAGCGCATCGAGCTCGGAGAGATCGAGTATGCCGCAAGCAAGACTCCTGCTTGCGGTAGTTCCGTCGCAGAAGTAGTAGATGGCCAGCTCGTCGTCTTCTGCGTGCGAGCAGAAACGTCACTGACATCAAATGGTGTGAAGCAGACTTGTGGTAAGTGGTTGCCAGTGTTCATGGTTCCTACAACTGTGGTGCTGCTTGATGCACTTCCATATCTTGCATCGGGAAAACTCGACCGGACAGCCTTAGCAGCGCTTCGCACGCCAGAACCTCGACCGGCCCAGCGCGGCGTGCTAGATCATCCACCGAATAGCCGTTTGGCTTGCGACATCATTAATACGATCAAGAAGATCTGCGGTGTGGAAGCGGACGAGACGACGGACCTTGCTAGTGTAGGTGTTGATTCTTTATCTGCGATACGCATCGCGGCTGAGCTCCGACGGCTCGGTCATGATCGAACAGATGCGACTGTGATACTCGACGCTCGGCACATACAAGATCTCGAGGAGAGCATGAATCAGTCTACCAGCGATACACCCACGAGGGATGACGTCCCGATATCGCGACTCGCACTGAACGACGAACCTTTGTTGGCTCATGTCCGCGATGAGATCGACTACATATCTCCTTGTACGCCGGTGCAGTCAGCAATGTTGAGTGTAATTGGCCGAGATCCTCAGGCATATTGTAATTCGGTCACTTTGGACGTGGAAGCAAGCGCCACGCCGGAGAAGGTTCGAACCGCCATCCAAGGCATCTCACAGGCCCACTCGATGCTACGATCCGGGTTCATTGCCACAGCTCAGAGTCGGACTGGCTATGCCACCATCATATGGAAGAATGCTGCTGCCGATCGAGTCAAGATCGTTGACCGTCTTGATGACTCCTTCGGAATCAATAACGCAATCGACTTGTTGCGGCCCTCCTGCTTCCAGGTCATCGCACGAGGGAATCTAGTACGTGTACTGCTGCATATACACCATGCCTTATACGATCAATGGTCGATGGATGTCCTGAAGAGGAATCTTTCAGCCAGTATGAATGGTCGAGCAATCGCCCACACCGCTTCTTTCGAGCTCGTGAGTGCGCATTACACATCGAAGTTGGAAGGATCTGCCAAAGAGAAGAATGAAGTCTTCTGGCAAGATCAGCTGCGGGACTGTACAGCAACATTATTGCCGAATATGAATACCAAGGTTGTTGCCCCAGGCCTACAACGAACACAATGGCACGATCTGGACCTGGAAATCGCAGACGCCAGATCGAAAGCTCTGCGATTAGGAATCAGCTTGCCAGCCGTGTTCCAATCTGCGATGGCGATAATACTGGGTTCTTATTGTGGCAGCGCTGATGTTACGTTCGGCGCTGTCTTCTCCGGCCGACACCTACCACTACCCGCCATCGAAGAGGTCTTTGGTCCTTGCTTGGTCACTCTACCATGTCGAGTGGACACATCCACTGCACGAACATGTGCCGATATTCTTCGGGTCCTGCACGCTGCGAATCGTGACATGCAGCGGCATACAGACCTGCCTCTCGCTGAGATTATACAAGCTGCGGGTTGTGCGCCAGGCAGTAAACTCTTTGATACACTCTTCGTCTGGCAGGAAACGACCTTGCAAACAGATCATTTAGATATATGCGTCGTGGAGGCGGACTCTCGCGACCGCCATGAATTCAACCTTGTTCTCGAATTCGACCCCACAGACCGCCTTTCCGTGCGCGCCACATATCAACGAGCCTTGATAACCGACGAGCAAGTTGACGTCCTACTTCGTCAGCTGGTTCTGTATGCTTCGAGGATGCTAGAAGCTCCGGAAACACTTCTTGCAGATCTTCATTCGTGTCTTGACGAGAGTCTGCTATCTGTCTCGAATCCAGAGCCCTCGTATTGTGCCGATTCGCATGGTCTCGTAGCGGCGTTCGAGCACCAGGCTACACAGCAGCCAGATGCAATAGCTCTCCTGTTTGCCACATCGATCGAGAAGGATGGCATGACCACCGACAGTCTCACCTTTGCCGGGCTCAACAGACAAGCTAATCAAATGGCGCATTTCCTACGATCTGTGGGCATCGCAAGTGGCGATCTCGTTTGCATCTGCATGGAAAAGTCACTCTCATTGTATGCAAGCATCCTGGCCATCCTCAAAGCCGGAGCAGGCTACGTACCTTTGACACCTGCGACTCCCAGCGCCCGCACCCGCGCGATTGTGCAACAGGCTCAAGTACAATATGTGCTATGTGATGCTACAAGCAAGGAAATTTTGGTGCTCATGAACGGCACGACAGTACTTGATGTGAGCGACATCGACTTCCATGACTTACCTTCTCATGACCTTCGCCTGGCATACGTTAGAGACGACATCGCATATACTGTGTTTACTTCTGGTAGTACAGGCGAGCCCAAAGGTGTCTCTGTGACGCATGAAAACCTCAACGGCAACCTTGCAGCATTATCCGATCTCTACGGTGTGAAATCTGGTGACCGTCTCCTGCAGGCATGCTCACAGGCGTTTGATGTCAGCGTTTTCGAGATCGTGTTTGCCCTCACCAGAGGTTTATGCTTGTGCTCTGCCTCCAATGCTACTCTTCTCGGTGATCTGGAGCTCAGCATACGCTCCTTCGGCATCACGCACTTGTCGTTGACGCCAACCGTGGCAGCTCTCATCGATCCTGCCAACGTACGAACAGTACGCTTTCTGGTCACCGCTGGCGAAGGCGTCACCGAGTTCGTGCGCCAGAGATGGGCTGGTAAAGGTCTTCTACACCAAGGATATGGACCATCCGAAATCACCAACATATGCTCGATCAACATGCAGATGTCGCTTGACGACAGCCTTGGCAGCATAGGTCCACCACTCAAGAACACTTCAGTCTTTGTCCTCTCTCCCGATCACGACTTCCAGATATTGCCTTTGGGATCCACCGGTGAGTTGGCATTTGGTGGCGAGCAAGTCTTCCGTGGCTATCTTGGCCGAGACGATTTGAACTCCACAAAATTATTGGATCATCCACGGTTCGGGCGTATATACAAGAGTGGAGATACAGGCAGGATCCATCCAGATGGTTCGCTGCTTATCGCTGGCCGAATGGACGATCAGATCAAGCTCCGAGGTAATCGTATCGAGTTAGGGGAGATCAACGCGGCGATCTTGAGTAATCGGGACGTGCAAGATTGCACTACTCTCCTTTGCGGCGAAACAGAGCCAAATAAGCTACTGGTAGCCTTCTGGGTACCACAAGCAGCACAAACGCGGAACAGACCCGATCTCACCATCTACGAGACGGATGCTTCGAAAATTGGATCCCTTTACGAGCAACTTGAAGAAAAGCTGCCAGCATATATGATTCCCAGCGTCTTGCTACCAGTGTCTCACTTGCCGATGACCTCGCAGATGAAGCTTGATCGACGAATGCTACAGCGTTTGATCTCTGGTGTACATACCGAGATTAAGCTGCGATATACTCGAGGCAACGAGGTGTCGGACAACGACGAGGAGTGGACTACTGAGCAATCTATCATTGCAGACGCCGTAGCTGAGATTATGCAGATCTCGAGACGTACAGTCGGCAAATCTATCTCCTTCTTTGCACTTGGCATGAATTCACTCAACGCTATTGCCGCTGCACGACAAATATCCGATCGTCTCGGTCGTATCGTCTCTATATCAACATTCATGCGCCACGCCAGCACCAAGAGGTTGGCAGCGGTCATGCGGGCAGAAGCACAGTCAGTTTCACCTCATCACGACCCGAGTTTTAAAGATACCTTCAGTTCAGCCTTCCGAGCACAGGTGCACAAGGAGTACGCTGACCGTGGTCTTGCTATATCGGCCATCCTGCCTTGCACACCACTACAAGATGCAATGCTGTCTGCGAGCGAAGCCAACACTTCCTCCTCGTACTACAACACCACCACATACCGCATTAGTGGTGACGTAGAGCATTTGAAAGAATGCTGGCAGCAACTCGCTGCAAGACATGCAATACTTCGTACCTCGTTCGTACGAACAGAATCATCCGAGCACCCTTATGCACAAGTAGTCTCTCAACTGACTAATCGGCCATGTTGCTACCGACTCGAGTCTGATGGGAATATTGGATGCAAAGGGCTTACATTTCCGCAACCTCCGCCGGAGTTGTCTCTACATCAACCATTCCGTATCGATTCATGCGGCCAAGTTTTGATTATCCACATGCATCACGCACTTTACGATGGTGTTAGTATGAGCGTTCTAGAAGATGAACTTCAGCAGCTCTACAGAGGTGAGCATATGACTTCTGCTATGCCATTCGAGCCCTATCTCGCTTTTGCTGCGCAACACAGCAGTGCTACTGCGATGGATGCGTGGACTAAGCGTCTGGCCGGCTATGTACCAAAGCCATTTCCTTGCATTGATCGTACCGGACGTCACAGCAGTGGTCTTACGAGAGTGAGCATTCTGTCGCACTCCACGGCCGATCTCGATGGGTTCTGCAAACGCTACGCGGTAACGCCATTAAGCATCCTACAAGCTGCTTGGACTAAGGTCTTGAATAGAACCCAAGACGCGAGTGACATCTGTTTCGGCAATGTGGTCAGTGGACGTAGCATACCTTTGCCTGGAGTTGAAAGACTTGTCGCACCTTGCTTCAACACTGTTCCCGTGCGGATCAATGTTGTACAGCACAGCAGCAATATAAGATTGATACAAGAGCTGCACAAGCAGAATGTTGCGAACTTTCAATATCAATTGACGCCTCTACGACGTCTGCAGACTCTGTCCTCTCAGCCTCAGTGCCATCTTTTCGACTCTCTGTTGCTGTTTCAACCACCGGAGCAAGTTCTAGATTCGTCCATCTGGCAGAAGATCGATGAGAAAGGCTCCATGGATCTACCAATTGTCGTAGAGATCGTTCCAGGCATCGACGCATATACTGCAAAGCTACACTTCCTACGGACGCACATCACCGATGAGCTTGCGAAGACTATGCTACAGGCTTTCACGGACTCTTGTGGTCTATGCATACAATATCCTTCAGGAGAACTTCGTGATCAGGCTACATCCGATCTCAAGGGCAGACTCGTGCCTGTGATAGATATGGTGCCGCAAATCCACCCTGACGCTGCTATTCTTGGTGCTGGAGAGGAAGTATGGACGTCAGACATGTTATTGGTGCGCGACTCATTCGCTAGGCTTTCCAGAGTAGGCGGCCAGAGAATCATGCAGCATACATCAATGTATCAACTCGGCCTAGATAGCCTGAACGCTGCACAGATCGCATATTCTCTGCGCAAGAATGGCCTCCGTGTCGATGCCGCGGATGTTCTACAAGCACTGACGCCGGCTGCTATCGCAAAAGTAGCATCTAGTGAAGATGACTCCGAAGCAGAAGAGACACAAGCAATTGACCTGCTCTCCTTCGAGGCTACACATCGAGAGGCGCTCGTTCATGCCGGGTTCCTGCAGATCACGGATATAAAAAGCATCAGACCTTGCACGCCTGCTCAGCACGGTATGCTAGCTCAAAGCCAGCATATGAAAGGTCAACTATACGTCAACCATATATTATATCGACTACTAGCTACGACAAGCGCCTCACAGATCATCAGTGCGTGGCTCTCGGTGCAGAGAAAGCATCAAGCTCTTCGGACCGGTTACTGGCAAACAGATGATGCTGCTATGCCATATTTCGCGCTTGTATGGAAGGCAAATGCCGTGACTGTTTCAGCATCGAAGCATGTCTCGATGACGGACATTGAGGAGCTCGAGTCGATGGCATCGACTGCGATACTGTCGGAACTGCATCGCCCGGCATGGCGACTGCATATCGGTAGGCATGAAGATGGACAAGCTATGATGTTGTCTGTTCACCATGCGCTGTACGATGCTGAAGGCCTGCAATATCTCATTGCCGACTTTGAGGCAGCTCTTCGTGGAGAACACATCGGCGCTGAGATGAGCACTGATACTCTATTAATGGCAGCACTTGGTCCTGGATGGCTACAGCCGCGAGAAAGTACCGAGTACTGGCAGAAAATCCTGAAGCACGCAAGGCAGGTATTCTGATTGACCATGAGCAAGGAGTGAGCTAACATCCTGCAGTATTACTCGCTTTCCAGATCTGTGTCCTACGGTAGTTTCACACCGTGGTCTCCAGTCTCTGGAACGTACTTTCGCAATTGATCAGCACATAATCGAGGATTTCTGTAGAACCAATCGTGCTACCATACAGGCGGTTGGACAGGGAGTGTGGGCCATGCTTCTGTCAGCGTATACTGGCGAAGAGAATGTAGTCTTCGGGACTGTCTTCTCAGCGCGTTCCAGCTCAGCCACCCAAGCGACAGCGTTCCCCGCCATCTCAACTATTCCTGTGGTCTGCAAGAATGCTGCTGAGACTGCTAAGGTAATTGCTCAGATGGTTGAGTACAATGCTACAGCTTCTCGTCATCGCTTCACACCACTATCGGAGCTTCAACAGATTGCCGGCGACGTTCGCCGAGCTCTGTTCGACACAGTCTTCGTCTATCAGAAGATCACAGGATCTCGGAATGAGACTAACGCCCTCTCGGTCTTACGGGAGACAGCATCTGTTGAATATACCGTTTCTATGGAGCTCGAGATGACGAAAAACGGCAGGCTTGCAGCTCATTTGACGTACAATACCAGCAAAGTCACAGCTGAGCATGCTCAACTCTTGCTGGCGCAGTATGAGAGCAAGCTTGGAGATCTGCTGGGCCATCCACTCGACACGTCTGACAGCAAGTTGTACTCGATCGTACCGGCTAGAACGCCACGATTGCCATCCAAGGCAGCATTCCTGCACGACTTTGTAGAGCTCAGCGCTGATGAGTATCCAGACAGGCCAGCACTAGAATTCATCTCTGCTTTAGGGCACGGAAAAGCTGGCAAGAAGATCTGGACGTACAGAGCATTGAACGAGCGTGCCAATCAACTCGCTCATCGACTTAGACAGGAGGGAATTATTGCTGGTAGCATCGTCGCAACACGCATGGACAAATGTGCTGAAGCATCAATTTCATTTATTGCTATCCTAAAAGCCGGCTGCTCATTCCTTGCACTAGATCCAGAGCTACCCCAGGCTCGGCAAGAGTTCATTCTCAAGGACTCTGGCGCTGCTGCGTTGCTCGTAGACCCCCCAGGCGCAAAGAGACAACAAGCTGGCACTCCTGTCACCATCGTGGTACAAGAGTGCGAGCTAGCCAACCAGCCAACCAAGAACGTTGTTTCGGGTCTCCAAGATGTTAGTGCAACTTGCTATTGTCTGTACACCTCTGGTACGACTGGGACGCCGAAGGGATGCGAGATCAGCCATGAGAATGCCGTACAGGCCATACTGGCCTTTCAAAAACTGTTCGAGGGGCGCTGGACAGAGTCCTCAAGATGGCTGCAATTTGCCAGTTACTGGTTTGATGTCAGTGTCCTCGAGCACTTCTGGAGCTGGAGCGTCGGGATAACGATGGTTGGAGCATCTCGGGATATGGTGCTCGAGGACTTATCGGGCTCGATACAATCCAGCAGGATCACACACATCGCCTTGACACCTTCTTTGGCACGTCTAGTGGACCCAGAAGACGTACCGAGTCTACATGGTGGAGTTTTCATAACTGGTGGCGAGGCTCTCAAGCAAGAGATTATTGACTCATGGGGTTTATACTCAACAGTCTGCAACTTTTATGGTCCAACCGAAACAACCATTGGTGTCACGTCAAACACTTTCCTCGGCTGTGATGCCAAGTCGACCAACATTGGCAGGCCGTTCAGTAACGTTGGAGTCTTTGTACTTCAGCCGAACTCCGACCAAGCAGTACTGCGCGGTGCCGTCGGTGAGCTCTGTGTTTCAGGCAAGCTTGTTGGTAAAGGGTATCTTAACAGACCAGACCTTACCAGCAAGGCCTTCCAGTATCTGGATAGATACAACGAGACGGTCTACCGTACTGGAGACCTGGTCCGACTTTTAGCCGGTGGATCGATATCTTTCGTTGGACGTAAAGATACGCAAAGCAAGCTCAGAGGCCAAAGACTCGAAGTCGCAGAGATAGACAGTGTAATCAAGAGCTCATCGCCACTGATTGAGGATGCACACTCACTGGTCATCAAGAGCGATGATGAAGTCAAGCAGACACTCGTGTCATTCTGTACCTCTGGTGGGCCAGGCCAGAGGAGAAAGTCCGAGATCGACCATTCTCCGGCTTCCAAGAGTCTCGTGACCAAGGTCATGGATGTTTGTCGAGGGCACCTACCTGGATACATGGTGCCTACACACATCGTTCCGTTGACGACTTGGCCTCTCACTGTCAACAACAAGATTGACTCGAAGCAGCTCATCAAGCTGTACAGTTCGATGACAACGATAACCAGCGATAGTCAGGACAGAGTTCAGGGTGCGGAGAGGCCATTGAATGAGGCAGAGAAGATCATCTGCACCACGGTCGCAACTATGCTGAAGCTTGACCGGTCGCTGGTGCAGCGCCATACCAACTTCTTCTCCTTGGGCTTATCGTCCGTGTCCGCGATCACGCTTGCGAGCCTACTAAAGCGCTGTGGAGTTCGTACAGTCAGCGTCGGCACAATTATGCAATGTATGTCCATCTGAGATCTTCGTCACAACTTCACAGCTAATCTTCTTCGACAGATCCGACCATCTTCGAGCTTGCTGCTGCGACAGGTGACGAGGAAACTGACCATTCGAAGTCCAACCATGTCCGTGAAGCACTACTTAGCCTGTCTGCTTATGCATTGCGTCACCGGACGAGCGCCCTTCGCACGCTGAAGATACCCATGCACGACATTGAGGCTATCACGCCTTGCACAGGTCTGCAGACAGGACTTCTTCTGGAATGTATTCGACAGCCCGAACGTCCGTACTTCAACGAGTTCCGCTATCGTCTACGGGACGTGAATCACGAGAGATTGCGTAGAGCCTTTGAGCGCATTGTTGCGGCCACACAGATACTACGAGCACGATTCGTACAAAGTGACGATGGCTTCGTCCAGGTCATACTAAAGAATATCGATCTCCCGTGGCACCATGTTCGACCGAGTTTAGATGTGGCTGTGTGTCACATGGCTTCGATGCGCTTACAGTGGTGCGAGATGAATAGCGAGCAGATTACACAGCCTTTTCAAGTGGTCATCTATGAGCATCCGGGTTGGTCAGAGCTAGTTCTTTACGCTCATCATGCAATATACGATGGCACTAGTTGGGACCTCATGATGGACGCTCTGGCAGAAGCATACAAAAACAATAGCACTCCAGATTGTGGGCCACGGTTCACAGATGTCCTACCGCATGGGCCGATCTGTCACATGGCCGAAGCAGAACGGTTCTGGAGACAGCGAATGGAAGGCTTTCGACATCAGCCTTTGAGGAAGGCTACTTCTGATCCGGGCGACACTATCACTGCTAACCTTTGTATCAAAGACATGGCAGGGATCGAACAGTTGCGCAAGGATCTCGGTGTGTCCCACCAAGCTCTGCTCCAAGCGTGCTTCGAAGTGGCTATCAAGCAGCCTTTCAGCGATTCAACCTCATATGGCCAGGTAGTATCTGGACGTTCGATCGCTTTCGAAAGGGCAGACTGTATTATTGGACCTCTTTTCAACACCATTCCAGTGGTGTTGTCTGTCGATCCAGGTGATAGCTGGGCGTCCTTGATCAGGCGCTGCCATCAAATGAACACGACATTGCTTCCATACCAGCACACGCCACTTCGGGATATACGCAAGTGGTGTGGATGGTCATCGACAGACTCAATCTTCGACGTCCTCTTTGTCTTCCAGCACTCTACTAAGCAACCACTTGGGGAGAAGTATGATTTATGGTCGGTCGTCGAGCAACCACCACGGGCAGACTATCCACTATCATTAGAGCTCACCATGATGCCCAATGCAACTCTACAAGCCACAATCGTCGCTCAAGCAGATGTAGTTGATCACAATATACTGGAAGCGATGCTGGGAAGTTTTGTTACTGCGCTCAGCGCTGTGGGCACGGACCCAGACCGTAGTATCGCACAGGACTTCACTATTTCATCGAAAGTTGCGAACGACTCCCGATCCCACGAAGCAAGACTTCAGCCTTACCTCAATGGCGTACACAACTTCTCCTGGACCGAGCAAGCACTGAAGCTGCGCAGTACGATTGCACAAATAGCTGGTGTACAAGGTGATGTAGTAGATGAGCATACGTCCATCTTCGCACTTGGCATGGACAGTATTGACGCCGTCAAGCTTGCCTCGCGAGCCAAGAAATCAGGATTCGTACTACCCGTCAGCAAAATCTTGCAGTGTCAGACCATAGCGAGGATGCTGGAAGCCATTGGCCAAAGCGGAGACAACGCTGTATCTGACGGCGATCTCAACGACAGACTCGTCGAGCAATCGAAAGCCCTGTTCGGAGCCATCAGAACCGAGCACGGTTATTCTGTAAGTTGTGTCGAGAAAGTCCTACCAGCAACACCGAGCCAAGAGGCTCTAGTCGCGGACATGATTCGATCAGACTTTCAAGACTACTACAATCACGATGTGCTTGAGTTGGACTCGCAGACAGATGTCAGAAGGCTGAACGACGCCCTACAGCAGGTTGTTAATGGCTCGTCCATACTTCGGACCGGGTTCTACGAGGTCACTGCTGCTGATGTGGATGCCACGTTTGCTCAAGTCATCTGGCCATCCTCCTTCATACAGATCCAAGAAGCGGCCATCGAGACTGACATCGAGACCATTCTACGCACAGTCACAGAAGAAGTCAAAGGTTGTCGTAACGGCCAGCCACTTCTCCGTCTAATGATGGCAAGCAACACAACCAACCGCTACCTAATCATCTCGCTGGCACATGCACAGTATGACGGCCACAGCCTGGCCTTGCTACATGAGGACATCTGGCTAGCCTATGGGGGTGAGTACGTCCTACGCCCACCCTATGAGGGGAGTATACAGCAAGCTATCTCGTCCACGGAAGAGGCGGCCCGCAAGTTCTGGTCGAGCAGTTTTTCCGAAGCACAACGGCAGCCCTTTCCACAGCGAGCAGCCCTGGAGTCCGGTGAAATTGTGCATCGTGCCGAGAAGTCGTCGAAGTTGTCTTCTGCCACCGTGCGAAGCTTCTGTCAAGCCAACAGCATCTCAGTGCAAGCCCTAGCCCAGACTTGCTGGTCTCTGGTGTTGGCTTCTCACACAAAAGCACTAGAAGTCACGTTTGGCGTTGTGTTGGCCTGCAGAGACAGCGAAGAAGCTGAACGCATCATGTTCCCCATGATGAACACGGTCCCAGTGCGCGCGGCACTCCACGGAACCAAGCTGGAAATACTGCGAGCTATGCAGAGTAGTATTGATGATATGCGGCCTTACCAGCGTACACCCCTGAGGACAATACAAGCCGTGTGTAGTGACGCAGCGGAGGACCGAAGCGGTTCCGGGCTGTTCGATGCGCTGTTCATCTACCAGCACAGACCAGAAGCTCGAAAGACTCGGACACATCCACTCTACAAATCTGTCGGAGGTCGCTCAAGCGTCGAGTACCCTGTGGCTGTCGAGATGGAAGCTGTTGGTGACAACATGCTCATGAGATGTGCTTGCAAGAGCAGTGTACTGGACGAAGAAGGCACGAACAATTTGCTCAACCAGCTCGATACTGTGCTCGAGAGTATCGTCAACACGCCCACTGAGCCTACGGTCACCTTCCGAGAAGGAGGTCAAGTCTCGATCGGCACACTTCCTGCCTTCACCCTCACATCTAACACCACCGACAAGCCTGTTGCAAAGCCTATAGGTCCGACCAATGTGCAGGATGGGTTATCAGCCACTGCTCTTCTCATCCGCGAAACCCTAGCACAAGTAGCGAAAGTACCGGCCGACAGCATCTCACCCATCGCCACGATTGAAACGATAGGGATCGATTCGATCTCCGCTATCAAGGTAGCGGCAGTGTTGCGCAAGAAGTCCATTCGCTTGCCTGTGAGCGAGATCCTGCGAGCGAGGACTATTCACCGTATGGCTGAGGCTGCTGAGAGCATGTCGAAAGCCAAGGAGCCCGAGAATGTGAATGCCGAGGCCGTAGTTGTCCAAGTCCTGCAGGAGCGTGGCTTGACGGATCTATCCTCGAGATTTGGTATAGACCTGTGCGATGTGCAGGCTGTGCTTCCTGCGACGGCTGGGCAGGTGTATATGCTCAGTACCTGGCTACAGTCTGCGGGTCAACTGTTTTACCCGACCTTCAGCTACGAGATCCAGACCAGTCTTGGTGAAGATCGGCTCAGACATGCCTGGGAGCAGCTCGTCAAGCGTCATGACGTGCTACGGACTGTCTTTTGCGCGACCAACGACTCGAGCATACCTGCCGTACAAGTAGTGTTCAAATCAGTGCCTGGAAGCTTCAACACAGACATCGTCCAGCAGTCAGAGGCCAGGGTACTTCTCCAGCCAATGGTCTCCCTATTTACCGAGCAGACCAACAAAAGTTGGCTTCTGAAGCTCACCATCCATCATGCCCTCTACGATGCCGTCTCCTTACCCTTACTAATGCAAGACTACTCCTCCCTCCTAAACGACAAGGAGCCAGTCCAGCTGAGTATCCAGTCGGCCGACGTCCTTGCATTATCCATCACGGAAGCGGCACAGGACAAACAACGGGAGTTCTGGAGATCATACTTCAAGGACCTTCACGCCCCAGCACTCAAGCAGCCAACCATATCAGGTGCACAAAACCGAGTCGAACTATTCAAGCCTGGCCTATTCTCCGATACAGCTGGGTTGGAAAGCGTAGCAAGACAAGAAGGCGTAACGATCCAGGCTCTTCTCTTCGCCACATACGCTAAGGTCTATCTCAGCCTTACCACCAGCAACTCCGCGAGCACCAAAGCAGATGGAAAAGAGCATGACGTTTTTCTAGGCATCTACCTCTCCAACCGCTCCCACCTCCCGGACCTCGATAAGCTCGCAGCACCAACACTTAATCTCGTCCCCCTGCGCGTGCGACATCCTGCGACGAAGACGATTTTGGGGGTAGCGAGAGAGATCCAAAGGGATTTACAGGCTATCGGTACAGCGGAGAACTCTGCTGTAGGGCTGTGGAGGATTAAGGAGTGGACGGGTGCGAAGATTGATACGTTTGTTAATTTCTTGAAATTGCCCGAGGGGGTTAAGAATGATGAGGTGGAGCGACGGGGTGGGACGGTCGTGCTGCGGGAGATGGTTGGGAGGAGGCGGGAGGGGTATGCGAGGGTGGCGGGGCCGGGTGATGATCATGTAGGGTTCACGCCGCCCAAAGCGCTAAGTGGGTTGAAGGTGAAGGATGCTTACTCAGTGAGTCTGGTCAATGATCTTGTTGTTGGAGATGGGGAAGCTAATTTCGTTCTGCAGTATTCGCTTGATCTCGAGGCGACCGTAACGAACGGGAGGCTGGATCTGGGCTTGTTTTGTCCGGAAGAAATGCTAGGACTACAGGAGGCACAGGATGTGATGGTGGAATTGGAGTGTCTGTTGGAGAAGCTGGTCGGCAAGGCGAAAGAATGAGATCTCTGCTGTTTACAGTAGATTAGAAGGCGTTTGGCCATGGCGTAGGGGGCCGTTTGGTATAGGTATTGTTTCGTCCTTTTTAACAATAACACGTGATACACACTTCCCGGCCTCTCGCTCGTTTCAAAACTACCGCGTCCAACCACTATTCCACCCCTCCCGTCCCGGCGTCTCCGTCTGAATCCGCGCATACTCTATCGGCGCCCCCTTCCACACCTCATCCTTCTTCATCGCAATGCGATACAACCTCCCCACATCCCTCCCTTCCCCTCCCCCTTCCGCCTCCATACCTCCTCCTAGCTTCTCGCGTTCGCCTGCCGTCAAGCCGTGGGAGTCCAGGAGACGCAGCGCTTCGCAGGCAGAGGCCATGCTGTTGTATTGGCGTTCGAGTTCTAGTTGGCGGGAGAGGCGGAGGTTGCTTTGATGGAGTTGCCAGGCGCGGTGGATGGTCCAGTGGCGGAGTGCGCGGTTTCTAAGGGATGTGTTAGTGGTTGGGGTGGTGGAGGGGTGGTGATGGGTGGGTGCTTACCGGGAGAAGCGCAATGGGCGGGGGGTGAGGGGGTGTTGGAGGTGGTATCGGATGAGTGCTTAGCTGTGTTAGTCATCCTCGATATATATATTCTCAAGCAGTATCCTATTGCCATACTGATCCTCATATCCGTCTTCGGTCCACCACCCTTCTTCCTAGCCATTCTTTGGTCGGTGGTGGAGAATTGGGCCTGCTGCGGCTGCTGTTGCGCTAGACAGCCTCTCGCCATCCAAGGCACAGCTTCTGATGTCGATAGCGGGGAGAATGCGCGCAGTAGTGCTGTAGATGGGGCCTTCATTGTCGCCATATCCGTTACCACGTCCAATGCGAGTTTATCTTCTATTCCGAGCATTCACTTCACTCCTCGGGAGTGGACAGTATATTGCGGCGTTTGCCCGATCCGGCTAACGCGCCTGTGAAATGGTTTGAGGCCCCACCTTCATGCCGCAATAATAATAATAATAGCGTGGGGTTGCTGCAGCTGGCTGCTGGCCCCTGCATGAGAATACTGTACTGTACGACGAAAGCAACACAGTACTTACGAGAGATGGGCCTGCAGCTGACCCGAGCATTCTTCCTGAGCCCATCACGCCTTACTTACACCACCACTGCCACCCTCACTCAACACACATATCATCCTCTACTGCACCCATTTCTTACATCTCCATGAAATACTGACCCAAGCACAGCTTTCGTGCATTCTTAGCCGCCACCAAGCACCAAGCACCAAGCACCAAGCACCAAGCACCAAGCAGCACCACCTACAATAGCAACAGCACCGAAATCTCCAATATTCCTAACTGAGCAAACACGTCGAAATAAGGCACACTTCCCGCCCAGCATGGCGACGAACATCAACGAAGCCGAATTCAAGGCCATCATCAAAGCCGCCGAAGACTGGCCGCGAGCAGATACGGGCAACACAGATTTCGGCTATGGCACCGCAGGCTTCCGAATGCGTGCCGACCTGCTCGACTATGTTGTCTTCACAGTCGGCCTTGTCGCCTCCCTCCGTTCACGAAAATGCGGCGGTAATGCCATTGGCATCATGATCACTGCTTCCCACAACCCGGCGGACGACAACGGGGTCAAGATTGTGGATCCCATGGGCGAGATGCTGGTGTCGGAGTGGGAGCCTTACGCTACGGCCATGGCGAATGCGCGTACACCGGATAAGCTGCGCAATTGCTTTATCCAGATTATTCAAAACGCTCAGGTGCATGATCATAATGCTCGCAAGGTCATCTTTGCAAGGGATACGAGGCCGTCTGGTGCACGGCTTGTAAGAGCTCTGAAGGCTGCTCTTGAAGCCACGAACACTGAGTATGTCGACTATGGTATCCTCACCACTCCACAATTACACTACTTGGTCAAGGCGACGAACACGGAAAAGATGGACAAACCGTACGGTGAGGTATCAGAGGAGGGTTACTACAAGAAAATGGGCAAGGCGTTCAACGAGGCCATAAAACGTGCCACCAAGCCACCGAGTAGTCCTGTCACGGTCGACTGTGCGAATGGGGTTGGTGCGCCCAAGATGAAGAAGCTGCTGGAATACCTGCCAAAGGACATACTCAAGATCAACGTGGTGAATGACAAGATCGAGTCGGCCAAGGATCTCAACTTCCAGTGCGGTGCAGACTACGTCAAGACCTCCCAACGCGTACCGAAAGACTTCGACGGCAAGCCCTACGATCGATGGTGTTCGCTAGACGGCGACGCCGACCGCATAATCTACTACTTCGTGGAAGACGGCTCCGTCTTCCGCCTCCTCGACGGCGACCGCATCGCCACCCTCGCCGCCTCCTTCATCGGCGACCTGGTCCGCAAATCCGGCCTCGAAGACGCCATCACCATCGCCATAGTTCAAACCGCCTACGCCAACGGCGCCTCCACCAAATACGTCGAGCAGACCCTCAAACTTAAAGTCGAATTCACAAACACGGGCGTCAAACACCTCCACCATGTCGCGGCCATGAAGGATATAGGCGTGTACTTCGAAGCCAACGGCCACGGCACCATCCTGTTCTCCGAACGCGCCCAAAAAGCCATGCGCAAACACCAACCCCAATCCCCGGCCCAGATGGAAGCACTGGAAACTCTCCGCGCACTCACCGACCTCATCAACCAAACCGTTGGCGACGCCCTTTCGGATTTTCTCTTGGTGGAAACTATCCTCGCGCATAAAGAATGGACGGTCCGCGAATGGTTGAGCACGTACACCGACTTACCCAACAAACTCGCCAAAGTCCTCGTCTCGGACCGCAGCGCCTATAAATCGGTCGAAGGGACCGCGGAGCGTCGGCTCCTGACGCCGAAACCCGTGCAGCCGCGCATCGACGCTATTGTGAGCAAGTATAGGGATGGGAGGTGTTTCGTCCGAGCATCGGGGACGGAGGACGCGGTGAGGGTTTATGGGGAGGCGGGGGAGGTGTATGATACGGAGGATTTGGTCGGGAAGGTTTGTGAGTTTATTGGAGGGCTTGGGGGTGGTGGTGGTGGTGGTATGTCTGATTCTGTTGGGCCTGCAGGGCGGTTGGGGGGTGAGAGTGGTGCTTACCAGACGCAGATGTTGAGGGAGTCGGGGCTGGGAAGGGATCTTAGGGAGCCGCAGGCCGGTGAGTGACGACGGATTCGACTTCTTTGTGCGCTGTCATGCGTGATCTGATGGTGCATCTGGCTAATGTTGAGTTTTGTGGGTGGTTGTGTAGGTGGCATAGAGCCCACGACCAACCGCTAGAAGCGTTGGGGATCGATCTATGGCGTCTGGTAGCGGTGGACACTTTCCTCCTCTTCTTCGACTCGCGCGACAAATATTAGCGATGGATGGACGTTTACGGCGTTTTTGGCTTGGATGGATTGACATGGCTGGGAGACGGGAGACGACACGATTTGCATGAAAGTGGTGCGGAGAAAGCACACGCCGAAAAGTTTTGTTTTTGATATGATGACCCGTGTGCTTATGCCGGGCCTTGAGGATACGATGGAGTTTGGATGATCGACGAATGGGAAAAGTGGCGTAGAAGGCTTGAGGGAAAGGTACAGTGGCTGGATGCCGAATCGTACTCGTGTAGCTGGTATGGTGAGGGAAATGCTACCTCATCTATGATCTATTCTTGCTTTTCCAAATATGATGCTATGTGATGCCGCATACCCCTCTGAGAACGCCACGCTTGGGCTGTATATCTGAAGATTGTACATGACTCATGCCTGAGGATCTTGAGGTGCCACAGGGCCTTTCTGATGACGACTCTCGTTTGTGCTTGGAGCAGCAGCAGCAGCAGCAAGACCATACTGATTCTCCGCCGCCCGCATCTCAAGCGACTTCTCAGCATCCGTCGCGTTCACCTCGGCGGCATTATCTCGTCCGTGATGGTGTGGGTGCTTGTCAGCATGACCTTCAAGAGGAACACCCTTCTCAACATCCACTTCGCCACCCTGCCGCCCAAGCGTAGGCACAACTTCATTCGTCCCCATTCGTCTGAGATCCGATCGCTGCTCCTCCGTCTTGCCATCTCCACTCGTCTTGGACTTCTTATAGATTGATAAGCCGCCATGCCAACCAAGCCATCCTTCTTCCCATGGGCCGCGGGAAAGGGTGATGAGGAGAGCCATGCCGATACTACCCATGCTGTAACTGCCACTTGCTATCCATACGCCTTTGGCATAGAGGTGTGCGCCTACGGATGTTCCGACCAGTTGGCCGAGGAAAGTGGCGACCATGAAGGCGGTATTGACTCGATTTCGTCCCCTGGGTTCGACGGCAAAGATGGCGGAGCGGTTCGCGATTTGTGCCGTTTGCATCCCGAAATCATTGACGAAGGCTTGAACGATGGGTCCCGCGACTGTGAAAGTGCCAGTGTAGGTGCCTATACTGATACCAAGGAGACACCAGCCCATGCCTAGCATGACGGAGAACCAGGGCACGAAGCGATCGATGACGATCCTAGCATAGAAGGGTCCACAGATCATGGATGCTATCCCCACCAAGGCGAAGAGACCAATGGTGACAGGATCGTAGTAATACGGCTTTCCCGAAAGAAGAAACGTGAGCACCGTCCAGAAATTCGTAAAAGTGGCGCTCGTAAAGAACGAAATCAGACACGCCTGCACCAAAACCGGATGTTTGGTCAACATAACCAAAATGCTCCAAAGCATTTTGAAATAATTCATCCCTCCCTTATTCGTCGCGGGATAATCCGGCATCAGCAACCACAAGCCCACAAAAATGAGATATTGTAGTGCGACGGAGAGCCAATAGACGTAGCGCCAGGAGACGTATTGGGTCATGATACCTGACAGGAGGCGGGCGAGCAGGATCCCGAGCATGAGGCCGGAGACGACGATGGACATGGCGGCTGCGCGGCGGTTGGGCGGGGCGAGGTCTCCGACTAGCGGAAGCATTAGCTGGGGGGTTACGGTTGTTACGCCCGTGATGAATTGGATTGCGCAGAAGGCTGATAGGGAGGAGGTTAGGGCTAGGCCGATGCTGTGGAAGACATTGTTAGTGAGGTGGTTCGTTGAGGGTTCTTTTCAGGTTGGCTGTATGGACTCTACCTCATGGTCGCGGTGAAGAAGACGAGCGTCAGGACAAAGGGTCGCCGCTCGAACATGTCTCCCAATGGGCAGAGGAATAGCAGCCCGGCTGCGTAGCCCGCCTGTGCCAATGTGGGGATGTTCGAGACCTTGACGTATGGTACGCCGAAGTCATGGGCTAGGATGTTCAGGATCGGGTGGTTGTAGTAGAGATTCGCTACCGTGAAGGCTCCGGCGAAACCGAAGAGGATGTTTAGACCCATGGAGAATTTCGGTGGCGAATCGGGGTTCCATCGTAGACGTTCTGGTGTCCAGTATATGATGTCGTAGATCCGTCGCCATCGTGGTTTCGTTTTGTTGGGGTCGGATTTGGTCGTTTGCTCGCCGGCTTCTGAGGTATCGCTGCTGAGATTCTGATCATCATTGGCGGTTTTCTCGTGGTCGGCAGACTTCGAGTCGTTCTCCGTCCCGCCATTGGCCAGCGAAGGCGAAGGCATTGCCGTCGTCATAATTGCCTGCAATGGAATGACTTGATACTGGCAGACATTCCCGCACAGTGAACATGGGGTCAGTGTCAAGAGACGGATCGTAATAGAAGTAAAGATAAGGTAACCTTAGCTTGAAGTCGAAGTCTGGACGATGATGCGCTACCGGCATGTTTCCTGCCGGTCGTTGCGGTCGGGTATAACGGCATTGACTTCTAAACGCCCCAATGTTTTCATGAAGGTTAAGCATGAATTGGTGGATTGGAAGGAACAAGAATGTTGGATGTTCTATCAATACAACGTACTTCTACAGTGTTCTTCTCCTGTCACTCTTTTGGCCTCGTGCGGGCGAACGCAACGCCTGTTCATAATCCCAAGCTCAACGCCAAATCCTTCTCCGCGAGTCACGGCATTAGTTTGCTGGCCTAACAAATGCACCTTTCGTAAATCATCATATCCATTTCAATGCACTCATCATAGTACAGTCCAGTCCGAGTCCGAGTCAGCTCCATCAGACGTCGGCGTACGCCTCAGACGATCATGAACAGGCAGATTTTCCATGATAGCATCGCTCTGTCGGTCCTGGTCTTCAGGTACCTGCTTCTCGTCGACCACCTCATCATCTGTGCTTAAGTCCTGCACCTCTGCGGTGGGTGCGACGATCTCGTACTCGTCTTCTGTGGTTGGCTCTGACTTAACGTCTTCGTGTGTATGGTCGGGTTCGACCTTGCAGCGTTTCGTCACCATCCGGAAGTCCTCGTTCTCCGATGCACTCTCGTCTGACACTTCTGTTGTCTCTACTTTGCGAAGTCGAAGTGCCAATGACAGTGCACTGGCTTTTGTCGCAGGCACTACCTCTTTCTGCTTCCTCTTCTTCTGCTGCACCTCAAAGTCGTCTTGTGCGTGGAAGTGGTATATCACATCTTTGTGCCTATTGCTCGTGATGTCCTTTGAAGCGTAACCGTCTGGGGTGTACGAACGGAACGGCATCTGAATGATCGCTGCTGCGGCTATGTACAGATCAGCATGAATCAAATGCAGATGAGCTTTGGGCTGACTCGCTCTCGTTCTCAAACTGCCTCTCCATACTATTTCGACAAAGAGCTTGGTGAAATGGCCGCAGATCATATGCAAGCCCTTGAAACTCTGCATCTTGGCCCAGCCGATGTCCCAGGAATTGAGACACGCAATAATTGATCAGGGCGTCGACCAGTAATTCCTTTTCGCGAAGATGCTCATAAGCATAACGAATTCCCGCGCATAGATCTATGGGTCGGTCTGGAGACGAGCAGCCGAACTCGCATTGTCGGAGAACATTAAGATATGCTTGCGACTTGAGGTCCGTAATGTCGTACATGATCGCGAGGTGGTAGAGTCGGCAATGCAGTAGGACTGATGTTGGCACGTCGTCGTGTCGATCACCAAAATCGGTGGTGAGTGCATAGCTTCCGGTATACAGGTAGCGTACGAAGGGGACAGCCGTACTGTCGGTCAGAGTTTCCAAGTGCAGATATTGGCCAGATCGTCGATGTTCGAAAGCCATTGCAAGTAGTGGACACCGTGCTTCAATCATCCAGATGTTGATGCCTGCTATAGTCGCCGTCTCGCCATTGCTGCCGAGATAGCTCAGTGTGGCCTCGCCTTTGGGATACCATTCCATGAAAGACATCTCGTTAGTTGGAATTCCTTCTTCCAGTGCGAATAGACTGTTTGAATGCATGTAGCCAGAGCGTAGGCGTGGAGGGGGATCATACTCCTCGACTCCGGCCAGTGGCATTGGTGGCGGTGAGGAGTCGTACCGTCTAGATTGAACACCGTCCCATATAAAGGTTGGCTGGTCAGTCTCTTCCTGAAAGACTGTCTGTGTCGACCCAGTCATGCCTGTGTCAAATTCTCGTGCCTCGTTGTCGCACAGCTCGTCGTTCAGTTCCGTGTACTGAGACGCGCCGTTCAGGTCGCTAAATCGCACTCTGCTCCGTGGTTCGACTGGTAGCCATTCACGCTCTTGCGATGGCCCGTCGTCGTGGTAGGCAAGATCGGCCTTTTCGAAATATGCTACACCGTCCATTTTGCAATGCAGATAGAGGCAAACGAAAAGACCAGGTCCAATGGTTTGACTTATTGTAAAAGACACTTCTGAGTCACAGGAACGAAGCTTTCCTGTTGAAGAGAAGCCTCGTGCTGCATCAGGCTGGAGATGGAGGGTGGCTATGCAAGCTGGCGAGGCCGCACTACATGGTCGGCCTTGTAGGCAGCTACGCTGTCTAGAGGGGTAGCTTTTGCAGTCATCCTGTACCTTTGCACTCTCCCTCCAGCTTTCAAAGTTGCGGGCTTGACCGGTCAAGATGCATTCGATCATGCGGGTGACTCAGGCAGTGCAGCATGGTGGCATCATATGAGCCTTGGGGCCGTAATAGAGACGTGAAGGTAAGATCCAGCAAGTCGCTTTGACCATAATCCTCAGGCAAGGTCGCACTCATCACAGCCGTCCTTTCGTGCTCGAGGAGTTGGTACAGAGACGGTGATGGTTTCCAAACAAAGGTGGCAATGTGGAGCTCGGATATGGCCGGCACGCGACCGTGCCGCGTCTTTTGGGAAGGAGAGTTCAAGGGATGCGACATTCACTACTGTTGTGATGTTGAACGATTCTACACACGCAACAATGCAAAGCAGTCCATCCATCAATATTACATGAATTGGAAGAAGCAGGAACACCATGGGCTTCTGGTCAATTCTTCCCGACAGCTTGTCAGGCATCGAACTATGGTTGACCCGGCTATTTGTACGTCATGATCAATGCGTAGCGAAATTGCTCAACAGATCAATGCTCACATATATCAGCTCCTGCTCGCGATATTGACATTCGGTCCATGGGTATTACTGCTGGTTTATGACTTCCTACTCTACCTCTGGCGGACAGCGACGTACGAATTCCCATGGATTGGCGGCAGAGCACGTGGACGACAACGACCTCGTGCTCCTAGTCTGACCGAGCGTCCGAGTGGCCACAGACGCATGCTTAGTCTTCCAAGCATACCGAAAACCGCCCAACCGTCGCTCGATAGCATAGCAAATGCTACTGGTACGGACCAGCCTTGGGGTGACCAAATGCTACGCACTCCGAAAGACAGCAGCCCGGGCGGGCGCTTCCAGGAGTCTTGAAGGCATCATGATGTTGCTCTAGATGTGCAGGAAAATTGACCGTGTCCTGGACGGGGCCTTCGGCTGCGAATCGAGAACGCCTTGAAACCTGGGTGCGATGTTACACGATCCTTGCCTTGTGTCACTGCCAACGCTGTGTCGTCGCAGACCGCTCACTTCTCTAAGCCATTCGACACGGCACCTGACACGGCACGAGCGATGCGGTAAAGATTCATTGGTGGTCTATGACTCGATACTGGCGCTACTGGTGTCATTCTACTAGCTGTAACGACCCCACTGTGACTGCCATCTATCCTTGCGGCGCTACCTGTAGATAACGTCAGCGTTTATGGCTCACATGGACGTACGAATCTTGCGGGTGACCTTTCCAAGCCTCTCAAGAACGAGCAAACTCTTGGTGAGCCACCATGCTGATAGGACTGTCCCAAATATCAACCGAATGCGCCGTCGGCCGCAGCTGGACCACGCGCCGGGTCATGCTATCGTGCTACCGGCAAAGTCTCCCGACTGCGGTGTGAGATCTGGTCTAGGCGAACGACTATGCGAAGTCTGGAAAGCGTGCGCGTTCCGGCGTCAACCGCATGACACATCCAGAAGTGCTGATATTCGGGCGTATCGTGTCACCTCGCAAAGATGGCATAAGACAGTACATCCTTACCACAGTATGTGTTGGTGACATTACTTCCTCCAAAATCCCGCGTCAGACCCATCAGACTCGCACCAATATGCGCAGCTTCCATCACCACTACCACAATCATCGCGACTTCATGAATGCGGATTACTATCGCAGTGATCCGTATCTCCATGATGAGCATGTACATCATTCACTAGAGCGCTACCCCTCTCGCCACTCTCCTCAGTACCACAAGTACGAATATCCTATGAACGACCTCGACCTGGACGACTATTACGAGCGTCGAAGGCTTGCGCCACACTATCGAGACTTTCGCGGATATGATAGGGACTGTCGATGGGGCAGTGATGAACAGCTAAGGAGGTCAGTAGTAGATCAATCGATCGCATCGGCGACATTCATTGACGGCCTATAGAGCTAATCGCGAAGCTGCAATCTTGAACAGCCAAATCAGACATCCACGTCAAGGAGTGCACGTACATCCCATGGTCACGTTCGATGGCATGTACCCTCCTTCTTTCAGGAGACCTCGGCGCCTGGAGGACTTTGTATTCATGGAGAACTATGATTTGGACGAGATCATGATGGCATATGAACTTGGTCGGGATCGACGACGTTATTACAATGGTGCCATGGCGTCTCGCTGTGATGACGACGGCGACCATCTTTACTCGACTCAATCTGGTCGACGACGTGACTTGATCGCGCTGTTCGAGTTCCTTGGTGCGCATCAGCTCGTCGAGTGTCTGCGCTACAGCTAGTCGTCCTGCGACGACTTTCAAAGCAATCGTATGCTCGATGTATGTCACGCTTTTGCTATCTATTTCGATGTCAGATACTTGTGGTATGAGATGAGGTGTGCAATGTACAATCACTTCAGCAACTGATTATACCTGCCTAATAAGGAAGTCCGGTCCGTCGTGGCCGGTGCCGGCGAGTGCGTGCAAGTGTCTATCTAAGCTCGACGACACTTGTTCCTCATGCATTGTTGAATGTGATATAACGATGCAAGAACAGTACTCAAAAGTAGACCCAGTGGGCGACCGTGTTAGCTGAAACAATCGCCAACTAAATGCTATGGACTTCCTCCTCCCACTTGCAGCTGCGTTGACTGCTCTCATACTACTGCTGCTTTATCAACGATGGTGCAATCTTCGATCCTCACAACTAGCAGAGTCAATCACCGGTACAAGTCCCGTCATTGAGAAGGATCCGTACGATGCCATCGAGCCACCATCGCCGGGGTTCGATTGGGCCACCACATCTCAGATCAAGCTTCGAACATTCAGGCCCAAGTACCACCTGACAATGTGTAAGTCATATGTGCTTATGGTATCGTAGTCGACATGTACTGACGATCTCACAGCGCTGGAGAATGTAACGATGAGCGACTTTCTCGAAATGGACGAGAGCTACCTTGACCGGCTTGCACTACGCAGAGAGATCATGGACGACAACCCTGAAGCGACAAGGCAATGCAACGAAGTAGCTAAGCCAGCTGTTCTCGAATTGTACGACTGGATAGTATCAGCATATCTGCCGCGGCGATACCCAATGGTCTATAAGCCAACAATGACGGCCAACGGAAGACGATTGCACAACATAGCAACCGGCAAAGACATCCCGACGACTTCGACCTCTCCCATTTCAGCCCTCTATACATTAGGCGAGAACATCGACACTGACTTCCTCATCCTTCTGCCATCGTCAACAGCGGTAGATGGCTCACCAATTTATCATCTCGAAGCTTTCGTAACATGTTTCCCATCCGGCTTCAGCACGAAAGAGAAATGCGGCATGCCCCTTGCTACCATCCACGCTCCAGTCCCCGGCTATGCCGCGAAGCTCGAAAGATCCATGGATCGGTTCTTCGCCAAGCTGGAAGTCGGGAAGATCGTCAAGCGTGCAAACTGGAGCATTTCTACCGACGGTGTACTGTTCTGTGAAGGCGGCAATCACATGTACGGCGATGAGGACAAGTCGAAACCACCTAATGCTGCAACACTGCAGGAGGAGATCGAAAGACAGAAGTTGGATGTAGTGGTTGAGAAATGCTGGCTACGCTGTGAGAGGCAGACACTGCATCGACTGCCCCAGACGAAGGCGCTGGTCTTTGCGTTCAAGACTTATATGTATAAGCTATCGGAGATCAAGGAGGAAGGGCTCGGGCCGGATCTGGCAGATGCCATCGATGGGCTGGGTCTGGGCAATGTGCCTGAGATGAAGGTCTACAAGCGTGGCGTTGTCTGGGGCGAGAAGATCCAGGAGTATCTGCGCAGCCCTTGACATGACGATGTTACCATGATAGCAGCATGATACTCACGAGCTACACGCGCCACAACCGCCTTGAAGTCGTGCTTTACTGAAGCCGCTGAGTCGGAACGGCATCGTTAGCACTAGCTTACCCGGTACGTCGCCAGACATTCATACAGTCAGCAGAAGACGTACCAGGTCTGGATGATTACCTGGACGAGACTTCACTGTGACACATGCTGTGCATGACCGCCCGAAGCATCCACGGCACGAGACACCTGAAGTGAGGTCCATGAACGGTCAGATGCCACTCCAACTTCCCAGGCATGAAAGTGAATTTTGGAACATGAGACGCAATGGAGACTATCAATTAAATTAGATCACGCAAATATCCACCAAATCCACTACCACACCACGAATCCAACAAACCCAACCACACCACCTAAGCGGCCGATGTAAGAATACTAAACTGCCCACCCGTGGTCGAAGAAGTTAGCTTCTGCTCCCTGACAGCAGTATTATCAATCATAGTAGCCACCTCCACATCTTCCGTCGTCCCCAACCCAGTCTGATAATTAGCACTGAACCCCCAAGACCACGCTTTCCCGTCCTTGGTAACGACGACGCTATGATCGCTGCTACTTGCAACGTGCGAGACGGCACCTTTGATCGCGGTGACTTTGGTCGGGACCTTGAGAATCCGGGGTTTGTTGTGCTCGTCCTTGACGATGAGGTCGTCGCTCATTTTCTTGATTTCTTCCTCTGAGATGCCGACTTGGGCGCTATCCATGCGGCCCCAGATCAGACAGTCGCCGTTTGCTGTGGCGCAGAGGGAGTGGTGTCCTCCGCCTTCAATGCTGATGACCTTCTTGCCCTTCAGGGCCTCCACGACCTGTGGCTTGAGGATGAGAGCATCGTCCTCGCCGGCATTATCCGGGATACCGGTCTCGCCGAAGTTGTTCAGGCCCCAGCTGTAGACGTTGCCTGCCTTGTCGATGGCGAAGCTGTGGTAGCTACCCGTAGCTATATCGACAATACCCTTCTTCGGGCCCTTGGGCAGGCCGAATTCTCGTGGCTTCAACCCTTCCAACTTCGTGCGCTCCACGATACGGCGGCCAAGTTGGTTCTGTTGGCCTGAACCCCAGGCGAAGACTTTACCGTTGTTGTCCAATGCAAGGACGTGGTTAGCGCCGGCCGCGATCTTGGTAATTTTCTTCAGTTCTGGAATGAGTGTGGGGCGGTGGGCGACGTTGGTCGTGGGGTTGAAGCCGAAGATGCCCTCGTTGGCGCGGAATGTGCCCCAGCCGTACACCAGTCCATCGTCCGTCAGCGCGAATGTGCACGAGTCACCTGCAGTGACGTGCACCCAGCGAGTACCCTCGGCAAGCTTAGTGCTAGAAAAGTCAACCTCTCCCGGCATACTCTCGTGTGGATTCAGACCGTTATCCTCATCATCCGAATTGCTATCATCATCTCCTGCAGCATCCATATCCTTCAATCCTCCATCCCATGTGGTATCTCTTCCTAATGCGCCCTGGTCGTTGACACCCCACGTGAGTATCTTGTTGTCATGAGTAAGCGCGACGACGTGCATGCCACCAGCCTCGATCTGCACGACTCCGACCTTGTCGGCTGCAAGGTTGGGATTAAGGCGTGGCCGCTTCACGTCCGTGGTGCCCTTCGCTGTGCCAAGACCAAGCTCGCCCGCTGTGCCTTCTCCGAAGACATAGACGTTATGGCGTTGAGTAGGCGCTTTGTTGATGATGTCGCGCGATCTCGTGGTCGTGGCCGTGGCCTTGGTCTTTTTAGGTGGAGCTACAGGCTCATCTTCCGGCTTTCGCTTCTCTCTGCTTGGCAGAGCTGGTTTGCTATCGGCCTTGGCCTTCTTCATTGGTGCGGCGGCCTCTTCGTCAACTTTGCTCTTCTTGTTGGTCTTTGCGGCTGGCTCCTTGCTGACTCTGGTTCTCTTCGCTGGAGCAGCAGCAGGCTCCTCGTCGGACTTGCGCTTCTTGCTGATGTTGGCGGCCGCTCTTTTTGGTGCCATTGTGAGCGTAGTGTGTAGCTGATTGACTCGCTACCTGATTTCCCGTTGTTGGTCTTATGAGAAGCAGTTGTTGTAGTGGTGCCGTCACCTGCGTTTTTGATGTGATGTGAATAACACAAAGCTCGAGGGACGCGCTCATGTTTTTTGATCGCGTTCCGCGGAATCAAGCCGATGACCCCCGAGCTCACCTACAACCTATACAACTCTCACTTCACAACATATCAGTCACGAATACAATATCACGAGCTGATTTGCTCCTTTGTTACTGGCACAGAGTGGAGCTGAGTTCGACGACGCTGATTGAGCTGGTCGAGCTGATTACCAACTCAGTAGTCTGTTCACAATGCTCGTTGCTACGCAACATCAAAGGCATTCAACGGTATGATCAATTCTACCTACCCGACACTGCTTAGTATGTGAGCTACACGGATCCGCATGATAAGGAGAGGCAGGCTTCGACTTGGTTATAACCACTTCACTTTGCCACATTAGGACCGGCCTTTACTGGTGACTGTAGGCGTTCGTATCATGGCTGCCTCTTTGAACGCGCAGAGCTCCTCAAAGCAGGCGGTAATGTCTGAGCCGCAGCATACCCGAATGATCATTTTGGGAAAGCACTTCACCATATGCATTGATGTCTGGAGAGTCTGAGCTAGCTTCGGTATGTCAACGCTGGCATTCACGCTACCACAGCTTGCACTGCTGCCTATTCTCTCCGCCTGCAGCCTTGATGGCCTCGTGATGGTGCGATTGCAGCTTAGTACGCTTCTGTATTCGAGGACCGGGGCCAATTTCCGATATTGTCGTCTCCCCTCGCACGATGCTTTTGTCTCATCCCCATGTCCCGGAACCCGGCAAAGCCGAAATACCTCGAGACTTCATGCATTCGCCACGTCAATCATGTTATCGTCTCGTGGTTCTTTGACCATCCAATGTGGTAGAATGTGGCTAATCCGACGTGGGCGTTGACCCACGTGTTATTCGTGCCGTGGACGTCCGTGGTCAAGCATATCGTCAAGAGCTACGCTGAAGTCGATTAGATGTATCCTTCTGAGGAGTCCATGAGCGATGTCGCCGTGCTTTCCTTCCAATCTCACAGTATCAGATCGAGGTCGATACTCATATATCAACAACCTGCACCTCATTCCCAAGACGTCCAGTATTGTTGTACATCAAAGCCGCATTGATCATGATCGTCCGCTCACTATACCCACCCCATATCCGGTCCCACAGCACTTCTGCACCACCATGATACACCACTTTCACCGCATCTACCCAAGCCCGAGGGTCCAGAACTGCTCTAATGAAACCCTTCGGTCGAGTCATAGCATGTTCCAGGCAAGCTTGACCTTTACCCCATTGCACTGTCTCTCTACCACCTTTGAGCCAGCCCATGGTATCAGACCTGCCAGCGTGGACGTGGCCAAAGATATGGAGAATTGGTCTCACTCGCCAGACTTCACGGAGCAGGTGCTCGCAGCCTAGAGCTGCAGGCAGGTCGAGATGGTATTTCGGCGGCGTATGTGTGATTAGAACGTCTGTATCGTCCGGTATTGTGTCTGACCAGCCATCGTGGCCGCGCGGGTACTGGAAAGCGAAGTTTGAACCACCGCAGGCTGGGATTTGCGGAGCGCCGTAAAGTTTCAATTGTCTTCTGCCGCCACCGAAGTGAAGTGTCGTGGAGGAGTGCTGGAGGTATCGAATGCTTTTCCAGTTGATCGTGCGTTGTTGATCTTGTTGCGAGAGCGTCTTTCGGCTTCGTGGGTCGAGATAGGTGTCGTGGTTACCGGCTATGACAACTTTATACTTATGAGGCAGTTGATCTAGCCAGTCTATCTGTGCTTGGAGTTCGACTGGCGTGCCTTCGTTACCCATATCTCCAGCATGGATGAGTAGATCGCCGTCTAGGACGTGGGCAGCCTGGAGAGTATGGGTGTCGGACATGCAGACTATTCTGATGAGTGGTGAGCCAGGCTTTGGTGACGAATGTAGCAACGAGAAGCCATAGTCCAGGAACCGGATGAGAGTCTTGATTGGTTGAGTGACCAGTAGGTGAAGTTCAGATGGAGGATCGAAGATTGAGCCTGGGGCAAAGAGGGACGACATTCTTGCCCTCAGACTTGCTCTATCTGTACACTCATCTTCGAGGTTAACCTCCTGCCTCTGCACTCAATAATGCGGACCAACTGTTCAGAAGTACGGACGATGAAATATCCAATGCCGCCCATGTGAAATGTCAACCTTGAGATCCACCGGCCATGATCGCCCGAGCCGCCAACAAGAAGCACAATGACGCACGAGGGGCAGTTCTTTCGAGATGTGGGCAGAACAAACACACGCCAGCAAAACATGCTGTAAACTTGGCAATCGAGCATCACTGCCGCAAAAGCTCCTGCCGTGGTGGGTAAGGTTGGCTGCTACTTCTCCTCACTCAAGTAGTAAAGCGTTTGCTCCTCTAGCAGGAGTGAATCTCTCCAAGCTGGCTGCCTCGACCGATCCTGCACGCCCAAGGGCCAACTATCCTAGGAGCTTCAGTGAACTCGTAACCTCACAGCTCATACCAGCCAGTCTACTACCGACGAATATGGCGAAGAGTCATGCTTTGAACAATAATTTGGGCGTGGACTATGTTGTTGTGTATCGCTTTGCTACGGCTGGTGTGTCCCACTGCTAGCTCGTTGAGATCAATGGCTGATATGTGCTACAGACAAGGCCAAGGCAACGGCACGCTTCGAAGACCTCATCCGCCGTCTAGCATCCGTAGGCCTCGCATCCGAAGTCCGCAATGGCGACAACCACTCCCTCCTCATCTTCATCCGCGTGACAAGCGAGCAGCACATGTTTGGCGAAGTCTACCGCTCAAGAGTCAAAGACTGGATCCATGGTGCACGATCCGCCGAGCCGTCGCGTGAGGTTCGACAGACGTTGGAGCAGGATCCCATGTCAGAGGCAGAACGGCTACGCATCATATACCAACTCATTACAAACCCTGAATCGGAAGGAGGTGCGGGCATCACACCGAAGAAGGGCGAGTGGGAGAATGTGGAGTCCGTGTTTGCATTACATGATCATGTCTACAACAAAGAGTGGATCAAGAAATGGTCGACGCAATGGCTGCTCAAACCAGAAGATCTGGACGAGATACGGAATCGGATGGGAGAGAAGATCGCCTACTACTTTGCCTTCACCCAAGCATACTTCACCTTCCTACTCTTCCCAGCCGGCTTCGGACTCTTCGCGTGGGCTTTCTTGGGCTACTATAGCAGCATCTACGCCATCGTCTGCTCACTGTGGTGTATCGTCTTTACCGAGTACTGGAAGCATCAGGAATTCGACCTGGCACTTCGGTGGAGCGTACGTGGTGTGAGTGCTATTGAAAGCAAGCGACATGAGTTCAAGCCTACGAAACATGTGCAGGACACCTCGACGGGCGAGACGATGGGCACGTTTCCATCGCAAGACCGACTTCAGCGTCAATTGTTGCAAATACCGTTCGCCGCGGCGGCTGCAGTTCTGCTCGGATCGCTCATTATAATGTGTTTCGGTATCGAGGTCTTCATCTCAGAAGTCTACGATGGGCCGCTCAAATCTGTGCTGGTATTCCTGCCTACTGTTATTCTTACGACCTGCATGCCACTGCTTAGCGGCATGCTCACGAACTTTGCTACACAACTCAACGACTTCGAGAACTACGAAACACACTCACAATACGAACGAGCACTGACAGCCAAGATCTTCGTCCTCAACTTCATCACTTCTTACCTACCTGTCTTCCTAACGGCATTCGTCTACGTGCCCTTTGGCAGCGTCATCGTACCTTACTTGGATATCTTCAGCTTAGCCGTCAAGCCCTTCGCTGAGAACGAGAAGCAAATGACAGCACCGTCCGCGAGCCAGTTCAACATCAATCCCGGTCGACTACGCAAACAAATCATTTACTTCACTGTCACTGCTCAAATCGTCGGACTAGGCATGGAGGTCATAGTCCCTTACCTTAAGAGGCAAGGCTTCATCAAGATCAAGCAGATGCAGAGCCAGCGTGCTCAGCGCAATGGCGGTATTGTACCGTCAGCCGCAGCAGACGATGCACCAGAGGAGAAGGAATTCCTTGCTCGTGTTCGTGGAGAGGCGGAACTGGACGTCTACGACGTTACCGCCGATCTGCGAGAGATGGTCGTCCAGTACGGATACCTCACGCTCTTCAGCGTGATCTGGCCATTAGTGCCGGTCAGTTTCCTCATCAACAACTGGGTCGAGCTGAGGACGGATGCTGTAAAGATTTGTGTTGAGATGCAGCGGCCTACACCATGGCGAGCGGACTCGATCGGTCCTTGGCTTGATGCTCTGAGCTTCTTGACTTGGTTGGGGAGTATCACGATGAGTGCGCTTGTCTACCTCTTCAGCAACGACGGTCTCGGACCGGACGGCAGTCCACAATCAATCAAAGCCTGGGGACTCCTCCTCTCCATCTTCTTCAGCGAACACATCTACCTCCTCACACGCCAGGGTGTCGCCTTGGCGATCTCAAAGATTGACTCGCCTGGTCGACAAAAGGCCCGTAGGGAACGGTACCTCACGCGCCAAAAGCTCTTCGAGGAATCGCTCGATCAGACACATAAGCTACCTACTTTGTCTGAAGTTGGCGAGAAGCCTTCACGCACCAGCCTGGAGGAGGAGGCACGACAGGGGAGTCTCAAGACAGCTTCTCCTGAAGAGAGATTTTGGGCTAGGCAACAGGGGTGGCGGGAGAGTGCTCAGATTGGAAGGGGATATATTGAGAGGGCTGTGCCGGATGAGAAGGAGATGGCGAAGGAGAAGAAGGAGTTGTGAGAGTGTTTCTTTGGCTTTGGATAGATCGCTGATGTGCGTTCTATAGGGCGCACGAGGTGGAGGAAGTTGTTGGGCTGGCTATCAGCGTGGCGTTTTGAGGTATCTATCATGACTTAAGACTAGCAGTCCTCGGAAAACGAAACGCAAAGTTTCCTTATGGCCTCTGATCACACTTCCCCATAAGTATCTCGAGACTCCACCAAAACTCACCCACGTCACCCTCACCTGCCTCCCTGGCCCCAATACCTTGCGGACTCGCCCATAAGGACCCGCCAGGCCCTAGCCTCCGGATGCACAACCCGCTGGCTATTAACATGGCTGGCGATCCGGAGACTCTTCTCCAGCTTCTGCCAATCTTCGACACCAAGGTATTGAGCAAATGCACGGAGTAAAGCCTGATCCACTGTGTGCTTCACGAGCTTTCTTCCGGGGTTTATTCCGTGCAGTGCCTTCACGAATGCAGCATATTGTAGTTTGTTGGGATCTTCGATGATGGGTTTGTTCCAAATGTCTTGTCCCTTCCTTTGTGTGGCTGAGGTTGTGAAGGCTGCGCTGTGGAGTGGTGGCGGGTTCAGGGCGTGTGTAGTGAGAGCACTGCATTGGCTGAGAAACCGAGACATGTTCGCAGCGTGGTCATCGATTTGCATGCACACGGGCACGATGACCACGACGATGCTTTTCAGCGATGTATATCCTTGCCTGCATACAACATCTCGTGGGGCAGCCATGGTGACACGACACATAGAATGCCTAGAAGTTTTCAGACATACTCGTGTGATTCATGACTTCAAGGCTACACAGCATTGCCCCTTTGCGCATACCCTACGACTCTGAAAGCTCGTCTGATGCAGTTGATGACTCCGACGAGCTCTACCGCATCGTGTGGGAAGGAATGGGCTTGGTGCGCCAGAATTCCAGAGGCGACTGACCAGGTTTGGCCTAACATTGAACTGCTACAGATGGAGTTGCAAGACTGGTTGCGTGGAGAACCCATGAGTGAGATCGTTGCAGGGGTACTAGGTCCAAAGGCGCTTGCGACGAGGTGTTGTTCTGCTGCTCGGCTGTGGCAATTCACCTACAGCCACAGATGTCATGTAGACTGGATCGAACAATGAAAAGAGTGATACGAGTCGTCATCAATCGTGGTGGTACACGTACTATCTAAGCGGGTCAAAGCCATCACGCCTAAACACCACCACCTTCATTCACCTTCCCTTTTCCCATCATCCTGATCGTGCGTACCCTGCTTCCCAAACGCCCGCTGATGATAAACGCTATCACTACCTTGTCTCGCAACTGCCGTCTCGACATTCGACCTCTGAGCGACCTCATCATCGCCACGAACAGACGGCCGCGCATGAAGCGCCGAAGCACCCCGTCGCAAAGCCGGACGGCCAGTCGCTGCCCTAGAGCGCGCCATGGCCATCGACTGCAACAGTAGCGAAGCCGTCGTCGTGGTGGTGGATGAAGTCGTCGAAGCTGAAGTCGAGCGCAGGATTGAGGCTTGCATCGAGCGCGCCATCCGCGAAGGCGAAAGGCTCCAGATGGCTAGCAGGATAGTCTTGTAGCAGGTCTGGAGCTGCAGCGTCATGAGACGCAGGAAGAGGGTTGCCCAGAAGGAGCTGGGAGAAATCGATGTTGTGGAAGCTAGGGCCACTCGCTTGCTCGCTGGGCTCGACCGACACGGCAGGTCGCACAACATTGCTGCAGAATGTTGTGTCGGGTCGAGGGAGAGCTGAGTGGAGGCTTTGGCATCGATGTACTCGAAGTTCGGGGCCATGAAGGAGGGGAGGGAGTCGACTGGTTCTTGTTTGATGATGTCTTCTGGAGGGGAGTCCGGTGAGGGTGAGTCGTCTTCTTCCGTTTCCATCAGAGAGGGTACTGGCGTCTCGCCGCTGCGTGATGTTAGTCTCATGTGATTTGCTGCTGCCTGATACTTGTGACTTACTTGTCGAGTGTGACTTCTGGCAGCACTATATGTGAAGGGAGGGGCCCGTGAAGCGAGCGGTATGCGTTTAGCTCGGCGTTTGCGCGGGCTAGAGCGACGGCGAGCGTTTCGGTCTCTTGCCGCTTGCGTTCTCGAGAGTTGTGTGCTGCGGCGCGATTTCGCTTTATGCGTTCTATCCGCCGTTGCTCTTTCTCGTCGTCGGTCTTGGCACGCTTGCGAGGAGGCAGCATCGTCTTGGGCTCTGGTAGTGCTTGACCCCATGACTTCCGCTTCTTTGCCGGCTTCGAATGCACGACAACGGCGTCATGAGATGTGGTCATGGTAATGCTGTTGTGGTTGTCGCTTTCAAAAGCAGGAGACGGTGACGGTGATGTGGTGCTGGTGAGATCGTCTGGGTTGAGGAACTGAGGGGAGGCTGAAGAGGCCATGTTGTCGAATGTGATAGTCGAGAGTTGTTGAGCCTCCATGATTGCGGTGATCACTGGGCAGGTGCCCTCATAAGCCTTGCCACAAAGGACACGAATTCAAAAAGTCCGCAGGTTGCGAGATTCAGGGCTTATGAACAGTTGTCCACCCCACACATTCAGAATCCAACAAGGGGGCTGAGCGGTGTGGGGCGCCTTTTGTCGTTCCGGGCCGCGCCACTCGAAGTATTCTTCCAGCGCTTTCCATGTGAATTGCTCGGTATTGATTAAATCAGGAGAGGCTAAATACGATTCAGGCAGAGGTCAGGTTTCGTGCCGCGGCCGGATGTCTCATTTCCCATCCGAAAGGGCGGCCAAAGAGCGCGTCCTACTACTGTAGCATTATAAGCTTATGTGATTGATCAGCTTTGGCCTTACCACCTTATTCGCCACCACATCCGTTGGGCATGGCTTGAAGAAGTCCGAATGTCAGTGTAAGACGGGACCACGTCCTCGATGCACTATCGTTCTCGCCAGCTATTGAAGCAGAATATACTTGGAACTGGAAGCCAAGATGTCGTTCTGTCACGTCCAGACTGGCGCATGAAGTGTCGATAAGGTGGCGTGCGGATTGAGCTACGTCTAAACTAGCCAATGTTATCCTACATCGGGTCACGAACGACAAGCACGAGCATGGAAGAACAGTGGAATAGCACTCAGTGTAGTAGGACCAATCTACTTCTAACTCAGACTCCCTCTGATCTCGTCGTTCAAGCTGTGGTCACAGCCATTGCGCTCCTTCACAACGCAGCTATGACTGACCACCATCAAGCAGAGAATGTGGTCCATGATCACACATCCAACCATCCCACTAAGACAATTCTGCGCTGCCTCGCTTCTTCGGCCCCCGACACAATTACTTCGTTACATATAACGCCATCACGCAGCCCAACATCGTGTCCTTCCTCGTCATCACAGACGACCTCAGCGACTGGCGAGACGCTCAAGGCACGGTATTGCACGCCCATGCTACTCCGGCCACTGCAGCTCTCGGATATCAGAATACAGCTTCATACCTATCTTGTCGTCAAGCTTGCTGTACTTGAAGACACGATTGATCGTAGTAGGTATTTCGCGTTACCCCCGAGTATTGGTATACTGCCTACAAGCTGTCGTGGACCAGAGTGCTGGTGTGATGCTGATCGTATCATCTAGACACTTTGTGCCTGTCGCGGGCCAATGTAAGCCCATCGACTGGTCAACCCGTGGAGGGGTTTGTTTGCCATGTGCTGTCGTCCTGTAGAGCGTTGTGCGAGGGACGTCTGGGATGCCTTCCGCCACAGTGCGGTATACACAACTTCTTGCAAATGACATTACGTTCATGCTTCGAGAATTGAGTCGATCATCGCTTGTCAGATACCGGTAAGCTGTAACCCCTGGTCATGAAATCACTACTCTTGCCAGATGGCTTCGCCTGGTCTCGAGTCGAGAACAGACTACGCACATTTTGGTTCTCGAGCTTGCGCTTTTTCGTGCGCTCTTGCTCGTCCAGCACTTTTGCTGTTAGAGAAGCGGTGGACGCGTTGTTGATGCTCTTATGGCTATCCTTTGCAGGTGCATCGTTGCCTGCTGTGGAAGTCTTATCCTGAACTAATTCCTGCTGCATATCCTGCTGGACTTTTCTCCCGTCATTCACAACCACGACAACCTCGTCCTTCTTCTTGCGCTTCTTGTTGCCGCCTGAGGCCTTCTTAAGCGAATGCGATAGTCCTTTTTCTTGCAGAGTCTTGACCCGCAACGATAGTCGCGCGATGTCCGTATCGATCGTTGGTAGGATCGCGATGATATCATTCGAAGCATACGCAGTTTCACAAGTCAAACACTTCTCGCCTGAAACCTCCTTAATGGCTGTGCCGGAGAACGCATGTCCGCATGGCACCAGGTACACTGCCTTTGAGCTTGGCCCAAGTCTATCACCAGTTATGGGGCAGACCCAGATCTCACCCGTCGCTGTCTCTCCCGCCTTGCTGCCAACCTCAAACTTCACCTCCACGACATCCTTGAGACTCTTGATTGCGCCTCCAGTGATGCGCTCTGCGTCGTCCTTACGTGCACCTTCCACGAGGTACTCCAGGACTGTGTCCTTATTGTATAGCTTCCCCGATGAGTCCGATACCACTGGCTGAGCAAGCGGCTTGGTCGAGATTGGATCCGTGGTCCAGTGGTATTCCTGCTGTTCTTGACGGGTTTCTTTGAGCTCGCTGGTCGTGAGAGCACGTGCTGCTTCTTTGACCAGCTCGCGACGAGTCGGTATACTACCACCGTCGTTACCCATGCCGCCTTTTGCAACCTGAAATACCAAATTGTCTGTGTTCGCGGAATACCTAGAAGCTTGTGATTGTGGATAGTCGAAGTCGCGTGACTCGCGCAAATAAGCTTACGGACCGAAGGCAACCTTAAAAGTGAATTGCCGGAGGCCGAGAGCTCAACCGAGGCCACCGAATGGTTCGATGCTATAATCTGACAGTAAGCCTTCAAGTTGATGAGGCCAATGATAATTTGGGAGACAACACTCGCTGGACTCGTCACTCCTCTCTGGCCTGCTTGCAAAATCCCGGACACAACCACAATGATCTGCCAAGAATCTGAGCTCAACGGACAAGCATAGCACAACTACCTCTTTGGGAAGTGAGCACGTGAGCTACGAACAAGCTACGAAGAAACAAAGTTCAATTACTGGAAGGAAGTCTCTGAGTATGGTCGACATGGAGAGGCCGGCGGCTAAGCGCCGTCGGATCTCGAGCTCTGCTGCAGACATGCAGTCGGCTATAACTCAACCAGGATCGATCAAGATTAATGTCACTGGAGCATATATCATCGATCACGAAGAGGAAGACATCTCTCACAGTAGCGGAAGCTCCCCATCCAGCAGCCCGGACGTTGACGAGTCGACTTACCAGCATCATAAGCGTGATATTCGGCTACCGAATCACACTTCTCTCGTCAGTCATGTGGCGGCGGATATCGGCGGATCACTGGCCAAGGTCGTCTACTTCTCTCGCGAGAATGGTGATGCAGCAAGTGGTGGCCGACTTCACTTTCTATCTTTCGAAACGGACAAGATCGATGACTGCATCGAGTATCTACGTACTTTGCAAGCTCGGCACAAGCAGACCAATGGTGCCAAGGCCACCGAACTACGAGTCCAAGCTACGGGTGGCGGAGCGTACAAGTTCTACAACAGGATCAAGGAGCGCTTAGGTGTCGATGTCGAGCGAGAAGATGAGATGGCATGCCTCATCAAAGGACTCGACTTCTTCATAAGTGAGATCCCTTACGAGGTTTTCACATACAACGATACTGATGCGGAGAACGCCGTCACGTACCAAGATGCTCGATCGGATGTCTACCCTTATCTTCTAGTGAACATCGGCAGTGGTGTCTCCATGGTCAAAGTCTCTGGTCCATCACAATTCCAGCGTATTGGTGGTACATCCCTGGGTGGTGGTACTTTGTGGGGTCTGCTGTCATTACTTACTGGAGCGAGGAATTTCGACGACATGCTTGCCATGGCCGACAAAGGCGACAACACTGCGGTCGACCTTCTGGTCGGAGATATCTATGGAGAAGGTATGGGTTACGAGAAGATTGGTCTGAGCGAGAAGACGATCGCAAGTAGTTTTGGTAAAGTGCTCAAGCGGAAACGGGAGGCGGAAAGATCTGCGGAAGATGGCGGTGGGTTGAGCAATGGCGACACCACTGGATCGAAGCCACAAGTTGATGGCGCGGCCGAGACTGGGACTGATGGCTCGAATCTGGTCGGAGATGGTCGAATGTTCAAGCCTGAGGACATCTCACGGAGCTTGCTCTATGCCATCAGGTCAGTAGCTCTGTAGTGCCATACTCTGACTCGACTGACACTTCTACAGCAATAATATCGGCCAAATCGCCTACCTGCAATCTGAGAAGCACGATCTTCAACGCATCTACTTCGGTGGCTCGTTCATTCGTGGGCACCAGCAAACCATCCACACGCTGTCATATGCCATCAAGTTCTGGAGCAAAGGTCTGAAGCAGGCTTACTTTCTGCGTCATGAAGGCTATCTTGGCGCTGTGGGAGCGTTCTTGAAGCGGAAGCCTGTCAATTGGGGACGGAGAGGGAGCGTAGATTTTGTAGAAGCGTGAATGTGCTTGAACCTTGCTCCACGGTGACCGTATTCGTGTTGCGGACTTCGACGTTTCTTCTTCAGCCTCACAAGTTCGTATTGTCTCTCATCGAGAGCTGACTGCTGGGATTGCTTGTGCTACCTCAAGCTGCAGTTCCCTGCATGTGAAACGGTCAAAGACGGCACACATCCTTGAAAACACGCGAGGACTTTTGTTGTGGCGCTCGCACGTAGCTGCTATACATCTCGGGACAGCATAAGGACGACACTGATTTGTTCACTCTCCACCTGATTGTGAGCGTGTGAGGAAGTAACTCTTCGCGTGGTGCCAGACAGAAGGCTTGGCAGGGCCGACACCTCCACGACACGGGTCTCTTGCACGCGAAGCCGATCCTTGACCAGAAAACATCCCGCATCTGTAAATCAACAATACATCTCAAGCATTTTTGCTTGCTGCAATTTGGCAGTACCCATTCTAGATCATGGACGCTGCCGGTCTGAGGAGTCGTATCCAGGGCACTCTCAGCCCAGATGCTGATATCCGCCGGCAGGCAGAGCAAGAGCTCAAAGCCGTACGTCTATTACCTTCTGCTACCGTACCGTGTGGCCTGGCAAGTCATGCAACTACTTACTGACCCATACTTGCTGTACAGGCGGAGGAAAGTCCTGGATTCTTGGATGCCTTGTTGAATATTCTGGAAGCTGAGCAGGAAAATTCGGTGCGGTTGTCTGGTATGCGCGTACACCCATGAGGACTGGCTGGCATGGCAAGAGCTGGACTGACATGGTGCAAACAGCTGTCGTCTATTTCAAGAACCGGATCAACAAGGGCTGGGCGAGATCTGAGGATGGACCGAGTAGTACTGCGATATCCGATCAAGAGAAAGTGACTGTCCGAGCACGACTTGTGCCAGTCATTGCCCACGCACAACCCAACAACCGCACACAGCTCGTAGTAGCTTTGCAGAAGATCTTGCACTGCGACTTCCCGAAAGAGTGGCCAGATTTCGTCGATACGACTGTCAAGCTCCTCCACGCCCAAGATGTGCAGTCAGTGTTCGCTGGACTTCAGTGCCTGCTGGCGGTCTGCCGGACATATAGGTTTAAGCTGGGCGACTCCAGAGGCGAATTCGACCAGATCGTTGCGACAACATTTCCTCAACTGCTCAACATAGGCAATAGTCTGCTCAACGAGGACAGCATCGAAGCAGGTGAGATGCTACGGACTGTGTTGAAGGCCTACAAGCACGCAATCTACTTCGAGCTCCCAGTCCACCTGCGGACACATCAAGCGATGGTGGACTGGTGCACACTTTTCTTACAAGTCATTGCGAAAGAGCCACCGGCCTCGTCCATGCTGGAGGATCTAGACGAACGCGAGCTCAACCATTGGTGGAAATGCAAGAAGTGGTCATATGTCAACCTCAACAGGCTTTTCGTACGGTACGGCAACCCGGGCAGTCTGCAGAAAGGCAATGGCGAGGATTACACCCAAGTCGCGAAGTCGTTCATCGAGCAATTTGCACCTGAGATCCTCAAGGGCTATCTCGTCCAGATCGAGAAGTGGGTCCAGAAGCAGGTTTGGCTAAGCAAGCCTTGCTTGTCCTACACATTGACATTCATGGACGAGTGTGTGAAGCCGAAGCAAATGTGGGATCATCTCAAACCTCATATGCCCATCTTGATACGACATCTCGTGTTTCCGGTTCTTTGCCAGTCTGACGAGGACTTGGAGCAGTTTGACTACGATCCTGCGGAGTATCTGCATCGAAAGCTGAATTTCTATGAGGAGGTCTCAGCTCCAGATGTCGCAGCTACGAACTTTCTGGTCAGCCTCACCAAGGCACGCCGAAAGCAGACGTTCGAAGTCCTTACCTTTATCAACGAGATCGTCAACCGATACGAGGCTGCACCGGACGATCAGAAGAACCCACGCGAGAAGGAAGGTGCTCTGCGCATGATCGGAACATTGTCGAGCGTCATCCTTGGCAAGAAGAGCCCAATTGCTGACCAGGTCGAATACTTCTTCGTGCGACACGTATTTCCTGAGTTCAGGAGTCCTCACGGCTTCCTACGCGCTCGAGCATGCGACACGCTGGAAAAGTTCGAGTCGCTCGACTTTAAGGATCCCAACAACCTCACTGTCATCTACCGCAATATCCTTGAATCCATGGCCGACGACTGCTTACCCGTCCGAGTCGAGGCGGCATTGGCTCTCCAGCCACTCATACGGCACGATCCTATCCGCACTATGATGCAGCAGAACATCCCTCAGATAATGCAACAGCTACTTAAGCTTGCCAACGAGGTTGATGTTGATGCTCTCGCAAATGTCATGGAGGACTTTGTTGAGGTCTTTGCACCGGAACTCACGCCCTTCGCTGTCGCACTCACAGAGCAGCTCCGTGACACCTACGTCCGTATAGTCCGAGAACTCATTGAGCGCAACTCGTCAAGAGAGACTGACGAGGGTTACGGCGACTTCCTCGATGATAAGAGCATCACGGCTCTTGGCGTACTACAGACTATCGGCACGCTTATCCTTACTCTGGAAAGCACACCCGATGTTCTTGCGCACCTCGAAACTATCCTTATGCCCGTCATCACGATCACGCTCGAACAGAAGCTCTACGACCTTTATAACGAAATCTTTGAGATCATCGATAGTTGCACATTCGCTGCAAAGGTCATCTCACCCACCATGTGGAACGCATTCGAGCTCATACATCAAACATTCAAGTCTGGCGCGGAGCTTTATCTGGAGGACATGCTACCAGCGCTGGAGAACTTCGTCAATTACGGCCACCAAGCACTGCTAACGAACCGGGCATACCTTGATGCCATTGTTGACATGATTCGCACAATATTTAAGGACGAGAAGGTAGGCGGTGTCGACAGAATATGCGGTTGCAAGCTCGCTGAAATTCTCATGCTCAACCTCCGTGGCGGCATTGACGACAAGATTCCCGAATTCATCACGCTAGCCATGGAAGTGCTTACCAACGACGAATTGAAGATCAAGTCGTATAGGATACACCTGATGGAGATGGTCATAAATGCCGTCTATTACAACCCACGACTTTCACTACAGGTTCTTGAGGCAAATGGCTGGACGAACAAGTTCTTCAGCTTGTGGTTCTCAAGCATCGACACCTTCACACGAGTTCATGATAAGAAGCTCTCCATCGGCGCCATCACCTCGCTGCTGACATTACGAGGAGATGAAGTGCCGCAGAGCGTACAGCAAGGGTGGCCGAGATTGCTACAAGGTGTGGTACGACTGTTCCAGACATTACCGGCTGCATTGAAGAATCGAGAAGAAGCACAGCGAGAAGACGACTTCGGGATTGGTGGTGACTATGAAGATGATGAGGAGGAAGAAGGCGAGTGGGAGCAAGACGACTGGGATCATGAGGAGGAGGCTGAGACGACCGACGTCAAGGACGAGAGCACGGCGTATCTCGACTTTCTCTCACAACAAGCGGCGAAATTCAACAGCGCTGTGGGCGAAGACGAAGACGATGATGAGCTGGAAGAAGAGAGCTTACTGGAAACGCCGCTGGATAACATGGAGCCTTACAGTCTGTTCGAGCAGTCGCTTGAGAGTAAGTCGTGCTACCTTACAGTACTATGGCAGTATCGTGCTAACACATTGCAGACCTCCACCAGCAAGATCCACAACTCTACAACCAGCTCACCGGCACTCTCGGCCCCGAAGAAATGCAAATCCTGAAAGCGACAGTCGAGACAGCGGATAAGGTCGCCACACAAAATGCGGCCCTGCAGGCCCAAGCCGGCAGCACCCCTTCAGGTACAAGTGTGCCGCACACCAACGGCGCGAGCTGAGCAAAAGCATACATACCTACTTGCTCCGCCCTGCCCTGCCCTACCCTGCCTTGCCGTTTGTCTGCACAGCAGTATCAAAAAGATGATATCCATAGCCCTCATGCTGCTACCCTCCTCCCATAGATACCCGAAATGAATTGATGTTGAAATGCTCTGCTGACGTGTTTTTGACAACTTTCAGTGCGTGTGTTTAGGTCGACGGCTGCGCGGAGGCGTGAGCTTTCTCAGGTGAAGAGGGTTATTGCTAAAGCTGATGGGGTGATGATTGAGAGGAGTAAGAGGTGAGGAGTGGGAGGTGTGCTGAAGGGTATGGGTAGTGGAATGGGATAGTGGGGGTGTTGTGGTGACTGACAGGACATTACTTTTGGCGATGCTATATGTGGCTTCCACGATATCGCTACGCAGCAACGGGGCTCTACGAGGAGCTGATGGCCTTCCCTATGGCATATCCACCACTATCGCACGGCCACAAAACCCGCTAGCACCCTCGCCCTTCGCTCTTGCAGACGCCTCAATGCTTCCCCCCAAAGGCGTCTCGAGCCGAAAAGACGCTCGATATCACTCCTCATCGGAGCTCGTGCCTCGCAAATATCTTGCTGGCTCATGGCCTCGATCCGGACCTACGATCCCCGAGCATTCTCATCCATCGCCGGATTCTAGAGAACTTAGCGACGGCGGCGTAAGGCGGAAGCCGCGTTCAGTCCATCCGTCTGTGCCTGTAAGTCCCCCAGCCATTCCTCGTCACATCGCCACGCCTCAGCAAGCGAGCGACCTGCTCATCAGTTGCCCTGCCTGCGGCATTCGAGTCTGCTTTCCAGCGCGTCATGTCGTGCTGCCAATCCTTCAACTTTCCGACAGTACTCCTGAGCTTGCCGATATCGTCCAGCACTAGATCCTTCGATATCGCTAAGCGCGTGACTTCGTATTCTAGGTAGGAAAGTCGGTCTTCATGAGACTTGACGTCAGGCTGTGTCTCTGCCTCCGCTCGAAGCTCAAAATTCCGCTCCACATCGGCCATTCTTGCTTCGAGACCGCGTATGTCGTAGTCGCTTATGCCATTGGCTCTCTCTAGGTCATGTATGCGATCACCGTGAGTGCTGGATTCCGATTGCTTGTTCGTCACTCCGGCGATGCGGAGGTCGAGATTCGCCACTTGAGTGCTGACCGTCGTGGTCAGGCGTGTCTCGACTTTCGCCACTTCGGCTGACACCACCTTCCTTGCTGCTGCACTGTGTGAGGACTCGGTGCCGGTTGACGCCGTTTTGCTCACTTTCGCAACCGTGAGATTTCGAGACTTCTTGACATCCTTTAGTTCTCCTTCGAGACGCTCGCAGCGGATAGAAAGGTCCCGAAGTTGGCCGTCCATCATTTGCTCCACCATTGACTTGACGACAGCGGTCATATTCTGATTCATCGTGATCGGCTTCTCTGGCTTGACAACCTCCTTGGGAGAGTGAAGGGCGATGTGTTTGTCCATGGTCGCCTTAAAGCCCTCGAGGTTGGCCAGCAAGCTGAAAAGGTCACCGAGCTGCCCGTGCCTTGTATCTTTGCCAGTCTTCGCGCCCTCGAGGAAGAAGTTGCCGTGAACGTCTCGTGACAGGCGATCTCGCAGGCAGTCGACGAGATCGTTGACCTTGGTACCGTCAATGCGTTGGAGGCCTATGTTTGTGCCGCAGTTCTCGCAGGTTGGGTTGGCTGCTCCTGCAAGTGAAGCAGATGCTTCGGACGGCATGGGGACGAGCCCTTGGCGATGGCGATTATATGCGATTGGTGAGTGGCCACTGGAGAAATGACAAGATGAGGTGAAGAAGTTGAGGACTGTTGCCCGGTGGCGAAGGTGTTCGAGCCCAAGCTCTCGATCAATAGACTAGCGTGGAATTCAACTTTGTCAAAAGTGGAAGGAACGACTGTCCCGATCACAAAGCTTCACATGTGCGTGCATAAGATATACTTGCCACTATCGCTCTATCCCAGATACTAAATGCCCATGCGATCGTCCTGCGCGATTTCGTCTCCATTCAGAGCGGCACCGTAGCATCACTTGTGGTTGTGAAGCCTAACCTGACAACGTCCGACACCAAGCAGCATCCCTCCAGCAGCACCATCCGGCGCCGTGAAGACGTGCTAAGTAGCGTACAATGACAGGAAAGCTCTGCACTACTGACGTGACAACGTGACATACCTGCACCAGAACCCGAGGCGCTCGAGTAGTATGGCACGATGGCACGACGACGACCTGGACTGGATCTGAACCATGTTGGATGGTGAAGAACCAGGACAGGATAAGAGAACGTGATAAAGCAGGTTTCCTACCTTGGCACGAGTGCGGCTTCGCGAGAGCCTCGCTTCTTGATCGCCTTGGGGACTTTTCGCCCTGCGTAGTGCGGCATAGCATCGCTGCTGGGTGCTCAAACTCGGCAGCACTAGCCTGACCACACCGTGAACCGGGCTCAATCTCAAGTGGCAGCGCTGTTGGCCTTGCTCTTTTGGTCGCTATTGAGAGCGATGGTCAATCACCACCGGTATGGCTCAGATAGCTCTTAGTTGGCAATGTGAAAACCTCCGCTCCGTTCTGTGTTCTGGCTAGTTCCACCAGTGGATGGACGCAGCAACGAGCGAGGCTACTTCTTGCGAGAATATCGCGGCTCGTGGCCCTCCGCTAGTCTGATGTCGTCCTCAGCTTCGTCTAGATATCGCTCAGCGCGAGAGCTGCTGCGTTTCCAGAGTGCGAAGCAGGTCGAACGGACGGATGTGCAAATCAGAGCGCATTGGCTGGAGAGTGACTTGATCTGCTCCTTAAATTCGATGGCTTGTTCGTTGCTTGCATCTCGATCACCCTCGAGGGACTTTAGCCTCGTTTTGCACTTTGCTTTGAATCCCGCTAGCTTGTCGTTGAGTTCGGCGATTCGAGCGCCTGACTGATTGCGAGCTTCCTTCTCGGCCTTGATCGACTTCTCAAGTGTGAGAATCCGCTTGAGCATATTGTGTTCTTCGTTCGCGTTCTGCTCCTCCTCGAGCGAGGTGAGACGTGCAGTAGCTTCATCGAGTCGTGCTTTGAGCTCACGGTTCAGATCCTCAAGTCGCTCGGTCTCGGCGACAAAATAGTCGCTGAGTTGACGGCCCTGGTCCAGACTCAGGCGGTCTTCGATCTAGGATCTAAGATCTTCGAAGTCCTTCTCCTTGATCTTGATATCAGACTGAACCGCCACCAGCGAAATCAGCTCCTCGTAGTGCTTCTTCGTGCGCTGCTCGATCGTCTTCAGCTTTACATCAAGCTGTATGGCGTTCGGCACTTCTGTGGTCAGCTTGAATGTATCAACATGTTGACTTAGCTCGTTGCATATACTCTGCAACTTCTTGAAGTCCAGGAGATCGTTATCTCGATAGATTTCAAGATCGCGCACATCTCGTGCGAGGACTGCCCATATCGACATTCTCGCGGTCACGATCCAGTGTTGACAGGCTGAGGTCACTTACTGTGCCGTTGTGCTCGGCCAGCACATCATGTTCGGATCTATGCAAGGCAGTGTTGTACTTCGTCAACACGTCTAGGAGGCCAAACATGACAGGAAATTGCTCCCGTTGCTTGCGTTTGTGCTTGCGACTTCGTGTCTCGAATGCCTCGCCATGCAGCCCACCGAGCCAGTACTGAAGTAGCTCAGCTGCTAGGCGCTCGCCTGTGGTGGCATGTTCGTTCACAGGACAAGCAGCATTCTCGCCACTTGGGCCTGCATATTGTCCTTCGGCAAGGACGGCAGTCTCGCGCGCTTCGCTCGTGGGCTGGTATCTGTCGCAAGAGGCTTGCTCGCCTCGATTGTCAGCTTTGTCAAATTCATGTCGGTCATACTTGAGGTAGTCTTTATGGGGGTCATTCATGGTTAGACGACACTGTGTGTATGTACTCGTGTATTTGTCTGGTTGTAGGAGATTGTTGTTGTTCACGACGCGAATGAGACAGGCTAGCGTGGGACTTAGCGAAACCTGCGGAGATTGATAAGATAGCATTTTTGCTAAATGACTTCTACACATGTCCTACCTCACTCTCATCTGCTATTCTGGTGACTATTCGGGGGCCTAGCTCGGTTCGCTATTATGGCAGAGAGCAAGGCATCAGACCGGTCCGATCTACCCGCGGAAAACATGTTATAAACACAGGGTCCCTGTCGAGCTCCCAGTCATACTAGCAGAACCCAAAATACAACGAAATGTTCGGCATCACCTTTCCAGGGCCTCGAAGGAGAGTAGGCACCTGCAACAATTGATTTGCTCGCTCTGCAAACTCGAGAAGCTGAGAGCGAGCCAGCATCCCATCATTAATTCCACACAATGGGAGCGGAAACGGTTGAGGTGGTTGCGCGAGGGAATGTCGTGGGGCCATCTGTACGGTGTGTGATTTCACATAAATATGCATATACCCCACGTCCGACTACAGTTGCTTTGCCTTACTGTACAGTACCATACTAGACAGCAACATCGCCACCAAACCCCACCGGCCGCCTCCTCGCCTGTCCCTGGACGGGCGGCGTAAAAGGCACAATAGCCATGACCTGATACAGCCTCCCCATCCCCTGCGGCCCCCCATCCACCAACCTCCTCCACCCCGACTCAACCCTCTTGACAATCTCAGTCAACTCCCCTTTATCCCTCCCTTCTCTACCCTCGCTCCCTTCCCCTCCTTCCCCTCCCATCCCACCTCCTCCCACACCACCTCCTCTCGTACCACCTCCTCTCTCCCTATCAACAGCCCTCTTAACCAACTGCGCCGCCCGCTCTTCAATCCCCATTGCCTTTAAGAAAAGTGCTTGGGAGACGGGTCCGTGGACTTCTACCCCTGGGGAAGCATTGATAGCTGCTTCGGCTAAAGCGAGAAAATCCACGTCGGCGCTTAGATCCGTGGTTCCGGCTGAGAGGAAAGGGGAGACGCGAGTGTGTTGTTTTATCCCTCGCAAAGAGTTTATTGGGATGCTGGAGGGGGGGCCGTAGTCGATTATCAGGGCTGCTCCTGACGGTTGCGGCTTTGCTAGCGCTTCTCCTGTCGCCGTTATAGCAGCAGTAGCAGCAGACCGTACCGTCTTCCCCGCCCCCGCCGCCGCTGCCGCCCGAGTCTTCGGCTGCCTATCCTTCTTCTTACTCGCCGCCGCAGGATTCGCCCCCCCAATCCTCTCCGCCAGATCCCGGGCATAGGCTTGCGACTCGGGACTGATTTCTATCGTCGCCCCCTCTGTCGACTTGAGGGCTTGGTAGCGCGGGGAGGTTTCCGGGAGGTACATGGAATGCGGGGTTGCGCTCTTGGCCATCGTGAGCTCGAATTCGGGTTCTTGCTCTTTTAGGCGGTGGGGTGGGATGGGGGAGACGACTAGTTCGCGCCATTGGTTTTTTGGGGGGAGTCTTCGGGCGGTTGGGGTTGGGTTTGGGTTCGCGATTGGGCCGGTGGGCGTCTGGATCATTCCTTCGTCTTTTCCATTTTGGGCAGACGGAGATGGAGCGGGGGGTGGAGCGACGGATTGGAAGACGTGGATGGGTAGGGCGTCGAAGAATTCGTGGGCGATGATGAACGGGGTTTTGTTTGCTTCGCGCGGCACGAATCGGATGTCTTCTGTCCAGATGATCTTCAGGTCCGGGCTGTGCTTGCTGGTGCTTTCGTGGCCGATCTCGTTCTCGATGAGTGAGTTATTCTCGCCACAGAGGAGTTTGTGCTGGGCGAGTCGGAGGTTGGCGCTTGCTTCGACCATGTAGACTGCTTCAACTGCTTTGGCTAAAGGGGGAAAATTGCGGATGGTCTGTCCTTTCAACATCAGCACAACACACTCTGCTTGTACTCATATTACAGTAAAGCAAGTATATATTTTGTTTGACATACCCTCAACATATCATCCATCAGCGTCCCTCTCCCAGGCCCAATCTCCATCAAATAGACCCCCTCGCTCCTCCTCCCCTGCGCCATCCATTCCGCCACCACCCACACCCCGATCAGCTCACCGAAGATCTGGCTGATCTCGGGACTGGTGACAAAGTCACCTTTTGTGCCGAATTGGTCTTTTTCCGTGGATGCAGTGTTGGTGGTGTAGTAGCCGCCGAGGTCTGAGGTCAGGCATTGGCGCATGAAGGAGGCTACGGGGATGGGGCCGGCGGTCTGGATTTATTGTTAGTATTGGTTATGTGTATGCAGCAAGGTGTTTAGTACGGTGATAGCCTCTGCGAGCTGCTTGGCTAAGGGAGTGGACCATTTATGCCCATCTTCTTCGATGGTGGTGGTGGTGGTGGTGGGGGTGGAGCTCCATCTTGCGCCGGAGGTGATGCATCGTCTCACCCGCACATCACTGGTGTTTCGAGATAGCCGTCGGAGTGTACGCGGTAGACTACTTCTCATTGCATACGGCCGAGAACAGTATATTGTATTGAGCTATCGATATAACAATGATATAATTCGAGGTGACTTTCTGGGTGTCCAAGCTTGATCTGCGTCATTGCTGTATATAAATGTCCATAGCCCCTCCACTACTCGGCCATCCATCCACAATGCCTTCTCGCTGGGCAGAAACAGCCGAAGATGCCGCGGAGTATGCAAAACGAAAGGCGGAGAAGGAAGAGAAGAAGAGGGTGAAAGCAGAAAAGCAGCAGCAGCAGCAGCGGCAGGCAGAGGAGGAGGAAGCACAGCGGGCACAAGCCAGAATCCATAACAACGACGAGGACGCAGCAAGACCCAACAAGCGCCGACGACTATCTCCCACCCAGGAAGAGCAGAACAACGAGGACAGTACAGGACGTCCGCTCCTCCGCTCCACCCCTCGCACCTGGCAACCCTGCCGCTCAATCTACCACTTCGACCTCCTAAATCACATAGAAGAGGGCAGCTACGGCTTCGTCTCACGTGCCCGCGAAAACGCCACTGGTAACATCGTCGCTATCAAGAAACTCAAACTCGATGCTATTCGTGATGCGGGGTTTCCTGTTACTGCATTGCGAGAGATTCAGTGTTTGAGGGCTGCGGCTGGGCATCGGCATGTGGTTGGGTTGAGGGAAGTTGTTTGTTCTGATTCTGATTCTACTGATCGAGATCGGGATCGGGGAAGCGGGGGTGGGAAGGGATCTGGGGGTGGTGGGGATGGCCGGGACGTCTACCTCGTCATGGACTTCCTTGAACATGACCTCAAGACCCTCCAAGAGGAGATGGTGGCGCCCTTCTCCCCTTCGGAGATCAAGGCGCTATTACTGCAACTCACCAGCGCAGTGGATTTCTTACACGACAACTGGATCCTCCATCGTGATTTAAAGACGAGTAATATCCTCCTCAACAACCGCGGCGAAATCAAATTAGCTGATTTCGGCATGGCGCGCTTCGTGGGTGATCCTGCACCCGCGAATCTTACGCAGATGGTTGTTACGCTTTGGTATCGGGCCCCCGAGCTTCTGCTGGGCGCGAAGGAGTATGGGGCTTGCATTGATGTCTGGAGTCTTGGGTGCATCTTCGGCGAACTCCTGCTCAAGCGGCCGGTGTTGCAGGGGCAGAACGAGGTGGATCAGTTGGGGTTGGTGAGTTGTGTTTCCCTGTTCATTACTTGCATGGACGGGTGAGAGCATGAGGGTTTAGACTACACGACTGATGATAATGTGAAACAGATCTTCGACCTCTGCGGTCTCCCCTCTGAGGAGAATTGGCCCGGTTTCAAACGTCTACCCAATGCCCGGACTCTTCGTCTCCCACCTTCGTCAAGTGGGAAGGGGGCTCATGGCCCCACGATCCGCTCCCGTTTCCCCGCCCTCACTCCCACTGGTACATCTTTACTAACCTCCTGCTTATCTCTCAATCCTGCCTCGCGACCGACCGCGAAGGAGATACTAGATCATGCTTACTTTCGCGAGTCGCCGCGGCCGAAGCCGACGGCGTTGTTTCCTACTTTTCCTTCTAAGGCGGGGCAGGAGAAGAGGAGACGGTATGCTAGTCCTAATGCGCCGATAAGGGGGGAGGCGGTGGAAGGGACGGGGGAGGTGGATTTTAGTTCGGTGTTTGAGGGGAAGGGGGAGGTATGAGGGGAAGGGGGGGTTGGGGTGGGTTGAGAGTCCAAGCCTTCCGACAAGAGCAATCAGGCTCTTTTCACACGAGTCCCTCGCGATGTCACATGACTAAGGACTCATCCGAGCGTTTTGCCTGGACTTTCTTTCCCCAGACATAGAGCGCATGTTTAAGAACATCATCGCTAGCGCGGATTGCGCGCTCCCGAATTCCCTCTGGGTGTTACGGAATACAGCAATAATCTGCATCGATATGCACACCTCACTGGATGACTCGAGGATGGTGACAGTGGATGGAGTATGCTCATGCACGATGCCTGTCGTCGCGCCGTTCGCTGCTGCGATGATCAATGCTGCCATTGCCGTCGGCTATACACTTGCCTCAATCTTGTGGCCACTACGTGGGACGACATGAAGGATGTCTTCATGCTGTCTTCGTCATCTCTGCCCTTCGATGTTGATCTACACTTGAGAACAAGCACCTCTCTCACTACTGTCCTTGTCGTCCTTACCAGCCCGATCGCACTCGACCATGGCAGCTAACCCTCCCTCATCCCCCTCCCCAATCGAGACGAAAGAACTCCAACCCGACATCGTATCGTCACCCTCAACGTCGCCCTCAACATCAGCATCAGCATCAGATACCGAAAATGTCACTACAGCCCACCACCTCAAGGCCGTCCACCGCAAAGTCGATGGCAAGATTTTACTATGGTACAGCTTCGTCTACCTCATCATGCGCATCCACGTCTCCAACGTCACCCAACGTCACCAACGTCGCTATCATCAATCTCTAACAAGGTCATGGGATCAAGAAGCAATTGGGGAATATTACGCCTAGTCAGTGGGCTTGGATTCTGAGTATTTTTTACTGTGAGCTTCCACTTCTCCCTCGGTTGTCGTACGAGACTGCTGCAGGTGACTTTGATTGTGGGTGTTGATGCTGATTTTTCGGTGCTCGGTCAGATCCGTACGCGGCTTTCGAACCGGTGTCCACGCTTTTGCTCAAAAGGTTCTGGCCGAATATCTGGATGTCGAGGATTATGATTACTTGGGGGATCATCTCCATGTGTCAGGGTGCGACGAAGAGTAATGCGGGTATGCTTGTTTGTCGGTTCTTCTTGGGGTTTGCTGGTATGTGCTCCCTATCACATCCAATATCGTGGCTTTGTGGGGCTTGAGGTTGGTTGCTGACTTGGCACTTATGTTGATAGAGGCTGGCTACTATCCTGGTGTGCTCTACCATCTGAGCTTCTGGTATCCGGCTGATAAGATGGCGTTGAGGATCGCTTTCTTCTATGCTTGTGGGCAGTTCTCCGGAACCATCAGTGGATTGTTGGCGTTTGCTATTAGTTTCCTGGATGGCGTAGGAGGTCTGGCTGGATGGCGATGGGTGTTTATTCTTGGTGAGTGTCCCATATTACACCGCTCTAGCTTTGCCGTGGCTGATATGAAAGCGTAGAGGGTATCCCTGCCATACTCTGCGGCATCTACACCCTCTTCTTCCTCCCCAATTATCCCGGCTCAAAATCCAACTTCCTCACAGACCGGGAGACGCAGGTCTTGCTGGATGATCTGCCCAAGACACAACCAGACTTGGAAGCAAAGACACGGAACCCAGCACAAGTGAAAGCTCTCCTTCGAGACCCAACCTTCGTCACCTTCACTCTCATCTGGGTCTGCCACGCCATAGGCGGATGGGGCATCGCCACCGTCCTCCCAACAGTCATATACCAACTCGGCCTCACCGACTCAGCCGTCTCCCAACTCATGACTATGCCAGCCTATGCTTTCGGCTGCTGCTATCTCGTAACCATCGGCTGGCTAATCCATACCAAACGTCTCATCTCCTGGGCTGCAGCTATCGGTCTGGAAGTCATCGCTTGCATCTGCTACATCGTCCTCATCACCGTACGAGAACCAGTAGTGAAGTATGTCTTCGTCACCCTCGCTCTAGCTTGCTCAATCTCCATCTACCCGATTATCTGGCCCGAGCGCATTCGAGCTGCCAGTGGTACGATGGCCACGGGATTGGCGATTGGGATCACGAATGCGGCGGCGCAATTGCAGGGGATCGTGGGGCCGAGGGTGTATTTGTCTAAGTATGGGCCTACGTATAAGGTTAGTTTTGCGGCTTCTATTGGGCTGTTGGCGGGGGCGATTGTGGGTATTGCGGTGACGTGGTGGTTGGTCGCGAAGAGGGATCGATGTCAGGGGCAGGAGGAGGTGATTGGTGGGGAGGATTCATCTGTTGGTTCGGACGCTGTTAAAGCGTGAAGGGAGCTGGAAGGGTTGGATAGCTGGAGCTGGAATGAGTGCGAGATGCTATTTATGGCCTTATCGATGGCGACAGAGCCAATGTTTGTCAGGAGTCTTGATCGCGGTGCTTGCATGAATGCCTTACACACTCTGCTGGGTATCAGCGCTGATGTGGTCAATAGCCAGGCTTTGTAGGCATTTCGAGTTCTGACTCAACAGCTCCACAACGCTATTCAACCCAAGAGTCACCGCCAGCCAGGCGAAAACGATGCGTGAACATCAGTTGAAACCCGGATGCCTTAGCATGCCACTAATCTGGATGCAGGACCATACCGATCTCTTAGCTCTCCCGCACGCGGCCGGTCCGCATAGTCGCGGCGGAAGAGATCATGCTCTAGACTACGGCGAGCCTGGCCAGCTAGATAGAACACTACAGTCAGGGCACAGCTTTGTGGATGGTTAGGAATTTAAGACTTACGCCAGGCGCTAGATGAGCTAGAGTAGCTCTCCCCGTACGTTCTCGAGTAAGGGTGTATGCCATTGACGTTGAAGCCCAGTCCTCGCCCATAGAGTCGAGGTTGGGCGTAGTCGTTATGGAAAAGGTTATGCCCATATGGATTCATTCTGGCCTGGTATTCGGCTCGCTTGAAGGGTTCTTGGCGTGAGGTGCCGAAGTAGGCTGGGCCTCGACAGCCGTGGTTGTCGTAGGCTGGTCGTCTGCCGTTGCCGGCTTGGTATGGGCCACGGCAGCCGAACATGGCGAGGGAAGGGTGATGTGAGCTGGGTGGGTTATTGAATGTCTGGTTTCTACGGTTGGTGGTAAGGATGATGACTGGTCGATGGTTTGTGTGTTTGTCGATGGATCGTGTTTGGCGAGTCTTGCACTTTGACAGACATGTCTTTGGATATGCCCTGCTCTGTAACCGATGATATTGACTGGAAGCAAGACAGGTCGCTCAGCGGTAGACACTGCTTGGAGTAAATTCGAGCCTGTATCACGGATCCTGTGGTGACTACGTTGGACCTGGTAAGTAGCATCGGGTGAAGATCTTGCACAAGCGCAGTGGAGCTAGCTAATTGCCATCGCTGCCGAAGTTAATGACGGAGATCTTGTAGTCATCTCTAGACTCACCCCAGCAGCGGAGCCTCCCCATCCTGGCCCATCTAGCTGAAGCCCGGATGCCTCAACCAGCCACTAAATTTCGACCCAGGACCATAACGATCTCGCAGTTCTACCGCACGAGGTCGATTGGCGTAATCGCGGCGGAAAAGATCACGGTCGAGGCTTCCAGGATTACGGCTAGCTATAAAACCTGTCAACATTGAGTTGCAATGATTCCAAGGTGCAGGGGTCCAGCCATCAGACTTACGACGACCGGAAGAATAGCTCTCTCCATATGTCCTCGAATACTGATGCATGCCATTGATATTTAGACCAAGACCCTCGCCGTTGACTCCTGCTTCGTGCTTAGCGGTTTGTCAATGGAACGTCGATTCTGAGAGTACTCACGAGGCTGCTGATAGTGATGCTGAGGCAAGTTGTTGCCGTATGGGTTGAGACCAGCTTGATGGTATGCTCTCTTGAACTGAGGCTGCTGGTAGTAGCCGCCGTATGCTGGTCCTCGACTTCCATGATTACCATAGTCCTTCGTTCGACTGTTGCTCCATCCGTACGAGCCTCCTATGCCGTACATGATTCGATGGTCTCGGAAGTGGGAATGACGTGAGTAGTGACAAGGATGGAGCGGTGATCGCGGCTGATCTAAGATCTGTGAGGTGATCGGTAGACTGATTGTGGTGTTTGTCGGCGGGTGTTTGGAGGGTCAGACAGGCAAACACGACCTGAAATATCCACTAGCCTGTCGTTGAAGACGTTCACCAATCGCAACTGTGCTCCGCCATGCCACTTGATGACAGTGACGCTTGCAGTGTCCATCGTCATATTGACCATGGAAGACCAGTGAACAAATTCACAATCACTCATCCCTGCTCCGCATCAAGTATGGCTGAGTCTGCGGCGCGCTTTCCAGACCACCAACCTTCCCTCCGTGCATAAGGGCCTCTCAGTAAGTGCAGAGCATCATGTTTGATCTCAGGATCCGGACACTTCGTCGCAGTGAAATGGAGTGGCTGTATAGCTCCGACATGAAGACCAAAGTCAGCTTCGACGTTTCCAGCATGGGTCGAAGCCGCGGTCGTGACTAGTACTGCTGTGTGAGCAAGATCAACAATCCGCTGAAAGTCATCAACGTGTTTGATGTGAGCCGATGCGTGCTGCGCGGAGCCAGAGAGATGCATGACCGCCGATAGCATAATCTTCGCTTGATAGTAGAACATCGAGTACTTTCTCAAACGTTGTTGTTGCTCGAGCGCTAGATTCCGAGAGAAGTGGTATTGCATGGCATTAGCCCACAACGAGAGAACATTCATGATCTGGTTGCGCAGCGAGACACTATCAGCTAGGGAGCTGATGCAGTGATGAGTGCATCGTGAAGCCTACCTGTTTCTGAGCGATCAAGAACTCCATGTCTATGCCTACCTCATGGACCCGCGCTCTCAACGCAATCATAGATCTAGCCACTAAGATGAAAAAGCGGCGATGTGATCCCAGGCCCCGTAGACCTCGGGCACTGTAATCACGGAGCTCTTCAAGAGCAGATCTGTCGAAGTCCGTTCGTGGCGTTGCAATTTTGCCACGTGCAGATTCGCCATCAATGGTCGAAGCTATCGGTTGACTCGTGATGCGCGACTGGGAGACTACTATTAGAGAAACCTCGTCCGGTGTATACATCGAGTGCTGGCAGTAAAGCTCCTCAAATGCCTCCCGTAGTTCTTGGAGCGGAAAGAGACTGCTGCCGAATCCCACAACATCCGCGTCTCGTTTGAGCAGTTGAAGCACGGCCATTGCGCCTTCTAGATGGGATGTAGCGGCCTGTACTCTGGCATGCAGTAGCTCAAATGGTATGCACAATAGGCATGTCAGTAGTGGAACGACGAGTCCCGAGCCTCTGTCGAGTTGCTGCAAATTCTCGATACGGCGGCTCAACGTTCGGAGGACTGTCCCGTATTGATTGAGAGCATAGTGGCTTTCATGCTCTTGGCTGGCTTCCAACGCGATGATGCCGTGCCAGATGACTGGCTCTGTCTGAGCTGCTTGGCATAAAATGATGTGTAGAGGTCCATTGTCAATGATGCCGTTCGTGACATGTTCACCACGCTGCACGAAGTTTGCGAACAGCTTTCGCTCCATGCGCTCAGTACGCGGAACGAGCTGAAGAAGTGGTAGCCTGGACCTCCAGCTGGTCGTCTCGAAGGGTACCAAGTGTAGCTCATAGCCAGCGCAGATCAGACCGCGAGAGACACATTGATCACACTTCGGGTGCTGTTCACCACACTTGACGCGCCTGGCCTTGCACGTGATACATCCCGAACGGACACGAGTCTTACACCGGCGTTTGAAGACCATTTTGGGGGCCATAGTGACTTGCCCCCACGGGACAGCAGTACCTTCGTGTTATATGGGCTTCATCATTGGCAGTGGCAAGATCTCTTGATGTCTCGATGCACGCCGAAGTTACTCATCGCTCCTCGCGGTATTTGCGGGAACACGATTGTCGAAGGTGTTAGCTTACAATCTACCATTTGTGAAAAGAAGTGGAAATCGTAGATGAAGTGATGGTGTTCTTGTGGCTGCTGACAAAGGTTGCATGTCAGCTAAGTGCTCCACAGTCCTTTCGCCACCCGTGTCAAAGAAGGAGAAGGGGAGTCTTCTGGGTAGTATGTTTCCATAGACGAGACTTCTCCGTAGGATAGAAACGCTATTAGTGTCCTTGACACCAACGCTGTCCCAGTAGGTTCATTGGAGCTTCAGCAGCAATAAACTCGTCTCCCGCTCCATGACTAGACGTCATCAGACATGCTGGTGAGTTTGAGTTGTTCCAATGAGGGCAGGGTCTCGATGTAGGCAAGTCAAGACCTCGATACCTCATGTAGAACCGTAACAACTGTTCTGTCTTTCTCTGCTAAACACCATGGCCGCCAATAAGCCATCGATAGCCATCATCGGTGGTGGCATCTCTGGCCTTACACTTGCCATTGCACTGATCAGACGTGGCCTGAATGTTCAGATATATGAGCAAGCGCGTGCATTTGGTAAGTGCCATGCCTAGACAACTCATGCTGATGCTAAAGTACGATCAGGTGAGATAGGAGCCGGCGTCGCCTTCGGTCCCAACTCGATACGAGCCATGAAGACCTGCTCTCCCGATATCTTCGATGCCTTCGAGAAGGTAGCAACGATCAACCAATGGCCCGAGAAGAAGAACGTGTGGTTCGACTTTCACGATGGCTATGACAAGGACTCTCCAGTAGGTCAAGAGAAGCTACTCTTCACTCTGTCGTCAGAGTCTGGGAATAATGCTGTACACCGGGCTCATTTTCTGGACGAGGTGATCAAGCTGGTCCCAGACGAGATCACACACTTCAGGAAGCATCTGGATACGATTGAGCAGCCAATTGGACAAGGCAAGGTCAAGATGACGTTCCACGATGGCACGGCCGCGGAAGCAGATGCGGTGATCGGATGTGATGGCATCAAGTCGAGGACACGAGCATGGATGCTTGGAGGCGATGATACACCTGGTGCTGCGCCTGTCTATACTCATAAATATGCGTACCGAGGACTTATACCCATGCAACGTGCGGTGGATGCGTTAGGTGACGACAATGCTAGGAACTCGAAAATGCATCTTGGACAAGATGGCCACATTCTCACGTTTCCCGTCAGCAAGTAGGTGGTTTCGATGTCCGCTGGCAGCTCTCAGATATGCTAATGTGTAGCTTGCAGAGGCCAGACCATGAACGTTGTAGCGTTCTATACTAATAACGATGACTGGCCAGACGCGCAGCACCTCACCAAATCGACGGAGAAGAAGCATGTGTACGAAGACTTTAAGCACTTTGGTCCGACGGTGCAAAAGATTATTGATATGCTGGAACCAAATTTGGACTGCTGGGCAATCTTTGACACGGGTGATCATCCAATGCAAGCATACAACAAGGGTAGAGTTTGCTGTCTTGGCGATGCTGGCCACGCTACTAGTCCACATCATGGAGCAGGAGCAGGCATGTGTATCGAAGACACTGCAATAATGGCGGAGCTCTTAGCTGAGAAGACTGTCCATGATGCCGGGATCAAGGGCATCGAGGCGGCTTTCCAAGCATTCAATGACTGTCGTCTAGAACGCACTCAATGGCTGGTACAAAGTAGTCGTCGAACCGGCGATCTTTATGAGTGGCGAGCTGAACACGTGGGCAGAGATATCGAGAAGATCCATACGGAGTGCAAGGAGCGAGATGAGAAGATCTGGAATGTTAAGATTGATGATCTGATTACCGAAGCCAAGCAGCACCTGCGAACTCTGCTGAGCTGAAGCTATGTGAGAACTACAGGACTTGATACAAGTGCAACATGCCACAGGCCAAAGCTCTCCCGCAGCACGGACGTGAGTACGAGCACGACCTCGCTAGAACAGCTTATCCAAAACTCTGCGCCACGCCGGCCAGGCCTGTTTCTCCTGCTTTAGCTTTTCATATGCCTCCCAATCGACCTCACGTCGGCCGCTATCGACGTCAATCTCTGACAGCTTGCGCCAGCCTTCACGCTTCCAGATCCAGCCCGCGATGTAGAAGGCAATAACGACGAAGAGGGCAAGATAGGACTGGAAGAAGTCGTATGCGTTCAGAGGGGCAACGGCGGTGTAGAACTGGCCGTGTGGTCAGTCATGGCTCATATAGAAGCGAAGCAATTAACTTACCTGGGCGATGAGTACTAGGATGATCAAGATCAGTCCAACCCACGACCCATAGATGCCGAACATGGACTTGAAAGGCAACTCGTCAAGCGTGTGCCCTTGATATGCCCAGGCATGGCGGAATCTGATGTGGGCAAGACAAATAGAGCCCCAGGTGAACAGCGCAGCCAGACCGGATAGTGCTTGTAGCCAATCGAAGACGACCGTCCCACTGCTCGCTAGCGCAACGTAAGCCAGCGGACCGAATGCTAGCATGGCGGCGGTCGAGACCAAGGGCCGTCCGGCGCGGTCGACGTAAGCAAAGATTTTTGGTGCATAGCCCTGCTCCGCGAGTGCGGTAAGAGTGCGTGAGCCGCCGTAGACCCCGGATAGCCCGATCGAAACAACAGAGAGTAGGATGACGACATTCACAAAGTCACCAAAGGCTGGGATGCCTGCGTTGACAGCTGCGATAACGAACGGCGAGGCTGAAACATCGATGAGGCCTGATCCGAGGAGACGCTCATCGTCTGATGGAACCAGAATGCCGACGAAGAACAGAGCGAGGATGTAGAAGCTGATCACTTTAGTATCCCGTATCGAAAGGATGGGGTGGCTCACTTACAGCGTAATACGCCAAAAGACTTGCTTCACCGCAGATGGTAGTGACTTCTGCGGAGTTTTGGACTCTGCTGCTGCGAGACCGACCAGCTCCGTACCAGAGAAAGCAAAGGCAGCCGTGACGAAGACGGAGCAGAATCCGAAGAACCCGTTGCGAAAGGCGCCTGGATCATAGAACAGCCTCGCGCCCCAGTACTCACTGTACCAACCATTGCTTGGTCCGCCACCGCAAGCGAAGACGATACCCATGATGATGAATACAACAATGGTTGTAAGTTTGAGAGCAGAGACCCAAAATTCCTCTTCTGCATAGCCAAGGACCCCAAAGATATTTATGATGATTATGGCGAGCCAGAAGATGGTGATCCAGACTGCTACGTTGACGTTGGCACCCCAGTAGTTGACGGTCAGACCAGCAACGACGAGTTCGAGTGGTAGGACGATTGCCCATTGAAAGACGTAATTCCATCCCATTGCGAAGCCCCATGACGGATCGATGAAGTGTGTGCTGTAAGTATAGAAGCCACTGATATGACTATGGTCAGGACTGCAGCTGCTGGTAAAGCCACATACGGTGGTACGTACCCAGAAATCGGAAACATTATAGCAAGCTCACCAAGAGCATAGACTACGTTGAACATCATCTGTATACCGTCAGCGTGCATCCGCCGTATTGCGCTTCAGCTTGTGTGTACTCACGATACCAATGATCGAAAAGTCGATCAGCAGCGATGCTGGACCGCCAGTTGCCAGGGCACCACCTGACCCAACGAAGAGACCAGCGCCGATAGAACCACCGATAGCAATCATGTTCAAATGCCTTGCCTTCAAGGTCTTATTCAACTGATTATGCTTGTCGTCTAGAGTACGCTGCCGGAAGGAGTCTGGAGTAAGCCCCAACCTTGTCATCAGACCTGGTCGCGCAACATCATGGGCTGTTATGATGTCGCCTTCCTGAGTCGTGCGCGTGGTGTCCAGTTCCGGGTAGCCCACTTTCGACTCTTTCATGTCGGCGTTATCTGGGTAGACTGACATGGTGGTGCCAATACGTGGTACTTCTTAGGACAATAACACGACCAAGGTGTGTTGAATCGCTTTTGTCGTCGGTACTTGTCGTTGTCTGGTGCGGAGGCTCGACCGATGGTCTTAGATGCGCACGCGAGCTCGCGCGTTTATAGATATCCGCAGAGCATACGTCGACGACCAGATGGCTTATCTCTTCTCCGCAAGATTGTGTCGTGCCATGCAGAGCATTGCCACAATGTCCATTGGCGTACGTCTTGGGGTGTGGAGAGCCAATTCTTGGCCGACGCGAGCGCTCAAATTTATTGCATAACAGAAATCTAGCCAAGGCTGCAAGAGTTTCTTCTTGGCGCTATACCAATGTATGCAGATCCTTGGAGTCTTCGTTGGTCGGCTGGGTCGAAAGTCTGATAGCTGAGCCGACATTTACCATTTGACAGCTGCGGGATGCCTCGTCGCTTGCTCTCTCGAATAGTACCACTCCGGCCTTGGGCAATTCCGCCATGACCGATGTCGTATTCAGATCCTTGTGTAGTGGCAGTCGCGCGCCGAAAGATGCCTGAGATAGAAGCTCTCCGTTCTTCTGCTCGCTGCTGAGTCACACCAAATTCGATACGCCAGCCCTTGCGAACCATGCCTGGACAGAAGGTTGACAGTTACAAGCTCGCCTCCCTGGGCACTACGAACAGTGCCTTGCCAACGGCCAAAGGTCTTGCATGACCATCTTGCAGGACAGAATTAATGTATACCTTCCTGCCTGTTATCTCAGTAACCCAAGCTCTAGCCAGCACTACGCAAGGAGTACTGACAGGCGCCTTGTAGTCAACATTCAGATACGCCGTGGCTGGCGGCATTCGCGTGAGCAAACTCGTATTTGCCACACTGCCAGAGATTTGATCCAGTATCATACCATTAAACCCGCCGTGCGCTCGTCCAGAAGCTCCATCGATGAGTGGTCCAAGCGATAGTAGATAGCACTCCTCTTTGTGATGCAGGGCGTCAGGCTCATTGTTCGGTCTCCAGAATTTCGCATGGGCATTGATTGCCCCGGGTCGATACAACAGCTTGACGAACATGCGATTGGGTGCCATGTTGCCCTCTGACTTCTTCGGTATATCCACTGTAATCCTCACGTCGGCATCCAAAAGCAGTTTTCGTGCCCATGGTAGCGATTGAAAGTCCGGATGATCCGCCATAATTTGGAGATGTATGATGTGGACTGTTGGAGACGCAAGCAATACCTACAGGTGAAGAATGTTGTATCTGCCCATGATACCTTGGCTAGTGGGAGAACTCTACGACCTTCAAGTCATAATTCCCGAGGGCTTCGTTGGCCAACGAAGCAAGACCACAGTCGGATGACGGGACAAAAAAGGGCCGAGTTGTTGCACAACAAACCCCCTTCGACAGCGCGGCCTCACTAATGCTGTCCTGCACGATATAGGAAGTCGATCATAAACAAGTAGCCACGGCGCAGACCCGTTTGGATATGCATTGAAACCTTTCGCGTCCCTTACAGCTCATTGAGCTGTGCAATGCACCCCTCTGATGCACGTCATCATTCAATCCGGCTGGCTCTCCGCAGCTGCGAATGGTTCATGCAGGTGACACAAGAAGCCAATGGCTGAAGATACGCTTCCGCCCAACGGATGTAAGACACTAGGGATTTGTTTGTGTGCTGAGTTGCATATACAGCCAAGCTCCTGAGGTTCTTGCCCTCTATCGCACAGCTCGATTTAAACCTCACCAGTCAGTCAGACCCGGAACACTCAGTCAGTCAGACCCGGAACACTCAGTCAGTCAGACCCGGAACACTCAATCAGCAGGAATCAGAGTTGCACAAGATGTCGACGTTCGAGTCGCAAGCATGGCTGTACACAGCTGGGTATCAGTCGTTATACTTTGGCAAGACTGAGGTACCACGCGCGAATGACATCAAAGGTTTGGGCACGACGGCGCATATGCTGGTCAAGATCAATGCTTGTGCCCTGAATCCCGTCGACGTTCAGATGATGAACTTGCCAATGTGGAGGCTACCGACATTCGGTACACCCAAGGGATGCGTTTGCGACTTCAGTGCAACGGTCATAGCAGGTGGCCGCACAGGATTCGTACAGGGCGATGAGATCTTTGGCCTGACTCTGAAGCCTTTCATCAAGGGTGGCGGTGCATTGAGTGAGATGGCACAGCTTGACGTTGCAAACACTGTAGCGGTCAAGAAGCCGAAGGAGTGGAGTCACGAGAAAGCTGCGGCGATCAGCCTCGTATGGTTGACAGCCAAAGCCTGCATAGAAAAGGTGGCACAGTGGGTGGATGAGACATCGACAAAACGCGTGGCTATACTGGGAGGAAGCTCGGCTGTTGGCATATACACGATCATGCTGGCAAAGCAGAGAGGCTGGAAGGTCGTTACGACGTCGTCAGGACGAAACAAGGACTTCGTGACCACAACCCTCAACGCCGACGAGCACGTCGATTATACACAACAAAAAGTACGATCAGCTGTCCAGCAATTTGCTCCCGATGCCGTGATCGATTGCGTTGGCGGCACATCTTGCATTGGTCTTCCAAGCAGTAAACGCTATGTCTCGATTGTTGGTGACAAAACTGGCAGGAGTAGTATGGGCGGTCCGTACACCTACTACAACGTCCTTGGACCAATGGCTCTATACCAGGCAGCTTCGCAATGGATACGCTGGGCGCGGGGCCAGTATGCCGGGGCTGAAATATACGATGTGATTGTTCTTGACATGAACAAGCAGTGGTTGGAAGAGTCGAAGACCACTCTCAGTCCAGATCAGATCTACATCGACAGTGTGTTCCAGTTCGACGAGGCGAAGAAGGCGTTCGAGAAGCTGAACACAGGGCGTGCGAGAGGAAAGGTGGTGATTAAGATCAGCGATACAGGTGTAAAGAATACAGCGTAGAAGTCGTCTTTGGCACGTGCTGTGGATACCAGCAGAATCCCGATTTAGGCTGCTTTGATGGCTCAGGCCACGGCGCCCACATCTGGACTTTTATATATGCGCCCAGGTTGGTGTTGATCCCTTGGTACGCGCGTCACGTCCGTTTGGAGGATTTACTAGCACGAGAATCAAAGCATATCCCCTGTCGATCTACACCAATGACAACACAAATCCGCACCTCTACATCTCATCCTTACCACCCGACCTCCATCAACCTCATGTAAGTCCTTTGACATTCACGGCTCACGCGCGATGCGCAACACTTGTTTTGTCGTTTCGCTTGCCTCGTTTGTTGCCGCAGATGTGTCTTTTACTTCGCCCAGTGCAGGCGAGAATATTCCTGCCGGGACTATTGATGTTCAATGGCAAGAATCGGGACTGCAGCCGCTGATCAAAGACCTCTCTGGCTACACATTGAGCCTGATGACTGGTGGGGACGATGGTGGAAACATGTTACCGCTCACCCAATTTGTCTCCCAAGGCAATTTTGACACTGGCTACAAGGCTGGTGGTACCATACCTGCTGGCATCGCGGAAGCAGTTGACAATGGATTGTATGTCCCAGCATCGAACGTGTTAGCTTGGCACTGACCATTAAACTCAGCTTCTTCCGTATCGTCTCCACCGCTGAGGCTGGCGGAACGGTGATCAACTACTCGTCGCGCTTCAATATCACTGGCCTGCAGGGTGCGACGCCTCTGCAATATCGACAAGCGGCAGCCTCCTTGATTGGGGCCACTACAGGGCCTCACAGGGTCGTCAACGTGGCAGGTCTGACATCCGACACGACCAACACTACCTCCCAGTCTAGTAACATGAACAGTAATGGCACCGATAGCCCGGCTTCTGTATCAGCTACAATTATAGCAAGCACATCGAGCACCACGAGCTTATCTTCGCCAAGTGCGACCCTGCCATCTTCAGCTGCTCCTAGGGTCAATGGGTTTTCCACTGGCGTCATAGCAGGCATCGCCGTAGGCTGTTCATTGGCAGGCATTGGTATAACAGTAGCTACTGCTGTAGCTATTGTCTTCAGGCGACGTCGTCGACAACATAACAGCGATGCTAACACCAACTCGGCATTCCTCGATGGCAAGGCCGAGCTTTGCGCAGATGGACCTGAGCCGAGGTCACCAAGTGCGAGCGAGCTGGGCACTGAGCAGGAGGTCGTAGAAGCGGATGATGGCTTAACACCACCGGAATTGGATCCAATGAGTGTCCGCGCTGAGCTTGAATGAGCAGGCATGCGACTGCCAAATCTCATTGATTTCAGCTCAGGAATGACATTATGACCGGAATCTAGGAAACTCCTCTACCGCGCTTGCTTAATACCATGGAGAGTCATGCCAATTCTACTTCGATCAACTTCTCTGGCGCCGCACCGCAGTCCCAGATCTTGACGACCTTCAAGCCGGCGCCTTTGACCAGTGCCTTCCACTCCCTTTCGCGCCTCTCGTGAGCACTGTGCGTCACCATCATGAGCAGATCGAGGCCCGTGGCATACCTAAAGTGAACCGTTAGATCCCATCGATGTGTATTTTCGTGGATCCACACTGGTGGTCTACTTACCATTCGGCGCCTTTGTCGGGGATCACGGTCTCATTGATCAGGATCTTGCTATACCCAGCCTTCAAAGCTGGCTTGAGATTAGACAGGATGTCGTGGCAAGCTGAATCTGGCCAGTCGTGGAGGATCATCTTCAGATAGTAGGCTTTGGCGCCCTTGACTGGCTGCTCGGTGAAGAAGTCATGAGCCAGAGGCTCGACTGGGGCAATCGCTTTTGCGTCGATGCTCTCGATCGTCTGGGGCAGATCCTCGAGGATCAGTTTCCCCTGCAAGTTGGGATTCGCTTGATGAAACTTCGTGATATCGTGGCCGGCGTTACCACCAACATCGACAAGCAGCACATCGGATGGTCCACACGAGGTGCCAAAAATCTCCTCAACCGGCACGGTGTCATACCATCTTGGTCCCGAGCTCAATAGCTTCATGTGGTTGAGGAATGCCCCAGCTTCTTCTTGATTGTCCGGCTGGAATACCCATTGGAAGTAATGCAAGTCGGTCTTGGCTCCATATTTGAAGGGACTGTCGTCTTTGTCGGTAGGATTCTTCCAGTCGCGCTTCTGGAAGTACTCGACAACGTTTGATTCTACCTTTCCAAGGCTCGAGAAGCTAGGCACGCTCAGAATCAGATGTATCCCAGATTTTTTTCCCATGACGTCCACTCACCAGTTGACTACTGGACCAGCACCCTCTGGTGTGGCCAAGAGGTTGCTGGTTGGTGTTGCGGCATATCGGTCCACGGCTGTCTCTTTTACGATAGCGCCAGTGGCGAGATGTTTCAACAATCTGCCTGAAGAACTTGTCAACGACGTACGCAGAGACGAGAACTATACGTACTCAGGAGGACTTCATCGCAGCCGGTCTCCTTCGCGAGCTCGTCGCAAGTACAATCTGGGCTGGTTGCTTCCTGCAGCTTTGCGAACAGCTTGAGATCAATGCCGAGTCGTGTGGCAAGGAACAGCATAGGCTAATGATGTAGAGTTAGCTCTAGACGCTCTAGAGATCCATTCTCCTAAATAACCTACCTCGCCCCATGATATCCGAACGATCTTTTCCTCGGGTGCCTCAAGTGCGTTGACTAGTGCGCGTGCAGCCTTTAGAGCAGCTGCTCGTCCTTGCGTGGTCACCGCTTGGCTTGCCGTTGCGGATGCTTGGGTCAGCAGGCCCAATGGGTTTGGCTGCTTCAGTGTTGACTCTGCTTGTGCTTGAATTTGACGTACGGCCTCGGCCAGCGTTTCGAAGAAGCCCATTGTGAGTTTTATCTCGTGATAGGATAGAAACTGCTGTGGCGTCGCGGCAATGAAGGTTTGGGTTTGGGTAACAAGCTGTAGTGAAACAGCTGCTTGGGGTTTATTATATGACCAGTCGCCGCAGCAACAGCTGTAGATTGCATGCATATTCGACGCAAGCCACCGATACATGTGCACTGCATAAGCAATGGTACCAGCTGTGGCTGATGGACAGCTCCTACAGCTCTTTTCCAAATCAGGCGCTGGAGGCTTGATCACCTGAGCAGGACGTCCGTCAGCCTTGTACGGCGATGCCGTTCTGGGTCTGCGAGATGACAGCTGGAGTCGGCCACGTGTGTAAGGAAGCACTCCTCCGATGGCCCTGTGGAAACCGCGAATGAGTTTTGAAGGCTGTGCACTAGCACAACTACCCGTGTTGCGCCAGAAGAGGATGTCCATCAGATCTCTTCGACACGGAGCTTCGGTGCAATCTGCTATCATGGAAGAAAGTCTTTGAACCACATTTCAGCTACAGAGTATCTATTACGTGAGTCGTGAAATGATCTCGTCTGCTTCTTACATAGACTCAAGCCCGCATCACTACTTGAAAGATCTTCGCTCTACTTGTCCAGCTGCGGCATCTCTTTCCAAAGATATACATCGGAATCGCGCACAAGCAGATGAAGACGTGTACCCCTCCAACAATGCTGAACACCTCTCCAGGACCCTGTGACATCAACCAAGACGAGATGAAGTAGTTCATGCCGAAGGAGTAAATGTTGCGTAAGTTGATGGCTGCAAATGCCTCCGGCGCTTTGTCCCGATGGCAATCCGTTAGGTAGCCATAGACTGCGATGTTCATGAAGCCGACGCTAAAGTACTGTATACCGTAGAAGATGACAGGGGCAATCCACGGATCGTGAGCCTGAAGTGATAGCCCGAACCCGAAGAATGACAAGCCGCCAAGGATGAGGACGACAACAATGAGCGTTAGTCTAAATTCGGGCTCATAGACACCTTTGTTGCGCCGAGACATGAACTTCACGACCCAGTCAGCTGTTGGTCCCGTGACAAAAGCACCAAGAATGGATCCTATCAACGCTGATAGCGAGACCAGGCCAATTGCTGAGACTGAGAAGTTGTACGGAGGCGCACTGAACAGCTGCGCAAGCACGCTGCCCACGACAATCAGCCAGGAGGTAGTGAGGCCGTAGGCGAAGAAGGAGAATAAGACCTGCGGAAAGACCAGCATGAATAGTGGTCTGACCAAGACCTTCCAATATGCATCATCGCATTGCCGGCCATGAAAGATTTTGAGATCATCCCAATAGCTGGCCTTTGGTTCAGACCAGGTGATGTTGGTCTCGATGCGGTCAAGCGACTCAACTGTCTCGTTCTTCTCGTCAAGTCTAGCGAGCTTCTCCTCGGCAAGATGCTCTGCACGGTCTTCGGTGCCCTGGTCGGTATTGAAGACCGCATCTCTCCTGTACGCTGTCTCGGGGCAGAAAAAGAAGAGTACTGGGATGAAGACACCGTACAGCACGGCGCAAATACCATAGGTCCAGTTCCATCCTAGGCGGCTACATTAGCTGTTATTAAATCTCACTGAACGAGCGGCACCATACCAAGGTCTTGGATGATATAGCCACTGATTATGCCGCCACCACCAACGCCCACTGAGAGACACAGTCCCCACATAGCCAAACGGAGACCACGCTGATGCTACCACGAATATATCAATATATGAGACGCTCTTTGCGGACATCGACAGAAAGACTTACTACGAAGTATATGTCGGCGATGGTGGTAGTGACAAGCCTGCAGAGGTCAGACTCACATCATTTGTGTTTTGCTAGGATCTCGACTTACACTTCGAACGGAGACATGCCGATGCAGCCGATCAAACGAGATGCCAGCAAGGAACCGTAAGAGTGCGCAAAATAGCCCCACAGACTGCTAATGAATAGCAAGAGGTTGCCGAGGAGAAAGATTGGACGTCGGCCCCAGACGACCGCCATTGCGTTGGTGAAGAAACATGAGATGCCGATCAAGAAGATACCCCAGCCAAGTCCCCCGTTCAACGCGTTGTATGACATGTGGAACTGCTCGGACATAAGACCATAGCCAGGCGAGATCATAGGTCCCTGCGCACGCCGTCAGTGTTTTCTTTATGAAAGCTGACCAACTGTATGTACTCACCCAGGCACCCACGACGGCAGTGTCGATACAGATAATGAATAACATCAGATCCTTCTTCCACAGCGGCCAGTTCAGCGGATCATTTGGGCTCCTCGAAGGCTGCGGTACGAGTAAGACATCCGAGTCCTTGCCATTTTTCTGCGCGTGTCGCAGTACTGTAGTGTCCAGGTCGCCGTGGTGGTGGTGAGCATCGGCATCAACTACATCTGTGAGTAGCGCCGTGCCGGGGACATGCTCCAGATGTCGGTCGTCAAGTACGCCGAGGCCCATGATGGTTGTTGCTGGAAGCCAGTGTGTTGATCAGATCTGGGTTATGGAAACGAGCAACGCCTGTGCCAGGATACAGAAGTAGGCGATATATGTATACCATCGAGCAACCACGGCAGATATTTTGACCGTCATGTCGATCTGCCGTCCTCGCTCGAGTATCTCAGTCACATGGACATGCCGCGGGAGGTGTCAGTATATCGAGACAAGTGGGTCGCCTTCACTGCTCGACCAGCTACATACAGGGTTTCGTATGGCTTCGGCTCATGTTCCCGCGCATGCCCTAATTTGATATGCGTGCCAAGCGCATTTACCCCAAGCACAAGTGCGTTAGCGGAGTGCGGAGAAAATTACATGGGGAAGAATTGCTGGTTGATCAGAACTGCCGAATAGGCCAGAGAGATACAAGGGGGATGTCTTATGGGGGATCCACTTAAATCCGTATCGCTAGCGATCAACATCCTAGGAACGACCGATCACCGAACGGAGCGTCTAGGATAACAGACCCAAGGAGAGTGAGTTGTGCAGCCAGGTTCCCAGAGCTCCCGACAGTAAGCAAGAAGCAGTATACTGCAGAGTCAGTAACTTATTTGTTCATTGTCTATATCCAGTCTTATTACATTAGTAGTATCATAGTGAATGCGATGATGCCCGCGAGCATATAAAAGCTAGTTCCGACTCGAGGAGCTGCTGACTTAGTACTCGTCTGTGATGCGCTCGGTGCATTTGCTGAAGTCGCCGGAGCAGCTGTGGACGACACGCCAGTAGTGGGGCTAGAGCCAATACCGCTTGAAGAAGAGCTTCGTCCTGTACTGTTGGCATTCGCAGTCGCGCCGATTCCAGCCCATATATAACTTCCCATGTTTCCTTGGCTTGTTGCAATCTCTGTGCTTGATCCCACAATCAATGCTGTAGCACTTGGTGCTAAGCTGTAAGGCGTGCCAGAAACAGTAATGGCAGAACCTCCGGGCGATAGAGTCTGGGAGCCGATGACATACCCCGACTGGCTGTTTGCTGTTATAGTGGAGGAGCCGACTATGATAGGTGGTGGTGTGGTGGTAAAAGGACTCGTGGGTAGCTTGGTGGTTGAAGATCCGTAGATGAGCTCTGTCGCACCACTTGCTAGACTGTAGCGAGTGCCAGAAACTGTGATAGCAGAACCACCTGGTGTCAATGTCTGGGAGCCAACAGCGTATTGGGAGGCCGCAAGGGGAGTGAGCACGGCGGGACCGACAGTGATAAGCGAGGTCTGCTGGGAAGCGGCTGCAGGAAGCGTCGAAGTAGCCGATCCCACCACTAGTAGAGTCTGCGAGCCGGAGGTCTGCAGTACGATTACTGTCGTCGAGCTGCCTGTGCCCACCATGATGCTGCCTCCCGGTACTAGTGTTTGGCCAGAGACAACATATTGCGAGGCAGAATTAGCTGAGACTGTGCTACCAGCGACCACGATTGGCGCTGAATTCGTAATACTTTGAGCGAGAGGCGTCGAGGCACCATTAACCACGGCGAATATCTGTGACTCAGACGTCACTACGGCGAAAGCAGTCCCACTGATAGTGACAGTAGTCCCAAGAGGGACAGTCTGTGAGCCGACAACTATGCCAGGAACGGTTGTCGCACTTCCAGCGATCGATGTGCTGATTGCTGCTGGCTGAAACGGAGCGGTACTGGCAGCTGCAGGCGCTGGTAGGACCGAAGATGTCCCACCTACAACTATGAATGCCTGCGATCCGGACGTGGCGATGACGACTGGTGTACTGCCGACCTGCACCGTCGAACCGATCGGCACTGTCTGAGAACCGATCACGGCAGCCGGCACAACGGTTGCGCTGCCACTGATAGATGTGGTGACCTGGACAGTCTGGATGGCTGCAGTCGAGGAGCCGACACTGATCACAACTGGCGGATTGTTGCTCGACTGTACAGGCGAGGCCGCTGACGATGACTGCCCTCCAACACCTCCAGGGCTTGGATTAGAGGCTTGTGTGGTGACCGTAGAGTGTGAACCGAGGATCGATGCGACAATCCCGCCAGCATTGTTCGACGAAGAAGTTGGTGCCGGCGCAGGCGCTGGTGCGACAGAGACTGTTGTAGCTGGAGATGAAGCTGGCCCCGGATTTGCTGAGCTACCAGCCTGCGATTGTGCTCCTGACTTGCTCGACTGAGACGATCCAGAAGAGGCAGATGATTGTTGACCTTGACTTGCACTAGATTGTCCTTGGCCCGCAGCATTGTCGTTAGATGATTGTCCGGCAGAATTGGATGACTGCGCAGCTGCAACGGAAGTTTGCGGGGCTGTTGACGGAGACACACTCGCAGTTGCCGGGTTTACTTGAACAGATGATGAAGTCTGAGGCGAACCTGATGAGGTGATCTTAGCTGGCACAGCACTTGCCGCTGGCGCTGTAGACGAAGCCGAATCAGTAATGTGGACCGTCGTCGTCAGTAATTCTGTAAGCTGTGTTAGTAATGTGCGATTTTCGAATGTGTTGAATTTTGCACACCTCCAGCCACATTAACGGCACTGACTTCTCCCAGTGCAGACGACGATTGACAAAGTGCATCGTAGCCGGGAGGGTAGTGTACCGAGCAAAAGTTCAGCACACTGTTGATAGTGGCGGGCGCAAGTAGAGACGACAGGTTCGAGGCACCAGAGTAGACAACGGCGTTAGAGGTCAGCACGTAAAGCCAGCCTCTTAAGTCACGACTATTTGTGCTGCCCGTGGATTGCGGGAACTGATAGTGGTTTTGCGGGACGGCAGAGGTCACGACCTTTTGCTGGCAGCATACTCCTCTGTCTTGTACGACAGGAGCCAGTCCGTTCCAGTAAATTGGATCAGACACAGTGAAATAAGGGGTCGGGTATGCTCTGCAGTCTGTTAGCAGTCAGAGATGACACTTCCGGACTGAGCACATACGCGATGCTTGTGCTGCCAACACCGGTCGGAACGGGTGCCGTTACTGTGCCATCGCTATTGGTGTCCGTGCGAGTGAGCAGTTGGAGGGTTCCGTTGTTCAAGAATTGAGTGCTCGCGGCTGTGAGGGCTGAGCTATTCGTCGAAGTGACTGTCTTCGTATGGTTGAGGTTGTCTATGATCACGTATACAGTTCCGAGATTGACGGGCGTGTAGAGCTGAGACCATGTGTACGTGGATGCATAGACAAATGGAGTGAGGGTTGAGGGCGTGTCGGCATCCTTGGTGTCTACAAAGCGTCAGCTTCTCGTCAGCCAGGCTGCGTACATTCGGAACCGTACATGAGTAGCTAGCGGCACCTGTAGAGATGGTCGTGAAGTAGTAATATATAGTAGGCGTGACCGTGATAGTGTTCGTAGGTATGTATGATGACTGCGCCGATATGTATGTCGATTCGGTGATGATCTCTGTATATGTTTGCGTCGAGTATGAGGTGTCTGAGGGTTTGCGAGTAGTGCTTGAAATGCGTGGGCTGCTATTTGACGTTGCTGAGGTGGAAGCGATGGTTGTTGTCTCAGTCTTATATATCGTCGAAGTCAAGGTCGAAGTGGACTCTACAGAGGTAGTATTCGAGTCTACGCATGTCAGTTTTGCGTGATGGCATTGTCCAGGCCTTCGCCGCCGTGCGTACAGAGTGATGCTAGAACCTCCACTTGGGCGACGCCGAGGAGCAGTAGCGACAGGATAGGTGACCACATATTCACCACGTTCGACGATCGACAACAGGACGCAAGCTATCAGAAATGTGATGGGCGCTTCCTGGTGTGGAAAATGTTGAGGTCGGACGTTACGATCTGACAGGGCTGCCTTTGAGAATGTCAAAAAAATCTGAGCGCTGGCAGTTGGCTGGATTGTGTGCGCCAAATGGCTACGTCAAAGACAGAGACACAACCGCGAAGCCAAATGTTCCAGGTGCGTGTTGGTGGCGCTACAAGTACCAGGCACAAGTTGTGACCCAGGCATCAGGCCACCAACGTCGGGGCCGATATCATATGAATAGGGTTGCGAGATGTAAATACTCCACAGCCTTGATCCAGGGCACTTGCCAATTGGTCAGCGATGCATACTGCCACATGGGTTTCCAGGCCTGTGAGGGCGCCAGTGTACTCAGCCGCACGCAGGAAGGTAGCGTCGTAGCGGAGGATGTCACCATGTCGAGATGATAATTGGTCGGAATCTGGAGCACAACATGGATCATTTCAGTACTTGGGGGCCGATTCCTACGCGACCGCAGTAGTGCAACGCGAGCGCTGCACACCTCGAGACCGGTCACCGGGGATCGGGCAGTGTTTGTCGCATTTGCGGGTCACACATCTCCAGAGGACCCCAGGTGCGTTGGCAGACTCTACATCTGAGCTTTCACTTTCCTCCGCGCAGCTAGGAAGAAGATGCAGAAATTTGGCACGCTCAGTGTATTGATCCTGTACTGTCTCACTCGCGGCGCACGCGCGAAAGCCATAGAGGGGCCGATTGCCATCCCACCGGCTCAGATATTGTCAGTGTTGCCGGCGTGACTGCCAGCTATTCACTGACTTCTAGCCTAGCGAAGGGGATGACGGAGAATGGTCGACTTTCATCATTCAAGTAGGCACGCCGGCTCAATCCGTCCGCGTACTACCAGGAAGTAAGTGTACACGACGAAAATGCTTCATGGTTTGAGGCATCTTCGCACCATCGAATCTACTCTGTTCACACCCGCAGCGCCTCAAAGGACCAGCGCTGATAGCTTAACTACATAGCTTCCGCCTTCGCAGGAACAGTGCCATGGGTAAGTGATGAATACTTCGACTAGCCACAATTGGTGCATCGCCATACTAACCATGCGCAGGTCATCCTAGATGAAGGCTGCTGGCAAGCAAATCCTGGTCTTGGTGATTGTGCCAGCGCCCGTGGTGGCACTTTCGTCCGTAACCAATCATTTTCATGGTCGACGCAGCGACTACCCAGTTCCGGCCTTCTTCAGCTCAATACTTTCGAGGAGGGCGGTCTCGGGTTATCTGGTAACGCGTATTATGGATTCGAAACTGTGACGCTGGGTATTGCTGGCCAGAATTTGCCGACTCTCGCGACCCAGCTCGTAGCTGGCATCGCCACGGACAATTACTTCCTGGGCAGCTTAGGCTTGAGTCCGATCAGCTTCAACATCACGAATCTGAACAGTCCTCTCCCGAGTGTCCTAGGTCAACTTCGCAACCAGAGTCTAGTGCCCAGTCTTTCATGGGCGTATTCAGCTGGAGCCTCGTACAGAAGTCCAGCCAACTATGGGAGTCTTGTTTTCGGAGGCTACGACCAGTCCTTGATCGCTAGTACTGGTGTGTTGAAGAATGCGCCTTTCAGTGGTGACACTTCGCGCGACTTGCAAGTGCAGCTGCAGAGCATAACATACGACACACTAGGAAGCACGCCCTTGCTCTCGCAGAACATATCAGTCTTCATCGACTCCATGGTGTCGCAACTCTGGCTGCCACTTTCCGTCTGCCAGAACTTCGAGTCCGCCTTCAATCTCACTTGGGATGACAGCCAGAGCTTGTACGTTATCAGCCAAGCGGTCCACAAGTCGCTGATGGCGCAGAACCCGACCTTCACATTCAGGCTCTCAGGCCACGATGGAGTCGACAACACCAGTATCGTATTACCGTACGCGGCTTTCAACATGAACGCCACGCAGCCACTGGCCAACACTACATCTTACTACTTTCCATTGCAACGAGCCAAGGACGACACGCAGTACACACTCGGCCGAGTGTTCCTGCAGGAAGCATATATCATCGCCGACTATGACCGGCAGACTTTCTCAGTCTCGCCACTCAGGTCAAACAGCGCTGCACAGAAACTGGTCCCGATCTGCGCTCCTGGAAACAGCAAAGTCTGCGGAGGCGGTGGAATATCCGGAGGTGCGATAGCTGGTATAGTGATAGGTATACTAGCTGTGCTCGCGATCGTCGCCATCATGCTCTGGTATATCCGGCGGCGGAGTGCAAAGGCGAAGAAGGCACGAGAAGAAGCAATTGCGGAGGCAACAGTGGACGAAAAGCAAGATGAGCATTCCAAGCAGCCATTCTTGCCCCGGCAAGCTGAGCTGGGGGCCGATGGAGCAGCGATCTATGAGATGGATCGAAGGCATGAAATCCGTCCAGAGTTGCCAGGTCAGACCAAGAGCCATGAGATGGGCACAGCGGAGAGGAAGCATGAGATGGGTGTCTCCGAACCAGCGGCGGCAGAGCTAGAAGCGCCTCTGAAATGATGTGAAGGATCGAAATAGCATCTGTATAGCATGAAGTATCATCGCTTGTAATTTTCGGCGTCTGACCTTGCTGCGCCCTGGGCGGCATCAGAAGAGCTCCCGGTCATGACAGTATCGAGTATTGAGTGTCCAGGAACGCGAGGTCAACGTCAGACCACCAGAACAGTATATCATCGTTATGCTGACCGCGGGTGCAGTGAGGTGTAAGAAGCCACCATGACAGACCCAGCAGGCAATCCGACATCCCTTGTAGATTCTTGCTCCGGTGCGAATTTGTCAAGCTGCGAGTTGCCCTCGATTGTCCTACATCGTGCAAGGTATGCCTCGACGAAAAACATCCGGATAGGTATATGGCAACGGGAATCCATGATCTTCAGCTCAGTCAGGCACGGGAGTCCTGCGTTCAGGATATCCTTCCTTACGATCGCGCCTTGCTCCCATCCACGCCACCCGTGCGCTTCAAGGCGGTTGAATGTGTTTCGTGCTTGGTCGAATCCATCGCAAGATCTCGTAATTGTTCATCCTGTTCGAGGGTGACCTCGGGCTCTATTGTTTGCATCCGGGGCAAAATCGTGCGTGTTTCGATTCTTGCCGAGGGTTGTCGTGCTTTTCACACAAAGATTCGAAGATTTGTAGCGACGAGTCCGAGCACTAGTCATGGACTATCTTTGTACATCGAATCCAACACCATATACAGACCAGCAGACAAGATGCAGGTTGACCAAAACTCTTGTCGGATAGATCGGACTCCGCCGCTGTGAGTAAGAGTAGCTTGCTGGCAATGGAGAGCATCCTGTCAGTCTCGATTGTCCCAAGCTGCAGCACTACACCAGACCAGGACACCTAGATTCCATGTCATGGTTGCGCACTATTTAGGGTGTCCAGTTCCAAAAAGTGATAGTCGTACGCCTTAGCCGAACGCTCAGTAACAACATGCAGCGAAGCCTCCGCAGCGAAGAACCAGGTTCACCTAGGGTTGTACTTTGTGGCGGCCACTCACAAGACCTATCGGTATGGTAGTCCACGGTACTGTAGCCACCGCGCCATCCATTGAGAGAATTATCGAGAAAAGCGGCCAAGGCCTGCAGACAAAAAGCGCATACCGTGACAACGCTACAATTGACGCCCACTTGCGTACATACAACACAGGCTCAATAGGATCACAGGAGCACGCTGCAGGCCTCAAGCATCACACTCACAACTCAGCAGCGAGATTCACCATGCACAACAACACAATCATGCTCGCTCGAAGCCACCTAGATCCCAAGCGTGAACTCCACCCCAACATCAATATCCCTCGCCATCTTCACAACCTTGGAAAACTGGACGCTCTTCTCCGCCGCAGTCTGCAAGTCATCAATGGAAAAGATCTTGAGGCCTGATTCGTTGATCTATCACACACACATAAAAACATTAGCACCCGCAAGAGTGATAGCAGCCTTAGCTCGCCTAACGTATTCATTATGAGGAATCAAACTTACGAGCTTATGCGCCATTTCCATATTCGTCCCCTGCAACCGCGCAATCACCGGCGTTCGGAGGTTCATATTCTCCACCACGCTTATGAGGCCCTTGGCAATGGCATCACATCTTACGATTCCGCCGAAGATGTTGACGAAGATGGCCGTCACCTTGGGATCGGAAGTGATGAGGTCGAAAGCCTGCTGGATCGCTTCCGGTGTAGCCCCTCCTCCTACGTCGAGGAAATTTGCTGGTGAGCCGCCGTTGAGCTTGATGATGTCCATGGTTGCCATTGCTAGCCCGGCGCCGTTGACGAGACATCCGATGTCGCCGTCCAGTTTGATGAAGTTCAAGCCGGATTTCGCCGCGGCGACTTCATCGGCGTCTTCTTGCGTGGTATCGCGCCAGTTGAAGATGTCTTCTTGGCGAAAGTCGGCGTTGTCGTCAAAGGTCAACTTGGCGTCCATGCACAATACCTCATGGTCAGAGGTTTCAGACAAGGGGTTGATTTCGATCTGCGTGGCGTCCTTTTCCATGAAGACTTTGTAGAGTTTCTGGATCGTGTCTTTGGCCGAGTCGACACATTGTTCGCTGAAGCCGAGTTGTTGGGCGATGGTCGTGGCCATTTCGTCGGTGACACCTTTGTGGATGTCGACTTTGGTTGAGATGATTGCTTCGGGGTTCTCCTTGGCGACCGTCTCAATGTCCATTCCTCCTTGGCTACTCGCGACGATGACCGGGCTCTGACTTCCACGGTCCATGAGGATGGCGAGGTAGAATTCTCGTCGAGCAAACTTGCGCTCTACAATGTAGACACTGTTGCAGATACGACCGCGCTCACCAGTCTGCTTGGTGATAAGCTTATGCCCAATCATCTGGTCGGCGAGAATGCTGGCTTCGCGCGGGCTGTAGACGATTCTCACCCCACCCTTGAAGCCATTGTCGAAGTGGCCCTTTCCACGTCCTCCGGCTAGCACTTGGGCTTTAATGACCATGTCGTCTCCGGCGATGCTTTTTGCAACTGCTTCGGCTTCTTGTGCGTTGTGAGCGACGCTACCTTTGGGCACGCCGATACCATAGCTGTCGAGGAGTTGGGCGGAGCGGTATTCGTGGATGGAGAGGTTGCGGCGTTGTTGGAGGAGGGATTGTCTGATATGAGAGTCCTGGGCGTAGTGTTAGTTGTGGGCGGGTTAGAAGCTCTCTTTGAGTGATTTCATACTTGCTTGCCCTTCAGCGCAGAGGCAAATTGCCTTCTACACGCGAGCTTGAACATGTTGAAAGTTGTGGGTGCGGGAGGGAGTGTGGATGTCTAGCAGCAGCAACATCTTCGAGCTCTCCCAAGCTTGTTGCACTCGGCGCATCTCGGAAGAGAGTTTCGGCGAAAGCTTGGACCACTAGCCGCACGTGAAAGTCGAGGAAATTCTGTTCCTTGGTCCTACACCTTCTTCTACATACCCGTAGCAGCATCCCTCCAATGCATGTTGCTGCCGCCAATACAGCTATGGTAAGTTATCGATCCCCTGCACACTCTCCTACTTACATGCAATGATGACCCATTGTGTTCGCCCCTATCAGACCAACGGGCCCTTCGAGGGTCTCTGTGGTGATTAACACGCTTAGCCAAACAGCAGACTGATTGCATTACATCCACTCCACATCTCTTCAGCACGAACATACCTCCACTCTGGACTGGCGCTGACTTGACGATAGATCAATACAGAGCTATGGCAGCCAACACACCCTCACAAATTCTCCAGCAATTAGCGTGCTAAGGGCAAATAAAACTTGGCATAGTGTAAAGTCGAAAGAGCAGCAAGAGCTAGGTATGTATTCTGAATAGACTCCACCACATCTTCACCTTCTCACCTGATGAGCAACAATATATACTATCAAATGCCGATATCCCATGACGAGCAAAATATGGTTCGATTACCTGAACACCACATCTTACATCTCACTTAAGAAGCACGATTTTTATGATGGCAAGAAGTCAAGCTGACTTGCGAAAAGGTAGGTGTTACACTCCATTCGCCGTAACTCGCTGCTCGAGGTCCTCATCTATCGTGTAAGTCTATCTGCATCCTGTTCTCTTTACCCTATACATGATGCAACAAAACATTCCATGCTAAACCTGAAGGCCTCTCGGCTTCATGTTGATCAAAATGTATTACTTTTCATCTTTCGACTGATCTCTTCCCTCCTCATTCATACAACACTTGCACCTTCAAAAGCACAGTGCTGCTTGTACTGACTGCAAAGCGCATAGATTTTTCTTCCCTCCCTTTCCAAGCCACACCTACGACCGAAACTCCTTCAACTCCTCCGCATCCCAACTCAGAAATCTCCCACTCAACTCTCGCGGCGGACTCACCACAACCTCCGCCATAACATCCCCCGGCTGCTCCGGCCTCAACAACCCTCCACTCCTCTTCAACTCCGCAAACTTCTGCCTATCCTTCTCCGTCATCAACTCATGATGCTTCTCTCGTATGTCCCTCTGCATCTCCGTATCCACCACACCGGGCCTGATAGACAATGTACACACATCCTTCTCCTCGTTCCCAAGTGTCATAGCCAGGTGATTCAGTGCCGCTTTTGCGCTCCCATAAGCACCCCATGTCTCGTATGCATTACTCGCTGCCCCGGAGGAAGTGAAAATTATACACCCTTTATTCTTTCTCAACTCGGGCAATGCGGCCTGTGTAAGCGCTACGGCGGAGAAGAAATTTGAGTCGTATGCTTTCCTCCATTCTTCCACGTTCGAACTAGGATCTCCTACCCGTTTTACAGGGTCTAGGATACCATGATTCACTATCAGTCCGTCTAGTGCTCCGAATTTCTCGGTTGCGAGGTTCACAGCTTGTTTTCCTAGGGTGAAGTCTGAGAGGTCGCCTGTTAGGACTGCAACTTGTTTGGGGTACTGCTTTTCTAGTTCGCGGAGGGGTGCTTCGGTTCGGGCTATGAGGACGAGGTTGTGGGATTTGGAGAGGAGGTTTTTCGCGATGGCGTGGCCGATGCCGCGGGAGGCTCCGGTGAGGATCAGTGTTTTGGCGGATGACATCGTAAGGTAAAGACTCGACGGGAGAGTGCATGTAGCACGTGAAAGCCAAGGTACTTTGGCTACTGTATTTTAGAGTTTGATACTCTGGTGCGCTATCCCACATGCCCCGCACGTTGCGATGCGTAGGAGGCACGGCAAGGAGAGGAGAGGTGTTCGAGAGGCGTAAGAGGAGCATGGCAAGGGCAATGGCATACATTTGAGCCAAGGTGGTTGGCAGGTATACGTGTTACAAGGTAGGTACAGGTACAAGAGTGTAGGGCGCCGCCCTTTGATGTGCTCTTAGCCCTTCTTTCTGTCCCATTTCATCTTTCCCAAAACTATCTCTAGCTCTAAGTCAACTTCACTTCACTCCATCGAGCTTCACTGTACCAAGCGCCTGTATCGTACGATCAAAATGTCTCTAGCAAATATGGATAACAACGACTTAGCCCGCGCCTTCTCCACCGTCACTAACGCCGCAGAAGAACGTAGCACTGTCATCCTAGGAGCTGGTATCATTGGCTTATCGACGGCATACTACTTATGTCTTGGTGGCAATACACGACCAGATACTGTCCATCTTGTCGAGGCAGCAGATGAGATGTTTGCTAGTGCTAGTGGACGCGCTGCGGGGTTTTTAGCTAAAGATTGTATGTCCCCATTCTGAGTCACGGGACTTGCTGCCAAAATGATGGCTACTCATGTCACTAGGGTTCGGGCAAGCTACTGCCTCTTTGGGCGCTTTAGCCTTTGATCTACACAAGGAGCTAGCAGAGAAGCATAACGGCAAGAAAGAATGGGGTTACAGTCCCAGTACCGGCACCAGTCTCGCGGAGGGCTCCGCCCCTAAGGACGCACCACGAGGAGACGACTGGCTCCGCACCGGCGGCTCTCGAGCCGAAGTCGCAGGCACCCATTCTTTCTCCGGTGACGCTGTTGGTCCGGCTTGGTTGACTCGACGCAAGGGAGATAGGATCGAAGTTATTAGCGAGGACGCGACGGTCGCTCAAGTCGATCCGTTGAGGTTGTGTAGATGGTTGTTGAAGGAGTGTTTGAGGATGGGTGTTAGACTGCATCAACCCGCTAGAGCTGTGAAGTTGAGTCGGGATCAGAGGGGGGAGATGAGTGCGGTGAGGTTGAGACATGGGAGTGGTGCTGGTTTTAGGATTCCTTGTACGAGATTACTTATCACGGCTGGAGCGTGGTCGGGGAGGGTGTTTGGGGAATTGTTCCCTGATAGTGCTTTGGAGTTGCCCGTGGGGCGGTTGGCGGGGCATAGCATTGTTGTTAAAAGTCCGCAGTGGCAGGCTGAGCATGAGGTTGTGGGATGTCATGCTGTTTTTACTACGCAGATGGATGGGTTCAGCCCGGAGGTTTTCAGTCGGGTGGGTGGGGAGATATATGTTGCTGGGTTGAATGATCCGGGTCTTGAGCTGCCGGAGACTGCTACGGAGGCGAAGGTGGATGGGAAGTGTATTGATGAGTTGAAAGCGGTGGCGAAGAGGATGTTGGGGCGGGATGGAACTGACATAAGTGATTTGGAGGTTGTGAAGGAGGGGTTGTGCTTTCGACCCACTACGCACAAGGGTACTCCGCTTATAGCACATATCCCGGATGACGAGCTAGGTCCTGGAATTGAAACCAAGATGCCGCCGGATGGTGGTGTTTTTGTGGCTGCTGGGCATGGACCTTGGGGTATCAGTCAGAGTCTTGGTACTGGGAAGGTGATGGCGGAGATATTGGAAGGGCAGGAGCTGAGCGCGGATGTTAGGAGGCTTGGATTGTGATGATGGTGGCGTGCAATGGTGAGAAGTACTGAGGCATTCATTGAGATGTAAGCGTCCATTCTACCGATCAACGAAGCCAGAATCTAAGATAACGAGCACCACTCCATCCAGTCATCATTGAACCGCAACATGTCATTTATCTTCGAACATCCTACGCACAAGACCAGCCTGCACGATATCGCATTGAGAGACGGGGTTCCGGACCGCTTGTCTACGCTCCTTTCAGATTTCTGCCATCCTGATATCCAGCCTCTTTCTGCTGAGGGGCCATTTGCTATCTCGCGCCGCAATCGCACTTAAGGCAGATGGTCGGGCCAGTGGCTCGGAAATCATTCAACTCAGATCTTGGACTCGAGGTAATTGTGGAATTCTCGTCGTGATTGGAAGTTGCTGAGGCCTGGCGGCTACGGGACAGACGGAAAGATCGCAGTTCAGGGCTCGTACCTCCCCTTGACCTGGAGGGCGTGCGCTGCAGGGTCGATATCTGAGAAGCTGCACAGCCTTGGCTTGATGCATCTTCTGACTTGTGCTTCTCCCTTGGGCTGACGGGGTCGAGCGAGCGTGTCTTCTTGACAGGTTTGTGCACCCGCGTAGTTGGTCCGGAGAAGCTTGCGTCGTGCGAAAGACTCAGTGCATCGATAGATGGTGACGTTGCAGAGGTTCGTGCATCGAGTGGATCTTGTAAATTCGCCGAGCTCTCCATTTTTGTCGACAGAGGCGATACGTTTGACAGAGATTGTAAGCTCGAAGGGCTGTCGTGGACCGAATGTACGTCGACGGCTTGCGACCCATCCAATACAGAAGGCAAATGGTGTGTATCCTCTTTTTTTTCATCGTCATCTTCATGGAATGAGACTTTTTCCTGACTACTATGTCGACCAGCGTGGCCAACAGTTGCTTCAGGATCAAGCACCTCCGGAATGTTCTGCTGGAATGGCGCTGGAGATATTCGCGTCAACATATCATCCTTCCAGATTCTGGCAATCCGTGAGCGCTCAGCGACCAGCACTTGGCGCTTCAGCTTTCGTATTCTGTTCGAAGTCAGCATCATGGCCAAAGCCAACATCAGACTGTCCTCACTTTTCCCCGTTTGTTGACATCCTCAGAAACAAAGCGGAAGGATATGAGCCACCTAGATCTCCGGTAGCAGGACTAGCCAGCAGATGACGCCAAACGAAGCAACGTTTTCCAAAGTCCAGATCTCGAAATTTAGACTGTAGGGAGAGATAGCAGCATCTTCATTGGCGAGGGAAGCTAACGTCCTTCCAGGTCGCCTGCGGGTGGACTGTTTGAGCAGCAGGTGCTCCCAGAAGCCACTCCCCAACGAAGTGCTTTCATGCCTGCAGAGCATTGAAGAGTTCCCTGCGAATGATCAACTTGCCATGGGATCAATGTGAGTCGCATATGCACGGCACAGACTACAGCAGCATCCGGCTCGTTCGTCCCGCGCCTGGAGCGAACGATCCCTCCAGAAATAAGGCGTTGAAAACGAACCCTGGTATGGGAGCAGGCCTCATGACATGCACACGCCTTCCGCTGCGATCGGGTCCCCTTGTCGCCTATCGGGGCACACCAGACGGTAGATCGCAAACGAGCATAACGATCTCCACGAAGCAAGGCCAGCGAATGGGGATTGCTGCCATAGTGTAGATAGGACATCCGCGGATAAACGCAACGCTCGGACGCAGTACATCTGAGGCTGTACCTTGAGAATTGGACGATCGGTAAATGCGGGTCACGAGCATAGAGTCAACATTGAGGTCGTTGTAGAACTACACACAGGGGGTGGGTGGAGTGGTCCTCCCGCGACTTGCGCCTCTCGCGTACCCGCTCTCGACCTCTGCTTCAAAAATATGCCTGACCATGCTACATGCATGCGCAAAAGATACTCATAATTAGATATATGCACCACGCCACTGACTGTCGAGATGGTAGCCAGGTGCAACATATTTTCTCCCAGCGACGCCTGCGTACTGCTGTACTAGCACCGCGCATGGCGCAGTACAACGAGCCAGATCGATACGCTCCTGGCATGAACATCTCGGAGAGTATGTGACTTTTCTTCTCGACATATGAACTGTAATTAGATGATACCCAGACCAATCCTTGCTCAAGGAGTCGAAACTTGAAATCACAAATGCTAGTAAACACAGCTAGACGAGATCACTAGGACCCAGTCATGGCTGATCACTTCATCACCTATACTGATAGGATACCATGTGTGTCATGCTGCTGATCCACCGCTTGTCACCGTAGACCAAGCCAGAACAATGACTTTGAACTCGGGCTCCGCATCCTCCCCGAGCGAACTCAACCGCCTCAACATATTACGGAAAGTCGGCCCGGCCCTTGCTCGAATGATGTTGTGATTGAATCTAGGCTCGCCTGGTCGAGGATTCGCGTGCTCGATCCTTATACGCTGAACCGTTGCACCAAGAAGACTTGAGGGGCGCTGGTCATCGATCTCCACGAACATATCTTCGGCTGTCCGGCAGTCGATCAGTTCAATGAAGCTGGAGCCTTCGTCGGTGGAAGCCCAGTCAATTTCGAGGATTGCACGATCGAAGATAGTTCCTGTGCTCATGTGCGGTTGTACTGTGTCTGGTGCAGAAGGGGGAGGTGGAGGTGGAGGTGGAGGTGGAGGGCTTGGTGGCGGTGGCGGTGGCGGCGTATCACCAGTCTGTACTGAGGAAGTAGACCCTGGAGTGTGTGCCTGAGCAGCTTTACCCATTCGTGACACAGGGATGCCGTCTTGACGCTGTGGGCGTGTAGAGCCACTAGCTTGAGATGCGGAGCTGTCTGACGCTGCTTGTCCGGATTCGCAGGACGGACGCGTAGAGGTGATGTTTTGGGGCTGTGCCCGGGTAGCATCGATAGAAGGCGGCATTGATCTGCTTCTTTCATATCGAATCTGGGCGAGAGGATCATCTTGCGGTGTAGGCGCAATTGTATAAGGCTGTTCTGGCACAGACACGAGTGACGAGATTGCAATTCCTCGTTCAGTCTGACCGGTGCTTCTAGAGCTCGGCGACGGCACATTGACCCTTGGTAAATCCACATTCGAGGATGCCGCCACCATCTGTGCCGGTGGCGGGATGTTCTGGACTGGTGGAGGAGGCTGTATGGTCATTTGATCAGTCTCTTTTGCAGTGTCGGACCTTTCGATCTCCACTTTCGACAGATCTGGCTTCTCGCTTACTGCTGCATTAGATTGCGAGGTTTCGACAGGCCGATCACCGATGGGTGAAAATATTCTCGACGAGTCCTCGCTTTCTACAGTAGCACTTCGGTATGTCGGTACGATGACAGGATCACTATCCTCGGCCACGCCTGCGAAGCTGCGAGCAGCAGGCATGCTATCCTGTCGCCCGTGAGGCACCGAGGCGACACTTGCCTTCTCTTGACGAGTGCTGTTGCGAGCCGGGGAATATCTAGGCCCGAATGGTGGTTTGGGTACCACCACCGGGGCAGCCTCGGTCGACGTTCCGAGGCGTTTCCCGTGAAAGTCCTGCTCCGATCGAGTGTTTCTGGATGTATGAACCCCATCAGAAGTCCCGTCCGGTCGTGCTTGCTCCAATCCTGCGTGAATTGAAGCTTGGCTAACCTCCACAGTACCAGCTGTAGCATTACCGTGCTGAGTAGACGGCTGAGGAGAGTCTGTAGTGTTGACAGGCTGGTTGCAGGACGTGATGGATGCAGCTACAGCTCCGGATCCATTGACAGGAGTGAAGCCCGCCGTTGTGCTCTGGGCTGCGTGATGGTCACCATGCTCGCACAATGGCCCAGAGCTGGGTCGTGAGGAGTCGCTGGGGAATCGGCTGAGCTGCGATGGCATCAGCATCAGCCTTACCACCAAAGTCCTTGCACAGCCTCTGCTTACATCTGCTCCTGTCTTCTGCCTCTTTGCTGAGCCATGTGATTGTCGTGCCTGAGTTCGCTTCGCTTGCAGGGCGGCCTTCCATGATGCTTTGTCGACATTCTCAAATGCACTGGGATCGGTGGGATTGACAGTGTTGTTTGGCAAACCTTGGCTTCTTATATGTGCATCACGTTGATGACCAGAGACAGACGATTTCCCTCGAGATTTGGAAGCAGACGAAACGGTCTGACTGAGACGATGCGTTTGTCTTGTATGCGGCTCCCTTGGATCATCTGGCAGGTAGTCGGAATCAGATAGACGGTCGCCATTGCCGGTGGCTTCGTCCAGATCGTTGTGGTAGTAATCGAACGACGACATCTCCTCACTTGACCCCCTTCTTTTGTCCTGGTCGTCTGACTTGTTGTTCTGTGCAGTGGTATTGATATGGTCTTCCTTCGCGGTCGTGGAATTGTCTTCTGGTACTGTGCTCGTTTTGTGGTTTCGAGTGTACTGTATACACTTGGCCACTACCCATACGCAGAAAGCCTCACGCAACCTGAGGACGTCAGCATGATCAGATTTTCAAAGTATGATATTGTACAGACCTCCAGTTGTGATCGTCGGTTTCGTAGTATAGATCCTCAGGGTAGAAGCCCGCGAGATCATCAACAGCAGCGGCAGCAAGCCACTGACTTCGCACAAATTTGACGTCTCCGTCAGCTGGCCACAGCTTTGGACCAAGAGTATCAAAGAGTGCGTTGCCTTCTTTGTCTAGCTTAGTGGAGTGCAGGAGCTCGGTTTGTGTCAATGTCGAATAGCTCTCCGTGATCCTCTTTAGCTCGGCGTTGAGTTCTTTGATGATGGGATATTTCTGGCGGTCTCTCGCTCGAGATATAGTACGGTCCCACTTGAAGCCTAAGGACTTCTCGAGATCGAATATCCGTAGCCTAGACCAGCTCATAGATGATCGGTTGGTCATGACGCTTGGAAAGGAGAAGGAGGCACAGGCTCAAGCTGTCCAGCGAGAGTGTAGACACGTTCCCTTTCTGGTCGAACCAGCAAATAATCTTCGATCGATTCCCAGAGAAGTACTGGAACATGTGGAGCATGGGCGTTGAGGATCAAAGCAGCATCGGGCAATCCTGTGCCCCTCGCCAACCCGACGGCACGGCCTGATGGCAGAGCAAACGTCGCCTCGGACATCAAAGCCTACTGCAGCTACATGTGGACTCATGCATCAGCACGCGGCTACCCATGCCCTACCGACAACGTGGCACTTGATAGATCGCAAACGAACCCGGGTCAGCTGAGAAGCCTTGGGGAAGCCAAGGGCGACTTTACTGCCTCGACGGAGCCATGAGTGGTTATCTCTACAGACCCTGCTATGTTGAATCGGCAGGCATCTGTACATGCCCCTAAGGTCGGATCTGCCAACAAGCGTAGGATGCGATGTTGTGTCTGAAGTGTGCTGATAGGGCGGCAAGCCGAAATAGCGGCCGTGGGGAGGTGATCCCGGCCGCCACAGCGCCGCATACAAACAGATCTTCTCCCAACCTCTTCTTTACCTCACGTCGCTTAGCTGTTATTATGTCCCCAAATTGCACGGACATATGCACTACGCCGCACGCTCGACGGCTGCAGCCCCATGAGGCCGACTTTAAGAGAGCGCGTCTAGAGGACGAAGGCTCAGCATCACGGCTGTGGTTACAAATCGAGCACCTCCATAGACCATCTCTTGTCTAGTGCTAGTGGATTGAACGAGTATCGTGGCACCTCGAGCTTGCATTTCGCCCGTTCAATCGTATGCTAGATAAGCTGTCAACTGGCTCCAGCTTCCAGCCAGTCGATCAGCGTTTGCATTGGAGTTGTGAGACCGACCAGCCTTGACTAGGTGCAGTATACGAAGCGCTCGGGCATCAGGCCTACTAGGCAACAGGAGTTACAAAGCCTACACCCTGGTGTGCGGCAGAACAAGGCGTCGGCTCACACTGACCACTGCTTCATCACCATCCGTTAATTTAGTCGTCAGTCTCTGCTATCCCGATCGGGACTTTGATCTCACTACAGAGGCAGAATGCTACTTCAGCATGACTTAGAAAAAGCCGAGCAGGCGAACGGACTGTAAATCTAACCAATTGAGGCGCAGTGCAACAGGGATAAAAGAAGGCAACCGATACTGCTAGGAACCTAACGTGTTTCATGTGGCACGGGATATTTGTGGGAGCTATACGCCGTACAGCTGTCGTTAACGACGTTGTGCCTCAAACTCCTATTAAGCTTTCCTAAGGTAATTCGTCCCATACTGTCGCTACACTGATACAGTGTTAAGCCAATTTACCGCGGCTTCTACGACCTAGAATCGTAGTCTGATGTTATAATGGAGATTTGAAAGAGATCCATAAGCGCAACAGATGTCATTCTTGCAATTATGTTGGACTCAACGACCATCGGCGCCCGTGCTCGATTTATGCGGACTGCCTAGGCAATTTTGTCTCGCGAAACTTCGAGGCAGTAGCCCTTGCCGTTATACACGCTACGAACTGCGAGTCCCAATGTAACATCGGCTAGAATCCCCCCTTAAGATTCAGAACCTGCACCCGTCCACCAAACACACACCTCGATCTCCGAGTAGTGCCAGATATCAGAAGTGTGGCCGTAGTCGTGCACTAATGTCCGTAGCTACTCCAAATACGTGAGGAATCAGCGGCTCTAGGAACAATAAAAATTCATTATCTACGAGCTTCTACCACGACGCGCCGTTATGGAGCTGATTCGGCTCACGGGGTCAGGAAAAACGAGTTGTCCTTCGAGTTCGCACTATGCAAAGGCAAGCTAGGTACAAACTGCACACGCCATCGACAGTAGCACCCAAATGTGTAGCAGTCTCTGTTGTGATATCTCATTTCAGCTCAAGACCATCTGTGTAAGAGCCACGGAACGTTCCATCGTCTCGTTGCGGATGTTCTAACAGATATGAGATCCGAAGCGTGTGGAATGATTACAACGAGCGATGTAGTATATGCTCTACCTTACGGGCTCACTGCTACTATTCTGTCGACGCGGCTTGGAATTACCGGTCCTCGCATTGAACAAGCATCGATGTAGCACAGGTTGTATTCCGCGTGGCGAGCCGGGTTCCCTTCGGCCGTTGGAAGATTCTTGCGGATGACGAAGGTCAGTGGCAAGAACAGCATACATCAAGATATGAGGGACGTATTAATTGGCGTCGATTCGAAAGTCTCCAAAGACTTGGCAGGCGTCGCGGGCGTGATAGGCGAGCGAGAAAAATGGGCGAGAGGATGGACAGTGGTGGAATGAGAATGTTTGTGCATCAGACTGGCTTTCGCAGCTCGCCTGTAGACCAGATCAAGGTGGAAGTGTGTAGGCAAATTCGCTACGGAACGTAAATGTGAAGTCGGATCGTCAATCATTGTTCTTGAAACGCTGCGCCACGTGTCTGTGCAAGGCATCAATAGCAAATCAATTAAGTCACGTGGACCTGGTCATGACTTAGCTACTATAATCGAAGACTATGTTGAAGACGGCACTCACGCTGAACAGAGAAGACGGAGTCGTCTTGTCAAGCGCTCGGTTTACGCAATGTGCTGACGAAATCAGATCAGATAAGATCAAGATTTCTTTGCGCCGTGCAAAGTTCGAGCTCAATACTTAAATCACATGCTCACTATTTCTTTGCTAAGACATACACAACATGTCAGATGTGAAAAGGCGAAAACTCAGTCATGACGGTCCACGACCTACGAAGAAGTCCAAGAAGAGTAGCCGCGAAGACGCCGCCATAATCCAGCCAAGAACGATTGCGACGGAACCTGATCTAGCAGAAGAAGAAGGCGAGACGCAAGATGCGGTGGTGGACAAGACCTTTGCAGACTTGGGTGTGACCGAGTCACTATGCGACGCATGTACAAATCTCGGGTTCAAGGCTCCCACAGCGATTCAGGCCGAGTCAATACCCATAGCACTCAGCGGCAAAGACATCATAGGTTTAGCAGAGACTGGAAGCGGCAAGACGGCTGCCTTCGCTTTGCCCATACTACAGGCTTTGCTGGACAAGCCACAGCCTATGTTCGGACTTGTCATGGCGCCGACACGAGAACTTGCGTATCAAATCTGTCAGCAATTCGAGGCATTGGGCAGCTTGATCAGTGTGCGGTGTGCTGTGATTGTGGGTGGCATGGACATGGTGCCGCAAGCAATCGCACTAGCCAAGAAACCACACATCGTTGTCGCCACACCTGGAAGATTACTGGATCATCTGGAGAACACGAAAGGCTTCTCTTTACGACAGCTGAAGTACCTAGTAATGGACGAAGCAGACAGACTCCTGGACCTCGACTTCGGTCCCATACTTGACAAGATCTTACAAGTCCTGCCGAGAGATCGCCGGACAATGCTCTTCTCCGCCACAATGAGCACGAAACTCGACAACCTCACTCGAGCCGCTTTACAGAATCCTGTACGAGTCAGTATAAGCAGCTCATCATACCAGACTGTCAAGAACCTGAAACAGCAGTATCTCTTCATCCCGCACAAGTTCAAGGACATATACTTGATCTACTTGCTACACGAATTCGCCGGCCAGACTTGCATCCTCTTCACAAGAACCATCAACGAAACACAACGACTTGCGTTCCTCCTCCGTGCCCTTGGCCGCTCGGCAATACCACTCCACGGCCAGCTGAACCAGTCTGCTCGCCTGGGAGCTTTGAACAAGTTCCGGGCTGGTCATCGAGATATCCTCGTCGCCACGGACGTCGCAGCCCGAGGTCTAGACATCCCATCCGTGGATCTAGTTCTCAACTTCGACCTCCCACCTGACAGCAAGACATACGTCCACCGGGTTGGCCGCACAGCTCGAGCAGGCAAAAGTGGTGTAGCCATCTCGCTTGTCACGCAGTATGATATTGAGCTTTATATGCGCATCGAGCGAGCACTGGGCAAGAAACTGGAGGAGCATCCGAGCGAGAAGGATGAGGTGATGGTGTTTGCTGAGAGGGTGGGGGATGCGCAGAGAGTGGCGATTACCGAGATGAAGAACACGCATGAGAAGCAGAAGGGTAGTGGTGGGGGGAAGGGGAAGGGTATTGCGGGTGGGAGGGCGAAGGGCAAGAGGGATGGCATGGATAGGGAGGAGGGCTGAGGATCGACTTAGAGGAATGGTGTCCTTGATCTCTGCCGCATGGGATGATGAGTAATACTCGGAACGCCGTGGGAACGTGCAGATCAGTCTGATCACGACTACATGGCTCTGCGTAACGCATCGATATGGTTGATTCATATGGATGACGATAGCATTGATCTGCTTGCAATGGTAAGATCCATGGCTGGCTTGGCTGGAGTGGTCAAGACAATGAACAGAATTACAGGGACCACGGAAGCTCGGCTAGATGCAACCGGTAAATGCTCTAAGTATATGCACTACGCTCTTTTCCTATGAAGCTACGTGTGTATGATCGGGTAAGGATGCCATTCCTATCTAGTAGTTGTAGGTAGCGTACGCAACGTTGTCAATCAACAGTGCTGTCAGGGTCGACGTGCCAGCGGATTGCACAACAGAGATATCCACACGATCCAGGCCAGAGAACTCGGACAGATACTGTCCACCGAAATCGGCCTTGGACATTTTGGAGATGACAGCATTGGTAGGGTTGAATTGCTGGTTGACGGTCGCGAAGGGTACATCGCTGCCGACCTTGTATGCTGTGAAAGCGACGGTGCACTCGAGCGGTACACTGGCCACGGTCTCGAGGGACATGGCGACGCAGCCGAAGTAGAGGTACTGGAGATCGAAGGCCTTGACGGTGGCTGTGGTGAGAGAGGGACCGCCGGTCGTGAGGTCGTTTGTCAAGGCATTGACAGCGGTGTTAGGGCTGGACTGAGGAGTCACACCTGTGGCGAGGCCGGCGACACCGGCTTGGAGGACGTCGAAGGAGTTGTAATTGAGGCCTTTGTAGGTGTTGATTGGGCTGAGTTCGGAGGCGCCTGGTACGGCGGTCAGGTCGTCGAAGGTAGCGAGGACTTGGTTCTTTTGGACGCTGCTGCTGCTGCTGCTTCCGGAGCCGGAGGGGGCGGCGTGGGCGATGGCGAGCAGAGTCGCTGCTGAGAGGAGGACGTTGACCATGTTGGCTGTTGTGGGTGATTGAGTGAGTTTGCGGATGAAAGAAATATTGCGATTCGTGGTGAGTAGTGAAAAAAGACTGAATTAGCAGACAAACGCCGAATACTTATACGGCTTGATCGTGACACTAAGTCAAGCTTGCTGTATGCTGCAGTGTCTCGAAGCGGTATTTTTCACGTTATGGCCGTCGGCAGGGTTGGGAGCACAACTAGTGACACGGAGATCTTGATCGACACAATCCTCTCACAATTCCCGTGGCCGTTGAGTGGTGCTTTAGTCCGCTCTGGCAACGATGTGCACAGTACGGCACGTCCTTATGCAGCAATGAAGTGTGTACCAGGCATATGATGCGGTTGTCTGATATAGCAGAATGCAAGACCAGCGGTCAGCCAGTTAGTTCTCCAGCATACCGAAACATGAAGTGCTGATCCAATAGGAACGACGCCATTGTGCATCCTGAGGTCAAGGCTATCAAGCTAATGGACCAATAGCTTATAGAATAAAATCTCCGACCCCGAGATGTTTCGGGCGCTTGAATGCTGTAGTTGGAGCAGAGCCGCAGATGGAGTTGTTGCTTTGACGGTGATGTGTATGCCTTATGTGGCAGTGATCGACAGATCTCCAACTCAAGTTGGACTTTTCCGCCGTGCGATTACCGAAAGGAGTGCAGCTTCATGGTTGACAGATCTTGCTAGTACATACCTAGCTTGCAAACAAGCACAAATAGAATCTGGAGTTCCCTACGTTAGTGGCATATGTGGATACTGTAGTGCTTGAATCAGGACGAACATCAGTTACAGCCTCGACCAACATGATGTCGTGATTAGTGAATTGTCACCATGCCGTCACAACTTGGCAAACACAGTAGCAACAGTCCCACCCATCTCAACCAATGTGCTCTTGTTCTGCACCCAGTTCTCCAAACCTCTTCTTCCGTTCTCCACACCTAGCCCACTCAACTTCCATCCTCCAACCGGCATCTCCGCTGGCGACTCACCCCACGTATTGATCCATGTGATACCTGCTTCAAGTCGAGCGACGATCTTGTGTGCAAAGTCAATATTCTTCGTGAACACACCAGCGGCAAGTCCCATGGGCGTATCATTTGCTCTCTGGACCAAGTCATCCACAAAGTCTCTACGCTTGTCGGCGTAGGGTAAGATACACATTACAGGCCCAAAGATTTCTTCACGGGTGATAAGCATATCATCCGTGCAATTGGTGAAGACTGTGGGTTTCACCCAGAACCCGTTGGTGTCCACGCCTTGTACGAGGTCTGGTTTGCCGAGACCGCCATGGAGGAGTTTGGCTTTGTCCACTTCGATACCATGCTGGATGTACTTCTGCACTTTCTTGCAGTGGACTTCGCTGACTAGAGGGCCGAAGTTCGTGGATTCGTCCATTACATCGCCTGGTCGAACATCAACCATCTTCTCGAGCAACCGCTTCTCGAATGCTCCAAGCATACTCTTGGGCACAAATACACGAGTGCCATTTGTGCAGACTTGTCCGGTCGAGAAAAAGTTTGCCATCATTGCTCCGTTGACTGCGCCCTCCACATCTGCGTCGGGCAGAATAATGCAGGGCGATTTACCACCCAGCTCCATGGTCACGTATCGCATGCCAGCTGCTGCCGAGCTAGCGACTTTAGCGCCTGTCGATACCTGACCAGTGAAAGAGACCTTGGCGATGCTAGGATGGGACGTAAGTAGTGCTCCTACATCCCCTGCTCCTTGAACAACATTGAAGACTCCAGGAGGTACGCCGGCCTCGAGATACATCTCAGCAAGCTTTAATGCATGAAGCGGTGTGAATTCTGAGGGCTTGTATACCATGCAATTGCCTGCAGCGAGACATGGTGCGGACTTCCACAAAGCAATCTGTATTGGGTAGTTCCAGGCTCCGATACCTGCACATACGCCGAGTGGTGCTTTATTTGTGTATATCCAGGCATCAGGTCGTAGCTGTGTCGTCTCACCATTAAGGCCTCCAGAAGCAATGAGGTTGGCGTAGTACTCTAGCACATCTGCGCCAGTGATGACGTCGACTGTGCTGGTCTCGGAGAACGGTTTCCCGGTGTCGTGAGTCTCAATGACCGCGAGCTCATCGTTTCGTTCTCGTAATAACTTGACTGCTTGAAGCAATATTCGCGAGCGCTCCATGGGTGGTGTGGCGGACCATGATGGGAAAGCTTTCTTGCCGGCCTCGACGGCGGCATGGATCGAGGACTTATCAGCTGTGCATATGTCTGCTATGGGCTTGTTGCATGATGGATCTATGGTTTGGAATGTGTTCGTGGTCTTGTGGCGTCGTCCATTGATGAAGAGAGGTTGCTGTTCGTACTTCATGTCGCCGTGATTCAAGCTCCCATCCACTGGTAGAAGTATTGATCGACTGGGTAGCGCTGTGCCTCGAGCGATCGGTCTTGCTAGTGATCACGATAGGCAGGCGAGAAAACCGTTGCAGTAGAGGGATGTGTGTGTATGCTAAGGAAAACGATATCGAGCAAGCCAAGAGTGAGGTGATGGTACTCGAGGGAAGCTACTGCGATTGAGCTGACTTTGCTGCGCTACGATGGCCACAATAATGAGAGGGTTCTAATCAGAGGCGAGAACAGTGTACGTAGCGCATCAGATTTGTTCGTCGTCTCGTCTGTATCTTCTCCCTCGGCCACTTCTCGGAGCGGAGCTCGGTCCTCGCCGGGAACGAGACCTACAGGGTTTGTGATGCAGCTCGCACGCGATCGCCTTAGACAATCACGCCAAGCAAGATCCTGTGTTGATAAGCTCTACGCATTGCGCAGGTAAGAGGTCAACGATCCTACAAATAGCATATATTTCGTGGCTAGAAGAAGACCGTGAACAGAAGAACGACGGAATCTTCTCATACGCCGCTTCTAGCCGCCGAAAAGACACCAATATGGAGCCACAACCGCAGACAGAAGTTTTTCTCAACTTCACCTTGCCTTCGCCTAAGCATTAAGGTTTGGACATTGCCGAGATCTGATCCGCCGACTACAGCGATTACCAGGGCATCTCGTTTTCTTTCGCGCGTCCTACGGCTACAATCACCAAAACGAGCCGAAGCATCCCCACAACTTCACCATAGAAAGGTGAGGTTTCATGCTCTGCTCTAATACTCTTCCTTCGATCCTTCACTGGCACTTCGCAACTCATTCACTGGAGTGTTGTATATCTCTTTCCTCTAATTTACACTTGGCGAGCACAATAAGACATCTCTAGCACACCCAACATGGCAGCTGCAACTAATCTCCCCACCACGGGCACGACCGATCACATCAATCCCGCCGACGTCGACCAATATGACTTCGTGATCGTAGGCGGCGGCACAGCAGGCTGTGTCATTGCATCTCGCCTCTCCGACTACCTTCCCAATAAACGAGTCCTCCTCATCGAAGCCGGACCATCAGACTTCATGGACGACCGCGTACTACTTCTCAAAGACTGGTTGAATCTACTTGGCGGCGAGCTAGACTACGATTACCCAACCACTGAACAGCCGCAGGGCAACTCGAACATCCGTCACTCCCGAGCCAAAGTGCTAGGTGGTTGCTCAAGTCACAATACTCTGATCAGCTTTCGACCATTCGAGTACGATTGCCAGCGATGGGTGGAGCAGGGTTGCAAGGGATGGGATTTCAAGACCTTCACCAGATGTCTGGATAATCTGAGGAATACTGTGCAGCCAGTGCATAACAGGCACAGGAATCAGCTCTGCATGGATTGGGTCAAGAGCTGCTCAGAGGCACTGGACATCCCAGTCATTGAGGACTACAACAAGGAGATCAGGAATACGGGTGCTCTCAAACAGGGTGTGGGCTTCTTCTCGGTATCATATAACCCAGATGATGGACGACGAAGCAGCGCTAGTGTAGCATATATCCACCCAATCTTGAAGGGCGAAGAGCAGAGGTCAAACTTGACGATCTTGACGAATTGCTGGGTCAGCAAGCTCAACGTCAAGGACTCAAAGGTCGAAGGCTTGAACATTACACTCCGAGACGGCACGAAACACACTTTACGGCCGAAATGCGAGACCATCCTCTGTGCGGGTGCGGTCGATACACCACGCCTCATGCTCTTGTCTGGCCTCGGACCGAAGCAGCAACTCAACGAACTCGGCATCCCAGTCGTGCGAGACATCCCAGGCGTAGGTGAGAATCTGCTCGACCACCCAGAAAGTATCATCCTTTGGGAGCTCAACAAGCCGGTACCAATTGATCAAACAACCATGGACTCAGACGCTGGAATCTTTCTGCGGCGACAGCTTCCCAACGCAGCTGGCAAAGACGGAGATATCGCCGATGTGATGATGCATTGCTACCAGATCCCATTTGTCTTCAATACCGCGAGGTTGGGGTACGAGACACCCAAGGATGCGTTCTGCATGACTCCCAATATCCCACGACCACGATCAAGAGGCAAGCTGTATCTTGTCAGCAAGGATCCCAACGTCAAGCCAGCACTGGACTTCAAATACTTCACCGATCCCGAAGGCTACGATGCCGCAACGATTGTCGCTGGCCTCAAAGCCGCGCGAGAAATCGCCAAACAAGCTCCCTTCTCGGACTGGATCTCCAAGGAAATCGCTCCCGGTCCAGCTATCACCTCGGATGAAGACCTATCTGAATACGGTCGGCGAGTGGCGCATACAGTCTACCATCCAGCGGGGACAACGAAGATGGGTGATGTGTCTCGGAACCACATGGCTGTCGTTGATCCGCAGCTGAAGATCCGAGGGCTGCAGGGTGTAAGGATTGCGGATGCGGGTGTGTTCCCGGAGATGCCGACGATTAATCCTATGTTGACTGTTCTTGCTATCGGAGAGCGAGCAGCCGAGATGGTTGCGCAAGAGTGGGGGTGGGAGGGTATGGCTAGGCCTAGACTGTAGGCTGTGTTTTCATCCATGTCATTTCATGGAGCATGGACTGCTTCAACAAAAGCAGTGTTTACACAATGGAAGCGATAGTTGCTGGAGCTGGGTTCAGACGGATCTGTAGCAATATACCCTTGTACTTCGGGTCGAAAAAGGTTGTACGCTCAATCGTCTTTCCTAAGACACTAGCTAGCAGTAAATCGTTCTATCCCAGCCTGTCTGCTGTCTTTGACTTTTGAACGATGTCCACAACGTGCAACGTTTACAGTAGCACGTGGTTCACCGCCGTGATTACCAGGACTATTCCGCCGCCGGCTCGCAGCTTAAGCACAATAATGTGTGTCTTCTGTTCACGACGACCTACAGAACCCTTTGACTGGAGAAATGAGCTACGAAGTTGGCCACACATGTACGCTCGTAGATTGGGTCGACATCTTGAAAGTGAAACGCTTATTTGGTCTACAGCAACAGATCCCAATCTACAATCTGGCTCTCGGCTACCGTACTGCATACTGGTGGGGCGCGAGAACTAGACTGCCCTCCTTCCAGCCGCCGGCTTACGCGGGCCCAAGAGCAAAGATCACATCTACATTCGCCCCGGAGACTGTCTGTAGCGACACGCGGAATATAAAGGCGTGAAGGCGATGCTGCCATGGCTACGACAACCCTTGGATCTCCGATGATACTAGGGCAGCTAGGCATATGTCAAACTTTCGTGGACGCTTCTAAAGCGTCCCATGGGCATAGTATAAGATAGCTTAACCTCAGCGTAGTACTTCTGCCGTCATATTCAACGCTCTGCTGCAGAGTACTGGCGATGTAGACTGTAGACAGAATGGCGATGTTGCGATAGATTGCTCAAGCTTGCCCGCCTGCGTTATCTGCCGGGAGAGCTCTCAAGGTCGGTGTCTAGCGTCTCCACTAGTCTTTACAATGCCTCGACACTGACTGTGCCACAGCTACAGAAGACTGCATGCCCGGGTATCTTCTTCTGAGTGCTTTGAAAACAGCAATCATTCCGTATAGAAAGGTAGCTGCATATCTTACTCTTCTACCAGCATGCCTTCGGGAAAGAATCGCCTTTATGTCGCTCTGTATGCGCGTGGCGGAGCACCAAAAATGCCGACACTCGAAGACACGTAGGTGCTCTCTATTAGCAGGATCAGTTTCAGATCGCTGAGAACTTGGTCTATAGCTATCATTGGGCACTGATCGTCGGACCAAAGGACGAAACTATTGAGGGTCGAGGTTGGCGTTTCCACGCAAAAGAGGGACTCAAATTGGACGGCACTCTAGGGTGGCAGTATGAGGAGAGGGAGGTACCACTCATTGCCACGCAAATGTTGCTCGTCCGTATCTGCGTAGGGAAGATCGAGAAAGGTGATAGAGTCGACAGGATCCTACGCGACGTGCCGATACGAGACAATATTGCGGGGTGGAACTGTGTACATTGGATATGTGAAGCCCTTGAGCGCCTGAAGGGAATTGAGAAAGCTATGGGCACGTCCGAGCTTACTTGTGCGAACGGGACGCTGCAATGGCCTATGTCCAGCGGAAGAAAGATCAGCATCGATTGGACGGGCAAGGATCGTTTGACACGAGCAAGGCCCCGACATATGATCTTCTTGCACGTCAGGAAACGATTCCGTGATTTCTCATTCTCGTCAAGTCCCAAAGAATCCTTCAGGTCGTTATGGGCGTCGAGAGTTGTACCAAAAGCTTTCAACGACTGTCGGCGGCGCAGCCCCATCCCTTTGATCAATATGAGCACCTTTCATTGATACCACTGACGGCTAGATGTACCACTCGACATATGTCCGAAAACATTAATGAGTCGGCATCACGACATGATCGCCAGAAAGACTCTGCCTCACACGTCTCCAAAGTAACGTCGCCGAACCTCTTCCTGTTTCAATTCTGCAGGCCAAGGTACCAGGAATTTATCAATCTCGTCACGCCAAAAGGTGTTTCGAAAGTTGACTTGGCATGCTGCTGTGTACTCCCAGTATGGTAAATACCATCCGGCTGTCTCCCAATCGATAATACCGGTGATCTTGTCGTCTTCCACCATTATGTTGAGGCTGCTTAGGTCGCCATGTGTGAACACGGGCATCGGCCATTCCCGATCGTGGAAATGTATCAAGTCGTTGACGTCGGGCGGGAATCTCTCAGACACAGCATCAAAGCCGCCTCGCAGATACTGATGGAAAGCATCGACGTTGTTGAACGGTCCGAAGTCGAGAGACTGGCCGGGTAGCCTGCAATCCCACAGTCGACCACCGTCAACATTCGCAACAGCTGAGGACGAAGGAACAAGGTGCCGCATGCTTTCAATCAATTCCTTCAGCTGTCGTAAAATGTCTGCCTTGGATTCAGCCGACCTTGACTGCCAATTGAGTGCCATAGTTTCGCCTTTGACCTTCTCCATCACAATGTACGTCCAGCCTTTGCGCTTGAACGCACAGTAGATCTTAGGAACAGGGATGAGGGTGTTGCGAGCCACGAACTCCATCGTTGATGCCTCTGGAAGATGTCGCAATGGACCATATTTGACACAAATTGTGCCCGTCAAGAACAGAATCACTCCGCGCCTTGGTCGGAAGCGACCAAAAGTCTTCATAGCTGAAAGCACCAAGAAGCGCCGCAACCAGGTGTCATTGACGGATCTCGAGCCATTCTTCACCCGACTCAACTGAGCCGTGCTGCCTTTTTCATCTACTACGCTCATTCCGTCGACCACGAAAGGGTTGAAGAGGTAGCGATGCAAAGAGTATTAGCATGAGGCTGGCGCAGGGCGCCACTCGCGCCAAATGAGCAAAGGCGAATAGTCGAGGACAAAGCGATTACATCTATGGACTATCGTGATCTGGATGACGGGTCGGAGATGGGAGTTGGCTTGATTGCACGTGCTGCATCATAGGATCGTAGGGTGGAAAGGGTTGCCGTTGCGTAGAAGACAAGTGTGAAGCTTGAGGTAAGTGCCTCAGGCACTCATGATTTCGAACCTCTGCTCATGCTCTTATTCCGAACATAGTTCTTACTTTTTGTCTAACTAGCGATCCTATCGGCATCGACATAGTAAGTACTATTTGCATTGTACAAGCTCGTTGTACAAGCCATACGACAGTTGAGTAGCTATTTAGGCCAACCAATACAAAGTCTACATTCCGTCTCAACCAGCATCCGTCTCACTATTCGCAAGGTGCTTCAGACTTACCATGGTCATCTCGCCCGAGCAACAGCTCTGATTCCAAAGTACACCGCTCCGGCAATACCGAGAGTCTTTAACAATATGCCTACGCCTCCTTTCCTACGTATCATCTCGTGGCGTGCCCGGAAGTGGCGTAAACCGATCTCATATAGCCGTCGCTGGTGCCAGGCCAATGCCATGGCTTTCCGGGAGGCGACATCGTAGGCTGATGACTTGTATTGTAGCAGAATGTTGTGATATCGTGGCTTGCTATGTGAAAGCCGCAAAGGGGAATCAGAGGCGGGAGTCCCTGGCTTATATGGCGGAGCAAGATGGTCGGCTGAAGGGACAAATACCGGGAGTTCGGCTTCGGTGAATCAGAGTTTTCTTTCGCTTCTTCTTTCCAAAGCGTTCAATCTCTCCGAACATCTCTGTAGCAGACTCATTAGGACTTTCAGCTTCACACCTTGCTACCGTCAAAATGTGGTACAGTACGCGCAATCGGCTTCTCATTTGATCACCAGATTTTCCGCTCTCTGGAGCACAAAACGATCACCAACAAAGCATCACCACTCCATCAACCCACCACCCGTCAACTCGGGGAAATGGAAGATATCACCGAGCCCAGCTCCAAAATCCATATCCCCAATATCCCCAAGGTCCAAATCCAAGCCAGCCGCGAATGCCTGATCAGCTACCGTATGCGTAAGTGTCTCAACACTATCCTTCCCCCTACTTCTCGCCATCGTAGCCTGCAAAAGCGGCTTCTTGTTCGCCCCACTCTCCCTTATCGAGTTGATGACGGCTTTGGTAACGTCTTCACCGTCCTCCATTGCGTGCAGTTGGGCTAGCATAGCTGAAAGGTATCCGTATCGTTTCAAGCTCGCGCTTCCTAGAGCGATGATCTGATGGAGTTGGGTTTTGATGTGCTCGAGGACTTCGAAGATAGGTACGCGGGCAGCTTTGGCTAAGATTCTTGTAGCGTCTGAGACTTCAGCCGTACAGTCGATTTCCGCTTCTTCCTGCAGCTGAGTCAAAATCTCCAGGCCGAGCATGGTCATGACGTCTAGACTTAGAGGTACATTCGAAGGTCCCTTCACGTTCAAGAGATATCGTGGTAAGTCGTCCGAAGGCATTGTGGGCAGATTCAAGCTCTTGGCGTAGGTGGCCAAGATCATAGCCATCTCGAGGCAGATCTTGCGCGAGTAGTAGAATTTGGGATCGTGACGTGCATGGAGCACGAACGGCCTGTGGAGCATCAGGAGGTATCGGCGAAGCTGCATGTCCACGTATTGGGCTTGGAATCTGTTGATTCGCGTGGCGCTTCCATTCGATTGTGCTGAAGACAAGGTAACAACGTGGGAAAGATCGCGACATGCAGCCTGCAGGTCTTTACTTATGTTGAGGATGTCTTCGTACTCCAATTGATGACTTAGCCCGTTCATCGTTCGTGCGAGTCGTAATCTGAGACCTAAGCTCGAAGCCAGGGCACGCTGTAGCGTATGATCGGTAAGCTGATTGTCCGGGAGAGTATCTGGTAGTCGAGTCGTATCCAGTCCGATATCTTTGTCATCGATATTGGCAGGCATCTTGGTATCGTAATCGTCCTCACGAATCAAAACAGGCAGCGAAAGAGTGAAAAGTGACTGCGTCGTGAGTTCAAGCGCAGTATACCACAACTGCCGCCGCATCTGGGCTTGGAGAGGTGTCAAAGCCGGGAAGTGGTCTGGATCACGATGCAAACCGACGTACATGGCGAGTCTTAGGGCAAGATCATTGCATGCCGAGTTCGTCATCCCGAATGAGGTCACTTGTCGAGCGAGTAGAAGCAGACATGCTACCTGAACACCGTCAATGTTGTTCGTAGCCTTCTCCGAAGGACCCGTGAGCCACCATTGTACGGCATGGATCCAGATTTGCGCCAGCCGTCTCATATGATCCTGGTCTGCAAGTGTAGAATAAAAAGTCGTGCCGGTTGTCAGGACCATTGCTAGTTTCATTATGAAAGCTGTCGTATGCGGCGATGAATCAACCCAGAACTTTTCATATTCGTTGTGGAAAGTTGGCATATGTAGGATACGGTAGATTGGTTGGAAGGTTCGAAGGTAGCCATCAAGCAATTCATCACATACAGATCTTGAGGGAAACGTCCCGCAAAGATTTGGCACGGGTTCTTGTAGCGAGACGGTCTCCGTATGTTTAATCGTATGCCGCATTCGCCGGAGTTTATCGATGGTGCCTCGCAGCTCATGTGTCTCGTCTTCGGTCAGAATCTGAGCCCCTTGGTGGTTGAGCTCGCCGAGAAATTTGAACTATGCGCTTGGTGAGGTTGTGTATCTCGACGAAAAAGTTGGCAAGACTGACCTGAGCGGCGGTCTGTGACCAATGGGTTTGGTTGAAGATCCGTGTCTTGTCGCTTGTGACTCGCAAGCATGGCAGGGGCGCATCGATTGTCAGACTAGACCGGTCATGTCGAACATTTCTGCTTGAGTCACCCCTAAGACCCTGGGATCCGTCTGTCTCCCATGGCAGACCGATACTGACTCCAGGCCGAGCATGATCCTTGTGCAGTGCGGGCCGTTGAGATTCTAGGTGGGTAGCTCTAGTCCGGCCAGCGCTTGATGTGACTCCAGGTTTGCCATCTTTCGGTGTCGTGCTAGGTGTACGAAAATGCGATGGCCTTGCGACACCAGCAAATGACTCGCTGCGCCCAGACGCTGTAGCGTTGTCAAGCTGAGCTTCGACTTCACTGGGCTTCCTGGAGAATTCCGAGCTGTAGGTACAAAACAGCGAGGTGCGAGCTTTGCCACAAGGGCCGCATGGCTCTTCCAGATCACACTTTACTTTCCTCTGACGGCATTGTTCACAGCTTTTGGCAGGTCGCCGCCGCTTCTTGGGAGCCGCCTTCACTAGCACCGGGCTTGTCGAAGCAGACATCTCAAAGGTGGCATGCGATGAGTTCCGTCATGGTCAGGGTGGCCAAGGGTAGGCCCACCAGTTAGCGGCGCATAATCTCATGATCGTGGGATAAAACTGCACATTGTTGCTTGCCTCGAAGGGTTCCAAAGCATCCGGCATTTTGAATACAGCGGATGTCGGCCTCGTTGTTTTCGCATGGAGCAGACAGGATCCACGTGATTGCGAGCACACCAATGGACACTCCCGCTCGCTAGGCAAAGCTACTTCTACGGCGTTTGCGGACGTAACGAATCGTAGGAAATTCTCCAGGCATCTCGTACATACCAACAGCTTCTGCGACTGACACGACCCTGCCATACCCACGACCCTCACCATGGCGAAACCCCGAGTGAAGAAGCGCACTCACCCTGGCGCTGCAGGTCGACAAGCTCTACCCGGCAATGTCCCCTCCAAACCTGGCGAGCGCAAGCCCAAGAGCATGGTCATTCGCATAGGCGCCAGTGAAGTCGGACCCAGCGTCACGCAACTCGTGCGCGATGTACGAACCATGCTCGAGCCCGAGACAGCCACACGACTACGAGAAAGACGGTCAAACAAACTGCGTGACTACACTACTATGGCTGGACCATTGGGAGTCTCACATTTGTTGCTGTTCAGTAAGAGTGCGAATGGGAATACGAATATGCGGCTCGCCTTGACGCCTCGAGGACCAACGTTGCACTTCAGGGTGGAAAAGTATAGTCTGTGTAAGGATGTGCATAAGAGTATGAGGAGGCCGAAGAGCGGGGCGAATGAGAATCATGTGACGCCGCCTTTGCTCGTGATGAACAATTTCTCGACGAAAGTGGAGGGTGGGCAGGCACCGAGGATACCGAAGCATCTGGAGAGTCTTACTACGACGGTGTTTCAGAGCTTGTTTCCGCCTATCAATCCTACCACCACACCTCTAAAAGGAATCAAGCGGGTCTTACTGCTGGACAGGAAACCGGCCGATCCAGAGGATGATGCTGCAACATATATCCTGGATCTACGACACTATGCCATCGAGACCCGAACAGCACGATCCGTACCCAAGGCTCTCCGAAGATTAGACGCCGCCGAAAAGCTCATGCACGCTGGCAACCAGAAGCGGAAACGAGGCGCCCTGCCAAACCTAGGCAAGCTGCACGATGTAGCCGACTACCTCCTCGACCCTCACGCCGCAGACGGCTTCACATCCGGCTCCGAAAGCGAGCCAGACACTGATGCCGAAGTCGAGGTCCTCGCTCCTTCAGCCCAAAAAGTTCAGCGAAGAAATGGTAAAAAGGGTGATGAAAGTCGTGATCGACGAGATCCAGCCGCTGCGAATGTGGAAAGGAAAGGTATCAAACTCCACGAGCTCGGTCCAAGACTACGACTCCGCATGACGAAAGTCGAGGAGGGCATCTGTGGTGGCAAGGTCATGTGGCATGAGTACATCCATAAGTCGAAGGAGGAGTTGAAGGCGATGGAGAGGAGGCATGAGGTTAGGAGGCAGGAGAAGGCGAGGAGGAAGGAGGAGCAGAGGGTTAATGTTGAGAGGAAGAGGGCGGAGAGGAGGAGTAGGGGTGGGGGTAAGGAGGGGGAGGATGACGACGAGGAGGATGAGGAGGCGTTTTTGAGTGATGCTGATGATGATGAGTGGGATGATGTTGATGGGATGGAGGACGTGGTGGATGGTGGGAAGGAGGATGATGATGAGATGGAGGAGTGAGATGATAGGTGTGTACGCAGGAGTGTATTGTCGACTTCTCCAATCGCCACCGGCCGCGTGGTATCATGACCCGGATGGGGCACATTTGTTCTTACCACGAGGCGATCATGAGTTCGAAGATTGATTCTTGGGCTCGAGGAGGGCGCTGTGGGGGCTTGCCGTCCGCCCGTTCATGCGGAGGCGATGGAAGCCACGACCGCTCTCCAGCACTGGGCACAGGTGGCTGATCATAGTTGTCGCTCGCATCTGAAGGCACTCACGTCGGACGCCCCGGCAAGTCATGTGGCAGGTAGCACAGAGGTCGGCCGTGATGGAACTTGGACTTGGACTCTTCGACTTCAGAGGGGAATACCAGGAAGTCATCCTACTCTTTCGAGTCGAGTGGGAGGCAGACGCCCTGGGATTCCCGGTACACCTGGTGTTGGTCACTGAGCTTCCCAGCGTGCATGCAAAGATAGATCGTCTAGCCTCGCAAGAGACGACGGCGTTGAGTAGTGGCAAGCCTCTCGACTGCATAAATCACTCCAGGCTTGCGCATGGTAGCTATAGGAGAAGTAATTGTACGCTGGTAATGGAGGGTATGTGGTCTCATGTGACGCTTGCCTCAGGCTCTCCTAGTAGACAGCATACTGCTTTTGCTTGGACAGTACACGTAGCGGTAGTAAGGTAGTGAAGTAAACTCGGCACCCACGATCTTCCGAGCCGGACAAACACGTGCAAAAAATCACGGCGCAAGGCACGCGACCGAACGTTTTTGTCAGCTTCTAGAAGGAAAAATGTCGCCATCTCCACTAGCCCATTACCCACTAGCCCATTTCCTACGGCGATCGGGTCCGCAGATACGATTTTTGAGTCTAGCAAAGGCGAACCTGCATCACAAATTAATGCTATCGGCCTTACCGCTGTTAGATGATGATGATGATGAGGAGGAGCTATCTCAACCATTATGATTTCGGCCGAGCATTAGTCTAAAGGTACCCTGTTAGCTTTCCTTGAATTAATTGAAGTAGGCAACGCACATTACGTCGTCGAGGTAGGAGGAGGTTGTTGGTTACATTCACCTTACACAGCTACCTACTTTGTCTCTCCAGTCATGTCTTGATCACTCCACCCACCTGGCCCTTTCCTGCGCCCACTTATTTCCGGACTCGACAACGTACATCCTGCTCCCTTTCCACCCTCCACTTGCGACGAAAGCAGCATCATCATCGGATCTCGTATGACAGTACGATTCGACGACGACGATCGCAATGACGAGCCAGCAAACGAAGGCTCCCCTCTCCGCCACCCTCCCGCCCCTCATCTTCGGCACCGCCACCTTCAACTTCCAGTATAACAAGGACCCCTACGAGCTCGACACGACAGGGCTTGTCCAGCGCGCCCTCGAGTGCGGTATCCGCGCGTTCGACACTTCGCCGTACTATGGACCGTCTGAGGAGCTCTTAGGCGAGGCGCTAGACACGGAGTTTGTTCACGATAATGTCCCGCGGGACGAGTACTTCCTCATCACGAAGGTGGGACGTATAAGAGGCGATGAGTTCGATTACTCGGCTGAGTGGGTCAGGCAGAGTATCGCGCGGAGTTTGCAGCGGTTGAAGACGAGTTATCTGGATCTGGTGTACTGTCACGATGTGGAGTTTGTGTCTGAGGAGGAGGTGCTGGAGGCTGTGAGGGAATTGCGACGGATACGGGACGAGGAGGGCACGATCAAGTATATTGGGATTTCGGGCTACCCGCTACCAGTCCTCTGCTCGCTCGCGCATCGGGTGCTAGCGGAGACTGGCGAGCCGTTGGACGCGGTTATGTCTTATGCGAACTTCACGATTCAGAATACTTTGTTGGCTACGCGGGGTATCAAGGAGCTCAAGGCGGCGGGGGTGGACGTTGTGCCGAACGCCTCTCCACTGGGTATGGGGCTACTGCGAAGAGAGGGTGTGCCGATAGGAAGCATGGGCAATTGGCATCCTGCTAAGAACGAGCTCAGAGCGGCTGTCAAGCGCGCGAGCGACTTCTGCGATCGCTATGATGATAAGTTGGAGGTGGTAGCTATCCGCTACGCCCTCGAGCAATGGACACGCCTCGGAGCCTCAGTCGGCTCGCGCGGCGATCCCGCATCAGGCGTCCCCTGGCAACGCGAATCCAACTCCCAAGTCGGCGGCACCCGTCTCGGCGTCAGCGTCATGGGTGTCTCGAAAGCCAGCGAGCTAGAAAAAACCATGCAAGTCTGGCGCTCCATCCTCGACGGACTCGAGAATGGCGAGGAGACGGCTAGAAGAGCGGGAAGATGGAAGAGGGATCACGAGTGGAGTTTGAATCGGCAGAAGGCGGTGCAGATCCTGGCCGATGGGATCCAGGAGCATTTGGATGTGTATGTGGATTTCGAGTGGGATTCGCCGCCTAAGGGGTATGTTAACGCGAAGGCGAGGGAGGCGGAGGGCGGGAAACTTCAGCAGTTGGCGACGCCGGATGAGGCTTGGTTGACTCCCGCGGCGAGTCCGCAGCCGGAGGAGGTGCCGTTTCCTGATGAGGCTGCTTTGCCGGTGCGGTAGTAATGAAGATATTCAGCAGGGGTGTTGGTGGTTTGTGATGATCTCATCTTCGACTATCAGGTCAGATAGAGTTCCAGGTTTGGCCTTCTTCTAGCTACGGCATGGATTTCTTTTCGAGTCGCCCTATGGCGCTGTAGCATGGTCTCATGTTCACCACCCCGAGTGGAGAACTTTCATACTGATCTCGTGTTAATCTACCATTTTCTGCATAACATGTGAAAGTTGAATTGTGTTCCTGCCAAGTCAGAGGCGCGTCATCGTCATCACTCATCAGCTCTCCTCTCGCTGTCAGCAACCCCAAGCAGGGATTCGGTTGCGAAAGTTGAGGGTGTCCCGCACGCAACCGGGCGGCTCATGTCTTGGAGCTTACTGTGCGCCTCTATTGCTTAGTTCAGACACTCTACCTACGGTATGTCCAAGATTCCCTGGCCTTTTGCAAAGCGATGTGATATTGCACTACTCCTTGCATACAGCTCACTTGCTCCTGTAATGGATTAAGATACAGTACCGGCAAACTCTCGGCAGTGACGCAGCTTGATACGCCCAAATCTCCCTCATCACTATCACAGACCTGGCCCAGTGACCACCAGTTGTCCCAGAACAGCATTTTGAGAAGGATACCTCAGGCACGGATGTCGTGAGGTCTTCTCCCTCATGCCGTCGCGCATTCTGGATCGCCAAGTACTAGTGCCTGGGTGATCGGCGCATATCTCATACAGCTCCCACAAATATGGGCAGCAGCCACAGCAAAGACGAGCGAAGATCTTCGCGGCAGGAGAATCCGAGGCGCGTGAGCTCCGGCAGCGCGCGGACTACTCAATCGTCCCCTCCTCCTGCTCAACAGACGCCGGGTGATCGGCTCACTACGCATATCTATGCTGCGCGGAATGCTGGTGCGAGAGGAAGCAGGCCGGACCTGAATTTCTTGAGCATCGGACGGGATCGAGGCGGAAGCGATGACACACCCCCACCTGAGCGGGTGAGGGAGACGAAGCAGGAGAAGGAGGCTCGGAGGGTGGAGAAGGAGAGGCAGGCGAGGGTAAAGGAGCGGGAGCGGAGTCTGCAGGAGGAGAGTGTGGATGGGGGGTTCCTGGTCACATTGGGCACGTATACTGGACCCGAGGATTTTAACAAGGGGATTGTCAGGCAGCTGCAGCTCGAGAGACGATTGGCGCCTTTCTGGAAGGGCCTCGATGATCATAATGATTCTTGGACGGAGGCTCAGCTCGTGGCTGCTGTGAGGGGCCTGCCTATTCCGGCTGCTGATGAGGTTCCTGCTGAGCTGCTGCCGCCTTCGCCTATCGATCCGAGGAGCTCGGAGACGAATATCAATAATCTTACGGTGCCGATATCCTCGCGGTCACAATCCTACCAGTCGGATATGTCTGGTAATCTATCCGCCTCACACCCTGCTTTTTCAAGCTCAGGACCAACATCACCAACTTTCCCGCCACCATCATCTTCCGCGACATTCCGAGGTCGTGCCAAGACTTTGGCATCTCTGGCCACAGGCAGTAAGAGTTCGTCTGATCTGACTCAGCGTGAGATTCAGCTGCCAAAGGACCCATATGTCAATGGACTTCCGACAGAAGCTTACCTGTACCGCGGAGCCCTGGAATGTCCCATCTGCTTCATGTACTACCCACCCTACCTCAACAAGACTCGATGTTGTGACCAAGCCATCTGCTCCGAATGCTTTGTCCAAATCAAGCGGCCGGATCCTCATCCGCCAGAACACGAACAGCCTGGCGAGCCACGACCTCCGGAGGAAGAAGCGGAGACATTAGTGTCAGAGATCGCGTCATGTCCTTTCTGCGTCACTCCCGAATTTGGTGTAACATACGAGGCGCCACCTTTCAGACGAGGCCTGGCTTACGCGAATCAAGCCAACACACATCCATTGAAAAGTCTCAACTCCGCCATGTCCTCTTCATCCTCTCTCCAATCCGGACCAGGACGGCGGCGAGCAACTTCGTTATCTGCGAGTTCTTCCCAAGTCGTCACTACTGATAAGGTCAGGCCGGATTGGGCCAAGAAACTCGCTGATGCGCGCGCGCATACGCTACGGAGATCTGCGGCTGCGACTGCATTGCATAATGCTGCTTATGTGCTTGGGAATCAGGGCGATGGACAGATTCGGGGTGGGTTGGGGTTTGGGAGGAGGCGGAGGACGTTGTTCGGTGATAGTCCTGGTGCTAGTGGGAGTGGGACACCTCAGACGGGCGGTGAGCGGATCAAATCTACACGTGTCTGACATTCATGCTGACTTATATTTGCAGACGGCAGTAGTGATATTCTATCTGCTCGCACCAGCTCCCGCCGCACTCGCGTCGACGACCTCGAAGAGCTGATGATGATGGAAGCTATCCGGCTCTCTTTAGCAGCCGAAGAAGACCGCATGCGCAAAGAAGACAAGGAAGCGAAGAAAGATGAAAAGAAGAAAGCGAAAGAAGATAAAAAGCTGGCTAAGCAGGACGCGAAACTGGCCAAGCGCCATCGCAACGGCAGCGGGACGTCACTCTATCCATCCAGCACAAACGAGAGCACCAGCTCCTGGGCTGGAACGTCTATGGTACGATCGACGAGTAATCTCGGTATGCAACCTACTTCTATCCCCGAAGAGCATTTCCATGGTAAAGGTAAAGCGCCAGCCCAGGATTTCGCGCGTTTCAATCCCCTTACCGAGCCCTCATCGACTTTCAACACGGAACTCCGCGACGAGCACCCTAGGCCCTCGGAGTCGCCTTCACCAGGTGCAACTTCCTCCTCAAACCCCACCGAAGCACCCCAACGCCATCTCGAAGCCTCGCGAGCCACTATCCTCCCCGCCGCGCCCGCCTCCTCGAGTCCTATACCCATGCCCAGCAGTGCTACCTCCCGCGGCACCCACCTAAGACAATTCAGCAATACCTCCTCGACCGCTTCCTCCTTTGTCGATTCCGCTCCTGGAAGTGTTCCGATCGGAAGTCCGATGGATCTGACTCCCGGGATGGAGGCGGATGCGGATGGGACGCCGGTGGCGGGGACGACGCCGAGTGGGATGGAGCCGATGTTCAATTTTCGGTCGTTGGCGGCTATGATTGGGGATGTGGAGGAGGGTGGACATGGGAAGGGGGAGGGGGAGGGGGAGGGGGAGAAGGGGAGGGGCAGCGAGCATGTTGAAATTGCGCCGTCGCACCAGCACGGGACTGCTGGCTTGACGATTGACCGCGATGCTGCTGCGGCGACGCATCCACCACCCCTTGGTCCGGAGATGAATTCAAGTCTCCGCGACCTCAGCAACGGCAGGACCCGAGGCGATAGCGCCGAATCCTCTTCTTCCTCTTCCGGTGGTGTTCCCCCGCCGGTTTATGTCGAGCATATGATCCCTCCTACCCCGAATTTGGAGGTTGAAGAGGGGGACTTGATCATGCCGGCGCCGGTGCCTTCGGAGAGGAGGATGGTTCACGATGTTGACGCTAAGGAATTTGGGGGCGTGAGGGTGTTGGATGGACAGGGGCATGGACACGGGCACGGCCTTGGGGAGGCGAGGAGGCATGAGGCGACGCAGTAAAGCTTGGACTCTTAAGTCTCTGTCGCCTTGGAGTCTGTGCCGTTCCTGTCATTAAGAGGGGTGATGCCGGTGTCCAAGGGACTTCATTCGTTCCAGTTGGACGGGGGGGGAAACGGGAGACGGCGTTCGAGAGATAGGTAGGTAAGTAGGCAAGGTGTGGACCGTCATCGGGACAGGTCCGCCCGGTCCTGCACCTACCTAGGCGTTCCGTATGTATCACGTGGGAGGATCTTTCGGCGGGTCTAGTCTGGCAGGGCAGGCATGGAAGGCGTTCCAAAGGCGTCCATCTACTCCTGCGACGGGGTCAACAATGTGGATTGTTCCGTGGCGGGCGTGGGTTGGACTGGGCATACTGGATAGGCTAAGACCTTCAATGCACAAAGCTTCTTTTTCAGCTTAGTTAGAGAGAGAGAGAGAGATATCATGTGGCCCCTGCATCTTCGTCACGAACCTAGACTTCCTCCCTCGAATGCATGCCGCTTGTATGTGAAGGGAGTGAGGAGGAAAGATTGAGTTGATGTGATGTGATTGCATTGGATTGTATGCCTTCATCGTTGGTTGCCTTGTCTACTAGACCGTGATAGTATGCTTCTTCCCCGACCCGCTTTGCTCTACTGATATTACATCCCCCGGCCCACCACAAAACGCCACAAAATCGCCGCTGTCTTAACGCCATGCTTAGGCCCGTACAGACGAGTCTGCTTTGGAAGACTCTTACCGCCTTATGCGCCCCATGAAAGCTAAGCTAGAACAAACAAGGCCTGCCGGAAACTCACTCTCGGCCCCCCTTTTTTTTAGGCGTCGACGATGCACTCGTACATGTAAATCACGCCGAAGACGAGGAAGGCGACGGCGCCACCTATCGTGACTACAACAATCACAAACGTCAGCACAATTCCAAGACAATAACCTCACAGCAATGCCTCGCTCGTAGCAAGGACACGCTAGGCAGCAAAGGTAGGAAAGCAGGGGAGATTTTTTCAGGACTTACCAACTCTCATGCTCACCCGTCCCGCCAACGCCCTGCCCCCCACGACTGCAAGACCAGTACAACACGCATGTCCCGTGATCGCCCCCAGAGTGACCCACCAGTAATCCTGTCCCGCCGCCATCGCTATGGTAGCGATTTGGCTGCGATCGCCCCATTCGCCTAGGAAGGTCATGATGAACGTCTGCACCCAGGCGGGGCTGAGTACCAATCCTAACAAGTTTGTGAGGCCACCGGATAGGTTCCGGGATGCTGGTCGTCTGCTGCTCGGACTCGGGGAGCGGGAGGAAGGGGGTGAGGGTTCCCGCCGCCCGGACTCGAGGGTATACGGATCATCCAGCTTCCCGCTCTCCCGCCGACTAGAATGCCGAGCGAGCGAATGCTCCTTCTCCTCCAACTCAGCCTCCACCTCCCTCATCTCCTCCCCCACCCCCTCATCCCCCGACATCGCCAACCCCTCCCTCAACCCCCTCGCGCCGAAAACAAGGAACAACACCGCCGCGGCGAAAGTCGTGAAGCGTTTCGGTAGTAATGTCGGGACTGCGTGTCCGAGCACGGCGGATAGGATCGTCATGGCGATTAGGGCTCCAAAGGCGGCGGAGAAGACGAGGAGGCGTGGGTGCCGCATTGCCATTAGGGCGGCTATGAGGAAGGTTTTGTCGCCGATTTCGGAGAAGAGGATCATGGTCAAGGAGAGCACGAAGGAGTGGAACCATTCGTGCCATTCCATCTCACCGCCTCCGGCCGCTATCTTCCCAGCTGCTGCTGGTATGGCTCCTGCTGCTGCTCCAGCGGTAGTATCGGAGAGTGGTTTGAGAGTTTTCGGTCGCGGTTGGCCTTCGGTGTAGGGCATCGTTTCTTGCAGCCAGGATTTCTTGTCTGTGCCTCCTACTGGTGGTTCGCCGTTGGCTTTGGAGCCTCCTTCGCTTCCGGGCATGCTCGGGCCTTTGGGGTCCGGATGGGGGATGTTGTGGGGTGTGTCGGGGAGATCTGTGGGTTTCTCCAACCCGAACGCGCCTTCCTTTTTCGCCGCTGGAGCTTCTGCTCCCTTTTCGGCTGGCTTGCTGTCTTTTGGTTTACTGTCCTTTGGCGCCACTTGCCTAGCTTTCTCCTTCTCTTGCGGTGTGGATGCTTTCTCCTTTTCCGCTGCTATACGCTCTTGTTCGCTATGTGGAAGCGGTGGTGCTTCCTTCGGTGACTGGACCTCCTTCTCCGTCTGCCCTTTTGCTTTCCGCGCTTTCTCCTTCTCACTGATCCCTCCTTCCGTCCCCGTCGTGCCTTTCTTCGGCGCGACTCGCGTCTCATCGTTCATGACCCCATCGTTCTTCTCGGGTATATCTGCTGCTCCTTTCGCGAACTTCTCTAGTGATGTCGGTACAGCCTTGGCGGTCGATGTAGTAGCAGCTGCGCCACCCTTTTTCGATAATGCTGATTCTGGTGTCGTGTCCACGAATGGTCCGGCATGCGGTTTGCCATCCAGCCCATCCACCGGCGCATCTTCAGTACCAACATATGGTCTCGCTGACAGGGTCGCTTTGGGCAGGTAGGTGTTTTCCGGGATGACTCCCGCATTGGGGTTGACCTTTCCTTTCCCTCGTCCTATTGCCTCGCCTTTCTTCGTGCCCAGACCCAGTACTTGATCATTCGTAAGCGAGCCCTCGACCGCCTGCCGCTTCTGCAGTCGTCCGTCTTTGGGTGAGTCTAGGTCGGCGATGGCGGAGGTGGCAAGTAGCAGTAAGAGCCATGGTGAACTCCGCCGTAACCGCATGCTGGATGGTATGTATGTGTATGTGTATAGATCAACCTCGTCCAGAAGTCCGCCGACAGAAGTCCAACAAATCCTCCCTTCTGCTACGCGGCTCCAACCCAATGCAAGCAGCCGCCGCCACCCACGTCGTCTCTACCAAACAACCGATACACCCAGTACACTTCCGGCCAAGACTTCGCTAAAGAAGGCGATCAACAACAATAACTCATCAAAGTCCAGGTTAATAGATTGATTGAAAAGCACTCAAGAGCGATGATCAGACAGCTTGATCAGATCAGCAGGCACTCACTTCACAAGGGATGATGATCGCTAGCCAGGCCGCCGCCAATAAAACCGGCATGCCGTCTCCTCACTTCTTACTGGTCCGCCACCGAAATGCCCACGCAGCCGCTGCCGTTAGACGCGGCGCGGCAGAGGTAGAGAAAGTCTGGGGTGAACGCTGTCTCTCAGCTTATCCACGTGACTCGGGCCGTGATTTGACTTGGCAGGCGTTCCACTTTCTGTCCAGCTGTCGATCAATGAGAGAGATGGCAATTTGGGACACATGGCTCGCAACGTGGTGCTGACTGTACTGTCTACTGTCTAGGCGCTTTCGTACTCGTGGCATCTTCTGCAGGGGCTCGCTTAGGATATGAGCTGCAACGATGTCCTTGTGGAGAGCAGGACATGCAGTATTCGCATGGGCTGCGAGACATAGAATTAGAGTCCGAGACGCCTTGATCAAGGTGGTACATCACGGTAACTTTTCCCCCCTGCTATGGTATCTACACGTTACGATGCGACAACATCCAATTTACACGCACTTCACTCCATTCCCCTCCAACATACACTTTACACGCCTTCACACGACTCCACACCACCTCATCAAGACAAACATCTACACCCCCCCAACAAGCGCCCACTCCGCCACCGTCGCCCCAGTCCCATTCCCCGCATTCACCGTCCCATCATTAGCCACGCTCCCCTCAATCGTCAGCGTCGCAAACCGTCCACTCCACACAGGCCTACTCAGAGAAACATTCGTAGTATTACTCTGATACGGCACGATCTCGTACGCCGTCGCCGCCACATACGGGATCGAAACGGTGATATTATCACTCCTACTCACGAGGACGGAGGCGGAACCATCGCTGGCGTTGCTGAAGGTCACGGTATAGGAGTGTGGTGGGGCTTGGGCCCAGTCGAAAAGGATTGCTGTGATGGGGATGAAGGCTGAGCCTGGTAAGGTGACTGTGATTGAGGAACTGAGGTTGGCTTGAGTGGGCTGCCATTTCGTGCTCGTGCTTCCGTCCACGGCCGCGAAAGGGAATTGGCCCGGTTGGTATGTGGTATTGCTCGTCACGGGCTCGCATTGCGCGATATTACCCGGAACGGTCTTGATGTCGCCGATGCGACGGTTGGGGATGGTGATGGTGCCGTTGGGTGGGATTTGGTAGATTGTCGTGTTGCCGAATTGAGATTCGCCTGCTAGGCCGATCGTGACGGGGATGGAGGTGTTGGCGAAGGTGGAGTTGGCTGTGTCGAGGGGTGTGGACATGCGGGTCAGAGTCGTGTGAGACTGGTTGGAGTGCGCTTTTATGGGCCAGCCTTGCCAGTAGATCGTACGGAACGCTAGGTTCTGGATCTGTGGCGGTAGGGAGGGGTTGACGTTCAACGAGTCCAGTTCGAGCTTCAGTCCTAAGTAGCCGAATACAGCTACCCTGTTCGCGCCACCGACACCAGTCAAGAACGGATATGCCGGGTGTGTCCCGCCATTCGCTTCGAAATTATCAAGCAACTGCTCGCTGAACTGGAACCACGGACCACGGATATATGGCTGCGAGCCGTAGATATCGTATGTGAACGACGCACAACCCGAAGGACTAATCGCATTCGCCACGATACTGAAGACACCGTAGGTCATCCCTGGTCCATTGAGTGATTGCTTGCGGGCATAGTAATCCAGATCATTCAGGCTCTGGTTGTTAGGGAACTGAAGGAAGTCGTCGATGAGCACGATATCGGCTTGCTTGACTTGGACGGTATTGTTCATATCGGCATACTCGCGGATGATGTTCGCAGGCTCGTAGACGGGGACGTCGATCTTGGAGGCGATCGTGGCCCAGGTTGCATTTGGCTCCAGGCCGAAATGAGCGCGAAGGGTATTGGCTTGGTTGATGTGGGTTTTCATCAGGACCATGGTGAAGCCGACGTTGCGCTCGAAGTTGGCATATTCGTCGGGATCTGTGGCGTTGAGGAGTTCGTACTCGTCGATTGTGGCGTTGTAGGTCACTGCGTCGCTGTAGAATTGAGCGATGGCATCGTAGATTGGTAGCAGGGAGTCCTCGAAGAACTGCGAGTCGCCGCTCGCAGCGTAGTAGTTCAAGAACTCTAGACCGATGTCGCCGTTCAAGTGGTACTCGTAGTCGAAGCATGGGCCAGCAGCAGTACAGTTGCCGCTTCCTCCGCTGACCCACGGATAGACAGCACCGTTTGGTGAGAAGCGACCCGTCTGATTGAGCGTGCCCTGGTAGGCTGTCTGCAGGTTCGCCTGTGCTTGTGGGAACTTCTCGACTCGGTACCGAGCGATCTGCTTGGCGGCTTGTGGGTGGGAGACTACTAGCCCAGGCGCCATCCAGACTTCGGCATCCCAGAAGACCCATCTACGAACTCTGTTAGTAGAGAACACATCAAGGTTTTCGAGCATGATGCCTTACCCAGCATAACTATCACTTCCCAAGCCTCCGACAGCAATACTATTCACATCGAGCTGAGTGTTGTTGTCCGCAGCCAAAATAGCATTCGCGCCAATCGTTTGCTGTAGAAGATGATAGGCATTCGTCACAGCAGTGACCTGGAGTTCACGAATCTCGGCCATCGAAGGCAGAGATCCATTAGCCAGGCGGTAGTCGTCGACGCTATCGTCGGTCATGATGCCGTTCCATTCGCTAGTGTGGGAAGCCAGCATGCTGCTGAAACCTTCACTTTGTGCTTCGATTACGGCTAGAAGTGCGACTGCCTTGGGCTCGTCGAAGGCGCTGCTAGAGGCACCGCCGATGTACTTCGTGATGGTGCTTGCTGAGTTCGCCTTCATAGATACATTCATAGCTTGAGCAATCGAGGAGCCATTTGCACCAATAATCGAGGAGTCTTTGTACTCATGTCGGCTTGCGGCATTGCAGCTATCGTCGCCTTCGAGCAGGGAGAAAATGTAACCCTCTGTCTCAACTCCATTAGGCTGGACACCAGACCAGATGATCGGCGCAGCTGTATCGAAGTACTTCTCGATAGGCGATGTTCTAAGCGCACAATCACCCTGCAGAACATCGACCACCGAAATATTGGCGTCTTGCGAAGCAGTCAATTGCAATTGCACGGCCGCCTGGTTGACATAAAGCTTGTGCACGAGCATCGTGTACAGCACGTCAATACTCGGTCCACTGCTAGGCGTCCAGCAATAACTCCAAGTCATGACACCAGCCTTGAAATCGACCGTCGAGTTGAATTTCGAAATCTGACTCGCAGGTACAGCGGCCGTCAATACCTGTCCATTGACAACAGGATGCAGTCCTGCCCAATGTGGCACGCCACTGATCACGCTCTCGCCTGCACCATACTGGAGCAACCACTCGAAGTTCGTCCCATTCGTTCGATCCTGCTGATCGTAGAACCCAGCTATCGTGCCGAAAGTCTGGCGGCGGTCGAAGAGCGGCCAGCCGTTGATGTTGTCGCCGGCTACGGGTGTGTCGACTTCGAAGAAAGGCCCTACAGCTGCGAGATTGATGCCTAGATAGCCGTTGGATAGGGACATGCGGGATTGATAGTGGCCTTGGTCGAGGTTCGTGGTTGTTATGCGCCAGTTTTCGAGGTCCCATGTTGTGCCTGCGAAGCGGGTGTCTATTACTGTCGCTTGGGTGTATGCTGCCAGGCCCAGTAGGCCGGCTGTATTTGATAGCTTCATCTTGTGTTCGGGTCAATGTATCGGATCGATATCAGAACCTGAGACTGTTATGTCGAAGCGCACAACGTACACTGAACAAACAAGAAATGCTTTCCAAGCAACTCCTTCACCGTCGACGCCTCTTGCGTCTTACCGCTGACAGCAGTGGAGCAGATTCTCCTCTTTCTCGCTACGTCCTTCATCCCGCACAACCCGCGGACCATGACGTTTTCCATCCTTGTTCGTGAAAGCCAAGCACGAGGCAATTGCGGGGATCACGCACCTTTTGCGGGGCAGTCTGGAACTTCTATCCCGAAAGAGGAAGTAGCAGACGAGATCTGTACCTGACGATCACGTTGTTACGTATGATCTTGCTTACGAAGCAAATATGGGCAGTGGTCTACATAGCAAGACTTTTGAATGTCGCTGTTGATACGGCAGAGAGGACGAACGGACAGATGAGACATGTGTAGATCAGTACAGTACTTTGTACAGCTCGAACGGGCATGTATATGTTGGATACAGCCGTTCCCAGCACGACCTTCCACCCAAACGCCTCGCTTAAACGTCGTTGAAGAGACTCTCGAAAGATCTATATCCGCCCATGCCATCGCTGGCTTCTAAACCCTCTAAGTAGGCATCGGGGCCTCCTTGCCTGTAATCCCCTCGATGCTGTCCACAGGTGCACAACTAGAAGACATGATCAGTACTATCCCTCTGACGAAAAGCTTCATAGGTGGCAAGACTAACCTGCAGAAAAGATTCATATCTCCATATGCATCATCCAACCTCGCCACACTAGGCCAGAACTTCTTCTCCTTCAGCCACGGCAGAGGATATGCCGCTTTCTCCCTGCCATAAGGACGGTCCCATTCTCCACAAATCAGATCCTTCATCGAGTGCGGCGCCAACTTCATGACGTTTCCGTCTTTGGGTTGCGTCCCGTCCTCAATCTCCTTGATCTCCTGACGGATGGAGATCAGCGCGTCGCAGAAACGGTCCAGCTCAGCTTTACTCTCAGATTCAGTGGGCTCGATCATGAGGGTGTTGGCGACCGGCCAGCTCATAGTAGGAGCGTGGAAACCGTAGTCCTGGAGGCGTTTTGCAACGTCTATAGCCTCTATTCCGCTCGTCTCTTTGAACTTGCGCACATCGAGGATGAACTCATGTGCACACCGGCCTTGTTCGTTGGTATAGAGAATGGGGTAGTGAGGCTTCAGGCGGGAGAGGATGTAGTTGGCGTTTAGAAGAGTGATCTTGGTGGCGTGGGTGAGTCCGCGAGCTCCCATCATTTTGATATATGCCCAGCTGATGGGTAGAATGCTGGCGGAACCCCAAGGTGCGCCAGAGACGGGCGCAATGCCTTTGCTGCCGCCCACTCCTTCGACTAATGGATGGCCGGGTAGAAAAGGCGACAAATGCTCAGCTACACCGATAGGACCTACACCCGGCCCGCCGCCGCCATGAGGAATGCAGAAAGTTTTGTGCAGGTTGAGATGGCACACATCCGCTCCAATTTCGCCAGGCGTGCATAACCCAATCTGGGCATTCATGTTCGCGCCATCCATGTAAACTTGTCCACCATGCTTGTGCACCAGCTCACAAGCTTCCTTGACCTGCGGCTCGAAGACACCGAAAGTGCTAGGATAAGTGATCATGATGGCGCCGAGCTCTTCGCTGTACTTCTCGCATTTTGCTTTCAGGTCTTCCATGTCGAGATTGCCGGTCTTGCTTTCACATTTGATGGTGACCACACGCATACCAGCCATTGCCGCACTAGCTGGATTCGTGCCGTGAGCAGAGACTGGGATGAGACAGATGTCGCGTTTCTTGCCAGGCTGCTCTTCCAGATATTTGCGAATGACTCGCAGACCTGTGAACTCGCCTTGAGCGCCGGAGTTGGGCTGGAGTGAGACGGAGTGGAAGCCGGTGATTTCCGACAGATCTTCTTCGAGCTCTTTAATCAGTTGCGCGTAGCCCATCGTCTGATCGGACGGTGCGAAAGGGTGGATGTTGGCAAATTCTGGCCATGAGATAGGGACCATCTCCGTCGTGGCGTTGAGCTTCATCGTGCATGAACCGAGTGGAATCATGGAGTGCACGAGTGAAAGATCCTTGGATTGTAAATGATGCATGTATCGCAGGATCTCGGTCTCGGAGTGATGTGAGTTGAACACTGGATGGGTAAGGAACGCAGACGTTCGTCTCAGTGACTCGGGCACTGCGACTGATGCATCGAGTTGCGCAGCAATGTGCTCCACATCAACAGTATCGGTGGTGAAAGCGCGCAGGATCTCCTCCATCTGCTTCCTGCCCACTGTCTCGTCGAGCGTGATGCCAATGTGCTCGTCATCGACCACTCGGAAGTTGATGAGTGAAAGTTGAGCGACTTTCTGCGCGAAGAGACCGGGTTCATGCTTTTTCACAATGACGGTATCGAAGCCAGGTTTCTGAACTTCCAGTCCTGCATCTTCCAAAGCTCTCGCCAACACTTGAGCCATCTTGGCGACCTTCTCTGCGATGCGCTTCAAGCCACCTGGACCATGATAGACAGCATACATGGCATTCATATTGGCGAGCAATGCTTGCGCAGTACAGATATTGCTTGTCGCCTTCTCTCGTCTGATATGCTGCTCTCGGGTCTGCAAGGCCAGGCGAGCAGCCGGGCTACCTAGACGATCTTTCGAAAGACCGACCAGACGACCTGGAATTTTGCGCTTGTGCTTGTCGCCTACAGCGAAGAAGGCGGCATGTGGTCCACCGAAGCCAAACGGTACACCAAATCTCTGCGCATTGCCGAATGCTACATCTGCGCCAAATTCGCCAGGAGGTGTGAGTAGCGTCAGAGCCAGGAGGTCGGTCCCGACAGAGAAGGTACCCTTGAGCTCGTGGACCTTATCGGCCAAGTTGCGAAAGTCTTCAACACCGCCTAGAGTATCAGGGTATTGTGCTAGCACACCTATCAGATCCTCGCCCACGTCATTCACAACCTTGCTGCCATCCTCCAGGACGTCCGCAACCTTGATCGTGATGCCGAAGCCTGATGCTCTGCTCTCAAGCACTGCGATTGTCTGCGGATGGCATAGGTGTGAGACGACATATGTCTTGTTAGCACGCTTCTGGCGTGAAGCTGGTAAAGCGTTGAGTGACAAAGTCATGGCCTCTGCAGCGGCCGTAGGCTCGTCCAGTACCGATGCATTGGCGATAGTCATGCCAGTCAGATCCGTGACCATGGTCTGAAAGTTGAGCAACGATTCCAACCGACCCTGGCTGATCTCAGGCTGGTATGGAGTATAGCTTGTATACCATGCCGGGTTCTCCAGCACATTCCTCTTGATCACTTCCGGCACCCTCGTCCCGGCATACCCGCATCCAATGTAGCTCTTGTAGACCTTGTTCTCGCCCGCAATTTCTCGTAGCCGTGCAAGTAGCTGACTCTCCGAGTATCCTCCCTCGCTTGTAGGCATCGAACCAGACTCGGGGACTGGACCTTCAACCTGCAAATCCTTGCTCGACAGGATCTCGGCAGGCAGGACGGTCTTCACGAACTCATCTAGGCTCTTTGCGGGCGGGTCGAGTGCCTGCAGCATCTCTTCTGCCGTTTGGGCATTGGGTCCGATGTGTCGACGGGAGAAAGTGTCGAGAGGTGCGAAGATGGAATTACTCAGAACCTTTGGCTCGCTGCCTCGAGTGTCGTCGGTCGAGCTGGAGTAGAAAGTCCGTCGAGTGAGGCGGGCAGTGGTTGTGTGTTGTTGTGGTGCTAGTCTTGCGATTCGAGGAGTGAATAGCAGACAGCGGGAGGATAATGGTTTGCGGGTGGCCAGCCATTGCGCTCGCAGGCGAAGAGCGACAGGTCTGGCTGACATCGTGGTCGTCGTGATCGTTGTCTTGTTCTAGCCAAATCGTTCGAGCCAGTTTCTCGCCTCGTACCCAGCTTAAATTATCATTGTTCTTTAAGCCGAGTCTGTCGCATCCGATATCGAATTCTCGAGTGGCGTTATTGCTGGGGAGTTGAATTGTGAGTACATGTAGTCCTGACCCGCTAGATGTCACGACGGGGAGAGTTGGACGCGTGACGGTATATTATGTAAATGTAGCTTGCACTCAACAAATCGTGTGTCGATGATTCAGTTACCCGAAGATCTATCTTATCGCGATTGTTGCGGCTAATTGCGGCTTAGCGCTGGAACGAGTGAACGCCGACATTGCCGACATTGCCGATGGAGATACCTTCAGCCTCCTTCTCGGAGTCCTTGGAGCCGCATGAGGTACCGGTACTGAACAAGATCGTCTCCATTTGTTCACTTCGAGTGTGCCAATCAGTCGTGCCAGGGATCAGGTCTTGCGACGGTGGATTGAACACCACCATCTACCACGGCACCTCCCCACCATCATAATGTCCATGAGCATCCTCCATACCAGGAACGTGAATATTTACAAACTTGCCATTCTGAGCTGGACTTGCCTCGAGAATTATCCGCTTCAGCTCTGCAACACCGACATGAGGATCTAAGTCCGCATACTGCCCGCCAAGATCCGTCTTCAACCACTATCGACTGTCAGCCACTGCTCGCCAGGATATACTTCAGCAGTGATTGATACGTACGCCTGGAGATACGGCAAGGAAGGTAAACCCCGTGTCCGCATGATCGAGAGCGTACTGAGCGTTCAGCATATTCAACGCGGCTTTCGAAATCTTGTATGCTTGCACTGGGCCCCTGGCGAATTTATCCACCCAGGCGATGGATCCCAAGGTAGATGAGCTGATGATCAGGGTCAGTCAATGTTTGACTATCCAAAGTCTTGTCGGCCTTACACATTAATCACTTTCTTCTCCTTACCCTTCTCAATCAGAGGCAGAAATGCAGCTATCACTCGTTGCACACCCACCACATTAACATTCAGGACGTTCAGCATATCCTCTGGTGATACGGTCTTAGTGCCACCAGGATTTGCTGTCTGGATACCTGCATTGTTCACCAGGACATCTAGACCTTGTCCATTGAGCTTGCCTTCGACTTCTCTGGCTGCTTGCTGAACACTTTCTGTATCGTCCACTGACGCTTTGACGTGGTAGAGCTGTTGGCTGTGGCTTGAAACCAAGCTTTGAAGTGCTGATGGCGGCTCGCCTCTGCTTAGAGCAAATATCTTGCCGACTGATCTGTCTTTCAGCAGTTGTGTGACGAGCTCGAGGCCAATCCCTCGCGATGCTCCTGTAACGGCGTAGGAAGTCATTGTCTCTATGTGAGCCAGTCAAGATTTGGTGTTTCCCATTGACAGAGAACACACAATCTCCTCGTAATATATCCATCTGCACGCTTAACGCCGCAAAGTCCGAATGACGATGGCTCGGTTGATATACATGATTCGAGCCCTCTGCAACCACTACACCAGCCCGTATAAACAGTACTCATGTCTAGAGGACAATCTCATTGTCGTACAGGATGCACTGCCCATGCCTGCCTGAGGTCACGTACACCGCTGGGCACTGCTTCCGTCAGGCATCGCACGCGCTACGTACATGTATCTAAGTACTGTGCGCCAAGCCGTCTCATAACCCAAACACAGCCACCTCAGCGGCCCAGCAATACTGGCGGTAACGACTTGTTAGGCGAGTGTGAGGCCGCCTATGATCCGGTTCAAATATGCCAATGTTCCTCGCCTTGCAGACTTCTCTGCTTTTCTTGGAGGCCGGACCAAGCCAACCACGAGAGGCTGCTTTTCACGATCGATATGTGATTTACCAGCATTAGTTCATGATTTACCAGCATCGATGCGTAGACCAGCATGCTCTTGCTTCACACCGACACAGACGAGCTGCGACTCGTAGAAAAGGAAGAAGGCAGCGTGCCGTATGCGATTCTATCCCATAGATGGTTGGCAGTGGAGGAAGAGATCACGTTTCGCGATATTATGACCAACCAGGACGGCCTGCAGAGCAGAAAGGCTGGCAGAAACTGGATTTCATTAGGCAACAGGCATGGGCAGACGGACTGCAATATGTTTGGGTCGATACAGCGTGTATCGACAAGAGCAGCAGCCAGGTGCTGACTGGATCAATCAACTCTATGTACCGGTGGTACCAAGGCGCTACGTGCTGTTACGTCTACCTTCACGATCTGCCCAACGCCGACGGCATGGTCTTGGGTGACTCGAATTCGCGCCGCGCTTCCAAATCGGTTGTGAGACCATCGTGAGCTACCACAGTGGTCTCACCACCTTCCCTCGCAGCTCTACACGAATGCCAATGGTTCCACCGAGGATGGACACTGCAAGAAATGCTGGCACCAAGTTACGTTCGCTTCTACAACTCCATGTGGGACTATTTAGGAGATCTCGAGACTCTGTCGGGGGTGATAAGCAGAGTAACATCGATCAATGAAGATGCTCTGACCAAGGAGCGTCTGATCGAGTCCTTCAGCATCGCCCAGCGTATGTCCTGGGCCGCAGGCAGAAAGACGACTAGACTCGAGGATCGTGCCTACTCTCTGCTTGGTATCTTCGGCGTCAGCCTATCCATCATTTATGGCGAAGGTACTAGGGCTTTCGTACAATTACAGGATGAAATACTTCGGGAAACGACTGATCAGACAATCTTCGCATTTGGTAGATCTTCACCATACCTAGAAGATTCCCAGGTGCGAATGGAAAATCTTCTAGCGGCTTCGCCGGACGAATTCGCTGCGTGCCATAACTTAGAGGTAACGCCGTGGCTGTCCCACAACCGATTCGAGGTATCGGGTCAGTATGTCACATTCATGCATCAGCAATTTGATCCAGCTTACGGCGTGGCACTCAGCTGCTGCGATCACGATCGGCCTGAAGTGACTCTCTTCTTGAGATTACAAGGGACAGAAGGGCTACGCGACACATGGCTGGCTCGTGGCCCCCTTCGGCTTTATACACGGCCTATACAAAGGGCCGGCTCTCCCAAAACAACTGCTGCGGTTCGCGTGAGGAGGACCGTCGAATATGCGAGTCGGACATACTTCAAGTCTGGATGCACGCTCCATTGCGAGACTCGTTCGTTCTCGGGCCTGCAGCTGCGGTGCATGGGTAGCCTTGTACCAGATGGCCGACATGTCGTTCTCGAAAACGAGCCTCGGCTGGGATACATCCAACACACCCTCAAGGATCCCGATGCCAAGCAGGCCGTAATGGAACTCATCTGCGAAACCATGCCAGACACGAAGGTTCGACTTGAGGTGACCATCCGGCCGCGTGTGACCATCAAAATCGCTGGACAAGATGGCAAATTACCGCCGATGTCGAGCTTTCTCGCGGGCCGCCGGGCAGAGGCGAATGATTGTGCATGGATAGTGCTCGATGGTCGTGTTTTAATCGTGAAGGCTTACTACAACGCCAAACTGCATCCGGACCGGTCTGACTTGTATGCTCTACGATTCTCGTACCTCAGCTATCCTCGTGCTATGCTGGAACTGGTCATCGCATTCTGTTCCCGCGTTATCATCTGGCTGCTCATTGGTAATCCACTAAGGGTATGGCCGCCTCTGCTTGGCCTTTCCTTCGTAGTTCGAGCACTTCCCTGGACTTCACTGCATCTACCAGACTCGTTCAAGTGGTTTGACGTGCGTTTCGTATTAGGGGAAAAATGTCATTCAAATTTCGATCGGGATGATCGGGATCGGCATTGGGCTGCTTCTAGTTGCTGGAAGCTTCATCGTACTCTATCCAAGTGTGGCTGCTTGCTTTGCATTCTGGTCGGGGCAGCAATGGCACGCCCAGCCGCTTCGGTCTGTCTTGCCCCGGTGGTACCCATCTGGTTTGCCCAAGCCGATTCCATCCCAACCTGACCGCAGCCCTGATGTTACAGATCGGACACCTTTGTTGCCGAAAACCAATAGATGAAGGCGCATGCTTCCGTGGCACTCACTCGGCACGTGGCAGCGCTTGGAAATTACGACTGGCCGACACAGCGCTCACGCTTCCCTTGTCCAACTGGGTGATGGGCAATTATTAGGCATAGTAGAAGAGGTCAGTCCATTCGCCAGCAGCTATCCTGAACTGAATCTTCTGTGCCTCAGTCAGCCATTAAGGACTTCGAGACTATTGAGCGGATGGACGTGTTCGACACGTAGATGGATGGCACTCAGCACTATTGCCATCTGATATAAAGTCCCATGAGAAGATGGTTTACCATTACACTGGCAACGCCAACGCTCACTTACTCATAGCTGTCCGCCGCAAAAATTGACGGCACCGTCTTCCCTTCTCAATGCATGTACACACTTGACTCGTTCATATTCCGAAAGTGGTTAGAGATGGGCAAGCGTGTCGATGCGGCCAAGATTGCCATACTTCATCGCGATTCCCATCAACTCGATAACTAATGAACAACAGTTCCACTCCACTGGTTACAGTTGACCTCTACAGCAGTTCCCACTCCTAGACCGACGCCCGAACTGCCGAATAGTGCTTTCGACGCACCAGAGTCGATGCAAGTGTCGAAGTTTAGGTTGGCTCCGTACTGGTTCGTGCCGGAAAGGCCGTTCTGGGCACAGAGGGGGTTGCCTTGGGCTGGGCTGTAGGGTTTGTTAGTACTAGGTATTGAGTTGGTTAGGGAGGAGGTGGCTTGGACTGACCAAAGGTTGGTGACTTTCACGACGATGCTGTTACCTGCGTTCGAGACCTTTTGGCCAGAGGAGTTGGTTTCAATGGTCAACTTCCCTATGCGGAGGTCAGTATCATGTTCATCTCCTATTGACTTTCGAATACGCACAGCAAGTCCCACAACCAGGACCAGCTCCTTGACCAGGTCCGGCACCGAACTCGTTCTGCGAGATGGCAGCAGAGTAGCCGGGCTGAGTGTAGTAGCCACACGCAGTGGTCTTCACGTTGCAATTGCCAGAGTTGTTCTGGTCGCCGGAGCCATACTGGGTGAAGGAAGCCTTGTAGCTTTGCTGAGCAGAGGCTCCAATGGCAAGAGCCGCGGTCGTGAGGAGGGTTGTGGCGTGCATGATTGATCCTAGATATGCTCTTGCGTGTTGTGTTGAAGTTTGATTGATCGGCTGAGTTTCTGGTAGAGAGAATGGTGACAGTAGAAGAAGAGGTCAAGACAAGCCTTTTTGTATGTCTTGTCCCTTGCGATGGCTTCGTTGGTCTTGCCGTCATGGCCTCCACTTCGCCGTCTCGACTATACTAGACCGGCCATCATGGGATGGTAGAAGTAGCGGAAGCCCGGGCATGCTGGAGCGGGCGGCTCGTAGGGTAATCTATCCATTGATAAAGCAGGGTCATGAAACCAGCAACTCGAGCACGTTTTGTTCTCATGACATGATCTGCAGGCATGGAATTGAGAATTCCTTGTCAATCTAAATTCCGTTACAGCGTCTTTGAGCTCGGGAGGGCCTGGAGTCTCGAGTGTCTGGTGCCTACAGCAGAAGTCATTGATATCCCGGCTTGTTTTGCTGAACACGATAGAGAGAAATATGTTTAAGGCCTCGGTCAATGTCTTAGTTGAGAGGATGCAAACGTCACACCGAAACGAATTAATATATTTGAATGCAGCCAAAGTGTGGAGAAGGCGACTCTGGATATCCACAGCGGCAACACCCCTGTGTTTCATGAACGTTCTGCGATCGGTTGTGCCGGCTAGTAGATGGAATTTGTACGTACTTGATCGGTGTTTTGGAACAGCAGTGAAGAAGCTTGCATCGTGCCGCATCGTATAAATTGGGAAGAAAGACATCATTTGAGCATCTCGGAGCCACAAAAGCCGGAGCTGTAAGAGGGAGGTATGGAGACTGTACTCATGTTTACAACTACCGGCACAGTTACCTGTGCCGCTGCCGCAAAGCTATTCGATCCAGCTGGGCTATACTAGCCGGTGGCACGAGGTCTATACTCCTCCCTAAGCACCCACCTTCCCCTCCCGCCCCCACCTCGTCCACCTCCACCACCCCCTCCTTTCTCAAGCGTAGCAATAACCTTAAGCATCTCCTTGAACTCCGCCGTCCGCTGCGGCGTCCCACAATACCGATTGAAATGATCAATCAGCATCTGCGTGTACGCCTGGCCATTATGCGCGAGCAGGAATTCGCGGATCAGGGCGAGGAAATCTTTGCCCTTTGGTTGTTGGTCTTCGTTTGCTTGGCGGCGGTTGGCAGGTGGGTGGCGGGTCGTTGTGGTTGGGGAGAGGTTGGGTGTTGACGCGCGGGAATTGCTGGAGGGCGTTGTTGTGGCCGCTAGGGTAGCGGCTGGGAGTTGCCGAGCAGCGAGATTCGAGAGGATAGAAGCAGATGATGGACCGCCGCGTGCACCACCTCTTCCACCACCTCTTCCACCACCTCGTCTTCCTCTCATCGCTGGACCCGAAGAACCCCTCACACTGTCTTCCCTATCAGGCCGCCCAGCCGTCCCCACCGTCCCAGTCCAAGTCGGTACTCCAGCCGGCACCGTCCTCGCAATCTCCCCCGCCCTCTGCAACTCCCGCGCAGCCTGCGCCGCCACTTTTCTCGCCTCTCTAGCTACAAGCTCCGGATCTGCATGAACGGTTTTCTTCCCGTTGATGATGGCGTCGTGTTCCAGTGCGCTCTGGACACCCGTGCGAGCGAATATGGAAGAGAGCATACGGTCCTCTTTTGCTGCGTCGGGTTGATCGCTGGTCTTCTTCTCCTCGTCTGGTTCGCCGCGCCAGGCTTCGGCTCGAGAGATACCGGTTATATCGTCTACGGCCGTTGTAGTAGAACTGACGGCTTGTCCAGTTTCATCAGGTGGTGTAGGCAATCCTTTAGTACCCTCGTCCTTACCATCAGTCTTCCGTCCTCGCGAACCAGAAAGCTGCACCTCCGTCCCCTGAAAGATCGACCCCGTCTCCGTTTGCCCATCCTTACTCTCCCCAAGCGTGAAAAGATCATGCAAATCCCCCAACTGAAACGTCTGCCTCTGCTTCGGATCCTTCAGAATCTTGTTCGTGAGGAATTGTTTGAAGATCTGTCGATGGTAGATCTTCTCTTCGATCGTGCCGGCGGTCATGAGCCGATAGATCTCCACTTCTCGCTTCTGTCCGAGTCGCCATGCACGTTCGCGCGCTTGGACGTCAGTGCTGGGGTTCCAGTCAGGGTCGTAGATGATGACTCGATCAGCGCCTGTGAGATTGATGCCTAGACCGCCGACTTTGGTCGTTAGGAGGAAGACGTGGAGATCCACGTCTTTATTAAATTCGTCCACCAGATCCTGCCGGTCTTTGATACTCGTGTTCCCGTCCATCCGCCTGTAATTGAATCCCGGCATACCTTGAATGAATTTCTCGAGGATGTCGAGCATGATCCTGTGCTGAGCAAAGAGAAGTGTCTTGTGGCCATTGCGTTTCCAGATCTCGAGCAGGGCTTTCACGACTTGCATCTTCCCGCTTTTACTGCCTGTGCCGTAGGCATAGCCGGGTTTCTTGCTCAGGGTTTTGTGCTCCACGAGATCAGGGTGATTGCATAGTTTCCTCAAGATATCCACGCCGTAAAGCGCTTGTCTTTTACCTCCAAGGATACTCTTCATATCCTCGCTGTTCAGAAACCATTCGTAAGCATCACGCTGCAACTTCGTAAGTTTGCAGAAGAGAACACGTTCACTCTTCTTCGGCAAATCAGCTGCTACATCTACTTTGAAACGCTGCAGGAGGTAAGGCGATATGGTATCCTTCAGCGTCTCAGCGCACTTCATAGCCGTCTCGACTTGCAGGTTTGAAGCATTAGCATATCCACCTTGCTTGATGGGAATCTCGAACTGGCTGCGGAAGTTCACCAGAGTGCCCAAGCGCATTGGAAACACGAAATCGAATAGCGACCACAGTTCTGTGAGATTGTTCTGCATTGGTGTGCCGGACAAAATCACTCGGTTGTGAGTGCGTAGTTCTTTGCAAAAGATCGTGATCGCAGTATTGGGGTTGCGGATCTTGTGGCCTTCGTCCAGGACGGCGTATTCCCAATCGGTGGGTATGAGGAGCTCAGCGTAGGTCTGGAGTCCGGAGTAGGTCGTCACTAAGACGTGGCCGTCTCGCACGACCTTGTCTACGATGCGTTTCGCGGCTTTATGGCCTTTGGTCTGGGTTGATCTGCCCGTGTAGTTGTCCAGCTCCAGATCGTCCTCGATTCGTGCCTCTCGCTGGATATCAAGCATGCCGCTGCCGGAAGTATGCAGGATGGAGACGCGAAGTGGTGGCCACCAACGATGAAACTCGTTCACCCACTGCTTCATCACTGTCGCTGGACAAACGACAATGATTGGCTTCGTCAATTTCTCCGAGTAGTGCAGACCTGCTAGAAATGAAATGATTTGGATGGTTTTGCCCAAACCCATCTCATCGCCGATGATGCCTCCCACTTGCTGCGTGAACAATTCCCACAGCCATTGCACGCCCGTTTTCTGGTAGTCAAAAAGCGAAGGGTAGATGTCGCCTGGTATGCGGAAGCCGCCTTCGAATTCAGCGTCAGTACGTGTAGGATGTGGCATATGCCACTCTTCCTTCTCTGGCGGTATGTCATCTAGATCTATAGTCTCTGGCTCTTCGGGCTTAACTGACTCGTCGTTCGCAACACCTTTGTCTTCGCCATTTTTCTGCGTCTGAAACTTCCGCCTTGCTGCTCGTCGTCGTCTCACCCAGCTCTCCAAACGATCTTGATAGACCTGCTCGTTGCCATCATCGATGCCAGCCAAATCCTCGGCTTCTGCAGCTGCATCTTCTGCCGTACGTCTCCTCTCCTTACCCTTCTTCCGCTTGATACCGGGAGTCGTGGCCAGAGGGAAGTCACCTTCTGCTTCTTCGTCCTCTGGCTCATCATCGTCTCCAGACTCGCCTATAGCAGCCAGGCCATCCTCATTCACGCCAGGAACATATGCGTCAGTGTCGTCTGCGGGTGTCTCGGGCTGTTCAGACTCTGCTCTTGCTTTCCTCCTTGACTGCAGTCTCCGCCGTTTGGCAGGTCTCTTAGACGCAAACTCTTCGTCCTGCAATCGTCTAGCCATCTCCTCGTCGCCTTCGACATCACCCGCTGGTGTCGTGGCAGCAGTCGAGTCATGCTGATCAAAGCCAGGGCCGAGCAGGTTCCGATGCGATCGCTCCGTAGTCTCTTCTTGGGCAGCTTCGGGCTCTGCTTGCTCATCTTCCTCGCCCTCCTCTTCCGCATCCAGCAGCACATCTCCCAGACTCGACGAAGTCCGCAGGAGCTGTCTGCCCATCTTCGAGAATGGGGTGATCTTGCCAGTCCTGATCAAGAACTCGCGTTGACTCTCACCAGGTAGACGCTTATTGCCGGACTCCTCAAGACGCGTATCGCCATTCTGCACCGCCTCCTCAGCGTGCCTTTCATCCATACGAGCCTGTATTTGCTCCAGGTCTCTATCCAGGTCCACGATTCGTTCATGATGACCTCGCACCTCTTCCCGCCACTTCTCCTTGGTGACCGAGTTGCCGAAGCCTTTCAACTTCGTCTTCAGACTGCGGACTTGACCGAGCAGGAGCTCCCGACTCTTCTGCGTCTTCTCCACCCGCTTCTTGTCTCGCTCGTCAGCCTGCTCGTTCAAGAGCTTGTCGGCCTGTCTGCCGATGTCGCGTTCCAGGTCGTCCTGCTCACGCGTGCCTGCCGCCAGTTCGGCCAACACGGTTGCCTCATCCTTGCCTGTGGTGTCTGGTCCAGTGGGAGATGCTGCATCCTCGGCCGACTGATCATTCGCTGTCTGCTCATAGTCCTCCTCAAGCGTCGGACTCGCCAAGCTCGGCTCTTGTGCCTCCATCTCCTCACTGTCCATCACGAACCTAGTAGATCAAAGTGCCGTAGTGGCGTTGCAATGATGTAAGCTACCAGCTGATCATCTTCGAAATCCGCCTCGCTGTCGTCGTGGCTGGAGAAGTGAGTTTGGAGCCTGGAGAGGAGGTTTGAGGGAGTAAGTGAGTGTAAGACAAAACATTGTCTGGTTGCACTTTCCTACAATTCGTGATGACGCGCTTGGTGGAAGCACGCGCCTAGGCCACCGTACCAAATGCATGTCATATTACTAGCGCCGGATCTATCCACACAGCGACAGGCATGACGACTTGTTCCACGACCGATGGGAGCTGTCACGTACAGCCGTGGGCAATGAAATAACACCAGTCAACACTTTACAGTCTCCTAAACAATAGACCAGACCGCATACATTGACCGTCGTCCCTCTTAAAGCACCAAAAGCATTCACATCCCGACCGCAACCACGAAACAGGCAGGCACGCGACAGTCAAGGCTGAATAGAGTTGCGCGTGCGGGGCGCACAGCATGGCTTCACTGCCACCTCGCCAGCAGTCGCAAAGACGCTCCTCCCCAGAGCAGACATCTTCAAGTCAACCTCAGCCTAACTCGACCTCACCCGCACGAGCACGATCCGCGACGTCAGAAGACTCGCAGACCCTCTTTGTGAACCACCACCGGTCTCCAGATCAGGCAGGAACATCTGCACCCGAAGACCACCACCAACAGCAACAGCAACAACAGCCATCACAACCATACCCCAAACCAGAAGAAGATCCTCGCCCCTCCTCCCCAAACGAAACCCGTGACATCAAAACCTGCTGGATCTGCTTCGCCGACAGCACCGAAGACACCCCCACCACTTCTCCCTGGCGTGACCCCTGCCCCTGTGCCCTCGTAGCCCACGAAGAATGCCTCTTAGACTGGATAGCAGATATGGAGGCCCCTTCCAAAAATGCCCGAAGCCGCTCCATCCGTGCGCCGAGGATCGAGTGTCCGCAGTGCAAGACTGAGATTAAGCTGAGCCGATCACGGGATTATGTGGTGGAGGCTGTGAGGGGCATCGAGAGGTTAGGGGCTCGGTCTGTGACCCCTGGGGCCTTGGCGTTTTTGAGTGCGGGGGTGTATCAGAGTAGTATGCTTTGGGGTATGCATTCGACTTATGCGGTTTTTGGGGTGGAAGATGGGTATAGGATATTACGGCCTCTTTTGTATAATGCTATGAGAGCGCCGCTGGAAGTCTATGCTGCGAGGCCACAAGAGGCGGCGACGAAATTGCTTGGGTTGGTGGTGGACCATCTTGTGCATTGGAGGCTGTATGTTGGTTTGCCGCTTATCACACCCATGCTCATTCTCTCGCGGACACATCTCGCCGACTCAATACTACCGGTCCTGCCTGTCTTGTTCTTCGCCACGCAGACCCATTCCTCTCAAGAGCCTATGGACTTCACACAGTGGCCTCCTTCTGCGAGTCTATGCTTTGCCGTCTTACCTTACGTGAGGCAAGCATACAACATCTGCTACGAAAAAGTCTGGGCCGCAAAAGTGAAGCAATGGTTACAAGAAGTGCAGCCCCGAAGTGGTGCTCCACAGGATGAAGTAGAAGTCGGCGTACGTGAAGATCAACTCGACGGTCTAGAAGCAGACGAGGAGGAAGAGAATGTCTTCGAGGTCCGGATAGATGGCAATATCTTCTGGGACGACTGGGAGGATCCTCAACAGCCAGAGGTGCAACAGCCTGTTCGACTAGCGCAGGGACAGCAAGCTCCACCCCTCAACCAACCACCAGCGCCTGCGGGCAATGAAGCAGACCAAGCACAACCTCCACCTAATATCCGAGGCGATCGTCCTCCACCACCACAGCCGGCCCCTGTCCCTGCCGCCGCCGCAGCACCTCCTCCACAAGCACAGCCCCAGCAACCCCCCGAACGCCGCCTAGCCTTCTCCACCACCGCCCTCGCCGAAACCATTCTCGGCGCACTCCTCTTTCCCACCCTCGCCGGCCTCTCAGGCGAACTCCTCAAGGTCTTCCTCCCGCTCTCCTGGACCGCGCTCCCCGTCGCGGCGAGAATGTCTTCGATATTTGGCGGTTCGAGGAATTCAGGGGCGGCGACGGCTTCGCCAACGGGGATATTGCAGACGAAGTGGGGCAGGAGTGTGGTGGGCGGGTGTGCGTTTGTGGTTGTTAAGGATGCGGTGTTGGTTTATGTTAGGTGGAGGATGGCGAGGATGCATCGGGGACGGAGGGTGCTGGATTATGCCGGGACGGCTAGGAGGGCGGGAAGAAGATGAGATATGTGTGTGGGATAGTGTGGGCTCTCTACTTTGAGCGAGATGTACGGTGATCTATCAAAGGCGATTGTCATTGGTGGTACAATGTCATGGGCTGATATTGCTAAACAATCCGTGTCGGGAACCATGATATCTACACTCTCAAGCTCGGCCTTTCGACAATGCATGATCCTCCAACGTATTATTACTTGAATTTACTTGCAGGGGGTCAAAGACATGAGAAGCCCGAGCAACGATCCCCGCCGGGCTAGTAATAGCACACAGTACGACCTCTTCCATGCTGCTTCGAACACCCACTCACGGCTGCTGAACTGATGTGGCTGCCGGCTTCTCCCTCATGGAGTACGAAGCGGCGAAGTCTCTTACATGCTGCCTCGAACATCCATATTCAGCTGCTCCAGTGGCGTGACTGCCGGCTCCTCTTCATGCTCCGCAGTAAGTGGCTTCATCTCAACATCCTTGTCTTCTCCTCGACCCTTATGGTTGACCGCTGCTGGACGCTGATGCTCGATCTGCACGCCGCCACGGCCGTTGGGCACGATATACCATTTCTTCAAATCTTGCTTGCGAACATTGTCTGTGTGTTCGGCTTCGACGACGGCTTGTGCCATCCATTCCCAGGGTCCGATGGGCATGTATTTGACTAGGTCTTTGTCGCTGTGGTGGTGGAGTTGGTATTGTAGGATGGCGTAGTAGATTGTCGTTGCGATGCAGATTGTGACGAAGCCTATGCTAAGGCCGATGAGCCAGTCTGGGATCCACGTCGGATAGAGGAGACAGCCTTGTCGTTTGTCGTCGTCAGGAAGTGGTACGCTATGGAGAATATCTAAGCCAAGAGGCGTCAGCGCTGTCCAAAGAATTTGGCAAGGTTAAAAGACATGCCTGAGTTGCCTGCGACCATGATCATGCTAATTAGTAGTAAAGTGAGGTTACCCTCGATGGAAGTATTCACATCTGGCATACCAACACCTGAACCCTTGGTACATGGTACCTTGCCAGACATCAGCCCATTCCTTGATTGTCATATAGGGCGAAAAGCTGCTCATGATCGCCTTCGTCTCTGGGCCTAGAAGTCAGCACGTGATCCTCTCTCACAGAAACTCATTCTAGCCCTGTGGAAGACATACTCGGTGAGTTCAGACTACAGGACATGCAGTACATCTGTTTAGTCTCCATCTCGCCTGCGGTCTTATCGACACAGGCTTTGATGTCGAATACACCTGTCGTATTGCCCAAAGAAGCTGACCACGCCACAAGCTGGGTAAATCTTGTATTATCTAGCTCGTCCCATGTACACGTAAACCGGGAGCGATTGCCGTACAACAACGAGAGCCTCGCCAGGTCGTCCACAAGCTCGCTCGCGTTCCATGAGTCGGCTGGATAGTCTTGGTCGCCTGTGTATGAGCAATTCCAGGTGGCCCAGATGTCATCGTCGCGGGCACAGAACGACCAGTCGTCGCTGATCTTGGCATAGATGCCCATATCACATCCGTTGGTAAGCGATATCAGTTGTGCGTTAGTCGCCCACATTTGCCCTTTCGTATGCGCAGGTGGGACATTCCAGGAGTACGTCCTCATGGTCAAGTTGGGGACCAAGACCATGCCAGTGTTGAATATACAGTTGTCTCGCGTTGGCCTGGCCTGTATTGTTGCGGTAGAAACGTCGACGACTCTTGACAACAGCGCGAAGAAGGCCATCGGGAGCCACCATCTCGGATTAGGGATATGTTGAAGCCTACGGACCTGGTCGAAGAGCTCCTCGACTGTCAGCCATCCGGCAGTGTGGACGATGGACACCCGGTGGGTCTTCAAAAGTCTCAGTTTCAGCTGGGTGCTGTAGCAAGCGCTGCTTATGATCGTCAGGTACAAGGACAGCACGATAAAGATAACTCGGGCAACGATGCGGGCCCATTTTGCCGAGCCCAATGCCCTCTCCAGGTCTACTAGCAAGCCTTGCACCTGATCATCGGGAGTGGTAGAAACATGATTATTGGTTGGCAGATATGTCGTCGGGATGGGTTGAACAAGAGCGCCTCCAGCATCAGCCTGATTAATATGGCCGCTGGATCATGCTCCTAACTTGCGAACCTACCTGGCAAGGCGACATGTTCGCGGCAGTGTATGTTCCACAGCTATCTTGTGACATGTACTGATTTGCACGACATCACTTTGTGCCTCTGGACCTACATTGATTGAAAGTCATCGCCGGTGCTGCTTCAGACGTGCAATACTTCGCACTGAGTCATCGTGACTCGCTAGTGACATGTAGTCGTGGAGACACGATAGAGGTCGAATCAACGTACTGGATCAGCAGCGCGTGAGACGAGTTTGCTACCCTGCAAGTAGCCGTGTGGGTGATACGGAGCAGAAGCACAGCTTACTGCACCTGCGCCATGCAGCAACGGAGATCGCTATATTTGTTGTATGGCAACTTCAAGTGAGCTCTCATAGCGGTTGCTAAGAACAATTTGAGCGACACACTTCAACAATGCCCTCGCCATCGTCACCCGGAGCTCTCCAGAACTTCTGGATGCGAAGTCCTTTGACCATACTGATCAATCGTGTCCAGCTTGCTTCGTCGCGTTCTTGGCCAGAGTGGAATGCCAGCATAAGTATGTCAGATCCGGTAGCTCTGGCGGCTCATTAGTAAATGTAACTCATACTCTCGGGTCTCCCCTCATAATTCACTTACAGCGCAGAGCATCCTTGGTCGGGTAGGATAACATCGTTTATGAATATCCGAGAACCTTTTTGCATGGCATCTCGTAGACGAGTAAGTATAGCTACACAGTCCTTATCTGGCCAGTCATGCATGATTTTGTGCATGTAATAGATACTTGCGCCCTTGACAGGCTGTTCGAGGAAGAAGTCGTGAGGCATGAATGTTGTCCTTGGATCCACCTCTGTACCTGTCGTCGAGTGCTCGTGCTTTGTCTCAGCGATCACACTTGGGTCGTCTTGCAAGACGAGCTGAGCATTCCACTTTGGATATTGCCTGGCCAGTGCGGACAGGTCGTGACCACGGCCACCACCAACGTCAACGAAGACCGCAGGCAGTCTGTCACGATCATCGGTGGATGGCGTACTAATGAGAGCTTCTTTTGGGAACCACTGGGTCCAATGCGGCCTCTTATCCTGCATTCGCTGCATTAATGAGCTCAAACGAGTCAACTGTTTTGGGTCGTGATCCGTCCAATGCTCAAATGTCGTTTGACCCTGGACGCCACGAGCATCTTGCCATGGACCCTCCGTAGCGGTACCGGATGCTTGCCACACATTACCTTCGTGGAACGAGATCATAGATGTCATGGTACTAGAAGGGCCCATCGCGTTGTCAAAGAAGAGCTCGAAGCCGGAGGCAAATCCCTCGTCCGCCATCACAGCAGTAAGCTCATTTGCCTGGTACATCCGTGGCGCGATTTCGTCTATCAAGCCTAGACCGCTGACTGCACGCAACATCCTGGCCAGGAACTCTTGCTGTTGTTCGAAAGCTTCATGGTCGCCGCGTGCAGGCTTCTGGACAAGGTCGGCGACATGTAAAGGACTCTTCGTCTCTGTCAAATGCTTGAAGACCCCAGTCTCGATGCAGATACGTGCTGGTGCTAATACTGGGATGCTGTAGAGGAGAGTGATGATGAAGTCGGCAGGAGTCTTGGTCGCTAGGATTTTGCGGCTCAAATCAAGTTTGATGGCCTCGAAGTCTCTTCCCATTGTGGCGTGGTTTGATGTGCTTTCTCTCTACTTCACCGATCTTGTTACTTATCGAACTATACTGTCCTACGACGTGAGAATCTTGAATACGGCACATTTATCCGAAGAACGATCTCACGCCCTGAAGTGCTTGCAGGTTGCCTGCATTAGCTCTTGATAGAGCAATCAAGGCCGCAGCTCTCTCCGGGTAGGTTGCATTAGCAGTGTTGCCATATGCAAGCGCTGGTGGCAGGATTTGACCACATCCTCGATTGGTAGCAAGGAAATCGAGGATCAATAGAAAATATGGCAGCAGCGAACCTCTACGACCTTGACGCCACCGAGGCAAGACGACTCATCGGCGAGCGCAAGATCAGCTCGCTATCTTTAGTAGAAGCATGCATAGCACGCATTGAAGCTGTGAATCCCAAGATCAACGCAGTGGTGACGAAGGCATACGAGCGAGCTCGTGCAGAAGCGAAAGCGGCCGACGAAGCGGTATTAAATGGCCAGCCTTTAGGCATACTACATGGGCTGCCCATAGTCATCAAGGACCTTAACAAGACTGAAGGCATTCGGACGACGTATTGTTCGCCCTTGTTCGAAAACTATGTACCTGACCAGGACGATACCGTGATCGCACGTCTGCGAAGAAATGGTGCCATCATACTCGGGAAGACTAATGCACCGGAATTTGCTTGCGGCTCGAACACCACAAATCGTGTCTTCGGGCCATCAGGAAATCCCTTTGACCCTTCTCTTACACCTGGTGGCTCCTCAGGCGGCGCAGGGTCCGCTCTCGCAACGAATATGGTACCCTTAGCCAATGGCTCCGACTCAGGCGCAAGCATACGGAATCCTGCTGCATTCTGCGGTGTTGTCGGCCTCCGTCCAACGCCGGGTCTAGTCTCATCTGCCGAGCGTTCTTTCTCTTTGTCCACAAACGGGGTGGAGGGCCCAATGGGCCGTACAGTAGCAGATGTGGCACTTCTTCTCGCTGGAATGGCAGAGCACGACTCCAGGGACATGATGTCCCGGCCAATAGACCCGAGCATATACCTGACCCTTGGGCATGTTGACGTCTCCACTTTACGGGTCGGTCTCTCTGAGGACCTTGGCTTTGCTCCAGTGGATAAGGTAGTGCGAGAGAAATTCAGGAGCAAAGTAGATAAGATCCGGGGAGCTTTCGCAGTCTGCGAAGATAGCAAGATCAACATGCAAGGTGCAGAAGAGGCGTATATGGGTGTCCGTGCCCTTTATCTCCTGGCAGGCCATGGAGCCAAATATGCAGCTAAGGACAGCAACCTTTCACCAGAATTGGCCTGGAACATCGAGTCGGCCCTGAAGATGACGCCAATGCAGTACGCGACCGCGCATGTCGAGCAGACTCGTTTATATCAGGTCGTACAGGCCGCCTTCGACGAATACGATATCCTGATCACACCTGCTGTCAACGTCTTGCCATTTCCGTGGTCGACACCGTTCCCTACTACGCTTGATGACCGTCCCGCACGCCACTATGCAGAGTGGTTCAGTATTACGTATGCTGTCTCGCTTGTCGGACATCCAACGATAGCCTTACCAGCTGGGCTTGATCCTCAGGGTACGCCGTTTGGTATTCAGGTCATTGGAAAGAGGTTTGGTGATCAAAGGCTATTAGAGGTAGCGAAAGCACTGGAGGCTCTGCTTGCTTCATGTTCAGAGACGAGACGCGCCAAGCCCGACGTTGAGAAATTGCTGGCTGGCCCAGACATGGCTGATGCAAAGAGTTCAGCGCTGGGCAAGGATTGATGTATTTCGATGCTATCAAGACCGAAGTATCCCGATACTGTCTGTTAGTCTACAGATTGTATGATGAGTTTCCTGCTTGCGACCGGCTCTCGACATCTACTGAATGTCGCATCAATATAACATCGCTATCAAAGCTCGCTCTTTTGTGCTTACCATCACCGCGGATGTCATGCTCGGCAGCGTTTGAAACCGACGTGATGTTCTGCCCGCCTTTGCCAGTGTATATATTGGACAGCGCGACGCTGTTTCCGTTGCCACTGTTCCCACTTCTTGTATAGCCTGTAGCCTCATGCGGTAGGAAGAACACTCCACCCGTGCTGGTGTATTGGAAGAAGACAGGTAGGTTCGGTGACAGTACATTCATCGTGATGAGATTGCACTCGATCAGAAAGTGCACGATGACGGCCACATCCTGGAAGGTCCAGTCCACGGCGAACAGGTCCGCAGGTAGATAGCTGAGTCGGATCACTATCGCGGAGATGACAAGACTGCGTAAGAGTCAACAGCAAGCTAGAAACGACAAGAAAGGCAAGTGACCTACGGCACGAAGCACACAACTGCAGCCGACCATCGAATCTTACTCTTCAAACTCGCTCTGGTGCGCCAGATGATCCACAGGAAAGCTCCGCATTGTCCAAGAATGACGGCGATATTGATAGCACCCGACGCGACGAGGAAGCTGCGCTATTTCAGTCAGCTTGAGAATGAAAGCGGTCGACTCACGATTGAATTACCTCTGGAGAAGACGTCCTTGTAGCGTGAAACCCAATAACTGCGATGTTGGCTACAGACCAAGCGCAAATAAGGCCCGAGAAACAATCCATGTATCGTGCGAAGCGATCGCTCCGAGCTGTACGACGTAGTAGGAAGTTGTAGGAAACTTCCATGACACCCACACAGAGGTAGAATACGATGAGATCTCCCAACATGAGCTGCCACTGTTAGTCCACTTCTGGTAGAAGCGTAAGCAGCAAAGACGCACCTTCTTTAGATGCTGCAGTACACTATCGTCGAATGTGTTCACCTGATGGCCAAGTCCCTCGCTGACCGCTACAGCATGGACGACGAAGAACAAGGTGTTTAGTCCCTCCGAACGGTCAGCACACCATATTGTAAACGCTGTTGACAGCCAGGAGGCATACTACACCAATGATGAGCAAAATGGTGTCGACTTGACGGAGTGTCTTTGCATTGAAGCGATTGTAAAGTGCTATGGCGGTCATGAACAGCGTCGCTGCCAGCGTGATGCCTCCTGCAATGATGACCAGTGGACCATGATCATTGGCATTGAGCTTCGGGCTGAGATCTATCTTCGATTGGGCCATCGTCAGGGTGGCTCTCGCGGGGAGTGTCAAGAGGTTGACCAGTATCGTTCACATTTGCATCTGCGAGAACGTTCTCGACGACGCCGAACGCATCGACAGCATATAATTGTTTGAGCCATGGCGGTGATCAATAGGAAAGGATTCCTACCATCCAATGAGGTAGCTGCGTCGACGCCAGCATTTCGAAAGCACTGCGTCGCGATATCGGGCTCGCATAGAACGGTCGTCGAAGGATTGGACGCTTGATATTATGTGGCGTGACAGTGTCGGTGACATTCATGAGCTCAGGAGCTGCTCGCTTTGCAATAACTGCTTGTTGCTTCTGTGCCGTGCCGCTGAAGCGATCAGATTGGCTACCTGCCAAGGTTGGATATCGATCGCTACTTTAACCGGCAGAAGTGCGTTGGGGATGCTCGGCTGTAAGCCGTAAACCATGTTTAGCGTTGCATGTGGCTGCGCTATGCTCCGGATGTATAGTGCCACGGCACTTTTGTTTTGGCACGTTGCGCGCCATGCTGTGCCGCACGCATAGCGCTCCGGTACCATAGCTCCCAGGTCCTAAGCTGCGCCTGTGTAACTTCGAAGCTTTCGCCCAAACTTTATTGTCCGTTTGCCAAAGTCGCCATGCGATAGTGCTCCTCGAAGGTTCGACCTACTTCGTTACTCCTCATCGACTGGACGACTTAGCCCACGATGGAAAGGATCGAGCTCAAACATGCGGACCATCCGCGGTCGACACACCAGACACGCGACACCATGATCGAAGCAAAAGAAGCAGACTCGTTCGATATGCACAGGATGGGCAAGAAGCAGGAGTTCCGTGTGCGTGATGGCATGGTGTCGATACAGTCGACGCAGAGGATTTGGCTGACCAAGCTCATGTCTAGAGGAACTTCAAAGTGGTATCGATCAGTTCTTTCTGTGTCGTGACCATGATGGGCTGGGTGTTTATACCGATGTCAGTAGTCAAATCAAGAAAAGTCATGGTATTGGCTCTGCTGACAGCGTCAACAGCAACGCACCAATCTTGATCGAAATTGCAGGAACTGGAGGATGCATCGTAATCTTTCTTTGTAACTTCTTCGGCTTTGCCAGTATCGTCCTCAGTCTTGCGGAGATGTCTTCGATCGCACCTACTGCTGGCGGGCAATACCACTGGACCAGCGAATTCGCCCCTCCCTCAATCCAGCGATTCAGCAGCTATGTCTCCGGTCAGTCACTCGTAGTGACGATGAAGTGCAGATACGCTGACAGTATGACTAGGATGGTTATCGTCGCTCGCTTGGCTCGTCGGCGTCGCCAGTGCGATGTTCATTGCGGGCAATCTCATTCCGACATTGATCAGCATGGGCAACCCCAACTTCGTTCCACATCCATGGCATGGGTACTTGTTTGTCGTTGCGATCTGCCTATTCTGCTTCCTCGTCAATGGCTTCCTGGCAAAGCACATTCCGCTGCTCGAAGGCTTTGTTTTGTGTTTTACAATCATGGCGTTCGTATCAATCGTCATTGTCTATCGTGAGTCCTCATAGAGAGTAAGTACGAGGGTAAAGGGTCGACTGACAATCCTGCAGTGGTTCTCAGCCCGAAGCTGAGCGGAAGTGAAGTGTTCCAGACATTCACTCCGCAATCAGAACTTGGCTCAGTGGGCACTTTGGAGCTGGTATCTGCGCAAGTTCTAATATTCTACTCTTTCGTGGCATCTGACTCGACGGCCCACTTAGCAGAAGAGACCCAGCATGCCGCCATTGTCATTCCAAGAGCAATGGTTTGGTCCTACGCCATCATTGGTCTCCTCGACTTCGTCATGCTGCTGGTCGTCTGCTTCACCTGGGTTGCACCTGACGTCTATGCTGCGCCGACGACGGGCTATGCTTTCCTGGATCAGCTCATCACAGCGACTGGATCGTCGAAAGGTGCTGTTGCTATTGCTGCCGTCTTTGTCGTCTTGATCATTTTCAGTGTCACCAACTTCATGGCTTCTACGTCTCGACAAGTCTTCGCTTTCGCGCGAGATAATGGACTGCCGTTCTCGAGATGGATCGCCAAAGTCGACCCGCGGACACTCACGCCGATGAATTCGCTGGTTGTCGTCCTGGTCTTTACGATCTTGATCTGCTTGATTGGCCTGGGGAGCACTGTGTAAGTCGAAGTGGGCGGACGCAAGTCGATGTAGCGTGCTCGTACTGATCGTGGTGTTTCTTGCAGTGCATTCAACGCCATCGTATCGCTTCAGGTGATGGCGCTAGCGAGTACTTACGAGGTGTCTCTGCTGGCACTCATCTGGCGACGACTGTACGGTAAGCCTCTACCTCGCGCGGCCTGGTCCTTGGGGCGGCTGGGCCTACCGCTCAACTGTTTCGGGGTTCTGTATGGTGCATACCTCCTCGTGTACGCAGCCATGCCGGGACTTTACCCAGTAACGGCAGCGAACTTCAACTGGGCACCGGTAAGGCATCAAAACACTGGTCGGTACTGCACAAATGCTTGTTAATGTGTTGTACAGGTCATGTTCGGAGGTGTAGCGATCTTGGGGCTGGTCTTTTACCTCGCATCTGCGAGAAAAGGATACTATGGCCCTGTAGTACATGTCATCACGGACTAGCCGGAGAGTGACTGGTAGTTCATGCATGTACAGTGGGTATGTGTAGCCAGATCGGACCGTACCCGGTCCACTTAGCACTCGAAGTCTGCAGTTTTAATGGTCTAGTGAGCAGTGGCACCAGTCCATCCTCCAACTGTAAAACTCCCCAAGAACGTGCCACCAAGGATAGAGAGAAAGTAGCCGACGTTCATTGTCATTACAGCCAGCATTCTGAAGTCGAGTCAGTGCCAGATTCAAGCAAGTGCGCTGACACCACTTACAAAAGATAGCTGACAGCCGCGAGCGTCGTGTCTAATATCGCTCTCGTGGCCGCTTCATTGATCCTCCAGGGTCTCCGGCCACCATGCTTGAGATAGATCTCGTCTTCTTCCCGATGTAGCATCGGTGTCTCGTTATGGCGAGTCCAGCGTGTCCATAGAAGCGTGAAATTGCACCTTACAGCCATGAGACCCCGGAAGAGGAGGGATAATACAATGAGGAAGATACATGCACCGGCGTATTGGCCTGTACCATTCGGCATCCATGCAGTCGAGTATAGCGGGGTGTTGGTTGCCGAGAAGAAGACCATCATCATGCTGTCCATTCCCATCATGCCAGACATGCTAGAAGAGGTCGATGAAGTCGCAGATGGCATACTCATGCCTGTCATGCTGCTCATGCCCATACTGGTGGAAGTGGCCATACTTTGAGTTTGTTTCGCGTATCTGCCTGGATATCCTTGATGGTCGTTCTGAGACTTCGTCACCAGATATACACGTCGTATCGTAATGTCACTGCGCTGGTATACTCGCGTATTTGAGCATGTATCTTTATAAATGCACGCCAAATTGCTCACTGCGGATAGAGCATGATGTACTCTGCGACGCAAATCATCCATCCATCCGTGCAGATGTGTAGAAAGCCCGCAAACTTGCTCATTCTCACGACTTGGCAGACTGAATCGAGGCTGGCGCTTGCTCAGCGTCTGCAACTGTGGATGCAAGGACTGTCCATCATATACCCGCAACGATGACACGTTCTGGACGAGATGGAAGTCAGTTTAGACCTGTGCATATCTCGAGTGTGTACGAGACGAGACAGCAAAGATGGACGGCATGGGAATGAGCGGCACGCCATGGCTCACTACGCCACTACAGTTGCATGCATATCGGGATTACGAGTGTGCCCAGAACACGACAGCTGAGTGTGATTACTACCAGGGATATTGGCGGTTCTGGTTGGTATCTTATAGCAATAAAAGCTTTCTCAGGATGCTAACAGAAACTTGGTAGGTACGAGGCGGACCATCGCTATGCGCTGCCCACTGTAGCATTCTTTACAGCCACCATCTTGATTTTCGCTACATGCCACATCTTCCAGAAGGTCGTTCCTGCCAAATACCAGCGGGCAGCGATAGTCCAACGCCTGACTGCCGCAAGTCGATTTCTGAGCTATCGTAGCTTGAGTATAGATGGTCTGAACTGGAAATCTGCGCCGCTCGGAGTGCTACTGCTCGGCCTCGTGGGAACCATATACTTCCTCTGCATGACCTTGGGGCCTCAGCCTTACTACTGGCCTGAGTCTACGACGTTGAACTACTGGGGCGGCTCGCCTCCTATCGCCACACGGTCCGGTTGGCTATCGCTGGGTTGTATGCCCTTTGTGTTCCTGACTGCTGGCAAGAGCAACTTTATCACCGCCGTGACAGGCATCTCGCACGAGCGCCTCCAGGTGTTCCATCGCTGGATCAGCTATGTATTCTTTCTCACGGCCTTAGTACACACATTCCCGTTCATCGTATACAACATACGTACACACCAGATGATGATGCAGTGGGACATGAACCTGGACTACTGGACAGGTGTTGTCGCCATCCTAGCTCAGGCTTATCTGACTTTCGCATCTATGAGTCCTCTTCGGTATGTGGCCTTGAAGCGGTATACGTGTTCGACGCTAATGCTCGAACAGAAATTTGAGCTACGAGTGTTTCAAGTTCTCGCACTTCGTGGCAGCTTTGGTCTTCATGCTGTTCCTGTTCTTCCACTGCGCATACACACTGACGTCTTGGGACTACTTCATCGTCACTGGGGTGTTCTTCGCTTTTTCCTGGCTGCATAGACAGCTACGAGTCTACGGCGAGCATGGTGTGCACAGCAAAGCGAGCCTCACCCTGGCGGCTGATGGATTTGTTTGCGTCAAGATCCCGACCAAGGCAACATGGCATGTTGGTCAGCATTTCTTTGTGCGTTTCCTCACCACAGACATCCATGCGTTGAGTATCCATCCGTTCACGGCCTGCTCATTGCCCTCACAATCCGGACACGACTCTGAGCTGGTATTGTATATTCGACCGCGAGGTGGCCTGACTTCGCGTCTGGCCAAGCGTGCCGCGACGAGTCCAGGTAGCACGGTGCGGGTACTGCTTGATGGCCCATACGGAGGTGTCGATATGCACAGTCTTGGTTCGAGTCGGCGGCAAATCGTTGTAGCCGGAGGATCCGGTGCTGGCTGGATCTTGCCGATGCTCAGCGCTTGCATACGCCAGAATGATTTCGCGGACAAGGCCGAGAAGAACACCAAACGCCATTCCATGCGAGTAGTTCTCACCGCACGAGAGACAGCAACATGTCACTGGTTCGACCAGACTATCAGAGAACTCCTTGCCGAGCATGGTAGAGACCACTTGCCTTCGTATATCGAAGTCGAACTCCACTACACAGGACCGGCATCCGCCGAACTGAATGACAAGGACGTCAATCCTCGTGCGGATCATAGCAGAGATATCGAGAAGGCCTTGGAGAAGCCTCAAGAGCGCTCGATGAGGGGTAGTGACTCGGGTGCATCGGCCGAATTCTCGGACGGTCGCTGCATCCACTACAGTGGGAGACCAGACCTACCAGCGCTGATTAGAAGGGAGGGAGGTGTCTTAGATGAGGACCAGCTTGGTGTGTTCGTATGCGGCCCTCTGAGTATGCAGAGCGATGTGGCAAATGCAGTCGCAGCAGCGCAGGTCCCTGCCATCAAGGGTGCGAGTAGAAGCATTTATTTGCACATGGAGCACTTCTCTTGGGCATGAGCTTAGCATAGCTTTGCAGAGTTCAGCGCTCTTTTTGTATAGAGATGAAAGTATACGGCAGCCATGTTCTCGTTCTCGAAGACGCTATCCACGTTTGTTCTCTAGCACTCTCATTCAGTCAAGATTCAGGGAGGCCGTAGTTCGATTGCCAAGCTGGCGATGGCGGATTCGAAACCCAGACAGCCTCTTCCTAACGTGATGTCTCGCGAACAACTATGAACGCGAGTATTGCAACGAATTTGCGCCCGTATCATGTGTCTGACATGGGTGGACTCGTGAATCGAGGCCGGCTAGTAGTGGTTGATAGCCGTGAGAACGAGGTTTTCGGCGAAGAGACGATTGATCAGATAAAGCCGAAACCGGAAGCTACGCAGCGCTAGCACGGATCATGATAACACATCACCAAGCCTTGATACTTCATCTGCCTCTTCCATCGCGCCCATCGAGACTCGCTCAGCGCAAGCTGCTCTCACCTGGAAATCATCATGAAACGATGAGTCTCCTCTTTAGTGAGGGGCAGAGGCTGAGTATGATGATCGCAGAGGCTAGCGGACCTTCTAATGATCATACACGACAATTGATCGAAGGGATCGTCTACTCACGATGGCTGATCAAGGCCTACCACGCGGTACCTGTCGGCATCTTGCTGATATTCACAACGTATCATTGGATATCAAAATTGCGACGACGGCGAGTCACGAATCGACTAAATAATGCTCATGACACTGGTGGCACGACATCAAGCTCCTCGAGCAGCACCTTAGGTGGCAATGCCACACCTCCTGGGCGAGGAAAGACTGGCCATACCATAAACGAGCGGACTCTACTGTCACCACGACAAAGTAGAAGTGAGGCCACCAGCTCGTGGACAAGAATGCAGCGCAAGTTCCGCGCAGTAGGAATGTATCAACCGCCCAGGATCCCGATCATTCACAAAACCCTCCCGTCAAACGCCACAACCCTCCTCATCCTCCTGTTCCTAGGCCTCAACATCTTCTATGCAACCTACGACATCAAATTCAACATCCCTCTCGCCTTCGTCCCCGCAGACAGAGCTGGCCTCTTATTCGTAGCCAATCTGCCCTGGCTTTACCTACTAGGCGCCAAGAACCAGCCCATTCGACTGTTGACAGGCTACTCCTACGAGAATATCAATATCCTGCACCGACGCCTAGGCGAATGGCTATGCCTACTGGCGGTCTTCCATACCGCAGGGATGTTCACGGCATGGTATTTCTTCTTTCGACCTGATGGATTGACATTGTACTGGTTCTTGACTCGGAGACTCGTCATGATCGGTATCGGAGCATTCCTGTGTTACGAGCTCTTATTCCTGACATCTCTCGCTAGCTTCAGGGCGTGGTGGTACGAAATCTTCCTTGGCTCGCATGTGGTGCTACAGGCCGGTGCTTTGATCTTGATTTTCTTCCATTTCCACACAGCTCGGGTCTATGTTGGGATCTCGTCGGCTATCTTTCTTGTCGACAGACTTATCTACCGCATCATCATCAAATCGACGAGCTTCAAGGCTGATCTTACTCCCATGGAAGATGGCGAGACTGTCCTAGTCTCTGCCGGCTGGCCGCTATTCAACAGCTGGTCAAGCTTCCTGGGAGACGCCTTCGGCAAAAATACGAGACAAGGCTGGGAAACGACCGAGCACGTCTTCCTTACAGTTCCTGCGTTGTCAAGAAAGCACATCATACAAGCTCATCCCTTCACTATCGCCTCTGCCGCGCCAAAGGACAGTGAACACGCCTGGTTCAATCTCATTATCCGGGCACACGATGGCTTCACACGAGATCTGGTCGAGTATGCTCGGGGGCATTCCGCTGTCAACATACGGCTGGATGGACCATATGGGTCACTGCATGCCCTAGAGATGTTGCGTGAAAGCAACATTTCATTACTTGTGGTGGGCGGGTCGGGCATTGCAGTGGCTTACCCTCTCATCTGGGCATTACTGCACGAAGGCGATGCTGAGCAAAAGGCGAGCCGGAAGGTCGGACTGGTCTGGATTGTTCATGAAGCATCACACGTCGACTGGATCGGCCACGAACGCCTGAAGGAGCTGCAGGAGAAGGGATTAGACTTGTGTCTCCCAGCGCCTACATCCAAAGCTGGTCGTCTGGACATCAGTACCTTGGTCGAGGACATGACTTCCAAAATGCAGGAAAGCGTCTTGTTGGGTAGCCAGAGGGTTGGTGTCGTTGTCTCTGGACCGGACTCAATGAATAGAGCAACGAGGAACGTATGTGCGAGCATGGCATGGCAAGGCCTTGACATAAATGTATCCGTTGAGAAGTATGGGTGGTAGTAGAAATAGACTAAACGTAGGGGTATCTTCGCTAGAACATAATGCTGGAATGAAGTTATGATTCCTTCGCCTTTTCTACTGGGTGCTTCTCGAGACTTTCGTACCACTGTAGCACGCTGCCGATCAAGAAGGCCCATGAACCTAGGTCTGTTAGCATTAGCTCACACGAGGTCTATGACAGACAACATACCCCAAAATGTCGAACAAGAAGCCTGATACTCCCGCCAATGTACGGTCGAAAATCCGAAAATCGGACAAAGGGTGAAACCAAGACCTCCGATCAAATTCCAAAACCCAATGTGCCAACCCAACACCCCAAAAGCAGGCTGCCACCAGTGCTTCTGTGTTTCGATCATGAACAGGCTCCCGGAGACAATGAAGCCGGTACCGCCAATTACTTGCGGCACCCAGTATACGCCGTTCAGCACTCGAGTTGGTGAAAGGTTGTCGTAGATTCCTGGCAATGCAGTGAAGCCGGAGATCCAGAAGATAGTCGCGCCGAACATTTGGGCGGAGCAAGCGAGAAAGCCAAGGTCGTGCAGGTAGTGAGTTCGGAGTTCGTGTATCGATGGCCACCAGACCCACGACTTGGTGCCGGGTGGTGTGCCATCTGCGTCTGCTGAGTCTCCTGCTATTTTCTCGCTGCCAACGGCCTTGCCGACAAGATTGCCCTTGTTCTGATGGTGATGGGTGCAGTTGTCCGGCGTCACCTGGCTAGTACCGCCCTGCTCGCCATGGTATAGCTTTTCTACAGCCCATCCAAAACACCCTGCACGATTCTCGTTCACCGCTTCGAGCATGAGTAGAATGCTACCAATCTCGAACACCGTGGCACCGATAAATGCCGTGATGCCACCTCCATACAACACTTCGCCAGGAAATTCGCTCTTAGGGTTGGCAAAAGGAAGCAGAGCGAAGAAGGCATTTATCACCCAGATTACTGAGCCCCACGTGAAGACATAGGCGACCAGGTAGGAGACGTCCCAGACGGGATAGTGAGTTAGCATACGGCCGATGTTGTGTAGAATGGCTTTGGAAGAAGTGGTCGGAGCTGGAGCGGTGTATCGAGCATCTGTGTCACTGCTGGGTTTGACGACGAGGGCGTGTCGGCCTTTACGGTTATTGCGGGAGGTCCACTTGTATGCTATACCGGATGCTGCGACGGTGCTTGGTTGTGTATGCTCTGCTGGTATATCTGCATCTTGTGACACGTCCGAGCTGGCAGCAGCTGTCTTCTCATTCGCAACATGATCGTAATGCGCCTGCGTAGGGTTCAAGAATGCGAAAGGGCCATTGATCTTGCTATTGTCGAGCTGGAGTTCGGGTGTGTTGCGGAAGGGCTCGCGTTCGGGATGGAAGGCCGCGTTACGAGGCATGATGCCTGTGGGATGAAATGCTTCGATACAGAATAATGTGATATAAAGACGGACATAGGAGAAGAGGGACAAACATTGGACCCACGTATTCAATAATATGTCTCGACCCGGGAAGTGGCCTTTCGCGTTCTTGGACCATCCGCTGCAACTTCCCACGCGGCTCGACCAGGATCCAACTCCCAAATCAACCCAAACAGATGACGAAGCTTTGCCAAGCTTTTGCTACACGTGCTTGGGTTTCAGTTCCTCCCTTTCACCTACTTCTGCTCCTTCACCGCTCTCACACCAGCGATACGGATATTGAGATCGTTGAGTTGGCTTCGGTCGGCCATCGATAGCGCCATGTAGACGCCAGTCCGATCATGCAGACTGACACTTAGCCACGCGTGGCGTTTTTCGACTGAGGCGCAGCACTGTCGTCGCGCCCCTGAGGCCGCCGCGCAGAATGTTTAGGCTCGAAGACACTGAAGGTACTTGAGCCACTCTGATGGATATGTGCCTGGTATCTGAGGGTCCTTGGTGCGGTGATTAAGCTGTTTGTTGGATCCTATCTCACCCAGTCTCTGCCTGGATCCTCTCAAGAATCTCAAGTCTACTCACCCAGGTCATCCTCATCAGGCCAATGGTCTTCGATTACCGCGATGGCAACCACAACGCACACATGGGACCGCCGGAAGTACGTTACAAGTCACTACGAAACCCGCATACTCGCATCCGCCTGGCATACCTACATGCAGGATCTTGGTCGGATCCAGTGGCTGTAACACTCCGGGTGCACTTGCGATCTAATCAGCCCATATACGTGGCGTCGTCGTATACATGGGGCGCCTCTACAGCTGGGAGCAGTATCTTGCTCAATGGCAGCTATTTTGCTGTAACGGATAACCTTCACGACGCACTTAGACGCTTACGATTGTCAGACCACTCGAGAGTGCTATGGATCGATGCGATTTGCATCGACCAGGCTGATACTACGGAGAGGGCCGCACAGATCAAGTAATGCAATCGATATACCGTAGTGCCGTGCGAGTCATAGTCTGGCTTGGTGAAGGTACCGCATCCCAGCAAAACGACAAGTTTCGGCACGAGGATTTGGATGCGGAGCAAAGTCGGCTACTGGCTAAACTTGACAAGGCTATGCGGTCTGCGAAACCTTGGTGGCATGAAAGAATCTGGACGCTTCAGGAGTTCATATCTGCTAACAAAGCTCCGATCTTCCTATTCGCCGACCAAGAAAAGACGCTGCCAAAGCTCCAAAGCATGTTATCAGAGTCGGGCTCATCAAGCCCATTACCAAGATCCCAACGGCTCGCGGCACTCACACAGGCTCTCGCAGACAGACAGCAAGTGCTTACAAGCCTAGCCGATGTTGAGCTGTCTCTGATTGACCGCTTTCTGATCCTCTGCCTGGCGATCACTGGCGCCGAAGCGACCGATCCTCGTGATCACGTCTACGCGGTTCTGAATCTCATGAGCCAACGGGTTGCTTACCAGATTAAAGTCAGCTACCTTATAACACCAGCTGCGCTTTTCACGATGTCGACGTCAGCAGCAATCGAAGGCATCGGGTCTCTCGTCCCTCTGGCTTTGAAGCGCTTACGACCTGCGAGATCTATGATCCAAGAGGCTACTGTTTGCGAAGGCTTGCCGTCATGGGCGCTTGACTTTTTCAACATTGCCAACATTCGATCACACACGACTAAAAGAATGTCGGGTGTTGATACCCTGTCGAGACTAAGATTTCAACTTTGCGATACTGCTAGCGTCAGCACAGTCACGGTTGAGCCCATATACGATGAGGAGAGCGAACGTCTGCGTCACATACTATCATCTCTGGGTGTAACAATGCATGATCGCATCCGAGAGGTCGTGTCCCTACGAATATTACTTCTTGCTCCTGAACATGGTGCACAGACGTGGGTTGGAGGACGAAGGCATATGAGCTGGTCTACAGGAGGCACCAGGCTGTACCACACGTCGATAGGATCTACTCTGCGATCTGCGGTGCTACGTTCCACTTCGGCGTATGAAGGACAGGACGGACAGGGCAGACCGGTGGCGTCGCTCGACTTTCTCGATGCGCTGGAGAAGGTGTTCAGTGTGCAACGCAGTCTGTCGGAAAGCATCTCAGTCACGCGAGAAGATCGTCGCGCGGAAGAGGCACGCGGAAGCGACGTCTGGCTCCATGATCGTTTGAAGTACTGGCTCGAGTATCTCAACGCCGTATCTGGTAACGCAGTCTTTTGCACAACAGACGACGGACGCTATGGTTTGGCCAGCAGTACGACACAGGTGGGCGATAGGCTTGCGACATTACCGTCGATGAAAGCTCCTGCCGCTTGAGCAGATTGGGCGAGTCGGGGGCACGAATGTACGAGGGTATACTGGAAAGATCAGAGATAGTAAAGCCCGGGCTTCATGCTTTTCGAGGATTTGCTTATGTACATGATGGTGCTGCAACTGAGACATCGAAATGCAGAAGTGACATGGATAGACGGCGTATCCTACTGACTTGAGTATAATTTCAAGAACCATAGTTCTGCTCGTCTTGCTGCTAGATTTCCAGCAGATATTGATCTCGTCTATCAGGTTGGGAGCAGTTCCGACTAGTTGCCAGCCATCAAGATTGACGGGAACGTCCTCGCGGGATGTCTTACTCCAGGAGGCTTGTATATGAGGTTTTCTACTCAGTGTGATACTGTTCCATGCTGACTAGCCTGATGTATGTCGTTGTAAATAGGCGCCAGACTGGAAGAGACTCATCATGGCAGTGATGTGCTTCGCACGTAGATGGTGGTAAGCACGTGATCTAGCTGATGGACTACTTCCAGCGTTCTCGGCGCGAGTGATGGTGGCACTGTTTTCCAATGGCATGTGGTTTCACGGTCGATATACCCGTAGGAAGCAGTACTCACCCACCCTCATGCATGCTTGCCGGACTCCAGAACTCGGTCTCGTCGGCTTGCGAGTCAACCCAGACCAAGCTGTCAGCAACCAGATCGTCGATAACTGTGATCGCTCGAGCTCGTTCCCAATCCAGATTCGCTTGAAGCATAGACACAGTAACGTGTCCCAGGATCTGGATCACTTCAAGCACTTTCGCCTGATCCGGATTGAGTTCCTTGGGCACGCTGCGAATGAACTTGCTGCCCCCCAAGACAGTCAATTTGAACATACCACCGAGCGGCTGCAGACTCTCTATGGCACGTAAAATATCATCTTCGGTGACCTCCATGCCCCCACCAACCAGACCCGCCCTGCCCTTCGCCACCCGCTTCTGCACATCAGACACGGCAATCATACCTCCGTTCTCACCCCTCGTCTCCCTACAGACCTCGACCACTCTCACCCCAAGCTCGAAGTAGAAGTCATTGACACTGCTACCCAGCATCTTCGCCCACGCACTGCCCTTGCCCGAGCCACCACCTGCACCCCTCACATTGCTTCCTGCCAAAGGGTCTACGCCGATAGCATTACACATTCTGGCAAATTCCGCCCGGAAGGTTGGGTTGGAGCGGATGTCCTTGGCATGGGTGAGGGAGCAATTGTGCAGGGCTGCTTGGAAGACGGAGAGTTGGTTTGCTAGGGCTTCTGCGTGGGAGGTGCGTAGAGCTTGGCCATGGCGGGCGTACTGTTCGGATGAGATGGCGGCGTTGGAGAAGGCGTTTAGACCTACGCCGCGGCGATTGGTCGACATGGTCGTGTTTGGTTCTCACATGGGTGTCGGCCATGGTCGAGGGGAAGGTGCGTCATCGTTATCAAGCCGATTCTTCGGCGAAACGTTGATCCGTCGGGACCGATCCAGCGCCAAGCACACACTTTTTGCGGCACACGCTCGAACCTCAATTTTCTGGAGCTGAGCAAGCGATCTGTTGCTCTTCACGCCAGTCACTCCTTCACGACCTATCTCCCACGACAACACCGCCACGATGCCGGCCAAGCAACAGCAGAGCGTCAAGGGGTATGTCCACCATCATCGCCATGATGGGTGAAGAAGTTGCAGCACAGTCGGTCCGCTCGAAGCTCGAAAGATGCTTCTCATACACACACACACACACACACACACAATGGCCTCAGTCCTGCGCGTAGTCAGAAATGGCACGTCAGAATTTGAGCGCTTACGGAGGTGATGGTAGCTAGCAATGGCATCATCATCGTCCTGTTGCTTGAGTTTGGTGCTCATCGACCTACCAGACGCCACTGTGGAATCACAGCGTGTGCGCGGAGAATGCATGAGAGCCAGCAGATCAACTGTGCCGCACTTCTTCGCCTTGGACGGCAGATTCTTCTGCTTTGTCCATGCGGACCGACTGACATGACACCACAGAAGCATTCCCACCAAGGACCAGATCCTCGTCCCGGAGACTCTGCTCAAGAAGCGCAAGAGCCAGGACAAGGAGCGCGCCGACAAGGCCGAGGAGCGTGAGACGAAGAAGAAGGTATGCCCACCACCACACTCCATCCCATACATCTCGTGATTATATCTTCCCACAACTTCGACTAGCTTCGGCCGTGTTGTCGTACTGTTAACCATCTTTCGGATATGAATATGTTCACGCACGCACGCCTCAGCGTATACACTGCTTCTGGCACACCATACTGACTGCCACAACAGGAGAGCAAGACCAAGCGCCAGCAAATCTTCAAGCGCGCCGAGTCTTACGTCAAGGAGTACCGCGATGCCGAGCGCGAGAAGATCCGCCTGACCCGCGCCGCCAAGAAGGAGGGCAGCTACTACGTTCCCGCTGAGGCCAAGCTCGTCTTCGTCGTCCGTATCAAGGGTATCAACAAGATCGACCCCAAGAAGCGCAAGACTCTCCAGCTTCTCCGCCTCCTCCAGATCAACAACGGTGTCTTCATCCGCCTCACCAAGGCCACCAGCGAGATGCTCAAGATCGTCGAGCCCTTCGTCGCCTATGGCTACCCCAACCTCAAGAGCGTCCGCGAGTTGGTTTACAAGCGTGGCTATGCCAAGAACGCCCAGAAGCAGCGCATCCCTCTCACCGACAACGCTATCATCGAGGAGCACCTCGGCAAGTATGGCATCGTTTGCATGGAGGATCTGATCCACGAGATTTACACCGTCGGCCCCAATTTCAAGCAGGCCTCCAACTTCTTCTGGCCTTTCAAGCTCAGCAACCCAACCGGTGGCTTCAGGCCTCGCAAGTTCTTGCACTTTGTGGAGGGTGGCGATCTCGGTAACAGGGAGGACTACATCAATGCCCTCATCAGGCAGATGAACTAGAGTGTATCTGAATGTCGTGTGATGATGTTTGCGATGGCGCATGGGCATGGCTTGCGATGTGCATGATGGACTGATAGGCCTGCTAGCTCGCGTGATAGCAATTAAAAGTCGCATGCGATCATTTTAGATCATGTTCTGTTCATTGTCCGTTCACTTGATCGTTCATGCTCCCACGTTTCAAGATGTTATCGTCGTCATAGTCCAGCCCCATATTTCGGCTCCTACCTGCGATCATGATAGTTCCGTAGTGTGATGAGCAAAGTATGCATGACGTTCCCATCAACAGCGAGAGGTGAAACGATATTCACGCATGACGACGAGACAGCATCGATAGAGGCCGAACAGATTTGTTACATGGGAAGTTGGACTTCGCGGAACTGGACTGGATTGCTTCATCACTCGCTCATTCTCAGGACTCGCCATCACGTCAGACATGGATACCAAGCAGTTGTTCAGTGTCGCGGGTATGGTGGCTTGTATCACTGGAGGTGGCACAGGTCAATACCACGACTGCGATAGCAAAATTTGGCCTTTGCCACTGCTGCTGGCTGACATAAGGATTAGGAATTGGTCGCATGATGACCACGGCCTTTGCCAACAACGGTGCCAAGAGAGTCTACATCGTTGGTCGACGGAAGGAGAAACTCGATGAGACTTTCAAGCTGGCTCCAGACATCATCGTTCCACTGGTCGGTGATGTCACGTCGAAGGAGTCTTTACTCGACCTCGTGGACCAGATCAAGGCAGATACTGGATTCCTAAACTTGCTCTGCTGTAATAGCGGTACCATGCCTCCTGCTCTCAAAGCAAAGTCCGGTACAGCCAGTCTAGCTGAGTACCGAAAGGCCGCACTGGACAGTGAGGTGGAAGACTGGGCGCAGACGTTCGCCACGAATACTACATCCATTTTCTTCAATGTCTTTGCTTTTGCGGAGCTTCTGGATGCTGGGAATGTAGAGGGCAATTGTCAGGGAAGGAAGAGTCAGGTGATTGTTACGAGCAGTATCGCTGGCTACTCCCGCCTTCCAGGCTCATTAGGTGCGTACCCAGCCAGCAAAGCCGCCGCTACTCACATGGTCAAACAACTTGCCGGAGCCTTAGTCCCGTACTCGATCCGCGTCAATGCCTTGGCGCCAGGTCTCTTCCCGTCTGATCTGGCAGCGGGTATCATTGCGGGTGGTGGAGCTAACAAGGAGCCGACTGAGGAAGGTGCCTTTGAGAAGTCTTTTATACCTGCCGAGCGGCTGGGCAAGAGTGAGGACATGATTGGGACTGTGCTGTATATGGCTTCAGCCGCAGGAGCGTATCTGAATGGGAACATCACCGTGCTTGATGGTGGACGGATCACGCAATTACCTGCGACATATTGATCTGCGGTGACTGACGTCGCTACTCATTGCGCCTTATGACATGCATCTTCTGGTTAGATTTTCTGTTCTACAAACCTATAGAAGCCCAAATAGCAAGACCGCCCACAACCCACGGGAACAGCATCCGCACTCCCATCAACGAATTAAATTCTTCCAACAGACTAGACACTTCCGTCTGTTTCTCCTTGGCCACAGAATCGCTCGCTGTTGCCATCTCAACCAGCTTATTCGAGGGTGCCAAGATAAACACCCACACGAATACCCACCCTAGCGGCATCAGACCTGTCGCTGTCGCCCACAGCTTCCACCCTAAGCCCTGTGGCCGAAGTCCGTACTCCAGATACGCAAGACCTCCACAGATGAGAATCGTGGTCAGATCTGTTCGTGGCACGATGTTTGAGAGAGCTCGGTAGTAACAGTTCCATTGTTGTGTTGCTTGCTTTGGCGACGATGAGACGAGTGGGTAAATTGAAGGTAGCAGAGTGTGTGCTGTTGTCATGGCGCCGGCGGACCAGAGAGAGCCGGCTATTGCTGTGCCTTTCAAGGCTGGAATGAGGAGGTGAAGGTAGGGTATCCAGCTTGTGTTTGAAGCCATAGTGGGTAGCAATTGATCTGGACGAATGGCTGCCAGGCGATTTTGTGCAGATATGTCTTCTTGGAACGTAGAGGCCTCCCAGAATGCGGCTTTTGTGAGGTTGAGTGAACGAGTGGTGACCAAACTATCTGGGTGTCGTGGATGTGTCGACAAGGCGGGAGGAATGCAGGTTTGATAACACCATGTCTAAGGGTCGGTCCACTTTCGTGCGCTGCTTGGTATGCATATGTACGCACGCCACTCTACCACGAAACGGTGACTCCAGCGTAGTGGCGCACACCGTCACAGCCGATGATCAGACTTTGAGCGTGAGACGCACAATACAAGGTGCGATAGCTGAGATCGCTACGTGTAATTGTAGGTCTTCGAGCACCCTTCTCTGAGCGTTCAGCTCATTTACGAGCACGAAGCCGACCGTGCCAAAGATAGCTGTAGTGACGAACAACACAATCAGCGGTCCCGAGATCACCAGATCTACAGGACCTTCAGAGAACACGAAGCTCTCCGTCTAATCGAACTGCACACCGACCGCTGTCTTCAATGTCCGTACAGCTCCAAAGAACTCGATCAAGCCCATCGGCCACCAGACTCGCTTCTTCCAGCCTTCCTTCTCAGGCAGCCTTTCATCTTCGAAAAGTGCCCGCACGTACTTGCAAGGAATCGTCTTACCATTCCCAAAACAATGCATCATCAATGCGACCTGCCCGCAATTCACCGGATGCTGGTCGGGACCATAGAGTAGATCGGGATTGTCTTTGAGCTGCTGATGTATGCGGCTCTTGATGAACTTGCCCAGGTCATCGACCGAAAGATTCTCGCCGCCATCTGATGAAGCATCTAGCATGTCTTCAATCAGATCTTGCTGCGGTGCATTATTGCCAGCTGGCTGTGCAATGTCGCGGCGTGTGAGCGAGATATCGTGCTCGATCGCTCCGTGAGTTGCCAGATCTACCAGATTGAGGTATTTCTTGCCACTGCTCATCTGGCTGCGTTTCCAGCAGCCGAAGTAGTCGAAGAAGGTGTATGGGTTTTTGATGAGACGCTAGATGCGAGCGAAGATACTTATCGGCCTTTGCATGTAGGCTTTCGCTGGGTCTTTGAACTCGAAGTACGTCGGCACCGCAAAGACGGAGCCCAGCAGGGAGCTCATGCCGACTTTTCTCATGGCTGCGTTGAGGTCGTTCATGTAGATGTTGGTCCCGCTGCGTTCGATGTAGCCATGGTTGGCGAGTGCATTGACTACAGGACAAGGACTCCTGCTAGCATTGACCGGTGCTGGTGCAAACTGTCCTACAGCTTTGGACATCTGGAGTGTGTCCTGAGAGACCATCGTAATGCTGCGCTGAACTGAATTTAGAGATGATTGCGAGGAGTCGTTCGGAGGATATCGCTCAGGCTCGTGTCACACCTTGCCAACGACTTTGGCTCAATGGCGGCGAGAATCACCTGTCACACGCCATCCTGATGAGATGATAACTCAAAGCTCACATTCTGCGTGCCGTTAGCTGACCTTGTCGTGGCTGGCGAGACAACGCAACGCAGTCTGCTGTCACGCCACCAGTACCAGGTTTCTGATGCAAGCAGTTCCGCATCGGACGAGACTAATAGCTTTAGAGCTACGATTTCCTGCGGAAGACTACTGCTCCTTCGCTAGGGATTTTATAAATACAATTGTGCGCAAAATAACTGTCGTATACTAAGACGTAAAGTTATAGTGTCCTCGAGGAGCGCCTATACCTAGGAAGCTACCTAAGGCTCCTTACGTCGCGTTATAACGTATACTAAAAGTAATAATACCTTTAACTCGACTATAGTTATAATTCTTACTCTATTAAAGGCTTTATTAGGACGATAATTAGATATTCTAGGTATAAGCGCTCCTTAAGCGCTCCTCGAGCGCTCCTCGAGGATACTATACTTTCCCTAACTTTTAGTCTTAGCATGCGATAGTTATTTTGCGCACAATTGTATTAGCCAGCTACATCGCGGGGTGGGGCTAATTTGATATGCAGGGAGCAGAAGTCAACTCTGTAAACCTCCTTCGCACCTCGCAAATCAGCTGATGAGGTGGACGATGCACGTCGTCCATGCTCGTTTGCCCAGAGGCCAGCGGACGCCACGCTGCAAGCATGGAACCACCATGAATCGGCCCAGCCTGCGTGCCTCGCTTGGAGAGCAAATGGCTCGGGCCAACCACTACATTCCACCTACAGCATATACTGTTACCACTACATTTCACCTACAGCAAAGACTGTTCCTGCTCGTCTCGCTTTCATCTACTTTCTGCGGCTTTCACGTCTCCAGAACCGAGCTAGGCAACGATGGTTCTCCAAAATGGCAGCATCACCGGCAAGATGCATGATGAGTTGATGCAGCTCACATTGCAAATCAGGAATCGGAAAGATGTTGACAAGAAGTATGCGAGCTTTCGTGGCGACAGGCTCTTAGCAGTGAGTATGCTTGACGACGAGGAAAATCCATGCTAAGATTGCACAGGATCGAGTCCTCCCTCGAATCGGCCTTTGGGCCGACATCACGGCCATACTAGGGCGGAGAAACTGACCAGCCATCGGAAGAATCTTTAACGGCCTCTTCACTGAAGGTCAACTTGGGGTGCGCTTTCTTGTCGTTCATTTTTGATCACCGACTGATATCTAGGCAGACGCTCGATGCCGCATCTATCGCCGGTAGCCTGTCCGACTACAGTGTTCTACGACAACAGTTTGTTGATGACCAAGTCAAGAAGAAGTACGATGCTATGTTGCACCGTAAGTATTGGCAGACAGGCCTGATCTTTCCAGCCAACAGACATGCTATGAGCAGTTTTGACCATTGGAAGCTCCACTCACGTATCTCGGAGACGCTTTCCAATACCGTGCAGCCGATGGCAAGTTCAATAGTGTAATCAGTCCTCATCTCGGCCAGGCCGGCGCTCCTTATGCGAAGACTGTGCCCTCGAAGACCGCACCTCTGGGTGCCTTACCTGACCCCGGTGACATTTTTGACAAGCTTATGGCTAGAGAAGAAGGTGGTCGGCAGAGTACGTCAGGACTGTCTAGCATGCTGATTTACCACGCCACAATAATCATCCACGATATCTTCCGGACCAATGATAACGACAAGAACATTTTAGATAGCTCTTCCTATCTCGATCTTTCACCTCTATACGGCTATACAATGGATACGCAGCGTAAGGTTCGCGACAACAAGTACAAGCTCGGCCTTTTGAAGCCAGATACTTTTGCTGAGGACCGTCTCTTGAGGCAGCCTCCTGGCGTTTGTGTGATGCTGGTCATGTACAACCGTTATCACAATTATGCTGCCCGGACACTGCACCGAATCAACGAAAATGGCCACTTCTCAATCCCAGCCAAGTATGTAGATTCGCAGCTTGTGTCGGCTGTCAAGAACTTCCATCGCCCCAAAGATGTACCGATTGCCATTAAACGATTCGATCCCGAGGTCGTCGAACAATGCAATGCTTATGAGGTTGCATTGAAAGCGTTTCAGGCGGCTGATACAGGCTCTGACGACTGCAAGAATTCCAAAGAGGCCGCTCAGCTTAGCGAATGCGAAGAAGTCCTGAACATACTTCTATACGCCTGGACAAGTCGGCAAAAGGTAGACGAGTTCAAGGGGCTATACGACGCCGCTTGGAAGAAGCTCGACGATGATCTTTTCAACACTGCTCGTCTGATCACATGCGGCATGTACATTCAGATATCTGTTCATGACTATCTGCGAGCTCTGATGGGTTTCCATCAATTCGACACCAACCTTACATTTGACCCTCGTAGTGACTTCGATCAGAAAAGGACCACTCGTGGCCTTGGGAACCAGGTGACGGTGGAATTTAACCTGCTCTATCGCTTCCACTGTGCAATTTCTTTGAAGGACGAGAAGTACACGGAAGACTTCATGAAGTCCTGGCTGGGACTCGAGAAACCAGACAGCACCTCGCTGCAAGGCTTCCTAGCGGCGATGGCGACCATGGGCAAAGACGCAAAGGCCAAGGCTGAAGCAGGCGAGCTACCGCCAGAGCCATGCCAGGTGACTTTTGGTATTCCGGGAGACGAGACCAGGCATTACGAACGCAATAAGATCACAAATCTGTTTGATGATCAGCACTTGATAAATGCGCTCACTTCGGCAATGGACGACCCAATCTCTAATTTTGGTCCTCGCAATATACCAAGATGTTTGAAAGCAGTCGAGATCATGGGCATGACCCAAGCCCGAAAGTGGGAAGTAGGTACCCTCAACGACTTCAGAGATTTCTTTGGCCTGTTCCGGCATAAGAGCTTTGACACCATGACTAAGAATGCCGACATACAGAACGCCCTGCGAGATCTGTATGAGCATCCTGACAAGGTCGAATTATATCCGGGCATATTCTGTGAGTCGGATGAATACATGGGCCTCGATCCAGGTCCTAGCGAGTCGAATTCTGCGCTGTGGACGGCAATCTTTTGTGACGCTATCACACTCGTGCGCTCAGATCGCTTCTATACGGTCGACTGGAACACTAATTCTTTGACCTCCTGGGGCATGAACGAAGTCACTGCAGACAATGAGACGCTGAAGAGCTCGGTATACCATCGTCTGATTCAGCGAGCATTTCCGGGCTGGTTTCCCTACGATTCTGTGCGGTTCTTCCATCCTTTCTACACGTCGCAGCAGAATGCCATATATGCCAACGCTCAAGGCTATGCACCGCAGTTCAAGATGTCGAAGATACCTGATATTAAGGTGAAAGATACAGACCAAAAAGCTTATGATGTCTCGAAATCCGAGCCCCAGAAGCCTCGCAAGCCGATATACCTCACTGACATCAGCCGCATCCGTTCTGTTTTGGACGACCACAAGGATGACTTCATGCATCCAGCCCTGCTGCACCGCGAGAATCTCCCGAAGGCAATGCAAGACGTTCTTGACCCGGCGTATGCGAAGCCAGAGTGCGTAGGTCTTGACGAGTACATGAGGCAGTCGGAGCCAGACCTGGTGAAGTACCTGACTGATTTGATGCAAATAATCGTCAAGAGCAGATCAATTGCGATGACCACTTCAACTTTCCAGATTGATGTCACCCGAGAGTACGTATGCATGCTGCCAATGACTTGATCTTACGCTGACACGATATCATAGCTTCGCAATACCAGTGGCAACACGATACGTGGTGGACTTCCTTGGTTTCGGACACCTCATGCGCACTGAGACTGACCCTAGCGGCACATATACCGAGAACGAGATATATCAGCATATCACCAACTGCCAGACATTCCTTTCCTATAATGCTGACGAGACCAAGTTGCTGAAACGTCGAGGAGCATTCAGGGCTTCTATGGCGAAGCTTACGGAGCTGACTTTGCACGGCAATGTTGCGCAGGCAGGAATCCTTGGCATGTTCCATAGCTGGTACGAGGGATGCGCAGTCAACCCTATGACACGGTTGGGCTCGTTCTTTGCTCGGAAGATCTTGGAATACACCGGCGATTCCCAGAAAGCGGCCGCTATCCTTCTACTTGTTTGCCTTGACTTTGCATACGAGTCTGTTAACACAGTGAGTCGTTCTGATGAGGTCATTATTACCTTTAGCTGACTGAGGTTTAGTTCACGGCTGTGACGTACAAGCTTATGCATGAGCTGTACGCAGCTGCTGATCGCCCAGCTGCGGACGCACAGCATCAGCCATGCTGGCTCGAAGTTCAGGACCTAGCACTCGATGGAACGAATGAAGCTCAGCAGACTATGGATCACATCATCCAAGAGACAGCTCGGGCTGCTGTACGACTCCCGATACTTCGAACAGCAACTCAAGATGGTGCTTTGACGGCAGGAGATGGCTCCACTATTATGATCAGGCAAGGCCAGATGCTGATACTTGACACTGTACGTATGCATATGGTAGGCTAACGTGGTGTCCTCGTATCAGGTAGCTGACTCCTGCACAGCACAAGGCGATCGAACAAGCTGGAGACGAGGATAGAGCCGATGCAGTCACTTTCCTGGCATACCGTTCGAGCTTCGTAGACAAGTTCGATGCGTTCCAGCCACGACGCTTTGCAGTACTAGCCTTGACATCCATGATTGCGTTTGTTGCCAATATGCGGAACGTGCGCCGTGGACACGATGCACAAGGCAAGCTCAAGCGTATCAATCTCGACTGGACAGCTGAAGGTTACTCGAACTTTATGGCACCTGGAAGGATGGATTGGATAGCCAAGCAGGTGGAGATGCTCCCAGCAGACGACAAGAACAAGAATGTCTACACAGAGAATGTATTAAAACCCGAGACAGACACATACCTGACACCGAGCTGGGACGAGATGGTGCCGTTCCCGATCACGTGGAAGATCCGCTTCGATGGTTTCGGGCCATCGGATTATAGCACCAAGGAGCACCCGTATGGATGGCTGACCTCACCCTTCGTGCCTGACGATGCGCCACCGTGGTATCAGTCGCAGGGCCTCAGCCATCTCGGAGGCACTTTTGCAGAAGTGGCGTATATTTGCGCGACGCCGGGCACAAATTGTCCATGCCTCAGCACCACAAGCGGCGCGTCTAAGACGAACGGCGCATCACTTCGCGTGCCTGCCGCAGCAGCACTGGAACCGACATTGTCTACTGGCTGCGGTCTTTCCAGCGAGTACGCGCGTGGAACGGGTCAGGTGGTCGCCAGATGATGCATCTGTGGCTATGTGCATGAATGTAGGTCCTCTAATGCCAGGGTGTGTATCGTAATTATCTTACGGCCACATATCCTTACTCAGCCAACTGCTACAGTCAACGACGCGTTAGTCTCGATCTACTTGACACTCTCATCGTGGATATGTGTCAGCGAGCCAGTGCAAAGTTTAGGGTTTTCCTAGAGCTTATCGAATCTATTTCGCCTGATCGCCCAGTGGATGCTACGCTTACTAAGATGCGAAACCTGCGACCTCACTAAAATCATGCATCCTCCGTCAGCTATTTACCTCACTCCTGATCAGCCTGCATGTTCGGTGTACAAGCTGGGCATCTCAGCTGATGTGTGAGGCCTGATCGATGGACTCTGTAGGGACCGGGCCATTCTCACCACAGCACTTTCATTCGCGCTTTACTCACTAAAGCTAGATCAATCACGAACGCGACGCACGGTCATCAAGAACTATGAGCGAGGTGTTTCCTCGATGTGGCGCTTCGAAGCATACTCTTCCACTGAGACGATTGGAGGCCATCGCGGTCCATCTGGGAAGCCTCACCTTAAAGCTTGCGGCAGCAATCAAGTATATGGACGACCCTGCCAGCGCGGAGGTGATCGTGGCTACATCGGCCGATATGCTCATAACACCCAGTGGGGAGATTCGGGATCGCGACGAATGTATTCAGACATATGGACAGATTACGCCCCAAGACTTCGTTGCTCAGATCAGAACCCACCAAGCCACTCAGTCAGGATGGACATTTACCTTTGGAGATGCGCTTGCTGAGGTCTCGTCGCTTGGTGGCTCAGCGACAAGCTTCATAACCATTCGCGCAAACAGTCCTAGCTTTGGGCAGCGTAACAAGTATCGAGAGGCAGTATACAGATTCTACTAGCAGTTGCAAGACGTTAATAGCTAGTTAACGTATCGTATCTAGCTATTATGCACCTGCGGTATAAGAGGGTTAGAGCTCGTTAGACGAGTAAGTTCTAAGTAATAGGTCGGGTAAGTAACTACTCTAAGGTTTAACCTTTTAGCGGGTTAGTAACTTAGGTTAAATATAAACTACCTATATAGGAAACGTCCATTCTATATATATAGGAGATTCGTATATAGTTACGATTACCTAGTAGTAATTATAAGTACTCTTCCTTATAGTTACTTAAGAGTAAGAGTAAGTAGGCTACTTACTTAAGGGTCTAGATAAGTAGCGTTACGTAACTATCTTATAGCCGCCTTATAGGCCTAGCTTATTAGCTCCCTAAGCTTAATTAGTTAGTCTACTTATTATAGACCTAATATCTATAATATTATTCTACTCTATAGCTATTATATCCTTATAACTAAGCGTTAGTTATTATTCTAGCGTAGGCGTCTAATATAGGCCTAGCGTATATTAGAGCCTAACTAATATAAGGCCTAGGAGGCAACTAAATATTAATAGGATCCTCCCCAAATCTAGTAAGGCGCGAAGCTATACGGTTTAGATTTTAGTAGGATCCTATTTAGTAGGATCCGTACTTCTAGAACTACCTATAGGCGCCGTTCTATACGCTAAAATAGGATATATCTTACTCGTAGTACTTAATTATCTATCCGGTATTATTTCTAGTACGTCTAGATAGTATTTCGTAGTACTAGGGTTAGGGTATAGGTGTACGCTAGTAGTCGTCGGACGCGCGAGGGCGTGCGGATATACGCCCGTACGTATAGGAGCGCGGGGTAAAGTATAGCTACCTCCGCAAAGTTTGGCTACTCCCGAAGACTACTACGGTAGTAGTCTTTAACTCTACTTACCTTAACCCTTTAACTCTACTTACCTTAGCCCTCCCTACCCTCTATAAGCTATATATAGTATATATAGCGTTAGGGTATATACGCTATAACTCCCTCTAACGTTTCGTACCTAATACCCTAGCTCTAGCCTCTATATTATATAACTTTAGCGTACCCTCGAAGCTACGATATACTATCTATCTTCTATATTCTATAATATAGGTAGTAATAATAGAGTCTAGTAATACTTATACTACTCGATAACTATTACGAACATATGACATAGGGTATAGAGAGGGAAAATAAGGACTAGTTATTTTAGCCTTAAAGGGAAGCGCTAAGGGCGCACCCGCGAATTACGTAACTAGCCAACTTTACTAGACCTTGGATAGACACGTAACTAGCCATCCGACTAGACGAGTAGTCTAGCGGACTAGTAGCTAGTTAGAACACGAATCTCCTATATA